CTTATATAGACCAATTACCCCGCTTTTCATACAACCTCGGTTAGTTGAATACCTCGGTTATTACCTAATACCTGAATGACTAATGTTTTCATTCTGTTGTTTAAGAAACATAGATCTCATTCTGGATTAATACTGGATCTCATTCTGGATCAACATACCCTATAAGTATGTAGGTAAATTAGTATTAAATAATAAGGCTCTAACCTTATTAAGTAATGTTCTATTTACCCTCTTAGCTATCCCATTTTGTTCAGGTGTATATGGGGCTGAGTAAGCAATTATAATCCCCTTTTCTAATAGATATTCTGCTAGGGCTTTTGACTTAAATTTATTATCTGTTTGAATTATAGCCAATTTTTTATTATTAGGCGCTTATCTCTCTAATAAGTGGATATTTCTTATAATTACCTTATGTATATCTTTCCTTGATGATAATAGCTCGATAGAAAGATATTATAAGTAATTATCTAGAAATATAATATAATATCTATAGTTACTTAGTATTTTTAGTATAATAGGTCTATCTATATCTATATATATTTTATGCAAATATCTAGAACTATTAGTAGATGGTTCTCTACTAATATTTCTAGTAAGTTTTGCTTATATATATATAGTGCAAGCTTTTTGAGAGTTATCCTTAATAATAGCACCTTCTATATTATCTTATAATTTAGAAAGTACTTTATTATTAGGATGTGCCAGCCTAGTATGCTATAGATCTTGTGTGATTTGATTTTTATCTGTAAGGAAAACTTAATTTTTAGTTTTCTTTACAGATTCTGTGAGGAAAATCAAGTCCTTATTTTCCTCTATTAGTTGTTGTTGCTTATTTATCTTAGTTTCTAAGATTATAAGCTTATTCTTATAGATTACCTCAGCTATAGGCTTTCTATTTTTAGTGAATTTAGTTTTATTAGCTGAACTAGTAATAACCACTCTATTTTTAATTACTTAGTTAACTGAAATTAAGTTAACCTATAATTCTAGAATATAAAGCACATCTTTTAGGATAGCAGATTCATTAGTACTAGTAAATATAATACTGTTAATCCAGAATGAGATCTATGACATATTTCTTAAATAACAGAATGAAAACATTAGTCATTCAGGTATTAGGTAATAACCGAGGTATTTAACTAACTGAGGTTGTATGAAAAGCGGGGTAATTAGTCTATATAAGCAACAGGACCTACCTCAGTTTTGTAACGCAAGTAAAACAAAATATATAACTTAAATATATAAGTTTTCTTCTATATAAATCTTACTAAGCATCCGCCCTCCAATGAGCATAGCTTAACAAATACTAATATTACCTACTCCTGAAGCCTTTATTAATAATCTACTATTCCCCCAGATAATTATCTTATCTATAAGTGTAATAGATTGGAATACATCTTTTCTATTATAAATATAAATAGTAGCTCCTGAATCTAGTACCCATTCAATACTAGATTTAGTTTTTGATACCTAATTAGTAATAAGGATTAACTCTTCTATATTATCTAATTTAGAGGTATTATTTATTGTCTTAGGCTTTAATTCAGGGTGCTTTATCCAGTATTTTTCTTCTGTATACCCTTTTTTATTGCAAGATATGCATTTAGGTTTCTTAAACTTATTACTTTTAGTAGGTAGAGTCATTTCTATATCTACTATATCTTTAGTATCAGCCTTTTTACCTAATCTCTTGCTTTCATCCAGCAGCTGACGAAATATCTGATCTAGATCTATTTTTTTTTCAGATAACCTTATAGTTTATGTAATTATAGCCACTATATAATCATAATCTAAACTTAGATTATTTAATATAAGTGCTACTATAAACTTAGGTGGTAGTACTAGATCAGATGAAGCTAAGGTATTTAAGAGCCTTTTTATATTATAGATATAAACCTCTATATTATTTTTACTGGATTTAAGTGTAGTATTTATTAGCTCTTTATAGCTAATAAATTTAGTACTAAATCCTTATTAACCATATAGTTTTTTAAAGTTATTCTATAATATATTAGTATTATTAATATACCTTAATTATAATAATGGCCTATCTCCTAGTATAAGCTTAATTAAGGCACTTACCTTATTAATCTTAACTAGTAATTCTCTATATAGGCTTTTATTATTACCAGCCGCTTCAAGGGTAATAGTATTATTTTTAATATCCGCATAATCTCTTTCAATTAATAATACTTCTATTCTAATAGACTATAAGTTATAATTAGAAGAGCCTATTAATTTTGGAAATTTTGTGATATCCATTTTTTACCTAATATAGCCTTCTCTAAGATTAAAATAGTAGTTAGTCTTTCTAGACTTAACTAGCTTAGTTAGTCTATAATATATATATATATATATATATATACTATAACTATAGCTATAAGTATCTCAATCTTTTATTTAAGGCCTATTTCTAAGCTCTTTATGGAATTACATGAATATCATATGCTTATTATATAAGCATATAAGCTATACTATCATATAATTAGATATTTATAGGGTTATATAAAAGTCACATGTACTAATCTTCTTAGTCATATATGACCTTTTATATATCCAAAATAGGTAATAGAGTCTTCTAAAATATTAGGTAGACTCTATTAGTTAAAAAGAATATATAAATCTTTAGTTATCAGAGAGTATATGCTTAACCCAGGCTCATAACCTGTTAAGCTATGCTCATTAGAGGGCGGATACTTAGTAAGATTTATATAGAAGAAAACTTATATATTTAAGTTATATATTTTGTTTTACTTACTTTACAAAACTGAGGTAGGTCCTGTTACTTATATAGACTGATTACCCTGCTTTTCATATAACCTCAGTTAGTTAAATACCTTAGTTAATACCTAAATAACTAATATTTTTAATCTATTATTTAAGAAATATATCCTAGTATTAATCCAGAATGAGATCTAAAATATATTTCTTAAATAATAGATTAAAAATATTAGTTATTTAGGTATTAACTAAGGTATTTAACTAACTGAGGTTATATGAAAAGTGGGGTAATTAATCTATATAAGCAATAGGACCTACTTTAGTTTTGTAAAATAAGTAAAACAAAATATATATCTTAAATATATAAGTTCTCTTCTATATAAATCTTACTAAGCTTCCGCCTTCCAATAAGCATAGCTTAACACTTATTACTTTTATAGTAGCTTATAATAGCAAAGCTAGTCGGTTTTGGGAATGTATTCCTAACAAAATCCTACTAAGCTTCTGCCTTCTATTAAGCTTAGCTTAACATATATTCCACGCTGTCTTAGCTCACATAACTCACAGACCTCGTACCGCGGGTCCACATATCGCTGACCTCATAATTACGGAAAGGAGTTTGCGAAAATATCAAATGAATATTCAGTAAGAACACCAATAATACCAGTTGGTTATGAGATTTAGTGTTTCCTGTCAAAACAAGAATTCCATCAATGGCACAAACTCTGTATCTCCAATTCCGTTCATGCCTATTGCAATGGCAGCATCCAAGGCAAGGCAGCCTTTAAATTCTGCTCTGCCACCTCCCAGTTCTGGCCACTGTACCAAGAATCTATCCACAAACATTTTAAGCAATCGTCCACTCAAGCTTAGTGTCTTACATCTAGCCAGACTTTCGACATATACACATCTGGTCCGGTGACTTCCGTCAACTCCAAAGAAACGAAGCAAAATTGAGGCGAAGACGACAATTACTCCGGTTCCCGGGCCATTCGTGAGAATAATATCAGGCGCATCCCTCGAAAGCATGCTCAAACTTGTCCACAGACAGACCAAACTAGTAAAAGGTGTTGTGAAAATACTCTGGTGTACCTTTCGCGCGCGTGGGAGCTTCACAATGTCAAACGAACAGCTACCGGGGCATTGTAGCTCTGCTTCGAATTCGGTTGCAAGTGAAGCGCTAAACTCATCTCCAGAGCTCACAACCCAACTCCTCTTCCTCCATTTACTTAACGCGACTGTTCGGAGCATAAGCAGCATCTCTGCTGTGTGACCGCCGCTGCCTAGAACAACCATGAAATGCTGGTAGAGGTAGGTTGGTGAGTCAAACAAGGCATCATCTAGGCTGGCTCTTTCGAGACGGCGGGAGGGATGTGCTTTGACATTGCTGGATGGCGAAAAGGAAGGGGAGCGCCTGCGTCCGGGCTGTGCGCGGTTTGGTGGCAGAATCGATTTAAGACGTGCTGCGACGGCAACAACAACACCAATTAGACCAGTGAGAATCGTTGCGGCAAGGACTGGACGTAGCATTATGCACGCTGCTCAGGAAGAATCAGTTTGCAGCTCTTCAGTATGGCAAATGTCATGTTTTAGACTAGAAGGAGTGACTTAATGACAAAAGGATTGCAAAGATGATGCTGTCGGGGCCAGGGGTCTGGACTCGAGTGGACCGCATTCGCACAAATCTTGGTATGGTTGGTGGTTTAAGTGGAAAAGACAAGGAGGGTTCAAGTCACATGATGAGGCCGCCCACGGAGTTCACCGTCCACTTTCTACAATTCATCAAGATAAAGCGCTGTTGTATATTCGCGTTTGCAATGAAAGTGTGCCGTGCAAAGATTACAGGACACGACAAAAGAACTCGCTAGAACAATCCAATTGCATCAGTCAACCAAGAATATGTGTGGTTATCTAAAGCTCTAATTGCGTGCGGTACCCGCTCACAATCCTTCCTAAAAAAGGCAAAACCTATTTCACACTATTCGTAATTTAAATCTCTACTTGAGGCTGACCTAATCGTAGCGATAATACAGCTCTTACGTCGGTGCAATGCTGCAGTCCTTCCAGAAGCGGGATCAGATGCATTAAGTCATTGTCTGTCGGGTCGCTAATCCATCCTTCAATCGGCATGGCGTTGTCTGATAACTTGTCAGTGGAAGAAAAGCCACGATAATATGGGCGTTACTAACCCTCGTGGAACACGTAACTTAAAGGACTGTTATCTAAGATCATGACTTTACTCAAGTCGGGCTCGACTTGGGCTAAGTCTTTGATGTACGCTCCATTACGCATAGTACAGTGCTGACGATAGTATCTGGCCTCAAAGTACGGACGTTCAAGCTCGAGCCAATCGATGACAGGATCCGCGTACTCTTGAACGGACGCCGTGAAGATGACGAGCTTATACCACTTTTGCACCTTCCAATATTCTTCTCGTTAGCTTTTGCGCAATGGGAGCCGCAAAAAATGAGATGCTCACCTTTCTTAGAAATTCATCACAATGTGGTCGTTTGTGCACATAATACAGAATAGGAACCTGTGGACCTAACGTGACACCTCCAACCCCTACAGAATGATTCATCTTTACTTCGATCATGTGGCCTGTGGCGAATCTGCCACCTTTACTTTGACTGTGTATTAATGTCTCGTCGAGATCGATGATAAGTGTCTTCTGCCTCGGTTTGAGATCATTTGGCGATGCCTTTGCGTAGCTTGGCTGGCGTCGAGGTACGAGAGGGCGCGGCGGCTGCGGTGCGCGTGGAAATTTAGTGAGTTTAGTTGTGCCACTGATTGCCGGGCCTGATGGGGACTTGAGTGAAGCTGCAACAATGTCCTTTGCCTCAGAGGCCTTTGCCTCTGCATTCTGTCTTCTTCTTTTCCTAAGAGCTTCTTCGTTGTGCAGCTTGATACGTATCGACCTCCGCTGCGGCGCAATCTCGTCACCGTCTGTAGAAACAAATGACCTGGATCGCCCCTGTCGTACATAATTACTGCCATCATTGTGCTTCTCGTCTATTTCGGAGTCCGAATATACTGCGTGTGACGCAGATTGGGCCGAAGATGTTTTCAGTTGTCGATTAGAACTGCGTGTCGTTGTGCCACGTTCCCACGACGCTCCTGAGCTGATCTTTTCCGTCGCGACTGCATCTGTAGGCATATTCCTCCTTCGTCTCCGATGTGTGACGGCGCGACTGATAGTTATGACGGGATACAGAAGGGAAAAGTGTCCATTGTCATCGTAGAAGCAGGCTATCACGTATCGCGCAGGTGCGGTGATGGTTGTTAGGACTACCCGTACCGTTCCAATGATGCTGTTGCTAATGCGCCTCGGATAAGACGTCCAGCCGCCGGTATCGACGTCTCCAAAGCTCTTTTGCCCAAGCAATGGTGATTCCTCAGTAAAGTCCATATTTTGTTGCCTTTCCGGGCCCGTGGAGCCCGGACTGTGTATGCTGCTATTGGTTTTCAATACACGTTCCGTGTCCGGTCTTTGCCGGTGCTCTCGATGACTTCGGTGCTAGCGTATGAAGATGATCGTGAACGGGACGAGGTCGGAGTGGGCGAGCGCCCAAAAAGCGAAATGGCAGAGTTCATCTACTATGCAGCCATAATACTCGTAGTGGTAGTATATGATTGTGCGATCAGAGGTTAGGAAAGGATCAGACGTCCATGTGATTAATCGTGCGGCAGCCACTTGCTCTCCTGCAGTGTAGCCTCGGAATGTGAAAGCGCGCTTCTTGTCATGCAAAAGGGAGAAGGAAAAGCCAACGAAGGGAGCCTTTGTCGTTCGTCGCGAGGTGATGGAACGACTTGAGCAGAACGGGAGTCGCGACAATGCGATTGTGATATGAGGAGAGTTGGGGCGAGCTATCTTACCTCTGTTGGGGTTGACATTGCCGACCTGACCTCATCCACATGAGTGAACCGATGCGTCCCACCCCAGAATCGATCATTTCGGACGCGCGCTGTTGGCTAGTATCATGTCAAGAAGCCTCAAGAACGAAAACAAAGCCCAAATTTTTGATCTCTTTTGAGCCTGTACAATATACTCTAGGCTCCTTTGATTTCTGATAATTTTATTGTCACATCTCCGCACGTGCACCTACGTTGACTGGACTCAGCGAGCTGTCGAACTTTGGCAATTAAATTTCTTTTGCGTATGCCTGTGTTCACTCCTCTCCGGTGAAAAACGATAGTCTCTTCAACGCTACAAACCTCTTCCGGATTCTCTCCCAAAGCCGATGATTTATTCGATTCGGAAAAGCCATGCCCGCCGTAACCGTGACCATAACGCCCGGCCTCCCCTCATTCTTGAAATCTCTTAAAGGCAGAGATGTTGAGTCATCCATAGAGCAGCTCATATCGTATGAACACGACAGGTGACCGTGCGCCAGACATGCAGACTGACAGATTTTGTAGCCTTCTCAAGAGACGACAAATATGCAACTCGAGATCTTGCGCAATTGCTACAGCCGAGCTCCTGCGAAGAGTGGTCGCCGACTATCGAGGACGAGATGCTGCGGGTTTGATTGAGCGTATACGAGCAGTGGGAAACAGGCTTGTAAACGCGCAGCCAAGAGAGATGGTAGTCGGAAATATCATCAGAAGAGTTTTGGGTTTAATAAGAGAAATAATAGACCAGAAGGAAGGACAAGATGACATTGCGAGTGACGCAGACAGCCCAGAAAGGCAGGAAGCATCCAAAAGGTCTAAGCTGCTACCGTCCAACATGTCGACGCTTAGTCCTCTAAAACATAGTGTCATACATCCTGTGGAGTCGACAGGGGACGATGAAGGCACAGCGACACCAGCGTCAGATGCATCTTCTGCGCGAAGGCCCCCACTGCTGACCTCACATACATCGTTCGCACCTAGTGGTGCACCGACAGTGACCTCACTCTTCGGCTTGTTCTCTCAACCGGGTTCCTCGATTGCTTCAACCCCCCCAAACTTTGCAAACTCACCCACTACAAGACCGATCATGTTTGCAGACAAGATATTCCGCTATGACACCGCCAATGGCTCACAAGATCACAATATCAAGGCCGATGTGATAGAAGGCATCCGGGAGATTCTTGATGAGCTCGATATTGTTGATGAGCAAATCTCGCAATATGCACTCGAGAACATTCACTCTGATGAGATCATTCTCACACACACTTCGAGTCTCACCATTCAAAGGTTCCTGCTTACCGCGGCGAGGAAGCGAAAGTTCACTGTTATTCATGTCGAAAGCTATCCGAATGATTCCCAAACAACTCACGACGTTATCTTGCATGGCTCTAAAAAGGACGTGGCTGCAGTTGACGAATCTGAAGAAGAGGATCGTTTCAAGCCGTTGACAGCGGCCGGTATCAAAGTGATCATGATTCCAGACTCTGCCGTATTCGCAATCATGTCACGTGTTAATAAAGTAATCCTCGCCACGCATAGCGTTCTCGCGAATGGTGGCCTGGTAGCTGCAGCTGGTGCAAAGATGATTGCCCAGGTCGCGCAAGCACATCAGACGCCGGTGGTTGTCTTGACTGGAATTTACAAACTCAGCCCTATTTATCCATTCGACGTCGACGAACTGATTGAATGGGGCGATGCTGGGCAAGTGGCCAGTTACGAAAGTAAAGAGTTTGTGGAGAGCGTAGACGTGATAAATCCCGTTTTTGATTACGTGCCACCAGAGCTCGTAGATCTGTACATCTCGAACTTGTGAGTACTCTGCCCAGTAATCATAAGGAGAAGTTTTGTATTGACAAAATCGTTAGGGGTAGCCACGCACCGTCATACTTGTATCACGTAGTAGCGGAGCATTATGATTTTAGAGATATCAATCTGTAAGGAAAAAGGCTGTGAAGGCAACAAAGAACGACTTAGAGTCACTTCAAGGCTAGAAGAAAACACGATAACTGAGGATATCTACCATGACCTGGACGTTTGGTGAACAGGCCTGGTAGTTAGGCTCCGGGTGACATTTCGGATCCGAGTCATTCGCTGTTCGTAGAAATTAGTCTCCAGGCCAGAGAATCAAGAGCCTTAACTTAATTTCATCCAAGTCATGTCTTTCTGCCCGAAAACGTTAACGATTTCATCATTCTCGATGAGTATTCTTCCAAATGTTCCTGAAATTCTTGCCCTTATGGAGGTTTGATCTGTGGCGACAGTAACAAAGCAGCAAACGCATCAACAGCTTAGATAGACAAGCCAATCTCGTCACCATGTCCGATATGGTCATATTGATCTTGGTTCATAACTACTTGTGTAAGTACCCACGACATAGGAAATTCTATGACATGCGTGCATCTTAGAGTGTTCAATTGCAGTCATCTGTTCTGCTTCAATCAGCAAGTGCACATAGTTTTTCTTGTTCGATTCATTTCTGACTTGATTTGACTGGGAAAGATGAGACGAAAAGTGACAACATGCCTTCTTTCAAGCTTCAGATATCTAGGAAGACTGTCCGACTCTGTTCTTCATTGTAATCTACAAAGGTAGCGACTATGCTTCAAAAGTTAGCTCGCTAACTTTAGACTGAAAATAATTTCGCAGTCAATTCAACATGCGAAGGGAAGATCTTCTGAATTATAATTGAAGAGTAGTTGACAATGCGAGCAGATGGTGTCTTGTCCACAGCAGAGATTTAACTTCACCACGGGGCCACATAGAATGAGTACTCGAAAGACAGATAGTAACACCATACCGAGAGCGACTCAATATGTGTCGTGAACGCAATTTATCGGCGACCGTGCTTAAGCTTGTATCTCGCGAATCTCAAGCTCGTCCAACATCGATAAAATGCAAAGGTGCAAAAATAAATCCCGTCAGTTTAAACGCTTAGTATTTGACCGATGGACTCTCAGTACATGTTCTGGAAAAGGTGGTGTTTTAGCTTGGACCATTGAGAAGAACGAGTCCAGATAGATCCTACCTTTTTCGCATAATCTCCTCAGATGCTGTCTGATGTGCATGGGTTTTTGTATTTCGCAAGGGCTTACGGGACCGCTTTTTCCCTCAGGCCTAATGAAGTTCATGCTGAGTCCTTACACGGTAAAATTCAGAATGTACGATTTCCAGCATCATGTCATGTAAGTTCTGCATCTTCCTCTCTCTCACGCCTCCTCTCTTTCTCGTCCTGTTGTTCCCTAACACGCACTGCTTCGAGTAATTCACCACCTTCTAGTGAGATGGCAGCGACGTCTCCATCTGCAGTCACAGTGCCCTCGATAACCAATTTCTCACGCTCAGACTGCAGCCGTTCCCTCACCAATCTTGCAATAGCATTCTTTGTGCGAAAATCCAACATGCTTATGCGTTCTTTGAAATCTCTCTTCAGATCCCAGTTAGGCTTCTTTGGCTGTAGCTTGAACAAATCTATGGGTGCATCTTTCTCTTGTTCCTCTTTTGCTGCTTGTTCCTTTTGTTTGAGCTGGAGAGCAGCTGCGCGGGCCTCGATAGTATCTTTATCCGCATCTGGTGAGAACTCAAAACCGAGCCTCGGGCCGCGAGTCTCAGGATCGTAGTTCCGACCAGAAAGATATGTTGCTGTTACGGATGACTTCGAGTCATCGCTTTTGGTAGATTGTGGTTGAGACGAAGTGTTTTCCTGTAGCTCCGATGCTTTTCGCTTCAGACCACGCAACTGCGCGAGACGGGCTTTGCGGTCTTGGGCTGCAGCCTCGAGTGTGCCTGCAGATGACATTTCAGCTTATAGCTGTGATCGCGTTCCTTTGTCAATAACCTGGAGAGGAGATTATTTGAGGTTATGTCGCGAAATGGGTGCAATCTAAACTATTTTCATTATTGTATCTCATCTTCTGGTCATCTCCTAGACGGGTTGCGGAGAAAAAGGGTCGGAGGTCTTGGCATCGGATTGAATGCCCTTTCTATTCAACCAGATTCGCCTGGCTAGATACAACGCGAATCACAACGCATTGCAAAATTGCTCAAAAACTTCTCCCTCGAATTAAAAAGACAGAAAAGCTTCGATGAATGTCTTTTCACGCTCAATTCATTCATGCGCCGCGCTTTTCTCCCCCCATCCCGCCGATATTTCTTTCAGCGAATTCGATCGAATTTCGTCCACAGAATATCCGTCTTCGCCATCGCCGTGCGACTGCAAAGTACCAACGGATCACCTGAACACGAACATAAAAAGAAGAGGCACATAAAATTCTACGCACCGACGAAGGTTCGCTTCAACGAAAATGCAGACTTTAGTGACTTCCTGGGTGGATCTGCTGAGACAGCTAAAGAGGACGAAGCGATTCCAGGCTATCCATCAAAATCAGAGACTACGTACAACGCACTATTAGATCCAATTAGTACAAAGGATCATTTGCAGAAAGAGTCCGCGGCCGTTGAGGTGCCTAAGCCCTTTCAAAATTACGAAGGTCTTCAAACCGAAATGGACATGATTGAAGCCAAAGTTGGCTCTCCTATTGTGACCTGGGAGTCAAAAGAGTTGATTCCGAACCGCGAACAGGATATTTCTGAAAGTCAACTTTCTTGCAAGCTTGGTTTACGCTGTGATGTCAAGGCTGAGAAATCAGACAAAAAAGAGAATATCGAAACTGCTACCCAAGTTTCGTTATCTGTCTCAGACTATGTACCTGATTCATCACCATCTAAACAGCCGCACCAGCCTCTTGAGAAGGAGATTGAACACATACAGCATTATGAACCACGATCAAAAGTATTGGAAGACGCAGAGCAAGCCCGCATACGTTGCGACCATACTTCGAGAATCCGTCTGCTCTTTAGAGAAAACCGCGCTCAACTTTCAGAATTGAGCATGATACCCCTTAAAGAAATCTCTTCTGAGGATGAATTCGTTCCTTTGTCTCGAATGCACAACGACTCTCAGTTTCAGCAAATGTACCCAGACTGGCACTACAATTATGCGACTCTCTTTGCAAAGAATATTCACCCAAGCTCGTCAATTGAGCCCGTTTTTGTCTTACAAAGCCGGAAAACATTTTCTAGGGCAATTCGAGCCATTCGTTCCAGCGAGGCAGAAATGAAGAACAAGAGCTGGGATTTTGCCGGAAAACGATTCGTGCAATCACACCCGTACAAAAGCAAGGAAGAGTGGGCGGATTTTATGCTCCTCACCATGAGGTATACTCCACACTTAACGGCGGGGGCTTTGAAAGCCTCCTACCCCCACCTTAAGCCTCCATTCTACATGGTCGCCGACATCATCCATTTCATAACGAGGTTTGGCATGGAATGTGAGCTTGATACGAATGGTGTTCGAAGTAATAAGAGAGATCCGTCGAAGATCACTGCACACGAGGTTGTAGAATTGATCTTGGAGATCATTCCACAGTGCACGCATGAAAGCAGTTTCATTCTCAACGCAACAATTGTTCAGTTGCTAGGACAAATTGACTTGCAATTTGCGTATGCACTCTTTAATGGTCTATGTGCATTTCAAAGCCATATCTCGTGCTCATCATGGATTGCATTTGCTCGGCACTTTGGGAAGAATGGCGACTACGAGACCGCAATCTCAGCTTTGGATAGCTGCCTGAAACACGGGGGTTCGGCAACGGACATGAGGGTTAAAAGAGCAGCTAGCTACATTCTTCGTCGAAGCATCGTTAATCCCGACGGTCACCACCACAGCGGATACATTATAAACCGATTCATTGAGATGGGTCTTCGAATTGGCTTGATCATGCAAACCGCGCTGATTGCGAACGCATTTGATTCTCGGGACAGATCTACGGCGCTGGATGTATTCGCGCTTATGAGGGACCAGGGCATTGAGCCAGACGCAGTGACCTACGGTACCTTGCTTAAAGGCCTGAGTGATTGCAAAGACCATGATCTTGTTGATGAAGTTCTTAGCTTGAGTTGGGCTAAGGCTGAAGAGACGAGGGATGAGCGGCTCGCGTCATATGTACTGTACTGGCATTTTTTGCAGTATATGCGGCGTGCCTCGGACGTTTGGAATAAAGAAGAAAAGACCAGGATTCATTGCGAGGCACTGAGGCAGCTCGTGATGTTGTTCACCAGGATCTTCGATTGGAAGCCGTTGGATGTTTTAGGCTTCCCATATCTGGAGTTCGCCGAATATCAGTCTCCTCACGCTTCGCTGAAAATCAAGCCTACAGATACGGCCATGAACATAATGTTTTTGGCCCATAGCCGGGCATATTTACCTTCTTTACAATTTGAAGGTGCCAGCCTTGCATCACACGTATGCTCGGTTGCTCAGTTGTTTGAGCGCTGGTGGCTCATTGCTACGAGGGGGGATCTATATCCCGAAGTTGATGATTGGATTAAAGACCTCTTCATCAATATGATCAAGAATGGATTCGCTTTGAACAATTTCATGCACGCTCTTGGTGCGGATGCGAAAAGTCTCTATTATGCCATCACGATATTACAACACATGGAGAAAGGCTTCGTAGGGATATCGAAAGCCTCCACAACGGAGTATCTTTCTGAATCTATCAAAGGTCCATCTCTCTACACGTGGTCAATTCTTCTAAACATATTTGCTCGACATGCTCAGATTGATGCAATGGAGAAGTGCTTGAAGATTATGCAATCAAGAGGCTGCCGCCCTGATAGAGCTGTATGGAACACAGTTATCAAGGCGTATGCGGTTGCTCAACGGCCTAATGACGTAATCAAGGCTCTCCGTCGCAAAGAGGAAGCCGGGTATGGCCATGATGACGATGTAATTCGGACGCTGGCGCGATTCCGAGATAAAGAGCTACTGAAAGCGCTTTTGCGGACTGAGTTGCGGTCTCGCGAGGCTTCGACCTACGATGCGGGTGTGCTCAGTCGTGTGGCTGGCCTCCAGAGAGTTGACAAAAAATGGACCCCTCACGTCAACGAAGTTTCCACCTATGAGCCTGGCATCGGCCCCAGGCAAGTGCAATTTTTCGATGCAAATCGCACTCTAGGCTTACAAAAGGGGTGTGTGGTCCCCACGGAAGACGGAGAGGACGAAGAAGCTGCTGATATATCTAATTGTGAAAATGAATCACAGAGTTTACGAGTCTTGGATGGAAAGGGAGTCTACTCCCTTAAATCTGAAGTCGAAGAGGATTGGTTTGAGAATTATGACGAAGAAGAAAATCCGCATCGGGATATTAGCGATGGAAGTTCCTGAACTTCATGCAGCGATGATGCAGCGGAATACCTGTTATATTACTTTTCCAGCATTTTGGAGGTAAGAACGTTTGTACAATTAGCATAGATCGGACGATACCCAGAATATAATCCTCTCCATGCCTTGATAAGGTACTCGACATTAAACGAATTTGTCAATCATCACGGAGCTCTGTATCTGTAATAGTGCGTCTCAACGTCTGGGACTTCCGATCTGAAGCCTTTCCGCGATGGATTAAATGCCGAGAGAAAAGTTGGTTGCGCATGGAACAACTTTATCAAGCCCCTGTGCAGACACTCGATTTAACAATATTTCGCATTGGCAAGCCATTGTGTTGTTGACCGCTCGAGGTCATTCATTGGCCTGATAGTGTTGAACGCGGGGTGGTGAATAGTCATTTGATAATTCAACAACGGTTTCTCCGTGCTGTAGTGTACAAATGATATCGAGATATCTGAGAGAAAAACTGAAACCGAGATCCAATGTTTGTACGACTCTCCTATTATGTGTAAACTGTGAATTGAAAGGACGTATTTACTTAGCAGCACAAAAAGCGCGGCGAGCTGATCACCCGTTTTCAACCACACTTAATAAGGTGGGAAATGTACAATTTATTCCAACTCTTCAGATTGTCAGCAACACAGCTCGTTTGTTGCTCGTCAATCGAGGCCGTCAAGTCCAGTTACTGGGTAGTATATGGAATATTGGACGCTGTTTCAGGACTTGGACTCTATGTTCTGAATCAGGGAATGACATCCTCGGAAACATGACCCCGCGCTGAACAAAGCTGTGGAGATTCTCGGTCATTTGATCTAGGCTCTTAAGAAGGGAGAGTACAATTTGGAAAACAATACAATGCTCTGACGACTTCTAAAGTTTTAGAATGCAGTTGAATTGCTTTAAGTCCAGCGATGGCAGGTCCAGTAAGGCAACCGATTGATATTCCTTCGCTAGAGACATATATCATACAACATGTTCCACACATTCAACCGCCGTTGCAAATTGAACAAGTAAGGAGAGTGGGACAGAACACAGTGCTCAATGCTAAATTTCATTAGTTTCGTTTCGGCTTCTCCAACCCGACATACCAGCTTACCGATGCCAACGGTGCTAGGTTTGTTATGCGCAAGAAGCCACCTGGAGCTTCATTCAACAAAAGCGCCCACCAAATTGAACGGGAGTTTAGGATCTTGGAAGCACTCAAGTATACGGAAGTTCCTGTGCCAACGACGTATTGCCTCTGCGAAGATACGTCCGTGTTGGGAACAGCATTCTATATTGTATGTAGATGAATTTCCGCAGCCCAAGACATGCGTAAAGCCGCCTTTGAAATAATCCCTAGGCATTGATTAGATGCTTCTCTTCATGGCAGCCAGCTTAAATATGAATTATACAGGAGTGGATGACCTGACAACGTTTTAGATGGAGTTCATTGAAGGTAGAGTTGGTCTTGCTAATCATTTACCTAATACTGCCCCGGATGACAGATTTGAAATGTATGGATTTATCCTTTCTGTTTTAGCAGGTGGCTGATTGGTCTTAGGTGGCGATCAGCCATACAAATCCTCGCAAAGCTCCACAAGGTCGACTATGAATCTGTCGGTCTCGCTACTTTTGGCAAGCAATTTGGCTATTACAATCGACAATTGAAGACATTTTCGGCGGTCGCATTGCAACAGGCTACTGTTCTCGATGTTGAGACTAAGGAACCGGTTGGTCCCATTCCTCATGTTGATGAAATGATTTCAATGCTACGTGAAGATCAACCAGAAGACCGTACCAGCATCGTACATGGCGACTTCAAGTTGGATAACCTGGTATTTCACCCCACGGAACCACGAGTTATCGGGGTTCTCGATTGGGAGCTTGCCACAATTGGACATCCTTTGTCTGATGTGTCGACAATTTTGAACCCATTCTCGGCTGACAGTATGATGCGTACCCCCGAGTTTGCACCAGGTGCTACACCTGGCTTGCCAACATTGGAACAATGTATTTCATGGTACAGGGACTTCTCGGGATACAATGTGGAGCGAGATCTTGCATGGGGGCGGGCATTCTACGCGTTCAAGACATCAGTGAATATGCAAGGCATTGCGGCACGGTATGCCAGAAGGCAAGTAAGCAATGCTGGAGCAGGGGAATACCTGAAGAATAGAAAAAAATATGCTGCTGATGCGTGGGAAACGGTTCAACTTTCGCTTCGACGATACAGAAATGGGGGTGACTCGCGATTATGAACGAATGACATTGGTGTTGACTGAACAGCATACCTTACGTCGTCCAATAGACACCTCGTTGATTCACTATTCCAGAAGCAAATCTAGTGTCTTTCGCGTCAAAGAGCGGATGGGATAATTCTGTAGCATCATATTTGGTTGTACATTCATTATGATTCTTTGTTGGAATCAAAGTCGTAGAACTCAATAAAGACTTCATCCTTAGCAATCTCCTAGAGAGCTTTTGAACTCGCCTTGTTACAGTATGTCAACAGGCTTCTTCTGAACACCTTTTTTTGATCCAAGACGTGAGGTTCAAGGCGTCGAAGATAAATGGTCGACAGGTACCAAAGTGAGGAGTTGAACTTATCCACAGTGGGGCGTTGCCCCTGGTAATGCTTTACCCTGTCTTATTCACGACTGCGGAGAGGGACGTACTACAAGGGGGATCGTTATCGAAACCGCCTCCTCTCATCAATCCGCAACTGACCTTACTTACAATACAAATACGTTTTCAGTTTGATACTATTGACCACCTTTTCTTGCCTTCAAAACTGTTGTTTTTCTATACACTGTGCTCTTTCACTGTTACTGCTTTTTACCACGCAGCATAAACAAAGTCAAGTTCTTCGACCGTGTCTTGGTTAATATGCAAAAATACCCAGCATAGCATAGTGATATGCTCACCAACACTGCTCTTAACCCACTCAGGGTCGCAAAGCAACGCATAACTTCATATGCATCACAATTGAGCAGTTACTCGGACGATGTCGACAATATTGATATCGAGAAGCGCAGGATTTCCCTGTCTGAGTCGGAAGCTTCAGGCTCCCCACGCACATCCTCCACAATGTCTTCGCGAAACACGTCGCAAGCATTCGAACCAATGCTTCGAAGCTCCCCCGTACGACGACCAAAAGCTAGATCAGACTATGCCCGATCCTACCCACGGATGCCAATGAGATTGACCTGTTATACACTTCCCCCGCGCTGGTCATCAAGGCTCTTTTCATTCGGCCTTCTTGCTATTCTTATACTGTTTATCACAAGCTTAGCAAGATCGCATTGGTCGAGCATAAAGATTGTGGAGAGCCTAGAGCACAAACCTGCTCCTCCGCCACCTGCATGGGAGGCATTTCCATTCTTGAAAAGATATCATGGAGGAATACGAACGTTGGTTGCCAAATCGGAGAATAGTCCTGAGTATCCTCAATCAGCTGGAAGCGAGTCGAAAGGCGCGCTCCAAGAAAGTGGGCATCAGCATCAAAATTCAGAGAAGGCACGTGGAACGATCGTGCCAAGTTTGACATTTGATCCTTTTGGGCAGAAGAGGAGCAAAATAGTGCCGTGCTTCCTAGATGAGGAGAAAGGCATTCGTCCCCCGGATCTTCAGGTGTACCCTGGTGTGCCATCGGGTATGCCGGAACCTGTAATGGGATCATACGCTCTGCTAGGCCTTCGAGACGATGTATGCTTCGATAGGTACGGTCGATTAGGCCCGTATGGGTTCGGCTACAGCAAGAAAATGGGAGGAACTGGTACGGGCATGGATGGCGATCGCGAAGGCATCGAAGCCATATGGGCGAAGGATGACTACGTTGATTACAGCAAGGTCAAATGGGCCCAAGCAATTAAACGCTGCGAGGCTGCCAACAAGCATCGTTTTGAGCCTTTGCCTTCGACTCAACGTGCTAATTTTTACCAGACAATGGGAATTGGAGGGCCGGAGGACGAGGAGCCGCAGAAAGAGGACCATAGGAAGAACATACTTGCAGAGGAAACTCCTCCCTTTGCGAAAAACCGTACTCTCCCGCGCACGGCTGTCGTTATCCGGACTTGGACCGGTTACGAATATGATAATGAGGATCTGTTTTACTTGCGCTCTCTCGTTGCAGAACTTTCGCTTGCATCTGGCGGCGAATATAGCGTCCACTTCCTCGTTCACGTCAAGGACAACAATAAACAGATATGGGCTGATGACGCGACATACCAACAGGTTCTTGATGATGCACTCCCTGCTGAATTCAAAGGGATGGGGACTCTGTGGAGCGAACGGCAGATGGAGCTCATTTATGGTGGGCTAGAAGAAACGAACTATCGGAATCTAAAAGTGCATGGCGTATATCGCAGTACTTTTCAACCTCTGCAGTACTTCGCAAAGCAGCATCCGGAATACGACTTTTACTGGCAGCTAGAAATGGACATGCGTTACACGGGACATTGGTATCACCTTTTCGATCGTATCTCGCAATGGTCAGCACAACAACCACGAAAAGGTTTGTGGGAACGGGACGCACGTTTTTACATTCCCAGCGAGCACGGCTCATGGGAGGACTTCTCCCATATGGTTCGCGTGCAAACAGAGCATGGAACTGCCTCGAAAGCCAATATGTATGCACCTTTACAGATCAATCCTTCTGTTCCAGAGGAAGTAAAAGCTGAGCTCGAGCCATCTAAACCCGAGAAGCCGATATGGGGACCAGAGCCGCCCATAGATGACCAGCTCGATACGACAAACGATCCCAAGCCGCCCACCTCCGAGAAGGAGGACAAGCATGAATGGGGGGTGGGTGAAGAAGCAGATCTTATTCTCTTTAACCCTATTTTTGATCCTGAAGGGACGAACTGGATACTCGCCCAGGACGTAACAGGTTACAACAAAGAACACGGCCTCCCGCCTCGTCGCGTTGCGATTAATACCTTCGGGCGATATAGCAAAAAATTGCTTTTGCAGATGCATGTAGACACACTTTTTGGTCGCAAGAGCATGTTCTCGGAAATGTACCCGGCATCCACGTGCTTACATCATGGTTTCAAAGCCGTCTATGCTCCTCATCCCGTCTTCATTGACCGCCGATGGCCAACATCTTATCTTGCTAGCATTTTCAATGGTGGTCGCAATGGCGCAGCAGGAGGGGCGCGACTGTCAGTCTTCAGCGATGAAAGACAGCATAATTTCAGGGGTACGACTTGGTATTATGATGCTGGATTTGCACCAAATCTTTGGAAGAGGTGGCTGGGATTGAAGGTAGACAATGATGGCGGAGAGCAGGAAGAAGTCCTTGGAGAGGGCCGGATGTGCCTTCCTGCCATGATGCTGCATCCAGTGAAGCACGTCGATCTTCGCGTCGAGAAGGTCATCGGTGATGAAGGCTGATGTCGTTTTATAGCTTTTTTATTGCACGAAGGCGTTCTATCATGGAATTGTTTGAACCGTAGTTTTGTGCGTCACGGAATTGGTGCTTGCACCATAGCAGAGTATGCTCATGCCCTAGCTAACAAATCAGGACGTTCAGCTCAAGAATTAGAGTATTTGACAAATCAAGCGCTTTAAACCCAAGTAATTTCAGATGTATGCTATATGGAATGCTGAGACTGGGTTCAATTGACCATCTTAATGTGATGTAGCCATGTGAAGCACTCGCTTAGGATCTCACTAGCTTGTCTCATTCATTGCAGGTAAGCACCGACCTAAAAGTAAGAGCAGTTGACCTTTTTATACCCAGTTTTAACAAAGTCGACGTGAATTGGCATATTAGTAGTTGGCGTAGGACTGTGGTTTCGATTTTGGCGCCAACTTGTGATATGAATACAACATTCAGCCAGTCCTTGAAACTGTCCCACCAACACACGCTGTCGACGATATCAAGAAGTTTAAGCGCAATGATTTGGAAGAGGGAATGCTAATGCCACAAACTACCTTGTTCCCCTTCTAAGGATTCATTAAACAAGTTATGAGACGATATTAGTACAAAACAATAATCAATGCGTAGATGTTGGTCAAGACTGTGCTGTCCAATAATACTCAAATTGTTATGACGGCCGTCCAGCTAATTACGTATTAAATTTGCCTAAAGGTTTTTAGATGCATCTTAATAATGTAAGTATGTAGAGATAAGGTTATCTAGTCACAAATAAACGACGCAGCCTCACTTGATTAGCCTAAGTCAGCGATAAGGTGATTGCTTTTGCAACGATATTCTGACGAGTGGGGAGAACGAGAGCATTTTCATTCAAGCACCGCATGAGTCAAGTACCTGGAACTTTATGTCATCAACCCAGGTGTGCGTTATAATTCGACATGTGAAATATTGCTTCAGCAGTGGATGTGAAGTGTGAACTGTCTTCCTTTGGAAATGTGTCGTCTGGAGTTATCTCGAAGAATTATTTTTCAATATTTTTCACCACGAAACAGCAATTTAAGTCACACATGAAGCGCTGAAGGATCTGCAAATCAAATTGAGAGACTGGGAAGAGACATATACGGTCGATGCTTTTGCAAAAGATCAAAACAAGATTATGGGTTCGTTACCTTTTTCTTTCCCGATCAAAGACGTATGTAATAAAACTAAACAATCCAGAACAACTCGTTGACCTGTCTGTAAATGAAATGGCCATCCGGAAAATTGATGATCATAGATATTGTCGTAATGTTGGGCCTCTGTAATTGAACTGAATGGAAAGACTTGGCACCTTAGTTACTTACAGGCGCTACGAAACCGAACTTGGTGCTGGCAACGATCGATTTGTTCGGAGCCAAGATATGCCTCGAGCAAAGTTGCAGACCACCTGTTCGTACTGGGATTTGCTGTTGAGCTGTGTCGACCGTTGAAGCACCCTCAGATATAGTATTGATGTTCCAGTCATTAAGTATCCATACACCAATGAAGGTATCCAACGGAGATGGGAAGGCTGCAGTGCTTAAAATGTTCCATTTGATTCCGATCAACTGTTCCATCAACAGATATGGTGCTATTATCGAGATGCTCGGTGACGGCATTTATAACAACCAAGGGATGCTTAAAATTGCGAAAATATCCATGAGATGATAGATTCTTCCCCCGGATGACCATTTTATAGGATTGATAGTGCCCGTCTGCAACGAAATGAGTGATGTCACTGTGCTTCAATGACTGTAATGAAGAGACTAGTACTTCTTCGCTCAGATGTTGTGACGAAGCTCATAACCTTGATATAACTTTTTGTCATTATCTCATAGTCTAGAGTAGTAATCCTATTGCTGCTGACATTTGACGTGGCGAAGGAATCTGGATCACTACCGGAGACATAAGGGAGACATTCTTAAAGCTGTGAGACCGGCATTATTAACACGCAAAAATGACTTGCCGAACACCAACAAATAGACGTCTACGTTAGTTAAGACAACGTTGCCTGATCAATCATCCGATAAGCCAAGCACTTGGACCTCATACGAAACGCTCTGGTTATCAGAGTACAGGTGGCCATCGAGTCACGTCAATTTCACTTCCCGTAGGTCAAAGGCATCAAAATTGATGAGATGGAGCCAGAAGCCTATTCATATTAGTTTCTATATCGTGCATTGTTCAAAAGGAATACTTACTGGACAGTACGCATTTAGTGAAGATGACAGGGAACGGCGATGATACGCTAGCGAATTGTACGTCGATATGGACCTGGATTTCACTCAATGGCGATATGACCAAGCAACGGTATCGCATTACGTTCCCGATACAGGCCCGTTGCCCCCTCAGGATTCTACCGCCATTTTGGTCACATGTTGAAATCGAAAATTTGATCGCTTAGCATCTACTGGTATGGTAAATATTGATAACTCGTGTGTCTGGGACCATAAACGCGCTCGAAGTCTGCAATGACGATGCCGAGAGGCTGGGATGACTACCTCCGCCGTGGAGAGTCCATTAGTCTGACAGCCCTTTGAAAAAATCGCTGTCAAAATAGCATTTAATGAAGAGCTGTAGACGACGTTGATCATATTACTTAAGTCGAAGATTATAATTTGAGGTTGCTTCTACAGGCGAAGATGCGGTGCACCAACTTTTATTAACGCCAGTGGACGCTGTGGGCTCCAGTGTTGATGAGCACCAAATCTCTAGGTCGCCTAAGTAGAAGATAGAAAATCTGTCGAATTGACGACCACGCCTTTCCAGTCAAATTCAAAGCAGCACGGTCGAAGGTACAGCTCGGAGGACTATATTGTCCAACAAAGATTTCCAAAAGCTATTGCCAAACAAATGGTGCATAAGTATCTGAACGCACGCCGGCATAGCATATGCTGAAATCGAACTCTAGGCATCCCAGCTGACTCGATTTGGCGAAAATTTGTCCTCTGGTAAATGCTCTATCGTCTCACAAAACCTCATCAGACATTGAACCACTCTTGCTTCCGAGTCCAGCAGAAGCGAATAGTATGAACGAAATTCTGAGTATAGTACATGACGTTGAATGATCGTCTGCAAAAATTTCTGGCACAGAACGAACGACAAATTTGAGCATATTGCGTCCCTCTTATATCAATAACGACAGGTTGTGCAATCTAGTAATGGACTGTTCGGGTCGGCAAAGATGAGGACTAAGTCGAAAGCCTTGATAATGCTCATACTCGATGTAAACAAACAAGAAGTGGGTTTTTAAACGTGGCGACCTATTCAGATTAATCTAGGTAATGATCTTTATCAGCATCAGGCGTTCGATGTCAAGCAGACAAATTCACCTCGAGGCATTAGCAGGGCTCGACCTTGCTTGCTGAATTGTTTCAGTGCGCTTCATTGACTCCATTGGAGTGAACAGAGGCGGAAGACTGTCGAAACTCAGAGTAGTCGCCTTGGTAATTATCCCAGAAGCGTCGAATGGCTCTTTGAGCAACGTCGGAAGACGCAAATCGGTTTCGATAATAATTGAATAAAGCAAATTCGTCCTTCGAGAAAAGATACGTATCTGGAGCTTGATGCAATCTCATCCACACATCTTGCAATGCACGTTCTAAGTATTGATGAATGGTCGGATCGATGTATCCCTCACTATTCCTCGCAATGTCCAGCGCGCGCTGGATTGTCCAGTACCCATTAGTCTCGTTGCCGCCCATAACTGTCTTTAAGAAAGTTGAAGAAGAGAACGACGATATTGTTTGTTTAAACCTAGGGCTTGGTCCATAAGCTGACGAGAATATTGCTCCTGGTGTGCTAATGATACATATAAACAGAAACGAAATGGAGAGAAATGATTTTCGATTTCGACAAAGATCGTACTTGGGCTTACTCACGTGTACAACCTTGTCAGTCTCTCCCGATAATAGAAGTGCATGAAAACAAACAGATAATTAATGCCTGTATTCCTCGGTGGACAGTTGATCGTCCAGCCAGGTCCACGTATGCAGGTTTGGGGTTCAGGACCTGGTACAAAGCCTTGTTCAGGTGGTGGCCGAGAGCGTCTACGTATTATTTGCTGCTCATTCGGTTGTGCTGGCTAAAGTTGTTCGGCGCCCCACAATCGCTGGAAAACAAAGCAGAAGCGTTTGTAAACTATGTTTCGTCAATCATATCTAGCTTGAATGAATGCGCTGCGAAATGATGTCTCCGGAACTGCAAAAATATGGTGCAGAAATTGTCTGCTGCTCAAGCACCGAATATGCTAGCCAAGTGACGGTTTATTCGCACAGATCTCAAACGTATTTGACTCTGGAGACTGCTCACAATGCAAGGCAAGTTTGTGTAGGATACCAGGAGGCTGGCCCCTGCTAAGCACAGCGGAGGGCCTAGCAGCGGCCAGGGGGATTAAGCGAGACGGGTTCATGAAAAAAGTTTACAGGGTAGTCCGCCACTATCGGTAATGGCTTAGACGTTCGGACAGCGGTGAGATGTCATAATAAGTGGAAGTTAACGAGAGGCCCTGACTCGTCCCGTGAGTGAGGGAGTATGTTTGCTGGCCTGTGATGAAATAGTCACCTGGACCGTCTCTCAGGGATGGCCTGCAGATGAGGTTCCCCCGCTCGGCGAGATCGAAAATGTGAATGAGGAGTTCGAGGTGGAAGCTGGGATGTGTATCACTCGCATCGCCAAAAAAAAAAACGTGGCGACGCTGCGTTTCGACGGGAGTTTGATGCTTTCTTTGGAGACCAACAGCCAATAGGAGACGCAGGCCCCGAGGACAGTTGAGCTCCAGTCAAGCTCGCGTAGAGATGTCATGTCCTATATCTGAAGAATATTGCCATTTCAGTTCACAGAGCTGACTTCCATCGTTTGAGACGGTTGAATAGCAACCTGTCCAGTCGGTTTGCTTTTCTGTTAATACCAGGAGTTGTGCTTGACAACTGCTGCGTTAGCTTCAAGGAGACCGTTTCTCTTCGGATAAGATGGCTCTCTTCACATCTCTGAATGAGATATTGTTCCTACTTGAACTTCTACTAAAAATTTAAGTCCTTAGTAGCCGATGCAAGCGGGTATGTTTGGATGGATTCAACGTTAATGTACCCTAAACTTCACGTGCTTTAGGGCTTTCTAGGGCATTGATCGATGACTTCAGGACGGTCAACATACCAGAATAGTACAGAGACAAGACACAATATAAAACGCAATGTATCGCAAACTTCACTATCCGTTTCTGGCTCAATAGCAGACTTTGATAGTGGACACTGATTCGTCAGCAACATAAAGTTGGGCTTAAGCTCGAATAGGAAATTCTCGATCTTCTCCCAAATAGTTCCATTCAGTCGGGTCTGTCAACTCCCGCTTCATAATATCTTTGATTCCAAATTTCGCCGTACAAAAGTCACGTACGAGGGCATATTTTGACTACATTCACGGAGACGCTCCTTGAGCATACCGGGAGTACAGGGCATAGCTTAGCCCATCGAATATTTCGCGCATTTGAGTCAGTTGGGCGTTGAGCTGACAAAATCCATCTGATGACATAAGCAAAATCACACGTGATCGGGTTTCATCTTCGTGATCGAAAGAGGATTAGAGGAAACGATTACAGTTTGTTGGCAGACAAAGCATACCTACAAGCTCCAGGCGATCGCTTTGAATGATGCTCAGTTGATATTGAGTTTTGAAGCCCACATTCTTTTTCTTCATGATGAATACTGCTCACTTGCTCAGTCGGCAAATCGTACCCTCGTACAGACGGTTCGCAAACAAACCACACGTCAGAAGCCACTTGAAGTTCTATACAACAGCCCCCTCGTCACAAGGAGCATGCCTCCGCGAACAAACAACGCATATCAACAAGAGATGGAGCAGGCTGCCCTGGCGACCGAAAAATAAGCCAATTGGAAACTGGAGGCATAGCAGTAATATGCCGTCTCCTAACCCGACGCCGCACCTGGGAAGCCCTGAACCTGCGCCTTCAGTTTCACAACGGCTCAAGCAACTGAGCCGCGAATATGGGTGGGCTGCCGTAGGGTGGTATTTCGCATTGTCTGCTTTAGACTTTCCATTCTGTTTTTTAGCAGTGCGTGCCCTAGGCACGGAGCGCATAGGTCAGTGGGAGCACGCAGTGATTGACTCCATCAAAGCCATCATTGGAATACCTTTCCCTGGCTTGATGAAAGACACTGGAGGCGCATCCAAAGATGTTGAAGAACAAAATGAAGCCGAAAAAAGGGAAGGTCATGTTGTCTCAGGCTCTCACTCGTCGTCCACCGAAGACCTTGAGGCAGATTCAAAGGCCAGTAAGTACTCCTATCATGTACAGTGTGGTAGAAATACCCTGACAAAACCTAGCTATCTGGACCCAGCTCGCGCTTGCTTATGCCATTCACAAATCATTCATTTTCATTAGAGTGCCCCTGACTGCTGCAACCCTTCCCAAGGTAGTTAAGGTACTTAGAAGTTGGGGTTGGAACATTGGCAAGAAGGCAACGAAAGGAAGTTAGCGTTGGAAACAATGAGCGGAATCTAGCAAAATACGGCGATGTAAAATTATGCACAACATTCTACACTTCGTCTACAGGTAGACCTTACACATTGGCGTAGGTGGCGTCTCATCCACTCTATGTCGACACAAGTGGTCAAAAAGTATAACAGTATGCATTGACAGGTGCTAATTTAGAATGGAAGTCGATGTTGCATTGTCAGCTCTGATTCCATGGCGCATAGTGCTTGATTCGCTGAGGGCAAGTTGCCCAATTTAAACGCGTGTCGTCCAAGCTTAGACATAGTAGCCATCACAAAGCTGTTCGGATGCAGAGCGTTATCTGTACGGACAAGCTGAATTTTGCATCGCATCGAGCTGATTATCAAAGGCGAACGGTAAACTCAGGGATCAACATCAAGGAGTCCCTTACGAGTGCAAACGACGTCCGTCATGAATCTTTATGCACCTACTACGTTACAGCCGTGAGTAATGCGCACATTTGAAGCTGGGAAGCCCTGGACAAACTGGACGACAAGGCGGGATCCGTCGGGGGCTGCCGCTCACTGTCGCCACTAGCACTAACGCAAGCAGTTACGCCAATCGCGCATGGCGTATTTAAGAAAAGGTGTTTGCATGAAAATGAACATGGCCTCATGCTGGTAAATTTCATTTTGGTAGCATTACGTACCTATATTCGGTTGATGCCTATATGGTCCGAACCTTGAAAATTTCTCGCACTTTTGCGAGTCCCATTGATTCCAATGGCCTGTAATGGTGTCGCTTCCGCGTTCCCAAATCCGCGACTGTACGATGTAGTTTTGTATCTCCTTACGCCAACACTGCTTTGCCTGTCACCAATCAGAGAGGAGACGATTCTGGCCTACGTCTTGCTTAAAAAATATATGGCGTTTACTACGGATACGATGGTGACGTAAATTTATGGCTGTCCCGTAAAGGTCATTTCTTATTCTGGTGCTTCGACTGTCTTCTAGCTGTATATAGCTCTTTGCTCAACGATGATGCACAAATCAGAGAAATGAATCTGAACTTTTGCTCAAAAGTGCTGGTTAAAATGAGAGCTTGGTTATTCCCCGTTCTGCGCGCGGATGTTTTCTAAGTTAAATTCATCGCATTGCTGTGATACGTGAAAAATAAAGGCCTTCTTAGCACTTCTGTTGGCCTTCTTTTGATTTTGTGAGCGCTGTAGAAGCGTCTTTGGCTTTAGGCCATTTTTTTTTCTTCGCCCGCCGGGTCCGAAGCTAATGCGCCTTTTGAGGCATCCTGCCATCTCTAGGCTTCCTGAAAGCTTTGTGGAGCTGCTCCCGAGGGGCTTGATTTGAGCTCTGACGAGTCACGTTGATGATATTCTCGTATAATGAATCGCATAGACGACAAACGCTAAATTCGTTGCAAATACTATGCAGATTCAATACGAACAGCAAATAGCAGATCAGGACGACTCATGATGTCGCCAAAGAGTATAGTATAAGGCTGCCTTCGGCTTCCGTCATCAGATAGAAGTCCTCATACGACACGTCTGCCGAAAGCAATCGCTCTGGCAGAGTGGAGAAATATTACAATGACGGAATTTTAATCCCCCCATAAAGATGATACTCCGGCAAATCTTGCAAGATGTATCTTAACTGTATACAAAAGACAACCTTAAGCTTTGTTCTCGCCGCTTTCTTCATCCGGAACTACTACACCCTTCTCTTGCAAAAGTTTCGCCAGTGAGCCGTCCTGATGCATACTCAGCAAAATATCACATCCACCGATGAACTCTTTGTCCACATAAAGCTGCGGTATGGTCGGCCAGTCCGAATACTCCTTGATGCCTGCAATGATACCATCAGAAAAGCCTATGAAATCTATCGTGAAATTCGGGAAACGAGGTTACCTTGTCTCAGCTCCTGATCTTCTAGCACATTGAATGCGGTAAACTTCTCTGGATCCACTCCTTGCACGCCGAGGATCTGGATACTTGCCCTCGAATAACCACATTGTGGCATTTCAGGGGTCCCCTTCATGAAAAGAACAACAGGACTTGATGCTATGGCTTTCTCTATGGCGGCACGCGTCTCTTGGGACAGGAATCGGATCTGAAGTGGTGTGGATCGGCGGATTGAAAGGGGCGAAGGAGCGGCCAGAGACCGCGTTGCTGCTTGTCTTAAGGCCTACAATAATGATATTAGCAATTAACACCGCGGTACGCAGCTAAGTACTAGTACCGATTGAAAAAAAGGTCTCAATATCATTTTGTGGATTGCAGTATTGATGAAAAGTGAAGTTTGTAATAGCGCGAAGATGAGGTGTCGGAACACTTTTTTTCTGGTGATGCAATTGGCGTATTTCTCACTGCGGAGCTTGCCAACAGACACTATCAAATACCCCCCATTTGTACACCTATTTTGACTCCTTTAGGCCCCAGACAGTGAAAAATTCGCTAGAAATGTCATATACAGCAGCTGACTCTTCGGTCGGAGACGCCGCACTCTTAACAACTCCGGCTGACAACGGAGTTCCCTTCGACTCATCGAGATACCTCAACGACAACAAATTCCACATTCTCCTTGCCGCGTCCGGCTCAGTGGCGACAATAAAAATAGCAAACATAGTTCAACGTCTTATTTCTAGCTTCTCTTCGTCCCAGCTCTCCATTCGCCTCATTCTAACTCAATCCTCAAAAGAATTCCTCCGAGGACAATCTCCTGAACAGCCCTCGTTGGCGAGCATAGCACAGATACATGGTATAGACGGTATATATCTAGACGAAGATGAGTGGAAGATACCTTGGACTCGTGGCGCGAAGATACTGCATATTGAGCTCAGAAGGTGGGCGGATATGATGGTTATTGCTCCGTTAAGTGCAAATTCGCTAGCTAAGATGGTTGGCGGGTTATGTGACAACCTGCTTTTGTCGACGATACGTGCCTGGGATACTACCGGCATGCTTGACGTTCCGCACACAATTAGGACCGCCGGTGGAAACAATGTAACGTATCCAAGCGCGTCAGCCAAAAAGAGAATATTAGTGGCTCCTGCAATGAACACGGCTATGTGGGTGCATCCTGTGACCCAGCAACATATGCAAGTTCTCGAAAAGGATTGGAATGTGATGAATGGCGGTTGGGTAGAAGTATTGAGGCCCATTGAAAAGGAACTTGCGTGCGGAGATATTGGAGGTGGTGCGATGTGTAGCTGGGAAAAAATATGCGAGAGAATTGAAGAGCTGCTATTGACTAAGCACATTTGATCTACTTTACCACACGTTTATACTGTATACGTAGGAGATGCTTCATGCCTGCTAGTCAGGTGAGAATGGATGTTCTGTTTCTTCAAACAGAACAGTTAGGACGCTATTGATCTCCATAACTGAAGAGAAATGTAAATCTACAACTCATCTGGCCGAATAATGAAGTCTTTACAGTACGCACATACGTTCTTAAAGAACCTTCTCCACTCCAAGGGGTCACCCTTGAGCTTCACAAATCGCACCTCGAAGATCTGGCTGCTCCATGGACTTATAATCACCTGGCCATTCAGGTTTTGGCCTCGACCGTCGCGCGTTTTGATGCGAATGTGAACCGCGTCAAGGCTCTCAATCGGTGAAGCTGGCACACGCAGTTTTGCGAGAGCATCGATAATTGTTGAGATAAGGAGGTCAGCGGGCCGAGCAGAAAGGAATTGTGTCAGTGGAGTGGCTGGCACAATGTCTCCGAAGCGCTTAGCAATTTGCGTAAGTGAAAGAGGGACTGAAGGTGTTTGTGTGAACTGCGATAACGTAGGATCTTCCGTCAGACGTTCTGCGATGTCATGTGAAGGCTGGGTGCTGGGTCGCGAATAGACGGGCTGGCTCATTGGCCTCTCCCATTCGAAAGCGAAGTCATTCAGTGGCGTCTCAGGCTGTGTTGCTGCAATGCTGCGGCCTAGGTCCATATTATCGCTGTCAATCTCCATATTTTCCGAGCTTGACCGGCGCTGGGTTTGTCGCTGAGATGCTGTCGAATGTTGAAAGTTAACCTTCAAATTTTCCATCATTTTTGTCGCAAGAGCGACGGGATCTTTTGCTCTTCCACTTGCATCCATAATCGGGTTTGTTCTTCGCATCCAAGGATGGCTCCGTATTTCCTCCAGCGTGAATCGCTTACTAGGTTCCAGCTTCATCATCCCCCTAAGCAGGGACAGCGTATCTTTGGGCAGCTGCTCCCACAGCTCATCCCCCATCTTGCCTCCCGAATCCAAGTATAATTTAAACTCGTAACTCCTCTCCGTGGGTTCGTCCCATGGTGTGTTGCCCACGAGAAGGGTGAATAGTATAACCCCACAACTCCACAGATCCGCTACGTGTGGAGCGTACCCTTGCTCGAGAACATCATATCTCTTCCCTCTCTTACCGTTTACTACTTCGGGTGCGATATAGGGTGGCGATCCGCACACGGTGTTACACAGCCGCATTTCATTTCCTTTTTTATATAAGGCGGCGAGCCCGAAGTCTGCGAGTTTCAAATCCCCATTTTCACCTACAAGGATATTCTCAGGCTTCAAATCTCTATGTGCGATACCCTTGCTATGCATATACCCTACTGCACTCATAAGCTGGGTGAAGTAAAGGTGTGCAATATCTTCTCCCACCCCTACGTCAGCCTCAATTTTGTCGAACAAATCGCCATTGGAGGCCAGTTCCATAGCGATCCATACCCAGAAGGTATCTGCGCCGTGGGCGTAAAATTGGATGATGTTACGGTGTGCTCCAAGATAGGCGTGCAGTTTGACTTCATCTTCGAGGTTTTTGGGCTTTATCCGGCCACGCTTGAAAGCGTGCTCTTTGTTTATGAATTTAATCGCGATAACTGGGCTTGACTGCTTGAGTGGGACGGCTTTGCGTATCCTTTCCTCATCGTTAGTAAAGATTTCTTTTTGCAGTTGAAGAAATGCGCACGATGCATAAGCTCCGCTGCCTATTGTCTTTGATACTATGCGAAAGGGCAGATCCGTCGGCAAAGGCGAGACTTGCGACTGCAACTTATTAGCTTAGAACAATTGTAGAATCATAAGAACTTACAGATTCTGGAGCAAGAGTCATTTTAATATTGTCCGAAAGCTAAATACACGGTGCTAGAAGATTCATTGTTATAGATGACGCCAGGACGTAAACACACGCGAAAGAGCGACGCGTGTTAGATGTACCTTAAACTCCGTTAACTCCGAAGTTCTAGCTAACGTGTTCATCCCTATGCGCCTTTGCTGTCTTGCTCGACATTTCATGTTAAGTATATTGATGAGTGAATTTACTCGTCTAATAGATATATATCTTCTTAATCAATCAGCAACCTTAGCGGTTGTTTTGAAGAGCTATCTAACTCAAGAAGAGACGGAAGGTGGATGAAGAATGAAGGAGGCTTTATGAAAAGGGATTCTGAGAAGTCAACAAAAAATTAGGCATGCCAAGTTTACGAAGGTGTTTTGTAGGTGCCAATTCTACTAACTGTGTCGAAAAACGGAGATGAAAGCAACTTCTGAGTTCACCGGAAATCTTCCTCGGTGTGCCAGGTTGAGTTATCTTAGTAATGTAAAGCTTGGGATATCGCATAAGTTATTCGTACCTTAGATACATAATTAATATTAAAGTAGATTAAACAAACCACAAAATGGCACAAAGGAAAACTTTATGACTCACGTTATTTTTTGCATCCTATTTAGCTTCTTGTGTATGCTGAGCTATCTAGAGCGCTAGCGCTCTGCCTCACTTTCGCCATCAGATATTTTAATCAGGTTCATGTGCAGTTCTTAAGTATTTCTATTCAATGACAAAATGATAGCTACACATGTAAACAAGGAAGCTGTTAAATAAAATATGTATATTACCATAAAGAAAGCTTTGTCCTGTTTCACGATAAGGCATAAAGCTTGGAGACACTCAGCATGGTGCACTCGTTAAGAAATAAGGAGGGAATTTCTAGTATCAGTCAGTATAGGACTCAATACAGCAAATGAATCTCTCCGGATTAGTGAATATTTCAAGATTATTCTATTAATTTAGTCCTAACGTTCTAGTCGGCCTAGATATTCAGTTTAAAGATATACTGAGTATGAACAATAATGCTACCGAAGTCCGTCATCCCATGCCATGGTCTTGAAGACAAAACGTCAGGAATTCTGTACAACTCAAACTCTTTGCTTATAACTATGAGGCATAGATTTTTCCGAATAGATTAAGAACCTTGTGACAAGACTTGTCACCTTTAAAAATTGATTTGTTGGATACTTAAAAAGTCCAAGTTTTGCCATATTGCAAAATCAATTCAAACGACAGTCGGGACTCAATAGTCAATGTTCATACACTCAATGTTAGCCACGATCATTGACAGAAACCACACAGTTTGGAATCTGCTGGTTATGATCATCAATCCGACTAAAAAAAAGCATATATTGCAAAGTCCGACATCAACTTTGAATACTACTGATATGCAATCTTGAACACCTCTCAAACTACATTCATTTAACAGTTTATTCTTATTCAATGCTACACAATCCTATATGCGATGTTCACGTGCAAATCTAAGACCTAGACAAATGGAACATCCATGATTCTTTACTCAAGAACTTTCGCTCTTTTTATCTCCACTGGTTGATGATAAATTAACAAAACAAAATGCCAAAGCAATTGCCTTGCTATATGCAGTAAGCATATACCAACTGATAGAGAACGCGAATAGCTGACGTGCACGCCTTTTGAACGAGCTCCGAACCCGCAGAGGCACGTTACATGGCATATTGGAGTTCCAGGAGGGAATATACGGCTGCTGCGTTGTACGTCAAGTCATTTGGCAAGAAGGAGTGTATTTAAGAATAGTTTAAACAATTTTAGAGTCCCGATAGCGGTAGAATACGTCGTCGTCTCCCCAGATGTTGGCTGCACGGTCTATCATTCGAGTGACGATTGCTTGTTTTGCAATTTGCATATGGTATGATGCAGTTTCAGTATGATGTGTTCTTGAAATGTATGCTTAGTATATTCCTGTTGGTGGTTGATATTATCAAACATTTAAGCGGAGCTGTACCAAATGAGTCAGCAGATAGCCAATTAGCATACTCTGTCGTAGAAATTAGATTTTGGTTCAAATAATGACTGTATCATTCTATGGTTGTCATGCTTCAGGAAAATTGCAGTCCATCTCCTCGATCACAGGCGAATCTGAAGTGATAAATCGATACCACTTCTCATATTCTAGGGTTAAATTATACCAAGTGTCATTTAGTATTGTGTCACAAGATTTAAAGAAAGTAGAGTTTGTTGGCTTTACTTGGCAGAGAGAAATTAAGATCTCAGGAACTACCCTCCCAGGGGGTGTTACGTACTATATTCTCTCGAAATAAAGTAACGTAGAGCTCTAGTGGAAATTACATATTTGTACTTCCACATGAATCAGAACCGTCATATATGATTAAGAACTAGGCTGAAGGACAATTTATGGCAATATGTTGGAAATGTGACGGCGAGCATTGAATTTAGGTCAGTCGTCGAAACGATTGCAGAAGAATTGAGGTCAACTTCACCATAACTATGGACATACAGTCATATTGAGTTTCATGCTAATTTCGAAAAATTGGACTATGTAGGGTTATTCGCCCATATTGTCTTCAAGTGTCAGTATTTCAGGTGCGTTAAAAGTCGATCTATTGTCTCCAACTGACTATAATTTCGATGTTTTGGGCTCCTTCCTTGCTGCATCCCGAAGTTCACGCCGCAAAATCTTACCAATAGCTGATTTGGGAAGCTCGTCTACAAATACTACTCCTCCTCGCAGCTGTTTGTACGGCGCTACTCTCTGAGCCAACCATGTCGCAATCTCCTCGCCACTCACACTCGACTTATCTGCAACCACGTATGCTCTCGGAACCTCGCCACTTTGTGCGTCGGGAACCCCCACTACCGCTGATTCTTTGACGTGAGGGTGGGTATTCAGGATTCCCTCTAATTCAGCGGGTGCTACTTGTTGGCCCTTATACTTGAACACTTCCTAAATTTGATTTCAGCTGGCGTTACCTACTAGTAACACTGCATCTCTTACCTTCTTTCGATCTACAATGTAGAACTTGCCATCCTTTTCAACTGCAACATCTCCGGTATAGAACCAGCCATCATGGAAGGCCTCTGCTGTAGCAGATGGGTTGTTGAAGTATCCCTTAGTGACAATATCACCTTTGCAAATCAACTCTCCAGGCTGACCAGGCTCGACATCGTTACCGTTGTCATCTACGAGACGCAACTGCATGTTTGGAAGAACGGGCGATATGCTGCCTGTGTCATCGAACTGGCCAGCGCGCTGCGCAGTGATCGCACCTGTTGTCTCGCTTAGACCCCATGTCTGCCCGATAAACGTTAGATTGCCACCCATCTTCGCATTTGCTGCTCTTTGAAGTTCCTGGTCCATCTTCGCGGCGCCTGTGCTTGCTGCCACAACTTCGCTGAACTGATCTGTAACTTCCGGAGATTTTGCAATCCGTAAATAAATGGAGGGCACTGTGTATAATGTTGTTGGCTTGTATTTTCCTGCGTATTCGATGAAAGATTTCCATTCATACTTCCGCATCCAAAAAACTTTTGCACCTGTGAGAACCGGGCCACTCAGATACCCAAGAACACCTGCAATATGAGCGGTTGGCAAATGCGCAATGGTTCTTAGCTCAACCGGGGGGGCTTTAGGATCGGCATTTGCTTCCGCGAAGTCTCTAGCATCTTTCATCGGAATGTAGAGCTCAGTAACGACGTTGAGATGTGAAAGCATAACTCCTTTTGGCGCTCCCGTCGTGCCGCTGGACCATATCAAGATAATTAGACTGTTCTCCAGCTCATTGCGATCAGTTACACGACGGAAAGATAATCTTGGCTATGGATGATTGTAAGCTGAAATCTAAGAAGATGATTTGAATTCTTGAAGAGGACTTACTGCACCCTCATCACCGGTTCGCACTGCGATGCCTCCTACAACTGATTTTACCGTCCATGGAGGAGCAGAGCCAAAGACGAGAACATTTTCCGGAGGAAGCTCGCAAATTCTTGCTGCCTCCACGGCAACATCCTTTAGATCTTCGCTGACAATGACGACTTTGCTAAGACCTTGCTTAATTTGTCTCGCTAGTTCCTGAGGCGAGGCTGAGTGGCTAGCATATGACGAGACACCACCAGCAGCAATGATCCCGAAAAAAATAGCTGGGCTGAACGGTTGACCACTTGACAACACAGTCACTACATCTTTGTATGGACCTGACGAGCCAATACCATAATTCGTTCTAAGACCGTGAGCCACTTCTTCTGCATACTGGCGTAATTGCGCCTTGTTGATCGTGTGATTATTGTTCTCAGCTGAGACGTGCAGGACTGCGTTATTTGCACTGACCGAATATTCCGAATCTGCTCCACGGCTTGGTCAGTCAAATAATGCTAGTATATGGTATAACCCGTCATAGGGGAGATTAGATCTGAGGGAGGTGTCTAGAGATTAGTCGGTTACACGAGTATGGCCAAACCGTACTCGTGCAACCTAGAATACTCTTCGAACTTCCCCTCACGACTTGTTTGAACCACATTGCGCACTCACCGAATAGGAACGTCAATAAATCAATCTGTGGGACTTTGTACTGTATGTCTGCTTTGATGATCCTCATGTTTTCAGACACGGACTTTGCCTTGAGCGAGGTACAGCTCGACAAGGTGCTCCAGAGACAAGCTTCTACTTGAGACTATCTAAGCGTTTGACGAACGGATAGTCAGGAACGGCAAATTCTCAAAAACCGAGTCCGACAACCCCGAATCGATCATTCACACAAGTACGCTCAAGGAAAATCTTTCGCGGCTTGGCTCTGCAGTTGCTTGTCTCCACCAAGTTCGCCTCAAGGAAGTCCTCTTCTTTTATTCGCGTCTGTAGTCGGCTATTCCATATTGTCCAAGTATCATGCGTGTCGATCCCCCGCAATCACGATCCACAGGACTACCCCGCCGCAATTTTGAGGCCTCGGGGGTCAAATTTGCGAGCGGCCGGAGTTTTTCGGTTCAGCCTCGTCCGCACTAGTTCCAGCAGGTTTCAAGGAAGCTATGGTGACCCGGCATACGGGATGATCGACTCGCTGCGTTGGCACGTTGTTCAGCGCAGGACATGATATTATCCCAGAGGACAATGCCGATCGTGTGTCGGGAAATGGAGAGTTAAAAGGCTTGGTGCCCAGGCACGATGGGTGCTTCGTTCGCACCTCGCTTCGACCCTTTCGCCTTCCCCTGTTCTTGTCGAATTGCAGGAACCAATCTGCTTGTCTTGCACTATGTCGACAAATGTTGACGAAAAGGCTGCGGCTGTCGGTCTTGAGGAGGACACTGCTGCGAATCTGAATGCCCTCAAGCAGACTACCACAATTGACACTGTGCACAACGATGAAGCCCTCAAGGTTATCGCTCAATTCTGTGGAGATCACGAATGGACTGAGCAAGAAGAGAAGAAGCTCCGACGTAAGATCGATAGTCGGCTCTTGCCGATATTGTGCATCACGTACGGCTTGCAGTACTACGATAAGGCCATGCTCGGCCAAGCGGTGCGTGTTCCACAACGCCACATTAGCGTTCTCGGACTGATGATTGGCAGGCACTGTTTGGTTTACGCAAAGATCTCGAGCTAGAAACCGGCATGAGGTACAGCTGGAGTGCAAGTATCTTTTACCTGGGATTCATCTGCGGCGCCTACCCGGCAATTTTGCTGGCTCAACGCTATCCCATCGAACGTGTGGCGTCCGCCATCATTGTAGTGTGGGGCGCTTGCCTCATGTGCACAACAGCCTGTTCAAGCTGGAAAGGCCTTTACGCCCAGCGCTTCTTTCTCGGCTTTCTCGAGTCCGGAATATCGCCCATGTTCATGCTCGTGGTAGGTGGTTGGTACAAGAAGAATGAGCAAGCGTTACGCATGGGTGCTTGGTATTGCTGCACCGGTTACGTCTCGATCGTATCCCCTCTCATCAACTATGGCTTGGGGCATATCAACGGTTCTCTGGCGCAGTGGAAGTACATGTATCTGGTGGCCGGTGCCTTAACAATCCTTTGGGCCATCATTATCTTCTTCCTAATGCCACCAGACCCCATACGTGCAAAGGGATTCAGCGACCGCGAGCGCTATGTTGCAGTCGCACGTCTGCAGTCTAATAATGCTGGCGTGCGGAACACTCACTTTAAGATTGCCCACGTTTGGGATGCGGCAACGGACCTGCGCTTTTGGCTTGCCTTTAGCATGGCGTTCCTACTCATGATTGCCAATGGTCCTGTTTCCTCGTTCACGCCGATAATTATCAGCGGGTTTGGATACAGTGGTCTCAACGCTCTGCTTCTCACAATGCCTGCAGGCTTTGTCAGCGGAACCATCGAACTCTTGGCCCCTCTTGCTGCGTACAAGATACCGAAGGCGCGGACGTACATTATCTTTATTTGTGAGTGCGGCACCATCATGGCCTCTGCTCTGCTCTGGAAGCTGTCCCGTTCTTCAAAAGGAGGTCTTCTGTTTGCCGTATATTTCCTTCCGTCTTTTGGTGGTGCATACGCCGTCATGATGGGCCTGCAGATCGCCAATACCGCTGGATACACGAAACGATCCGTTACTTCGTCTGGTCTTTTTGTTGGATACTGCCTCGGAAATTTTGTAGGACCTTTTCTGTTCAAAGTCAAGGATGCTCCAGAGTATGCTCCTGGCTTCACTGCCTGCATCGCTACTTCTGTCGCTGCGGCCTGTTTGTCAATTGTATATCGATTCTTCTGTATATGGGAGAATAATAGGAGAGATGATACGGGTATAGCCGAGGCTTACGAACACGCTTATGAGGATGATTTGACCGATCGAAAGGTAAGCTATAGAAAGCTTCAGCAGCTGCCTCGCCCCTCCCAGCCCCAACTTGCCGCGGCCTTAAAAAGTACTGCACGCTGACAGCAAAACAGAACCCACAGTTTAGATACGTGTATTAAATCTTGTGAGGTTAGAAATTTGGATTAGAAATAGCATAGAAAGAAGCTTTGCTTTGACAAGAAAATGTGGCGGAATTCTATTACGTCCATTGCTTTACGTATGTTCACATTATCTTTGAATAATATTAATGTACCTACAGCATTGGTGTCGTAGCAACATGCACGGAATAGCATATCCCTCGAAAGTTCAAGTAACTTTTGATCCTCACAGAGGAGTTATCTGGCCTCAATCGTGGTGCTTTTGCCTCGATTCGCTTCAGGCCAAGTTTGATGTTTCGACCCGAGCACTCCTGGCACGTCGTACTCCGAGGCTGTAAGGTGCGCCCTCTCTGTTATAGCACTCCTGGTATTCATATCTGCAGATGCTTTCCTGTCATTTGAAAAGCTGTCGCTTGTCTTGCTCAGCAAATCTTCTAAGGTGCGCTTACGTTCGCGTTCCTCGGCTTCTTTCAGAGTCTTGAGCAGATCCATGGAGCTGGCTCTTAAACTCGTTACACTGCTGATGCTCTTTGATTGCATTCGATGCTCATATTTCCTTTGGTTAGCACTTTCACTCATAGACTGCTTCGGGGCCAGCAAGGGTGAGTCTAGCGGCGAAGGCAGAGGAGAAAGATGTACTGAAGCCGGTTGTAATGCCAGCATTTTGTCAATCAAATATTCATCCGGTGAGTTTGAAAAATCAAGATTAGAGTGACAATGAAAGTCCCCGTCTTGTAACAGCTTGAATTGACAAGAAGTTGTCGAATGAGATGTACTTGGAGGTAAACGAACGCAGGACTCGTAGTCGCGAGCGTAAGTTAGCGCTGATGTGGCAACCGTCCCATCTTCAGCTGTAAGCCGAGAGACAAGTGCTGGAGAACTGGCTATAGGACAAGTTTCTCCCAGTTCGCGAGCCGTTGCATCAGTCTCTTTCGCGTCCGTTGGCCCGTCTAAGCGTGACGGTCCGATCATTGTGAAGTCTGAGAGGGATTGATCATGATCAGCACGCCTCAGCCTCGTTTGCTTCATTTCAATTTCATCTTTGCCTGGTGCAAGTCCAGAGTCTTCGCCATCTTTTTCTTCTGCTTCTTCTTCTTCACTTCTCCGGTCCGGAATGATTGGAATCGGGGCGAAGACTGGTGGGAGAATTTCAAGCTCAGGGTACTCTAAGTGACCACCAGTGCTTATACTGGAACGATGTCCTTTCCCATAGTGAAAAAATTCGGTGCTCGATGATCGTGTGAACATTTTAGCATAGTTGCGCAGTCCCTTGCTAATGATCATACTCTTGCTCTTGGGTAATGTACCAGCACGCCTTTTATTTTTACCTCGCTTTTTCAGTCTAGAGCTGTCGCAGTCATTGCCTGATGGATCATTATTGATATTAAGAGGATTAACATTATACGCGAAATCGCGCGTCTTGACATGGTCTTTGATACCTGCACTTCCAGTACGCTGGTCTCGTGTGTGACTGGGATAACGTGACCAGGGACCAAGATCAAGGTTAGGATCGTCAAGATCAACTATTTGATCGTTGGAAATAGACGTGTAGATACTTTCTGCCCTGCCGGATGCAATAGCAAGTCCTGAGATCTTCAAAGATGCATGCACGCCATTGAGCTGGAGGTTCGATTCATGTTCGACGTTATCGACTGAAGTCGGATCAATGTTTTTGGAAGACTTCTTTTGAATCTGGCTACGCTGTTGCTCTACAGTCAAGTCTTCCAAATGAGAAAAGACAGGTGTTATAAAATCAGAAGTTAAACGACGGGTACACTGATTAAGAAGCGTTGGACCAAGTGAAGGAGCATACGAATTTGGCGTTGGAGCATCAGGATCTTGGAGTGTTCCGTGGTTAGAACGATGATGCCATTCTCGTGACACATGGCTTTGATCTGCATCAACAGATTGATTTTCATCGTTGTGTGGCTCGCCCTTGGGTCGACCAAAGGACGAGCTTCGTTGTCGAAAGACTTCATATTGAGCGGCTTGTTTGTTGTCGCTCAAATATAGAGCCGATTTTTCTACTTGCTTGTCGCGAATTGCTTTTGCCAGTAGGCCGGCAGCATCATTGCGCTCACTTAAAGCCATGGCTTGTTGAAGGCGCATTGGTTCGTCCAACGGACCGTCAAGACTTTCAACGCTCCCGTTCTTTCGACGCTGAAGGGGGTTTGTAGTGAGCTGGTTAAACAAATTGACTATAGAAGCCCGCTTCTTCGACCTTTTTTTGTCGCCGATCTCAAAATCCTCCCTGAAACGACTTACTTTGCTTGACTTTGTGCTCATTTCGCTCAGATTGCTAATGCTTGGATTGTTCGGCAGTCCAGGTTTGTAGGCTTGAGAACTAGAATGTTTGTTTAGATCACTCTTCGGCATTGCAGCCGTCGGAAGGTCAGTACTGTGCGGCGTGCGCGCGCGATCGTTAGGTCCTTCATCATATTCTATCGTTCTGATCAGAACGTCGGAACGTTTCGAAATTCTTGATTTGGACGAGTATGTTGATGATCCAGTGTCCCTTTCGCCACTAGGTGGCAAAGGCGGTAACTCTTCACTCTCATAGGAGGGACTTGATTTGTTCCTCTTTTTGGGCGGGGTCAGAGATCGAAAGGGCGTTGTTGATAAGGGGTTTGAAACTGCATCATTTCTGCCCTCACTGATACTGAAGGAAGACGTGGAACGGAGATGCTGCGAAATCCCCATGCTATACAAGTGAAGGGAAACAGCAGAGGAGCGATTCGGGCGCCTTTCTGGTCTCATGAAAAAATGAGGTCTTGCTCCGCTTGAAGACGAGCAACTCCCATAGCGTGAGGCGAGCCTTCTTTCAAATGATGTCTTGGTGTCAGCGTGGCTATAACAATCCTCGGATGGACGAGTTCCTGTTAAAGGCAGGCTTCCCGATTCGCTTGGCGGGTGGCTGAACGTGGATGATTCCTGAACAGTCAGAAGCCGGGAATCCGTTGCTAGGATGGTCTCTCGCATTGGCGATGTAGCATGATCAAGCTCGCTCTGCCCTGATTGCCTAACGGGCGTAGACACAAGCTGTGGAATAGAAGGAGAATCGATATTCAGGCTCTGCATGACTCCCCTCTTCCATGTGTGGGAAGTCTCTTTTTCAGAGGAGAATGACGGCAGTCGCATTGGAATTTGTTCCGGCGTGCCCCTTAGACTTGGAATCGACGTCATCGAACGTGAACGGCGCAGGCCTTGACTATTGAACGAGAGCTGAGGCAGTGCCAATGGCATAGGCAGAGATCTTTTGAGGTTAATATAATAAGGTGATGGAGCACGTTCAGAGCTACTCACCGACGGTTAACATTAGGTTCACAGTGTTCAACTGTGTGGTGTCGAGTTTCAGATCTAGCCTGTGGTGCGCCTGCATTACGGTCTTTTTCTGGTGTTGGAGGTTCGTCAGCATTTTCTAGGACGGCGGCATCAGAGTCATAGCCGCCAGAATCTGGGCCTCTGTCCGTGAGAAGATTAGTGCGAATTTCATTCTTGATGTCCCTGTTCTTCTTTGGGCCCCCTCGCTCGATAACCGGCTTGGATAGACTAAGCGACAAATGCCGGCGAAAAAACGACTTGAGCTTAGAGTGCTTAGGACCAAATGTCGACAAGTCGTTAGAAATCGGTCCTGGAGGCAAGGCGAGGGCATTTATGGTGTTTGCTTCGAAGAGGCGTTGAATCTCGCGTAAGTTTTCACTTCGAGCGGTCATGTGGTGTGAATCTGTGCCATCTGTGGGCCCAGCTGAGATATGCGTATTGGCCAGCCTCAGCCTGCGCTTGATGGTAGGTTCAGGAGGTGTCATGGATCTGGGAGCGGTGCAACACAGCTCTGCCGCCATTTTTTCAAACTATATCTGCTTAAAGACGAAGCAAAAAGGAGCGGTTGCCAAGCAGATACGTGAGGAGAGACCACGGTTAGAGCATTGCTGGGCGATAAAAGTGATGTGCTGCACGTTGGATCGAAGACGAGACTGAGGTTGGAGAATGGAATTGAGGGCAGCCAGGTGGCGACTGGGGGATATGGATGACTGCTTGCGTCTTCCAACGGCAGGCACGGCAGAGTCCAGCATCGTTGCGGACGTCGTCTTCGTCGCTTCCGACGGGAGGAGGATGGGAAAGTGCAGGCCAGGCCCAAGCCGGTGAGACTGCGGCTGCTTCGATGGCGAGCGAGAGGACACATCATGCTGATATCAGCCGAACCAACGAACGAGCATCGCGACAGAGAAGACGCAAGGAGGGAACCATGAGGCGCGCGTGGCATTTCAAACATGAGCGTCAAGCATCACTGTCATCTGCTGAGCCGTCGTCTTCGCGACGCCGACTGTCGGTGCGAGCTGGGCGAGCATCGCGGAGATGGGACATTGGCCTCAAACGGATGGATTCCTGACCGGTGTCTCTTGATTGTGGAACGGTACGGGAGGTTCGCGTCCGCCCGAAGCGCAGTGCCAACTTTGCTGTCCTGTGTGGACGTACTGGCGACCGGACCCGCGCTGGTGTCCGCTGGTCGCGGTCCGTTGTCAGGTCGCCGCCGGTCGCGGGGCCAAAAAACGCTCGATCATTTTCGTGACGTCTGCTTGGAATTGCGACATCGGCCACACCGCCTGTGCATTTTCCCACCCCGCCGCAAACAAAGTTTTGCTGACCTCAACTACACTTCTGCACTTTATTTTCTTTTCTCGAAAATCCCAAATTCCCTTCACATCCATCCTTTCCCAATCATGGTGCAGTCCTCAGTTCTAGGCTTCCCTCGTATGGGCGTCCTTCGGGACCTCAAGAAGGCAACGGAAGCTTACTGGGCTGGCAAGATCTCCCAGGAGGAACTCCTCAAGGAGGGCAAGAGACTGCGTCTTGCTCACTGGCAGATTCAGAAGGACGCCGGCGTCGATATCATTCCCAGCAATGACTTCGCCTACTACGACCAGGTTCTCGACCACATCCAGCTCTTCAATGCAATTCCAGACAGATACGCAAAGACCGGGCTGGATGCCCTCGACACGTATTTTGCCATGGGCCGTGGCCACCAGAAGGACAATGTAGACGTGCCCAGCTTGGTGAGTCTTTTTGAACCGTGCATAGTCACGGCCATGCCAATCTAACATACCGCAGGAAATGGTGAAGTGGTTCGACTCGAACTACCACTACGTAAAGCCTACCTTCCAGGACAATCAGACCTTCTCTCTGGCCTCGGACCCTAAGCCAGTCCGTCACTTCCTCGAGGCGAAGGAAGCAGGAATCGTTACTCGCCCAGTCCTCCTCGGGCCTGTCTCCTTCCTGCATCTTGGCAAGGCCGACCGTGGACACACAGTCAAGCCAATTGACTTGCTTGAGAAGCTCCTGCCCGTCTATGTTGAGCTTCTTCAGAAACTGAAGGATGCCGGTGCTGAAACTGTGCAAATTGATGAACCAATCCTGGTGCTTGATCTCCCCAAGCAGGTTAAGGATTCTTTCAAGGCAGCATACGAGAAGCTGTCCGCTGCTGGTCTGCCAAAAGTCGTCTTGGCCACGTACTTCGGCGACATTGTTCACAACTTTGAGGTTATGCCGAGCATCAACCAACTGTATGGTCTGCACGTTGACCTTGTCCGCAACCCGGAGCAGCTGGAGAGTGTCATCAGCCAGCTTGGCTCCACACAAGTTCTGTCTGCTGGTGTCGTCGACGGCCGCAACATTTGGAAGACTAACTTCAAAAAGGCCATCGAGATTGTTGAGACTGCCATTCAGAAGCTCGGCAAGGACCGTGTCATTGTCGCTACTTCCAGCTCCCTTCTTCACACCCCACATACTCTTGCAAGCGAGAAGAAGCTAGATCCCGAGGTTAGGGACTGGTTTTCCTTTGCTTGTGAGAAGGCTGTTGAGGTTGCTGTTATTGCCAAGGCTGTGACCGAAGGCCCAGCCTCTGTCCGTGAGCAACTGGAGGCCAATGCCAAGTCCATGCAGGCTCGCGCCTCCTCGAGCCGCACCAACGACGCAGCAGTCAAGGAACGCCAGTCAAAGGTTACTCCAGAGATGCACAACCGGAAATCTCCCTTTCCAGAGCGATATGCTCAGCAAAAGACTCATCTCAAGCTTCCTTTGTTCCCAACAACGACTATCGGATCCTTCCCACAGACTTCCGAGATTCGTATCCAGCGTAACAAATTTACGAAAGGCGAGATCACAGCCGAGGAGTACGAAAAGTTCATTGAGAAGGAGATCCAGGAAGTCGTTAAGATCCAAGATGAGCTTGACCTCGATGTATATGTGCATGGCGAGCCAGAACGCAATGACATGGTGCAATACTTTGGTGAGCGCCTGAACGGCTATGTGTTCACAACCCACGCCTGGGTTCAGAGCTACGGCTCCCGCTGCGTCCGCCCACCAATCATTGTTGGTGATATCTCCCGCCCAGCTCCCATGACTGTCAAGGAGTCAAAGTATGCCGCTTCAATCTCCAAGAAGCCAATGAAGGGTATGCTTACTGGTCCGATTACCTGCCTGCGATGGTCATTCCCCCGCGATGATGTCCACCAATCCGTTCAAGCCCAGCAGCTGGCTCTTGCACTGCGTGATGAGGTTATCGACCTCGAAGCTGCTGGCATCTACGTCATTCAAGTCGACGAGCCGGCATTGCGAGAGGGTCTACCCCTCCGATCTGGCACTGAACGTGAGAAGTACCTCTCATGGGCGGTCGACTCCTTCAAGCTTTCTACGGCTGGTGTCAAGGACTCCACTCAGATCCACTCTCACTTCTGCTACTCCGAATTCCAGGACTTCTTCCATGCCATTGCTGCTCTCGACGCTGATGTGCTTTCTATTGAGAACAGCAAGAGCGACGCAAAACTTCTCAAGGTTTTCGTCGACCAGGCCTACCCTCGTCACATTGGCCCAGGTGTGTACGATATCCACTCTCCCCGAGTACCAAGCGAGCAGGAGATTAAGGACCGCATCGAAGAGATGCTTGCGTAAGTCGCTACCCTCAAACGTCTTTTCGAATAGAATCTGACTAATTGACAGCTACCTCCGCCCTGATCAACTCTGGATCAACCCAGACTGCGGCCTCAAGACCCGCCAGTGGAAAGAAACCAAAGCTGCACTCACTAACCTGGTCAATGCTGCCAAATTCTACCGTGAGAAGTACGCGAAATAAGTGTACACCAATCACGACGCTTGTAGTCACGTTCATCCATTCGGGCCTTGTTAATGCGGCACTAATTCAACTTGCTGCTGCCCAGTTTCTTCTTCTACTTATTCAACAAATGCATGGGCGGTGTGCTGGAGGGTATTGGCAGGCGTTTCTCCAGTCCTTAGGGAAATAGGCATGTGCAGAACAAAAAGTTATGACCCGCTTCAACTGGGTTTTCTTGCATCGATGGGATGGATGCATATGGAGAACGAGGTGTCTAAGTGCGCATTGAGGATCAAAAATCAATTGTGATACCCGCAGCTTCAACAAGCTGTGCCCCTTTGAAATGAAAATGAAGTACGTAGCAACACAATAGCTGTAGATGTCAGAAATATCTCATCTGGACCCTTTGACGACTTCACGCAATCGTTCTCCTGCTTCCGATTCCCTTGCATTTTTTCGTAGAATCTCAACCTGCCTGGTATAGCTTGTGGATCAGGTACTTTTATGTGTTCTTGATACACCTCTAGTGCTCTGAAATCGACTCATTTCTCAGTCCTGAGTCGATTTGAGTCTAATCAGGTCTCAGCTGTCCCTTCCTTCACTATGACTCATTGTTGAGGCTTTCAAGCTGTCCAGAGTTTTCTAACCATATCATGCTCTTTGTGCTCTCGTCTTCAATCGGTGTTCCAACTTTCACGTCCTTAGGACGACATTGTGCCTGAATGTAGACGGAACCAAGGCGTGTGTTGAATTCAGCTCCATGTCATGTTGAGAACTAGCGGACCGGCGGCAATGCAACCAATGTAGCAGCATTCCATTGCCATTTGTGCTTCATAGGCCAGCTTATCCTTGCCTTCCATCACCCCGAAACTCTTGAAGATCGCGCAACAGAATTGCATTATTCACATATACTCACGTCAAGCATTGTGAAGGAGAGGGGTCGATTTGCACAATTAACTAGGAATGCTTCAAAAAAAAGATGGTTTCAGTCCTGCTCCGGAGTCAAATACAACCAATATGTGCCTTTGGCCTCGCGGTGCCAGCACAAGCTCTAGGGTGTCTAAGCTACAAGTCAGGCGTTGCTATGCTTCGTTCAATTTACCTACTATGGTGCGCTCCGTTCTTTGACTGTACTGCTGTAGAATAGATTGGAAGATAGAGTCAATGAAGGCCAAAATGGGACGCACAATTCCGCATGGGCAATTCTACGCAACGCAATGTTCAAAGCGGACTTTCAACTCAACCTACTCACAATAAAATATCGAGCAGGAAAGCAAGTGTAGAAAATTGTACCTTTACGATAAGGCAATAGATGGAAACAGGATTAGTATTGCTGAGACAATGGGAGTGAGTAACAATCGCGTAAATTTGCACGCTGGGTATATCTACTTGCTGATTCCGCATCTTCAACCAATCTGCCATTCTGATGATTCAGCTCTCGTCGTGAATTTGCTTTTCAAAGCCATCCATTGCTGTGCGTTACTGAACATTAGAATGAAACGTATCCAATGCCTATTTACGCTGTTGGGTTTTCCCTGTTTTCGCACGAAGTTTGAAAGGGTGGACATGTGCAGATATGCTGTATATCCGACGATTGACATTCATTTTATCCTTATGCTGCGACCGGCAGGGCGGTCAACCGATATTTCACCTCTTTGTACCCGCTCTAGGCTTGCACTCGTCGCCTGCAACAGGATGCAGCATGACCTTATTTGGATATCCCGGGGTGTTGTATGCATACCCCTTGCTCCAGTCATAACTGACTGCGTATGCAAATATGTTGCCATTGCGATTGAAGCTTGTCGCGGAAATGCTACCTCCCACTTCTGGGTAGCCCTTCAATCTATGCTTCGCGTCTTTGTCCCAGAAATGGAAGGTTCCATCACTACCAGCAGTGCTGAACGTGCCATGAATAGGGTGAAACGAGATGGCATTAACAGCATAGACTTTTGTTGTGTCACGCGCCGTGGTGTCCGATGCTCGATGGCATTTAAACGAGAAGTTTTTGCTGCGCAGCTCGTTAGCTCAGGTCTTCCATGTAGTTAGGTAAGACACGAGAACATACCTCGAGTCTTTTTCGTTCGCATATTGTATGGCACATCGCCCCTCGATACTACCTACAGCAAAGCCTGTCGCATCCGTAAAGCAACTGACCACTCTTGTCTGCCACTTCAGCGGACTCTGTACCGTCTTAAATTGACTTGGATTGCTGCTGGACAGATCAAAGATATTGATATAGCGTTCGGCGCAGCCCACCACCATGATAGAATTGTTGCGTACATCCATGGTGTACACTCTGTCTTGCATGTTCACTGACATAGCTGGGTTTGGGGTGCGCGTATCCCAGAATTTTACGGTTTTATCCCATGAGCCTGTAGCGAGCATATCGTTGCCTTGATATTGGAACATGCGAACGCTCTTGATGGGCTGATCGTGCTGTGCAACTTGTTGCGGCTGACCGTTACCGCCAAGATCAACCATTCGCGCAGCTTTATCCGCACCACCTGATACAACCTTCGTACCTCCCTAGGACCATATCAGCACGTTAATTCAAGAGATTATGAGAACTTATAAGGTCTAACTTACGACCGACCAACAGACGCTTAGCACAGGACCCTCATGCTTGTACATGGTTTTTCCTGTGCTCTTTCCCTGTGCATCGATTTCGTAGATTCTACACTCATTGTTCCAAGAGCTGACCGCGAGAAGATCGGCAGCGCTTGACCAGGCAATATCAGAGATACTGTCATTCGGCGGTTCGGACACTTCGACATCGTTCTTCAGGTCGCCTTGCGTGGGATTCGTCGTGCTGCTGCTGCCGCTGAGAAACGCCATATTTGACACCAAGTATTCACGATAGAATTTGTACGAAGATTGACGGTTCGCACGTTGATGGTGAGAGACAATCCTAACGTGCGGTTTTCGTGGTTACACTTCCAACATTTAAACGCGAAGCGCGATTCACAATCCAGATGATCCACCGCTCATCAGGCAACTCTCAGGCATAAACTTTAACCCCAGGCTTCCGCCTGCCATTTTTGGCCTGTGAGAAATTTGCTTCTGACACATGGATAATTCACTGTCATATAGTCGACAATGAACGAAGGTATTTTTGATGAGATTCTTAATCTCGAAGAAAACTACTATCGAGAAGGATATTGCCTAGGCGTCGAAGATGGTGAACGAGCTGGTAGAATCGAGGGACGAACATTTGGCCTAGAAAAAGGATTTGAGAAATTCTTCGAGATGGGGAGGTTACACGGAAAGTCTCAAATTTGGAACAAACGTCTGCCTATGGCCTATCCTAAGAAGGCAGAAGGCGGTGAAGCCGAAAGTCATGAGCTGACACTATTGCCTGATAATGAACGGTTGGCCAAGCATATTCGGACGCTGGATTCGCTAACGGACTTGGAATCACTTTCAACGGAGAATAATGAAGACTCTGTTTCCGATTTTGATGACCGACTCAATCGCGCCATTGCGAAAATCAAGGTTATCGAAAACATTATTGGCGATCGTTCTTCTCATCTCAACCAGTCCGAACCCCACATAAAAACGAGACGTGCTGGTATCAAGCTTTCAAGAGACGCAATCTCGAATGAGAAAAACATCGAAGACATTGGCTTCAGGATTAGGTGACAGCCTATTCTTGCGTACTTGACGTCTTTTGGTATCTGAGTCCTTCTAAGTACGGATTCTTCTACCAGATGCAATGCATGACGCGGTTCCATTTCTAGAAGTGCCACCATAGCCGTTTTCTCTTAAATGATTAAGTTACACGTAGGGATTAGCACTCAAAGGCATCATCTACAACAAAAAATTCGACCAGCTAGACGAATGTACCTATCCAGTACGAACTAGAAGAAATAGGATGGCAGCAGTTCCAAAAGGCAGCACTCTACGTTGCGAGAGTAGCTTCAATGCTTGAAAACATATTCTGCTCACTACGACAAGGCATTTAGATTTACATCCTCAACACGCCACATGTACCACATGAATATGCTTCTGTAAATGTTGTCAGCCATGTCGTTATTGAGTTCAAGGAAGCAATACAACCTACCGAAAGGGTGAAAATGGCGCAGCTATACTGAGCATCTCTGCCTCAGTCATATATTTCCACTTGCCTCCCTTGCTTTTGAGCTTCGCAACGTCTTTACCCTGATATGCTGCCATGCCGCGTCTAAAACAAGATCAGATCAGACCTGTGTTCACTCTCTTCATATAGCGGAGAAGAATGTGGAATTAGACATACTGCACACCCAGGTCTCCTGTAGAGAAGATATCCGTCCGCTTGAGGGCAAAGCAGGCGAACATCTCTACGCTCCATCTGCCCAGGCCTCTCACAGCAACAAGCTTCTCCAGCACTTCTTCATCACTTGCCTCGACAAGCATTTTAGCGGATAGTTCCCCTGAAACAAATTTCTCTGCCAAACCATGTATATACTCAGCCTTTCTTTGTGACAGACCTGCTGATCTGAGCGTTGGAATATCCTTTTCCACGACCTCTTGAGGCGTCGGGAAATCCTTTGCTATCCTCTCAGCTGCAGCAGGCTCAACTGCATCAGCCTCGTGGGTCGCCGGCGCCGAGAAAAGGTCTATAAACTTCCGTTTAATGCTTGCAGCGGCAGCACCAGATACCTGCTGTGCTATAATCCCACTTACCAGTGCTTGAAAAGGTTCAACGTCTTCAGCAAGTCCCTCAGGACTGAACAGCTTACAATAGTGTGCATCTATTATGGGTTTGAGGCGTGAATCAACTCTGCACAGATGCTCACAAGCCTTTTCAAGCAAGTTATTCGTCGTTATAATATCTTTTGAATCTTTTGAGTCTACGTGCTGAAGTGTATCACTTGGGTATTTAACTATACGTGATCCCTTTGGTGTCTGGAGAGGGGCATTTGTGGCGTGTAGAGCAGCTCGCCGAGGTTTAGTTTGCATAGGTGCTAGGTGAGTCGATGGATGAGTCGTGGGATTTACTGGCGAAGAAGTCGGGGTAAGATCAGGCGCTGCAATCGAAGCCCTATCCACAGGCCTTTGAGGCCTTTTCACGAGTGGCCTAGGAAGAGTCTTCGATGCTTTGATTTGGGGATTTTCTCCGCTTAACCGGGAAGCTCGCTTTCTTACTCGAGTGGCAGACTGTGATGGGTGAGTTTAGGCATTTGGAACCAGTAAGTCGCAATAAACCTCTTCTGTCAGCCCGTTCGCCCGACTTGATCCTGCCACAGCGGTAACGATAGCAGTAGCATTTCTGGCGTTGCGGCTTGATCTTGTAATCGCCATCCTGGGGGGCTCTTCCGGCAACAAAGAACCTCAATGCTTTTATAGCGAAATATGTATTTCATAAAAGGATCAATTGAAACTTGTGCAACGTAGTTTAGAAGAGTCCAGCTAGGAGGGATTGAGTAGATAGGCATCCGTCGCGTCCGTGCCCGAAGTGGGGAAATGCCGAACTCGAACTGGCCGCGCTGTCAGCTGATTGACACTGTTAATCAAACGGCCATTTTCGGCCAGCAAAACTTGTTCATCTTATCACGCCAACAATTGGATAGTAGGTCAATGTTGTCACCAGCTTGGCGCCCAAGGATCATCGGACTGAAAAGGACAAAATCTGGAATTTACACATACCGCAGCTTTTCGTCCTGGAGTTGCGAGGTATCCAAATCATCAAACGAGTTCCAGATATACACATCCAACTCAAACGATCCGTTCGTCAATCTCTCCATCGAACACTATCTTTTTGAGAAATCTCCTCCAGACTCAAAAGTACTGTTTCTGTACGTCAATAGACCTTGTGTCATCATCGGCCGCAATCAAAATCCATGGCTTGAAGTAAACCTTGCGCTACTGGACCAGAAGAGAACTTCCAAAAGTATCCAACCAAAAAGCTCAACTTTAGGCGATGTCAGTCTCGTACGACGAAGGTCCGGCGGTGGAACGGTGTTCCACGATGAGGGAAATGTCAATTGGAGCGTAATCTGCAACTTTACGGATTTTACACGAGACAAACATGCCGAGATGGTGGTACGAGCTTTGCGGAGTATCGGAGTTGATAGGGCTAGGGTCAACGAAAGGCATGATATAGTTCTGGACCAGGGGAGCAAATGGCAGTCTGTCGATATCGCAGATACGCATAGAACACCTTATACTAGTCTGGAACAGAGACCGCTTAAGGTTTCTGGTTCAGCTTACAAGATGGCACGTAACCGAGCATTGCATCATGGAACAGCGCTTCTCAATTCGCCGAATTTACGAGCTATACCTGAGTATTTACATTCTCCGGCGAAGCCATACATATCGGCCAAGGGTGTTGAGAGTATAAGCTCACCTGTTAGCAATATTGGGGTTGAAAACGCTGTCTTCGTAGACGCTGTACGAGAACACTTTGTCAAGCAATATCGAGTCAAAAGACATGTCGAAGCAGTCGTGGATGATGATGCCTTGGCCATCCCGGACATTCGCAAAGGCTTTGACGAATTGACCTCTCTCAGGTGGATATTCTTGCAAACACCAAGCTTTGAGTTTTCGTCGAAACCTTTCGAGAATAGACATGACCATGTGACTGTGAGTCTAGAGTTTGCCATACTTTATCAACGGAACTAACGCAGTCCACAGAGCAAGCCCACGATCTCTTTTAAGGCGCAACACGGAGCTATTTTTGATTGCAAATGGACACCAGCGGGCCATGCGATGTTTGAGGAAGGAACTTCAAACGAACTTAAAAAGGTCTTCATGGGCAAATACATTCATGAAACTCAAGATTGGTTGGGTTTGTTGCAAGGGCGCGTTCCTTTTGAACAAGCTCAAGAGATGGCTGCCTTTCTTACGAAGATGTTTCCATCACCAAGCGTCTCGTGTGACACAATAGATTCAACGAAGCTGCAATGAACTCTGGGTGGATCTTTGTATCATAGCTCATCACGTGCTCCGAGGGCGGAGCAATACCGTCTCAACGTGAATCCAGCGAGATCAACTTAACATCTTTTGCTAGACCCAACATAGTAGTGTGCTAAAGCGATGACAACGAAGGCTGCAATACCAAACGTGTGGCATCACCGCAGGGTAGCCGACAACGCAGCCAAACCATGCTGGGTTTGCTTCAAGCCCTCTACGCATGTTCTTATCACACCAGATAATAAGGTAGCGTCTTCCACGATGATATCGGAAGATCAACGCAGTCTAAAGAAACAAAGGACTTCTTCTATACCTGCGTAGGTCATTTGGCCGATCCAAACTTCGCTATCCCCGATAAGGATGAGGTTGCGGCTTTAGAGGCTCGTAAGAAGGCCGAGCTGAATGCAGAAATTGAGAAAGTCAAGAAGGAATACGCCGAAAAGATGAAAAGGAAAGCGGAGAAGCGAAAGGAAAGCGGAAAGGACGAAGGCAGCGGAGAAAAATCGAACGAAGAAGAGAAGAAACGCACGGAAGCTGACAAAGTGGATGAGAAGGAACGTGATGAGAAGGTTGGCGTTTTTCCATTCTCCTCGTGTGCTACATCGATATTAACTGAATCATAGATCAAAATTCTTGAAAACAGCACAGGAACCCCTAACACAGATGGTGGGATTCGAATATACAACCTGCACAAGTACGTGTCTGGCTTTTCCCTCCCTCGTTCTCTCGCGTTGTCCCCCTTTTGAGTGCGTCATCGAAGTATTGGGTGGGATTGGGTGCGTCATAGGAATGCAATATTGGCATTCCAGACGTAATCGCAAGCAGATGCTTCATCATAATCAGCATTTTGCTGCTGGCTCGACTAGCATACCTTCCCATACCTGCTCATAACAAGCGCTATCAAGGCTAACCAGCCGTTTTTTCTCGCAGGACATTCTACTTACAGCGACTAAACAATATTCGTAATGCTGAAAATGCGAAGCGCAATCTTGAACGCCTCGTTGCTTTACCCCAAACCCCAAATCGGGATCCAGCCTAATGGACAACCCCTCTCTCGCAAAGAGTTACCTAGTTTCTTCTTAGGCTCGAGAAGATGTCATGTTCAATTTGTAAAATGTGACCTAACCGTTCTCGAAGACCGCGTTCTGCAAGTCGGTACAAGAGAGGGCAAGCTCCAACCGTGTCGCTTGGCCTGCGACCATATGCGCTTTCGGTATGATTCCAGCTGGATCGCTTATCACAAGATAGTTCGAGCGCGATGCGCCCCATGACATGAATACGAGGTATGCCATTGTGGGGTTTTGAGAGCTCTAGCTGCGCGGAGCATGCGATGAAAATCTTTTTTCATCACAAGAATGCAGTCAGCAAAGCTTTGTGACGGACGTTGCACCTTCTTGTATCACTAGAGGCCTCAAAACGAACCTCCTAAGTAACAGTCACATTTCACGAACTTTCCGTTATGAAACATGTGCTGACCGAGCCCATTCCATCACTACACCAAGGCCTTATCAACAAGGTCTGAAAAATCCGTAACGAAATTTGGTCCTGCTCGCATGGCGTACCCCGCAAATGCTCGTTCTGCAGTTGGACACGTAAGACATGCATCCTTCAAGAATGGTCTTAAGGTTCTGACGGGCGTCGAAGGCTCCGTTCAGGACTCCGCCGCATGGAAACGATCTACTCCTCGTGCGTCCACCATTTTCCGCTTATCAATGATCCGTAGGATTTCGCGGGCCCATTGGCCACTGACCACGACAGCCTTGATGTTCCGTATTTCTGCATCTGGGGATGGTTCTTTCCGTCCCGTCCTCGCCTAACACTGCCAGTGATCGCGACGGGGCTGCTTGCCTGTGTCGACCGTACGAAGTTGTTTGACCACAATCGCACTCCGAACATTGCCTCCCTTAGCGTCGTTAGTCGGTGTGAGATTCAGGTCTCTGAATGCGTCCGTTGCAACCGTTTCAGATAGGACCGGGTTTTTACTCGTCGGGCTCTTGTCACCCTTCACCTGCGTGGGGTTTCTTCGTAGCAGCAAATCCGACTTTTTTCATTTCGGACGCTCGCGGTCCTTCAAAATGGTCTGTGCAGCTGATGATGACGTTTCAGCACCTTTCCACCTTGCAACAAGCTCTCACCAAGACATGCACATAAGCACCCGGGTTTAGGCTCCTACCCAAGCCTGGAAATTACTCCTTGGGTCACTGGACAGCTATCATGTCACAGAGTATTCATTCGCGTGGAACCCATGACCGCTCCTCACTCGATGGCTTCCCGATGGAGGCGCGCACGGTCAGTCTCATCGCGGCCATCGTTCCCGATCTGGTCATCAAGGAGTTGGCGATAGTACCTGAGATTTATGTCCGACTGTTCCCCATGCATGATCTGCTCAGTGGGAAGGCTGGTAAGAATAACCGGCGACAAACATTTGCCGATCCAGGTGTAGAAAGACGATTTTTTGGGAACGCCGACGGGTTTGTCTTTTGACGTGGGCAAATGAGCATTTCGGCGAACGCAAGCGCATTCCACAAAGGCACATGCTGATCGGCGAAGTCGTTGAAAGATCTGTGCTCAGTGTCTATCAACTTCACTGCTTTGACCATGGCCTCAAGTTTTTTGTGGACATGGTGGATCGAGAAAATAAGCGGCGACAGCGCGACGTCGCATTTAATTTCGGTCATTGAACTGTTCACCTGTGCATTACCCGGCTGATTGGCACTAGCCATTGTCGATGTAACTGCTGTTCGTAATGAAGTAGCATGCAATGAGGCTCAACCGGCCTAGGAATCGCGATTTGACTAAGGACAACCCGAGAAACCAGGAAGAAAAAAAGGCATAGATATATCGTCAAACGAACCAGCTCATCTATGCTGCCCAAGTTCGCAGTTTACGTGTTCAACCCGTTTTAGAATCTAACTATGCGTATCTCAAAGCATGTCGCAGCGCTTGTCTAAATGCAGGAATCATCAATGCAATCATGACTTCTCTTCGTAATGATGCGTCCTCAGCCTCCTTTCGGTCACAGCAATCCTCTACCCCCAGCTCTAGTCGCTGGCAGACCAACGCCGGGCCCTCTTCGAACCCCCATACCTCCGACGTTGGTCTTTCTCACTTCATCACATCTGCTCTTGGCCAGCGTGATGGCAGGCGTCTCCCATTTGCCGCAGCTGCACCTCATACCCTTCCAGGAGTATTTGCCTATCTGGGCTTTACATTTTGGGCAGTCAAAGCGCCCTTCAATCTCCCCCTTTCCAAGTTCATTCCGCATCCACGACAATGGATCTATGAAGTGGTGGGCGCATGTTAACGACGGAGGAAAAGGCTCATTGTGCGGAGGCGGTTGATGTGGTATCACAAATGCACTGGTAGCCAAGGTCCTTCGGCATTTTTTGCATTTGATATCAAACTCGACGTTTTCCTCATCGCCGGCGCTCACATGCTCGTCCTCATATCGGATTTTATCAGCTTCTGGTGCCATACCGCATTCGCTGCTCAGTTGTACTTCGCGTTGGTACATCCACCGCTGGTAGATAGGTGACTCCTCTACGTTCAAAGGTGCATTCATCCGATGATACATGTCTAGCTGTTGCATGAACCCTTCGTTAGGTTCGACAATTGGTCGTGACAGTCTTATTTGTTCCAGTGCTTCTTGCGGCGAAATATGATAGCGGGACATCAAGTATGCTGCAACACAGGTTGCTGACCGGGACTTGCCCATCGCACTAAATCCCCGTTAGCGTTCAGCAAAGTTGTCTAGAAACTGAACTACGTCCGCTGTGGAGCAAGGGCAGTTCGGACAGCGCGACCATTACGGTCTGAACGAAGCAATGACCTCAACGAGGCTAAGTCTGCTTGGTGTATGGTGTGTGCAGGTCAATCTGGCTAAGCGGGTGAAGTTTTGTTCATCTACACGACAGTCTCCAGAAGACAAGTTCCTTAAGAAAGCGAGAAATTGGGCATCATGGCCGAAGCTGACAGATACGAGGCTCTGAAGTGGATGGAAGATGGTGCAGTACACTTACCAGTGTACAAAGACCCCTCCTCCGCCATCAAGGCCATCTTGGATAAAAGCGTTGGTCTGGGGGAAATGCTGCAGCAGGTTCTCATCTTCGACGTCATCCACGTCGATGAGCAGATGTTTATATGGTTTAAACAGCGGGCTTTCCTTATTGTAGCGCAGAACGGACAGCACGTGGGTGATGTTCGCCTTTCGCATCTGCTCCACGCGCTGCAGTGTAAACAGCCTGGTTGGAATACAAAGGTCAGCATGATCGGCTATTGGGGGCGGGGTTTTCTGCTCGCGACTCCCGAACTACGCGGTCGAGGGCAACGCACCCGCCAATATACAAGTTCAGTTCGCCGGGCACTTTGTCTATCAACGACATGATTACGGTACGATTTGTGGGCCAAAACAAGAAACTGTCTATTTCTGGGCTCGATGTCTAAGATGAGGGCAAGATCGAGCCTGCTGATCGATGAGGTGGTTGTGTGGAGACCAGATGCGCGATCGAGTCAGAAATTTTGATGGCCGCTTTCTGGATTTTTGGCGGCAAGCGAAAGCCGGGCTTGGCAGGCCGCTGAGCGCGTTTGTCGCCTGCCCCAGTCGTTTGCTTTTGCACCAATGTACGGCAAATGCGAGTAATACGACGGAATAATCACGCCTGCTGAAGGCAAGAGTAAGCGCTCCACAAAAAAAAGATGGCGCTGCTGTCTCAACGCGAGATCGTCGAGACAGGTGTAGGACGCGAGAGGCTGGAGGGCAGTGGGAGGTCACCGAGGCTGAAGGGGACGTCGCCAAGACCCCTCAGCTTAGACCCCTCAGCCAGCCCTATGATGCCTTACGGCCCAGCAGGCGCTGACCAGGCCGATCACGCTGCGACCGGCGAGTCCAGCCGCCATGCTGGAGACGGGGGAAGAAAGCCAGCTTTGCTGATGCCGCGCTGGCCTGGCGGCACCTCACGCCCGTGTTTGTTATTGATATGACAAGAAGCCAGAGATCCGGGGCTTCTTCCTCGCGATCATCTGCATGGCCCGTAATCTCTCTCGACCGTTCATGCACTCTTCGGCCAAGCAGCGCACCCCCGGAATTCCGAGTAGACGGTAGCGTAAGGCGAGCATCTGCGTCACGCGGCACACCGCGACGCCGACATGTACGGTTCAAACTTCCTTGTTCTTCGTTGACATGCTTTCCGCCGCAATGCAGGCTATTCGTACCATCACTGTGCGCTTTGTCGAGCGGAAAAAAAATTTTCGAGCCTGAGGCAATGACTGCGTTCCCATCATCTCATTTCGTGAACCTGTTACGAAACTTTTAATCGGCCTTGTTGAGCGGACAAGGTCGGCGCTTGGGCAATATCCGAACCGAGTCCGCGCTAGTCCGGACTCAGGTAGTGCCCGACACACGCTTGTTGGCATGCGACGGCACGGATATCTCTCCACCGCTAATCTCAACCTAGCTTCACATAGGGCTGACTGCTCCTCGGAGGCTTGAAAGCGAACCTCACCCTGGCATCTTCGTGAGATCTGTGGGGGGGGGGTTTGTTCCTTCGCTAGGATCATTTCAGGACACGAGGAGAGGCGAAACAAGTCGTCTGACTCTCACACTACTCGCAGGATCCCACAGCAAAGGCCACGGATCTGAGATGAGCATGAAGCCTGTACGTAGCGCCTGGCTCTGCCGCGCTGAGGGCGGAAAGGGCGCAAAGACTTTTCCAAGCTGCGCAGCTGAGTGCGTAAAGTATCTTCTGGAAGCGTCTCCTGGGGTACAGGTCCGTCATCATTCTTCATGATCCGAGAGGCTATTTTCTTTTCGACCAGACGATCAACATCATCAAAAACCAGAGAAAAGGGCTGATAACGGTTCGTCATTTCAGGACAAGAAATCAGCACGTAATGGCAGGCCGACGGTTAGGTAAATCGGAGCCCGACGGGGATGTGCCCACATCAGGTTAGCGGCCAAACGGCCACTTGCTTGAACCAGGATCGAAGTAGGTACAGAAGGCTCGTGCGGGCCAGCCTTGGATGCACGATGAGGGCAGGATAGTCGCCGCTGGATGTCGATTCTAGAGAGGCAACGTTTACCAACAAATTGTGGACTGCTGCAACACAGTCAGGGATGGTCATGTCTGCATGAGTGTTCGACTGGGTCTCGTCATTACGGAGCATCAGACAGGAGGGTGAACTATAGAAACAGAGGGTACTACCTTATGGCGCCCTTTTTAAGCAGAGAAAGTCACCACACACAGATCTGTCGGCTTGCCTGTCAAAACTTTGTGGAGAGATCCTCCCTACACGGCCGCGTGAGAGAGAGCAAACCCGACGTCTTTGCTTTCTCATTTGCCCCCACTGTTGACTTTGGTTTCTTCTTCTTTCCGTTTGGCCGAAGGCCGCACAAGAAAGCAGCGCTCATCAAACGTTCCCTGAGCTGCGCGCGGTTCGACACGAAGCGTGAACTGTATTGTCATTTGGCTTCGCAAAAGAACATTGCAGTAGTCTCTTGCATGGACTGGAAGCTTACCGCATACGGATTCGGGACGCGCTTCTGACCGTCAAACTCATCGTTATTGAGCGATCAGTCAGAGAAAGGCATATCTCGTTGTCCCTGACACGAGCATAGTGGGCGTCTACAGTCAGCCCACGAGTGCAGCCCGATCTCACCAATACCGGTCGCACACAGCACGTATTCGCAAGCTACCCTCTTTTGCCTCGCATTACAGGCTTGGCAGTGCGTTCGACGCTCTGAATAGGAACGAACGGAGAAGGCTTAGCTGCAACCGTTCGCAGGTGGCACCAGGAATATCCAGCTTTGATTGTGCGGCTTGACAGTCGTGACAGGTGAGTGGGCTTTCGTTCAAAACAAAAAGACCCAGCTGCCCCAACGCGGCATCGGCACCACCAGTACAAACACGGCGCGGAGAGGGCGAAGTGTGATTTGCTGCTAGCTGGGTGCTAGAGAGACAGACGAAGGCAGGCTAGCAGTGAATCACGGCCGCTCGTTCTTTCTCGAAGCGTCCAACGTTCAGCGATGACGGCAGGATGCACCCACTCACGGCGTGGAAGAGTTCAGACGGGCGCTGTCAGTGATGTGCTTTTGTGGTGCTTGGTGCTAAGTTAGGGGCGCTGGCACGTCCGCCAGCGGGAACAGGCGGATTGCCGCGCCGTCTGCGCTGCTTGCTGGCTCGCAGGCGGTGGTTGGAGCCGGCTGGATGATGCTGGACGGACCCAAGTGGCTGTGCCCGACTCCCGTTTGCGTGGTACGTCGCCTGCAGCCCTCTGGGAGGGTCGCAGGGGCGGCACCAGCGACGGATGCCTCACGCGGCAAAAGATTCCTAGCTGATGGCTCGCTAGCTCGGTCACTGCGACGTACTACTGGGATCCAGGTTTCCAAGTCAGCAGCGGGCAGCCCACCTAGCGCGCAGCTCCTAGCCCAGCCTAGGCTAAAACGTTGCAGGCAGTCGAGGTTCTTTGGTGGGTGCTGCCATTACAATTTATCACTGCTGCCCACGGCGACGTCGAATGCTACTTCTTGCACTGCTTCGGCGGCACCACGCGCAACGGGAACAAGGCTTGTGCGCGTGTGGCAGCTGGTGGTCCCGCCGCCTACAAAAGAAGTCGCCCACACGTCCTAGCAGACCCTACCGTATTCCTTCCCCCGTTGCGCTACCGCCTGCAGTACCCTGACCCTACCGCCGACCTCTACCCGCTGCTTAACACCACGGGACCCCCCCCTTCGTTCGCCCTTTCCTTCAGCAGCCCAGCCCTATGCAAGAGATTTGCTAATTCGATCCCCACGAGCAGCACGCCCAATCCCGGCCACTTTCTCCTGTGTCGTAAACATCTTTCTTCCCTTCACGCTGGTCCGCACACCGCCCGTCTCACCCCGAACCGACCTCTTGCATCACGCTCCCTTGCGCCGACGTTAGTGGCTGGGCTGCGCACAAGGCTCCGGGCTTCAGCCAGCTGCTTGCATCAGTCCCGTCCCGTTGCCACAAAGCCCATTGTTGCTCCCGACCTCATCGAACAAGAGCTTTCAGCTGGTGGCAATCGCAATTCCAATTTCACAATCCTTCCCTTTGCTTTGTTGGCTGTGGATCGTGCGTGCACGATGTCGCACTCGACCTCGGCGCCTTCAATTAAAGTGTTTGGCTCCGGCCCACACCATGGACTCGGTGCCGCAGCGCGACCCGTCCAAATCCCCCCAGCGTCCCCCAATTCGATATCCGCGAGGCCAATGGCGATACCCAACTCCAGAGAGGCGCCACCGCCTCCCTTGCCACCGCCTCGTCGTTTGGCATTTGAGCAGGGCGAGGATCTTGGTTGGAAGTACGGCAATAGGTTCCCACCATCATCACCCCATGCATCTGTAAAGCCCGGTTCGAGTCTTTTGGGTAGCGGTCAGTCCAGCAAGGAATACGCCAGCGCGTGGAGCTCGCCATATGATACCCACGACACACGAAGGGGCAGCACCGTGTCATCTGTCACTCCCATTGACCCGTCCATGATCATGGAGGGACTGGAGCACAGCGACGAGGACCGAGGCTCGGGTGCGAGGCCTTCTCTGTCGAGGTAAACACCGTCCCCAAAGCATATCTCTTTTGCTGGCAAGATTGCACATCATGCTAACCATCACGTCTTCCATGCCTTGCAGATTTCAGAGCGAAAGCAATCTTGGACGTAAAGAAGTGCACACGGCCTCACAAGCATACGACAAACATCTTCTATCGAGGATCGGCGGCCCAAACGCGGGCACATCCAGCAACAACAAGTTTGCGGCTCAACTAAAGCCGCTGTCCGTCCCCGAACACCGCTATTCCTCCATTGATTCGCCCTTGTCGCGTTGGGCAAGCGCGCCTTCCTCCGGCATATCTCCTAGTGGCGGCTTCCGCAGCCCCTACTTTGAACACACCTCTATCGACAGCGCCTTCCCGTCAAGAGTGAATAGCGTGTCGACGCCGGATGCGTTTGACGATGCCGCCAGCAGCAGCTATCGCTCGCATCGCAACAGCGACGACCAGGGCGTCTTCTTGGACCCAGAACTTACAAAGATGGACGGTCTCGACATTCACGACCGGACGGCCTCAACCGCCGAAGGTGAACAGCTTGGTGCGACTGGCGTGAAGAGAAGGGCTTCCTCGCCACCATCTGACGGCGGTCCTTCACGTGAAGATCGTGTCTCGGGTACTGGCAACGATTTGTATCATCGCCGGTCGATGCAGATGCTCGCTACCAAGAACTCACCCGTCATATCTCGACCGGCTCAATATGGCACGTCGCATTCGTCCACCTTGTCACTGGGACAAAAAGCGAGCTCATCGTTCGCGTCAACGTGGAACATGTCGACCTCCAGCAGCCTTACATCGTACAGCGGTGAGCGCCTTTCGCCTGGTGCTCTGTCGCCATCTGCAGATCCGGACTTTGGCGCCGTTTCGCCATATGCGGCTAGCAGGAGCCTAAACCTCAGTCCGCGCAGCTCCTTGTCAACAGCACCACCCCACCAAACTCGCAAACCTTCAGAACCTATACCAGACCAAAAAATGCAGTCTCCAACACCTAGCGATGTGCACTCACGTCAAAACAGTGTCTCCAAGCCACCAAAGCCTAAGGCGTGGGAGGGGTATCCTCACGTGTGCGAGTGTTGCCCCAAAAAACCTAAGAAATTCGATACGGCCGAGGAGCTGAGGTAAGCGCAAGTTTTAGGCATCCAAAATCACACCACACCTCCACCTGTTGTACTGACATCGTCTCATAGGATGCACGAGTTGGAGAAGCGGTATCAATGCGTGTACTGCCCAAATCGCTTCAAGAATAAAAACGAGGCAGAACGTCATCAGAATTCGCTGCATTTGCGCAAACATGCGTGGTCCTGCGCGGCCCTGAGCGGGGTTCCGGCAGCTTTCCATGCTTCGCACATCCATCCGACGACTTACGACGTCTGCGGATACTGCGGCGAAGAATTCCCAAATCCCCCAAACTGGGACGTGCGAGCAGAACATCTCTGCCAGCAACACAAATTTGGCGAGTGCAATCAGGCCAAAAAATTCTTTAGGGCTGATCACTTCCGACAACACCTCAAGCACAGCCATGCGGGCACCAGCGGCAAATGGACTAACATGCTCGAAAACGCTTGTATGCTAGAAAACGAACCAGCGACAGCACCACTCCCACCTCGCAATGTGCTTGCGCCGGCGGGCCCGATGATGATGAGCCCACCTTCGTACCCTACGCCGTCTGGATATGAAACTGGAGTCATAAACGAAGCTCATGACGAACAATAACCGCATGACTAGACAACGAACAAAAAATTCTCTTTTCCTCCATTTGAAAGACTTCTCCTGCAATAGATTCAAAGCTAAGGGTTGCCTAGCCCTTCAGCCTTGGAGGCTGAGGATTAGCAATGCACACTAATATCAAGTCCTTTTTTGGGCCGTGTTGGGGCTGACACGCGACTTCGGAGACACGACCAGTCTATCATCTTCATAGGCCACTTCGTATTTTGTCATTTATTCTCTTCCCACGACAATGGACTTATGAGCGATTTTTGCTGTGGGCGAGCAGCGATGCATGATATCCGGCGTTCGCATAGGCTCGCGAACTGAGACGGCGTTGTTTCCATTGGCAGGAAGGCGATGAGACTCGGCTCTATTTGCACCTATCCCGTTGAATGGGCGAGAGTTTCATCACCAAAGAGACGATTTTTCGAAGTATGAGGCGTATCTTGCATCCCCCCAGAATTTGCGATCCACAGGCACACTATCAATAGCACTGCAACATATTAGACGTGCTTTCTCGTAATCTTGTTCCCTTTGCCTCCTGGCTGTTAAAGTATTCGTACTTCACGGAAGGTGCCGGTTTGCGAGCCAATCATCACAGTCTTTCCCTATCGCCCCGTAAAAGAGATTGTCAGATTTGACCGTGAAATCGGTTTGCCGTCATTCTTTCACGGTAGAAGCCGTCACCCACCCTTCATTTCCTGAATAGTCCCTGGTTCATGCAAGCCTCAGGATTTGGCTCCGGGACTTTCTTTCAACGTCAAAGGAGAGTCAAACTCCTTGGAGGGGCAGATCGCCTTCCCTTCTGACACTGGTTCCATTGTTCCATCCTATGCTTGCTTTTTTTTCCCACACTCGTGCGTGAGTTGTGGTCGCCCCAATGTGTGGCCAATCTTCACCGCCTGCGTCCCCACTCAAACGGAAAGGATCTCCAAAAAACCACGCGGTGCTATTCTGTCCTAGTCCTGGTGAAAGTCGTCATGGAAGGAGACTGCTAGCACAATACTGTAATAGCCCTCTCTCATTGACGTAGCCAATACAATGATTATTACGTTGCCATTGGCTATTAAGTTCGACTGAGTACCACGTGGTGGACACGCAGTATTGCCGCCCGTCGAGCAAGCATCACACCCTCGCGCAGTTGTTTCATCTAGATATTGCAATATGAGGTGTCAAATCACAATCCTCATCCAACGGCGGCGATGTCTGAAGGCATTTCGCATCCAATGTTTATCCCAGTATTTCGATTCTGCAGTCTGCGGGTTAGGTCATGTGACATGTCAAGAAATTTCGGCGCATCTTCCAGAAAACGCCACGACTGTCCGATTCCAGCATCCCCGAAGAGAGATGGAATAGGAGCGAATCCATCCATCTCGGCCGCCTTTCCAAAACCTTGAGCATGATTTCCGTTTGCCAGGTGCGGAGTTGTCTCAGAGCAGCGGCGACGTAACGGTGGCGATTGCGTCAAGCCCATCGCGCACTCCGAATGCACTCGGCAGGCATGACACTGACAACTGGTTGTCCCATGTTGCACCCAGCGTTATTGAATTTTGATAGGTGTTTCGGCTTGTTCAAACCGATTCTGTTTCGCTACCAAAGCGCCGGAAACGTTACCGAAAGCAGCGACACAATGCAAGGAAGTCTGTGACCCAGCGTCCGCGGTTCCTCTCCGAACGCTCGCCCTTGAACAAGAGCCGGCTTTTTTTGGGTGGGCCAACCAACACTTGGATGTACGTTGCAATAATTGAAACGGCCCTAGGACAAATTGCCTAGCGTAGAAGGCTTTGATCAGCGAATTATTGATCCGCCGAGGGAAAGTACTGCGTGGGTCCTACAAGGAGCACGGCGCAAAGCTTTAACGATCCAGGATAAGGCTGAGATCTGCGGTAAGTACAGGTACCGAAGCGCGAAATGCGGATAAAGAGGATCGTTCTAGAATATGCGCCAGCCATGCTTACGTCGAGCTCTGAAGTCTCCCAATCCCGCCGAGCCAAACTGCCGAACCTTTTCGATACCACCAACCCTGTAAAGTTGCTCCACAATTCTCTTAACAATGTATGTGGCCATATGAATCAGCCTCGTATCTGCACTTCTAAATGCCCTGCGGTATCTATTTTTTTTTTACTCATTGTAAGACTGGAGGCCCTCGATGGCCTGAATCCCATCCGCTCTCGCTAAAAAATAATGTCACCCATTGAAGAAGATAGGCCTTGCATGCTTGCAGATAATCATGAATCAGTAGGCCGGTTCTTCATGATTTGGGATGCAATCATGGGTCAACGACAAGGCTGAAGCCTATGCCTGTGTGAATTTGCTTGCTCCCCGTAGGCTGGGCTCCCTTCTGTTTCACAATTTACCCAGCCGGTTGGGTCTCAATTCTTGAAACTCAGGCGAAGGTCTAAGTAGGACATACATACAATCCAAAGAGTGCAACCATCTCTTCGAGGCCATTTGGAATTTACTTCCCGCTGACCCTGACTCTGCCCAGTGTTTATGCTCAAATTGCCACGCCTCCAATCGCCGAAATTGCATAACCGTCTGCTTTTTGTGAGTTAACTTGATTAAGTTAACAAAGTCGGTTAACTTAAGACAAGAAAAAGCACTGTGCTTAGTCCCTTTTGCGGGCGTTGAAATCCGCATCACATATCCCGGGACCCTGTCCACACTACTGAGGTAGTGCTCCAACATTTGTTAACGAGAAAATTCCTTCCTGTAAGGCGCTGAGCTCGAGTAACGGGTGCACCCACTCGCTAAATCGCCCTACACTATCGAAGCCGCTTCTGCGGATGATGTTCCGCCCTGCCCTAGAGCATTCAGTCTCACCCTGGGCCACTCACGCTATCCACCCCCTCTTCGACAGTCACCTCTCCTCAAAATGTACTTGGGAAGTACATTTCGCCTGATCTTGGGATGCCATCGCTTGTTCAAGCTCCGGTCCGGTCCACGTTTTCTAGACAGCTGGAAAGTTACAAGATTGCAATGATTAATCGGTCCCAAAAGCTGCGCTCTGGAGAAAGGGGTCCAGCGGCAGCCAACGAGCGAACCTGCATAATTATCCCCTGAGGCCGCCGGAGATTGCTCCTTTGTGAGCCACGGACAAATAGAGTTTGCAAATACAAACGTAAGCGTTTCGGCTCAGCGCATCACAGATTTGGTAAAGACTATGGTCGAAACGTCTTGCGGTTTCTCTTGGATAACTACTGTATTGACTCGCACTTTAGCTCAGCTCTACTTCAGGAGCAGAATCATGTACCCGTCTGCTATCGACGTGTGCACCACCAAGTCCCAGTCACGGCGCTGCAGGCGACGGTTTTAGGGGGTCCAGCACTGAGTCATGGTCACGGCCTCCCGCTCCATTCACTGCTCTAAGCCTTACATAATCCTTTATGCATCGATCTGGTTTGCTTCGTAAGCCTTGTGTTCCCTTTGCATTTCTATGTTAGTCCACACGGCGGTGACAGTTGCCCAGATTGCAATGTACGCGAACAAAACGCCCAGCGAAAGACCAAATGCGTAGTGGAAAGGTAGAGTCCAGATCACGGCCGACACAGCGCCGATGTAGACACATACGCCGAGTAGCCACCACAACGTGAGGTTGACGAAGAACTTGCGAAACATCTTGTTGCTCTCATACCGTTCGTTGTATCTTACGCGAAACTCACGGTCTTGCAATCCGTCAACGGCGATGAAGTCCTCAGCGGCGTAGTAAATGAATGGCCGGATCTTGGTACCTCGTGGTTGCGAGTTGATCCCAATCGGGATGTTGATGGGGACATCGAGCGTAAATAACATGAGTAGACCCAAGAAACCCATGATGAAGCTTGGCCCATACAAGTACAGATGCGGAATAACCAGACTGCTTCCCACGACAAATGGAATAAGGGCCAGAACCATGGCAACAAGGTAAACCCAGGAGGTGGCATCAAGCTCCCACCTGCTTCGCGAGAGAAGTGGCGCGCACTGCTCTGGGTGAACAAACAGTCTCCACACTCTCGCGATCAGAATCCACAGCTCGCCCACGCCGAAGGAAGCTATGGCAGACCCCAAGATACTTTGGTCAAACTGGGGTCGGTCGAGTGGGCACGGCTGCTGATTTGAGTACAGCCTTCGACAATCGTCCTGCCACGCTGACTTGCGGTTGTTGTACCAGGTGTAGTAGATGATGATTGGGACGACGACGTCGAAGAGGACGATCATTGGCAGGCCTAACGTGATCCCCAAGTGCTGCCACGGATGCGCCTTTTTCTGAGCCAGCTTCGTTTCCTTTCTCTTGAGCGGAGGCAGAGCGGGTGCCATTGTCGAGCGGGCAGTGATTTCTCTGCTATACCCTGGCTGGCGAGCCTGGCCACCACATTTAGACCGCTGAGATGCAGTGTCGCTGCTTGTGGATGCCGTTGCGGAGAGTGGCGCTCCTGGATGCAACCCTCCCGTTGTTTTCTGGTCGTCCACCTCCCGTTCAGCATTTGAAGAAGCATCGAAAGCTCCTGCTTTTTCCTCCCCAGACGAGCGCGTCACTCGCGACGGATCTTCAGCCATTCGACCATTTCCTAGTGGGCATTTAGGCTCGTCCATCCGAGCCTTCTTTGATTGTGTAGATCTACAAGTTTGGTGCTCCGGTTGTCACGTCGCTAAAAACTAGGCATCAGCATCAGTGTGCTGAATCGATGCTTGATTTGTCTGCCTCTTTTTTGTGGTTTCGATGTCAGTTCGGATACATTGAGTCAGTAGATGTCCATCAATGAAAGTTCACCGCTATATTTGACCTGGTTGCGGACTTGACGGATACATCTTTTTGCTTACTAAAAATTATCTCCGCTTGGTGGCAGCGAATTGACCTGTCTTCACGCGAATACTTCGGCCAACCATAGCGTTGAGATTCAACATTCGTGTGCGCGCTTTCGGCTTTTTGCGCTTGTGAGGACGGTTACGGCTTCACCGGATGCGATACTTTCAGATCTTAAAGATGCTTTGCAGTCCAAGACTCCGACTTTCGGCGACATGAAATTTAACGCACATGTCAAGCTTTCGTCCAAAAAAAGTTAAATAAATAAATAAATAAATAAAAATGAACCCGATTTCGATGGCTAGCAAATACACCATAGAAAATTTGCGATGATTTGTGACAGCATATGAGAAATAGAAGACGTAATGATGCGCACATATAATCCCCTCCACGCGTAGACAAAAAAAAAGTGAAAAGAGCTTGGACGAGTTTGCTAGTTATTCGGGAAACCGGCACGCACGTTATCATACTCAGATTGAGGATAACTCAGCAGATTTGGGCTCTGATCAAGGGCCTCTTCGCCACCGAACGAGTGGACAACCTGATTTTACATTTAGCTTTTCTCCTGTTGCCCGGAAACGCAGGCTACGCACCGTTCCGATCAGACTCTCGCAACCAGACTTGTCCGCGCTGCTTTCCCACCACATTCCGCCACCAAGCCCCTTTGACATGATGTATGCAGCCTTCATGCTTGCGACATCCGGCGTATCGTACGAGATCATCAGACGCTGCGTAGGGTCGTAACTCCAGCTTGCTATGGCTTGCTCATCAATCTGAATAGATGCACCAGGCTGAGGCAAGGCTTTGTAGTCCCAAACACCGTTCTCCCAGCTCCCGGATCCAACACCGCTGAACGGCGTACCTGGTCCATCCGTATTCTCGAAGCTACGACCATATAGCGGCATTCCTAGGACCAATTTGTCAGAAGCAACCCCATTAGCTATATAATATTCGACAGCCTGATCCGTGTTGAAGGGTGTGCTTTTTGGGTTTGAGATCGATGCGTAAACGTTAGCATCGTGGCCGGCAATTGTGTCCCAGGAGCCAGAGTAATCATAGGCCATCAAGTTCCAGAAGTCGAGGTACTGATCCATTTCCGCCACGTGCAGCTGCTGGTAATTTGCAGGTCCCGCTGGACATGCGACAGAGAGCAACAAATGGTGGCCGTTTGCATATGCTGCAGAATAGTTGTCTAGTTCCTATTTGCCAATCAATTAGACGGCCTGAGAAATCGAGCTCTTTTGGAACTCACCGTGCGAATGGCTTGGAGTAAAGACACCATGTTTTGAGCCTGCGTGTCATTTGCCGGATATTCCCAGTCAATGTCGAGGCCATCAAACCCCAGGTTTTGGATCAATTGGACTGCGCTTGTTGCGAAGTTCTGACGACCCTGAGGCGTGCTCACTGCTTGGGGGAAGTTTGGGGAGTAGGTATATCCGCCTATTGACAGGAGTACCTTGAGCTTACGGTTCTGCTTCTTGAGCAGATCCAGCTGCTTTACGCAACCATAGACATTCGTTCCGACGTCATTCCAGGAATCCGTGGAGTAATGCTTCTCAATATCAGCCCAGGGATCGGAGAGGTAGACTTCTCCAGTGTTTGGATTAATGTTCGCGAAGGCGTACAGAACGTGGGTGAGCTCGCTCGCTGTGAGGTTTTGAGGGTTGAAGTTACGACCATAGATTGCCCAGTTGACGAAATATGCTACCGAGCGATACGCAGGGCTGTAATTTCTACCTCCTGGTGCTGCACGCGCCCTAGACGAAGATAGAAGGCAAAAGAAGCTAATAAGAACACCGAGCAAGTACGTGAAATACATCATAAGTACTGGCAGAGAAAGTGGTGTTGTATGAAGAAGCAAGCTTCACAGAAGCATGGTGTTAAGGAAAATGAATGGATTGAAATAATGCTTCACCGTAGGAGGATGAGGTAGTCAGTAAAGGCCCTTGATCAAATGGAAATGCGTCTAGCGATTCGTGTGACTCTCGCACAAGACATTTACTGAACTCCTTCATCTGCCTGATGAACAGGCCCGGAATTAAGTGAATCTAGACCAAGACCTCTCAAGGGTTGCTCCGAAGATAATCAGACGTTACCTCTCGAACCAACCGCTCGCTATGAGCAGAATACGTCGTCTGAGCGAAGCGCCTGATGTTCAGGGTCGACGATAGAACGAAAAGAACTATCTTTTAACGAGTTCGCCTTTGATGTTAGCCACTTCAACCTTGGGCGAATACGATATGAACATCTCAGCTGATCCCGTCCCTCATCTGCCGATTCTTGTGCAACGGTAACCATTCTGTGACTATTGCCTTTTCATCCTTCGGGGATGAAAGTGGACCAGAGAAGGCTGCAAGCAGCTGCGGCTTGAAATGATCAAGACGGTACATCGCTCCGTGGCGGTCGAGTCTTCTGATCACAACAACCCTTGCTGAGAGCCTTGCCTTGTTGGTTTGAAAGATGACCAGATGTCTTAACAAGCGCAGGAACTTTCCACCAAGGTTGCGGCAAACGCAAAGAGCGACTCCAATCTTCAAACCTCCTCGATCGGATTGCAAGTCAACGTAAATGGGATTGTCAATAGCAGCATCATCTGGGAGGACGGGTGGCGAATGATGCTGAGAAGGAGAAAGCCTCCGTTCTGGACCCCGTCACAAGACGCGAGCGTCAAGCGCATTGAAAAGTCACATCTTCTTCGACAAGCAGCTGGTCCCACGGCGTAAGCCTACATGCATACACCCTGCGCTGCCATACTGACCTCGCTCGGCTTTTTTGTCCTTGTCAAAACTTCGGCGGCCGAGAGGCGGGTGGACAGTAAGTTACAGTAGCATGCTGGCTCGCAGAACATCACTCTTCGGCGACTTTCGTCGGGCATTTGTGACCAACACCGATCGACACCAAAAGGGTTCGTCGGACACCGCCATGAAAATCGTATGCTTGCGCTTACCCATACCCCAATTTTTTTTATTTACACGTCAATATCACTGGACACATGTCATGTACCAAAGTAGTATATACATGTATGTATCGCACAAGATTCTTTGCAGGGCAGGCTTCGTACAGCAGTCCAAAGCTTCGTGCGGCACTTGGAAAAGCCATACAACCTTCCTATTCAGCTTCGACCGCCTGACTCTTTTCGCATCAAACCCATCGTCTGCTTGGCCCACGCCAAAGCTCCCAAGGTTCCATTGCAAACCCAGCGGCCATGACTCTCGGACACGCTCACGGTGACGCTCTCGGCCCCTGTGATATCTCTGACCGTCTCTCTGGACCATGTCAACCCGAAATCCATGCTTCGCCTCTCAGCTGGCGACAAGAGCAACTACAACTGACCACACCGTCTCAATGCTCCCCGTGTGTTTGAATATCATATCTCCTTTCAACGTGTGTTCGCGATAAGGTAAAAGTCCCTCATGCCAAGGAACGCTTGAGGTGGTGACGAGTGCACGCTTGAATCAACGGCAGGGCATGCAGACTTCAAAAGCTAGGTTCAAAATTTGTAAGCGAGGAGTGGTAGATTTTCAGGATGAAAAATTCTAGAAGGAGTTCAACCAGGCAGCAACCCAAGCCCAGGTGAATTCAACTGCATTCATGTTTTGCTGTTCGAATACAACAGAGTAGACTATGAAACATTCTTATAGCTGCCCTGAACCGACGAACAAAGACATGCTCGAATAACTTATGGGAATTCTTCATGTTCTGAAGCTACTTTGCAACTCCACCAAGAAAACATAACGCGTGAACGCTAGCAAGCAATCGTAGCCAAAATACAGGACGAATTAAGTTGAAACAGGTCTTGCGCTGTCCTCCTGACCCTGAGTTTTCACTCTCTTTGTGTCTGTATCCGTGCCTCCTCCATCAGGAGGCACTCCTACCTTAAGGTTGCTCACGTCACCCAACGGCGGCCTGCTGATTGTTTCCGGAGGCCCTCGCTTGACGCCAGCTGGACCAGGAGGTCGATAGCTCCCTGGTCTCGCACCGGGGCTTTGTAAGCCAGGTTGTTGCGGCACGCCTATCTTCCTATGCGGATCATGTTGTGGATTCACGTAGTTTGGTCTGGGTAATGGGGACATATTGTTGCCTTGAGGCGGATGTTGAACGGAGTTATTGATGTTATTGTTTACGTTAGAGCTCGCAAAGCCTTGGGCAGGCCCGTTAATAGGTGCGGGGGAAGACAATGCCACACCAACCTCATCTTTTCTGATGGGGGCGCTGGTACGGTGATTGACACCATTGGTCTTTCGTATCGAGGGACTTTCAGCATGAGGATTGAAAGCAGAATTTGCTGGTAGTTGGCCGTTGGAGTTCTGAACCATTTCTGCGACTCTCCCTCTAACGAATCCGACTGGCGGTCCAGGCATTTGCTGTTCACCGGAGGAAGCTCCTTGCGGTCCCTGAGCCGGCGGTCGTTGCTGAATACTCTCTGGTGTGCATGATGTAGCCCGATGATGTATTGAAGTCGACTGTTGTCGGTTGGGCTCAGATATTCGATTTTGCTGTCCAGTCTGTCCTCCTCGGATAGACCCTACGTTGGACTGACCAGTCATGGTTGGTGCAGTCGGTTGATGTTGCTGCTGTGGCTTTGGCTGTGGTCGTGTAGTTACGTTCGGCTGCTGCTTCGGTTGTTGTGGCACTGATTGAGCTTGCTGGACGGGCAAGCGAGTTGTTGTGCTATTCATTTCTTGCTTAATAGTGTTGTGTTGGTCTTCCACCATTTCGTTGTCCGGAACAATGAACTCATCGGATCTCGTGAAATCAACATCATCAAACGCGTTTCCACCAAACTCGTCGTCATAATCCGTTGCTGTCGAAGCCTTTGAGAGCTCGCTCAAAGTCCTGGTTGGCGGAATTGAAACTTCCTTCTCAACAGGTGACTCCTCGTTTGGAGCTTTCTGGCCAACAACATCTGGATGTCGGTGCAATTTCTCTTCTGTCCATCTTGACGGTGGAGGCTTGATCTTGACAACCTTTTTCAGATACTCTTTATCGTAGAGGCAATTACCCAGTACGTTTCCAAAGTTTCTTAGCGCTCTCTTCATTGCATCAGTTGCAGCCTCTTTCTTTGTCTTCTCAAACGCAGCGCCCTTGCCGGAGCAATTTGATATTGTACCGTATCCAATATCTTCATGATAGGTGCCATCTCTGAGGGTGACGCGCATAATTATACTGAGACCCATAGAGACTCTGCCATCTTTTTCGATATCGACATAGTCGATCGTGGTGTCACGGATACTCGTCGACCAGCCGTTAAACCCAAAGACCTCGTTGGCTAGATTGATGATCTTCTCGGCTCCCAAATAATGTACATTCTGCCCGCCGGGACCTTTTCGCGTGGATATGTATTCCGGTCCTAATTGCTTGTCCAAGCGACTTTGGAGAATAGCAATCTCCTTCGCCGTGTACTCTTGTATGCGTGGGGGCTCCTCGTCAAACGGGTTCGCTATGTAGTGCGCTTGCCGATGGAGATCGCCGCGTCTTTTCATGATTAGCTCACGTATTCAACAGGCTGCTGGACTTACGTAGGCATTTGGCATTCTTTGAAAGGTTGAGAATGGTCGATAACGTTTCCGCCGTACGCGTTGTTTGAAGACGCGACACCAAGGCAGCGATCTAAAACGGACTCACAAGGAAGGTGAGGCACGTCTGCACGTGATGCTGTTTATTTTTCCAAACCACTCGCGCACGCTCTATTTTACATTCTACCCTCCTCGTTACAAAGATGAGTCTACGATTAACACTTGGATTGGGTGCGAGACTTGTCGTCGAATTTCTGGTGCGATCTAAAAGCAAGAACTCATGGCAGCAAGGTGTTAGAAGTTGAGGGTGTGTCGAGGTGATCTATTTGCTGCGTCAATAAGTAGATTCAAAGCGGAACACGTTCCACTGCGGATCCCGTTTTGACAAGCGTGTACTCTTGGTGGACTCAGCCATATATCTAGTGAACGGGGCATCAATTTATCGCTATTGAACGTACGATCATCCACAAGTTCATGCTCAAGTCGATAGAATGTTATTTCCTTGTTCACTATCCTCATCCACAACATGTGCGAGGCGATACGGGCCAAGAGCTGAAAGCCTGCTATGTCTAAACAGGCCAGCCGTATGGTCATGTATGATATCCAACAGCCAGTTGTACTCCCTGAAGCTATCCCCACTGTCTGCCAGCCTCCTCGTGTTAGGAGCGTAATCGCCCCAACTGTCGGTTACGGTCGACGCCGAAGATACAGAGGTTGGATGCCGCAAATCATCCTCGGTGTTCACATTGCTAGACAGGGTCGACATGAAAGCAGCCGGCCATTGCGGCGTTGGTGGAGGAGAAAGCAGTGCAGTTGGTGAAGAAGGAAGTGCGCGTAGGAATGGCAGAAGCTTCGATAGAGGGAGAATGGAAATATCGAGGGACATCCTATTGCTCCTATACAAACCGCATGGAAATGATTCAGCTCTAAGCACGTAACCATCTACCATGTAGGCGATTAACCCACGAGCTCTCCTGTGTCTTGTTCCCCGCATTGTCTTGCTTCACAAGTTCGGACTGAGACTCTGCCGTGCTCGACGCCAGAGACGGCACTTTCTCGAATTTCAAGTAATCACCATCTCCTACGTCTTTCGTCATACCCGATGACGACGAGTCTGATGATGATACCGCGGACAATTTCCGAGCGCGGAGACAACCCTTGAGCGGTCCGTTCTCGCGATACAGAAACAGCAACAAGCCGATGAGGATCAGGAAAACTACGGCCCCGACGACCATTCCAGCGACAGTGGCGACAAAGCTCTTATCTTTCAGTGGATCTGCGGTCGAGAACGCGGTTGCGGTGTTGGTCTGCCGCCTGTGAAGGGGATCAAGCAGGCTTGTGACGGGTGCCATATCGTCTTCTTCAAGATTGAAACCCAGAAGTTCGTAAGAATGCCAGCACTCTGTTCAAATATGGACCACGTATGTTCGGAGTACAAGTGATTCTCAAGAGGATTGTGGTTTTAGAGCGACCCGCTGAAGGTAGGAACGTTGGGCAAGGTTGTGCGGCTTGAATTTATATCGTGTGTGCAAAGATTTCGATGCTGGTCGTCCTGAATAAACGTTGGCGTTCTATGGTGGATTATCAGGTCCAGGGATCGATGAAGTATGACCTGAAGAAGCTGCCGCCGTGCTCTTTGTTTATCGCTTTTTGCCAGGAAAGCGTGACTCTTGCCTGGGACAGTCGAGGCCGATGATTGCGAAGAAAACGACGACGACGCAGAAAATTTTGAATGGACAACTTCTCTTCAAACGAACAGGCTCTACTTGGCGCCAATCGCTCGAGAGAAGCAAAGATGGACGGATGTCGATGACCCAGGAAGCCAGATTCTCTCAATTGCTATCGGTCGGAGGGACAGTGCAGGCGATCAACAAAGGAACCAGTCCTCGTTCTACACGACGTAACCACGCAAACGGATGAAGCACGTGTATTAAAGGAAGAGCTTTCACCGACTCCGGCCCCTTTGTCTCCGCCTTTGACACTGCCTACACGCGTCAGTTTCGCCATGCAATTCTCATGTGTGCGGAACCTGTTCTGCGTCAACTTGGCGGAGCACTTTGCGTCAGCTTGGCAAGATGTTTTGAGCCGCAAGATGCTTCATGACGAAGCCAAGCTCTGCTGACCACACGGCTGGGAGGCTGATTGAGCTGCGTGTTTCATTGGCGTGAAACGTTTGCAAGAACGCGTCACGGCGGTTGGATGTACAGATATTCTCGGGCCGGACCGGGGTAGCAGCAGCGCAGCTTGATCACGTATGGACTCTGTGCTATGAAATCGGCGTTGAACATAAGCTATTCAAGGCTCTATTAGTCACGAAGGCGCTTAGCAGGCATCACGATCTCAAGTGACGCATTTCGTGAAGCAGCCATAGCGCCCGTGGAGGCGACAAGAAAGCATGGCAAGAACCAAGGACCATCCCATACTGTTGGCCTAATCGTCTATTCCAGACGCTTGCCGTTGCTTCTTCTTGTACTTTTCCAACGCTTTTGCTTGCTCACTGTCCGAGAGTCCAGATGCGACCACAAGCCCTTCGCCTCTCTCCGCCCTTTCGCGCGCAATGTCCTTCGATGTTACGGGCGTGTCTCTAAACGCTTCTCTGATGAGTTTGTGATCCCCGTCCACGATTTTTTCCATCTGGCCGTGTCGTCGAAGCGACTCATTCCGCCAGCTGAGCTGTCCGCCATCGGCCTCGCGATGCTTCTGTGCGTTCAGACGAGCGGCCTGTATCGAAGTGCGTGAATAAAAAAACAGCATGCATGCCATCGTGAAGGCTGCGGCGGGTGCAACAATGGTCTACAAACACTCACGTGCATCAGCCAAAGAATGGAGAAGTCAGCGCAAAGCGGATGGGGAGATTAGGATTCGCTCACGCGTGTGTTGATGCGGAACCGAGGCGGAGTCGGCCTCGATGTTTCGGACAGCTTGTCCGTATTGTGCGGGACTGACAATCTTCCTCCCATGATGGACGGGTCAACCATGCGCGACAAGAGGCATTGGGAGCGCAGTCAAGACCGTACGTTGATGCGCAGAGAAGGATATGGCATGACGCAGGTGTGCGGCTTGCATTTGCGTGGCGCAGATCGCCCATCTGGGGCTTCCTCTGCGCGACCCCCCGCTTAAGCATGGAGCTTACAAAGCGGACACACTGCAGCCATCCTCCAGGCGTGGCGAGTCGTGACGCTTCGTGCTGGGACCAATAATCCCGTCCTCGCAGATCAATCCGCCTGCCCGTACCTTGCCTATCGGAGCCTTGCATTGCGTGCTTAGATTGATTATCTTGACTGTTCTAATCAGCGTCCGTTGGCTTGCAGCAACCAATCCTGCACGGCCGGACCGCAAGCTCCAGGCCTAACCTCTCTTACAAATTTCGTCATTTGCCCTGACAAATATAAGCTCCCTCGTCCCTCTTTTTCCTAGCTACGTCTACCATTATATATGAAGCCTCCCGGCCGGCCCAACCTTTTTCACACCACGTTTACCAAGGCCGTACACTCACACGCTTCCAGACTGGCTGCGCAACGACTCTCGGCCGTCTCACGACAGTTTTCTTTGTCGGCACAGGCCATGGCGCCAATACAGAAGGAGTGTGATTTCTTGGTAATCGGGGGCGGCAGTGGTGGCCTTGCATCTGCAAGGCGGGCAAGTGGCATGTATGGAGTCAAGACGATTGCGATCGAGAGCAAGCGATTGGGTGGTACTTGCGTCAACGTCGGGTATGGTTTGCACTTTTCGATGTGAAGCAGAAAAACTCTTGCTAACGGGTTATAAGGTGTGTCCCAAAGAAGATCACCTGGAACGCGGCATCGATTGCTGAGACGATACGTCACCACGCAAAGCCCTACGGCTTCACGGTAGAGGAACCTGCGCCATTCGACTGGTCTACCTTCAAGAAGAAACGAGACGCGTACGTCAAGCGCCTGAACGCCATATATGAGAAAAATCTCGGCAATGACAAAGTAGAGTACATTCACGGCTGGGCCAGCTTTACGGGTAAGAACGAAGTCGAGGTCAAGCTGGATGACGGCACCACGCAGTCCATCAAGGCGAAGAAGATCCTAATTGCCGTTGGCGGCCAGCCGACCAGGCCAGACACAAACAAAATTCCCGGCGCGGACTTGGGAACCGACAGCGATGGCTTCTTCGAGATTGAGAACCAACCGAAGAAAGTTGCCATTGTGGGTGCCGGATACATAGCTGTGGAGTTTGCGGGCATGTTCAACGCCTTGGGGACTGAGACCCATTTGTTCTTCCGCCACGACAAATTTCTGCGCACCTTTGATCCAATGATCCAGGACAAGGTTGTTGCAGAGTATGAGAGGCAGGGTGTGCATCTGCACAAGAACTCGAAGCCGACGAAGATTGAGGAGGTGGGCGATGGTCAGAAGCGCATTTACTACTCGGACAGCAATGGAGAGGGCACGGTCGATGTGGACCACATCATTTGGGCTATTGGGCGCACGCCACTGACGCAGGGTCTTGGGCTAGAGAAGCTCGGTGGCATTGATTTGAATGAGAAGGGCCATATTAAGGTAGACAAGTTCCAGAACACCAGTGTAGAGAACATCTACGCCCTGGGAGATGTGTGCGACCGGGGTTTCGAACTCACGCCTGTCGCTATTGCCGCCGGTCGTCGTCTCGCCGATCGTCTCTTCGGTGGCAAGCCGGAGGCGCATCTCGAGTACGAGAACATCCCGTCAGTTGTATTCTCACATCCTGAAGTTGGCTCCATCGGCTTAACGGAACCGGAGGCACGAAAAAAGTATGGCGACAGCGTGAAGGTGTACCAGGCGAGCTTCACAGCAATGTATTACGCCATGATGGACATGGACCAGAAGGCCCCAACGGCTTACAAAATCGTGTGCGAAGGACCAAAGGAAAGGGTTGTAGGCTTGCACATAATGGGCCTTGGAAGCGCCGAGATCCTTCAGGGTTTTGGGGTTGCAATCAAAATGGGAGCAACGAAGGCTGATTTCGATCGTTGTGTTGCTATTCATCCAACAAGCGCCGAGGAGTTGGTCACGATGAAATAGAGATGCTGATTAGACCAGATAAGTGCATGAGAGCATAGATGGTTTTTTCAAGCCACCTACCGCGTGCTGTATTACAATCTAAAGTGACTGATCACAACGTACACAGATATGCGTCTGGTCGAATCTGTGCAAAGCGACTTGCACTTTTGCAAACTCGTGCAGTACCACATGTCTCCTAGTCGATACGAAATGGGCGAGACTTGCATCCGATGGTCCTTATCGCTGCACATAATACATACAAGTGCATATTCCCCAGAAATTCTGCCCTGTCGGTGATTTCTTTGCGTCTTTGCACGACACCAGCTTACCGAATGTTCGTCATCTTAGCTAGTCATTGGATGACAGGATCGTCTCAGCTCCAAGTGAGGCATGTCCCATCGCTTTCACTGAGGTCCGGCAAGCTACCTTCTCCCATTCATGGCCAGCCAACGTTGCAAAGATTGTTGGTAACTAATATATGAGCCTGGAAAAGCATGAGTCGTTTATAACTTGTTGACATCCGGAGGGGTTCAGTCCATCGAATGTACGCAGGATATGTAGAGATATGGTATGTGATCTTCTGATGAAAAGCTTTAATCATTCTTCACTTATTCTTCATGCCACTATCACCTACCATTCTGGTACCCAAGTAGTGACATTTTGTGGCCCCGCAAACTTTTATCACCCCATTTACCGTCCATGTCCTTTCACTTCCGCCTAGGAATCAGCACGTAACGTTTCATTGCACATACATCTCGCACACTCTCTCGTCAACCTCGTTGGACAGGCAATTGGCTCTTTAGGTGTCTCCAGGTTTCTTTTCGTCGATCATCCAAAAGATATAAGTAGAAGGCACTGAAGAAGTTTGAAGAAGATATTTGACATGCGTCGCGGCCTCGTTTCGTCATCGAGACGATGTCATTATCAGGACCAACATTGGGTGCGCGAAAGCCTGGAACGAGACAGGAACGGCGAAGGATGCGATCAACAGCTCAGTGAGACGTTTAACAAATTGCAGAATCCGATGATGGATATGGTCAGTGGCGAGGGTTCGAAGAGGGACAGAGAGGATGAGAGGACTGGTTATGACGAAAAGGCAAGTTCTACACCTTCACCAGCAAAACACTGCCCAAAATCCCAAGAGAATAGTGAGAGCAGCGGAGTTAGCAGCGCATCAGAGCCAGAGCTTAAACCTAAACCACTCTTTTCCGGACGTCAAGCGGTATGTGTGCCACTCACTCGGTCCGCCAATGCAGAAAGCTTTAGTGAATGGTCAATGGCCTCGAGCCGTAATATGTCCAGCTCTGCAACTACGATGACGGCCATGACTTCTGGGGCTTCAACCGCCAAAATTCATGATTTCAAACTCACAGGGCAAGCGGACTGTCATTACCATACTGTAAGACCTTTTCCAGCACCCGGAGTTTTCTTGCGCGAATCAGTCGAACACATCGTCTTCCCTCCCGGATACAGTTCGCTAGCAGCAAAACCAACAGTGGTAGACACGCCCAGACAGCGCATTCCAGTCTTAGTCAACACAGAACGCTTCGCGGACACTTTAAATCAGGGCAAGCATCATCGCCAACATTGGATGAAAGAAGGGAACGGCACGCTTGCACACTCAGAGCCCACAGCCGTCCTTTATACCATAAAAACCTCTACTCAACAGACTTTCGATGGCTTTTCATCTAAGCAGTCAGAGCCTCCCATGCCACTCTCCAAAATCTGGACACCACCACCATATAAACCACCCGAAACCAGGAAGCCGCAAAATGTGCGCCGTAACCTACTGCCGAACTACACATGCGTCCAATGTAATACTGGAGCATATCAAGCTGAAAGTGGAAGTGTTCACAAGTCTACCCTTAGTACATCACCAAACCCAATGAGAATTCGAGATGACAGCAGCCAGTTCACTAAGGAGCAGGAAACACGCAAGGACTCTTTCAGTCTCGCTAGCACGCCCAAAAGAAGCAACTCATCACGTTCCTTGCCTTCTCCAAAGCAGGGTCTCATTACCACGCTGACCCAGAGCACCAACTCTCCTTCTTGCCAAAACGTCTCAGCAACTTCTGCAGAATATGAGCAATCAGCAGCCGCGGCTGAGGATCGACTTAAAAGATTTCGATTTGTGGACAATGCTGAGCCAGTCCCAAGACGTATAGACACGTTCGCGGTTCATCCTGTTTTCCGCGAAGAGGGCAGCTCTCACGCGAAATTGGCTGGACCGGAATTGCTGGAACACGATTACTATTATACATGTAACGAAGAAAGTCGAGGCAATTTAACGTACACTCATCCAGACTTGCCTAATTGGCTCAATTCTTTTTCACCACCACGGCAAGAGCTTATCATCGATCCCAATGGTTTTCTTTCCGGTCCACCTCGTCCCTATTACAGTCGTATTCCTAGAGCCAGATCCAACACAGATATGGCTACACCCGCGACAAGGAACGTGTGCACGAAGCGCTCACATGTTGATACTCTTATATCACCACAAATGGTCCGTACAACTGGCCAAGCAAACTCCGAGCGCCTTTTGCCGCGCCAGCGTTATGGTCCGAAGATGGAGAGGGCGCCTCCGAAGGCAATGCGTGTGCTTGGCCCGTACGATGCAGCAGTTGACGTTGAGCTGAAGGAGGAGAAACATCAGAAGCGGGAAAAAACGAAACGCAAGATTGAGGGCGTTCTGGAGGCGGTTAGCAGTGCTCTGGAATTAGGCTAGAAGCCAGTCGCAGGCGGGGTGCAAATCAGAAATGAATTCAAAGCCAGAATAGAGTGGCCATCTTGCTCATGTTTGCGAGAGGCATTTGCGACATATGACTTCATATCAAAAATTGGTCAAGCCAAATGTCTGCTGGAGGGCACAGCATCTTGCGCAACGATGCGTAACGCAATGCAGAGAATCGCAGCAACAATTCGAAGTGTGAGAACCACGCGGACCAGTGACAATTAATAGCAATAAACATTAAGTTATATTTTTTTTCTCGTGATGACCCCAATCTACGGTTTAAACAATCCTTTGGGCCCTACCGCCTATTCTAGCGTTCAGCAGCCTCTGCTTTCTAGGGTCCCGTGTTGCCGTCTGTTTGTAGATGATACCCTCGCCTGTAAAATTACCACTTTGGGTGGTGAAGGAGCTCTCGTCGCTGAAACTGCTGACCCTTCCTAGAAGCAGCTCCAGAGCCCTGTATCCGGCCCCCGCGGCATAGCCTGGCAGCTCGTGGCCGGCGAGCTGAACTTGGTAGAAGGTCAGACCACGCTCAGCACCCCAGTAACCCAGAATACCGGCGCCAGCGAGGGCGCCGCCGTTGTATTCCGGGTGATACGGGACGTAGAAAGGCGTGCCCGGATACTCCTGCAGACCTTGGAGACCATTCCAGGTCATGTTCTGGATTGCAAGCAGGGTGCCGTTTGTGTTGAGTAAGAAATCTAGGTTGCCGGAGCCAATGATGACATTGTTTGTGTATTCGATCACGCGTTGGAGGACTCCATTTTGAGCCGGTCCAAGAGAAAGGTCGTGGCCAGCTGAGTAGTTTGTGGTCCTTGTAGGCTGGTTGCCAAACACGTTGACGTCAGTGCACTGCTGCCAATTGGTACCAACAGGCGCGTTGATTGCTTCTTGCACGTCTGTGCGGTTGAAGTAAACCTGGGCACCAGGGGGGCTGTAATCTCCAGGATTGATGATCCCCAACTCAGAGTATGGGTGAGGGCAGGTCTCCGTGATATGATAGATGTTGAAACATGGATTGACTTCAAGAGCTGCCGCGTAAATATCGTCGAAGATATCGCATTCGTAAGTATCCGAGTAGTACGGATCCGGAAGCACGGGGAAGATCTCGTTAGGAGGAGGGAACGTCAGGTACTTCTCCATATACGAAGAATAGTTGCAGTGGTCATTCCATTGATCCATTGTCTCCAGAAAAGTGTCGTTAAGATATAACAGCTCCTGGAAGGCGTGCACGTATGGCATGATGGTAACTTGTCCCTGGTTCGTCTCATCGCCGATGATGGGATCGTTGATCGCAATGCCTTTCAGATTGTAGTACACGGTATCATTAGCGCCGATGAAAGCGTCAGCAATGTACGGTACGTAAAAGCCAGCATAACTCTCTCCTGTCAAGTACATGTCGAAATTGTGCATATCAAAGGTGTCCACAAAGTTCTTCCAGAAGCCAATGAATTGTTGGCCAAGCTCAACTTCGTTTGTAATGTTAGGAACACCAGTGGTGAAGCCAACGCCAACGGGCTGCTCGATCCAAACGTAATTGGTCAGGTTGTGCCATGAGTACGGATTCTGCACAGGGGCAAGCGTGCCATCTTGCCAGATGAAAGGCCCGTTCTCCGTTAGAAGACCCGAGAGAGAACTGCACCCCGGTCCGCCATTGAACCACATGCCAACTTCATTTGTGGCATTTGGGTTGCTGGACGGGAAGAACCAGAAATACAGCTTGCGTTCTTCATTTGGGTCACTGCTGATGGGAAGCAGACCGGCATAAGACTCGCCGACATCAAAGGGAACATCGGGAATCGCAGAACCATTCACAGCGAATTCTGCAGAGTAAGATGAGCCACAAGGATTATGAAGGTGTCGCCAAATAACTCACGCTTCGTCTTTTCCGTTAACCACGGACTGGCAGAGCCATAGCCGGACTGCCTCTTCTCCGAAAGGCCCTTGGATTTCGCGAGAATGTTCGGTGCGGCGCCCGAGGAGCCCGCAAGGACCAAAGAAGTAAGAAACGTAAGTGCAACCTTCATGCTGGGCATTGAAACAGGTCTCAACCTGGTTACAGGGCACCTTGCAATAAACCGATGCACAGGCACGACACGTTCAGTGGCCAGAGATCAAAGGAAAACCTCAAGGCTTTTATCCCAAAAGCTTCGCTCGCCCGCCACCTGATAAGACGAGGTCGCATACACGCGGGAAGAAGTGGGAAAAAGCACAGCATCGTACCTGCGCTGCTACGGCACTACACCCTTAGTGTCCAAGGATTGAATCGAAATGCCGGCGATACAGGCACTGCAACCGGCTCGTTAAGCAGCAGAAAAATGGGGCGCTCGAGATACACGCATCCCGGACTCTTCTAAGCGTCATAGTTCGTGCCCGGACCGGCCGCGGTCTCTTTGCTCTGATTCGAGCGTAAGTATATCTCTCCGCGATGGTCGCTGTCCACCTCCTACGAGGGGTAAGACTTAGGTGGGAACGCAGGTACATGGATCACAGAGGGTACAAGCTTCTGCAAAGGGATCTTAACCGCTTGTGCATGCGGAACGACGGCGGCAAGAGGGCTTATCATGTGTGTTTGTCTGGCATCCGATCTGCAAACAAGCTCGTGTAGATTGCTTATTGCCTGCTAGATGTGGCTTAGCTCCGAGACAACCTCACACGACTCCTGGTCGTCCGCTGGATGAGAACAAAGATCATTTGCTTGCCAACAACATTCATCCACGATGTTCTCACAGCCGCGGCTCGACTCCACAGCATCGCTTGATGTTTTTTTCCGGATGTTCTTGAATTTTGTGTGTGATGGGGGTTTGCCCGTGATCACTAGGCCAATACGAACCAGTGCGTTGTGCTCCATTGTACTCCGTTACAGCCGAACCAGTTCGTCGGGGCCATGCAAGATGCTACTTATCTAAAAGCTATGATTTTCTTCATCGCTTGGAATAACTGTGGCGGGGTCGCTGACGTTGAAAGCCAGTGTATGATGGGGCTAAAAACACTCGGTTTTCCACCCATTCTCACTAGTCAACAGCGTCGGGATATTTCCCTGTCTGCAAAGCGATCTACAAGCAGGCAGCAGTTCTGACTAAACCCGTCGAGGAAGGAAGGAAGGAAAATGATGTCCATGACGCTAGATTTTGCGGCGGCCAAGATTCATCTAGACAAAGTACAGTGACAGTAGATACCTTCCATTCTGGCTTGCGTCCCAGCCGCCGTAACTATGTCTGTTTCTCATCACATGCTCTCAATCTATCTTGCAGTTCCAGCAGCCAAGTCCTCGTCTTCGTCGCTAGCTTCCCGACCTTCATCCTCATCCCAGCTTTCCTCGTTTACGCCCTGCTCCAGAATCCTCATCCCCGCCAATGCCTGCAATGCCCGTCTAATCTCACCGTCTGGAAGCCTTCCCAGCGCCTCAATTCCAGGTCCTAACATGCCTGGGCGCCCACCGATTGGTCTTGGATCATAAGTTCTTATTTCGCTGAGTGGTGGAAACGGGTCCTGCGTGGGGCGATCCCCTGGATCCAGATGGATGTCGTCGTAGGTTTCGCTGTCCGCAAGTAAGCGCATGAATGCATCGTTCTCGGTTAGATAAACGTGTCGTGCCGCTTCGACGGTTAGGCTGGGGGCTTGGGTAACCATAGTGGATGCACCCACTTTGCTGAGTTCTTTGGCGACGTTCTGGAGTAATGACTTGGCTTCAGTGTTGTTCCAAAGGTCCTTTGCACGCATTGTGTACATTGTGCTGTATAGCTTTGTGTTTGGATCGGGAGCTTCATGATGAGGCCAGAGCGAAGGGGGTATGGGTTCGATTTCGACCATCTTGAATAGTTGATGTGCAGTATATCTGTCACGTTCCATAGCCTCCAGTAGAGCTGCCTTTGCCTCTTCATGTCTGGACAACCGTGATAGACACAATGCTACCGAATATGGTAGGCTCCACTGGTAGTCACTCGGCTGCCCAAATATACCTGTACGGTACAGCTCGAGGTAGTGCTGGGCCTGATTCGCGCGCAAAGCATACTGGTCAATCACCAAAGTAATGAAGTATGGATCGTCCGGCAGTCCCAGGCAGAGGAGCATTTTTGCCCACTCATAGACGGTCCGCCAAGTGCTTCGCATGCTTAGATCTTGAATATATCTCCAGCACGCCAGGTAGAATTCTCTGTTCTCTGGTCTGTCGAAGCTAAGTCGAGCCTTGCCCGCAGCAACAGCCGCAGTGAAAGTAGAATGCACTGTCCTGCCAAACGCAAAAAGCGCTCGTTCGAGCATATCTCCAGCCTCAGTGTGCATGCGGTCATGCTTCATGATCTCTGAGACTTGAAGCAACGTAGCAATGTGGTACGGGTTGTGCTCAAGTAGCATTATTAATCTCTGAGGATCCATCGATGCCACTGCGATCTCATACTGCTTCTGCGTCTCCTGATACGCCGCTGAATGCACAAAGCGGTACTCGGTCACACCTGATTCGGGATCTTTATGTACAACCTCCATACCAAGGCCGCCGGTCGTCGCTCTGGGCCATTCTTCTTTACCCTGTACGAAAAGATTTCGCTTCAAAGTCACGGCGGGGAAGCCACCTGTCGAATGCTGAGCTCGCTGTCCGCGGACACGGCGTGCTGCAGGATTTTGTTGACGAGGCTGGTCGCCTATTACATCCCGTCCAAACAGACGACGCATTTCATTAATGGCGTGTAGATTCTGCGAGTCTACCGCCAGGAGGTTTTCGTAGTTGAGTTGATTCGAGATTGGTTCACCAGGTGTCGCTGCTTCATTCTGGCTCTGTTGGGCAAGGGACGCGAGCACAGCATCTATATCGTCCTCTTTGGCAGAGTTCTTGGAGCTTGTGACCTTGGTAGCTTTAGCCTTGTTTTTCTTGTTCTTTTTCTTTTTGCTACCTGTGTTTCTTGGCTGGAGACTCTTGGGTTCGGCCGTTCTTTCAGGTGTAACTGCTGAGGGAAAAGATCCTTCCTCATTTTCAAAGAGTCCATCGTCATCATTGCTATTTTCCCCAATGTCATTCAAAAGAGTAAATGCACTCTGATGTGATCTGGTCGGTGCCTGACCAGCGTCGGAATCACTTTCCGACGTCACTTGTTGAGCCTTCTGCTCTTCTTTCTGTTTTTGTAATCGACGTAGCGCCCTAGAGGACATGACTGTGATTACTGACAATAAGGTGACAAGACCTCACTGTCGAATTTGGTATTGCTAGATCTTGAAATCTTTTTCCGTCGAGTGGAAGTGCGGACGGAAGTGGTGACAAAACTCACCGTCACCGCAAGAAGACGGACTTTGTCTTGCTCGAACCTCAGCTTTGATGTTTCGGGCTTCCGAATGTCTGGTTTTACAGGACGCCACTAATGCTATTAAAATATCATCGGAAGAATTTCTGGTTGCTTTGAATGGTCGCAAGAACATGCATCCGTCATTGTGAAGACAGCAGCAGCCAATGACAGCTTAGCTTTGATCACCGATCTGAACCTCGTCTAGTTTCTCAAACACAAGTAATCCTCCGAGCCTTCTCTGTCCGTCTCACTCTCTCCATCACCGCAACTTCCAATGGTTCGTCGAGCGGCCATTCAAGCTTTCCGCTCAGCACGTCGTCGCCCACTCCTCAAGCTCTTTCGCCACCGCCCCTTGTTTCCTTCGACTACAGCCACAGCGAACAGTGCCTTCAATAGCAGCCATGCAATAGGGACGCGCCCGCTCTCTACTCGGCGAGACCGCTCAGCCGCTATCGTCTTGCAGTCCTCTATGCACGTGCGAAGTTTCTCCGTTGCTCTCGTTGCTGCAGCCGTTGCTTCAGGTGCCTGGTATTATAAGCAAGGCTCCGGAGCTGGCTTGGGGAAAAGCGTATCCGAGCACTCGCTCACAGCGACGGCAAGTTACAGTACGGCGGCAACGAGCCCCGTGGATCCTGAACAAACAAGCCAAGCAAGGAGGAAGGCCCTTGTGGTTGAGCAGGGACAGCTGTATTCAGGAACTATCGTAGGTGACGGACCGTTGTCAAAAGATACAGACGACTCGGGACGCAAGGTGCTTGAGATGATGAGCCCGGAGCAGGTAACTCAAAAGCTGAGGAAGAATGAGGAGTCATACATTGTTGGACGGGGCAAAGGTGTCGTAAGATACGACGTCGTTCAGATACCGAGCAACGACCCAATTGAAGATGACCACGCTGAGAAAATCATCGAAGTACCGCCGTCTATATCTGCATCAGACGACGACCAGACAAGCAGTGACTGGATGTTTTGGGGAGTTTTCGACGGTCACAGCGGCTGGACGACGTCCGCAAAGCTTCGTCAATCACTCATCTCGTTCGTTGCGCGCGAACTAAATGCGACGTACACCTCAGCTCTTCCCTCCCCCGAGTCGATAGATGCAGCCATAAAAACAGGTTTTCTCAAGCTCGACCACGAAATCATACACGCCTCCGTTGACAAGGTTAACCAAGCCAAGTCGAAGCGAGTAGCGGCTGAGCTGCTCGCGCCTGCCCTGTCAGGCTCTTGTGCCTTGCTCTCCTTCTATGACTCCCGCTCGAAACTCCTCCGCGTAGCTTGCACAGGAGATTCGCGTGCTGTTCTCGGGAGGCGTGGGCCTTCTGGCAAGTGGATTGCCACTGCACTGTCCGTCGATCAGACTGGAAGCAACCCCGACGAAGAACGACGCATCCGTGCGGAGCACCCTGGAGAGCCGAACGTGATCGCCAATGGTCGTGTACTTGGTGGCTTAGAACCAACTAGGGCGTTTGGTGATGCGTTCTACAAGTGGTCGGAAGAGGTACAACAGAAGCTCAAGACCTCGTACTTCGGACGAACCCCGCATAAGCTCCTAAAGACTCCGCCGTACGTTACTGCAGAACCTGTGGTCACCACAACCAAAATCGAGCCGCAGAATGGAGACTTTGTTGTCATGGCCACAGATGGGTTATGGGAGATGCTTACGAATGAAGAGGTTGTCGGTCTGGTTGGCCAGTGGCTCGAGGCAGAAGGCAAGAACAGTGCGACGAATAATGGAAGTCATTCGTGGCTGAATTCCTGGTTTAGCTCGCAGAGCAAGACACTCCCCGTTGAAATTGAGGCTGCTTCAGGAGACAAAGGCGGCAAGAAAGGTGGACAGCGAGCTCCGATACGTCAGCAGCAATGGGGGGTTGGCGGCGCCAATGAGCGATTCGTTGTCGCGGACAAGAATGCGGCCACGCATCTTGTACGCAACGCATTAGGGGGCAAGGATGAGGATCAATTGTGTGCACTGTTGACGTTGCCGAGTCCGTATTCGCGCAGATTCAGGTACGTTCAGTGACGTTCATTTCCTTGGCTTGGCGACATCATTTACATTTGTGCTAACACACTATCACAGGGACGACCTGACAGTACAAGTCATCTTCTTCGGTGAAGGACCCGCAACCGGCAATGTGGAGGTCAACAAGGAAGCCACTGCATCGGCATCATCAGATGTCAGGGCTAAGCTTTAGTCACGAGGAGTGAGTAATCGTTCGATTGTGCACGAGATTCAGGCGGAAGATATACCCATGGCTAAACGGCGTTCTCCCTGCACTCGGAAATGTTGTTTGGAGGAAGGATCCTCACCAGTCAGATAAAAACGCAAAGAAGCACATTACAAAATATTGATCTCGAAATAGATGAGACCGACTACAAGGATCCAAGTACAGAGTAGACAGTTTGGAGAGAAGCAGATGGCGAAACGAGGAGACGCATGGCTACGGAGAAAGAGGCACATTAGAATTGGTCACATCACGCCCGTTCGAGCGCAGTGGCTCCGGGTTTAATTGTCTTTTCTCATGTAGCAAATCAAATGTATACCACCGGATTTCCCAAAAGCCCGGTACTCTTTTTGGCTCGCAACTCTTTGATCTGTGTGACCGTACATGTTTCGCCCATCCATGAAAACCACCCCCCTCATGTCGGAGTATACATATGGCAAAAGTGATAGAAAGGACGCCGGCCCATGAAATCTGAACGGAGGAAACGAAGTTCGGAGAGTTTGAGGACGCGTTTAGTCGAACAGGCCGAAACCCATGTCCTCGTCCGACTCCTCCTTCTCCTCCTCCTTGGCCTCTTCCTTGGCCTCCTCAGCGGGTGCGGCGCCACCGGCGGCGGCAGCACCGGCGCCAGCAGCCGGAGCAGCAGCTGCACCTCCAGAGCCGACGTTCAGGAGCAAGTCCTTGACGTCCTTGCCCTCAAGTGCCTATTATTGTGTTCCCAAGTTAATACCGGAATTACTCCATGTTGATTTTTTCCGTTCTGGAAGTCTTTCACATCATGGGGAGGCGAAGCAAGAATGTACCTTTGCGAAGAGGGATGTCCATATCGGCTCGACGTCCTGGACACCGGCAGCCTTGATAAGTGTGTTGAGCTTGTCGGCCTGTTCGAAACGTCTTTGTCAGTACAATTGTCGTCCCAGCTACACAGGCAGGCCAGAAATTGAAGGCGTCGCGGCGACGCCAATTGGAAGGACACGTACGGTGATATCGACGCCCTCGTCGGCGAGGATCAGAGCAGCGTATGACGAAGCGAGCTCGGCGGTAGACATTGTGTCGGTTGTGAGAGTGACGAGTTGTGAGTGATGAAGGCGTAACGAAGATATTCGCTTGGTGCGTATCGATTTGTTCGCAGGTTTGTGTGTGCGCGCTAGCCAGAAAGGCCCTAGTGCACTTTTAAACCACGTGACCGATCCCAAGTCTTCCGCGGGTCTGTCTTGTTTCCAGGGGCTTCGGTCGTCGGGCGCCTGATTGGGCCGAGAGGGAAAAAGAACGTGTGTAAACTAAGCGCGGCGAAAGAAAAAGAGTTAGTAAGCCGCGTGGCGGCCTTGCGCGGCCCCGCAGCTTGCCTCAGGCTTTGAAATCCGCACGAGCAGCGGCGGTTCATTCGTCGTTGGTCATTCGTTCGTCATCGGCTAATGGAAATTCAGGTATAAGTTACAACAAAGCGTGGACGGGCATGCGAGCTCTTGCTGCTGCTGCTGCTGCCACTGCTGGCTGATCCACCCTCTTCGACTGCTGCCCCAGAAACACTTCTCCTCACGCGTTTGCCCGCCCCGGCCGTTCCAGCCTATCCGCTTGCCTGCATAAAATCCCTTGCCTCTTTCCACCTTCGCCTCGCTGCTTCCACGCCCACACCTCCCACTTACCCCTCGCATACGTCCTCTTTCCACCTCCACACACGCGCGCATACAAATTCCCCCTCCCCACACGTCCATTCGCACACCGGACGCACACGCACTCCTACGCACCTATCTACACACCTTGCAACCGCTCCATCCTTAGGAAAACAATGACCGATTCGCCCCGCGCACAACTGCCCATAGATCCGGATGAGCGTCCGATCGAGGGCCAGCTGCAGCAGATCCGCAATCAACTCGAGCTCCTGAAGCAGGATAAAAGCTGTTATGTTAAGAGCGGCGATGTAATCAAGCTGTACAAGGCTACCATTGAGCAGGTCAAAGCTCTCAACGAACTAAGGCAGCGCAAAGATAAGAAGGACGAACAGAACAGAGGTGAGTGATTTTCGGCTACGTTCGGCGTCTTTGCCTTTTGCACATCACTGCTTTTGATGTCCTCTCATCTTGTCGTATCGCACCAAGCTTGTAATTGCAAAGTGTTTGATTTTGCCACTCATTCTTGCCTGCCTATTTGGTGCGGTCGCAACCCCTCTCTAAGTCCAACATTTGTGTGGTTGCGGAACCTCGTTTACCGAACCGAGTAGCAAGGCTCAGCATGAGGCTTACTAATCCTTCGTCCAGTCGACATACTTTGCGACGACTGCTTCCAGCTGATCTCTCTTGGTTTCATGGCCATTGGAAAGAACAATGACGCGCCTGGAATATACTCAATTATCTCAAGCATCAAGCGTTTGCTGGACCACCTAAACGAGGCGGCTTTTTATTCCGCCAAGGACTTGGAATCCATCTCGCGTGAATTGCAGAAGCACCGAGCCTCGCTCAAGCGATGCCAGGCGGAGTATGACCCCGAGCTTATCGAGCTAATCGAGCGCCGCATGGCCGTATGCGAGACCGCCCTGGCGCGATTGCAGGCTGTCATTGATCACCTGGGTCCTGAGCATATCGTGACCTGGGAGAAACTGGTTTCCATCTTGCGGAGACTGTCAAACCTAAACACGCGGTCACGGTACAGTAAAGAAGAGCACTCGGCTCTCAAGAAGGAACTCGAAGACCTGGAGACAGCATGCCCTTCCTTGCACAAGGAGCTTCCGGAGTCAATAGCCGCGCGCTACGAGCAGATCATTCTAGAACAGGAAGACGCTTTGAAATTATCACCGGAGAAGCTAGTCACAAATCTATACGAGCGATGCGTGTTGTGGTCATGGATGATTGAGCAGAAGCCGCTATACGTGGACGAGGACTTCAGAGAGCTGTACACTACTCTCAAAACCATCCGTGACCAGCTCGAGAGCCGCTCCCTTCTCCAGGCCTGGTCACTGCGTGAAACAGATCTGTATGACTATCAAAGGCGACTCGACCGCATTGACGGTGCAAGGACAGTAGACGGCAATTTCGTGGATGCCAAGGGCAAGAAGGCGTGCCTACAGACACAACGGACGCTGCTTTACTTTTTAAGGAAGAGCTACGCGCTCATCTACTATATGCTTACGCAATCGGAACCCGTATCCGAGGCGCTGCTACCTATTTATAACCAGCTCAAGACGTTGAAGAAATGCCTTCGCGAGGTACAGAAGGCTGGTGGTGTTTCGTCACCGAGAGAGTTGTATCCCTACAGTATGAAGGTAGGCGCACACGCTCCCCCTTTCCGTGTCCCCTCTTGTTACGTGTGGTTCTTAACCCAAGCGACTTCAAACGCTGACTTGACATGCACAGCTCAACTCCATAGACAACATGCAGGTAGATGGCAAGTTCATGGTCAACGGCGACATCCCTGACGGCCAGGCTGCCGTCGTCTCGCTCCTGCATGAATGCTATGAGCTTACTCAACAACTCAAAGAACAGGCTGAAGAGAACGAAGAGGCAGAGGAGTCGGGCAGTGCTGTCCCAGTACAGGCAGCTGTCCCTAGCACCGCGTGATATTTCATAACCCTTTTTGATGTTTACGATGATGTTTTTTTTTGTGCTATGAATGAGGAGGCCCACGCAGACTATGTTTATAGTGCATGTATGCTCTCACCTACCTGCTCTTCGTCTCCAAAAATTTTTCGGCGGCTGATTCTTTTATCTGGGGCGCTATGAATAGATTGGAGAGTAAAGGGAATGTATTCACACACCGTCCTTAACAAATGACAGGAGGCCGCGCTTTGTACTGATTATCGAAAGACGTATTGTATTACTGTGGTGACAGCGGCGGTGACGGTAGCTAGGGGTGGAACTACGAACAGAGTCATCGTGCAGCGGTTTTGTTGCTTTACAGTTTGAAAATCAAGACTTAGGTCCATCTTCTTTTCAGATTGCTTCATCTTGATATTCATTGTTCTAACCGCCTATCTCTATACTTTCCAAAAGATCTGTTTCCGATTCGGGGACATCCGTTGTTTCGTCTGCATCCTCGAACCACAGGTTCGACCCATACGATATACATAACTCTTCGCCGGCTTGGATGTCGCGTAGCGCGGTATAGACCACAGTTTGTGCCTCAAGATCACGTCGCCAAACAACGTTTTGATCTCGTGTGGAGTGATTGAACATGGAACCCAATCCAAAAATGATAGCTTGGTGCTGGACTATTCTGCCGTCGGGTTGTTGGACCGGCCAGTTGCTGCGGGGAAGACATCAATCAACTAGTCACTGAAAATGCCATTGACTGACGCGCTTCTGCGAACGGATGGGAAGAGAGACAAAAGAAACAGAAGGACAGGAGAAAATGCAGCGATGAAAAGGAAAAAAAGGAAAAAGGATAAGGCCGTACTAGGAGTAGTGGTACAATGCTGTTTGAGAGACGAGTTCGTTGTCGGTCTGGCTGAGGATCAGGACGGGACAGATGTCGACTACGGTTCCAGAGGCGATGCGCTGGGTAGCGAAGACGCCGCGGCCTGCGAAGGTCCTACTCAGCAACCGTGGCTCCACCGTCCAGATACGAAGTGTGGATACAGCGGATACGGGGTGGTGCTACGGAAAGTGCTACAAGGACGAGTGGAGCTGCGGGAGGCTACGTGTAAGGGGGAGGACAGTCGCACTGTGTGCAGCTTTGTCACGCCAGAGAAGCGGTGGCCCCCCGCCTCGTCTCCACCGGGTTCTCACCGGTCGCGGATGACGGACACCAACGCAACATTCGACACAGGCCGACGGAGGGACCGTACGCAAAAAGGGTCGTGCACGTACCTTTAGGCGTGTCGAGCCTGAGCTGCAGGCCTGACACTCTGCTCAACGCGATGTGACGGCTACGAGACCTCTGCTCGTCGTCTGGCGGCGGTCTTGTGTCTGCCGTTGCGCTATCGTCCAAGACACCCGCGCCCTCCAAGCTCTTACTCCGGCCGCTCATGGCGTTGATCTACGAACCTTCAGAGAAGGATCCTCGCACTTCTCTCTTTGCAGAATACCACGTCTTGCAGCGCGTCCCTTCCAGCTCGGAGGAGATGGCTGGCAAAGAGAAGAATAGAGGGAGTGGAGTGAGTGTATTTTTTCTTTTCTTTTTTGGTTTGACTGTGCACGAGATAGTACACGCTGTCCGGGGAGAAGAGTTTACGGAACAGGCACAAAAGCTCCGAACAGGGGCCTGCGATGAGCGTGAGGAAGACCCAATGCGCAGAATTTCCTTAGATGAAGGGTCCGAGCAAACACTTGTACCTCTGTGCAGGGAAGAAGGAAAATTCGTGGTTTTGAGAAAACGGAGCGTCAGAGAAAAAAGTGACCAAGTTTCTGGTGTTGCCTGCTCGCAGTAGTGGGACGCTGCGTGCTCGAGCCACGTTTGGTGGGGTCGACGTTGACCCGCTTTTCGAGAGAACAATCCGCCCAGGATCAAGGGTTTTTATTTGGAAACTTTCGACTACAAGAACACAGTGCCTGGGATGCCGAGATGGCTTAAGCCACAAATCGCAGACGTCGACTCTTCACAGCCCGCGTTCACCGTCGCGAACGGAGTCACGCTTCTCCCCACCGTCAACATCACGAGACAACTGGCCGTGTCAGATACAGTGTGTTGAGCTCGTCCAAGCCCTCGTGGGCCGATTGACTGACCGTCGAACTTCCTGGCGAACATGGCAAGGCCGCGGGGCCAGTCCACGGGCGAGGGGATGCGGACGCCGCACAGCGTGAGCCTGAAGGTGTTGAGGTTGGTGAGCCGTGCTGTTTGCTTTTGCGGAGGGTGGTCTCGCGCCCACGCGACGACACTGTGCTAACGCGAGGATTTTTGTATCGCATGCAGGCTGTCGAGACCGAGCTTGCAATACCAGTACACGCTCCCTGCGGTTGACGATGATGGCGAGAGCATACGGATAGATCCCAAAGCGTCTCTTTCCTACGCGGCCGATAATGCGGCGGATTCTTTCGTCATCTCGCCAGTCCTCACGCTGCCGGAGTCCTTCAGGTCTGCATATGTGGGCGAGGAGTTTGCGTGCACATTGTGTGCCAACAACGAACTGCTCCCGGACGATGCAAGCAAGAGTATAAGCGCAGTCAAAATCCTGGCCGAAATGCAGCTACCCATGGGTGAGACTGTAACGCTTGACATGGAGGATGGAGAAGCAGGCGCTGGTGACACGGAACCCTCAAAGGCGGGGGACACAATACAAAAGATTGTGCGATTAAACTTGAGCGAGCCCGGACAGCACGTCCTCGGAGTGACAGTCACGTATACGGAAACACAGCATGCTCCTGGAGGCGGGGGAGCCCATGGCGCGAGAGTAAGGACGTTCAGGAAACTGTACCAGTTTATTGCGCAACCTTTGATCAACGTGAAGACCAAGACGGGGGATCTCCCTGCTACAAAGGCGGGCAAGGCGCGGTACGCACTCGAGGCACAGCTGCAGAATCTTGCGGACCGAACCGTCTGTCTTGAAGTATGTTTGCCCAGCCTTTCTCTCTTTTCCTCTCTACCAGCCTAGTCGATGCATGTCTTCTTATGGGACATTGAAAGAGCTAACTAGATGTCACACAGGCAGTCAGCGTCGACCCGAAGGAGCCCTTCAAATGGCGCTCGCTGAATTGGGATGCCTTCAGCCCGACCAATGCGCCAGCACACGCCCCTATTCTGAATCCGAATGACACTTTACAAGTCGCATTTCTGCTCGAAGAGACGGCGGGCTCGAAACCAGCGCAGCTCGACGGTACGGACGACAAGGTGATACTCGGCCAGCTGAACATCCAGTGGCGGAGCGCGATGGGGGACCGAGGATCCCTCAGAACAAGCTGGCTGACGGGTCGACGGCGAGCACTGAAATGAAATGAGAGAAGATCAAGTAACGTGAAGCGAAGCGAAGTGCAGATCCAAGCTACGAATGCTTACAGTTCGCTGGCCCGGGACGTTGTCTCGGTTGGAGAATGCAAAGAGATTGTCTCTCTCAATTTCCCGGCGGGCGTGCGCGTGCATCGTCAATTCGGTATAAGGAGACTGAGATCTGCAGCTCTCGTCTCACAAGGATGCATGTTCACTAAACGACGTGGGACCTCGATAATTAGGAAGTTCTGCCCTCTGGAGAGACCAGATTCATCATGAGGAAAGATTATTGTAGACGTCACAGACACGCTTTGTCCTCAGATGCTGATCTTTGCCCTCTCGATTCGCGGCATGAATCATTGGAGGGGCGTCAGTCGCGGAAGCAAGATGAACTAGGCTTATTGGGTATACGTACACACCAAGCCCGTTGTCACCTTCCCTGCGAAAATGAAAATGCGATGTTCGGCTTCACGTTGTCCTTGCCTGAAACTCCTCTGCGCCGTCGCAGGCGATGGAGCGAAGGGCCAAACGAGCACAGGAAGCCAACCCAGCCCGAGAAATGGCCAATCCGAGCTCGCGCCGGGATATATGATACTTGTGGCGGGTCGATCCTGACGGACTGAACGTTCGTGCGGCAGGCGGCAAGTCCTTTTTTAGCCGGGAAACAAAGGCTGTGGAGCAGTGGACCAAGCGTGAACACGCTCCACCTTCAAAGGATTACAAAAACGATGGTCAGCCGAATATTTTGGTGGGTAAGCGACGGGTTGCGCTCATGCGCGGCTTTTGCTTTCGTGCCAAACTGTGTAGGGCTACCCCGTTCCTGCTATCACAAATAGAAGCACAGCATGGAGTGTTCCCCCACGAATGTACGGAGGTAGACGAAGCCAAATTTTTTCCTAAAAATAAAAATTCCAGGCACGATTCTGTTTTGTTTTCTATCCCATTATAATGATTATGCGCATTGCTGTGATAGCCAGCACTCGTCTGTTCATTTGCTGCTTCGACCCTCACGGCTCTGGTCGCAGCTGGAAAAGGGGGGGGGGGGGGGGGGAAGAGGGAGAATTGTACTAATGACATAGGCAGATGGATTCATCTGACTTGCTCTGTGAGATTCTACCCATCTGTTATCTCCAACAACCAACCGCGGCATAATGGTTCGTGCCTAGCGACGCTCTAAAATGTATTCTTGGAATACTATAAAGAACCCCGTCTTGGGCAGCCCCCTGGACTCGACAGATCTACAGTGCAGGAGTGAAACCTGGGGGTCTATGTACGTGATGCCGAAGCAGCAGCGACGGCAGTGAGAGAATAAGCACAGGGTGGAGGTATGGCCCGACTCAGCCCTCTCCACCCCTTTTCGGTTGTTCAGGTAGGGCAGCAGCAGCAGCAGCAGCAGTCCAGGCGGAGGACATCGGCCATGATGGCCAGCCCAGGGTTACGGGGGGCGGTGGAAGGGAAACTCCACAAAAGTGTATCTTTCTCGACCGCGGTAGGCGGGAGCCCTTGCATGATCTCGACAGGGAGCGCTGCTGGCGGCTGGCGCCGCGCCTGAGATTCTGCGTTTCGATCGCAACCGTGGCCCAAGCGGTAGTAGAACGTAACTAGGTTGGTAGTGCAGGAACGAAGCGAACAAGTAGTTACTGGAGCCAGGCTGGTCGGCGATCTTCGCCTTGCTGCCTTTTTGCCTAACACGAGGCGCTACCCTTCCCCCAAATGCTTCGGCCGTACTTATCACGACGACGAGGCGGGGAGGAGAAGGTCTGGAGCGTGCGGTTGATTTCGATGTTGAACGGGGGCGGGCACGGGGACCTGCAAAGGACGAGAAGCCGACGTTGGGCTTCCGGTCTGGTCTGAGTCTGGTCTGGCACCCGCCGCGTCGACGGACACAGGGGACGCGTTGACGACGTGAGCCCATTATCGGAGTCGCAACACAAAACAACGGGTCCCATTCTGGAGAGTTGGTCAGAGCGACGAAAAGGGGAAGGGGGGGGGGAGGAGGTGACGTGCCGGACGCGCTCTGCAGGCCCAGATGATCCAAAGCGGCAGGCTTCTGGAAAGCCTTTGAGAGAGGTGAACACGAAAAACAACGGGAGACAAGCTTGCACTAGTTACGACTCAACTGGGGCAAGGGTGTGGCCTGCTGAAAGACTGGGGGGCGAGTGCGCTCGGCCGGCCTTTGCTGAACCTTCCAAAGAGCACGTCGATAGTGCTGGGCTCAAGCATTCAGGTTGCAGCAGTGTCGCGCTGGAGCTGCTCTGCCCAGTCCCAAGGGACGCACGCACAGAAGAGAGCCGGGCCGGGCAGCGAACAAGGCAAGAAAAAGACGGCGAAAATAAGAACAGGCACGGTGAGTCACACAACAGAGCAGCGCTTGTGCACGCAGCGGCGGCGGCGGCGGCTCGTCTCCGTCCACGCTTCTTTCCGCTTTTTCTTCTCCTTCGTCCTCGTCCTCGTCCTCGTCCTCGTCCTCCTCTCTCTGCCGAGTGTAGCGAACGTTTCGCGTACAGAATGTGCTGCACGCGCGCGCCCCAACCGCGTTCTCTTCCCGGCCGCGGCAATCGCAAGCCCGTTCTGGAACAGAGGCAGACACCTGGCACTGTTTGTTATCATAATCATCGTCATTGCTATTATCATCGCCGCCACTCAGACGCGGGCATTCCAGGACTCACAGCGAATCGAGAGCCGAGATAGATAAGGGTTCGACAAAGGCAAGGGAGGGCTCAGGGCCGCCCGCGCACGGTGGTGGTGGTGATGGTGGTGATGGTGGTGTCGTGCGTGCGGCGTCCCTGGCTCCGGAGGCGCAGGAGGTGGGAGAAAACGGGGAACCCTTGCAGCATCTGCAGGCACCACGACGCCACCGCCTGCTTGCCCTGATGCCTGGGGAAGAACACGCAGATGGCCTGTTTCCGCCGCCGCGCACACATGCGACTTTTGCTGCTTTCCCATTTTCTTTTTCCCGTCCGACATCGATCGAATGTGACAGGTGGCTTTCTCGCACTCTTTTTTCACCAGCACTTCTGCATCAATGCTTCTTTTTTATTTTTTTTTTCCGTCGAAAGGCCTTGCTGCGGGCGAGCCGAGGACCGGAACGAGGCGAGCGCGACGCGCCTGGCCGTCCAACGCGTCTGGGCAAGGGGCCGCTGCCGTGCGAGGGGAGTTCCTCGGTACAGTGCAGGTACGGCAGGGAAGCGATGGGCGATGACGACGGTGATGGCGATGATTGTGATCCTGGTGGCGGTGACGATCATGATGATGATGACCACCGCGACGAGAACGGTCACGGCAGTCTTGATTTCCTCTCCCGTCAGGATATTCCCCATTTTGAGCCCACTGGCCGCTTGTGCTTTGTGCATCCCGTGTCTTCGTGCGCTTTACCCCCCTTGCAGTTGGTACTCTCTGCTCTCTACTCTTTCTCGTTCTCTTTCTCGCCCTGTACATATTCTGCCCGGTGCCCGCCTCGGCCGGTCGACACATACAGCGCGTAGTTCGCTATGCTCCCAAGCGATCTGAACCCAGGGCGATGATGCAACATATCCCCCCCCCATGACCCACTCGCTCTCTCCCGTTCATCCCAACCATACTTGTACGTGCGTGAACGAAGCCCCTGACATGGCTAGCGTCCAGCCTGCGCCCGCTTCTCTGTAGATCTCGCTACGGGCGTGTGTTTATGAAGGGACGGGGGTGCGCGGGTGGGTGGGTGTGTATGTGTGTCAGAGATTAGAGAGAGTAGCTTGGAAGCGTGTCTGTCTGTGTCTGCGTATGCGAGTATCGAGCATTGAGGAGCGAGCATCGCGCATCGCGCGTGGAGCAGAAACCCAGTGGAAGATTGTAGTTATCGGGCCCAAGGTGGCTCCAACGCACCTGTGCTCAGACCGCGTGACTAGCTCTCTCTCTCCCTCTCTCGCTCTCCCTCTCTCCCTCTCCCACACCCTCTTCAGCCAACGTGCTCGAACAACCTCGAAGCAGATTTTGGGGGGATTCTTCCCCACTGGATGCAGCCTAGCGCGGGCAAGGCGAACGGTGGGCCAGGCTGGCGCACTAGCTGGTTCGGGCATCGCAAAACACGAACGGGGCCTGGGTGGATTCTCTCTTTTTTTTTCCTTCTCGGCTAGACTCTGTGAGGAAACCCTCAGGCGGCGTTGGCGGGCGGCGGCAATTGACGTTGTGCTTCTGGCGTGTTTCTTGTATAGTGGCTTTGCGTGCATGTGGTGGGTGCGTGTTTATGTGTGTGGTTGTGTGTGTGTGTGTGTGTGTGTGTGTGTGCACAAGACCGTACTCTCTGTAAGTCCCATATGGATATCATTCTTTGCGCGTAGACGATCCGGTCGCCTCCCCTTCCAGCACTCTTGTTTCCCCTCCTTGCTGCTGTCAATCGCCTTCTTCTTCTTCCACGCTTCCCTCTCTTCTCTTCTCTTTTCCTTTCTTTCCTCGTTCCACTCGCCGCCCTCGCTCGCGCAAGCCTCCTTGTCGCAGGTGCTGCGCGTCTCTGCCGATCCGATTCATCTCAACGGTTGCGCACAGAGCCTGAACCAGCCTGCTCCTGGCCGGTGCGTGCGTGTGCTGTGCGTACGAGAAAGCGATAGTCGAAGTCGCAGTACCGTCGTCGCTTTGGCTTAGTGAGTTGAGCCCTGGCCGGACGCCCCATTCTTTTCCTTTCGCTACCAGACATGGCCAACTCCGGGCCTTTCCCATGATTCCACATGTACAGACGCCAACACAACACTCCCGACACATACACATACACCCTCTCTCGCTTCATACACATCTCCGTCCCTCCGTACCTCAATCCCTACCTCCACGTGCGCCCGCTCTCATTGCGCAACTGCTTCTTTCTTCCTCGTTTCTCCAGCACCATTCCTTATTTCCACCGCGCTTGTTCTCTGGCCTTCTGCGTTCTTTAGTGCTGCTCCTACCACCGCTCCTTCGTCGGCGACCCGCTCTCCTCACATATGTAAGCAGCTTCTATCTCCGCCATTGCATCGTCTTCTTCGCTCGCTTCTCCACTGTTACGGACGCACCGAAGTGATCCATATACGCCTACCTACCTGCATACGTACATCCATACCCGCGTTTCGAGTATATCTTATCCATCCAGCCGACAAACACGGCCTATCCCTGTGCTCCGCCGAAATTGCCTTCCAAGGAAATTCATATCCATCCTATTGTAAGTCAATCAGTACGGCACACTCGTCCATCTGCATGCCGTCACCGTCGCGGGCGAGCTGAACCCGGAACCTATTTCCACATCCCGCCGTCATTGCCTGTCTTCTACAAACACACTCGCATGTCCTCTCTCCTCTTGTTGCGCTCGCGCTCTCGGATAAAAAAAGGGAGGGCAGGAAAGAAAAAAGAATCACTTTGCAGTCCCAAAATTGACACAAGGCCCGGCATACAGCAGGCTTTTTTCTGTTTGGACGGCTGGAAGACGAGCGACTGGGCCAAGTCTGCTCAATTGTAGGGGAACTTCGATCACGTCCACGATCCTTCCGCAACCTTTTCCTCACATCGGGACCAGATCAGTCACGCGGCGAAAGTCGAGGCGCCGACGCGCGCACAGCCAAGGAAAGCAGCTGCATGCACATCTGCACTGTGCCGTGCCGTACCGTGCTGAAACGGGCCCTTGGGTGGGAACGTATGACACGCAAGGGGATTCGGCCAATCTCTCAAAGCGCATCCTTTCAAAGCCAGAGTCGCACGCGCACAACCGCGCACAAGGTCGCTGAGCCCACTGGTTGCCGAGCCCTCAACCGTTTTGTCGCAACGTCGCGCGAAAAGGAGAGAGGGATAGAGTGTGCGTGAGAGAGGCGAGAAAGGGAAGGCGAGAAAGTGAGAAGTGAGAGGGCACATGTACGCCATCCACGATTCACAGAGCACAACGCACGGGAAACCCAAAAGAAAACCGAGAGCGCATTCGTTTCTTGTTTAACGTGCCGACGGCGTGGACTGACTGACGCATTGACTAACTAACGAGGATAGGACATTCAATGCTTCGCTAAAAGAGCGCACAAAATTTACCATTACGCATTCATTCGCCGTCCATACGCGCTCAATTTACCCGGCGCGCACGCGCGAGCTCTGGCTTAACGTCCGTTCACAATCCTTCTCATTGTGCGGCAAACTGAGAGTCGAGTCGACGCTCTTATTTTGTTCGTCCTCGCTCCTTCTTCGTCTTCCCATCGAGCCCACACCAAAGACATGGCACCGAAGAGCGCGAGTTCAAAACGACAGCCCCCTGCTCCTTCACAACTGGCACATGAACAAAGCAGCCTACCGCTGGCAGACTACTTCTTTATCGCCGGCATAGAGTCGTCGCAGATTTACGACGAGAAACTAGCCCAGACACTGCAGCACGCACCTCCCCTCGAAGACACGATCCAGGAGCACAGCGTCCTCGACACAACCACCAATGGGCAGCAGTCACGCTCGTCAGGCGACGGACTGGGACTCAGCGGCTTGGAAGGCCGGCGAAAGAGTAATGGCACGGCACGCTTCAGCTACGAGAGGAGAAAGTCAATAGGCAGCCTCGTAGGCGCCGGTTCTGGGACAGCAAGCAACAGAAGCAGCGCGACCATCAAGCCAAGTGGAAACACGGACACCCTGTCAAACGGCGTCCAATTGGCGGACCAGGACAGTTCCGTGGGCGCTGGCGCCACGGCAGTGACTTCGCTGTCTGGCTTGTCCGACGAGGACTTTGACTCTGCTCTCAGAAAGTTTGCCTCAGAGCGAGACGAGTTCATGGAGGAGATGCATTTCAGTGCCGGCACTCTACCCCAGATGACGAAGCCGAAGCCGAGACCTCGTACGCAGAAGATTGTCAGCGAAGACGTGAGCGGGCTTCGGGGCGGCGTGGGAAGTCTCAGAAGGAAACTGTCGACTATGAACAGCATGAAGCGACAGCCGTCGGTCATGCGCCAATCTTCGATCCGCACCTCGAAGCGAATGAGCGGCTACAACTCGGTCATTCCCAACCCGCAGCCGTTTCAAGCGGATCCAAATATGCACCCTCTGAAAAGGAGGTACGAACCGGGACTGCTGGATCGGTACCCGCCCAAGGCAATGGTCGACGAGCTAAAGCGACGGAATCCTTTCCCTGATTACGTGCCCATGTTCGCGTTTCCGAACGACATCACGGTCGTTTCCTCGGACGAGCGGCCCCGATCGACGTGGCACGGCTTCTGCATGACCAACGCGGACGGCTCGAAACTGTACGGCGTGACGCTTATCATGTGGCTCCCGCTGAATCAGAAAGTCTCGGAGGAGTTGGAGCGGCAGTGCGAGGAGTGGCGCAAGGCGAACATGACCAATGAGGAGCGGGAGCTGGCGAGCAGCCTCGGCGAACGTCTGGCCATCGAGCGCGCGAAGCTATCGAGACTGCTGTCCCAGTTGCCCACCATTCCCTCCGGCTCGGAGGAGCGTGACCAGCTCGAAGACGACATCAGCGCCGTGGAGGAGAAGATCGGATTGATGACTGACTTGCTGAGACCCGTCCGCCACGGCGCTGCGTCGAAGATAGAGGGCCTCACAGATGGAGAGACGGGCCTGTGGATTCCACGTGCCTACGGCATCCTGGGCCGCGACGGGTCGCTGACGAGTTTCTGGAAGGAGTGGTTGCGGGCCGTTGCAGTGCCCATGACAAACGGCGCCATCCAGCGCGTGCCGGCCACGTCGCCCAAGGTTGGCTTGTGGCAGCCGCTCGAGCGATATGTTGTCAACCTGTGCGCCGAGGCACCGAGCCCGATTTCCTCGCTGACGCAGGTCGAGGTGCAAGTTCGCGAACTGCGCCTCTACGCTCGCAAGGAGGCCGTGAACGAACTGCCGGGCTCGCGCAACGTGGATCTGTACGCTCTGTTCCGCGCCTTGTCGATACCAAACATCATCATCCTTTTCGAGTATATGCTCGCCGAGTCACGCATCATCTTGCTGTCGTCTCACACGGCGATGCTGCACCTTGCCAGTCAGGCACTTTTGGCTCTTCTATACCCACTCAAGTGGACGGGCATTCTCGTACCCGTACTGCCGAACAGGCTCATCCAGACACTGGAGGCTCCTGTTCCGTACATTGTAGGCATCGAAAGACGGTATGAGGCCGACCTGCCGGATGATGACTTTGTGCTTGTTGATCTGGACTCGGACACGATCGAGAGCTTTGGTCCACCTCCTTCTTTGCCCAAGCAACAGCGACGCAAATTGACGACGCTGCTGCAGTGCGCCGCACCGCACCATCTTCGGTACGGTGTCGAAGTTGGGCCCCCACCGTACGCAAAGGAGACGTACCCTTGCGACGCCTTCTCGTCCGAATGCCCGTCCGTGTACACGCACCGAGCCCCATCTTCTACTCTTGCCACCCTCGTCAGCCTCAATTCGACGTCTTTCACGGACGTTGGCGCGCTTATGGCTTCGGCGCGAGGCCAGGTATTTAACGCGTTCCTTCAAGCCAAAGATCCGAACAGCCGTGGCTCCGACCACCGCCCGGCCACAAGCACGACGTCTGGCAACGGCAGGCTGGCGTCACCGCCTTCGCCACGACTGTCCCCAACGTCTGGCCAGTTTCAGGTGCCGGGAACGCCTATCTCACGCAACGACTCGGCGTTCGCCCTACAAGCGAGTCTGCGCGAGAAGCGCTCAGGTCACTTCGATGCCTCGTCCAGACGCAGCTCCTCCTTTGGCTTCGAGCGCATGCCGCCCGTGCGTCGCCCAAGCCAGCCCTGGATGGGCCATCTTCCCACGCCGTCGACATCAACGCTTGGCAGCGACTTTCGTTCAGGCTCCTCGTACGCGCCGTCTGTGTATGCGCAGTCCACGCTGGCAGCCTCGACCATTATGCCAGGCGTGCTTATGCAGCCGGTGCGTAACACGGATTCGACCCAGTGGGTCGAAGGTCACTGCTTAAACTGGAAGCTTCACGATAAGAATGGTATCTGTGCTGTCTGCGACGAAAAGTCCGACGAGGGCATTTACAAGTGTTCCGGTAAGTAGCCTTTTATTCAACGTCGTATGTCGAAGTAGATGCATATATTGATCCTTGACCCTCTAGGCTGTAGCGTAACGGCGCACGGCAGATGTCTGCAGCAGATCACAAACGTGTGCCCTTCGGCCTTCCGCCCTGAGCTCGTGCGCGCAGCCTTCGTGCGCTGCTTTGCGAGCCTACTGTACACATATCGGCGCTTCTTGCGGCCGGCCAAAGGAGAGCAGCGGGCCAACGGCATGCTGTTCAAATTCGACTTGGAAGGCTTTATCAAGAGTCTCCCTCACGATACGGCTGAGTACATGGCAACTCTACAAGACACGCAGGCATTCAACGAATTCATCCACGAAGTCGAGGTTACCAAACCAGACGACCCGGCCGTTCGCCTCTTCGACCAGATCATTATTTCCAAACGCAACCGTGGACGCACTTCGCTCTTTTCCAAAGCGAGTACGGACTTTTTGTCTGACAACTCGGAGCATATCTGGCGCACAGCGCAAGCAAACCCACCAAACGCACGCTTCCCGGGTGATTATAGACAGGTCATCAGTCGTATTCCGGCTAAGCTCGACCCGACCTTGATGAAGGAGCCGCGTGTCTTGCAGGGCGTTCCGCGCGTTCCTCTCGTCAAGGCCAAGAGAAAACCTATTGGATCGACGGCTGGCGTGGCGATGCAGAAGAACCCATGAGTGCAGCAAATGTCATTTGAGCACCATCTTTTGCTCACGCAACTCATCTCCGAATCTTCCGCAAGGTGCTCCCAACAAATACACACGTACATAGAGACACAAACACATGCACATGCACATAACTCTAACACACATGAAACCTCTCCGGGTACCTAAGCGTTTATCGCAAATCACTTTTTTTTTTCAATCTCTCCACTGCATTTGAGCGAACGGCGTTGGAGATGATGAAATTTAAACAAAAAATCCCTTACTTTCTACGTCTGATCTCGCATCGGCGATCAACACACGAGACGTACAGACACGCACACATATACATTTTCAGCTATTTACTGGCATGCAATTGTTTGATAAGCTTTTTATTTGGCGCGTGGGGTTATGCGTTGCGATAGATGCGCGCGGAAAGGCAAATACACTATACTTCAGGGCGTTTGGGCGTAACTGCAAAGTACCGGCTCGATCACCTGCAACTGAGATGTCTTGCAGCACATCGGGTCGAAGAGGAGCTTTGGCAGGCTGCCAAAGGGGATCCTCCACGGACTTCACAGTACGTGTAGATGTATTATTACAAGATCACCTTATGTAATTATGTATTGAATGCTCTATTGCTCAATCTGTCTAAACACGCTTCCCGAGCCCTCTCCCCTCCTGAAGTATCTTCACGTCACCTGCCTGAGTCGCAGCTCAATGTCTGGCTCCTTGCTCATTCAAGTCTATTCTGCCCAGACTGACGTCGTGACGCAAATCCTCACACAGCATGAGGAGGTCACACCTTTTTCTTTCGTCCCTGTCTGAGCATACTTGCGAACAGAGGCACTTTAGCAACTTTAATCCAGGCAACCCGTCGAAAAAAGGGAAATGTGTTTTGACACTCTGCCTGCGGCCCTTTTTTTTTTCTGTCTGAACCTTTCCATCTTTTTCTTTTTGTCGACCTTTCGTGCTGGCATGGAATTCAAGAACAACGGGCCGAGGACCGCACGCGCAGGGTGAGGTCAACGGCACGTTCGGGAAAATAAAAAGCTGCCCCCGGGCTGCTACGTCGACGGTTGCATTGCGACTCTGCAGTCGCGCCCGGAAAGTGGAAGAGCACGGAAGGCTGTCTCGTAGGGACAGCGAACGGGGGGAGGGCGGAGAATATTGACGCGGTGATGTAGGGACCCCAGGGGGCCAAGAAGGGGAGAGACGAAAAGAAAAGAAAACCCCTTTGAAATTCAGTGTCGCTACGACGTTGATGCGGCTCGTCTAAGCCTTCGACTTCTTCGCCGCCTTGGCGTTAACTTTCTCCTTCTCCTTCTTCTTCTTCGACGTCGTCGTCGACGACGTCTTCTTTGCGGCGATGGCCTTCTCGACTTCGACCTGCACTTCGTCGACTTCGGCGGGTGCGTCTGCGATTGCCTTCAGCGGTGCCTCCTCCTTCTGCTGAGCGCTCTTCGCGCCAGCATCAGCCTTGACCTCCTTCATCGGCACGTCGTCCACGCTCTTCAGAGCTGGTGGGACATACTCGTACCCCAGCGCCATCATCTCCTTCCTCTTCTTCTCTCTCTTTTCCTTCTCCTTGTCCACTTTGCCCTTCCAATACGCCCGGCCTTTGCTCTTTTCCATTTCCTTTCGTTCCAGCATCCCCCTCGGTATAACCTTGAATCTCTTGTTCGCACCTTTCCACATCTCGGGGTGTATTTGCTCGTCGGGCACGACGCGCACCTTGAGGATGTGCCCGAACATGAGGTAGTTGTTCATGGTACGTGCGACTATGTCTGCAACCTCGGATGACGCGAATTGAACGAAAGCGTAGTGCTTCGAGGAGCCGGTCTTCTTGTTACGAGCTAGTCGAAGGTTGAGAACCGTCCCAAACTGGGTAAAGTAGGAACGCATCTGTGGTTCGTAGAAACCGTGCGGAATTCGGCTGGTGCGATCGAGTTAACACATTTGCACGGCTTGAGATCGTACTTTGATGAGATGTACATACCCGACGTAGATGGTTCCCGGTCTGTCCTCCTCAGCGGCCTTTTCACTGGCCTTCTCGAGTGCCTTCTTGGACTTCTTGTCCATCTTCGCGTCTGGGATTTGATCAAGCGGCACACCTTCCTCCACATCGTCGCCTTCGCCTTCGTCACTGGAGAAGCCTGCTAGCAGGGCTGCCACGTCTTCTTCCTCGTCCTCAGAAGAAGGCAACGCAATCTTCTCCTCCTCTTCCGATGACGCCTTCCTCTTCGAGGCCATGTCTTTGGATTTCTTCGCTTCCTTCGAAGCGGCTTTCTCTTCCTTCTTGGCTTTCGTTTTGGATATGGTGGTAGGTGTGGGCTCAACAATCTCAACCTTCTTTGAGGTCCTTGCTTTCTTTTGCTTGGGGCTATCCCCAGCCGGCTCAACGACGGCCGCAGCCTCTTCCTCGATGAAGTCCGCAGCACGTTTTCGAGATCTTTTGGCGTCGGAAGCCGCCTTTAGCTTCTCGTTCACAGGCTTATCCTTTGTCTTCGCCTTGTCGTCGGATTTGAGCTTCTTTGTTGGACGGCCATCTTTGGTCGAAGCTGCATTATTTCATAAGTCAATGGTACAAAAGCGAGCAGAGCAGTCATACATTTGCGCTTCGGAGCGGATTCTTTTGACATTGTGGGACAATTGACATGCAGTCGTTCGAGTTTTTCAAGTCTTTTGGTGTGTAGAACGAAGCATTCATTTGTGGCAGGCTGGGGTGAAACTTTTTTTTTCCTGCGAGTTCGCTTATTTGCTGATCAAGAGCGCTTATCTTATCTTAGCGTTGATCTTGCCAGGTAAACTTAAGCACACTTCACTCTCTGACCAGCATCTCTCGTCTTGACCTTTCTCGTCCACTTCGCGACATGACAAAATTACTCAGGGCCTCTTGTAACTTCACGGTCCTGAAAATATCTATTGAGTCTTACCAGGGGCTTAAACTTTGCGCCAAACGCCCTCAACTTTGGTGTGTATGCCATGATCACACAAGGGACCCCCCTTCCCCCACATGTTCAAAACAACATCAACTGATGCATGAGGGGAAAACCCTTGTGGTCTGAGGCAAATGTTTGTGGCAATATCGCGCACGTCATCTGGGTAAGTTATCGTGATATGTATTTGCAGGACCTCTTCTCCCTAATTAGCTCGTTCCTGGTGCGTTCTCGACACCAAGATATGATGAACAAAAGGTAAAAGGGCCGATGGCAATTATTTCCAACACGCTTCAGGTTTTGCAAGGACATGGATCAACAGCGTCCCATGCCGGCTCCCTGAGGAGACTCGATCAGGTTAGGGTTTTTGGTACCAACACATACCGCTTACTCACCTATGTCTTCTCCATATCGCCAGGTTGGCATGGGAACTTTTGCGGTGTAGATAAAAAATGCCCGATTTGGAGCCACGGTCTTGAACGAGTGGGCCACGGCTAATGGCAAGGGCGTTCAAGCACGAATCTCTATGACCAAGCTACGAGATCGAGCGGAGGGGAGTTTGGCCGGACTGCATGTTGGCTTTTTCATGAAGCCGTTGCCGTGTGCCAGATGCGGATCAAAAATTAAAAACTGAAAAGATCTGATCAACGAATATACTCCGCCTATGCGCTTCTTTGAATCTTTGACTGGTCAAGAAACTGATGGCTATACAACAGGTCACGAGTTGTGCGAGAAACTGCCAACCATGTCGCAATCCTCCGTCAGTTCAATAATCAGTGGAGAAGCATCGAGGCCTTTATTCACCGAGGCGAACGCCTTGTCATTTGCAAAGGGCGTTATTCCGCCTCTCCTTATTTCACCTCGTTTCGATGAATGGAAAGCAACAAAGAGAAGGTTTGACAGCAGCATTCACAACTCCTCACGTCCAATCTCACCGCCTGCCCCTAAACGTCCGAGGCTTGACCCGCAGATTCAAAGTCACCAGAATTATGCACATTCCACAAACATAAAGTCCAGATATCCTAGATCAGAGCATATCACAGTGGGCCGAGACAAGGCTCGTTACCCTGTCAACTCAGCTCCAAGCATGCGCACCCGTTATTCGCGTTCGGAGTCTTTTGATGCGCAATTAAGTCAGCTAGGATACGATGCTGCACATCGGCCGTCGCCATACGGTCCACTGAAAGCGAGTCTTCGGCGTGAAGACCTGGTAACGAACCCGTCAGCACCAAGACAAAGCAGCAGGCCAATACCGACGGCACCGAAAGCGATGCTGAAATATCAGACGTTTCAACAGACTGAGCAAATGTACACAGCACGTGATCCGCAAAGTTGGCATCCTCCACGACCGAATGCACATGCGCCGCCAGCATCACTCATAGTCAAGCCTAGAGTCAGTACGCGGGACGATGGTCACTCATCTTTGAGTTCACCCGTATTCGAAAACAAAAGTTTCTCCAATGTGGCAGCAATACTTGGGGATTCACTTTCTTCTCTAGATGCACTCCACTCTTCAGGCCATGCATCATCGAATGGCGCGGCAACACCGTCCGAGATATCTTCTGTAGCACCATCTAGCGGAAAGTGTATCAATTGTCGGTTCCCGCTTACTAATAACCCAACGTTGTTCTGCAACGAGTGCCAGAGGAGTTTTCATGAACAATGCAAGAAGGATTCAATCCATTCTGCCCTTGGGTGGACATGTTTGAGATGTGTAAAGAGAGAGGCTAGGAAACTTCGCACGACCAAAGGGCCAGGTGCTGCTGCTGGCAGCAACACAGCCGCTTGTAATCCTCTGTACCCGTCTCAGTCATACGAAAAAACCCCTAAGCCAGATGGGGTAGCTCAGAATCAAGATACCAAGCAGGCTTCGGAAAACTCGAGAACAAATGTTTCGTCGACGTTAGAAAGGAGTTGGGATGCAACGCGCCATATACCACATGAAGAGCGAAATACTTGCTATGAACTTGTTCCCACGCCTTCGAGCAATATGCCGACGCAAGCTCGGGCAAGGCCCTCATTACCTTTTCCAGAAAGGCCAGTGTTGTTGCGTGATGCAGAAATCAAGCCTGGCGGTAATGCCTTTGTCAACGGCATTCGATTCCGCGATTGGAGCAATGCTCCTACATCCTCTCCTGTCCGACAGCTGGGAATTGCACATCTGCCGTCTCGACCTGCTTCAAAGGGCTCGGAGACAGAAGCCTCGATGGATCTGAGCGATGATCTGACTGAGTTTCCTCAGAGTGAGTTAATCACTTCAACACCATTGTCAAAATTCAAAATAGATGCGGCTGCAAAACCGGGTGAAGGCCATGGAGAATCAAAGACGCAGTCAAGTCCGGTTGAATCACAGACGACTATACGTTCGCTGGAAAGGTCTACTGCTTACCCTGTCTCGTCTGGAATACAGTGCGAACAATTACCTGGCGGCCCAGCGCTTTTCGAGTCAACGCAGATCAGTTCAAGTAGTGGACCTCGTGCCGATGGAACGTCGCCAAGCAATGAGAGAAAGCTACCACAGGACGTGAAGCTTAAGCAAAAGACAGCCTCAAGTCTAGAGCAACACGAACATGACGCGGATCTTAAGTTCAAGCCTACAGGGGTTCGTGGCTGGAGTCGTCATTTCGAGCTTGCGGGGTGCGAGAGCCCTTTTCAAGACGGCGGATTTCGAAATGAGAAGCTCAATCACTGCGAAGATTTGTACAAGCTCTTTGGAAAATGTCCATGGGATCTGGTCGATCATACTCTGCGTCCTAGGAGATATTGTATCAAACTCCTCAGAGCGTTGTCGAATCTAAAGACAATACTCAATCGCTTCGACAATGCGAATCAATGCCTTGCAACGCTCGAGAAATTCATTGAGGAACGTCAAGAGAGGAATAAGTCTGCGAGATTGGTGCCTCTGAACATGACAAGCGGGGATGTGGAGGCTTTTATTGTTGCTGTCGGGCAACGGCCCATAAAGCATATTGCAGTTGCTGACGGCTTTGGTGAAAACGATATCCACCACGCAAAAGAGCCTGCGAAGAAATTGACGGAAACCTTACCTGATACGCCAGAGCAGCAGGATAGGTTGAAACGAAATAATCATATGTCGAGACAATCAGCTGCCGCACGAAAAACTGTTGTGTCGAACGAAGCTCATTCTATAAGCGAAGGAAAACCGTCGAGTGAAGAAATTACTGGTTCACTTCCCTTGACAGACAAAAATATACGAGAAGCACAAGGTAGACCAGCAAAGGATAAAGCGGATGCTAACAATCCATCATCACTGATTGAGCCGCATGTTTCAGAGATTTCCGACTATTCAGAAACAAGATATGCCCATCTCATCAAAGGCAAAGCTGGTGAACGAACTATTCTACTTCATGAAGTTGAGCAGTATTTAAACGAGGCAGTATCTCAATGGGCCGCCCTTAAAGGCAGACTCCAAGAGCTCGAGCCCGAGGCCCGCGAACTATACTTGAGTCTCCGGGCACTAGGAGACGGACACTCTCCCGTAGAAAGGTCAAAATGGCTCCACAATGCTATTGTGTGGGCGTTCGGCCAACTCAGGTCGAAGGATGAAAAGTATTTTCATGAAATTCCGCTGCAAAATCGAGGCCCTTTAACGAACACGCCAGGATGGCGACATGAAAATGGCGATCATCGTCTTTTCGAAGGGCAGCTACTCACTAGACAGCAAATGGATCACGTTCATGGTGGGAATGCTGATATATTAATTACAGGAACTTCGCAGTCTGCTCAAGGCGTCCTACCTACAGCGTCTGAAAAGTTGACTGGCATTGACAGCAAAGACAATAACGAACAGGGTTACGTCAACGAAAATGTGACTCCAACGAAGCCAGGCGATGTGGCTACGAGGAGAAGGAGCTCCTCCCCTGTAGAGGAAAAGCGCAATTCTGAATTCCGCAGGGATTCCTGCTCGAGGATTGAGTCATTCGGAAGACTTACGACACAGAATGAGGCTCGCACGAACGAAGTATCATTTCAACTGATTAAGAACGTTCCATTGGCCGACACTGCTGAGCACAACCGTGAAGCAGGAGATCTTTCCGAATCAAGCGAGCTCTCAGACCTGGAAAAATCGCCTGAAGCGCCCGACGAGCTTTTGAATGGGGAAAATCCAGCCAAAGTATTCGAGCGCGAGGCATCTAAGAATACACGTAAGCTAAGCGATGGCGAAGATCGACCATCGCAGTCGTCAGAGCCCAATCAAACGACAACTCGGCATGCTAGTAAACCAATTAAGTTGGTCACTGATTTCACTTTCCGAGAATTACTTTTGCTTGCTTTGTACATTGAACCAAGACGTATGCACGGCGATAATGTGGATCTACCTCGAATGACGTCCAAGGCCATATTCGAATTTGTTCAAAGGATGTTCCCCCAGCTCAGCCACCTTAAGAATCAGTCTCATATTGATAGCTTTTACAACAGCCTTGCGGCACAGTGCTCTACGCATGTTTCAAGAGGTGTTCTTGCTAAATCAACACAAATTGACCATTCTAACAAGAAGACGTACACTGTCTATTACGCTGACACTTCGTCTGGCAAATTTTTGAGTCCTACGCATCTGGCGCTTTTACGAGAAAGATGGCTTCAACATCTTGCAGAACACCCACACGTTCTTAGAAATGAGGGCGGCTTATCGCCACGTAAACGTGGCCTTGAAGGTCTAGACACTATTCAGTCGAGGAGTCTGCAACGAGAAGAATCACCGGCAACGAAATCGCAAACAACAACATTAGCGTCAACATGGAAATCGCCCAAATCATCAAAAAGTCAACTGGGATTGCGAGCTGCACGCAAGAATAATATGCTGGCTCTTCGGTCGATGAAAACGTCCATAGAAGATCCGCCGCTGACAACAAGAACCACCCTTTCTGCCTCAAGAATGAAGATTCCAGATTCACAGGAAACCGCTCGCCAAAGAGATCAAGGCTTGTTTGTATTATCCACGTTCTCAAGCTATGTTAACACAGACGATGAAGAATTGTCGCTATTAAAGGCGTTACCCGTGAGTAAACCTGAAAAGGATGAGCCTCGTCCTTTCAGTCCGGATCCGCTTGACGAGTTGCTGGAAACATCGAAAAAAGCAAATGCTGAAGAACAGGATCTTTTGGACTTGTTGCCAACGATATGTGCACAAGAGGCCGCTAGCGACGCCGCGAAATTAGCCCAAAAGAATTTTGAAGTCAAAGACTTTTTCGCACATTGGCCTGAACATCATTCTAGCCATGTGTTGCTGGATTCAGTAGGCAAATTGAAGGAAATAGGAACAAGGCCAAATAGGCGACAAATGCTTGGTCTTCCGTATCGGCGTCCGAACGCAATCACGGTCTATCGTCCATATGGAGAGCAAAGCCAACTGCGTGTAATCCCCTCCAACGCTGTGTCACTCGAATCTATTTCTTCGGACGCAGGTTCATCGAGGAAGAATAGCTCTCCGCGGAAGCGGAGAAGAGTGCGAGACGACAGCAATATCTATGCAGCAGATATTGATGTCACAGCTCTTGAAGTCACAGCAAGCGCTCCTGAAAAGCAAGTAGATACATGGCAGGAGGCACTAGGTCTTCCGCAGGAGCTTGTGCCTGGATTTGTGACCGATTTAACGTCTAGAAAAGGGAAAAGGCTTGTTTTGGAGGTGCCCAGTGCTGTGAGAGGGAAGTCGAGGAATTGGTTCAAGGCGTTGCTCCCTGACGGATAGATCTTCCATATTAAAACTTGGACAATCAAGTTTGTAGTCTGCATTAGTATCAATCATGGAGAATTTCGGAATTTCGTGTGGCCGAGGCCCAGCATAAGCAACGAACTAGTCAAAACGTAATGAAGTCGGATTGTCGAGGGAAAGTATGCAAAGAAATGCGAGGATGCGTGGTTGATTTCAAAAGCGCAATTTTGCATCCTCTGAAAGCCTGGCAATATGCATTCCGCTCAAGGAGAAAGATTATCCTCACTCTTGGTCTAGAATGTAGCCCAGAAATCCGTCCAAAAAATCTTTCCCAAGGCGACAAAGGTAGGATCGCCAGGTGGAAGCTGCTGTACACCAAGCCAACCAGCAATGCCCTTCTCTCGGTTAATCTGCCATACTGGATTTGTGAAACCACCCCACATCAACGTTCCTGGAGGAGTTCCAGTATTGGGAATACCCTTTGTGAACAGACAGCCACCTAAACCATAGTTAACGCCAGGCATACCGACCTCACCACCGGTCATCGGCGCGAAGATGAGCGACCATGCTTCAAGGCCCTTTTGAGCTGCCGAACCTTCCTCCAGCTGCGGCGAGAATAAGGCCGAAATCATCTCTTTGCTAAGCAGTTTCGGGCTGTCACTCAACAGATCTGCTTGTACGGCAAGATAGTGGTCCGTGGTCAGGGCCAGGCCAGAACCGCCATGCTCGTCCTTTGGCATATCGCCAAACGGGGCGGAGACAGGCTCCAACCCCCCCTCTGCAGTGCGATTTGCGCACTCGAGCAGGTTCGCTTTCAGCTCCGGGTGTTCGCTGAGGTTGAACGTCGGATATGGCGCAGGAGCACCCACTGGCTTGAAGATGTTGTCCACAAAGTATTGTTCAAGGGTGATGTTGTTATTCAACCGGCGAACAAGCTGCCCTGCCCAGTCCAGACCAGGTCCGTAGACCCATCCTTCTCCCGGGTGGAAGGCCAGGGGATTAGAGTAGCACTCGGCGACCGTGCCCGAGATGGGATACGATTCAGACTCCCCAAGACCATTTTGATTCCGATATGCCACGATCAACGGGGACAAGGCCCCGTAGGCCAACCCACTAGAGTGGGTGAGAAGCTGCCTGATGGTTATAGGCTTGTTCGGCGGGCTGAGCTTCAGCGTCTTGCCTTCATCGTCCGAGCTGACAACTTCTAGTTTACTGAGTTCCGGCAGGACGTTGAACACGCTGTCGTCGAGACCTATCAGGCCGCGATCGACGCACTGCAGAGCGGCAATGCTCGTGATCAACTTGGTGCATGAGGCCACTTTCATCACCGCGTCCCCTTTGAGCGGCGGTGCATCCGGCGCGATACCCATTCGCCCAAACGTCTTGCTGTATATTTTCTTGCCTAACAGAAGGGTAAGCTGAACAGCATGGCATCTTCATGTCCGCAAATCGTACCATTTTTATCTACACCGGCGAGAATAGCTGCATGTAGCTTACTTGAAGAAGGGTCGGTTGCCTCCGCAAAGGCTTTCTCTGCTGCCGCCAAGGTCATATTACGGGCATATAATGATTCTTCAATTAGAATAGTATATACGTCTACGTCAATGTCTACGTAAACAAATGCAACGGGCGGAACGGGGCGTTGTGTTTAAATCAACAAAGAATCGCTACACGCTATCCAGCTCATTCCTGTACCTCGGAGTCAAGCTTTCTCGACTTCTCATCTTTCGAATGTTCGGTGCCTAGAAGTGGGGGGCAGTGAATGGGGTATGAATTAGCCGGTGTCCTGCCACGCTGCACCATGTGGGGAAAGGCACCTTATGTCAGCCGGGTTAGATTCGTGAGGTTTCTGGGACTTTCCGCGCAAACGTTCGGCGACGTCAAAGTCCCAAGCCGCAACTATAAATGACGCAATGAAGTGATCGACTGCGCAAGGCAGACGTGCCAGACAACCCAATTTGACAGCAGAGAAATGGATATTCACGTGATCTTCCCCTTGTACCACACGCCCGTCGACATACGCGAAGATGGTCTAGAGAATTTTCAAGCTACTCGTAACGAAATCAAGCGCGCTCTCATATATACACCATAGTCCTTGCTTTGACTCATGCAATTCACGTCGCAGCGTTCTCTTCATATGCTCGCGCTACCAATGCTCCCCATGACTTCGAAGTGATCAACTTCGCTTCCGTCCTCAAATTGCACTCTAAGTGCTGGCGCCAGATCCCTTGATATCCCCAAGAGTCGCTCTTCCGCGTCGCCGTTCTCTTCATGCTCGAGTTCCGATCTCGAGATGCAGAGGACCTTGAGCTTAGGGTACAGTTCCGCACAGTGAGGAATGAAATCATCAAGCTCCTCGACGAGTCTTGGCGCGTACTCGTTAATTTTGAGCTCCTCTAGGTTCGGTGGCAAGACGTCCCTGAGCCTGTGATAGCCGCCAACGTCATCTTCGTCCCAGCCGATCAGTGCCGACGCTGGCGCATCAAGTTTTTTCAAAGCAGTAAAAGTCTTTAGTTCTTCCCCCAGAGGTGGCACTAGGCCGTCGTCACGCTCGGGCCAGGAGTCATAGTGCTTTCGAGTGTCCAAACGCAACCTTTTCATGGTATCCTTATGCATGGCCAGGTTGCTGCGTAGCAATGGAAAGTTGATTTCGACCCAGCCGACGCTGAGTCCCGCCCAGTCGCAGTCGAAGCTTTCCACGGCTTTGCACGCGCTCAGCATTTGGGAGAGACCTATTGGACAGATGGACGACCGGATAAAGCTCAAGTCGGTCACATTGGATGTTCCGGCTGGACAGTCGAAATCTTGGTACAAGTCATCTTCCGGCTCAAAGCATGCCATGCCTACGACACGCCGGAGATTCGGTAGATGAAAGAACGGTGCGATGGACGACAGACGGAATCCACCTTGGCCGCCTTCCAGACGGGCAGTCACGGCATGCAAGGTGGTCAAATTCTGAAGTATGGCTTGCTCCTTTATTTTAGGAAACAAACTTGATAGAACCAGATGGTCGAGAACAAATCGTGGCTGCTCGTCTTTTGTCGTCGGGTTCTCCAAGTGCAACAGCTTGAGATTCGTCGACAAGGCGATAAGAAGCGCTGCGTGCGTCTCCTCGCGTGTCCAAACATCGTCATGGCTTGGGGACGCATTCAGATGAAGGTATTTTCGTGCGGCTGACACGAACAGTTCTTTATCATCCTCGTGTAGGGTCGCGTTGTACTTTTCCTTCGCCCATTCAGTCCAGCTCTTGATGTCCCAGAAGTTATCGTTCTGGACAGGGTCACACAGCGCAACAATCTCGACCTTGCTTGCTAGCTCAGGTCTTTTGATCAGTGTTCTCACTGCAGATTGGATTTTCGATGGTTCCGAGTACATATGATGGGAAACTTGGCGGTAGAGCAAAGGAAGAGATATGCGATAGATCCGCTTCGATGTCAGAATGCAGTGGTAAAGGGTAGCTTGATCAGCGTACGAAAGGACCTTCAACGCCAGTTCATCCGGTAGGTCGTCCATGGACTGACGGAACTTCGTCTTGGAGTCAGGACTCATGGTGTCAGCCCCTCCTTTTTGACGACGTGAGCACAGTTTCTTGTTTCGAACTGCATCGACGGCAATAAAACTAACCTGAAGGTGATTATACTTCTGCACGGACAGGGTGAACCAAGGGGACAGGCTCGACTGGTGGGGGGTTATGCTGGTGTTGTTCCCGGTATGCGCACACAACGCTGTTAAAAAAACCCCCGAACTGACAAGGCTCAAATCGTGCAGTCGCCAAGTTGGTTTGGCACAGAACACACAATGGAGCTGAGTATCAGAACGAGATCATCACTTTCTCATGGGAGCTGATACTCCTGCGATTGCTCGTCTTCGTGCCTCGACGTGCCTAGGAGACGACTTGCGATGGCGTATGTGCAGCAGATGGTGTTATAGGGACTGATCAGCCCTGTCTGCTGGATCTGTGGCGCGGTAGCAGAGCGGATAAATAAAGAAAAATATGAGGGTTAGCCCGTCAAAGCAAGAATTTGCCACCTTAAGCAATGGCGGCCAGGCCGAGGAGACCCCTCCGACTGGTATCGACAGTGACCTTGGGAGGCTGAAGAATGCGAGGGGAAATCTGCATGTTTTTGAACATGGAATTTTCAAAGACCCATCCAGACCCTGTCTCACGTGCCTTGACTCACCTCACGGACGTCAGTCCGCGACCTCCTTCGACCAATCCTTGAGAATTCGTTGGCGTGAGCCATTGAAGCATCATTTTGCAGGACGCAGGGACATTGGATGATCGTTGACGTATACGGTTGTCCTTCGTATCGGATGAACAGGCTTGAAGAAACCTCAAAGCCACATGAGTATGGACAGCTACGTCATCGCGCCACTGATCCGCTCGCACAAGGGCTACCCGGACTGTGGCAACTTCACTCGCGGTGACAGCTTTTTTCTTTTTTGCAAGTGACTTTTCAGTCCAAGCCGCATATGTCCATCCGATGACGAGGGTTCTCTTTGTCCAGCCACGAGCCCAATGGGCTGGCTTTTCGTGGGATCGCTTACGCATTCCCAAGCCAGGTACTTTTGGAGATGACCAACATGATGAAGCCACCTGCGAAACCTCATCCACAGAAAGTAAGGTCAGACGCAAGAATTTCGGCAGAAACCGAGAATAATCCACCCCCAACTCCCTTTATTGCCTTGCAAGCGTCTATTCGATAACCTGAGCGTAAAGCATTTAATTGCATCTTGAAAATACAGTGTTTCGCTATGCTATGGCTTGCGTGTGCAATTAGACATTTCACAAAAACCGTACAACGGGCACTATCCGATACCAGCAGATATAATGTGCCATCCGATACCCATACAGGTGATAAGAATTTTACAATCTTCAAATGGCGAGTCTTTTGCCTCACTGACATCTAGTACCTCCGATTCGTCGCACTTGCATATTGGTCGTACCTGGACATGAAGGCAGCATTCGGTCTCGCCATTGCTGCTGCCGCCGCGGGTCCCAACGCTGCTCCCAACGGCGTGGGGGGAAAGCTCTCACTGGGCGTCTCCGGTGCTATTTCGCCACCGTTGGGGGCGGCAATCACCTGCTCTCGCCCTGGAAGCACACTCGTGTCCATCGCCAAATGCATCCACTGGGGGCTTGCTTTGAGGTACTTTGAGAACTCCTTAATCGGAACGTGTATCATTTGCATGTATTTAGGAATCATCCCTGGCATTCCCTTCCACAAACCTGCTCGTCGGATCGAGGATACAGTGGCACAGAAGTCACCCCAGAACGAGATCATGAATCGAATGTATTCTTGAAGCTGCTGCATTTCGTTGAACTCTTTGGCAGTCGGGGCGAGTGGAAGGTATTCTACGACCTTTTCGACCATTGCAAGGGTCTTCGTTAGTGATTCGGCGGTCTCATGCCACATCCTTAATGCCATTGGCGTGTTACCAGGAGCGCCGGGATTTGCTTGCACCTGTTGATCTTTGTCTTGAATGCACTCCGTTAGGAATTTGAGCGCAGAATACTCAGGGCTTAAGCAAGCCTGTATGACTCTGTTGAGCAGGCTGAGCAGTCTCGTATATTGAAGATCCTGGACTTCTGTTCGTCGAGCGTCCTCAGGGTCGACCATACGATTACTCCACGAGCTAAAAGGAGGCTCACTTGCCGTCGGCGAGGACGCAAAGCTCATTGAGCTGGGGAAGTCGACGACGGAACTGCTTGCGCTTAGACCAACTGGTGACTGCGTGGCACTCTGCACTGGACGGACGGCCAGAGAGACAGCCGTATTAACTGACGGGTTTCCAAGTGAAGATGCATTCGTACTAATGGCTCCCATCGAGGGAGCATAATGCCGACGAGCTACCACACTTGCTTGAGATGCTTCAAGCTTTTGAAAGAATTCAGATGGTAAGAGGGCCCTTGCCTTCATCATCACCACACGAGCACTGATCAGCTGATACTGTGCAGTTGCAATGCATGATGCTAGATCCGTGTTGTCGCCCAAAGCGATGGAAACGGTGAGAAGCTTCGTGATGACATCGTCCGTTACCACCTTCGAGAGTGTGTCTTGCAGTAGTGCTCGGGATACCCCTGTGAGATCAAACACTTGCAGCAGTGTGCTTGAGATCGATCTCCCTATGAGGTTCATCTGCCTTGGTGTCTGGGTGATGGGCAGCAGCAAGCGTCGATCTTCTAGGCTTCGTAGTGCGTTTCGCAATGATCTTAGGAGAGAATCAACTCGTGTGAGTTGCGCTTCGCCCCATTCTCCGTTGACGACGCTTCCTCGAATGTATTCTAGAATTTTGATGAACGCTAGCAGGGCCCTCGACCCGTGAACGATGGCTTTTGTCCATAATGAGATGATTCGGGCAGAGTCTATGGACCTTGAAAGATTCGGCTGAAATTGGGTAACGACATTTCCACCCTGGCCCATGAGAATGGCTGTCATACCTGATCCATCAGAGCTGTCTGGTGAAGTCATCAAGGTAGATGAATCAGATAGCTTTGCGGAACTGGGGGGTAGCCTCGGTGTTATTATAGCATGAGAGCGATGATCTGATCGAAGCGTCGAACCGGTGAGCTGATTGGAGTAGTCGGAAGGAGTCTGGCGTTCAAATGAAGAGTTTGGAGACCATAATATTGGCGCGTCCGTACTGGCGTTGAGTCCTCGCTGACTGCGGCTGACGCCTCGAACAGATAAATCCGATCGCATCTGATGCTTCGATGGAATAGAAGGAACGGGAGGCGCGTCTGGAGGTGAAGTCACGGCCTGGTCGATGTCGTCTCTGCTGGCCTTGACTGGATAGCGTCCAGAACCCTTGCGTGGTGCTGGTCGAGGTGTTTTGGCGGGGTCAAAACTGTTGATATGTTAGTCAACATATGATCAGAACAGCTTGTCGCCATACTCGGTGTCAAGATCTTTGCTGGATGCACCTCGCTTGCTCGCTTTGTAGAGGCTTCGTTTGATCTTGCCAGTTACAATCGCCTCTAGCTCTCCGGGCGCTGTGGGCTTCGGCTGCAGTGAATCCATGGAGTACGACTCCGGAGGGGGGAAAACCAGCGGATTGTCATCAAATTTGAGCAACTGAAGCCTACTAAGTTCACATAGCCTTATCGGAAGCCTCTCGATACGGTTGCGCGAGATGGCAAGTACTTTTAATGATGTCAAGTTTCCGATTTCCTCGGGAAGAACCTTGATGCGGTTTCGGCTCAGGTCCAGAATCTCCAAAGATTCGAGTTGTAGGATCTAGGAAACATTGGCAATAAGCATCGAACGGTACCGAGAACAGCTTACCGCTTTGGGCACGTCTTTGAGTGCGTTGTACCGTACATTGAGGTAGCGGAGCCGTCGACAGTCGGCCAGCTTCAGAGGGAAAGAAGTAAGCCGATTGTGGGATATTGCAAGCCTGGCACGGATCAGACATTAAGGCTACCAAGCACAATTCCGTGTTTTGCAGGAATGATGGGTAGGCCGAGCACAGCAGATGCCGGTCACGTTATTTGGCCCGACTCACCTCTCGATCTCGACCTTCATGATCTCAATCGCTTCCTCGGGCAGCTCCACGATGTTTTTGTGCGTCAGATCGACGGTGACGCCGTTCTGCTGGAGCTCAACATTCGTCGGCCCATCGTCGGCCTTCCTCGCGTCTTCATGACTGGCCTCGATGGCGGCCCTGACCCAGGCGATGACCTCTTCGCTCGAGGCCTCCTTCAAGGGCACGGAGCCCGGAGCAAGCTCCACACTCATGGCGACAGGAGCGCTGCGTGATGCTCGCTACCGCACAAGCATCGTCGACGGCTTGGTGTCTTCGGTCTACGGGCAGGAAAGAGGAACATGCGAGAATACGCTGGCTGGAGCAAGGGCCACAAGGAGTGTGAACTTTTTGAAACTTTCGCGCCCAATCCGGCTCGCGCTTACGCTGTGGCTTGCTTAGCGCCACGTCTCCTAACGTTTCTTCCAACGTCAACCCGCCCTGCTGTCGCGCTCTCCAAAGACGCTGCTCATCTGTCACACAAGCCTCGATTTGGACGCACGAGCCCGAGAACAAGTCACCAGCCTTTGCGTTGCCTATCACGCCCATTGCGGCTCGGTTCCAGGCGTGCGAGACCAGCCCTGTAGCCGGCAAGCCTTGGCTCGCGCTGCGCTGCGCCATGCACAGCTCGTCCTGTCTTTGCTTACGAAACTACCCTCTGCACTCGTCGAACGCGCTCAGAACACGTGGAACCTACGCTGGAGTACGGCTTGGGTACGAACTGCACAGAGACTTCAACGGAAATCAGTTTTTTCCAAGATGCGATTCGTATTTTTTTGGGATCCAAAAGGAGGCGCGAGCTCACAGTCTTGGCGCTCTTCATCCAGCCTCTCCCCTGCATCTGGAAGTTCCGGAAGATTGGTGGAAGATTATTTTTTTTAATTATTGCAGGTGGCATGTCTGCTCCGGTCGCGAGCATAAATTGCCCGCGATCGTCATCAGACTGATGTGCCCGGAGGCGTGCCATTTGATTGTTCGTGATATATACCTTCGACGGCGAATTACGGAACGCGCAGCTTGCCAAATAACCCGTCCGTACGGTGACGTATCATCTGGCGCAGCAGTTCCTTTCCACCGCCACCCTTCGGTCCTCCTTCAACAGTGAACTCAGACGTGTAAATCTTTCTGCCCTTATCAAAGCTGCCTTTGCTTTCGTCTGCTTCGCGTTGCACAACAAACTGAAGAGGGCGAGCGGAATCAATGCCTTCCTGCGTGTCGACAGGGATGAGGAGACTGAGATCGTTTTGAACGGAAAGTTCGAAGTAGTCGCCCTCGATCCTATGTTCTGTCCAATTCTCATACATGATGCGCTTCGTTTCGGTGGCACTGGTGACCTTGGAATACGTCGTGACATCCCACAACCGTCCCAATACTTGACTCCGTAGCAAGATATCCTCTATTGACGGCTTTTCATCCCATTTCAGCTGTCGATCTTCAGGTCTGATTTTAGGGGCCGCAGCGATGCCCATATTCCCAGTCAAAGTGCGAATCTGCTCCTCTGAAAGCGTCACCGGTTGGATAGGGTCTACGAAGAGCTTGTTTCGGAGCGTATGAAGCAGGAGTTCAGCCCCCAGTGGCGCAAGCACGTCTCGCAGCTCCAGAGTTGAGCTTCCCTTAGCTACAGGGACACCAGGAAATGGCGACTGGTTTATTACGACGCCATGATCAAATTTTGTCGGATGCAGCGTTTGGACGGACACTCCGGTCCATTTTCGGTGTTGCAACAAAGTGTGCTGCAAAGGTGCGGCGCCCCGAAGACTGCGTGCCCGTCAGATTCATGCCCGTGCTTCGAGTCTTATCCAAAACGTTTCACATACTCAGGTAGCATGGAGGGATGAACATTTAACCCGCCATATCTCGCAGCCTCCAGAATGCGACGGGGTACCATCAGCCCAAACGAGACAGCAATGACAAGATTGATGTCAAGAGGAGCTTGCCAATGCCTGAAAGTGTCTATTTCATGGAGCCGAAGGCCAAGATCTTGCGCTACAGCCCGGATCGGAGCTATTGTTTCTGCTTAACATTCGAACGCCATTATGACCAATTTCCAGTGTGCTTACGATGGGTGATAGTCTTTAGGCCTCTCCCAGTACGCTTCCCGGGTCGACAAACGACTTCAATAGAGTCTATGTCGGCCGGCGAACCATCCACCATTTCTTGGTGTAGCGCCCGTAGCGAAGCGACGCTGAAGTCATCGGATCCGCAGAACAGCACGCGTAGGCGATCGCATGTCTTTTGCCGTAATGTTGCGACATGAAAACATCGATTCACGCGTCTAGCGGGTACGGATGCAATGGATCTGAGCTGTATAGATGAGAAGATCATAGCATGATGCAGATTTTACAATAGTAGAGAGGATGTAAGACAACTGTCCTAGTTTAAGGAAATCTTAAAGTAATGATGCCGAATGCGGTTAGTGCTGAAGAGTTACAGTTCGTATCTACGCACGTGGTAATGTAGTAGAAAAATAAACCAAAGAATTTTGTACGAAACCATTTACGGCTTATTAAAGCTACATTGCAGCTAATGAAAGATCGCAAAAGGATAAATATGCCATGTTAGCTTGACCGGCCGTCTACATGCTGCGCCGAAGTCGACTTCTATACAACAAATCCAACGTGATTTAATTGGCACAGTCTCATTACGAAAGCGATCGAGAAGCAAAATAGCCGCTCAGACTTCTTCGAAATAGTTACATCAATCATCCACCCCTATTCCTGCAGCATCAATCTGCTCCTGCGTGAGGACCTCCTCGTCATCCGCGAGTCCGTCTTCTGCTGAATACAGTTCGTCATCAATGCTCATTGTACCCACTAATCCTCTTCCTCGACCCAGAGCCTCTTGTTCCCGCGCTACCATCATTTCTGCAATCTCTCTTTTCGCCTGCTCCTTTCTCTCTTTCTCCAGATTTGCTTCTTCGATTGCACGATCAGCAAGCTCCTTGCAGCCTTCAAAATGAGATGCCATACGACAGCGGGAGATGTAGTCGTTGAGAACCTCGTCATCCGCAGCACTATCTTTCGCTATGGGCTCGGCAAGATCTCTGCTAGGAAACCGCCATCCTAGAGACTCCCATTTTGCGCCGGCACCCACTACATCGGCCGGCGCTGGAATTGTGTAGGCTGGAGCAGATTCCCAAATATCTATATCAAGCACCTTAGCACACACGTCAGTCAAAAAGGTTGTGCAAGATCTCACCTTCCAATGCCCCATTCCTTAACGTCTGAAACAATAGGGTCTCACCAAGGCCTTCTATCACCTCCTTATCCCTCTTCCCTTTGGTTGCGTGCACTTTCATCCAATCGTCCCTCACAAACAACCTCTTCCAAATGAGGCCCCTCAACATTTCGCCCTTTGCTGTGTCTCTACCCTCGCAGTATCCACTTGCATGCAATACCTTACAAGCCCATAAGAACTCCCTGCCATGTATACTTTTTGCTGGCTCAGGAGACTCGACGCTGTCCATCAATGTAAGAACATCGATGAGCATTTCCGGGCTGAGAACCTTCTGTTGATTGAGGTCGCTAAACCCTTGTCGAAGAAGCTCCTCGTTGGCAGGACGGTCATGAATCGCATGCTTACCGAAAGATTCCATAGCCATATCGACTGAAGCCTTCTCATCGATACCGAGTTTAAGCTGCGGATGTACGTGATTGAAGAGTGCGGTTTGAGCACTATTGAGGATTCGTTCCCTCTCCAAACGATCCCAAAATGAAACTGCGTAGTCGTCGCCATCCAGGGTCGACTTGTCGCTGCGACTCTGTGCAGCCATATAAGCTAGCTTCGCCAATGAGACTTCCGCAGTTTTAGCCCAAATATTCGGCTCCCGTTCATGAGCAACCTTCAAGAGAGCTTCACCCGCGCCCAGAAAATTTTCTTCATTTGTAACTTCGTTGATCCACGCCAACTTCCCGTACTCTGGTCGTGAACGTAAAAACATTGTAAGCTCTTTCTGCTTCCCAAAGTCCCGTTGCAGAAGGTCCGCCAGCCGTCCATTATTGATTTGCGCGGTGAAAAAAGCATGTGCGAATTTTTCACCATACGTATTGAAGTACTTCTCGAGTCTTTCATACATCTCTTTCTTCTTTCTCTCTTTGAGTGCACGTTCCTGCTGACTTTCTTTTCCCAACTCATCCGGATCACTCAGGTACTCAATCTCCGCCACACAAAGTTGCACTAGGCCGTCCATATCGTGCAGCTTCTCTGCGATGCTCATGCCATCAAATCCACGACCTAGTTCTGCCAGACCAAGCAGCATTTCTGGTCGTATCGTATTTTCAAATGCATATTGTAGCCTTATGCCATTTGCACGTTCATCTTCATCAGCTCGAGACTGGAGCCAGAGTGCGCGCTCAGAGTGGGTCAAGCAAGTGAGAAAAACAAGGTAGTGCTGGTGCTTGCGAAGATTTGACAGTAATGCGGTGTTGATTCCGGAAGCCTTGTCTTGTGCCTCTTCGCTCAAATCAACAAGTAGTTTGTTGGTCTGGGCAACGTAGCCTCCCAGGTGAGTGCATATATTTTTCTCCGCGGTCCACGGCTCGGGAAGTTCGTGATAAGCTTCTATGTCACGTAGCACGCCATCCTCAACCACTTCATCCTGAAGGCCATACATGCTCAACTTGTGCTGTCGAAAGTCGTATGCAGTGTGCAGCAAGGTCTTGATAACATCTTGGGCCTCTGAGATGAACTGCACTAGCAAGTTCCACTTGCCCTTCTGTAGTGCATGTTCATTCAGAATGACACTCTCCATCGTAACCAAGATTTTGCTAATTCGATCCACGTCATGTTCGAACCAATATCTGACTGCGTCAACTTCACCTTTTTTAGGATCTGCTTCACCTCGGGACTTCTCGTTGATAGCTGCGACCCAAAGTGGAAACAAGATCTTCTCATCGCCCTCCTTATCGCTCAACCACCTCTCATAAACTTTCCACAATTGTGAGGCGGCCTCCAGCTTTTCCGCATCCCATAACAAGCGCCATTTCGTAGCTCGCGATATGGGGGAGTATTTGTTGAGCACAAAAGAGATTAATCGTTGTAGCTGTCCTACACGTGTATGAATCTGGTTTTCCGTGCTTGACTCTGCCGTGGGTATATTGCTATTGTTTGAAGTCAATATTTCGTGACTCAACTCAAGTGCTGCACGTTCAACATCCTTTTGTTCAAAGTTGAAGCTCCCACCCTGGCTAAAATCAAGTATCGGCTGGGCATTCTTTCCGAAGAACACCTCTTGCTCAATCTTGGATTTCGGACTGATAGTTTGTTTGCTCGCCTCTGTAGGTGGTTCCTTGGCCACCATGCGAATAGCACCGGCAGATTTGGTAAAGAGCAGAAGCCCCGAAGTACCCCCTTTCTCAGCATGATTGCAATGCTCGGCAGCGGAGGCAACGATTTCGGCTCCAAGATTGTACTGAAAGTACACGATGTCCTGATAGACGTTATTCACAACATTGTCGCGAGGCGCGCTCACCACCTTCTCCAGTGAAACGACAATGACTGCGTTCGGCATTACAATAAATGCAGAGTGTCCTGGATCTGGTATGATGAGACTAAATGAAGTGGATTTGATGGCGGTGGGAACCTTGAAAACGGTGATCGGAGTGATTCTGGTTATTTCAAGTCGACCAGAACCGATGTTAAGATGGATAAGTGAGAAATTTGTTACGCCCTTCTCGCTGAAGCTGACAAGAACTACTGTTTCAAGTGCAAAGTTTGCGTCTTGCTGGCGAGCAAGAGCGGAGCTCGGTTTCGAAATCATAGTGAAATCAATGACAGTGATAGAAGTTTTCGCGTCCTTCTCGATCACATCATTGTCTTCCAAGGCACTCCTCAGTTCGTTTGAAATGTCGAATTGATGCTTGAAGGCCGCAGAACCATCATATTCGACATCCCAAACCTTTAACAAACCTTCCTGGGTTAACGCAATTGTCTCAAAACGATTATTCCTTGCTCTTGTTCTAACTGCAGCAACAGTGTTACGCCAGGCACCTCTCAGCGTAGCTCTAAAGCTGCCAAACCAGCTGCCCTGGTTCTGACTGTCGTTGCTGAGCATAGACACCTCAACCGCTGGACGGCTATTGCGATCTTGGAGGCTAAGATACGCCAGCCTTCCGCTGCTCAGGACTAGAACGTATCCCCCATGCTCGACTTTGACCATTCTTTCAACAAGCTCTCCGCTCATCAATTTGATATGGCCCTCATTAACCTTCAAAGCCCGTGAATACGTCTGATATGCGGTCGCATTATCGGTACTCTCCCAGTACCAAACCTTTCCGGTATTAGGACATACCACAACCAGGCCCGAGTCTGTGGATGCAGCGGTAGCACTTTTGGGCACGACGGCCGCCAGTGGTATTGACTTGAGCGTTTCTGGTAGGCGAACGGTAGTGGGTACAGGAGATGTGATTGTCGAGTTGTAGTCCCATATAAGCACATTACTGAACGTTGCGACGACAACTTCATGTAGCGACTGTGAGAGCGATTGGAAAAATGCGCGAAATGGCACTGTGTCTTTGCGTATGTTGTCTGGTAGACCAGGTAATTGCTTGATCGTGTACTGTTCCGTCTTGCTCTGTGGATGAGTTGTCAGTAGAGACGTCTCCTCTCTATTGAATGAACAGCATACCAAAATCTGGCCGCCCTCTGGCTTGGCCTGTTTGTACGAATTGCTTGACTGTCTCTTCACCCTTCCTACAGCAAGTGCTTGATGGCTTACCCTCCTTTCACCACCAGTTTTTGTCAAATACCCATTTGTAACTTCATCACCGTTTGTGACCGTGGTAAATATCTCCTCACTGATCTTGCTGCGTTTCCGGGGTTGCGGCACCTTCTCAGTTTCTCCGCTGTTTCTGGTCTTTCGCTTGGGAAGCCGAACAGAATCTCTGCCCGCTCTCATGGCTCGAGTCTGTGACGATGCGGCCGGCGAAGCCATATTTGGACGATATGTCCGTAAATGCGCGGCGTCAGCGAGCGGGACGTCGATGTGAGCTCGGTACGTCGACCGCTAGGTGGTGTTTGTCGCGCTGAACAACAAATCAGTGCATTCGTCTGCGACGCCCAAGCAGTACCTAGCTACTGTCCAAAAATGGACTAGCCAATCCGATCATTCTCCAGGTACCAGAGCCAAGACTATGAGCATGTCCTCATCTTCAACACTCTTCACAGAATCCATTTGAATCCCCGTCATTTCGTGTGGCTTGCTGTGTTAATAATTGATTTCGGTGCACATTAAAAGAGATGAGTGGCTCAAACACTTTGATTGTACTTCTTGTACCTCTATCTAATTCTAATAGGACGAGGGTGGCCTCACTCGTTGATGCAAACCTTAGCAGACCGAAAACCTGCAGGAATGCTTCCAAAGGTTGAGCATATTGTCGTCATCATAGAAAAAGCTAGCAACATACGCAAATTACGCGACAATGGCGATTGGCGAGGTCGGTCTCCTTCAGCGTACGAATCTCCGTTTCATATGGGTCGCTGATGCAGTGTTGACATGTGCAGAACCTTTCACGCACAGCTTTGTCAGCAATGCATTTAACATGTCTTTCAAGTCATTGATGATCTCTGTGGTGATGCATCGTCCTTCTCCTTGTCTGACCCGTTCACACTGTTCGCATGGCGCTTTCTCCATTCCTTCTTTGCTTTTCGCCTACTCCTGCAACAACATAGAAGACTCATTTGTATCAAGAAGCTGAACAGCGAAAACCCCGCAGCTATCCACATAAATGCGAACATCTCGCTTCCAATATTGGCGCCAATGTTGAGGTTTGTTTGAGCACGCGCGGCATTCCGGAAGATCACGAATATCACAGTGCCGAGGATGGCGGCAACGGTAGTGACAAGCGCGCTAAGGAAGCTGAAGATGGCGATTGGGAGACTTAAAAGTTTCGAGTAGAGGGCGAGGGGAGTAATGAAAATCATTACGAAGTCCAAGACAACGGCTGTGAGAAAGAGGCCGAACATCCATTGTGAGGCTGTCTTCAAGATGTGTAAGACATTTTGGATCTCAGTAGGAAAGGCGACTAGTAGCAGCTGTAAGTATGATCTGCACCATTTTTTCGGTTGAGAACGTACTTGTTGCGCCGGAGAGCAGTTCGCTCTGTATCACAGCGATGGGATTGAACCAGAAAAGCGTCTTGGGCTTCGAGCACTCGACGATGCCTTCACCATTATTCGCCGCGCAGTAATTCCACAGACCAACCTGGTAGTAATCGTGTAGACCCAATGTCTGCGCTATGGTATTGATCAGACTATAGTTAGGTACACTCGTGGGAATGATGTTGCTAAGATCTAATTTGATAAAGTAAACGTTCGGAAGTCGACTGTGTAACGTTAAGATAACGTCTCACTTCCAGGGCAATTCGTAGAGCATTACCTAGAGGATGTGGTTCCCAGTTCACACAGGATCAGGAAGACAACTGATATAACAAGGGAGAAGGAGGAAATGATTGCCCATCTTTTTCTGGTTCTGGTTTCTCTGTGTAGTAGGGACTTTTCCATATCGTTTGTCCTTTCGGCGTTCGAGGCCGTGGTACGACGATTAAAGGAAAGAGTGCTAAAATTGACAACACCGAAGAAGAGACAATGAAGAGAATCAACGCTTATGATTGCGTAGCAGCCATGGTGCGAGTGGTGAGCAGAATTCGTAACGAATATTGGTGAAGTAAGAACGACTACGTAAACATCCAGCGGCGAGGAACAGAATTCGTCTACGGTAGCTTCCCAGTTGTTGTCCTCTGCTCTCCCTCCTCCCCAAAAAAACAGAGCACACTACGTCTGCTTGTGGCAATGCAGATCACCACTTGCGTCAAGTTCATGCTTTTGGCCGCGTTGGCCAGCAGCTGTGACCGTCGTCACTAAAAGCAACGAGTAAGTGTGGACCCTCGAACGTCATACTGCACAGCCCAACAGCTCCACTCCCAAAGTCTAACTTATCTGTTTAACACCAAACAGGAAGAGCCGCGTCCAGTACTTGCAATAGGACAGCCAATTAAGCCATCAACAGGATGTTTTGATGTATTGGACTTTGCTTGGACCCTGGAATGCGATCCGATGGCTTCCGCCAGGCGATGCAGATCGCGTGTCTCTCACAACGTGGTTGAATGCCGATCGAACGAGCAGCCAAGGACGTTTCTCTGTCAATTTACCGTACGTCACGGACTTATTGTCAATGATTTTCAGGAAGCGGCGTCCGATCTTTCTTAGTCTGTAGAAACTACACTGTTCATCTGCATTTTCACGTGAGTGCATCATTGTTTTCAGACACCCTTCCGCCGCCCAACCGCCTCCAAACACTGATTTCGTTATCTGAGTATGTGTATTTGAATAATTCTTTTTGCACCCATCGATCGCTTGGTTTGGAAAAGGGTCTTCGGCCAGACTTCAAAATGAGGATACGGACGCTATTATCAGCGGTATATCTGCCCCTGCTCGTCGCATCCCAAAGTGAGACTTCGCAGCCCGGAACTCAGACGACGGGAGCGTCTTCTTCAGCTACTGGGCCAGCAATTGGCGACGTCGCTCAGACGACAAACCTAACATACATTTCCTACACTTCTACTATAACGCTGAGCAGCACGGGTGCAAGTTCGACTGGAAATGCAACAGCGAACCAGACCGAGCTTATAGGCACAACATCTACGACCAATGGGACTGCCTCCGGAACTTCGTCATCTGCAAGGCCCACGAATACTCAACCATGCAATGGCTACGTTGAGTTCTGTGATAGATCGTACTCCAATATCACGTACGTGGCTGCCCACAACTTCCCTTTTATCAAGAAGAACAATGCGGCTCGAAACCAGGATTACGGGATCATTGACCAACTGAACGATGGTATTCGCATGTTGCAGGCGCAGGCACACTGGGAAAATGAAACCATGTACTATTGTCACACTTCATGCGACCTTCTGAACGCCGGCACAGTCCAGGCGCAATTCGAGAAGCTTGTGACGTGGCTGGAACAGAACCCGTTCGAGGTGGTTACCATCCTCATGGGCAACTATGACCTAACCGATGTCACAAACTTTGTGCCGGCTATTCAGAATTCAGGACTCGAGAAATACCTGTACACGCCTCCGCAGATTCCCATGGGCATCAACGACTGGCCGACTACATCCGAGCTCATCATCAACCAAAAGCGGGTCATCTTCTTCATGGACTACCAGGCGAACCAGACCGTCGTGCCTTACATTCTTGATGAATTTTCGCAGATGTGGGAGACGCCGTTCTCGCCGACGAATCCTGACTTCCCTTGCACAGTCAACCGACCGCCAAACTTGAATCGCAACCAGAGCCTGGAAAGAATGTACCTTGCGAACCACAATCTCAACGTAGACATTTCGGATCTGGGCATCAATATCCTAGTGCCAAATGTGGCTGCAATTAATCAGACCAACGCCGTAAGCGGGAACTCAAGCTTAGGTCTTGCGGCCGAAACTTGTACTTGTGAGTCTTCTTTCGCATGCAATCCTGTTTCATTTTCAACACGCTCTGACGAAAACAGCGGACTGGGGCCGCCCGCCAAACTTCTTGCTCGTTGACTTTTATGACAAGGGCAACTTCCCTGGCTCCGTTTTCCAAGTCGCTGCCACGATGAACAATGTTACCTACAAAGGGAAGTGTTGTGGAGGCAGCACATCTGGAGCCCTTGGCCGAGCCTTCAGTTCGTTGCACTTGGTATTCAGCGTTGGGATTGTGATTTTGTGTCTGTGTCTATAAGTAGGGGAGAGGAACCCGTGGCTTTTACTTGTACCTTGCGGATTAGCTCTGAACGACGTGACCTTTTCAGCGGCATTGGGCGGTGTTTGACAAAGTTCAAGTAATGAGAAAAGTTATTGAAGAAATTTGCGGCCCGAGGAGGGCCGATCACAGCTTTTTCACAATCACGCGCTCGATGGCATCGCGTAGAGGAAATGAAGACGACATCTCATCCATCGTCGCTCTCGTCCTGTTGCTCGTCTCGAACAAACCAATGCCCGCACGAGTAGAACAAGTTCAGAGGCATGGCAGGTCATGGCTCAGACCTCGGAACGAGCCAATGGCCGAATGGCAAAACAGGATTATCTAAGCAGGTCCAAAGAGGCATAAACGCGGAGAACGCGTGACGAGCGGCGGACGGAGTATAGTCCAGGCTTAAAAGGCACCGGAGGCCTCCAGTCATCGTACGCCCGTGTCGCTTTTCTCATCGCTCCCCGTCCCTGATCCATCCGCCATTTCCGCGGGTGCTGGCGACGGAGTCTTTCTGCAGATGATTACAATCAGCTCTCGTTCTAGAAGACGCTCTCTAGTGTCAGGGACGACGCATTCCGAAAAGTGGAGCCACGCCACCGCTCTCAGCGCCGAGTGTGATTGGTACGTCGCTATCATACGATGGAGACACGAGCTTCGCCGAAACACGATATCGCGTCGGCGAGGGCATCAGATTGCCGGATCCAGCTCGTTTTCGAGCCGTTCGCGCGCACGCAGGTCGCTTTCAGGAGTCTGCTGACCGATCTCTGACTTGGCCGGTGTCTCGATGGACCCTGTTGATCTGGTAACGAAAAATTTCCAGCGTAGCTAGCTCGGAATCACAGTGTACATACATTATTGGGCTTGTCACCCTCTTCCGAAAGCTTTCCGAACGCTCATTTCTGTTGATAGCTGGCATCCTTGACCTTCGACGACATTCTTTCTGTCCTGCTTCATCCAGACATCTTTGTCCTTGCTTCCGGCACCGTGCTTGTTGCCTTTGCCATTCTGACCTTGCGCCAAGTCACCTGCGAAGACACTTCTCTTTAATTATTTCTGTCCGAAACCTCACATCGGCTGCATCCTTACGCTGTCATCTTGTCCCTCGCGCCCCACGACGACGGTAATTTACCATGGCCACCGCAGCGGCAGCTCGGTCTTTTGCTCGCAACTCTCTGCGAACTTCGACGTCCGCCTTCCAGACTGCCACTCGTGCAAGCAGCTCCCGCTTCGCACCCGTTGCCCGCCAGGCGTTTCGTCAGCAATCCCGTCGCGGCTACGCTTCTGAGGCAAGCCCCAAGTCTGGCAGCAACGCTTGGATCTACGGCTTAGTCGGCGCAGGTGCCGTCGGAGGTGGTGCCTACTACCTCTACACGCAGAATGCCTCCACCGTAGAAAAGGGTCCGTTCGTGCCGCAGTTCGAGGACTACCAGAAGGTCTACAATGCGATCGCGAAGAAGCTGGAAGATGAGGACGACTACGACGATGGCAGCTACGGCCCTGTTCTTTTGCGACTTGCATGGCATGCAAGCGGCACCTACGATGCCGAGACGAAGACAGGCGGCAGCAATGGCGCTACCATGCGCTTCGCACCAGAGAAAGATCATGGTGCCAACGCTGGCCTAGCCGCGGCCCGTGATTTCCTCGAGCCGATCAAGGAGCAGTTCCCTTGGATTTCGTACTCCGATCTGTGGATTTTGGCCGGCGTCTGCGCCATCCAGGAGATGCAAGGCCCGACCATTCCTTTCCGACCTGGTCGTGCTGACCGCGACGTGTCGTTCTGCACTCCCGATGGTCGTCTTCCGGACGCGAGCAAGGATCAGAACCACATCCGCGCCATCTTCGGCCGCATGGGCTTCAACGACCAGGAGATGGTCGCTCTGTGTGGCGCCCACGCCCTTGGTCGCTGCCACACCGACCGCTCCGGCTACGACGGCCCCTGGACGTTCTCTCCAACCGTGTTGACAAACGATTACTTCAGGCTCCTTCTGGAGGAGAAGTGGCAATGGAAACGCTGGAACGGTCCGAAGCAGTACGAGGACAAGAAGACCAAGTCGCTCATGATGCTACCAACGGACATGGCGCTCGTCCAGGACAAGAAGTTCCGATCTGTGGTCGAGAAGTACGCAAACGACAACGAGGCCTTCTTCCAGGATTTCTCAAAAGCCGTGACCAAGCTTTTCGAGCTTGGCGTGCCGTTCACGACGAGCGAGGAGGAACGCATGAGATTTAAGACGCTGGCGGAACAGAACCCGTAGGGAGCTGCGTGAGTTTGCCCATGGCGCGCTTTGGTTTTTTTCTGTACTTTGGAAGTTTATCGCACGACGGTTTCTCCACTGGCCCCTCCAAAAATAATACTCGCGGCATGAGTTCGAGACTGGTTGTCATTTCCTACTGATCCGAATCCTGAGCAAGGAGTAGTATATCCACATTTGTAGACTTTAGAAATCGCGTTGGCATCAAATATTCACACTTCATTCTAAGAAAAAAAAAACCAAAACAATATTTCCACGTTTCTTATTTTTTTTTTCCTCGTCATGACCAAATGCCAATTGAGACGACGGAAAGAGCTTGGAACGGAAAGCCATTTCATTAGTGTATTATCAACATGAAGTCCTTGCAATTGAATCCTGAATCGCCAGCGACGATATCATCCGCGAATGAATACCTCCACAAACAATCTTCTCTCTTGTGACAAAGGAAATCAAAAGGGCAAAGTACAATTAAAGGGTATGTGCGCCAATAAAGCTCTAGGCCCTCTGGCTGACAATCGAAGATAAAATGTCTAATGACTTACATATTTAAGCCCTGAAGGGAAGGTGAATGCCGAGCCTGCTTTCCGTCTTGTTCAGATTGGGCAAAGCAAGGTTGTCGAGGAGGGGCAAGCCAAGGCCACCATCAGCACGCTTCTTGGTCTTTCGAGCCCTCTTGTTGCTGCCGCTCTTCTGAGTGTCGCCTGTGTTGTCCAAAATGCCAAGAGCGCTTTCGGCCTTCTTCAAGTCTGGCAGTTGTGCTTTGTCAAGCAGGGGCAGACCGAGGCCATCACGCTTTGTCTTCTTGAGACCCGCGATACCGGCGGAACCGGTAGCGCCGCCTGTGCCTTGGCTTGTCGCATCTGATGCGGCACCTTCGAGCGCGCCAGCCAACCTCTTGACGCCGTCTAGGGCAGAGTTGTCACCGATAGATGGCAGAGCAAGGCCGCGCTTCTTGACCCTTCGATCATCCTTGATGCCAAATGCAGCTTCTGTGCCGCTCAAGTCCGGCAGAGCGCTCTCGTCGATAAGGGGTATCTTCGGGAGTTGTCGCTTGTTCTGTTTTCCAAGTCCTAGTGCGTTCTCTGTGTTGTCCAGGTTGGGCAGATCCTGTTCGTTGACCAGTGGAAAGTCTGCCGAGCTGAGTTGGCGGCGTCTGCGAGAGCGGCGGGAGCTGCCCTCCAAACCAAACGCCTTCAGGGTTGGATCCAGATCGGGGAGCTCATCTGTGTTCAAAAGAGGTAGCTTAGCACCACGAAATTGGCGCTTGTCGAGTCCAACAGCCTTTTCTGCGTTGCCCAGATCCGGAAGGTCTTTGTTGTCCACCAGCGGTATCTTGCTGGGGACCACCCGAGCCGTGTCAATGCCCAAGGCTCCCTCCGTGTTCTTCAGGTCGGGAAGCTCATCGTTGTTGACCAAAGGCACGTGATCAGGTAACTGACGCTTCTTAACGGGAAGGGGAAGGCCATTTGCAACGCTTTGAAGTGCCTGCAGACCTGGCAATCCGACGCCGCCCAGTGGCCCTTGACGCTTGGCGAGACCGAGAGCACCTTCAGCATTTCGAAGGTTGGGGATGTCAGCGTCCTCCACGACAGGAACTTTCGAGGCGGCGCCCAGGCCGATGAGGGCGAAGGTGAAGAGCTTCTTGTGCATCTTGGCTGATGTTGGCACGGAAGAGCTCTGTGACGACGTGTTTGACCAGATGTTTGAGGATTAGAAGTTGGAAATCTGGACCGAGAGTCTTGCGAGCCCAGCGTTATATGTCGGTGGGGAGATTTGTCTCCCATCGAATCGTCCATGGTTGTCCCTTCTAACAGAGCGGTAGGTGCTCTCTGATCTGCGCTTCGAGGACGGTGACACTTATGAGATCGCTGCTGAACTGTCACAGCTTTCATTTCGTAACCTGGTCGTTTCCGGAATTGAGTCACGTATGCGCCATTGTTGGGCGACGCGTGAAGAAGACATCGCGTATTTTTGCCAAGTGCGCGTAGCTTTTGAAGAGATCCTGCGAGGCTCCATTAGGTACACTTTATCGTTGTTGATTAACGTCCTTTTGTTAACCCGTTAGTGCTCATCGCAACGTTCCTTGTTTTTGTTGTTTGTTCGCGGTCAAAGTAGCCTGATGCTGATGGTGTGTTGATCCATTTCAGCGCAGAATGACAGATCACATTTTCCCAGCTGTCATCTTACGGTCCTGACGCTATGACTTTAGGCTAACCGCGTTACACGTGTCTCTCAAGATGTCCGGAATACTGTTGATGAGGAGAGGCAATAAGCATTATGTGGATACATGAGTTATGACGATATGTTCCTGAATTGAGAGGCGGCCGAATAGGGGCATTGGTCCGCGCTCATGATATTCCCCAGACAATGAAATTTAAAGGCGTGACATTGCGCTCGCTTACGGACGCGAATTCAGTCTTGATGAAGGAATATTCCGTCAGTCTGCTCGCTCTACGAGCTAGAAAACAAGCCACTTGATTTACTTTCATACACATGCTCGTTTTTAATCAAAGACATGCACGCAAGGGGAAACCAGCACACGCGCTTGCCGTCAAGACTGTGCGTTCGACATGTTACAATATCTCATCTGTATCCAGTGTGAATAGGAGATCTCTAAGAGAGCGCAGATTGAAAAGGTTTTTTTTTTCTTTTTTTTCAAAAAAAAAATATCAATGTCATACGAGAGAAGTAGTGATTGTTCTGACAACGGTCGGGTTTACGAATTCTCGGTTCCTCTTTTCCTTGTTCAGAAGAGGGAGCCTGGAGACGTTCTTTTCTCAAAAGCGGTTCTATCGTCTTTGAAAAACGTACTATAAAGAGCGTCCTTAGAAAACTAGATCTGAATAGATGTCAGGACATCGAAACAAATCTCGGTTGCTTTTCGGCAAAGTTACCTCCAAGCCCCACATCCATACCCCAGCACAAGCTGAGTTGCCGAATAACACCGCAGACGACATGCAGTAGAGAATATTTCTAGGTTCGTAGCAGTAAATCATAGCCAGAAAGGAAAATGATTTAGTGGAGAAGGCGAGAACAAAAAAAGACCAAAGATCGAAAGTCACGGTTCAATCGAATCGCCATGGCTGCACAAGAAGTTCCCATTCCGTTCGCTGAACCGCCTTGGATTCAAGGCTTGCCTTCTCCGTACTACAACGACAGCCATCGCCAATGGCAGAAGGACGTGCGGGCATGGCTCAAGGAACGCTTCACAGACCACACCATGGAGTGGGAAGAGGCCGGTACGGTGCCCGAACATGTGTTTAAGGACTTCTTCAAGGAGAACATGCTCATTCCTTACATGCCTGCTCCGCTGCCGGTGCAGATGCTCAAGAGTCTGGGCATCCACAAGATCCTGAACCTCAAGGTCGAAGACTTTGACTACACGCATTTCGCCATCTACGTCTCGGAGATGAAGAAGTCGGGCCTCGGCGGCCCGGCGTCGTCGTTGAGCGCGGGCGTGGCGTACGGCATTCCGCCCATCATCAAGTACGGCAGCAAGCAGCTGCAAGATCGATTCCTACCCGCGCTGCTCAAGGGCGAGAAGAGGATCTGCCTAGCCATCACGGAGCCCGGCGCGGGCTCGGACGTGGCCAACATCTCGACCACGGCCAAGAAGACGGCTGACGGCAAGTACTACACCATCAACGGCAGCAAGAAGTGGATCACCAACGGCATCTGGAGCCACTACACCACCATGGCCGTGCGAACCGGCGGTCCTGGACGGGACGGCCTCTCACTCGTGGTGGTGCCTCTTCTAGGCCATCCTGGCGTGACCATGCGGCGGCTAAAGACAAGCGGTGCAGTGTCTGGAGGTACGACGTACATTGAACTGGACGATGTGAAGGTGCCGGTCGAGAACCTCATCGGCGAGGAGGGCGCAGGCATGAAGTACATCATGACCAACTTCAATCACGGTAAGGACGAACAGCCGAGATTCGGGAGCAGCGTCATCTGTACTGACTTTTGCGATTCTTTCCAGAGCGTCTTACCATCTGTGTTGGGACCACTCGTGCCGCCCGAGTTGCGCTGTCGGCCGCCTTCGAGTACGTTATGAAGCGGGAGGCGTTCGGCAAACCGCTGATCGATCAGCCGGTGGTGAGGCACCGTCTTGCGAAGTGCGGAGCCGAAGTCGAGGCCTTGGACGCCTGGGTTCAGCAGTTCGTGTATCAGGTAACGCACCTGAAGAAGGAAGTGGCGGACGTGGAGCTGGGAGGCTTGACAGCTATGTGCAAGGCAAAGGCGGGCATGGTCCTGGATGAGGTTGCGCGCACGGCAGTTCTCCTGTTTGGCGGCAACGGCTTCACGAGGTCGGGCATGGGCGAGCTGGTGGAGAAGATCTATAGGGAAGTACCAGGCTCGAGAATACCGGGCGGCAGCGAGGACGTCATGTTGGATCTCTCCATCAGACAGCTGGTGAAAAACTACAAGGCCAAGACAAGGGCACTACAAAGCGCCTCCGGATCGAAGCTGTAAAGATGAGACGTATCTAGCTCAAAGTCCGACTAATAAAGAAAAATGCTTTCTCGCATGTCGCGGGCGCGTTTCTCCGAAGCGCACAGGTGATCCGTATAGCTTCGTTTCTGTAATGAGCTGTCTTTGGGCTTGCCAACGTGCTATTGGTTAAAGAACGGCGTTGACCTTAGGTCCTCAGCTGCATCAAAGGAACATACTTTGAAATGCCTTCTCGAATGACATCTTTGGCCGCAGAACGCCAATGTTATCCTTGCTTGGACCATGAGTTTTGCGGGATTCCGCATTCTGTTCCTTTCCGGAGGCGAGCGCAAAGGCGTTGTGTGATTCGACTTCCGGACAGTTGCTTCCAGCGTCATGTGAGAGCGGTCTCGGCGACACGAGTTCAACAGCGGATTGGCAAAATCATGTTGCTCCCGGCTACTGAGGCACCGTTTAGAGTTTGAAGTAATCGCATATGGGACTGCGCACTTTCAGATCATTTTCCCGCAACGGTACGCGTGATTGCAGTTCGAATACTTTGGATACGGACAAGGAGACGAACACGGACCATCAGTCGGAAGGCATTGACAAATCGCCAACACGGAGATGACTTGAGACGAGGATGCTGGTCTACCTTTTTCTTTCTTTTGCAAGGTTCCCCGAGACTTGGCAACACATGGGCAAATCAGCTATAGGAAGCATGAAAGGCCATGTCGTAAGCAGCTTGGTTCGCTCAAAAACGAGAGCACTCGACGCTGACGACTGTTGTCGCCTCCCGAGAGAAGGAGGACTCCGTGCTCTGGAAGGTCTGCTGGAAGACAGCCTGAGCAGTAGATGGCCCTAATACTCACGAGCTCGTTGTTCGAATCAACGTGAGCCAGTCGAGTGTCATGGCTGCGAGCCACCAAAGCGGCACTGGCGTCAAGAGTTCACGAACGTATGACACGCGGTCATTGTTGTGTTTGACAAGTCTTACACGTTGGAACTGACTTTGGCATCGCCATCTGACATCTCCTAGCACATGGTAGCAGACGAATGGCCTGGTCTTGGCCGCCATAGCGTGGAAGACCGCAACTGGCCGAAGTGGCACCGCGAAGGTTCAAACCTTAGGCAACAGGCCGAATTTCAGTGGACACTTGACTAGTTCGTGGTGGGTTGATGCAGCGAAAATGACCGTGCAAAATTTTCACGTTCCATGCACAGCTGTTGAGGATGGTCTTCGTTTGCTAGTGAGTCACCCGGTCTCTTTTGGGGGTTGAGTCTTTGCCCAAAACCCATCGGCGAACCAGCGACGAGCAGCGAGTGGTAGGTTGGGATCTGCCAGACAGGGTGGACAGAAATCTCGCATGTCCGACTGGATGAAAAGACGCCGGGGAGGTTTTTGGTGCCACGCAAGCTGGCGTAGAAATCACAAGTGCTTTGCCGCGGAACCTCGTGGCAGAAGATGGGAGAGCGTGTTGGCGGCTCTGACCCCCTACAGCGCAGAGGGTGGCGCGGAGACCTCCGCAGGTACGGGCGCAGGACGATAGCGGGTGGTGGGCGGTGGGTACGCGAAGCTACAGCAGCCTATTGGCAGCCCGTGTGCGCGGCCCACGTAAGAAAAGGCAGCATACAGGAGCTGATGCGCTGCAAAGCTGGCCATTCCGTCGTGGTCGACGGCCAGCCCTCCTTTCGCAGCGGTGCTCCTCCTGTGTCAATGCCACGGGGCGAGCATGCGGTGGAGGCTGTGAAGTTTCAAACCAGCGCAGCGAAACAAACGTCGATCTCCGGGATGCTGCCCCTGGAGGCGTTGAGATTTGCTCGGGAGTACCTGACGCTAGTCCCCTTTGGACACGCGATCTCGCCCGCCTGCGTCCGATCCGCACGACGTGTTTCGCAACGGAAGGGGGCGCGAGAAGGGAGCGACGCGGGAGGCGGAAGGGGCCCCAAGGAAGAATCTGTCGAACGATTGCGACTCGCGAGAAGGACAAGGCGATGCCGCTTCGCCGCAGGCACGAATAATGGGCTGCCGAAAGGCCCATCCTCCTTGCGTCAGCACCCGGAGCCTGTGCCCTGGCGACCCGAGCAGATCTAGCGTGCCGGGCTCGTGACGAGAAGAGAAGAACGAAAGGCTCCCTTTCTCCCGCAGAGTCAGGCTCGCGTGAGTCCGGACCGCGGCCGACGGGAAAACAGCGCGGGAGTGTGTCGTGGTCCCTCGCGCAAAAGTTTGGTTTGCATTACGGAAGGACCTGGCATCTGCACGCACACTAGCATGAGCCATTTCCGCACGGTGGAGCCTCGAGGCACTGGCGGCCCAAGCATCCACGACAGGCGCAAGCAGTGCAGATGCTGTGACGCGCGCCGCCATTGGCCCACACGAGCGCAGGCGGACCCTCCCAGCAGCCTCCCAGCCGCTGTGGTGCGTCGGCCATCCTCGTCACCCTCCGGCCCCGTCTGCTCCTTGGACCTCCCCCCCCAAACTCCGCCTGTCTTTTTCTTCTCGTCTGTCCCGCTGCCTACTCCACTCACTACTGCGCTCTTTTGCCTCTCGCTTTGGTTCTTGCTCGTTTCTGGTTCTTTGAATGCGGCCGGTCCCTCACATCTGAATAGCCTCAGCATCCCATCCTTTTGCGCGCCCTGCTTTCCTTATAAGTACAGGCTCGAGGTCTCCCACCGCCCCGTCCATTCTCTGCAACCACCACACTCCTTGCGCCGCGTTCGTTCTTCGCTGTCCATTCTCTCAGCAAGGCGAACTTTTGCACACACACACAGTCTTTTCCAAGGCAAACCACTCATTTCGAGAAAGTATCTTTCCCCTTGATTGCGAGTCGATCAAGCCCATACTCTCGACGAGATCAGTCACGAAATCCAACCACAGATACCCACGGCAAAATCCAAAAACCCAACCGCTTCGACAGCGCCCCACTAGCTTTTGCAACTAAACGCTGCACATTCTAGAAACGAGAATCCATATCCAAAATGAAGAGCTTCGCCATCTTCGCTCTCAGCGCCACTGCGCTCGCCGCACCCGCCTATCACAAGCGCGACTACGTTTACGACACCGTCATCGAGAGCGTGTATGAGACCGTGTACACGACCACTACTCTGTGGGTTGATCCCACGCAAACTCCGGTATCTAGCGCTGCGGCTTTCTATGAGCAGCCCCAGGCCGCCCCAACCTCAAGCAGTGCAGCACCAGCCGTCGCCGTGAACACGCCGGCAGCAGCTGCTGCCGCTCAAGTTCAACCGGAGCAAGCTTCCCAGGTCACCACCTCTGCTGTCTACGTTGCTCCTACAGAGGCGCCGGCGCAAACTTCAACCACGTCAGCCGCAGCCGTAGTCTCACAGCAGACCTATGTTCCACAGGCACCAGCTACCACCACTACGGCTAGCACCCAAACTGGCACCTCAAGCGGCGGCGGAGCGATGCACACCGGTGACATGACGTACTATGACGTTTCCGTTGGCACCGGGTCCTGCGGCACAACGGCCTCCAACTCTGAGTTCGTCGTCGCGCTGTCTCATTTGGACATGAACAATGGCGTCAACCCGAACGCGAACCCACTGTGCGGCCAGAAGATCAACATCTACTACAACGGTGCCACTCACCAGGCCACCATCTTCGATACGTGTCCTACCTGCGCGGAAGGCAGCATTGACGTGACCCAAAGTTTGTTTGAAGCCGTTGCTCCGAATGGCGACGGCCGCGTCCACGACGTCACCTGGAGCCTCGCATAAATGCTCTCTCCACCAGGTAGTGGAAAGCATGTATGCATGCCATTGCCAGATGGCAACATTTCTACGAAGCGCAAGCGCGTGGAATTGAGGCAGGCCTCAGTCAATCTTTGTTTTTTAACGACCTAACCTTCTCGTGGCTTTGTTTTGAAGATCATTCTTTTCCGGGTATCTTAGCAACGGCCATGGAAGCAGCCACAAATGCTTTCGCTACGACAATCCGCGTACCATCAGCACCACGGCGTTTACCTCTCCCTTCACGTTCTGGGCAGCCCCAGAGCAAAAAACAAGAACATGGGCGTTTGGGTGAGACGAAACAGATAACAAAAGCGAAATTCCTTCAGCATCCAGCGTTCTGCATGTCCGGCATCTTGATGATGCTGTTCATCCATCTTCATTGGGGCTGGCGAAGAAAAGCGCATCAAGCACGGCCTTTCTTGCCGCGCTTGCAATTCAAGTGTACATATTTAGCCACCAGAATGGTGAAATGGTAAAAGTCTTCTTCCCACTTGATAACCGTTCTTTTTCTTTCTCTCTCGTGCTCCTTACACAGCGATTCTTGCCGTGACTTTGCCTTTGCAATCACGTGGACGGGACGAAAAGCACCTGAACGACCTGTTGTCACGTCTCGGACACGTGTTCACGCCCTTCGCGTTGGCATCCTTCCCCATCTTCCAATCTCTTTGTTGCGACTCATGGGCGTTTCGAAGCTTTGAAAAGTAAAAGTATGGACCAAGCTGGAGTGCATCAGCGCCGTAAGGCATGCTATTGTATCGGGGAGTAGGCCCCGTCTATTTTTTTTAAGTCACCTTTTCTCTCACAGGATCAGTCGTTGAAATGACGACCAGGCTCTCACTCTCTTTCTCACTGTTTTTTTTTTATTTATTTATTTATTTTTTTTTTCAAGATTTATGCAATCTGACTACGGCGACCATGGAGAAATGAGGACGTACACCTTATGAGGCAAATGAACTCGCCGCCGCGTCTCCCTCTGCAAGAGCGCGTCGAATGACTCCGGTAGATTCTGCGTGAGCGCTCCCAGCTCGTGCGCTCCTCGGCTTCCCCTCGTCGAACTCGACTGAATGAGGATACAAGAGACTCACCGTACGGAAAAGGCGTGCAGCACGCCGGTCCCTCATCCACCTCAAAGAAGAGGGAGGGGGGGGGGGGGGGGGTGTAGTGCTCCCAGCAACGCGAGAGTGTTCACGTCATCGTTTGGCGACGAATCCTGCTCCTGCCACTTGCTTTGGGATTGAATTTTTCAAAGTTTTAATTAACTAATTAATTATTTACCTTTCTTCCCCCCCCCCTTTCCCTTTCCTTTTACACTAGGAGAAGGTAGATTGGGTTTTACGCCAAAAGAAAAAGTTCGTTCGCAATGTGTGCCTACTCCCCGAGCGCAATTCCCTGTTCCTTCTCCCCCTCGCTGGCCGCTCGGGTTCACTTGGTCGAGTCTCCGGAAATCGGAATGCTTTGCTCACTTCTTCGCCGTTTATGTATGTGTGCGATTTGTCTTTTGTGTGCGTGTTTTCCCTTTTTATTTTTTTTCTGTTTTCCTCATTGGGCATAGGTCCGGGAGTGTGTTCGCGATCTTGATTTTAACTAGTTAAACCCTTTTTTTTTTCTTTTTCACATGTGCCTTTTTCCCGTCCCGCACCGGATCGTTTTTGTGGTGTGAGGCTGTGCATTCGATCAATCTTTTCTTTTTCTCAGTTAAGCGGCCTTGAGGGTACTGGCAGAAGCCACCCGCCTGGGCTGCTGCCAACTACGAGGTACTGTTGGTGGGTTCACAGTGTCGCACTCGTGTTGCTTGCATTGCATGTGGTGATTTCGTGGTGTGTGTTTCGGTGCCTTTGGCTTTGTTGTTAAAAACCAAATCCAGAAACCCGAATGGTCTTATTATGCGCAGTACGGTGGGTCACAACGGAGCATTGAGCTACGAACGAAGGACGTAAATCAAAGCTATGCGACAGGAAGCGACATGTTCTCACCTGTCCGGAGTAGGCTCTGCGGCTCTGCATCTGAACAGCCCTGTGGCTGAGGTGGTCGTGTTGGATGGCCTTTTGTGGGACCGAGTGCTGGAAAAGGACAAAAGAGCAATTGGCGGACTGTTTTAAGCTGCTGCGACTAGTAGCCCATCGGAATGTGCATCCGCTTGCTCGTGAAATACTCACGAGGATCGATCTCGCTGCTGCCAGGCGAGAATAATGGGAGCAGATCCTCATTACCTTCTTCCAGTTTCAGCCGGACGAGTGGTTAAGTTCGAACTCCCCTTCCGCCGTATGGCCTTGACGTGATGACAAGTGCTGTGCCTTCACGGTCAAAGAGAGCAGCAAATCACAGCCTCTAAGGCGGGAGCGAGCGACATCTGGGCGTTCCGAAAGGCTGCTGTAGACCTTTCGTCATATGGCGTCTTTAACGGACCGATGCACGCAGACAAAGAGGCTCATAGAGGGTCACGATCAGCACAATGCCAAGCAGCACGTTAGTCCAAAAAGTATCATTGTGCAGGAGTGCAGACGGCGAACGAGCTGGGCCCGGGATAACACAAACAAGAGAAAAGGGATGTAACAGCGGCTGGGTGTGACGCGTATCTGGGAAGAAACAAGAATCGAAGAGCCGGATAGCGTTTGGGGTGTGCGAGCATGTAAACGTCCATTTTAATTTTACTGGGGAAGGGTGGCGCATTATTGCCCCATGGAAAGGGCCTTGAGAATAGTCGTGGGCACAACCTTTTTTATTTCCCTACAAAAACACATCGGATACTCTTCCGTGCGGTACGACAGGTACAGCCACGGGCTCGGAGGCGTTTTATGGCTTTGTTGTCATCTCATCGAGGGCTGCGGCAGGCACAACGCCTGCAACGTGGTTGATGGCCGAAGGCGTCCAGCTTTGATCAAGGCCGACGCGACGGTGGTGGACGCTGGCGCAGATCCTGGATCGCGTTGCTGGTCTCTCGTCTTCGATCTTCGCAAGCTTGTTTCTTGGTCATTATTTGCCACGGCCAGCGGTGCCGTTCCAGCACAGTTCCGTGCAGTACGGACAATGCGGAGTAGGCGCACTGTTTATCTCAGGCAGGCAGCGGATAGGCATGGCAAAGCAACGTTCTGCCCCCGGCGCTCTTATCACCGCACTCTCAAAGCAGGCCAAAACGCCCGGATGTTGGCCTCGTACGGCAAAGCTGTTTTTTTTTTTAAGCGTGTGCGTGTGTGGGCAGGGATTATTTTTAAACCGCACAGCGCCGCTGGCGGCCAGCACCACGGACGGGGATTGGCTCAACGCAAACACCACGCCACGATTTCAGAGATTCGGGGCGTGGACAAGGCGCGAGCGAAATAGGGAACGGGCAGGCCATGCCTAGGCGAAAGGGGACTAGACGAATTGCTTATCCTATGCACGCAAATCAGACGTGCATGCGGCCCAGAGTGTTGCTGTGTAGAAGGCTCGAAGAGGGATGCACTGCTCCACTTCGCAGCGCGCCAATCGCACCAGCACCGCCGGCACCAGCACCACCTCGCCTTGCAACGCTCCCCGCTCGTCTCAGCAGCCTGGACGCGAGGTGGACAGCGACACATAAGAAGCCGGCGAACAAGCTCGCCTTGCGCCCGGCCGACCATCGCCCTTCAGCCTCCCGCAGAGTCCTCTCGATTCGCGCGAAACAAGCAACCTGCACGCGCAAAGGCGAGACGAGCAGCGCTGCAAGCAGAGCAAATCTTGCTGACGCCGAAGCCCTGGGCGTACTCCTGACGCAGCTGTGGATCTCGGACTTCCTGGCATCCCCTTGTCGTCGTCGGCCGTTGCAAGCTCCTTTGCCCTGCACCCACCACAAACACACGCACACGCTCGAGCACACCCCCCGTTGTTCTTATTATTGCTATTACCCTCATCGTCCTTGTTTTGCTCGTGAGTAATAATCTGTGCGTGCTAACCTTGGCGAACGCCCGGCCGGCCTGAAGCGTGTGTGCTCCATCCCGTCCTCGCTACCTGCTGGCCGCTCCACGCTGCTCGCTACCACCACAGCAGCCCCGTTCGCTGCCCACAACCCTCGCTCAGCTTCGTCCACTCCATTCCTCTCCTCCTCGTTCCTTCCACGTCCCTTCTTTTCCTTTCTGTTCCCTGGCAACACATCCTCTCCCTCCCGCGCTGCCCTAGACGTTCCAATCTCCCGTCCTCGGTCGTTGCCGCCCTTTGGATGGGGTCTCCGGCCTCTTGGTAGCCTTTTCAGCCACTCGCTCCTCCCACTGGACTGACCGCACGACGCGCCGGGCAGGGCAAAGAAAGGGCAAGCAGACAGGTCGAACAAGCTTGCTCCGGCATCACGCGTCCATCGCTGTTGATCTTCCAGAGGCGCGTTCGTGACAGGCATCTTCGCTCCTTGCAATGGCGACCAACACAGACACCACAAACACAAGTGAGCCATCACCGCCCTTTCTTCTTTTTGAGCGGGCCTTAAGAAACCTGTCCCTTCAATTTCCCTCCGTTGCCTGGCCGTACTCGATCTGCCTCAGCGTCCTGAGGGCGAGCTGACCATGTCTGCAGCTCTTCCCAGCGAGACGGCGACGACGCCGTCTACGCTGACTGACACCTCGACACCCGCCACGCCAACTACCCATACCACCACGCCCACCACTACGCCCACCACCACGCCAACAACGCCTACTACTACCGAGCCTACGACTACAACCACTCCGGCGACCACCTCGACTTTTACGGCGCCCACGCAAGCGCCCACCACGCAGGTCATAACCTCGGTGGTCAGCGTTGCGCCTACCGATGGAAATACACTCCCCCCGTCCACGGTCATCGTCACGCAGATAAGCACCCCGTCGACAACCGGAGCTACCTCTGCTTCGCTCTCAAACAGCTCGACATCGTCCTCTGCCGGGGCTGTTTCCAAAGGTTCGAACAACGGCGGTGGTCTCTCGCCAGCGGGCACCATTGCCATCGCCGTTGTCATTCCCGTGGTCGTGGTGGCGCTGTTGGTTTTCGGTGCTCTGCTGTGGTGGAGACGACGGAAGCAGCGTAAGGTGGATGAGGATGAGCGTCGCAAGGAGATGGAGGCATACGGCTTTAATCCGAACAACGACCCGACGCTTCCTGTCGTCGCCGGCATGAGCGACTCAGACAATCAGTCCGGCTATCGAGGCTGGGGCGCAGGCACCATGTCCAACCGTAAGCCGTCCACCACTTTGTCCTCCGGTGCTGGAAACCCGGTTGCGTACAGCCCAGGCTCGCCCAACGCAAACACCGATGCCTCCGGTGAACCACTTGTCGCAGGCGCCGTTGGAGGGGCCGGCGCAGCAGCAGCAGCAGCAGCTGTGGGTGCCGGCCAGCCTGGCCACTCGCGCAACACCACTCTGGAGTCGGACTCGATGGGCAATGCGTACGCGGCGGGCGCTATGCACAGCGGCCAAGGTGTGCAGCGCGGGCCATCAAACGCGTCTTCGACATACTCGATGGGTGGTCAGAGCCACCATTCCGCTGACGCTCCAATCCCCGTCAACAGCAACGATCAGTACTACACCGATTACTACCAGACCGGCCCATACGACGACCCGTATGGCCAAGGCAACCAAGAAGCTATCATCAGAGATAATCCGGCGAGGAGAAACACGCGCATCGAACGGGCTCCCAACTTTCCTAATCAGGGCTCTAGTGGCGTCGCGACAAACTTTTGATCAACTGCCACGCTTCTTTTGACGTTCATTCTATCAGGCCCTTCCGTTTTTTACCCCACGCTTCATTCTACGTGGGACGTACATATAATGCATTCGCGATGGCGTTTTTTTTATGTTATCACTGGAAATGCTGCGGATTCATGGGTGCGATGTGAGACCTAGATCGAGCATCACTGTTTCCGATCCCCTGTCTCGCGGACTCGGACAGCGTTTTCTAGCTCATGAGTGACCAACGCGCACACATTGCCTCTCGCACCATTGACCACAGGGTCCGTATCGACTTTGACGGCCTCCGAGAAAACGGTTTTTTTTTTCCCCTGTCGACTGGGTTTTCTCTCAACTCGTCTTAAGTCTTATCTTGTGTATACAGTTTCCAAAGGTAGCACAAGATCACATCTCCAAAGCAACGACTCATTCCTGTGTCATGGCTAGAATCATCAAAGTGTATATGTTGTAATACTGCTTGTTATCCTGATTCGCGAATCGTATGGATACCTCGGATCTATTGGCATCAAAAGGCCGCCCGCCTTGCGTGCGGGCGAAAGAGGTGGGAAATTTGGACTGTCGCTAATGCAAGGAATTCTTGTTTCCCTCTACTTCACAAACAGGTCTACATGTGCATGTGCGCGACCCCTACCGTATTTTCGGTGGTTCCGCACTGTTTTCGGCGGACGGGAGAAGTGAGTTGTTTACGAAAGAAGCGGTAAAGATTTGGTATGCGGAGCTACGGCAAAAGTTTTGGGGCGATGTAGGCGGGAGGGACATGAAGAATTAATTTGACTGACTGCAGGTAGCAGTAGCACTTTCCTGGTCTTGCTGTTTGCGACTGCCACGATCTGTGTACATAAAAAATCTATTGTGTTTGTATCGATGTAATCAAGATTTCTTCTGAAGTTGAACGAGGATGCGTTCCATTCGTGGACTTGATACAACTTTGATGACCTAGAGCTTGGATGTCCGTTGGGACTGGGATCTCTCTCTTTCCTTCTCTTTGTTATTGAAGCAATTGACGGCAAGTTAGATTTACATTTTATTCCGGTGTAGCCACCATCTCGAACGGCAACAGTTGTCAATGGTATAAACTCCCAAGAGGTCACGAATCTGACAGCTTGACGAACAGAGTGTCAGAAACAACGACAACCGTGTCTGGGCGCTCGGCGGTGGTTCCAGAAAACACAGGACCTCAACGCGTTGTCGAATGCTCGCCAGTGATTCGGCAGAGCGTCGGCAGCGACCGGGCAACATCACGATGTTTGGTGTTCCGAAAAGGGATAAGCGCCTTACGCTTTTCCCCGACAACGCAAAACAGCTCGACGACGCTCGGACCGGCTAGTAGCAGCATAGGGAGCGCCATTATTATTGCCAGACGATTTTTTTTTTCTAATTTTGATTGCGAGCGTTGGTCACTGGACCTGACTACTTTCTGTTTCTGGCTGACTACGACAATCGACGGCCTTCAAATCTCGCTGCACTCTCTCGCTCTTCTCCCCAACTACCCCCCCCACCACCAGTCCCCAGACGACCATCTCCTTATCTCTCGCTCTCACGAAGCAACAAGCCCTTTCTCACGCTCCTCTCCTGTCCTTATCCTTCACACAGCAGTCGCAATGGCAGCCCCAGCGTTCAGTGATATTGCGAAGTCGGCCAACGATGTAAGTCTGGCTAGGCAATCAAAAGGGCCTCGTGATACGTAGCCTGAAAGCCGCGTGTTTCGATGCGGTTGCATCCGCCCGGGACTCAGGCTGTGCATCAACGCCTACAATGTCTATGTGTATTGGTTTTGAGATGACATTGAGCTGATTGACGGGCTGTTTGATAGGTCATCAACAAGGACTTCTACCACGCCGCAGCCGGTGAGTTTCGTGTGATCTCAGCTTCAAAGCCAGGGGCGAATTGGCCTTGCTAACTAGATGTGCAGCCGCCTTCGAGCTGAAGCTCAAGGCTCCCGATGGATTGTCCATCAATGCTAAGGGCACCTCGCCGCACTCCGGCGCCATCAGCTCTTCGGTAAGTCGTTCAATGACTACTTCTGCAACATCCGCACATACGCTTACAATTTACCCGCGCAGTTCGAGGCCAAGAAGGTCATCGCCAAGGGTACGACCATCTTTCATATCTCTAAAGACCGCGCCTCGATATCAGGCCTCAAATACAGGACGCCCCCGTGGCAGGGTACACTCGGACGTGTGTAGATTTGGTGGCCAAACCAAACCCCCTCCCGGGCACGGCATGTCACGCACTCCGCGCTCTGTTCAGTAGCGAAAAGTCGCAGGCTAAAATCTTTCTTGTGCAATTGTAGGCATCACCGTGACCGAGACGCTCACGTCGGCCAACATCGTCAACACCAAGGTCGAGCTTGACAACACCTTCGCTGACGGCCTGAAGGCCGAGTTCCTGTCCGCTTTTTCGGCCAAGGAGGGTGCGAAGCCACACAAGCTGTCCCTGTACTTCAAGCAGGGCCCAGCCCACGTCCGCGGCTTCTTCACGTACAACCCTGCCAGCGGTAACGTCGACGCCACCGCCGATATCGCCGTCGCGCACCAGGGCTTCGTCGTTGGTGGTGAGGCTGGTTATGACCTCCAGAAGGCGTCCGTCACCAAGTACGCCGCTGCGCTCGGCTACTCGACGCCTCTGTACAGCGGTGCCATCACCGCGTCGGGCAACCTGAGCGTCCTCGCTGCCAGCTACTACCACCGTGTCAACGAGTCGACGGAAGCGGGTGTCAAGGCTACCTATGACACCAAGACCAGCTCGGCTATCGGTATGGAGATCGCCTCCAAGTACAAGATCGACCCAGCGTCATTCGCCAAGGTACATTATCTGGTCCTCCGTATTGACGGCGTGAGTAAGACTAATGAATTTTTCGTGTGTAGGCCAAGATCAACGACCGCGGTCTTCTCTCCCTTGCCTACAACACCAAGATCAACCAGGGCTTCACTTTCGGCATCGGCGTCTCCCTCGACACCCAGAAGTTGAACGAGGCCAGCCACAAGATTGGCACCTCCTTCACATTCGAGGGTTAAACGCACTTCTTCCCCACGTATCTCTCAACCTTTACAATATCATCACCATCGTCATTGTCACCACCACCACCGCCATACTACTACTACTACTACTATCACCACCGTCTACGATTTGCATTGCCGGAGATACCACGGGAACTGGGCTCGGAATGTTTTTGTGGGACCCATGGATGGAGCAGAGGGGCGGCAGGAACAAGAAGAGACCCCGAAAAATTACTGTAGAATTACTGGCATACTAGAGCGAAAGACTTGCAGCGGCTCATCCTTGCTTCTTCGGCCTCTTGCCTCCACTTTTCTTTTTCTCTTCTCGCTCGACTCTTGTCCACTCCCGTTTGAAAATGAGATAGATGGAAAAATGCAGACGTGTGAACGCGTAAGAACCTTGTATTCATGTGAGTACGTTCCTCATTCCAGGTTTGGCTGCAGTCTTCTTCTCACTCGCCTGGTACAACGCAGATGCCCTATTTATTTCCGCTTGTTCGAAGGTCGGGTTTGACCACGACATACAGGTTGATGGTTAGCTTGGAAGGCACTTTCAGGGCAGAACGCTAACCTTTGCTATGTAATCGCTCGATTACCTACGTACACCAGAGAACTCGGATAACATGTCCCAAGGAAGGATGGTGGGGATCTTTGAAAAGTACCTTGAAAAGCTCCAAAGGACGAAAGTTGGGAGGCAAACGTGCTTTAGATGTCCCTTGTGGCATCTCGAAGTGGCTCCTGTGGTGGGAGCATGCGGCTTACGTGCCTGAACGCGGTCGACGGATGCGCTGGGGCATCATGGTCTGAAGCACAAGGACGACCCCGCTTTCGAGCGGCAGCGACGTGGCCCCGCTCACCTAGTCAGACATGCCGGCGGGCGTGCTTCTGCACAGCGACGCTCTGGACGAGCCGAAGTTTCGAGTGCTCCGGTTGGCGTAGAGAGCGTGAGGCAAACTTTCTCTGCGATGATGTGACCCGTACTTTTCTTCCAATCCATGACCGGCGCGCTCAAATGGGGCTGACGAAAGGAACCGTCGAAGATATCTCGAAACGAAGCGCATCGAGGTCCTGCCCTTCGAGTTTTGATTTTTCTTGGATTCTATTTTTCACATCATGGACTGTGACGTCACCAGTGTTCTTGCGGAGGTTGTACGTCGCTGCTGACAAGGAGGGGAAAAAAAAATAAGAAAAGCTTTAGGGCTTTTTGGCCTCTTGCATACGCTCGTTGCGGAACAATGTCCAGGACGTATCAAACCCTTTTCGCTTTTCTTGGTGACGTTCACATACAGATGTTCCCCCACTGTTCAGACGTCGAGCCGAAACCAAAGCCGAACACGAAGTCCATGTAGGACGGCCATATACGCATGTCTTCGCTAGGACTGGCGCCATGGGAGGATTTTCTTTTTTCTATTCTTGCGCTTTACCTGTGGCTGATTTTCGACGCAAGCACTTGATGAGCTCGCTGGCTCTCAGCCTCGTTCATGCTTGTATCGTCCATGTGTCATTATTGGATCGCGTCTCCAAATCCTTGCACCCAAGCCCTGCTTGAACGTTACTCGCACTGCCTCTCCTTTGTTATCGCTTCAATGCAAAAGTTGTGCCTCTCTCCGCCTTAGGAGCCTAGATGAAGACCTCATCGTTCGCGCTCATATTTGTCTTGCGCGCTGCGTAGCGTGTCTCCCCATGACCGCATAACCCGGCGATGACGAGCTCTGCAACGGAGAGCCAGTCTCTCATTGCTGCGCAGCCATGGGAGACTGCGAAGGCGCGCTTCCTCGACGGGCTCTCGGAATCGGAAAGGTTCTTGTTCAACTCTGCCACGCTGGAAAACCTCTTCTACCAGTCGTCGGGGACTTTCGAGCGCTTCAAGAATGACAGCAAATTGTGGAGGATTCAGCTGAAGCTCCAGCCGCTCTTGGACGCCGTCGAAGAGTACGGGAGGGCGTTGGACGTGTTCAGCAACACGTCTTCACTAGTTCTGGGCCCGCTGTGGGGGAGCTTGAGGGTTGTAATTCAAGTGCGTCTGTCCTGCATTGCGTGGGATGGCTCTAACCAAGGGACACAGCTTGCTCGAGGCTTTGGAAGATACTTTGAGCGACTCATGGATATTTTCGCTCAGATCGGGGATAACCTTCCCCGATATCGTGTATACGAGCGACTGTTTCCACAGCACGACCGGCTTCTTGCGGCCCTGGCAAATGCGTATTTGGACATTATCATCGTCTGCGTGGATGCCAAGGAGCTCTTTGGCAAGGCCAAACAGTCCTCAGTAACCTGGGCGGTGATTGGCAAGGTGCTATGGAGAACTTTCGAAAAGAAGTTCTTCGACGAACAACTCGCCCAGTTCCAACGCCACCAGGCACTGATCGAGAAGGAAGCAGGCTTGTCACATATGATCGAAGCGAAGCAATCTCGAGAACTCAGCAAGGCTAGCCAGGCCGCCCAAGAGAAGAGTAGGCGATACGCTCGACGTCGGCAGCTGCTTTCAGTCCTGTCGACCGTCGACTATGCCGCACAGCACCAACGGTTGCGACATACTCGCCATCCGGGAACTTGTAATTGGCTGCTTCGAGCCGAGCCGTTTCAATCATGGCTTCACGAAGAGCACTCCTCATGCTTTGCACTCTACGGAATCCCAGGCTCCGGGAAAACCGTCCTTTTGGCCAGCATTGCCGAAGAGCTCACCCCACTCTTGGACGAACCGCATGCTTGCCTTTGCTACTTTTACTGCGACTATGCCGACCCGCAGAGTCTTGACTTGGCTGTTCTTGTTGGAACACTTGTCAGGCAACTGCTTGCAAAGGTTGAGATACCACGGGACGTTGAGGCCCAGATCACGACCATGTGTGAGCAGGGTATCACGCCTCCTCTACATGCCGTCCTCGACATGCTCGAGCGCGTTTTAAAACTGTACTCTACGGTTTTGATCGTCGTGGATGGTATTGACGAGCTGCCTCGAGAATCGCAGTTTGCCATCGTACCTGCCATCAATTCAATGCTCTCCGTGGATACGACGTTGGTCAAGGTCCTAACCTCGTGCCGAGGTGAGGAAAATGATATAAGAAGGGCACTTCGCGGCCCGAAGTTCTATCACGTCGAGATTTTGGACTCCGATCTCTCTCACGACATTCGTGTCTTTGTCAAAGATCAGGTCGACGAACGCGTGAAGGATGGCCGATTGGTTCTTCGGAGCCCGGGACTCAAGGAAGAGATTATCAATGCATTATCTGTTGGTGCCAAGGACATGTGAGTTTCGCTTCTCTCTCTCTCTCTCCCATTTTTTTGCACAAAGATTCTCGAAGAGGTCGACGGTGAGAACCTAATCGCGTCAGCTTGAAGGTTTCTCTGGGTGAGATTCCAGCTCGAAGACATATGCGAAGCGGTAAACGACCACCAGATACGCCAGACTCTTTTTAACCTGCCAAAGGACCTCAACGAAACGTACGCCCGTATTTTGAAGAAGATTTACAAAACGGGCAAGAACCGCTTCGATATTGCGTTGAGAATGATCAAGTGGATACGTTGCGCGCACCGACCTATGACGATCGAGGAATTGCGAGAAGCCGTCAGCTTGGATTGCGATCAAGCTCGGATGGATTTTGACAAACTGCCTTCCGGAGACAGCTTGCGGCTCATTCAAATGTGTGGAAACCTTGCGGTGCTGAACAGGGACGACAATACCGTCCGCTTCGCGCATCACACCGTTCAGCAGTTCTTGTTTGATAATGACCAATGGCCCTCTCAGGTCTTTGACTTTCCTGTCAACCTACCACTCTCCACGTGCGTGACTGAAGCAGAAATTGGAGAGCTGTGCTTGACCTATCTGACCTTCTCGGATTTCGAAACCCAGGTCGTGAAGCGCGAAACCGTCACGATTCCGACAGGTTCGGACCTGCTGAACACTTTTGTTTACTCTCAAATGCCGACTGCGAGCACATGGGGCAAATGGGCAGCATCTGCGATTTCCGGTTGGACTGAGGTCAGTGTGGACAGTCGGCCTGTGATGCTTGACATGACCAGCATGAAACGCACCCGGCCAGCATTGCGTGGCATGTATGACAAGTTCAAGCTTCTTGAGTACATTACGCATAACTGGACCATGCATGTTGCTCCAGCAATCAAACTACGCGGAAGCAGTTCAGACATGACTGTCCAATCGAAGAAATTCATCTCAAAATTGGAGGACGTCATCTTCCGGCGACAATTTCTGATCGATATCAAACCATGGGAAAGCCAAACCTACCGAGATGAGCTATCCGACTCAGATCCCCAGCATTTAGATCTCTTCCGATGGATCATTGATGAAGATGCTATCGAGTTTCTGAATGTTCTGCAGAGAACCTACGAGCAACCGCTGATCCAGGAACTTTGCGAACATGAGGTTCGAAGCGGCCGACATCCTATTCTTAGAGCAGTAAAAGCAGGAGCATCGCGCGTCTTCACCGCATTGATCCTCATTGCCCTTGACGAGTTCGGCATCTCGGGTAAAAAGATGGCAACGTATCCCGGACCGGAAACGTTAGCTTTGATATGCGATCACTGTTCCGATTCGATGTTTAACTCTGTTCGTGCTTTGCTGGAGCACATCGTGAATCAGTCAAGATGGGGTAGCGAGGCTCGGGATGGTTTGTACGCACTCTTGAAGGATGCGATCGATGATGGCAACGCTCGCCGGATCCGCTTCCTGATCGAACTTGGTGTTTGTAAAAACAGCACTGCAGGAGGAGATTATCCTGTGACATCCGAACTGATTGAGTTTGTGTTGAGCAGCAAGCAGGCTGCGAGCCTACTGACTTTGATATCGTTTCTGAACGGCGAGCTTGAAATACAAGAGCTATTCCAAACGGCTGTGCAGAATGGCCACAGAGACATGGCAGAGATCATGCTGTCTCATACACAGAAGTGGGCCGGGTTGCGCCTTGCTGAAGCGATTGAAAACCACGATCGCGATTCTTTCGATCAGCTGATTGCTGCAGGGACGAACGTCAACAAGGCTTGGTCTCTTGACGGTCCGGCGCTTTGTCTTGCCGTTCAGGCCGTTTCGGAGCCGTTCTTAGCCAAAATTTTGACGTTCGATGATCTTCAGATCGACGTGTGTGACGCACAAGGGAACAATTTCCTCCATTATGTGGCGGTACTTGATCTTGACGTGGCATCGATGAACGGCGGTGATGTCGAAGATGGAATCGCCCGCCATGTGCTGTACAACCCTGGCGTTCTGCACGCCCTGAACAAGAACGGGAGAACTCCGCTGCAGGTCGCGGAGTCTCAACGAGCCTACGTTGCAACGCAGTTCATTAGCGGACTGCACAACGAGCAGGCAGCCGTCGAGGACTCCTCCAACACGTACGAAGTCCTCGCACATTCACCATGGATGAATCCAAAGACGCGAAAAATCCTGAGCGAAGGCTTAGACGATTCTCGAAATGGCCCAGGTCGAAACAAGTTCGGTTACGACGTTCACGCTCAGCAGTGATCACGGTACGGAGAAAAGAGGACATGACGAGCACGGGGGGTTTTTTTTTAAGTAGAGTTGTTGGAAAAAGCAACGCCTAATATAATCTGAAGTAGGTACTTCATACACAAGAACAAAAATTAAACAATCATATGAACCTGTCGAACAGCCATGATACCAAGCAAGGACTGGACCAACCGAAACAATATTAACATCCTCGTAGCCTTTCTCTTGTGCTGGGCTAGACCCCTGCCTTCGAGAGAACTCACAGCCAGGCGCTTAAGAGGGCCATGAGATGGTGATGTAGATCAAATAACTTATCCAGCCCGAGACTTTCTTCGGTCCAGATACTAAACTCAGGAGGGGCCGTGGTGTCGTGTTCGCATGGTTCAACCCACCTGGTGCGACTGCAAAAACGATTAGTCTCTCCCTCTCTCCTTTGTTGTTCCCCTTTCTGGGTAGCCTGCTGCACGCGTTCGTACTCACCAACACACACATTTCGCGCCATCGACGGCATGTTCTTGCCAAAGTTGCCAACACCAGACGTGGAAGTTCTGGCCGCACTGGCTTTTGCACCACACCAGTTGGTCTAGTGGGGTGTTCGTCATGCTGTTCAAACAGATCGTGCATTCCGTATCAAACGTTCGGCGGTCAACATGCATTCTGGTGCATGGGGGGCTGTCTCTGGGCCGAATTGCGTATTCATTAGGTTGGCTCGTGCCGTTCGATATTGATGGGGCCACGGTCATTCGCGGTCGTGTCACCGTCGTTTGGGCCGGAGAAGAGGAAATGGATTCAGTCGTTGAGGTTGGGGTAAGCAGACCAAAGTCACGTATAGCATCTGCTGACGTCGTAGATGAACCCGTATATATGGATGGAGTGCTTCTTTGGATTGCACGTGTGGTGCCGCCAGCGCTTGAGCTGCTCGAAGAAGAGAGGGAGCTCCTTCGTGAAGCCGAAGAGGTGCTGCTAGATGGTGTATGCGCGGTCTCGGTGTTTGTAGTCGAGCCGGAAGTGCGGCTAGCAGAGCTGGAGCTAACAGTCGTATCGGCCGTGATCCCAACAAACAATGAACCAAGAGACGGCACTGATGATAAGTCTGACTGGGGGCCTGAGGACGAGCTAGGGTTTGTGTGCGTGCTGTGACTAGACGTCGAACTACTGCTGAACCTGACGATAGAGTTTCCAGCGGAGGAACTATCTGATGATGGGCTCGAAGAAGATGCTTGAAGCAATGGACGACTTGGAGCAGTTCCCAAGCGTGCGAGTGGCTCCGAGGTTGTCGAGCTCGTCCGATGATTCTCCAATTCTCGAGCTTCTCGAGTGATGATTTCCTTCCACCTACTAGCGATGCTCTGTGCCTGGTCACGATGATACCGCACGCAAAGACATAGAGTAGCCAGTTCCTTAAGATCGCGATCCATAGTTGTCGGACTTGGTGGTCTCAACGACATTGCGTGAAGGATATCTGCAGCGGCAGTTCTGTTGTACATGTTTATGGGGTTTCGACAACGTCTACGGCAGGATGGAGCATAGCCTACGCACGTCTGCCTCCCGTAGCCTGGATCGTTGTTGATGATTTTAAATGCTTGCGTAGGATCCCAAAGCGGGGTTGCCATGGCGGACAGCGACGACGAGGGATGGTGTTGAACAACTCAAGCGAGAGAGACGCGAGTTCTAACAGTCCTGTTAGATCCGGTCTTAAAAGCACTCGAGAGGACAGAGAGGATTGATAAGATGTACCAATCGTCAATATGATTGTTCGCCGTGATCAGGCTCTGGTCTACAGCTCTATCCTAGCCTGATGAGGACCAATAGGAATGACCGATGTGCTAGTATCTAAAATGCTCAGTTCAAATGATAGTCAGAAGCGATGGAAGGTCGATGACACAATGATCCGGCAACTTCCAACTGCAAAGATTTTTGTATTTGAGAGCTCTCTAAGAGCAAAGATTCGTTTCAATCGCCGATGTCACCCATGCTATGCTAGGCGGCTGTACTTTGTGCCTCGATAGCAGGGCACACTGCCACGAGTTTCGTGCACCACCGACGCAGGCTGGGCCTCAAGACATTGGCATGGGCTGCTCGAGCTCTCCGCATAGTTTGAGATGGCGTTGCAACAAAGGCGCCACCGCCACTCTGTCCCTGACGTGCGATGGGATTTGGGGAGTTGAGAAACATCACAAGAATCCAGCAGGGATTTTTGCTATTCCTGGTAGAGAAGACGGCGGGCACGTCTGCCAGACGTTCACCTGGCAGCTCATCATGCGCATTGTGCGAGTCGCGCCTGGTGCAGTTCGGTCTTCAACTGCAGCATGGCGCGAAGGGTAGGTCGGAGTAGGCGAAGCAAAAATAAACGTGTTTCCTTCGTCGTGCGCGGTAATGCTTGACGGCCTATACGCGGCCTCCCATTGTGCCGAGCGGGCACGTTTGGTTGGATCACAACGCCGCTCGATATATTCACCTGCCTAAATGGACTACCGAGAGGCTGAGCTCTTCCAAGGAGTGGTATATTGCATCTTTGCTGGTCGACAAAGGTCTGTTCAGCGCGAAGGATTCTGCTTGTGACTTCAGAAGTTTCAAGCTGTCAGCCATACGTTGCCGTGCTTTAACCGCTGCTATCTTGTGATCACACGCGACCACTTGATCATACGTTGGACTGGACGGGTCCAGTAAGCGCATGGCTTGTCAATTGCGCAAGCTGGAGTAAAGATTCCAGATGAAGTGGAGGCAAACATTCTGTGAAATCACGTGACTGCTTTAACTGTTAACTAAAGTCAAGTTAAACAGTCATTTCATGTTCAACCCATGGCCCGAGCCGAGCATAGTGATGAGACGGTAAAATTAATATGCACGTTGGAAAGGATAGCAGTAATATTGATATCATGTCAAGGTTCATGACTGCATCCATCTCTGCACTGAGTATTGCGATGATGCGTCTGAGGCGGGTCTAGGCGCCAGCTCAGTCTGTTCGAGAAGGCTTCGACACATTTTTGCTCTGGCGTCGACTCTTGAGTTACCTTTTGATTTTTCTTTTTGAGGCCTTGTTGGTCTCCAGTCGGGGGACCCAAGAGTTCCTAACTCCGGTAGTTCACCTGGGGCAACTGGAGAAGCGATCAAAATTTGCACACCATATTTCACGATCGCTGCGATAGCATGCTGGTTACAGTGTGAGCCAATTCATCATCCTGCAATGGTCCTGGGCCAAAAAGGGGTTTCATCTGCAAGAAGCGCGGTCGCTCCGGATGAGAGGCAGCAAATGTTTGAGCCTCTGCGAGCCTGGCAAACCTTTAAACCTTCGGAGAAGGTCCGACGATGGCTGAGCAACTGAACTCGTTCCCAACTCGAAGCATGGGCGGTTTATACATTGACAGTTCAACATATGCTGAGTTCATGCTCGGTTATTGTATGGACTACTACGAGTGTCCCACTAGCGAATCTTAGCGTGCATCGGAGAATCTGAACGCCGCGGACGCCATGGATACTCCTTTGAGAGGTTATTTTAATCAAGAGGCCTGACGATGCAAGTTTTGGTGCCGCGTTTTTCACATGCAATCAATGTGTAGTCATTGTTTGAATATTAAGCGACGTGCACTTTCAGCATTGAATCTCGCTCTCTGTTAGATCTCTCCAGAACTGCACACGAATCGGTTGGGAATAACTGCTTATGAATGATCATCAGCCAAACATGCGATTGAATCTTCGGGCATGGCTGCCGACCCCAACCCCTCTCGCGACAAGCATCAACCTTGATGCTCAGCCTTTGGTTTGAGGACGAGCGGGGCACTTGAGTTTTCTCGTGCTCGGGTGGAAGCAGGCTGAGGTATCAGCCACTCGAGAGCACCGCTCAACGCACATGTATTCTTACCCAGTCCTTCGCAAGCGGTAACGGAGAGCTCCGCATACAATGCCTGCCTCACAACGCGTACACCTCATGCAGGGTAATCTATCAAGGGTGAAAATTTTGATGCTGTGTTGAAGCATGTCAACTTTTTCTCGCTCTTTCTTTGTCTTTTGGCCCAACATTCAGACAGCATCTTTCAGCTCATCTGAGGAGGGCTCTAGCGGCTGCCGGTCTTTCTCGGTGCATTAGTGGTTCTTGCAGGGCGGGACGAACATGGGATGAGGGTCAACAGCTAGCCCCGACAATTGGAACCAAAAACATTCGCTAAATGGCCAGCGGCCAATCGCTGTGTGTTCGGTAAGGTCAGCGAAACGTCGCATGCACGTGAAATCGGATTCGACGAACGCATTGCAAATTCTGCTGTTCATTGTGACTCGGCGAATTGCCACCACGGATGACTGTGGGTAATACTTGTAGATGGAGCAGGGCGGCCCGGGGGGTTTACCGGACCATCATTCGTCAGCCGAATAAGCGAATGAAGAGCCGCGAACTAGTCCTTGTCCATCCATCGAGTGTGGAGCCGTGACGAACGTGAGGACAGACAAGAGTCGTGACGAGACGTCGAAAACCTCGGGCTGACCGTCCCGTACGAGCTTCTCGAGCGGGTTGGCTAGCTAGAGCGCAGCTCAAGGAAAACATCTTATCGTAACCCGATGCCGTGGGACGGCGCAAAAGCATAAAGATAAGAAGCAGTCCGCCGTGCTGACTGTGATTGCGAAGTCTGCAGATCCCAAGACGTTGGATGGCCCTGCAGAGGCGCACAGTCGGCGGCCAGAACGTGCAGGGCAGGCTTGTACCTCCAGCAGGCTCCGCACATATTAGAAAGAAGGCTAGCTCGCAGGATGAGAAACGAGATTGACGCACCGATAAGCCACTGGACCGTTGCACGACCCGACCGACTGCGGCAAGAGGTCGCGTGTGGATGTGTGTCCCGACAAAGAAGCGCAAGTTTAGTGACCAAACTTTCCTTGTCGCCGTACCAAGAGAGCATAGTGGATCAGCGCATGGCTTGGCTTCTCTTGGGCCAAAACATCTGCTCTCCAACTTGTTCCCGCTTCAAAGTTGCTTGTCTCCTCACATTGTGTTTGTTGTGTCCAGCTCGTCGCCGTGACTGACCGCTTCCTTCTCGTATGCGGCTCTAGATCGGGCGTCTGGGAATGAAATTTGGCGACTCGCTGCGCCAGCACTCGGTTCCTGAGTGGGCGTACTGTGCGTCATACCATCCTTGCCCTTGTGAGCGGCCTCCCAAAACTAACAATGCGTGTTAGACAATGTCGACTACGATGCTGTGAAGCACTTGATCAAGGAATGCACCAGCGCGGGCAAGGGCAAAGCAATTGCCATTCCTGGCTGCGACAACGAGGGCGCCGCCAACGGCGAGAACAGACTCTACGCTGTGCTTGTCGCTGAGCACGAGCGTGTCGGCTTATTCGTCAAGAGCAAGTCCAATGAGATTCAAGGACGCCTGAGTACGTAGAACGTGCTACTCATACCTCTTCTCAAACCTTCTGACACGCGCAGCCAACGTTGAACGAGTATTGAGGAAGCTTCGCTCCCGCAATGTGAGCAGTGGGTCGGACGTGCCGAGGCCGTACCTCTCGGGCCGCTATGGCAAGCTTGAGCGTGAGGCCATCAGCGCTGGCGAGGAGATTCGTGCTTTGTCGCGATTTGTCGCTGCGCAGCGCACCGCTTTTAGGAAGTTGCTCAAAAAATATAAAAAGTGGTCGGGCTCGACTTCGCTGGAAGAGCGTTTCCGGACCGAGGTTCTGGGCAGATCGAACAGCTTCACGAACATGTCGATGAGTGAAACCTTCGATCGCTGGACGGACTTGCTTCAGGCAATCCGTACTGCCAATGGCTCTGGAGCCTTGCCCGGCCTCACGCCTTTGCAGACCAGCAAGGACCGCCCGTCCTCTCAAGACACGCGAGGGCGGGTGGCTCTGCGAAGCTCTGCATCTGTTGTCCGACAACTCGAAGAAGCCATCAATACTGTGAGCGATGTGAACTTTGACACGGCCTTCTCTGAAGTCACGATTGGCGACAAGGGAGCGCGAGCAATCTACTGGATCCATCCAGAGCAGTTGATTGAATTGCAGGTTCTACTGCTTCAACACTTTCGACTCTACTTAACAAAACAAACTATAGAATCTGCCTCGCCCTTTTCCCAGTCCCCAATTCTATCACGCCGTAGCTCTGTGTCCACACGCCAAGAAGGTGTAATGGAACGTGAGAATGATTGCGGTGTCATTTACGTGGACAATGCCGACGACTATGGCGTTCGGCAAAGCAGATCTACCGTCAGTGAATCCGAAGATTCTCTTACATGTGCCGCAGCCGCCGCGCGATGGACATCTAGCTTAGACGATGCAACTATAGCTTTCAGGGCTCAAGGGCCATCCCCTCATCCCGGCATAGCGCGAATCCGTCGAAAGCATCTCGGCGCCTTTCTAGATGCAAATCGTGATTTCAAGCCCTGGAAGACTGTTGGGAATGCCGCTTCGATGGATCTGACTACGCCAACTTCAACACTGCAGTCCATGAGCCTGGATGAAGCACGAAATGTGCTTGAGAGAAACAAGAGGCTGGAACCATTGGTAGCTATTCTATGCAAGCGGACCCGCTTTCTAGGCCTTAGCAATTCTTCCTTTGCAGGGCAATGGGCAACTCTTGACACCCAAATTTGCTATGAAAAGATGTCGAAAGATGTTTTGACAGGTAAGGACTGGACATCGAATTTGATGAGAAATTGCCGAGAGTTTCCTTTCGCTATCCTTAGAATTCGTCAGGAAGGAAAAGTTGCAAAGGATGTCATCGATCTCCTGGACAAGAGCCATCTCACAGAGCGAATTCGAGGTTTCTCGCTCGCTAGCCACGCTATCTACGAATTCTGGAAGCCTTGTGCCATGAGTCCTCCATTTTGGATTCCCGCCCTCTCAAGAGATATTCGCAAGGTCCCTGAACATGTTTCCCTTGGCCGTCGCAAGTCTTCGCAGATCACCGTGATCGAGCATGGACAAAACTCAAGTGCCTCTAGTAACTCTGAGAACGATCGATCTGGTTCCAGTACCGCCGTTGGAGATTCTTCTACTACCTCGGTGCCTAACACGCCAATGTACGAACGGGACTTCAGTAGACTGGATGCTATCGCCGAGGTAAAATCTGCGAAGAAAATCAGGGTTGACGAGCCATCTCTTGACAAAAAGTCGCGAAAGAAAGGAAAGGACGAGCGGAGGTACTGGAATGAGTACGACTATCCGAGCGATGATGATGATGATGCAAACGCGTACTATATCTACATTGACCCGAACAAGGAAGACAAATGGTTAGGCCAACAAACTGCGGAGCTTCTCTTTGCAAAGATCACCTCAATCTTCTCTAGGAACAAGAAATCAATCACTGACGAAGAGCGGGCGCTCAGTCAGCCGCTCACAGAAGAAGAGGAGGACTCAGAGAGTACAACTAGTCCTTCTGATTCAGAACTGGAATGGGCAGGCAACAAAAAATCATTCCTTTCGAAGATTCGCGGCAGAAAGCGCAATGATTACGGCACCATGAACATACATCATAACCAAGTGAAGCGGGCCAACACTCAATTGAAACATCTCATCCTGCCAGCTGTCGAGACAGAGTCGTCCGCAAGCACGTCTTCTCGTCTTCTAATTACAGCTATTTGCCTCTCTGCAAGTGTCATCCTATGTGTACTTGAGGGCATACTTGCCACAACTGGACGCAAGAAGCAGAAAGGTGAAGTGGATGCTGGTATCCTCCTCGGCGTCATCGCGAGTCTGTTCTTCGCGCTTGTCGGTGTGACAAGTGTCCTGACGGCCAGAGACGGAATCGGCATTTTCAAATGGGCATGCATCGCCATCGTGTTTTCGGTCGTGTGCGTGGCAGATGGAATCTTAGTAGGTTGGATATTGGTTTAATTTGTTTCGTTTTTCCAGAACACAGCAGGCGGCACGATGTGACATCAGCTTGAGCAGCGGGATTCTTTGTTGTATTACGATTTAGACTGAAAGAAAAAAAATCACGAAATAGGTGATGTCAAGGATTAGATAAATGCATGAAGCGGGCTACGAGTTCCCGTGGGTTCACCCGGAACTGTACGTACTAATGAAAATTGTTTCTTTCACGACTTGAAATATCGACATAAACTAGAGTAGGTTCACTCTCGTGCGATGCTCCATGAGGCCACTAGTGTAAACGTAGGCCGCAGTTGCTAAATTGACAAGTTAAGTTCATGATCCGCATTATCGTAGCGTACCGAGTGAACGAACAAGCTAGCGACAGCTTTAACTCTATTAAATAACTTGGTACACCATGAAGGATGATCAGCATAGGTCACGGAAGACAAGAAGAAAAGTTAGCCTGTAGATCTCCGACTCAACATGGTTGGCGCCGTCTCTCTGGCGAGCTATGGAAACTGCTGAATCAAATGATGACGTGATTGCTATCAGGTTCTCGTCGACATTGTCAGACATTGGTCTATCCGACTTCAGCATAAACAAGGGATGTAACTTGTTGTATGTTCTTGTTGGTTGGAGGAGTTGGATTAAGGGGCACGAAAGCCTTCACGCCTCAGGCTGTGACTATCCGCACCCCCGATTACCCCTTTGGGGATGCATGAATTCTCGAGAATCACTATCTGGCATTACGAACTTGCATTCGCAGCTTCCAACGTTCGTTACCGCATGCCCACCATGACCCGATTACGAGGCTCGAGCGCGCTTTGCTACCTCTTCTTGTCGCTGTTCGCGCTGCAATCGTACGCGCTGCACTTCTACATGAAGGGCGGCACCCCGAAATGCTTCGTCGAGGAATTGCCCAAGGACACCTTGGTCGTTGGTACGTCCTTCTACCCTTTCGGCACTCTTAGCCCACGCACAAGTGTGAAGTCGGGGTATGTGCAGCAATAAACTTACGCTCGGCCGTTAGGACACTACACGGTCACTCAGTATGAGCAGAGCACCAACAGCTTTCACCCGGACAACGCTCTTGGTCTGTTCATCACCGTCGACGAGACGTTTGACAACAACCATCGCATTGTCTCACAGAAGGGCGCCGGCAAGGGTCGCTTCACATTCAGCGCCGCCGATTCTGGCGAGCACCGGCTGTGCTTCGCACCGACCAACTGGCACTCGGCCGGCTCGTACGTGGTTGGCGGCCAGGAGGTGGGCACAATCAAGATCGAGCTCGACATGGCGATTGGAGAGACGAGTGCGATCGAAAGCACCGACAAGGGCACGATGGAGGACCTCGTCAGCAAGGTGAAGGACTTGAACGGCAGACTGAACGACATTCGAAGGGAGCAGGTTTTCCAGCGGGTAGGTTGCCGCCCCTGGCTCTCGCGTAGAGCGGAACGGCGTTAACGAGAGAATTTTAGGAGCGCGAGGCCGAGTTCAGGGACCAGTCGGAGGCGACGAACGCAAAGATTGTGAGATACACTCTTATCCAGCTAGCAGTCTTGGGCGTGACTTGCGCGTGGCAGCTGAGCCATCTGAGGAGCTTCTTCATCAAGCAGAAGCTCACCTAAGGGAGAAGAGAAAAAAAAAACCAAGATTGAGAGGCTTATGGTGTTCCTCAAAAGGGTTGGCTAGTTGCATGCGTGTATGATTAATCTATGACGACGTGTAGGGCGCGTGGTGTTTGTCTCTGGGCTCCGGAAAATATGGGCAGCATAGCAGGCATTCAGCGGCGTTTCAGCAGCAGAGTTAACAACCAAGCTTTCGTGTTGCATCGAGTTGAAATACTCAGATCCGATTGCCGAAGCATAATTTGCCAAATGCGATGTTCAAGGCCATTGTCATATGTTCTTCAAAATGAACGACTTATGCCCAAATCTAGTAGAATAATCTATGACGGTCAAATAAAACTCTTAGGAGGTCTATCTACAGATTAGGTACTATACTGTGCATGACGCCAAGATGCAAGCCTTGCTAGCATGCGAAATGACATGAAGCAGCGTGTGTAAATTCTCACGTCCCTCATTTGCAAAAACTCCACGTCCCGTTCTCAGCATTTGACCTAATCAGGGCCTAGCTTGACCTTCATATTGCTGGCCCTCTGCTTTAAATCCCTTAGTGTCCATACCTGTTCAGGCTCGTCCTTTGTCAGTTCTTCATGCAAGCCATTAAAGAGGATAGCGAGCGCGCTTGTTTTCCAGACCCCCACTTCAGCAGCTCTGTCGCTTGTGTAAATGGTTGTCAAAAGAAAGACGAGACTGCACGCGAGCACCGAAGCTGGCAGCGTAATCCAAGGCCACAAAACGTGAATCAGGACTTTTGACTGTAACGCGTCTCCTGAAAAGGTCTCTACCATGTTGCTGCTGTTTGCCGAGTTGCGAATCGTGATGGTCATGGCTTTGGCAATCGTTGTAAGATAGTCTGGAATACTGCCTGCCGAAAGCCAAGGATTGATGGTCATCGGAATTGATCGTGGGCTCATGTTCTGATTGTTGAACTTGTATCGAGGAATCGCTGTTGAGTTGGCTGCAGTAAGGAACGAGGGAAGAACAATGTCCATGGTGAATGATGTTTCCACCATCGTGTCAGCGTTCAAGCCAAATGTGATTTCCGAGCTGGGTGGAGTTAAGACGATATCTCTTGTGTATTGGAAATTTAGAGGAACGCCTGTAGTCTCATTGAATGTAACATTCCACGGAAAAGGTTCGACTGTTGTGTTTTGCCACGAGTCGATAACAACCTCCTGAAAATGTCCTCTGGAGAAATTCGAGCTCATTGTCTGAACACACCAGTTCAGAACACATTCTTGTGCAACTGGGGTTGCATTTTGGTAGACACCTTCCGCGCCCTCGGCGGTTGCTACAATCAAGAAGTCTGATATAGCGTTGGTGACATTTTTGAACATGATCGAACCACCGTAATAAGGCTGTCGCGTGAGACCATCCACCAGAGGAAATAGTCTCATGGTAAGCGTCTCAGTTGGGTTCGAAGTATTTTCAACGCGAGCGTATCCAGTCATTAGTACGGGAGCGCTGCTGGTGACATTCAAAAAGTAGCCGCAGGAAGTGCGATTCGGATAATCCGCAAACTTTGTGGAAAGTGAAAGTGTCACGTCGTTCAGCCAGTCTGCCGGGCCGTCGTAACAGCCCCAAGACAGATACTGCGATGGCAATTCCTTACAGGCACTGCAGACTCCGAGTGTCTGAAAAGTCGACCATTTGCAATCGCTCGTAGGGCAAAAGCAATCAACATCAGGAACCTTACCACTTCCGTAAAAGAAGGGAACTACCGTGTTCTGAAGTGCAACGTCAGGGCTAATGACGTTCTCACCGTCATCAGTTGACAAGGGCTTGAAAGTTGAATATTGAATGGTTCTTGTTAATTTTGCAGACGAGTTTGTCGCATACCATACTGTGGGGGTTTGAACTAATTGTTGAACAAAGAGCTGGAATGGAAGAGCCATGATGATTACCGCCGCGCCGAGACAAGCCAGTCTCCTGCCACATACGTTAGCTACTGAAGCTTGGTCTTCATCCTGAGGGTGATCTTTGGAACGAACATTCTTTTCGCTTTTGAATTACACGATAGGATTGATTGACCAAGCAACGTCACACATCCCCAAGGCCCTCTGCTGGCGCTGTCAAGCACGTCAAAGTCGAGCAATGGTTTCGGCTCCGACCTGAACCACGTCCATTTGAGCTGACCCAGAGCCTCAGCAGTAGGGAAAAGTAGGGCAGCTTGCGCGATGCCAGAAAAGATAGATATGAAGCCGTTGATTGTCAAACCGAAGCCCAGATCAGGTAGCGCTCTACCGTCAAAGTGCCACAGCACAAAGATGATGACCACCACGCAAAAGGCACCCAACGCCCAACTAGCAAGCTCGATGGTCCACCATTCGAAAAGCAACACAGCTAGCTGGTTTGGCTTGGAGCTCCGTAATTTGGGATCCTTTACGTTGCAGTGTGAATGTCTCCAATGCGAAGTGTCGACATGGTGTACCGTCAGCGTGTGCAAGTCGCTGGTTCTCTTTGACTCTGGTAATGAAATCTTGGGTTTGGTGATTTTGTTGTCTTCCAATGCCATTGACCTAACGAAGCCTTACGGACCCAAAGGTGGCAGGCTGGCTAGATGACTTAGGAGGAGGTTTTCATGAGTATACATTAGTACGCAGACAGCTATCCCGTATTGCCGTAAATCCTCCACATTTGAAGACAGTAATGCATTACGACCTTTTCACCCATATCAGTCTGAGCTCCTGCATGTTCGAGGAGAATTGCCATCGTATTGGTGCAGCTATGTTGTCGTTTTTAAGCGCCAGCTTGATTTAGCGCCGAGGCTGGGTGAGCGCCAAGTCCATCCCTCCATTTAACGAAAGAGGAAAAAGTGTCGTGACCAATGCTTTTCTCATGAAATCGACTTTTTGAAGGGAAACCGTATCCAGATTATAGTAGTGGCTCACTCTTGGAAATAGAATAAAGCATGGATTGGGATCGACTCTGTTTTTGATGTCAATCGGTCCTGACGGCAGACTTTAGAACCTTTTGCGTGGATTGTGGTGCCCACGAAAGTCTCCCATGATGAGATTCAGATACTAAAGGCTTGTCTTCGTTAGCACACAAAAGTTAAGGTGGACTAAAATGAACTTTATACTATGCTTGATAACATTGCTCGAGGTATCAATAGTTCACTGCTCTCTCTACAAGGCGCGTAATGCGGAAGGAACCCTAGCGCCGTGACCCTCTCGTCGGATTGTATCCACATCAAGCCGAGCGCCTTGTTATGCACTTGACATTACTGACTTTGTTCTATATTTAGTCGCAAACTTGAGTTCTTTCAATGCTAAGCCATGATTCACAATCTGAAGGTGAACTGCTGGAGTATTCTGACTTCATACAGCTTTTCTATTCGTGTGCCCGCCGCAAAGCTGTCTTGTGAATCAGATCCGAGAGTCCCATATTCTAGAGGGCGAAGCTTTAAAGATTTGGAGATTTCCCTTACCGTCGATCAAGGCTTTCTATCGCTCTTCACGCAACTCACAGACCTTGAGGAAATCAACAGATCACGGGACGAGGCCGCAAACTCCGGAAAATGCGGGTAACATGGGAGATAAAGCCAGATCACCGCCTGATCCATGTGCAATTATGTCATGAAGAGTGTAGATATTTAGAGATTCTGTGATGCAGACGGTCTCTGCTGATGCGTTGATGTTTGATCTGAGGCCTCCAGATGATTACGAGGATTGCTACATGGCTGTGCTCTCAAAAAAAGCGTGCGCTCGCAGGAATCCTGGGGTGGTACTAGCCTTTTATACAGGCAACGTCAACGCACGGAAGATGAATGTGCTGGAACTACCACGCGCATGAGTGCAGTCAACATGAAGCACTTGAAATTTCGATATATCAAACATCATCCTTATCGTAACAGTGTGGGAATGGAACAAAGGTGCGTACAGACTTCTGAATATCCTCGACAAAGAACTTAGACGTCTCGCAGCGCCAAACACGCTTACCCTATGCGCCGGGAAAAGCGTGCGGGGAGATGGAAAGCTCCGACACAGCGTACATGAAGGCGTATACTGTAACACGAAAGAATCCTCCTCTACTCAGTCGATCCATTCACGCTCAGATCCGCTGTGCTCGCTGACGAAGAGCTGGGGTGACACAGTGTGGTGAATCGGCGGTGGTCGTACTGCTGCTGGGGCACCGACGTGCTTCGCTTCGGCGTCAAAGGAAAAGACCATGCTGCTCCCTTTTTCGAACGCTCGCTTCTCCTTCGTCTTTGTCACCCTTTGTCACCAAGGGCCTGCCGAACCGCTCAGAGCGCGACCCACATCACCATGACGACGACGTCCATTCCCCTCTTTTCTCCGCCCTCATATTTGTAGCTCCACATGCCATCCTTTTCATTGTTCCAGTACGCACCGGCGGCGCTGTGCATGCCCCTTCTGCCGGCGTTGGCTGTGCTGTTATCGTCCTTTGCACCGGTGGGCGCGGTGTGCTGGATGATGGTGCTGTTGACCATGAACTTGAACGACGGCGCTTCACCGGAGGGCGAAGCGGTTTCGGAGATCAGAGTCTGCAGGATGGTCGAAATGATGGTGTCGTTCCATGTTGGTGTCAGACTATGGTTGTACGCCGTGGACGTGCCGAGGGCGGTGTTGCATGCCTTGTGACAGTATTAGCATGCCGTCTGCGGTGCGTAGGATGGTGTCAAGAGTTGTTAGCAGCGAGTGAAACGTACATCCTGTGCTATTTGCTTGAGGCGGGACTCGGGGAGCGGTGCCTGGCACCAAGTTTGTCAGCTGTGGCTCGCGGACAAGCATGTTGCAGATAGACAGCTTACAGGAGCCATGTTCGAAATACGAATCTGACGTCGAAGTAGATGTAGTTTGGATGAAGTCGCAAGGCTGGATGGTTATGCAATGTTTACAAGAGGCCCCTCCGATTCGTGTGTTGTAAGTAATAATACGCATTAGCTAACGAGCCGCGTTTCGGCGCGCATCACGGAGTCTTGCATGAGCCAATGAACGGGTCATGGGCCCACCAGCCCCACCCTGCAATGCACAAGCCACACGTGGCGCAGATAGTCGTTCGCGCACGGAAGAAGCTGCGAAGTGCGCAGGCCTGTGGTCCGTGCGCAGACAGCTGCCCAGCCAACGGTTGGCCAAAAGCATCGCACGTGCTGTGCAACCGCCCAGTAGCAGCGAGCGAACCAGCAGAACTAGTCCGTCCTTCGTTGACATCGTACATCACGGCTCTCTAGATAGATTCTGAGCCGCACACCTTTTCTTCCCGAATCTTACCTCACCCCGCTCGCCGAAAAGCTGCTTCAACCATCGACTGAGATCCTGACCACAAGGCATTAGAGCCTCTTCCCGCCGAGTTTCGTCGAGCTGCACCTCCATCAGGCTCTCTAAGCTCTCCGCTGCAATGTCGACTCAGCCCCTCCTCCAGACAGCTCCAGGTACGCTACCTATTTGTACGGGACGGATTCTTGACAAAGCGCCAAAGCTGGCGTTTGCCGAAGAAGCCCGCGGTTCCTCCCTTGAATAACGAAATGCAAATGAGAAATCAATTGAATGTGAGCGCGGTTGACTGACCCGCACTTCGCTCGACGCAGGCAAACGCATCGCCCTCCCGACTCGCGTGGAGCCCAAAGTCTTCTTCGCCAACGAGCGCACCTTTCTCTCGTGGCTGAACTTCACCATCATCCTGGGTGGCCTGGCCGTCGGTCTGCTCAACTTCGGCGACCGCGTTGGTCAGATCAGCGCCGCCATCTTCACGACCATAGCCATGCTCGCCATGCTGTACGCTCTGTTCACCTTCCACTGGCGGGCCGCCAGCATACGGAAAAGAGGCCAGGCGGGCTTCGACGACAGGTACGGACCTACCGTGCTAGCCATCGTGTTGCTCGCCGCAGTGATCGTGAACCTTGTGCTTAGGCTAAGCGAATTTGGAAGCAAGGATAAGAGCGGAGCAAAGACGGTCAGCACGCAGATCGTTATGTGAAGAAAGGACGTTGCGCTGTGGCTGGACTTGGTCGGCAAAGGCGCACAAAGTGGTGGCCAAGTCGATCGGTTCATTTCTAGACATCAAAGTCGATGGATGGAAAGTAGAACGGGATCAGGCATCCATGTTGCTGACAGGCAAGTGGACGAGCGGACAACGGCAGAGAGAGAGAGAGAGAGAGAGAGAGAGAGAGCATGTGGAAAATTTATTCTCCCTGTTATTTGCATAGGACGGATCATTGTACATACGGGTGGAGTTTGGAATCAAAGTCTCTTACGAAGCTAGAGCCGCTGCTGTTGGGAGAGAGTTCGATGACGTGAGCGTCGCCTCTCAAGCTATTGTCCGCGTTTTGTTTAACACCAGATTTTGTCAAGGATCGGCACAAGCGAAGAAAAGGGTAGCTACTCGCGAGGTCCAGATACGAGTCATTCCTGATTGAAGACTAGCTTCTTGTACATAGAATGACTTAGGACTCATGACAAATGCAAACCGTCGTCTTCAATGTATCCGTACATACACTTGCCTAGCTGCAGGGCAAAACGCATTTGCGGAGCACTACCGATTGAGCAATCTGCAATCCTGCAACGGGGTGCAACTCGACCTGTCGAGGTGCCAAACAGCAGATGGAAGACGCGATACCTTGATAAGCCAAAACAAAAACCTAGGTCGGACGGATCTCCATGACCTAGAGGACGCGCAGCTCGTCAAATTATGACACAATGAAGCGTGACTAGGCTAACCGAACACCATGACCCTTGTATGCTCTCTGGTTCCATTGATCGTGTTGGAACAAGTTGAAGCAGTCAAGCATCTTCGTCCCGTACGGTATTCACCTTCCGAAGCAAACGCCCCGTCCGTTCCACCCTCTTCTCTTCTCTCTCCGGCGGTATTTACTCTACCGCATGCTCTGGTGGCATGTCGGACTTGAACATGCGAAATTGAACGAAGATGATGGCGTCTTCGGCGATGGTGCCGAGAGATCCAACAAGCCACGGCAGGTTGGTTAGAACATAGTCCTTCTCCAGAGAATGGAACAGGATCTGGCGATGTTGTTAGCGAGCCTTTTTGAGTAGGAGCTGCGCCTTAGGGCTTCCAGCAGTGTTGCACTCACGCCTGCGCCATATGTAAAATTGCCCATAAGGCTTAACAAGAAGAAAAGCAACGACAGTCCCTCGCAAGACCTGTCCCGCTGGTTCTTGATGATCTGCGGTATTCTCGCGCCAAGGTAGCAGACTGCACTGGTGTAGCCTAATATTTCCGCCCCAAGAGGAGTGTGTACACCTTTTCCCGGATCTCCCGTCTCCTCGGGAGCAGGATGCCACACGTTTGTCTTCCAAGCGATGGCCCAGCCGGCAGCACCGACTACACATACCAGAAGGATGCTCATGCTGTTCTTGAACCACGCTCTGCTACCCGTTTCTTCCTCGACGATGGCAGCCAGACTGGAGCGCCGCCGCGAAGCAGTACTCCTTCTCCGGTGACTGCCTGGCAAGCCTATGCTGCTCCTCCTCCTTCTGCTCTCATACGAGGACGACCTTTGCAGCAAGGGCTGTTCGACACTACCGCCACTCTCCGTGGTCATCTGGGATAGCTTCCGTAGCCGCCGCGCGTTGACGGTGTTGTAGTATACGCATTGCGAGATGAGAATCAGGTCGGCGAGACAGAAATACACGGCCAAAGCAATCACGGTGGGTACAAGGCCAGCCCATACAGCGCCGATGAGGTTGGTTATGTCGCCGATGAACCAGACGACGAGAAAGAGGAGGGAGATGCCTTCTGCTGAACCCTGCCTGTAATTTTCAATCAATTGGGGCACCTGTCAGAGAAGTACTTGTTAGCAGCCACAAACATGTTCTCACGCACTGGCAGCGTGTTCGCGTGCCTCTCCCTCTGCGTGCCGCGAGACAGTGATTCGGACATACCAAAAGAAAGATCCAGGCCGCCAATGAAATACTGCCGAAGACTCCACTCAAGGCTTCGTGAGCAGTCAAGTGGATACTGCTACTGGTATCGGCATGCATCATGGTACACGAATGACATGCACCAAGAGAACTGGGGTTTGTATTGGATGCTCACCGAGACGAAAGGAAGGATTAGACGATCGAAAAGGCACGAGGACGAGGAGCAAACGAGGCTCCGCTCGGAATCTTGATACGAGGGAACAAGACTGCGACCAACCAGCATGAGAAAGATTTTTTTTTGGTCTTTCCTGGTAGGCAGAGGAAGGTCGGAAGTTTTTTTTTCAGCCGCTATCGTTTCACTGCAGAGGTGGACTTTTGGGAGCGAAAAGCTGGAGCTCAACGTCACAGTGAGCTGGGATCTAGAGTTTGCGCTCTCGTTTAGTGGCTGTATATCCGTTCCGTGTGCAGATCTAATCCCTTGGCAACGCCGTGCTAATTGGTCTGGTACGTGTGCTAAACTACCAGCGTGTGTTCTGGAAGCCGAATGAAGAACAGCCCCAACGCGAGCACCAGCCGACAGGTGGCAATGAATTCAAGCACCGATCCAGAGAAAGCCAGGCGAGTGAACGTCCGGCGATGTCTGAAGGACTGGACGAAGCGGAGGAGCGCTGCAGGCGCTCACTCTTCGGACGGGTGGGTGTTGTTGTGCACGTCAGAATCATAGCCTGCGCAGAAAGAGTGGGTCAGCTGGTCTCCCGGACTCCCGACCAGGGCACAGCCTACGACAACGAGGACGTCTTCTCTCCACCACGATCAAAAGTCCTGACTCTCCGTCAGTCAGCGCTCGTTTTGTCATCCCGTTCTCATTCTTTGCTCTTCCATACGTCCTTATCCTCTTCTTCCTTGCTCGTCTTTGTTCCTTCGTCCATTCGCTCGCAGAAATCAAATACCCACACCACTCCCCCCTAGGCTTACGCGCCCAGTCCCGAGTACACCCGCCCTTTTTCCATCCACTTCTCGGCACGCAAGACCCTCGTGCGGGCCGCTTGTGTGACAGCAGCTGCTCCTTCATATATACGACTGGTTGAGAATAAGCACGCTCGTTTCACACGAGGGAACACTTTATCAGTAGCGATGCGCCTCTCAGTGCCGCTCCTGTTGACCGCTTTTGCGGCCTCGGTCGCCGCCTCCAGTCCGCTGATGGAGAACCCTATCCTGGATGGCATATTCCACAAGAGACAGGTCGTCGGCACAGGCGGGACGTCCTCTCCATCCGTAACCGGCGATTCGTCGTCTTCCGGCTCAGACACGTCAACAACAACCACGTCGTCGAGCACGCATACGACCTCAAGTTCGTCCCCCGGCTCCGACACCACGACACCACCCCCAACCACAATCTCGAGCTCCAGCCCATCATCCGCTCCCACCTCAGCCCCTGGATCTTCCTCTGGCAGCGAAAGCTCATCCAGCACAAGGGAAAACACGTCAAGGACGACGTTTACTTCTGCCCTTGTGACATCATCCACACGCCTCTCTACAACCGTTATATCCACCACCGGTTCGGATGGCCAAGTATCCCTAGTCACGTCGACCACGTCTGAGGTTATTGCTAGCACAACTGGCTTCGAAACCGTCGTAACTACGCCCACGCTTCAGGCCAGTTCCGACAATGGCAGTAGCGGCCTCTCATCGTCATCGAAAAAGATCATCGGCGGTGTTGTTGGCGGTGTAGGCGGTGCCATTCTGCTCGGAGGTATCGCTCTTGTCCTGTGGAGAGTCTACGGCAGGAAACAGCACCATGGCAACTATGACGACGTGCACTCTGGCGATACTGCTATCGCAGAGAACAAGCCGATATCACACGGAGGTTTGGCTGACGACGAGTCGCACATGGATCGGTACACACAGTCGAGCAGACCAAACGCAGCCTCCAATTTTTAGCTACCGCTTTTTTGTCCGTTTGTGCCATCTCTGCTCACGTATTTGTGTGCAAATGTTGAAATTCTTTTTTTTTTTTAGCGAGGCATGGCTGGCGTTATGTGAACAAAATTTGGCGATTGGTAACGTTTCTGGCTTTTCTTTGGCTTCTAGCGATACACCTGTGCACATAGAAGCGTGTCACTCCTTTGATGAATAAGATGGGTAACTTGGATATTAATCCCGGCATTGGAGCCGGCCGACACACTCTTTTTGTTGTTCTTCACTATTGGTCAAACTCATGTAGGTGGGAGGGTTATAGACGTGTTTCAAAGAACACGGCCAAGCAAGTTGCACAATGTAGTCTAGCTAATTTTAAGTTATCACATGAAATATCGCTCGTCCGTCTAATCCTGAGAACATGCCGTTTGCAATCCCTGAAAACATGGGGAGGACTCTGAGAATTCTGCAATTCCAAACTGACCATCTAGTGCGTTGACGCTCTTTTTCTCGAGCGTAGAACGAGGATCGCTGTTAGGCACGGCCTTAATACGGGCAAATACCGTCCGAACCTTGTTTGAAGAGGCCAGAAAATCTCTCGTTGGCGGTCGAAGAACCACCTTGAGGGTTGACTACCTAAAGCGGTCGTGTTCCACATGGCTAAGCAAACCCGCCGTCCATCTCTCCTGTCCGTATGGCCCAATGGTTTCGTAGGCACACCTGCTGGCCCTAAACGCGCGCCATCACCTCTAGATAACACGCGTCAATTTGGCTTATCCTCAAATGCGCCTGCCGCGCCCGACGAGCTTCTCACCTCATGGATCCAGTGTACAGATGTGCACATGCTGCGATGGCGGACGAAAAGACCTGGCTCCAGGAAGACTGGCGTAGTAAGTAAGAAGGCAAGGGATTCGAGGTTTCTACATCAACACATTTGATTCCCTTGAAAGTCAGCTATAGGATCCCGCGTTCATAAGTATGGTCACACGTTTTCTGTCGGCGAAAAATTGGCCCTCAGCGAAAAGGTCTGAAGCGCAGCGACAGGAGATCGAACAAGATAGACGAACAGAGTCTACGTTGGCGGAAGAGCATCGTCTACGCTTTGGGTGTTGAATTACCAATCGTGTTCTTCTCTGCACTTGACATAGTAGTCTGAAAGTAAGACTTCTCCCATTATTACGACGCGAACTTTGTGTAACTCGCTACCAAGGCACTGCCTCCCAGGATGCCTACAACTTCTGCGCCTTCCACTGTTCGACACATGCCCCAAACGTCATGAACTCAACTCGGTCGCCTTTCGCCTGGAGCTTCTTAAGGAATCTTTCGATCATTGGAATGATGTGAGCCATCCCACTCGTGTCGGGGTGAAGAATCAACGGAAAGACGGTGATCTGATCCTTCGCGTCCGGCTCCTCCTCCATCTCTCTGAGGAGAAACTCCAACCTCTCCAGCCACATTCCCTCAATCGCGGCCGTTGGCACGTAGCCATGGCTGTTTGGAAGATGGGGCCAGAATTGCATCGGCGTCATGTCTTCCATGTACCAGTTGCCAGGCACTTCGACAACTGTGCCGGGCGCGTCGTTGACCTGCGGTGACGGCACCATCCAAGACGAGGCCTTGGCTGCCGGCGTGAACTGCGGCAGTTCGATGGGAGAGCCCCCGCCCCGCGGGAGGTAGCTGAGCTTGGAGTCATGCAGCGACAATGAGGCATCGTACAAAAATCCATGCTCCTCCAGGAGCTTGATCGTATGAGGACGTGTCGTGTACAGAGGGGCCCTGTACCCTCTTGGCTTCTTCCCCGTCAGCTTCTCAAACATGTCCATGCATTTTCTCAAGACGTCGCGTTCTTGTTCCTCGGTCAGTTTGTAGTTGTCTTCATGGCAGTAGCCGTGCAGGCCGATTTCTGCCCCGCTATCGATGATGGCCCGCGTCTCCTGTGGAAATGTGTCCGCGCTTTGACCTGGGATAAACCAGGTGATCTTGTCCGAAAGCCCAAGACGCTTGAACAGCTTCAGAAGACGTGGAACGCCAACTCGGCCGGCGAAGAAGCCGCTCGAATAGTCGGCAAGAGTGTTGTCGGGCGTCTGCCCCGTGCCCAGCCAGCCTGAGACGGCGTCGAAGTCGACCGAGATGAGGATCTTTAGTGTTGGCGACATCATGCAACCCACTCGCAGCCTGATTGTCTTCTAGATCCGAAGCTGGGAGGTCGTGAATCACGTCGGACAGAACGTCTCATTTGGAAGCGACCTAAGCTTCTCACGCAACCTCTAGCTTCTCAAAATTGACGGGAGGACGCCAAACTAGAACGGGTGCAGTTACCCGCCGGGAGGTGAACGCCGTCTTTCGTCATCCTCATTCGACCAAGCGAGACCCTGCGCCCCCGCGGAAAAGGGCCCGCAATGCGACCGCTGACAAACTCGTCTGAACAATTTCTCGCGCCGACATCGTGCCTTGCTCCAACCTTTTTTCTCTTACACAAGCAAGATGGCGCCCACATTTACTATAGACGACACCAACGATCTGGATGTCACCGTTAACTCGAGCAAAATGAACGCCAAGTCCGGCACGCGCACGCTTCTCCTTGCCCCTCCTTCGATAGCAGCACATCCTGAGGCGCTCAACCGTGTGGTAGAAGCCCATGACAGAGTCCATACAGACATTCAGATGCTTGACAGATTGGCCATGGGCCTTGTTACTCTGCCGCCCGCGACGTATGACGTTATCCTCCTTCTCACAAACGCAGACGGCTCCCGTCCACAGCTCGTCGATCGAACCGTCATGAACAAACTCTTCGAAGCATTGAAGACAAATGGCAAGCTCAAGAGTCAGGATGGCAAGCTCGGCCTCACAGATGGCCCCGAGAAGACCGAGGGGATCTTGGCCGGACTGATAATCAGCGACGATGGCTTTAAGAAGCCAGACATTGGGGGAACTGGCGCAGTCCCTCTTCGATTTGGACGGAAGAATGGCGCAGCAAAAGCCAATGCAGACGGCTCTGTGCCACTCTCACTTAACGGAAAGAGGAAGAGCTTGGAAATCTCCAAGGATGCGGCGAAGCCAGTGCAGCCTGCAGGCGTTGGATTCGTCGACTTCAGCGACGACTTGGACGAACTCGTGACCGGAGACGACGATGACCTGATTGACGAAGATGAGCTGCTCACGGCCGACGACTTAGCCAATCCAATCATACAGCGTACGTGTAGCTAAGTCTCCACCTGGCTTCTGTCCTGCAAATCTAACCCTCTCTCAGCACCAGAATGTCGACCCAAAGCGGGCAAGCGACGTCGCGCTTGTAAAGACTGCACTTGTGGTCTGAAGGAGAAACTTGAAGCCGAGGATGCCGCCAAACGTGATGCAGCGGACAAGGCATTGAAGACAATGAAGCTAGGCGCGGATGAACTGGCAGAAGTGGACTTTACGGTGCAGGGCAAGGTGGGCAGCTGCGGAAACTGCGCACTGGGAGATGCCTTCAGATGTGACGGCTGCCCCTACATTGGACTGCCCGCGTTCAAACCCGGGGAGGAAGTCAGACTTTTGAACAACGAGGTGCAACTCTAGAAGCGGCGAGATTGTCAGGCACGTTGCAGCTTCATTCTGCGAAAGATGCTTGGATAGACAGAGTCTCGATCCCCCCACAGAGATGTATAGGCTTTTTCCGCACCGCTGCGGGCGTCAGCGTCAAGAAGAATCCCCAATGACGGACACAATAGATCATGTTGGCTAGATCTCTACTAGTTCTTTGAATTGTGGAACGGCGTGCATGTTTTAAAACTCGATGCCGTAGGTGTATTTTTACATTCAGATCTAGATGTCTAAATGCAGCTCTACTTGTGATATGACACATCGTTATCGATGCAACTGACTATCCAATCAATTCATGCCGATCCTCTGGGTTGGGCCATCTTTCGTGTACTGTTCTTCATTTTCGTCGTCAGATATCAGATCGTCCAATTCGTCATCGTTGGTTTCGGAGACAGGCCCCAGCTCCTCGTCTCTTTGACTCACGGGTGCGTACTGGGTCGTCGACGCATTGCTGGAAGCGGCGATATCCTTTTGTACGGCAACGTAGATTGCACTGCCAAGGATCAAACCGCTGCCTATGATGCTGAGGGCTCCTGGTGTGGTCCCAAATATCAGCTTGTCAAACCCAAGAGCGAAGAGCATCTGCGTGTACACCATGTTCGTCGCCCGGCTGCTCTTTTCGTACTGCAGACCCGAGGCGAGCAAGAACTGCATGATGAAACCGCAGGTTCCGAGAAAGAAGAGGTAACTCCACTCCCACAGATTCGCAGGGAGCAGGAAGCCCACGTCTGGAAGAACGAACATCATCACAGTGGAAACGATTGTGCACCACGTAGCGAAGTAGTTCACACTGATGAGGGCATGTGCTCGTTTGCCGATCCACCGTAGCGTTGTGTATGCTGAGGCGGCACCCAAGACACCCAACATGGCGATGGCCACGCCTTTGGCACGCTGCTCGGCCGTGACGTGCGTATAATCGAGGGACGGATTTGGGGTCGCAGTGCCATTCGTGAGTGCGGCCATGTCCGAATCGCCACTTGCAGGGAGTGTCTCTGACGGACGCCCCGAGAACAAACTCGTGGGACGCGCGATGAGCACGACACCAAACAGGCTCACGTAGGCTGCAATCTGCTCCATGCGCGTGAACGGCTCCTTGAGGATGTAGCTGCATGCCCAGCAAGCGATGCTTGGAGCCAGGAAGGTAATCACTGTCGCGTCGGCAAGCGGCAGGTATAGCAGACTGTAGTACATGCCGAACACGCCGAAGAAGCCTCCCAGGCCTCTCGCTACGAGCAACGGCCTGACCTCCTTCTTGCCCAGGGGGAAGTCGGGGATTTTCTTATAGTACATGTACAGACTCGCGAGAACAACAGTGATGCTCATTCGCGCGAACAAGACCTGGAAAGGATGCAGGCCCTTGCCGTTGTTTCCTTCTAGTTCAAGAATTCTGTTTCGTCTTTGGATCAGCCCTCGTCCATGTTTACGGCGTTTGAATCGTTGACAGGCAAGGCTCACCTTGTTGTGACGTTCATTAGCGTGCCAAACACCTGAGCCAGCAGCACCAAACCAAGACCCTTATTCCTTGCCCAAAATTCCTGAAGTTTCTTCCCGACCTTGCCGCGTGGTGGAGCGGGCGACCTGCTTGCTATACGGCCGAGCGGTTGCAACGCTATCGAGCCTCTGCCTGGTCGAACGAGGCCGTTGTCGTCCACCGATAATTCCGAGAACACATCGGGACTTGGAATTCGCGCGATACTGTTGGAGTAGAAATGGCCTGGTCGGAGGTGCGATCCGTCTCCTTTAGCCTTGCTCTCGACATTGACCTTGCTGTTTTCTCTCTCTTCGGTCATTCCCGGGGTTCCTACGGCTTTATCATTGTTCCGAAGGTTTGCGGGGACGCTCATAACGGACCATAGCAGATGCAAGCCTTCTCTTGTATATGAACGCAGACGGGGTTCCAAAGGCGGGCAAAGAGCAAAGCGGAAGTATGGAAAGTAGTGGATAGTGGGAGAAAAGCGCTCTGGCGCCACTTATCGATGTCTTGTGCTCCCCAGAGCGGAGGAGTTTTTGCGGCCCCAGCCGCCCACGATAGGCGCAGACCCAGCATGCGACCCACTCATGATTGTGCATGTGTCGTCAGAGTTTTGGCGGACGCGGCGGGCTGGGAAACGAGACGCTCGGGCTCCCGCAGCTCCGCGCTTCATGATTCAAGCCCCAGCCCAGGGTTCTGATACAAAAAGGCTGGCAATTGACTGAGACAGGCTGCGAATTTGGACCTCCAACCTCTTGATGTGCCTTTGCGTGTCCATCGACAAGGCGAAACATTCCCATTGTCCAGGTCTGTCTGTGCCTTCATCTTCACGTGAGGATCGGTCCCCAAGATAGGAAGCTCGTAGATCGCGTGTCCCTCGAGCACAATTGGCACATCGTCAGCTGCAGGCGTGCAGTACAGCAACACAAGCAACGTGTTCTAGACGGACATAGCCGCACTTTCCACGGATAATATGCAGCTGGGGAAACTTCAGCGACGTCTTCGGCCCTTAGATGGTTCGAGTCCGGAGCGACTGCTCCATGACGCCTGTTGGTAGCTTAAAGCGGGTACTGGGCGCTTTACACTGCCCAGATATGCACTTCCAGAGCTTGTTGTACGGAGCATAGTTCGGATGCATTTATCGATATACTCCAAATATGTTGTACACGGCGGTGCAGCTACTTATGTCAAGATGTTTATAGCAAGAACATGCATACCGAGCGTCTATTGCTTCAAATGTCCGCATGCCGATAACACAAGTAAAAGAGCAAGGAATCGGAGCACATCGCTTCTACTTTCTCCACAGGCAAACAGTATCTCGTTGATGCCTCGCAGGCCGCAGTTTTCCCTCCGCTACGTATCGCCGTTGAATTTATAGCTGGCACATTGTCAGACAAATTCTGCAAAACCCTACGTGAGCACCATTCAGCTAATTCGAGCCTCGCGTGGACGTGACACGAGGCGAATATCGTATGATGGTTTGCGTATCTTTCGTACGCTACAACATACTTCATCTTGATTCATTCTGAAAGATGAAAATTACTTCTAATCGTTGCATAGCTGCTCTGTGCGTCCGCAATAGCCACTTACAACCATGATTTGCGGACGAGTTCTTTCAACCTTGTAGCAGGATTCTTTGTCTATTTGTCGAATGCATAGAGAACGACCGGATCTCTTACCTCATATCAAGCCTAACAGGCCCGAGGATCATGACTAATTCTTTATTGATATCTGATGGTCACCACAGCCACATAAATAAACTTAAGTCCAGAGAGACAACATGCGCCGCGCGGCTATATTGATGTCTCTTTATTTCGAATAGGGAGCCATTCATGTCTACAATAAAGTGGCGAGATTCTCTTGACTCTTCTTTCAATCGACCTGACATAATGACAAAGTTCGTCTTTCAGCTCAGGACAATGCCACCAGCATGCAAAGCTTAGTCACAGTGTCATTGCACACGCCTTGCATTTATATATGCGAGAAGGCATCGAATCTCGTATTTCAATCTGATTGTCAAGTTTCTTTATATTAATTCTCATAGCTGTCTAATAGTCTGTTGAAGCTTCGTATTTGCTACGTCTATAATAGGTCTCTTGAATATCCAAACCATTGTACTATCTTCTGGAATTAATCGTGGCTCATCTCGGGAATCTCTAAATATATAAAAGCACATCGACGCTTATCATGTCCATCTACCGCACCTCTGCTGTTGCTCATACGCAGGCAATGCTTGGACTCCCCAACCCAGATGGAACCAAGCCACCGCATGTTGACAAAATCATAGCAAGCGTGGATGTGGAAGATTTGTCATGCAACCGCAACTGGCCGATACTAGAAGTAGGAATCGCTCGACTTGATACACGTAACGTATATAATCTTGACCCTGAAACTCACGACGATTTAGAATATTTAAAGCACATTGAAGCATATCATTTCCGCTTCCAGGAAGTGTACCATATGCGCAACACCGCCCGCTGGCTGAGTGCGGACTATGACCGAGCCGACAGGTTTTTGTATGGAAAATCGGAAATAATTACCCGGGAGCAGCTCCAATCCGTGATCTCACAACTTTTGCATGTCCAGGATACACAAAACCAGGGTGCTTACCGCGACGTGCACATGATCACCCAAGGTGGCACCCACGACTTGACGAATCTGGGTAAATTTGCAAAACCAAAATTCAACTTTACAGAGGTTGTACCGAACATGACCCTCGAAGAACTCCAGATAACGGCGAGGAATGCATCAATGTCAATTTTTGCCGCATGCAACGGACAACGACCAAGTATTGAAAAGATAACACGCGGCGTTGGCCTTGAATGCCTGCTGCTCCACAATGCAGGAAATGATGCGGTCACACAGTTAGCTTGCAACATTAAACTGGCACTCCAGGAATATCGAGAGCGAACTACCTTATCCGAACAGCAAGAGGAGGCCGAAATGTCTCAAAACGACGAATCACAAAATGCGAAGGGCTTGGCCGGTCAGGCACATAGTGAAGGATATGCTCTTTTCAAGCCCAACTTTTATCACCTGCTGGAAGACGAAGCTGACTTAGTAAAGGACGATAGTTCCTCAAATGCAGAGCTGCAGGATGACTCCAAGCAACAGGAAGATGACGCTCTACGGCTGATGTATAAGCTCAGTGGTTATCTGAAGGATATGCCATCGCAACCCATCGTCGGTTCTTACAGCTATTGCACAAGATGTGGTTCTAATGCTCACGAAAGGGTGGATTGTGACTGCAAATCCTTCATCGAATGTAAGCGTTGCTTGAGTCGGTATGATCATGTCACGCGGAATTGTCCGCAGAGCGGACGTGTTGAGGATCGTCTTGAACTGACACGTTTGAAGAACTATCAGAATTCCTGGGCCAAAGACGTGTCTCGTGGACGCACACCGAAACCATACATACCACTAGCGCAAACAAATCTCAGCGAGAAAGATCACGTTCTAGAGTCGGAAGAGGGTCGTGCAGCCATTTCCGCTGCTCGTCAGGAGGCAGCACTTGCAAAGGCTCTTCAAGATGCCCAGTCGTTTCCTGCTTTACCAAGCAATACACGACCTTCCAGCTCTTCCGCTCAAGCCCTGTCAAATAATCCAGCGACGTTCTGGGCGAACTGGACTCCGGCATTCAAAGCTGCTGGAGCACCTTCAAATCGATTCAATGATACACCTCCGTAAGCATAGTACCCAATTGTCTTCACCAACTCATTTGTGAATCGTAGCCAACGAAGGAATCTATACTGCGGCTTTGCGAGTCCATTTGTTTTACTGCAGGTATACAATCAATGAAGAATCTCCAAGTCAAGCAGAAAGCACGCAAGGTCGTGTATATACGGCAGTGCAACTCCTAGTCATTTCGTAAAATTATGAACTCGCATCTTGCCCGCTTCCTCCGCGGTTCTTAGATTAAAGTACGACTCTTGGTCGGTTATGATTAGTGTCATCGTATCTTGGAATAAAAGGGTTAGAACCGAGTATATAAAGCTGAAAAAGCGGGCAGCGGCGTCCGTTTGCAGGGTGAACGGAAGCCACGACCGCTCGGGTCCACTTGGCACGAAGCTGATTTCTGTCAATTGTGCCTTCCGTTATGTGCATGTGCGTTGGCTGACATAAAAAGGATCACGATATGGACTGCAACTTATTAGCATTCCCCGTTCCTTCTGGAACGCCGTGTTGTATGTTGCTCAGAGGCAAGTAGTTTGCTTGCCGGTTCACATCATGCCTTGCTCCATGCAAGTAAACCTTGGAAAGCTACTGTTTCGCTATCCTAAGGCAAATTTGCGCGGAATTGCCGTGTCTCAGCTTGAAATCTCGACTCCGGATGGCGTACAAAAAGAAATACGGCATTTTGACCGATCCTGCTTGGAGAGCTCTTGGCTCTCTCGTGGACAGAATCTAAAACTTGAGCTCATTGTCTCGATTGATGGAGAGTTCCTCCGAGAGACGGAAGTGAAAAAGCTGTGCGAATTGTTGCTAAGGGCAAAGGTACTGAGCAGCTTACACATGAACAGAACTGGTGATGATGCTAATAATACTAGATGTGGAGCCAATTGGGACTTTGGACTGCGGCAGTTTCAGGCACCTCTCAATCGAGTTCGACCGGAACAAGCAGCTGCGTGGTTCTAGACTTGAAATATGTTCGGGACAGTGGCAATCAACAACAGCCAACCATTTATGACATTTGCTACCGTATACCGCCGTCGGATATTGCCCCACCGAAAGGAATTGACGCAGCTCGTGTCGACGTAATCAAACTCAACTTGGCTATCACTCGACACCAACAAAAGAAGGGGTCGACGAAGAGGAGAAAGACAGACATTAACATGCTGGACGACAGTGGAGAGGATGAGCTACTCTTAACACCACCAGATGAAACTGTGACTGAGTCGAGCGCTATGCTTGTTATAGTCGACGCAGTGTTGAGGAAGTATATCGTAAGCGACGCGGGCAGGCATGGAAAAGGCTGTTCCTTTTCTAGTGGGTTGACCGCAAAATTTCTCGATTCTTCAACTCCTTTAAGTTGGGTCATTCCTTCAGTAATCTGTCCAGGTTTCAACGAGGTCTGTCGTCAATAAGCTACACACTGAAAGTAACTGACATGATCAGCAGTCCATATCTACCCGTGTTTCCCTCCTGCCTACGATAGCGCATGCAATGTCGCAATCGTTATATTTACGGGCAAGGTCGCCGACATTAAGACGTAAAATGTTAGATCTGTTCAGCGCCAGCCAAGATGAGAGTGGGAGATTAGTCAACAATGAACTCGAACCAAGCAGAGTAGCGCCCCCTTCGCAATATCGCTTCGAGCTGCTGTCAATGAAACTCTGGACCATACTGCAAACACAGACTCGAAAAGACAGACGCATGCCCAAAATCTGTCCGCTTGGAGTTGACACGAATGATTCGGATAGAGTTGACGACGAAGACTTGTTTGCTTCACAACTAACTGAGAGCCAAACAACTGATAGCGAGACCTGTGAGATTGACATGTACGCAGAAACGTGGCGAGATGAGGACGACCTAGGCAACAATGATCTCGTATATGAAAATGCTTTCGGTTTTGAAAGCGAAGAGCTGAGTTCGACGCCGCGATTCTCTTTAGACGCTGCCATGTTAGAAGACGAGGATGATGATGATGACCTGTTGCTCGATTTAATGCTCGACGAAAGATGTTGTGATAACTTCTAGTCCGGGGTGGAAAGGAATCAACCAATCGAAAGTCAATTGTCAGAGTAGATAGCAAGCAAAACTCTTTGTGACAGTAATTGTACAGCTTCCACGTCTATCTCGCCCGGTATATGACCACTGTACATGGCTTCTTTTCGTCATCTCAGAAACCCATCGCTGTCCCAGTGTGAGCGCACCACTTCATTTCTTGCCTTTCGAGACAATCATTGCGTCCAAATCTGCGCGCTCGGCCAGCTCAGCCTCAATCTCCTCAATGAGTGGGGTGAGGTAGGGCGTATCCTCGTCGGGTTTTGTCCACTCCTCCTTCGGCAACAACTGATGGGAAACGGAGCACTGAAGATGGGGTTAGACTTGTTGGACAACACACAGATTTTCGGGAAAATGACGGACCTGGAACGCCCTTCGGATTCGGAACACGCGGTCGTAGGCTTCCTTTGGGGGGAGACGCTTGAGGGCGAGCTGGACGGTTTCGTTCTCCTCGGGAATGAGATCGTCGGCCCTGTTCGAAAACCGCATTAGCACTCACGGCGTCTGCAGATGCTGGCTCCGACTTCTGAGGCGTCAATGGCTATGGATGGCGGATGGAAAGCGACGTACTTCAGGCCGAGTTGTCTGTAGCCAGCAGCGTTGCCGTACCAATTGGCAAGCGGCTTCATCCAGCTGTGCAGCCATGGCCGCTTCATGACATACTTGGCAAGCGACGGGGTCGACATGGTGACGGCAGAGTGTGCTTCTGGCGGATGGTGGGCGGATGTGCGGTGCTGCGAACGAAAGTCGAGGTTGTGGTTCAAGATTGTCGGCCAGCGGAAAGCTGCCTGCCAAGCACCAACTTTACTTCGCGCCGCCAACGATTGGTCGCTGGTCCGAAAGCTCCCGCTGGCTGGGCGTAGAGCGGACTCGGCCAGAGGAGTCCAGAATGCCATGCGCGCCCAGGTGGACCGACGTAATTGAGTTAACTCAGTCAAGTTAAGTTGCTTCTTTCTGCTTGACCGCAAACCTTCGTCACGCACTCGGGCTCTTTCCCCTCCGCCGTGCGAGCCAAGATCAGCGTCTCTGCGTCCTGGCCTGCTTCTGCTCTGCCAACGGCTCCTGCATGTCCATGACGGGCTAACAGCTCCTGCGCCTGGGTTTGCCATCTCTGCTCCAACTTATCCTCTCTTCCAAGGATCCTACTCACCTGACCTTTCTTCCATTCCACCGCCGCTTCTCTTGACCTCTTTCGCCGACCCCAGGCACACGACCCGTTGACGCCTCCATCGCTGTACGCCTTCTTTGCTTGAGACTGGTTTTGCCCCCATCTCCATTCCTCCAGCCTCCTTCTGTTCCCTGCTGTCGTCCATGGAGTTGGTCAATCGTTGAAGCGGCCTCCACAGCTCTCGACGTGCTGCGGGGCTTCAGCGCTGCGCAGGCACGAAGCTGTCTCTTATTGTCCTTTCTACTCTCATCTGCACCCGCACGCCCGGCCAAGACACACTCCAAGACATAGAGAAAGAGAAGCTGCACCGAAGGTTGCTGCTGGATGCTCCTCCTCGTCAAGCCAGACGTCTGCAAGCGGGGGTCCCTACCATGTCCAGAGAGGGCACCGGACTCGACGCGCAGACACCAGCCTCATCACCATCTTCATCTTCACCGGCTACCAACCCACCCACCCTCACGAAGAACATAAACACCGCCTCCAAAGCGGGAGGCACCGGCGCCCCTCGCGATGTCCTCACGGGCCTCACGAATCCGGTGACCCACCTGGCAATCTACTGCGCAAAAATGCCAGATGCGAGCATCAATAGCTTCTGCGGTGCCATGGGAGGCATGGCAAGCGGCATTGTGACCTGCCCGCTGGACGTCATCAAGACAAGATTGCAGGCACAGGGCAGCTTCCGGCGGAACCCGCACCCAAAGTCGACGACGCTGTATCACGGGATGATTGGCACGGCGCGCACGATATGGAAAGAGGATGGCATTCGAGGCATGTATCGCGGGCTTGGGCCAATGCTACTGGGCTATCTGCCGACCTGGGCGGTGTACATGACGGTGTACGACATGAGCCGCGAGTACTACCGTCATCACGTAGGTATGTTATCGCACGAAACGTTCCGGCGCCTCGTTCGACTAACGGCTCTTGTAGACAGTCTTTGGTTTGCTAGAATATACGCCTCCATAACGGCTGGCGCTTGTTCAACCATAACGACAAACCCTATATGGGTCCTCAAAACCCGGATAATGGCTCAAGTTAGCGTCAACGCGCCTCCAGAGGCTCAAACACCCTGGCGCTACAAGTCTACTTTCGACGCTGCTCGCAGCATGTTCCGCGAAGAAGGAATTCGTGTCTTCTACTCGGGTTTGGCCCCTGCGCTCCTTGGTCTCTCCCATGTTGCTATTCAATTTCCCTTGTATGAGTATCTCAAGCAGCGCTTCACCGGTCTCGCCATGGGCGAGAACACGACCGAATCCGACTCTGAGAATCACTGGCTCGGCATTCTCGCAGCGACGTTCCTGTCAAAGATCTGTGCCACATCGGCAACTTACCCGCACGAGGTCTTGCGTACACGGTTGCAAACACAGCAGCGAACCGCGGCGCCGAGTCACATGCATGACGAGATCAGCTTTCGTGGCAGGTTGGGTGGCGGCTTGCATGTTCCACGTATGCCCGGCGGTGCGAGCTCTGATGGCATGATTAACTTACCACGGTATAAAGGTATGATTCAAACCATCGCCACGATTGTCAAAGAGGAGGGCTGGCGTGCGTTCTACTCCGGACTAGGAACCAACATGGTGAGGGCAGTGCCGGCGGCGATGACGACGATGCTCACGTACGAAACGATGAAGACGACAATACATAAGCTCCAGACTGAGGGGAGGAGAATTATGATTGAAGAAGGTCTTTGAACCGGACAGATAACGCTTGCTGGTGTGGAAGGGAACGGTCTAAACTCACCAATTTGCGGACATAGCAGGATCATCGTGCGCAACTATGGCTACTTCGCATGAGACTACTCCAATGAAGAGCTTACGACACTGCAGCTCGAGTACGCGTTCACAGCAACGCTCGCGCCGACGACAATGCTAAGTGCACTACGAATCACCTCCGAAATACCTACTACTAGTATACTCTTCTTGTACATACCATACCTAAAACTCGCTGAGAGGGAGGACGACAAAAAAGCGAGAAGAGATTGATTGACTTATACTCTCTCCTCTTTCGTCGTCGACATTTCTTAACAACTGTTACATTTCTAGTGCGACTCCAGATTCTTTACCCCAGTCAGGCATGATCAGAAGACCTGATCAAGATAAGGCACAAGAGCATCGACAAGCGGCGGCGTTCCGGTCACCTGATTCTTATCTGTCTTCGCTTATGAGAGACATTTCTATCTCTGCTTGCGTCAATTCCTAGCCCAGAGGTGTGGGATATCTCCGGGAGGGGGGGTTGTATCCTTTCGGGAAAGGCTCTTCCCTTGGTTCACATTTTCACACTTTGTAGATATATAAATATGGATACGGCAGGTGATTAAACGAGAATAACAATTCCACAGGTATTAAAGAATTTGGTGTCTAGAGAAACCCTCGTGACTTCGTCTTTCCACGCCGCCTTGGTTACCGTGGGTGGTAATTAGTCTCTATTTGCAAATTCGATCCCGTCTAGATCCACGTAGTTCATGGCATATGGTATGTAGAGATTCTGGTTGGGAACTGGTGTTTTTGTTGCGGCTCTCGAGACCCTGCCAAGCAGCAAGAGGCCTCATCCCTGCCAGCAGATTGAAAGAAAAAAAACTTTCCTGTTCGTCAACCTCTTCCTTTTCTTCACTCCACCTTCGCCCAAATAATCGCCACGAAGCTACACACAGAGAAGAGAACTGTTCTCTTTCTCACTATTCGCTTTGGGAGAAAGTCCCCGGACAAGCTTGCTGCTTGCAGTCAGGCCTGCGGAAACGCGCTCCCCTCAGAAGGAGCTTACCTCTGCACTTCCTCCGCTCTCTGCTTCCTCGCCCGCCGTACCGTTCGTACTCCCCATCTATCACTCCTTCGTAGGGCTCAGCCTCAGCCTGGAGACCATATGGACGATGATATGAGTCCGAGCTCCATCGGTTGGGCGAGTTTCGCACACGAAGTTGCGATCTGGACGGTGGAGGAGGTCGATGGGACATGTTGCTGGTAGCAAGAGTGGGCTCATAGGGCGCTCAGAGGATGCTTTCGTCGATGTTGTATGGTTATGCGATTGCCTTGCTCTTGTGGTTCGAAAGATCGACAGGAAGACAGGTAACTCGATGGGGCTTACTCTTGGTGCGAAGGTGGAGTCAACAATACCTTCTTTCTTTCTCAAGCCTGCGTGGATGCATGATGTGCATGGGTGCTATACTCTACAGCGTTCCTCGCCTGTACTGTGCTAGCTCACAGAACGGCGAGTACCGCTTGCCCATGATCGGCATGCCACTTTTCAAGCTCTGTCGAAGGAGCCGGGCTTCTTCCATTCCATTTCTCCTCATCCTGCCACGGGCAAAAACGTTCAAATGATGAGACAAAAGTATAGAGTCAAGCACTGAAGCTGCACTGTCTTCCGATTTGTTTCGGAATGGCATGAAGCTCTTGACGATTACATACTACGACGGTATCTGATGAACGCTTTCACCACTTTGCTGAATGGCTGTCACTTTGTCAGTTGCAAGAATTCCATTCTTTGTACTTATTAGTCCATAGAACAACAAGAAATGCCATGGTGGTAGCATTATCAGCATTCTACATGTTTGCCCAGAGTCTCATTCATCGTTTCGAATACGAAAGCAACTGGCATGGGCAATCGTTCTTCATTCATAATTTAAGTAGGCTTGCATAGCGAATTGGGCTTAGACAGGGCGTATCAGTAGCGAATCGCCATTACTGCAGAGCATGACGACGAATAAATAAATTTTTAGTTAGATTTGTCCGGTTGATGGGACAGTTCGTACAATGTCGAGGTGGAAAAAGGTACATCCATCGTCTGCGCTTTCAGAAACTTTACCACATGAATCTTTGCAGCTTTCCAGGTTCTTGAGGCCAAACAAAAGGCTTATACAAGAACATATATCCAGTTCCCGCAGCAATGACCAAAAACCAAATCGTTTCGAGAACATGGCCATAAAGGCTATACAATGTTTGCCGACTCCTTGAATCCTTGTGAGGCTTGGACGTTTTATCGTCTGCCATCTCAGATTCAGAGCTAGCCAAATGCATTCTCCATACCATCCACGGAATGATAGAGTATCTAGGCTCTACGAGCGGCGCAGTGATCAGAGCAAGCGCAGTTGCAATCATCCAGACAAGGACAAAGCTTGTCCGGCTTGCGTCCACTTGAGCGACGGAGGTGCCGTCTTCAGATTCAACATGTTGCGCCAGTGGCCTCATGCCAAGTGTTTGAATCACAGCATAACCAGAGAGAACATATATCGGTGCGGCGATATATTTGATTGCGGGATGTCGTAGCAGGATCCTGAACACGTAAAAGACGTAATGTCTGTTGTCGGCTAAGATGAACGGATGCACTATCGTGTTATAGTGGATGACGACCATGCTCAGTGCTGTCAGAAGACCAAATAACAGCACTTTTCGTACCAGCTGTGGCCACGTACTGCACACTGCTACGTGGCCTTGGAGAAAAGCCTGCGCAACGATGGGCCAGGAGAAGAACAGCATGTAAGGCCAGATATAGAGCATCTGGGAAAGATGAAGCGTAGCGACGTGGTTTGATTTGTCCCCTTAAATGGTTAGAAACACTGTGTAAATTACATCGTGCATTTGCTCTCATACCTAACACGACACCGCCATTCCAGGCCACGAATCCCGCAAAACCGACAATGAGGGTGATGTAAGGAAACAGGATGGAAATGTTCTTCTTTGCATTCACCAGAGTGACAATGGCAAGGGATACTGCTGTCTTGGCATAGTCTGCTTTCCCATCAGCTTGCGACGTAAGAATGGAATCGAGGGGCTCACCTTCGATGCAAGCCTCGTATACGGGAAGATCGTATAATTCGACTTCACGCCATGAGTCCATGCACACTGCACGCCAGCACTTGCGACCATGCATTGCTGCAGCTGTCTTCTTCCTCAACGTTCGAGCAGAGGATATTAGAGAGAGGCCGGCAGGAAAGACGGAGACCCAGAAAATGTTCGTCTGGCGAAAGAAGAGCGCAATGACGCCGAATTTGAGCTGCGAGAATGCATCGCTCCATGAGGAAAAGCCTCGCCGACAATACCTCTGGAACGACTGATAGGCTAACAGGACCCAGAATACAGACTGCACGTCCGTGTAGTACAGCCCTGAGAAAAAGAACAGCGGAGGGAAGAGCCATAGGTTAGCGGCCGTGAGCACCAAACCGGCCTGTTTTCCCGGAGGCGAACGACTCTGAACTTGGCCGCGTATGATCACGTACGCGTATAGATAGCCGATCAGGACAGTGACAAGATTCAGAGCGCGCAAGTCCGATAGCGAGCATCTACCCGTTAGGCGATGTATAATCCAGGAAACAAGGTACAGACCTGGAGGCGTTGTAATCTTCGGGTCCCAAACATGAAACCGGTTCTTGCAGTACACTTGCGCTTGCCTGACGTGAAATTCTTCGTCCTATTGTCGATCAGACTTTGAGTGCATAAGACTTCAGTTCAGGTACATACAAGGTATGGTGCAGGAACCGCGGTGTTCACCTTGGCCAGCCACAGAGAACCGCATCCTGCGAGCAAAGCACCGACAGCAAGGACCGCGAGCCAATTATCCGTTCCTATCTGCGTCTTTTTGGGCATCCTCTGGGTCATTGGTATACCTGCATGCTCATGTCATGCATCTCTCTTTTGGCGTGCGCAATTGTTGCCAGAAAGCCGTTTCCAGTTTGAGCATGGTCCTGATCTTCAAGCCACAGCCGCCACATAACTGAGCCAAGCAGACCGTCGTCCTTGGAACTACGCATTCGCCTCAAGCTCTTGCAAAGACTGACTTCACAAAAGATTCAAGCATGGCGTTACCACTCCCCGCCGGTTTAACGCCGCCGGAGGTCGCTTTTTTGTGTGAAATGGAGCTCGTGACTGTAATTCCGCGACAGAGACTCGAGAGCTTGCAGTTGCTAGGAGTGAGTTGAACCCCGCCGTTCTGGCTTGTTGCTACATGTAGTACGTTTACATTCTTGTTCCGATCTTTGGGAAGCCTGCGACTGGGCGACCATTCGGCTAATCGACGTAGGGAATCACGCCAGCCTTGCAGCCTCCGCATAGAAACGACATACCGTTGTGGCTCGCTCTGCTCTTGAAGAAACAAAAACGCGCAAACATAATACCGCCGCCCTGGTTACACCCGGCGTCTCTTTCCCAAATACTCGAATTCGAGACGGAACATTCTAAAGAGGCGTTTTCGCCGCCGCCTAAGCTTCCACCAGGAAGTAGTACGACGAGTCCGCCTTTTTTGCCGTCAGCAACCGCCGAGGCGCAGCCGGATGCATTGCCATATCACTGGCTGGAGCTAGGCGAAATGCTTTTGCAGGCTGCGCCTGATGATTTTGAAGACGTGGATCAGGTCAGGAGATTGATGAGGGACCTGCGCGAGGTGCGGATGGCCAAGTTACGGGCAGGCGTGGACGAATTGGATGCCGCTGGAGGGCTAAGGTTAAACGGTGTTGGTGGGATGGAGCTTGCCGAGGGTAGACTGTTCATTGGCGGCGTTATTGATGGACTGAGGAAGATAAATGCTAGTAAAGAGCAAGCGAGGCGGGAGAGAGAAGCTGAAGAGCAAGAGAACGGCTATGCTGGCGGCGGCTACGACGACGACGATATGCTATAATCGCTAATGATACCCCTGATACAACGTGTGTTTTTGACGTTTCAGCCGTGTCCAATGTGACGGACTGTCGCAGTGTGCGCTTTACCCCCTTTGCGCGTTGTGACGATGATGATGATGATGATGATGCGATGGTCACCTCCATCCTAATGAAAGTTGAAGTATAGCTAGCTCTTGTGGCCTCTGCATTTCGAAGAGAACAAAATGAACGTGCCTCTAGCTGGAGGATAACTCGTGAACAATCTTGCGCAGCAAGATCTCGAATGAAGTGTCGGCTTCGGCGAGAACAGGCTGCCGAGTATCACCAGCGTATGTTCAACAGTCAGGCCAGGTGTCTCGGGGAACGACGGCATCTAGTCGAAGCAAATAGAAAGGGCCTTCTCTGCCTGTTTTTGCCTCGTTGCTCGCATTCAGGCGAGAGATGCGTTCAGCCTTATCGCCGAGGCTGCTTAGAAATGCGGGTCATGTGACCTGGCAAGAGCTGGGCGTTCCCTAGCCACACCTGGCTCTGCTTAGAACTGCAGACAGACTCCATAACGCCAGTCCGCAGACGACTTCGACGCCCCGCCACCGCTTTCCACGCCGACGCAATATTTTGCTCACACTCTTTCCCAGCACCGCCCTCCCCAGTTGGACTCTTTCCTTTTGCCGGCTCCTTGTCTTCACCTTCTCGGTCGCACGGTGAGCGCCAACACACTCCTCAGCCGCCCGCCAATTACTTACCCGGCCAACGCACGACCCCAACAACTGCTGCATGCGCACACAACACGCATAAGAACAGAGTTTCAGCTACTTGTCGGCTTCGCGGGAGCTCTGTAAGCATTGGGCAAAATGTCTATGTCGATCGAAGAGCTTGATGCCACTGTGCGTGCCTTCTTCGAGGGCCGAGGAGAGCAACAGAAGCAGGCACAGGCTACCCTTAATCAGGTTCGTAAAAGAAGGAGCCTTTTTGTTCGTCGGCCGACCCTAATGTGCTATCACAGTTCAAGGAGAATCCTGATGCGTGGCTCATGGTGGACAAAATTCTTGAGTCCGCCGCATACCCGCAAACGAAATGTGTGCTCCCCTCGTTCCTGACACCCCATGGCGTCGAGTAAGCTAATGAACTCAGATATTGGGCTGCAAATCCTCGACAATGTCATTCTCACGCGCTGGAAGGTTCTCCCAAGAGATCAGTGTCAAGGTAGACATTTTCCCTTGGAAAGCTGCAACACCGAAACTGATCAGGACTGCTAGGCATCCGCAACTTCGTCGTGAACTTCATCATACAGTGTTCGCAGACTGAGGAAAGTCTCCGTCAACAGCGCACGCTTCTGAACAAGCTGAATATGACGCTGGTCAACATCTTGAAAATGGAGTGGCCCCACAACTGGCCGACCTTCATCAACGAAATTATCTCCTCCTGCCACTCAAGCATACCTATCTGCGAGAACAACATGGCAATCCTGCGATTGCTGTCAGAAGAAGTCTTCGATTATTCCCAGGACCAAATGACTTCAACAAAGACGAAAGAGCTGAAGCAGACAATGTGCGACGAGTTCACGGCCATCTACCAACTGTGCTCCGAAATCTTGACCACCGCGTCGCAAGCGAACTTGATCAAGGCGACTCTGGAGACTCTGCTGCGCTTTCTCAACTGGATTCCGCTGGGGTTCATCTTTGAGACTCCACCGAGCGGCATGAGCCTCATCGATACCCTCCGCAGCCGATTCCTCGAGGTCCCTGAATTTCGTAATATCACGTTAAAGTGTCTAACAGAAATTGCCAGCTTGCACGTTGACCCCGCCTACAACGACAAGTTGGTTGCGATGTTCACCGAGACGCTTACGGCTATCTCCAAGATCATCCCGTTGTCAGTAGATCTCAAGTCTATCTACGCTTCGAGCAATAGCCGAGATCAGGAGTTCGTACAGAACCTTGCGCTTTTCCTCACAAACTTTTTCACCATGCATCTCTCTGTCATTGAGAACTTGCCAAACCAAGACTATCTGCAGCACGGTCATTTCTATCTAATCCGTATCAGTCAGATCGATGACAGAGAGATATTCAAGATCTGCCTAGAGTACTGGACTAAGCTTGTGTCTGAGCTGTACGATGAGCAACAGCAAATGCCGATTAGCGACATCAATCCTTTGATGATGGGAGGTCTGTCCGGCCTTGGCATGCCTAACGGAGGCGGCTTTGGCAATAGAGGCGGCCAAGAGAATCTTCGGAAGAACAAGTATACGCAAGTTCTATCTGCCTTGCGGACGTGCATGATAGAGAAGATGGTGCGTCCGGAAGAGGTCCTCGTCGTTGAGAATGATGAAGGCGAAATCGTTCGTGAGTTCGTAAAAGAGAGCGACACTATTCAACTTTACAAGAGCACGAGAGAATGTCTGGTATTCTTGACTCACCTAGACGTTGCGGACACGGAGCAGATCATGTCTGAGAAGTTGGCACGACAAGTTGACGGAACAGAATGGTCTTGGGCAAATTGCAACACCCTTTGCTGGGCTATCGGCTCCATTTCGGGTGCTATGAATGAGGAGACAGAAAAGCGTTTCCTCGTAACAGTCATCAAGGACCTTCTAGGTCTGACGGAAATGAAGCGTGGGAAGGATAACAAGGCAGTTGTTGCCAGTAACATCATGTACATTGTCGGGCAGTACCCGCGGTTCCTCAAGGCTCATTGGAAGTTCCTCAAAACTGTAGTCAACAAGCTGTTTGAATTCATGCATGAGACTCACGAAGGTACGGCAAATAAGAGAAGAACCATACAGGCACAAAATCGACTAACGGAAAACATAGGCGTGCAAGATATGGCTTGCGACACCTTCATCAAGATTGCGAACAAGTGCCGACGACACTTCGTTGCTCACCAGGCAGGTGAGACTGAGCCTTTCATCGACGAGATCGTCCGCAACTTGCGCCGAATCACTTGCGATCTGTCTCCCCAACAAGTCCATACTTTCTACGAGGCGTGCGGTTATATGATTTCTGCCCAAGGACAAAAACCGATCCAGGAACGTCTCATTGCTGGGTTGATGGAGACGCCGAATCAAGCTTGGGACCATATCATTGCCCAGGCTAACGCTGATCCATCAACCCTTCAGGATCCTGAGGTGATCAAGATCGTGGGCAACATTATGAAGACGAATGTGGCCGCCTGTAGCTCGATAGGAAGCTACTTCTATCCTCAGATCGGCCGCATCTTCTTGGATATGTTAACCATGTATCGAGCCTCCAGTTCGCTCATCGATGAGGCTGTTCAGCGTGATGGTGTGATTGCGACGAAGATGCCCAAGGTCCGCGGACTTAGGACAATCAAGAAGGAGATCCTGAAGCTTATTATTACCTATGTTGAGCGCGCAGATGATCTTGAGATGGTCCACAATACAATCGTGCCGCCTTTGCTGGAGGCCATCCTTGTTGACTACAAGCGCAACGTGCCAGATGCGCGCGAACCCCAAGTCCTGGAGGTTGTGACAACAATCATAAGCAAGTTACATGTATGTCGGAGACTGATTTCGAGCCAATCTACGGCAGCCCATATCAGCGCTAAAGAACAGAAGTACGCTAACATTGTACAGAGCTTGATGGAGGACCAAGTTCTCAACATCCTCGACAACGTGTTCGAATGTACGCTCGATATGATCAACAAGGACTTCTCCGAGTACCCTGAGCACCGAGTCGAGTTCTTCAAACTTCTTCGTGCCATCAACCTTCGATGTTTCCCTGCCCTACTCAAGCTCGACGGTAGGCAGTTCAAGCTCATCATCGATGCGTGCATGTGGGCCAGTAAGCACGACAATCGCGAGGTTGAGGGCGCAGGTCTTCTCATGTGCAACGAACTCATTTCGAACATGTCCGAGACCGATCCGCAGATCTGCAACACATTCTTCGAGAATTTCTTCACGAGCATCCTTCAAGACGTGTTCTTCGTTCTCACCGATAGTGATCACAAGTCGGGTTTCAAATCGCAAGCGAACCTCTTGGCAAAGATGTTCTGGCTCGTGGAGTCGAACAAGCTTCAAGGGCCGATCTACACTCCTGACCAAGCTCCTCAAGGAACATCGAACCGTGACTTCCTAAGGCAATTTGTCGGCACTTTGTTGTCAAATGCATTCCCCAATCTCTCTCCGCAGCAGATCAATAACTTCATCGATGGTCTGCTGGCAAACAACACCGACCAGAATCGCTTCAAGCTTATCCTTCGTGACTTCCTCATTTCTCTCAAAGAGTTTTCTGGTGACAATGCCGAGCTCTTTGCTGAGGAGAAGGAGCTTGCAGCTCAGGCACAGAAGGACCAAGAGCGTGAGCGTGCTATGAAGGTCGGTGGTTTGCTTAAGCCCAGCGAGATTGACGATGACGAGCTATGACTTGATGATGATATCTCGCTCGATGTTGCAGCGAGGTCACAGTTCGACTATCCTGTTGAGGTCTCTGTGACCTGCTCTGGCGGTAACGCTCGAGGCTCGCAGAATCCGGATGGGTGGGGATTCTACGGCTTATGAAGACTATGTGTATACTATTTAACAGTGTCTGACCCAAACACAAGTGCGAGGGGGTCGGCTTAGGAGACAACCTGGATAATACCAAGGATTTGGCCTGGTCAGAGAGTTCCCAGCGATGGGGCCTAGCCACAAGCACACGTTTGATTGTTTTCCTTTCCCCTCTCGACACGAACAACGGAAAAAAAAGGCATTTATTTTGATTACTGGCGGGTACGCGCATAGATATCCAGGAGCAGGGCGCTACCGCACCGAAATTTCAGTTTGTTTCATTCGTGAACTTTTCATTATCTGCGTCTTCGATGAGCTGATCGCCAAAAGAGAGTAGATCATGTAAAGAAACCAGTTTCATCTGAATCAAAGAGTATTAGTCAGTGATTTTTCAGTGCCTCTCGCATCTCTCACTTTGCTTGATCAAGTCTGGATGATGTCTTAGTACGTTGCTGATGTCAGGTAGTGTTAACCCCCAACCGCGCGGCGGTGGAGAATGCGTATGTTCAGTGTCAGGCGTTATGTGGATTTTTATTTCGAATTTCTTTTTTGCCACAGCGGCATTTAATTGATTCAGTAGTCGTCTCTCGAGTTCCACACCACTGCAATAACAGGCAAGATGAGTAAGATTTTTGCGCCTTCTCCACGATCGGTCTAGGCCGGTTGGACCTGCAACTTGACGGGAGAGCCAAAGGGTTTTACTAGCAACCGTTCGAAGAAAGTACCGTTTTGGATGCTCATTGTCGTAGCCGATGATGCCCAACAGTGTTTGTTGCAAAGCAAGGATGAATGTGGAGCAGGCCAGATTTCTTTTCCTCCCTTTTTTGTTGTCGAGGCTAGATGATCGAAGATTCTGCCTCGTGGTGACACGACGTTGTTTCTATACTGGCACCTTAGCTTCGCTCTCTTCCTCGTCCCGTATACAAGTAGCTATTCGTATCTGTATGACAGGAGCTCCATGCAAGATCTGATGGCCCGCGATTTTTTCTACGCGCCATCTGTGTTCTACGCGCCGTTCTGTGGAGCAGTTCACCTCCCTTCGGCCAGAGCGCCGAAGGCCAGAATCGCCGCTTCTTCTCATTGCCCTGCCTCCTATGGAGCATGTAGGTCACGACTGGGGCAAAACCTCCGAGATCTGCCTGTCCTTGCCGTGCACAGGGGAGATTCAGGCTTTTACGTCACGGTACTTGCAATGGTGAAGCCGTACCGCGCTTTGCGTCCCCGCCGACCTCAAAAGCGTGCAGTAGTAACTTGCCGAATGTCTGTAAGGATGATCAGACCATGCCTTGTGCAGCCAAGCAAAGCCCATTGGCAACATCTACTGTTCCTTGCACTAGGCGAGACGGTATACAGGCAGGACGTTGTTGGATGCAGTCGAGCGAGCAACGCACGTGTCCGGTTTGGAGGGCTGTGATTGGTGCAAAGCGAGCATCGAAGGCTGCTCCGAAGAATCGCCCGTGGTCCACTCCACATCCTTCGCCGTCGACCGAGGGCGGCCACGATGCAGAAATCCAATGGTGGCTTGAACCCGCAGCTGACAGTACCATTCCTCTGGACTTTCGCCAGCAGAAGACTCCTCGTGTCCGATTCGGCAGCTTATAGGGTCCCGAGACCGCGGGCGGATATTGCTGTAAAGCCAGCAGAGCCAGCTCTCGGCCAGCAACAAGGCGGACAACGGAGCGGAGTTTCTCTCCCAACAACCAACGCCTTTCCAGCTTCACTTCAGGCTTCATTTGCCCTCTTTTCTTACGCTGCGCTGCTACAAAGGGCTCCCCCCGCGGCGTAGCATCCTTGCCTGTTTCGGACTCTCTGTATCCCGCCTCTGCCAACAGCATCTTCAGCTGTCATTTCAAGCGAAAAGCAAGCACTCACTTCCCTGCGTGCGTGCGGGCTCTGTGCACGACACACCGACACCAACCCCACGGGCACATCGTAATCCAGCGTCTGCCGCTGACCTATCGCTGCTCGTCCGCCTTGTCGTTCCAAGGAAACGCTCTAGGCCCGTAGGCCTGGAGAGTCTGATCACTCACGGTACCATGTATGTCCATATCACTTTTGCGATCCAGTCCTGCAGCGGATTTTCTTCTCCGCCCTCTCTTTCATGCTTTGTCTTTGCTGTGGACTACTATGGTTCGCCATGCGTCCATAGACTCGATCCAGCACGATCTCTCTGTAAGCGCAGTACTCTGGGTGCGACTGTTAACCCGTCTCTGTGATCTGACAGGAAGTTCGGCAAGACTATCCAGAAGCGACAGCTTGAAATTCCCGAATATGCCGCCAGCTTCGTTGATTACAAGGCGTTGAAGAAGGTTCGTATTCCGCCCAGGTTGCAAATCACACCGTTTGGATGCGTAGCTGACGAGCACCAGCTCATCAAAACTCTCAGTGCAACGCCTGTGCTACCCGCTCAAAGTCATGGAGTACAAGACGTTCAGGACCCTCAAGCCTCGCTTCAGGCAAATAAGGCGTCCTTTTTCTTCAGATTAGTACGAATACTCTTTCATACTTGCCCGCACCCCTTCCATGTCTTTTTCCCTCAGACTAGCGTCTGTGTCGTGATCCTGACCTAGATTTGGGATCAAGCCCGCGTCGGCTCGTTGCATGTACGGTCCGAGAGCAACCCTTGTCACAGATCGCTTTGCCATACACTCAAAACTCCACGAAGCCTTTGCTTAAGTCTCTCCCACTACCTTCCTCGATTCATTTTTGCCTCAAAATTCCTGCATGGTTTCACATTTCAAGTTTGGTCTCATAAAATTTTTTATTCTTTTTTGCCTTTTCAGCGACAACGGGAATGCAAAGTGCACACGCTTGTGCAACCATGTTAACAATCACGCTAGGAACGAGAGCTCGAGAAGGTCAACACGTTCTACCTTCAGAAAGAGGCTGAAGTAAGTGACTCCCACACTCTCACTCTGCAAAATCGTGCTGACAATAAACCTAGCTGCGTCTACGATTGACCTCGCTCCTCGATCAGAAGACGTCGATGCAGGCACGGCAACCGCCGGCGTCAAAACTCTCGTCAAGATATATCGCCCTCGAGGAAGGCTTCCGACAATTTAGCTCGGATCTCGCAAAGTTGCAGGTAGGCATTGAGGACTTGCTATTTTCCACCTTTGATTCGCTGACGTCCTCAAAGCAATTCATCGAGATCAATCAGACTGCATTCTCTAAGATACTGAAAAAGGTCAGATTGCGCGTGACCAAAGCAACAAACATCTTGCTGATGATTAAATAGTGGGACAAAGCCTCAAAGGTTCGCATTAGTCCAAAAAAAGTCACTCTGACGCGTCTTTTACTGAACACTGAATACAGCAAGAGACAAAGGTCATATTTCTTTCGAGAGCTGTCGAGGTGCAGCCATGCTTCAATCGAGATGTCATCTCCGAGCTTTCGGACCAAGCGACAACAAATCTCTTGGACTTCGCAGCGTGGGCCGAAGGGGAGAAAATGCACTATATCCTTACAAATGGTGACTCTGAAGTAGTTAGGCCAGCTTCTCAAGACGAGGTTGATTTTGACACTCAGGTTTTTCAAGCCATCGCGGCTGGAAATCTTACTGTAATCCAAGATTGGACGGCCAGGGTTGGTAATCTTCCCGATGCTAGGCAGCGTATCACGAAAGCTTTCCTCAGTTCTGCTGAGGAGGCACCGGAAATGGCTCTCCAGCTACTGCTCCAGACTGGGCAAGTTGATCTGAACGAAATAGACGAGATCAACCAACGAAATATACTCCATCGTGCAGCGATATCCGGACGGCAAGTACTGCTACAAATCGGTATCGCTGGCCACGTGGACGTGCACGCAGTCGATGTTTACGGGCGCATACCTCTGCACTATGCCTGTATACGAGGTTCAGTCGATATGGTTCAGGCACTCCTTGCGGCTGGCCCGGACACGGTCGATACCCGAGATCACGACAATTTCACGCCTTTGATACACGCCATAGTTCACTCCAACCTAGCCGTCACACAAGCATTGCTCTCTGCAAACGCAAAAATCGATCGTCTGACCGAAGCCGACCATATTCCTCTCAACCTCGCATGCCAACATGGATCAATCGATATTGTGCAAGAATTGCTTCGAAGAAAGCCACAAATCCTTCCAGATGCTGAGGGTCTGTATCCACAACATCTCGTAGCGAGATCTGCCAAGTCATCGCCACAACTTTTGCTCTTGCTACGAGAATATGGGTTGGACCTGAATCAGCCTGATAAGTTGTACCAATGGACACCTATATTTCATGCTGCTAGCGAGGGAAATGTCGCCGTCTTGCAAGCGCTACTAGGTTGTGGTGTTGACCCATCGATTTTGGACGAGAAGGGTTTGTCGGCACTATACTACGCAACGTGGGAGGGCCATCTCGATTGCATGAAATTGCTTGCAGCTCAGACGGACTCAATACTAGGGAAGAGGAAGGAGTCGCAAAGGACCCCACAAATACCTACGCTTCCCCCTTCACGTACTCCACATGCTAAAGCTAAGGAGGCGATCGATATACCGCCGCTCATCCTGCCATCGCCGATCATCCCCGTCCGTCGCTACGGCCATAACTTCCTCGAATCTAAAACATTCGTAATCATTAATTTCGGCAATCTTGGCTACGAGGCCATACAGTTTTACGAGGAGAACAAATACCCCGCTGCGCGCCTTACGATCTCTTCCAAGTCCTCCGATCTGATCCCTCAGAACTTGCTTCTACCCATTCAGGACGATTACAAAATCATTTCGTTTCAAATTGACAACGTCGACACGTTCACGATTGAATTCGACGTATATCCCACTTTCGGCACCAGAGTGATTGCGCGCGCGGTCGCTTCTTCAAAGGTATTCACGGAGGGTACGAGTAGCAGTGGCAAATGGCATCTCGAATTACTTGACCCTCGGCTGAGAGCTATAGGGCGCGTTAGTTTCAACTTCCAAGTCATCAAACCATACTCAGGTATTCCTCTCGAGATCACACACTTCGCAGTATACTGGAAAGAGACGGATCAAAAACCACACAACGCATCGCTCATAACCGGATCAAGTTTATCTGGTGACTACTGCCGTTTGTATGTTCAAATGACGAGAGATGGAGTGGCAATATTATCGCCAACGTGGAAACTCTCTACTGGCGTTTTGCAGGTGCCTGTAAATCGACTGACTCACGCGGAGTATCTTGAGCTTGGAAAGCTAAGAGATGCTCCTGATACTTCAGTAGGTTGCGTTCTGGTTTATGGCTGCATGCGCTAACAGATCGGTTCAGGGAGCTCTTGACAGACTCACCTCACTCCTTCAAGAATCAACGAGTGCGGCGGCACTGCCAGATATACACGAGCTCTTTGCGAACGCATCTATGACCCTGCAGGAAGCACTCAACATTCTCCCCCTTGAGATTCACGTCGAGTTACATGTCATGTTTCCGTCTTTGAAAGAAGAGACTGAGCTCGGCTTGGGGCCAACGCCTAACATTAACACCTTTGCTGATCGTTTGTTGACCGTGGTCTTCGAACATGCTCGTGCTATGAGGGAAAAGACCGATGGATACTTACGGAGCATCGTCTTCTCAAGCAACAATCAGGATGTCTGCACAGCTTTGAACTGGAAGCAACCGAACTGTACGTACCTAAGAGTCTTGTTGATGAAAATTCCGGTTGGACTTACGCTTCACCAGATCCAGTTCTGTTATGCAACTCACTTGAGCAGAGCATAGAAGTTTCAGGAGTCAAAAGCATCCCTGGTTTGGGTCGGACCACGTTTTCGATTAAGGAGGCAGTGCAACTTGCGAAAAACAACAATCTCATGGGCATCATATGCAGCTCAAAGCTTCTGGTACGTTCCAGAGCAAAGTAAATTTGATGACCTGGCATACTTACATTGATGCAGGATCTTGCTCCCAAGATTTCGGAATCGATCAAAACCGCCGGTTTGGTACTCATCTCGGACGTTTCAGCCGATCCCGAATCTGAAAGCGCAAGACAACAGCTTGGTCCGCCCAACGATGGCGTAGACGGTATTTTTAGAAGTAATGGCGTTTTGAGATTCCACGATTCAATCAACATGTGAAATGATCAAAAGTGCGTGCATTTAGGGCGTGGGGAGGAAGGAGGGGAGGCGTGGGCGCTCGAATTATTCAACGCTAGTGGTTCTCTAGTACCTTAATCTCGAGGTACCACAGCCGCTTCATATAGACGATATAGCCAAGGCACGGCGAACGTGGAATTTGTAGAGCACAGTCTTTGGCTCTTTTGGGGATCACGTACTTATCAAACAAGCGGCGAAGTAGTAGATCAAAATCCATGGTATCATCGTGATCGTTGATATCAAACTATCCGTCATAATAATCATCAGGCACCCTTGTATCCGTACTTCAAATTCTCAAGTGCTTTCACATCAACAGGGTGCAGTTGTGAGCGCACGAGGAAAAGCAGCAAGAACACGAAGGTAGGCAGGACAGCTAGCCAAACTTCGTCGATGAGGCCACTTCTTTTCGCGCGCAGGGCCTGGAGTGCGAGAAGGACACAGGTGCCAGCATTCAGGTTGTCGATATACTTCTTGAGCGGGCCATCCTCGACACCAGCATGCCTCCCCAGTGGGAGTTTCGTGGATCGGGAAGCATCTGCCTTCGAGGGCAGGATCCACAACGCGTAGGCACTGCTCAGAAGCGATGTTATGGCAAGTAGGTGGGTGAGTAGCGTGGAGCGTGTCAGGGAAGGGAGGTAGGGGACGATGGAAAGCAGCGGGAGAACGAGGAAAGACTTCTGCAGATACACGTTAGATCAGGGAACGGACGCCAAAGGGGACCGGCCGAGAGGGACCTTGTAATTTTCAGTCTTTTGAGCGTCGGCGTCTACGATTCTGCGAATAAGCTCTTCTTGCTCATGCTCGTCGAGCACGTCCTGGTCCGAGTTGGAATCCGAATCGGGATAGGCGAAGGTCCTGCGGAGACGCGTTGTGGCCATGACGAGGTCGTGCTCAGGCGCGGACTGCAGACAGAAGCGAACAGGCGGGCCTGGAATGTGGAATGCGGAAGGACATGAGGGCTCGAAGCTGCTTTGTGACGTGCAAGGCCACTCATGAGTTGATTCGCAACGCGGGACGAATGCGTCGTTGACGGTGGGCGCCGTCCCGGTCAAAGCTATTCCATCCTGCGGTAACGCCACACGGCCAGAAGCGGAAAGCGCACAACGTCGTCGTTTCCAATCCGGAAACTCCGCTGAGCAACTTGGAGACACTCTTCCAACCACACCACTCACACCATGATCATACGGCACTCTCTACGGCCCAGCTTGGCCTCAATCGCGCGGCCTCTGCGCCAAGTATGCAGACGCACCCTCATCGCCGCCCCGAAAGAGGGCGATGGACCTCTCATGACGCGGCGCTCCGACCGGGCCCTCCCGTCTCTCTCGTCGAGGCACGTATTCCTCCGCACGCTTCCCCTCTTCTGCCTCGTCGTGGCGGGCTCCACCCTTGCCATCTTCAACTACCAGAAGTCGTCGAGCAGCGTGGTCACCAGCTCGCTCTATGCGCTTCGCGTGAACCCGTTGGCGAGGGAGGTTCTGGGCGAGGAGATCTATTTCGCCAGCAAGATGCCGTGGATCTGGGGAACGATCAATCAACTGCACGGCAAGATCGATATCCGGTTTGGAGTCAAGGGCACGAAGGGGAGGGGTGAGATGAGATTCAGGTCGGAGAGGAAAGAACGAATGGGCTACGTGAGTGTCTCGCGCTTTCGAGGGCCTTTTGTTTTTGTCTTTCCTGAGACATGATCGACTGACCAGACGCGACGCAGTTTGAGACGACAGATTGGACGTTAACGACTCCAGACGGAAAAGTTATTGACCTTCTGAAGGGAGACGTGGATCCGCTGGGCAAAGCAGAGGTGTGAAGAGACGGAATCACTCGACATGTACATACCTCCCCAGCATGCACAAAGCACAGAGGTCGCTTTACATGACGCCTTTGCATGTGCTCGCTTCTCGGTACAATCCAAAACCCCCTCATCCTCACGCGCCAATTCTGGCTCGCAAAACCCCCTCGACTCATCTCTACTTCATGCACAACAAGTGCCAAGTACTTCGACGATCTCGGTTCTGTCCTGCAGACAGATGTGTGATGGCCGGACTAGGGTTTCGAAAATGAGTCTAGGACGGTTGGTCTGAATTAGATAAACGCTAGTAGAGCACTTTAGACGCTACGCTCAACAGCCAGGCGGCATCTTGCCAGCCCCCTTCTTCACCTTGCTTTGCAGGCTCAATCTGATCAGCTCTTCTCGTGGCGTAGGCAGAACTCTCTGCGGCTTTCGCAAGCTCTTCCCTCCTCCTTTTCAGCGCCGCCTGCTTTCTTTTCAAAGCTTCCTCTTTGGACAGCTCGGACTCGTCATCCTCTACCTCCTCTGCATCTTCATCCACGTTGAACAAGGAGAACCCTACCATTCGATCTATAAGTCTCCCAAACCCGAACGACTTCTGCTTCGCCAAACGTGAGACCTCTTCGTCATCTACAATGCCATCTTCGTCCGGATCCACGAAATCCGGCTCCGCGATGTCTGCCACGTCGTCGAAGTAACCCTCGGAAGCTACTACTGATCCAGGCGTCTTTCCATCCATGCTCGTCATGAAGCCGACTCTGCTGCCGCCGGCGGCCAAAGAACCCCGTCGGCTTGTCCTTGCGCTTGGCGCTCTACTTCCAACACGACTGGCAACGTGGCTGGCGATGTGACTCTGCGTGCGGGAGAGATAGGGCGACGTCGGTGCACCTTGCACGTCGTCGTCAAGATGCTCTCCCGACATCGTGTACGCAACGAGCGACGTCGAACTATCTCTGCTCACCAGCCAACTCTGGCCTTTATTCTCTCGAGCCTCTGCTGACATGATCATTCCCGCCCTGTGAAGCCACTCGTCGTCGTCATTACTGCTTTTTGACTCTCTGGGGACATGTCTGGTATGCATAGGACTGAGCGTACCTTCCCCCGTAGCCCTGCGCGCATGATGTAGTCTTCCGCCAGCCGCGGCGTCGACCAACCCCACAGCGCTCTTTGCCTTTGGCAAGTGCATGTCCTCGAACCTGAGATCTGGTGAGAAGTAATGCTCGTGTCCGTGTGCAGAGCGTCGTTTCGCACTCTTGCTGGCGCTCCGCGGGCGGCTTGAGTTACGGCTTTCGGCGAGAATGCTAGGCGTTGTCGGGGCCGACTTGCCCTGGATGTAGGACAGCCGTATACGATCGGCATCGTGGTCTGGCTCAGCTTCGAAGTCGTCTCCGTCGAGGGGGAATCGCGAGCTGAGAGGTGCGAGCGACAGATGCTGCAAGTTTGGAAAGGAGCGCCGCGAGCGGTGCGCGGGTTGCACGTCCATTGCTTCGACACGCGCCTCTCTCGGTGGTAGCAGGGAAATGGATGCCTTTTTTTTTCGGTTTGCCGCTGCTTTTGTGAGGAACAATTGATTAGCTAGTTGAATTTCGAGGTCGAGCACAGCTGCAAAGAATTGTTGGGGCAGCCTTAAAGATTGAGAGCTGCAGCGAGCCTGTAAGTAGCCGCGGGGAAGAGGCGAAGGGGGTCTGATTGGCCGGGGATCCCGCATGTGATGTGATCGTCCCAGGGACGGCAGCAAGAAATTCTTAACCCGTTTTCTATGGCTCGGCGAACCTAGGCACCGAATCTGTACAAGTTGTATCTGACCGTACGACAGCATGATGCTCAGATCATATGACTATGACGAATACGCTCCGTGGATCCCACTTGTGCCGACTGTCGTGTTTGACACTCCCCACAACAAGATCGCGTCTCGTACGATTCGTGGCGGCAGCAGGGAAAAGCAGAAGCCTGGACGACCAACGACGGCCCACATCACATGCATCTTCAATGGAAAAGTAATTAGTTGTGTATGAGAACCTTTCGTCTCGGTGGAGATGTCAATCTTCCTGCCTGTTCGGTCTGCTCGAAATGTGGGGCGTACAATACCATCGAACGGCAAAAGGATATACGTCCTCGTGTTGTGACGGGCGCTGAAGCACGTTGCAGCATACAGACGAGAGGAAAGCTGTGATAGCTTATTTGCGGAAGGGACGTAACCCAGAGAAGAATGCAAGGCGCTGTCTATCAGGCTGGGGTCTTCCTCGACATGGTTATGGACACTGTTCAATCGATTGGGCAGACGGAGACTTAACTGCAGAGTATCAAAGCACTTGCCAAGTACCCGTCTTTCATACCGCTTCTCTCCATCGGCGGGAGCTTTTTTAAACAGACAAATAGGGTACCGGGGTTGAGTTCATCGTTGGTAACGATACATGTTGCGAGTCTACATGGAATTTATGCCACAAGTTTAATTCAATAGCCGAGACATTCACTTTGATAGACTGCTTATTCTTGTTACTCTGCTTGTTTCGTTTGAGGGATAGTTATCTTAGTTTCATGCGCATCATTTGCAGAGAGTACGGGTGCTTGCAGCGACGTAGTGTCACTCACGAGTGTCCTGATTGTACATTACAAGGTCGTACTCTCTTATCAACCATAAAAGAAGATGATGCATTTTGTGCCCAACATGCTTTAAACTGTCGAAAGCTCTAGAGGGGCCCTTGAGATGTATTTCTCGCCGTTTCGTGGAGCCTTCTGTAGAATGCGTCTAAATATGAACGAGCCCGAGGAGCAAAAGCTTGTCAAAGACGATCAACCAGGTTTAGGGCTCATAATCTAGCGGTCTAATAACTACGTCCAAACTGCACCCACTTCTGGGCATCCTTGCCACATGATGGACGAAGACACTTGGTATTGGCGGGAAGATCCTTTTGCTCGAAAGGAATGCAGAGTGCTAACCGTCGATGTCAGTAAATTTCCCATAGAAGAAAAGTGTGTTATGTATGCATATGTACCTTTAGCACCCATTGATGGAGCGCGAGGATCGATTTCAGTGGACGTCTTGCACATGTCAGCGGTTTCTTTCTTTACCGCGTCAGCACAATCGCCATCAAGACAATGTGGAATGAGAAGAACATTCTTCTCGTTCAAGCGAGGGACCACGTCATCCCAGTTGGTGACTTCAACACGGTGACTCAAGTACGTCTCTTTTGCTTTCTTGTACATGTCGTTGTGGATAGTGTCGAGCAGAGCAGCAACCCCCGAAGCGATTTCAGATACCTTGATTGTACCCTTTTCGCCATTGTCGCGTCGAACACACGTGACAACTCCATTGGCAGCATCCTTGGGACCATATTCAAGTCGAAGAGGTACGCCCCTTAGTTCATACTCGTTGAATTTCCATCCCGGGGAATAGTTCTCTCGAGTATCAGCTTCAACCCGAATGTTTGCCTTGCTGAGCGCTTCGACCATTGAGTCGATGTCCTCTTGTATCTTCTTTCGATCTTCAGGTCCATGTTTCGCCGTGAGTCCCACTGGGATCAACGCCGCCTGAATTTCGCTCACCCTAGGCGGGATCACAGCGCCTTTGTTGTCTCCATGAGCCATGATCTGCTTGTTGTTATCGATAGATCCTTAATATGGTGCATTTTAAGCTATATCATCTTACCATAGCGCCAAGGGATCTGGTCGAGAGACCCCAACTATTCTGCCATCTACGAAAATCAATACAAACGAAAGAATATCTCTGATTTAACATTCCACGTACACGTAGAGGCGTTTGGATGCTTCACCAGCAGCCTTCGGCGCCGGATCCTCGAAGGTAATGTCATACATCTTCGCAAAGCCTTGACCAAGCAAGTGACTAGTTCCTTTATAAGTGTCAGCCTGCAGCATATAGAGGTCTAGGAGATATTAATAAATACCCGCTTGGATGCTTCGGCCATTGGCGGGAACATATCCTTCGACAGTCGTGGTCACTGTAAAGGTGGTTAAACGGCTCAAGCTTATTTCGTATGTTCGAGCTTGTACGCACTGTCTGCACCTGGGAATTTCTCGTTCTCTAAAAGGCAGGGTCAGTAGGTAAAGAGAACTGTTCCTTCAATGCCTCTCACCCGTCTTTTGGCCTTTGATAACAGGAAGAGCAAGAAGGTCTTCGTAGATTGAAGCGTAGTAGTCCAAGATCAGCATCACTTCTGTACTTCTATTAGCATTTGTTTGTAGAAAAGAAACTCCTTTCTTGAATAGAAAGCAAAAATGAAGGAAAGGAGAGTCTCTCATACCATCATATGCCTCCTCCCTGGTCGCATGACAAGTGTGTCCTTCTTGCCATTGGAATTCTCGAGAACGCAAAAGGGGACTGATCCGAGGTCAGACATGCTGAAAAGCACCAATGAGGGATAAAACTTGCGTCTACTTTCTAGTTAGCGTGTGAAGAAATCGTGGCTTCGGAGGAGCAGAATTTGGAACTTACGCATTGCGAAAACTCCCACCTATTCGGGTGTCAGCAAAAATAACACAGACATAAGCAGGATCAGACTCACCTAACAACATTGTTCCATTCTAGCAATTAGTAAAGTATTAGCATAGGCAAACACGTTGGTAAACGAGTCAAGTCTCACGGTTGCGCTTCAAGGGAAGATCACGATGTGACTGAATTTTAGTACTGAAGTCCTGTATATCCGTCAGACGAGATCTCTTGACGCAGTCTTCAGAAATTTACCCGGTACATGGCCGTCTCACTCGTAGGGCGCACCGCAATTGGCTTCTCAAGTTTGGATTTTCCACCTGGAAAAGGGATCAGCTGGCTAGGGCATGAAGAAAGCGACGAGAATCGATACCATGCGTTACCCACGCGACCTCCGCCGAGAATCCGGAAATCTTTTCGCAGACAATTGTTAACTATGATCTCACAGAGCATACACATTGGCAACCAACATGATTTTTTTCTTTCTCAAGGTTGTCTTGAGAAATAAAGAGGGGATAGTTGCCTAATGCGTGTATGAGTGACAGCTTTGCGTATTGGCATGTTACATATCAACATACAGTTGCGAACGCCTTTCAAGTGATCGATTAGCGCTTTTTTCACGGCCTCGGATCTCAGCGAAATTCATACCAATAGCTCTGATCTTTTTGTTGAAGAATTCCATGATCTGCTCCCACACCCAATAAATTGAGGGCTCTAGAATGTAGCAACCTGCACGATTGTAAGTCCTCGTTCAGGTCCACATTGTGCTTTGTTGTTGTTACCTTGCACATCATAATAGGAAATGAATTTGCCCTTGGTCAGGGTCTGCGTATACCATTCTGCGAGGTCTTCCTCTTGGGTTACTGTTATGCGTGCAGAACACGTTAGCTCTAGACTGTGGATTTTTCTTCGGCGGTTTCTGCTTATCTTTGGTGTCTGTATTTCCCTTTGCGGACTGCTTCCCTTGAGGTTTTGCCTTGGCCTTCTCATCCTTCTTGGGATGCTGCGGAAGTTTGGCAGACTCAGCCATTTTTGAATGACGCTCAGAGTTGGACCAGGTGAACACTTGATAGTCAAAAAATTCGGGTTATATGCAGATATTACGAGGAGGCTCACGTCTGTCTTAAGACGGCGGAAATGACTCAAGCAATGTTTGATATCGAGTGTGGGGTGATCACGTGATAACCCCGCGACATCCACTGAACAGTGAGAACTGTGAGATTGTCATCCATTCTCATTATGTTTGATATCTTGTGGTGATTTCTGGCGTATTTAGCGCAAATTCATCACAAAAAAGGCATTCTATGTTTTCGATCCGACAGCTCAGCTGCATAAGATGTCGCCATAATCTCATTTTGCAATGCTACATCATGATTCCTGCGCATCGAGGTCCGTGGTATGGGCTAGCAACACATGACTTTTCGTCATCGGACGTTCTCAAAATACAAGACAATAAAGTTCAAAGGCCAAAGCGCAAGTAGCTGAGCTCACTTATCATACGTGCGGCTTGATGTTAAACACCAAACGCTGTCACATGATACACGTCATGGCAGTAACTTACGGCGTGACGTATAAACAGGGCATCGGTGACCACACGTTGTTTTATAGACCAGAAATGTCTCATGAGAGGAAAACTCGAATGGCTAAGCTTCGTGTCTGCCTTTTCTCTAACATTAATCTGACCACGGCTCCATGGTTCCATTGTTGAAAACCCATTTTCAGCCTTGTGCTCCATCCTTGCAAGGCTAGTGCGCGATTTCACGTCTCCGGGTTGTATCGAGTGCTCAAAATCTATTCATGAGCCCGTGTACGAAGTACGTCTGGAGCTTTGTTGCGCCTCCATCGCCTCTAAGCCGTTTCGGATGCATTTTCAGCGCAGATCACTACGATAGTTTGCAGCACACCGCCGATGCACGGCGACTCGATTGGCCTCACGACGTTGCCCCGCAATGTCATGCTGTGCAACCGACGCTAGTGTTCGTTATGCGCGCCTGAGTCCCTCAATATCAACCAAGTACCTCTCTTGAACGTCTCAAACCCGGCAGCTCTCGTTTGAACCTGTGGACTCAGTGCGAAAGCAGATCGTTTTCGCCACGGCCTTTCAGAAATCATCATGAACGCGCCATTATGCGCTCTTCCAAACGAGCTTCTCCTTCTGATTGTCGACTTCGTTGAGGACAAGAGAGACCTCCGTGCGCTCGCCCAGGTCTCGAAACGCTACCAGAATTTTGCTGAAAGTGTCCTCTATCGGTCGACTCTAATCAGAAACTCAACTCAGTCCGCTCAACTTCGCAATGCTCTGCTGGGACGTCCCGCGAGAGCGGCATGGATCCAATCCATCAATCTCCGGCCAGGCTGGTATCAGTCTCGAAAGACCCTAGGCACCCACATGCACTACGTCATCTCAAAGTGCCCAAATCTGAAGGAATTTGCTGTCGAATCTCCTACTTGCAATTATGGACGATGGGCTAGCGGCGAGGATGCTTGGAAGCACGACGAACAGGCCATCCTCGAAGGATTGGCCGTACTTGATCCAAGTCAGCTCAGCAAATTGACCCTGCATCTTGACGGTAACCACGATCGATATTGGGACCCAAACCATGTGGGTGCTGCACAGTATAGCTGGGCAATGGTCATGGCGTTGCCTTCCCTGGTAGAACTTACGGTCTCTTGTGCCTTGATTCACGACAACATAGCTATAGGGAAGCAACACTCTGGCAATCTAAAAATTCTTGAGCTGGTCGAGTGTAATATCACCCTTGAGGGCTTGATGCGCATGCTCGCAGCACCGAAAGCCTTGCAAAGGCTCCATCTAGGTACGTAGCGACTTACTCATCGATGCATCTACGCTCACACGATTTGTAGGAGAAAACGCATATCATGCAGGTCAAGGCTACGACCAGATTCGCGGTCAACGATTCAACAGTCTGTTTGGCTATGATCCAACTTCATTCATCAAAGCATTGGCACAACAGTGCGGCTCTCTTGAACAACTCGAATATGTCGCAGGCGAGCCTAAATTTCCGAGCAAGAGCGTGAATGAAAGCTTTGAAAACTTTCTCAAACTCCGAGAAGTTCACCTGTCCGAGCACGTTCGCGACAACTGTCGAGAACTCATCCTGACCGGAGCGCCAGCACTGCAAAAGGTGTACATCGAAGTCGCCGCACTTAAACTGTTCGAGCCTCTAATACGTTTAGAAGAGGAACAACATGTGGGTCCTGGAAAAGTCCAATCCGAACTGGTTGAAAAGAGGCTTGGAACAAACATACACGACGCTCTGTTCGCTGAAATGCAGAACAGGACGCATCCGTCGCTGCAGGAGCTGCACGTTATCATGCCCCACGGGCCTGTTCCAATCAGTGGCAGCAGACGCACCTGGATCCAGATGCTCGCCAAACATTGGAAGAGCCGTGGTGTCACGCTTTTCTTATACTATAAGCATAGCACGTCGATCTTCCCGCCGATTCTCTTCAATGAAACGGGAAGAGCACCGCGCGACATCCTAATGTTCAGTCAAGAGGGCGGATTCACCGAGGCAGCGAACGGGCCTGATCCTTGGGGCTTTGATAGTGACTACAGCATTGAACTTGCCGATCAATTCCCCGATATGGTTGATTTTTTGGATTTCGACACTTTTTGGCATGCCGAAGACGATTGGGACGCCTTTGGGGATCTAGACTTCCACGCGAGCTTTGGACTATGAAGGAGACGCCCAGACAACGCGTTTGCGATTAAAATCTATATTTTGAACACACACGGCGGTTATTTCATCTGAGGAAATCAATGAGACCTAGGATGTGTCCTTCGAACTTCTGAAAGGGTCTCCTACCTTACTCTTGTTCTTCATCTCCTCGAAAGCCACGAACAAAGTTTCTGGCAACGGCCCTTTCTTGCAGGCGCGAAGGCTCTCCGCGATCTGGCTATCACTCGAAGCGCCCAGAATCACGACGTCGTTCTCTCCAAGCGGCGAATGGTGCATGAACCAGCGCATGGTCGCCTCCAGCAAAGAAATTCCCGCAGCGGTGCACGCGTTTTGCAACATCCGCAAAACGGCAATGTTCTCTTCGTTGAGGTACATGTTCCCAAATACTCTCATTGAATCGAACCTGGTTCCTTTCTTTGGCGTGACGATCTCTTCGGTTGGCTTGGCAAGCAAACCGCCAGCGAGCGGCGAGTAGGCGTAGAAGGTCATGTTCAGCCTTTTGAGGAGTGGCAACAGGTTCGATTCGGACTGGTGCCGGTTGATAGGATTGTAGCCACCTTGATAAGCGGTTGGAAGCGGATACTTGTTCTTCTCGCAGATACTGTATACCTCTTGCACTTGCGTCGGAGTGAGATTGGAAATCCCCCACCGATCAATTTTTTTTTGTTCATGTAGCGAATTGATAGCACGACACTGCTCCTCAAAGCCTGTCCTTGGATCCGGTCCGTGCAAGTAGTACAGATCGATTGTGTTCACCCGCAGTGCTCTCAGGGACTTTTCGCAGTTAAGGATGATGTTGTCATACTCCAGCGAGCCAGGCGTGAAAGCCGGTGCCTTGGTCGCGATCAAGAAATCTTTGTGCGCTTGCACTTCGCCGAGCAGCTCTTCAGACTTGCCGTCGTTGTACACACGAGCGGTGTCAAGCTCTCTGACCCCGTGGGACCTGACGACATCTAGAAAGGCAGAGACTTGTGCCGGCGTGGCTAGTGACGGCGAACCTGCCGCGACGGAGCTTCCCATCATGCCGACAGAGATCTTAACCATCTTGCTAGCTGATGCTTTGAGCATGTAAAAAAGAGAAGAAAAAAAAATTCAGAGATGAGGACATCAAGTGTCTGTCGCTTCGAAGTTAGGCGATGAGCAGGTGCATCGATTAAGTCTCGCAAACGGGGACTCCCTTTTTGTTGTCATCGACGTCATGCATTTTCTCAGTGTGCAGCGCTGCTTTGGCAAGCGTGAATTTGGTCAGCTGAAGGACGAAAAACAGCCACTTCGTCCGTGAATTCGTGCGCTGATTCATACTTGGATTGCAGACGGAGATACGTGGTTTTAGGACTCAAGCCGTCGAATGCTTCTTGGTAAGTATGCATTCATTGACGTGAAACCTAGAATTGGTGTAGCAAACATAGGACATAAGCGAATGAGCAGCCCAGTCTTGTTTGCTCGCAAGCTAAGGCACAAATATGTTGAACGTGGAGCTGGAGATTTGTACAAACGGCTATCCTATACCTATCATTCGTGATAATGTTTATCACTCTCATGATTGATACACAATGACAAGCTAGAACGTCGGGTCGCACACCGTGGCAGGTGATATCAGTTCCATAGTAAACATTTACCTCGTGAGCGACAATAAATGGGTATCCAAGCAAAATAATAAAACTAACAGCGGTACAGAAAGCATCAACAGCAGAAAAGGTGTGATGGTAGCGTGCAAGCACCAGGAATGAGTGCTTAGCAGTACTCTTCTTCGATCATGCCCAAGTGAGACCATATCCGGAGCACGTGAAACGCCGCGAGCTCCACCCATCCAATCCCATAATCCATCCAAACATGAGATACAAGAGCAGGTTATGAAAGACTCCCGACTCGAGCGCTAATTCTAGTTTTGTCTCCATTTCGTGCTGGTTATTTTGAACAACTCATCGACATATGTGGGTTGTTCGTTGGCACCGACACCGGCCTCCGTCCTGATACCCATGTCCTGCAGCTCCACGTTCGAGTCTGCCTTAATGTTGATCTCAACGGTCGTGTCGCTGCTGACCATGATACCACCGAAAGGTTGAGGCGCCATGTCCTTGGGGCTGGTAAGATGCGAGTCTGAAGCCGAGTCTGGCCTGAAGATAGATCCACGACGAGGAGTATCACCTCTGCTGAATGGCCACTTGCTGCCAAATTTGGACTTCGACTTCACGCCGCTATTTGCGATCGAATCGGCGATCGAGTCGCGATTTGATGAGGTCGACATCGACGAGGCTTGGCCCTTTGAAGCCAAGATGGCGCCGAATTCTCTGTGAATCTTTCGGGCAAGAATAGCATGATCAGGAGACCCCTTGTAGACTCGCTGGAAGCAGCGGAAAAAACTCAAGGGAACGTAAGTCAACTTATTTGTCGACTTGATCGAGGCTGAGTGCACATCCGGGATGATGCAGAAAGCATATATGTACACAGAGCCGTTTCCAGGGTGCGAGAGGCCATCAACACGAATAGGTTTCGACGAAAAGATGGCTTGGCCGAAAAAGCCTTCTGGGACTGAAATTGTCAAGGCTGTGACTTGGTCCAACAGAAGCTCGAGGAACTCTTTGTCTCCCGGCAGTGGGGATTCAGCGGCCTTGTTGTTCAGCCAGCTCAGGCATTGATTGACGGAAAGACCGTCTAAGCGTGTGAGGATCTTCTGCTGCCATGGCTTCAACGGATCTGCGGTGAGCTCTACTTGCGGCAACAGGAATGGCGAATCGATAGGTACTAAGACTTCCCAGTTGCCATTTGCCTTATTCATCGCAGCTCTCATGGCGAAGCATGCGAGATAACTGCTAGCAGCACTCTCGAGCGGAGCTTCGGCACACTGATGAGCATATTTCTGAAGTCGGTCGATCGTGTTAAGCATTTCATTCTGTGGGACCTGCATGCTGCGCGCGATGATATCGCCAACGTGATTAGGCTGTGCGAAACGATAACCAGCAGTCATGAGACGAGCGACTTGAGCCTTGTCAACAGTCCTGACAAGGAAGAGCAGTTGGCCGCGACCAAACATGGTGGAAATGATTCCAGACTCAATATCGGACGTTTGCTTCTCACTCGAACGAGATGGCAGCTTGAAGGTCTTCTTGGGCTGGAAGTCCGTGGCCAAACTTCCGGTCATCATGATGCCATTGTAAAGGACACCAAGGTCTGACAATGGTACGCCCAAGCTGTCGGCCAGATCATTAGCTGCAACACAGAAATGTTCGCGGAAGATGATGGAGTATTCCTCGGGTGTCTCATCATCGTCATGAGTCCAGGCAGTTTCAGTTCCCGGTGTGATGGGTCGTGTTGGATCCTTGGATGTCATGACGGCACGCAAGTGGTTGCGCATGGCAGGGATCAGATCGACAACACCTGACCAGTTAAACGTAACACGGAAGAGCCATTGGAACACAGGGTGTGCAGTATTGAACTCGTCGGCAAAGGATCGCTGGTTGAATTGCCTGGTAACTTTCTGGCAAGGCATGAGACCCTCGTTCGTGACCAGAATCTTTCCGTCGGGGTCGAACGTCGCTGACGCGAGCACGACATGTTGCGCGCGATCGGCCAGTTGCCTCTTGCGACGCTGATTAAGCACAGCAAAGCCTAAGCAGACTACGCAAGCAAGCAAAGACTGCGTGCACAATTAGCTCGATACACAAAGGGTGATGTTTCATCACTTACCACCACTATTGCAACTATCAAGTTGGTATCACGAGACACCGTACTGCCTTGGCCTCTTGCATCCGACAAGGTGTAACTTGTGCCAACTGTCGCAGTCCAATGCATGCCTGAGACAGCACCGGCTAGCAAGCAAGCATAAGCCAGACGTCTGATCCACGAGTTGATCCATCGTTCCTTGAAGTAGAAGAACAAGCTAAGCGCAACGACGGAGGCTGTACAAGCTATAGCAGCCGAGCCGACAACATAGCCAGCAGGATTCGTGAGTTTGTAGTTGCTGATGCCGAAGTTGCCGACGTAGTGCATGCCAGTGATCGCCAAGCCAGCAATGACACCTGCGAGAACCAACGAGGGCCAAAAGAACCTCTGCCCAGGCTGACGAAATTCAACCGTCGTGAAGCCAAAAAACAAGAACACAATGGGCAAGAAGACCGACAGTGCTGTGAATCCAGGATTGTAATATAGCTGGATCGACGGGTCACCGTTACCCATCGTAATGGCGCGGTTTCCGACGAAGTGCATGCACCAGATGGCAACTAGACCAAAGGACACCGAAATTGCAAGATGCTGGAGCCTGAGATAAGAGTCTCTGTTAGCGGACGATCTGCTGTGATGGAAAGGGACATTCCCCGAAAGTTAGGTGACACGCTTACCATAACAACCAGCCTTTTCCCTCTCTCCTTCTGTGCAGCAACTCGACGGTCGTCACAGAACCAACAAGTGAGACAAAAAATGAAGCGATGATGATTCCCGAGGATAGTCGGAAAGGGACTTTTTCGCCCACGTGATAAGTTTCCGCCATGTTTGCCAATTTTGAAATGTGGGAATACAGATCTTGTTCCCTCCCTTCGTGCGTTGAATCGCTGCGTGAGTGTAGTGAGTTATAGATTCACTCCAACGATATATAATATATTAAGATAATTCTATCCAGATATGTCTGATGCTTGATGCGCCGGTAATGGTGGTGTTTGTCGGGTCACAGTTTGAAATCATGAACCAATTTCCATACTCCAGATAGTCCAAAGAACAAGGAATGTATTATATATGCGGCCGACAACAGGTTGACGCTGTGAGTTCCCACGCCGGTGTCTGGATGCACGCAAGATCTCGTAGGGTTGGTAAAATTTCCGGAAGACTAGGGAGGGGTGGGCCTGCCTGGTCAAGGAGATCGGACAGGGAGAAAACGCGATCTCTCCCAAGTCAACGCGGAGGTGATGAGGACGAAAATCGAACGACGCGATTCTAATTGTAGAATGAAGAGGGAGATTGTAAAATCGGCCGTCTTATGAATCGTTCTGCCTTTCCCGAATCTATTCGAGGTCCGGTACGCCGCGACAATGCAGGTCAGATCGATCGTGGGCGACGGAGTTAGCGAATGTGCAGCGCCAGGGCGAAGGTCGACGCCAGCGATTCAAAACACAGCCAGGTGGAAGTGTTTCTAGGCAAGAGACGCGTCCCGTTGTTGCACGATATGGATCGAGAGAGCGATGCCGTACAGTACGGAGGGATTAGAGAAGAGGAAAAGGCATGTGAGGGACATGCGGGATCGTCTCCATGATAATCACGCCCGCTGTTTGTTGGCGGACGGTGAACAGCTGAAGGAAACCCGCCAAACCGACTAAGAGAAGCGGCTTTCATCTAGCCAGTTCTTAGTTGCACCCCCTGCGTGCTCGGCCTAGCAAATCAGACTTGGAACAAGTATGCAAGTGACGTTCGGGTGGCGTCGAGACCTTTCCCTGTCCGCCCTCTCACAGATCCAGATGGCAGCCATTTTCAGGTCCGGGACGGCGTCCGGAGGACAAGGCCAAGAAGGGGATGATTTGCCCTGCCGCTCGTCTTTCTTCTGTTGAACTTGCCGACGAGTCGATCTGACGAGCGATCAGCTGGAAAGGAAGAGGTGTTTAGTGTCTTAGCTACAATGCAAGTCCTCTCTCTTTCTCTCCCTGAACCTTTGTAGAAAGCCGTACCGACTATCCCTACAGGTCACAGAGGAAAAAAGCAGTCCGTCACCGTACAGATATTCTATACGATGTGTAGCAGGGTACCCCGAGCCTAGGCTGTGACGAGCAGGTTGACCATCTCGGTCGGAGCTATGCCTGCGCCTGACGTCTGCTGTCGCACAACGTCCTTACAAGCGATCGGCACTGCATGCTTTCGCAGCATGCAATCATTGCCTCTCTGTGCTCTGGTGGTTTGCAAACATCAAAGGCGGACCATGGGAAACAGTTTTGTTTCAAGCACCATTCCACTGTGTCAATCAGCAAGCTTCACTATTTCCAGACCGATAGCAATCGGTCGGCGAAATCCACCCTGGCCGAAGCACAGACCGTGGGAAAAAAAAATCTCCCGCTGAGATCTCATCTTAAGCATGGGTGCATTTAGGGACGAGGACGGACCATTCAGGGGCTCGATCTTGCATTCTTTGCCCAGACGTGCGTATGAACATGTGCGTTGAGTGGAACGCGCTGTGAACGGCGACACTACGACCGCCACTGGGCGTGCTTCCCGGGGTGGCAACGCCAGAACGCGAAATCTGGCGAACTACCCGTGCTATCATTGGGGTGCCATATTGTTCCTTCTCCCTACGATCGGCGCTGCTAAGAGCAAAGGCCGCGGCATGGTGATTAGCTGAATCTCGACAGAGCACAGAGTGCTTTTGCTCACCGTGGGGTTGGAATCCCCAATGGCCAGCTTCACGGTCGCGAGCAACGGGCGTGTTGCGTAGACGACGACGCAGAGCGAAGAAACGCGCGGAAGGTCGCTGCGAGCACGTAATTCCCCAGGCTAGCCAAACCCCCATGCAGGTCAACTTTGGGAGCTGTAATGGCTTCGCATGTACATTCCGCATCATCCCGCCGATGACATGAAAGACGTGGTAGGCTTTCCAAAAGCAAGATGAGCAGTCATTTAACGAAGCGGCAAAGCCGTCGCAGCCTCGATTTGAGGTCGAGAGGATGCGTGATTATTGGCTCTCGCGCAGGGCACCGTCTTTGAGAGTTCGGGGCCACTGATGATAGAGGCTCTGGTCACAACCATGAGTGTCACGAGCAGACTGAATGAAGCGCGCTACTTGCCTTCATCGCAATCACCATCGTCTACGCCGCTCGTCGGGGGACTTTTTCAGACAGGACATCCGCTCTCTGCAGGAGAACACGGTGACTGCTTGATCAAAGGCGACCATCATCTTCATGTCAGCAGCGGAGACATCTGTCCGAACCCCCCCATCTCCTGCTCCCGTTCGTTCCTTTTCGCCCGGCGGAACGAAGGTATGCCGTGATGATACAACCATCACAAGAAACCGTTCCTGCGCAAAAGAGTCTCACCAACCCGAGGCTGCCGTTTCCCAGAGGCATGATCACGATAACAGGGAGTCCAGCTACTGGCTCTGCCGCCAGGCTAGCCTTAATCCAGAGAGTTTCGTTGCAGATCTAACGCCACCGTCGGGTCAAAACTGATGAGCCAATGCAAGCTGGAAGGTTCACCCAGGGGCCCCTGGGCAGTGCCAACTCTTTTGTATCTCGGAGATCTAATTCATTATTGCTGTGCACGGTTCCTGGTGCCACGGTTCCTCCCTGCTGATGGTTCCAGAAATATCGTGAGCCCCGTGCCGCCCTGTACCGCACTGTACTGTAACGTAGTGTGGTAGATTCGACGCGATGGATGCGAGTAGTCTGAGTCGTGGAATCGGTCCCTGTACCATGAGGGGTAAAGCGTTCAAATCAATCGTTCTGACGAGCCCGCGCCTTTCTCAATGCGTTCATAACCGATCGCGCACTTGGCAATTCAAACCGTTGTATTGGCTCGCTACCGAAGAATTATAGCTTTGCGAACTTCTAGCGGCGAAACGTACGAGCAAACTTTGGAAACAGACTAAAAGTAAACCGTGCACGCAAAAGGTCTGGAGCGTCAAGGAACTGCTTGGCGGCCCAAGCAGTGTGAGTTTGTCTATGACTCGCAGATCCTGAGCGACCCTTACAAGTTTAAAACTCTGGACAGTCCACGTCAAAGACCTCCGAGTCGTGGGAGCTTGCTGGCTAGAACCCCTCACTCGTTCGCTACACATTCTCCATGTTTACGAAGTGAAATGCATTCTGCTCGGTGCCACTGGCTTGTAATTATACAGATGCGGCTACGACGGTCTCACAGCCGGCTTTGCATCATTGGCGCAAGGCAAGTCAGTTCTTGCAAGTTGCTCCAACGAATGTGTAATCGTACAGGGTTGCATCCCAATAGCGTTTTTAAAGGCGAAGCCGCCACCACGCTATGCCATGCAATCATAATGCAATTTTCTCTGCCTGCCTCAATGAAGCGGGTATCATGAATCGTCAAACCAAAAACAATGCCTTCAAGCATGTGCCGCTAATGCAAATGCGCCATCTGTCAAAATGGTTTTTGTAGCTTCTAGCAATCTAGCCTCTCGTCCGAGAAGGCAGTTGCATGTTCATCACACTTGGCGATTCGCTTCTGGGTTCATCGTCACTCAGATAGCCATTTTCTCGAGCAAGCCAGAGCAGGGCACGTTCGTCGAAACTTCTGATGAAGTCCTGATCAAGCACTCGTGCTTTCCTCCCGGCGTAGGTGTGATATTCGTGCAGAATTGAGTCCAAGTCTGCACCTAAGACTTTTCTAAAGCAAGCAACAACGCATCCGGTTCGATGCTTGCCCTTGTTGCAATGTATGAGTAGCGGATAGTTCGAACGATCAAGAACAGCACCGAGGGCTTGCGCCATTGTGGCCGGCTCGATCTTGATGACTTCCTTGTTCGCGGGCACGTGCACACGAATCTGTTTTATGCCTGCATCGTCCAGAAATTGAACATACGGCTGGGGATATGGTTCCGGAACCAAGGTAAGAATGGTCTTCAGCTTCAGTGTTTTCAAGAAACTGAAGTTCTCGGGAAGCGGAAACTGGCTTCGAAATATCTCGCCCGGCATCACTGCACCGAAGTTGGTAGGTGGAATGTGCGAGGTTAGTCGCGCTGGCGCAATGCATGATATTGAGAGCTTTCGCTGCGACGGCGATGTCGCTAAGGAGGTTCTCTCGGGGGAAACTGCTGCAGTGTTTAGAAGACAAGCTGAATCGCTTTGCATCAGAGACATACCTTCTCTTGAAGAGCCAACACCGATGCCGTAGATATCACTGCCGTCAAAACTGTCTACACTTTCGGCCCAAGCGTCGTATGCCCGTATGATCGCAGGATGGACTCCCTCAAAATCATCATAGCTGGAGCTGGGGTCAGGAATGGACATGGCTTTGGTGCGTGAGGAATCCGCGTGCGGCTCCGTAGGTGTGAATGTCGGAGAGGAGTGACGAACAAGGCCCGAGATGATCTGCGGTAGGTCGCGGGAGATGTATAGGTATCCGCCTGCTTGTGACCTAGCAGGCTTAACCTCTGCCTGTAGACCAAGCGGTTCAAGAGGCACGAAATTAGAGAGAGGGAAAGTCAGGCGGGACGCGGCAGAGTAACCTCTGAGTGGAGGTGAACTCTTCGCGAGGTTAGTGTCAAAGAAGCAGAATATCGGCCAAATGAGATGCATACTGAAGGGTCACCAAGAGGTAGCTACAGAATCCATGACTGGACGACGGTGCCGACGCGACTTATATCCATGGTTGGCGTGAGGAATCGCGGGTTGCAGCGTGGGGTGTGCTGAATGTGCGGCCTCGACCGGGGAGGCGATCCCAGCGATTTCGTGGGTTGAAGTCGCGTGACAAAGCGGAAAACACGTCCGGAAGCAGGTTCTACGCGTTCGACTGTGGTTGGATGTGTCGTCGGGACGGTGCTGGCTGCTAGAACGATGGCGAAGAGACGAAGGTAGTGCTTGCTGGACGGCGGTTGTGGGATGAGAAGGAACAGAGCAGGAGAGAAACTCAGGGTCCATTTTTTTTTCCTGCTGGGCGACAGCGTGAGTTGCCTCCGCCGGCGCCCAGCGATGCCGTGACACTCCGTATGGCCACGCTCTGGCGAGGCGACTGCTGGAGCCACTGACAGGGCCCTTACGCTCTAGGCGGGGGCAGCCAAGCAGGCCAGCCTGCTCATCCACCGTGCAACGATGCGCAACCGTCGTTCTTCTTGCGCTGTCCTTCAGCACCGCGCCTGGCACCACTGCTCAAAACGCTCACTAATATTCTTCAGTGAACCTTACGCGACAGTTCCAAACCCCACATCTCCGACTGTATCCTTGCAGGCAATCCATTACCTCAGCCGCATGCAAAGCTCCTGATTCGGTAGCGATCATCACAGGTCAGGAATGGGCCATGACCATTCAGACTGCGACTCCTCCGTACACACGATCACCTTCTGCAAGTAGCTACCCCGTCTCCCCTGCAAAAAAAGACCTCGAAAGAGCTTGGTGTTGCGATTGGCACTCGTTGCGGGCAAAAGCGCGTGTCAAAGAGCAGTGTCTCCGCCAAACTCGGCCTATCCAATCGTCTTTTCTGACCGCGGCACGTTCCTGACTACTATTGCTCGATTGGTGCAGAGAAGAACTGCTTTGACTGAATCGGCTGACAGTGGCATTTGATTTTGACGCCCTCGTGTGGGCTGTTCGTAATGGGAATGCAAGCATGGCCTAGCCGATCTCCGTCGTCTGCCTCGTATAATAGGTTTGTTGCAATTGAGTCCTGGACATCATGGGGTTTGTCCGTTATCCCTCCCAAGAAACTCGAATCACGGCCGTGCGCAGGCTCCATAGCGTGGGGAGGGTGAGGCTTTGTCGTACCCAGCATCTTTTCGATGGCACGACGCATCCCACGAGCTTGATCTACGAGGCGTAAGCATGGCTTCCGAGGACCCGAGTTCTCTGCCAGATGGCGATGCTTCATAATGGTGATAGTGTGCCAGGCGCTGCACGATCTCTTTCCGCACAAATGAAGCCGCATCTTCCTGCTCGAGGTTGACGTCCAGTTTCCGGTAATCCACAGCTGGTTGCGAGATCGAGTCGTCGTCCAACCGTCCGTCTCCGATGTACTGGCCGATTCTCTTCCCCAGGAGTTGTTCGCAGCGATTACACCTATTTTAATAGAAAATTCTCCTTCCATGGTTCAAGATCTACTTCTTTCTTACGCACTCTTCTTGAGATTCGTCTTTGGAATTGAAATTACAGGATAGCCAATCAGTCCCTTACGTTGAGATTGGAACAACTCCCATCAGCAACTCAGCATGAATCTTGAGAACCTAGTTCTTTTCGCTCAATAATGCATCTGAAGATGTTGGTAGCATTAAGACGAGGTGGCAGTGGAAAGACGTATGCCTCGTAGGTCCGAACGTCTTACCGGTGAGGAGATACCATCAGCCTTCAACTAGTACAATGAATCATTTCAACCTTTTTTGTCCTCAACGCTCTGGTGTTTGCTGCAATTCCGAGCATACGCAGAATAACCCCAAGTTCAGAGTGTAATGGAGCGGGTACACAGGTTCACAGGGTAAGAACAAAAATAGGTCCTGAGCGACAGCTGTAGACGATCTGGGGTTTTCCTTTTTCATTGAATTTTGCATCCGATTAGTGATATAAAATTAAATCAGCGCGCCGTATTTGGCACAGGAAGTAAACTTGGTCGTTGACAAGTTGCGCTGACGCTGCGCAAAGGCCGTTGTGTCCTGGATGTTCGTGCTCGCAAAACATCGGCTTCAAAGGTTCCGGGGGGGGGGGGGTGTGGGAAGCGTTGCTCGAGCACAACCTGCGTACACAACGTACCCGACTTCCTACGATCTAACACCTTTTGTTACATACTGGGTTGGTACTTTTCTAGAGGCTCGATCTTGATTTTCAGACTAGGCCATGTTATTTTTATTTGTCGCAAAAGATAGAACGAGGTGCTTGCTGAAGTAGTGCAGCTCCGGCAACCACAAATTTTTATTCCCGTGAAAGCATTCATATTGATGTGCAGTAGACAATGTAATTTTCGTAGCAGTGACGTTTATTGTCAAGTTCTTTTTCACTTTATTTGTTTCCGTGGATAGTCTAGGTTTGTTGTGCGTTGTTTGTTTTTCTATCCTTCAGGAATAAATAAAGGTGAAAGAAAAAGACACGGCTAAGAGTCTGGCACAACTCATCTTTGAGTACCACGTTGTCTATTATTTGCACTCGGCGATACTATCGACTGGATCACCCGATAACATAAATCCAAAGGCGCCACTACAGAGATCAGTGAAACGAAAAATACCGCTCTACACCAGCTCCATCGAATGGGGAGGAGAACTTGAACGAGCCATAGAAACTCAAAGCGAAATTTCAAGCGGTGGTAAATTCCCTTTCGTAACTCTATTGACCGCCTACTGTTAATTTGTGCACAAGGATTTATGAACATATCCCCAGCTGTATCTTTAACCATGATTTCAAACCATGGAGATTCCCTGCTTCAAATGTACTGATGTGCAGGTATTGAAAGAAACCTCCCTTGTTGTTTCCAATTGAAGCCCTCACCAACGTTTCTCCGCGCGTCAATTGGCACCTAAACTATACACAAAATTCTCAACGCAGATAGGACGAGGGTTGGCCCAGGACAATGTTTCTAAACTAATGGAAAGTAAAACGTGGTAGACAGTGGACCAATAATCTGAACCATGACGTCATCCGTCGACGCTGATGAACCTCCAGCTCCAATATCATGTTAACATCTTATTACCACTGAACGGCATTTTTGCAGCCATATGGCGTATACGAGGAGGTGAAGAAGATAGAGTTTGTGTCGTATATCACCAAGGCCTAAGGGCACTTTCTAATTTGATGATAAACTTAAAAGTCGCTATAGGGACACTTCCAGATCCTCTCAAGAACTACAATTGTCCCATGTCGACTTGCACAAAGGAGTCATTCCTTGACCTGATCCAGAGTCTTTTTGACCTCATCAACGCAATGTCATGCAAAGCAAATTTGACCTCTTACATTACGAAGGATTGAGACTTTTAGAAAATGATCAAATGATTACTTCTGTAATCAGAAGGGCCTCTGAAATATTGGGAAGAGGCTCCAAGGCTTGATTTTGCCTGAAACATGTCGATATGAGGGTTCACAGAGCGGAAACTTGAAATGATGAGGAAAAGAAGTAAAAGTGGAACAAGGCACAGTTCTTTCTCCCAAATCTAGTCCAATTCGATTGCACAACTATGTAAAGAGTGAATAGTGGTCGGTGATGATCATAGAAGTGATGCCGCTCCCCCTGCCATTACTAAAGTAAGCCCCATTGATACAAAGGACACCTCGCTTGATGCCAAATAGTACATTGCACGCTCTGCGAAACATATAAGCGAGACGCTTATTTGGCAGCACCGAGCAGGCCAACGTCGCTGAGGATAGCGTTGCACTGCACGTTGAGGTTGATGAGACCCTTTTGGTAAGATTATTAGCATGCGCAGTGGTGAGAGAGACCGATGTAGCTCGCTTACAGTCTGGTTGTCAGTCTCGCAGCACATTGGGAATGCCTTGGTTGGGCAGGCCTGGCTGATTGGGAGAAGCGCGAGCAGGTTGGCTGGTAATGATCAGTGATGTTCGAACTGAAAGCTAAGGCTAAGCCTCTTACCGCTGGAGACTGGCGAGCAGGATGATGTGCTTTCACCGTCGCAGCATGCAAGCTTCTGGTTGACACCGCAGTTGGAAGCAGCCTGGCCAACGGTGGTGACGGATGGGTCCATCATAGGACGAGCAGATGGAGCGGCCATGGCGGCGGCGAAGAAGGTAGCGACGATGGCAATGAACTGCATTTTGACTGATTTGGTTTGGGAGAAAGTTGAGCTATTAAAAGCGAGTGATTACTGTAGAAGAGAGTGTATTAAGCGAGTGACTGTGATTTGAGCTGGTTGATGATGTTTTGATTCTGGCGGGAGGAAGACGAGCATTATATAGACATTTCTCTTTCCATACTCAAAGTCTCCAAGTCCTCACCTGCAACACGAGATGATCCTCAGCACGGCTGTGAGCAGCGCCGAAGCCAATGCTGATCTCACTTATTCCAGGTACTGAAGCCAATTAGCCGCTCTATTGCCGGAAATAATGGCACCGTGCCCAAAAGCTAGATTGAGATACGGTGATGTGCATGCTCTCGAAGTATGCTAGTGGCTAGTGCCTGTCTGAGAACCGCGCCATGCCTCATTACCTGAAGGAGCAATCCAAAATTGTAGACAAATTTCACTTGGTGCTTAGCGGTAGGACTCGTAACAGGGTTGAAGGCGGTACTGTCAGTCCGAAATGTTGGAGCAAGTGTCCGATCTGTACGGATTTCCAATTTGCCAGAGACTTAGTTCGCGAACGCTGAAGGCGAAACTGCGATCTAGTTCATTGTAATAGCCTAATTTGGATAGAGCAAGGCTATCCTGGGGGTTAGTTTCTGGACGATCTGGAGACGCATCTGAACAACCGCCTTACTTCGCACGTGCGTGTATGGCGCTAAAAGCCTCGTAACGCGCTTGTTGCATGGCGCCGTGCAGTTTCGAACGATGTGTTCATGGATATGGTTGTGAAATGTTACCTCTATTCACATTTTTTGCTTGCCAAGCTCGTTTGTCGCAGCCGCGCAGTTCATGTAGATGATTGTCAAAACATCCTTCCGTGTCCCGGCGCCAATTTGCTGTTTACTCTGTCTGGTCCTCGGGATGCTGCAGAAGCTGTCGAAACCTTCGTATATCTAATCCTGCAGTAGTACAGATGATATGCTGCCACATTCAAGCTCATCGTACCTTCGCTGTGAACATTAGAACTAAGTGTCTACTTTGGCAAAAACTTAACGTCAACAGTAACTTTGAGAGCAGTCAAATCCAGCACTGTTCTCAGCATGTGTCACGGAACGAACTCAAAGACGGCGTCTAATGAGATTTCCCTGATTGATCTCGTCTTGGCACGCAGAATCTCCAACGCTGGTAGCTTGGAGTCCAGGTGTTGACGTTTGATCCGGAGATCGATTCCGCATGACAGCTCAAGCATGTTACAGGTCTCAAAGTAAGCTCGGATCAATATTATTTTCTCCAGGGTTGTTATCCAGGAGCTGAGGTTCAACGGAGATGCGTCAGCACCTATGTTACATGGCTGTTGATTTGGATAGATTTGTAATCCCGGTGTCTCAAAGTGTGGGTTGTCCACTTGAGCAAGTTACGTGTCTGAGTCAGCACCGCATTTCACTTACCGTATGCTATGTGTCGCAGATTAGTTCACCCCGAGATCTACGTCATACGATGAAGATCAATAAAGCGAGAAGAGGTTTCGATGTGAAGGAAAGCTGAGTTATGTTGAGGAGATCGATTTACAGGTGAGGTTTGTTGACTTCGCCGCGGTCTGATTGGCGAATTCGCTCCTCAGCCTAGCTCAGCCTTATGTTATACTCTGCCCTAGCCCGCTTAAAGTTCCATTTGATGGCGAAAGAGGCCATTACGGTGCATCGGACCAGCTCGAATGAAGCCCATAGTTTGGTTGGAGGGCACAAACACAAAAAGCTGATATTTCTTTGCCCCTGTTTCGTTAAGCGTGGGCTGTTGCTAGCGCACGCGCCCGAGAGGAATCCGCAGTGTAATGCTGTCATGAGTGTCGCCGTGCGACAGAGCTACAAGTGGCGCTTCCCGTTAATTGCCGAGCCAAATCAGTTGAATCGCCGTCAATATTTTTGTTCTGGGCGGCCGAGGTGGATCAAATGTGATCCATCGGGTCATTTTGAAATGTAGTTGAAGGCTCTCGCCTCCCCAAAATTGTTATAACAATCTAAGACTGGGTCTCTGTCCACAATAAGGCCGGAATTACACCGAAGATACTTTTCTGCCATTTGGCTTCCCGAAGTATTTTCTCTTTCTAGGGTTTTGCGGGTGATACATAGAGACCAGATTCCTGACGCAAAATTTTTTCAAACTCAACGACGAGCCGCGCCAGACCTAAAGGTTGAGCGGTTTTGAAATTGACAACGGTTATACCTATGGAATAACTTCAGCGAGGACGTTCTGGAGATTTGCTTGGTCGACACAAATCTCCAGCGGCTCGCAAGGCCATCTAACAAAACACGGCATATAGAACCCTCTGCAAAACTCGAATGGCGATAAAAGAGCATCTGAATTGGAAGTCTCAGCATTGCATAGCCTTCTTGCACATACGTGCGACCACAATAACTCTAATGTTGGATTTAGAAAGATTATTGCTGACTATCTAGTGAGGAGATCATTTGGCTGTGGTCTCAATTGTTCTACTCATCCTACGCAATTTTCGTGATTCCCTCTTCCTCCCCCGAAGCTTCACAGGTCCCTACCCGTCATGTTCATCGCAAGTGTCACCGAATTTGACATGATATCACCTTCGGACTAATGGCCTGGCGAGGTTTTATCGGCACGGCGGTGTTTGTCTCCCCTGTCTAGTTGACATATCCCATTGTCCTGAGGTTCGTGAATAAGTTCTCCTATGAGTTACGCGGTACAATCTGGATTTTGTTTCACAAAAACTACAGATAATGGATGGTACGTCATACTATACCGTCCTAACAGGTGAGACTGTGGATTACAATAATTTCGTCGAAGCTTCAAATTCTCATCACGATGTCATATAGACTAATTTCTGAATTTGAGGACACAGTGTATGCCCAACGTGCAACACGCACTAATCGATATGTGAAATCATTATGGAAGCGATCGCAGACAGCTGAAGTTCCTTGGCTTTCCGAAAACGGGTGACCGAATCCTGATTCAACCAAGATATTTCCTTACGCCCTCCATTCCTCGAAGATATCACACACTGTTCAAGCTATCCATCCATGGCTAATACAGCTGCAAAAGGGATCTTGAAGGAAACATCTTTGCGCTCCCAAGGGTGGTGGAACCATCAATCTCCTTGATTCCATGGACGTCCACTAAGCTATATCTTCAGTGTTGCATCACCACGCGCCTTAGAATCTATTGGAATCACGTATTTGAGTCCCACAAATAGTCCATCCAAACGAAGACGGTGCCGAAAGAAATCGGGGATACTCGCTTTCTTGAATACACAAGCTTCGATGTTATTTCAAATGCAACTAACCTAAGGCTCATAGCTGACTCTGTAATTGTCTTAACCCAGTGGTTTGCTCGATAAAGCCGTCATACCAGGCGACTTTTTCCAGCACGTTTATGGGGCTTATGTAAGAAACAACTGCAGTAATATTTATTCCCAGTTGTTCCTCTACCGGAAATTCTATTAGGAGCCCCTTATTTTTTTTCTCTCTACTGCTCCGCAACTTTGGAATTCGTACATCCAAAGTTGTGAAATGTGACCGAGTTCGTAGATCTTTTTTCCCATGCTCTATGGACTGATCCAACCTAGCAATTCTTCGGGGGAGTTATTTGATGCATTGTTTTGTTTCCCACAGAGTAGAGCTTATTCAATGGAGCCTTTTCAGCGAAATGCTCAAACTCAAAGGATCAAGTTCTGGGCATATACTGATATCAGCTTCCTATTGATTCCCAGCGCCGAAATACTGTATGCCTTGACAATATGCAAGCTTCGTCTCAAATGTCTCAATGAGCAGTGGTTGGTTTAACTAGGGGCTCCATTGAACATACAACACATACTGGAACTACTCATTGCTAGCCTTTTCGCCCTGTAAAGTAGCTGGATTCTTCTCGGGAAAGTCGATTCTGTTGCTGTCAAAGCCACGATGAATGACAGTTATTTCTTTGGTAAAGGATTCGTCAGAGGGCGTTTACACGGTGTGAACCTAAGTAGCGGGTACCTCCAATCTAAAATGACATTCGTAATCAGAGCCATTCCAGAGCTGCATGCCCAGTAGTACAGCAACCCAGCTGGCGCGTTCACCATAAGTGGTCCGATTGCGAGCGAGAGAACAAGCAAAAATCGTGTGAGGACGGAGCCAGAACCTCCAGGCACACGGCGCATGCTCAGTAGTGTCTGGGACATCATGATTGCAGATACTGCGTATGACAGCGTTCCTGTTGGGTCTGCGATCGTTAGATCCACAGCCCAAGGGAGCCCTTCCTCCATCATAGTTGGCTCAAACAGTAGCGCAGCCTGTCGCGCAGCGTCCATGCCTTCTGTCAACTCCTGGCCGAGCATGGTATACAGCAAAGACTTTAGTGTACCGCCAGGTATGCCCAACATTTCCCGAATATTCCAGCTCATTGTCAGAAATACAGGAAGCTGTAGAATGGGTCTCAACAATGTCTTCCCAAGTCCACAGTCAAACCTATGTTGCAAGTCTTTCCTCAGTGCTCGCATGGCAGTTCTGTACCGTTTCATCATGCCTACCGAGGGATCGTGGCGCGCGTGATTGCGAGCGTCTTTGAGGTACCAAGACTTGTGAGCATTTATGAGCGGGCTGATTGCTAAGCGGCGTTGCAAGGCTTTGCGCGTCGAGAGTGTAATGGGGTAATAGAGTATAGCTCGAATGGCAAGAGCAGAGAGTGGAATCACCCACAACCATGGAATATGAAGGGTATCGTGCATGTATTCCATAGGTATGCGGAGCATATGCGTAACCTTATCAACATTCTGAGCAATTCCGGGGATGGTATCAACAAGAGCGGCTGAAGACGAGGCTTTACGACACGAGATGTGTGGAAGGGGGAGAGCCTGTACACGGCGGTAAACGGGGATGCGTGCGCATGGTGCAACGGCGAGACTACTGAGAGGTAGTCTAGTCGACGGTCGCATTATCTTGTCTATGCCCTCTATGTATGATTAGATTGGACAATCTCAGGAAAGAATAATTATACCAACCATGCAAACTAAGAGTGATAGGTTTTGCTCGTTCTCAAAGTCTCAAACAAAGCAGGTTGTGCTGCGGAGCTGCGGAACCGAATGGGGAAATCCAGTAACTTTATGACAGATTTATACTCATCTAGTTCTCCCGCTGCTCTACACTACACGCCATGACCATGCATTTGTGCTCGAAAAGCCACAAGATTCCCACACGGTAGCAATGCTCGGACTTCTACTGCCCGTAATACTTACACTAATACTGCTCGCACCTTGGCTGGTTCCATTTGTGCTCCGAAAATGCGGCGCTCTTGCGGGCTGGTGGATATCTACCAAGACGGATGGCAGGAGGCAGACCTTAGTCGCTTCGAGTAAAGCAGCAAATCATGAGCAGGACAAGCGACGATCATCTTCAAGTGATGACGGTGACTGGGAGAAGCTGGACGGAGTGTCGAGCTCTAGGAAAGTAGAGTCGGACAGGAGTTGGAAAGGCGTAGTTGGCTTTTTTCACCCATTCTGCAATGCTGGTGGAGGCGGCGAGCGAGTTCTTTGGGCAGCCATACGAGCGACACAGTTGCGATGGCCAGAAGCTGTGTGTGTCGTGTACACGGGCGATCACGACGCGAACAAGACCCAGATCATCACTCGAGTTCAGGTATGTTTCAATCACGTATGATCGAGATGTTGTATGTTCATGACTCTAGGATCGCTTTAACATAACACTTAATCTGTGCACTCTCCATTTTCTCTACCTCTCGGCTCGCCACTGGGTGCTCGCTTCCTCTTGGCCTCGTTTCACACTGCTGGGGCAATCTATCGGCTCAATAGTGCTTGCCCTGGACGCTTTCAACCTTCTTGTACCAGACGTATTTGTCGATACTATGGGCTACGCCTTCTCACTATGGCTCTGCAAATTCCTGTTCCCCTCCGTTCCGACATGCGCGTATGTTCACTATCCGACGATCTCGACAGATATGCTCCGATCGCTTGACTCAGAAGTAAAAGAGCATGGCATAAACGCTGGGGCAGGTAAAGGCTTCAAGGGAACCACCAAAAAGGCATACTGGAAGTTGTTTGCTGGTCTCTACTCACGAGTGGGTGGCAGTATTGATGTTGTGATGACGAACTCCAGCTGGACACAAAGTCACATTATAGACCTCTGGGGTCCATATCGAAAACACAAGCGCCGAGTTACACCGAATGGAACAGGTCATGATATATCTGTAGTCTTCCCTCCTGTTGCAGTGGAAGAACTCGAGGCCGAAGTTGAAGTCACAGCTGCGGCTGAAAAGAACCGCAAACCGCACTTGCTATACATAGCGCAATTTCGACCTGAAAAGAATCACTCTCTCATTGTAAACGCTTTTGCTCAACTGATTACCTCCAAAGCTTGGCCTGCGGCAGATCGTCCTAAGCTGGTTCTTGTGGGCAGCGTGCGTGATGACGACGATAAAAAGAGGGTCTACAAGTTACGACTCTTGGCACATGAATTGCAAATTAGGAATGATGTCGAGTTTGTATGCGATGCAAGTTGGCCGCAGGTTTTGGATCGGTTAAGAACTAGCAGCGTCGGAGTTAATGGCATGTGGAATGAGCATTTTGGAATCGGGGTAGTGGAGTATCAAGCTGCGGGGCTGATAAGTGTGGTCAATGATAGCGGAGGACCGAAACTGGATATTGTGGTAGATATAGATGGGGGTGCCACAGGTATGCTAAATCTGTTTACGCATTCCTCTTTCGCAAGCCCGGTGCTAACTTGGACATGTGCAGGCTTTCATGCATCAACAGCAGAAGAGTACGCTGCCGCGTTTGCCAAAGCTCTTGCGCTAGGCAATTTGGAAACCTTTGCGATGCGACAACGGGCAAGAAAAAGTGCGACAAGGTTCACGGAGCAGGCGTTCGCAGAGAAGTGGGTCAAGAACATGCAGACACTTGTTACGCTTCAAAAGCAGCTTAGACCGACCAAGCAATAATCAATCTGTTGGACGAGTAGAGTGACGTGGTAGTATATAATCCCGCAGGATGGCGCAGCGTATACCCCAAAAAGATGAAAATTATCGATAAGTATATCTCTTCTATCTACTTAACGTGTAAGATTAAGGAAAACTAATAACCGTGTCTCGTTCGTATTTACTTTCAGCATTGTTGCATCATTCGATTTCGTTTATTTGGAAACACGCAAGGGTGCACAATGAAGGTGGACAATAGTCTATATCCTACTGATTACTCTGACTTATTCAAAGACTGTTTGTCGCCTGTGACTTCTTTGGCTGCTTGATTTTTCCTAGTACAAAGCTTACCAACGGCAATTCCAAAACGTGGAGTCATGGTAGGTTATTGTTTGGGATGTGAAAGTATCGTCACCCGCTAGCCATGCCGCTCTTCTGTGATGAACTGGAAGTTGTTTCGCTTAACCACAATGACTCCCTTCCTAAAACAGAATCCACAACCTCGCTTGGCTCTAAATCCTGTGATCGCGTAGAAAAGCTTGAGACTGAGTTCGCCGCAGACGTAGAATTAGTGTGTTGAAATTTGGATGGTAATTGTTCCAGCACGGCGAGTGTGTCATTTCTGGTTTTGCTACCAGGTGGGAAAGGCAGCATGTTGACATTTTTCCATCCGTTTAGACGAACTTTGACCGATCGTTATATGACCATGTGCTAACGAATTGATTCATTTTCCTTGCTGGAAAATTTCTCTAGCCTTCTGCTTTTCGAAAGTTCTCAATCGCTTAGACCATCGGATGTTATCCGGCTGGCTCACGTCGCGCAAGTACACTTAAACGCCAAAGAGAAAATGCAATTCTTGTGCGAGACTAGATAGAGGACAGAAGAAATGGATGTCCGACTTAACATATGTGGACCTCCATTTTGTGCGTACGTAAGTATTTTGTGAGTTCGAAGATGCAAACGCCTGAAGTGACAAAAGCGAAAATAACCGCCAATAAGTCCCAACCAGTTGGGAATTGGTGTCCTCTCACTCAGAATATTGCTAAAATTCTCCAATAAACGATTTGGAATAGATGTTCGCCAAAGTTGAGCGGCGCCTTCGTGTTGGAGAAAGTAGATAGTAGAGCTAACGTAAATACTTCCTTTTAGTGATCTGTCCATTAACAAGAACTTCAAGACAGAGAAGAGTCAAAGTGCACTGATCAGCCTAGATGACCGGCAAGCCTCCTGATGAAAACTACTATGCAAGCAACACAGATTACCCTGTGCTTCACTTCTGTCTGCATACAGTCTACGTTGGTACCGGCATAAGAAGAAACTATGCGATACAGGAATACAAGATCTGAAAACGAAATTTATGAGCGCCTATGCAGTTTATGGATGTAAGATTTGTCAATTTTGAACTGGGTCAAGGCATAGTTCATGAGAATGACGGCTGAGCATGTCAACGGGACGATTGGAAAATTTGTAAATCATATTTCTACTCTTCCGTGCCTTTTACACCATCTCATAACCCTCATTTCATTTGTGAGTAAGTGATACATCGATGCCGTAAATGCCTGTCAATCCACTTTATACATCGTTTACGGAAAAATACGTTCACCAGAAGAACCTTTCGTCATCATCGCGCCTCCCGTATCTCAAGACGAATGGAATGTCTCCGAGATTCTCGCGTAAGCCTTCAACTTCATTACTCTGGTCGATAGTCACGGTGAAGTGTTTCGGCTGCTTGATCTTGCGTAGCAATTTTAGCAGGCCCTCTAAATTATCCCAATCGCCGGGTGTGCCGTAGAGACTTCTATCCCAGAGAATGATGTCTAGATTCTTCAGCCCTTTCATAGAGGCGAGAAGGTCAGCTGTTCGTTCCCACATACGTACGTCATGTTGCGAGAGCCCAAAGGAGAGACCATGTTGGAGCTGTGGGGTATATTTCATCAAAAGCGTTGCAATCAAGTTGAAGCGATGTAACAGCGTTGTGGAGGAAAGAGCGAGCAGAGTCTTAGGTGAAGAGAGCAAAAAGGAATTGTTCGTATAGAGGTGAGGGATCGCTTCGGTGTAGCTTCGACTTCAATGTCAGTGGCATCCATAGAGAGGATTGAATACACGGCAATACTCACACTCGGCGGCATGATTGGAGCAGTGATATGAAGTAGTGCTCTTTCATAAGCTTATCCTGCTCGGCTTGGTCCATGCTTAGACGCATCAATCCTTTGCCCTCGAAGATCTTGCAGTGTCGGATTCGCTTTTCGTCGCTGATGATACCAAGATAAATGTTGAAATTACCAACACAGTGACGCCATATCAGACTTCTAATCTCTGGTGGTAGCTTCCGGTACAATAAGGACTGTGATTGACTGTGCGTGATTTGATCGTCCGAACTCGCTTTTGCTTGTTGCAGAACGTGCTTGTCGATCGTATTCAGACTTGCATGTCCTGGCCCACATATAGCATCTTTTTCTCCGGTCCTTTCAATTGCTTTTTCGTTCTCTACGTCTAGGCTCTTATCGACCTCGTTGTTTGTTCTTCGCGCGCAGTGTGGAATACTGATTCGCCGCCTGTGACTTCTGCGTAAAGGTCGCACCGTGTCTGGACTTCGTGGGCCAACCCGCTGATACTCCATGATTGCTTCATATTCTTCCTGTTGCCGCCTTCGCTTTCGCGACCGAATGGCGCAAATATAGCAGGGGAAACAACATGGACAGCAAGCCGCAAGGCAGAGGCAGGCGAGGAGCCGCCGGACTCGTTCCCGCATCGTGATGAGTGAGGAAACAAAGAACGAGGGTGGTGAAATTGCTTGTGAAGATCTAGAACGATTGCATAGTCGGAGAAGCTGTGCCCGTGATCATGTCCGAAATCCACATACAACGATCGTCAACGAGCGATGGATCTTAAAGTCTGGCTTTCAGAAGATCATTAGGCCCGAGCCTGTGGTGGAGGGCACGAGTCGAGTCCGTGATCTCGTATCTTGCAGGATGTGAAAGTACGGCGGAATCTTGTCTCTGGGTCCCGCAATGAGCGTCAATTGCGACGGCAAGCAAAGAATCAACACATTGTAGGATCTGCAACATGGAAGCGTTGGAGTGGAACTTGATTGCACATCCCCGCCCTAGTGTGATAAGCGATGCGTCAGTGGTGTGAGCGGGAAGTCTAGCACAGTTTGGGTATAGTTATGTGCCATTGTAATCGTGTACAGAGAATCACTCCGTCCCGTACAGCAAAGCCGTCAACATTGAAGCATTTAGGCTCTGGTGCCAATGCCGCTCGTGGACTAACCACGGAGTGATAATATCACACATCTATCGCGCCGTAGATGCCAACATTCTTCGTACTGTTTCTTCACAATCGTACCATTCTTCTCATATTCTCCCCGATGTATAACATTTCGCTCAAGGTAGCGTACCTCAACGCCTGGACGAGATTTAACATACTGCAAAGTCTCAATTCCGTTGGCAACGGGTGCCGGCTATTCCAAATGGACTGCATACACTTTTCCCCCTTCAAAAGCTCCCTTGAAAGCTTGTCCCAAGGGATTCCCACTACTGCTGACATACAAGACATTACGATCCTTCTCTCGCCTGCCGAATTGTGCAGAAGTTATGTATTTAAGGCCCTTTGCAACGACTTCCTTCGTCCCATCTTCCTGAACTCGCGTGATTGTGCCTGCCAGGTATTGCATGACGTACAATTGTTGATTGTCTTTATCAATCGCAAGATCGTCCAGGATCCCCAAATTTGTCGCTACGACTTGAGGGGTCCCTATCTGAGTAGCTGTAATAGGATTAACTGAAATCTTGCATAGTGTTCCTTTCCATAAGTTTGTGTAGTACACCATGCTATCTCGAACTCGGACACCATTGATACCGATTCCCAAGAACCGCAACCCAGCCATGGAGTCATCCTTGATAGCAGTAGACGAAGACTTTCTGGCGATATCTAGGCGCATGATGGCACCTCTTTTGGTATCGCTTGCGAGCAAAGTTGACGGTGACAGCTTCGTCAAACCATTCAACATGCCTACATCTGGAATATGTGATATCACCTCTGTTTTCAGCCCTTCTGATCCCAGATTGACCGTCCAGAGTGAATATGTGGATCCTTTGAAAGGCATGACTGCGAAGATATCCGGCTCTATTTCGGCAATGCCTTGAATGCCTTTATACTCTTCAAAACGCGCTATAAGCCGTGAACGTGGAGGCGAGACGTCCATTTCAATCTCGAATACCTCAGGCTGATCGAAGCGTACGACAACAAGATTTCCGTTTCCGCGAACAGCGATATTCTCGATCCATGCGCCTCTAGGGAATTCATAGAGCTTGGCGACATTTGGGGACATGGGCATTGAAATAAATGTCCAAAGCCACCACAGAAGTAAAGGTAACGGGGAAAATGTAAACAACAGACGAGACATATGTATTTCGTTGAATTTATCAACTCCTAAAGATAGAGGGCCGGTCTGGATTCATGTGGAAGGTTGAAAGGAAATACTGCAGTTAAAAGTGTGCACTCAGCTCTTGCCGAATACGAGCTGTAGCTTGCATGCTGAGCACGAGACATCACTGACATGCTCTGTCTGGACACCAAACGATAAAATGATTCAATTTCGTTTTGGACAACCTGCTTTCTGAAAAGTGAGATTCTAAAAATTCATTGTACAACGAGTTGATTAGACATGCTGAGAATGACGTTGGAGGAAGCCGATCGCGGAGCTCAACTTTTTGATATACTCCAAGCTCTGCAGCGATAACTTCAATATGACTGCGCTCCTTCTCATTTGCAATGCATTTGCTGTTTCTCTTTTAACAAGAGATCAGGCTCATTTGCTCGCTACACAATGCCAGAAGCAATTATAGACGCCCTCCCAATTCAATTGTCTGCTCTCGCAACTCTCTCCCCCGCGTCGACCACACGTGCTTGGCAGACCGTTCCACATCCAACGTTACCAATCGTAGCGAGTGCATCATCTGATAAGACGGTTCGAATATACTCTCTTACTTCATTCACTCTCCTGAGCACAATCACTGGAGGCCACAAGCGCAGCATCAGGACGGTAGCCTGGAAGCCGAATACAAAAGGTGAATCTATACTAGCTACTGGCAGCTTCGACGCGTCTGCTGGGATTTGGCGGAGATGGGAAATAGAAGGAGACAAAATTAAGCCACGGGCTGACGAGAGCGCCGACGAAGTGGACTTCACTGGCCGAGATGAAGAAGACGAAGATGAATGGCGCTTTAGTATTGTCCTCGAAGGCCATGAAAGCGAGATCAAGAGTGTAGCTTGGTCGGCGGGCGGACAATATTTAGCCACATGCTCGCGGGACAAAAGTGTGTGGATATGGGAAGAGATTGAGGACGACGAATTCGAGACTATAGCCGTGTTGCAGGAGCATAGTGGCGATGTGAAAACTGTTGTCTGGCATCCTGCCGAGGACCTATTGGCAAGTTCGAGCTACGATGACACTATTCGATTGTATCGAGAAGATCTGGACGATTGGAGTTGCGTTGCCGTGTTGAGGAGCCATAAGGGCACGGTATGGTCTCTTGTATTCGAGCCTCTATCGAATCTGGACAGACTTGATAGAGATGACTTGAACGATGCACAAAGAGCGTTCCTAGAGGAACGAAAGAGAAGCGGTCCAAGGCTGATTAGCGCAAGCGATGACTTGAGCATCCGCCTTTGGAGACGGAAGCCAAAGGATGGCAGTGAAAAGCCACCTGATCAGAGCTACCCAAGCATTATACGTAACAACAGCATCGAAGAAGAGTGGCTAGAGGAAGCTGTACTGCCACAAAGGCACGAACGTGCCATTTATTCGGTAGATTGGAGCAAAAATTCCGGGCGTATCGTGAGCGCCGGAAGTGATGGCAAGATTATCGTATATGAGGAGCGCTGGCGGAACCTCCCAGAAGCTGCTGAGCCGGCAATTGCTTCCGAAGAGAAAGCAGAGCCAAACAACGTTCAGTTGACAGAGTGGGTGGCAGTGGCAGAATTGGAAGGCTCTCACGACGTTTTTGAGGTCAACCATGTGTGCTGGACGAAGCGCAGAGATAAGGGAAGACGTAATGACGAAGAAGAAATGATTATCAGCACCGGCGATGATGGAGAAGTCAAGCTTTGGATCCTAGATTAGAGGCTATCAAACGATTAGCCACCTGTAGGAATTGTGCTTGAAGCCACGAAACTTCAAAATCAAAATAAGCACAACCAATCTAATCCACAATAGCACATATTGTTGGAGCTTATTAACAGGAAGTATGCCTTTATCATGCGCTTAATCGCCGAATAAACTGATTGAATTTGTTTGAATTTGTGGAGTCACGTGTTTCGCATTTTGCCTGCCAGCTTCCAAGCTGGATAAGCTGTATGAACATTTTGACCATCATGCGCTCAGAATGGAGATTCGCAGTTGCAACTCGCTGGTCAAGAAGGATTAGCAGAGCAAATTAGGCATTAGGATTTAACACAGGCTCAATATTGGTTGGTGATCTTGTTCTGCCATCTCGCATCATGGCCTCAGACGACGAAGCACAAGATTTTTTAGCCTTTGGCCATAACCTTGTCGAGCCTCGAGACATCAAAGTTTCAGGCGAGGCTCTGATTGATTTTGATGGCTTGCTAGCACCGCCCTTACGATTGCATGAAGATTTGGCCGAAGGATGCGGAGGACAACTTTGGCCCGCTGGTATGGTGCTGGCAAAGTATATGCTGAGGCATAAAGATTTGATCAAGAACAAAACGATGTCAGTGGACTTCAACACCATTGCTATAAAAGCTTTGCGAGACAATGGAGCGTACTTACACCTTGATACAGAATTGAACTTGGGGCAGGTGGTGGGCTTGTTGGGTAAGAATCCGACCCAAATGGCTGTTTTGTGCAAGAGTACTCACAAGATTTGCAGACTTGCAATCGCAGTAGCCTCACAAGCTGCGTTCCAAAAACCACTTCATATCACGGATCAAATACCAATGCTAGCCTTGATGCAGAAAAACATAGCTCTGAACGGCCTTCAAGAAAACGTCGTGGCTTCAGTCTACGACTGGGGAACTCCTCCTCCAGCGAATATACCGAATAAGCCTGATGTTGTCCTCGCTGCTGATTGTGTTTACTTCGAACCAGCATTCCCTCTACTCCAGAAGACGATGAAAGATCTTATCGGCGACTCAACAGTTTGCTATTTTTGTTTCAAGAAGCGGAGAAGAGCCGACATGCATTTCATCAAAGGCATCAAGAAGATGTTCAATGTTGAGGAAGTGAATGATGATCCAGACAAAGCAATTTACGGGAGAGAAAACATATTCTTGTTCGTGGCGTTAGTTTTTGTCCGGCTAACAGCACACTAATCAGCTCGCAGACTCAAGATCACCAAGCGATGAGAATGGATTTTCGAACGGCTTGGCTTCTCTTTAACCGTTTGTACCAGGCTGGATAAGCACAAGCCATTTAATTTAACACGTTTAAGGAGTATCAGCGACCAAATGCAAAGCACGATAGGCACCAAGATCGAGGGGAAATCTTCCAGTAGTGGCTGAAATTACACCACAAGAACTTTCAATCGTGGGAAAAAATGTTTGCTGGAGTCTTTCTGTGGTTCCGTAGATTAACGGTAGTATGGATATCTTGATTACTTTCCCATACATTCACGTGACTGGTGTTTCCTCGAATTTGAGGGTTGCCGTTCTCACTGCCGTTTGCGTGGAGCGGTTGGACAAGACATAGCGACAACGCGACCTTCTGAATGGCCGATTCGTTGTCCGAATTCATCATCAAATATCTCACTTGCTTCCGTTTGGCTCGCTTTCCGCGTTCTCACTGCACTCACTGGCCCTTTTCGGGAATACCCCGCTTGTTGCACTAACTCCGCTTCCGCCTCGGCTGTCGTTATGCGATAGTGAGCAACGTACCGTCCCAAAAAAACACCAGAGTGCCTCAAACCTGACGCTCGAAACCGACCCTGTCTTATTTGTTCGGCACTCATTTGTTTGCTCTCTTCTCTTTTTGACATTGCTCCTGCTTTCTGTCCGCGCTTTTGAACCCCTTTCTAAACAAAACATTGAAGGGACCTGCACCATCAATTTGTAGTGCTTTGCTTACTGCGGCGAAGCCTTACAAAACCATCATTTATCAATTGATAATTCCACTTTCCATCTCAACACGAAGCGAACTCATCCCGCCGAAATTTCAATAGCAAAATGTCATCAAGTGACGTCGAAAAAGCGAAAGCGAAGAGCAATGATGCTCTCACGATGCTCTTCAACTCCTCCCTCGACAAGCGTATCACCCAATTGGTTAAGATCCTATCCAGTGCCGCTGGAATAGATGCCACGTTCTGCTTCCTCGGCTATGGCGCCGTTCTCACCTCTGCGCAACTTCAAATCATTTCTCAATACGTCGCGAAAACCGAGCTAAAAGCCAGACTTCTGTCCATCGCGCTTTCTGCAAAAAATCTCGGTGCACTTTGTAGTGACGTGAGGACGTTTCTTCGACTTTGGGGTCTGCTGAAATTATATCTTGGTGCCAAAGCCGCGTATCTCACCCCTCCAAAGGATACTATCCTCAAGATGATCAGCTGGTCCCAACTTGCGAGCATGTCAGGGTACTTCTGGTACGAAAATGGAGTATATCTTGCTGGAAAAGGTATTCTTCGTGGCGCTGGCTTCACGCCTGCCGAGCTGGGACCGAAGATGCGTCGTGCCATTTGGCTTTACGGCTTGTACCTCGTCTTGGACTTTGTTCGTCTTTACAGACTTACGCAATTGGCCAGCGCTGATTCACGTCCGCAAACGAAAGCATCGTCGACTTCGCTTGGTGGTGAGAAGGATGTTGCTGTAGTAGATGAAGCAGCACTGGCTAAGAAAGCAGCTGATGAAAGAGCATGGTACAAGAGTTTGTACGTTGATTTGTCGTATTTCCCGCTATGTTTCCACTGGGGAGTGGAAGGAGGAACTATCCCAGCACAATGGGCGGATCTCGTCGTTGGAGCACTATGTAGCTGCGCTGGCTACGTCAGCTTCAAGGAACAACTCATTAACACGGCATAACAGGGTAATTCTGAGCAGAATAAGTTCTGATTGTTTGTGAATCTGCCGAGTTGTGCTTTGAAGATACATGATTAGCCTCTGTCATATTAGTATTGTCCTATTCGGTCGTGGACTATTCATGGTTCGCATTCGTCAATCACATAAATATCAGTGCGTCAATTTCGTGTCTTTTAAGGTGACGAGAACCCATTCACTGAGATCTTACTCCTTCTGACTTTTGAAGACACAAACTCCACATTCTTCTCACAAGCGTTGCAATTCTAACACATCACGCAAACAAAATGTTCGCAATGAAACGAGCAGACGTCGTGCAGCTCCGCCAGCGGCTAGGAGAGGACACAATCAAATGGAGCAACATAACTACGTTCAATTCGCCCACAGGCAACGCTAGGCTCGAAACTACACAGAAGCCTGCGCCGAAATCTAAACAAAAGGGTTTATCAAAGCCAACTATGAGCAAGAAGAAGCCCTTGCGGAAGCAAGATGCTGAAAATGTTCTTGACCTGAAAACCGAGAGCAATAAAAGGACGAAGCTCACGAATCCAGACAGCCAACGTAAAGAAGCCAGACAAAAGGCGCGCTCGTGTGTCGGTCGCGTTGACAGGAGGCAGCGCAGCGTCACAGTCAGACAGGCCCGACCTATCAAGCGACCGTCCTCATCAGTTGCTCAACTATCACCTCAGAGGATGACCCTGAATTCAATCTTGGACTCTATTGAAGTCGCCGGCACAGACGCCGTTCTTCCTGAGAGGACCGGGATGTGGAATGTTTGCTGGCTTCCGCATGGTATGCCAGTGCAGACGATCCTCAGTGGACTGAGCTACCACTGAATACCTATCCGTTTTGTACCGAGATACCCCGATAATGATTGCATGGATATAGAATAAGGCTCGAGTTCTGTCACTCGCCTTAATGAACATGGACATGTCTTGAAGTTGCACCTTCGCAAAGAGAAGAATGGCTTCAGACACGCTGAAACCTAGTGACTCTTCAGTGTAGACTACTCTAAGCTTCTAGTGTGCTAAATCTCAAATAGTATGCGTGGCTCTTCGCCTATTGCATAAATGAGCTTTGAACCATTTTCTGCATCGATGCTAACACTGTACTGATCCTGACCCTTCGGCCTGTCTCCTTCTTTTCATTCAATCCATGAGATCGCGCATAGTGTATAATGTTCGTTTCCATAATATAGAAATATTTTCAAGACTAAGAAAGCTATGGCGATGCTCATGTCTCCTTGGGAAAGCACCAAGCAACAACTGACATTGTTGTTGTCTCATAACTTACGATGCAGCGGCTGGAATCTCACGCAGTAAGTCTCAGCAAAGCTTGACCTCATATATCGTAATTAAGTAACATGCTATTTTGATTTAAAACCGACAATCGAATTAACAAACTTGTTTAAACGCTAAGTTATTTTGAACTTATGGATACACTTAGCTTTGAGATCATGTCGAGGTCACGGCGAACCGGACAGTAGAAGGGAACATGATCAAAGGCAAGAATGCACGCACTTTCATTTTTCTTAAAGGTGGGAGCGTTTGAGATTGCGAAAGTCTTAAAACTTGCTAGCTAATACTAGTCACGGCGGATTAAGTTCATACTTAGCACGCCTCCGTCATTGGCATCGATTTAGTAGCGAAAAGAATATCTAGAAGCAGCTCTCCAGCACCATATCCAAATAACTGACAGGCATGTTCCATATGTATTCATTTTTATGCATAGAATCACGAGGAAGAAGAGTTTACAAACGAAAATGTGTTGCAAGGAAAAGTCTAGGTTGTAGTGCTTCAATCCAATGAGAAGAAGCGAATTAAAGCTACTTAGGGGAAACATGATGCCGATGTCGGCAAGCAGAAAGTCTGGGGATGAACTTTTTTAAGACCTTGGGGAAAACATCGGGGTCAATTGCGTGCAAACTCATTGATTCTACGAGCAACGGTGAGTGCATATGCTACCGTGATCTCCCAATTCATTTTGGATAATTCTATTTGCGCGATTGACTGCATAGCATCGGTCATTCGCCGGGACACCTTGCCTCGGAATGGCGTCGCGTGTCCTACTAAGAGCCGCCAGCGCAAGCGCAAGATGTCAGAGAAGAGGTCTCGCGACTGCTGTCAACTCCCATTACCCATCGGCGCGCGACATCGAACTTCGAACACCTCCGTATGCAAAGCTACTCAAGAATTTCGCCAAAGTGAGACGCGTCTTAGGCGGCAACCGTGCTCTCACTCTTGCCGAGAAGATCCTCTATTCACACTTGGAAAACGCCGAAGAGTCGCTGCTCACGAACACAGACAATGGCAAGAATATACGCGGACAGGCAAATCTCAAGCTTAAGCCCGATAGGGTCGCCATGCAAGATGCGTCAGCTCAGATGGCGCTGCTGCAATTCATGTCCTGTGGTCTGCCAAGTACAGCGATACCAGCGAGTATACATTGCGATCACATGATTGTAGGAGAGAAGGGCGCGAATGCCGATTTGCCAGTGAGCATACAGGGTAACAAGGAAGTTTTTGACTTTCTGGAGTCGGCTGCGAAGAAGTATGGCATTGAATTCTGGCCACCAGGTGCTGGAATTATTCACCAGACTGTCTTGGAAAATTACTCAGCCCCTGGACTTATGATGCTTGGTACAGACAGTCATACTCCAAACGCCGGTGGTTTGGGCGCCATTGCGATTGGAGTTGGAGGTGCGGATGCTGTGGATGCTTTGGTAGACGCCCCTTGGGAGCTTAAGGCACCAAAGATTTTGGGTGTCAAACTTACCGGCGAACTTAGCGGCTGGGCTTCCCCCAAAGACGTTATTTTGACTTTGGCAGGTAAGCTGACTGTTCGTGGCGGCACAGGCTACATCATCGAATATTTCGGTGAGGGCGTCGAGTCACTCAGTTGCACGGGCATGGCGACGATATGCAATATGGGAGCCGAAGTTGGTGCTACAACTTCACTGTTCCCTTTCTCCAAGGGACACATTCCATATCTTGAGGCAACACATCGTAGCTCTATTGCAAAGAAAGCCGCAGAGATTGCAGCTCTCCCTGAGTCGCAAAACATGTTACGGCCTGATTCAGGTGCCATGTACGATCAAGTACTCGAGATCAATCTTTCTGAACTTGAACCCCACATCAATGGCCCATTCACACCGGATTTGAGCGTTCCACTTTCAAAATTCGCAGAGACTGTTAAGGAGAAGCAGTGGCCAGAAGTACTCTCATCTGGACTTATTGGGAGCTGCACGAACAGCTCTTATGCGGACATGACACGAGCTGAGGATTTGGTAAAGCAAGCTTCTGCAGCCGGTTTGAAACCGAAGGCGGACTTCTTCATCACACCCGGCAGTGAACAAATTCGTGCTACCCTCGAACGGGACGACACTCTATCCACCTTCGAATCGGCAGGTGGAGTAGTGCTTGCTAATGCCTGTGGCCCTTGCATCGGTAGGATATCTTGTTCATAACCTTCTCTTCTCAGGAAAGCATGTGTGCTAACAACCTCTGCAGGACAGTGGAAACGAACGGATGGAATTAAAAAAGGCGAAGAAAATGCTATTTTTACAAGCTACAATCGTAACTTCCCTGCTCGGAACGATGGCAACCGCGCAACTATGAATTTTCTTGCTTCACCCGAGCTAGTCACGGCGCTGAGCTATGCAGGCTCAACAACTTTCAACCCACTTACAGACACAATACCCACGCCCAATGGCACCCCGTTCAAATTCAAGCCGCCTAAGGGCCGAGATTTACCCAAAGCCGGCTTTGCCCAGGGCAATCCTGACTTCCTCCCAACACCAGGCATACCCAATCCATCCGTTTCTGTCAACATATCCCCAACTTCTGATCGACTGGCTATTCTTGAACCATTCTCCCCATTTCCGGACTCTGAGCTGAAGGGCTTGAGAGTTTTGTATAAAGTGAAAGGCCAGTGTACGACGGATACTATCTCAGCAGCTGGCCCTTGGCTGAAATACAAGGGACATCTACCAAATATCGCCGAGAATACACTTATTGGTGCGGTAAATAGTGAAACTGGTGAGACAAACGTGGCGTATGATATAGACGGCAGTTCCTGCTCGATACCAGAGCTGGCAAAAAGGTAAGCTCATGATCTCTTAACTTTTTTGTTGCTGTATCTTTAACGACTCCTAGGTGGAAATCACAGGGTTGTGAATGGCTCGTTGTTGCTGAACACAACTACGGTGAGGGCTCAGCTCGCGAACATGCCGCACTGCAACCTCGCTATCTAGGCGGACGCATTATTCTCGCCAAATCATTCGCTCGTATCCATGAGACGAACCTCAAGAAACAGGGTGTCGTTCCTCTAACATTCGCCAACGAGACAGATTACGATAAGCTAAAGGCCTGCGACGAAATTGAGACAGTTGGCTTGCTTGACGTATTACGGAGTGGTGGACAGGGTAATGTTGAGCTGATAGTGAGAAGAGCAGGAAAAGAAGTCGCACGGATTGCCACCAAGCATACACTAAGCAAAGATCAATGTGGATTTGTGCTTGCGGGAAGCGCGTTGAATTTGCTAGCCAGACGAGCAGCGGAAGAGAGAGAGGAGATTGTCAGACAAGCCGAGTTGAGCGACTAGTTCTTTGCGATACCTGCTTCTCTCTTATCTCCATGTCATCGAGTATATCTGTACTACAGCTAGTACCGTACGGGCCACAGGCAGTCAGTCGTCACAGTTTTCAAAAGCATTTTATAGGCTTAAAAGAAATCATTTTGTAAGCTTCTGTTGAAAAAACCTAACCGATCCTATTTTATATTTTTGTTTTAATTACGCTTATCAATCCGTTCCTTTTCCGGAATTTGGTTTCCATGAGTTGATGGGACGGCGAAAGCAGCATACTTGGCTTGCAAGATTCATTTCGTTAGTGTATAAAGAGAACAGGGGTCAACATAACATTTTAGAATGTATATCATTTAAAATCTTACAGGAAAACATGGACCTTTAGTGCGGACTTGAACATTTTACCAACTTATCAGACAAACTTTTAGGCCATTTTTCTTAGTGACTGCCGTCCTGCATCATTATTCCGCGCAAGCAGCTGTGCTTCAAGCTCCAATGAAAATTCATTTACCAGACCAGTAACTTGTACGTTTTGTGCATATTCGTAAGACATGTCGTGAAACATCTGACCAAACAGCGTAGGCTTTTGTATGTCATATTCAAACTACCACTTGTTGTCGTAATCCCAGTGATCACCCCACCTGGATACATGTTAGAACCATGGTTTACATGGAGGTGTACTTGGTACTGACCACTTCGTCTTGCATATCTTCTGGTCCTTAACTTCTGATTTGACGACAGGATACTTATCAATTTTAGTGACAGGATACTTATCCACGTCGGTCTTATATTTCGTCTGTGTAAGCTTCGTCTCAACCCAGGTCGTTACCGGAACTTTGGTCACGTAGGGCACTTCCCACGACTTGACCTTCGTTGTGTAAGCATAGTCGACCTTTGTCGCATAGTTGTAGTCGGTAGTGTAGTATGTCACATGTTTTATGTAACACTGGTTCTTGCCCCAATCCTTGTCGTTGTAGTCTTTGTCACCTCCCGGAGCAGCGGCTGCCAGAAAAGCAAAGACGGCAAATATAAGACACTTGAACAGCATGGTAACTGCTGAAGTTGAAAGGTTGATATCAACGGATGTCCAGATAAATCAAAGCGGGTACGAAAGATTTTTGTTCGAATAGTAGAGTTGAAAAATGAGCAACGGAGACGAAGGACAAACTGCCACCTTATATCTTACAAGAAGCCAGGTTTAAAACCACATGCTACCTTTCTCAGGGCAAAGATTTCGCTCTAGAAGCGCGAACATGGTCGCAATGTACGCACAAAATCCACAATTAGACCATTTAGAGCTGCCAAGTCAGACTTCTCGTTTGCTAACTTCAACCACAAGCGAGGCTGACCCATAATATGTTCAGCAAGCGACCATTCGGAGACATTCTCAACCTCATGACGGTGAGGCAACAAGAGAAGAGAGCACTAGAGACCAGAATACAGGCGATCGAGGAGCTTAGAGAGGCTCTGAAGTGTTCGATGCCATCAGAAGCTTGCTGCGATCGTGGAGGACTATTGATTTTGTGCATACGAGACTCAGGTCTAACGATGGACACTGGGGAAATTGGTATTCCAAGAGAATTGGCATCGCTTGGCCATCTTGGCTCTAAGAAAGTATGTGGTAAACACGAGCTTCGTGCCAGAAGAGTCCGGTAGCAGTTACAATATTGAGTAATCATCAGGCTTCTGTTGTCACGCATGGCTTCTTGGGCAACCTAGGAGGACCGTCCATGATGGCCGAGATCCAGCAGTGTCGCAGGTGCAACTACAGTTTTGGACAAGAGAAGAAGAGTTTGTCCAGGTGAATACAAGACCGTAACCGATTGATGATCAGCGACCCAAGCTGGGGTCTATGACGGCTGTTCTGGGAGCTCGAGATCTGTCAGTCGCCAAGCGCTTGTGAGGGGTTTGGGCCAGCCCGCTTGTATTAAACGCGAGCTCGAGGGGTAGGCCTTCCAACGAGTAAATGCGGGGAATATGAAGCATTTGTTGGAGGAAATGGTTTGCCCATTCAGGTTTATCATGCAGGCATGATAAAAATAGACCTGCGCTCAAGCGAGAGTGCTTTGCTTGGTTTAGGGCTTTTAGACGCTGAACATCCATCGTGTCAGCTTAAGTTGAAATTGAGATCCCACGGCTTCTCTCAAAAGGTTTGCCGGTGTCGTGAGTTGTGGAGTCGAATATGATCCCCAAAGTTCGGAAAAATAGTACCTGTGTATGTAAATGTTTGTCTGTGTCGTGATCGGGGATTTTCCAACACACCTGATGTACATTCCTTCCCGAACGGGCAACTAGCTCTCGGTAAAATTTAGGCAAGCTCAAGCTCACCTTCACATAAGGGGGATCTTCCAGAACGTTTTGCAGAGACTTCAAGTATTAATCTCACAAGATTTATCCTTCATATTTTCAGTTTCGTTGTTCGTTTTCAAAGAGCTCTATCTGTGTACTAGTTGGTCAACGTAGAATCAATATGCAGGTAACTTTGCAAGCAGCACCCCACTCATCCAGAAAGAAACGGCTGCGCCAATTGTTACCAGAACTATACTTGGGAAAATACACAACTGGGCCTGGGAATAGCTTGACAGATGTTCCCGGCGTTCTTGCTCATACCCAAGAGATTCGCTCGGCAGAAGGTTGTCCTGATGGATCCATAAATACCGGTATTACAACAATTCTCCCACGCAAGGAATTTTTCAACAAAGCTTGCTTTGCCGGCATCTTCAGGTTTAATGGCTCGGGGGAAATGACAGGAACTCATTGGATAGAAGAAACTGGTCTACTACATTCACCAATCATCATTACCAATAGCTTTGGCGTAGGCGCGGCGTACGAAGGCATTTATAGGTACTGCATTCGCGAATACGCCGATGAAGATGGCAGTTGTGACTGGTTCATGCTTCCTGTTGTCACCGAGACTTTTGATGGCTATCTGAACGACATTGGCAAATTGAGCGTGAGACCGGAGCACATTGTTTACGGCCTCGAGTCTGTAAGTAACGCACCTATACGAGAGGGAAACACGGGCGGCGGATGTGGTATGCTGTGCCATGGTTTCAAAGGTGGTACTGGCTCAAGTAGCCGAGTTGTGAATGGTCAGGATGCCAAAGGCAATAGTCAGACCTTCACTGTTGCAGCGTTAGTTCAGGCGAACTATGGAAGGCTAGGAGATTTGAGGATCACTGGCGTGCCAGTTGGAAGGATCCTCGCTGAAGTGATTTCGAAGGAGTCCCGTGGAGACGAGAAGAATAATTATACACTCAAATCTGCCATCGATGCCGTCCACCGTTACAAGGACATTAAAGACGGAAGCATAATAGCTATTGTTGCCACGGACGCGCCACTTCATCCCACTCAGCTGAATCGTCTGGCGAAGCGCGCAACTGTGGGCCTGTCGAGAGTTGGAGGTGTTGGCCATAATCCTTCCGGAGACATTTTTCTGGCCTTCTCTACAGGTGTAGAGATACCAGTGCAAAGTGTTGGAGCCAATCATAGAAGTGTCGACCCTTGGGTCCCATCTGTCATGAGCACGGAGATGATCGATGACAATACTATCAATTCGCTGTTCGAGGCATGCGCTGATGCTGTCGAGGAAAGTATATATAATGTATTGTGTATGGCGGAGACTACCGTTGGGTTCAAAGGCCGCACCGCCGAGGGGTTGCCCTTAGACAAACTTAAGGAAATCATGGAGAAGTATGCATGATCTCTGAATCGACAATCCGCAGGAGATTGGAAACAAAAAGGCGGGAATTCGGGTACATAGCTAATATGCATTCTCTGTAATCCTGCAATTCATGGAAGCTTGAAATTGAAACGCGTGAATTCGCTAACAACGAAGAGTCGTGACGGTGGAAGGGATATACACCATTACCATAGAGCTGAATCTTGGACAAAGGGAGTTCAACTTTTCATCACTTTATTTTTTGGACTAGCTACAACTCCGCCTGTCGAGCTTCCTGTGCATATATCTTGTTGTCAGGCAAATCAAATAGACCAACGCTAAAGATAAAAAACAAACATGAGTAATCAAGTCTGCAGAAGGGAATTTTAGCAACGTCTCACAAGATATTGAAAAAAGCCACAGAAGCCATAATCTGAAGGAACAGGGTGGACACGCCACGCATTCTCCATAGTACAGTGTGCGATATCAGCGTATTCCTTCTCCAAACCCACAAGAAAACATTGATGGAGAGTCTGGGTATGGTGTTCAAGACAAGCTGTCTAGAACGCATAAGATGGGAAACCATGCACAGCTATCTAAAAGGTAGCATATCACAGGAACTCGAATATGTCTCCACCCTTCTCCTTAACCATTTTCCCCACTCTTTCACTTCCCACGACTCTTTCAAGCGCTGCCCTTTCCCACTTAGAGAACAAGCATCTCACGTCTCCGTTCTTTCCTTCCTGCTCTAAGAGTGCGGTCACCTCTTCATAAAATATCGGATTGGTAGGCACACCGTAAAACACAACCTTTTTCACACCCTTTATCTTATATCTAAAGAAATGGTGCGCCCGCTCTGTGTACAGCAAAACTGAATGCCTTCCTGACGCAAAATGACTCCTTGCTCTGCGGAGCTCTCTTGAAGCGGGAGAATGATTTTCATCAACAGTGCCGAAACTTATATTAGTGCAAGACGGATGGAAAGAAAAATGATTGCGTAGTCTTGGGAAGTCAAATGAGTCAGGTATGTAAATTAAGAGACCAAGGCCGCTTCCGTCTGGGTTTCGGGGCATCTTTATGACGTTTGAGAGGATAGTGGAAGTGAAGTGTTTGAATCGGGCAGTAGGATCATCAGTTAGGTTCGGGGAGAGAAAACGAAGAAATGTTTGTCTGGTACCGAGAGCTTGGGGCCTAAGGATTGCACCGGTATATTCTGGTTGGTAGACAGCCTTCCCGGATATGTTATATGCTTGTGAAGCGAAAAGAGCGAGGTGCTGCGGCGCCAGATAGGACGCTAGTAGTATTGTTTGCCGAAGGTATTTCGCGTGTCCGTCTAAATACCAAGACCGGACTCGACTGAAGTCGCAACCATGTGCTTCTTTGGGTTGTTGATTCAGATGATCAAGACAGTGGATGACATGGTCCCAGTTTTGCATGAGCAACGCATCGGCTTGATCCAAGATGACGATCTCAATGCTGGACAGGAAATCTGAATCTGCTTTCCTACCCGAAATGGCTTGTCGGAGACCAAGCGGCGAAGCAAGGATGAGATCGGAGTTGTAAAATTGAGTAAAAAACTTCACGGTTTTCCTCGTAAACTTAATACCAATCCTGAACATGTCATCGTCGTTTCCCTCGAAGAGTTCTTTGTAATCATCTGGTCGCTCCATTCCTAAGTCAAGATCTGCCACATACAAGTCTTCGAACCGCTTTTTATTTTCTTGTTGTTCAGGTTGGCATATTTTGACGATAGATTCAACGTATCTCACGCAAGACTGCCGTGTAGGAAGAAGAATCAGCACCTTTGGTCTTGTGAATCCTTGGTCTCGATACTCAAGAGTATCATCTTTGGCGAGCCGAGAGTTGTTTTTGAGTATGCGATCACGAGTCTTGAATATATGATTCAATGCGTGAAGACACGTCACATTTCGCAAGGTGGTTGAGTTGGGAACAGCACGAGCTGGAAACAATGTGTCGTTGTACTTGAGCAGTGAGGATGCAAAGGATTGCTCTGGGCCAGAGAGCTCTTTGAAGATATCAGATGCTTGAGAGTTTAGTTTCCGCTTGATCTTGAATGACGATAGGTGGGGGAATTGTAAGGTAACAGCGTTAGCCTTGTCCGCAGTTGCCGGGCCTGGCGTAGACACTCTCCATGTATTGCCTGCATTGAGATTGAGGCTGTTTGAATGCCACTGCTGTGAAGAAATTTCGTTGATCCTTTTAGATAACTCATCCTGGTCCGGATTCGCAAAATGAATATCGAATGCATCAGATGCGTCTTCGTCCTCGTCTGCGCTTTCCTCCTCATGCTCGTCAACGACTGCATCTTGAAGATCCTCAGCCAGAGTCTGGTCGACTGCAGAGTCAACTAAACTGCCAGGGGCGTGATTATCCAGTGTACTTCTGCCGGATTTTTCAATGCCGGTAGTCAACTTCCTTCGCTTTCGCCTTGGCTCATCGTCCTGCGCGACCTTTCCGAAGGACTGCAACAGTGTAGCATAAGCATTTTGTTTTTGCGTAGGCAGATCGTCTTCTTCGCTTGATAGGTCTTCTGCATGGTCATCCGAATGATTCAATTCTTGGTCGTCCTCAGTTTGGTTTTCAGCTCTGCAATCATTAGCGTTAAACCGACCCGACAGCAACATTATTTTCGTACTCATTGTCTGAATCCTGTAACCTCGAAGCCTCGTAAGTCTTTCTGTGTTTCCTCTGCTCTCTTCTTCCATTCCTTCTGCCCTTCTTTGCAAGCGCAGGCGCCATTGCTTGTCTTCGGCCTCAAAGAGTTGAACCAAAACTTTTTTTTTGTGACGTCGAAGCGTAAGATCGTTCGGCAAAAATTTCCCCACACGAGAGAGCCTCGCTTCGAAATTCCTTTCTCCAAATTTCGCGACACCCACCCCACCGTCGCCGACAAATCTCACGAGTGTTTGCTAAATCCCACCAAAAACCACAGGATCTACGGTGCAATGATGGCGAATTCAGATTCGTTTCTGCATTTGGCCAGACCGTTGGGTCCTGCGCCAGTAGGAGCGCAGCCTTCGACGGCTCCTGTTAATGTGGTGATTCAACCACAGGTACGCACACTTCAAATTCCATTTGCCAAGCGACAATGACTGATTCTGTGAGAACAGGCAATATTCTCAATTCTTGACCATTCTCTGCGCCGTCCTGCGGATCAAGATCGCGTTATTGGCACTCTGCTTGGCACCCGCAGTGAAGATGGCACCGAAATCACGATCGCTAACTGCTATGCCGTTCCCCATACCGAGAACACGGAGCAGGTTGAGGTGGACATGGATTACCAGAAGACGATGCTGGCACTTCATTTACGCGCAAATCCTAAGGAGGTCCTTGTGGGTTGGTATGCAACGAGCTCGGAACTCAACACCTTTAGCGCTCTTATCCAGAACTTCTACGGACAACAAGGAGATGGGACATGGCCGCATCCGGCAGTTCACCTTACCGTGAGCACGATTCCAGGAAAGGATGTTGAATGCCGGACATACATTTCTGCGCCGATTGGAGTAACGGCAGAACGTGCGGCAGACACTGCGCTGTTTATTCCAGTTCCGTATGAGATAAAGTATGGAGAAGCGGAGAAGAGCGGCCTGGAAATGATTAGTGCGGCGAAGGACAAGGAAGATAGAAGCCAGGCGGTATTGACTGATATCGAGGCACTGGAGAAGGCAGTAGAATCGGTGCTGGAGATGCTGGAACGTGTGAGCACATACGTTCAGAACGTTCTAGACGAGGAAGCCGAGCCCAGCAGCGCTTTGGGACAGTTCCTCATGAACACTCTATCACTAGCGCCAAAGGTGTCTGCGGCGGATATTGAAAGAGACTTGTACGTGCACCTTCGTTTGGCATCGCGTATCAGCGTGACTAACTGTAAAACCAGTAACAATCACATCCAAGATGTTCTCGTCGTCTCCTATCTCGCAAACACGATTCGAACCCAGATCGATCTCTCGAACAGACTAGCAACTGCCGCGCTGATACAGCCGGGATCCGGAGACCTAGGAGGCGAAGACAAGAAAGAAGGCGGTCAGCGGGACAAACGTGGAGGTCAAAGGAATAGGCCTAGAGAACAATAGCATCCCCCTTTATTGACGTTGAATATCTGCATGACGTGATGGGGAAAAGAACTTATGGGTTTCATGGAAAGGCGCAAATGGAACCTTCGCGATTAGGTTAGATAGGAAAAGGCGAGGAGCCTTTCCGATTGCAATTTGAGCTCATTCATGCCTTATTTCTCCTCATGGATTCTTTGAAGCTTTGTCTGGTAAGCGTATGAATCAATGAGTCGTGATCGCCATTCTCACCACGAACGTAGCGGAGCTGTAGCCTGAGAAACTGTTCCGGCAGAAGGGGTTTCTTGCATGATCTGCAAACGAGATACGCTTGACATCCTTTCACTCCGCGTACAGCGAATGTTCTCATGCGCAATGAGTTGAATAGAATTCAGATATATCTACCCACACTCAGTCAACGCAAGCAGCCCGCGAACAAGATGTTCGAGCCTGCCTAGCTCTGACGGAGACAAGAGTGATGTGCTGCATTATAGCAGTCCTTGTACGACCGAAAACTTGCCATTATCCATTGTCCCGCGCACACTCGCGCCGGGGTTCTATCAACGATTGATTGCACGGGGCTCGGAACGGAGTAAGGATGCCCCCCCCCCCCCCCCAGAAATCGTCTCGGCCTTCCTTTCCATCCTCCAGTTGTACGTGACGCCCGATTGCCGCAGTTTATTCCGCCTCCTTGCTTTCGGGTCGATCTCGTGCATGAGAGAATATGGAACCAGCTGCCGTGTTCGTTCACTTTAAGGGGGCACCTGCCGCTGGAAAGGCAAGACAGCCGAAGCTTGACGTTTCGCGAGAGCGCTGACGAGAGTTGGGTTCGTATCTTGTCAGTCAACTAAGGTAGCGCCCCGGCCGATGATTTATCCAGCATACAGAAAAGATATATATTCACGTTGCAAATGGCACAATCGCAACGGCGAACAGCCGATATGAACGTTAAATAAGCTAGCGTGCAGTAATTGTTACTCGCGATGAGTTCACGAGCTTTTCTTGTCTCACCCGCCTACGGTTTCCCAGACGTTTGGTATTGTCATGAGCTCAGCCCGTCTGTTCCTGCTTGTGGAGGAACGAATTCAATAGAAGTGAATTTCCTGTGGTTATCCTACCTCTCCGGGGACCAGCGCACTGCCGTTAAGCCCTCTAGATTGAGGTGTGTTGTCTGAACAAGGGATCAAGATAAGCAAAAAGGCTAGGCCGCAGAGGGAGTGGCGGTTATCAACATCTTGGTGCAATGCCCTTTGTACCAGTGCGTCCAGTGTCTGAACGGGCTATATCGCCTCTTTTTGCTCGTGCTATCTTGTTCCGCATAGATTGGGCCTCGAAATTAGATTTGTCGGCGTACCGTCGACCAAGTGTTGCATTAGTTCTACTGCACCGCACAAAGAATACTGCTGCAAGCAATTTAAGGTGCCAGCCAACCCCGAGTCTGTACAAAAAGGGAGGCTTTCATTAGGTGCGGGACTGGTGGAAGAAATACAGTCGCTTAGGCTCTGCTTCTTGGCTTGATTAGCATCCTTTTGGGGGCCATCCCAAGCCCTTTGCTGAAATCTAATGTTGACAAGCGTAGCATCTCGTATTGGGAAGCATGGGTACTCCTTAAACACAAACGCAAGCTGACTCCAACGTATTTGGGACAGTCAGATATTTTGGTGAATTGATATGTAGAAAAACTTAAGGTGCTGCACTCATTAGCCTCGCTAAGTGTCGGAGCTCTTACAAATCCTTGCTAATGCATGGACTTTTGTCGAGATTTGATCAATTCTGCAATAGTGGGCTGTTCGATGTCGTTCAACTACAATTTCAGCCGTGTGTCTCGTGCATGGCCTGGACGGGTGATGCTGAGCCAGTTAGTGCTTATTTAATGCCGACTTGTGATCGACGCATGCATCGTATCTTATTCGCTTCCACCGTGTGCGAAGCTTGGGCGAACTTTATATGGACGAGAACGCTGTCGTAAAATGGATATCGCTCATCAGTCGCTTTCAAATTCCTCGAGTTCGATTGGAGAAAGGGCTGTTTACCTCAGCCCGCATAGGCACAAAACTTGACCTTGCGCGCAAGGACGAAGTTCGTTTATTCGACTTGCTGAGAAGGAAATGGGCATGAATTCGAATGCGCCGTGGGTGGAAGGGCCATACAAGCTCATTCCAATACCTGCATCATCTGGTGGTGTGGTAAGTTGCCGTATATTGTTCACCGTTCCACCCTGATGTGTTCGTCTCAGAAAGTTCATTATGCGGTCGAGATGGCAAACGAAATGGCGTTCGTACATAACTGTTTCATTCGGGGATTCAACTCGATCCTGTTGCAAGGTCCTCACATTCCGTCCTATGGGCAGCCGGATTACAGGCCGCAAGACGTCAAAGACTTTCTCCTTTTCACAGACTTCTTGATCCGCGTTTTACACCACCACCACAAGGTAGAAGAAACAGTAGGCTTCCCTGAGATCGAGAAAGAGATTGGAGAGCCAGGGTTCCTAAGCGTCGCCACGGAACAGCACGCACAGTTCCATGACGGTCTTGAGATAATTTGGGAAATGGCCAAAACTATGCAGAATGATCCGAGCAAGTGGACTTGGGATGCGATGAAGCAGTGTCTTGATTCCTTCATGCCCGTCATGTATACTCATCTCGTGGAGGAGATTGACCTCTTCCTGAAGCTGGGACAGTTCAATGAGAAGGCCTTGAAGCGGGCATGGAAGGCGTTGGAGGAGGAGGCCAAAAAGATCGGTTTCGCTGGTTTGGTAAGCCCATCGCGTGTGCAGGGTTGGTCATCATAGCTAACATTTGTTCTCTTAGTATGACACCATACCTACCATCTTCGGCTGCCACGACGCCTCGTTTCAGAGCGGAGGAAAGTTCCCCCCCGTTCCTAAAGTGTTCCGGTATCTCGTTAAACACTGGACCTCAAAGCGCAATCGAGGCGTCTGGAGATTCTGTCCTTGTGATGAGTGGTCACGGCCAAAACCGTTGTTGTTCTCCGAGGGCAAATGAAGAAACTTTGGTGCCAACGAGGGATGGAGCTTGGTGACTTGTGTTTTTCCAAACGTGATGTTTGGATATAATGTAAGCGCACTTTTCTCTTTGGATTTGGAGACCCAATTGTATCTGTATGTGTCAGAGACCTTTAAGATTTGAGGTTGAGGGGAGGCTTGCCACTCATTGGAGTATATTAGGCTAGGAACGGACGGGGAATGAGCCCTTCTGCGTCTAGCGGTTGCATATGGATCAATATTCTTTGAAACAAGGTGTGTAGACGTTTCTTGAATGGAACAATTCGAACTTTCACTTTTTCTTGTCGTGCTCGTAAATTGCTGATGCGCGGACTGCTATTGCGTCCAAGGTAAACGAACACGGTCTAACTGAGAACTTTTCTTTCTCCGGACGTCATCCCAGAGAAATCCTTCTTAAGAAATGGCACAGTGGTCGGACGACCATCTTTGCCTTGTCTTTGTATAGATTTTGGCGTGGCTATTGAACAAGCGCATTCCTCCATGCTTTTACTTTCACAGCAGGAATATTTCTACGACCTTGGCAACATTCTACCTCTTAAGTTGCTGGATCAAAGTGCAGTCGGACCACAGCTTACCATTTTTCGCTCTCAGTAACTGAGGAACGCCAGCCAAAACCGTCACGTGAGGGAAGAGAAGCGGCCATGGGTATGGGCCGCTTTCCTTTTGTCGCCGCAACATTTGCCAATCTCGAAGAGGGGCCTCGCAAGTATGGAGAGCAGATTTCAAGCCTCATTGAGGCTCGCAGCCCCATGAAACACCAAAATACACACAAGCTGCGAGAGGACGGATTGGAAAAGGAAACGAAACCACAGAAGATGCCCACGTTGATGAAGTCATACGTTTACAAAGCCAATGCAAGGGGCTCGAACTCGACAAAGGCCCCGGTGTCCGTATCCGCCTTCGCGATCCAAGGCCAAACCAATTGGTTGGCTCTGAAGTTCCCCAGTAGTCCGGCGCGAGGCCGAGCTGGACTCGCAGGAGCTCACTCCGCACCTTTAAAGCAGCGACATCGAAAGGAGGGAGAAATAAAATTTTCAAGGCCACATGTACTCCAGAGCCTCACAGTTAGGGTGGGGGAAAAAGGAGGCGCCGAACAATTGTTGCAGATCCCCGTTTGAAGGGAGAAGAGGGAAAAAAAAAAGTAATCATAAAGGGGAGAGGGAGAAAAAAAAAAACAGGTTTCGCTCGTGGTCCTGAACGCCTGGGAGAGAGTTTTGCTTTTTTATTTTTCTTCTTTCTTTTTATTCCTTCCTTCCTCACCCCCGCCTTCTCCTGCGTGGCGCGACGCGTAAAATGACAGGCATGGAGACGAACTGTGGCTTACACCGATGCCCATGGATAAGGGTCGATGTTTATCGCTCCTTGTCACGCCCGTCTGGTGACAGGTTCGGCCACGGTTTGAAAATGGCATTGGGTAATGCTGAGCGTGACGTTTGGGTGCGAGGTGGGATGGGAGAAGGAATGTGCTTGTATCTATTTTAAACGACGTGAATTGTTTCCGCTTCAATTTTTTTTTAGAAAAAATTATTCTCTCATCTTATGCCGGGATGTCTCGCCCTGCAATACACAGCTTGTGGGGGACGCGACAAAATGCGCAGCAATCCGCGCGGCGTTTACATCTGCAGGACTGCCCTTGGGCGCACTTTAGAGACTCTATCCGCTTTTAGCAACATGTTTGGCGACTTTGCAGCACTGTTCGGTCAAAAAGCAAAAGCCAAAAGTATCGCTATCATTCATGTCCGTAATATGTACAATGGATATCTAAAATGACCGTACAGCCAAGGACACGGCCTCCGTCAACTCTGAGGCGATTCTAGGACGTGCGAAAGACCACGATCTAAACACATGCATGTCCACGGGTGGATGTGTGGAGGTATTCGTGCAAGAGCCACCGCTCACCACCTGGTGTATACGTCAGGATTCCGAAGATTTCAAGGCGAAACAGTTGGGCAGCAAACTTACCAGTCACCCTGGTCCTTCATGGCGGCAGCAACCTTTCGGAAGCCTGCAATGTTGGCTCCAGCAACCAGGGAAGGAAGCTCGCCCTCTGCTGGGGTAACAAACTCCTTGGCTGTCTCGAGGCAGTTGTCAAAGCAGTTTTTCATGATGTCCTTGAGCTTAGCGTCGACCTCCTCAGCAGTCCACTTTATCCTGGACGAGTTCTGCGCCATCTCGAGACCAGAGACGGCGACACCGCCAGCGTTGGCAGCCTTGCCTGGGCCATACCAGATGCCCTTGTCCTTCTTCTCCTTGCGGGCCTTCTCGAATACATCGATGGCTTCTTGCGTGCAGCCCATGTTGGAGCCCTCTGCGATGAAGAGGCAGCCGTTTGCAGTAAGTGACTCGGCCTCGTCACCAGACACCTCGTTCTGGGTGGCGCATGGAAGAGCAACGTCAACTTTACCGACCTCCTTCCATGGACGAACGCCCTCCTTGTAAGTGACCTTGTGCGCAGCGGTGTTGGCCAGCTCAGCGAGGGCCTTGCGCTCAACTTTGAGAGCGGCGATCTCAGCAACAAGTTCGGGGGTGATCGCACCACCCTCTTCGGCGATCAAAGAGCCCTTTGAGTCCGACAGGGAGACAACGGTAGCGCCAAGCTCAATGGCCTTAAGTGCAGCGTACTGTGCAACGTTGCCAGAGCCTGAGATGGCAACCCTCTTGCCCTTGAATCCGCTGTTGCCACCAGAGGCGTAGTTGATCATATGCTCGACGTACTGTCCTTCGTTGTCAGATCGATCCGGCTGGTCACAAAGATGTTCAAGGCAAGACCTACGTAGACAAGACCGTAGCCTGTAGCCTCTGGTCGAATCAAACTGCCGCCCCAGCTACCGCCCTTACCAGTAAGAACACCTTCCCACTTGTTCTTTTCCAGACGATAGGTTCCGAACATCCAGCCAATCTCACGTGATGAGACGCCGATATCGCCAGCCGGAACATCAGTATCAGCTCCGATGTGCTTGTTGAGCTCCCTCATGAAGGCCACGCAGAACTTGCGGATCTCGTTGTCCGACTTTCCCTTAGGGTCGAAGTCGGCGCCGCCTTTGCCACCGCCCATCTGCACTGGCCACAAGAGTCAGTCTAATGCCACTTGTGCGTTACCTCATGGTCATATACTCACGGCCGGTCAATGCGTTCTTGAAGATCTGCTCAAAGCCCAAGAACTTCAGGACAGACAGGTTCACGGTTGGGTGGAAGCGAAGACCGCCCTTGTATGGACCAAGGGCAGAGTTGAATTGCACACGGTATCCGCGGTTGACTTGGACCTCGCCTTTGTCATTCTCCCAGGTGACGCGGAATTGAATGACGCGCTCTGGAATGGAGGCGACCTGGAGGGCCTTTCTGTACTCAGGGTTCTTTTCAAACAGAGTGGAGTTCTCGAGGGTGGAGGCCAGCTCTGACGGGCACCGTTAGCTTGGGAGAGACGAAGGCAGACTGCTGGGGAGCTCGGCTCAGGAGGATCTTATGATCGCTGTCGCGTGCTCTAAACTCACCCTTATAAGCCTGCTCAAACTCTGGTTCGGATGGAAGGTTCGACATTGTGTTCGACGAGCCTGGTTGCTTTGGAGGGCAAAAATGTGTTGGGAATGTGAAGGTCAGCGAAGGAGCCAAGTGCGAAGATTCAATTGATAGTATGGCAGCTTCGATAGGTGGTAGATAGCTCCTGAACTGGTCGAGCAGGTCCAACAGCAGCTCTTATATGCGTAGCAAGCAGACAACACGAGCTCCCGAAAGCTTACTGTTTACAGTCTGCCCACGTAGTAGCTACACCACGTTTACGTCAAGCTTGCGAAGTCGCGCATAGCTCCTGCAGTGGCCGAAGATCCAGACCCTCAGATCTCTCGCCTGTTGCGGAGCGCGGGCGCAATCAATGGCCGCTCATCGGGATTCAAAAATTTCTCTACGTGCATAGTGTTTTGATAGAGACGTACTGGGAGCTGCCGTGGAGGAGAGAGATAAGAGCTCAGCAAGCAGCCAATGAGGGCGAGGGACGAAAGCTGCGCTCATGCGCAATTGTCATGCTCGGCACGCTCTGCTTGCGTTACTCGATGGAATTGCGGCAAACAGTGGGGAGCTTGTGCATAGCGCGCTCAAGGAGCTCTCACTCTCTCCGTGGAGGCACGCTGACGAAAAAAAAAAAAGGAAAAAAAAAGCACTGCGGTCATAAGTTGCAAGGATGCGTCTTCCATGCTTCTGGAACTTTACTGCGACGGGGGACGATGTTCGCTCGCGAAGCCTTGTCGGGATCGCACGGATCACCGCGCGGACCGCGGATCGCTCTCTCCGGTATCGCGCAACTTTGCTGCCTTCAGCCTGCATATCCTCAGCCTCGCATGAAAATTTGCGCTCCCTTGCTCAAACAGACAACGCCATCCCACACGGTAAGGCTGAACGGCAGTGAGAATGGGCATTTCCTTACACAAATTGAACTGGAGCAAACCGTGTCAAGAAAGTGCCCTCGTGATTCACCGTTTCAGCCCACGTTGAGCCAGAGATCCGGAAGAGTCACGCCCGAGTTCGCCCATTATGGTGTGTCTACTGGGTCCCAATCCTAAGAAAAGTCAGACGATTTTTCCCACCCTTCAGCCTTGCATATTCGAGAAAGCCGGCTGCAAGACACTCGCTTGGCCTCTGCTCCGGTTGAGTCACAGTTCAGACACACACGATGGCGTTGGCCGGCCGCAACTAGTCGCCGCCGGCGCCGCCCATCGGGAATTTACGCAAAGTGGTCGACAAATATGTGACTCAGCTCGTGGCATGTCACTTACCGTCACGAGATACTCGTCCAACCCATCCATGACCTTCATGTCGTCCTGTCCAATTTCAAAGCTTTCGATCTGCACATTTTCGATGATTCTGCTCTTCTTGACGCTTTTAGGAAGCGGCACATAACCGTGCTGTAGAGACCAGCGAACAAGGAGTTGAGCTGGAGTACAGGAGTACTTCTTTGCTAGGCTGACTATGACGGGATGTTGCATCCGCAAAGCATGAACGAGAGGAGCGTAGGCCTGCACCACGATGCCTTTTTCCTTGCAGAAGTCGCAAATTTGCGTACGTGTGTTGAAGGGGTGTACCTATCTAGCCAGTTAGACGCTCACGCCGACAAACGCACCGGCGAATGGGGGAAAGGTTAGGTTTCTTTGATAGAATCGCAGAGCCGCAGATCCCATATATCAAACCGCCAAATTCAACACGTAGCGGAGCGTGTCATGGGTGTCGTTGAATCATGAATCCTTCGTGCTCACCTCGATTTGGTTGACGGCGGGAAAAACGCGTGGCTTTGAATCAAACAGTTCTTGCAGCTAAAGACGACGGCGTCAATGTGATTGGCTACAAACTTGTTCAGTGCAACAGGACATACGTGTTTGATCCCGTAGTTGCTTACTCCACCGGTTCGCACTTCCCCAGCCTCGATCGCATCCTCGATAGCTCTCCAGGACTCGAGTCGAGCCTCCTTTCCGCCGTACGGAGAGTGAAGTAAGAACAGGTCAATGTAGCCTAGACCGCATAATTTGAGGCTTCGCTTAATGGACCTGCGAGCGTGATCATATGAGCCATTGGCGGCCAGCTTGGTCGTATACCAGATGTCTTCTCGTGAGACGTCGGGATTTTCTGAGAGGAAGTTCTTTATCGCCTGGCCAACTTCCTTCTCGTTATCGTACATCTGTGCCGAATCGATCCTTTCCACTCGTCAGCATTCTCAATTTCGACCTCATCCATTCGAGACTTGGTGTGGAACCCTCGGTAGCCTGCCTACATGGTCCACGTTAGTGACGTCCGCTCGTAGTGTCAAGAAAACCCCGCAAAATTGTAACGGCTGGTGATGAACGCTTGCAATGGAGGCAGGTTCTCAAACAGTACTTGGACGCTTTCAATCGATCTACTGCCCACCGCTGCTATATCTGCACGATCTTCGACCTGTCTTGAGATCTTGCAGGTCTTCCGCCTTGTGCATGCTCCAAAGCTTGGAATCCGTACATGTCAGGCCAACCAATCAAAGACGCTACCTGTACATCCATCGATTTTTCGCACCTCGCGATGGAGGGTCGGGGAACCGGAATGAAAAGAGACTCACTTCCAAAGCTATCTGACAGGCCTCCTTTGCCTCCGGGCCTGACATAAGGTAAACCCCAAGATGGATCCGGGGCATGCTAATACCATCGTACAGCTACCAACGACCTGTCAGTTTTGCATACGTAGTTTTTTTTTTTCTATAAATCGAACAGTGTCACAATCCGAAGCTGACCTTGATTTGCGAAGCGAGGGAAAATGTTTGATTGGCCATCACAGAGAGACGGTTTCTTGGGCAACAAGGCGAAACGGCTATGAAAGGAGACAAAGGAGACGGAGATGCAGAGAGTTTGGGCTGTCGAAGCAGCGAGAAGCAGCGAATAGCCGGGTGGCTGGAAAAGGTTCGAAGGGAAAAAAAAAAAGAAAAAAAAAAGAAAAAACCAAAACCGTTTGCTTCGTTCTCGCGTTTATTCCCTATCTGGACTACTTTGCATAAAGTGGCATGTCTCTCTTCTGGTCGTGTGTTTGGACATGAGAGTACAGTGGAGAAAACGGGCTTCGGAAAGCCGCAGGTGTTTTGTTTCGTGCCATGCCGACGTCAAACTGCGGCTCTTTGCCGATTTCGAAGCCGCCAAAGCCGCTTCCGTACCACAAGCAAGCCTCTGTATGCTCGAAAGTCTGGTGCAGTTTGATACAGGCGCTATCGAGCAAGACGGTGACGGCACGGGCCAAAGGACAGCATGATGGGAACTGGCAAAGGATTGCGGGACGTGTCTGGGCGCGGGCACAGCACTGCGGCAGGGGGATGAGCAATTCCAGACACGCTTTTACGAGTCTTCCGTCGTGGCTGAATACTCCATTCACACCATGCATGTTGTCGAGAGATGACGACGAAAGATCGCTTAAGATCAAGAAGCGGCTCATCGTCGCACGAAGCACGAATTCGTCCAGACGATCGGGATTACCAACCTGCTGGGCGGGCTGAGTAGCTTTCAAGCGGCCAGAGCCAAGCATGCGATGCTGTGTCTCAGCTGGCTGTTCGTTGCCACAGCGGGCTCAAAGCACGTCGCGCGCATTTTGGTAGCTCCATGGCGCCGTCAACAGGTTGCGGGCACCGAAAGCATCTTTGGATGGCGCTCGAAACAAGGACGCATTAGTTTGCGAGCTGCAGAGCGACCAGCTGTAGGTGACAAGGATGGGGACAAATGATCTCCATTGTCAGAAAAAGGCGCCCGTGAGGCTGCAGGATCTTGCGCAGTGTTCGGCGACCATAAAAAAGAAATCGCTGGGCGTTCAGTCGCCGTTGATGCAACCAGACCCAAAGAGCACGACGGGAATGGCACCGTCGACGAACCTTTTCGCATGCCCAATGACGCGCTTCTGGAGAGAGACCAATCGGATCGATGCTCGACTGCCCGCTACAACGGCTCTCTGTCAGTAGTGTCCATTGTTTCGACGGGGCGACAGAGAGCCATCTCAAAGCCCGTCGCCCCTCCCCCCTTGCAAAATGACATTTTGCGGCTGGGTAGCGCGGCCAGCCTAGCAGACCGTCTCCGTCGGCCGTCGTCAACAAGCGCAGATTCGAGGAGGAAAAGGCATCACCATGCGTGCGTTTTTTGCGTGTGGTTCTGGTCGAGGCCTCCAGTCGGACAAGACCGACCGTGATCAAAGACCCTGCTCCATGGCGCCGCTCTGGATCCAGGCCTTGCAGCAGGGGCGCGAATGAGGTCCGATTGGAAGCGTGGATGTGTGTGGGGAGCAAAGAAAGGGAGAGAGGTCACATAGGGCACATTCCAGAGACGAGCAGTAACAGAAGTCCGCAGCCATGGCCGTAGTTGGCAGGTTAGCGACGGCGCCAGCAACAGAAGCAGCAGCAGGAGCAGCAGCAGCAGCAGAAGTAGTCGCAGCGACAGGAGAAGCGAGAGGCGCAGGGCCGAGAGCGATGGACAAAGTTGGAGGCAAGAAAGGCGAGTCGCACATCAACAGGCGGTCCTGCGTGCGTGCGTGCCGCTGCTCGCTCGACTGCAAAACGAGGAGCGAGAATGGCGCGGGATGCGGTCCAAATGTGCTGGCAACAGGACGCGACGTGCCATGGCGAGAACAACCATCTCCATACCGGGCGTGACGGGGCGAGCGCGGGCAGGCAAAAGCGTCGCATCAGCCATCGGTGGCTGCCAGCCCAGGAACACCACCCAAGCGCCACACGCAGAGCCGATCGCAGACCCTGGCGAGCCCAAGACGCTGGGACTAAAGCGGCGCTTCTGCGCTCCAGCATGTTGTCATGAGCCCCCGTCGGGCGCTGTGAGACAAAGACTGCCATTGAAATAATCGCGGTCCGGACGCAGACGCCGGCGGTGCTTCCTTCTGTCCATACTTCTTTTTCTAGCTTGCTGAGCATCCATGCTCGTCCGCCTTTGGCAGGCGCTCTTGCTGGATATTTAGGCCTGCCGCTCCGCTCCTTCCTGCGCGGACGTCGCTGCAACTTGATCGCATTCGCGCCCCGGCATCTGCGATCCCTCCGGCTCACCCCATCACGCAGCTCTGCGCTTTGTGCTTTCGCCCCGGGACCAGCGCGGAGCCTCGCGCTGTTCACGCTGGCCAACCTCGCCGTTCTGCCATTCTTGTGCCACGTTAGCTTCGCTCGCAGCCCGTTCTCGTGCCTGGCCGTCTGCTTCCCAGAGTCCCAGGACCGCTCCGTGCGGCCGGCCTTGCTTTAGCTACGCTTCCGGCTACCGCAGAGTGGGGGCATGGCCTTCAACACCAACGTCATCGGCCAAACTGGCGCCTCCGTGGGCGTCCCATCCTACGCGGGCTCCTCGCCGAACGGCACCTACCATGGCTCGCCAAACGGAGGAGCCGCTCCAATGCCCACCTTCCTGGCCGAGCGGCCCGAGTTCGACATCTTTGCCTGGCACGCCGCCTACCAGAGTTGTCTCAAGTTCTTCCTCGACAGGTCCCAGCACGACTCCATGGTTCAGGCCGTCGCAGCCCTCATCAATATCCGCCTACCTTTCCAGTGGACAGACCACCCGGTCATGGGAAGCGGTCGGTATGCTCCATCCGGCATCCCGAGCCCAAGCACATATGCCTCACCCTACTCAAGGCACGGCATAGGCCCTCAACCACAGACCGCCGCCTCGTGGGTGTCATTAATACCCTTCATCAGACGACTCGTAGCCACCGGATTCGACACGGATGGCATTCTACATGGCTTTTTCGGCGACGACTGGCGACGCGGCGTTGGCGATCTGCAGGAGGTTGAACGACGCAACTTCCTTTTTACGGCCAAGAGCGTCGGCTGGGCGAAGGTCAAGTATCAGTACGACATGCCCCCCGACCAATTGATCCCGTTCGTCAGACCGCTACAAAATGTCAAGATCGAGGAGATCGAGAACGCCGAAAGGGAGTGGAGCAAATGGCTTGCGATGGAAGACTGGATGGTAGGGCCTAGGGATCCCGATGTCGCCATGGCTCCAGAGTCAAGGGGCAATTCTGTTTGACATGAGTCTAATCACCAGCTGAATCGCTGCGAGTAGGAAGCCGATTGGCATTCTGGTGGCGAGGCAAATGCTTGTATAATTACGCAGATTTTGAGCGTACGGCGTTTTCTCCAGCGGGGATATCCCAGTACTGTTTGCTGTCATTTTTGTGATTCTGCATCCGGTATCAAATGGTTGTCGGCGATGTCTGTCGCCACCTTGTACACCTTCAAGCTTTCACTCCTTCCAAAGAGACAAGCTAGTATATAATGCAAGCAACGGTTCCGCTGTCACAGTGGCGGACTCTTCGCTTACTCGTGTATTCCCCCACATTTGCCAGGGCTGTGGTCCGTGCTAAGCAACCTTATTCGACGGCGAACCCCTGTTCTCAGCTGTCTCCCAACCTCATCAACCGTTTAGTCTATCGAAAATCCTATATTTGCCATCGCGCGTAAAAATAAGCGTGTTCAAAACATCTGCGGGGCGATCCTGTCGCGAAAGCGAACGTTTGCGAATGCGAATGCGCTTTGCGCTGACGCTAAGTGATCAATTACGAATGAAGGCGTCGTAAAGAAACACCGTTTTGCAAGAACGAATAGATTGCCTTCGGGTGACCAGTTGGGCGTTTGGTCAACTCAGATCTGCTCAGAATAAGGTCGCAGCCCGAAAGATAGGCGTTCTTGACAGCCGTTGGCTTCGGGACGCAACCCGAGTGAGCGCGTCACCTGCATTCTCGGGGCCCCCAACCTTTTCGCAGCTTGGTTTCTGCACCTCCAAAGCACCGGGAACCAGCGCAGCCAACCTGCGGTACGGCTTGCGTCCAATACAAGGACCCACAGCTATTCACTCACTCACCGATCTGAAACGCACGATGGCAACCGTATCGGAACAATGGACGCAACTTCTCGATCGATGCCTCCAGCGTCGCGTACGCAGGGAGCAATTCCACAGCCTTGCTGATCAGCTGTATCGCAGGACACCGATCATGAGTGCCAAGCTGTCCGATATGCTCATCACTCGTCAAGAGCTCACCCCTGACATGTTTGATCCTCTCCTGTCTGTATATGTTGAGACCCTTCTTGAACACGGTCGAATCAATTCAGCGGACCTTCTCGCAGCTCTATACAGGCACTCAAAGTCTGCAATCAAACCGGAATCTCGGGACCTCGATTCAACTGAGAAAAAAGAGAACAAGGTATACAATACTGCGGAGTTCGAGTCGGCCGTTTTCGATATGCTCACGCGAGCATACCTGCCAGACGGAGGACGGCCGAAGACGCAGGACGAAACCCGCATCGCGCTCGTGCTTCTTAGTGAGTGGCTTGAAGCAAACATCTCTAGGGGCACGAGCCTTGCAGATGAGTCTGACCACCAGGTGCTTGTGGAGGCAATGTCAGTCATCGAGTCCTTCGGCGCACTCTCCATCGCCATGCTCGAGAACGCCAGGGTCGCTGGCGTGATCGATGTCATGCTCTCAAGAGACACGAAGAAAAAGCTGGCTCAAGGCTTGACGTCCTTCGTACAGTTCTGGGCTACCGCAGCTCCTCAACACGCTGCGAACGCAGCTCGACTCGATTCTGCCCAGAAGAATCGCGGCCTCGTTGAGGACTCGGAAACCGAGCCGCAGGATGCCGCTCTGGATGTCGCTACTGCGATGCAAATTGAAGCCATTGTAGATATGCAGATGGTGCATACGCGTCCTCATACCTTTGTGTTTCTCAACGCATTACTGACCGGTTGTCCGCTGACCGACGAGAGCATGATGATGAACTACTTACATACACGTTATGGTGGCGATGCTCAGTCATTGACTATGGACCTGATCTTTGCGGCATTCGACACTTTGGCTGCTGCAGCGGAACGCTCTGACCCTCACCATTCGATGTTTTCGTTGAAGTCGTTTCTTGTTAACAAGGTTCCCTTACTCTTGTCCACATTGTCGGGATCCCTACTGGCCCCAGAGCTTGTTATACAACAGGCGCTCTCACACGTTGACATCAATGTCTTTCCTACTGTAGGGCTAGGCATGCTGCAAAGCAACACAGCTTTACAAGATACCAGACAGGACTTCGTATATGCTTGTATACTTCATGGATTGCTCACGGCAAACAGTGTAGGGCGCCTACTTGGAGAATCAACTTTCGACTCTCCTCCTTCACCATCAAGTCGTTTGCATAAAGACATGTTGTCCCAACAGTGTGCCAATGAGCCAGGCAAAGTGGTGCAGCTGATTGCCGATCTTGAGAAGCTTGATGGGAATGCCGGTGCAATCATCGGGGCTGTGGTCGAAGCTATACGTACAGCCTGCGCTACGAAAGACACAATGTCCTTGAAATCGATCTGCAATGCGTTCGCGGGCAAACCGCATTTCTTGGATGCCATGTTGCAGTTCACATCTCCTGCAAGTATTCTGCAGCCCCTGTGCCAGCTTCTCGAGACTTGGAAGTATGAAGATGATCAAGGTACGACAGCTACATTGATTTGATGCTGCGATTAAGTCTGACTTATATAGGCGAATCTCAACCCGTGTATGACGAATTCGCTTCGGTGTTTCTGCTTGTGCTCACATTTGTGTACCGATATGGTTTCTCACACGCAGAGGCCGGCATGCCAAAGGAGGCATTCGTCTTTCGATACGTAGCTCAGAACCATCAGGAACAACTTTCGAGCCAGATGACCGAGGAACAGTCACGGCATCTTGGCAGCTGGGTGAAGGGTCTCTTTGATCCAGATGGTATCACAGAAGAAGTCACTGCTTCGTGTCAACCACAACAATTTTATTTACTCGTTCCGACCATATTCAGCCAGACTATTCTTGCGTGTTCAGCGGGCGTGTTGAGCTTAGATACCATTAAAACCGGGCTCGAGTGTAAGCCTACCAAACTAGCGAACTTATCACAGGCTAATTCAAACAATAGATCTGCAGGAGCCATTCCTACTTCCATCTCTTGTTGGCGCCATACATTGGATTACCACTTACGTGCGTGAATATCCAGGTGTAAATACGGATATTATCATCCAGATTCTACAGAGAGTCACTCGAGCGCCATCATCGGGTGAAGCACAGGCTATGCACACGTCTATCATGGGCATAGTATCTCTGCCACTCGTCCACTGTCTTCGCACCTTGCGCAAGATCAACTCCAAACGCGTAGATGTGGACCCCATGCTTCAAAGCTTAAAGCAATATGGTGACTTCATCCGGAGTCCTTTCGGGCCCTGCACCTCAATTGCAATGTACTCATTGCCACAAGGCGTGAAATCAGCGGTCAAAAGCGCATTTCAGGGGCTCATCAATTGGAATCTGCAAATAACAACTTTGAATCCCGCGCAGCTACCGCCACCATATCAGCACCGAGTCATGCTCATAGCTGAGCACCTCATCGGCGCAACAGAAATGCTTTCAGTCCTGCTTGCCGAAATCAAGGAACAGAGTGAAAATGCAGCTGGTGCTGCGGCCGTAGCTCTTGACATTGCGACAGCCATAGTCTGCGCGCCAAAGGCAGAAAACAGCCCCATTGAAATCGCTTGGCCAACGAGCCCCGTTCCAGCACAGCATCCGTACCAAAACAAGCGGCTAAATCTTCGAGAGGCGCTTTCGCTGCAGAATGAACGCGTGGCAGATATTATCAAGAAAGACCAGTCGCTTGCCGAAACGATCGTCCGATTGCATCGCCGTGTCGAAGCCCAATGCGCCATCGGCACTGCTCCACTCCCAGATCTGACGGGCCAGCTGCCACCGCAAGATGTACAGCAGATGCTCGACTCTATCACAACACAACAGAACACAACTCAACAGCAACCTGCCTTAGACTTGACTCAGGATTCTGGCCTCACTGCGGACCTAGGCTTGAATGGCGCAGATTCTATGCAGCTTGACTTTAGCGTCGGTAACGGAGGTGATGGTGGAATGGGTGGACTTCTTGGAGGAGGAGAAAGCATGAATCCTGACGACGACGTCTTTGGAGATTTGGATCTGGATCTGAGCAACATGGAGAGTTTAGATATAGACTACGGCTTTTGACCAGGAAAGAGTCTTGTTGTAGATGTTCCACAAAGTTTTTTGTGTTTGGCAATCAGTATGTGATATGACAAAGCGGTCTCACCGACTGTCCTTTCCGCCATGAAAAGGGCAAGCAAGACGCTTGAAACAACACCGATCTCCCACTCCGTCCTGCTCGAGTGCCATCACCATCACAGCAGATCTCCAAGCCCCTTCTCCGAATCTTTCTTGATCAAGTCTATCATCCCATCAGGCATCACGGGCGTTCCGTCCGCCTTCTTCACGTAGCGGAACGGCATCTCCGTGCTCTCGTGCTCGTCGACCCGAATCTCCGGGAAGTCCGCGTAGGGGATCTTCTCGAGCTCATACCCTTCCTGGACGACCATGCGCGTGACGCGCACCGCCGTGTCCGTGGTCATCTGCACAGGTCCCAACCGTCGGCCGGCGAAGCCCTTGACGCGGAGTTCAGACGTGCGGTCCCGGGGCGGGTCGTCGCCTGGCGACCGGGTCGTGTGAGTTCGCGCTCGAAAACACTTGCGTTCATCATGGGCAGGGGGACAAAAAGGATAAAGGGAAGGTTGGGAGAGAGAGAGAGAGAGGGGGGGGGGGGGGGGGGCGCCGGGATCAAGAGAAGGGCGAGGAGGAACTCATGGCTCACCGAGTATACCGCCGAACAAGAAGACGCTGAAGACGTCTTTATCCTCAGGGCTCAGCTCCTTCTCCGCTTTCGGGTCCAGCAAGCAAACTTCGCCCTTTCGATCTCGGAACAGTTCTTCCACGCTCTTGTGTTCGACTTCCAATCCGTCTACGCCTTCAAGCTCGGACGGCAGCTTGAAATCGGCCGGAACGCTGGACAGCAAGAATCGCGAGCCCGCACTTTTAGACTCCTTCGCTATAGTCTTGTATTCAAGTGCAGACCAAGCTTCGAGTTCAGGGTCCAGGTGCTCTACTATATACGTGTACTGCTTGTCGGACGCAGACATGTTGTGACGAAATCTTGAAATGGCCGTGGAAAAATCCGAACGAAGAAAAAATTGGAAAAGAGACAAGGTTCCTTAGCCCCAACGCCAGCCAAGAGGAGGACTTCAAATGGATGTAAGCATCTAGAGGCTGGTAGGAAGGGTACAAGACGTCGACTGAGGAGTTTTCATATCACGTGAGTGGGGAGAGACAAGTAAGTGTTGGACTAAGTTTAATTTTGTGCACAGAGAGAGATCAGGTCATTGATGCATTTGATGGTCTGCTCAGAAATGGCGAACAATATGCCATACTATATCATTGTTTTCGACCCGTAATAGTAGGCCTCTATGCAATCATGAAGATGCATTTTGAAACGTCTGCACCCATAAAATCCGTGTACACCTTCCATGATTTGAAAACCCGTAGTAGCAGACACACACGCATGTTCGAACGAATCTATGAACGAGGCTTCTCCTTCTTCTCCTTCCACAGAGCCATCAGACCGACACCAGAAACCTTGACGACCTTGAAACGAACACCGGGAATATCACCCTTGGCCTTGCCCTTGCGACCTGAAACATGTTAGAATAATGTTATCGAAGAATGATGTGAAAGGTTGGAATATACCGAAACCAGCGAGGAGGACCTCGTCGTTCTCGTCGACGAAGTTAAGGCAACCGTCGTTCGGCACGAAGGCGGTAACCTTCTTGCCGTTCTTAATGAGTTGAACTCTGTTAAAACCTTTGTGTTAGAAACGATGTTAAACAGTAGAATACTTTCTCTGCCCTGTCACTCGTCTGGAGCCCTAGACGTGATGCCCTCGAGGACATCGTAGGAGGCGGTCTTCTTTATGGTGTACTGCCTACCAACCCACACCGCCTGAAAATGAAAAAATATGCGCCAACTCACCTCACACACTTTCGAATAGCAGAGTTGGGCTGCTTGGCCTCAACACCGACCTTCTCCAGAACTATGCCCTTGGCGTGCGAGGAGCCACCGAATGGGGAGGACTTGTAGGCGGTGCCGAGCAATCGCTTCTTGTAGTGAAGATCTGCCCATTGCTGCTCACGTCTGTGGTTGCGCAGCTTGCGTGCGGCGTTCACTGTACTTTCATGTCAGTTTTTCTTGGGAGGAGGTTGACGGGGACAGAGTGATCGATAGGAACATACATCCTCTAGGCTTTCCTTTACCCATGATTGCTGTGACAGTATTAGCTTATGTTACAAATGAGACTGAACAGCCTATTGAAGTAATCATACCGAATTATTGAATGCGCAATGGGTGTGTGGTGTATGTGTGTGCGAGATGTAGCTGTCGCTCTCGAAAAGTGCGGATGCAAGTTTTCGACCAGTTTGTGGGCTGTGGCGCATTTTTGCCTTGGGGATTTTCAGGCCACAAGGCCTTAACGCCTTTCATCGCAGTTTGAAGATCAACCAAAATCAACAAATGCCTGCGTAAACTATCAAGCAAATCATGTAGTAAGGTAACAATCATGTCTGCAGGCAAAGAACCTGCTGACAGCAGCACGAAGCCGCGAATATCACGCCTCCCTGCACCTTCACTCTTCGTCGGCCCTCCATCACGCAATGCGTCGAACCTTTCGTTAACATCGCCTAAGGAAGGAGGCTCCAGTAGTGCCAAACCATTGAGCAGACAACGTTCACGCCTCGGACAGTCGAGTGAAGTCCATGATGTTCCATCTAGTCCTGTGGAAAGTAACACGTCTGGGGGACTCAGCAGACATCCTACGGTCCAAATATCGACATGGGAGGGTGTAAGCAACGAACGTACAGATGCATTGTGGGCTGAAATGCAGAACACCCTTGAGGAGGTCGAGTTGAATGCCACAAGTGGAACGCACGTATTTGGACCGGGACATTCGCGCGCCCTTGAAGAGCTTCGTACCGCACAGATAGCACTTGCCCAAGCCTGGGCCAAAAGCGAAGCCGACGAGGACCAGACGGGAAGCACTTCGGCCACCGCGCATTCAGGCAGTGCTGGCGCTACAAACCCTATCAATACAGTTGATTCCCTATCCGGAGACCGTGCGAACAAACTAGGCCAAGTGGCGGCAACCCAGCCGGCCGGGTCGAAAACACAGTTGGAAGAGGACACGGAAAAAGACATTGCGCTCGCTAGGCAGAGAAGAGAGGCGAATGACCGATACTTTGAGAGAGTGAATCAGGGTGTACTGGAGGTAGTGAAGAAACTTGAAGTAGTGGCCAAAGCCATGAAGGACGTCGAGGTGGAGAGCAAGGAGATTTGGGGGGAAAGGGATAGCATCGACACGGCGAGTGTATCTTGAGTATAGTGTTTGAGCGTGGATTCATGCCATCTGTTTGTAGAAGCTAACAGACGTAGATAGAGTACATGAAGGTCTAAATTGAGTGTACGCAATACTACGTTGATGTTGACGAGACGACGCTCAGGATTCAAACGGACATTCAGAATCACTGACCCCGTTAGCTCTGATCTCTGGCATCTGCGGTAAAATAGCTTATGGGCTTCAAGTTCCGCTCCCAAACTTTTTTCAATCATTTTTTTCAGTTTCAAGTTGGGTTCTCTAAGCTGTTCATTGCGTATCTCAATCAAAAGGGCAAAACAGTCAACGAGGAGATTGTCAGGTATAGCGAATGTGTTGCAGAATCCCCAAGGTACAGGATAACGATCGTACAATTTTATTGCCTGGTGGAAGACGAACATAGGAATACGTGACCTTATCATGGTGTAAATCATTCTAGACTGTCTGAAGTGCTCCATGCCGAGGTCAAAGAACAGAATCTGAAAAGAGAGTGTAAGTCAGTTGTTTCGATTTAACATGGCTCGGCGAAAACGAATTGTGGAAAGAGTCATTCAAGTATGAGGGTCACTGGCAGGATGATGGGCAGAGAAGAATATGTGAACTGACCAACATTGACATCCGTGGCTTTTACGTACTGAACTATCGCCCGACCGTGCGGGACAGTCAGCGTTACCAGACGGCGAGCATAATACTGGTGCAGAAGGACCGTCAGTTTCAGCAACTTTGAGCAATGTAGAATAAGGACAATCTGGTAAGCAAAGTTCACGCAGAATGGAGAAATTAGAGACCGACATCCTTCATACGTAAGTAAAATTGATTCCGAGGTGGGTTTTCTCTATTTTTACATTATGCACAGCACGTTAGACTAAGAAGCATGCTTCCTACATGCTTTATTTAACTTTCTTCTCTTGATGAAGCCTCAATACCTCAGCGAAGAACTTGTTTGACAGACCAATGCTCATCTCATCACCGTGAGGCAATATCTGAGTCGCGTACATCGCTGCTACTCCTTTTTCTCTGTTTAAGAACCATTTCAGGTTCGGCAAGCCACCCCAGGTCAGAGTGCCTGCAGGAAGGATATCTGAATCCGCCGTAATGACCATCCCGCCGCATCCATAATTGATAGGCGGCGCATCTGCTGAGGCAGCCGCATTGGCAGCCACAGCACCACCTCGCGCATCTGCTAGCATAGCAAGACCTTTGTTTCCGGGAGGAATTTGCGGCGCTGCGAGGATATTGTTGATCGTGTCGATTTTCAACAAGGTAGGCTGCGGTGAGATCAGATCGGCCAGTACTTTCATGTAATCCGTAACCGAGGACCATAGTCCACCACCTCCACAGTCTTCGTCCATGTGCTCTGGCCAGCCGTTCGAATCACTGTGAGACAGTGTGCCATCGGCCTCACGTCGCGAAGACGACATGAGACGAGCGCGAATCTCTGGAGCGCGGTCAATGTGGAAGCAGGTGCTGTTCATTCCCAGCGGTTTGAAGATCTTCTCGGCCATGTATTCGCCCAGACGCTGGCCGCCATTGAGACGCTCCACCATGATACCCGCAAAATCAATGCCGCTACCGTAAGCCCAACCTTCGCCAGGTTCGAACAGGAGGGGAGTTAAATATTGCAAAAGAACTTTGCCAGCGCGCTCGGCTGGAGGAGGCCCATTCTTCTCTCTCCAGGCTTGGATGAGAGGGCTTAAGAAATCGTAGCCCACACCAGAGGTATGACTGAGCAGTTGGCGCAGCGTGATCTTATTGTGCCGGGGTCTCAGCGTGAAGCCGTTTGGTGCACTCTCGTCCGCTGTTATGATGGGCAAGTCCTTCATCTCTGGTACGATGCGCGTAATATCTTCGTCCAGATCGACTTTACCCTGCTCGACTTGTTGCAAAGCACAGATACTCGTCAATAACTTGGTGCATGACGCAATCCAGAAAGTAGCCTCGATATCCAACGGTTTCGCGTCTGGTTTGACACCGGAGTCACCAGCAGCCTTGTGGTAGAAGTAGTCGCCTGATCGGTCAGCATGAGCCATTTCTCTTGAAACAAACCGCTCAATACTGATGCTAGACGTACCTGAAGAATTCACAGCTGCCAGAACGCATCCCGGGACAATATTTGAGTCTTTCCCCGTCGATTGAGCCAGGACCTCTTCGAAGGTAGCTGGAAGTGAGCCCATACTCTCAGATGCGGAAGACGGGATTGGGCTAGCTGAGGGTGTCGATTGGATAGCTGAATGGCACAACCAAGCGGTCCCCACTCGAAGGCAGATAGGTCAAGGCCAAACTACAGTCTAGACACAATCGTTATTACTTTACTATATGTCAAGGCGGACGCAGAATAGTCGAGATAGAAAAAGGAAACAAGATGTCAGGGTGATCGAATTGCTCAGAAAGGACGGTAATCGCTGTTCGACGTGTACTGGTGGGCCTTGCTATTTATGCACAGTAGCTCTCCAAATTGCACAATGGACGAGGCTGTATGAGGCATGCCCCGCTTGTTGGTAACGCTCTGCTCGGATCTCGAGCTGTTTTGGGTCACGACATTTTCCAGATTGGCGATTCCAAGCACGAATGCGGTAATGCTTGCGGGTTCAATATCCTTCGGGCAGTAGAGTGCGCGATTGGAATCCATGAACAGGTAAACGCATTTACTGGTTTCGCCTTGGTGCGATCGCAGTAATTGCTACGTAATTGCAATGATGCGACCTCTGGTTTGGGAGCAGGGTGCTGATGGTGAGAGGAATGCTTACCTTGGCAGGTTGGAGAGCTCTCTCGTTGCGCTCAGGTGAAGCTTCCGTTCGGAATCCGTCACTACGAACTTAACAAACTAAGTGGCACTCAACCCTTTAACCATTTCGACGGAACACTGCTGTTGCAAAGTGCTCTCTGATCCGAAAGTGGCATCAGCCTCGTTACATTGTCCACTGTTCTCCAAGATTTTACGGGATATCTCGGTCCATGACATGAATCTCCGCAGCGGGGTTGCGTAGAGCCGCCGACCATGGACATAATCCACCGAGTCGCGAACAGCTGCGCAGCCCAATCCACGAGCACCCCAGCCCAAGTAAGTATATGTTGTAAGCGAGAGTGGCCGCATGCGTATTCGCTGTGATGTCCCTGTACTGGTATACTCCTACACCCAAGGAGCATCTAAACTCCGGGGATCAAAAACGCGTATCACCGAACAACATGGCGAACCGTGTGTTCACCGTCCAGCCATCTGAGCTCAAAAACATTAAGAACAAGGTCGTCGTGATCACCGGCGGAGCATCCGGCATTGGCCTTGCTACAGGAAAGCTCCTCATCAGCCTCGACCCTTCCAACAAGATTGGCATCATCGACCGCAGCCCTCCGCCGCCGTCTTTCGCGTCCGCCTCAAACGCCCACCGGATTCTCTACCAGAAGTGTGAAATCACCGACTGGAAGTCGCAGCGCGCCGCTTTCGCCAACATCGCCAGACACTATGGCCGCATCGACGCGGTCTACGCGAACGCGGGCATCGCCGAGTACGGCGACCAATTCTTCGACGAGACCATGGACGCGTCCGGCCAGCTGGCCGAGCCGGACAGACGGGTGCTGAAAATCGACATGGACGCGGCGGCGGACACGGTGCGGCTTGCGATTCACCACCTGCGGAAGAACCCCGAGGGAGGCAGCATCGTCATCACGGCAAGCTTGGCTGGATACTTGGCCAGCGCAGGTGCTGGGCTGTACAGCGCTGCGAAGCACGGTGCGTGAGATCGACCCTTCCCAAGCATACTCCCCGCTGCGAAAGACCTTTCTGCTGACGTTTGCCTTCAGGCGTCGTGGGCCTCATGAGAGCCTTGAAGCAGGACACCAAGAAGTTCAACATCGCCATCTCCGTCGTCGCGCCTGCGATAACCAAGACGCCCATCCTCGTCGGAAACCGCGAGGCCGAGATGAACATCCAAAGCGGAGTCTCCACGGAAGACGCTATCAACCAGTGGTCGGAGAAGATGAGCAAGGTTGGTGTACCGATCAACACGGCCGAGGGCATCGCGCTTGCTGTATGTCACTTAATTGACGGCGGAATGCAACGGAACGGCGCCGGCTATCTGGTTCAGGCGGACAAGATATGGGACTTTGAAGCCGGACTCGCAAAGAGCAGAGAGATCTGGATGAGCAAGGAGATGCTGGATCTGTTCAGAGGCGGCAGGAGCGCCCCGCTGTTTACAAGGGTCGACGATCCTAAAGCTAAGATGTAACAGGTACGCCTACGAAAGCAAAAATCACCGGCCGCTTCTCTCCCAAATGTGATGATTGCTAGCTCTTTGCCTTGACCTATTCGTCCAGCTTGAGCGGCTCTCTTTCTAGGTATTCCGCGAGCGAGGTCAACTTGCCTCGTGCTTGTTCAGCGCCCCACCTTACGTCTTCCTCCTGCGTTGCTCCATAGTACCCGAACTCTCCACAATACTGCATCATTTCTGTGATCATGGTCCTCGACCCTTCCGGAAGGTGACTCGCGAACTGCTCCACGGGTATCTTGACATGCTTTACTGACTTACCCGTGGCCGCCGACAAGATCTCCGCGATCTCGGTCTGCGTATACAGCCCTTGTGCGCACGCGATGCTCTTGCCGGCATACTTGTCCGGATCCGCAAGCATGGCCGCGATCCATTTGCCAGTGTCAGCTGCGACATCGATGAAGGCTGTCTTGGCGTCAGGATTGAGAATGTTGAACAACCCATACGTCCCGTCTCCGAGTGGTCTAGGCTTCTGCCGACCCGTCAAGTTTTGCATAAAGGAACCTGGCACGAAGAAGGATGACTTGATTGGCAATGTGCGAATGTACTGCTCTGTGTTGTATTTCGACTCGAACAGGTCAACATTCGGGTATTTGCCGCCGGAGATCTTCTTAGGAGACACCATGGATGACCAGATTAGATATTGAGCGCCACACTCCACGGCGAGGTCGGCAATGTGATTCCCCAGCTCCTCCTCTTCCTTGCCGCCTGTCCTCGTGTATACTGTTCTACTAGTTAGCTACGCAATGATAAAGTTGAAAAGCGGAGGGGAAGTGGCATACTGGACGTCGTCATGGAGAAAACGGTGTGGGCGCCATTCAATGCCGCTCTTAAGTCGGTGTCAGAGCTGGTGTCGCACTTCACGACTTCGACGCCCCGTTTAGCCAGAGCTTGGGATGACGGACTCGAAGGATCGCGAGTGAGACCTCGGATGGAGAATTCGCGAGACAAAGCTGGATCTTGCAGGACTTGATCAACAACGGATCCACCTTGCTGGCCAGTGGCTCCAAAGACCACGAGAAGTTTCTTGCTCATGCTTGCTCGTGTGAAAGATTTCGATCTAAAGTGATTGCGGCTCGGGGGTCCCAGACTGTGGAACAAAGTTTGATGAGGTGCTTCTTCCTCTTCTCGACCAACGGGCTTGACACCATTTATATCTTAATTTTGGGCCATCCTGTTCCCCATCCTGCAGAGCCATCCGCTTCGTTCTCATTACACCTAACCATCTTCATTCGTTCATTGAGCATGGTTGCTAACCTTGTTTCGTATTTACCCATACTGCGCTAACCTCGAATCGTATTCTGATCAGTTGAGTCTAACCTGTTATCGTATGTCTCGTTCAGCTCCGATTGGCCGCCACAGTCGACTTCAGTCTTCCCAAGTTTTAACGTACCTTCATGCTACCACCTCGTGATTCCGCGCCATTATTTCACCGCTGTGAACAGAAGTTTTGTTTCGGGCACTCAAGGACTTCAAGCGGAGATATTCGTATGCAATCTCCTGTTTCCGGGCGAATAAGACCGCGTGTCCGAAAGTCAACAAGTACGTCACTGTGCCCAGGCCTGCAAGGTTATGAGCTTCAACATTCTTCCTAACGCTGATATGCGGTCGAAGTTGAGAGTAGCAAGATTTTTCGACCGTCTCTTTATAAAAATAAAATCTTAGAAAACTCGTACCCCAGTACCCGTGTAAGCACATGTATTCATCTCCATCGTGGGAGATTGTACACCTTCTAGATACCGTTCCTGGGGGTGCCGTTGCGTCGACCATTTCATAGATCTGGACCACATGAAAAGCCTCCTCACGAAAAGCCCTTCTTCATGACATGCCCGACATCGATGCCTTCGTAAGTCCGCTGTCAAGCTCCAATTTTGGCTCTTGTGATGGTCTCAGCCGAGAATGAGCGCTCGACGAGGAATGCCTCAGCGTGTGTTGCTTTCCCAGTCGAGTTGATTGCTGCGCCCTTCTTACATGCTGAATCCTTCGTGTCCGGTGCTTAGACGCACAAAATTTGACCCAGATCCTTGACGGTACTTTCTGCGAAGAACCGCGCTGCCTAGACCCCAAATATTCACAGGTTCCGATGGAAGCAACACGAAGTAGCCGGGGCTGCGCTTACTTGCTACGCTCGTATTGCGTGAATAGAAAGCCCCAAAATAGCGAACCATTATGTAGAAATGTGAAAGGAAAAAAAAAAGGAGAGATGAATCTGCAGTCAATTGACATCTTGACGCATGCGCTTTGCACATTCGAAGCCTAAGATGGGCTATACTATATGTGTTAACAAGACACCTTCGTTCATCATTCTCTACGTCTGTATCCGACGCGTTTCGCCAGTCAAAGTCAACGCCGTGCTAAGCCCCGTCTCTCCTCCCGGAAAAGGGTGGTAAGGTGCCTGCGAAGAGAAAAGAAAGAATGTGAGAGAGAGAGGAGATTCCGGAGGCTACAAGAGACCGGGCAGGATGGCCTTCCTGCTTCCCACCTTGTCAGCGCCGAATTTCTTCACGTACCAATGCCAGCCCTGCAGCGCTCTCGGAGTCATGGTGGTGATCTCGTTGACGAAGAAGCACCTCGCTGGCGCACAGTGGAGACCGCCTATGATCCAGAAGCCTGCCCACTCGATCCACTCGCACAGGTAGTGCGGGTAGAGAATGTAGGCGAACAGGCCGTTCTCCGGCAGAAGGTAGACCTTGTCGACCCTGACCTGCTCGACGGGCTTTCCCTCTTCCTTTGCCTTCTTCTCCAGCTCTGCCTTCTGGCGTCTCATGCTCTCCCGTCGGAGCTCGCGCAGCTCGTCGTCGTGCCATATATTGCCGATTAAGCCGGCGAAGAAGACAACGGAGCCGATCGTGACGCGGGGCAGGGCGCCAGACCAATCGGCGTCCGTCGTGGGACCGTACCCGGCGAGCCAGCCGCCGATGCAGGTCGCGTTGAAAAGCTGGAAGCTGAGAGCCATACACCACACGAACGGGTGGATGGGGGATATGGAGGGCTGCAGGACGAGCGGGTAAAGGACGGCACGGTTCAGGTAGTGGAGCACCTGCGCGGCAATCAGCACCGTTTTAAGGGGAGCCGAACGATGACGGCGAGGGCAAAGGCGGTCAGACGTACAAACAGGCCGGCCATGAGCCAATTGTACGTCGGCAGCGAGCGCCAGTCCAGACCCAGCTGGTCAGGCAGGTTGAACATGATGTACAGCAGCGTGATGAAGCCTGGTGCCTCCATGGTGAACCAGGCAATCTTGCCGGGGATGTTGAAGCGCGAGTCAATCGAGGTCTTGCCCATGGGGTACCAGTCTGTGAGCCACTGCGCACCGGTGAACTACTCGCGTCAGCCTCATTGCACCAAATCTTGCCGCCGCCCGAGAACGGTGTCGTCGTCGTCGTCGAGGCAGGCAGAGCATGCGCCGACCACACCACACTCACACGCACCCACGTCTAAAGGAGAGACATTCAGGTGCGCACACAGTGTGGGGACGCGGAGAGAGGCGGTGACTTACGACGGGGAACAGGTTCCACACCACGACCGCCACGGTCCACGTCTGCAGGCTCGGCGGCAGGACGTCCGGGATCAGCACCATGGCTAGGTCGGTGAGGTCGCGTCTCGATATGTGGTGAGGAGCAGAACAAAGGCCTAAGCGGAGGGGTTTCACGGCAGCGGGGCGAGACGACGTTTGCGTGGAGGAGAGGAAGACGAGGGCAAAGGGCGGAGACGACAAGGAGGGGGCGAAGGAGGAAGAGGACCAGACGAGGAGCTGCGTCTGAGGGGGAAGGCGTGGGCGGCGATCAGGGAAAACAGTTTCGAGCGCTCGTTCGCACCGCTTTTCTCTTTTTTAATATTATTTTTTTTTCCGACCGACCTGTTGGAGGATCCATGGCGTCACAGACGCTGTCGCACAGCTTTTGCCTGTTCCTACCGCCACCCGGCCCCGCTAAAAGCTAGCGCTCTCGGGGACATCGCGCCAAATCTCCGCGTCAACCACTGAGGGCGCGGGGTGTTGCTGCACTGAGTGCTTTGATGGAAATTGCCGGGTAACGAGACACAAGACCTAGCCTCTTGACTGGCTGCGGTCGACATACTTGCCTTTCGTCGACTGCTGTGGTTGGTGTGATTGCCTGGCTTCTGGATGCTGGATCGATCTCAGTACAGTGTGATGACTCATGGATCGAGCCAATTGCTTAAAAGACGCGATCAGATTCCTAAAGAATGCATGGGTCAAGAATAAATTTCAAATTCGTTTCGTCTCTATATGCGTTACGCAGCAGGCATGCAATCTGTGGTTGTAAAAACGCCTCCCAAAAACAAAAAAAAGGACCAAAGCGAACGCCATTCATGCCGTATACTGATGCAAAAGCCGTAGCACTTGCTTCGCTCTCTTTCTCTCATTCTACCCAAGATGATCGTTTGGAGAGAAGCCAAACGAAAACGCCAGAAATGCGCCTCCACCCCTTGTCATATCCGCAAAACACCGTCATAGGACCTTTAAGATCCGCTTTCCTGTGGCGAAGCCTTCGCTGAGGATTCAGAGTTGGTGGTCTCACGAGACAGATCGCTTCCGTCCTCGTCAGCCATTGCCTCCACCTCGGCAGCAACCTGCTCGTACCACACGCCGTGACTCTTGCGATCTACATCGCTCATGCGCGTCAGAAGATCCACAATATCGCCCACATGCACGATAAACTCCGGCAGGCCACTCGTGGCCAGTCCTTCGCCAGCTGAGCTCGCGGCTCTTACACGTTCGTTGGACGACGACGCCGAAAGGCGATTGAAGACATGCGTCCGCAGCCGCTGGAAGAGCACTTTCACGACCGGGTCCGTGAAACGTCCGCTCTCAGCCTGTGGGAGCAGACGCGATATGGTGCCGAGAAGTTGAGTTTTGGTCGTCGCAGGCATGGGCTTACCGCTCTCGATGATCGAAAGGGCTTTGGATGCAATGTCTTCTGTCTCAGACGTGTATCCGTCTTTAAACAGTCCCCACAGTCGGTTGGCCTCGGGCTTCCATTGCGAACGTACGTCCCGTTTGAGCAGGCTCTTGGCCGTGAGGAGAATTGCCCCTATGATTGTGATGCGAACGGCGTCGCGGCGGATCTTGATGATACGATCACGGTCGAGCTGCAGAGTCTCTGGCAGTTCCGACTCTTTGAGCTTCGTGGACGCGATGGCCAGGTCCACGAGTCCGCGCGCATAAATCTTCTGCGCAGTTGGATTGTTATGCGGGTTACGCCTATCGCCTTCGGTCACGCAGTTCACATGAGCATTCTTCCACCACCTCTTTGTTCGACGCAACGTGATCTCGCCATGGACAAGCTGTTCGCCAAAGCGACGTTGTTCGTAGCCGGGCGCCTCCTGTATCAGGCGCGGTGCAACCGCTTTGAGAAGGTAGTTCGAATAGTCAAGGGAAAAAAGATCGATCATGCGAAGCAGCTTAGCGAGCTTCTCGATCATCTCCTCGGTGCTGCCGAAGTGCTGCAGCTCCTCACAAAGTGCCTTGACCTCCTCGTCGCGGACAGGAGCGCAAAGCTTGGGAAGCAATGCGGCCATGAAGTTAAAGAACTTTTCATATGAGAAAATACCCTGCGCGCATTGCTGAGCCACCAGGTCGGGATCCAGCACCTCCATAATCTGCATGCGCGTCGGACTGTTCGGTTTGTCGGGACCCAGCAGGTGCAACAGCTTCGCGCGGATGTTTTGCGCCATGGCAATGGTCCACGCGTCGCCGTCGCCCTGTGCGAAGCCTGCCTTCATCTGTTCGATGATCTGTCGATTCAAAGCATCCCGGAGATCCGAATGCGGGCCCATCTCGATTGTGTATTCTCTATCGATGGCAAGCTCATGCGTAAGAACGCGGTTGTCCGGCAGTACGGAGAAGAGCTTGGCAAAGGCCTTGTTCTGGACGTCCTCGACCTCAGAGGCTGACGGAGCGAGATGCGACGTCGCTTCCGGAGATACCGCCAGTGACTCATTGCCATCCGCTTTGTTAGGGTGGATGGAAGTTTCCGGAGCGACCCTCGGCCTCACGTCGCCAACGGGTTTCCTGCGAAGACGTCCTCTCCTCCTCGCTTCGCGCAGCGCTTTTGCAATCATGATGTTGGCTCTTTCCTTGCCTACCATTCTCTTGATGCGAACCAACAGCTGAATCTGGTTGTTACGTATGCCATCGCGATACTCCTCGGCCACACCCCCCGCGTTGTCATCCTTGACAGACTGCCAAATGGCATCCAGATGGACGAAGGTGGCCACCATGATTTCCACCAACATCGTCGAATCCTGGGCTTTCCACGCTTCGAACGCAGTCAGGTAGGTAGTATGCGCCAGCTGAAGCTCTTCTAGCAAAGTCGAGCTGGGCTGGTATCTGTTGAACTGTGTGCTCTTCGACACCGTCTCTTCAAAAGCCAAGATTAAATCTTTGGCCTTCTGTATCAAGTCCTTCTCCTGCTCTCCGTCTCGCGTCAAGACCTCGGTTGGGTGACCGAGCAGGAGATAGGCGGTAAGGAAGTTGCGCGTCGGGGTCTGCAGTGCCATCGCCGATGTAGGGCCCGTGGCTGCAGCTTCGTCTACGCGATAAAGCCCGTACATCTCGAGGACCTGCTTCGTGACGGAAAGCACATGATCGTCCAGCAGTTTCTCGCGTACGGCTTCGTAGCTCGAGCTCTGCACCTGATCAATGCTCATGCCCAGTGCGGTAAACGCACTCAAGATCCTCTTCCTGCGTGTCGCCCTCCACACTCTCTGGATCCTCTGTGCTGCCGTCTTCTCGTCCAAAGTTGAAGGCGGCGGGCTCGGCGGTTTCTTCAGGCCCCCCGCGTTCGGCGGCGTGCTCGTCGTTCGGGGTCTCCGCAACGTCCGCTGATACTGCAGCCTCCGCCTCTCCGCCTCCGCGTGCTTCTCCTCCATCTCCAACCTGTACCTTTCCTCCTCGGCCGCCCTCTTCTCCTTCATCTCCTCGGCCTTCTTCTTCGCCTTTCGCACTTCCTCCGCGCACGTCTGCGCTATCTGTGCCAAACGAACCTCACGCGCCTGCTGCGCAGCCAGGGCCCTCTCCTCGCTGTTCGAAGACCGAGGCGCGGACTTGGCAAGTGCCGCTCGTAATCGCACTTGCTCGGCGTGCGCTTCCCTCGCCGCCAGTCGGTTCTTCCGGCTCTCGATGATGCTCGCCCGCCGCAAGTATTGCGCGACATGGTTGTTCCTGCAGGCTTGCCTGTACGAGCTGTTCGACATCTGCGAGTGGTTTGAGGTGAGCGAGTTGCGGCGGGAAGATGCGGCCGACGACTTCCGTCGCGCCATGGTCGGTCTGTAGAAGCGCGCGGCGATCCTGGCAGGCGGCGAGAACGCCTGCTGGGCGCCATCCGAGCAGCTCATGTCCTCGGATTCCTCAGGGATGTCGTCGTCTTGGATGTCGGTCAGGTCGACCTCGGTCAGCGGCCGTTGGCTGTCCATGCTACGTGTCTTGTGACCGGAGTGCGCAGGCGCAGGCAGCAAGGACAATGTTGAGTGCTGTGTTCGTGATGCGACAGAGCGACGTGCCGAGAGCGCAGATGCACAACTCTGGAGCGGCGCTTCGAAAGCGGCGTGTGCAAATGTGATTCCGAATGTACAGAGGGAGGAAGTCGACAGAAAAGCGAGCGGTGGTTTGCGTGATCAGATCCAAAGAAGGATCCTGTTTCAAAGTTGTCGGGCTTGGGTGGGGTGGGCGGTGTCCGTGTGCGAGTGAGAGTGAGCCCGCCCGCTGATTACGAGCAAAGCGAGCGAAGGATGCGCTACAAGCCCAAAAGCAAGAGGTGGAATTCAACGGCGGCAGAAGGGGGGGCGAGGAAATCGAAATCGGGAAGAAAAGGATGAACGAAGCCAAAGGAAAAAGAAGACGTCTCGCGACAGGCGCGTGGCCCACAGGCGCAGTTAGTGGAGGAAGAACAGTGGGAGGGTGACGGGGAAGTTTCGAAGGCCGGGAAAGCCAAAAGGCAGAAGAGGCAGGACTTGGCTGTGCGTGCGAGTGCGTCATGCGAGGTTGGGCGCAAAAAGGTACGACCCAGCCCAGCCTTTTCTCGCATCTTGCACGCTTCGTCGAACGTCGTCGCGCACGTCGGAACAGCGCATGTTCGTGCCCTCTCTCCCAGCCAGCCGCGAAGATCGCAGATCCTTCCACTGCGTGGTAGAAGATTCCACCCGGCGAGTTCTTTCTTGTTCCTCTTCTCGCTTCGTCCTCTGGGGCGTGGACGTTTCGGACTGCCACACCGCGGCTGTCCGTACTGCAACATGCTGCCTTCGCAATGCTGAACCTGAAAGAGCTCTTGTGCTCGCTTCCCACAGCGAGAGGCGTGCGAGAGGCATGTCGTGCCCCTCCCCCGTCGTGCTCGATGACTTCATCGCTTGCCAGGCATGTCGACGCATCCGAACTGGGCGGATCGTTCCATGCTTGAGATCCTGACCAGCCCAATCCAGATTTGCGACAATCCAGATCGTGACTTGACAACCAAAACTAGAAAGGAAAGCGAGCAAAGACAAAAGAAGAAAATCAAACAGATATTAGAGGCAAAAATTCGACGAGTTGACAAAAAGACTAGTCTATCCTGTCTCTGTGCAAGGCGTGACACTATCCCTCGTCTTTCCCGACGTGGAATCCAGAGACGAACAACTAGATCTAGTTTTTACATCACGACGCACCCGTTCAGACTGTCAAAATACATATTGTTCCCAGCCAGGCTTCAAGGCCCGCTGTACAAAATTACATTTCGCCATTTCGGCCATAATTATACACAGCTACCGCTCAGATTGGGTTGGCCTCTTGGCCGTCCCTACGCTGAGACCGTTATCTAGTTCATCGGCCGTGAGAGTCGGCGACAGTAACCATTACTATAACGTGAATCACAAGTTAATGAAAATCCTGTGCTACCTCTTGGTAGTCCCTACACATCGATGGCATCCCTCGGCTTCTTGTTCACTTAGAGAGCAAGAAGGCTGCCCGCAGTGTGACCGTTCATTTTAGCCGAACCATAACTCTCTCGCTGGGGTTGGAAGGTACTCGAACCAAGATTTGCTAGCATGCACCTTAGCACTCCTTCCAAGCCCATGTCCATGGGGCCGTCCTTCTGGAAAACATGTCAAACCGGCGTAGCGGCGACAGAAGTCGAATGGAAGGCCGGTGCTGGCATCCCCGGTTCTTGTCGCGACCCTACAACGCACCGCCATCCATCGGAAGGGATAAAACCTCTTTTTTCGGTGAGATCGGTCCCAAAGTTTGCTTCTCGCCATGCCAAAGAATGGTTCGTTCCTGAATCGCCTTTCCATACCGCCGGAGAAAGGGACAGGACCCTTTTCCCAAAACTTTTTTTTTTGAAACCCGACCCTCCGGACATACAGACCCGAATAAAGCATAGCTTTGACAAACGAAAAGAACGCCAGTTGCGTTTCAGTTGGACACTTCGGCAACTTCTGCTAGTCTCGCGTGCTGAATTATGTCTGGGCCCAGATGAGGCAGCTGTACCAGACTCGACACAGGAAACAGACTTCCCAGACTTGCAATGCGACTCATTAGTGCTCGTCTGTTCTGTTGAATAGAGTAACGCGTAGGTGCACTCGCCGCCGAGGCTTGCCCCCGCAGAATTGATAGTTCTAAATTCTACGCGTAAAAAAGTATGACATCGGCTTTGTACAATGTCGCTGACAGGGAAGAAAATTTTTTTTCTGAAGGAGTGCTTTGCCGCCAATCATGCCGAGTGACGTCGTTGACAAAAGGACTGTGGGGGTATCGTGCTCTGAAACTCATGACATCGTAAAAAGGAGATCTGTACAAGTATGCAGTGCTCACCTGGTCGCTGATCTTGAGCGGCCAAACATGGAGCGGAAGAAATTGTGGAGCTTGCCAGAAGGCGAAGATGGCATCGTCTGAGGTAGGGGAGGCGCAACCTCCATAGGACCGACAATGTCCTGGTCTCCGAGCGTTGGAAATTTGCCATCGTAGCGTGGGTCGCAGATTGTAGGCATATTGGTAAGCGGAGCAGGCTCAACCGGAGTGACTGGCATTGCATCGCCGCGGAGAAGACTGGCCTGCGCAGAAGCGAAAGCGACGTTCTCTCTCCACTGCGCATCGATGCTTCGCCATTTCTCCTCGGTCAGCTTGAACGTCTTGGAGCCGGCGCCATAGTGCTCCACTACCCGCGCTCGGTATTTGAAGTACTGCTGGCGCGCGGTTTCCCAATCCATGACCAGCACCTGACAGGTCTCTGCATCACACACCGAAGGACGGTAAGGGGCAGGATCGATAGTGAAATTTGCGTGACCGAGCTTGACACTCCACTCGTCGACGGCATCTTCCCTGTACATTGGAGGGACGTCCGGTACACTGGCGAAGGTGCTTGTGCGTCCACGTTGGAACGACGAGATAGACGGCTTGGATGACAGGGGCGGAGAAGGGAGCGCAGACACACGCGGGGCTTCGTACGTGGTTGAGCTGACCATGGAAAAGGTCTTGTTTGGGTCTGCTATAGTCGGCGACTGCAGAGGACTATAGACAGGTTCCACAATCGCCTCGGCAGACGAGGTCATCATGGGTGGCAGCAGCGGCGTTGACGACAGAGCCCTGCGATCAAACGGTTCCTCGACGCTCAGTCTGTTGACCTCGTCGACCGGGGAGGCGGGCGTGCTGATGCACGAAACAGACATGGCAGGTGTTGGCGGCAGGACATCGTTCTGATCAAAGCCGGGAAAGTGCGCGCTCGTCAGGGACGAGGAGCGACTGGAGGCCGGTCCTGAAAAGTTCGACGTTTGAATGCCCAGCCCAGCCGGAAGTGCAGCGTTTTTGCGGCTGGTAAACTTTTTGGTGAAGGAGTTCAGACGCAACGACAGCGTGTTGAAGGTGTCCATGGACCGTTGGTGCTTCACCTCCCGACATGGCGCTGGTCGGCCGCTGTAGTCGTCCAGAGCATGGGCATCAAAGCCGTGGCTCTCACGCAACAAGATGGTGCTGCGGTCGACGTCGTCGAACCGATCTGCGGATTTTTGTCAGTCTGGCAACAATACGGCAGCGAAGGGGCCAATAACGTACATGAATCGAACGAGTCGACGGGATGGTCATCCCTGGGGCAGACGTCTTCTTCGTTCTCGGCGGGCTCTTCAGGAAGCTGAGGCATGGGTAGTTTGCAGGTAGATCCGAGATTGTCGATATGTTCGTACACGGGAGACGTCGAATTTGAAGTCATCGACGAGCCCGAGCTTGGAAAGCGAGAATGACCGCGCACCGAGAAGGTGGGTGTGGTTGGACCGGACAGATCGGACGCGCTTGAGATGGAACCTGCAGAAGCGTGGCCGCAGACGGAGCTCTTGGTCGCCGTGACGTCCTCGCATGAAAGCGAGGCACCGGCGCTGCGGTCGAGTGCCATTTTGGGGAGGTTCAGTGGCCGTAGCTCGCGCATTCTCGCAACGACGGGACTTCAGTGCTTGGGACCGTTCGTTGCGAAGGGTCCCATCACTTTAAGGACGAACCACGGCGGGGTGAGGTCTTTCGTCGCGCTCGTCCAGAAAGAGAAGAATGCGCTGGCCGCACGCGGCGCTCGGTTTGAGTGGAAAGCGAAGAAGTACTGGCGAAATTGTATCGTGGGCCAGATGGGAGCCGTGGCGGTGGACGTGGGATGGTGCCACGAGAGCGCAGCCACCGCAAGACAGCGACGTGGTGAACGTTCTTTTGCTGCTGCGCGACTTTTTGGTAGACGGGGAGCTAGGTCACAAAGCTACCAGCGAATGATGCTCGGTCGGTCAGGAAAGACAGCAGAGTAGCAGCACATGTAGCGGATGGAGCATACACGCCGCGTCAACAAGCAGCACGTGTGCTGGCGAACCTAGGGCTCGGGTGGCCGGTAAGCGCACGACGGGGAGCGAGGCCGCAAACAGGTTTGAAGCCGTCGTCTTTCCTTGCTGCCTGTTTTGCTGAGGCACAAACAAGGCGTGACAGATGGCGAGCCGCGGGCGATGTTGGTCTCTGAGCAGACGGCGCAGGCAGGGAGAGAAAGGAGCGCGTCGTCGTTGATGTTGGCGTTCTTGTTGTTGCCGCTGGGCGGTGCAGAAAAAGTCGGGAGGCAAGAAAATGGTCGGGCTATGGCGGCCGTTTTGTGTTGCGCGGGAGGGCGCCGTTGCACCAACGCCTTTGACGCGCGCGCGAGCACGAAGAAGATACAGCAAATATGCCCGTGCCCGAAGACGGGTGTGTCTGCGAGGAAGTGTCTGAGGATATGCGAGACGAGATGGATTTGTCGTGCTCCTTTGTTTGAGCGGGAGGAGGAAGAAAAAGTATGACGGGCCCACACGCGCAGAAGCCTTTTGTCAAGCCAACGACGAGCCTACTCATCGGCGTCGTCTAGCAAGGTCTTGGGTTCTTTTTTTTTCTCCTCACAAACAACACTTCCCACCCGACGGGCGGGTCCACCACTGCGAAACTTTGCTGGGTTCCACCAAGGGTGACTGGCTTGCGAACGAATGTGCCCGTCGGGCGGGAAACAGCGCAAACATCCATCCCCCAGCCCGCCTGCCCACAGCCCCCGTCAGGTCGCGCTAGGCTCGGGGAACGCCAGCGCTCCTAACGAAAACGCTTCAGTAGGCCTCACTGGCGGACCTGAACCGTTTTCGTCCGTGGACTCGAAGCCTTTCATTCATCCCGCTGACGCCCAGCAGGCCGTGCTGCCGTCGTGTCCGCTGCAGTCGTTGCGATCCAAAGGCTTCCCCAGTTTCAAGCGGACGCCGTGCCGTGGAGAGATGTGAGAGACAAGCGACAAAAGACAAGAGGCGATCAGCATCAGCGACAAGATCATCGTCGTCTCTCGTCGCCGACAACGACAACGACCGTTATGCAAAAAGTCTATGTGCCCCTTTGGGCCTCCCTTCTCCGCCATCCTCTTGCAATTGAATCCTTCGCCGTGTCAATGCACCTCGGCCAGCCGCGTGCTTGTCTGTGTCTGCGTGTGCGTTGTCTCGCCCACAAGAACGAGCCGTCGCACCACCATCACCGCTACGACCATGACTGCTTCTGCTGCTGGAAGCTCACATGTCTCCTGTTCTGCCCGGCCGTCTCAGAGCGCAGCTGCTGCAGTAGCAGCAGCAGCAGCGTTGAGATCCTTCCGCAGGTCGGAACACTGCGCGTGCAACCCCAAGTCCCGAGACGTCCTGACAATGCATGCGACGGCCACTTGTGTAACGCATATTTGTCCAGGCCTGAAGCAAATCCTCCAAACGCGCTCCTCGGACAATGGTTGTCCTGCCATGCCCTGTCATACGCACACATCGCATTTATTGTGCCTCGCATGAGACCTCGCTTCTGTCCCGTCTATCTTTGGCAGCCGCTCCTGCAAACCCGGCGCCCGCGTAGTCAACAGAGAGCCGCTCCGTCTCTCAGCTCGTCCGAACCAGCAATGCCGAGGTCTCGCCAAACGACGGCGTCTGGCCGCCAAAAGGCGCGCACGATCCGTGACGGATTCGCGAGACCATCGCGACGTGAAAACACTTGGAAAGCTTCAAGCTAGCATATCCTGGCAAGCACTCTTTGGCTGCAAGGGCAGAGCTGGCTGTCTAGCGAGTGGCCGGCTGGACCTGCATGCCCCAGCCCGAACAAAACAAACACCAAAAGACTGGACCTCCTCGCCTGTAGGTCATCGAGGTTTCGAAACGACGTTCCCAGAATCAGATCGGCCTTGTGGCAGATCGATTCAAGCATCGCGAACGACTCGTTACAGCATCTGAAGCCGCCAATCGATTCAGACAAGTCGCCATTCCATTCCTGTTTCTCGTGCGAGTCAGCTCGGCTTTCTCGTACAGGTACGTTCTCGTAGGGTGGATCTGCCGCCGGCCACCGCCACACGACACCGGATGTGCTCCAACGGCTGTCCACAGAAGCCCAAGGAAGGCCGACAGGCGTGCGTCTGCCAATCACTGTCGTTGCCGAAGACCCCGACTAGCCACAAAGTGCCAATGGTCTCCGGCCATCGCGTGCGTCAGAGAAGCCTATTCTCCAGGCCCGGTCGTGTCCCTTGCTTTCATCTAAGCCTGTTCAAGGAACGTCTCCTGCAGCTTTTGACGTCACAAGCGTGCCGTTCAGTGATTGGCCATGACGGTGAGGAGCGTCGGGCCCCGGCGGCGTCCCTCTGGTGGACACGGCAAGCATGCATGAAGCCGTCAGGTTCACGATGCGCTCCTCTCGTCTGGCACACCTTCACTCCTCCCTCTGCCTGTGGTTGTTCAAGGAGTTTCACCAGTGCATGGAGTGCACAGCAGATGGTCCCTCTCTTTCGACGCAAGAACGACAACTCGCCCAGCGTTCTGTGTCCGTGCCACGGCCCCCAAGCAAGTGAAAACTTTGCGAAGATCTATCACGAACGACTCTGAGCCACTCACAACGTCCGGTCATATCGACTTTGAGAATCTCCTCCCCTTTCATCGTCTGCTCTGTGGCGGCGTTTTGATTCCATCGCAAACAAGCCTTCAACAGGTTTTTTTTATAGAATCGTCTGGAGCTCTTCGATTGGTCTGCCTTGCCACCCAACAACAGGTTTGGTGACGCCGACAATCACCAGAATCTATTGAAGGAATAGGCGGGTGCTTCCGCTCCCAACATTTATTCCTCGCAGTGAAAAGAGCGACGGACCGAGAATAGCAATCCTCGTCTGCTGCTGAGTTTTGATGACGACACTCTCCTCCGTAGATCGTGGCACTCAAGACGGGTGCAACCTTCACACACCCCTCCTCCCGCCGTCCAACTTCCCAACCTTTGTCCCTGCCTTAGCTCCGGGCACAAGGACTGATAGCTTGCCGTAAGATCAGAAAAAGTGCGAAGTGATATCTATGCTTTCTCGGCAAACTTAGAGCCGCTGATACGCACGCGCAAACTCAAAAAAAAACTCCTAAATTAATCTTACGCCTCACTTCAGGGAATGATGAAGTATACGCGCAGAGGCATCTTCCCGGGAGGTCTTCAGGTCTGCCTAGATCGTTCCTGGAAATAGGGCAGAGGAAAGGAAGGACTGTCACCAATGAAATAAGCAGCCTGTTGCTGGTACAGTCGTTTTGGACTCCACAATTTTTGCCGTTTTCATAAAGCTTAACCCCGCCGCGCTAGAGCCTGGACACACCTGCAGTAGTGCTGAGAGGAAACGCGCGACCTACGTTTTGTCTTACATGCGTGTTGCTCATTTCCACACGCGCTATGATGGCTGCAAGACGTAACAACGGCGGAACCTCTTTCATGACCAAAGTGGAGCGAAAATGACGGCCAGTATTGGTGATGCACAATTCGATAAATGTGGGTGGGTTTTTTGATGGAGACGGTGGAGCTGTGGCTCGATGCTGAGAGTGGCTTTGGCTTCCTCAATGCGCAACTCGTGAAGAGGATCAACGCTCGGGTTATCACATGGAAAGAACAGAGTCTACGTTTGAAGATGGTCGAGCCATCTGAACATATGTCATTGAGTCTCCACACCCCTGCTATTGGTTGGAGCAGACAACGTTGGTAAACCTCGTATCATCCACGGCAAGCAGTATCACCACAGGATCGGCAAGTGCCATCGGTGGGAGGTATTATACAGAATGTTGATAACAAATGCGGCATCTCGCAGCTTATACGTCGTCAAGCAGCAACGAGGACATTGATGGCCTAAACTTGATCCTGCGTCCCAGGAACAAACGGTGTGACCAGGGGGGAAAGGGCAACCGTGAATTTCTGGTCAAAGTTTAAATCCAATATTTCGACCAGATCGCCTTCTCTTCTTCTGTGCCTTCAAACACAAAATCGACCCGTGTGACGTCCTCGAATCCTTCCTCAACGTCCGGCGGCTCGAAAGCGTTTTTGTACAGGGGAAAGGCGTTGCCCGGTAACATCGCCCTGTCTTCTGGGTTGTGCGCCTTGTTAAGGGCTCGAACCGCGTCGTTGTGCTGGCACAGGGCAGGTTCTGCAGTGAACCACACGCATCGAACGGGTACCTTGAATTGCGCAGCTAGATCAATCCATACCTTGCGGGTGGTCCGATCCCGGTTCGTATTGTCCACGGCGACCGACTCCTTTTTCCTCAGGTGTTCCGTGGCCACTTTGACGCATTTGTCTCGCGACTTAAGAATGTCTTGATTCACACGCGCATAACCTAGCGGCTCGAGGTGCCTCTTGAAGAAGCTGGATTTTCCCGAGCCGGGGGAGCCTACGAAAACCACCAGGTCAAAGTCATGCTTCTTGCTGAAAGGGACCGGTGAAGCGTCCGTCGAGCCTTTGTCGATTGGCTGGATGTACCTCGACGGCTGGAATCCGCGTTCGAACGGCTTGGGCTGCTCTCCCAGGAAAAACTCCTCAGGCGTGTGGAACGGCAGGCCGATATTGTCTGCGAAATTCCTACCGTGTGTAAGCAAATGACATGTGCGACAAATGCGCGTGGAGGCTGCCAACCTGTCGCTACACGAGAAGTCTTCCTTCTTTGATCCCTCCTTCAATCTGCCGGCCGCGTCGCCCACAAAGACGCTTCCGCACAAATCGATCCCGTCCGGCGTCAGTCCATGATCCTCAAGTAGTACTTGCCACATGCCCACCCTGGGCTTGCGATAGATATCCTTCTCCGTAGCTGCATACAAAGAAATGGGAATGTCGAGCTGATTGAAGACGCTCACCGCCCTCTGCTTGAACTGGTCCAATCGTTTTTTGTCCATCTTCGCCGTCTTTGAGTCTGATCTCAGTCCAATAGCTCCTTGGTTGCTGACGATGGCCACAAGATAGCCCTCTTCATGCATCTTCCGTAGCTTGGCCGGCACGCTGCTGTGCCACCATTGCCAGTCCGATGCGTCTTTGGCGAAGCGGTTACCAGACTTCGTCATGATCAGAGTGGAGTCCTACAATCGACAAGTCAGCGTATTGGTTGCGCGTGGCAATGTGGACTCTTTCCCCGCATACAAAGTCAAACGCAGCTATCTTGCGCTTTTGAGACTGCTCTATTGGTTGCGGACGCTCTTTCGAGCCGTAGTAACGAGCCGTGATAAGGCTGCCATCGCGGATCTTCCAGCTGACCTTCTCCGGCTCCTTCTGGCTGGCAGGCTTGAAGAAATTCGAGACGGCCTTCTCTGATTCGTTTCGTCAGCGATTTCCATCTGCACACGTGACGGGTAAACCGTACGACTTATCGCCGTCGTCGCTTTTCGCTTGACCGGAGGGGGCGAGATGTGGCCCTCGTCTTCCGCGGTTCTCTTCAAAGACGGGGTGGGAGAAGTCGTCATCGCGACTCCCAGACGACGGGATCCACGCGTTACGACGTGTTTCTGATTTTCTACCGCTTTGAACAGGTGGTACCCACGCCGCAAGATGGTTTTCATTCGAAAGTAAAAATAAAATAAAAAGTTCAAAGGACAAACCTTCAATTGAAAGACCGCAGGGTGTGACTTAGAATACAGGCTCCAATGGCGCTAAACTTATTCTGGCCATCGAGACTTCACAGTTGTAGGGTGGGGGGGGGGCTGCGTTAAGGTGTCCTAGGACGGCTTGCTGGGCTCGAACGAGATGAAGACTCAACCAGGAGAACTGAAAAACATTTCATTTAAATCGTATACATTCTGCACATCTTTTGTCCTTTACAAAACCTGAGCGCCTGGCTATCCTGAATTCCAAAGCCATAATCCCGGACCGTAAACCACCATGATCGTAATACATCATTCATACAGCGAGAGACAGCAATCTAGTCCCAACCAGATACGCAAAAAATCTATCTGACGCAAGAGAAGCTTTACAATGAGCACTCGTTCTGGCTGCGCTCGCTTTGTGCGTCTGCTTCATCAGCATTGACAACTCGTAGCCTTTGTCGCGGCACGGTGAACATCAACTGCACCACCCTTCTCTCAGCAGCTCGTTCCACGTCCCAGTCTCCCTCCAGTTCTCCATCTGGCGCACTGGGCCTTTGAATTTCGGTGTCGTCCTCCTCATCATCTACATACCAATCCTGTGCACCCCTTCTCGATCGCAGGAACGACGCATCACTTTGGGACCGCCTCTGTACCGGTTGATCTCCGTCCCTCGATCTAGGCTTCTGCGGTGATGACGAACGCGAACCCTCTTCGCTGTTTGTGCCAGCGGATACCGTAGTGGCCGGCCTGGCTCCGGATATCGCTCGTTTGACACTTCCAAACCAACCCACTTCTCGCTTGTCCTTTACTGGACTTGACGGCTCGCTCTTGCCTCTTGAGCGATGGCCTCCGAGCAGAGCCTCGCCTTCAGCTTGCAGCTGCGAAAAGGACGTCTGGGCTGTGCTGAATGTGTCACTGTCATTCTGGGCCAAGGATCGGGTTGGTGAAGGAGCTGCGCCCGAGTTCACGGAGGAGTTCCTTCGATGACGCCGCTGCTGGGAGGGCAACGTCGTCCTGGCGTCCGCAGCGGTGGGCGATGTTGAACCTGTACCCACGAGTGTAGTGGTAAAACTGTTTAACAGTGCGGCTGATCTTGTCGAAAGCGTTCGGACTATTCCGGATGGTCCAGCATCACTTGAGCGGCTCGACCACGATGAATGACCTGAACTCTCAGACAGCATTGTAGTGGTTCGGTCCGACTTCGAAGGAGAGCTTCGGCCCTCCGACGCTGGAGCCTGCGCTGGTGGAAAGCCAGGAGCATTGATCAAAGCCTCGGCAGCTTTTTCCCAATTGTGAACCCAACCTTGTACTTCATGTTCCCGCTCGCTCGCCGTTCTGCCAAATTCTACATCGCAATCACCTTCAACTGGGTGACTTCTAAGCGGACTCCCGCTGTCCGTGAACGGGTCAGACGCTGTTGTTGGCCTCAAAAGAGTAGCTGTGCGTTGCTGAAGCGCTGATCGCTCTTGTTCATGGCTTGACCTCAGGCTTTCCTGATCCTGAATCTCTTCGATAACTTCCATGTTTTGATTCCGTCTCTTTTCATAGGCATAGGCAGCTCTGCCGCCTGATACATGTCTACGCAAGCCCCTGGTTGGACTCGGCACCTCAACCAGCAACCCTGTGCGTTCGGCTAAATTGGCAGAACTTCGCCAATTTCTGTAGACTTGTTCAGCGGCGTTGTTTCGGTTTCCAGTAGGAGACATTCCAGCTGACTTGCTTTGGTAACCATCCGCCTGCGGCATACCCCATTCATCCGTGCTGTATCGATCAACATCAGAGGTAAAGTCATTTCCTTCCTTCTCCCGATCGTCCCGTTGTTTCCTCGGTCTAATTCTCCAGAAATAAACACACAACAATGCTGCGATCGCAACAGCACCGAATCCAACACCTATGCCTAGACCTGCTTTCTGAGAAGTTTTCGAAAGCAGTCCCGATGTTGACGAGCTTGCGCTTGGAGCCGCGTATGACGCGATCCACGAGCTCGAGGACACATTGAATAAATAGGATCTTGAGCTAAACTTCTGATCCGCTCTACGAAATTTTGAGCCTTGAGAACTGATCGAATATCCACCCGTGACCAGCATGACATCACCTTGGAGCATGACCGCTCCATGGCCGTAAATTCCAGCGTCCGCTCCAGGTCCATTCTCAGCGGTGACATCTGGAACAGTCCAGCTCCAGTCACCAGAGCCACCGTATTCGTCTGCAACATTCAAAATCGCCAGTTGCGGCTGAGCTGGGGTATTGACGTCGCCAACCCAGCCTCCGAAGACGATGATCTTGGTGCCGTCTGATGAGAGCACCGCAGTGTGCCCCGAACGTGGCTCAATCTGTACATCTGTGTCGCGGACGGTTAAATCTGTGCGTGTTCCAGCATCTCCTTGAGCCACAGGAAAGTACGTCCAAGCCGCCTGCGGAAGTGACCACAGGGCAACTTGCGACATATTGATGAATGCGTTTTGTGTGTGGCCTCCGAGCAGAACGAAGTCTTGCTGCTGCGTTTGGGATCCATCCGAATGATTCGAGTATGTCGCAGGCAGCGCGGTGAGACTTTGGCCTGCCTGTGCAATTGGCAGATTTCTGGTTGTGGCAAGGTCACTTTCATATGCTATGTGGCCATTCACCAACGACGGCATGAGCGAAATCATACTGTTTGAGTAGTTGGCGGACGACTGCCAGCTAGAGGTGGTGGCCTGTGAAGTTGGGCACATACCCCCGAAGAAATAATAGGTAACGCCTGTTGCCGTCGCTGTCACGTTACTCGCGAATGCGATCGCGGATGACAGATATTGTGGCCCAGTGTTCACTGCGCTACCTTCTGACTGCATCACTTGTCTCCAGTCCGGCAATCCCAATTCTCTTCCTTGCGTGTTGAGTTTCCATATCTGTGCGTCGCCTCCACATGCGCCCGTATAAATGGTTATATTGCCATTGGAATCGATGATGGCATTGAAGGGTATATTTGTACCATTGTCGAGAAATGGCAAGGACGACGATATAGTTTGCAGCGGGAGATTCGATGCGTCTATGCCGCTCGTCAGATCCAGCGAGGATAGAGTAAACTGCGAGCCAGCTGGATCTGCCGGCTGGAGAACATAAGCGAGCAATTCGTTCTGCGGCGACAGAAAGATATGAGTGGGATTGTAGGGTAACTGCTGTGCAAAGGCGGCGCGAATGGACAGCAGAAGCACTGAGCCGGGCAGCTTGAAAAGGCCTGAAGTTTTCATGTCTTAGAGCGCCCCTGGGGGTCCTCTAAGCGATTGGACGTGATGCGCAGGTTTCGAGCTCGTTGAGTTGGCAGTGCACATAGACTATTGACGGGACATTGTGGTTTTGGGCAGATTTCCGCGAAGCCGCGCAGCGCTGACGGCGTTGAAGGTTTACGGCGGAACTGACTTGAGGAAAGAAATGTTGCACAAGACCTGGAAGATGAAGAGTCCCAAAAATGGTACGGCTGAAGGGCACCGAAAACACTGCGTTATCGCGGGTGAATGAGTGCACAGCTGAAGTGGGGTTTGTGTGTTCGCGCGTCGAAGCCGGACTGTTTATCACAGCACGAGGCGGGATGGTGCCAGCCACAAGATTGCGCAATTCGGGACCGTATGCAGCACTATTCGCTCAGCCGACAAATGATGAGCGAACGGCTGAGTCCCGCCTCAGATCATTCTTCGGGCATGCTCCGCGTGCGCACGTCGTGTATTGCGCGATAAGAGAGCGCGTGGTCTCGGCGTGTGGGCGATTCACCCACGTTGCCGGGGAAACAAGCCGAGATCGTGATTTACGCGAGATGGGTTCCGTTCCCACTTCTCAGCATTGCGGAGGAACCAGGTTTCAAGCAACATTTGCATGTGAAAGGAGACGATAAACTTGACCAATGTCCTCTTAGACACTCCCTACTGCTGCTCGAGAAGATAGAATTGTTTGGGTCGCGCAAAGTATCTTGCATTTCATCCTCAGGCCGGGCGCAAGGTTGCAAACAATGGACACACAAACACCGCAAGGAGTGACCGGAGCGGCGCACAGAGCCAAATGCTTGTTGCCCAGTCACATTATTTGATGGAGGTATCGGTGTCTGCCGAGACCACATGCTATTACAGGTTACAGGGGCAGTCTACCGCAAAGTCTGTTTGATGCCAAGATGCTGGGTTGTCCGAAAGTGAGAACGACTTGCGGATGGAATACGCGTATGTGCAGAGAACCTTTTCGGTTCTGTATTATCACAGAGCGCTGGTTGCTTTCAGCTGTCTAGATCTCGCAGCCTGCCGCGTAATGGGTTTGTATGGCACCCGCCCATGGTAAGACAGCAAGTCTCGAGCGCTTCAAAATCGTCCCCGCATCGTAATGTGCTGAGAGCATACGAGCCCTCAAAACCACGGGAGCTGCCGTTTCTGCACACCGAAACGTGCGTGGTCTTCGGGGAGCACTTGACTTGCGTTCGTTCACGCAGAAGAGCAGGAGCGTCGTCTCGCCCGTCCATTGCCAATAATGGTGACGGTATGTAAGTTCACGTCGGATGATAGACCTCTTGCGTTTTCAGATTTACCATAGTTCTAAGAGCCTTGTATTTCAGCCTCCATTGATGCATGTCACGCTTCCTTGGCTCAGCCATCTGCTGTCCTAAATCAAATTGGAGGTGCCAGAGCCAGTTCCGACCAAAATCCAGGCGACCAACTTACAGCTGCAAATCTGGGCTCCTCCCGGCGCACATTCTGGCCCTTCTTTTCCTTTGACTTATTCGAAATGCTACTCCTCAACACCACAAGCATTAAGCTGCGCATATTGTTTAACGATTTACGGAAGTACGCGATCCCGTCGCATACTGAGTCGAAAGATCAAGAAGTATCACTGCAGGAGCTGAAATCCCGCAGAAACAAGTACAAAAAAAGGCCGGACCAAAATTAAGTTTATACTTGCCTGGTCGCATCACGGTTCAGAAGACAGCGATTCTGGAAAATCAGCCTCAGACTGTTCTGTCACAACACAAGTTCTTGTGAACAATCCAACAGCTGCACCTGTAGCGACCGGAACAACGCTCTAGTCTGGATATCGGCAGTGCGCTCATAAATTTTATAGGAGAAGAAGGTTCGAAAGGCATGTAAGGCTATGCCGTTCCCATGGATTCGATATCTCTAGGCTATTTGAAGTGTATAGTCGCATTCAATATGTTCGTCGACGGCTTTACCAGTCAACCGTAAACAGAATCGATCAATTCTCTTCCAGAAAACATTGATTAGTAATTAGCGTCTCAAGGGCTGGAGAGATTGACAGTGAGTTATTATCACGGCTGGTACCATTGAGCCCCGATATATGTCTGTCCGAAAACTTGTTGAGATTTAGTCAATTGAGTTATGTTCTGTGTGAACGAGAGGTACATCTAACGAGTAATTTTGACACAAACGGGTCTCCTAGGCTCGATAAAGCTGTCAAGTACGAACTTCTGATACTGAAGTATCCAAAATTCAAGGTCTAGTAACATGGTTTGCGAAAGCCTTAATTATTACGAATTAAGCAGGTCTCAACCACAGACATTACCCAGGTGGCAATTCATATACTGAAGTTCAACAGCTATACGTATAGCCACCGTACGAAAGTCATCCTTGCCGACAAGGCGGAGTCGGTAGCCCCCAACTACATGTTCCATGAACATGATAACAAAGGCTTCGAAGACGAGTTTTGTTCTCCATTGTTTAACCATTTCAAGGCTTCGTTCTCCTCTCCATTTGCAGTTCCTGCTTATGCTCGCTCAGAGTTAGGATATTATGCGCACCAGCTTTTCCTGATCATAGAATTCAAGGAACAGCTGTCTTATGAGGCAACATCTTCTATTCCTGGAAACGTGTCTCATCTAAGCCTAGTACTAGGCCAGATAGAAGTTGCACTCCATAGCAATCACTTCTATTCTAAGACCTTCATGTAGCTTTCGTGTCTTTCCCCTTTGGTCCAGCATAAATGGCTTAATAACTTAGGCTTGTGTGTAGGGTCACTACGTCGTTTTTCAATGGCGATTTGAAAGGAAAAGCCTTTCTGGCAAAATATTCGCGCAGTGCAGGCTGCCTTCGTTTACTGAAAGACTTGAGTTTTTTGTTTTAACACTTGAACGGAGTCTTTCTCCCTAAATTTGGGACATAGAGAGTATTCTTCTATAAGTTCACGATAAGGAAGAAAAAGGCCCTTACAAGCTTTTGTCTCCTGTTCGCCTGAGTACGTTCAGATGGCATCATGCAGCATCCTTGGGCGAGCGAAAATGTGAAACAGGTGACAGGCTCTATCAATACGCAGTGCAGAATCTAAAAATAAGCTTGATGTCAACTTGGGCTGGATTCTCGGACAAAGACAATCTTGTACCACAGGATGTGCAACCGGGAGGATGCACGTGTGTTGGCGGCCTGGTTCGGGAGTGAGCGTCAAGAGTAAGCCAGATCGGTTTATTCGAACACAGCACGTGTCGAATTAACCACATCATAATTCCTGAATTATCTCATTTCAACATGATCGCCCCCTCCGGCGAGCCTATTCGAGAAATGAACGACGTCCTACGCTTGAGAAAGAGGCTGGACAGGTAGATCGTGGCGCTGCTGGCCACTTCGTGCTTACGCTTGCGTGGAACGAAGCTAGGACACCCGGACGCAAGACGAACCTAGCCAAAAGCTACTACGTTTGAGCGTGAACATCACAAATCTTGCCTTGAACCGTGAAAAGGGCCACCAGTTTGTCAACGCTTGCTCAGCCAGTTAAGTATCATAAGCCGGCTTCATCTCCTCTTGGCAGCAAGCTTGACAGACTAAGCTCAAGGGCTTAGCCTTTATACTTCTTTGACCCTGTGGAATCTTATAATGGCACTTCTTCAGCCTTGCTGCAGAAACTCGGCATGGCTGTGGTACGCAGTATGTTGTTGATAGAGTCCTGGAAATGCTAAAGTTAGGTGGCCGTCAGCATCGCGAGTTTCACGTCAACGAAGATGCTATTTATATTCATGCTGCAGTCGAGTTTCAACATATAAAGCAGACTGGAAAGCAGAAGGCCATCTCTCCTCCAGCGCCGTTAGCACCACTAGAAGAAGCAGAAGAACATTGCCCGCTGTAAAGATACCTACTCCTGTTTTTGCTTTAGATCTGTGCTTTCTACATCTTGATTCCGACTCATACAATCTATCATCACGATGAAGGCTACATTAGCTATCGCTACTCTATCGTGGGTCGCCTCCGCCGCTACCATGAAGCGTGACTTCTCCCAAGCGCAAGTCCAGACCTTCGTCAACAACTGGAATACCGACGTGCAGAACGTCAACAACTTCCTCGACAACATCTTCAATGGTGGTCTGACTGTGGCAGATGAGCTTGCAAACGCAGCCATGGCGGCCAAGACATTTGCAGAGGATGAGCCGATGGAGCTCATGAGACTCGGCAGCCTTGACAATCTGGATCAGCAAGGCGTCAACGCTGCAATGAACCTCATGGAGGTCTTCGGACCTCAGGTTCTTGATAATCTTCAGAAGATCATCGACAACCCAGGTGATCAGCAGATCGTGAGCAGCGCCGTTGATGGCATCAACAATGTGAGGTGCTTCAATGTCTTGCCAGACCTTTGCAACTTGTTTCCGGCATCATTCGCGGCTGTCGGACTTGATCCTGCCACTGCCCCCTTACCGTTGTTCGAATTGGCCTGCAAAGACATCTTCACACAGGCCGGCAACACACCTGCCTGCCAAGGCAAAGAGCCCGTCTTCGCCTGAAGGAAACCGAACAATCAAGCACTTGAAGATTATCATACAGTGTCTGGTAATCTAAGCTATGTTCCAGGACTTGATGAAGGTGAAAAGGACACTTTGAAATGATTTTTGGAATTTTCTCATCGGATAGTGAAATGTCGATGGCTTTCCCGCACTCGTTTCTCGCTAAACTGCGTGGTTATGAGCATGTCGCATTCATAGGCGTTTCGAAATGATCGTCTCAACTCAGGAATCTATGGGAGCGTGTATTTTACAATGACTCGTCTAACTGTGAAATGTCAAGTGGAGTAGATGAATGAATATCTTGTTGGTTTTATCTAAGCATATCACCACGACTTGAAAACAAATGAATCGTGTTTTGGCCGCCGTCAGTACGGTTGCTTATGCATCGTCATCATCAAGGTTGACTTAGGCCTCCACGAGATTAGATTAGTGATACAATGTAAAAGTCGAAAGCGTTTACTGAGGGCTGTGTCCTAAAACATATTACGCCACACCCGAATGTTGGCCCTCGAAGCTTGAAAATCCGAAACTCAACCGCTTCGCGCTAACACTCCATCTTGTAAGGCCACCTCCAGCTGATCTAAACGGTCAAGGGTCCAAATAGCGGCATGAAGGATCTAGAGCCATAGTTGACTCGAGATTAGGGGTTTGGCTTTTGCGGGCCGGATCCCGCTTACTTAAGAACCCAGCAGACAAACTATTACGGGTAGTCATGCGCTGTATATCTGAGCATTCAAAATAGGCTGTTGCAAAAGGCGAGCAATAGGTTTTTCCCCAGTGGAAGACATGGCTGCGCCAGGCAGGGAAAGAGGACGGAGATCATAATCATCCTCGCATCCGTCTCGTCTTGGAACTCGTATCTGACCTGAACAACCGATCCATGCGGATTAAAGCAAAAGAAACCTTTCGGGATTTGGTGTTATAGATTGCTCGAGGAGAGAAAGAGTAAATGCTTGACATTATTTTTGCCCCAAAAAAGAAGCTGTAATCATCATTGGGTCAACGTTAAAGTCGTTTGAATGTTTGATCAACCCGAAGCATGATGCATCCAGGGGTATTTCAATGAATAATTGAGAAGCAGAAAATTGCTGAGGACAGGACAAAGATACCAAAAAGCAAGGCAGTTAAATTTGCAAACGATAAAAAAAGAATTGTGGCTTTCTCTTCTCGTCCTGCTCCGGACGAATATGTTTCGCAAACGATTGTAGACGAGAGCCGTCCGTCATCGGAATGTACGTGATCCTGAAGGCGTGAGCTGGCATGACCGAAGCCGTGTAAACCAGCTCCTGCTCTCGTCGCTATCTCGGGTCGGGCCAGAACACATAGATGGACCAATTGTAGCTTTCGGGAACGCATCGGATAGTGGGCTACGCAGCTACAAGTACGAGGAACTAAGCGGTCTGATCTGCTGAATCCACCTTGCGCGTGATCAGAAGGACAGAGGGAGGGGCGGGCTTGCCTGGTAAAGAACCGGGCACAAAACTCCTCTCCGCCCCCGACCTGTGCAATGTCCATTCGAGTAAATTAACAATGAGAAACGCAGGGTCGCAGAAGGAGCCCGTGGACATTTGCGCCGTTAGACCCAAAAAGCTATGGCGTTGACGTCGACTCGACGACGCACAGCCGGAGGGCCTAGTAAGAGAGCGACCATATCCCACAACAAACTGCCGCGATTAGGGCGTATACGTCTTAACCTGATTCTAACGTGAACATACAGGACTTTGCTGTCATATCTCTAGCCCAAGTTGAGAGCGCCACGTGGAGTGGAAGTGTGCGGGCCGGATGCGCACGATGGATCAGATACCTTCGCAATTTAGACTCGAACAAGCAGGCAACAGGTGTGGAAAAAAGAACAACTCCGACGTCAAAATCGTCGCAGGTTTGGAGAGGATAACACAATGTGGACCTGGTGCACAGGCTGGAGTGAAAAAAGCCTAAGCAAGTTCGAGGATGGAACGACAGTAGAGAAGGAGTACCAAAAGTACATTGTGCTCTAGCGACTCGAAACAATTGGATCTTCTTGTCATAAATGAAGGTCGAGACTACTCCATGGAGTGTATGCATCATGAGGGACCAGCACTACATAGAAGTTCCAGGATCAAGAACTCTTTTCACAAGATCCAAGCTCTTAAAACAAATAAAGGGATTGCAAACGCAATGATGACTCAAGCACAAGGCGTCCCATTATGATTAATTCACATACTTGGGCTAGAAGCATAGGCATACAGAGAGGCAGAATAATCCGTCAGGTAAATAGCAAGCATGTAAGCCATGAGACCTTTCTCAAGCCCAGCTAGTCCAGCCCGACACCGTTCGTCGAAAACGCCCTTTTACACCCGTTTATGCAAAGGTTCAAGAAGCAAGCGAAAGGAAGACACAGTAACGACAGCGCCCTATCGCACACGTATAGATGCGTCGACCATTCTCTCCCTTTCTCATGTCAAAGTTCCAGCAGCGAATACACCACTCCAATTACACGTGCAGAGCAGCCACCTTCATGCTCCAAGGCCACTCGTCATCTTGCAATTCAACCCTCCCCAGAAGTGCTGGTCTCTTTCATTTTTCCACAGCTCATTTAGTGCGTAAATAGGACATTCTCAGGACGCTTTGACGACTTTCTAATGAGACGTGTCTAAAGGGTGTTTGATATAAAGAAGTTGCAGAAAAAAATTGGCGAGGAAGGCACGATCATGCGTTGCCAGGCTTCTCTTCCGTGTCGACGTGCCAAACGACGTAGTTGGGCAGTCCGTAGACACCGTATCCAGCGCGCTTGGCCATCTTTGCGAATCCTTCGGTCTCGGCTTGGTTTTCGAATGCGTAACAAGGGAAATTGATGCCTGTGTGATGTCAGTTGCGTATCGGGCAGACGAAGAACGTAGAGTACATACCAGAACGATGCACGTCTGCCTTGACCATGATGTTAACACCACCAATGCCGTCAAGCTGCATCTCTTCGTCCTTGTTGTTGCGCCAGTCGCCCATACGTGCCATGTACTTCCGGTTTGTCTTATACTGCTTGTACCCTGCGGATGCAAGTTAGACCACAATCTCTATTGCTCCAGTGTTCACAACCCACCTTCTGCCAAAACAACGTCCTTGTCCAGTGTCGAGGTCAACTTGCGTCCTTCGTCTGATTCAACCCACGAGTTGTAATCAACTAAGGACACATGTTAGCTGCTTCATCGAACAACTCTTATAAGCAAGAACATACATCGACCCTCAATATCTCTCTTCTTGCCATTTTCTTCGCGATAACGGTGGAACCAGATGTTGGGAACGAGAATATCGCGGTCATGTGCGATGAAGTCTTCGATGATCTTGGGTGGGCTGTCCTGAATATCGACATCTCGCCAGTACACCCACGAATGCTCAGGCTTCAACGCTGTACTCAGTAAGTAGTTTCTTGCACGACCCATTGCCTTCCTACGCGGACCCTGTGCCTCAAATGAATGTCTGTCCGCAACATCCTGAGATAACGTGACGCCAAAGTCCTTCTCGATGATCTGCGCTGAGCGGAAAGCGTTGGGCGAACGCTGCACACGATCCAGCTCTGCGGCGAGGACGCCCAGGGTATCATCGGTGGAGTCGCCAACAAGGAAGGCAAGATCGATGAGTTCATGTGGATATGTGAGCTGGGTAATGAGGTCGAAATGCTGTAGAATGTGCTGGGCAGCGTTGCGCAGGGGTGTAAGGATAAGGACACGCTCGTTGTTAGAGAGACCTTGTGGCGTAGATTTGATCGGGTTGAGGTCGATGTGCTGTATCGTCGTCGAGTTGACCTCGATGGGGGTGTGATGGTTGAAGATTACGGGGGTGGTGAGATGCCCATGCCATCGTGCGCGTTCATTTGGTGTCATCTCCATCGGTGGTTTCGCCGGTCCCCAGCATACAAATCTGTGTTTGCGGTTAGTCAGGCGATGATGCCGTCCGTTTTTCCCACGGTTCCGTTGAAGGAAGACGAGTTTTTCTCGAGACATACCGTTGCATCTCCTTCGCCGAGCCGCGAAGCCCTCGCCATAATAGCACGGTGGTCACCGTCAAGGCGACCAGGACTAATATCCGTGTCCTGAACACGAATCTGAGCACTTGTTGGTAGGGTGGCAGCCGGGCCTTGGCCGACTTCCAGGTCACTCCGCCCTTGGGGAGGAGCATTGTGTCGATGGATGTGCGCCGCCCGCCCTCGGCCAGATGGGATTGCACGACGCTCGCGGATGGTAGATAAGGAAAGAAACACGGCTAGGCTGCTTTTCAAACGAGTGTGTGCGCCTCGAACGCAGGAGGACGTCGATGCTGAGGAAGCGAGACTCAAGCAAGCGTTGGGGAGGAAGCTGAGTACGTATGCACCGAGCCAACGTGGAACAATCAGCGAGACACGTAGAGAGCAGTGCCGCGCCGCGCCTGCAGATTCCCACGGAAAAGCACAATTGAGGAGTGGCACGGCAGCAGGCGAGATAGGCAGGATGTACGAGGAGGCGAGATGGAAACGAGAGGCGGACGAAGCTTCAAGGAGGTGAGGTCATTTGCATGTGGTTGAAGTTTCTCGAAGAGCCCTGCGAGCGAGTGCTCGCACCCTTGCGGGCCTTAGGGGCGACTTTGCCTTAGTCGCGACGGTTCCGTTGATCTGCGCCACATCATTGGCTCGCTGCAGAGGCTGACAGCTTGCTCATGCGACGGCCGCGAATCGCATGCACGTCAACCGCTCGCCGTTCCGCGCAGCAGTCGTCGTCGAGTCGGCGCCGATGGGTGTGGAACTGGAGCGCAGAGCATGATCCATTGGAACCGGCATCCATTTCTGTTCGACTGTTCGACATACACTTCACAGCTTCAAAGCCCCAGCACCCAGCGCCTTCTTTCCCTTCACCTCCTTGCCCTCCACGTCGACCAACTCTCCCTTCCGTCCGATTACCATGACGCCGGCCTTCTTCAAGTCTCCTACCAGCTCGTTCTTCTCCTTCTTGCTCTTCGCTTTCTTGCTACCACCATCTGCTGTCTTACCGTTTGCAGCTGCTACAGGCTGGTTCTTGCTCGCTTTCTTGGCCCGCTCCTTTTGCCTTGCCCTCCGACTCTTCTTTTCTTCCCTGCTCATCTCGTCTCTCGCAATCACCTCGCCCCCTTTGGTGACGATCTCGTCCTTTCCTCTGTCCTGTCCAGCTTTGTACACCTCTTGCGGTGCAAGCTGGCTGGTCACAGCGACGTCGCCACCCACGCCGCTCGGCCGTGCGTCTTCCATGCTGATTGTAGGTGCATCGGTGCGGACCTGGATGTTCACCTCCACAGGTTTGGGTCTGTAGTGCCAACTGCTTAGCGAGTCAAGCTTGTCCACGATGTCCTTCCACAAATTCTCGATCTCTCGATGTGATGCCTTGAGCTGTTCCGTGCGGCCATCCACGTAATTGGGATCCGTCCGGCGGAGGTGCTCTTCCTCGTACAGTTCCGCGAGACCCTTCTTCGACTTGGTGTCCTGCAGTTCCTCTTCAATGCGACCACGACGACCCAAAGGTCCCGTGAGCAGTTCATCCGGCCTGCGACGTAGGACCTCGTCGAAGTCACGTGCCAAAATGCGCCGCTTGATAAGCGCTTCGATGTCCTCACTAACTTCCTGCGTGACGACTGGCACAGGTTTGCCTGCTCGCTCGAACTCGAGATCCTCCTCCAGCAGAGAATTTTGAGGTCGATCTACTGCCCGCGCTTCACCTGACATGGTCCACTCGCGTTTCGCTACATTTTCGGCTTCAAGGCGGCGAATCTCTTGCAGGAGCTTGGCTTGTCGCCTTTCGTGATTGGAGCGTCGAGACTTTGGGTCGAACTCGTCAACTTCAGATAAGTCATCGTCATCATCGACGTCCTCCTCATCAGAGAAAAGATCACGGTGCACGGCTGCCATGGTGCGGGAAATGTCCACCTCCATATCCTCGCTCGTGCTCTTTGCCTGGGAATCATGCTTCTTTGAGTTTCCGTTTTTTCCCTTGCGTTTTTCACCTCCTTTCCTTGCTGGCGGTTTGAAAAAGTCCTTGTACATGATGTTATTGGCATTAGAGAGATCGTCTGCGCGATCCATGTCGACGTCGACGGCGTCTTCCAAATTATCGTCTTCGTTCTCACTGAAGCCTTGGGGAGCATCAAGATCCATGTCGCCAAAAGTAGGCCCATCATCATCGTCCTCGTCTTCGTCTTCACCCTCGTCAAGATCTCGAGCCTTCCCTGGCTTTGACAAATTAGTGGCAAATGGATCTGCACTCCAATCGACATCCTCTTCATCGCTGGCCGCACCGTCGTCTTGGTTGTTAAGGTCTGCCTGCTCTAAAAATTCCGATTGACGGTTGAAGTCGTCTATTGAGAAGAAACCGTCGTTTAATCCGAACTTATCCTCCACAAACTCTTCTGCCGATTCGTCATCGGAGCCAAGAGATGCTTCTGAATCGTCTTCCTCACTAGAGACAGTCTCGATGTCTTCACCGTCTGACTCATCGTCGTTATTGTCATCGCCATCTTCCTCTAACATATCCACATCTTCATCTGATGATTCGTTGTCCCCTTCAGAATCCGAGTTCTCATCGGTGTGAAACCCGCCATCTTCTAGTAAATCTTCGTCGTATTCGAGATTTTCGTCCTTAAAGTGCACACGTTTTTTGCTGTTCGCCTCGTCGATGGCCACCCCTCCACTCGAGGGCAGATTTTTCAAGCCCAGTCGAATCTCCTTGGCTGCAGCATCTAGCACTCGTCTGACTTGCTCATGCACTTGATCGACTTTGAAGCCGTCAACATGCAGCCTCTTCAACTGCAGAGGTCTTTCGTCTATATCCTCCTTCGTGCCCCGCTTGCGCTTCTTGCGATTTTCCTTCTGGCGCTGAGTCTGTATGTCGCTTATGGACTGCGCAAGCGGATCGAGGTATAGCTTTGCTAGCGAAAGCGCTGCGGCATTGTATTCGGATGTAGGCTGGAGCAATGGGTGTGGATTAGTTGCAAGCAACGACAACAATGGGTTCTCGAGCGCCATATGTCACTGGTGTGAAGCCACTCGAGCTTCCTTGAGATTTCGGGCCGGCGCCTTGTGTTGTGCGTTCGCAAAAGCTGGTGCTTCGAGGGCACTCCAAAAAATTTAGCGACAGCGGAATTTAGCCGGACTTTAGAGAACTAGTGCTCTTTCTTCGGTGCCGTCTGCTTTTAGCGCTAAGCAAGCTGAGCATCACTCGCAACGTCGATATTGTTGAGGAAGACTTTGACTTGAAATCGGTGTTGTATATAATGACCACCACATTCTACGCTGGCGTGGCCATGATGGATTTGAGGGATAAATTAACAAGTGATCTTTCGATGTCTGATCTTGGACGATTGTTTGAAGCCAGCTGTCGCAGCGCACAAGGCATTGCCTTCTATAGCTCTGCTTTGGTTAGGACAACGCACAACATCACTTTCACATGAAGTGATTGCAGAAGTTAGCGACCGACAGAACATTGGCATTTTTACAATCGCATTGGGTCATGCAAGCGGACTTGCGAACTCGCCAAGGCTGTGCTTCTACGTTTTGAAATTGCTTTTAACGCCTTCCCACATGACATTGAAATCTGCATTCAGAGCCTTGAGCAAAGCAACTATATACCTCCGCCAAACGCCTATTCTTTGATAGCAAGCCGGATATAGGATCCACTGTGTTGAGCTTGTTGTAAGAATCACACTGCTCGACGATGCCTTCCGATTCAAAAGCTATGAAGAGGACCAAATTTTAAGTTTCTAACGTGCGGAGATAGAACAGGCTCTTGCCCCCCGATCAACGAGTGCGGTACATGCCAAAACAACGAAGGGCGCGATACCCAAATAGTTTGAACACTTAGAAAAGACTTACCAAAGAGGACAAGCATACGTCTAAGCCGACTGGGGGCATTCCGTGGTTGTTCGTTTACCGATATGCATGTGTAAGGAAAACTTGGGGGAAGGACAATCTTGAAGCGTGGACCTACATTGACTGCACGGGCAGATTCTCGTTAATTTGCACATTAGGGAAGCCAGCTTGGACATGTCGATCAAAGGGCTTGACCATCTTTTTCATGACGTTCAAGAAAACCTCAAAGTAGGCGGACAAGGCGACGGCAGGCACCTTACGGCTGACCCGGAACCTGTCCTTGTCAACGGTTTTATTATTTGACGCCAAACGCCTACTTCTCTTCGATCCAGTCCCGCGCACCAGGATTTTTTTTGCTCTTCGTGAAGAAAAAAAAAGCAACTGCTTGCGTAGAAAGGTCATGGCATACATCACGTTGAACCGTGTCTCTGGATTCATCATCGCCCCATAGGGCAAGTTCGTCGACCCAAAACGTTGGACAAAATCGCAGCCCGTCGAGCACCACGGTATGACCTGCTTCGCCCAATATGCATGGGGCTCCATCCACACGCCACAAAACGCTCTGACCCACGGGCGGCGAACCGAAGGATTGAAACACCGGGGGAAGCTTTCCGATATTCTTCTATACAAACCGGGCGTAACCTCCAAGGCGTGGCTCTCTCCCCCGAAATAACCGGCACTGGCTCGCCCAAGCCATGGACATTGACTGGTTCCAGCAAATTGGATAGCGTGGAAACTTCGACAAGGGGATATTTCTTTTTCTTCTTTCAGTTGAACAGTTTTTATACGACTATTGTGGCCCACTGATGAGGCTTTACGACTGTAGGCCTTGGTCTTGTCTGAGACTTAGCAATGCGAGAACTGCGCGGCGTTTTGGAAGAACCCGAGCGTAGGCTAGATGCTAGCTACTCAGCTCAGTGAGCCTTTCGTCGAAGATCTGTGTCTTTCTCTTCCACTCTGTTAAGGGATGTGATTCAGGTCAGATGACGAAATTTGAACGTCCTATTAACAAGTACCGACTAACATCACCGCGTAGTTAAGCATGAGCCTTAACGACAGCATAATTACGACCCAAGACGCACGGTATGAGATTATTGAACCACAAGAGCAGACTCCGAGAGGCGACCAGAGTGATCAGGCATCGCCAAGATGTTCGTTGGAGCACCAGGAGCTACCAGTCACCACAGTTAACAAATTAACCGGTCTATCAGAAGCGGAGACAGCGAACAATGGCTTCGTTTCATGCAACTCAACCCATCATATTGCCCCTAAGCATTCTGTTGCACAGCCGCAACTGAACTTGCGGTCGCCACAGACGCCTTCTGCAGCACAGTCGATTAAAACTGTGCGGCGAAGACCGGGCCAACTTTCCTATGGATGTCCAATGTGCAAGGGCAACAGAACGTATTACGAGAATATTGATAATCCTTGTACGGCTCCAAAAGGTCTTGGGCTGGACATCAAATATATCCGGCAAGTTGGCCTCCTGCTTGCATTCCTCAAAACAAGCTAACGTTGAACAGAGATCACCTCGAGATGCATCACAGTCCACATATGCGGTGTCTAAAGTGCTACCAGAAGTTTCGAAGCAACGCTTGGGACAAGTACGCTGAGCATGTCCAAAAGAACGAATGTACCCCGGTAGATCCATTGTCTATGCCTGAATTGTTCACGGCGGATCAAGAAATAGCATTCAGAAATTTAAAGAATGCGGTTAGAAGAGATTTGAGCGTAGAGGAAAAATGGAGAGAGATATATCGAACATTGTTTCCGCATGCTAAAGACAAAAACACTATTGACCCATGTGAGTTGTTCTTCACAAGGATTGGATCCGCATGAGTTAACGGAAGCTCAGACTATGATTATTGGGTGGCAAGACATCTCGTTGATCCATCTTTAGGACAGTTAGGCCACAGCACTGAAGATGTTACTCGACCTACTGGCTTGAAAAGGCCTGCTTCAATGCTTGAAGATGAGCCGAATTCCAAAGCTTCGTCTTCCATTTCCGTGGATGAAACCTCACGCGCAGCATTTGCGTCAACTTCGGTAGATGAATCACCTGAGGCTGTACGGCGCGCCAAGTCTCCAAGCGCCCTGGTGAAAGACATACTTGCGCATATTCGACTGAAAGCGGAGTGCTACACAGGAAACGAAGCAAGCAACGCAACGCAACTCTCTTCAGACAACAATCAGAAGAAGAAAATTCGGCCGTCGACGGAAGACGAAAAACGTACCAGAGACTTAACGCGACTGCAAAACGAAGTCAGAGTCCTCAATAGTTAGTCATAGACATATTCTAAGCATGAGGAAAGTCTCTAACGTGGTTTTGATTTAAGAGACAAGAGTCAATAGGAAGATCAGACTACGAACGTCGAGGAGCGACAGCGAGCGGGGAAAGAAGAACAAAGCCATCCAGTTTGTTGATCATGCTACCGATGGGAGGCATGCGGCCTCGAACGTGAAAGCAGACGAGTTGCTAGCTGCTGTGCGTGAGTCGATCAACCATGGTTTCCAACACAAAGAAGAAAAATTCGATGTACGAGGGCTCGACGAGTTTTTCGAGGAGGCCATGAATGCGCCTACGGCAGAGCAACGAGAAGAACGAAACGACTTGGATTCTATCTACGACTACTTTCTTGTTGAGGCCCAGTCAGGATCCGATGCCAATAAAGCACACGACCAGGCTGCTAGCATGTAGGAGGCAGAGTTGAGGAACTGGGTGTTTTTGGAAAGAAGCTGCTCCGCCCAACATGAGCTTCCGCCTGCACGTCTTAGCAAAAAAAAAAAAAAAAAAAAAAAAAAAAAAAAAAAAACAAGCCCAGCGCGTCAATAGCTCTTCGGAAGTCCCAACACTCGCTCCCCAATGTAGTTAAGGCACATCTCAGGACTAATTGGTGCAATCCTTGGTATGAGCACTTCCCTCAGATACCGCTCGACGTGATACTCCTTAGCGTACCCGTAACCGCCGTGAGTCATGACCGCTCGCTCACACGCCTTGTACGCAACCTCGCCTGCCAGGTACTTGACCGCGTTAGCGTACTCGCCGGTGACGTGGCCTTCGTCGTACATCATGGCTGCCTGGTTGATCATCAGCCGCGCGGATTCAAGCTCGACCCACGACTTGGCCAAGGGGTGTTGTATCGCTTGGTTCTGGCCTATGGGCCGGCCGAAGACGACCCGGTCGGCAGCGTAGTTTGCCGCGCGCCGCAGCGCGGCATAGCCTAGACCGACGGCTTCGGAGGCGAGGAGGATGCGCTCCGCGTTCATGCCGTACATGATGATCTTGAAGCCGCTGCCCTCCTCGCCTAGCAGATCGTCGGCGGGGACCTCCCAGTCATCGAAGCACAGCGTGTTGGTGTCGATGGCTGCGCGCCCCATCTTCGGGATCTCCTGCACGTCGACCTGAGACCGGTCGAGGTTGGTGTAGAACAGCGACAGACCCTGCGACGGCCTCTCGCAGTCCTCGAGCGCCTTGGTGCGGACCAGAATGAGAACCTTCTCGGCGATCTGCGCCGTCGACGTCCACACTTTGCTCCCTTTCAGTACGTACTTGTCCCCCTCCCTCCTCGCAAAGCTCTTCAGCCGAAGCGTGTCGAGGCCCGTGTCAGGCTCCGTCACGGCGAAGGCGGCCTTCTCCCGGCCCGCGATCAGGGGCACGAGCCACCTCTCCTTCTGCTCCTCCGTCCCGAACTTGACGACTGGAGCCAGGCCAAAGATGTTCATGTGGATGCTGCTCGCCGCCGTGCCGCCCCCGCCGCTCTCGGCGACGGTCTGCATCATGGCGACCGCCTCGGCGAGCCCCAGGTCGGCCCCGCCGTACTTGGCAGGCATGCAGATGCCCAACCAGCCCGCGGCGGAGATGGCCTTGGTGAACTCGTACGGCCATCTCGCCTCCCGATCGCAGCGCGCCCAGTACGCGTCCGGGAAGTCGGCGCAGATCTTGGCGATCGCCGTCCGCACCGACTGCTGCGACTCAGTCAGGCCGGGCAACTCCGGCAGGTACTCGCGCGCTCGCGCGTGGAGCCCGCGGCGCAACCGCCGGCGAAGTTGCAGGCCCGCGCCAGTGGTCGCCGCGAGCCCGTGTGCGCGAATGCGCCGGGGTCCAGCGAGACCGGAGCGCAGCGCAACGTTCATACAGTTCTAGCTTAGCTGATCCGTGACCCTATTCTCGTAAAAGTGGTAGTTCCGCGCGACCGTCGTCGTCGTCGTCCAGAGAGAGAGAGCCGGCAAAGACAGGAGCAAAGGATGGGTTGCTACGGGTTGCACGTTACCTCATGTCACTCTTTCCACACCGAAAAGGACTCCTCCGTTATGCAAAGGTCCCCCGTCAACAAGGGCTGTGCGGGCTTTTCTTTCCATGGGTGTGACACGCAGCCTTGGGGATCAAAATGCGGGGTTTCGTGACTTCTTGCCCATTCTAGCCGAATATCGGTGCGTGACGCCACTTCCTATTCTTCGGTCGGGTCACCCTTCTGGGTCACCCTTCTGCGTCACCTCGCGTCAAGCTATGAAGCACGCCAAGAGAAGAGACGGAAAAGGGGAGCTGAGCTCGCTGAACGAAATACAGATCAACTTCTTTTGTTCCTGCTCTTTTCATCGGCAACAAACATAGCTACTTTATCGCATGTCTCTAGGAGGAAAAGAAGTTGTTTTTGATCTTTCTTTCCAATCATGGTTAAGGCCGGAAGGCTTCTCACTGACTTGTCGTTGTTCCATATTGCCCTCTTTTTAGTGTACAATCTTTTACCGCTGACGCAACCAAGCACTGGGACAAGGCAGAAGCGGCGCGGCCTGTGTCCGATTTGAACAGCGTCATATCTGCGGCACAGATAACGACGGGCGGTTGCAAAAGGTAAAGTTTAACAAAGAAAGTAGACGTAGAATTAAGACTTATTTGCAACATTCGATGCTCATGAGATCTGCACAGAATTCATTACAAACGTTCCGCCAAGCCACGGAAGACAATCAGGAAGCTAAAGAGCGAATAGCTCTTCGCAAGAAATGCTCGTGACGCCGAAAACACCGTGCTGAAAGGAATTGGACAGACACCATCGACAGTGCAGAGTTTCATCCACAATCCCATGAAGATAGATGCGGTGTAGGATATAGATAGTGTATGTGAAATGAAAGAAACGTGTGAGAGAAACCGCAGAGATGTCTATGCGGACCCGTCCCTTTGTGGCCAAGATGATATGATGTATAGAGCTTTTCGATCCCCCGCTGTGAAATACGAGGTTCGTGTATGCGCCCTATAGCGGCGGAGGTGGCGGCGGCTCGATCTCTTCCTTTGCGTCTACAAATTTCGTTTCGGGACTAGCGCCACCACTGCCGTCGACAGAGGGAACCTCCAAGGAGCCGTTGGGAGCTTCCGCGTTAGCATCTACGGTTGCCGTAGAAGGCTGGGCAGGGGTATCTGCCTTCACCCTGCCAGCCTTCTTCTCGGCCGCCTTCCTCGCCCGCTCCGCCGCGCGCTCCATGTTTTCCTTGATGTTCCGTGCATCCTTGGCCTTGCGCTGCCGCTCCACTTCCTCCACGCCGCCAGTCTTTTTCAACCGACCTTCTTCCACGAATGCGCCAAGCTCTTTCTTGAATGCGCCCTCGCTACGGCTTTCCAACTCCTTCTTGCGCGCTCTTTCCGCCCGCTGGATCGCGTCGATGCGGCTGTCGTGATCTATAGATAGCGCCTTGACCTCGCCCAGAACCCCGTCTTTGGCCTTGTGTGGATCGACACCCTGATCAACCGCGAAGGCAGCGATGCGATTCGCGCTACCGCTGACGCTACGTGGAACCCTGCCGCCGGCGCCGGGCCCGCCATCTCCGTCACGGCTGGCTTCTAGGTTCTGTTGCTTGCATGCTTCTTCAACGAGCTTGAACGTGTTCTCCACGACGTTAAGATCGTACTTCATGTCATTGACCAACGCTTCGGCGTCGGCCAGAGCCTCCTTGTCGTCGCAAACCTGCTGTAGCTCCTGCTTCCATATCTTAGTCCAAATCGGCTTTTCTCTATTGATGTATGCTTCGAGCCGCTTGACCTCGGCTGTCGCGTGACTGAGATCTTTGGCCATCTGCTCCAGCTGTCGGGGTAGCGGACGGACGCCGCGTGAGACTACGTCCTTGCGTAGGTCTTCGATCGAGTCTTGCACGTCATCGACGAAATCGATGATAGCGGAAGAGTCCTTGCTGAACGTCCCGTACAGCTCCTTGTTGACATATGCCCTCCCGGATTCGCCCTTGATGTCTGGCAGTGCGACCTTAACTGCGACGGATTTGACAGCAGCGGCTTTTGTTCGAACAGCTGCCATTGATGCCTCGACATCTGATGCGAAGGATGAGTAGGTCTGGCGCAGGATGGCAAGGTCTCGTCGCAGGGATGAGAGCTCGATGAGCTGGTTGACATCTACGTCGGCTCCCGGCTTGGTAGGAGAGGTAGACCGTGCGCCTCCCGATGCCTCCACGTTGGGTGAACGAATGCCGCTGATTTGAGGGGCGACGGACAGGCTAGCCAGGCCTTTTGCTGTCTCCTGTTGCCTCTCGCTGATGAGCTTGATGGCGGATTGCTGATCCTCGACTGCAGTCTTGATGCCCTCGACGACACGCCTGATGTTGGAGAAACCATCATCAACGTGGCGCTTGACCTCGTCAAGCGGCTCCACGTTCAGGACAAGCACTGTGTTGTTCTTGATGTCACTGAGGTCCTCCAGCTCGTACCGTACCCCGGACACGGAGTCTTGAATATAGATCTCCGGCAAATCGATACCCTCCGAGTGTGAATTCCATGCGAACTTGTCGATGAAAGCGAGCTGCAGGCGTGCAACGGACAGCTCGCTGGCTCCGTCTTCGAGCACAATCTTTTTTACCCGGCTCTTATACTGCAGAAATAAAGTCAACGGCTTTCCCGGCTGTGGTGAGTCCTCGGGCACGAATTGCGTATCCAGGGGCGGCGTCTGCTGCTTTCTCGACGGCTGTCGCACTGGCGGCTCCACAGGCGTGGCCTCTCCCTCATTGAAAGTAGGCTCAGCCATTGGGCCTGATAGGGTAGCGCTGACCCGAGGCCGCTCCGCACCATCCTTATCAAAATACGATGAGCCAAGCTTATCCTCCGGCGTCTTGATTGTGGGGCTGCTCGACGAGGCTTGGTCGTTGCCCTTGATCGATTGCACACTTTCCTCCGAGAACCGAGACAGGTTCCTCACGGGCGACGGCTCGCCAGCCAGGCGCCTTTCGGTCCTTTGCCGATTTAGTTGCGTGGAACCGCGCTGACGGACGGCCTGTATCGACTCCCTGACTTCGCGGCCGCGGTTCGGAATTGGTGTGTTCTGCGCTGGTGGTATCATGGGCACGCCCGTTGCGTTGCCTAGTTGCTGCTTGATCTGATAGGTCGAGAAGCGTCTTGAAGCCCTTCGCTCGAGATCGCCTCCTCGCTGCAGCGCCAGCAGCGCATCCGTCTGCTTCGGAGGCGGGGGAGGTGGATGTGGGAAGCTTTGGACGGTGTGAGGAGGGGGCTGTGGCTTGTTGGTAGGTATAGTATCTTCCTCCGGATAAGGGGTAACAACTGGCATCGACTGTGCGGTGTTGCTTGACATCGTCGAGTCCGTGGACGGTAGCGTGCTTCTGCTGTCGAACCGGTCCGGCCCCCGATTGGGCGAGTCTCTGCTCTCGTTCCGCGAAGATGTTCGCGGCGGTAAATCTGGGCCGTTGATATCTCTGCTGCTCTGTCGCGGCATGTTTGCTCTGATATCACCACCAACCTTTCTCTCGGGCACCGCCTGAGCCCCCGTACTGTCGATTGAGTCCTGCCGCGAACTCGCGCCGGGCCTGTCCGCTTCTCTTGCAGCACGCGCACGCAGCTTGGCTTGCTTCTTCTTAAGACCTTGTAGTAGATTGATGATGATGTCTCGTATCCGCGGTAAATATCTGTCCAAGCTAGCCTGAGACGCCTCTTGCGACAGGGTGTCCTCTAGTATAGACCGGAGCAGGTCCGGCACAGGACCTAGATCGCTAGTCTCGACGCCGATCGAATTAAAGCTTCGACATGCTGTTCCGGGTTAGCAAAAGCACGAGAAGGGTGTGCTCGTTAATCTCTAACATACCTATGTTGAACTCATATCCGAGCCTACGCAAGGAAAAGGAGATGCACGTTAGTTTTTACATTCAACACGAACAGTATCGAACTAATAAGACCGTACCTAACGTAGACATCGCTCACATCGCCCTCGGTTGCGGTGCCTCGGCTCCATTGGGTGAGCGTCTCTAACAGTGACTTTGTGGCTACGAGAAGATGGGTGACGCTCTTTTCGATCTGATGGAGCTGCTGCTGCGGCTGCTAGATGCGCACATGATCCCACGTTAGAATATGTCTTTCTCGACAGGACTGCTGCATGTATCTTCCTTCCCTTCGGCCTATCATCCTTCCCTTTGCATGAAAATGAGCTCGCATTGGGCAGGATGAGTAGGCAACCGGATAGGTGAGTGAGTTGGAGGGCATGTCTCTACGTACATTTTGTCCTCGTCTGCTGCCTATGGAGCGTCCCGAGCCGGACGACGCCCGCACGCCCGGCTCGCCAGACGACTCTGCCATGTCCCTTTTCAGGTCCGCCTGTCGCTTGAGCTTTTCTGCTACCCGGTATCTATGCCTTCACTATGTGCTGTGTGATCTTAGCAATGATGATGGTGAGTCGAGGGCTGCGTGATAAGGAACCGGATCCTCGAGCTTTTTTTTTCGCGTTTCGCCTTGGTACCGGGGGTCCTGCGTCGTCTGGGCACGGTGAGAGGAAGAATAGCATGTGGCTGCAGCGACGACAGTGACGCTGATGTTGGGCCCCTTTCGAAGTCTCCTCAGATACAGAACGCTCCTTACGCGAAAACGAAGTGGGTTTGAGGCAAGACAAGGACTTGCAGCCAAGGCAGGGCGTGAGTCGGTTGGATGGGCGGTCGGGATAGAGCTGGCGGTGCGAGTCGTGGGAGGATGCCGCTTTGCATGGGGAGCAGACGTTTGGGCATGGTCAAGCTGGCATCAGAAACGGATTAAAGGTGATGTCGAACGGGGTCGTGGCCTGAGCGCGCCCCAGCAGAGACTCGGACTCTCGGCGAATGAGGTGTGGGCTCCGTCATTCTTCAACCCTCCGCCAAACGGACAATAAAGAATAAAAAAAGAGCCTCATGCTGGCTGGCCATGCATGAAAACAGAGCGCCAGCGCCCACGCAGGCGGATGTGTGCAAACATTCACACAGAAAGACGGCCACAAGCGACCACGCAAGCAGATCCGTTTGTCGGTGACCAATCTGCCACTTATGAGTGCATCACCGATCCATCTTCTGACTCCCCGTCGACACGTGCACAGGTTCTTTACAGGTTCTTTGGCATATTGGCCGGCCATCCGCCATTATGACGAAATCGTCACCGCCTTCGTTGAGCCAAAGGCCCAGCGGACGCCACGTTGGCAGCATAGAGGGCCAGCAGACATGCCAGTGACGTTTTGGTGTTCCGTCAACAATGGGGAGGGGATCAGACTTTGGTTATCTTGGTGGTTCTGATCGGCCCATAGCAACGTTGCTTGCGTCAACCACCGTGTTCCTTCGGTTGTCTGGTTTGAGGCACACTAGATCTGGCACTACGGAGAATGGCTGGGGCGCGGGAGGCGTCCCGTACGTACGGAGTACAGTTCAAGCTAAACGTATGCCAAGCGCATCGTGAATCAGCTGTTTGGACGATCGCGCGCCGGCGGCGGAAGAGTAGCAGTGAAAATTCGACGCGTCGTCAGAGTAATTCGAAGCTGACGGCAAATTTTGGTGGTCGACGATTGCCGCGCCGCTGGTCCTCGTCCATCGTCTGCGTGACTTTGTTTCCAAGGCGTGAACCACGCTGAGAGCAAGAAAAGAACGTTTGAATGTTCGACCTGCACGGCTCTTCCATACTCAAACTGTTGTACGTACAAGCACCAAGTACCAGTGGAGACATCCATGTGGCTCCACTCCTCTAACAACCACGCCGATCGTGGAGCACAGCCGAGCTGCAGTGAAGCATTGACGTTAGCAGCAGCAAAGCAATGCACGACTGAAAAGATCTCTGCTCCAAGGCTGCCTTTATCGCGAATCTCTCTCCTCCTGCCTGCCGCCACAGGTTTCTTTGCGCAGGGACGATGCAGGTTTACGCTTCGGAGCTTGTCCTTGCTTCACGCAGCCCTGTGACTGGCTCATCGTTTCCGCCCGAACCCCTTGTCGACCTTCGCTGCTCTGAGAGTATGACAGGTCAATCGTGGCGAACGAGAGGCTGGATGGACGGATGGAATGGAGGGAGAGAAAACGTAACACCAGAGCGACGAATATGGCTCAACGCAGCGGGAGGTTCTCGTGCGTCGCTAGTGTGATGATGCGAACGAGTAATGCAGAGCAGGCTTGAGGGAGATTCATCTTTGCACTCGTTTATTCTTCCACCGTATTTCGTCTCGCTCAACGGCGGGATGGCGGTATGCTATTTTCCCCCCTTTGATCCGTGTTTAGAATGTGTGCCGCGTGGCCTTCCCGGTCAACGCACGTGTAAGTTCGTCGAGAGGCAGACTCTAGCACGTGATGAGGGTAGAGACACTGAAAGATGCCGGAAAAAAATTGAAGCAAAGCGTGTAGCGTTAAGCAGGATTGATAGTAAACACGATCGTGAGATTGATCGTAGCAGAAGAGGAGCAGCAGCAGGTGCGGACAACGGAAGCACTGACAACAGAAAGTTGAAATGGTGGCAAAAGCAGCTGAAGGAATAGGAGTACAAGTCCTGCTTGGAGTGCTGCGAGACAAGTAGCGATGCCTGCTGTAGCTGTGATCGTAGCGGCAAGAACAGCAACTACATCCGTGGTCAGAAGCAGTAGAGAAGTCATCGTCTGTCCAACGACAACAACAGCAGCGGCAGCGGCAGCAGCATCATCAGCATCAGTAGCAACAACCCGACCTTAGCCCAGCCGTGACCAGCAGTCTGGAACTTTGCTGCGTCCTGCACTCATGGCATGGGCGCCAACGAATCAAATAAAACCCTCACACACAAGAGTTGACCCAGCTAGAGTGCGCTGCGCAGTAGTGCCGGTGCCATTGCCGGGGACAACAGGAAGGCCTATTAGCAGAAATATTTCGCCTGGTGTACTCTGAATGCGAGGGAACGTACACACGCGCAACGGGACTTTTGGTAGACGCAGCCAGCTCATGGAGGCGAAGGTGGCGAGTGAACGCCCCAAGTTAGCTCACGGCGGGCTGCACGCTCCGCTCAGCTGGACGAGGCGGTGCGCTGGTTTGGGGGGACGGACAGGGCGAGCAGTAGAGTTTGTACAGCAAAGCACAGCAGGGCAGGCAAACGAAAAGAACGACAGGCGCTTGCAAGGGCGCGAGAAGGCAGAGACAACCAGAAACGCTCGATGATTGCAGACAAGCAATCCAGCGTGCAGCAACGCCAGGCGAAGAGAGAGAAAGGCTGAGGCCGACGCAGACAAGCGCACACGCGGTACCAGAGCAATCAGACCTGTTACGGATAGAGAGCGTGTGCGTACGATACAACGCACACATAAGAATACATAGGCGACCTCACTTGGACACGCCCGCACGCAACACTGAACACAGGACACGAACAGCCTCGCCCTCGCGCATCCCCTCTTCGCAGGATCCGAACAGCCATCTCTACCTGCCCCACAGCGTCTGTCTCCTCAACAGGCGCTCAGCGTCGTCGCAGACTTCCTCGCCGTCGTCAGCATCGATCACGGCTGCCCACTGCTGCTGCCACCACCGCCACATGCGCCCGACCGCCACATAAACCTCCCACACATAACTCAGCCAACCCAACTGCCTTGTGTCTTCTCAAGAATTCCACCGCGGCCGTCATCGCTCGAACTGATCCATCTCGCCTCCCCTCTCTCTTCCTCGCTCCTGCTCCTCTTCTTCTGCCACCACGGCAGCTGCTGAGACTGCAGCTGCTACGAATCTGTCACGTTCGTAAAGCGGCTCATTTCGCTCCAGCGTTTTGCAATCACCTCCATTGCTTTTTTCTTCTTTCTTTTTTTCTTTCTTCTTCTCCCAACTTCTCTCGCGCGCCGTGCAGGGCCTACCACCTGTAACAGAGCTCGTCTCCACCTTGGGGCGCATCCAAGCCCCGAAGGAGCCCAACCGCTCCGGGCTAAGCCAAACTCCCAAACCCAAGCAAGACACACGGGCCCAGCCCTTTCCTACTTCTCCTCCTCCACCACCATAACCTCAACTTTGCCTGGTCCCCGTCCCTTCGAGCCCGTTGGACTTTTTTTTATTTACTTCCGCCAACCTTGAGCGCCGACTCACCGCCCCTCCATAACGTTCTGTCTGTGAACCAGTACGCTCTCTCCTCTCCGGCCTTCTCTTCCCTCCTCTCTCGCTCCTTCCTTCTTTTCCTTTTCCGTCGTCACTGCGCCGCTGTCTCGCGCCTGCCCCGTCTGAGTTCATGTCCAGCTCGGCCACCGCTGCCAACACGTCCATCTCACTCGCATCATCCACCACCAACTTCGCCAGCAACACACGCGTTAATTCGGCCGCTCAGTCCGTCTTGACCAATGCAAGTGCTGCTCCGACGAAGAAGATGACCAGCAGTGGTAGCAAGGCGGTCGAGCACCAGCACCAGCAGTCCGGGGGAACGGCTGCAACACCCAGCGCAACCAAGTAAGTGTCACCATCTTCATTCCTTTGGTCACGCACACAAGCGCGCACACATGCACATGTACAAATAAGTCCTCATGAATGCACAATCTCCAAATTCTTTCACTGTTGTGGTTTGGTTTGCTGTCAGCTCGGCTCGTTGCCTTTCCAGACCGCAGGCACGCTCTGAAACTGCCCCGAGGTGGTTTTGACACCACACCATGACGATGATGACCACTGACGCACACTGTGCCTTGTGTGAATAGGCCGCCAGCATGGTCAAGAGCGAGCATAAATCCCGTCACTCAACGGGCGTCCGGTAGCCCCGTCCAGAATGGCATCAAGAGCAATGGAACTGCCTCGTCGTCCTCCGCATCCAATGCTTTCAAGCCACATGCTGCTGCTTCTGCAGCGCCCACTCCAAAGGACCCAAGCTCTGCAGAGAGACTTATGTTTCTTTTTGCAAACTTCAAAGTACGTACCTACTCGTCCCAGTGCTTCCTCACCGCCATCCCAAATTGCTAAGTAGCTCTCACAACACGCATGCGTACACATATGCAACACACATTCACCCACCCCTCACTCCCCTTCCTTTGCCCTCATTTTCTCCCACCACTGGAGAGCACAATGAAATGTGCCGTTCAATCTTAGTGGCGCCATCCCTCTGTCGATTGATGCTGATAGTTGCGACGTCAGGGTCTCAATGCCACGCTCCTGCTTAAGAATGGCGATCGGTACACAGGTGTGTTCTCGAGCATTTCAAACGGACAGTATATTGTGAAAATGGCGAAAAAACTTTCTGCTCAAGGCAAGCAACCTAATGGGGTCAATGACGAGGCTGCCGGTGCAGGTCCTGATAGGACCCTGGCGCTGAATGTGCAGGACGTAGTGGACCTCGCCGTAAACGAGGTGCGCTTCGACAAGACCCATGGCAGAGGACAGAATGGTTTGTCATCCTGGTGTGCTCTCACAATCGATGCCAATTAAGCTGACACAATACCAAAAATTAGGTGCATCAACAGGTTTCCGCACCGATGCAGATATCTCGTCCGGCTGGCACGGCCGGGAACGCGAATTGCAAAAGTGGGAGCCAGCGGATAACGACGCCGACGTTGACCACTCTATCGAGAACGGGAACATTGGAGCCTGGGACCAGTTTGCTGAGCACAAGAAGATGACGGGTCTCGAGAGCACGTATGACGAGAGTAACTACACAACTACACTTGACAGGTCGCGACCCGGTTTTGAAGAAGCCGTTCGTAAGGCGGACCAGATTGCACGCGAGATTGAGAGCTCGAGCACGACTAATGCCCATGTCGCTGAGGAGCGTGGAGTCAAGGGCATTGATGACAGCGGTCTAGACGAAGAAGACAAGTAAGTTGTCCTGCGTGGCCAATCACCCTCTTTTCCGTGTAGGTAATTATCTGACAGACGTCTCTGTGTGTTTATAGATACAGCGGTGTCCAGAGAGAATTTAAGCCCCTGGCTTCTGGAGGTCCTAACAGATACACGCCGCCAGCAATGCGCGCACCTACTGGCCAGCCCACGGTACCTGGTGCACCCGTCGACCCTGCAATTATATCGTCCGCTTTTGCGGATTCTTCGAAGAGCACTAAGCCGTCTGCCACTGGTTCTACAAAGAACAAGATCGAAGAGACACCAACAGCGAAGTCTGAGCAGACAAAGGATACGGCGGCGGAAAAAGAGGTTGCTGCTGTCCCTGCTACTTCTACGACTAAGCCTGCTGCTGCTCCTGCAGTAGCCGCGACATCGGTGAACTCAACAACCACTAGTGCGACTGCCGCCACCACTCCTGCACCCGTCACGGTTTCTACTACCTCTGAGAAGACGACTGCTGAGAAGCCGGTCACAGCTCCAGCACCAGCTTCCACTAAACCCTCTGTACCGGCACCACTGCCATCGACGCGCTTGCCCAATAAAGAAGGCAGCGCAACTGCCACCGTCGAGAAGGACGTGCATGAGGCTTTCAAGGAGTTCAACAAGTCGGAGAAACTACGCGTGCAAGAGCATCAGCGCAGCCTTGCCAGACGTGACAAGGCTGTCAAGTTGAACGATCTGAAGAAATTTGCTCAGAACTTCAAGTTGCATACGGAAGTTCCCGCTGACCTACTTCCCATCCTTGCCAGGGACGAGAAGAAGCAACGCGAGATCAAGGAAAAGGCCAAGAGAAACGCCGAGGACACAAAATCTACGCCACCTCGGTCAACAGCCACATCCGTCTCTGCTACGCCGTCGGACGCGAAGACGAAGCCTATCACAACCAGCAAGAACGACTCGGGACCTACTTCGCCCCTTGTGTCGAATGACAGGCAGCCTCAGCAACGCAGCAGGCAATCATCAACCAACATGGTCAGCTTGGGCAAAGGTGTCCCGCAACACATACAAGGCGCTGGACCGGCTCCTGGGGGACACAGGCAGCACGGAAATCTGGGTCCACGGCTAGCAATGAACGCGCAGAATAGAGGAGTTATGCCACAGCAGCAGCTGCCGCAACATCCTATGCCCATCCCAGACCCACGCATGACGCAGACCGGCATCACGAGCCCGACGACAGCGTTGCGCTTCGATCCGTCCAAATCTTTTGTGCCCTCAAAGCCGTTCGTACCCGGTGGATCAAACGCAAGTTCCGGCTCCAGTCCTGTGCGTCCCATCTCCAGTCAACCGGTCGAGCCCAAAGCGCCGACACCAGGAAACTTGTTTGAAGGGCGTACAGAAGGCAGGAAGGGCCCAATTCCAGATTCAGAGCGCGTTTCACTTGATAATTACTTCAATCCGATCCCTACGCTCAAGAAGGAGCACGAGGCTAGCCTTCTGGAAGCAAAACGTGCAGAGCTGCCCAACGTCGGATTGCCACCCTCTTACAAGACGAAGCCTACGTGGGAGGACCTCGTCCCCGATGACAACAAAGAGAAGACATACAAGGCCATGTTTCCTAACTCGCTCAAGCCCGCCGCCTCGCCACAGCAGCATATCGGACCGAATCAGTTCCAGCATCAGCTTCCGTATGGCGGGGCAGTCCATCACGCTGGCTTTGTGCCCCAAGTGCCTGCGAACCAGACGCCGAGACACATGGTTGCTCAGCCGCACCACGCTGGCGGGCCAGGGACCCCACAGCATCATTTCGACGAGGCACAGCGTATGCACTTCTCGCACTCGGCATCGTCAGTCCATCCCTCGCCACGGCCGATGCAGCCTTTCGTGTACAATCCGCAAGCTGGACCACCAGGGCAGTTCCCTGCGCAAATGGTGTACGGTACGTCGCCGAGCGGCGGTTACGGAATGGTCGCTCGTCAGTTGTCGAACAATCCTCAGTTCCACGCGCAGCCGCCCCAGATGGTCGCAGCGGCGCCAGGTGGTCCGCCTGCCATGTATGTCCAAGGTATGCCTGCCGGGTACATGATGCCCGCTGGCGCCCAGGCATTCTTCCCCCATGGTGGACACATGGCGCCACAGCCGGGCGCAAGTGGATTCCCTAGCCCTGCGAATCGTCCGGCGATGATGGCGCCGCAAGGGTCGCAAAGCGGCCATAATACACCACAGGTCATTGCTCCCTACTTTCCCGGCCAGGCCGGGCCCGGTAAGTATCTGTCATTTTTTTTCTCGTTTAGTACGCTTCTTTCTTTTTCCTCCACATCTAGCCCGACAATATCGAACAGAAGAAAACAGGCGAGAATAGAGAGACTAACCACACATTCGCCGTATAGGGCAACCAATGCGCTATGGCGTTCCCCCCCAGCATCACCAGTATCCCGGCAACCCACAACACTTCCCCCAGCATGTCATGAGGGGCGGGCCTAGCGGCTCATATCCGCAGCCAATGATGAGCGCGCCACAGGCCATGATTATGCAGCCAGGACAGATGGCTCCTGAAAGCGGCGAAGATGGCAAGTAATAAATATAGGAGCGCTTGTGAAACTGGACCTTTTTGACCTGAATTACTATCACGAGCACAAAGTGCGTCGGGGCTGGAAACTGCTCTCGGCGACTTTTTTTTCTTTTGGACGATGTGCGCAGGCGTCGACATGCGTACAGACAAGGACATATGGTGTGTGGCATGCACCCATTCCCTCTGAATCTAGGTTTGGATCGCTTGAAAGGCTGACGGTGCTGAGTGGATAGCGGGCGCTCGACCAAGCACGAATATTCTATGCGGACATACCCCAGCGAATGAGTGAACGAGCGAGCGAGCGCGCGCGCGCGCGCGCGCGCGAGAGAGAGAGAGAGAGAGAGAGAGAGAAGACTGGATACACATTCTGAACGTGCAAGCGGGCGACAAGGAGAAAAACTTTGTCAAGTCCAGAGGCAGTTCGCCCGCGGTGAGGGATGATGGTCGGCAAACGTAGAAAGACCATACCTTACAACAAACCTACCTACCACCTATGGCTACGTCGACAAGTGAGATACATATGCACGAGTGGGGCTATAGCATCAAAGCACAGTTTAGGTAAACAGAAGGTTCAAAAGCTCTTTGAAAATGTGCGCTATAAACTCTCTCCTCTCGAACGGGTGAGGTCGCAAACGTCGTGTTTATCCAGGTGCTGCGAGATGGAAAAGTCCTCCGAAAGGTCAAGCAGGGTCGAATGGGATGCCAGAGTGTGTTTTGCGAGGGAGCACCGCATTTCAGCGGGATGAGAACAAAAGAGAAAGGGCGTTGTTGAATGTGGCTCATGTGTAAGCTACTCAGACTGGTGGCAATGGTCGTAATTTTTCCCAGCTTTCTCTTGACTTCCGTCCGTGTGAAAGATGCAACAATTCGTCTGGGGATATCCGAGTTGGGCCGGAAATACCGCGACCCAAGTTGCTTGCACTTGATGACGAGGAACATGCAAACACATGACCATGATCACTTTGCCCCAGCAGTCACGTGCTCTTTTCCCCAATCAGCAAAGGTCCACTTGTGTCAGGAACACTGGGGGTGGAGCCACATCATGGGATCAGCCCTGAGCTAGCCCAATTTGGCATAGCTCCCCTGTCCAATGATCCAACGTTGTGTTTCCTCACTCCCAAGATTCGTATCGTTTCCAGACATTTCCTCACGCGCAGGTGAGGCAGCTGATTGTCAACATAATACCACGAATACGCCAATCCACTGAGTCTGTTCTCCTGTGTGCCTTCTCTCCGTAGAGAAGTCCGCAATTTGGCCAAATTTTCTCCTTTGTCTTTCCCCTCCTTTTGAGCAGACGTCATCACGGCTGACGACGGCTTTGACGGCGAGGAACGTCGCGCTTCACACAGCCTCGAGTTGCACGACATGGTGCCTGTTGGGGAGGGCGACGGTGCCGCTGAGCCGCTCATTCGTCGGGACAGTGACGAACACCGTTACTCGGGGGGTAATGAAGGTGCAGGTTCAGCGCGGAGAGATGCCAGCCGCGTGGTAGTTGAGGAGGAGGACGAGGGCGTCACGTTCGGCTGGTTCATATGGATCCTGACCTTCTCTGCCGGCGTGAGCGGGCTACTGTTTGGATACGAGTAGGCAGCCTCGATTACCCTGAGATACGAGAGAGGAATGAATAAGAGAAAGAAACAGGTGCTAACATGCTGGCTTCCCATCTGCAGCACGGGTGTCATCTCGTCCACCCTCGTCTCGATCGGAACCGACCTTTCGGCCAATGGCACGCCGCTTACCACGCTGCACAAGTCGCTCATCACGTCCGCGACGTCATTCTTCGCCCTTGTGGCTTCCCCCACCGGGGGCCATCTCTCGGACGCTTTAGGACGGCGGACGTGCATCCTGCTTGCGGATGCTTTATTCACCGCAGGCGCTCTGTGGCAGGCGTTGTCTACGTCTGTAACAGGCATGGTACTTGGTCGCAGCGTTGTCGGCTTAGCAGTTGGCGCGGCTTCTTTCGTTACCCCGCTGTACATTGCCGAGCTTGCGCCACGGACCGCCCGAGGCCGTCTCGTCACCGTCAACCAACTCTTCATCACCGGTGGTCAGGTGGTCGCTTACTTGATTGGATGGGCATTTGCAGGTGTCGGATCCGGCTGGCGCTGGATGGTTGGACTTGGCGCCACGCCTGCCGTCGTTCAGGCTGTTCTCATGCTTGCCATGCCCGAGACTCCGCGCTGGCTCGTCCAACGCGGACGTGCCGATCGCGCTGCCGCCGTCCTAGGTAAGGTGTATGGGCGCGGCAGTGAGAGGGTTGTACAGGGCATCATGAAGAGCATTGAGGACGAGATTAGAGAGGAGAGAGCCACGAGAAAGGCGGTCGGTACGGATGACGGTAGACCCGCCGGTCTCGTCGAAACTTTTGGCGAGCTGCTTCACGTAGGCGGCAACAGGAGAGCTTTGACTATTGCATGTCTGCTCCAGGGTGCCCAGCAACTGTGTGGCTTTGTACGTGACCTCGTGTTCCCTCCTACTCGGTTCTGCGTCAATGTGCGTTTTAGACTAATCAATCCTTCTCGCAGAACTCCCTCATGTACTTCTCGGCCACCATTTTTGCCATGATCGGCTTCTCTAATCCGGTAGCGACCTCTTTGGTCATCGCATGCACGAACTTCGTCGCCACGCTCCTCGTCTTCAAGGTGATCGACCGCATCGGTCGTCGCCGCATCCTCCTCCTCAGTATCCCCTTCATGGTTGCCGGCCTAGCACTCTGCGCTGTCGCCTTTTGCTTCGTTCACTTACCTAAGAACGAGGCTGGTACTTCGGACATAGGAAAGTTCATGCTGCTACTCCGCCGACAAACAGGGTCGCCCAGACCATCGGGTGTGTGGGCCGTTATCATCGTCTTTGCAATGATTCTGTACGTCGCCGCATATGCACTTGGCCTCGGCTGTGTACCCTGGCAGCAGTCCGAGCTATTCCCCCTCAGCGTGCGCGGTCTGGGCTCTGGCATTGCGACGGGCACAAATTGGCTGTGCAACACCATCGTTGGCTTCTCCTTTCTTCCCATGATGCAATGGCTCACCCCGACTGGCACATTCACCGTATATGCTGCCGTGTGTGCCGCATCCTGGATCGCTGTGTGGCTGATCTATCCAGAGACGGCTGGGCTGGGTCTGGAAGAGGTTGGAGAGATTTTGGCGACGGGATGGGGGGTGAAGGAGAGCTTGCGGGCATTTAGAGAGAGGAAGAGACCTATTACTAGATAAGTAGACAAATTTTTAGATCAAGTTTCACGTTGGCATCCGATTTATTTTCTTTATTTATTTGTTTGCTTTCCTTAGCTGTAGACGATCGCGCAGATTAAGGAGCTGCCACTGTGAATGAGTTTGTCACCTGGACTATCACAACTAACTTCCTGGAGTTTGAAAGCGACGTTCGATACCCCTTGCGAGGTCTGCACGTCGAACCGCGTCAGCGGGGTCAACTCTTTTCTTCCCTGTTGGTCGCGAACAGCACATCCAGCGCTCGAGAGAAGGCTTCTGAGAACGGCGGGTGGCCCACCTGATGTAGGACGTCTCCAGGTCAACTGGTCCTTGCCATTGCGTGGCAGGGAATCTCCGAAGATGCGGCTGCCTTGAACTCAGTGCAACCCCAGCCTACAAATACGTGGTCCTAGTCGAACGTCGCGTACGTCATCTGCCTCGTCTTCTGAAGGGCAGGTGGCTCGAATACGTGCTGCCAGCAGCACGTACGAGAAACGTCGTTATTCGTTATTGTTGTTGTTGTTGTTGTTGTTGTTGTTGTTGTTGTTGTTGTTGTTGTTGTTGTTGTTGTTGTGGGGGGAGTTGGAAGAGACGCTGGCTACGAGGTCGTTCCCCTTTCGAACGCATAAGAACGGATTCTGAGCGAAACGAGAGGCGCGACAGGCATCGAGTTTGGGAGCGATGGGAGAATAGAAGAAGAAAAGGAACCAGACGGGGAGCATTTGAGAGGATCATAGCACAACCGTTTGCACCTTTCGAGAATACACGTACATTCGGCAGTCGGCGTACAATCGACGTGACTGCGTCAAGAAAAAGTCTCCAGTCCATGCCACCCAGGCACACCGTCTCTGTACGCTCTTGAGCGACTGATGCTGAAGCGGCCGGACAAGAAGTGAGAACCGATATCTCAGCAGCGTCCGTGTCGTTAAGACACAGCCGTGCAACGACGAAAAAGACGGAACGTGACCCTTTTCCCTTCCTCTACCACGACGTCGGCTTATGCTGCATCTTTGCACCCTGCAAGCTCTTCCGGCTTTGCCACGGCATGCCCGATATTAACCTGTCCTTGCCGAACACCAGACCTGGCTCGGGATAAACCTTCTTCTTCGCCGGCACCTGCACCTTTTTCTCCTCCACCTCCGGATCCGCCTCAATCACCAGCTTCTCGACCAGCTGCTCCAGCTCTTGCACGCCGCCTTTTCGGAACCGCGTCACCTTGGCGATATTTCGCAGCGTCAGCGGGGTGTGCTCCCTTGACTCGCGCAAGTCCCGCGCCATGGTCCGCGCCGTCATGTTGTATCGCATGTCCTTGGGGCCGTCGACGAGCTCGAGAATGGCAGACCGCGCTTGGTCTTCCTTTGGGGACTCGATGAGGAGGACGCGGGTGTAACCGCCTGCCCGTTCAGCGTATCGCTCTCGTAGTTCGCCGAAGAGCTTTGGCAACAGCACCTTGGGTCTCTGCATTGTTCAATGGTTAGCCTCGGGAATGGTTCCCTCTGCTTTGACAAGACGTGATTTGTGTTCGGTGACAGCCGTACGTAGAATATTTGTGATGCCCTGTTTCTCGCCGCCGGTGTGTTCTTCTTCCCCAGAGTGATAACCTTCTCTGCCAGTCGCTGGCATTCCTTCGCTTTGGCGTATGTGGTCTGGATTTGCTCCTTCTCGATCAAAGACTCCAACATGTTCCTTAGCATGGCTTGTCTGTGAGCAGACGATCTCGACAGATGTCGAAATTTGGGTTTTGCGCCCGCCATGGCGATGGAGCGGTTGGAGGACGAGTTAAGTGCGTACGAGAGGAGCCTATCTCCGCCAAAGCTTGGGTGAACGTCCGGTCAATAAAACGATGCTTCTGGACAGCAGCTCTGGAGGACCACCAGGATGCGAAGTTGGGCAAATTAATAAGTACAATTGACGCTGGACATGCGATGCGTTTGATGTCTACCGTGGGAAGCTCCAAAAGTCCCAGAAGTGCCAGATTGGGACTGACCAACTTTTCGCCGATCGGACTTCCGACCTCACCCACCCATCGCGGCCGCACCACGTCTTCAGCCACCAATCTTCACTCGTGCAAAACACGACAATCTCGCGGCTCCGCAAGCTTCAAAAGCGTTACGCCACTCGGCACCCAAGCCATTGAACCGGGTGCGCGGGAGTTTTAAGCTTCTGCGTGTAGCTCCAAAGAACGCAAGATGGGTTTCGTCACCGGGCTAGTACGTGCAAATCGCGCTCGACCGTCTTCTCTCTCTCCCGCATCAAAGAACGACGCTGACAAAGTGGCTGAACAGATCGGAGGCGTGACCCTCACAACTTCCATCCTCTACCTCACCCTTTCAGTCCACCAACGCAATCGGCAGGAGCAGTCCCTCTTGCTGCGTCAAAACTCGCTCATCCTCCGCAACATTCTTGAGCCGCTCCCGCCTCCGCCGCCGCCGGCTGCTCGCGAAGCACGCGTGTCCGTCGCCGAAAGCGCCAAGGACATGTGGAATAGAGAGATAGAGGGCCTGGTGAGGAAAGTGCAGTACACCGACTGGGCTGAGGTCAGGGAGCGGATGGAGAGAGGCGCTGCGAAGGCTTGGGCAAGTGTAAGGGAAGGGGTCAAGGAGGTGGGCGAAAAGGCTGAAAAGGCAAAGGAACCCGAGTTCGTAAGCACAAGTGTCAGGGCTAAGAGCAGGGAAGGATGAAGCATGCACGCGGTTGGGAACAGAGAATATACCCGATGAAGCGCTGTCTTACGTCACATGTTGTGGTATAAGCATGATCGAAATGATAGCGAATAGACAATAGGTTTCTTTTTTTTTTTTCCCCTTTGTTTGTAAGTTCAAAAGCCATTGGCAGCCTCGGTTCTACGCGGCTCTCGAGATCGCGTTTTCTCCGAAGCGCCCTTGAACTGTCCGTCCGTGGGACTCGAAAAGGGCACATAGAACGCTGCTAAGCCTTTGAATATCACATGGCTAACAAAGGAGCCCCTTCAAGCCAACGAGACCTTGGTATTCATCTACGAGCTGATAATAAAATAACATCTGATTTCCGCACGTTAAATGGTATTCAGTGAAAGAGCCATGATATGCGATTGCATTTGAATCCGGCCCTAGAAAAGGGTATATTGCCGAAGAGTCAAATTGTAAAGCCAGTAACTCCCATGCAGAGCGAAGGTATGTACCAACCTTACTGTGCTCCATTTCCTTCAATTGATCTCCACCGTCTACTCCTCCTCACTGGTCTCGCTGTCGCTCAAATATTCGACAGTAGCTTCCCCATGGACCTTGACAGGATCCATATGTTCTTCTTCAGCTAACTTTTCCTCAATCAAGTTAACTTCCACGTCTCTCATCTCCTCTGCAGCTCTTTCGCTCTCCATTTCTAATTCAAGTTCCCTCACCATTTCCTTCATTTCTAAGTCTTCTTCCACGTCCTCAACATATTCATGTTCCACAGCCACCATAATCTCTTTCACCTTCCTTTCAAGCATTCCCTTCTCCTTACTCTGAACCCTCTCTTGCTCTTGTTTATATAGCTTCTTCTTCATCTCTTCCCTCTTAGCCTTCATCCGTTCCATCCTCGTGGCCTTTGCTGCTGCTGCCTTTTCCACTTTCTCTTTCTCCCTCAGAACCGATTTTTTCGTCTTAACCCACTCACGAGATGTCTTCCTCTTTGCCAGCTTTTGCCGCACCTTTTCACTTTCTTTGCTCATGTCATTGTTAGCCTTAGGATAAGCCTTCCCTTCAATCATCGCTTCCAAAGCCCAGAAGCACATCCTGCTACCCCGACAGATTCCAAACGACGGAATCGCGACCTCAAAGTCAATCCGTGATGCAGGTTTCAAATACCCTCGTTTCTTTTCGTAGCGGAACCAGCCTTCGAGTGTAGGGATAGGCTCTGTTCCATCGGTTGGTGTATACTGCTGAGCACCCGGCCCGCGGGCGGCATCCCACTCATACTTGATCGTCCACCTTGGCGCAGATAGACGAGGAGGAGAGCAGGTTGGAGAAGATATTGTCGGTTTTGGAGGGCTTTCTGGAGTTGGAGATGCTGGCGTCAATTCTAGGGAAGTAATCGACGAGTCGACGGCTAGCTTTTCTGGGCTGAAAACACTAGGAAAGGCAAACTGTGTCGAAGACTCCCGGGGCATGGGCATAGGTAGAGGATGGCGAACGTGGCTAATGACCTGGACATCATCGTCATAACCACCGCCTTGCTGGGTAATATCATAATTCAGGGGTTGCATTGAAGCAAATTTAGGCAGAGTTTGATACTGTTGATTCGACGCATCCATGTATGCAGACATGCTCCAGAAAGCGAGCTGCGGCTGTTGTAGCAGCAATCTATGGTACATCGTATGGATTTGAGGGTATTGAGTTTGCACCGAAAAATATTTCTGACCCGTGATCGTTGTGTACGTTGGATAATGTTGAGGAACGAATTGCTGCGGCAGCCTTGGTTGCTGAAGAAACCGACTAGCAGAAGCACTTTCAAAACTAGACTGCTCAGTCCTCTGGATCTCTTGAAAGTGATACATGTCGTCAAACTTGGTGAACAATCGATCTCGAAAACTAGGATATACCGGACAGGAGTGGCAGTGTTCGGCGTAGGGACGGATATTGTGCTTTTGATAGGAAGATTCAAGCTGTTTTGCAGACAGATTTGAAGTATTTTGCAAGTTCGTGTTCGTTGTCAAGTAAGCTGGGGAAGAAGAAGGTGTCGCAAGACTTGCGAAGAATTTGTAGGTGAAAATTCGCTCATTCCAGGCTTGCAGGGCAATTGTCTGATTGCTATTGTGGCTACTGCAATAAGAGGTGGTTGGGCGATGTCCAAGAGAGAAGTGAGTTCCATAGTTGAGAATTTTGGGTCTCCTCGAGCGGCCGCGCACCTCAACGCCAACATTTTCAGATCTGGAAATTCGTCGCCATGGACAGCTCAGACAAGGCGGACAAGATTGGGACTTCCCTAGTCGAAACTGAGTTTGATTTCGTTGTCCTTCGTTCCAGAAAGACCTGGCTGACGATGAGAAGATGTTCTCAGTTCGGATATTCGGGAAAGACACCCGTGAAGTATCCACAGATAATTCACTCTCAGTTGGGGCATTGCGCTTTACGTGATTGGGAGGCAACACACTAAGGCTCTTAGGACATTGTATCGTCTGCCGTTTTCGACATGATTGGGTCCGCCTGGTCACCTTTGCACGCTTCGACGCATCGCGCTGGCATTGTGGTACAAAGCCCGGCGGCGGGCCACCGGAGGTGATGTTGAAGATTACATACTCCTCTTGTGCAGATTTCGAAACGTCAATGTTTGGTCGCGCATCTCGAAGCGCAGACTGCGAGTTCAACGCAGGACGTTTTCGTTTGGCTTCGCGTAGATCGCTTGGTTTTTCTTTGGCAAAACCCTCGCTATCAAAGCTTACCTTCCTAGCCCTTTGTTGAGATGCTGGTTCTGTGGGTGAATCTGACGACCACCACCGCCCAGAAGAACCTCGTCCTGCTGTCACTGCTTCGAACTTGCGACCAGGTGTCACATTCTTAAGCCCAAGGCCTTGTCTATGCTTGATTTCTAGAGCTCGATTTTGATCTTGGGAGTACTGGGCCTTCTCATATTTCTTCTCCAAGGCCGCTCTTGCCTGTGCGAGACGTGTTAGGATGTCACGATGATGTGGCGTTGAAGAAGTAGCAAAAAGCGCCTCCTTACTGGAGCAATTTGTGTGATCAGCGCTCATATTCGAAGTCTTCTTCTTTTCAAGTGTTTCGATTGACAGCGAATGTGCGCAGACCACCATGGGCGGACTGCTCCGCAGTGGAGAGTGGTCTCCGCAACCCGATTTTGCGTCATCGGCCAGTTTTGAGGAGCACACCAATTCTCTTTGGCGAATCTTTGGATGCCATTGTCTTAGATAATTATGGCCAAGAAGTCAACAGCTTGTCGAAAGCAGTTGTTCGACGCCGCAGTCACGGCGAGAGGCTTAATGCAAAGCTCGGATGTCACTCTGCTTAGGAGCAAATGAAAGCGGAACGAGCATGTATCTCAGAGACACTTCAACGAGCTTCGACAGTCGATGAAGCAGCTGCCAGTCAATTACATGACTGTCCAGGCTCGGACATGCGGAGACGCTCAAGTAGTGTGCCTGCACACCCGTAGATGTCCAGCAAGGCAGCAGGTGAGGTTTCAAGCACGTGCTTGGCGGAGTGCGTGTGGCGTCCGCTAATGGCGGCAGCTCCACTGAGCGCCGATCGCTCAAGTTAATTAATGGTCCTCGCAGACTGAACGGGACCAACCATACTAGGCCGCAACGAACTGCAAGCTCGCGCAGAACCTCCCTTGTGTCGTGACCCACGACGAGCGGAAGCGCTGTCATCGTTTTCGAACGGCGCCATTCAGAGCGACGGTGGCTACTTTTGTAGCGCGCTGCTCGCATCCTTGACAAACACCCTGCTTTCCTTCCACCATAACGTAACCTGCGATGGCCATGAGCGTCATACTTTGCACCGGTATGCAAATGTGCAGCTTGCCTTTGTTGCTGAGCGCATGAACAGGTCTGCCCGATGAACGACGGATACTGACTGCTCAACAGCCGGCTATGACCATACTATCCGTTTCTGGGAGGCTCTGTCCGGAATTTGCTCCAGAACTATCCCCCATCCAGACTCACAAGTGAACCGGCTATGCATCTCGCCGGACAAGCGTTATCTCGCCGCAGCGGGCCACCACACCGTCAAGCTGTACGATGTCAAGTCATCGAACCCGAACCCAATTCTCACCTTTGAGGGCCACACGAACAACGTGACAGGCGTCGCCTTCCATTGCGAGGGCAAATGGATGGTTACTTCGTCTGAGGACGGCACCGTGAAGATATGGGACGTGCGAAGCGGCAGTGTGCAACGCAACTATAACCACGGCAGTCCTGTCAACGACGTCGTCATACATCCTAATCAGGGTGAACTCATAAGCTGCGACCGCGCGGGTACGGTCCGTGTTTGGGACCTGGGCGAGAACAAGTGTAGCCACCAGCTCATCCCGGAGGATGGCGTCTCCGTTGCCAGTGTCACCATGGCCTCGGATGGCACGATGCTGTGCGCCGGCAACAACGCTGGCAGCGTCTTTGTGTGGCGGATGATTCAGAATCGCGACTTGACCTCTCTCGTGCCAGTGTGTCGCTTCACCGCGCACAACACCTATATCACCCGCGTGCTGCTCTCACCTGACGTTCGTCACCTCGCAACTTGCAGCGCGGACCACACAGCGCGGATTTGGTCCGTCGACTCTTCGCCTGCGAACACCCAAGCCACCACGCCGACAGAAGGGGCGAATGGCCAAAAGGACACCGAAGGCTTCAAGCTCGAGACCATACTGCATGGTCACCAGCGCTGGGTTTGGGACTGTGCTTTCAGTGCTGATTCAGCGTATCTTGTCACTGCTTGCTCGGATCACTACGCTCGGCTGTGGGAGCTGAGCTCGCAGAGCATTATTAGGCAGTATAATGGACATCACAGGGGTGCAGTGTGCGTGGCGCTGAACGACACGGCAATGCCTTGAGATGCTGGGGTGTATATCGCTTGGCGACGAATGCAATGACTTAACGACGGCAAAACCTACTGATTGCATTTGCTCTTTCTTACGTGGCATGACGCAGTCACAAGAGACCACGCACTTAGGATGGGACTATGCATAACCTTATGGCGGACAGGCGCTACTTCGGATGGCACAGCTAGCATGATATGGTACGGTCTTGTAATAGATTCAATCCAAACGACTTGGCCAAAACCACCACGAACGCCATCATTGACGCCGTTCTATACAAAGTGCTTACCAGAGACATCCGACGTCAATGTGCAGCACGAGTCTATCGTCTACTACCTCAGGGCTGCATTGTATTGTCAGTTTACTAGCATCTGAAGTCAAACTGCCAGGTCGGCCGCTGAATGTGCGCGGTTCATTGTCTGTTGGCATCTTAAATCGCGTCCCCGCCTCCCATGTTACTCGGTTGTTTCTAGGTAACTCTATCAATGGTGATAACGGCTGGTCAACGACGTTCCGGACGTGCGACGTCTGGCTTGTTACATCTCCTATCATCTGCATGTCCATGAACTGACACCATAACACGTCCCTCTCCGTGCCTGGCGTGATTCCAATGATTAGCCCGACAGTCCGATAGTCACCAGCTACAATGAACGCTAAGATTGTGTCCTTCTTTGGCGGTGGGGGTGGGCGACGGAGGCTGTAGAGCCCTTTGCTGGTCGCTACTCCTAAGTTTTTGCGCTGGTCGAAACCTGGCGCCATGAAGACCTTTTTCATCTGATTATCCTTTGAAGTCAACATGAGCGCGTACGCTTCGCTAAAGTGGGCGACTTTCGGTGCAAAGGGGGAAGTGCGGCGTATAATGGTAATGTCGGCTTGTTGAAGGGACTCTTTGTCGACAAGAAGATCCTTTCGGGTTGGAATCCGGGCGTGTAACCCTCTTCGCAACTGTCGCATGAAGATACGTACTTGTTCATGCTTCCCATCGCTCCCAGTTCTCTGGCAATTGAGCGCCGCACTAATGACACCGTTAGGGTGAATGTTGATAGGTAAATTTATGTTGAGCCCAAGATTCGTCACTGCAAAAGCCAGGTTTCGGGCATCGTCTTCGTGATTTATCTTTTCCACTATGCTACCACAATTCTTAAAGCGCTTCGGGGAGTCTGCCAGACAGCCAGTGAGGTAAGATAGCGGATCGTCAAGGTTGTCTTCAAACTCCCACGCAAGGATGCTCTGATCAGTAGAATTGCGAATAATCTCTTCCTGCAGACGTATGAATGCTTTGCCTCCTTCGCCATAGAGAAGAGGCATGTTGATCTCCAGTATTCCGAGCAAACAGTAAGCAATATCCTCTGTTCTTGTCGTCTGCCTTGTCGCCGCCCAGGAGATCCTCTGAGCAATGCTACACGAAGCTACATCGCCGTTCTTCAGCACATGCGGGGGAATACGCGTGATCTCCGCGAGCTCTCTGGCCACTATTCTCTTTTCACCGAGGAATCTCCAACTGGAGGAGTAAAAGAACAGATTCTTCGGCGCAATGAGCTCCTGCAACGTCCATCCACGTGTAAACCACTTGCTGTCTCTGATTTTTTCTATCAGCTGTCTGCCGGCGTTTGCACTTAATTGAAGCCCCGAAGACAGTGACACAAGCCTTGGGCGCAGCCTGTCCGAATCAAGATCTACATCGGCGAGATACGCAAAGCACACGCTGGCCTGGCGGTAATAGTGGTACATGGAATTGATGGCCTCGCTCAGCTCGGCAGAACTGCTTTTGTCGATACAGCACGTGTCTACCCATATCCACGCGAGATTGTGATCTTTGGCCTCGTTGGCACACCTCTCGATCTTTTTGAACCCGGATTTGTGCTTCGTGGCTCGACTTCGGTTTGGACTCTGCATCTCATGGAATGAAACCTCCTGGCCATCTACCCAAGTGTGAGATAGGATGGCATATTCGGGAGTGTTGGCCTCGTTGAACTCCTTCAGAGAAAGATTATCCACGTTGATGAGTCGCATGTGGAACTGCGTAGCCACAAGCAACCAAGTGAACAGGCTGCAAAGGTCTCAAGGACGCTGATCGAAGGCGCGGGAGGGATGATTCGAGAATAGAACAAGGTTGGAGTCCGGGAAAGCCTACCATTGCAGCGTTTGAAGCCAACAACGCGACGAGATGCGTCGTGTGTGACAGGGACCATGGGAATTCGGCCTTTAGCAGAGCAGCAGTTTCGATTGCGCACTCGGCGGGGCGGCTCAAATCATAGTTCTTCAACACCTGCATGTCTGCCTTGTCCGCAGCCAATTGACCTTAGGCCAGATGCATGAACTGTGGTTCAGAGGCCACAAAGGCGCTCGTGGCAAGCGACAAGGGTCACTTGCTTTCTACGGAGTAGAGTTCCAAAAAAACGGCAGATATCAACGCAGGATGCTGAAGATGCTCAAGCCTTGGTTCACACATATCGCAAACACTGATATTGAGAACGGGAGTCGGAGGTTCACTCAAATGTGGAGACGCAGAGCTGCGTTGTTAGTTCTGGCCAATAGCTTGTGCTGCACAGTATGAAGCTTTGAGCTTTGCGGACGATGCGCCGCTGTCCCGCTGCGAAACACGAAGCTCCATCCCGATTTCCAAAGAGCGTCTCCTACTTTCCGCAGCGAGAATAAATCTGAAGCCCGCTCCGTACTTTGGACAATCGGAGGCAGCGTCATGCTTATCGCGTTCGCACGTTGCGTCTGAGCGGGAGCTGAATCCTTGCAATTCTATGAATGAGGTTTACAACATCCAGCCACTGCGTCTCCAGCCATCATATTCGCTCAAACAGTTGGCTCTCTTAAATCCTTGGTGCCTTATGCGCGTGCGATTCCTGTGTTTCCTTTTTTCACTCCAATGATTGAGTCTCTGAACGATTGATTTTGAGGTCAGCTAATAGTCAACGCGTCCTTTTGATGCACAGATCTGCGGAAGCAAGCGACTCTCGTCATGAAGGGATTCGTTCGGATGCTCTCGCTTCCACCGGCGCTTCTTGCGCTCGTGGCACTATCAACTTCCACAGCATACTCGGAACCTCAGTGGCCATATGAAGTGCCAGCACATATCAAAGTCTATCCCGAGGACGAACATCTCGCTAAGAGAGGGCTTTCGGCCATGGAGATGCTTGCAACGAGAACGCCAATTGGAGTGCACAAGATGACCGACGACGAGGAGGAGATGTTTTTCTTAGACTATTGGCAATTTGAAGAGGATGAAAACATGCAATGTCCGAATGCTAGGAGATCACTTCCCGCCGAGTTTGCAAACGAAACATTGGACCGTGGCTTGCTACCTCCGCTGCTAGCACATTCAAACTCCCCTAGCCAACGTCGACTGCAGGATCGAATACCGATTTTTGCAAGATCGAACATATTTGCTCGCGACTACGCATGCCCCTCGGGTACATATTCCTGCGTTTCAATTGACCGACCGTACAGTTGCTGTCTCACAGGCGAAGTATGTGTCTCGGTCCAGGACACAGGGTTAGGTGATGTAGGCTGCTGCCCTCAAGGGGAGACATGCAACGGCAAAGTTGCGGCTTGCAATACAGCTGCAGGATACAAGAGTTGTCCGGGCTACAGCGGCGGTGGTTGTTGTATCCCTGGATTCGACTGCTCAGGGATTGGGTGTAAGTCAACTGATCAGAAACGAAGGCACGAGGTCAAACTGAACGTGTGATGTCAGGCGCAATCAATGGAACCGAGACGGTCACAACAACTGCGCCAACGGTGACCGTGACGGGCTGCCCGGCAAGCTATACCTCTTGTCCAGCTTCTCTCGGCGGTGGGTGCTGCAAAAGCGGTATCAGCTGCGGCAGTGGCGGAAGTTGCCTTACGTCTTCTTCAACCAGCGTTTCAGTGTACACTACGATCACGACGTACCCTACATCAGCAACTGTTGCTGGTGCTCCAGCTAGGCCAACGGGGAGCTCAGACAGTGGAGAAGCGACAACACCAAGCACCACCACGGTGGGTACAGAGGTTATTGCTATATGTCCGACCAACTACTATTTCTGCTCCGCCTACTACCGCCCTGGATGCTGCCGCATTGGCCGCGACTGTTCGCTAACGAACTGTCCGTCTGCGACGTCGTCCAGCACGCTCGTCTCGAATGGTGTTACCGTCGTCGTGCCCGAGGGCAGCCTCATCGGCGGCTCAAGCTATGTGACGACTGCCGTGATAACCGGCGTGACAGTTGCGGCTGCTACAACCACTCTGAGGACGGGATCGTGCCAAGCGGGCTGGTTAAGCTGTGGGCAAGATGTAGGAGGCGGGTGCTGTCCGCCGAACTTTGCGTGCGGAACCATGTGTTCTGCCACGGCTGCTGGCTATACTGGCGTCGTCAGCAAAGTAGAGCCCAGTTCTGGTCGGACATTGCTCGACGTGAAGCAGGGGCTGTGGGTCATGTGTCTCGCGGCATGTGCGAGCACTTTGATCGTAATTGGAAGTTAGATCTCTTTTTCGACATGATGCTTATGATAATGCTACACGCCATGAAACATCAGCTCTGTGGGCTCTTCGCAGTGTTATGTTACCAACCGAGCATGTCCTGAGTTCCCCTCACGCCGCACCATTTGCCTTCAAGCAATGCCTTGAATTTCCTCGCAACCAGTACATTGTAATCGTTGAAGGCATCCAATCATTGACGAACAGCTCGGTGAGCTCATGAAACGAGGTCGTGCAAAATCGTGGAGCATTTGTTCCAGGAGAGAGACGCAAGTACGTACGAAAGATCAAAAGAGGCAAATCTGTCCGGCCTGATCCATCGCGTAGGTGATTCCAAAAAGCTTCTGCATTGATATCCAGCCGAGAAGCCGTTCGCCCTCTCAACGACATTGACGCAAGAAAAACGAATGGCGCGATCTTCACTTCACTGAAGGCATAGGACAAGCTTCTGATTCTATTCCCAAAGACCAAGACCACTATGCGTCGCATGTGGTCTGGTTATGCATCTGCGTCGAATTCACCGCCATTTCCAGCGCAATGCAGTAGTTCCAGCAAGGAACCGATGTTGATTGGACGTCGGAAGCACAAGGCTGTTTACTCGAGCGAATGAAAATCGAACATGGATCTTTCTATCTCTCTAACATAATTCAAACTATATATCAACAAAATACTCCGCAGTGTAGGGATATCTCTCATGCACGTGCTCGCTTGGCTTCGCTCCGTCAAATCCCAATGGCAAAACGCTAACTTATGCAGAACTGTGAAAGTGAGGCGTCCCATTAACATGGCCAGCTCGCTCAACGAAGGCTGGGAATAGACTTCAACAAAAGAAAAAAAAAGATACGAGACGCTCGGAAACGCGCGCGAGGGACGCTGAAATTGCCGTTCATCCGGAAACTTCGTACCGACGCCGAAGAAAAATCGACGACTCCCGCCGAAAAAATGGGAGGGAACCAGAAACCAGCAGTTGTGTAGAGGAGGGTAGGGACCCTGGCGTTAGACGAGCAGGACGGCAATCCGATTTTTGCCCCGCTAAGGAGACGAGTCAGACCGCCCCACCGGAGGGTTGATGCAGGAAAGGTTATGCAGGGACTTGGAAGCGCTTCGGACATCTGCTGTTGCACGGCCAAAAGTCGACGGGATTCGCATGAGAGGGAGGTTGCTTGTGGGAATTTGCGGAAAAAGAAAAGGGCGAGCCCCGTCGTGGTCGATTGCTGATTTCCACGACCGGCGAGCGGAGCATGTACTGCTCACCTCTTTTTTTCGCCGCTCGCTTGCCTCGCAGCAGTGGTTCCCTCACGAGCGGTGGTCCACAGAGGATGCGCCAGCACAGCTTGTTGGGAGTCGGCAGCGTGTCCGATCGCCGCTGCTCTTGCTGCGGGTGTGTTGTGCCCGCCGACGGGCTCCGTGCCGGCCGGCCGTCCAGCCTCTACAACTCGTCCAGCTCGAACTCAAGTGCCACGTCCTCGGAACAGTCGTTGCAGTAGTAGTTGCTGAAGCCGGCGCAAGTGACCTTCATGTTCTTGCACATGTCGATGCTCCACGCATCGTACGAATAGCCAGACAGCAGACGGTTCGGGCAAATCTCGACGCTGTTGGCCCAGATGTAGTAGTCGTGGTTGCAGTAGTACCAGCTGTACGTGTATTGGCACATTCTGACTGCCCGTCCTGCTTATGGGTACTCAGCACTTGCTGGACGTGCGCCGCGTGGATTTAGTGGGGAGGGCAAGGCTGAGATATATGGGACCGACGTCGGAGGCCGCTGTAGTCTAGCCTTGGTACAGCGAAAGAGAAACAGTTCGGAACGCTCAGGCGAAAGCAAAATGCGCGACGTGGAGGAGGAGGAGGAGGAGGAGAAGGAAGAAGAAGAAGACGACGGCGAATGGTAAGGTGGAATGGAGAAGGAAGAGGAGGGAGGCAGTGTCAATTTATGGTCATCGCATGCCTAGTATCCGCAGCCCTTGCAGCGGGCATTGAAGAGGACCGTGGCCCGCGTTCGGCACACCGCTGCTGACGGTCTGTAGCTTTTCGAGTCTATTCTAGAACGACAGAAGCCGGAGGCGAGATAAGGGCCGCGAGGCGAGGATAACGCTGTCACGCTCCCGGCTGACTGTGACTGTACACAGCACCGCAGTGTAGTCCCCTTCAAGACCGATTGAAACGCACAAACCGCACGGTCCCGAAACTCGACCCAACGTCAATGCATTGAGCGCGCTCAACTCTCCTCCCCACGGCTCGTTGTCCCCAGTGTTGCACGCACGGCTCGCCGTTGCAAGAAACACAGATTTCCTGCTTTCGCTGATCGGTTTTCTCGTTTTCCCTGACCGCTGCCTTTGAGTGTCTCTCGCGTGACTCGTCCAGTGTTACAACGAACCCGGACACAACTCCAGCCCGTAGGCGACTGGCCACAACAACTGTAGATAGTACACCGGCCAATGACAGTGAGAGGTCCCGTTCAGGGATGCATACCCGTGTATTGCTGCTTTCCGACTCTCGATGCTGCTATGATCCTTGATTTTTCAGCCCCTTTCGCTGTTGTAGCCGACTGGGTGGCTGTAAATCCGGGATGTGGCTGGGCTGGTGTCCGCAGTTGGGAAAGGCGGCAGTGCGGAGAGGCGCGCTCGCCAAAACCGAAGGATTCGGAGGCCTGAACGTGAAGCTAAACTCTGTCTAGGCACGTGGTGAGTGAAGACAAAGGACGCAGGACGTAGGACTGATCAAGATCGAGTAGTTTAGCTCGACTTTGGTGCTGATTGTAAGATTTCCATATGTACAATCACATACGATCATGTGATCAAGAATCCAGCCAATATTCCATCGCTGAACCAAGGACTTTAGGTTCGCTGGTACATGTACTCCTGTCCTCTCATCCCGCTACCCGGCAGATGCAGGCGTCCTGTTGTACCTACAGCAGGCTAGACAGCGCCCCTTGTGAGCAAATATAGCCGCCCCAAGTCATGCGAAAATCACCCAAAATAACGCCATCGCTATGCCTAAATTTTCATAAGAATCATTCGTCAATCCCTATCCATTTGCCCATTTCAGAGCTTCTTGGCCTCGCCAAAGCTTTCAGACTCGATGTAACGCTTGATCGATTCGTAAGTGAAAAAGAAGATGCCATGAGTAAGGCCCGACCGTGCGATTGTGATTGCAAAGCCGGGATAGTTCGCGCGAAGGTTGCGAACCCACGAATACTCGGGAAACGTGGGACGCGTAACGCTAGAGAGACACTCCTTTTGATAGCGAGATTTCGCTGTGTCGTATGGCATCAACTGATAACACCAGGTAAGCGTTAGAATCTAGGCTTCAAACATGATATGCTTACCACGGCAGAGGAAACAGCGCCGCATGTGAGACCAGCAAAGAACACGGAGAGACCGTGCGACGCTTCTCTGCCTTGTTGGGGTCCAAGTGTATGTTTGACCCATTCGTAGGTGCCAAAGTAGAAGGCTCCGCCGAAAGTGTCACGGACTGTGCAGAGAATTAGCAAAGCCAAAAGCATAAACACCTCATGCGAGCAAAGGAGTACGCACCCAGATGATACTTGAAGCCAAAGTAGAAGCCGCGCCATGTAAAGTTTTTGTGGATGATCTTGCCGATGGCGATCATGCTGCGCTGGTCGCCGTAGCTTTGCCGCAGCCTCTGTTCGGCCTGACTCATACCTTGACCTGTCTTCTCCTCTGCGATTTTCTTAGCCAGTTGCTGGGCATACTTGATGAGCTCCATGGGTGCTTGGCCGTCAATTAGCGCGCTAGACGTAAATCAGCAGAGCATCGTATCTTACACGTATACACAGAGCTTGCCGCTCCAGCCATAGCTCCCGCTACAGTGAAGCAAATGACCGTATGAGCTGTTGGCTTAGAACCTACAGTGTTGACAACAGCGAGAGGGGAAACGCCTGTGAAGGCATAGACGAGGTTGTCCGCTGCCCACTTTGACTCTCGATAGGCTCCCATGTTGAGAAGCCTGTAGATGCCAACACCAAAGAAGGGCGGGATGGCGCCTGTTGTTACCCTGTCAGACTCGAAGCCCGGCGATACGCGGCATGCAAGACTTGCCTCGATAAAATTCGCGGATGCCTCCTCGCTTGAACATGTCCAAGCAGCATTGTACGGTTGGCGAGTTAAAGATCCTGCTACGGCCCGCAATGTTCGCAACGGATGTGTACTTAGGATCTGTCTGCATGTTTGTCTTGATCGTGTCGAGTGGGTACTGTCTCTCTGTCAGTTCGAGCAATAGAGCTAAGTGAAGCTGAATGGCGGCTGCTTACAGTCGTGATGATGCTCGTTGCGCTCGCCGCAGCTGTAGCAATGTCTCTTCGATAAACACGCCATATCCAATGCAGCTGCTGGTCGAACTCCTTTGGCCATGGTGGCAGGTCTTCTTTCTTCGGGCGACGATGTTGCTCCGGGGTTAAAGGCATCCTGGCGGTCGCTAGCAGAGAAGGCCCGGTTGGCCCTCAGTGCAATTGCGAGCGTCCAGAAGCCTTGAATATGCGTACAATGTGCCCGTTGTTGCGGTAAGGAGTCACCGTTGCGTGGTGTTGTAGGTGACGCTCGAAAATCGGGACGTAGGGTGATGGAGGCAAGCTCTTGAGGGGTGCCGTGGATGTAATCACAAGCTTAGCAGTTCGGGTAGGCCGCACCACCACACACTGCTATCCGCAAGCTTGTACTGTCATGAAGCGATGTGTATGCGATTGGACGTAGCGGGGTCAGGACTGAGTGCCTGCGTAGCTTGTGAAGGGAGTGGATCAATTGGATGCAGCTCATAGTATAGCAAGCCCAATGACCTCAACATGCTTGTGGCCAAGACGGGAAAGCCCTTGTTCTGGTGGCGCGTGGACCTGCCAATGGTTTGATGGGTGCCCGTTGAAACAGCCGCATCTAGAGTCAACGACAGCTATTTTCTTCATAGCTTCAGCCAGCATACACGGCACGCCAGCAAGCTTATATTCTCGCGCCTTTCTTGTCTGACATCTTCAATCCTCTGTCAGTTGTTTTGACGCTTTTGATCGTTTTCACCCCGGTCTGACTCAACAACATCGGCTTTAGCTATACAAACACGAGGTGACAGCCGCGAGAAGCGACAGCACGATTTGCGATTACCATTGAGCAATATCCGCAACGCATCGTCGCCCGTGCATAAATCTCCAGCCGCTTGAGCGGCCGCTGTCCGATTTTTATGGGCTATGGCATATCAATCGGCGAATTTTGGGTGCGTCTCTGCCATGTCCCGGTAAACCACCTCAATGCCCAAAAGTCGAAAGAACTCAGTTGTCATACTTCAGCGGCCAGTCGGTCTAAGCATATAGTTCTTTCCTTCGTCGAGCAAACTTTGCCACACAATGCCGAATCGGTCTGGAAACTATGGGGAGCTCTTGACAGTTCGCGGCACACGAATGCAAGGCCTAAATGGTTCTGATACAGCACCGATAAGTTTAGCTCTTTCTGCTTCCTGCGAGCGCATTTTTATTGAGGCACTGTCTAGGCCCGCTTGCCGTACGCTACGCTGGTGGTTTCTCAGCAGGTACGCACATTAGTCGCAAGTAGCAATAACAGGACGAAAATCGTCGCTGAGCTTTTTTTGCTCGCCTCCAGAAATCTATATCGATAAATGCAATCTCTATTCGAATGGAGATGCGCGACAGCTTTAAGATGTCCTCCACAAATTTGGCCCTAACTAAACAAATCGACGCAAGCATCATCACAATGGCTGCGGATTTAAGGAGATTTGAAATTCAATAAACGGAAGACTTTTAAATAATTTTTTATTCAAAAAAAGAACCTTACTCCGACTGGAACGGGAGAATACTCCAGGATACGGGATTCCATGCGATACATAGTCGTGACATCCCTACCCAGAACTTCACGCACCTTTTGACTACGGTCCGCCGGATTCAGCAAGGTTTCAAACATTATAGGGGCCTGCAGCATTGAACGAAGCTTGATATCTTCTAAAGATGATACCATCATGGGTGTCCACTTCCGGAAATGATCTGCCATTTGGGAATTGACTAGAAGCAAGCCCTATTTGAAGTTTCTAATTTGGCAAGAGCCACAGAGACAAGAATTCCGGGAACTTAAGCGAGTTACTTTCTAATGCCTATACGTGAATTGCGGAAGCAGATATTCGTTCTGACGGAACGTCGCGACAGAATTTGGTATGGAAGAACGGATTAGATCTATATCGTCCCCAAGCCTGGGTTCACACTGGATCCATTTTCGGCCAAGCAGAATGAGAGGAATACTGACTGTAAATGACTACGTTTCCTGATGATAATCCAGGTCCGGTTCCTGTTTGCTCCATGAGGCATGATAATTCTGTGATTATACAATCCAGTCCAAGTTCGTCAAAACATGTTTACCTAAGCGCTCATGCGGGTATTTGTCGTTGTACTTCACCCAGATGTATTTTCTTTAAGAGCATGGACGATCTCTGAAGCACCTCTGGCCCGGACGATGATGGGTCAGGTACCAAGCAGACTGATTACAGTCGTATGATTCGGACACAGTGCACAACGTTTGATTAATCCTTGGTCGGTCCCGTGGCTTAAGTTTCCTTTCCACAATTCCTGACATCTTGATACGGATAATGTGCCAGTCCCACGGAGGCATCTGAATTCATTCGCGTTTTGCCTGAAGATCGTGATATGCAATAATCGCATCTCCTAATAACAGCCGAATACAGCCTTGATAGCCTAATCGGAACATGTCCGAACGACCCCAATACTTTGGCCAGGACCTTCCAAAAATGAAGTCCTTAAGAATCAATATTTAGATCGCCGTTTGCGCACCGTACGATGATATTACGTCACTAATACAGCGGCTAAAGTGCGGGAGTATCTTTCTATCTGCGGCCAATAACAGTGCTGTCTCCATGCTCTTGCTATGATCATCCACGAGACTTTGCTTACGTATCTATAACCTCTGCTCTAAGCTCGGAGCAAATGATGCCTCCTCTTGGTACATTACGTTTTACTGTTGCTGATATTACTTTTTGTATCCGTGTTAATATTTAAATGGCTTGAATCGACTCCTGAAGACTCGTTATCAATGTAAGACTTCTTTCCAGGCGTCTCGTACCATTGTTAATACAGCTACCGCATAATGCTAAAATGGCTCCGTTTTGATTTACTTAGACTTAATCCAGAGGACTAGGTGGACCGTTAACTTGTGGTGCAATACGAACCACACATAAATGTTATTCTATAGCCGCCACAGCTTTTGCAATTATTAGCGCCACTAGATCTATTGCCTGATATCTCTGACAGTCATCTCAACACTTAGGATTAAAGATCCGTAGTGAGCGTTTCATTTATTTGTGGCTGCGAAGGTATGATTGCCTCTCTGCGACGTTGTCTCCAAGATTGTCTTCTTTTCTGTTGTTGTGTTGGGAAGATAAAAACCCTTTTCGTCCCGGGCTTTATCATGCGGTCGATGACTGCCATAATGGACACCTGGGTTGCAAACTAGCCGGTGATGAGACTTGTCCAGTTTCGAAAGATAAAGCGGTGGCCTGTGAGGATGAGGAAGAGACATCAGCTTGAATTAAGTCGTAAACTTGTCCTCATGTAAAATGCTAACAAGTCGCTCCAGTTGCCGGCTGCTCTTGTCCCTACATGTGAAGTGGTGCTCGCTTGCACGATGAATCTTAATTTCGCGGAGAATTCTTTCGAACGTTTGCGTTGTTCTAAATCGTGCTTGTTCTCCTCGAGGTCTGATTCTGCATCCAAGTCACTTTGTGTGCGATGTGATGTGGGCGTAACTTGGTGCTACACCAAAGCCTCTCGCAATTGTGAAGCATTTTTACGCCAAGATATCAGACGGGCATTACGCGCAACACTACCAGAGTATAGGGATCCAAAGTTTAGTCCAATTAATACATTTCATGGAACACGTACCTGATAAGCCTCCATGATCTTGATATGAGGCAATTCACCATCTGCTCCTCTGCTTCTCTGAATTTTAAAGTATCGAGGTCATGGCTGCTCAAGTATGTAAAGCACCGCGTGTGGGATTACACTAGGATATAAAGCGGAGCTATATAAGCTGTATCGTCCAATTACACGCCTGTCCTTCAGGGCAATGGTAAGTTCTCATGGCATAGCACACACCCTACCACAGTCCCTAGCACGGGCATAAGTACGAGCACTAGCACGAGCATGAGCAAAATGAGCATTAGGGTTTCATCCTAGCCGATAGTTGGTTAGGGTGATCTCCCTTTTTGCCATTGTGTCGTCGGTTCGATTAGCATAGCCGACAGTTATATTATTCTTTTTGCATACACTATTGATGGCAAATCTCTCCCCAAACCCACATCTCCAAAGCTTCTTTATATATCCTTAAGAATATCATTTTCGTGAAGTAACGAAATCACAGAACTTCAGTATGCTAGGCCTTATCATAGTCATTCAATCATGTCATTTTGATCGTTCATCAACTGCTGGTTAAAGGGAAATCGTGTTCTACGCCGAACTGTGATACACTAACACGGAGTCAATGGGATGCATATAAGCCACCTTTGTCTTTTCCCACGTTCACAGATGTGCCGACTTGTTGACGGTAAGTTAGCGGAAATGGTTTCCATAGCCATCCAGTCTTCTCCTAGTCCTTTTACAGGACTTTTACAGGTTCTTATCATGGGATACGTAAACTGCAAGTCATAATATAATGATGAATTGACTGCTAAGTCTAGCATGGATAAATTTCACGTCCTTATCAAAATGCGAAAGTTCATTCCAATACGCAAGAAGTTTCAATTTTCAATGCAAGCTGATTTACATAGGTACGAACAGATGGCAGAATTTTTGGAGGTAAGTTGGCGGCCCTTAGTCTGCATTGATCTTACTTGTATCAAGCAACTTGTGGGTTTTGAAGTTTGTTCGGCAAAGCTCTAGAGCTTGGCCAACATGTCTTGAGATAAACTTAACCTCTCACAACACTCATTACGATCACCGGCTAGGTCTCAAGATCACACAATCGCTGATACAAACGGCCAGGTCCTTTCAACTATGTCACAAGAAAGGTGCACTGAAGAGACGGTAATATATTTAGGCATAAATAGGGTAACTGATAAGAAAGACTAGTAGGCGAAACGAAGAGCACTCAACATTTCAGTGCCAGCATTCATTCACTCGACCATGTTTGCTGTTAACCCCCCTATAACCTCAACAGCACATTCTCATCGATTTCTTCATGGACATAGAGTAGCTATAACAGCCATCCTCAAAGTTGTTAGCTTACCTAAATATGGCATGCCGGCATCCGGCTCAGAGATGAGATTAACGCAACCACGACAGGAGGCTTAGGAGAAGCTGCAAGCTCTTAACCACTACTGGGAGCAGCTGTACACCTTCCTGATATTAATTACTATCCACCTTCTACAACGTCCTGTTCATGTTCTTGGAACACACGACTGTAAAACCGCACCGTAGCCACAATAACTGTACCTTTGCATTTCGATTGCAGCATGGGACATTTATTCGGGACAGGGAGGTTGATACCGTTGACATTATCTACTAAGCAGTCCATGAGACATAACGAAAGGCAAGGTACAGGCCAGATCAATCGACATGACGATTGCTAGAGGCGAGTCAGACAGAAGGTAGGGGCGGAAAAAAAGATAGTCGTCACTGCTACAGACAGTCAGAACAGACAATGACATTCGGCGATCAAGTGAGGGAGGTGCAGAGCTATGGATACACTACCAGCTCTCAAAGTCCAGATGTCTTGGTCCTGTGATACAAATGAGGCAAATCTAGTCGTGTCTGCTGTCATTGCGGCCCTCGAGGCTGGTTGCAAGATAGCGAGTGTGAGAGCACCACAGATTCCGAAGATGCTGTCGCTAGGGGGCTATGTTCACGGAAGACCAAACTAAAATTGTGCAAGAACTACGCTGGAATAGGTTGCAAAACGTGGATCAGGCTGGCGCAGCGGTATGCATAATTTGAGAGAGCCGTGGCCTGACTGACCGGCACTTCTCAGCGGAAGAGCGGGAGACGCATATACATCATGCCTTGAAGATGCCGCTGTTAGCGAGAGAATTGGGTGAGACAACTTGTTCCATACCTCCTCCCGCAAGAGTTGGATTATCAACCGCATATTGCCATCGGACGATGATCGACCAATACTGAATTGGTTGGCTAATAGCACAAGGGAAGTTGCCGGAATTTCAAGCATGTCTCCACTTAGGGGCCACAAGGTGTTCACGTAGCCTCTGTGCACAGCTTGCACAAGACGCCGTGGGCATGAATGTATGCAGCACCAGTTGAAAGGTAGGATCCGCGATACGCTCTGACCACTTGGCCACGACGGCGACCTCGAATTATTCAGTACAGTAATGTGCACGTTTCAGCGAACCATCCTAGCGGACCAAAGACCGCATCGTTGACACTTTCTGTGATTAGTCGTCAATTTTGGTAGTCCGGACTTTGTCGAAAAGCTTGTGCGACACTACTAAGTGCTGTTTTCGGTGTTTCCGGCGCTTCAGCACTGGACAGTGATACCGACGTGCCGGGTCTGGCGGATGCGTCAACAAAAGTAAGTTTCAGTGGGAGATGGTGTTCCATCTTCCGCATCAAATCTCAGGTTACCTTACGTGTCGGTATCACTTTGGGAAAGACGCGCTGTGCGGACGCGCTGTGCGAATGATCCCGATTCTAGATCATCCCCAGCTGTGAGAGGACGGCAACACGGCATAGGTGACATGGATTCCGTTGTATTCGAGAAGCCAGGATCCTATCACCCTAGAAAAAACGCAGTGGTCAAGCCATGGCATGGAAAAGAAGCATCCCCAACTCGGCGCTTCCACGCTGCACAAAGCCGCGAACAGAGAAGTCGAGAAGCTCAGAGCAAGCAGTAATGAGCAACAAGCCACCCATATGGCATGGCGGGCTCAATAAATTGAAATTTCACTGCAAATCTTTCAACAAGTAGTGGCTGCCACGCGAGCTGGCCCGTCCTCCAGAGCACACCCTTGCAGTTCCACGTGGAAATGACGGGCAGGGACCTCCCTGCGCACGGCACACAAATTCTGATCTTCAGATGGTTGTCAAGCTTCGTCCGGCGAAGTCGTCTCCTTCAAATCTAAAGGGAATCCTGCAACAGTTTGATGAGCTCTGTTGGGAAGGGTGTGGAATCGAGGGAACGTAGATTTGATTACGGATATCGGCGAAGAGGGCACGCTGCTTGGCTCCACCATGCATCTCAGGTTCCCACTCAAGAGCCCAACGCATGCGGCTCGATCCACACGGAATTCATCCGATGGCTTCGAGGACCACAGCAAAAACAATTAAAAAAACGTGGCTCGCGGTAGCCGCGTGCTGCGGGTTTCGACTAGGCTACGAGGTGTCTTTTCTTTTCTTTTTTCTTTTTTTTTCTCCTTTTTTTTAATCTGTACCATGCAGTCGGAACGTCAACCTACGGCCTGGCCTTTCCTGTAAACGCGAACACGTCGCAGCAATGGCACTAGAAGAGAGTGTGTCATTTATCGTGTCGGACAATTGCAGACAACTTCTGGCGAATTACATTCGAAGGACGAGCAGAGCAGAGGCCGTGGAAATTTCTATTTCTCCTAGAAGCTGGCTGGCCACGAAGGAACGATGCATGGTTGGCGCACGCCCTACACGTGGCTGGTCATCGAGGGGAAAAGCTAGCCATCGGATGAGAGAGAGCCCGTCCAGTAGTGACAGAGGACCGACTTAGTAGTGCTTGCTGCTTTAGCGAATACGTTGCACCGTTCCTTAGCGAGCGCTGCAGACAGCCACTGTGGTCCAGAACATTTCCTTGGAGCCTCCATGTCAGGAATTTTGGTCCACCTCTTCTTCACTGTCCATCTGGCGGTAAAGCCAAGTGCGTTGGAACAAGATACAAGTGGCAGAGCATCAGGCTATCGTCATGCAACAACAGCTACCTTTTTAAGTTATCTCTGCCTACGACTGGCCATGTGACTAAATTACTCGGGTCCCACAAAAGGCCCAGCACTGCGCCATGTGTCAAGCCGCAAACCTTGACTCTGATCCCGGCGAGCAGACTTGCAGTTGGTAGATCCAGAAGTTTGTCGGCACGACACGTTTTAAGAAGGTGAGGGCCGGTTCTAGAAAGCACCGTAGCAGAAGGCAGGCTTTCTCGTAGAGGTGGTCTCACAGACCCGCGGTTGGTCTGGAAGTTTGTTGTTCCAATTGGGAGGCCAAGCGCGAAGATATGAATCGTCGTTGGCTTGCAGGCGAGGTTCCCAAGATGGGTTTGGGCGAACGCTCAGGCGAACACGGGCGGCTCTGAAGGATCACGAGCACGTGGGAAATGTGGGCAATTAGCGTGCCTCTCTTGCCCTCCTCACTGCGATGGAGAAACGAGGCGTCGATCTATCCACATGCAGGAAAAAGTACCAGACCGCTTCGTTTCTGCGCGGGCATGGGACGGACAACAAACGGAGCAACAATCGGCAACGCTGGCTTGCTGACTACTTGCCGCCCCTTAGCCGATGAAAAAGTGAGGGCCACAGGTCGTATGGAGATTCGTGCTACCTCTGTGGGCAACAGTCGCACGTGAATTGCATGACTCTGCAAATACTGGGGCCACTAGCCTAAGGCGATGGCGCCCGCGTCGCTCCCCCCTGGCGGCATATCTCCGGGGTAGCAAAGCCCCAAGCAGCTTGTCCTACCGAAATCTGAAGCAGCCGAGCCCAACCTGCTGGAAGAGGTCGGTAAACCGAAAGCAGGGACTGGAGCAGTCAATCCATCATGACAAGTCCGAGCATCTCCGCGAGCGTGACTTGGGGTGGTTTCAACTTGTTGCTTCGACAGATAGGGGTGGAGCGAGGAGCAGAATTACGACCGTGGATAATGGACGCCGTTGGTCCGGTTTTTCCCCCTTCCGACGATAGATTGTCTTCTCGCAGAATCGTAAGTCAAACGGTGGTGCATCTCGAGTTTAGGTCGGGTGGAGGCGTGCGTGCAGAAGCTACTCGCAGGGGCTTTGCTGAGACGGGAAAGGGCAAGACCAAAAGAACGGGTCGGTGATGGATTTACACCGCAATTATGATGTGAACGAAGAAGCAGAAGAAATGAACAAGAGGATGCAGAAGCGAGAACGCGACACACGGGCGACGAGGAGATGTTTTTTTGGGGGGTGTTGTGTCACACAGCGCGTTGTGTGTCGCGAGAACACGAGACACATGATGGGGCGTTGCACAGAACCGTGGGAACTAAGCTGGTGGCTACTTTGTAGGCAAAGGTGAATGCAGAAGGTAGAGGCGTTCCGCATGGCCGCAAGCGATGGGCGACGAGCACGTCTGGCGCCAGACTGTTGTAAGATAAGAAATACTTGACGTCGGTGGACGATATACATTGGAGTTGGCAGATCTCGCTCGTGTGCAAGGACGAGTGCGCGGAGGAGTGAGCGAGTGGTTGGCGTGTGCATGGACACGAGCAGCCGCGCTTGCAGCGACAATTTGCGGACATGACGATCCGAACGGGCAGGTCTCGGTTTGAGACCAAATTTGTCAAGAAGAGGAGTCTGGAAAACAATGCACAAGCGATCATGCTCAGGGTGATTGTTATGCAGGCGGATGGGGTAAAACCTCGTGCGAGGCAGCCCATATGCAAGGCGCAACCAGTCAGCAGCCTTCTGGCCCCTGCAAGGGCCAAAGCTCGAACGACCAGAACGATGGTCAGAAACGAGGGAAGAGGGAAAAAAACGGCGCGATCGGTAGGAGAGAAGCCAAAATGAGGATCGCGCAACAAAGGACGAAGACGAGATGGAGGGCCCAGCACGAAAGAACGGGCATTGCGGGGATGAACTCGCGCCCGAGCTCGTGGATAGAGGACGGGCAATGCATGACGGCATGGCACACCTCGTGTAGGACGTGGTTACGGGGTGGGGGGAGGAGAGAAGGAACTGTGGTGGAGGAATGGTTCGAGAAGGAAAAAGAAGAGACGGGGATGGCGCAGGACAGGCGAGGATTGGAAGGACGAGCAGCAGGCATGGATTGCAGTCAGGACGGGGACGAGGGCGATGATGGAGAGGGCAATATCAATAGCACGGCGACTAAGAGGGAAGGGCCAGAGCCAGGCCCGCGGACAGGAAATGATGGATGGATGGAAGGATGGACGGATGGGCTCAGATGAAACTGAGTCGAGGTCGAGCAGGTTGGGCCCACGACGGGCGGTGGGATGACGGCGACCAGCATGGGCAGCTGGGATGCCACATGGCTCGAGGAAAACGTGCCTAGCGCGCAGCCAGGGCCCGCGGCCGGCGGGGGCGCCTGATCTGGGCGCGGCGTGAGCCCCCAGCGCCCGCGCCAGCACGCAACAGGACCCGCCCAGCGCCGTGCAGCCCGGCAGGCTGTATGATTACGGCGCGGAAACACGACACGCTGCACACGCCTGCACGGGACAGCACCGGACTCGCGCGGCGGGTCTGGGGCCTTCCGAGTAGTCAGGATGAGTGATTCGCAGCACCACGGCACCACCGCCGCCATCCACAACCGCGGGCAGCCTCAGAGCAGAGGCAGCAGCACGACCAGCAGGCCAAAACTGATCGTCCAGCGCGCTCGCGCCCGTCCCGGCGGTCGTACCCACACTCGCTGCGCACTGCTCCCTTAAACGTGCCCGTCTTCCCCCATCTTAAACCGTATCGCCAGCGTCGGAGCCCGATTTTATTTTTCCCTTTCCTTCCCCATTTTTGCATGCGTATCTGTCTCGCCTGTCCTTTCGTCCCTTTCTCTTCCACACTCCTCGTCTCACGCCCCCCCTTCGCGTTGGGACTCACAGAATCACGTTCCACCCCCAATTCCTGCTTTCCAGCGTCGGCTTGGTGTGCGTTAAGAGACACTCACGCACACCAACCTGATCAGATCTGCTGAGATCCTGCTGCCACCAATCCCGTAAGCCCGCTAACCCTCCCAAAATTCCCGAAGCACGCCGTCGCTGGCCCTTTCGCGACCAACGAACCCCGTCCCCATTATCTTCTCAAACACGCCCGCCCCCCTCTCTTCCCAATACTGCGCCCAATTCACGAGAGGGAGAAAAATTTAAAAATAAACACAAAGTTAGAAAAACACAAAGGGCGCACCCTCAAGCGTGTCGTCCTTTGCCGTCTTGCCCTCCTGCTCATCTTCCCACGGACGCCCTTGGTTATGTCTGCTTACTGACCCGTACCAAGCGGAACCGCTTACCTCCCAAGATTCCTCGTGGCCCTCTCTGGGTCTCGTAACCCTGGATCCCTCATCGGCTCAACGTCGAGCAGACCGACGGTCTCCTAGTCGCAAGCCTTCGACGCGGTCAGTAGGGAAGATCCTGTCTTCCTGGCTCCCACGCGACGGTTCCGGCTACCAGGACTCCCGATCCAACAGAGCGTTGCAGCAGCACCACCACCACCACCACCATCAACAGCCGTGCAATCCTAACACCGTGTCACCGTACCACGGCGACGACCTCTCCACCCCGTCCACCACCTCGCTCGTAACGAACTTGTCTCCCAGCGAAACACACTCCGAACTCATCAAGGACCATCACTCGCACCCAGACAGACGCGACTCCTACTCCGACTCTACCATCTCGCAATTCGAACCGTCCGAGCCGTTCGAGCGCACCGAGCGCAAGATGCACCAGACTTCGTCGCGCCTGCTCCGTATGACGGACGATGACCGGCCGTTCACAAGGGTAAGTGGCAGTTTGTTTGTCCTGCGACGACGGGCGTCCGCCATGTCATGAAAGAAAATGCTCGCTCTTCTTGGACCCCATGCCGCGCACAACTGTCTTTGGAGAGCCCTGGCACACAGTGGACCATTTTTCCCCCCTGGTGTCATGCTTCTTCCATGGCCTCGAGCGTGGTGTAATTATGCCTGGACCGAAGTCCACACGTTGATCCAGCCCGTTGGCGGCGAGCAGTTGTTTGGTCGACCACCTGTTTGCTTAACCTTTTGAATCAAATTTACACCACGCACGCACTCCGCGAACGGGAAAAATTAAAGTCGTGTTTCTGCGGCTGTGCGAACCAAATGCACTTCCTCTTCCATTGTTTCGCGGCATATGATGGATCTCACATACTAAAGGCGCAGGCCGCGCGACGTGGGGATGAGGAATCACCCAGAGCGGAGCTTCCCAGGATCCATGACGGCGACAGTGGACACCGAGGGCGATGCTCGTCTCCTGTATGACGGTCGGTCCAAGACCAGCACGTCATTGGAGACATTCCTGGGCGACATGGTTTCCGAGCAGAGCAGCCTTGACGTGGCTTAGAACCCAAGTTCAACTCGTACTAATAGACATGCAGGACTTCAAAGACCTCTTCTCGACCCTCATGGTCTCGCTACCGCTGACGCCTCATCGAGTACGATTTGCCAAGATTGATCACACATTCACTTCTGAGGAGGCGGTGACGAATTTGGGGTCGCTCAAGTTCTCGCAGTCAAACCGCATGCCAGATCCGAAGGATCCCTCGCGAATAGTCACCACAACAACGACCACGACCTTCTCGATGGCAAAGGAAATGGCACGCTCCGTGTGTCAGAAGTTTTTGGAGGCTCGCTTTGTCGAGTCCGCCGACGGCAAGAACGATTTCACTTCCAAAAGTGCGGTGTGGCAGCTCACGCCAAAGGGCATGCACATTCTACAGCGCTTCTGCCAACGCAACGGAATCCAACAGCGGCACGTGTTTGAGCTTCTGAACTCGTCTCGAAACACCATGAACCTCGTCATTCTTGAGCGGGAACCTGAAACCGACAAGCTACATCGTGATCAAGCAACCGTCGAGGTCGTCTTCCGGCGGTTTGTTGGTACCGAGCCCAACGTCAAGAACAGTATTTCGAGTTCTGATTCAGACTCATTGAGCGAATACCAGACGGGTTTGGTCGGTGTGAAGATGGCCAAGGAACGCAAGGTTGGAGACAGGGTATATTACAACACGTTCACCGGCAAAGCGGTCGTCGACTGGCTCATGGATTGCTGCACGATGGTCGATCGGCGAGAGACGATCGAGCTGGCGCAGCTCTTCTGCGATCACGGCCTCATAGCCTGCGTTGACAACCCTAACAGCGCACGATTTTCGCAGTCGAAGAGCTCAATTTACACCGTCACGGAGAAGGGTCAACGCGTTGCAGGCTGGGTGACCTCGTCCAAGTCCTCAGGGAACCCCGACGCCCACGTAAACGGCTCTCGCGCACGCGAGGGCCCCACGCGAGATTCGAACACGAACCGGATGACCGTCATCCTACAAGATCCGGCTCTACGGCTTCTGTTCCGCGAATTCCTCCGAGACACGCACTGCGAAGAGAACCTGGCGTTCTACCTCGACGTTCGAGACTTCCTGGCCAATTACAATGCTGCAAAGCGACAACAGACCGTGCCCAAGCTAGAAATCATCCGCGAAACGCTGGCAGCGGCGTATGGGTTGTACAATGCCTTCCTCGCGCCTGGTTCGCCGTGTGAGCTCAATATTGACCACTCCCTGCGCACTTCGCTCGCTGCACGCATGACCCGCGCGGTCGACGACGACGATGCAATGGTCAAGAGCTTGGACGAGGTCGCCACGCTGTTCGATCAAGCACAGAACTCCGTGTTCAAGCTCATGGCTAGTGTAAGTCCTTCTGATGCGCTGTTCAGGGCCCTATCTTGCTACGTGTGACGACGCTAACTTCCGGCAACACAGGACTCCGTCCCGAAGTTCTTGCGTGAGCCAAAGTACGCGAACATCCTTCGGGAGCGCAACCTCGACGGCCAAGTGGCCGTGACAAATGGTCGTGCAGTTTCGGGGTGAGACCGGCGAACGGAGTGTCTCGTTGTGCACAAGACGCTAGACTGCTTTGTCCAACGACATATCGGCCGCTCTCTCTTACCCAAATCTCCTCCTCTTCCCTCAACCCCCCCGACCACGGATCTCAGCTCCAAACCATCACGGGTGAACAAAGTTTGGACAGCCCCGGTTCTCCACGACAGGAGATGTTTCCCCAAAATCGTGGGTGCGCCGTGCCCCCGGGCGTACTGCGACGGGCGCATTTCCTTTGCGACTGCAATGCAAGTAATTTTAGCAAGAACGATTAGGGCTGTGGATGCACTTGGATCGACATTCTCGGCTCCGAATTTCATTTACGAGGCCGACCGGCTTGACACGTGAGATGGAGTCAGAGCTTCATGAAATGCCCCCCCCCGGGGCAGTGCGCGTATGTACATCATCAACATGCGTAGAACGATTCATGGTCCAAAGGGGGCCCCATCTACACAAACAAAACACGATGTGCCTTGACGACACGGGTGCCGCTGACTCGGACGACGAGTGGTTTTTTTTGTGACTCTGAGCATTTGTTTTTTGTACTATCATTTTCGGCAAACGGTTGACTAATTGTGCCTCTGCCATGTTCTCGCCTCAATCAGGCTGATTATTTCGTGATTCTAACGGTTTCTTTGGTCCCACGGGACAAAAATTTTTTGTTCATTCTCCCCATTTTTTCGGCTGCTTTTTTTGCACTTCAACCGGGGCAAAGCATGGAATCTGGAGGGCGGGCTCTTTTTGCGTTTATGGGTCACCAAGTCCTGCATTAGAAGGGTACTGGCTCTCCTGAGGAGACGACAGCAAACTGCATTATTCATCATCCAACCATTACAGCGAACACAAACGCGCGGGGAATGCCAAACCTGCAGGCTAGACTTCTATTTTTGTGGCGTTTAGAGAGAGAGAGAGAGAGAGAGAGAGACGAAAACAAAAAGAGAACCAAAGGTATACCTTCCAATTCTTCTTCATCCGTTGGCCGTGTTTCTTTCTTCTCTCGTATTATCTTGTCCGCTAGAATGGTATAAGAGGAGTCTCTATTGCAGCACGCCGGCGTCACGTCCTCCACAACGTTGATCCTACACCTGAGACAGCACTCGTGCGCTCCGGCCTCCACAAACCATCTATACGAGCGGTCAACCTACTTCAGCATAAAGTTGGGAGGTCAATGAGTACTCCGTCCGGCCCTGACCCCGTACAGTTCACTGTCAGGTTGATGCCATATTGAAAGCATACCGGTTTGAGGCTATGCATGGATTGGCAGCCACACAGATCAAGAAAGAGAACGAGCACCGGCGGAAACCATCAGAACGGTATTTGGAATATGATTCGAATCCGTTACACGTTCAAACCAGATCCTTGGAAAAGCATACTGATTTTTTTTCTTTTTTTTCTAATCCGGAAATAGACGAAGAACGACGGGTTGTAGTGGGGTAAACAAGGACGGATGGGAAAGGTGTGTTACAACACTTTTTTTTGCTGTGGAGTCGACGACCAATCTACCGTTGCGTCTTAAGACGATCCATACTATCCGTTCTATTACCATAGCCATGACTCGTTTTTCGACTCCGAAGATCTTCGGCTCGGCTTAACCCAACTGAGCGTCTCGATTCTTGCTCTTTTCCGCCTCCCTTGCTTGATGCCCTTGTCCCGAGCAACGTGCTTTTATTTACCGTGCCGCCTACTCGAAACGCGCCATGCATGTCTATTGAGCAAGACACATTTGCAGGAAAGAGACCAGAGAACGTGGCGCCTTTGCAGGAGACTAGACGCTGGTACTGGCGCTGCTGGTGCTGCTGCGTGCGTGGGCATTGTGGGACTGCGAGTCATGGCAGGGCCCGTGTGCCTCGAGGTGCTCGACTCTCGTGCGAAAAGGCTTACCGTGCGTCTGCTCCGTAAAGGCTTGGGTTTCCCTTGGGACGCCCGCGTTTGCTGGTCCAGCACGAGCACGACAAGGCGCCGCTCAACGGCGCGTCGAAGCTTCCCACGATCTGACTAGATGAGAAAAGGGTCGTTGTGCTCGCAGTAGTGTGAAAGTCTAGATGCCGAGTCCCGTGGCCCCATTTCCACCACCCCCCCCCCCCCTTACGCAAAACAAACACATTTCAACTGCTATACGCCGCTACTCTCACGCGATCCAAGGGACCAGAAGGGCCAGAATGAAAAGCCCGGGCGTGCAGTGGTTCACGATATACCACGGTCCGTGGAGAGGCTGACACGCTGCAATGGAGCAGAACGCTATTGCTCTGCGTCGACCCACTTGTCTCGGAGAATTTTTCTTGACGGTTTCAACCAATGCCTTGAAAGCCAGCGACGTGGCCCCACAGAAAGGAAGACCGATTAACTTTTCGAATTCCCACGATAAGCGCGTTCGCATCTTGTCTTTTCTTATTTCCACTGCGGCCATAGATCCAGACCGCTAGACCGCATCGAGAAAAGTGGCGTTTTTTTTTTCTTGTACTTGCGCCTCTCTCTTGTCAATGTCTGTGCGGAAGATCACGGGAGCGATGAATGGTGCATAAGTGAGATCGTAAACCTGCTTAGTTCATTGTATGCTATCTTGACTGATGGATTGTATGGTTGTTCTCCTGTCCCCTACCCCTGGCTCTCCTCTCTTATCTAGCCAGCGTTTGCTTATGTCACGTGATACTTAGTATGTGCTTAGACTGACATCTCTTTCTCTTTCCTTCACGTATTTTATTTGGAGCTTAGCGCTTTTGGGAGACCTTGCTTTTCTAGTACCACGTCCCGCTTTTGGTTTGGGAGGTCGGGCTTGTTTGGTTCTAACTTCGGCTCACCTGGTCTTTCTACTTGCTGAGCACTGAGCCGACTGAGGAGACAATCACACTTTGTGCTTTGTGCCCCGGCATGGTCTACATAACAGCCTGTATGTGGAGCCGCGAGTGGACGACATGACGTGTGTATCATCATGGACAGGAATCCCAAGAGCCCACGCGAACGTCTGTATTGTGGCTGGAGAAGATGTGCATATAGGCCCTGGCTTTTAAACCATTGCCCATATCACCAGACGGCAGCTAGTCGTCACTCAGTCCGAGGGCATCGTTCGAGGCTGTTCACCAAGAGAAGTCCACGCACATCATTTGACGACTGAAGGTAGCCAGCAGATTCGCCAAGCAGCCCTTCCAGAATTCGTTTACCACGTTGTGGGTTTTGAGGAGGAGGGGAAATGAAGTTGGATACGCCCACGAAACGGCAGATGAGCCTCGACGTGCACTGTTGCTAGGTCATCCACACTCCGCATCTTGCGTGAGATCCTCCGGCATGCCATATACTTCCTCTGAGCGCGATGCCAAGTCTTCACCGTCGCGGGTCTCTGCCGTGACCTTCGCGTGGAAGCTTGATGCCTTTGACGGAAATAGAAAGGGGGAGGCTCCGTCGACGAAAGAAGCTGCCCTCCGCTTCTCAACTTGCACTCGCTGCGCCGTAATGATCTGGCCGAAGCATTGCTCCTTGACCCAGCATGTCTCCTTGCCCGTGGCAAAGCGGTCGCCGTCCCGCTTCTCTTGTAAAGTCGGCAAGATCGTTCCCGGTCCCATGTTCTGTCCGATCCGAGCGTGCACCGGCGCGGACTTCATGTTCGACCTTGGCATAATACTGCAGCACGTACCCGCATTGCCTACACCGAAGATCAGAAAGTGGCGACTCCATGTTCAGGTGCTTGAATGATACGCACTTTGAAAGGCGTCGCGTTCTAGTACTTTGGAGGCATGTGCCACGTGCGGTTTATCATGCGAATTGGATGTTAGGCTTCCGATGCTTTTGTCCCGTCTAGTTCAGCATCCAAATTGACACGTCTGTAAGGCGATACCGACTGTCGTTGTAAGAGCATGGCGCAGTTGAGAATATTGTATCGCGTGGACCATGAGTGCCGCACGCTCCCATCATGTAGAGCATACCGAATACCGGTACTATGTTGATATATCGCATGTTCAGACGTAGCAGCGTAGTACGGAGCATTTTCATTAGGCGGATGGGTTGATATCACTATCGTTGTACGAAGTCCTGAGCACAAAACACGGTTCACTGGTCAGGCCATTCCCTTGCAGAATGCTGTCACATTACGAAATACGGCTTGCGCAAGGCCCGAAATAAAACCTACCGTACTGTGGCTTACTTGACTCTGGAAGTTACAGATATAGGGGCCGCGTGAAGACGGTAAATCCGGCCTCACTATACTGTCTTTTTCCACAGTACAGCGGCATTGTTCTACTTAAGATCTAAAGCATCCCGCAGCCAGACCTGTGGTTGGACGTGGACCAGGAAACGATCCATTCTGGCGACTTTTGAAGTTACCATTCGGTACTTACACCAGGATCTACCCGTTCGATGCCATATTTTTGATCAATGAAAGGCGCATCTTCCCATGGAAGCTCATGACTGCAAACTTCACGCCGTTGAAACTACGTTTGACGAAAACTTCATATCAATGCTTGGCTGCGACGCAGTTACAAAAGATCGACGAGGGCGCTTAAGAAACTTCTTGAAAGCAAGAAATAACATAGCATGAAGGGCAAACTATCTCGTTCGCGCGGCAATGGCGCCTCTGACCAACGACACAATGCTCTTGCGCTTACCGGATCTTGATCAAACGGACGAACTTCACCGGAATGAGCGGGACCGCATCTGCAGATTCGCGTTAGACTTTTTCTCTGCGGAATGGTATGAATAGGATTCAAAGTTCCTTCGTGACCATCGACGCTTGGACTGGGCAGAATATGATGGCAGACCCAGGGGTTCTAATTTCGAACGAGCTTTTCAAACGCAAGCTGGCTGTACGTGGGCCAGGCAGCTCGTTATTTCAAAAGGGAGGTGGTGTACGCAATTGATATCGCTTTGTAAACAGTCCAACGGTAGCCCGGTGCAACCGCGTCTTCGACACATAGTGTAAGACAAAGAAAGTTGCTATAAGTGCCCTATCAACTTCCTTGAGACGCGGAAACCATACCAACCGGTCGTATTCATAGTCTGTATCAGTACGAAAAAAAAAAATCCTTTTTTGAACGCTCGCGCTCCAAGAAAATGATTGCCAGTGACGCCTCCGTGCATTCTTCTTCAGGTCAATACACAACTCCTGATCTCTCGATTCTGTCATATGCTGCTCTCGATTTCCGACGATTATGCATTCCTTGGCAGCTTACACTGTTCTCGTACTTTGTGAACCAGCAAAAGGAATCGACAAGAACGTGCAGATATCGCTCACGCGCTTTTTTTTTCTTTGTCCCCAGGTGGTACATCGTGTCTTCAGAGTCGGAAGACAGTCACAGGCGTTGCTACACATGCACATTATTCTGGGCTAACTTTTGGAAACAGCAGCCACAAGCGTAATGATTTGGCTCTCAGATTGAGCCTGTTGGACGAAATGTATACAGCTGATCGTTGGGCAAACGATTAGATCTATATTGCCACGAACGTTGGCTGCTCGTGGAGGTCCCACATGATGAGACCGATTGAACAGGCTCTAAATCAAAGCGGTAGATCCATGATCGTCTTGGACATGGAAACCGCAGGAGCTAAGTTTCCAACAAGACGTGAGCGGTGTCTATGTCTAGAAAGATCAGGCCACAATCTACTTCTTTTTCCCACCCCCTTCCTAGAAAACGGGTCGCGGAGAGGAAGCCAACGAGTCCTAAAATTCGGACACCTTTGTCGGTTCCCAAACCGGCGCTTGCTCGCAGCCATCCACGTTGCCAGGTGTCGGCTTCGTTGCCAAAGTCGCCTCAGTCTTCGCCCAGGCAAAACTTCTCCACCTCCTTGTACGCCCTTTCCAAGTCGTCGTTCACGACGACCTTGTCGTGGACCCCAGGCGTCTTCGCGTACTCCAGCTCCTTCTTCGCCTGCGCCAGACGCTTCAGTATGTCCTCCTCCTTGTCCGTTCCTCGCCCCCTCAGTCGCCTCTCCAGCTCCTCCTCGCTCGGCGGCTGAAGGAACAAAAACCGCGCCTTGAGGTGCGACTTGCGCACCTGCTTCACCCCTTCCATCTCAATGTCCAGTATGCACGTCTTCCCGCTTTTCTCCACGGCCTCGACGGCCATGAAGGATGTCCCGTAGAGGTTCGAACCGAACTGGGCGTGTTCTATGAAGCCGTTCTTGTCGATGAGGTCGTTGAATTCGTCGCGCGTGACGAAGTAGTAGTGTTCGCCGTGCCTCTCACCCTGACGTGGTGACCGCGTCGTGTCTGCATAGACGTATATATACCCTCAGCTCCCGTTTCGAGCAAGTCACTCTTTGTGTCTCGGCGCTAGCCATAACTTCGTGCTACAAGCACGTCTGAGCGACCAAAAAGGTGGGATGGAGTGTACGTACGGCTAACGCTGAACCCAAACCTGCCCGGATGGTCCTCGAAAAGTCTCTTGAGCATAGTACTCTTTCCCGAACCAGACGGCCCTGATATAACGATTGGTTGTCTCTCCTTCGGCAAGTTATCTACCTCTTCTGTTGGGGCCATCCTCCTCGAGTGCTGCTGGAAACCTCGACAAGGTCGAAACTGCGTCCCTATGTGGAACGCAGACTTTCTGCAATCAGTACTGAAGTAGTGAAGGCTTTGGATATCCCTGGCGGTTGTGCGGGGAACGATGGTTCTCGAGGCGGTGTATATTGAACCCGCAAAAGAAAGTGCGGCGGTGGATGTGGGGTTTGCGCAAGCGTTTTGCAGCAGACGTAGCGCCTTGCTGGGAAAATCTTTGATAGCGGAAGGAGACATGAACGATGGACACTTCCCTGCAGCCATTGACTCACGAAAGAACGAAACTAACGAAGGACTACGGAACTTGTGGGCGGAGGCTGACTTCTGGGAAGAATGTTGCATTACGCTCGCCTCTCGACAAAACAATGCGTTGTCCATGGCGGACCAGGGGATGCGGATTGCAGCTTCACAACATGAGCTCTTCATTGTCAGAGCCCGGCCTGTGACTGTACTGGATAGTGCACAACAGGATTGTAACGCACGAAAACCTCCATTTTGAACCGCCGATGAGTTTGCACAGAATGTCTGAAGAGATCATACGGGAGGGATATCAAATTAAGCTACGTACTAACACCTCCAGCTTGAACCCTTCGTATGAGAGCAAGCCAGATTCAGAACCAACTACCTAATCGGTACACCGTGCTAATCCATTACGTGAGAACCAAGAAATTTTGTTACTCGCTGCAGCACACACAGGCACGCACACACAAAAAAGAAGACAGCCCCATAATCAGTCTCGAAATAAAGGCCAGCAGTTTGTATGATGATACGATTAACTGCTTCATGGGAAATAGCAACCCCGTCATGACATGACTCCACACTCCTAGCAATACTCCCGACTGCCAGTTCGCACCGTTTGCAAGAGATACGGAGAGAGGTACTGCGTTGTTTAGTAGCCGTTCATAGTCATGCGCTGCGAGTTCCTGCTGAGCTCGCGATCTGCACTCGGGCTGATAGGCCTGCTTCCAGAGTGTCCGGCACCGACAGCGCTGCTTTCCTTGAGAGCAAGCAGTTGTTTGGCGCGGAAAGACTCGTAGTGGATCTGGGATGTTGTCTCGATCAGGTCCTGCAAGTGGGTGCGGGTCAGGAAATTGCGCAAGTGCACGAATTCACAGTGGTTCTCGTCCTCAACTATACACATGTTAGTAACAAGAGATAGGAAGGGAAGGGTGAAAGCTTTAGCCATACCATTGACGACGCCCCAGCGGTTCTGGCGGCCGCGAACTTGCTTGCCTCCAACGACGATAGTCTTCTCTGAACCGACGACAGCAAAGGGGATCATGCTCTGTTGAGAAATTTAGCAACTCTTTTATATAATCTGTCGAAATCTTCACAAACCTTGATCTGAGAGTTGAGAGCAACTTCTTCTGGGTCATGCTCGTCATTCTCGTATGGGTACATGCGCAAGTTGTGGAACTGGAACTCCTCCTTTATGCGTTCCTTGAATGCCTGACGCTCCTCCAGCGTAAGTGAATCACTCTTGGCGATCACAGGCACGACGTTGACGAACTCGCTCAGCTTCTTGAGCACCACGATGTCAATCGGCTTGAGCGCATGTCCGCTGGGTTGAATGAAGAACAGGCAGCAGTGGATCCTAGTGTCCTGGAGGTAGCGCTCTCGCTGTGCGGTGAGCTCTTTGCGCAGGTATGCAGAATGTTGGTCTTTGATGTACTTGACGATGGGGTCCCAGCAGCGCTCGTTGTTGATCAGATCGCCATAGCCAGGAGTGTCCACGATGTTGAGCCGTAGGCGCACGCCATTTTCCTCAATGATGTGTGACACGGCTTGGATTTCGGTCGTGCTGCGGATAGGCTCTTCGGGTCGCAGGCGGCCCTTGCTGTCGATGAGGTGCGAGGCAAAGATGGTGTTGATGAGGGTCGACTTGCCCAGACCTGTCTGGCCAACGCAGATGATGTTGAACTGAAAGCCGCGCTTCAGGAGCTTCTTCTCGATCTGCGAGGTGATGCTGTCGAAACCGCTGTTGTTGCATCGCTAGTCAGACACGGCTCATATTGAGGACTGCAGGATTGGGGAGGAATTTATACTGACACGTAATTCTTGGGGAACACGCTTTGCGTCTGATTTGGGTAGACGGCGGCCATTGTGGCAATATTGGAGATGGTCTACACTCGGTGCTTGAGATGGCGCAAAAAGCCGCGTTATGACAAGCAGACGACTGAGAGAAGGAGAATTCAAGTTGTGGTGATAGTGGTGGCAGCAGCAGCAACAGCAACTTTACGGGGTCGAAGTGTCTGTGCTGAAAGGGGCAAGCACATTCAGAATGTGTCCATTACCCCTGTCTCTGCCCTTTCCCAATAGGGTCTTCTTGGCATACTTTTCCATCCTCAAACCATCATCGTGGTGGAAGCTTTTCTTTGGACGTGTACGCCGACACACGTCCTCCATTGAAGCATCACCAAACAATGGCGGCACGGTTGCTGCCGTTGCAGCCAATTCTGCATCTTTTTCAACCCATCCAAATTGCGCAGGGAACGCTGCTGCGACAGCCCGCCGTCCGCCGGCTCTTCACGCCTTCCTCGTTCGCGTCACCACTCGCATTGCCTTTCGCAGCATTCGCTGGCATCTCAGATATCCTGCGTGAAATATGGGACGGCCTGCTACGCGCGGCACCGAAGAAGAAGACATCGCACATGAAGAAGAGACATAGACAAATGGCGGGCAAGGCTTTGAAGGACGTCACAAATCTCAGCCGTTGTTCGGCCTGCGGAAGGCTAAAACGCTCACACGTACTGTGCACCTATTGCGTTGAAGGTGCGCAGCATTTCAATGTTATGGCCTGATGCTGTATGACGACACTAACGGCAACAGCTGTCCGTACCTACGTCAAGGAGAAGGTGCTCGGCATTCCGAAGTACGAACTACAAGGTCCACGGAGGGAGGAAAAGTCGACGCACAATATTGCAGAGACGGCACCTGGCGCGTGGGAGATGATTAAGAAGAGGCGAGAACAGAAAGCAAGGGCTGACGCAAAAGAGAAGAAGAATGACCGCACTCAATGGTAACGTCTTATCGTTAGGCACAGAGCTTTAATGGTTGAGAAGACGACCTTACTCCCCACCAGGGAGCCCAAAACGTATTTGGCATCTGTATGAGTATTTGCATCGTAGCATAGATGGACAAAACTGGGTTCAAGATGCATTTTAGTGGGCATGAAATGGAACCACCTATAACTATCTTACATCACAGGAGTTCATTTCGCTCTCTACGCTTGTACACATTCCAATAGCGTGTGAACCTCATTTGTAGCACAAATATTGAAATTAGCACATCAAAGACCTAATTCAACGTCCAGATTCATCGCAGATGTGGAAAAAAAAAGCACCAAGAAGTCAAAACACATGGCACGGCACTGTTCCGCGCTGGCTAGCAAACATCAACCACCGCCGACGTCAGAATCCAAACACATGCCACCCAGAGCATAAAGGTAAAAATGTCAAAACAGTACCTTACTGTCCACAACCTCGACAATGCGCACCCAACTGACATCTTCTGCCTCGCCCCGACAAGGACGTCCATAATTTCTGCCTCGGGCGCGTCGTCGCTTCTCGTGCACTCAACTCAATCCCACGAGTTCCCGCTGCAGCAGACGCTCGAGAATGCACACAAGCTCGGCTGCCATCACGTAACCACATCCGCGGACGGTCGGGTCGCCGCGTCTGCCGGATTCGGCGGGGAAGTCAAAATATGGCGGTGCGAAGTCAGCGAGGAAGGCGTTGTCACCGGCAAGTGGGCAGAGCTGGGCAAGCTGCCTCTGGAGCCGAAGGCCGGCGAGGCGTGGGCGCTCAGCCTGGACGAGGACGGCCGGTATCTCGCTTCGTCGAGTTACGATGGACGCATCGGCGTCTGGGATCTCTCTCTTGGACCGGATGCCTGGGCGAAGGTGAGGGAGTATGAGACCAAGGGCAGTTTTGGCCTGTGTGTGGCCATAAGCGCCGATGGCAAACTGACGGCAAGCGGTCATGAGAATGGAGGCGTTTATGTGTTCAAAAATGAAGTGGGAAAGATGGCGCACTCGCTCGTGGGATTGGTCAGGCCGGTGAGGGCCGTCGCCTTCTCCCCCTTGGGAACGCTTCTTGCAGCGGCTGGTACGTCCTTCCCTTTCAATCGCAATGTCTGCGAAGTCGTACTAATCAGTCCGCGCTAGGCGACTCGCTGCTCATCTCACTCTATTCAACCATGTCAGGTGAAACGCTCGCAAACTTGTCCGGCCACAGCGCATGGGTTACAAGTCTATCCTTCAACCACAGTGGAGAGTACTTACTCTCAGGTGACTTTGGTGGAAAGGCTAAAGTGTGGTCTGTGGAAACACGTAATTGTGTTGCTACACATGGTGAGAGTGAGAAAGGTCTGTGGAGCGTAAGATGGCTGCCGAAGAATACAACGCAACGAGAGGGAGCCATGGGCAGAAGCGAGATGTTCGCCGTTGCTGGTGTGAGCAGAGGTATTGCTTTCTATCGAGAGGCGAGTGGCGGGTGAAAGCCAAGACGTGGTTAAGTATACATTTGGAGACTTTCACAATTGCTGGAATGCCCCCATCCTCAGAGACCCTTCCAAAAGGGCGCGAGGTTGAACAAAGAAGGCATTTTGATGAAATACAATCCGCCCCAAGTGTGGCAAGGGGTGGTGTCTGCACAAGAGATGCCGCGAATGCTTTTGAGAATAGAAACACACGTGCAGCCGAAAGTACAACGCTGGACTTTGATGACTCATATAGTTATATTGCATCAAGTCACTCCAATTTCAGGCTTTGCAGTCGTTCATATCCAAGCATCCAACTTCGGCAATCGAGCAGACTGATACGTGCAAAGTTGATTAAAAAAGAGAAAGCCATCATCCAAACTACGTCTTCACTCTTGCATGTTATTTCTTGATTTCATTCGAGTCAAAGATGACAGTTTTGTTTCCTCGCATTTGATAAGGCTTAAAAAAGGCTAGCTGACATAATCGTAGCACGCGCTGAAAGAACTCGAACATACTTGGGATAGGAGCAGCAGCAAGTCATTTTGTGCAAGTAAGTCCAAGTCCGCTGTGCATTTCAATTCCAATGCTCCGTCTACAAGATTGATTCGAACTCAGGCTTTCCTGACTCTCCTACCTTGTTCGACAGAAAATGATGACCGTAAGATGTGCATAAGTCGTCTTCTGGTAGGTTTTGCGATCAGTAGTGGTAGCAACGACGAGAGGAAGATCAACTTGCGAAGAGAGCACGTGGAAAGAATCGTTAGCTCGTCGCTATGTCATTGTACCTAGTCAAGGTCGTCCCTAGGAAATTGAAAAACGGCGTGCAAAGTGCAAAGGTACGAACACGGGTCAACGAGAAGTTAAATTGCTATCGCCCAAAATGAAGTAGCAAAGAATGTGAGATGGTTACTTCGCTGCCAGCGAGAGGAAGGAAGACACTGTCATAATGGTACATTCGCAACAACCAGACTGGTGAACGAAATTGGCTCAGATGTAATAGTATATCTGCATAATTGTGATTAAATTCGGCACACCAATGTCCGAATCGCAGAATTGCCCATTACTCTTTGTCGACATTTCCCGACGTCGCTGCTGTAAGCAACATGCACGTGAGGTTGAACTCGTACCGCGTTTCACAATTTTGATCTTCCCTTTGCTTAGCTTACGCAGACTCTGGCCCGCTTGCCTCGAATCTCAGCGCGTGAGTCCACGATACGGTGATCACAGAGCCTTGTTTTAACACTAGAATGAATGCTCATGGTCGTGTTTACGAATGAAGAGGAAAGCGCAAGGAATAGACCACGTGAGGGTCAGGCTCCGTAGCTTCTCTCTACTTCGCTCCACCTTCTCTCGAATGCTTTCAATTTAGCCTCTTCCTCTAGCTTCTGCCTTCGCTTTTCAGCTTCTTCGCCGAGGCCTTTGACGCCTTTCACCCGCTGCCGCTCCTCATACATAGCTCTGGACCTGAGGATGCGGTCTACGATTTCTCCAGCATTCACGTGCTGGAACTCGTGTGAAGGAATTTCTCTGAAAATACCTAGATCCTTTGCGTATGTATACGGATCATAATTAAGTGGCATGAATGCCGTGGGACCATGGTAGACGGCTGCAGGAAGCCCATATGGCAGAGACTTTAGATAAGCTGGCGTGGCAGAGAACGGCGCGCCAAAGATGACGGCATTGATGTACTGGATCTATATCAGCGAGATCGCAAGCCGCATCAGATCGATCCGTCATACCTTGCACTGCAACACGCAGAGGCCACGCTCGAAGATGTTCATAACCGGATAGTTGATGCCCTTGTAATGGTTGATCACCTCGTCGTCATGAATACCAGCGAGAACAAACGCGGGACCATAGTCTTCGCCAGCGTCTTTCATTCGCTTGCTCTTGGCCTCTTCTGTAAACCAGCCGCGCTTCTCGCCCTCTTCGCGTTCCCGCAACACCACTCTCCTCAAGAACTCGATGTGGCCTGAAGAGAAGAGATCGAAGCCGCCATCCACATAAACTACTCTCTGGCCCTCCCTAGGTCCCAAGCCCGCAACCATTTTGCTAAATGTTCCCGCGTCATCTCGATCTGTATGTCTGCCTGAGGCGTGAGATATGCTTCTGCGGAGACGAAGCTCCTTTGACGGCGTCCAGCTCCATACTTCACAGTAAGGCTTGCTTCCAGTTTCATCCGTAGCGTAGTCCTTGATCCTTTGCAACATCTCTTCGGCCCTAGCTTTCTTCTCTTGGTCGTCCCCTGAGCCTTCTTCTCCTGCGAGAACGGCCGTCAAGGACTTGATGAAATGAGACCTTGTGCATAGCAACATCCTGCCAACCAGGTCCGTCGTGGAGATTCCGGGAGTCCGTTTAAAGACTTTGAACCGTCCAGCCTGCTTGACGAACCTGTAGCAGTCCTCTCCGCTGCTGTCGCTGGTGATGTCGTCACCATGACCAACATACTTGCACCCGTAGTGATCGATCCAAGGAATGCTGGTCACGTACGGCGCATACGGTATGGCCTGCGTGACCCAGCGACAGGCCTCCACGGCGGCGACGCGTTCTTTCAGATTCATCACTGTCGGGCCCTTGTTCTCCAGAATAGCCTCATCCGAGTGGACGCCTACAAGAAGAGCCTTGCCGAGTCGGCGCGCCTGGAGTGAGGCTCCAGCGTGGCCATGGTGGGCAAAGTCGAAGCAGCCATCGATCCAAATACGATCCTCTGATATAGGGACGTCCTCCTGGGGGTCCACTGGCCAGTGCCCTGGCTTGGGAACACTTTCGCCCTATTCCGATTGCCCAAGTCAGCGACACGGTCAGAAGAGGCCATTCACACGGAGAGGAGCAAGTACCCTAGGTCTGTTCGGCATAGTCGTGGAATGGAGAGGCTTGCGGCCGTTCAAAGTGACAGGCAACTCGAGCGGCAGAAGTTACGCAAGGAACAGCCGCCTGCTCACCGAATTGTGGCCTGTCGTTCTTCGTCGGACACGTGCAGATGCGACTTGGCCCGGCTTAGCCAGGGTCCGGCGCCGCGAGAAGACGCAGGCGAGAGGTCGTTCACGTCACCGCCCAATCACGTCCCAATCGCCGGCGGACCGTTGCAGATTTCAGCTGCACAGAGCTCGAGGTTCGCCATCAGTGCTGTTCGTCGCACGCTGGACGGAGGTGGCATTCGCCGTTCTGGCAAGATCGAGTGCGGAGGGAGAGGGGAGCCCGGCGAGGGGCGCGACACGCAGGCTTCGACAGCGCTTTGTAGAAAAGGGCGTCGTGCACCAGCACCGCCGTTGGACGACTCCTCGATCAGTCGAACTGGTCCTCTTCTCGCCCATTTCCCGCGCATTGGCCGCCATTTGGTGCCGAATACAGCGGTGCAGAGCCAGCAGCAATCCATCCTCATAAGCCTTGCGCCGACGCCGAGCCTGGGTCCGCCGGTTCCTGCATGTTCTCCCTACACACGCATCGCTCCCCATCGCGGTTTGAAGCTCGCCGACTGACACGTCCGATTGCGGTCTTTTTCTCAGCTTGAATCGGTCTCGCCCCGCGCGATTAAGCAAGGCCTGAGACGCTCGTCTGGGACCTGAACCACGATCCCGCCGTGCTAGCCCCTGATTTCCGCTCGGCGAACGAATCACCCAGTCGGCGGGACTTTCTTGGTCCTTCGGACTAGAACAAAGCAGCAGAAGAGGAGAGGGGCGACGGCGAGGAGGGTTTAAGATATGCCAAACCCTATTCCTCCGCAGAAGAATGCCTTCCTCCCGCCCTCTGCCAACTCTCCGTCCACCGCCTCTTCATCGTCGTCGGCGAAGATCTTCTCCAGGACCGGCTCGCTGTTCGTCTCCAGTCGCAGGAGAGCTGAAGCCAAGGACCAAGCCGTCGCTTCAGCCGGCTCCTCCAGTCTTTTGACGTCCCCGACTCATACTCCCGCACCAGCAAGCAATCCAGTCAAACCAGGCGCCGTTCTCGAGCACCCAACAAGTCCGGGCTCGGATCCTGCTCCCCCTTCGGGCTCCAGCGACGACGCGTCCAAGAGCCCAGAGCATAATCGCATCCCCAGCGACACGTCTCTGCCCCCGACGCTGATCCCAACTCGAACCAGCTCCAAATCCTCCAAGCGCGTTCACCGGCACTCGCATTCTGCTACCCACGTCGACTTGGGCAATCTCCGCCGTTCCATCAGCCTGCGCTCCGTTTCCTCTCCACACAAGCACTCCTTCTACCACACACATTCGCGTGTCTCGTCGAACACCTCCTCCGCCGCGACCGAGGCAACCTCCAGCGCACCATCTTTACACACGCAACACTCCAAGCCACTTCTTCACATTCCTGCGTTTGCAAAGAAGCAGAAGAGCGCGGACGCGCTAAACACGCTTTCTGGATCTGATACGATAACTCCACTGGAACCCGCTCGCTCAAATCACATTATGAACATCTCTTCCGTACAATATAGGCCTGGGCAGCCGCCTACCGGACGAGCGCCGGGTGCTTCAATATCTTCGGTCAACACTTCATACACACAGTCAAGTAATGGTCTGGGTTCTACGATGCAAGTGCCACCACCAGTCGCGGGGCTACAGACACCGCAAATGGTGTATCAGCAAATCATGGACACAGCTTCGAAGCGAATATCGACATTGGACTATCTACGGAAAGCGTATGTCTGCTCTTTCATTTCTGTATTCAGCTTCTCAACTAACGCGCGAAAACAGCCATGAGGGACGAGTATACTGGTTTAACACTCTACTCTTCACCAAACCTGACCTTCTCAAATTCTCTTACTTCCAACCAGCAAAGCTTGCCCGTAGGGCTACCAATTATCTCCTGCTTGGCTTCTCCCTGCCCACAATCCTAGACCTCAACTCACAAACGCCCACGGAGTATCTCAAAGCGCTCAATGCGCTCTTAGTCGAATTTGAGCAGTACCAACAGCTTCACCCGGCTGATGGCACCGTATCTTCCTCCCTCTCCCGCGCACGCGTGCCCCACATGTTCAAGCGCAACGCCGGGAAAGGTCGTCGACAATCCTCCACGACGGACTTCGGATCGACTCTTGGGTCCACGCCGGAGGGCACATCTAGCTTCCTGAACTCGGGCAGCTCAACAACGAGTGACAACTTGCTGCCGCAGGAAAATTACCAGCACTTGCTCACGCCAAGCCTACCGTTCGACCCCGACTTCTTTGAGACGTTCGCGACGCTGTGCGACGTGCTTATTGACTGCTACACAAAGGTCACACAACTGATCAAAGGGCCGGAAATGTGCACGGGCAACGTTGGCGAATTGTTTGGGAAGGCAGATGCGAGGGTACGAAAGGTGATTGTGGCGGGAGTGGTACGCGAATTTGAGGAGAGGTGTAGAGAAGGTGTTAAGAGCGAGATTGCCGGTGTGGGAAAGGTGGTGCTGGGTGGTCTGATGTAATAATAATTATGAACGAATGTCAACGAGGAAAAGGCTTTGGGGAACGGTGGGACTCTGCATTCTTGCACTGCGAGCTACGCGTGGCATGCATGTGTTATTCTGGTGCGCGAGCTTGTAACCTGTATATTTATCTTTGTGATGGGGATACCCGCGGCTCACTAGACAAGAGCTTGATGTCTTTCTCATGACGAATCCGCTGCTACGCCTAATGACGAAGGAGTCCGTCACTGAGATATCTATAGATGTATATGACATGTATTCATATTGTTTCCATGCCCAACAACTTTCGACTCACAATGATGACCGATCCTTTGGCACACTTCACCTACTTCGAATATGACGGCCTTGACCACCATCCAAGTCGGTTCCTCATGACTTCTACCATGATTTCTGGATATAACTCCCCGTTGCGGGAATGTTCGACATTCATGGACGATATCCACCGACATGCGCTCTTGAATAACGTAGTACACTTGTAGGAGGACACGCGTAGAAGTGGAATTAGGGCACCAATTTTGACTTAAGCGCAGAGAGCAGGGAGGCAACCTGCGTCCTGAATTTCTTCGTAACCAACTGGGCCACAATCCGGCCGTCTCTCCTCATTGATCCTCCAAATCACTATTCAGCCTTTCATCGTCAATGGAACTGTGGAGTTCCTCTTGAGTGAATTCTCAGAAGTAGCTTGCCGCAGTTCGCCGTGCTAAACCCCTGCCCTTCAACTTCTCCCCAAAGAGCTCCTTGCCAGCATTACCCTGCCCGGATTTCACGGGGAAAAGCTCTTTAACACCTCCGGCATTGCCGCTGCTCGCACCTTTGATTGTAAAGCTGCTTTCAGCTTCGGCTCTGCCTTTGATGCTTACGCCGCTGCTCCCTCTGATACTAATCTCTGCACCATCGTCACGAGTGATTCGGTCCGCGAGACTTTCCCCGCCTCGTGGAGTGATGCGATCTGCGAGGCTGCCACCTCCTGAAGCAGTAGATAGTCGACCAGAGATACGATCTGCAAGAGAGGGACCGCCACTAATGCGCTCGGCGAGGCTGCGGGCCCCCTCGGAGCGGTTATCTGCGTTCGTGAGAAAGCGGTCGGGACTAGCGTCGATTGCCCCGGAGCGGCGATGATGGGATTTGCGGATTTTGTCGGGGAAGAGCTCTATGCTGCTCGAGTGGGAGTGTGTCCCCCCTCCACCGGCAGACAACGTTCCTGATACAGAGGTCTTGTTGGGGAAGAGCTCAACTGTTGCAGCAGGACCAAGGCCAGTGGATTTCGTTGCGAAAAGCTCCTTGCCAGCATTCTTGTTGGCCAGTCTTGGGGGCGTAAGGCTGCGTTGTCGGATCGGCGGACGACGTCGTACCGCATCCGCGTCACTACCAAAGCCGTAGCGACCATCTCCGTCTGAAAAACGTATCGGTGACGCGCTGCGATCACGCAACCTACCCTTTTCACGCGTGGTGAACAGATCGCGATCATTCCGCCTCCCAAACCTCACTCGTTTTCTGCGATCATCGTCATCTGCAGATTGCGTGCCGGCACCCGGCTCATCGTACATGTTCTCGTCAAACGTGTCCTCGTCATGCCGTCTCTTTCGTTCTTGCTCATCGAAGCGCATGCGCCTGTAGTCGCCGTTCTCGACATTGCCCCTGATCCTGTCCCTGCGTTCACGAAACCGCTGTTCGCGGGGATCTTTGTCCGGATTCATCAGGTAGAATTTAGAAGCCTCATGTGCACCCTTCTTCTTAACATCACTTGTGGTCGCCTGTCTGATCTGCAATTCATGGTTCTCGACTTCACCCTCGGGCGACGTAAGCTGAAGAGTTCGCGCTGGCCTTAGGTCTAGCGTGTCCAACTGCGTAATATCAACCAAATCGGTGTTTGTGAAGGCAACCAGCGCCTCAGAAGCCGCGCTCGCGGAGTCGTATACGAGATTGGCAGAAGTATCATCGATCCATTCTATGCGCTGAAAGTGTGGAGAGTCGAAATACGTGTTAACATAATTCTTGATCTGCTGGTTATCGAGTCTGTCCAACCCACGAATATGGACCTTCTCAAATGCGATATCGCCTGCGCCTACAACACTGCCATCGAAGGGGTTAATCTTCGCGTTGGAGGTCTTCTCCGTTGATTCAGCTTCGTGGGCAGGAGCCTGCCGAATACTTGTGAGTTGCTCATGTTAAGATGACGGCTCCTGGACTGGTTTCACCTCTGGAAGCTCTTCATTATAGTTTTCCTCCGGCGCATCAACCGTCAGGTCAAGATCCATATCCATATCCACATCCATCGCGATGTTGATGTAAGCCTGTGGAGGCTCACAGAACGTTTCGGGAGCGTAGCTGTTGGATTCTGGTTTCCAATACGTTCCGATTGCGTTTTGGATAGCCTGCAACTATAAGCGGATGTTTTCTAGTGATTGGATTGCGTGAGTTGCTGGTCACAGAGTTGCAAGTTTGACTCTGTACTCACGCGGTGGAGACTCTTGGAAATAGAGGCCCAGATCGGCCCAGCAAGGGACCTTGCTCGCACCCGTTCTCCCAAAAGCGGGTTGCACGTGCGGCTTAGTAAGACGTGCTTCAGCCGACAGAGCCAAAGCATCCCTGTCTTGCACCAAGCAGCGAAGCACTTGGATGATAATTACTATCTCGTTACTATAGCTCACGCAGAATAGGAGCCCAGTCACAAAACCTGATGCTTTTATAACCATAATCTAGTTCCATGCGTGGCAGGACCCCAGCAGCGTTCGCTCCGGCATATTTGAAAACATGATGATCCTGCCCCGTGGCTCTCCACTTTCGATCTCTGAAGTCGTCTATATTCTGACAACAGCAGACCCAACTTGGGACCTTTTCCTCCCGGTTTTCATCTGAATTTGCAACTCTCTAGCTTTGCACAAAGGCACCAGAGACGACAGTGAATGATTACAGCCGCCCCTGCGGTGCTTCTCATCCACTGGTCAAATTTTCACTGTAATTGCCGTAACAGAAGCGCATATCGATTGAAACTTGCGTGGAACATATATATCAACCTCATTCAGAGGAGCTCTTTCCACTCATTACAACGTAGCCAGGAAAAACAAGTCCGTTGGATGCAACGAAGACGATGGTTGAATTCAGTCCTGCAGCCTTAAGTCGGGACTTTGCGAATCATTTGCCACGGTTCGTCGACTGAGAGAGCAGCAAAATGCAGGATTTGTTCGAATCTTGCGATTCGTGTGATTCTCACCTTTTGCTAAACTGATTAAGTCCTCCTCTGCAGATGAGGGCATGTTTTTCTATTGAAAAGCAAAGCTACACGGACAAATATGAGCAATGAGACTAGAGAGTGTGTGGTCGGGTCTCTGAATAATTGAACGTCGTCGATAAACGTGAAGAGAATCTTGTTGTAGCACCTGCTCTGCCGGTATGATTCCATCCTTAGACTGAATTTGCCAACGTCCATATGGGCATTTGAACTCTCAGAGGTTCTAGATTGTTATAGAAAGGAGAGTGTTTCGACTTGTAATATTGGCCATAACCCCCGATTTGACTGTAAAGCGGGATAAGGTGGAAGGGGACTAATCAAGAGTGTGGATTCGGATATAGAAGATCTTCATACTGTTTATGGACACCCGAATGACTTAGACCGTTTTAGACGGAGGTTAAATCAACGTTAGTGTTTTGATGGAGATTTTAATTACTCAAATCATGGTTGATTGTGGTATCATTTTCCTATTCCTCGTCTACAGAGGGAAGACAACAAAGGTCGAAACAAAGTAAATTACCAAGCATCGCCCCACGCGTCGTCATCTTCCTCAACCTCCTCTTGTTTCTTCTCTACCTTCGGTTTCATTGCCGCGGGACTCGCTTTCTTAATAGCACTAGTAGAATTAGATTTGGCTCCCAACGTTGGCCGGGTAGCGCTCGCTGCAGTAGATGACTTTGTCAGTCCCTTGGGTAAAATTTTGGCCTTCTTCTTAGCGTCTGCTTGCGCACTTAACCAGCCTGAGAAGTCAGGTTCGCCTTTATCATCGAAGAGAGCCGAGGGTTCCTTCTTCGATGTTGGTTTGGATGGAGGAGCTGCGAATGGATCGGCTGTTGGGTCTTCCATGGAGCCCCACGCATCTGCTGCACCGTTGTCCTCGCCCTGCGTATCACCCCAGCTTGCATCGAAATCGTCGTCGTCATTCTGGCCGGGTGGTGAAGCAAGTGGATTTGATGAGGTATTTGATTTTAAAGTGGACGGGTTGAGACCGGAGCTTACTCGAGGAGCGTTAGCCGATTTTGTTGCAGCAGGCGGCACGCTACTCGCTCGCGGTTCGGATGATGTGACATGTGATGTTCCGTTGGAAGGCGTATTCGAGAACGAGTTCATCTGGCCACTTGCGGTGGCAATCTTGTTGGTAAAAGAGGAGATGGCCCACCCCGCCCATGAAGAGCTATCACTAGCAGGAGTTCCCATTCGTGGCGTCGCACCCGTTGCTGCTGTGCCTGACGGAGGCTGTACCGTTTCGGGCAACGACGCTGCGTACCGGCGTATTCGAGAGACGTAAAGATCGAAAGTTTTGTTTGCCTGGTCACGAACTAGCTTCTCCTTGTCTACCAGTGCGGGGCATATGCCTGGCAGAATCTTTGTAGCGCAGTCTTCATCACTGTATAAGTCTGAGGTGGCTGCCAGAGCCATCAATGCAGCATTTCTGGCATGCAAAAAAGGGTCTCTCAAGGCTCGACCGAAAGCGGCCGTCAGGACTTTGGTGCGTGAGCCAGATCCCAAATTTCGTGCTATCTTTCCAAGACAGATCGTTGTATTTGTTCTTATACCAGGCTGCTCGTCATTTGCAGTCTTAGCGAGATGTCGCAATAACTCGCCATTGATTGTTCGATCTGAAAGTTTTGGCACTACCACAAGTACAGCTTTGACTGTCTGCTCTCTAACTATGGGAGCAATATCCGAGAAGCCAGTCACCTGGAAGATGTCAGCTCATATGAGAAGAACTCTTGCGGATTGTCGTACCATCTGTGGGAAAATATTGTTATTGATCGTCTTCTGCGGTAGCCTATCGATCATCAAGTGTAAATTATCTAATAAACAGACTCTCAAAGCTCGATCTTGATTAGCGAACAGTCGCACAATTACTGGTGCAAGCTGTTGTTGATACTCGTCGTCCGATAATTTTGCACCAATCTTGAAGATGACTCCAAGAACTTTGGGCCCACCGCCTCCGTACTCGACAGACTTGAGTAGCTCAGGTAGGATCTTCATTTTGAAGAAGTCCTCTGGAAAATCCTCAGCTACATCGTCCAGTTGACTTGACCCCATCAGCTTCAAGGAAAAAAATGAACAGCTATCTATTGACTTACGATAAGAAGGTCTCTCGCTCTTCTTCTGTTTTCAGGCCGAGATGTTCTATTCCATCCGTGATGCTGATCAATGGAGTCTCAAAAAAACCTCCCACGCGCTGCCCCTGTTCCAAAAACGCAGCGACGGAAATCCTAGATTTCGGATTGGCATTTATAAGTCGCCTGTAACTCGGTTGAATCGAAGAGGGGATGCTCTTCGGGGCACTGAGCTGGTCACCGCTCATAAAGCTCCCATTAAATGACTCATACACCAGAATTCCAAAATCGTACGCATCAACTGCTGTTAGGGGGTGCCTCTTAATTGCTTCCCAACCAGTTTTTACGACTTCTGGGGGAGAGTATCTGCCACCGTCTGGAACGAGATTGCCGTATGTCTATTCTCGGTCAACAATTTTCCTTCTAAAGCGGAGCAGATCACCCACATATATCACTGCATCGTCCTCTTTCAGTGAGCTGAGAATTTCAAACCCTGCTAGCTTCCACTCGCCGCTTTCACTCGTATAAACCGAGGATGCTCGCACAGAGCCATGGACGGAGCTTGCTTCCGAATTTATGAAGCTCAGCGTCTTCTACACTTGAATTTGAGTATCTGCAGACATCATGAGATATCGAACAACGTACTGCGACCGTATATAAACCCCACTTGATTGTCTCTTCTGTCATGCTTTTCCTACGCAGGTGCCATGTCAAAGGTACTATACGTTCTGTCGCGATGTATATATGGGTGTCATTCTGCCATGACTATCAGCGTTTTATGCCCGTAAAAATGACACAAGTCATGCCCACTTCCACCGTGTCAAGTACTTTAACGACTCCAGGATGTCGCAGTGTGCGCAGCTTCCGGAGCGCATTTTTTGCGAGGGGTAGCCGTGACCTATCCGCGTTTATGTCGAAGGAAAAGATACTACACTTTGCACCATCATCCTAGATATTCGTGTTAGTAGCGACTTTGTACATGCGGTCTTGTCCGCAACTTACTCGTTTCGTGCCGTTATGAAGTGTCCATATTGACGAGTCGATGTCAACGCGGTCCTCGAAAGAGAAAGGCAAAGAGGAGCCTCTAGCTATTGCAGACGCCGCGACTGACTTTAAAAAGTCCATATGGCTTGACTTAGCATTATGATTTGTCGGGAGCGACGCAATATCGACGCTTTGAGTCGCAAACACCTAATCGATACCGTAGACTGAGGTTAGCTAACCCTATTGGGAAAATGTATATATATCTCCAGTCAACTAACAATATCTTCAGCCATTCATGACCATGCCACATATCTGGCTCGAGGGTTTTTTTTTTAAAAAAAAAAAAAATAAAGCGAAATGGATTTGAATGATGCATCAGCATGGGATGACTCTGAACTCATTAACACTTGGGATGAAGCACTTGAAGAGTACAAAGCATGACTGAACATCTCCGGAAATGAAGACCGTTATCGCTAATAATCTGCAGAGATATCATAGCATACACCTATCTGGAAAGCGCCTCGATGAGGTTTTAAGTAAGGAGGAATGGGAACAAGTTCTTGCGTATGTAAGCAGTTGTTTAATTGCAGCTTGCAGAAGAGACTCATAGTGCTCAGTCAACGACGGGCGCTTCGAAAAGGAGCACATAACCGTACGGTACGACATGACCAGGATGGAGATGCTCAAAGCAATATCGATGTAGACGAAAATGAGAAAGACATGTCCATGTCACCCGAGCGCGACATTCCGATCGAAGTTGCTATCAAACAACAAGAACCAGTACCGCAACATGACGGCGATAGCCCAAGTAGAGCCCAAGCACAACCTGACGCGCCTACGGGCAGTCTGCATTCGAGCTCAACGTCACATGTACCGCTTTTACTCGGAGGTAGGTGACAAATATTTGTTTATGTGGTTGCATCGCTCATGCCGCTCACAGTACAAGACGAGAACCTGAAAAATCTGCTCATGGCGTGGTACTACGCTGGGTATCATACCGGTTTGTATGAGGGAAGGCAACAAGCCATGAAGGAACTGAGCAAGGAATCATCGAAAGCTTGACCTCAAGGCGATCATCATGATCATTCTTGAAACGAAGTTTACAGGCAGTTTTTCTTTCTAGGATCTTGCCCTTCGGTGCTGTGTGCATGTCCAGTTGTGTATGTGATCTGTTGCAAACGAATACCCCAAAGCACTCCAAAATTGTATGTCAATTCAAATGCATGCTTTGGTAAATGCTGATCCTCGTAGATATAGCAATCTGTCAGTGGGCTTATGTTCAGTTGGTCGATTTGAGACAAATCGTCTTCAAGCAATAGTTGTAATGCGGCAGTGGGTACGGCTTAAAATACGAATGCGACAGCGGATTTACCACAATTTTAAGCTTAGTGACAGTGTTTTTTTTTTCTCGTGCAGTAGTGTTTGCGGGCGTGGTGCATGTTTTTGTTTCGTGACGGATCTGCGACACAACTCGAGACACCAAAGCTCAGGTTAGAACTAGGCACGGATGAATCGCGAAGCGGAAGGCTGATGCATTGCTTTCGCTCTTATATCATCTTCTGCTATTATTGCCGTCCATACCTTTCAATGGGTGTGGCTGTTTGTTCGATCGACTGCGATTCACTTAACGATCGGATGGGTTGCGTATTCCAGCATAACTACTGCATCGTATGTGTTGCGCGACCTGCCCACTGCTTTTGGGACACTCTTGATTCCCCACACTTCGTTACTGTTCGATTTTTCTAGTCTGGATCTCTCTTAATTAAGCAATTGAATTTTTCATTACCGCTGGACGGCATTTGATATTGTAATCTCTATTCGTCATGTGGTTCCATTTCACATTGCTTATGACAGTATGGATCTCAGCTGTGCTAGCACAGAAGGCTTCAGCAACAGCCGTGGCTGCCATGGAGACATCAATGCCAGTTGATTCGCGCATCAAACAGGTATATAACGAACAGGGTTGAACTCAGCACGATCTTACTTTACGCAGGTCATCGTAGGTGGCTTCCAGCCGGCGGCAACGCCCGGAGGTCAGCCCATACCAGTCATGGCATTTACACCAGAGACGGTGACAGCGGAAATCGGTGATACGATCCGTTTTACCTTCCTTGGTAATAACCATAGCGTCATGCAGACATCGATGGAAGCACCTTGCCAGGCTGTAGCAAACGGCTTTAACTCGGGACTCCAACCAAACCCAAACAACGACCTTGCCACGGCACCAACTGTGGATTTGGAAGTGAAGGGGCCAGAGACGTTGTACATGAGCACTCTAAGCACAGAGAGTTGCGGAGCGGGCATGGTGCTAACGATTAATCCACCACTAGAATCTCAGCCAGGCAACCACACCGCGTTCAAAGCCGCAGCCATTTCCGCTGGGAATCCAGGAGGAAGGGTAGCAGCTATCGTCGCAGCGACGCCTGCTTCTCAAGTCGGGAGTACAATTAGTGTCCAAGTAGGAGGCACAGCTTCGCAGACAAGTGCTGCAGCTGCAGTGGCACAGTCTGGCATAGTTGTTCAAGGCACAGGACGCACGAACAACGGACAGCCTTGTGGCTGTTCGTGTTTGTGCGGAGGGAGCGCATCGCCACCGTCCGGCGTGGCTGCAGGCAATTTCGGAGGCGTTGTTGGTGAGATTTCCCCGGACCGGTTGGATGCGAGATTGTTTGAAGCATGCAATTTTAACAGTGAGTCCAGGTCAAATGCCCGCTGCCGGTATAGCAGCCGAGGCCGTGGCGCCGACAAGTATCGGGGCGATGAGAGCGGCATTCGTGAGTGGACATGATGAAAGGCGGCTCCATTGAAGCTGGCGTTGTTTGATTTAGGAAACCGTTGTAGAGAGTACTGAGCGTCGAGTGTTCACGCGCCAGAATGGAAAGAGAATTGCGTTGTGTGACCAGAGCGCCGTGCCAGACAGCCAGGATGCCCACCTCGTCGATGCGGCAATCGCCAAGCAACTAGAACGAGATCCTCGCCCTTTAGGGCCAAATTCCCCTTTGCACCGTTCGTCTTGCCAAGACTCGTGGGTGAACGTCAGGCTATCGATGAAAGACAACCAAAGCCATTTATCGGCCAGAACATGTACCTCAAGGCATCGCCCAAACTCCGCGACACGGCCGATTGAACCCACGCGCTTGGGACCTGGCCCTTTCGATTGTCGCAAGGCGGCATTTTCAATCGATCTCGCATCACGCAGGTTGCGTGCGGCTGCATCAAGGCGCGACGCTGCTCCGCCAGCGTGCAATGGCAAACGTCTTCATTGCTCGGAGCTGAGAACGTCTGTTGAAGAGAAGCTGCAAACTGCCTGCCTGGTCACAGCGCGGTGACTTCGGCGTGATTTTTTTTTTTTTTTGGCTCATTGTGCGTCCACAGTGGCATGACGACCGAGCTCGCCGTTTACGAGAATAGGCGCAAATATGCCACCACGCAGTAGCTAGTCGATGTCTCATCCGCCTACCTCATGATACAGGAGTGTATTTGAACCCCACGCTAAAATGCTCGTCTTCAGAATGTACAATAGCGAGCCAGAGCCACCCACAATGTGTCTTGCAGCTCGCTAAACATGAGATTCGCGGTTGTTTCCGCACCTTTGCAATTTGCATTGCTTGAGATTCGGAGCCAGCCAGTCTTTCGAAAGGACCAATGCCGATGAAGGAACGGTCGCCCGTCACACGAGAAGTGCCATCATGCGGCTATGGCGCACTGATCCGCTCCAATGGTTCTTTTGACGCTACATTTTCATCGCTTATTTAACTACCTACTGTACGGAGATGTCTATGATTGTTACCTGCCGCTAGGCACGACTCCGCCACCCCCTCCGATTTTGCTATCGGCCTTAATCAAGACACCGAAAATACGAGCTCCGTACTCAATTTTTGGGCCCAAAATTCATCTCCATTTTGAGCTTCTTGATCTTTCTCATGATTTTGGACCTTCGTGGCAGAGATACGAGAAAATCTCATTGCATCGGATCGATGTCAAATGTTGAATTGCCAGCTTTTTTAACTCTTCGAGATCGGTCGGCTGTTCCGTTTCAAATCAAGTCTGTTAACTTGACACCGTGTGCAACATAATGACAGCATTGGAGCCCATCAAGTCATCTGAAAGCCAAATACTGCCAAGCTCAGAACGAAAAAGTCATCAGCACCGCCTAGAGAGTGACCTTCAGAGACGTCTCGACTCGCTGTCCATGTCCAGAAGAAGAGGCTCTCGGTTTAGATTCATCACCCTTTCTTCAGTGGTGATTGCATTCCTTTCCATCATATTCTTGTAAGTATCAGTCATATTGTTCCTTTGCCGACGTTATGAACTTGGGCTGTTGAGCAAGCACTATATAAAACTCGAAAATGTGCGTTCCTAGAATGATAAAGTGGTTTCCTTGGCCACATCCTATAACTGCAAATTTTTGTTTCCGAGAAATAAGACTGACACTACAAAAAGATTGTGGGAATTTTCGGCTCTTGTGTCAGTACATAGAATTTATCCGGTCATACCACATAACAGCCTCACCACCATACTAGCTCAATGGCGAGAGCCGCCTTTCAACTTCGAGAATACTCTTCCATGGCTACCAGATTTCAGCTCTGGCGTCACGCCAAAGCCAATACACTCCCATAACGACTACGATCGAGATATACCTCTCTTCCGAGCACTTTCTGTCGGTTGTACAGGTGTAGAAGCTGATATTCACTATATTGATGGTGATCTGTTTGTCGGTCACAGAGTTCAGGACCTGGAACCGATGCGAACTCTTGAATCGCTTTATCTTGATCCCCTGATGAGCATCCTCCAAGCGCAGAACCAGAAGTTGCGTCAAATCAATAGCTCAGCACCTTTCATTGGTGTCTTTGATGACCAACCGCAAGAGTCGCTAGTGCTCCTCCTCGACTTTAAAACAAATCCTGAACAAGCTTTACCGGCGGTCTTGGACAGGTTGAGGCGCTTTGAGGATGCCAAGTATTTGACTCGCTGGAACGGTTCAAACCTCGTACAGGGACCCATCACAATTGTCGCATCGGGCTTCATGTCTTGGCGTCCTGACCTGCAGAATCAGACCCACGGAATTGTCTTTCTAGATGCGCCGCTTGATGATCTCGCCGACGAAAGAGCCACATACGACATATCCAATTCATTTTACGCATCTGCTCCTTTGCGTCCACTCGTGGGTAGGATTGGTCTTTGGGGGATGAGTAGAGCTCAATACAATAAAGTTGTCGGCCTAGTAAAGCATGCACATGAAAGAGGTCTTAAGCCTAGATTTTGGGGCACTCCGTCTTGGCCAATGATGAGGCGTGACGAAGTATGGAAGCAGCTTGTGCGTGCAGGAGTGGGGATGCTCAATGTTGACGACATTAGATCTGCTTCACTTTGGAACTGGAATTGGTGCAATACACCGGGATCTCGATTTTGTTAAACAGGGCTGTCTGATTGCATGCTAACGATAGGATCTTTCGTATTAAACACGTAGGGCTAAAAGCATGTTAAGAGTCCTACATCTAACGGTTATCCTCGCGTATAGAGTTTAACGAAGCATTAAGAGGCATTGTATGATTACTGAAAACCCGAGCAATGACTTAGAGTGCATCTTTTTTTTTTCAGCTCTTGATCTCTGTTGCATATTACATTTATTACATGACGAATATACACATTTAGTACCCAGCCAATCCATAGCCGTAGCCGTAGCCATAGCCATACCGGCCAGTTGATGAGGTTGATAGCGGGCTACTGTCCACAGAAGCGCTAGTAGTAGAACTAGCATAGACGGCGACAAGTGATGAACTTGATACTGTAGCTGTGACATATGCTCTGTTGGAGGGGGTGTAGCTTGAGGTTGCAGGCGAAGAGTCCGAGACAGTTCTGCTAGAGATCACGGCAACGGTAGGAGTTGTTGTTACCGATGATGGATTTTTAGCGGGCCAAGTTAAAAGTGTAGAAGGCAAAGGGACCGTGAAGGAGGCGGTCGAGACGGACGATCTTGACATTGACGCGCTGGAAGGTGGCACGACACCGGCCGGAGATGATGACGATGCTATCTCGGGAACGGACAAGGTTGGCGAAGTTGATACAGCTGGACCGGAGGTTGTAGAGGAGGCAGCTGCGACTGGAGCGGTGCCGAATGGCAAGCAGGTGTCGGGAAGCGGCTCTTGCAGAGAGGCCAGAGTGATTGAGAACAGCGGGTCGCTCGCTCCATGGCTGGGGCTGTGTGCGTCGAGGATCAGATCGGCACCATAGCTTGGATTGAGTGCCAGGCCGTCGGACGCGCCACAAGTTCCACTTGCTGCTACACGGAGTCAGGATCTCTTCTTTTGATTCTGGCCGAGTATACTGTAAGGCACGTACCTGTCACTGTTTGAATGTCGGCCTCAAGGTAAGGAGCGATTCCGACGCCGAGGTCGAAGCCGGTGCTGAACGCCTTCGCCGCCAGTTCAAGCTCGGCCTTGACGAATAACTTGGCTGTGCCAGACAAGTCCGCGCTCACCGTAAGTGGTGTGGTCTGTACTTTTGGAGTCCAGCCACTGTGTTCAGCACTCGCGTCGAAGATATCAATCGTTGCAACGGCAGAATCGTCCAGACTATAAACGACACCTGCATCGACTGTAGCCTGCCCCTGGAGCGGACCGACAGTCGCCCCTACACTCAAGACAATCTCAGGGCCGATGTCGAGAATGCCAGCAGGAATCTGGATGCCCGCAAGATTGATCCTCGAAAGCGTAAGGCTTCCCGTCTTCGGTTCGGTGATGTTGGCACTGATTAACAAGCTTGGTGCGACCGTCACGGCGACGCCTGCAGGGTGAACGCTCATCTCCGCCTTCTTTGGTATCAGGAGGACCGTTTCTAGCCTGAACTGGAAGTTGAACGAGCCGGCAGTGCTGCAGTTGCTCATATCGACTGTGGCCGTGACGGCATCGGATATTGGGATGGTGACTGTATCGACGGGAAACTTGTGGTTGAAGTCAAGAGCTAGGTCTTTGTTGTAGTCAATCTCTCCGAAGCCTCGTTTCTGCAAGTCTCGGGACGGCATGCCACCTACGTTCAGATCGTAGGTGTGAATCGCTTCTGTCCAATTCTGAGCGATCGCTGCCAGGTGGGCAACGTTGGCATCTTCGTCGTACGTGAGGGACGACACCGTGAACGGCTGCCTGTGGTCGTCGTTCCATCCACAAGCACCTCGCCCTACGACCATGACGAAGGTATGGTTGTCGTCACCGTTGACCCAGTCCCAAACTGCCTTCGCGTACTCGAAAGTGTCATCATCACGGAAGGCCATGTCGATTGAGGTCTCTGAGCAGTTGACCGACGTCAACATGCCATTGAATCGTTCCATGGAAAGTATGTTTTCTTGGTTACCAGGCATGTAAACGGTCAAATTACCGAGAGCAGCCTGATTTCCATCTGACGCGCCCCAAAGAAAAGTCTCTTGTGATCTCAAATCCAAGCAGCCCATGGGATCCCCCCGCTTCGAGTATCTCAAACCATCGTTATGCGGAAGTTCGTGGAGAACGAGGGCCGTTGTATTGCTTGCCACAAAGAGCAATAAGGTCACGGACGTGACGAGAGATCGAGAAGTGACCATTACGGATTACGAAATGTGATTTCTACTAATGAAGGAACGGATGCTTGCTGGAAAGAATGGCTAGAGCAAGATGCTCTATCAAATGAAGGACTAGAGGAACACCGACACTCAGCGGCTTGCCTATCGAGACTTCGTCCAGTTCCTGGAGCATTTATATCCTTCGACAAGCACGCATTCCAGACCGCGCCCAGCGAGAAGCCCAGCAAGGCTGAACACCTTTGCCAAGTCGCCGCAGTCTCAGAGAGGGCTGCTAGCAGATGAGTGCAGAGACCAAGCATCACATACAGGCTCACCGTACACGGGGGGTTATGGTAGGTTCTTCACATTCGGGCATCTCGACGCGGGTTGCATTGTTGCAGGCCTGTAATAATGCCCACGCTAAGAGGCAAGAGCGATTCCAACACGGCCACGCTCGTACCAATAGACTTATGCAAACGACCTCTCTCGTGGCCAAGTTAGACTGTGATACCTAGCCACAGCCAGTCATGCCGCACAATGCACATGGACAAGAGCATAAGTTGGCGACAGCGCCTTCTCCTTGCCAAGCACGAGGACCTAGCAAAAGGTGACATCCGGCCATGCTCCTTGGCCTTTAAGAGGTCCCTCCTCAGATAGACACACCGTCGATGCGTACAGATCTGGACAGACTAAGGCGACGAGCAAGCACCCCGACCCGCTCCTGTCATGAAAGGACGGAGCTGCATTCGATCAGGGCTAGCGGATGCACCCGCAACAGGTTCTGCACGTGCTTCGAGATGGCGTGCACGCCATTGGTCAAACGGGCTTGGAGCTTGGGATTCAGATCGTCGTTGTGCACGCCAATAGGATGAATTAGGCAGGTGAAAGCTGTTCAACCCCGGACAAAAAAGAAAAGAAAGAAACCCGGCGAGCGTGAAACAAGGACTGGTAGTGAAAAGCTTGAGAGGTGGTCTGCGTGAGAGTATGAAACAAACACGAGGTCACCTTTGATGTTTGAGGCTAGCTCGTTGCCCTTTACCGTCATCCGTTCTTTGTAGTGCTGGATAATCCAAGACGTTGATCAAAATCTGCGGACCTTTTCCGCAAGTGACTAATCAGAAACTCCTTTCATGCTTTGTTCAGACGCACAGGCGTCGTCATGCCATACTTCGTCCATATTGCAGCATGAACTGTAAGATTTGCCGATCAGGCTTCCGATGACAGGGGAACGTCATGCCATCGTGAATGGGACAGTTTATGCGCGACACTGTGGACCTTTTGCAAGCAAAGATAGTACGACTACTTTTTTTTTTTTACTTTGTTAATATTAAGTAGCAACCAAGCACAAGGCTAGAGCTGCGCTCAGCGCGTGGAGGAGGGACATTCTGCTAGCCTGTTGGTATTACAGAACACTGCCGCCCGACTTATCATAACCCATAAAAAGCATGGAGATGTTATCTGGGAAGCTGCTACCTCATCATCCTTCCTTTGCGTTCCTCATTCGACGGCGCGTGGGAAACAACGCCGGAGAGAACATCACAAGCCGGTCCGCGTGGCCCGTATATAACGTAGGGTGGTACGCTCTGATTTTGAGTTAGCCGGAACACCATTTTGACAACGCGAAGCGAAGCATACTTTGTTAACAACGGAGTTGGGCTTGATGTACGCCCCATCTCCAATTTCGAGTCTGCCATTCGTAATCATGTCCTCCTCGGGCTGCACGACACTGTTCGCACCAATATGCACGTTCTTTCCAATGTGAATTTCAAACGCGCGGGCTTTGCCATCCATAGCTGCACCAGCACGGGTAGCTGGATCAAAGGGTAGAACTTTTCCCATGATCTTGACACCAGGTCCAATGTACGAACCATTGTCAATGTGCACAGGTCGTGGATCACTAATGTGACAACCGCCCTCGATCACTACATCCTTTCCAAGGGTAATATTATAGCCATATTCACACCTGAAAGGCACGTCGACCGTAGCATCTTTTCCTACCCTCACCGGCCCCGCGGAGTGAGGTGAATCAGGGGTTAGAACATTGCGGAAATGCCGCATACGTTCTGCGCGACTTGCGTGATTGTTGTTATTGAAAGTGTACAACGCCTTGGCACACCTCTCACGATCCTCCTCTAGCTCGGTGCAGAAGGGTGAGTAAAGCTCGCCGGCATGCATTTTCTGGCGCTCACTGCTCATGTGTGGTACGCCATTAAAGCCAGTCATTGGATTCATCTGCTGCGGAGTATTGCGCAACGCTTGTTGTGCGGTATGAATGATGCCGGGACTGGGCTGCATGCCGTGGCTTGAGGACATATTGTGCATTCCAGAAGAACTCATAGAGCTCAAGGGGCGGTCATATGAGTCGCGCATAGCCATGGAATTGTTATGCATCGGGAGACCATGGACTGGGTCTTTGTCGTTTCCGTACCCACGATGGGAAGTTGCGTAAGGAGAATTCGGCCAACCGTTTGTGACAGTTCGATCAGAATCATCGTCAACTGTTATAGCACGAGATCGCATATTAGGTTGTATTGGTGTGGACATGTCCATATATTGCTGCGAATCCGTTCTCGGCGTTGGCCTTCTCTCTATTAGCTAGAGTCATATACTCGTCGCTATGGTCGTTACCTCGGATGCAAATTCCCGCTAAACTCTTGCAAGTCCCGAGAGGTGGGTTGGACATGTGAATTTGGTGGTAAAGGTTGTTTGTTGGACTTCATTTTGTTCTCTGGCGGCCACGAGACTTTGGGTGTGTAGCCCTCACACTTGAAGCCGCCTCTGGTGCAATTGTTGCCTCCGATGTGTCAAAAAAGGGGAAATGACATCGATCAATTGAAACTTACATTCAGGTTTCGCCTCGTCGCATTTCTTCTTGCGTCGTCTGCAGGTTTGGCAGCCAGTTTTGGTTCGATTCGTGAACGCCTGTCTGTGTCAGCTTTGCTATACCTCGCAACATCGCAAATAATTACCCTCTTGCGCTTCTTTGGATCCATCTGCACACCTGCGTTTGTCGTGATCAGTCCAGTGGCTTCATCTTTGCGGTAGCCAGGCCGCAGGCCATTCGAACTCTGCGAGTTCTGCGCCGGGGTATAGCCATCATGGTTATACTGCTGATTCTCACGCTGGATCGGGGCGAGCATGCGCAGCTGTTCAGCTTGTTCGTCAGGCTGTTGGGGGTTCCACTGGCTGTCTGCGTTTCCTGTGGCTGACCGGGAATATGCTGTGGCATCCTGCATCTGAGCTTCAGGAGCCTCATGAGTTGGTGTGATAGAGCTGCGCTCGCTTCCTCCAGAACTACGAGCCTCGTCAACATCGCTCGTAGAACGTTTTCGCTTGTGATGACCGTTCGTTGGCGAGGTGTTCATATCATGTTCGGGCTCATTTGCATGCTGCTGAGGGAGCTCGCCCTCCACGGCAGACCGATGCGAGAGCTCCCTTGGAGGAAGAGACACTTGCTCACGCGAGCCATCTGTGGCCGAGGTTTTCGGTACGGGTGTTGGCGGCGAGCCACGACCGTTGACGGCGGTGAATCCGCTCATGGTCCCTTCTGTCTCAACAGGCCGTACTTGGCCACCCATCTGAGTAGGTGCTTCTGACGGAGTCGCTGCTGCTTCTGGCGGGCCCTGCGACATGCTACCTCCGTCCGATGTATCTGGCTTTGGACTTCGCGAGATCTTCTTCTTCAGAGTGCTGCCCCGCGGCTTTGGAAGTAGGTAGGGAGGGGGAGGCGGCTGGCCGGCTCTGCTTTCACAACGGCGTCGTCACAGATGGCGCTGCCGTGGTTCGGCAGTGCCTGAGCCGGTTTTTATGACACGCCTATACCGCGATGCTGCCGCGCTGTCGTCGCTGCTCTTTGCTCTGACCAAGCCGGAGGCCGATCGGCTGGCGGGTAGGCGGCTAATGGGCGCGCTTAGGTGGCGACGTAAGCTCCCTTAAATCGCTTCGTTAGCCGTGTGGCAGAAGTCGCAAGAAAGTCCTGAGCAACGATCTCGCAAGCGGAGAAGGAGTTCTCGCGGGCGCACCGAATATTGAGCACACAACAGTGTTCAGCGTCTACGTGGCGCAGGGCCGGGCAAGACGAGCGCTAACCGCGTCAAAAAGATGTGATCCCGAAACTGTGGATAAACGGGCTCAGATGAGAGGGAACGACCATGAGCCTGCAAGCGGGATCCTGCAACCAGCAAAGAAGAAATGAGAGCAGAGGGAGACAGGTGAGAGAGATGTGTCTGGGAGGGGAGGATTGAGCTGCTCGCGCTACGACGAGCAGCGGACGATCTTGTGATATGCGACGTGATTGGCGGCCACTGGGCGATAACGTCTCCTCCAAGCGCCAACTGCGCAGGTCCTGGCCCCGAGCAGCGCGCCAGACGGCCAGGATGAGAGCCGCCGTTGCCCGCGACGAGCGAGTCTGGGCGGCACACACGCCAGGCCCGGCCGGCCCCCGTCGTCTCTCTCACAGCCCCAGGCGACGGTCACCAGACTGTGACCCAGCCGGCTCCCCAACGTGCCAGGACAGCTGGCCTGGACGTCCGCGGCCACGGCTGCGAAACACGCAGTCCACGGCCGCTCGCGGACGCTGGTTGTCCAGCAGCCCGTCGGCAACGCTAAGAGGCGACTGCATACGAGCAGAGCGGGAGGGCGTCCAATCCTCGCCCGGCGAAGCACTGCCTGGGCGGGCGGCGCAAAGGCAGCGCAGACGAAACCGCCTCGACCGTATCCGCGCGGACCGCTTGAAACCCGCGCTGCTGTTGGCAGAGAATCCCAGTCGGGCCGCCGTCCTGTACCACGCTTGCCTGCGGGGTGTTTTCGCGGGCGCCTGCACACCGCTCCTTGCGGCCCGTCGCTCATGACGGCCGCCCGTTCGCTGCGTGGTCTGCAACGCTGGGTCGGGATGTGCGACATTGGGAGGGAAAAATCCACGCATGACGAGGCACATCCGCGCTCGCCGGCCATGACGGCGACGCACCATCACACAGGCTCGCTCACCACAAATGTGCCAACAGCGCCGTGCCGTCAGATTTACGTCCAGCAGCTGCGCCGTCTGCGTGACATGCACCCGTTTTCCCGCACACACACACACGCTTCCCTACCCAGTCCCAGACGCGGAGGGGGGGGACACGGGCAGGCCACAGCTGCTAGACGCAAAACTTGCGCACTTTCACACGTTCAAGCGCCGGCAACCATGTCGGCGAATTATTGGCGACGCCTGTCCTAGCTACGGCCCACGACAAGGAAACAAAGCGATCCTTCCCTCATTACCGTTCTCCTGGGCCGAGTGGCGACGTCTTGTGACTTGGTGCTACCAGGCCTGCCACTGCCGGCGGCTTGTTTTGGCTGTGCCAATCGTGACGATCCCATCTGGCATCGCAGACGCGCCCGCACGCGCTGAGGACCTTGATTGCCGCCCACCCCGCGCATGTGCAGGAAACAAACAGCCTCTGCAAACGCAAGGCGCGATGAGTTGAGCGTCGCCTGAGATGAGGAGAATGGTGGGAGGAACAAGACTCACGTCCCAGGCACTGCCCGCTTTGCACGGACGGATTCTCGTCCTGCCTGCTCGGTGGTGCCGTGCTCCCAACTCCTCTGCAAATCCGATTTCTGATCCTTGCAGTTCCAGGTATGCAGTCCGAGCACAAGGCGCACACTGACAGGACACGGCACCGTGTTCACGCTCAAATGGTTGCGTGGCGACGCTGCTATTGGACTGGCAACGTCTCCGCCTCCCTTGTTCACAATGCGCACAGCAACCGAGACCCAACTTAGCCCGAAGGATCCAAAACGAAAGGATCTAAATGCTCATCGATTATTAGATGGAGAGGAGCATGGGGTGGCGATGGTGGCATGAATTTCTTTGGGTCCACGGCTTCCGAAGGATCGCCCGTTGGTCTGGGGCGGCAACTCCACCAGAAGCGAGTTGTCTTGAATCCTTCAGCCTTAACGGAGCTGTCAAATGAATTCGCTGGGCTCGATATCCCGAGACCACTAGCGCCCAGAAACTGCACATTGCGAAGCGCTTTCAAACTAGCCGTGCATGACCTTGCAGGACAAGCTGTAGTCAGCCAGTGTGCGATCGGCTGCGTTTACCGCACACCTCCACGCTTGTGTTTCGACGGCACTTTGCAGAAACAGAACAAGACTAACAAGTTCACCGCGGGTTGAGCCAGTTATCTGAGGCGCTCATATCGACAGGCGTCGAAGGCGGGAGTCAGCTAACCTCTGGTTTTTTTTTTCCTTTTTTATGGCTCGTTTATGCTACGGCGGGAATGAGAGCGCCGAGTCACCATGTTGCTGCGTCAGCCGCGACACCAATGGGCCCTCATTGCCTGCCGCGACAGTCGCGGAGTACTATTTCCACACGCAGAAAGTGGAATCCTCAGGCCGCACAAGGTGTCCATTTCGCGCTTGTCACTTTGAGACCAAACAAAAAAAATGGCACAACTTGCTGGGTTTTTCGTGCTGCATGCTGGGGTTAGTCGTCGAGCAATGCCCACACCACCCTCATGGCTATGAGTACTCACCATGCTGTTCTTCGAAGTTTGTTGGAGTCGTGGTCTGGAGTCTGTGCAAAGACTAACGGCGCGCGGCAGGAGCACGTGGGGCTTTCCCATCTTATGTAATCCGGCCGCTGTGGGGGTTCCCCTCCGTCGCCCGCCAGCTCCCGTCCAAGAGAAATGTGAGCCTTACGGCTTAAGGCACCGAAGATCGTCCGCCCAAGTCACCCTCCTGCGACCACCACCGGCTGCACGCAGCCCTGCCACACAAGCGTCATCCTCCTCTCCTCATCCATCACCACCCCATCGTTGTCATCTTCAGCCTTCTTCTCCCGCGTTCTTAAAATGCCTCACCTACTCTTCTCCGGACAAACTTGCGCATCCGCGTGTTTGTTTCTTTAAATTGATCATCCCACTATACAAGCCCGCGTGACACCCTGGCCTAGACTCGCCCAATAGTTCCCTTCTGCCGTGCGAATTCGCCAGCTTTTCCGGGTCCGCACAACCGAGGGAGCTCAGTACCAAGCTCCAGCCCCAGACTCGAATCATCCCAAAACAGCCACTACTCGCATGATTGTCGTGGTTCGGTGACGTCTATGTCTTCTTGTTCTCCTTCACGTATGTTCTTCGGCACTCTTCCATGAAGAGAGGTCTCTTTGATCATGTCGAGTTTCGGCCGCCGTGAGCTTGCCGCTCATTTGAAGAGCGCGAGCTTGCTGCGCCGTCATTCTTCCCTCCCTACCGTACGACGATGGGCGAGCACCGCCTCCGCTAACAGGCCGCGGACGGCTATCTTCTTTCCTGGTGAGCTTCTCCGATAGGCTACCGAGCTTATGATGGACAGAACGCTGACGCAGATTTGTAGGACAAGGTGTGCAAAGAGTAGGAATGACAACGCGCTGGGTCGAAGCCTTCCCACAGACAGCCAAGCCTATCCTGGAGGAAATTGACGATACTCTTGGGTTTGGGTTGACGAAGATCATTGAATGCGGTACAAACGCCGAGCTCAATGCCACTCAGAACTCCCAACCCGCCATCATGGCCACCTCGGTTCTGCTACTGCGAATACTGGAACGAGAGTTTGGCTTCGATCTTCCAAAACGTGTGGACTTCACTCTAGGCCATTCTCTCGGTGAGTTCGCAGCTCTGGTTGCCGGCGGATATCTGGAGTTCAAGGACGCCTTGCTCATGGTTCGTCGACGCGGCGAAGTCATGGCCAAGATCTCGAGAGAGACTTGTGATGAACATGGCGAGGTTGGCATGGTCGCCTTAGTCTGCGAGCATGAGGACCACCTTCAACCTCTTATTGACGCCATACATGAATTCACCGCCTTATCCACCTCCGGCTCAAAGTACGACTCAGTTGAGGATGTCCCACCGGTTCAGCAGGTCGTGATTGCGAATGTGAATTCCAAGAATCAGATTGTCTTGAGTGGATCCATCGAGAGGATTCACACTCTGTTAACACATCTGAGACAATTTGGTGGCCATGATCCTCGTCATGTGCGACTGCATTCCGACAGCCCTTTCCACAGCCCACTTATGAAGCCCGCGAAGGAGTTTATGCGCCGCTATCTTGAAAAGCCCTCCGTTGTGACCGGCGGAGACATCATCAAATGGCCTGGACTTGTTCCTTGTGTATCCAATGTATCGGCACGACCATTCAAATCGCGCGAAGAGCTCAAGGATCAACTGGCGCGCCAGGCCTCGGAGACCGTACGCTGGTGGGACTCCGTCAAGTACCTAGACAAAGAAGAGAAAGTCCGGAGATGGATAGGCATCGGCCCGGGCAAAGTCGGACGCAACCTTGTCGGGAAAGAGGTAGGCATGAAAGGCCAAGTCAAGGGCGGGGGTGTCTGGGGCATTACCTCACCGCTTGAGGCAGAAGAGTGCATGAAAGCGCTCGACGATACAGAGTACGCTGCGGATGAAGACTAAATCTAAGCACGTCCGATCCACTAAACATTTCTTCTATCAGGAACTACAGTGATTCTGAAGGTAGCCCTTCGACTGCTGCTGATGCAGATGTAGCCCCAAAACGAAACGTGGAACGTGGCAGGCATACTGCTGCTTATGTCTTTAACCCGGCGATCGTCCAGCAAATATGGCCCCCTCCACCATGTGCAAATTTCGATCTCTCCGGAAGTGCAAGTCAGATATCATCTCACCCAGATCGCGACTTTTCTCACAACGACGCAATATTCAGACCCGCATCTGGGCATGTCAGCAACACTGTTCCTGTGAATTGAGCATTCTCTATATCAACATACCGACGGCAATTCGTTGCCCAGTCATGGACGTGTTTTCGGCAATTGAAACATACATGTTTGCACAGTCATCTAGATACGTCTCGTGCTTCAGAGCGGCCTTGTCTTTGACGAATTCGATCATGCTCGGGGGGTATTTGAGTCCCCATTCCGTCAAAAGAAGACCGGGGAGAATTGCATTAATTCTAACTTTCGAGCCCTGCGTATTTGCGAGACAACGCATGAGATGCAGTTGCGCTGATTTCGTCACCGAGTACGCCATTGACGATCCAGACAGAGATGTACCAGCCACGGAGGATGTTATCAGGAAGACTCCGCCTTCAGGATTTTCATTAAATGTGGGAAGAGCTTCGCGGAGAAGCCACATCTGTCCAGTCACATTTGTGTGCCATGCCTGCTATTTCGTCAGTATTGACTTGTTCATTGATATCTGGGCGTTCCCTTTTTATTTGTCACATGAAATATTTCTTCTCGATCTTCTCGAAGAAGCATTACGTACTCTGTCCCAGTCATCTTCACCCAAAGCATCCAGATCACCAAAGTTGGAAAATTTGGTGTAGCCCTGGAGTTCCAAAGTTAGCGTTGGGAAGACGAACGACATCCATGGAAAAGGATCAAAAAGCTTTGCCATGAATTGTATAATATATATCCAATCAGGACGGCAGGAAGGGGTGAAAATAAAAGCAAACATAAATGTCAATGAGCCATGAACTTACCGCGTTTCCAACAATAATGTCGAGTCCATCAAATTCTCTGATAGTCTCGCGGACCATATTTTTGCAATCACTCAAAACGCCACCGTCACCTTTGATAACGATCGTCTTGACTCCGTACTCCTTCTTGATTTTCTCCGAGAGCTCCTGAGCCGGCTTTGGTCGGGAGTAATAGTTGATGGCGATATTACAGCCTTTTGCGGCAAATTTTTCACATATCAAGGCACCAAGCCCTCTGGGAACAGGTCACCGACGGAACAACTGGAATGTCACGTTGCCAAAGTCATACCTAGATCCAGCCGTGACCAGGACGTTCCGATTCTTGAGGTCGTACGGCATCGTGACCAGATGCAGAAAGAGTTCACGTCAATCGCGACCGGGGGGGGAAGGGGTGGTAGAAAGAAGTGTTTGGACAGCGTCGGGTCAAGCGGGTGTAGAAAGCAGAGATTGCTCGCGAGAACCCGCCAAGCAACGTTTGTATGACCCAGCAAAAAAGAAGAGAGGACTCTGACGCTCACCTAAATGGGCGGTAAACTTCTTGACCATGTTTAGGATGTTGAACCCCGCTTCCACGTGATGAACAGTTGTTCCTCGGGTTGCCGGGTAAGCACGGGGTGGATGGTGAGCTGGAGTGTGAGCAGTAAGCATTAAGAGGTAAATGATTGAACTTTGCTCGCTGTCTATATGCTAGTTATATTCTTTGTATATGCTATCTATATTCTATTTATACATTCTTTATGTACTGTCCTCCTACTATCTGTATACTGTCTACATGCCAGCTATATACAGTCGACTTACTGTCTGCATAAGTTGATTCTTCGCGTGGACATCGCAATTGCGAGGCGCATGATCTGCGAAGCCAGATCTCGGATGCTCTTTTTTTATAAAAAAAAATGAATGTCTCGTTCAGATTCTAAGTGTAAGAGTATTGAAGCCCTTGCGCCTGACAAGTAGACTGGTGGCGAGACAAGGATAAATCGCGATGAACAGTCGACAAGTCCAGAAAGTACCCCCAATTCGAAAGAGGATGGCTTTTTTTCAGGCCTTTCTAGTGAAAAATCCTAAGGCTACAACGCTGTGGTTATCCTTCAGTCGTCTGAAAACAAACAAACAAGAAAAAAAAAAAACCTATTGCTTTCCGTGCTGAGCAGACTAAACTTGGCATCGTTCGGAACAGCAGCGCGAGTTATTGCTAAGGATCCACAGGCATCGTCCTGTCAATCGATTCCTACTTGGTGATGTTCTCCAGTGCCATTTATGATCTCGGTTTAGTTAGAGATTATACTAAATTAACGAATGCAAAGAAAACTCTGAACTCAAGTTGTCGACATCGTGCTTTCTTACTTTCAACTCCGTCGAAATCCACAGCCGGCCGGACTGTTTTGAGACAACCAAAGTCAGAGGGTCATTAAGAACACGGCGTGTGCAATTAATCCCACTAGGCATTGTGAATTGACGCATCGCGTTGTTCTGGGTTAATCGCTCCACTATGAAAGTTCAAAGTTTTTAAGACCGCCAGTGGACTCGTATCTTGTGCAACGGCACAGTTTACACGCGAGCAGTGAAAAAATGGGCTAATTCGCATGATTATGTCTATGTTACTGATTCAAGTATCACATACCTGCTGCCTTTGCCGGTCCTCCCTGCGTACTAGTGTTTTTGAGCAGCAGAGGGCAATTTTCATAACATGACTTTTGCTCTAGACTTGAACGAGTTCATTTCCCGAGGTGATTAATACAAGAAACACGCAGAGCATGCAACGAGTTGAGCGGGGGGGGTTTTTTTCATGAAAGTTGCTATCAAGAGAGCAGGATTAATTATTAGTGATTCGGAAGGGCAATAGGGGCTCTTTGCGAGAAGCCAAGAGCTCTTTTGGCGTACATGTCTTAAGTTGGAATGCCCTCCAATGCCTCGTGAGGAAACTTTGAGGATATTGACTATGGAAACATTCGCAACTGTTTAGGAAAGGAAATTCAAAGCTTTTTGCAGATATGGTTCTCAAAAGGGGGTCTTGCGAGTTAGCTGTATCATACTCGCACTGTATTCTGAAAGCAATAAGTTCTCCCTATCCCGTTTCTATGTGATACTCTCAAATCGGCACGGATCAAAAATCTTTGAGGTACTTTGTACCTGAACTTTCGACAAAGTTGCCAAAAGGATGAGCATATCAACTAATGTGATACCGCTGTATTCTATCTACTTGGAGCAAACATCGTAGGATATACATTTCCTGCAAAGCTGAAATCATGTGCCTCTCCGCTAAGGACAATGGAATTAGGTAACTTAAAACCCCTGGTCATTAGCTGGCGCAAGCTTGAACATCTCCAGTCTTGTTCTCAAAAGCTCATCCATTACAACCCAGTCAGAATAAGGCATCTTGCCACGAAGACGGAGCAAACCGGCAGAGTTTCATCGAAAAGAGAGCCGAAGTAAATGGGGCTCTCGTCGAGACTGCGGTACGCGCGTGGTACTGTCCTGGAACGCGCGCGCTGGGCTAATCGTCGTGACAGCTTGCTCGAAAAGGGCAGTCTAAACACCGCCTTCTGGAGGTTTCGAGCCTGAAGATACACCATTCAACGTAGTGCCATCCAGCTGATGGCGATCTGCAATCTGGGATTCGACTTCCTTAGGGGTTCGGTGCTCTTCAATTCCTCGAAATCGCCGGTCCGTCCTCGTCGACGATGTGGTTCATCCACTTCCTTTCCTCGATCTGAATTTATAATGCACAATTTTGCAACCTCTGGTGCTCTTCAATGCTATTCGTGAGCAGTTAGAGAGCCTCAGTCTGACTTTAGCCGATGCCTCAATGCCTAAAATGGTAAATAAAAGCCAACCGTTGCTCACGCCCTACGACATGTCATGTAGTCTTAACTACTCTGCCACAGTTCTCTTCAGCTTGCGACCTAAGACTTTGCAACAAAATTGACATATTGAAAAGCCACATTCTAGTCATGATCTGGAACGCAAGATTTACTCTTCAGTGATGAACCTTTTTTGTTCGAAGCACATCATACATACGTTTTCATTTATTGAGATCCTCGCTTCTAATCGGATGTTCGAGCTGAGCCCTGCAAACCAATGTCTCTCAGACGGAACTTCAAGATGGCATCCATTCAGACGGTTGGGAGACAAGAATTGTCAGGAAAACGCATTGCACGGAAACGAAATAAGAATATTCAGATTACAAACTTGTTTCAGCATGTTAAGAAGTGACTTTCCAGTCTGAATCAGGTTCAGGCAGGTTCAACTGCAAGGTTTGGAGCCGTCACTCCTTTGTTAAGATCGTATCGCAATGTCCTTCTAACACTTGATAGAAGCTAAGGCCGTCCTCGTTGGCCAGAATAGAGTCCAGGCAAACGAATAAAAAAAATTCATGTGAACAGCATGCAAAGCTCGAACCGAAGGAGAAGTGAAACCTGAAGACGCACTTCAGTTGTCAACAGGCTCTCCATTCTTCAGAACGATAGCCTCGGTGCTCATTGGGCAACAAAATTCGTACACCGAATTTGGAATCGCCACATGGACTAAATTGGGCCAGAAGGTTGCAATGGTTGTCGGCTAGCGCACAGCTCAGTCTCAGCAGTGCCACAGCAACCAGGATCCGACAAGCTTCGCTGTAAACAGTTAAGCCCGATGCTTAGTGTTACCTCGCGCCTACAATCTGGGGTAGTAGCGTGGAGATTTTTTTTTCCTCCTTTGTGCCGCGGTGCCGGCCTTTTGGATGGTGCGAGCGCTTACTGATCGCGTGAAGGCGAGGAGTGATCGGCATTGTGGAACCGAGATCAGCTGCCATTAAAGAGCAGCCTTCGACCCACCATCTCGGAGAAGATGTGAGCGAGCGGACGATTTTTCCTCTGGTCGTCTGTGGTGTAAATTGTACGGCCCTTCCACCAAATACCAAATCGTCCCCAAGTTCGCGCAGAACGGGTTGACTTTGCCATTGTTGCAAAGATGCGATTCTCAAAGGGAGGTCAGTCGCGCGTCGTCGGGCGACCTTTCAAAAGACGTTCTTAACAAAATTCTGAGCAGAGAAAGAGTCAGCCGTTTTGCCTGACGAAGGATCTCCCGTACAATACGTAACAGGTGATCGCGATGTTGAATTCGACGATGATCTCCATATCCCGTGTCCCAGCCACACAACAGAACGACGACTAGTCAATAAGATCGACCTGAGATTGATGCCTATTCTCTGCATACTGTACCTACTGGCTTTCTTAGATCGGTTCGTGTTGTCTGCTTTAATCCACTAACTCAATCCAGTTGCTCACAAGCAGCAGTGTCAACATCTCGAACGCAAATATATTCGGACTTTCCAAGGAGCTGCACCTGACGACACATAATAAGTTCAACACTGCGCTTGTCATCTTCTTCGTACCATATGTTCTTTTTGAGATCCCATCAAACATCCTTCTGAAGAAATTGAAGCCCAACGTGTGGCTATCAGGATGCATGTTCATGTTTGGGCTTGTTTCTATCATCCAAGGCTTAGTAAAGAGCTATGGAGGACTCCTTGTGACTCGTTTCTTTCTTGGCCTTTTCGAGACGGGCATGTTCCCTGGATGTAAGTTCACACAGGCATACAGCGAGCGAGTTCGAAGTCTAACCTCTAAAGGCTTCTATCTAATCGGAATGTGGTACCGCCGACACGAAGCTCAACGCCGCTACAGCTTCTTCTTCAGCAGCACTACACTTGCGGGAGCTTTTGGTGGGTTGTTAGCTGCTGCCATTGGCAAGATGGATGGAATGCGCGGCTACAGAGGTTGGCGCTGGATTTTCATCTTGGAAGGCGTTCTTACCTGTGTCGTTGCGATTCTTTTCTTCTTCATCATTCCGAACTTTCCAGAGGACGCGAAGTGGCTGCGAGAGGACGAGCGAGCCTACATTAAGGCACGCCTTCAAGCCGACCAAGGCAAGTCTGCTAGAGAACGAAGCATCACTGTCAGGGATGTTGGCCGCGTATTCAAGGACTTCAAGGTATTTCTCGGAGGTCTAATGTACTTCGGCTTGATTGTTCCTGCCTATGGATACGCATATTTCGCTCCCGCCATCATTCAATCTTACGGATATGGTTTGATTCAGACTCAGCTGCACAGTGTGCCACCTTGGGCTGCTGCTTTCGGTTGGGCAATGCTTGTAGCTTACATATCTGACAAGCTCAGACACCGCTTCATCTTCGCAGTTCTATGCATTTGCATTTCGATCGCAGGCTTCGCGATAGTCGACGTGGTTCACAACAACAAACATGTCGAATACGGTGCACTCTTCCTCATTACCTCTGGCACATACTCGGCAATGCCGATCATTGTTTGCTGGTTCAACATGAACCTCGGCGGGCACCACCGCCGTGCTGTAGGTACCGCGTGGCAGGTTGGCTTTGGAAATATCGGAGGCATTATCGCCGTTTGGGTGTTCCTTGCCAAGGATGCTCCGAAGTATGTCACAGGCTTCAGCGTGTGCCTCAGCTTCTGCTGTCTCAGCATTCTTAGCTGTGTGGCCTACTTCTTCGCCTGCTTCATTCAAAATAGGAATAAGGACAAGTCTGTGCACGACTCTAGTCTGACCGAATACGAGAAAACGGAGCTTGGAGACTTGAGCCCTGATTATAGGTATCTACTCTAGAGTTTAACTGTTTTGTTTGGCAGTTAGATGTTTGCGATGTCTGTGGGGAAAAAAAAAACTATCGAGGGAATGAGGTTAATTGAACACATCTCACAACAAGTCTTGGGTCCAGTGACTAGGATACGGGAGAAGATAGAAGCTTTTTACTTTGACCAATAGATCTGAACCAGGCTTTACGATATCAGCTCACTGTCATCGAATCGTACGAATGTAGGATTATTCGGATCAGTAGTGATAAAATCTGATGAAGAATTCTGAAATTCGAAGATCCGTAAAGCTAACATATCACAAGTACATTTGAAGAGCATTCATCACACGCCTCGATCAATTTCCTCTGAGATATCATTAGACTCAACCCCGAATTCAGCCATAAAGAGTCTTTTCCAGACTAGCAACTCACTCACTTGAGAATAATAGTTGCGGACTGAACAATAAATTGATTTTTTCAGTCCAGGTCATTTATTTTTCCACTTGACAGAAGCGTTAGGTTCGCAGAGACCTTCTCCCCGACCCGATACCGGCACACCGGTCCGAATCGGCCAGCTGGCATCGGAGCCTTAATCCAACCATCATCGAAATCAACGATGTTAATCAACGTTGGGTTGCAAATGACAATGCAAGAGCTTCGCAAAGTCCGCAATGTCCGACCGTTGAAATTTTTGGGATAAAAACATGGGATTGCCTGATTATTTAAAACGATCCTGGACTCCTCGACATGAGCCGATCTTCTACATCCTTGGAGTTTACCTGACTTTCGATATAATTAATCTATAATAGTGAATGAGCTTTATTCGGATCTTTACAACTAAAATGGCAGACCAAGAGGCAGTTAGGGCTGTCCTCAATTCCACAATCACAACATTGAAGTTCTCTTTCGACGGCCAGGAAGTTGCAAATAAAGCGTACTGCTCTCGAACGGTTGCCACACCACCACCCACTTTAGTATGGCCAGGCGCTCCAGCGGACCCTGTAAAGAAATATCTTCACGTCAACCTTGACCTTGACGCACCGTTCGCATCCTTCAACCTCCTCTCTCCGATACTGCATTTCCTGCAAGGGGACCTCACTGTTGGAAACAATGGCATCCTGGAGTCTTCGAGTCCACCCCTGACTTATTGGGCTAGACCAGGTCCACCACCAGGCGCCGCGCCGCATCGATATGTGAGCATTCTTTACGAGCAGCCTGAATCTTTCAATTCGGATCACAGCGTGGTTCCGGAAGGGGGAATGGCGAGGATGGCGAGGATGAAGTTTGATTTAGCTGCCTTTGAGAAGAAAGCTGGCCTTGGAAAACCGGTTGCCGGTGCTTACTTCACAAGCAATTGAGTCAGTCTCATCTGTAAGAAGCGAATTAATTCTTACAGACGTGCAGCTACGATATAATATATAAGAGTTGTAAAGTAGAACCTGTGTTAGTTACATTTTTGTTTCGGACTAGGTTGACAACCTTTTTTGGGCTAAGGTGCTTTCTCAAGCATGCGAGTAAGAGGGGTCAATAATCACAATTTCTTTGACCAAGTGCAGCTCTTGGAATATCTGATCGTGCGCACTGTTTCTTGCTATTCGGGGTTATCTGGAACATCGGCTGGATCCCACCAGAAGCTGAACTCGCTGGAGCTCTCAACACTTAAGCCTATCTGAACTTTCCAATATTGGCGAAGTTTTGGCAACATCTCCTCCATGCTATCACATGCGCTATTTATTTCCAGTTCATACTTATTGTTTTCGATCCAGACGTATTCAGCAACTAGCTCCGCGGCATCTGCCACTTCTCCACGTTGTGCATAATACAGCTCAACGTCTCCTTCTTTGGCGTACGGAAATCCCTCGAACGACACTCTTGTGAAATCTATAGCAATTTGCGAAAGATAGAGCTTCTTTAGGCGCGATGTAGTCACGTACTCTGTGAGATAGTCTAATGGATCGCCATAAATAAACCGACAATTTCTTATCGATAGTTCGTCCAACCTCACGGGAAGTCGAAAGCTGTTTGGATCACCGACTTGAAACTGGATGCAAAATCCGTCAATAGAGAGGCTGCGAATGGTTTGTGGCCACCGCAAGCATGGGTAGAGAGGTACATTGAAGAAATTCGCCCCATGCCGCGAACAAAAATCAGCATAGAGGGACAGCCTCTCCAGACATGGAAAATGCGCGCTGTCGAAGGATTCATGAAAATGTCTACCTATGATCTATGATTAACTTGTCCATTTTGTTTGGACTGTTGGTGATTCGCTTACCCCAAGGCCCATGAGAACGATTGCTGTGATCTATACTTATTTCGAGACTTGTCAACCCATAAAATATTCGAGATTTTCTCAATGTATTCCTCCAAGCAATGGCGGATGCTCCAAGGCTCAACCATATGTCGAAACTATCGTCAAACCCGAGAATATGGATTTTTCGCCTCGCAATATCCAAAGCAGATATAGTTATGCCTAGAATTGTGTCCATAAGAGCCTTTACTGGGTCAACCTGATCCAAAGGCTCCCATTGCTTATCTTCGAGAGGCAGCCGAATCTCGGAAAGATTTTGGAATCGGGAAAAGGCACGGCTAAGGTAGACAAGCCCAAAGCTGGAGATGAAAGAACACGCTCTTTCGATAGCTTGCGTCCGTTTACGAGCTAAAATGAGCCACCAGTACTCCGTCAAGTCACTGCTCATGAACTCTGCGATGTTCTCAAGAATCTCATCTTCACCGGGCACAACCAAATTAAAGCTCAACCTTACACATCGGACTTTGAATGCAAGGTCTGAAGCATTGGCAATGTATACGGCGCGCTGAAGCCCTTTGCAGCTTAGTTCTATGCAAATTGTTTCAAATGATCTTTTAAAGAACGAATCAAGCTTGAATGCGATTGTCCTACAAGAAAGACGAAGGTTTAAAACTCCACGGAGAAAGGCGTATCTGAAACGAGCCTCCACACTGTCATGCCGGGCAAGGAAGTATGCTATGTGTTCAATGATCTCGGCAGGTAACTGGTCCAGTCTTACCTAAGCAAACGATGTTAAGTTAACTCGTGAATTCAGATCGTAGACGAATATATCAAGCCGTTGGCCTGAAAGCAGCTTTCCATGTCTTACGGAAAGCTGTTTGAAAGGAAGATAAAAGAAAACACGCTCTTCATCCTTAACGTTTGATTTAGAATTCATCAAGACTTACTCCAACCGATGCAAAAGCAGGAGTGCTCGAAATTCTCCGGCCACAATCTTCAACAAGCATGTTGTTATTTTCAGTAGCGTAACGGGATGAAATTGCCGGGATCCTCCATACGGCACATTGATAATCAGTGATTGCTATATGTGAAATATGTGGGGTGACGATCTCTTAAGTTAGGCGGACTCCTGAGTGACTCATAGCTTACTAAGCAAGTACACAAAAGTCCCCGGTGTTAGACGTCAATAGCGGTCGCCGGCATATGCGGAGTTGGAAACCATTCCATTAACTTCGCTTCCACCTTTGATTTCACACACAAACATATAGGAAGTAGATAGCCGTTGCTTCAGCGGCATTAACATTTTGTATTTACTTTTTGTAACAGAAATTCCCGAGCAAACGAGATTCTGCCTCAACATGCCCCCGCCACGGCTAGCGACTCAGCCTACTGTTGCGTCAAGTAGCACGACGACACTCGAACATTCAGGTACACTACCTCTTACCCAAACCAACGGCACGCTAGTTTTGCGTGCAGAACCAGCAGAGGAGCGGCATATACAATGGGCGGAAGACGTGGTTGACAATGAAGGCATGGGCAAGAAGTCCTCTAAAGGTAGGTTGTAATCTCACATTCTTCGAATTTTTTTTAGTGGTATCTCCCAGTACTGAAACAGATCCCTCTAGTGTGCTGTATATACCACCGTCCGCACTCTGTGGACGAGTCCTCTGACGACGAGTCCAGCAGCGACGATTCGAGCTCAAGTGATGGTGATAGCGACAGCGAGGTTGACGATGGAAGGGCGAGGATGATCGGCGGTAATAGGAGAGGGAGAGAAAGGAGACGTCATGGGCATCACGACCACAATCATGAACACAGCCATGACCATGACCACGACCAAAAAAGTCCTGGTGACAAAGGAAGTAAAGGAAAGGCCAAGGACAGAAAGCCGAGTCCAAATGCTTACGAGAAACAACCCAAGTACGTGAAGAAACCCGCAAGTGGCAGTGAAAACCGTTCATAGCAACAGTTTGATACTGTCCTATGGTTTTGATTACACAATTAGAAGATTAAGCGCATAGCGAGGCGTCCTTCATAGTAGGACTTCGTAGGCTTCTGATATTTTAGAAAATGATACCCAGTGCTTGATGAAAAAGACGATGGCAAGCATTGGACTGCCCTTCCACCACCTTCCTCGAGTCCCATCTGAAGTCCAACTTTATCGATGGCCAATAAACGAGAATAAATAGTGAACCAAAGAGCAAAGACATTGTTTCTACACAGGGAATTTACGAGAGTTGAATGTGCCATTTTCCTGCCCTCCAAATGTTTCGCATAGTTTTCATGTTTTGGTGTATAGGTTCATCTCAAAGCCGAAGACAATAGGGAACTCTCCAATTTCTCTAAATACTTACAGCTCGACAGTGTAACAAGTACTGAATGTCAAATTACACTTTTTCCCTTTCTTTCTAAAGAAAAGAATCGGACATCAGATCGGTTTCGGAGCGTGCATACTTGAAACTAAGCTCGAGAAACTAGCCCCTAAGGTGCAAGATGTGCTCCTGTTCGTTAGCAATAAGAAGGTGCGATGGGCCATGAATGTTGAGTACACAGTGACATGAAACATACGCTGATCCAAAATGGCACGATCTTTCCGACTGCCAACCGGGAGTGTTGACCTAACAGTGTAATGTTTTCAGCAGAGCTGCAGCAATACATCGACCCGACAATTAATTGTTTTGTGAATAAACTGTTCCATTGCTATTGCTACCCAGATCTGCCTCGTACATGTTCATCAGCAATGTCGAGTTATCACAATTCCTGCGGATAATAAATCTGTACACTGCAACGATATGCTCATGTTTATAGATCCTTTCGAATTATCCAAAGTACGGCCGTTATCTATACTCAGCTCGTCACAGGTGAATAACATTCTTTACTGAAACCTTGTTTGGAGTCACATTGTATCAGCCAAACTGCAAGCTTTTTTTGGCTTTATTTACAGCGACATTTTTCTTTTCTTTTTTTTGGTGTTTCGAAAGGACGAAGGCAACCTTTCCATGCACCTGGACATTGAACACATTGTGAATTGCATTAATATCCACGAATGTCGCCAAGATTCAAGTCTTTCGAGTTCTTACATTCTTACGACCTGAAGCATACACTAAATTCTTCTGGTGCATCTCAGGACTGTGAGGTATTAGTAGACCAAATCTGCTAGTATACTCTTCATTTTCATTGAAATCTTTTATTCTTTACTTAAAAAAAAAGTGTGCTACTGAGACTTGTTGCCTTCGAAGCAGAATAAAAAACGTCCTGGTTTTACAATACAATGAAGCTGGCACTCATTCGGAATCTCTCTCTAGAGCTCATACCCAGCAATGAAGTGCCGTGGTGAAAACACTCCCAACGTAAAGCCTAGAAAACGGTATCTGACGGTGCTAGTCTCGAGGTAGGTAGCTTCGCATTATGCCCTGCAAACTGTTTACGACTTGTTCGAGTCTGGAGCATTTGAGTTTATTAGTTTGTCTTCTAGCATTTCTCAAGAGTATCCGGTTCGTTAGGACGGGGGTTCATGCTATAGAACTGGGGCTCTGCGCCTTGCGGGCTATCGAAATCCTATTCATTCGAATGTTCAGAAAAGTTTGGATACAATGGGAAGATGGTAACACAGATCTTTCATTATGGCGTGAAGCCTTACGAGCAAGTATTTTGTGCGCGGTACTGTGTAGGCAAAGGATCAAAAGAGAAAATTCAGTCAATTCGTTGATGTAAATTCATGTAAAGATTGTTTTACTTCGTTTTCGGCCGTCATTCAATCAGTCTCTCAGAAAGATCATTTTCATTTTCATTTTCAGTTTTTTCTTTTTACAACCTGTGTAAGCCAACAATTTCACGTGGTGCGTGGTACTCGGGAACTTTCATGTCCAATGCTGAACCACTGTATCCAAGATCTTCGGCAACCAAGACAGCGCATTTCTCGCCAATTAGGAGAGCTGTGGAGTAGGTATTGCAACCCACATTGTCTGGACACTAGAGCAGGTGTAAGCCATGGTCAATCTTAGTGACCGATCACATTACTTACGATAGACAAATCCGCAACCTTCAGGTTCTTCACGTCGTGGACGTTCAGGCGCTCATCAACAACGCCATGCTTCACAATGCTGTTACCTTCCTTGGGAGCCATAGAACACGTTCCAAGGCTGTGCCATGTGGTTTCGACGTGACGCTGAGAGGAATTAGTTTCAAGGGAAAGCCGTGCAAAGGTAGTACTTACCTTGACCCATTCTTCAATAGCCTTGATATCATCTTCGGAATATTCCAAATCCTGGTAGACTGCCTGTTGATTACTGGTAACGAAGTTGGGCTCAGGGGGTTTTCCGGCTTCTATTGGCAGACTCCAGCTTCCGTGCTGAATTCCTGCAGTGATATGATCAGGCCCGGCGTAAGCCTTTGTCGTAGCCAGATCCAGGTCTTTAGCTCGCGCTGGTGAGTCAAACTTGTAGAAAGGATGCATCGCTTGTACCTCTCCAGCATAGGCTTCCATGCGACGAGCGGTCTCACGAGACTTGATGTAGCCCCAAACCATTGGAGCCATGTCGCGCTTATCATTCATAAACCCGGCATCGAAGTCAGGTGCATCGTATGGGTTGGGAGAGGTGATATGAGTGAAACCGCGGCTGAACGGGTATTCAAGGAAATGGAACATTGTGAAGAACTTGCCTGGTGGCATGAGCATGTGATCACCAAACCAGCCAGCAATCACAGAATAATGCATGACAGGCTTGTCAGGCTTGTTCTTGAAGTAGCTGTTCCAGCCCTCGCGGAACTCCGGACATGGCCATTTATCCATTTTCTTCAGCTCTTCCTCCGTGGGTCGAATTTTGACACCAGCCTCGATACCATTGGTGGAAAGTGGGCCAGTTCCATTGATATTCCATTGCTCGAACACACGTCTTTGAACTTCCTTATCTCCGCGAGCAAAATCATCAAAAGATTCTACATCCGGCTTCGCGCGATAAACAGCGAAGGTCAGATCTTGCCATGATTAGTAAAATTATATGTTCTGTGAAAAGAAATGCACACATACAGTGGTCCTGGAAGTTTAAGCCAACACCAGGAAGGTTTACTAGTGGTTCTACACCAGCTTTACGCAATTTTTCCGGGTCTCCTATGCCTGAACGTTGTAGAATTAGAGGTGAACTTAGAGTCCCTCCACTGACTACAATTTGCTTCCTCGCTCTGAAAATTCTGGGCTTCACTTGTCCCGGTGAAAGTGGCTTAGTGGGCACAGTCTGAACACCAACCGCAACACCGTTCTCGATGATAACTTTGTCAACCTTCGTGTTGCACACAAGATGTAGATTGGAGTAGTGTTCCCGAGTACTATGAATGTACGCGTGTGCAGAGTCGGAACGACGGCCTGTGTCTCTGTTGATCCACTTGAGCCAGTGCTCAGCACCATGACCAGTAACTAAATCTTGAAGATCATCGGTCGTAGGAATACCTTGGGACTCGGACGCTCGAAGGAAGTCCTGTGCGATCGGATACGTGTAGTTGCCAAAGGAAACCTTGATGGGACCCTCGAAGCCGTGAATATCTCGGTTGTTACAAGCACGTTGATACGTCTCATGCTTCTTCATTAACGGGATAAGTTCTTTCGTCGTCCAACCCTTTGCCTGAAAGTCATCATAATCAGATGCAGATGCTCGTGTATACCTGTAGGCTATTTAGAAATGCGGAAAATCAGTCGAGAATCCCGATTGCAGAAGCGTACATCATGAAGTTGATGCTCGAACCTCCGCCAAGCACATGAGCACATGGTACCACGGCACTTCGACCGGCAAGCCATTTGGAAGGTCGGGAATAGTAGAACGACGCAGTCTTGCTGTCAAGCTTCATATTACGAGGATAGATACCAGGGCGATATACCCAGGGATTATTGAGATTGTTTTCTCCAGCTTCAATGAGAAGGACTTGCAAGTTGTGATCTAGATTGGCTAGGCGTCCAGCAACAACGCAGCTAGACATATCGTTATCAGAAAAAAGTCCCGTTTTTCAGACATTCACATACCCTGCGGAACCACCGCCGCAAACGATGATATCAACTTCATCTGGAATCGTCATGATGACTGAATGTTACACGGTTATCGGTATTGATGACTGTGGATGGACAAATGTTGAAGAAGAGTCCGTGATTTGATGTCTAAATGTTGCCTAACAGCAAAGGGAGTCAAGTACATATAGATCTAACGACCGCCCCAGCATTTTGCGACACTAAGCTCGCTCGGAAGGAAGATTTCCCATTTCAGAGAATGCTCGTGGTCTTGTGATTTGACCAGCTTTGTAAAGTGATCTGCCGAAGAACTAAGAATTCAGACCTACAGTTCTAGAGCGAAGAATAGTTCGTATTTCCCCTCTCCATGGAGTGAGATACTAATGCATGAGGTGCACGGCATCGTACGATATTGCGTAGACCTGCAGAACAAACGTTCTAGGATTCTCCTCTCGCTGTGCGCGGCATCGACGATGGGTTGTTCTTGGGAAGCACCGGCTCCATGATCGGTGAACTATGCTTTGGAGCGCAGAGTAGTACTTTGAAACCTCGCCATTGGCCTCATTCCTCCAACAGTGCAAAACATCACAAGCAAGATGCTAAAATGTTTCAATCCACGCTCTTTACAATAAGATTGTAGGATCCAGGAAGTCCCACTTGAAGGTAATCAATAGGAAAAGCCAGACCCTGATAACTTGCAGCAGCTAGTCCACCAGATATTGCATTTTGTTTTGAGGACTTGACTAGGCTGTCCTGTCTGACTGTGGAGACATCAATGTATGTTGCGGGGAACCCAGCTTCGGACGCTGCGGAAAGTCACGCAAATCCCTATAGTCAGCCTCGTGTGAAGAAGTACGACAAGCATTGGCGTGGGATACTAAATCCTGAAATCGTTATATCCGTGGTGGAGTTTTCTGGTCCCAGTGCAAGGGCAACGTCCGGGTTCTCCGCAAACAAGTGTCAGGGTAGGTCAGCCGTTTGATAACTGCCGTTCATCTGTAAGGTTGGGCCCCTTGGCGGTACAGGCTTATCCGCTCTTTCGGAAATATTCGCAGAAAAGAGCCCCGAGATTCCTGAAATGCGTAGGATTGAATCAAAGAGGTGCATACGTGTCGTGCTTAGAAATTGGAATTTGTGGTACTGACAGGCGTGGTTCACATACCAGCACGCCGTCTTCCTATCGTGTGAGAACTTCATACTCAAGGACCTCTTATCTTGAGCCTAGGCTGTTATTCGACTGTGTAATTTTAGTTTCAAGGGAATTCATTTCAAACTAATTTACAACAGGCATCGAATTTGTATGAAAGGTAACCAAGATGGGTCTGTGTCAAACATTATGACGCTGCTAAACTGGAATATCTTCTGCCTTCGAAGTGTCGTGAATAGCTTAAACTAAAACAGATAAGAGTCGATGCCAATTGGATAGAAAATCGTCTATGATGAAATTAAGTCATCGAAATCATTATTGATGACTTCTATGCACGTAATCAATCCGACGTCAGGTCGACAATACCCTCCTTCTCTTCCTCTTCGTCGTCGTCCTTGTCAGCTTCTCGATCTGCCTCTAGTGCAGGCATGGATACAAAAACAGGAAGGCTAGTGTAATCAAGCACTGTTAAGAAACTGCTCCAGGCTAGACCGTCTATGAGACATGCCGACGTATTGGAAAAGTCTGTCGTGCGAACAAAATATTGATGTTTCATATGTCCATGCTCTTCCTTTGTAGTAACTAGCCTGAAGAAGGGCTTCAAAGCTGGAGGAATGAGGTGATCCCACCAGCGCAAATAGCGCTTAAATCCTTCTACAAAACTCCTAGAGGCACCGCAATCACGGAAAATTTTCTCGCAACGTCGGGCATCGTCCCGTAGTCTTTGCCAGGTGAGTTCTGTGGCGGGAAGTTTAAGCTCACCGCTGAGTAGTCTATCAAAAGTCTTACCCATTATCCTTACCGCGTCACAATCTTTAAAAGTTCCGTAAACATATTTCGACAAAAATTCCTCTCTAGCGCGGTCATCTCGCCTAAGCGAGGACATTAAATCTCGAGTTGGCGGATGTGCTTTGAGTTCCGCGGATAGCCTTGCGATGTCGTCTTCCTTGAACATTTTTGCGCCCTGAAAGACAGGCAAATTCGCAAACGCGAATTCTAGTCCAGCTGACCAAGATTCCGGCAGTAGAATGTGGGGATATTTCCAGTGCAACTCGTTGACTCTGTACTTTCTGGTTGCCTCAGTCTTCGACTATTGTGTATGTGTAAACTTCAGTCATCAGGCAAATTTTGAAGATTACACATACAATCTTTTTACCAAATTCTACATCATCGCACTTCTTACAACACCACATGTGCATATTGAAGATCGCGCGTCTCTTGCTGCTCTTCCCGCAAAACAAGCAGGTCTCAACACTCCACTTGAGATACTGCATTCTATAACTTCGCAAATTCTTCGCAGTGGGATATTCTCCCTTCGCTGCTGCCTCAGCAACACCTTTACTCCAGTCTAGCCAGGTGGGCTTCAAGATTCGAGCTGATTTGAGAGTCATTCGCTTCAACAACAGATGCTGGCAAAAATCTTCCACAGTGAATCGTAAAGATCGACATTGTGCCGCTAAACATAGATACGGATGATTTGAAACAAATGTCCCAAGCGTAAGACTCCTTAGGCGGTAGGCTTCAGTATCTTGAAGTTCACTTATACTCTGAGGAGCACGTGCGATGTCATGAGATACTAGCGGACAAATCAGTTGAGAGAGGATGTGAAAGAGAATGTCCTGTGGCAGGTCGTGCAGTGAGGTCATTTTCAAAAGATTATCCAGTTTATTGAAGAACAACTAGCGACTCTCCATGAATTAAGTAAGGTGATTATCAGAGAATGAAACGATCAAGTGTACGCTAGTCCAAAGAATGAAGATATATGAGCAACGCACAGACCGAGTGCTTCCTGCTGATACATGAGTCGAGGGTTAGGGAGGTTAAGAAGCCACAAAAGCCAGGTTGAGAGAAAATAAAATTCATTCGATTGTATAAGGCTTCCATGTACAAGATTCTAATGCCTAACTTATCTTGATAAATATCAACTGAGTTTTGCTTCTCAATGGGATATACTTCAACACTAGACCCTCGGCTTTGCTCTATTAAGCGACCATCTACGCGACACATATAATGATATGTATTGAAAGTATTCGCGCTCTTTAAAACCGCCTAAAATGTAATTCATACCAAACGCAGTCGAGTATTTCAGCGTTGTGGGTGTGGTGAAGGAGTGAAGCTGAGCTTCACGTGCTGCGCGATCCTGGTCATGACTCGTGCAGATCCTGTGTTTTCATGTATCACCAAACATAAACCGTGCTACCCAGCAACGAAACCTACTCACGATTCGGAACGTTCGCGAGCGGCTCATGATCCATAAAATGTCCAGATAGGAGCTTTAGAACTTAAACATTCAATCGTTTATTCATTCATCAACCATGGCGACCACGGCAGCGAAAAGACCACGTCCGTACCGGGAGTTCCTCACACCAGCACTGCATCGACAGTTCACACGAGCGGGAGGCCTCACATTAGCGGTCTGTTTTGGTGAGGCAGTATATATGGGACAATGGGATCGTATGTCGTCTCATTCTCTTCGACTATGATGAGGAGCTAATGTTTTCTAGTCTTCTGGAAGTGGTTTCCAATCGGCCCAGCCGGCGCTCGCACTTTACTGTTGGCAATTAGTGTGTTATTGGTGATGATAATAAGGGTATCGCGGCTACATGGTAAGGCTCTATTGTTAGATGATGAAAGCGAGCAATATTTGCTAACTCAGAGTAGTTGGCCGTAGAACAACTATTTCATCCTTCGCCACGTTTAAATCACAGTTCGTCGCCGTCAATACGTATACCACATTTGCATGGTACATTGTATCTGCTCTGCTATTTGCAGAAGTATATGTTTGGGCACAGCCGTCAGACTCTGGCTTTGGCGTCATCAACCATGGGAGGGCCCATGAACGAGCACGATTAAATGAGCGTGCGATCGCCTTCAGAACGCTGTTTGTTATGTTAGGCATTCTACAGTCCCTCATTCACCTGTTCAGCGACCGCGACATGGTCCCATCGCCAACGCGTAAAGTCAAGATCGATCCCAAAGCTGCGGCCACAATCTCCGTGGCAGAGTCACCAATAATTCTCATCAAGGCCGCTATGCCAGGAGTCATTGGACGACTTGCTTGGATTTCCATCCTATTCCCAGTGCTCGGTTTCTTGGTTTATATTGCGACACCCCTGCGCAGTATTGCATGGCACTTTGCCTTCGATACACTACGATTTGTCTTCTTCCTTCCCGCCAAACAACGCTTTCAGCAAACGGGCTTCACACCTATTATCCCATTTTTCTGGGCTGTGGTGGAGCAGACAGCGCTGCTTGTGCTATTGTGGGAGATTGCAAATGCTGCGTTCAGTGCTTACATAGCTCAGCCTCCTCTAAAGAATGAACAACCTCTGACATCTGACAACAAGAAAGGAAAATCCGTGGATCCAAACGGTAGTTTGATTAGCGGATTGAAGAGCAAGAAAGAATTTGCAAAAGCAAGCGCCTTCTACGAGCTCCTACTCATCACAATCAAGTTTCCAGAGCGAAGAAAGAGCATCTACTCCGAACTAGACCGTGCAGGTGGTAACTCATGGACCCAAATCTCGCAATTATGTCTTAACCAAATTATCGGCATAACCAAACGTATTGACGCATTCAACAATCCTACAGCACCAACGCCGCCGCCACCAATTGAAATCAAAGAGAGGGCACCAATTGCTCCTCCATTGAAGACAGATAACATTTTCGCGGCGCAGCCGCTTTCAATGGGCACGCCTGCTCGTACAGGAGAATGGGCTAAGAGCGTAGCAGCGAAATACGGTAACTCCCCAGGCGCCGAGCCAGCAAAGGATATTGTGAAGTTTGCTAGCCGCAAGCTTCTTACTAATCAGCAAAGACAAGCTCTGGCCAAACAGCCTCAAGAACTAGAAAAACGAGTGGAAAACATGTGGGATGCTGTCCTGAAGTCTCCGATCGGCTGGCCGTTCAGACAGAGTTTTGAACGAAAGATCGCTGGAGTGGTGTGTGGTGTACCACACTCGCAGGCCGGTGTCATCGTAGATGCTATTGACGCGTTGACACGCCTTACCGTCGAGTCGTTAAAAGAAGATGTCTACGGGCAAGTTGCAAACGACGTTGCGGGTATAATCCGCACGTACATGAGGACCTTGAACGCAATTCATGAGTTCGTGCACACAACCCCACCACACTGGTCAGACGTGACCTTCACAGCAAAGCAGAGAGACCAAGTGAAAGATGTCAATGATGTGATTGACGCATTGACGGATGGTCTAAGCGCAATCCTTGGTGCATTTGGAGAGTATCTGCCCTCCATGGGGCTAGAAGGAAGTGAAATTAAGGAGATCAAGGCTCTTGTCGCGGAGCGGCAGAAAAAAGCTGCGGCTGTAGTATCTAAGGAAGGTAACAATAAAGGCACAAAAGAGATGGAGCAAGTGAGATGATTCAGGGCAGTTGCGGTTCTGCTCCTTGCGTGAATCTGAAGTAGGGAAGCAAGCATCAAGCGTTTGGCGTTATTGCAAGGCGGGTGGGACAAATGTATTGAATCAACAGTGTCTCTCAAACATTATAATCCGATCGGCACCGTTTGTCTTGTATTATTTGTCAAAAACTCCCATGTCGCTAGTCAACGAATGTCTGTGCCGAGCAAAAAGGAGGGTATCGAATGAGATGCGCCCCAACCAATTCCACAAAGAAGGAGAAAGCTCCGGACTGCATTGCGCACAAAATAACTCACTTACAATCAACATCATCATCAAAGCATCATACTCCTCCTTCGGCTTGCTCTCAGATCCGTTCCACTGTCTACAGCAGCATGATCTACCTCAGAAATTGTCCTTACGGTTCCGCTCACTGTTCTCTTGTGGCCGGCCGCAACACCGGTGCCAAATCGACTCGGCGCCTTTGCCGCATCTGTCAGGCTTTCCTTGGAAGGAGCACCGCTTAATGATGCGATCGAAGAATGCCGTCTTGACGTTCTTCCCGATTTACTATTATCCTCTGTGTCCGTGTTCCGGTCCGACGCCTGAGAGTTCGGGCGCGATGACGTTGCGGCAAGCGAGGAGGAACGTTGCGGAGATGAGGATGCGAAGTCGTAGATTGATGATGAACCTTTGTCTTTTCTTTCACCGCATCTTTCAGTGTCTAGGGCTCGCTGTAAGGTAGCAGTGGACCGTCGTCTCGATGCAGCATTTGTTCTGGACTCTTTTATCAACGCTGCGATAGCTTGAGAAGCTGCCGACGGCTGAGTAGGCTCTGTCTCTGCAACAGCTTTCATTGGCTCCCTAGAGGTCGTACTTTTCTTGCTAAGAGGACTTCCTGGTTCTACTCGTCCCTCTCCTCTCTCAGACTTGATCATGCTTGCTGAAGGCATTGTTTTCCATACGCTGCCCACGCCTTCTGATCCTTCCGTTTTTAAGCCCACAGGATCCTTTTTAACGATCATACCGCTGAGTGGCCTGCCGTCTTTGCCCACGGCGTCGAGTAGCTCCTTTGTCGGCCGTCGCATCTTTGCAGCCAAACTCGGCTCTGCGTAATTAACATGGGCACGGGCACGCCTTCCAGGACGTCCAGTCGCATCTGTCGAGGCCGACAGATCACTTGGGGGAGGGGTATCTCTTCCTCCCTGAGTTCGAGTGGAATCTTCTGTTGATGGTGCAGAGAACATATCTCCGACTGTGGCCGGCGTCTTTGGTGGTAGATCCATCTTTATTGATTCTTCTGGAGGACTAACTTCGGAGACCTGAGCTGCTTGAGATGCAGTATTCTGTGACGCAGTCGTAACAGGCATCGTTGTAGCAACTCTCGATTTGCGATCACGAGATGTACGCTGCTTCTGTTTTGCCTGTTCAACCATCTTTTTCAATGCCTCCTTCTCTTCGAGTATCGTTGGATTTTTAACAGTCTTTTTAGGAGACACCACAGGGTCCGTATTCACATTTCTCTCACCTAGTGCTTTTCGCTCAGCTAGCTTTGCTAGTGCCGGTCTTCCTAAGTCGCTCTTGAGTCCATCCGTAAGTGGCTCCGCACTGCTGTCTTTTTCTCTTAATTCGTCTGCCGAATTTGAAGTATTATTTGGTTTGCGACAGAACGTGAACTCCTCTGTGGGATTGCCGTCATCGTCCCGCAAAGCAAGCTTCCGTTTTGCCCCAGTTCTGGTTGGTGCTGTTTGCATCACTCTGACCTTGCTCTCCTCTCCGTTCTTGGCTTCCTCCTCTGATGGACTAAATACGGACATCCTTCGGATCGCAATCTTCGTGTTGCCATCTTTTTTCTTTCGTCTAGTCTCCAGATGGGGCGGGAATGAATCTAAATCCTCGTTTTCCTTCTTAGGCTCGACAGTAGAGAGGTTTTCGAACTTAATGGGCTCCTCGTCCCTAAAGTACGACACGGGAGGCGACCCTAATGCAGGGGAATCTGCACTGCCTTCGGCGAGAGCTTGTATCTCTTCCGCACTATTCTTGTCAGCACTTCGAGTTGTCAGACAGTTGGTATCACGCACTTGAGTGTTTGCCGAGGATACGATTTGTCTTCCATTATAGCTGGAAGCCTTCCATCTGTGCCGTCTAGTGGATCAGACAATCCCCTGCCCCAACCGACAGTCGGGAGGCGCAATGACAATGCCTCATTCTTCTTCTCTTTCTTTTCTCGAGAAATGCCAATGCCTGCAACCAATTGTGCAAGTACTTGTACCTGAGCCTCCAACTGATCCTTTACGACCCCCAATAGCCTTTTGCTTGGAACACCTTCGAGATCGTTACGCAGTTGTAGGATTTCATCTCTCAATTGTAGATTATCAGTAAGCAGACGTGATATTTCGGCTTCCAGGCAGCGTATGCGCACGGATTGTGCAGAGTTGTTTCTGTGTCCTTCAATCAGTTTCGCTCTTTTTATTGCAGGCCAAGGACGAACTTTGCAAGCTCTCGATTTTGTCTAATGAACCTTCGTTTTACTGCTCATTTAATTAGTGTGTTGCCTTCTAAAATTTAATTCAAGGCATACATACATGCATCGATCGATTCGCTCGCGCAAGGCGCTTCATTCAATCGCGCCATATGCGACGTATTTATTGTTGTATTTGGTGCTCCAAAAGACACTGATAATTGGAAGTCCTTCCTCCTTTTGATCGCATCAAAAACACGAAGGAAACTCAGATGATGCTACCATCTAGTGCGCGACACTTCATCTAAGAAAAGATGTCGTGTGTTGTACACCATGCCCAAAAAGTTGCGAAGTTCAACAGATAAACAAACCTCCAAAAGTAGTTTAGCGAGGGGGTGAAGTGTTCGCCAGGGTCCAGACAGGACAACATCTGATGTGCAGACGCGACATAACTCACGCGCGTAATAATCTTTAACTATCTAGGTCGCATACAATATACACGTTACAGGAAACAGCTGTAAAGGATGTCACTCAACCGGTCTATACCATCTCACCTCCGTGCTGGGTCGCTCAGCAACCCAGGATCTTCCACGGGTCAATCCTCAGCTCTCCAGGCGCGTATCAACGAAAAGAAGCAGGAGCTTGCAAGCTTGAAAGAGCTTCAGGCCCTCAGCAGCGGGCTTGCGGACCAAATGGAGCAACTAGAACAGAAGTTGGCTACATTAAGTGATGGAACTGAGGGTGAGAGCTCGCCAAGATATGTTCGATTGAGCAAGGACTAATATCTGCGTAGCTGTAGCAGTAGTACTGAGTAATTGGCACAATGTTTTAAGGGCTATTAATATGGCTAGTAGTATGTGCCGCATGCTAAAATATGCAATTGAGTACACTAATACAGGTACAGGCAAGTTACCGCAACCCAGGAATGACGACGCGTCGAAGACGGAACATCCGCTACCAGAGACACTTGTTAGAATACCTACACAACATGCGGGTCTGATACCACAGGAGTCCTCTGTTCGTGGCGATGGAGAGTGAGCACTACGAGCACAGGACTATTTGATGCACCTAATTCTTGGGACCGATATGCTCTGGCATCTATATTTGTTGTCACTGCATGCATTATTTGCACACAGAATCATTTGGCCGGAAGGCCACGCAATCCTGCACTACTTCTGAATGAGTGCATGTTATGAGAAGGGAAAGGATATAGATTGGTCTCTCGAGCCTTTATGATCAGTTTATCGCCAGGGGCGGAGGATCAGAAATCGCCCAGACTCAAAATCTCATACAGACGCGAAACGTCGAGGACTCGATGCGATTGTTTCTGCATGGTAAACGACGCAAGGAGCTGGTTTGATACGCAGTGGAACACGATCGGTGGTCTATAACGCGGTCTGTTTATGTCCTACTTCAATTCTCAAAAAGCGCTTCCCGCATAGTGTCCACGGCCAAACTCAAATGTCCAAATACCATGTACGAAATCAGAGAAGACCAAAAATATCATAATAAGCATCATAAACAGGACTAGAGGCTTCCAAGTTTGCTTTCCTGATAAAGCCTGAAGCAAATAGGCATGACATGAGATAAAATGTCAGACAGCTCACAATTTATATAGCTTAACAAGATAGATCAGCAAATCTACACATCTTGGCAGTATATGCAGGTCGAAGACCACTTCACTTTTAGTCCCATTTATTTATTGCTCGTCAAGCAATTTCCTCTGAATCTGTAAGACGAACAATGCTGACAACACGCACCTCGCCTTTGATATAGATAAAATCCAGTGCCAATAGCTCGCGCAAGTAACGAATTGATTGTTCAAGAAGGTTAATCGCATAGCTGAGTAGCTAGTATGGATGAATAATAATTGCTAGACAAATTTTGTTACTAGTTTAGCGAAGGCCCCAAAATGTCACCAAGAACTTTGCCAACGAGTCATATTTGCAGCGAACGGAGCATATTGGCATATAGTCTATGACATAATAGCTTTAGCAAGCAATCCGTTTCCACCCTGAACATAGGTCCATTGGCTTGACTTACCACGGTGTCCGTAAATTTTTTTTCTCTCTATTGAATCCATCTGAAGGAGGTTAGTCTCAAATTTTCGGATGAGACTTTCTGTTAAAAAGAGTGAAAAAGAGGAAAATTTGACCGTTATCTGGAAATAAGGCCTACGGTGTGCTTGTCTAAGGTCCAAAAATCCAACTTTCAATCGTTTGATAATCAGCAATTGATTTGTGAACTAGCAACAATGAATGAGGATTTCACACTTTGCTTACAAAATGAAGATGTTGTCATCAAAATCATACTACAGCTCGATGTCAACATCAGAATATCCATCGTCTTTGCTAATCAAGTAGGCGAGGAATGGCAATTATTTAGCCAAAGGTGCAACGCCTCTAGCATCCTGCGTTAATTCTCAACATATTTACACTGGCCTTTAGAGTGCACTCAGAATAAGTGTTACATGTCTAATAGTCCGCGAGACCACAACCTTCATGTTTCCACCTGAGCGCACCTTAAGAGAATGTGACTGACTGTACTTGAGCTATAATGATGTGTCTGATTGATTTAATGCACGTATACAAGTATATTTAAAACTAGCGGCGGTGGCGAAACGCGAAGAGTTTATGAACACGTGTCAAAACAGTAAACCATGCCAAAATGCCATACACTAGTGGATTGCGATTAGCAGGCTATGATAGCACAACGGCGAGTATGACCACGGTGAGGACTACAGCTAAGATAAGCAGTAAACAGCACATCTTGTTTCGAGCGTTTCTTTGATGTCTGCTCGCTGTCCTAAGCTCCATGTCGGCTCCTCTAGTATCGTCTCGAACACCTTCCACGTTCTCTGCAATAATGTCTAGCTGCGCGCCTTGTTCATGCACCATATGCGCTACGTCTCTAAATAATTCATTCAGTTCACCCACGGACTGCTCTATGTTCCGAATCTCGCTTTCACGTTCGATGATAAGTGATTCCTGGAAATCGACCTCGTCTTGGGAAGCTAGCCGAAGCTGTTCCTGTTGCAGCTTTTGACCGGCAGGACCGGTTGCACGGCCACCATCGTGTGAAGTGCCATCTTGTTCGAGCGCAGCACGGTTTGCGGCAGCAGCTTGTCTCTCTTTATCAAGTGCCGCACGTTGGAGGTCTTGAAACTCCTTGAGAGAGGCTTGGAATTCGCGATTCAACTTGGACTGCGTAAATCGCTGGCTGGGCTATTGTCACATCAGTCACTGTTGAGCCCGATTCCTCTGTGAATTGTCTGATACATACTCCAACGTCTTCCCACTGGATGAGCTTCTTCAGATCCTCTCCTGCCTGCTTGAAACCGCGGCCACCTTCTTCGATGAGATCTTTGACTCGTTCGCGCACTCGTTCAGTTTCGCGCCGTGTACCCAACAGTGCGATCTGGCTGGATAACCGCGATACATTGGATGTGAGTTCGAATAATCTATCCGAAAGTCGCTGCGAAAATTCGTTGAATTCCGGATCATCTTGATACTGAGGGTCATCGAAGCGGCTCCAGTTGGTTGGCTGCGATTCGAGCGCCGACGAGCGATCGTATGCCATTTTGTATTCTCAAAATAATCTACAGCACTATATTCGAAGAATGAGAGTTTAGAAAGGTGTAAGTCGGCGTCTGCGGTGCTGGAGTTTGTTTGTTTGACGTCTGCCTTCCGGAAGTCGGTAGAGGCAGTCGTCTGCGCGTGACATCACGCAGCCACCTGCCGCGCCTCATGTGTAGGAGCTTCGTCGCATGTTTATCAAGGTTCACTTCTCAACCTCATAGCTCTGTAGTACGAAACTCAAATTCCGCCTTATTGACGACATCGATATTGCTCAATATTTCATCCTAGATTTACGCAGAACGTTGCGACATGTTTTTCTACTTCTGGTATTCCGCAGCTAGCATTGCTAATGAAATGTAAATAGCTCCCAGTCTGGATAGTCAGGAGTGCAGTTTAGGCATAGGCATAGCTGTATGCACAAACTTTCATGCTAGACATGCTTTACCAGAGGCTTTTTACAGTAGTCTTACACGTCAGCTATTCTAAAAGAACCCAATATGTCCTTTGCCGCAGGATCTTGGTTGAAGGTATCGCTGCATCAACATAGAACGTCTCCACTGAAGGGCATTTGGCATTAATTTTCAACAAGTAGAGGATCTCCGCGAAGCATTTCACTAGGCGGTAGCCAAAAGCCGTGCGCATTCCAACTAGGAAACAACTTCAATGCACTTCCGTCAGCTGCACGTTAGATTCACGTTTCAGGGACTGAACGCCGAAGTTTGTTCTGGTCAGTGATTGGTAAGTTTGTATGATAATTAAATCTAGAGACTGCTGGCAACTTCGAGGCTCTTTCATAAGCATAGAATGATCCCGCAAATCCAGATGTTGTCTACAACAGTTAGACTCTAACGTCACCACGACTCGATATTCGACCGAAGAACCGGAAATTTCGTAGTTAACAAGGAAATTTATGTGAGGACATTTTGAGATCCAGCAAGAGACCAGATTCGCATGAATCGAAATGCCCGGGAGTATTTTCTGGCTGACTTGAAATTTGAAGAGAACGAAATTGGCTGGAAGTACAATGAATATCTCATCAAATGCCTACAAACAAAACCGAAGCGACAAGATGATCTGAAACTGCTATCGGCCGTGGCACGTGACCGATTTTACGGTTGTTTGACATAGCTGATTACAAGTATGGAGTGAGGAAGCCTAATCAGATTCGTTAGGGCACAAGTTAAAGGCCGAATCACTAGACCGCCGTACTGAAATATGATGCATGCGGTCTTCGTGATGGCGAACTTTTTGGCATATTTGCATATTGATTCGCGGGGGGGAATATCCCGTAGCCAAAGGTTTCCGAGACGCGCCGTGGGTACAGCGCTCAGATTACCGTGCTCTTGTCGGCAGAGACAGAATCCATTCATACTGGCCGCAATTTCCATGTCTCACAGACCGTAAGGGAGAACAACAATGGAGTATGACAGAAAGCTAACTCATTGCTCCGAAACTACCTAAACTCCTCTTGAAACGCTTCAAAACTACTAGTATCTCCCTGGAAAAGGAACCGTTCACTCCTTCTCGCAAGTTCGAGAACAATTCTAGATTATACAAACGCGCGATTCGTGAAATTCGTTATCGAAGGTTGAAAGCCTCATTGGAGACGGTTCGCAGGGAGGGCTTCATGGCAAACGAAATAGCCATTCATTTCTTCTTCCCGTCACCAGCAGCAGCTGCGGCTGCCTTTCTGGCATCGGCTGTCCGAGTTTAGCTTATATCTTAGAAATTGTCGCGACTATTTACTTACCTGCAGCCTGCTTCGCTCTCATGATTGCCGCCGCGGTTTCTTTCTGCCTCGCTTGCTCGGTGCCGGAAGCCTAGATGACTTCGTGAGCCATCATCCAAAACAACTAGCTCTCAAAATACATACAGTGGTCTTCTTAGGCTGTGAACGAGTCAGGGCTAGTCTCATATCATATTGGGGGTGCGGTGCAAGCCTACCTTGTTTGCGGCCTTCTCCAGGTTCTTCTTCCTCGCCAACTCACGTTGGTTGCCGCGAGACATCTTGGTTCTGAGATTAGCTTTACTGCGAGTTCACGAGTTACAGTGTCAGAGCTTGGGGCTCAAAATAGTCAGGACTTGCGACGGCGTTGCACGATGATCAGTGGCAGAGTCTTGTGCGGTGGAAGATGCCCTGAAGTGGCGCATTTATTTTGGTTTAGCGCCGTGACGATGGCGCGAACCTCAGCATCGATCACAAGTCCTCGTCCGAGGTCACGAGAATAGTAAAACTGCAACCATACCAGCATTCAACAGACCGTTGAGGAAATGAGCTTTTCTATACCGCGCGCTCCGAATAAATGCGTGAAAAATAACCGCCAAATAATTTCGCCGACTGTGGACTGACAGATGCCTTGGGCACGTCCTTCAGAAATGGCACGAGCCGCTCGGGCCTGTTTCATGAAACTCTGAAACAACACTGGACCCAGGCGTGCTGGACGCGTTCAGCCAATCCCTCGCCTCATGCGCAGATCCCATCGAACGCTTCATGCTTCCGGCCCGCTTTATTCGCTCCATGCAGTTGCCTGGAGAGCATCATCCATAGGACAACGCCGGGCCTGAAGGACAGCCCGGGTTCAGCGATTCCAGCAGATCTATCTTACTCGAACGACATCCACCTTTCTAGGCGGCTTTTCACTCGCGCTTGGCGAGTCCTGAGGAAACGGAGCTAGCTACGGGACAACGGGATACCAGTCGATGCTGGAAAATGTCATGGTCTTTGGCGACTTTGCAACGCTTCCCGAACGAGAATTGGATATGTGACTTGGGCGTCTATCGTTCGATAGTAATAACATACGTCTCTCCCAACTCCTGCCTTATGCTGATTCGGGGTTTCTCTTCAAACACTCATGCGTGCTCTCTTTGCCTAAGTCTACTTCTTTTCTTCTTCTTCTCTTCCCCGCCACTCTCTCCACAATTTCGATCACATCCTTCAATTTTTCTTTGACAGAAAATTGCAATACCTCTCTTACCTTGGCGCTCCGCCCTTACTCCCTTGTAATATTGCCTTGCGACCCGTGGTATCCTGGCACAGCTTCTTCATCCTCGTTATAGCAAGCTTTTTTTAACGTTGATCACCACACGTGGCGCAGCGGCTGCAGCAGCCATCATCTCGACCCGCTCCAGGCTTTGCCTTCAGCAGCATTGCTAGTCAGTTGACCCTTGAGGCATTTCGTTAGGGTGATTGCACTGTTCGTTATAGTTAAAATGCGTGCGTTGGACACTTTTTTGCTGCCCTCTCTAGGGAACTTTTCACTCACTCACTTATAGTCAGTTTCCTCAATTTTCGGGCGTCGGAGAAGTCATCCGACATGCCTACCAGCAAGCGTCTGGCCGGCCCAGGCTTTATCATTCTAAATGTCTTGCGGGCGATGAACATTATTGGCTTGCTTGCCGTCTGCGTAGCTAGTTTCATTATGGTTATAAAGACGTTCACAGCTTCCAAGGTACACATCTTCACACTCCACAGAGGAATCACATAAAGCTAATAAAAGAAACAGTTCTTTTTCTTCGATGGCGCAACCCACATTATCACAGCTCTGTCGAGCATGTTCCTTGTTGTTTCTGAGTGTTCGCTCTTTAAGCGTTGGTACGAACGCAACTGGCCGGTCCTGAGCAATTCCCATGGCTTCAACTTCCTTGGTCTGGCCATGATTATCCTGGGTAACAATATCCTGGGAAACCTTAACAAGGAGGCCACGAGCCAGAAGTCTCTTGGTCTGCCATTCTGGCGAATCGTGATCGGTTCTGGCGTAATTGTCTTTTCCCTTGGCTTCATCAACATCATTGCCGTGAGTATATAGTGTCCCTGGTGACTTCTGCATCCTGTACTTACCAGTGCTAGTCGCTTGTTTTCCGCGACCGCAAGCTCAAAGTCACTGCGCGTCAGATCCGCTCGAAAGGTGCCGTCGCACTATCCGACGCTGAAGCCCGAATCGAAGCTGGCAAGCCAGGAAGCATAATGACTTCTTTTCCCAGTAGCTCGTATGCTCCATCAAGCAATTACTCTCAAGCGTCGCCAATAAAAGTCAAATCGCCTGTTCGCCGCTTTATGCATAACGCACGTCAATCAATTCTGCCTTCCTATCGTTCTGAAGTTCCACCGTATCCTCGATCGCCCCCAGGTGCTTACCCGGCGAGCCCAGTCAAAAGCCCGTCGCCTGCAGTGAAAGCTGTAAGCAAGAATGACGCCACTGGGACCTCACCCAAAAGCCCACGACCACCCATGGAAATCAGTGCACCCCTGAACGTGAACCCTCAGTTCGCACATCTGGTGCGGCCAAACATGGCGCATCATCCTTCACAAAGAAGACCTGATGGATCTTTTTGAAACACGAGATTCAAACACGACGGCGTTCGGAGTTCTTTGGTGGATGCTACATATATGATACCATCGTTGACAAACGTCTCTTTGTTAGCAAGCGTTGCTTTTTTGAATTCCTGGAAAGGACTTCTTTCACACCTGTCTTCGTTCTTAATGGCTACGATTACATGTCCATGCGGCCGAAAGACGATTCCAGAACTGCGTCGCCGGTTCACATACTCTCGTTGGAAAGAGGGATCAGGAAGAAACGCCGGGAAACATTCTCCTCACTAGCTACAGTTCGTCTGTTAAGATAATCATACCGCTGTTAATACCTGATTGACACGTTGACACGAATTTTTTTTTTTTTTTTGAGACGAACTCATTCCCTCATCTCTTCGACATGATTTGTAGTTGACGCAGCACACGGTGCTCACATTGCCCAGACCAATTGCTTGGCTATGCAAACCGTCTACCTCCCAGACTACGTGACTGTGTAACACGAGGGTTGATCAGTAAAAAAAAAAATAAAAATAAAAAATTACTGCCTCTGGCGGGCGGCGAGATGAGACACGAAGACGAAGATAGGATCGGCGATGGAAAATGTGTAGGAAACGGTTGAATTTTACAGTCACGTTTGCGTGAGTAAGTGCCCGGATGCTTCGATTTACATACACACAAAAGATGGCTTGGGGGGGAGTGGTTGTGCTGAAAAAGACAAAACCGAACGACGACAGCCAAAATTTTTGATCCTCCCGTCTAGAACCTCGACTCGACCTTGACCTCGGTGTCCTGCAGAGCCCAGTCGCTGCGAGCCTTCTTACTCCGGACAGAGTCAGCCTGTGCCTTGGTGAAGCCCTTGGCCTGGGTGGCCGGGTTGTAGCCGAGGCCGGTGATCTTGGCGACCTCTGCGTCGCTGACGACGGGGGCGACGCGGCCGTCGGGGCGCTTGTAGACGGTGCAGACGACGGCACCGCCGAGGCCCAGGTTGTGCTGCAGAGCGGCGTCGGTGTTGGGCATGGCGCGGTTGTTGGCCCAGCCACGCAGGTGCCAGACGAGCTCGGCACACTGGGCGAGACCGGTGGCACCGAGTGGGTGACCCTTGGAGATGAGACCGCCGGATGGGTTGATGACGCATTGACCGCCGTAGGTGATGCCGCCGGCGCGGACAAGCTCGTGGGCCTTGCCTGGGTCGGAGATGCCGAGAGCGTCGATGGTGACCATTTCGTTTGCGGAGAAGCAGTCGTGAAGTTCGACGACCTTGACGTCCTTTGGCTTGACGTTGGCCTCCTCGAGGGCAACCTTGGCAGCCTTCTTGCTCATGGAGTAGCCGACAAGCTCGATGGACGACTTGTTGAACAGGTTGGGAGAGTCGGTGGCGAGGCACTGGCCTGCGATCAGAATGGCCTGGCTCTTGAGGTGTGGTCGCTCGTCCAAGAACTTCTGGGAGACGAGCACGGCAGCGGCACCGCCGTCCGAGGTTGGGCAGCACTGCAGCTTGGTCAGAGGAGCGTGGATCATGGGCGACTTCATGATCTGCTCAAGTGTGTACTGATCCTGGAACTGGGAGTATGGGTTGTTTTTGCTGTGTGCGTGGTTGAGGCGGCCAATCTCGGCGAAATCCTCGAGCTTAGCACCGTACTTTTCCATGTACTCGCGGCCGGCGTTTCCGAACAGCTGAGCGGCACCTGGGGCGTTTGTTACGCCACGAGTCTCCTTCATGATGAGGTTGGTGGTCAGAGTTGGATTTGTTCGGTCCTGGAAGAAGGTCTGGAGAGAACCTGGGAACATCTTCTCGAAGCCAATGACCTGCGGATTTCGTTAGCCATAGTACGTGCAAAACGTCGAGCTCTGGTCTCTGTTTCATTTTATTTTGCTGGGTATACATACGAGCACACAGTCAGCTGCGCCGTGCGAAATCATGTTGCGGCCCATATAGAGACCGGTCGAACCGGTTGAGCAGTTGTTGTTCACATTGTAGATGGGGATCTGGGTCATGCCGAACTGATAGAAGACACGCTGGCCGCACGTCGAGTCGCCATAGCAGTAGCAAGCGATGCCTTGGTCCACGTCGTCGTAGTTAATCTTTGCATCAAGCATGGCCTTGATACCCGCCTCGAAACCCAGCTCGGTATAGTCGACCTTGCCGCGGGGCTTGATGAACTTGGTCATGCCCACGCCGAGCACGTAGCACGGCTCCGTACCCTTCTTGTTGACCATGTTTGACGATGTGGGTGGGATGTGAACAGGAAATTGAGGATTGGATGGTATGAGATTGTATGGAAGAGGGAGGAATATGCGGCGAGGTTAAGGATATGAAGTAGATCTCAAGCGGTTTAAGCTCGGGTAAGTGGCAATGCGCTTAAGTCGATGAAAAAGGCCAGGAGCCCAGACAAGACGCGCAGGCGACGACAAAATACCGAGCTTGCGGGTGGACGAGTACACGGGAAGCCAGACTACTGATCTGCAGCCCAGAGCCTATATGTGATTTGCCATTCATACAACTTTCGCCGCCGTCGCCGCGGGATCTTGTCTTAAGAGCTACGACTACGTGCTGTGTTGTAGCTCCTCGGCTGTACATTTTTTGGGGGGGGGCCTGCTGGAGCAACCAGCGCGTTTTGCGGGGTTGCTTATCCGGCACATGTGCCTGCGACAGATGTGGCGGCTTCGTAGCGAATTACCAGGAATTGCCGGCGCTGGGCCACGACGAACTGCTCAAGCGGCTCCAAGAACGTGACCTGATTCGAAAGGATCGATGTCAGATCGGAAATCGTCCGCCGCATGTTTAGTGGCTCGGCCTGTGTTATACGCACTCGACCCCCTATCGCTCAGCACTTTTCAGCATGATGCCCGTTCATGACAGCTCGGTATCTCACGCTTGTGAAAGATCCGCCGGACACATCAAGTTAGGTTATCGGGTTGGCAGCTGGTTCGGAGAGCGTCGACAACGGTCGACGGAGGCACAGATATTTGCAGGTTTCAGAGCAGAGAATCGAGACCAAGATAAGCGAAACTCGTTGGATGAGAATCTGACAGCGCAGCCTTTGTGCTCGATATTCACACGACGAAAGGATTTCTAGTGTGGCGTGCTCTGCCGATGAAATGATTTTATTCCTTCAATAGCTTTTGGATATACAAGTTTGTGCTCAGATCAGCCTTATGAGTAAGCTTTGAAGGGTGTGCTTGCTGCAGAACACGGTACACATGCATAAGGCATGGCAGGGTTAGCATATGTATCCCTTTCTACCATCAAAAGGAGGATCTTGACACGCCTAAAAATTTTCTTTCCCACGGGTCCTTTATAGTCCCTTATTTCCCCTAAGCCAGCGAATTCCCTTAGAGAAAAATCCTTCAGGATATACATAGTCGTACACAAAATAGGAATAACACCTCAAACTTTTAGTATTAAAAGATGAGGGGGAAAAAAACAGAATTCGCTCTTATCCAACAAAAAGCTCACAAAATCCTGACACGTGAACCTAGATGGAGGCGAAGCAGATCGGAGTCTCTTGACGGAAAAGAGAAAACGAGACTTTGTATGGATTTTTTTTTGTACTTTAAAGGCGCTCACGCATCGATCGAGCGAGGACACGGGCAGTGCTTATGGGTACGCCAGCGTTAACCCAAAGCTCGTCGGGAACGTCCTCGCCTCGGTTGAACCGCTCGCCAATGGTACGCCAGATCTCTTCGGTATCGCATCCGTTATCTTCGGGCACAGTGACGGTCGTGCCAGAGGAGAATGCGGAAGGTGCTCGAGACGAGCTGTTGCTACTTGAAAATGACCTCGAAGCTGCGTCCGAAGCAAATGAGGACGAGGCGGACGGCAAACGGTCGTCCGGGGCAATGGTGGCCAGCATGGTGTTCCAGCTCTCCTCCTCGGCTTCGTCTGGCTCGACACTGCGATTTCGATCACCAAGACCATCGTGGAAATCTTCGATTGCCTCTTCGACCGTGTAGGCTTCAATAACGGTGCGTTCTGGGCTGTGATCGTCGATATTGCCATCGCTCATGCGACGCAGTGTGCGTCGCTCCATTTCGGGGACGGATAAGCGAGACGAACTTGGTAGGGAAACTCGCGCAGTGCTGGACGACATGGTGTCTTGGATGGGCTGTGGCGAGCTGGTAAAGCGCCCCGGAACGCTTATAATATGCGGCACGGGTTCCGAGTCGTCACGCAATCTGGACAAGCTGATGAATGTAGTGGATACGTCGAGATCGTTGTATGGCAAGTGACGGTTGTAGAAGTCGGTATGAAGTCTATTGAGGCGTCGACGCTGCTCGTCTACCTGAAGGCCCTCAGCTTCGAGCCGCTGAATCTCCTGCCTCGCACGGAGCAGACGAGCCTGGTAACGGTTGATGGACCGCTCGTATTGAGATGTGATGGGCAAACCTGGGTTCGCCGCGGGTACATACGGCAGCCCGTAATCATTGGTGATGACGAGGGCAGGCGTCTGGTCTCTGCTCTCTGTTTCGCTTGCGATAGCATGTGCTTCGAGCAACTGCCTATGCTGGTTCCGCAGGTGAACTGCGCTCTCCTGTAGGTCGTTCAGCCGCGCATTGAGCGAGGACAGGGAGAGCGCGGAGGCGTGACTTGACAGCGAATCCAGCGTGGCGATTTGGCTCCTACTCCTCGCACCCGAATTCGTGGATGACTGCGAGTTGCGCGAGACGGGCAAGAATCTGTGCACGTTGTCGCGCCGGTTTGCGCGAGGTGGGATGCGTCGCCTGATCGCGCTGCGCGCGGCACCGACGTCACAAAGCGCAGCGGCGGCAGGTCGTGGTGAGGAGGGAGGCGAACGCCATATTCTGCGCGCAGAGAGGTCACCATCAACACGTTTGTTCGTTAGGACAGGTCGGCGCGCGCGCTGTCATGACAATGCACGCGCCAATCGGTTGCTTGGGGGGGGGGCTTCGCTTTGTGTGGTAGACTTACGGAAGGCCCATTTTCACTGGCACCCGCAGTGCAACGGTAACGGGCGAATATTAGCGAGAATAGAGTGGAGACGGCGAACGCGAAGCTGTCAAGCAGGCAGCACGAGCAAAGAAGGAAGAAAAAGATGATGCGTATGCGGGTTATGAGAATGGTGTGTCGATGCGGCGGCGGGCCTTGTTTGATGGAGGGCCTGGGGAACTGAGGCGAAGCGGTTTGCAGCAGCGCGTGCGGCGACGGCGAAGGGGGCAGGCGTGGATGCGCCGTTAAGGTTTCGCTAGCTCAAGTCAAGAGTCCACCGCGCCCCCAGCCCGCATCGGCCATCCAATCACGCCTCATCTTTCCCCTCGTCCGGCGATCGCCTGCAGCACCGCATGCGCGCTAACAGTCCTCGACTCTCCCCATACCGAATGAGTCAACCTGCGCTGGGTGAGGCCTCTTCCTCCGGCTTTGCAGAGCGATACCGAGAAGCAGACAGGTTTAGAGTGGGCTCAGGCCACAGCGCGTGCGGTGAGGATACTGCTGGACAGCGTAGTGCTGGCTAGATGGTTCCCGTAGGCTTCCGGTGACTCGTTCTATCCAAGAAAGAGTGACAAACAAGAAAAAATAAATAAAAAAGAGCCTGGAGTGCGGAGCGGGATATGATCCAGCTCGGCCTTCGCAGGGCTGCGCAGCTATTCAGAAACAATCCCCAGCCTTGGCGAGCCGTTCACGTAGCAGGCACCAATGGCAAAGGCACAGTCTGTGCCTATCTGTCGGCGTTGCTGCACAGCGCCGGCATCACCTGCGGTCGCTTCACGTCGCCACATCTAATCGACAAGTGAGTGTCGAAAGGCGCGTCTGTCTTGCGCGCGCCTTTGTTCATCCGACCCTGCGACCGCTGACTCCAGGACGCGACAGGTGGGACTGCATAACCATAAACGAGAAGCCCGTATCAGAAACCCTGTTCCGCGAGGTCGAGGCAAACGTGTTGCTACGAAACCGTGAGGAGAACATCGACGCGACTGAGTTCGAGGTGTTGACAGCTACGGCCTTTGACATTTTCACCCACGAGAATGTGGAGGTCGGTGTTGTCGAGGTTGGGATGGGCGGTCGAGATGATGCTACCAACGTCCTCAAGTCCAAATCTCTCACCATTATAACCCGTATCGGGCTCGACCATCAAGCTTTCCTTGGGAACACCGTCGAGGAAATCACCCGCCACAAATGCGGAATCTTTGTCAAGGATGTGCCTGTGATTTACAGTGCTGCCAACCCTCCTTCCGTGGTCGACGTCATCCAAGATGCAGCCTCCAACGTGGGAGCTGGTCAGCTGTGGGCCGTGGATGCTAATTCAGGACTGCCCACCATGGAAGGCGACAAGTGGCAGCAATTTCTTGAATCTATCGACGGGAGGGACCAGCAAAAGATCGCAGTTGGACAAGCCTGGCTCGCATACAGGTACTTATACTCCAAGCTCCGATCGGAAGACGAACACCCAGAACAAAACCAGCTTGTCATGAATCAAGCACGAGATGCAATCATGAACCTTCAGTGGCCCGGTCGCATGCAGTATCTGGACATTGAGGCCCTCGTTCCAGGAGCTGGTCAGATCCTTCTTGACGGCGCGCACAACGTTCAGGCTGCCGAGACACTTGCAAAAGTTGTAGATCACGAGTTACGAGTGCGCGACGGACAGGGCATCTCTTGGGTCATTGGATCTACACAAGGCAGAGATATCGCTGAGTATCTGCGGATCATTCTCCGCCCCGGTGACCAGATCGCATGTGTCGAATTCGGACCTGTAGATGGGATGCCATGGGTCAAGGCGCTATCCGCTGAAGACATTCAGAAAGCCGCTTTACAGACTCATCCTGATATCGAGGTAGAATGCTTTGGGAATGATATCACGAGAGCATTACAATGGGCGGTCGCATCCAAGAATCAGCTAGCTCGGCCTTCGGTCGTTACCGGCAGCCTTTATCTCGTCTCTGACCTGCTTCGGTTGCTACGTCAAGCTGGCAGTGACGAACATCTCCTCGGTCCCCAGCGTCACAATCAGGATGCTCATTAGATATTGGATGAAGTAGCGCCCTCACGTGGCTGATCAGACTTGAGAAGCATAGAAAAATAAATGTAATAGAGTGTGGTAACGAGTGAAAAATTGTCATTTTCTCTGTTAAAAATCCAATGCGCCCCAAAAAACGCTTGTAACGTTCTTTTGACGATGTGGCATTCATGTCGCGGCCTGGTAGAGCTACACGCAGAGTGTAAGTATGCGGGTGTGAGGGCGCACATGATCTTTGGTATATTCAATGACAAATGTAGAATGAAAAGAAGCAAAAGCTCTGCAAAATCCCGCCACCCAGATGTTCGCCCGTCCCAAGGACAGTTAGAGTTTCCCGAAAGGAGAGCGATTTTCGTTTCAACTCTCAAATGTGATCGTATATATCACCGGAAATTCACTCCGTCCTCTATGCAATGCTTCCCAGTACGTTCCCAGAACATTACTCGTATGCTGTTTTCGGTATCATAAATCATGGCGATGAAGCTCAGTCGTCTCGGTCACCCTTGTTTTCACTATGTTTACTCCGCTCGTCGCTCTTGTACTTTTCGAACAGTTCCTCCAGAGTTCCTTTGCTGACTACGCTTCCGATTTTGCTCCCGCCACCAACTTCGCGCTCGGTAATCAAACCTTTCAACCATTTATTCTCCATCTCGAGTTGCTGCACTTTCGTCTCGAGCATGGCAGCCTTCTCTGTCATCTCCTTGGCAGTTTTTTCAAGGGCCTGCTCGCGCTGCTTCTTCTTCACGCGGAAACGCGCGCTAGCGGCCGTATTCCGTCTGCGCTTATCCTCTTCAGCGGCTAGGCGTGCACTTTCATCGGCAGTCAGGGCCAATTTGCGTTTGTCTCCTACGCGGGGCCCTGCAACACCGGATGGGGACGTAGCCGATGATGGTGATGTGATTTGAGATTGTTGACCACTGGGAAGCGAGTAGTTCAAGCCATTTCCAGATACAGAAGGAGTATTTAGCGAGCCAAAGTTGTTTAGGTCGTCGAAAGTGAAGTTTGCTACGAGTATGCGTTAGCCATGATCCATGGCAGTTGTGGAGTTGCGGAACATGAACGGAACCAATGATGATAAATGTGATGGGCATGCATGTAACGCAAATTAATGTCCAACCTCTCAAATGCGGTGTTGTTTCGATCACGATGAGGAATCAGCCAAGTAAAATTGCGTGATGAGGAACGTGGGGTTGTTCTTGCATGGGTTTATGGTTGCCCCACCCATCATACAACACAAACTGACATGACGCTGTTCTGGGCTGCAAAGGACGACAGGAAAGCCAGTAAGCAGTAAGAAAGTCTTGTTTAGGAGATGTACAATGTGATAAGGGAAGGCGGGGTTGCAAAATGAGCTGTGTATGAAGGAAGGGGGTGACAACTGGCGACGTGATGCAACTGAGTAGGGAAAAGAGATGGGTGACAAAAACAGTGACAATAGTGGAAAAGAGACGAAGTAGATATCCAAGGCGTTTGAGAAACATTTCCAGTGGGCGGAATGAACGAGATCGAAGATGCAGGCAAGAAAAGGGGCTTGGGAAGACGTACTGTCCAAGAAACTCTGGCCCTCAGCTGAAGGCGCCTGCCAGTTTGCCGCACTCGACTTTGCGTTATTGGCGTCCACGTCAAAATCATGACCAGGCAGCGGGTTCAGCTCGCCCATGTCAAAGTCGAAGAAGTCGGTCGTCGCGAAAAGGTTGAGGTCATCGTTGACATTGAACAGGTCATCGGCCGGCTGCGAGTCAACCTGATTCAGATTTGCGATGAATTGCGACATGTTCGGGCCCTTTCTCGCAGAGTATGTTGACATATTTGCGACGAAACGACTACGATCGAATGATTTTAAACTTTATCGCACCGAAGGCTCGGTGGCCGTCAAAGGGAGGGTTTTCACTCGTAGGATTCTGTGAGCGCTTGGAAGTCCCGACTGGAGGATTCAAGACCGTGTAGTGACACAACGTGAAGGACCCGACGGCTAGACTAGTGCGAGACAAAATTTGCTGGTATGAGGGGAGAGGAAGTGCGACCACGGGGCTGTTAAGCGTGTCTCTCGACGAGAAAGGCCCGCAAGAGAGAATTTAGTGGTGCTGGAACCGTCAGGTACAGAGGGTGTATGACGAAGAGGTGATTCAAAGAGGCTCGAGAAGTTTGACGATCGGCGTGGGCTGAAGGATGCGCGGTGATGCCGAGTTCGGCTTGTCAACAGGCGCGCAGATGACTTCGGACCTGGCACGTTGATTTCCAATCCAAATGCCAGCCAGTGGGGGTTACACGGTGCCCGGTGCCTGGTAGCCGCGCTTGCAGAACCAAAATACTAATCCGTCACGGAGTTGCGAGCTTAGGAATCGAGCGGCTGAACAGACCGCGTACCGGTAGATTGAGTGAATCGAAGTTCAGGAAGGACCGGTTTGCACTGTGGCCTTTCCGCACTTCTGCGCACACGCATACACAGGACCGTAAAGTCTGCTCGAAACTTTAAGCGTTTCTCATCCGCTTGGGACGCAGAAGGGCTTCCCCGTCAAAGCCGATTCTTTGATCCGCAGCCAGATGCACCAATCGTGGCCCGCTTGCACGGAGGACGAAAATCTCATCGTTCCGGAGACAGCTCGGAACGGCTTTGGTCTTATGCTTGATTGGGTATTCGCATCCGATGCCCTGGCTGGACGCGTCCTGCGCCAAACACCAAGACACACAACAACACGCGGCTCGCTTCGAGGCTACAGTACGCCATCCTAACAATCGATACAAGAAACTGTCGGCATGGCTCCAAAGTCCAGAGGAGCCTTCACAGTGCCAACTACGAAGCCACTGTCGGATTCACTGCGCCTCCCCTCGAACAGCCCCAACGTCTGGAAGACGCTGTCGCGACTGTCGCGGCCTTCGTTGATAGCATTAGCCGCGCAGTGGTGCGAGAAGGACAATCTCAAGACATGCGGCCCATATATTCTAAGCAAAGGCGAGGAGGATGATCCCGAGGCTGCCTATGCCGCCGCAGAATCGCTCGCCGAAGTGAAGGCCTTATACACTGAAGATCTTCCATCGCGGAGGGGCAGCAAGCGCGAGGTCGTGGACAGGATACTGGAAGGAGACTGGCGGCATGGTATATCAATGAGGCAGCTGGCGATGGCAGAGACGCAGTACGTGCTGGACCACCAATCGGCAAATCGATGGACCGCCCTTTGTCTTGTTCCGCGCGGCGACGACGACGAAGGACGCGAAGAGAAAGTGCGACCGCATCTACCACGGCTGCACGCTGCCACCTTCTTGCGTAGCCTGCAAAACGAGATCTCACCCGTGGCAAAGGCGCACTTCCACCTCCATAGGCCAGACACACTGCCCGTCACCGTGCTAAGGATCTATTTGCATGACACGCCGTACAATACGACGACAGCACTTCGCACCGTGTCTACAAACGGCAGGTCCCGGAAAGCCGACCCTTCCGAGCCGCCAAAGTCCATTTTTGTTCTCTTTCCTTCCGGCACTCCGTACATATATGTCTCACTTGCATCCTCGGGGGCACACCTCACGGATCCTGAGTCAAAATCGCTGCAAAAGTTCGTTGTCGAAGCCATACCTAAGGCACTCTCAAGGCCCGGTAGGCGATTTGAGATACGCTCCACAGGGCTGATTGCACGATCGCTTACCGCGCTGCTTGCGCACAGAGGCGCAGAGGGGACAAATGCCGCCGCGGGTGGATGGTCCATCTTTGTGACGGACTCAAAAGGTCGGAACGCGCTCGACTTTACCGACGCGAGTGATGTCGCAAGCAGAGACGAAATCGAAGATGCAGAGGCGAACAAGGAGAATCCAGCGATCTTGCCGGGATTAAAAAAGCGAATCTTTTCACATAGCGACCCAACGAGTAACTTGGATGCTCGGGCGCGCAAGCGCCTCAAGCTGCTTGCCACCTCACGGTTTGGCAACTACGCGCTTCCAGAGGATGGGAAGAATCTACATAATTTTTCGGTACAGATAAAGGATTCCTTCGATCGACGTCCCGAGGCGCGAAAAATTTCTGAAGACAGAGTATTCGTAGATGACAATGACGGCGGAGTTCGGGAAGGAGGAAGTTTTAAGCCAGAGGTAAGGCTGACATTTCAGGGAGCCCACGTTTTTGCTGGTCTCAGAACCTTGGTTGAGAAGGGGGTAATTGATGGAGGGAGGATGCCCGGGTGGATGACAGGCGAGGCAGGGGTCAGTGTTGGTGTTGTGAAGGAAGGCCGCATTGAAGTGACGAGTTTGTGACAAGTGCGGCTCCTTGTTATGGATTGGAATCAGCACTGGAGCTCTTTGTTGGGCGTTTGATTACTATGAGATACCCCTTCGGGAACGGTCCGGGCATTGACGAATACGATAGCTATTATGATTATGAGGCTGTGATGATGAGCTCGATATTCTTCATCGCCTCTTTCGTTACGAAATGAAAGCGGGTCGAGGTGGCAGTTAGCCATTTGGAAAGCTTCTTGATTCCTCCCTTTTCGGCTTCTTTTGTTGAGCTCGGCAGATTGTGTGCTTGCATCAGTCCTGACCAGCCATCCGCGCTCAGCTTGTCTATCTCGAGCCATTCATTCGATGCACGAGATGCCTGTCAGCAGGACAACAACTCAAACCATAATTCCTCAGCATGCCCCAGAGCCGAACCTCTTTTGGGTTGTCGCAGGACCAACGAGTGCTCGGCACAGCGGTCCGTTTGTTTATGGGGCTCGAGAGAATACATTCGGTATTAAAAGAGGACCTCTTCGCAAACTCTCCTCGCGAAGAGAGTGTGAAGATCAACACTACAAAGGCAGTTCTCAGCTGAACACATCAAATATTACGGACTCAGCATTTGTAACGGCCAAGCTCTCGTCAGGACTTGAGATGTCTGATTTTGCTGAATGCGAACCTTTGCTCACCATAGTCGATACCCAGGCAATGCCACGAACAGGCGGAAAAGGGATGAGCGAATATCAACAATCGGCGTGATATATTTATCTCGAGTACTCCAGAGTCATCTTGCTTTATCATCGGAAGACTCCCATGTCGACTTTAAGGCCAGGTCCGACGAGATAACTTGTCAATTCGGACTGCCTCACTCACGTCTGACAGAGGTGGGATCTTGTCATCTGTTTCTGATGAACCCTCTGTTGTAATGGGATGTCGGCAGATGAATGCAAGGCAACAATACCGTAGAGACAAAATGCAGACTTGCTGCATGATAGTTGAGCGATAATCTCACCGCCAGACCTCCGCTCGTATCATCAGTACGGTCAATGGTCCGGACAAGCCCAGGCGGCGCTATTTCAGGAACGAGCATCCGTGCGGTCCGCCAGCATTTGGTGGCTGAACCACAACAGTCTCTCTATCGCCTGGCATGCTCTCCGCGATTTTCCAGTCCCTCAGTACATACTGTGGCATGTCTGTCTCAAAAGGACGTTTCTGGATGGACAAAGAGTGAGACGCAAAAAACGCTTGGCGAAGCTTCAGGAACAGCGAGTGACGCGTCCAAAGTCCCCTTTCCCCGCAATGCAGAAGGTTCGACCTAAGCGTTGAGGTGGCCCCAGCTCCTGCCGTCGATCCACTTCTGTGCTATCTCAACAGGCGTTGAGCAGCCAACGACCAGTTCCAACAAAACTGTGGTCGTCACCGTCGTACGGCCCCGTGGCAAGAAGACAATCAAGCCGCGATGATAATGGTCTTCGCAATGGGTCACAGGCTGTTGAAAGTGAGCTGTGCGACGAGTACGCAAAAAAAATCTGGACACAGTGAGGCTGAGAATCTGGGTTTCCTTGGCTCAACTCTGCTACAAGTCCATGTATCAACGAAGCCACCGCACTGATGACCTCAGCCCTATGTCCCTCTCCTTACGATTCATCTGCATAATAAGCCACCGTATACCGCTCCTTTGAGCGGACTTCTTAAACTCCGTAGTCTCTCCTGCACGCTCACACCAATCTTACGCACCATTACCAATCTCTCGGACACGGACGCCCGTGACCCGTCTGTATACAATCTGCTGATCACCTACCCCTCTCGCTCTTCGGACTCCGCCCTCACACCACTTCTATCCACGGGTCTGAATCCTTGTGAAGTCTATCTTCGCCGAAACAGAAAGTATCTCAAATCTCTCCTCATCCCCCTTCAAAGCACAAGCTACACAATGGCCGCCTCAAGAGCGAGCTCTCTTCGCGCTCTCAAGCATATCTCAAAGTCTACGTCCACTGTTACTCAGCAATCCCGTGGTCTTCGCATAACCCAGCATGTCGAGGCCTCGCCGTACTTGACCACCCAAAAGCCATCCCTTACCCGTGTGCAAGCCGCAATCGACGATGCGGCGGCCGAGAAATCGAAGGCAACGGCTGCAGCGCCCAGCAGGCAGTTCAACACCTCGCGCTCGTTGAAGGCGGTCAACGATTCGAGTACGATTGACTTCGCATACCTTCCTGACTTCGATCCGGATGCGGGAATGCCGGCGCCAACTGTGCGCGTGCCTCTTCTGCCTGAGAGCTTGTACCCCCAGAGCACGAAAACGAACTACACAAAGGAGGAAGAGGAGATTGTACGTAACACCACCGCTATGCCTGGTTGTCTTGTTTTCGTCCTCCGCTGTCGTGCTAACCGACGCGCTATCTAGGTCATGCGCCCGGAGATCAGCCTTGCCTCCGCAGATTCGACCCACGTCGCTCCCCCCTCCGCATTTACCGACGTCGTTGACAACAACGCAATTGACTTCGAGGGGGTGGCGAGTGCACTCAAATCGAAGGCTGGGGCAGTTGTCGAGGAGACGAGCGAGATAAAAAGGCTGTTCAATGGCTTGTTAGACGACATTTTTGGCGCGAAGAAGACGGCGTAGCCACCCCCGGCCGACGCACGCGTTGGGACGAGCAACAGAGTTAAAGTGCGATGCCGTTTTGTGCAGCGTAAGAGTATGAATTTTTCAACTTTCTCGTTTTTTTGACGACGGTCGTTCAACCAAAGGCTTTTGTTTGGGCAACAGGCGGTTCTTCATCGGCCAAGGAGGCATAAATCAGCCAACCTGTCGAGTCAGACAGTGAGATGAATCAAGTATGGAATCATTGTAATATCAGTTTGTCAAAGCTTTCGCGACCACTTTATGGCAGCGTGCATTCTACCTATGCCTTCATCCAGGGCAGAGTGATCGTGTGGCCAGGTGTCTCTCTAAGCGTAGAGTTGTGGATGTCATGGTTACCCAAACTCGCCCCGAATCGCGGTCATCGATTGAGGCTCAACAATCCCTCAACATACTTCCTGGCATCCACACCAACTCCCTCGGCAAGCCTGGCTGGCCCCCATCCGCTCCCAGTGTCCTTGCCGCTCGAATCACCGCCTCCACCTATACCTAGACTCCATATTCCGCTTGTAGCACGTGCTTTGCTCTTGCCCGAAGGCGCCGCGTCGCGTGCTCGACGTACCAGAATCGCCTCTCGAGAGTCCGCTAGCACAGCTATATCTGGGTCCGTTTCGTCGTCATGAGTGGGGAAATATCCTTTTTCAGCATCTATCATCGAGGTCTTGGAGGTTGGGGTGGCATCAGTGGATAATGTTTCAAATTCAGCTTCGGGTTGCTGTTGCTGCTGCTTTTCAAGGTGCGCCTTATCATCGAGGCGCATCCAGACAACCCACCAGCCCCGTCCCGTCTTGACACTCCTCTCAAGCTCACGCTCCCCGGCCTCGCCAACCACCCCAGGCATAGGTCGCGTGCTGCGAATAATTTCGAGGATTGCCGAGTGCACGTTGAGCGCCTCTGCCCTTGTCCATCCCTCAGGTATCACACTGCCTCCTGGAGCCAATGTCAGACCCTCTGCTGCTAAAGAGCCAGGCACCGGTATGTTTGGTATACTGGCGTGGATAGTGAGTGTTTTCGGATCATACACTAGATCGAAAATGGGCTGGTTTTGGCTCCCTGGTTTGAAGGATGTTGTCGACGGGGGGACAGATTCTGGAGTCGCTGCCGCTATACGAGATGCAACGTGTGCAGGTGACGTGCTTGCACTTAGCGGCTTGTGTAGAGGAGCGAAGAATGTGTGCAAGTTCCTGTAAAAGCTGGGAAGTGACAAACTTTCTGTGCTTGGATGAAACAAAAATGTGTAAATGAATGGTCGATGCACATAGACAATCACACGTACTCTGGAGCGTTTTGGCTTGTCAGATGACGTGGTGGGCGGTCCAGGTGTCTCTAACGGCGATGGATCTAGCTCAAGTTCTTGACGCTTATCCTTCACTATTTCGACATGGAGTGTGCGTACGGATGTGCGTTGGTTCCATTCGTCATCCCCCGAGTCATTTGATACTAAATGTGCTTCGTCGTTCAGTTCTCCCTTCAGACCAATTAAGAAATGGCCGTTTTGCTCAAGTTCCATTTGTGTCTTCAAACGTTTTTCTAATTCAGCCTCGGGATCCAGGTCTGAATCAGCCTCTGCCTCGGGCTCCGGATCTACCTGGCGCAGGACAGGTTCTGGTTCATGTTCGGCTTCTATATCGAGTGTTGTCGAGTCCTCACGTTTGATTGGAGTCGAATTTCTATTTGTACCCCAGGCAGAGCCGTAGCCGAGGGTAAGATATCTTGTCCATATCGAAGACTCGTCTTTTTCTGTATCTTTCCGTTCTGGAGCCGCTTTCGCCTTTCTTATATCATGAGACGACGTAGCTCGCTCCAATGATCTCTCTACAGCAGATACGATGGGTGGTGGTATGCCTGGAGGTGTTTTGACTTTTGGTGGTATTGGTGGTTTGTTCCTATTTTGCGCCAGAGACTCTGATGAATGTTTATCAGCTGGTGCTGCAGGCTGCCGTCGCTTTCTTTTACGTCTATCGTTGCTTGGAGATAAACCAACGCCATATGCAGACTCTCCATATGCATAGATGTCTTGAGTCCAGCGGCTGATATCCCGAAGAGATGCTCGAGAAAGTGCCCCTACACCGGAGAAGACAATACCATCGCCAGCTTGAGCATGATTCCCAGCGCCAAGCCATATATCCAGCTCTTTCAAACCCTGTGCATTTTGCCCTTTGGATGCAGACAGTTTTAATCCACCAACTTGTGCACTAGATGGCTCCCCAAACCGTGAGACAGTCAGATCCACCAAACCGTCTGTCCGTTTTGCAAAGTCTTCCAGGACCTCCCTCTCCCCACTGCCCCATTCTTCTTCGCCAACGCCCATTCCGAGCTCGCCGCCAGCAGCAAGCTTAAGTCCCCCAAACACCTCAACGGCAGGATTCCCATGCAGCAGAACATCCCAGTTGTGACAAAATCGATTCCAGAATCTCTCCAGCAAGCCGCAAAACTTTTGCCTCGAGAGCTTGTTGTGTAGGGCCGACAATGAGGATCCGTTGTGGAGCAAAAAGGTGCGATGACCATCGACGATCTGCTGATGCAATAGCTGGGCTGGCGCTACTTCACGGCTAGAGTACTCATACTTGGAGCTCGCTGTCTCGTGCTCTTTGCCCTTGGAATCACTCGATGCAGGCTGCGCATTGGTCGGTACCTTCGTCAAATCAATACTTGCCAGGATCCACCAATTCGCCTCCAGCTCGTGTACCACGATGCGACTTTTTTCTGTGTCGATGCTGTCGACCGGCTGCCCGTTGGCGAAGCTTTTTGCAAAGTCCACCATGCCCTGTGCTAAGCCGATTTGGCGGAGCTTCTCGTTCTCATCGTCCTGAAGAGCTCTTGCACCATCTTTCCTACGCTCCTTTACCGACCTCGAAAACCAGTATACTACTTGGTCCCTGAATGTTTCGTCCGTTCGGCCTAGCTCGGGATTGTAGATAGCGAGGAAGGACAGCTGAGCTGGCACTAGTGTGGTCATGATGAGTGGAAGAGCAGCGTGGCTGTCGCTGTCAAACAAAGAAGTGCACTACAACGTAGCTCCTGGCATAGCGAGGAGAGCATGTTTACCACCAAATATCATTTCGAGCCACAGTTGGGATATTGGTGTGAACGGTGGAGCAATGGGATTTGATAGAGATGCGATCTTAACGCCTCGATCGGACATGGATCGCATGCAAACAGTGCAGCTTGTGCGAGTCATGGGCCGTGCTGCTTTGCCACTTACAGTATTGGGGACGAAAAGGGCACTGGAACGAAAGCAGCGCGACTGAACGTTCTCTTGTGACCAGCAAGCGAAATTTCTGATCAGTATCTGCCTCCGTAGTGTTTTTAGTGTTATTGTGCCTTTTCAGTCCTTTGATTTCTACTTGCTAAACATACGTTTCGATATGAGCAGCCCCGCTGGTAGAACTAATGCCTCCCCACATCACCATCTGCGAGAGCGAAAACGCAAGGCTGATCCAAAACGAGAGCAGCCATCCAAGTTCCAATCAAGCAACACTACGGACCTTAATGATGAGCCAGTTGAAATAAAGAGGCCCATAGCAAAAAAGACGAAAACAAACAAGTCCTCAGCAGAGCAACGATTGAAGCGGTATGGAGCAACTTCACGCCTCCTTCCCAAACTGAGCTGTAGCGCTCTAATCTTTGACCAGATATAGAGAAACTGCTCCCGCTTCTATTCAAGCAATTTATGAGAGGGCGTTGAGCCAGCGGTAAGCTCGCAGGAGCTCGTCGGACGATTCCCCAGGCACTAATGAAAACAATCAGCATGTTTTGCCTGGATAGACAGCGAGGAGGAAGCGAGGATTGTCCCACCGAAGTTTTGAAGATAGCGGGAAGCACTGGAAACGTATACACCGTGAAAATCGACCGGTTACCTTCCTGTCCGTCTCTTCTCGCCCCGTTCGAACGAAGGAATAGCTGATGACGTGCTTCCAGGCGACTGCCCACACGCGAGAAGAGGCAACGAGTGCAAGCACGTTCTCTTCGTTCTGGTGCGCGTGTTGAAGGCCACGAACTACTGGCAGAGGGCCTACTTGGCAAGTGAGCTTCGAGAAATCTTCAGCAAGGCACCCCCCATCGTCCCTGTCGATGCGGAGAGGTGCGACAACGATCGCAAACCCATCCACGAGGAAGACACGTGCCCCATTTGCTTCATGGAGTTCCAAGACGGTCTCGAAGGGACCGTGTATTGCAAAGCCGCATGTGGCAATAACATCCACAAAGGTAGGTTTCCGCGACTTCTGCGTATAGATTTTTGGCAGGGCGACGACTGATGTTTGCCTTTTGTTTTCCTTAGAATGCTTTGATCAGTGGGCTGCGAGCAGAAAACGTTCAGCCGCACCGGTAACATGTCCGTTCTGCCGATCCAGATGGATTGATGCAGATGGTTCACAAGGCAGAATAAGCATAGATATGTTGAAGCAGCGTAGCATCAACAGCGAAGGGTATATCAATGTCGCTCAGGATTTGGGCATATCGACCCAGCGCGGTAAGCCCCAGGAACAAAAGATGCCTTTCTTCCCAACGCTGATGGGCTGGGTCTAGACTACAGTACTTATCACTCCTTCTGGGTCAGGCGAGAAGCGAGGAGGGGTGCAGACGTCGGTGATTGGTATGATCCTGACCCTTTTTAGAATGGGATAAAAGGGTGGGCGAATTCTGTACCTATCAAGTTGTTGTGTGAATCTCAATGCCTCCACGAGGGAGTTCCTGGTGACTAGACTGAGTCTGAGCAGCTGGTATGCTGGGAAAAAGGTCATCAGTTTGCGAGTATAACGCCCTCCCTTATGGTGCTCATCCATACCGCGATAACAAGTATTCTGTCGAGCTCGACGACTGTCAACTTCAACATTAGGTAATGAGGCTCTAAGAAAACGGAATAGGTATGTCAGAATATCTAAAGCCTATCAAATGAGGCAGACAAAGCTAAAATACTAAGCATGTTAAAACACACAGCTATCGCCTCCTCTACTCCCTCTTGATGTTTCTAACTACCTGCTTCAAATCATCTTCCGTCAAGCCCATCTCTTGTCGGCAGTAGTTCCAAAAGTTACCGTACTCCTCCTGAACCACACTCACGAAGGCAGCTGCAATCCCAGGATTCGTGCTCCCAAGGTTGATGATCCCTGGCTGCCGCATCGCGTCGTCGCCGAGCCAGTTCTTGAGCACGGCAGTCAGCATCTCTCGCTCAGGCTCAACCCCTATCCTCGTCAGGCTGTAGTCATACCCGATCAGGTCAACGTCATGCTCAACGAGGCCATGCAGGAGAATGGCCATGACTCCGGCCCGGTCTTTGCCGGCGGTGCAGTGCCAGAGAACGCCTTCCCCCGGCCGATCTCTCAGGCGCTCGAGAATCTGCCTGTAACGCGGGGCGAAGAGCTTCAAGATCTCGATGTAGTCTGCCACGAACCCGGGGATCCCGCCGCCGGCAACGTAATCCGACGGGTTGACGTGCCGCACCGGCGTCGTGGATTCCAGCCAGACCATGTCCACGCCCTCGATGCCCGGCTCCGGGAACCGTTGCCGCTCGCCTCGGTGTCTCAGGTCGAACACGGACTTGATGCCCAGTTCGTCGCGCAGACGAGCGAAGGCGGAAGGGGGGATGTTGTGAAGAGAGCCCGAGCGGTAGACGAGCCCTGGTTTGATGCGCGAGCGGGGGAGAAGGCCCAAGTCTCTGAGGTTCAGGCTGCCCGGTAAAGACACGAACGGCGGTGTCGCGAGGCCAGCGGCAAGAATGTTGTCGGGGATGGTCTCCGCCATGGGAAGCCGAGCGAGCGCCTCGAGATCGACCGCTTCGTGAGGCTTGACATCGGCCTCGTGAACGGGAGCCGCAAGATCTGACATATCTGATTTTGCTCAAATATCTTTCTTTCTTTCTTTCTTTCTTTCTTTTTTTTTTTTTACTTCGTCTCTGGAATCTCTCCCTCGTGATCGCAGCCTTGGCCGTTTCTGTGTTTTGAACCGGCCGGGAAACGACGGGCGTCTTTTCAAGATCGTCCCCTTCGAAGCGATGCACCCCTTTATATATAAAGATCCGCTTCTCGCGTCCAGTCTCTGACGTCGTTCACCGCGTTTCTACGTCCGGCATAGCGACCGCGCGAGGACCATGAGAGCAGATTGCGGCGCTACTGTGTCGAAGGCCGTCCCGGAAAGGAATACGAGACGCGCGCAGTGAGAGCGCTGACGTGTTCACTGTCCTTTTTTTTTTTTTTTGAATGTTATTTCTTGCCTTGGACAGCTGGTCTAATCTTTACCGCACTTCCCCTTTGGTTACAACAAGGGGCAAGCGGGGCAATGTTACCCCTACTCTTTGACGAAATGAGATGCACTTGAACACGGATTTTTCTGTATTGACATATATACCTGTCGCGGGAGGAACTTGGATGGATATCAAATCAAGCTTAAGGACTACTTGAGTCAAGCGTTCTTAGACATTAAAACCAACATTACGACTTACTCCTTCACGGCATGAGAAGACTTCATGTGGCGTGATGAAGAGGGATGAGCGCGTAAATCATTCATAATTCGAAGTATGCTAGTATCTGCGCCCTTGATCATATTGTACATGAGTGGAAACGATTTGTTTTTTTTTTTTTTTTTTTCATTTGTGTCACGCCTTTTCATTGGCGGCGAGACCTTCGGTCTGTCAGCCGAAGATGTGCTCAGATCATGTAGTGAGCCAGTCCAGCAACTCCGGAACGAAGTAGGTCACTATTATTGTAGCTCCCGCGCGCAGGATTCCCTCGTGGGATTCGAAAACGATGTCTTTCAGAGGAAATACGCCCGCTGTCGCGCCTGCGTGGATCATCGCATATTCTCCGCTTACTTGGTCTGCACCACGTTAGACACGATAAAAGGTCATGCAAAGGACAGGCCGATACGTACATGCGGCAATTGGGAGGTCCGGGGCAAGCTGTTTTGCATCGCTGATTATATCGAGATACTGGCTCGCGGGCTTTACCATAATGACGTCGGCACCTAAAACCATGCTCTCAGCGTTGGGGTCGGTGCTCGCATGAACGATCTAGAAACTCACCCTCGTGCACATCCCTTGTGATCGCTCGCCGAGCCAGACCACGCCCACCGGGTGGGAGTTGATAGCACTTCCTGTCCCCAAACGACGGGCACGAACCGGCGGCGTCGCGGAACGGCCCATATAAGCAGCCCGAAAATTTGGCGGCGTAGCTCATCAGCACAGTTTGGTGTGCGATGCCTTCCTCAATCAGCTTCAACTTGATCGCCCGTATCCTTCCGTCGTTCATGTCGCTCGGCGCGACGCAGTGGGCGCCCGCCTTGGCGTATGCGATTGCCACATCGCTGATCCTCTCCACGCTCTGCACGTTGTTCAGCCCGCCGTCTTCTCTCAGGATGCCGCAGTGGCCGTGGCTCGTGTACTCGCACAGGCACACGTCCGCACAGATGAACAGGTCTCGGAATCTCTTTCTCAAGAGCTTGATCGCCTGAATGACGGGGCCCTTTGGGTCGTCTGCTGCCGTGCCCCACACGTCCTTGACACCTGGCGCGATGGGAACGCCGAAGAGGATCACGGAGCGAAGGCCCTTTTGCACCAGCGGTTCCAGGAAAGGAACGAGCTTGTTAATGCCGCGGCGGTATTGATTCGGGAGAGAGGGAATCAGCGTCTCTTCGTCAGGCTGGTCGGAGACGAAGAGCGGATAGATGAGCATGCTCTAACGATAGACAAATGTCAGCGTGCGCCCCGCGATCCACCGTCAAGGACTCTCGCACACCTTGGTCAATTGCCGCTCGGCCTGCCATGATCGCGCGAGAGGGTGATTGTATCCGCCATGTAGCTGGCTGGAGATGTCGCCGGATATGCTGACGCTCGTCGCCGCCGTGCTGACGTACGACTTGGCTCGCGACAGAGTCGAGGACGTCTCCGCGCGGGAGCTGCGCTCCTTGTCCTTGAAGGTGAGGTCGGAGACCAGCGAAGAGAACGACATGGTCGGCGCTCCAGTCGAACAGATACAGCGGGTATGCCACCGGAGTCGTGGCGATGCGTCCTTGCGCAAGTGACCTGTAGCGCTCACAAGGTTCAATCCGCTACTTCAGATTCCAGTCCCGCACGAGTCGAGATTGGGGCCGCGATTGAAGCGTGCAAACAAGGCTAGGCCAAACTATAGAAGCGTGGCTCCTCCAACGGGACCGAGCCGACTTCGAAAGACGCCGGCTTTCAACAAAGTCCAAGAGAGAAAAAGGAAAAAGAAATAAACAAACAAGAAAAGAGACGCGGAGTAGCGGGCGGTCAGAGCAGCTCGAGAAATGCCAGACGGGGCGGTTTCAAAAGGCCAGCAGCACGACAGCGCCGTTTCTCAGATGCGCGCACCGCCTCAAGGCTCGGGCTCTTTTCCTTTCTACAAAGGTGTTTAAAAAAAAAAAAAAAAACAAGTACAAATGAGCGGCCGGAACACCCAGAAAAAGGCCTGACAATGGGGAGAAGGGCCTAGGTAAGCAGTCGACGTGATTGGCCCACATGCGCTTTTCAGTGTCACTCGCTGTCTCCCACACGCTCTCACGCTTGCTTGCGCTGTGTGCCGGGTGCCGAGAAGGGCGTGTCCAGAAAGGGAAAAAAGAAGAGACTGTCCGGCCCCGGCGCCGCGGGCTTTTCCCTTTGATCTCTCGGTTGTATCCGACCTCGTTTCGCCGTCACTTCACGCTGCCCACTGCTGCTGCAGTTGCTACGACCTTCCTGCTACTGGCTGCTCTTGCTTTGACTCATTTTCTTTCCTCGTTCTTTCGCTCTTTTCCCCCTTTCCTCCCCACCCCTTTCAGCCTCCGCTCTCCGCGCTCGGGTGTCGTGCAGGATCGGGCTTCCGGGATCTGGTTTGCCCCTTCCGATGCCACCGTAAAAGACGCGTCTTGCCCTACATTCGACAGGGAGCTGGTTGTCTTTAATTTGGCGCGTCAGCTGGACGCTCTACTGTGTATGGCCCCTATCAGCGCTAGTTGAAAGGGCAGTGGCTGGTTCCTTTTGGACGAGCTGTATCGTATATGCCGCGATTCTGACATGGTGCACATCTGGTGTGGGAATACGATCAGTTACATAGCATTGGTCTACTGCTCTATGAGAAACATAGAATGTTCATAGATGGACATCGTAAAACAAAAATAAGCAAAAAAACATCGCTGTCTGCCATGTGAACTCGAGCAGAGTATTCCGTAAGCCATTCATTGCATGTTCCCGGTGCAATCGCTGCGGTGCGTGGTATCATAGCCTTGCATGGCCCTACCGTTCCCCAAACATAATAAGTGCAGGCCGTTTCGTACGTTTGCATAGCGTAGAAAGTGCGTGTGTATATGTAGATATACATACGTTGGTTACATCTCCAAAGATAAAAAGCGTGCAGAAGAGCAGTAACATGGGTATGTGCAATGTGAAGCTCGTCGAGTCTGAGTAAATCATGACAAGAGAGGGGGAAAAAAATCAGGAAAATTCAACGCGCCGACGTGGGCTACACGTCCTCCCCCCCAAAAAAAAAGCGCAAAATGCCAGGAAAGCAAAGACAAAGGGCGAAGCTCAAAATTCATCAGTAGCCAACATCACTGGCCCATCCTGATTGCGGGCCTTGTCTGTAATCTTCTTCATCAAACTCTCCACCGCTTGCGTCGAAGCCGCTCGTTCCGCTTATGTCGTCTTCGTAGTCTGGAGCGTTGTTGGGCAACGTGTCCCAAATGCTGCCTAACGTGGGATACTGCTGCAGAAGCACCGTCGGCAATCGAAGTGGCATTGGCGGCGCGCCTCCCATACTTGGATCCCAGCCTTGGCCGCCCGCCATGCCGCCGTACGCATCGAAACCCATTGGTTGCTGCATCATGCCTTGGCCAATTGGTATGCCACCGGCCGCAGCCTCCTTCGCCTGTCGCTCGATGGCTTCCTCCTCGAGGAGGGGCTTGATGCACACCCGCCCTGCCTCGCTGCGGAAATGGCGTCCCAGAGCGTCTGCTCGCGCGAAGCGGCGTCCGCAGCCCCAGCTTCCACCGTCCTTGAGGGTCCCACGGCATACGAACTTCTTCTCGCCAGAGTGTAGACTCTCGTGGCGCTTGCGATCGTGTTGGCGGGCGAACGCCTTGCCACAGACGCTGCAGACAAACGGGCGCTCGTCCGTATGCGTGCGAAGATGCGATCGCAAGTTGTATGCACGCGTGAAGCGCTTGGGGCAGAGGCTGCACTGGAACGTGGCTGGGTGCTTCTGTGTCCTCTTCGAACCCGAACCCGGCTCACCCGAGGGCCCTTCTGGTGGAGCACGACTCGGGTCCGCAAGGCCAAGGAGATAATCTCTGTTGGGAACGCTGGAAGTCGAAGATCGCCTGTTCTTGCCCGAGGGCGAGGGCGAACGTGAGCCTACGCCCGCTGCTGTAGGCTTGAGCATGTCGTTGCTGTCGCGATTGTTTGGCGATGCCGAATTGCTTCGTGGTCCAAGCGACGAATCAGACTTGGCTCGCATGCGATTTCTGCTTCGATCTTTAATTGCGCAATATTAGCTTCGTGCTGCTCATCGTTAACGTCTCTTTTAACACGTACTTGAATCTGGAGGGCTCAGTGCGCCATTGTTTCCTTCGTCTCTCGATGGCTCAAAACTCGCTTGCCGCGAGGGCGGAGCAAACTGAATGCTGATCTCAGGTGGAGACATGGCGTCGGTCTGGTTGAGCGCTGGAAAAGATTCCTGTCCGGCGCCGGCGAACATATCCAGATTCGAATTGCCATTGTAGGTGCTGCTCATGGCTGGGGCAAGGCTTGCCATGCCGTAGGTGTCCGACGAGGTGTAGGTGGGGAGTTGCTGCTGTGGTATTAGGCGCGGAGACACGTGCGGACTGTGACCTGGACTAATGTATGGGTGCGGCTGATTCTGGTCATTAAGAGAAAACTGACCGATGCGCATGACGTCTTGGTACATGCTGGGGTCTTGTTGTGGGTTGAGAAGGGGCGAGTGGTTGTCAAAACTATCCACGTTGCCTAGAAAGGGAGATGGATGTGCCGACGAGGAGACGTCGGAATGCGCATCGGATGGCACCCTTCGATGCTGCTGGAATCCCACCCCGTTCCAGTTTTGGGGATATGCTGCGCTTGAGGGATCGAGCGACGTGTTGCGCGAGTGGCGACCGGGTTGTTGGAAAGAGCCTTGCTGCAACGCCGGCGAGCCGTGGGGGCTGCTGCTTGACTGTCGCTGCATACCTGGAGCGAGGAGGTGGGGTGGGGTGGGCGACGTCTGCGATTCAGTCGTCATTTGGTTCATGAGGTTGCTTGAAGATTGCGAACTAGGCTGAGAGGAAATCAAAGCAGGATCGAGAGCACTCGCGTTGGAGTAGCTAGCGTTGGGGTCGTTCAGGTCAGCAAAGAGAGGAGGGTCAAGGCCCGTTTCGGACAGAGCTGAGGCCCCAAAGTCGTTGAAGAGGTTGTTGTTGTTGTTTCGCTGGTCGAACGAGGCGCCGGCAGTAAGACCTTCAGGCAGACTCGACTCCAGGTAACCGGACCGGGAAAATGTGGGCTGCTGGGCGAACGAATTTTCGCCAGAGTCAAAATCGGCGGCGGCGGCGGCGGCGGCGAAGGAGACCTGGCTGGCGTCGAAGGCGTTGCCAAAAGAATTCGTCGCGGTCGTGGTGGTGAAGGACGCGCCGGGTTGGTCTCCGCCTACAAGAGACGCGGGAGCCTGGAACGGACTGGCCTGGGAGTTGGGCGACGGTGTGTTGCGTCTGAGGCTGTTGCCACTATGGCCGGCGGAAGGGGATCTCCCCCTCGGAATGCTATTCATTGTGTGTGTATATATACGGGCTGTCGCGGAACGAGCTGGTGTGGCTACCGTGTGGAAAGGAGGGTCGAACTGGAATGGGCGGGTCGTGGACAGCGGGAGCTTTGGCCACCAGGCTCTCACTACTGCGGTCGCAGCCTGCCTTGTAGCGGTTATGCAACGGAGCGCGGCTTGTCACTGGCTGGCGGGTGGTGTTGGGGGAGCAGGACGAGGCCAAACTTGTGGGAAGAGTACGTCGGAGGGGGGGCAGTGTACAGAAGACAGGTCCCTGCACCGCCTCCTCGTGCAACCGGGGGGGTCGCCCACGGTGCCAACGCTGAAGACGGTCAAGTCCAATAGCAAAAAGGCCGATAATTATGGCTTGTGGCGCGTGATGATGCGCTAAGGGAACAAGATGCGCCGGCTCGAGTTTGGCGGCCTGCGCGTCCCGGTTGGCACGATTGTTTCTGGTTTGACGGCGGATGAAACTCTGGCACGATCATGCCATCATCGCTGGCCGAGCAAAGCGGGCAAAAGAATGGCCAGCGCACCTGTGAGCCCGGGCACGACCGCGCTCTCGAAAGCTGGCCCCCGGCGCGGTGCAGCGAGAGGTGTCTAATTATGGTTGGCCGGAACAGTTTCGTGAAGGCGAGCTTATCTCATTGCAAAAGTCGATCTTCGGCTCGTTCCATCACGGCTCACGTTTGCTGGCCTCACGTGCAATTGGCGAGTCCGAGCAGCGATCAGCACGGCCGGACACCGCGAACCCGGCACCAGCGCCCTTTTTGCGGTGAGACGCAGAGAGACGAAGACGTGATGAAGAGTCGCGCGCGATCAACGGTTTCTCCGACATCGTCTTGCGCCCAGGGCGGGACGACAGAGAGAGGGCGCGCACCAAGAAAAAAGACCCAAAAAAAATCAGCCCCAAAATAGCACCCGATTCGGCGCTGATCCCATCGCTGCACAGCCACGTCGCTTTCCTCCTCTTGCGCGACCCAACTGTTCCACAGACGACGACCGACTGAGCTTGACGACGTCGCGTCTACACGATCCCCCCCGTCCCGTCCCCTTCTAGAAGTTTTCTGCAGGTCACTGCGCGTTCCTCGTGCATTTGCGCCGCATACTTGCCCGTCGCTTCACCTGCTCGATCGCCAGGCACCATGCGTCGTAGCCTTGACGCTCACGGAGAATTGACGATGACCGACCTCTCCTCTGTAGCCCGTCCGCCTGTCCACACGCCGGTCCCTCCTCGACCTCGCCGCGTCGAACCAACGGTCAACGTGGACCTGCTCTCTCCGGGCGCGACATTCACTTCTCTCAAAGAGAAATAAAAGAGAAAAGCTGTCGGTACGGGGAAGGAATGCTCGGCCCCAGCGGGATCACGCACCTCGACTGTTCTTGGCACATCCCGACCTTTTGAGCCTGGCTCTCCATCCGCCTTGCGTGCAAAGCTACAAGAAGCAACGGCGATTGCCAGAACACTACCCTCTACCATTCAACGGGACGTGCCGGCTCGAAAAGACGTCGTTTGAGCCCATCGCCCGACGACGTGTTCCCCCCAGAAACGTGACAATAGTGCCGCCCATGCCCCCCCGCCGTGCAGGAGTCCCCCATGCGAGGCGTGGAGGCTGAGCATGTCAGGCTGAATCCCTTTCCAAACATTGCGACCATTTCGTAACGGAGCCTACACCGTCTTTTCTTTTGACCGTTGGCTTTTTTTTTTCTTTTTTTTTCACCCCTGTCCTTCTTTCTTCTGATTGCCCGACCTGCGAATCTTCGCGTACGTCATAGTTGTCAGGAGGCTCTACAGCCCTTTTTGCGCGTCCCTTTCGCCCAAAATTCGGTCTGCCTGCTGAACTTGCTTTCCCTCCCCCCCACCCCTGCTGTCTGCCAGTGGGTAGGAGGCACTTGCCGTCTGGTGCGTTGCACATCCGGTGTCTGCTGCGGGCACGATGGAGAAAGGCCCCCCGATCGTGAATTGTTTGTGCACGTAGATCGTGAACGCGCTCTTTCTCTCGCACGCGGGGCTACCATCCTTTCCTCCGGTCACCGTACGCGAGCTGTCGTGGATCTTCCCCGTTGGATCGTGGCATGTCGGGCGTGGCTAGTGACGCACGTCGTTGAGGATCACCCTCTCCACATACCTATCCGCTGAACGCACTGAGCGTTCATGGCTTGCCTCACGAACCGAAGAAAAAAAAAAAAAAAGAGGTCCAGTATTGCTAAGGGCAGAAAATCGAGAAGACGGCGAATATGAAAGTCTTGTGTTATACAGCTGTGCTACCATTACACTACTACACAAAAGCGCAAGCCTTCGACATTCTAAAGTCAGCTATGCTTCTATGTGTAAAATAAGTTCAAAGCTATGCGAGCCAATAAACGTTGATCAGTCAAAGTACGAGCCTGTGTCTCCAAATTCCCAAACGCCCAGTGATGATATCAGTAGCAAGTCCCGTCGCGATCGAGTTGGCGCAAAAAGTAGAGAAAAAAACAATCCGCATCCCGTCGTCTCATTCCCGTCGTCAGCAAAGGTTCCGCGTCCCATGCCTCGCCGTATCACTCTAATCCCGTCTAACCGCTGCACATGATGCAAGCTTCTTTGTTTTCGATGCTGCATGCAAGCACAGCGTCGGCATAGATGTCACCTATCTCCTCTTCCTCGCCGTCCTGTTTCGCATCGGCGCTGCCACCCTCTTCTGTCTTTTTCGCGCTGTTGGCATGGCCGTTTGCGCCATTGGTCTTAGCATCCACGGCTTCCATCTTAGGGCTCGACTCTTCCTCGTCGGCCTTGAAAGCTGGCATGGGGATTGCCTCCTTGCGAGGGGTGGCCGTTTTGGCTACCGGGGCAGACACCTCCTTTGGCGGCGGGGTCAGACTACGTGGAGGCGAGGATACTCCGCTGGCGCCGTTGGGCGACTTTGATTGAAACATAGGTCGTGGGACGGCAGAATAGGCAGCGCTTTGATAGCTGCCCGAGGGGCGCTTCTTCATGCCCGCGGTCCGAGCGACGTTGGTGTCGGCAACTTTGAGTGCTTCTTGGTCGACGGTGAACTGGATGGGAGCAGAGGCAGCCTGTGTACGCAGATAGTACATGCCAGTCTTGAGACCGAGCTTCCAGCCAGCGAAATGCATGGAGGTGATCTTGCCCATCGTTGGTTCCTTCATGTGGATGTTGAGAGACTGGGATTGGTCAATGAACGCGCCACGATCGGCGGCCATCTGGATGACATGGCGTTGGCTTATTTCCCAGACCGTCTTGTACAATGCTTTAATATCATCTGGAATGTTTGGAATGCGCTGAATCGAACCACCCTCCGCAATGATGCGGTTCTTCATATTGTCAGACCACAAACCCATGTCAACGAGATCTTTGAGCAACCAAGGATTGACGACCTGGAACTCGCCGGCGAGCACGCGACGTGAGTAGATGTTTGAGGTATATGGCTCGAAGCACTCGTTGTTACCCAGGATCTGAGAAGTTGAAGCGGTTGGCATGGGCGCCACGAGTAAGGAGTTGCGGACACCATGCTTTTTGATCTCAGCTTTGAGGCTGTCCCAGTCCCAGAGATCAGTTGGAGTCACGTTCCACATGTCATACTGCAAAATCCCCTGGGACACGGGCGAGCCCTCATAACTCGAATAGGGACCTTGCTCTTTGGCAAGCTCACACGAAGCTGTCAGAGCGGCGTGGTATATGGTTTCAAAGATTTGGATGTTCAGCATACGAGCCTCTGGAGAGTCGAATGGCAGCCGCAGAGCGAGGAAAGCATCGGCAAGACCCTGCACACCGACACCGATAGGACGGTGTCTCATGTTACTGTTACGTGCCTCTGGTACAGGGTAGTGGTTAATGTCGATGATCTTGTTCAAGTTGCGAACGACATGGCGGGTGACCTCATGCAGCTTCTTGAAGTCGTATTCGCCACGCATGACATCGACAAAGGTTGGCAGAGCCAGAGAGGCCAAGTTACACACCGCGACCTCGTCTGGGGCAGTGTACTCAATGATCTCGGTGCAAAGGTTGGAGCTGCGGATGGTTCCCAGGTTTTTCTGGTTGCTCTTGCGGTTGCAAGCGTCCTTGTAGAGCATGAAGGGATTGCCAGTCTCGGTCTGTGCCTGAAGAATGGCATACCACAGCTTCTGAGCACGGATGGTCTCACGACCACGGCCCTCCTTCTCGTATTTCTCGTATAGGGCCTCAAACTCTTCGCCGTAGACATCGGCGAGGCCAGGTGCTTCATTGGGACAGAAGAGTGTCCACATACCATTCTGTTCAACTCGTTTCATGAACAGATCAGGCGTCCACAAAGCATAGAAGAGATCACGAGCACGGTTCTCTTCCTTACCGTGGTTCTTGCGCAAGTCAAGCCAGCCAAAAATGTCAGCATGCCATGGCTCAAGGTAAATGGCGAAAGCACCGGGGCGCTTGTTGCCACCCTGATCAACATATCGAGCGGTGGCATCGTAGACACGCAACATAGGAATTAGACCGTTGGATGTGCCGTTGGTACCACCAATGTACGAACCAGTCGCACGAATGCGGTGTACGTTCAGACCGATGCCACCGGCAGTCTTTGAAATCATAGCACAGGTCTTGAGCGTGTCGTAGATGCCCTCTATGCTGTCCTCCTTCATATCGATGAGGAAGCAGGAGGAGAGCTGCGGCGACGGCGTGCCAGCATTAAACAGAGTGGGAGACGCGTGTGTGAAGTACTTATTCGACATGTAGTCGTAAGTCTCAATGGCACTCTCAATGTCTTCACCGTGTATGCCAACCGCAACACGCATAATCATGTGCTGTGGTCTCTCTGCCACCTTGCCATTGATTCGGAGAAGGTAGGACCTCTCCAATGTTTTGAAGCCAAAATACTGGTAGTTGAAGTCACGGTCGTAAACGATGGCCGAGTTCAGCTCGTCCGCGTGCTTCATGATGATATCATACGTAGTCTTCGAGATCATAGGGCAGTGCTTGCCGTTTTTTGGGTTGACATAGTTGTAGAGATCATCGATGACTGCCGAAAATTGCTTTTTAGTTTGCTTGTGAAGGTTCGATACGGCTATACGTGCAGCGAGCACAGCGTAGTCTGGATGTGTGACGGTCATATATGCCGCTGTCTCGGCAGCCTGCGATCCGGGTTGTTAGCATCGCTTTCTACGCGGCAGAGACGCGTATGCACTTACGAGGTTGTCCAGTTCAATTGTAGTGACACCTTGGTACACACCAGAAATGACCTTCTGCGTGATTGCAGCTGGGTCTACATGATCTGGATCCAATCCGTAACACAGCCTGGAAACACGAGCTGGTGATGAGTGTCAGCAAGCACGTCGTTCACCAAGACTGCAACCAACCACTGACCGGTAATCTTGTCAAACTGAACGCGCTCTTTGCGCCCATCTACAAGAAGAGCAGTTAGCTGAAAGCTCTGGTGCCGCGTGTTGCAGATACATACCACGCTTGTAGACAAACATTGTGAGCGGTGGCAGTCTGAATCAGCGGTAGTTGCGGTACAATTTCGCAAGGAAAGATCTGCCGATCCAGCAAGAGCAATTGCTATCAAGCACTGCTGAGTTTCGTACAGGGGAGGAAGAAGTGTTGTTGAGAGGGTATCTTTGTTGCTGGATGGGAGAGAGGATTCGCCCCGCTGGGTGGTTGACCTTTTTAAAAACGAGGACGCGCGCGCGCCAGCGTGACACGCGCCGCAAACAATGCACAGACACTACAGCTTCACCAACCCCAATCTTCGACCCAATTTTTCTTAGGCAGAAGGCCGGGAACGCTTCGTAATGATTGGAAATCAAGTTGTGCACTTGCCGTTGCGGAAGACGATTCTTTGCACGCGCTGTCTTTTGAGTCTGCAATGTCACACGGCAAGGCCGCACCCAAGGCTGATGCGTCGAAGATGCATGATTGCAAGGAGCCAGCCGATGTGGTATCCAAGCGCGTATCAAGTGAGAAGTACAGCCGTGATAGAAGGCCATGTACGCACATCAAACGTCAAAAGTATGGGCGAATCGCAGATTGTTTTGATTCTTCTACGACTAGGGTGTGTGGGCATGGGCAAGGAGGTGCGTGAATGTCCAGCTGTAGCGGAGAGCCATTTTCAGGATCAAGGCAGGAGGAGAAAAACCAGGTACTTGATTGGCTTTCCGGCGGGGATAGAGTACTCGTCGTATACAAGCAGGAACATGTGCACAATTTCACGAAATGCTTCCAGAGTACATAAGCCGTTGAGACTCAAAAATGCGAGTTAGCTATTGGCGGCTGGTTGGGCTCGGATCGAGGGCGTCGTGGCTTGGGTCTTTCCGCCACTCATGTCTCGCTCCCACTCAGCGACCGCTCCGTCGGTTTGCCGGCAGGCTGCTGAACCAAGGGGAGAAAAAAAAGGTTAAATCCAGGCTCATGGCTTGCGATACACCACAGGTCTCACCTCGAGGCGTGGCCATGGTCGTAACAATATGCGGTGAACTATCCAGCTCCGGAAATGCCGCCCGCTCACGGGCCTAGCACAGCGCGAGAGCAGTCTAAACCCCAAAGCGGACGTCCGTCATGGAATTCGTGCGTGACAGAGATGGCCGGCGCCGTCGCTGAGCGTGGCACGAAGCCCCTCGAGAACAACTGCTGCAGAGATGGAGAGCAGACAGCATGGTGGGCCGCAGCCGACGTCTCCACGCACAAGCAAGACTTGGCCGTCCAACACAGGCGGCGCGAGGCGAGGCAAGACGCCGCAGCATGAGAAGAGGGCCGGCAGCGGGTCGAGGGATCGGCATGGGCTAAATGACTTTGCGCCGAGTCACGGGGCTGCAGGCTGCTCCATGGTCGAACTGCTAAGCGAACTGTGCGGGCCGTGTGTCGACGGCGGGCAGAGGAGAGGCCCAAGCAGCGGCGACGAGGACGCGGGCTCGCGGTGCGAGGAGCGGCCAGCTCTGTCCGTCTCGCGTTCGGGGCGGGCGTGCAGACGGCGCCCAAGGACTGTCGCAGGCAGCGTGCGCCGTGTCTGGCAGCACGAGGAGACAGCCCAGACAAGACCAGCCGGCGTTGTGCAGGCCGTGGCAGCGGAGTCTCGCAGCGCAGGCGCGGATTGGGCGCTGGTCTGGCCACGCACCACGGGCGACAGCCCCGTCATCCGCACTCGGCAGGCGCGCAGGCTTTGCTCCCAGACGGCGCCAGGCTCTTGCCGCTCTCGGTCAAGCGCCGGCTTGGAGACGCAGACGCAGGCGCAGACGCTGACCTCCTCCTCCTCTTGCAACTTCACTGCTCTTTGCTATCCACAACCACCCCCATCCTTCCCCCGTGTCCACGCCCCCTTCCTTCCACGCTCCGTCGTACACTCGTGCGTTCGACGCTGCCGCTCACCTAAACCTCCATCTCTCCGCCCTCCAAGACGTCGAGCCGTCGTCCTGGGCTCCGCCCATCTCCTGAGCCATGGCCTCCTCGTCCTCCAACGTCGTGGGCGTGCACTATCGCGTCGGAAAGAAGATCGGAGAGGGCTCCTTTGGTGTCTTGTTCGAAGGCACCAACTTGTTGAACAACCAGCAGGTCGCCATTAAGTTTGTACGTCGTCCGTCGCGCTCTACGCGTCTCATTTGTTGCTGCTCTGCCCGACGATCGATCCGCTGACTGTTGTCGTTCAGGAACCGAGGAAGAGCGACGCCCCACAGTTGCGGGATGAGTATAGAACATACAAGATCCTTGTAGGATGCCGTAAGTCGGAATTGCCTCTCATCCACGATGCTCACCCTCGCCGTGAAAGGAGGCTTTGGCGGTGATTGCCAGCTGCTCAGGGCTGCGGCACAAACCAGTCTTTCTGATGCGTGCAGACCCTTCTACGTCTTGCTGGGATGTACCACCACGCCCTGCTGCAGCAAATCGTCTGTTCGGGAATGGCATTGATCTCGCTCACCTGCCGCCCCTGAGCCTTCACTGATTCAGGTCTCTGACAACGGAGGGGACCTCTGCTAACGCAACGTAGACGGCATCCCTAATGTCTACTATTTCGGCCAGGAAGGCCTCCACAACATCCTCGTCATTGATCTGCTTGGTCCCAGCTTGGAAGACCTGTTCGATCTTTGCCATCGACGATTTTCGATCAAGACGGTCGTCATGGTCGCCAAGCAGATGTTGTCCCGAGTGCAGACGATCCACGAGAAGAATCTCATCTACCGTGACATTAAGCCCGACAACTTTTTGATCGGCCGCCCTGGCACTAAATCGGCCAACGTCATTCATGTTGTCGACTTCGGCATGGCGAAGCAGTACCGCGATCCTAAGACCAAGCAGCACATTCCGTACCGGGAACGTAAAAGCTTGTCGGGCACGGCCCGTTACATGAGCATCAACACACACTTGGGAAGAGAGCAGTCGCGAAGAGACGACTTGGAAGCGCTTGGACACGTGTTTATGTACTTCTTGCGTGGTGGCCTTCCATGGCAAGGCCTGAAAGCTGCAACGAACAAGCAGAAGTATGAGAAGATTGGCGAGAAAAAGCAGACAACGGCTATTAAGGATTTGTGTGAGGGCTTTCCAGGTATGCTGCTTGACAATTCACACCCGTTTGCAACCATGTGACTAACATCTTCACCAGAGGAATTTAACAAGTACCTCTCTTACGTCCGCAACCTGGGCTTTGAGGACACGCCAGACTACGAATATCTCAGAGACCTGTTCACCCAGGCCTTGAAGCACACTGGCGAAGTTGAAGATGGTGAATACGATTGGATGAAATTAAACAACGGCAAAGGTTGGGAGGCTATGAAAGCACATCCGTCTCAAGCCCATCTGAACCATGGACTCCCAAACTCCTCTCAACGTGAACTTCACAGCCAGCCGCGTCCAGCAAAAACGCCTATTCCAGCTGATCGCCTGAACCAGGACCTGCCAAAGCCAGGAGCGAGACAGGGAGCGGGTCCGAGCCGACACCCTCAGAGAAGAGACCCAGCTTACGGCCATGACCCTGCCCTTGCTGCGAAGAGACAGTCAACCCAGGACTTTCGACACCCTGAGGGCTCCACTGTTGCACAGTTCCAGCATTCAAACCAGAATCTTGGCCCGCGGGCAGGGGGTCCTCAGAATGCCATGACCCCAGCTCAACAGCCACAGAACAACAATGGCCAGCCTGCTCAGCAGGATGGCGGCTTCTTTTCGAAGCTTGGGAAAGCACTTTGCTGCCAATGAGCTGTGATTGTTTTGTCTCAAAAGGCTGCTGAAAATTCATGGCGTAGTCTCCACGCCTCTGATTTCTAGATTTCTCCTCCAGTGAAAACGGACATAGCAATGGCCGGGCAGGCCACCAGGTAAATCTTAGGGGACGGTATGGACAAAGCAAATTCCGTCACAGTCGCGGACTCTTCTCTTACTGGACGTGGATTCCCAGTCACGCAACAGGCCGAAGCCGAAGAAAGCTTACAAGATCGTGATGGTGTCTCTGTTACTCGCGACGGATCTATCCCTTCCTCATATTCCGACTGGCGCGGTTGTCGAAGACATCGAAATGCAGCCTTCATGATCATCACAGTCGGCTGACTAAGCCTATTGCCATTATTTGCGCGATCACTATACTGATGTTTAATTTTGGGAATTTTCCTTTCGCATAAGCCAGGCGTTCCGGTCAACGACTCGCATGGCTTCTTTCGCCTAATTTCCCATTCTTACCATCTCTCCTACGCTTTCACTCAGAAAGACACTACACAATCAGATATGGATAAGATGAACGACTTTGCATGGGACGAAAGGAAGCAAAGAATGTCGCACTCGTTTCCCCTCGCATTTTCGGCGAAGGCTTAATGTTTTGTCTCTTGCTTCCAACCAAGACATACAGCGTAATCTTTCAGTCACGGCCGCGGAAATCTCTCTTCTGTCATGTGCATCATTGGCTTCTCGCAAGCGTTGTTTACAATACCATCGAGGGTACCTCAATGTACACGATGGAAAAGAGGATTGATAAGATTGTTGAAAATGGGTCTTGCAAAGGGAAAAGAGCTCTTGTGCGCCTTTGTTGGACCTACGCCTGATCGTGTCTCTTTTTCTTGCGCTGCTGCACTTCGGCTTTGGAGCTCGCTTGTGTCTTGGGCTCGCTGTCGCGGCTCCAGGTGCTACTCTTCAGATTTATTTTCTCTTCGACTCTGCTTTTATGGAGGGACAAACGTCTGGCATGGAAATACGGATAGGTTAGATAGAAAACTGCTCGTTGATAATGTCCGCATTTGGAGCGTTCGCCACTTCTCCCGCAATTGTTTCCAGGTCAGTGGGAAGTTTGACGATTTCTGCAACAAAGGAAAGAAACATGGTTTTCAGAGGGTGCTCAGATCTCAGACAGGCCGTTAGGTCGAATCTGACGAACATGCTGTCATATTCCTCTTTTTACACGCATGTCGATCGTTTAATTAATCCTAATGTCGCATTTGCATGACGCCGTGTCCCCGACCTCGGCCTCCCGAGAATTTATCGCGCATGAACGCGGAATCTTGAGCATCTCAGAAAAAACGTTTCCAGCCAACGTCACTCGATCCACCCGAACAAACCCATCCCTGGATCTGCTAGCAATTGATCTTTTTCCCTCGTTTGATAGCCGGCTGCTTAATACGCGATGATACCCTGAAGATGTCTGCGCGATTGTTCTCGAATTACGTCCTACCGTGGACCTGCCGGTCATGTCTGCGAAGGACGGCGCTGATGTCGGCATCCCGGCCTTTAAGGCGCCTGAACCACATCAACGCGCAGAAGCCTAAGAATGGAAGTAATAGGAGGAGAAGAATACTACTGGCAAGCGCGACAGGTGGCGGAGTGGTTGCGACGGCCGTGGCGTTCAATGATGAGGCGAAGTACGTCTTCAATGCTGCGCAGCGGTCGGGCAGAGTAGTCACAACACTCTTCATCTGCATTAACGAGTATGTCTCGCTTGTGGTATTTCAAGTACGGCATGTAGAACGAACTGATCGATGCGACCAGCTATCGCGTGACGTTGAGACACGATCATAAAAACGAAGAGGACTACCAAGCGCTCCTCAAAGCATGCCACAAACGCTGCGCCGAACGCACCTTGGTCGCCATGGAGAAGAATGGGTCAATATTCATCAAGCTGGGGCAGCATCTGAGCAGCTTGAATTACTTACTCCCAAACGAGTGGTGTGACACGTTCATTCCATTGCAGGACAAATGCCCCGTCTCGTCGTATGAAAGCATAGAAGAGATGGTCTACAAGGACACGGGACGACAGATCTCCGAGTACTTCTCCGAGTTTGAAAAGCAGCCCATCGGCGCCGCGTCGCTGGCACAGGTGCACAGGGCTACGGTCAGAGAAACCGGCGAGCGCGTCGCCGTGAAGGTACAGCACCCTAGCTTGGACGAATGGGCACCGCTCGATCTGAAATTGACACACTTCACATTCACCACGCTAAAGAAATGGTTTCCAGACTACGACCTGACCTGGCTCAGTGAAGAGATGGAGGTTTCCCTGCCTCAAGAGCTGGACTTCAGGCTCGAGGGCGAAAATGCGAGACGAGCAAAGGAGTACTTTAGCCACGTCAAGGACGTGCCTCTAATAATACCCAACGTGACGTGGGCGGACAGGCGGATCCTGGTCATGGAGTACGTGACGGGTCACAGGCCTGACGATCTGGCTTATTTGGACGAGAATAAGATCGATCGGGATGAGGTCTCTGCTGCGCTAGCGAGGATATTCAACGAGATGATCTTCGGATCCGGCGCGCCGCTTCACTGCGATCCCCACGGCGGAAACATTGCGATACGGCATAATCCCAATCGATGGGGCAAAGCGAACTTTGACATCATCCTCTACGACCATGGCCTGTACAGGACAATTCCGATGGACTTGCGGCGATCGTACGCGAAGCTTTGGCTGGCGGTGCTGGAGGGGAACGAGAAGAACATGAGGACATATGCAAAGGAAGTTGCAGGCATCGACGACGACATGTTCCCTATCTTTGCGTCTGCAATCACCGGTCGCGAGTTCAGCGCCGTCAAGGCCGGGATCGCCAACCAGGCGAGAACGGCGGCCGAGAAGGAGAACATCGCCGACGCACTGAGCGACGGCATGCTCGCGCAGATTGTACAGTTGCTGGGCAGGGTGCCGAGGGTGCTACTTCTTATCTTGAAGACGAATGATCTCAGTAAGCGGAGCCGGGGAGACCGATTGCATCTCGGACCACATCTGGCTAACATGGAGCAGCTCGATCTCTCGACGAGAATCTTCAAACGCGCCAGGGCCCTGCGCGCACCTTCCTCATCCTCGCCAAATACGCATCCCGAGCCGTCCTCGAAGAGCAACTCGAGAAGATCAAGGGCTTCTCGCCGCGCAGCGCCTTCGCATTTCTAAGAGCTTGGATTGACTATCTGCGCATTGGGCTGCGCTTGAGGGTGTACGAGCTGTACCTTGATTCCAGGAGGCTGCTGGGCATGCAGCCGCTCACCATCTAGACGTGGACGCTGACTGCTTTTGGTATGAGATTGGGGGGGAAGAGGATGGAGGGATCTGCTTGTTTGTGTGCATAGCGATGGCGTTAAATCATTCCGCTGGCTTTGCAATGCGTGGAGAACATAGACGTAGAATTGTACAAGTACACATGGTCGAGTTTGATCTTTCGGCTGCATTTCACGTCAGGCACCATTCGACACGCGAACGTGAAATGCCTGCTCTCGCAGTGTCGCTTGCCATACTTTTATTTTTTTGGGGCAGAGGAATGGAGGGGAGATATCCTAATCGGTGACAATTTTCAGATCGTGCCGCTGCTGCTATTGCACTTTTACCTGCATGCGTCTTCTTATGGAGGCTTGCATTCCTGCGTCTCTCCGCATCGTGATGCTGCCGTATGACACAAGTTTCCAACGTCGCGCAAACCGCACCACGGCCAGTGCAGCAATGACTCCTCTCCTCCGTCGGCATGTCCCCGCCACTGTCGCTTCCGCCGCCGCCGTGCGTGTCGCCCAACGGCGGGCATGGCCCGTCCCTCTCTCCTACCACACGCCCATCTCCCGGCGGCTTGCTATCAGCATCCTCACCAGCTCTCTGATCCGCGGCTCCTGCATCGTCATGTCCATGTCCTCCCACAGCTCCGCCGGCCTCACCGCAAGAGCCTGCATCTCGCCCAGCACGTCCGGCCCTAGTCTCGTCCAGCTGCCGCATTTCAGCGCCTTGTCGATCTCCCTCGCGAGCTGGCCGTGGAGATTGCCGAACAGGCGACGCCTGTTCTCCGGCTGCGACTTGTCCGTGGCTGGGTTGACGACCGTGTACGTCAGCGGTAGCGGCTTCCGGTGTGCCTGCTTGACTTCTTCGACGATGCTGCCGCCGTCGTTGCTCGGTTGCTCCCAATGGAGCACCTCGGCCACCAGCTCCGTCACCTTGCGGGCGGGCACCTTTGACCTCTCCGTTCTCTCGGCCTTTGCCCTCGTCTGCTCCTCCGCCTCCCTCTGCCAATACTCGGATTCGTCCGGTCCCCAGAATTCGTCGCACTTGTCATCCGCCTCCCATTCGTCTTCGGCTGGCTCTGTCCCAGATGTGTTCAGTGGCGACTTGCCCGACAGCGCAGACGCGTACGTCAAGTCGCTGGATAATGGCCGCGCAACTTTGCTTCCCAAATCATCACCCTCCGACGCCATCCTTGTGGTGTCAGAAACGTGCGTCATGCCCTTCTGAGATTTTTGATGGATTGCTGTGTTGAGGTGTGCTGCGTGTGCGGTGTGCGAGCATGAGGGATTGATTCATTTGGTTTGCAGCTACCACCTAGCAACAAGACTTCCAAAAGCAACACAAGACTATCGTTCCAATAACTTGCCAATAACCTCATCACCTGAAAGGCCGTCCTTGCTGTGGGCCAGCGATGCCAGCACACTTCTGTTCTCCTCCCACTTGCACCATGCCGCGGCCTGGAGCAAGCAGTCGGCCAGGTCATCGAGCTTCCCGGCCAACTCGGGACCGGCGTCTGCTTTAGCAAGTTGATTTCGAGTCGCAGCTTTCGTCCCGCGAGCTGCCAAGAAAGACTTCTTCGTCGTAGCCGCACTGTCCGAGAAGAAAAGGGACAGACGGTTGCCGGAATCGCCCGAGAGCCACTTCTTGACAAGATCAACCTTTTGCTTCTTCTCTATCTTTGCCTTTCCGGCTGTCGTCCTGCCGTCGGACGCACTTCCACAGATCCAGAAGTTGGCAACCTGCTTCGGATTGACGGGCCACAGAGACGGCCTGGGCTGGCCAGTTGGCGACGCTATCGCGCGGAAGACCGCCCAGATCATGCTCTCGAACATGTTGACTCGCAGCGTCCACTCCTGTACAGCAGAGCTGTTGCCCGTCCGAAACCGCTGCCGCTCTATCAGGACTGCATCAGGCTTTTGGGGCACGAAGACGTCACGAACAAGCTTGTAGGCCGTGTTCGACAGTGCAGACGGACCAAAGGGATCAACCTCGTCATCAGACTCTTCATCCCTGGCGAGGCGACTGTCCTCCAAGATCGCAATTCGCTTCCAGTCCTTGACGTCGAGGTGGACCCCTTGCGCGTGCATGCGCGCGTCGCAAACGCAGAACGCGAGATTCTTGATGCCCATGTCGACGCTTAGGATACGCGTCGGCACGTCTGGGCACAGCGCCCGTCGCGAGACGTTCAGCTCACGTTCCAGCTGTGCGAGCAGCTGCGGCTTCGTGCCGCCCGTCTTCGCGCCCACGGCCGTCAGCAGATGCCTGAGATGGGCATTCTTGAAGGCGGAGAACCGCGACATGGGCCGTGCACAACCATGCGAAGAACGAAGGAGAGCGCGCCGGAGCTGAACCAGATAGGAAGGGCAAACTTGAAAGCAGACGACGCACAAATGTGGTTCGAGAAAGTGTGCGAGGGCAGCGCGAACGGATGTAAGTCAGCCAACGGCGGATGGCGTCCGCTTTGCTTGAGGGAACTCCGTCTGCTTTCGCGCCTCGTCAAGCGAGCTTGTGTCCCATTCTCTCACGGGACTCGGCCGGCACAAGGGGCAAATGAAAGGTTCGGGTATCAAAGTGTGACTGCGAGGATCGCAGATGTTGAGATGCCGTCACGAACCAGGACGATGTCGCAAGCGGAGAGAAACGGCCGGCTCGTTGGAACGTCAAAGCGCAAGCCGTGAAATGGACCGAATTCATCTGCCACGTCCGGACGGCGCGCTGCGACTTGGAAGGGCGAACTGACAAGCTCGCTGCTCGTCCGTCCGCGCTGTCCTCATCATCAGGTCGACAGCGCTGTAAGAATCCACATGCAATCTTGGCCCTGGTCTCAGGCCCATTGGACGAGATCAGGAACGTGTCTCATGGAACCCTTTTCCACCTCTGAACTCAGGCCAGGAGTCCAAGGCGCAGGGTATGGAAAAAGGAATCAAAACTTTTGGGCTTTGGACAGGTCGGTATAGAGAGAGTTGTCTGGGTCCAACTCCCTGTATCGCTTTGCTTTTCGGCCATTTGACGCTCGTCCTCTGCATCCGTCGTGTCTGAAATATCTGGAAAAAAAAAATGTGTCCACAATACCTGTATGCCCTTGTTCTTCATGTCGATAACATCCAAAATGCCCAATCAACATTTATCATGCTGGTCCTTTAGGCGCTTCTTGTCTGTCCACCGCGTCGACTAAATCAGTTATTTTTTCTTTTTTTTTGGTTTTCTTTTTTTACTTTTATTTTTCCCTTTTCCCCCTTCGTGCTCGTACGATTTCAGTTAAAACAAAAGTCTGAACCTTAACACATCATGCTCTGGCACATCCCTCCTCTGCCTACCTCTATACTCTCAGCTACTATTCCCACCCACCAAAGCCGAACCCGCCAGCCCACAAAGCGAGATTGTGCGTAACTCGAGGCCGTTCAATTCTCCGCCCCCATCCCAAAAAAAGAAGAAAAGAAAAGAAAAGAGAGAAAGAAGAGCTAAGCGTGATTCTGTTTTACTGCCTCTCGCTCGTTGAGCTGTCCACGAAAAGCAAACGAAAAAAAAAAATTTTTAAAAAATTAATTTAAAAATGAAAAGTCCCATGTTCCGTCATTTTGACTGCTGTCACCCTGAATCGGATACACGCGTTTCATCGCCTCTGGCTCTATTGTTTTGTGTTTCTTCCGCCTGCGTACTCGTGAGAAAACACAGGCAGCGACATCACCTATCGTGGAAAAAAAAAAAAAAAAAAAAAAAAACCGGTAAAAGAGAAGGGAAAAAAAAGGCACGAATTCCTGTTCACCATTGTCAATCACCTTCGTTACTTCTGTTGCGCTCAATCAAAACTGATCCGTCCCCCTCAAATTTTAATTGCGCAGCGCTCGACTCGCTCAGTCACAGAATACGCACTTGGCATAGGGTCAGAGATTTTCGATCAGTAACCACCTTGATTCTTTCTCCGTTGCGTCGAGTCTACTCTACTTTGTCCGTAGCGCGCGCCCCTCCCCCTCCCAAAGACTTATTATCCCAAAAAAAACCGTCATATGTACAGATTGGGCGCGGTCGTGCCAGATGTGCTTTGCTGTGTTGCAGTTTGTCATGTGTGCGGGTGCGTGAGCCCCAGTGCTCGCACAGCGGCAACAATGAATCGAAAGAATAAACAAAAGACTGTACAGTACGGTGTCCTCGGCTCCGCTAGGCGCGAACTTGTGCAACGGATCCCACAGAAGTGAGAACAACGGCAACCTAGAGATGAGGAAGGCATCCATCCCGGCCGTAATAGCAATTGCAATGTACTTGTAGAATGCTTTGCGCCGTCATTACTCAAATTTCAACCCTCCCGCCTAAGACAAAAAAATAACAACCGCTATGAATATGCAATCGTGCATATGGCTCATTCAAAAAGCGCCTTCACCCATATTTACAGTTTCTTCTTTTTATTACGCCGTTAGCCGTAACTGCAAGCGAGTCCCGAAGGGATTACCTTCCAATGTCCCAGCGCGGCTTCAAAGAGGTCATAATGTCATCCTTTGTACCAGCAAGTTCCTTGGGCAGTCTGCTCAAACGATGTGCGCCAGCGCGAATGGCATATGCTTGCGCGGCGGACATACCACTTCCACCACTGCGAATACTGCCTGCGTCGCTACCTGTGTCAATGCCTGCAAAACGTGGCCTTGGTGCGAAGTCTAGGGCTGTAAAGGTGCCAGACTTGCGCAGCAAATGCGGACTGGGAATCGGGCTGAGCTCATCATATGATGACTGTAGAGGGGTGTGTGGTCGGACAGATGGTGAGTATGGCCGCTCCGTGCCAAGCGGACTGTCTGGCCTCATACCGTTTTGACGTTGGCGGAAGGTCGGAGGTGGAGCAAGGTCAAACGCGGCATACAAGGCGGAATCCTCCTTGAGCAGAGCGGGAGTCTTGAGCGACATGAGCGGCTCTGGCGGGGGAAGAGGCTTCTGTCGTGGCCGACCGCGTTCTCCCGAACGGAAGTTGCTCATGGAAGAGCCAGCCCGTGGAGGCGTCATGTAGCCGCTCATGGAAGTGCCTGAACGCGGACCACCGAAGCGTGGGCCAGGAGCATTGCTTCCGGATCGCGCACGGAAGTTGCGTGGTGGTGCACGAGGAGGCGGGGTCATGGCACGACGAGTGATGGGCTGCGCGAACGGTGCACCGCCGACGATGAAGCCCTTTTGTTGCTCGTCGTAGATGCTGTAGCCGTTGCTCAAATACTCGCCGTCATAATCCTCGTAGTAATCACCTCGCCCCGGTTGTTGAGCGAAACGATTAGGGGCTGGGTTCTGACCTGGCTTAGCCTCGTCGAAGTACTCCTTGTAGAAGGAACGAATTCTGTTGGCGCGTTCCTCCGGATTTTCGGCCGGGTCATCAGGAGGCAGCGGCCGCATGAATACCGACAGTCGGTTGACATCAAAGTCTAGATTTCTGAGACCTTCGTCAACCTCGAGGTTGTCTTCGTAAGGCTCATGATGCTCGTGGATCTCAGGTAAAGGCGCATTGAGCGACTGACCACGTGGAGGAACGGCACCAGCCGACTCCTGCGAGTAAGTCGAATTTCTGTAGTCTGAGTGCCTTGGGTCCGACGCCGTGGTGTTTTGCGAGTGCCTTGGAGGGGATGCGGGAGTGACCTTGAACTCGGTTTCACCAATGCCTTGGTTGCTATACTCGCTAAGATAGCTTTGCGTGTGAGTGTTGCGATCGTGGGCTCCAGGTGTCGCCTCGTGCATCGAACCTTGAACTGACTGATACTTGTCGTGAACCTCATGTTGCTCGGGCTTGTCACTTGGGGCAGAGCGTGTAGTGGCGGGCGGAGACAGAGCAACACCAGGAGCACCGGTCTCGATTTCCTTGAAATACTCGCTGTCCGAATGCTTGCCAGTCGAATCGCTACCGAGAAGTGTGGACGTCGCAGAGTCAACCTTTGGGCTTTCATCGCCCGTCTTCATCTCCTTGGACTCGGCCGAAGGGTCGACTGACGGGTCACGGCTGTGGATGAATTGGCCGAGGTAGTTGTTGCTCTTCCTGAAACCGGCTGCGGCCATGTACGAGTCACGAGACTGGTCAGCGGCGGCAGGGGCAAGTCCGCCATTCGTCTGGCCTGCAGCAGGAGACGAGGCGGCAAGCATTGCCTTCTCGGGCTCTTGAACGTGAGGATGCAGATGTGGCGGAGGTGGCAATGAGGTTCCGCGAGGTGGCATTGAGCGTGGGTTGCCTTGAGCGTGACCAAGCAGGCCAGCGTTGGTGTCGAACATGGACGGTGCGGCGGTTGAGTTGGTGTCACGGCGGGTGAAAGGTGAAGGCGAACGGATGGACATGTCATCCGCCTTGCCAGTGTGGTAAGGATCACCACGGATCGAGCGGCCCAGAGAGGCCAAGGACTCGACGGAGTTGCGACCACCAGTTGGAAAGAAGTACGGGCTCTCGGTGTCTTCGAGGGACAGTCCACGAGTATGCTTGACGCTTGACGTCTCGAGTCCGTTGGGCAGTTTCTTCTTCTTCTTGTTGGGCCCGAAGGACAAGTCCATACCGAAATCCATGGACCTGTACTTTTCCTCGTCGGCAGCATCCTCTGCTCGAAGCTTCTTCTTGTATTTGCGGTGAAAGAATACAAAGAGCACCAGCGCAACCGTCATTGGGATTCTGGAGCCATGTCAGCCAACTTAAAGAAAGCCAGTGGAAGAAAAAAAGGGGGGGGGATGTGTATAAATGGGTTCAACGTACACAACGCCGAGGGCAACCGGCAGCGTGACAGAGTCGTCCGTCGGCTTCTGGCAGGTGTCTGAGCTGGCGCTGTTAGAGCACGACGTTGCGGCCGAAGGAGCTCTGCGGGCCAGAGAAGGAGGCTCCATCTGCATCGCTCTGCTTCCCAGCTCCAGCATGTTTCGGATCTCCAGGTGATGGACTGGACCATCAACCAGATCCCGTACAGCACGCGGCGCGAACAAATTCATCCTTCGGCTTGCGTCGTCGAATCACAGAGGCATTGAGGCACCGAAGTCGGCTCTTCCGATGTGACAAAGGTCGGGATGTGGGATGTTCGGGCAGCGTGAACGGGTCGTTTGCGTCGTCAGGCCGGACAGTTGGTCTGAATGGCAATGCAGACGGGCAGGAAATGTGGTGGACTAGATTAGTAGTAGTGTAGGAGGAGGATGTTTGGTCTGGCCAAGCTCAAGAGCAGCAGACGGGGATTGGAGAGAATGAATGAAACGAACGGACGGGACGTATAGACGGGAGCAAAGGCGTGCGGTGCTGCCGGCGTGACAAGTCCCTACGAGCGGGCGAAAGAATGACTTGGGTGAGTAGGTGATGAGAAGGGGAGGAGGAGGAGGGGGGGCGGGGAGGATGTGCGTGTGGGAAGAGACACGGCTTGAGATGAGGTGTAGGTGAGAGTGAAGAAGAGCAGCCGTGGTGGTGAGCAGTGAGCGAGGAAAGGGTAGGCCGGGTGGATCGCGGCGCAGTGGGCCAGAGCAGGCAGAGGAGACTGAGGCGGGCTCGAGATTGCCATTGGCCGACGGCGGCCGGGGCTGCGTCAGGCTCGCGCACACGCGGGAGCTTGGCACGACGGAGCTCGAGCAGACGCTGCACGGCCAGACTTGTCCTGGCTCGCGCTCGCAGCCGCCCGCGATCATTGGCCGCACTCGATTTTTTCCTATCTGGCATCTCATCTGCGCTGACCACGGGGGCCTGGGGCCGGAGCAGGACGCGCCTGTGTCGGGGATGCTGCCTCTTGCCCGGTGCGCGTTTCTGCAGCGGGCCAGGGGAGCGAGAGCACGGCGAGCTGTGGGCATCAGGCTGGGGGCGCGGCCCGGCGAACGGGGCGACAAGAGCAGTCGACAGCGCGGGCACAGGACATACGACGTGCCTGGCGAGACGGCCGCGCAGCAGCATTTTGGGACCCGTACCCTCCGTCCCGTGGCACGCAGTCTCTCTGTCGAGCGGTGCGGATGCTGTGCATGGAGCAGGCAGGCACCGAGCATGGTGCCTTGTGTGTGGTGGCCGCCCTTTGATTACACGTCCGCTCGACTGGGCCAGGGCGCGCGCCGGATGGGGTCTAGCGTCAGGTACCGCCGCCGCCGCTCGACTGCACGTCCTGTGCTTGTTCCTGTGCTTGTTCCTGTGCGGTCGCGCACTTGTCTACCACCACTGGACACAGCCAGACGGCCCACGATTCTGCGCAGAGAAAAAAGGCACCGGCCTTGCTCGCTGGGCAAGCGATGCGTGCCCTGCATTGGCAGCGGTTGTGCCCCCGCAGCGGAAGGTCGACCGCGGCCAGCGCCAGCGCCAGAGCACGCTGCCCGCCTTCCTGTTGCCTGCCTGGCTGCCTGTCTGTTTGTTTGTTTGTTTGCGTGAAGCACGCGTGCGTGAGCGAGCGAGCGTGTGCATGTACGCTGTATGGTCTAACTTGGGCTCCTGTCCGGCGTGCTGCTAAGTTCCTCCTGCGTACGGGCGTATTAGGTTACAGTGCCGCTTTCCTGCGCGATGGCTTGTGGGCTCTTCGACGCCACTGTGTGCGCCACCTCCTCCGCTCCCCGAGCAGCCAATTTCGCTGACACGCCCATCTACTTGTACTTGTATTAACTTAACTTATTATTGCCCACACGTGTCCGCCGTTTTTGCTTGTTCTTTGCCTTCGTCTCCTTATTTGCTTGCCTGCGCTGTGCGTCCGCTCCGCGTTCCACGTCCGTATCGCATGTCTGCCTTCGTCCCTATGCGAAAGCGCGTGCTTGCCAGCGGGAGAGAATAGTAAAGGGAAGAGAATTTTTCGTGACCATAGCTGTGCGCTGTTGCGCCAGTCTAGCTTCTTACTCAATGCCGCCTTCAAAGAATGAAGCACACGAAGGCTTTGTTGGCCCTGTCATTTGATGCTCTTGAGTCTGCTTTTGGCCTTCCCGCTCGGTCTCCCGCGCCTCTGCCTTTTGGCGACCTCCCGCGTTTTGGCCTTCGCTTTTACTGTCACTCATTCATCAAGCCTCAGTCCTGTGCTCATATCCGGAGATGATGATCAAACCCGCTAACTGCACTCATCTTCTTCCACACTCCCGTTCACAAGTCGCACAGAGTTCGATCCGCTCTCTTGTGCGAGCGCTGATCACGCCTGGCCAGACCGGGCTTCTCCTGATCATCCCTACTCAGAATGCTCCATCTCCATTCCTTTATTAATCACCGCTCGTTACAACAGCCGCCTTTCATCGTCGCCTTTTTCTTTTGTTTTGGACCGCTGACCCGCTTGCTTTGTTTTTGCTTTGCGGCGACCATGTAGCTCAACAATCATGTCCCGCTTTCATCACGGCTTGCCCACCTTCCGGAGTGTGTGGACCTTGGTTTCTCGAAGAGTCGCACTACTCGCACCTCCGAGACAATGGCACGGTTCATTGCGTCCGCGCGTCTGCGACCTGTTTTCGCCCACCCGCATCGTCACCGACGTGCCCACAAAGTGTGTTACACCGCAAAGATCAGACGTGATGATCGCTGTGAGCTCAGCCTTTCGCCTTTTGCCCAGCATGCCTGCGATTCGAAAGCCGAGTTTCTTGCAAGATCTGGGTGCGTGTATGTGACCAGTGTCGAGGCGTGAAAACGAGACAAACGGACAGGAAAAGGACGCAAGGAAAAGGTAAAAGGACTGAGGCACACTCTTTCACACGCAGCTCGGTATCCGGGATCTGCCTGCAACTACGTCTCTACTCGTCGTGCGAACCGTTTTTGGTCACCATTCTCCGGCCGACAACGTGTTGAGCCAGCGGTACCCATATGCTTTCGTCATCATCTCTAATGTGCGCAGCACAGACGCCTCCGTCTGGCCTTTTAGTATGTTCTGAGCTCAAAAATAACGAAACATTGCCCTTTGCGAAGAAAAAAAAAAATTGAACTGGCCCTGTATCAATTGACCTTGCCCCGTAGTCTGGCGAGGTCTGCCGTGGAAGGGGCGCATGTAGGGAAAGACAAAAAAAGACAGGCCTGCGTTGAGGCGAAAGAGGATTCAAACTCTCTATGCTTGAAGCCTCTGCGGAGCCCACGACTCGTCCTCCTTGCTTATCACGACCTCGTCAATGTGCGCAACGCGACCTTCCACAATCTCCCGGCCGTTCACCAGGTCGTTCTCGTCCGCGCGCCTGTAGCCTTCGTCTTTGTTTCTGGCGATGCCGGCCGCCACGTGTCTGTTGGCCAGCCGCTCTCTGGCGACGTCGAAGCCGACCTCCACAAACCACAGCTCGTCCATCAGGTCGGCCGCCTCCTTCCACTTGGCCCTGTTCAGCGAGCAGTAGTTGCCCTCGAAGATGCAGACCCGCACGCCCGGCGCGATCGCGATGTCGTCCTCCACCGGGTCCTTGACCGCGTGGTCGAAGCTCGGCGCGTACACCGTCGTCGTCTCCGGCAGCAGCGGCTCCCGCAGCTTTTGCACCAGCCGGAGGAAGCTCGCGTCGTCGAACGTGAATGCCGCCCCGCGCCGGGCGTGCGCGTACACCGGGTCCGGCATGGCATCCAGCTGCGCGCGTGACAGGTGGTATCCGTCCATCGGTATGAAGGCGGCGATCTCCTGCCCGCCTCCCGACAGACCGGGCGAGGCGGCGGCGTAGAACTCGTTGATCCTCTTGGACACCTTCGTCGCCAGCGTCGTCTTCCCCGAGCCCGGGATGCCCGAGATGGCGATCAAGAGCCGCTGCGACCTTGGCAGTTGCTTGTATTTGTCTGCGACGCCAAACGTCAGCCGCCTCGTCATGCCACCACAGACGGCGCCGGAACCGTTCGCGACGCTCAGAACGATACGTACCCCAGGCTTTCCGAGCGAGACGCTCTACCTGCTCCTCCATGGTGGAAAGCTGATGATCTGCGACGTCCTTGTCATGGGCATCGAACGTCCAACTTCTCAAGAGTGCTCTCAGATTCACGCTGAGAAATGTGCGTTTTCTACCAATTCATGTCTTGCCGCGATCAGCACGGGTGAATCAAGACCAGCACACGACGTGTTGGTTTGACAGCTCACTATAGTCGTGCTTATCCTCATCTTTTCGCCCTTGCTTGCAGGCAACCCCACCCTCGGGTGATGTCATCCCAGGAACAACCGCCCAGATCTCTCCGTAGCAAAAATGCTTCCCGTTTCGTGCAAACCTTCAGGACACAAGGCGACGGTCGCAGTAACAAAACCCGTGACTGTCTTAAAAAAAGGTCGCACGCGCGGTGGTTCAAAATCGCTCTGTATGCAAGCGAACGAGGGAAGACAAGGCAGGCCGGGTCATTCGCACCGTACTGCCGCCGGACCTGACGGTTCGTTCCAATGTTACCCTTGTTTTTCGAGACGGACCACAGTCATGGCCGTCCCTTACGACCCAGTGCTGTTCACTCATACTGGCAGCGGAACGAACGTGCATAGTACGAGCGGGGACCGCCGTGCTTTGCCGGTCGACACCTTCATAACAAGCAAGGCGGAGGACCTACGCGACCGTCCACACCGTAGTCACGCAAACGGCCGTTTCTTTCATTGAAAGACTTGCAAGTTTGGCCCACTGCTCCAATTCTGTGCCTTCTACCACAACGCGGCGTCGTCGAAGTGCCGGCCTGCCTCGAACGAGTAGAGCCCGCCCCTGAGCATCTGTAGAAGTGTGTCATTGTTCAATCCAAAGCCTAGGTTGCCTTACTCCCCCATCTATGAACCTCATCCGTCAGCACGTGTGCTTGGCCTTCACGTAAAATCAGCTCCTGCATGCATTCTCAACCGTGAAGACACGTTGAGAACCTACGTCGGGAGTCTGGCACACGCGCGCCCTAAGCTTTCGCTCGGTTCTGAGTCAAGTCACACCAGACACAGGAAGACACACAAAGTAGTTGCAGAAACTGGTAATGCATTCTACAGCATGCCGAGCTTGGATGCTGTCAAATGTGACATGACTCGTTGTCATGTGCCCTTCGATGTGCTACTAACGGCCATGTTTCCGTTCGTTATAATCCTAGACGAACGTCGCGTGCTGATCTAGGGTATATTCGTGCTGCTGCTACAAAAGACTACGAACAAATTCTTATCACGTCCCCGTTGTCGCCCCAAAACGGTGCGTCACCGCACACCTGGGATGCTCTTTTGCTCGTTTGAGCCCAGCTCCTCCTCCTTCCACGCGCCGGAACAAGCATCTCCACCCACCTTGCGGCCGCCCTCAGCCCGCTTCACTCGACACCAAAGACCCACTTCTCGATCCCAAATGAACTGCCAGATCACGTAGGTCCAGCTCTTATGATGGGGCAGGTCCTCGTAGAACTCCTTTGCAATCTCATACAGAACAGGCAGCCTAGTCCACGGAATGGCAGGAAAGTCGTGGTGCTCGTTGTGCAGGCCCACGTTGTACATGAGGATGTTCAGGGGCCCGTAGTAGGAGAAGGTCTCCGGCACTGCGACGTCCAAGGGCTGCTTGGCAGAGGATTTGGCGACGTTCTGACGCTGGAAGACGTAGTGCTCGGCGATGAAGTGCGCGGCACACGGATGCAGGGACCCGGCGAGGAAGGAGGACATGATGAGGTACCACAGCGCGTTTGGCCCGGCGATCTGCACGAGCGCGTAGTCGAACGCGAGCTGGGCGACGATGTTGAAGGCGTGGATTTTCGTAAGCGGAATCTGGTAGATCATCATGGGCCGCAGAGCGTAGAATAGGATCTGGAACGTGCAGAAGAATGCCTTGCCCGCGACAGAGTCGAGAAATATAGCTTCGAGCCGAGTCGGCAGGTCCACGTCCACGCCATCAACGCCTAGGGACTTGTGGTGCGTTAGGTGGTACGGCTGTAGCAAATGAGTTAGCTGCTCTACTCATCCAATATCATGGGGCATATATCCAAAAAAAAATAAGCCTGTCGTGGGGATGGGAGGTGAATCAATTGCTCGAGCTAGCAACATCACCACCCGGCGAAGTTGTCCAAGCGTGCGGCTTACTTGACGCTCCACCCCGCAACGAGACGGACGGAACTACGTACCCTGAAACTGGCGCTGTACGGGATGCCGATGGGCAGATTTGCAAACACGGCGAAGAGCCTGTTCGCCACGCCGGATCTGAACGCGAGGTTGTGCGAGATCTCATGGATGGCCAAGAACAGGTTCTGGTTCGCCGTCGCGCCGACGACGTAGGCCGTCAGGAAGAAGGGCCAGGAGATGGGGGACGTGTTGCGAAGGTTGTACGCGACGACGACCTGGAGGGCGACGACGGCGGCGACGAGATACTTCGTCAGGGGCTCGGGCCCGCATAGTTTGAGGACCTGCGACGCTGCTCGTTAGCGACGTGCTTCTGCGGCCAAGCGTTTCGAGAGAGTCAGCGTGCCTCCGGATGTGCCTTTATGATCGCCTGCCTCCTCGTCCGGTGGGGCTCCTCCGTGTACGTCCAGAAGAAGTCCTGCTGAGCCGGCGGGCCCGAGGCCTTCTTGTCCTTCGTGGTAGTGACAGTCGCGGTCGAAGACATGGCGAGATGCTCCAGAAGACTCAATGAAGAGGTCTAGAGGGTGCAAAGTATGTTCCCGGGCAGTTCTGTGGTGTAATTTTTCTTTTTTGTCTTCTCTTCGGGGGCGGTGCTACGTTTTTGTTCAGGAAAGCTCCAGCTTTCCCTTTTCAGGGTCCCCAAGGTTCCTCAGGGGACCGCCTGGTGGCGTGTAAACGGCTCACGTTTTCTCCGTCTTGTGGGCTGATTCTCTCTGAAAGCACCCGGCACTCTTGCATGTGAATTTGGACCTCTGTTCAAGCAACTCAAGATATCGATTTTTTTTCTTTTGCGAAGCCGTGACAAGCCAATCTTGACGTCTGGATGTCTTCTTCTCCCAAAAAGCCTCATCCTCGCTCGACTTTAGCCCTGCCGTTGCAATCGAAGAATAAGTCGGTTTTAACATGTCGTAATCGTGAGCGCTTTTACGGACTTTCCATGCCTATTCTGGAGCCAACACCAGTTGCTAGAAAGCCATCCCTACTTCCCAGAACTCGCTCACGTGAATGGTACCTGTCGTACAGATGCAAAGATGCATGTGCCGGGGCAATGCAGAGTCACGAGATTAAAGATGTAGAAGGTTATGAAATACTTGTATTGAATTCAAGCATCTAGTCGAACTTTTGTTTGGGTTTCATACACGAAGACCATGCGTGACTAACACCATCCTGAAATGCCAACAAGAACGGTACATACACGCTCAATAGTCGTCGCCGCGAGATACAACTTCTTTAACGGTCGGCCTCAAGATGATCGTATGCTCGAACTGCGCCGTGTACGAGCCCTTGATGTCGCACAGCGGCGGGTAGTCCTGCACGATTCCTTGCTCTACAAGGTGTCGCAGGCCGAGAAGGTACTTGTCCTGGCCCAGGCGGTCAAGGTACCGACGAGCGAAGGGCAAGGTGCCGAAATTCTTGTTGATGGTATTCAAGAGCGACTTGGCCGAAGCGACGCGCAACGCCGTCTTTGGCGCATCTGGGATTTTGGCATAGTGCGAGCATTCCATCTGCACAACGCGTTAGAGCATCACTTCAGCAGCAAACCGTCTGGAGATTGGGTACACTTACGTCTTCATGAACATAGCCTTTCCCTGTGCTGCCAAAGGTCTCAATCGCGAAGACTTCGCCTTCTTCCATCTTCGTCTGGTCACCGCCCTTGACGATAGGCACGCTCTTGCCACCGTGGATCTGCCACCGACCGATGTTGTGGCCTGTCAAATTGCGAATTGCCTTGACGGGGTACGTCTTTCCACCGATCTCGACCTCGTAACTCTCCATAGCTTCTTGAATAGCAGCTCCAATGTCGCAGACGCGGACATCTATACCCGCTTCCTACAATCAAATCAGCGATACGGCTCAAGCAAAGAACATGAGTCGGGCTTTTCTTACCCGAATACCCGTGTTGGTAGCGTCCTTGACAGCCGCTAGCAGATTATCATAAACGGGGTTAAACGCCAGCGTAAACGCGCTGTCGATGATATGTCCGTTCAGATGCACACCGAAATCTATTTTCATCACATCGTTCTCATCCAGAACCATCGTATTGCCCGCGTTGGGGGAATAGTGCGCCGCACAGTTGTTTCTGCTGAGACCGGTGGGGAAGGCCACACCACCCTTGATGTTGTCTCCCTCCTCAAGGCCCATGTGCCCAGTGAGGTGCCTTACGCTATCTTCGATGCCTTCAGCGATCTCAGTAAGACCCATGCCGGGCTTAATATGCCGCTGAGCCCATTTACGGACCTGTCTGTGAACCTCTGCGCACTGTCGAAGGTCGTTGATCTTGTCATTGTCCAGGCGCTCCAAGTGCCTCTTCTCTTCACTAGTCGTCCTGTACGCATTCTCATCTTTGTAATCAACCTCCTCGCCGTGCGGGAATTCGTTATTGGGGAACATATCCGCGACCTTAACCCGAGGCGGAGACGTTTGACCCTTGGTGCCACTTGCAGGTGTCTTCTTCTTCTTCTTCTTGGGCTTCTTTTTCTTCTTCTTTGCGCCCCCTTCACCCTCCGCTAGCCCCTCACCTTCCTCTTTGTCCTCGTCATCTGAGTCATCGTGGTCTTCAGCTCCGTCTTCTGTACTGGCTCCGTTCGCGGCGGACGCCTTTGCTTTGACGCCGTTCGTTTCGCTGACTATATTTTGGTTAGATTTGGACGAGTCGGTTGTTTAAGGGGCGAAGAAGTAGCGTACTTTTGAGGTCCTTGACCCCATCCGCTACAGTTGCCGCCATTTTTTGCACACGTTCGTGCGATTGTAGCGAAGTTCAACGATCGAGGGTGGGGTCCGTCACGCAGAAATCTGATGTGGCTTGCCTTTGCAAACGGCGGAAGTGGACCGCATTTGCCGTTTTAGCACGAGGCACACGAGTGACGTCTTCTTCACAACCGCCATTTGCAAACGCTCATCTCCTTGCGCGAGCAGAATGTACGGGTAGATATTACAGAGTCTCGCATGATCTATCCGTTTGCGCTTTGAGCCCTTTTCTTCATTGCCCTTCATTTCCTCCCCCGCTCCCTGTGCATCCTCTATGTCACAACTCCGCGTCCTTCATACGAGGTTCACCTCAGTATGCCGCTGTAATTTCGTTTGGAGAAACATCCCGCGGCAGCAGGAAGACCATCCTCTCCTGCTTTGTCGCCAGCGGGCACAACAGCAACAACAAAGATTTTTCCATCCGTCGCGCCGGAAACTCCAAGACACCTTCCCCAACCACTACGCTACTTTGGACCTTCCCGTCTCCGCAACGGCAGCAGAAATCAAAAAGCAGTTCTATGCACTGTCGAAGAAGTTCCACCCGGACGTGAATCGCGATCCCAGCGCCAGCGAACGCTTCGTCGCCATCAGCGAGGCGTACCATGTCCTCGGCTCCCCGGATAAGAAAGGGAAGTACGATCGGGACCTCCAGCGTGCACACGCGACACACCACGCAACCCGGCACGGCAGCCACCATTCGTCATCCATGCGCAGCGGGCCTGCGGGTGGACGGCCAGCGAGCGGGCTGAGCAAGAGGAGAAGCCATTTTAGGGGCCCCCCGCCGAGTTTCTACACGCAGGGCGGTTATGGGACGCAGGACGGGAGGCGACGGCGCGCGCAGCACGAGGCCGACGCCTGGAGCCAGCGGCGGTCTGCGTCTGGAGATCCGAACCACCCTGGCGGACTAGGCTCTGCGCCCGACTATCAAGGTACGGGCGGGTTCTCGCCTGGCAACGAGTCGGGGTACTATCCTGACCCTAATCTGCCGTACTTCGACAAGGAGAGCCACAGGCGGACGCACGAGGGCCTTGATGCGAGAAGGGAGCGCATGGATGGAGGCAATACGGGACATAGGGATCCGTACGCGCAGCAAAACAGCTTGATCACGAACTTCCTTGTCGTCAGTGCGGTAGTCGCGACTGCTACGATGCTAGCCACTATGGTGACGGGCTTTGTCAACAGTGCCGGGTCCCACGGGGCGGGACGGTCGAGGAGGAGGGGAGACGGATGATTCAAAATCAAGATAAGAAAAGAGAGATAGAGTGTGTGGGTGCTGGGAGAATGAAGCGGCGGCCACTCTTGTCGCTGTGCTATCTGTGGGCCTAGCTATACTTTTCTACAGCTCCCGAGACGCTGTTATCTGCCATTTGTATGCCTTCCGATTTAAGCCATTGATTTCCTGCCGTGCCGTGATTCTGCCATGCGCCAGTAGCCTCGCTATGCCGTAGTCGTGCTTTGTGATTCATCCCAATAACGTACTCAATCTCAGAATTTGAGCGTCTCTTCATTTGACAATCAGAGCGGCCGAAGGCACCATGCCGGCCTCTTTGAGTGTCTGCCCAAAGTCGGACCGGTCGAACACCTTCTTGGGAAAGTTTTGCGTGAAGCTAGCGACCTCGGTGCCGTTTTCTTGCGTGATGGCGTGCGCGACTTCGAACAGCGTTGTTTCCACGGGAAAGCTCTTCGTGATCGTGCCTCCAGGCGTCTGCAGCCGCAGCCTGGTCTCCTTATAGTCCGCCGTCGCCTTTGGAGCTGCGGGTTTGGAAGGAGCTGGCGCCTCCTGTGCAGGCGCGGGTGCCGCACGCCCTTCCCTGGCTGCCTTCTCCGCCTCCGCCTTTCTCCTCCGATCTGCCTTATCCGCCTCGATCTTTGCTAGGATGGCCTTCCGCGCGGCCGCGTCCTCTGCCTTCTCCCTGCGCTTCTTCTCCGCCTCCTTGATCTGCTCCTGCACCTTCAAGCGCTCCTTCGCGTCCTGGCCCTCCTTCGTATTCTTCCGCCGGATCTCCTCGTTCTGCTTCTTCTCCAATTTCTCCCTCTCCGCCTGTGCTGCTCGCTTGGCCGCCATGCGCTCGCGCAGCTCCTGCAGTTTCGCCTTCTTCTCTTCCTCGGTCAATGGCTTGATCTCCTCGGTCGACTCGCTGAAGTCCTGGTGCTCTGTCTTCGAGGCGTGCCACTCGGCTTGCGCGACCGAGCGAAACCGCTTCCCGCATTCGTTGCATACCAGCGACTTGGCTTCCTCGCCAGGTTGCAGAGCTGGCGGCGCATCCGGGTCCTCGGCCGCAGCCTTGTCAGCCGCGACAAGCTCTTCATACGATTTCTCGGCATTGTCGCTGAGCCAGTCCAGTGCCTGTTGCAGGCCTCCGGCCTTTTTTAGGGCGAGTTTGGCCTTGTCCTCAGGGAAGCCGAATTCGATCAGCTGCTCAAGATCGGTGGGCATGTTGGCGGTAGACAGGACGACGTGCTAGTTCGTATGGGGATTCAAGACTGTGCGACTACGTGCAAAGAAAGTACAGATGAAGGGCTAGCTCTCGATGCGAAAGGCGCCTCCAAGGCTGACGGGATGCGAGGTAGAGTCCCAAGTGGGATGTCCGCAACGTTGGTTCTGTCGAGGGTGAAATGGTCAGCAGAGAGACAAGTGACTGGGCTTTTGCTTGATCGAAAGGACAGTTAGCGGCCGGCACCGTGCAGCCAAGCGACGATGGTGTCTAACAATGGGTCTGTCCGTGTAAACGAAACTTTGGAGCACGGGCAAGCGAGTCTGGAAGGCAGCGCTGTGTATCGCGGAGCCGACCACGGCGGGCGGAGAGCGTGGTGGTGTTAGTGGGTCCAGTCCGCATGGGCAGGATTACATCACCACCTCACGATTCACTAAGTTAACGTAGCGTCGGAGTTGTAAACGGCCCACAGTGTTAACAAGCAAAACGGACAGCAGGTTAGGCAGTGGCCAGGGGGGGGGGGGTGCCCCGTCGCCAGCGGCAGCAGTGGGCCGAGGCCTTTGCTGTTAAGGAGCCCGGTGCAGTGCCTGTGCGAGAGGAGGGAAGTGCCCATGCCAGCGTGTGCGTCAGTGGGGAGCAGTGGCCTTACTGCTTTCCTGCGCTTGTCCTCGGCCCTGATCAAGTGTTTCGTCACTGTCTTGTCCGCCCACGCCACGCCGCCCAGCTTAGCCCAGCCCAGCCCGGCTGCCCACCCCAGGCGTCGTCTCTCCCCCCCCAACTTGTTTGCTCGCCGGCGTTGTCGCAACTGCCACATTACCACATTATCAACATTACCAATCCGCACTTCAGCCCACAACCTCTCTCATCATCGCCCTTGTCCAAAGACGCTTCATCGCCAATACACTCCGTGCGTCTTAAAGTTGTATCCTACTTCTCTGGCTTGCAGGCTTACGCTCTCCATCGCTGATCCAGCGCAAAGCACCCCCGTGCGGACGTCTTGCTTGCTGGATTGCGTGCAGCTCCTCCGACCGTATATACACACTTACCATACGCGAGTTGGGAACAGCCTTGCGCACAGAGGCTTCCGCTTGCTTGTCGTCACCACCTAGACCCAGCAAAGACGTCCCGCCGCGCGCGAGTAATCTTCTCGAATTCTCCTTCGTTGAATCTTTTCAAATTCTTAACTTAATTCAACATGTCCGTCGAGCTCGATCCGTCAGAGCTGCACTTCAAGCGTACGACTCTCCCTCATCTTTCCTCCCCTTCGCATCAGCTACCCAGTCTCTGGGCACATATTCCGCACATTCCATACGCCTCTAAACATAGGCTTACACTCTGCATTTGTAGGACCGTTCAACCGGGAGGTATCACAGATCTTACGTCTGCACAACCCACATTCGGATCCTGTTGCTTTCAAAGTATGTTTGCCGACCGATGCCCCGTTCCTTCGATTGCAATGACGTGACCCACGTTCAATTCGCTGACGACATCTTCTTTCTCCCTTTGCAGGTTAAAACCACTGCTCCGAAACAGTACGTCGATCTCCGCCAACATTCGCCAATACGTTCCGCGATCACCTTTGCGACACTTTCTTCCATAGGATACAGAAATGTTGACAGAAGTCGGATAGGTACTGCGTGAGACCGAATTCGGGTCGCATTGAGGCAGGCAGCGATGTTGAAGTGCAAGGTCAGTACGCTCTTTTGCGCACGATATGACATATAAAAACGAAGCCTTCGGACACAAAGCTGATTGTTTAAAATCATACAGTCCTCCTACAGGCCATGAAGGAGGACCCTCCTCTGGACGCTAAATGCCGCGACAAATTCCTCGTCCAAACAGTCATTATTCCCGCAGATCAGGAAGGAAGCGGGCAAGCCTTGGTACGTAGTTGTCCCTTCACCGCAGTTCCACTACCCTGAGCGAGCAGATGGATTGACGCCGGGCTTATCCGCCCAAATACAGTGGGCGAACATTGAGCAAACGAACAAATCTTCCATCTCTGAAAAGAAAATCCGTGTGCAATTCCTGCCCGCAGACGCCTCGACACCCGCTCGGGCTGCCAACGGCATCTCTTCCGCGCCTGCCGTAGAAAGCACTCCTGCAGGCACATCCCCTGTCCCAGAGGCGGTAACTCCTCACACCACCACAACCACATCGACTGCTCGCGAGGAGCCAGCATCAAAAGTTGCGGCGGCGCTACCGCGCTCCAAGGAGGAAGCTGCGGATCAGGTGGCGGAACTGAAGAACACGATCGCGCAACTGACGGCGCAGCTGAAGGAGCAAGGAGAATTGAGGCAGCGGAAGGTAGCCAACACCCTCGAGGAGAAGGGATACCCGTCTGCAGCGCAGGCAGTTGCACATCCGAACCAAGCGGCTGGCGTACCGCTGCAGTACGTAGCGCTGCTCTGTCTGTTGTCGTTCTTGGTCGCGTGGATCTTCTTTTAGACCGATTTGTGCTTTGCGCTGCGTTAGGAAAGTCAGGTTGAAGTTTACGGAGCACGCGTCGAATGACCAAGAGGACGGAGGGATGTGGGGACGTCGCTGACTAGATATTTGAAAATCACTATTCGGAAGAGGGAAAAGATGAGACACGAAGTCATCCGTGAGATACTATCGCAGGCTCGAGGGCAAGCTTCGATTGGCCTTGTCTTGTCGGAGGAAGAAGCGATGTATACACCACGCAGACATATGGTTGCTGCCATGGATCTCTCTCTGTAAAACCTTTGCGGGAGTTAATTTTTTTTTCTTTTTTTTTTTTCATATGGAAGGCTGCTCTGGATCTCTGGAGGTTTCTCTATTTCATACTATCTTGATGATCCTCTTAAGGTCGCTGCTGTACACACCAAAGGGGGGAATGCCTCCCCTACATAGGCGAACCGAAGCGGCCCTCCTATTCATGACGGTGCAGTCAGTGGTGGTCAGGTCCCTCGGCCCCCATTTCTTCAGATAGTTTTTTTTCCCGCCCCCTTCTATATGTAGCAACACCATTTTCAGATTTCAGAAAACATTTTTTTTCTTGCTTCTGTTTCTTACTAAGATGCGTCAAGATGCTCACAGAATGCGAAGTGTTGAAACGCGTTCACAGCAAAATCGGTGAAGTACTCTCACAAACACCACGCAGGATATACAGCGAGATGACATGATGAGGGTAGGGTTTGATCGTGCCTTTGATTCCCCCTCCCCTCTACCCAAAAAGAAAAATCATGCATTTATCGTTTACACGTTGCTCGTCCATTCACAACATCCTTTACAAATTTACATGTGTTCTTTCAGCTAGAACATCCCTCCAGGAGGCGAGAGGAACCAAAAAAAAGGAAGGGCCTTATCTCCTATCCAGCTTTCACGGCTATTAAAGATGTGTGGTAAGCAGACACTTACATCAGGCGATATTCATATCTGGATCCTTCCGATATTGACCATTTGAATCTGTGGAGAGAGAAAGAGAGCATGTGAGAGAGAGAGCAAATGAGTTAAGTAGATGAGGATAAAAAAAATAAATTAAAAATAAAAAAAAAGAAAGGGCTCGCAAAATGGAGGCACTGGAAGAAGAGGACGTACGCTAAGTAGTCGAGATGCCGTTGCGGGTATCGATGGCTTGAAACATAGTTATGCTGGGGGTATAGTCCAAGCTATTAAAACGGAAAGACAAAAAAGCTAATAGAGGCATATTGGATTTCTTTTTTTCTAAAAGAAAACCTTCAAGAGACCTGGTCCTGATGGCGCTAGGTGTTCCCGATAAGCCTGGTCAAGTGTGGTTCTGCTATTCGTGGCTGCCTGTCCGTGGATTACCTGACTGGAGGGAGCCCTGTGAGAATGGCGTCCAGAGAAGAAAAGGATCCATCATATTTCCGTATTGGCCATGAACACAAGAAGGCTGGGCCTCACTTGATACAGGAACTGGGGTTAAGACGGATTGAGGACACGGCGGCTCTTTTCCAGACGGCTCCAAAAAGTATTGAGCCATTGCAGAGCCTTCGACATTGAAATCTGGTATGCTCTCCGTCGTGTTCCCTAAGCCGAGCTGGAGAAACGTTTCCTCTGTGGACTGGTTTGTTACACGGTTTGAGTAAGAAACATTAAAGTCTTCATCAGATCGTTGAAATGAGTTCTGCAGTGCAGGATAGGTGCAAATGTGGAGAGTGGAAGAGGTGTGTGTTTGGGTGGGAATAAATGAGCTCGCATCAGTATATCTTTGGTTGCAGAATGACGGAGCGCTGGGGTTGAGCTGAGAGCACGAATGGGAGAAGGAGTTGGGTGAAAGCATAAATTTCGGGTTGCCCGAGACCTTTGGGGCCGATGTCAACCCAGGATGATCTGGTATACTTGAGGCTGCTGCTAAAGATTCCTTGTCCGAGATCAGGGACGGGCGCGTGTCATCGACCGTAGAACTCGAATACCGCTTTGAATGCTTATAGCTCCTTTTCCGTTTCTTGGCTGGTACCTGAGCTTGGGCCGGATTGCTAGGTCCAGATACGTCATCCTCATATTCTTCATCAGAAGACGACGCATTATGTCGTATCCCAGCAGCCGCACCGCGCAACTCTTCTCTGCTAAGTGGATTGTGCAACATATGAGGAAGTATGGTGAAGTCGTAATACGGCCAGAAGTCATCGGCCTTGTCCTTCAGCTCGGGGAACAGTTCGACAAGGCACCACCTCCATTTTTGCTCGAGTTCGCCTTGCTTGCCAATCCTGCCCTTCATTTCTTCGAAGGTCTTTTCCTGCTCCTCTGTGAATAGCTCTGGCTTGCTCATGTCGTCAATTTGACAGGAATTACCTTTCTTTTCGTGCTTCTGAAATTCATATTGCCTAGAAAATTCTTTGCAGCAGAGCGCACAGCGAAAAACTCCAGCCTTTTCCGCCTTGTGCGCAACTAAATCCTCACTTTTACTAAACCATTTGAAACATACCAAGCAGCGATTCGTCCTACTATGGTGCTTCTTTAGATGTTCCATCAAAGCCTTTGGCGTCCGCCTGATGCCTTTGCGACTCGTGCACGGTGCGTCAACATGGTTGTAACGAGACGGATTTGCTTTAGTCATAGGGCAGCTGAGTGGGGCGTTCTTTTTATTCTTGTCTAATATTTGTACGCCCGCCTGCGACGTGGCGTAGTTCTGTGGGGATGATAACGTTGTTTGGGCGGCACTTCTGTCGATGCTTCCTCCAAACAAGTGAAAGGTCTCGGCCACAGCCGAGCCGTGCGAGAACTCCGCAGGATACTCTGAATTAGGGAATTGCGGGCTAGAAGCGATTTTTCGATTACCAGGCTCTGATCCACTATACGCACTGAAAAACAGGAACCGCCTGGAATGTGATACAAAATCCTCCTCGTTTGCACAGCTCGATGTGCGGGACGGGGTGTCCCAGGTGGTCGATCTGGTAGGAACATCAAATGAATTAGAGACAGGTAAATTGCTTCAAATCCGTCAAATGGCTGTTTTTTTGTCTGTAGAGGTGTACAATGGCGTACCGTTGGTGGATACTCTCGATGTCCACTATCACTTTGTCGTGATCTTCAGTGAACTCCCTCGGCTCACTGAATAAAGTAGCTGGAAACGGTGCCTGATAGGGCGGCTCCTTCAAGAAGACCTGGAGCGCACCTCTCTTCTCTAATTTCCTGTTGTTGAATTCGAGGGCGATTGGGTCGGATGGGGGAAGCTCATGAGTGCGTGAGCGAGTGAACTTTCGGTGCGGTGTGGGAGATCGAGATGGCGCCCCCTCTTCGCTCGATTGTAAGGCTGATGAACTACGCGAAACCATACCTCAGTGCAATGGCGAAGCAAAAGTTGTGGTTTGTGAAGGAACGAGAGTAGCGTATGGAAAAAGCCTAAACAATGGCAACGGGCGAGGGGCCAGGCTGAAATATCACCTGTCCATCACGGAGAACAGTGTAATTCTCGGTCACATACTCGACCGCCTTATCGATCAGCAGTGCTAGAGGTAGAATGGTTCTAAGCACTGCAGCGTTCCCTGCTAAGCCTAGTTCCAAGCCAGGATGTGGTACTCGTTTCACAACTGCAGCCTCACAATCGCGAGAAAAAGTGCGAGTAGTTGTTGTGCATCTGTGCTGTGGCTGTGTTGCTCCGGCTGCCTTTGCATTAGACGGCTTTGACTGAGACCTCCTGTCGTCATTCGGCTGCTCTACTCAGCATAGTTAACCTGGACATTCGGCCTTCAGCTCTTTTGTCTTCTTTTTTTTGGGGTGGTTTCGCTTCTCCCCAGGATTCTGCCTTGGGCGGCAATGTATTGTTCCTTCATGCAGTTTCTGTACGCCCTCGGCCCTCGATTCATATTCGAAGCACACGTTGCGAACGTCGACGTGGCTGTGCACTCTAAACACGTGGACTCTTGAATGAGGCTCAAGCTCACGGAGCGCGATATCGAAATGGACTCGACTCTACTCCAGCATGCGTTACCTTTCAGGTTCTACCCATTTCTTGCCCAGGGCCTCTCTCATCTTTCAAAAACGAGCACCGATGAAATCGTCCGTAGTGCATCGACCTAATATGCTCGAGTTCAGGAGATTTGAGCGGTTAAAGTATACGTTAACGGTGCCAGTGCGTCCCTGTTAGTTAGAATATATGACGTTCTTGCGTCTGCGGATATGTTCGTTGAGCTTACATATCCGCCCGCGAATCGATATCCGAGCATTGACGGTTCACTTGGATGATATGTTCTTCCTCTACCATGTTTTCCCCTCCGCGTATGCGATTCCGTTTTTTTTTTTTTTTTTTTTTTTTTTTTTTTTTTTTTTACTAGAGTACATGTATTATACGTAGCTTGTTGTAGTCCTGCGTGTCATTCCTCGTCCTGAACCTGCGTGACTTCTGAAGCACAGCAACTTCCATCCGCCTCTTCGAGTTACACACATGTCTCCCGTCCTTCTCTTTGGTATCCTGCCAGCCGCCAATGAAAAGGCTCGCGACGAGGTACTTGGAAGCCTCGGCATTATCCCGACGCACTGAACTAAACGTCGAAGTGTAGATAATAGCTGGTCTGGGAAAGATTGCGGAGTACGCCAAAGAGCACGACCCAGAAACCACAAAGCACGCCACGCACGTCTCTGTTGATCCTTCTGATCCGCTGACTGTCGTCGCCATCGAGGAGTACACCAGCCAGGCCGTGTGCGACGCGCACAACGCCTGGCCGCCCGTGCTCGAGTTTCTGGAAGCTTGGAAAGCCGACCCGGGAAGGTTGTCGGGTCCGCCCAAGATCTGGCATTCCAACCACGCCGTGGCAAGCTTCACTAGAGATGCACTCGTCGAGGCTGAAAACCCGTTCGTTGTCCTCGCTACGCTGCAGTACAACAGCGAGGAGGAGATGAACGACGCTCTAAGTGGGTGGGGCCCCGCCGTGAGCGCGACGGAGACAAGCGAGCAGGGGACATTGTCGTACGCCATCGGCCGCGACGTCGAGGTGCAAAATCGATTGACCTTTGTGGAGGTGTACGAGGACAAGAAGTATCTGGAGGACGTTCACATGCAGTCGGACATTTTGAAGAAGCAGATGGAGGCTGAGAAGCAGCGGGCACCGAAAATGGAGATCTACATGCTCAAAAAGGTCGCTGGGTATCTGCGCAAATAGGTTGTTTTCTTCAGAAAAATTTGGTCCTGGTTCACGTGTCGACATATTCCTGCACTACGTCGACTACTTCGCGGACTTCCTCCAGCGCCTCTTTTTCGTACAGAAGGCCTTCGAGTGCAGATTTGGGACTAAACCACCTTGCACTCAAAACGAAAGCAAGAACTACGACCAGCAGAGCAGAAATACCTACTATGGCTCGTAGCGCAATCATATTCTCCCTTACCGTCTTCCCGCTCATGACATAACCCTTCTCTTTCTCCTTCGAACGTCTGATGCCCTTCTCTTGCTCCTTGTTTGTCGTGGCAGCTGTAGTCTCTTTAATTGTGAAGGCAGAGTTGAATAAATTCTCCAGCCCTGTCGCAGCGCCCTCAGCTTGGTAGTCTCGCATATTTCCTGGTGCGAGGACGAAATCCGCGTTGTTCTTTTTCCGACTTCCGAAGCCGAAGGTGCCATCTTCATCATCTGAAGGAGAACCGGTCGCAGCACGAAGTTCACCGCGAATCTCCTTCATGAAGTTATTCTTCCGATCTTGACTTGCTGGGATGAAGGGCTTGGGATTGCGGATTTTGTGAGCTGGTGGCTTCGGCGCTGGAGGCAGAGTGCCACGGAAAGGGCTCGGCCCTTCTGGCCTTCTGTATTCCAATTTCGGTTGTGGTGAGAACTGCGTATACTGAGATGGTCCCGTAGGGGTCCAGTCCATCTCATTTCCATCATACTCTGTTTCAGCGAAAGACTGCGTTGCGGGAGGTGTAAGAACTGATGCCGATTCTAGTGGCTTTGACAAAGCAGACACGGGGAAACTTGTGGAGAAGCTTGTTGTCTGAGATGAAATGGGTGTGGAGTTTTGTTGATACGCAGGTCGGGTGGCGGCAGGATCGACTTGCACTGGATGATGATCCGTCAAATTGGGTCGCTGAGGTGCAGAGAGTTTGACAGTTCTTAGAGATGTCAACGTGGTGAATACCAAGAAGACAATCATTGTGCCGTGAATGGCATTTGTTGGTATACTCTTCGGAATCCATTCTGTGTGCTCAAAGCAAAGTAGCACGACAGCCCGAACGGACAAGCTTATGAACTGCACTAGAAGATAGCTGCCTAGTCCACGCAGCCGCCGCTCACGGCTGTAGAGCTTGGTGCTTAGCGCATTATTCCACCAGAAGCTGGCAGCGCCCATGTAGAACGCTCGCCAGACACTATCCTTGGTAGCTTCTAGGCAGCTCAACTGTATCTCCTGCGACATGAGCGCATTGGCAGCACATGTCCATTGTCCGTACCACGAAATACTTCGAAGGCGCATCTGTTTCGTCGCATGTGGAAGAATCCCAAGCAGATGCCACGTAACTTGGCCTAATATGCTAGCCCACCATAACACGCCACCGATGAGAATCAGTAAGCGCCTCCAGCCCCATTTTCTCCATTCAGGTGTAAGTGACGAGGCTTTCTTTCTCGCCAAGCCCCGTCGCAGATTATCGGCTTTGGCGGCATACGTCGTTGCTTTCAAGCGAGCGTTCACCCGCGGCGCGCAGTCCACGCATACCTGTGGATAGCGTCTTTCAAGATCTGCCTTGTAGTCTTCCAGATTATCCAGAAATTTATTGTATTCTGGATGCGAAGGATCCGGGAGGTACTCAGCGAGGTTCTGCTGCACGAAATGCTGATTCGTCATGCATTGTTTACAGAAGATGTCGCTTTCTTGTGGCGACAGATCTGGACTCTGCGTTCGACGCGCATATCTGGCGTATTGGGGAGATGGTTGTTTCGCTGATAATGACACGGGAGGGTCGGTTATCTGTCCGTTCTGTAGGATTTCATTGTCAGCTGTGTCGTTACAACATCGCGTTGGGCAGTGACGTCGTACTTCGTCAAGATAGTTGACTGCTTCACAATAGTTACATTTCCATGATCGGATATGCACCTCCCATTTTCGATCAGATCGCTTTCCGCAGTAATGGCACTGCAGTTTGCCGCGTGATAGTTGCGGCATTGGTAGCGGCTTTGTTGTTCTACACTCGCAAGTTGTACGTACGGACGAATTTCGGGTAAGGGTAGACAAATATCACGTGACTCTTTTCAATGTGAATGAGGACGGTATAATGGGGTTATATAAGCGACTTGCGATCTATAATGGAGTGTGGTCAAGACTTGTCTTAAGGTCGTTGTTGGTGAAGCTGATTCCAGCTCATTCCGGTTCTGACATCAGTTCAGCAGTCTTTTCATTCAGGATCTACCAAAAACGCCTTTGAAACTGCTTGCTTGGTATGGAAGAATAAATATTGCGACGAATGAAAGTAGAAGAATCATTCTTCACCGTTTTGATTATCTGTCCTTTGGAAGCTGGTGTTGCTAAAGACTCTGCAATATAGTTCTTACTCAACATCACTACCAGTCTAACTTAGTCATAAGAAGGATGTTAAACACGGCAATCAGAAGAATTGTATCACTCCAGGTTGCGATCGCGGCTAACTGTGAAGCAAGATGGTGTGCAATTTTAGCCCTGGATATTAATGGCATGCAAATACACTGTGTTACGACCGTTGCATACAGGCACAGCGTTCGTAGAAAGTGATCCTCTTTCATTCTTCTATAATCTAGATGACGGGATTGCTTCGAAAAATGTACATTTAATGTGAATCTATTCCAGAATAACATGTTTTTTTTCTTTCTTTTTGTTGATCTGTTGCAGTTAAGGAGTTCGTCGCTTGCTGAGACCGCCTCCGTTAAAGTCACTTGGAACTAGAACTAAGGACTGCACAAACCCTTAAGTCTATGATAGCTATAAAGTATGCCAGCTGGACAGAAGGATGACAACTAGTGTAAGGTTATTCTAACACTATGATGAATTGCGAGCAAAATGTTCTTTGTTCGACCATGAGGTCAAATGAATAGCTGACGAAGACTGATGGCAGACATTAAGGAATACGGGCAATCTTAGTCATTAATGTCCTTCAATATCATGCTTTGTGAATGGAACTGCCGTCGATTAACATACGTCCAGCGTCTCCTTCAATAAGTAGTAGTATTTATCTAGATGCCACGCTCCACGATTCTGCTATCTCCAGTATGTGTCTAGTAATCTAACATCAAAGACGATCTTTTCGGTCCTGATTAGCTCCGATCCCATGCTTTGTTCAGCTGTTCCACCGCTGGCTTAGCTGCAATTGAAAACTAGTTTAAATTGTCGACCCTGCCTATTGACATCTTGGAGTGTCAAGGATATATTTGAGCTGAGATTATTGGCTCTCTCCTTGGAAGGGGGCTGGAGGATTGAGGTCCTAGCGTCTCACCTGACCTGAAGTATCCAAGAACAGCACATTAACAAACATTTTCCACAACGACTAGGCTTAAATTATGGAACTAAAGGAGTTCAGCGAATCTGGAAAGCTCGTAACGCGCTTCGTTGAGTCTAAAGGCCAGCTACATGTCATTCAAGAGAAGGATGTTTTAAGCAATGCGGAAATCGAAGTCAGTATTTGTCAAGACAAAGGGAACAGATGCTGATTCAGCGCAGAAAAAGCAAACGCAAGGATTTATACGAAAAGGGCTGGAGATATTTTTGCCCGCTGGTTATCCACATACAGTGAGCCCAGACTACCTACCGTGCGATAAATCCTTGCTCTTTCTGTCTAATACGTCTATCGGGTATTGATTGTGACAATAGGTACAAAATCTATGTATGCTCCCAAGAAGCACCTGGTCGGTACTAGTATTGATACACCCAGAGGATACATTGCAGACTCTATCGAGTGCTATTGCTGGTCTTCTTGCGAATAGGGCAGTCCTTCAAGGTACGTGATCTCACGACACGGTGACCGTAGTGGGGACTGGAGGAGAGGACTGATTGCTAACCTGTTACAAGGCGTTGGCGTTGGCGATGCAACGGCCTCACCAACAGGAGCATTGCTGCTTTCCATCTTTCAGGACTCTGCGGGCAGGATAGCGACTATCCTCTTCGCACACAGGCTGGGTAGCTCAATCGAGCCTGAATGTAAGCGGTATAGGCTTGCCGCCGACGTCTTCAACGATGCTGCAATGATCGCAGACTGCCTCTCACCGGCTTTTCCAAAAGCGTTACGGATCATGGTACTGTGCACAGCTAGCATTATGCGTGCTCTATGCGGAGTCGCAGCTGGCAGCTCCAAAGCCACGTTAACGGCGCACTTTGCTCGCTCTGGAAATTTGGGAGAGCTAAACGCTGTAAGCGGTATTCTACTGGCCATATGTCGTGCTTTCTGACAGGTAGATAGAAAGATGCAAGTCAAGGGAATGCAATCTCATTGCTTGGAATGCTGGTAGGTAACGCCACGGCACTTCGACAATTTTGTAAGCTAAAAGGCTACAGTTGGGCAGTATTGTCGTGTCGTACATCACAAGCCCATTGGCGACATGGATCGCCATGCTGCTGCTGCTTACGGCTCATCTGTCACTAAACTATGCTGCAGTACGAGCAGTGAGCATGCAGACTCTGAATCGGCAGCGAGCTAATATTCTCTTCTCGAATTTGATTGCGCACGATATAGTTTTGACACCGAGGGAAGTATCACAACGAGAAAGAATCTTCGAGAGTGATGGAGTTTTGCGATGGGCAGATGATCACGTACTCGGGTCCGCTAGGATCGGCTCGAGTTTTCGAGAGGTTGCACGGAATGTTGCTGCTGGAAGCCAAAAAACACTGGCGAATGCGTCTCATGTCAATCTCGGCTTGTTGAAGCAACTGCTGGATATATTCGAAGACGAGGACTACGTAATTTGGCTTGACACTAAGCGGTCGATAGTTTTCATTGTGCTAAAGAGAGAGGCAAGGCCGTCTTCCCAGCTCCAGGCATGGTGTCAGGCCTTATTACTCATCTCTGATGAAGGAAGCCAGCCCAAGGCACAGACTGCTTCACCGGAAGTAATACTGGACCTGATTGCAGGCTCTTTAACGAAATCAGCTAAATTGTTTGCGCAACACAGGCAGCACATCATAAATGCGGGTTGGAATATTGACAGCGCAGCTCTCGAAACACAGTCTAGTCTTCGCTTGGTGTCCATTTAATACGCCTGGGTTAAGCACAGTCGGCTCACTGCGCCTTGCTTGATCCTTATGAGTACTCCTTGCCGCTTGAGAGAAGTTTTGGTACCTCCGAATGAGGAGGCAGACCAGTTGGTCTTGTTTCATATGTGCAAGTAAGAGGCTTCGTTGGTACATTGTTGCAATAGCGACGGAGGACAGACACACCCATATGGATCTAATATGAGTATTGAAATTCCGCTTTTGGACGCTATTCGAGTTCAAATATGGCAAGAAACCTGCTAGAATTGGCATTTCGGGCTTTCAATTTGTGGAGCATTTGTTCCCAAGCTTGCATAGGAGGAGATCCATGATGAAATGCGATAACTTACTGATAGACCGAAATCCATAGTAATTTAGCCTTTTGAAAACAAGTCGATTTGCAGTGGCAATCGGTCGTTATGATCATCGCATAACAATTAAAACCACGATCATACATGACTCTTATGAATAAAATTAACGACGGCAGAATAATCGGGTCGACAATCTTTTGGGTGCAATGGTCGCTAAGAGGTTTCTTATCAATTTCGGACTTCCTGACATCGCAATTAGTATTGCTACCGTATTCACCAACAAACTCAAAGTATGACACAGATAGAAGGCTGCGTATCTATTGGAACAGTGGCAGACTCGTTACTGAAGCGACAGCGATCGGTCTCGTTCGCCTGCACACACATGTTAGGATTATGGTCTAACAAAGACAAGAGCAACAGGCATAATAATAGATTCTATACATTAGCTGACAGATCCTCTCAGCGGCTTGAGCAGCTTGAAGAGGCAAACCTAATGGATGTGCCGGATCTTGCCTATATAGTAATCCATAATCTCCCTCTGGATGAAATCTGGATCTACAACGTCAACTTTGCGAGTGGTCGTCTTGACCTCTAGAAAGGAACAGCTTCGAGTCCTCATGCACTTCAAGGTGATACTTGATTCACAACCAAGCCTCGACACGTATCCTATCTCCTCTAGAATAGTCCACGGCAGCGGTATCAATGCTATATGTTAATCAAGGATAAGAACTTCCTTGCAGCTGCGCTGTTTTTGTGGTTGGAATTGGAGATCAACTATTTCGCTAACACGGTTCATTGGGCAAAAAAATACCGTAAATGGAGTATCCACGTAACACAGAGGTAGGAATCTGTTACTAAACAGGAAGATGGAGGCAATAGTAGTACAGGGTGATTTTTGCAGAGAATGGGAGGCATGTAGCAGCGTCGAGTTACGAGTGTGAGCTTATGAAAGGTTTGCGGCGAAAGCCACGTTAGTAGCGTCAGCAACGTCAGTTTCGCTGTCACACAATGAGAAAGTAATGGTCAGGCACGAAAATGATTCAGAATAAGGGATTTATGGATGTAATGTATTGAAGGGATTCAAAAAAGCACGGAATCTGGTTTTGATATTCACAAAGGTAGGATATGTGGTATAGGTCCTTTTGGATAGACCTTGCTAACCGTAGCGTAGGCATACTGCTCCTTGTACTCCAAGGCCGTTAGCTAAAACTCTGAATGAGTAAGCACGAAAACTTACAAGCTGAAATCGGACCGTGTCTCTAAATGCACCGTTGAATTTGTTCTCTGGATCCCAATAAAGGTTTCGTAGCCAGAGGTGCAGCCTTGGATACTCGTAGCGGATCATTTTTAGATTGCACTTGAAGCTTGAGAAGTAAGCAACATCGAAGCGGATCAGAGTCGAGTACAACCGAATGTCAGCATCAGTGATATTTTTACCAAAAAGGTAAGGTTGATGATCCGGGCTTGCTAGCATTTCCTCTATCTTATCTAGAGACTCGAAGAGCGGAAAGAGATTGTGTTCATAGGCTGATTGAGTGGAGGCGAAGCCCACCTTATAGACACCATCGTTGATATTGTGATACGCGAAATCCCGGAAGTTGTCGAGCTCAGTCCTGAGACTTGGGGGCAAGAACCCAGCTTCGCCTTTGGTAGCCTCCCTCTTCTCCTCGGGGAGCAATTGATCGAACTCGGTGTATACCATTTGAAGAATCTCGCTGGCATTGTTGCTAACGATGGTTTCTGTAAAATGCACTCAATACGAATACCGTCCACAAATTTGCGCACAGTTAGCCTACCTTTCTTCGTGTCCCACAAAGCGGGCACGGAACTCCTCCCATTCCAGTCGGGATATGCTTTCAAGTATAGGTCTCGGAGATGAGTGAAGCCGTATCTTGGGTCTTTCGCCGGCCCTGTCGTACCACTGAACGCCCAGCCGATCTCGTCCGCCTTGTCAAGCTCAACGACATCTATGATATTCTCAAGACCCTTCAGCACCCGGACAATGAGAACGCGGTGCGCCCATGGACAGGCGTAATGAACATATAGAACGTAACGATTAGCCTCTGCCGGGAACTCTGAGTTCGGATCTGCTGAGATAAAGTTGCGAATTTTTGCCTCGGGTCTTCTGAAGTGGCCATCCTCGTCCGCGAAGCTGCCAGGCTTCCAATTAGTCTTAATAACAGGACTTGTTAGCTGAACATTTACTTGGTGATGATAACTCATGGCTCTTACGTCGTTCTTCTCCGTCATATCTTGGGGGTTGAAAAGATTTTTTTTCAATACTTGTTTGTCTCGTTGAAAGATAATTGCACAACCTTCATATGAACGGGTGAATTTATGTATCGCCCACCAAAGTGGTTGTGGAGCCTTGCATGGTCGTGCTTATACCCCTCGTCTTCCGAGACGGCCAACGAGCATAAGCACGAGCATAGTCTGCTGAAAAGCTTTAGTTTGGGATCTAGTCTCTTCCCTCGATTAAAAGTCCTCTGCACGCATGGCTGGTTGAATTGCTTCAAACCAACATCGGTGATTATGTGCTAGCCGCCACATGTAGCGTCTGCTCAGCGCCTCAGCCAATCATAAAGCCATTAACCCCCCGACCGTCCGAGCCGTCCCAGGGGTTTTAAGCGCCTCAACCGATCCTCCGAACTGTTGTGAATCTTTGTGCATCCCGGAGCTCCAAGGATGTCTGCTCGGACATGGCAGAGTAGACGTAGAACACCGCAATATCTTCTCTGGACCCTGTGTTCAGCGCAAGACGCGCATAGCAATATGCATTGCCCATTTTTCATTGCTATGTCGCGATCGCGCCAGCTTGCTACCGACTTGGTGTATAAGTTGTTCTGTATCTCTCCGAAGTGATCATTTACCTCAAGACAGATTCATTACGTTTGAATCGACGTCATGTCTGAAATCAAAGAAACTGCTGAGGTTCATCGACTTGTCGTTCAGGAATGTCCAAAGCGGAGATGGGTCAGCTACTTCTGGGATACGCTTGACAAGCCGAAGGAAGAACGGCGCTTTCTCTTCAAGCTAGACTCCGCTCTGCTCACGTTTGCTTGTCTTGGTGTGTCCCCTGTCAGAGACGTGAATGACGTTTCGTCGTGTTAACATGCACCAAAGGATTCTTTATCAAATACATGGACCAGATTAACGTCAATGTTGCTTTCGTCTCTGGCATGTTAGTTAACAGTGCCCACAGCTGCGCCCCAATGACAAACTGAATATGCTACAGGAAGGAAGATCTCAAACTCTACAAGAATCAACTCAACTATTTCCAAACCGCTTTCACCGTCGGCAACATTATTGCACAGATTCCGAGCAACATCATTCTCACGCGTATACCTGCTCACATTTGGATTCCCCTCAACGAGGTTCGACATGGTCCTTCTTTACCCTGAGCTGTACGACTGAAACTAGTTTATAGGTGATATGGTCCGTTTTAACGTTTTGCCTTAGCCAAGCAAAGACTAGCACACACATCATTGTCATTCGCTTTTTCGTAGGTGAATATTTATGTACTGCCACTGACATGGAAGCTATGCTCACTGCCGCAACAGGTCTCGTTGAGGGCACGTTTTACCCGGGGTTACAATATATTATCGGCTCTTGGTACCGGAAGGATGAGCTTGCGAAGCGTACCTGCATCTTTCACATTAGTAGCGTTTTAGGTGCCATGTTTTCGGGCTATCTGATGGCCGGAGTGTTTCATCTTGGTGAAAACAGCAGATACAGAGGATGGCAATGGTGCGCATTCAATAGTCTATGACTTTTTAAAGCCTCTATTTGACAGTGCGCTTATAGGCTCTTCATCATCGATGGCGTCATTTCGCTTCCCATCGCTTTGGCCGGCTTTTTCTTCTATCCCGACGTACCAGAAGCTGGGAAACCATGGTATCTCTCTGAATCGGTGAGTTATACACAATGGATCTAACATTTTTCAAGAGCTCATAATGGGGAAAAGGATATCAAACTTGCTCAGAGGAGGATGGAACTCGAAGGGCGAAAGCCCCGGTCGAAGTACACAGTTGCGAAGGTTAAGAAAATCGTGACATCTTGGCGCATATATGTCCTCACCCTTACCTACACGTACGTTTAATAGCCACTACCGCTTTTATTATGAGTTGCTCACGCTCTCTACAGTTTCTGGGTAAACAGTGTTGTTGGAGCTGCAGCTCCAGCCTTCACCCTATTCCTAAAAGCTTCAGGCTATTCAGTTGACTTGATAAACGTTTATGGTACCTTGCCGTTTGCTGTGCAGGCAGGAGCAGAACTCATCATGGCATGGTCATCAGACACGATTCTAAAAGGTCGTCGTTGGCCAGCTATCATCTTTGGGGCAATTATTACTATTTTTGCCTCTGTGTCTTTAACGGTTTGGGATATTAGCCCAGGTTGGAAGTGGACGTGCTTTTTACTTGGAGGTGTGGGTGGAGCCACCGGTGGTCTTTTCTTTGCGTAAGGTCCTACCAAATGATCGTAATCAGCGAACATGCTAACCTCGATATTATAGTTGGGCGAATGAGATAACCAGCAAGGACAACGAAGAACGTGCCATCGTCATTGCTTCGATGACTCAATTTGGCAACACAGTCTCCGCATGGCTGCCATTGATCGTATTCCAGCAGGTTGATGCTCCCAGATATCGCAAGGGTTGGATTACCCTTACTGCTATCAACACAGCTCTTGTTATATCAACATTAGTTACATGGCAGATGCAAAAAAGAGAGGAATCACAGACAGCCATCTTCGAGGACTCTGATGACGGAACGGTGAAGAAGAACGTGGAGGCAGTGCGTGTCCGTGCTGGAGAGAAATAAGAGAGTCAACTACCCACCAACAAGGTATGCGCAGCTGGTAAGGTTACATAGACGTCATTGAAGATAGTAGCAATCACGATGTGTATTGCTCGAGCTCAATAAGACAAGGTCTGTCCATGTTCCAGCTAGAGGAATATCGGTGCTCTATGCAACAAGTTCATTGCCATCACAAATTTGGAACATGTTCCCAACCTTCGTCAAACCCCACACCCCATATCCACTTCTCCATAATGTCCCGGTCAACAGTAGAGTCGTAAACCATCTGTGCAATTTTGAACCAAGAGTTATTCCTGACAGGAAATACCTCCTCGTCGTCCGTGTTGACTGTCTTTGAATATTCCTCGCCATTCTTCAATGCTCGGACTGCCTTTATCAAATGACCATCGTCATGAGTCTTTAGCACAGCTTTGAACAGAGTCTCCCAGTCATACCCTGCACTACGATCAGGTGTATAGTTTGTGATGTCGTCTAGCCGAAGCTCGACAGCACCACTTGCAGCGTACCAAACCAAATCAAGGCGTCCTTTCCATTCCACGAGGCGAACTTTATCTTCTTGACTAATCCAATCTAACTTAGAGAAAACGGTAAGCGCGATTGAAGCCGTTAGAGTATGCAGGTGAAAAAAGTCGAGCTTCCGGGCCTTGCCAGGTCGTTGAGCGGCTCCTGTCATGTATGCGGCGGAGTTTATAGTCTCTGCCAAGCCTTGATTGAGATCCTCGGGTGCCACGCGGAATTGTGCTGCGATATCAACTAGCAGAGATTGATTTTTGGGAGAAAGGATACCATTTCGCACGCGTTCGGGGCCCGTAGCGAAGCCGAATGGGGCTGCACGGAGATCTTGGTTATCGTGCACAGCCTTTAGAAGCTTGATCAGGGGTTTACTTGAATTTTTAGAAATAGATGCTTCTCTTTCAGCTTGGAGGAAGTAATCCTCTGTACCCATCGAGTCGTGTGACGCCGCTTGAGCTAGACCCTCGGCCACGATGCCAGGCTGTGCGAACTCGATTCCAAGGCCAAGATGAATTAGGGGATGGTAAAGACCTTCAAAAAGTTGGGCAAACATTTTCTCAGCAGTAGGACTTCTCCCAAAAACATGATCTTGTACAACAGCTACCCATCCTTTCTCTTCGATCTCCCTTGAGAAGAATGCTAAGAAGTTCGAATATTGATCGAGGTCGCCCATGCGTTCTAGAAACTGATCGGGATTACTTAAGCTAACGACAATTGCAGGATCGGTAGGTGGTTGCGGGCGTTGGATATCAATGCCATCATCAAATGCGCGTTGGAGATCCTCCGGTGTCCCTCCCAGTGCGAACACGTTGAGCACAGAGTGGGTGATGTGGTTATGGCCTGCGACCTCTCGCCAGAACATGTGATTCTCGTCATGATTTTTCTGCAAAATACGACTTGCAACCTCAAACGAGCCATCAGCTTTGCACGGAGTTTGAATCAGACCAATATGATCAGGGCTGAGCTGGATCAATGATGTGGTGGCCATTTTTGGACACTCCTCTATCAGAGACTGAGATATTTGCGGCTGTAATAGTCAGTTAGCATTCAGGCTCTGCCAGCATTACTCATATACATGCAGATGATAATCACGCTACCAAAATTTCGGGTTGCGTGTCTTCACTAGATCGCTTTGAGGTCATCCTCTCTCGGAAGTGAACGGCCTGAAGAAAATAATTTATCCGAGGAGCATGAATATCCCGATGGGAGTGCGGAATGTAGTCACCCCGACCATGTTCGGCATCGAAAGTGCTTTGTTGCGACTAAGGCTATTTGATTTGTCCACAGGAACAACACGAAATATTGCTTCATTGGCTCTTCTGCAGAAAATCTGGCATTGATATTGGCTTTAGTACGCCTCTATCTTCCCCATGAATCATGTAATTTCCACTGAAGTCAGACGTGATGATGACTGAAGTAGCACCCCTTCTCTACGACTGCTCAAGACTTATGACTTTATATCCCCGAATCCTCAATAACCGCATTTTTGGGAATATTTACTGTGTTGTACCACTCACTCCATGCTTTGCACCGATCCTCAAACTCAGGAAGTATGCCGGCACTCTTCAATAACGGCTTTATCTTGCTTGGTTGCTCAATAAATTGTAGAGACAGGCCCGCGCTTGAATGGAACGCGATGTGGCAATGAAAGAGCCATGCTCCCGGATTGTTGATCTGGAAGGCAATCACAGCCCATCCTCCAATGTCGATGTCGATCACATCTCGCCGAGCGGGATTGACGAAGTTAAGCTCAGGCTCATCTGGGATCATGCCTTCACCTTGTGCCAGGATGTTGAAGTCGTGACCATGTAGGTGCATCGGGTGCACAGAAGGGGTCAGATTGCGTGGAATATCTGTAGGAAGTAATGTATAATTTGACGTTATGACGAAATACACCCACTCCTCAGTTTCGAAGTCCAGGATGAAAGGAACCGCCTCGGGCGGCAATGTAACATTATCACTGGTCGCATATTGCCAAAGGGACGGTTTCTGCCAATCTACGAACTGTGGAGTCTCCTGGATGATCCATTTTCGTACTTTTCCCGGAAAATCGGATGCGTTAGGGTACGCCTGGTGGCCAAGTTTCAGGTAATCTTCTGGACCGATGCCATTCACGCGGGTGCCGACATTTTGTTTAACGACAGGCACGAGATTCTTCGGATCGGGATCAGCGCATCCAAAATGGAGATAGGGATTCGGAGGCGTGTAAGGAGCGCTAGTGTCTGCCGCATCGTACCTGATAACACCGATTTTGTTGGATAGCGGAATTAGCTCTGGCTCAGCACAGTATTGTGCATTGACCCAGAAGTTATTTCCCTTTGACAGATCTGCATTTGTCTCGATGATAAACTCGTAGCGTTGACCTTTCGTGTTCAGAACTCCGTCAATGTGAATTTTGGGAAGCGCAGCTTACCAATTCCTATATTGAGAACCGGCACTGTGTAAGGTTCGATCGGCACAAAATCCGTTTGGATGATTGTCAAGTTATGACCGTCAATCCAGAAATTGTATGTCAAAAGGGTTGAGGTGTTGATGAGGCCGATCTTGTACTTCTTGTTCTTACTAACGACAACCTCGTAGAGCTCTCCCTTATCCTGAAATGTGCCTTTGCCATTGAGCACAATGGAATCCGGGAGAGCTGCTAAGAAGGTGGTCTCGCCAATCCATTCAAGACCGAAAACATCAGCATGATACCAGTCGCTTAAAAGCCATGGCCCTAAATCTTCATCCCAGTTCGCGCTGGAGGGCCCGTGTATTACAATGGGCCCTAATATTAACAGTGAGCATAGCGCACGCTGGGAATATTAAAGCGCAAAGCATACCATAAAGACCATTACTGTCTGTATGCACGTCAATCCAGCAAATTAGTTGAGATACAAGACCACGTACATTGCAGACTCAGGTGCCCATGGTACCAGGAAGTTCCATACTGCATCGCACGGAACTCATAGATCTGTGTATCCAGAGGCTTTTAATAGGGTCAGCAAATCCAAAATAAGAAAATTCATATATCGAACGAACTTTGCTTGGACACTGTGTCACTCCCGGTACGCCATCCAACCAGTTGGTCTGGTACTGGCGGATACCATGCCAGTGTATGGCAGTACCATTGTAATCTTCTGTGAAGTTGTTGTGCACTGTGACGCCTACGTTGGATCAGGCTAGAGCATTAAAGACAAATGATAGAATTGACGCACGAATTGTATCTCCCCAGTTGGCTTCCACTGTGGGTCCCGGATATTGGCCTGGAAGTTGGATAAGTGAGATGTAAGGGATTATAAAGAGACACCCTAACCATTGACTACTTGGCCAAGCTTTGGATAGCCATCTGGGAAAATCCACTCCTGCGAGAGTGTAAACTCATACTAACAACTTATATGTTAATGGCACCAGCTACTCCATTGCGCACTGATATACCTCAACTAGCTTTCCTGGCGGTATCACAGAATTGTTTGTGTAATCGCTAAAGATGTCGAAACCATCGACCCAGACCCCCCGATTATTGGGGCCATAGCCACTACTGTCAGAGACATGTGCGCTAGAAGTGGGACTTCCAAAGGTACAAAAAATCAGAGAAGACAGGACCAGGTTGTGGCCTATCCGCTTCCTGCCTAGCATTTCGAGAAATACAAAATTTTGAAATAACAAGGATCAACTGATTGAGTACTTTGTCCATTTGGAAAGATTCACTATTAACTGACTTATACACCATAGCTCGTAGTGTTCCGAGCACGAAATTGCCTTGCATATCTAGAGCCCGATGTCCGCACGTGGCGCCGCGCCGCATCCGGGGCAGGAGATTATCACCGAACGACTGTCTCTTTGTCGGTCGATCAGGTACGACAATGAAACTGAAAGAACTGAAAAAATGTCCGCGCAGCGATACTTCGCAAATATTGAATGCCGAGAGTCAATCCAAAGTGGCGAATAACACTCTTACAGGCCATCTACAACCTCACCGTCTCTCACGAATTCCTCAACCCACCCAATGGTCATTCTGCCACGACTCAGTCAATTATTATCAAGTAAAGTGCAGAATCTGATACTTACAAACTCCTCTTTGTGTCAGCGAAGTTCTCATGGTCCCCTACTAAATGTTCTCTGTACCACGGATCTTCCTTCATTCGTTTATAGTCCTCGAGACTTTCAAAGATTACTTGGCTGAAACAGTCAAAATCGGCAATGTTGGCCATTTGATGGTCAAATAATTGAGTCATCAAGGAGCGGGTAACAAGTGGATTGTGAATCTTTGTAGATCGTTAGCGATTGTCTTAGAAGGTTCTAAATCCTGAACATGCAGAGACGCACCATGGTCCATCTCCTTATGCCATATTTCACCATAAGATTCTTGGTCAGCGGTGCGGATACTTTTGTCATATGATGACGATATGCTTCTTCGCTCATGCCTGGCTTGCGGTACCCGCATATGGTAAGACACAAGTATTTGGTAGGCTTAATACTATCGACATTGGCTTCTGATTCTGCTGCCGATTTGTTATCCTCCGCCATGACTTGATTTTTCAAACGTGTTTTGATCTGAGCTTTGAAAGGAGGCGTATAGAGCACGCTCAAGAATAGGGCTTGCGTGTGACACTCCGTCCTTTGGATACATCTTCAGCCTGCGGATACTGCAGAATACTGGAAACCCGAAGCCTGATTGTACTATCGGCTGGCATGACCGAAGCCCGTTGCTCGGCAAGCGAGTTTAATTCGTAAGCGATGAAATAGTCCAACACCGCGACATCGGTAGCTCCCGATACTCCTTATGCTCTAGAACCCCATACAACAAGCCGACAACCTTGATCACGGAACAGAGCGAGAAGAATTACTGGCCTATCTGTGGTTCGCATTGCCACTTGAAGCATAAAATAGAAGAGTTTGGTTTTATCTCCTTGTGTTTCAAATTAACTTGCGTTGCTGCAGTCAACAGCCAACGCGTTCTTCCCAGTGATAACAAGAATCCCGCTTTATACTAAGCACTTAAGCATGTATTGATGATGGCGCAAACGACGAACGTGCTTCTACAAGCCACTGCTGTGGCAGCTGGCTCGTTTCTTTCTGGTTTGTCTTCCTTTCGGGCTCAGAACTATCGCTTACCGCGCTGATGTAGGTGCGATGATGAGCCTCTCAATCGTGGCGGTTCCAGTTATCCTGGACACAAGCACGCAGGCATCAAATCTTCTTGCGCAATTTGTGCGTCTATATCACTATGGGCACCGCATCATGCCGTCGCTGGCCTTGTCCACATTTTCATTGTACGGAACTTCAGCATACAAGGCTCATAAGACAGATGGGCTGTGGCTGCAACCTCTGGTAGCAGGTGTCATTACGCTGTCGCTGGTACCATTTACATGGGTGGCAATTACACCAACAAATTACAAGCTCTTTGGCTTGTACGAAAAGGTCAAAAGAGACGAAAAGATAGACTTCAGTTATGTGCGGAGACTCGTAATCAAATGGAATTGGTTACACGTATTTAGGTCCTTATTTCCATTAATTGGTGCCATTTTGGGGGGAACCCATATTTTGCACCAGCTGAAGTTTTGATAGAAGGTTGAAAGTGCGCATTGAATGGGTAACCAACAGCAGTAGTCATAGGTAATATGCTGCGATATTCCTGGTATTCTATTCGATAGTTCCATTCAGTTGAGAGGCAGCTTTTTGGCAGTCATCCATGGAGTGTGTACGTTGTTACCTCCAAAAATTTCCAGAAATCGCCCCAAAAGCCTCGCTACGACTCTTCTCTAAACTCCGATGGATATAAAATTGATTATTTTCTGGTGAACCTCCTTAAGCTGATTGCATCCTTTTGGCAAGGCAGCCAAGCTTGGAGATGAATACACATAAAATTTGCATGGCGTTGACCAGGAGCTTCTCGATGAATGCGCATATTCGCCCCCATTGTTCTCATCCTACATGGTCCTCGACATTGCACAGGGCTGCCCGACAAGATCAGCGCCGACGTACGGGTACTTCCGACGGTCTACTTCGCTTTGCCCATGTCTCCCCGATCCCCGATGCCCCACTCCGAATACACCGAATACGAGTTAAGACCGAATTGGCATTGTACTGAATATCATCCCCGAGAACTTATCGACGTTCTCCGAGAACCTGAATAATTGCCTTTATCGGGTCGTTGTTTTGGAGAGTTGTTGAGACGGCCATTCTCCCTACACTTTGGTTCGGTGGATTGTCTACTGGAGCTGCCTTGTTTTGCTGGGATGCTCAGAAAGACAAACACGACAGTCACTCCGACCATGGTTGAACAAATGCCCGTAGGTAACTGAATGGCGCCCCAACTTGTTCGAAAGGGGAGAGAGATTTGATGCACCTGGACATATCGTGTTATGTTACCCTTGCTTGCAAGGCGCTAAAAGTTGTTGTAATTCTCCTCCTCTCAGGAGTAGCTTCATTGGAATAATTCTCCAAGAAAGTTACTAGTCAATTTGAACCTAACCATTTCTTCTTCCATATCCCGTCGACCAAGAAAAGGCTCATTCTGTAGCAATGTCTTCTGGAGCCCCAGAATCAAAAGACACGATATTTGCTCGTGATGAGGCTTTCTGGAATAATTACCTCAAAGGTCGACCAAAGCCTCCCCAGAGCCTCTTTGATCGAATATATGCTTATCACGAGCAGCATGGTGGCAGATTTGATATTGCTCATGACGTTGGTGCTGGCAATGGGCCTTATTCTGCGCAGCTACGATCCCGATTCAAGCACGTCATCGTATCAGACATCGTCGCTGAGAACGTACAACTCGCGGAGTTGCGCTTGGGCACCGATGGCTATAGTTATCGTACGGCGAAAGTGGAGGATGCAGATGACATCGTTGAAAGGAGCGTCGATCTAGTCTTCGCAACGAATGTACTGCATTTCCTAGATCAACCAACCGCCATGCAAGCTATTGCGAAGCAACTACGCTCGGGTGGCACTTTCGCAGGTGCAGGGTTTGGTCCTGCCCTTTTCAATGATGCCAAAGTCCAAGATGTCTGGAGCCGCATAAGCCAGCAGGGTGGGCGCGTGCTCCTTCGGGGGATAAACGACATCGAACAGACCATCAGAGTCATGAAGCGCACACAAGACAAATATAACAATGCTCCGTTGGACGAGCAATTCTTTATACCTGGAGCGCAGCGAGTGCACATCAACATGGACAAAGGAGGAATCACAGGGCTTCTTCCACCAGAGCACGCTGAAAAGTTCGATGAGCCCATGTACACAGGCCCCAACGATGTAGAAACCTTCGTGAAAGAAGACGGATGGAGTTTTGACTGGACAGTGGAAGAGTTTAAGGAGCACTTTGAATCATTCCCACATTCTAAAATAGACCCGGAGGCATTCACAGAGCTGTGGGCGGAGTTGAATGAGTTGCTTAAAACTGGAAGTCGTCTTGACGGAGTATTCCCTGCAAAGCTTATCATTGCAACTAGGCGTTGAATGCCCTGAATTAAAATATGTCTATGCTGATCAAGCAAAATGCATTTGGTCTGAGAGTTGTACTTAGTATTGCTTAGGAAGTTGGTTAGGAAGTGTTCCTGAAGGCTAGTAATCCAAATATTGAACATATTGTGCAGGCTGATGTTCGCTCCCGCTTTCCTGTCCGTTCAGGGTGGAAAGAAACGAAATTCATACGCGGCGCGACTACCCGGATCCGATGCCCGATTGCCTATTCTATTCACCGAGGTCTTCTGGGACACATGTACTCACATGCATCCGTATTTTTTTTTGCTCACAGCCAGAATAACGGGTTCCCAAGGATCGACTGCGTATAGAGAATCTCGACCGGAAACATGGCACGAACGTACGCCATCCTTGGTGCGACAGGCAACTGCGGTTCTGCACTCCTCCAGCTGCTTCTCAAAGACCCCAATGCGCTCATCAAAGCATATGTTCGTAACAAGGCCAAACTCGTCAGAATTCTGCCATGCGTTGCCGAAAATCAGAACGTCGAGATCATCGAGGGCAGTATCTACGATGCTAGTGTCATCGCTGCGGCTATACGGGATGCCCACGTCGTGTTTCTCTGTGTATCAACAAATGACAATGTTCCTGGTTGCAGGATGGCACAGGACACGGCTATCAATGTCGTTCGCGCGCTGGAAAAGCTGAGAGATGGAGACGAGACGAAGGGAAGCTTTCGCGCACCGAGACTTGTGTTGTTGTCCTCCAACACACTTGACAATCAACTATCGCAGCACACGCCTTGGCTAGTCCGACAGATCCTTCTCCGCTCGGCATCGCAGGTATACAAAGATCTTGCGCAGACAGAAGCATATCTGCGGGCACAGGAGGATTGGCTGCAGACCGTTTTCATTAAGCCGGGTGGTCTGTCCGTAGACGTGCAACGCGGTCACACCTTGAGCCTGGTCGAGGAGAGAAGTCCATTGTCGTACCTCGATCTTGCTGCTGGCATGATCGAGGCAGCTGATGATCCAGAAGGCAGGTGGGATATGCAGAATGTCGGAGTGTGCTATACGGACGGACCCGCGAAATGGCCCCGTGGCGCTTTGTTGTGCATTTGCATGGGGTTGGTCAGGCACTACCTTCCGTTCCTGCATCCTTATCTGCCTAACACCGGTCCGTATTGAACGTGTTACTGTACATAATTTACCACACAAATTACTTGTTGCACTCCCTTGCAATGTGACTACTGTGCTGAGTTCCTCGGCATTCGGGGGGTCGGAGGATACCACTGTCAAAAACAGCATCGAGAATGCAGATCATAAATTACGTCAACATAGCTGCAAAGCTTCGCGTGTATTAAGGCTCCGAGCCATATATCCAACGATGGCTAGCTACGGAATCACAAAGGTTCCGGGCGCATATTGCTTCTAGGCAATGCCTATATTTGTAATGGAAGTCAACCTGTGAGAACTGTGAGGTCTTCATGAGATTAAACGAATGGATATCTTTGCTTTCGATATTTTCTGAATTAGCAAGAATCTTTGTAGGGGATCCGACATTGTCACCATCATCATCACCATGACCAATGATATCAAGCCTATCAAGATTTGGGGCCGTGGGGGCCCAAACCCTCCGAAAGTCGCTATCGTACTCGTGGAGCTGGACCTTCCACATGAAACAATCCTGCAGCCTCTTTCCAAAGTCAAAGAACCAGAGTACCTCGCAATTAATCCCAATGGTCGCGTCCCAGCGATTTACGATCCGAATAATGACTTGACCCTTTGGGAGTCCGGAGCAATCATTGAATACCTTATCGAAAAGTATGATACTTCGAATCGAATCAGCTTCCCTGCAGGCAGCAATGAAGCACAGCTTGTGAGGCAATGGCTCTACTACCAGGCCAGTGGCCAAGGTCCGTATTTTGGACAGGCAAGCTGGTTCAAAAAATTCCACCCTGAGCGCGTTGCCAGCGCACTTGAGCGATACGTGAACGAGATCAATCGTGTTACAGGTGTATTGGAGGGATGGCTCGAAAAACAGAAAGTGGAGCATCCTGGCGCTGCCGACGGACCGTGGCTTGTTGGCGGCAAGTATACGGTTGCAGATTTGGTGTTTGCGCCTTGGTACACAGTTCTTGGGTATGTCGTCAAGGGAGAGGATGGCTTTGATATTGAAAACTTCCCCGTTGTCAAGGATTGGGTTGGGAGAATCTCAGCTAGATCAGCAGTCAAACAAGTTTTCGCCAACATTCAGCCTATTTTGTAGGTCGGGAAGCTGAAGAGAGCGATGTGAAATGTGCTTTGCACAGAACAGCCATGATATAGACACATTTACATCGATATGAGTTAACCAGACACTGCTGCAATAACAAAGAGTTTGATCCGACTCTCTTCTTTTGTGCTCGCTAGATAGTCGACCAATACCGCCTGTGCACCTAGTTGCTTGATTTGGTTCAAAAAGAAAAACGAAATCAACATCGCCTCAACGCCTCGATTATCTCTGAAGACAAAGCTCTGATTCGTTTTCTCATCTCCGACTCTAATTGCTCCAAGATAATAGATGAGATTGGGACCGAAATACTGGAGAGACAGCCACTCGATTGCTCAACTGGCATGTCCAGACCGTCTTTACAGTCGTGCAACTTGGGCGAAAGTTGGTTCACTACACGTTGTACGCGGTGCAATTCCACAAGAACGAGCTGTGCGGATTGACAATCATAATCACTTCCTATACGATCTTGAAGTGAGCGCGTGGCGGGCTCGCCGGACCTCTGCCACGGTGAGGAGGGACCACTCTGAAGTTCATGGTGTGATGGGGAGTCGTTCCTCGACACCATTCTCGCCGCAGCAGCGTAGCATTCCAGTACCTTGAGAACCACGAGCACAATCGTTGTAAGGAGGATACTGTCGGTAGAGCACGAGCAGCGGAGAATACGAATCATTTCGTCGATGGCATGTTCATTCATTGAAAGGATGGAACGAACAGATCGTGGCCAGCTGCTAGTCTCGTTGATTCCATGTGCTCGGATCGAAGCCTTACACATCATTCCCGTGGATAGTCTGTTCAAAGTTTCTAGAACGCATGAGAAGCATCTATGCGAATTGACAAAACTGTTGGAACTGCTGCATTGGGCCCTGCCGCTTTCTGGTAGCAGCCCACCGCTTGCGTCACATGGTAAGTGTGGAGATCGTGGTCGCTTCCCAAACAGATAAATGATGTCTTCTGCGGGTCTTGAGTGGGCGTTGCTTCCGCCACTAACACTCGTGTTGCTTGAGGTTGTGCTTACTCCGCTAGACTGAGTGGTTGACGTGTCTGACAGCTCGATGCTGGTTTCGTCGGGCATCGCGAATGGCAATGACGATGTGAAGAACTCATCGAAGTCGGAAGTCCAACCTGGGAACGAGGGGCTTGCTTGTTGTATCGATGACGGTGGGGAATGTGCCGGCGCCGTCGCCGTGGAGAAGTTCGCTGGAAGAATGACTGGCCCAGATGGCACAGCAGATAGTCCTGGCACTCCATCAATCGTGCTCGCAGTCATTTCAGCTTCGACAACGCCACTGCTTGCCCGGCTTTCTTGTCTTCGACCAGGTCTTTTAGTGACGAGATACTCGCAGCGATTGCCTCTCCTGGCACAACGCGAGCATGTTGGTTTCTCCTTGGAGCATTTCACCTTTGACGTAGCGCATCCATGGCAACTGTCTCGTAACCTGGAGTTCTTAGCCGCAGTTGTAAGTCCTGATTGATGATGGCTTTCTAGCGAAGGCCGTTGTGAGGAGTGTTGGACTGAATACACTGATGTCATAGGGTCGGTCTCGTTCGGTGGGTTGTACCCGTACGATCTGAAATCGAACAAGGCTTTGGGCGAAATGAATAATTGTGGCTTCGTAGTCGCGTAGAATTTTAATGTTTTCTTCACATGAAATCAGATCTGCCTAGTCTGGACCGTTACCTCAAGGACGATCCGGCAGGCTGGCTCAGGGTAGGATCATCACGAGCAACTACGGGCCAGCTGATGGCCATGTCCCATGCGATCATCGTCACTTTGATCGGCATTGCGCTCTTCAAAGTTGACCACGATGGCGAGCACTACGGCCAGTCTCGCGTCATAAATACTGTATCCTCGTGACTTTGGTAAGGGACTAACCTCATTTTCTCCTGCTGGCTACATCCTGAATGCCATTCCAAGAATTTGGTCCTGAAGTGTGCTCACGCATCCGGAGTACCTTATCAGTTTATAGCTGTGCATTAGTGCGGGATTTTCAATAAGCATGCAGGGCAGAAGTGTTTACGAGTGGAAGGCTGCCGTGCAACGCAGGCATAAGTTTGGTCGCAAGAGGATGTACAAGGAAACGCCCAAGCTGCATAAGGCCTTGAGCAACTAATCAGCTTCGCCTCCAAGCCAGGGTTCTGGAGAAGCTTCTCTGGCGGTCACGGAAAGGATGCGGGACGACCCGACAACTCCTAGGAGGCTTGAAATCGAACCGATATGGAAGAAGTCGGGACCTGATGAATGTCGGCATGAATCACAGCAAGATTGGAGAAGATGTGGTGTGACAAATGCTTGAGGCTACAAACTTATATTCGTGACCATTTGAGCGTGTGCAATGGCGAATCTCTACGATCAGCGAGCGCTGCTCAAAGACCCTGAGTCATGTAGTTTCTATGCTGACCCTAACTGCAAACAGGCCTAGGAAATAGTTGACGCATCAAACTCAATTCTCCCTGAATTCATCCGAGCTTAGGCGCCATGTTACGACTTATTTCAACCACTCGGTACAGGCTTGTAGCGCGGTACACGGCCACTTAAATTGTCCAAACTCAGCTTCAAGTCATGTGCTCCGCAGCGATGCCTTGGCCACGTCTTAAGCATGCTTTATGATCAATTCGAGGTCACTAACTGTCAGGTATTCACATGTTGATATTTGACACAAAGTGCTACAAGTATCTTCCTTTGTGATCGAAGTTGGTTGACCACAAGCAGTTGCCCGGAATCGTCCTTGATGCTAGTAACAATATCAAAAAGCTCTTGCGTCTCCATCTCGTTTTCCATAAACAGTTGGTACAAGGACAGATCGCGCAGGCGAGTCAGAGCCTCAAACTCAGGATCCACCGTCCCTGGCTCTGGCAAAATTGGGCCGGTGGATATGATGAGCGTACTATTGCCAGCTTTGAGAATATCAAGGTGAGCCTTAAGCTCTGACACGATCCACGAGCGAATACAAACTGACGCATCAGCGGGCTGGGAAAGCGAGAAGCGTGAAGATAAAGGAGGCATGGAGAGAATGTAGACCGCAGCATTAGGTATAGGTTGTGGTGTGCCCGGAATTCGTGACTCTACCACAATGCGAGGAGATGAATGATATGCTTGCGGAGCACCATCAACATCAACACCAAGACACCCGTTCATTGTCGAAGGAGATTCGGATCTCTCATCCCCGGGGCTTTGCGATGGATCCATCTGAACGACAAAGTGCAGATTTGGATGCCGTTCAGAAAGTATCGAAGACAGCTCCAATGATCTTGCACAAGTTTCAACCACCTGTGCATTACCAGGCAAATTGCTCCAGTCGAGACGCGAAAGCACTTTCGCGATGTCATCGGCATCCCATCTTTCCAATACGTGCTCACAATACGCACGCCATTGTCGTTGGAGCCTGACGCTGCCTTGGGCTCTCATTCGAAGGGGAGGGTCGCAGCTATCTCCATTGAAACTGAGGAACTGCTCTTTTTCTGGAGATCCAGGACTATCCGACGCCATTTCCAATGCAGCAGGCGCAGCATACTGGGCAAGAAATATGGCTGCATCACGATTGGAGTTTCTGCTAAGGAAAAACCTCGAAAGAGCTGTGTGTGCGACGTGGCCAGGTTGCGGCTCTTGCAGAAAGCCAACTGTTGCCGTCATTCGTATAACACGTACCAGTTGCGATTCTGGCACTGCCAAAAGCTGTGCTACGTCCTTGATCGGTACAGTCTCGTTTGATGGTATACATGCCAACACCAAGAAGTCTGCAAGCCAGTGCAGGCATGCAATGAGTTGGTTATGAACAGCAAGTTGCTGGAGAAGATCGGCTGGTTCTAAAAGGAGAGAACGGGCTTTGGCAATTTGCGCTAGAACGGCTTGTCGTGCCTCCTGGATCTTCGTGGCCAGTTGTTTGCTCGGAGAGGCTGGCTGTGGTGCAGGAAATGTGAGATCAAATGCGGTTGTAGGATTCAAAACGGGTCTTGTAGGCACGGTCGACCCACGCAGGGCAGAGACAAGGTTGCTGAATAATGTGTTCAGCTCCTGTGCCTCAATCTCCAGTTGCTCGGCCAAATCCATATTCGTTTGAGATGAATTCATGCTTACTGCCACCCTTAAAGTGCTGAATTCATAGCTAAATAACATGTTCATGCGGCTCTGAGCGAAGAAGCTACACGCTGTGGTTCATAGTACTTTTTGAATTGAGCGACATGGCGCTGTCTGAAAGGAGCTGGGATCACATGTCTTAATGTTGATTCTGGTTTTAGACAATGCAAAGTTCTCATCTGCACATCGTGAGCGAAGAAGCTTTGTCGGCTATAGAGCTGCCTAATGAAATGTCAGCAGCAAGATGAATTAAAATCGTGGCGCATATTCCGTCCAATGCCATACGATACAGTTGCTCTGCCTGTTTACGATGCATGAGAATAGCTGTCTCAACCGCCCTGCGATCCAAACTTAGAGAACCTCACATATGGGAGCTCGTACTGGGCAAATTATAGGGCCTAAACCGTGCGTGCATGCTTGTTAGATTCGGACGATCGGACGGTCGGATGAACACTATCCTGCCTAGCGTTGCAACCTGGGATCCAATGGAATGGAGGTCCAAGCATTACTCCCTGCTGCTGATCCTCAACCAAGAGAACGCTGTGGTTCGAGATATGCGTGTTTCATGAGTCACTGGAAGGTTGCATCTCATACCGAATGTTAAGAATGGAGGGATAATAGATTTCAACAGGAGAGGTTATTGCTAATAATTGATGCTGGATCAAGCTGATTGACATGAGCACGAGACTTACGTCATCGCATATTCAACATTACGACGTCCAGTGTCTTGAATCAAACCGTGAAAATCATGATAAGACAGAGACCGAAAGAAACATAAGTAGCAAACAGTGTATTACTCGACCAATGAAAACCTTCAGATCTTGAAAGCGTTGGAAACGTCATATTTACCGGGCTTTGGGAATGCGCACCTAGCCGTATTAGGTTAACTGAGTGAGTGTAGGTTTAGTCAATTAAGGTCTAGAACTAGTTCAATCTAAATTGGATTTAGTATGATCTGCTGTTCTCACTTCGCCCGTACTGAAGGAAATCTCTAGTCTGGTTCCACCAAGTTATTACCGATTGCCTATGAGGTGATCATCTCTAATTCGGGAACCGCTGTGTTTTATCTGAAATTGGACAGAACATGGTCGGCTCGGCGCTCGCCCCCGAAACAGCGGCAGGATATGCACTCTTGGCTAGATTCTAAGCCCTAAACCACATCGCAGATACCGGCAGAGCTGCAAAAGTATGAGTCAGCAACAACTACTACCGATGCTCGCCTCAGTCGTAGTATTCCAATAACCATGCTTTAAGATCTCCGACAGTTGGATACTCCAAAAACAGCGAGCCTGAGACCGTCACTCCGAGTAATGAGCGAAACTTCTCGGCAATCACGAGACTCATCAGGCTGTCAACGCCAAGATTGGAGAACGAGGCGTCTTCTGTGATCTCAGCAACATCGATTCCTGTTTCGTCGGCGATGATCTTCAAAGCCTTGCCAGCAGTACTCTCGGAGTCAGAGTGAGCGATTTCAGCCGACGGTTTTGCAAGTTTCGAAGTCTTCGGCTCGATCATCGATGCAGTTTGAGCCAGATGCGTGTTGGCTACCTCAGTCGGCAGACCAATTGCGGGTCCCGCGGCTGGTTGGTTTGAACGTGCCACAACGGCGGGAGTCTCCAATGCTTGTGCATGGACCGCTTTCGGCGCAGCTTGCTGCGTGGTTAGTTTCGTTGAGGAGTGCTTCTGCGGCATGTTCTCGTCCGGAGCAGAAAAAAATCGATCCAGGAGAATTCGGGGGTATCGACGAAATTTGATCGCGCGCACAACACCGACAATGGAATCGTCTTGCAGGATGTAAACATCTCCAAGGTAGACAGACTCGTCTTCCTCTGTAGGGATCATCTTAACGTATGACCGGTATCTGGATCCAGGAACTAAAGGCCTTGCAAAGCGCATAGAATCCCAACCAGGAGTTACGCAAAAGTTTGTAGACGTGTCTACAGCGTCGGAGACATTCATCACAAAGCCGGCGAGATGAGCCACACTATCGATGAAGTGCGGGGGGACCGTCCAAGTGCCACTCTTCTCTGCGGTGAGCAGGACATCAGCGAACGCCTCAAGTTGGTAGAGCACTACACTCTGCATCCCTCGATACTTGTCGGCATAGTCGACAAGATTGTTCGCAAATAGACGGTAAGCCATGTTGCGAGTGAAACGATTCGCAATGCCCCTACCCGCCAGATCTTCAAGCATCTCGATGCGACCTTGTATTAGATGCGTTGTAGGAATCCACGACTTGAGCCACTGCGTTGCGTTTGAGTAGTACAGATTCGCCGTCGCGAAAGGCTCATCTAAAGTATTATCAGAGCGGACGTTCTGCCAAGTGAGCACAGCTACACCAGAACCGATGTCGCTGGCTTCGATGGTGATTTGAATGAATTGTGGAGCTTTGGTATTTTTTTGAGCGACCAAACCCTTGGTCACCACCAGGTTCGCGACGTCAATGTCTACGCTTTTGACATTCGGTTTCAACTTGTTATGCAAATACTTGCCAAGTGTATAAGCAATGTCCGCGTGGATAGACTGGCGTGTACAAGGTTAGCTAAAAGAAAATCAAGCTTCGTACAAAAATCCTACCGATGTTACCACGCCACATCCATTCATACGGTGACCATTTGCGGCTGAGAAAAGTTCTGGTTGCATCAAATCTGATCGTACCACTACTTTCCCCATTGTGCCGTTGAATTCCTCTTCGACGACGTTCTGCACCGACGATGTTCTAAGCTCGGAGATTCGCGATGGGGCTACGGCAGCAGGCCTACTCTTCTTTTCATCATCGTAGAATGTGTTGCCCTTCGTCAGAGCCCAATCACCATTATACGGTATCCAGTAAGTCTTTTCATTCCAACTGTAAGTGGGCAAGTCCAAAAGCCGAAGAGCACGCTCAAATGGTCTGTGATACTCGTTCCAGCCGATGTCAATTCCAGATGTATGCAGAACGGTCAATGACTTTGTAATGGTTGCCCAGTTGCTCTCATCTCTCCTCAAAGATGGTACTGCAGCATTGATAGCTGACAGTGTAGACCTGATGAAGCCGATACTCACAGGATGCGGCCCGATCTCGACCCAAACTGTTGTTTCATCAATGGTAGAGATGCTTTGCGCCTGCTTCAAGGCGGCAACGAAGTTTACAACTTCTCTTGTAGACCTTCTTATATATTTAGCATTCACAGTCTTTTCGTCAAAGATAACTTTGCCCAACAGAGGCGAGATGACAGGTAGATTTGGAGCCTGAAACATAACAGCACTTTGGGTAAGCGCTTCCAACTCGTCCAGAATCGGATCAGTCTGTGCGGAATGAAAAGCAAAAGCTACATCAAGGCTGAAAGTCTTGTAGCCAGCTTTCTCGATAACCTTTGACACTACATCAAGATGATCGACCTCTCCGCTGAGAACAGTCTCATTTGGCCCGTTGATGCAAGCAACCTCATACGGCTGATTACCAACGCTGTTCTTGATCTGCTCAAGATTGGCACGAACCGCAAGCATTTTATGACTTCCGATTTGGCACTTCTTTTCAAGTAAAGCAGCCCTTGAACCAACCAAAAAAATCGCATCGCTAGCAGAGATCACCCCTGCAATGTTCAAGGCAGCGTATTCCCCAAGACTGTGACCAACAACAACTTCGGGTTTGACACCGAGCGACATCCAGTATCTGGCGAGCGCAATCTCTGTAGCGACCAGCGCGAGCTGTGTGACGACTGGTGAGTGATTGTAATCCTTATTATGAGTACCATCGATGACAGATATGAACGACGGGAATCCTTGCTGCTGTGCCAAAGAGTCGAGTTGCAAGATCTGAGATCGGAAGAATGGAGAATCGTGGTAGAGTTCAAGGTTACTGGACTTGTAAGACGCGCCTTGGCCCGTAAATGTAAACGCTACTTGAGGAGGACCCGTTGCTGGAATGGGTTTTAAAGAGTCAACGGACTCAAGGTGGACGGATAGCTTTTTTTTAAGCTCTGAAACCCCAGTATATGCAACTGATATCCTGTGATTGTGGTGGGAGCGTCGAGCTGTTGTAGAGTAAGACAAGTCGGCCGGCGAGATGTCAGGATTTCGCTCGAGGTAGGCAATGAGGCGTTCTAAATTACCACGGAGCGAGATCTTGCTCTTGGCAGATACGTTGAAAATGTGGAAGTTCCGTGGATCAGATCCTGTAGTCCTCTTTATCGGGGCCTCTTCAAGAAGGACCGTGGAATTGCCTCCTGCAGCACTGAAGTTGTTGACAGCAGCGATTCGTGTTTTGCCCAACACACGTGGCCAAGGCGTCTTTTCAAGCGGTATCTTCAGGTTTCGTTTATCCAGATCCTTTGGAAATGCGGGGTTTAAGGAATGCTTTATCCCCACATGAGGAGGCAACGCTTCCTTTTCGAGACAAAGGAGTACCTTCAATAGCGCAGTGGCTCCGGCGACAGCCTCTCCATGCCCAACGTTGGCTTTGACAGCTCCTATATGCAAGGGATTTCTCGAGCTACGTCTTCTCTTGAGCGGAGCGTAAACATCAATGACTGACTGAATCTCAATTGTGTCTCCTGCTTGTGTTCCCGTCCCATGCATCTCGACAAAACTAACGTCGAGCGGGTCAACGCCTGCCTGGCTTAGAACCTGACGAGATAGAAACGATTGGGCACCTGCATGCGGATGAGTGATAGAAATAGCGTCTGCAGAATGATTTGTGCCAGCTCCGAGTATAACACCAAGTATATTGTCGTTATCCGCCTCGGCGTCCTCAAGCCGCTTTAAAACGACCGAGACAACCCCATCAGCGCGGCAGTATCCATCAGCCTCGCTATCCCATGTTTTGCAGGCATTGGGAGTCTTCGTGAGGAAATGCCCCTTGGAAAGTCCCGTAAATGCGTCCGAGTTGGTCAGAACATTCGTACCGCCAGCAACGACAGTGTCTGTTTCACCATTCCAGAGCGATACACATGCAGCCTGACTTGTAAGTCAGCGAACATGCTCGTAAATTTTGCAGCTTAGGAATAATGACTTACATGGATTGTTGCTAAGCTAGATGAACAGGCTGTGTCAATACTGAAACTTGGTCCGGAGAACTTAAAGAAGTAATTGATTCGACCAGGTCCAAAAGCCCGACATCCTCCTGTAATGAAATAAGTACCGATGTTTTGGGCTGTATTAACTTCTCGGTAGTCATCACTTGCTTGACCATAGAATGTGCCGATGCGATGGAGGTTTGTTGAAGGAGTTCTATTTGCAACATAGCCGGCTCGCTCCAGAGCTTCATAGGCCGTAACTAAGATCAGTCTCTGCATTGGATCTGTTTCGAGAGCCTCTCGAGGACTCATATTGAAGAATGGAGCATCAAAAAGACCCGGTTCATCAATGAAGCAGCCATACTGTGTATGACTAGCATTGACACGGTTTCCATCTGGGTCCCAGTGTGTGTCAACGTCGAACCTGTCAGGAGGGATGCGTCTATGCACATCAAGTCCAGCTTCTAAAAGTTCCCAGAATTTTTCGGTATCTGTTGCCCCACCCGGAAGTCTGCATGACATGCCAACAATTGCTATTTTACTCTTTGAAGTGCTACTGGGAGCAAGAGTTCCAATCGGCGTCTGTGTGATCCACGAAACCAAATCTGTCGTCTTAGTTTCCACCTGTTTCAGCTCCGAATTGAGACTTGTCAGAACATCATTGATTGGTAATGTCTGGCGGAATATAAGGGCTCGGAACTCGCTTGCTTGCATGTCCCGTGCTCTTGCGATTACTTCGTCGACGACATTGTCCCATTGAATTTGCTGAGTGAGAATCTCCCAAACAATGTTCTCCAAAAGCTCGACTGGTGTCTTAGATACAAAATGCTTGCCCGTACTTGTAGAGAAGATGGGAATGCGCGGTATAGGTCGTGACGAAAGGAAGCTCTCGGACACAGTTTGGACAATGGTACGGACATGCTCATACCTATATATATGACCTGCATGGCAAAGACCTGTATAAACAGGTAAAGGGACAAATTTACGATCCCTGAAGTAATCTGAAACGAGAAGTATATGCTTCAATCTAGCAGGAGGTCCACTTATAGTAATTGACGTCTTGCTGGTAGCGCTGATGAATATCTGACTTGCTTTAGGAGTTCTCTGTGACACATGAGCGATTTCTCAGTAGAGCAAGGTAGAATCACCATACCTCATCAAGATGAAATCTATCAAGTTCCGTCTGTGCTTCTGCAGGATTCAAATCAGGTAGCACGAACGCCCAAGACTCGAGTTCGTCCGTATCCGCCAGGTTACGGGGTTGAAGATTTGCAGATACTTCTTCCACCAAAATACCTAAACGAAATGCGGCGCGAACCACTTGAGCCGCAGCAATTGGAATATCATCAAGCTTTCGAGACAACGAAACCGTGGCTGCAGCTAGGAGACCAATACTTATACCAGCAAGGCTCGTGCTAATGGGATCAAAGTCAAAGTCTGTAGATGAAGCCTCATGATGTCTGTTAGGTATATTAGTCGGAGTTTTACACTGTGTACTTGCAAAGTCATATACCCGACGAAAGCTGCTAGCTCTATAACAACAAGAAGAACGCCGTCTATGGAGCCAGAGAGACGTCCTTTGCGTAGCTTGGGGAAAGCGACAAGGTTCAGAATCGACTCAAACGGAGGAAAATGCGACTTTATCTCGGTGGAGAGCTGGTTGATTTCACTGCGGAGTGCCGATGTAGTCTCTTCCAAAAGCCTTGCTAGGATGTGATGCTTCTTGTCTTTGCTCTGGTTGTAGAGTCGACGTGCAAGGTCTTCCAAGTCATCTGGAGGGAATTCATTGCTGAAATAAGCAAGTGTCATAGTACGAGGCTCATCATACGAATCCGAGGGCGGCGTGATAATAGCCATGATGTATCTTTGCTTTGCTAAATTGAAATAACTTTATTGGCAAGCAAATCGACTAAGATCTCATGTTTGAGTACGATGAGAGTTGATTGATCGACCTGGCGATGATGGCTTTGATGTTCCACGTGCATAGCGTAATGAAATGAATTCTAATTCAGTCTACGGCAAGATTCACTATCCCCGAATCAACGGCGATGGACGTCGGGAATGGCCCCTGAGATGTCGGCGATGTAGCTCACCGTACGGAATAGTCCAACCATTGGCCGGAATCCTGAACTATGACGATTGCCGCCGGATGAACTGCCCGACCAAACTGTAATGGTTGTAAAGCCTCTCTCTCAAAATCAGACGTCGGTGTCTCCTGCTACAGTGTTGCACGACCACACCACTTAGTTCTTCAACATGAGCAAAGGAGGTTATCGCCAGATCAATAAAGCGCTCAACGTCTGCGCTTTCGAGGATTATCTCGAGAAGCAACATACGCGGCTTCCAACGTTAAATGACGTAGAGGAAATTAGTCCAAGAGTGATCAGAGTGCTGGGACAGAATCCCGGAAAGGTAGCTTCCGAACTTGACAAAAAATGGGCAGATTGACAAGTCTTAATGTAGTTCACGCTTCAGGGCACAAATACGTACATCGTAGGTACAGGCTCTGCGAGACTCATTATCGACACCGGTCAAGGCCTGCCGGAATGGGTACCCCTTATCGAGTCTACGCTGAGAAGCAATGGGATCACGCTGTCTCATGTCCTTCTGACACATTGGCATGGTGATCACACGGGTGGAGTGCCAGATCTCATCCGGTTGTATCCCCATCTTTCCACTGCGATATTCAAGCACTCACCAGGTAGGAATCAAAATGCGATCAAAGACGGCCAAGTTTTTAAAGTCGATGGCGCAACGATCCGTGCCGTGCATACACCAGGTCATTCTCATGATCACATGTGTTTCGTCCTGGAGGAAGAGAAAGCTCTTTTCACTGGGGACAACTTACTCGGTCACGGAACTGCGGCAGTCGAGGACCTAAGCACCTGGATGGATACATTGCAAAAAATGAACGACACAAATGCCGTGAAGGGTTATCCAGCCCATGGCGATGTGATTCCTGACCTGCCGCTCAAGATCCGTGATGAGCTTACGCAGAAGAAGAGAAGAGAAGACCGCGTCTTGAGGATCCTTCAGAAGATCAAGAAGGAAGCTGCAGGAGCAGGACAAGCTAAAGGCAGCGTGACTGTCAAACAGCTCGTGTCAGCCATGCACGGATACGAGCTCGATGGACAGGTGCGGGAGAAAGCTATCGAGCCTTTTACAGAAGAAATTTTGAAGAAGTTGGCTCAGGATGAGAAGGTCGCGTTCGAGCTGAGACGGGGCGAGAAGAAGTGGTTTGCCATTGCGGCCGGATGATCATGCGGCACGTGAACTTGGTCAAGATTAAGAACATCAGCAGGCAAAACTTTGTATCGTGACATTAACACAATCGAGTAGCTATTGTATAGAGTCTACTATCAATTCCATCGCTTTGAAATCAATTTTTACGGAGAAAATACTCTTTATCACGTGAAAGCCACATAAGTACGTACCAAATCGGGCAGACCACCGAGCTCGTCCTTACGACTCTTTCGCATTATTGTCGCCTGCGGTGACCTACATCCAGTGTCGGGCAAATGCCAGTGTGTTCGATCCCCATTTCGCAGATTATGTATCGCATACACCCAGTTTCGGACGAGCGGTGCAACCGCTTTCTCGGGAGAAAACTGCCGCCGCGCGTGTCGGGCATGGTCTGTCGGCGCCTTTGAGATCGTCCACCCGATCCCGCACCTCGACAGTAAGCTTGCATGAGTTCGGGGAGCTTCACATTCCCAGGACCGAGAAGGATGGCATGGGTCTTCCATATTGTTACCGAGCGCATGCATGCACGTGATGGTCTTTATGCTATGTGTCGAGTACCGTACGCTTTATTCCTGCGAAGTTGGGCTTCCTTCATGCCGTGCGTAGATCGATCCTTGACCGAACCTGCGATTCTAGCACAGTTATCCATCAAGTGTCAGAATGTCTCGTCAAGCAAAGACACTGGCAGACGTTGTGAAGTTGCAACAAACCGTCGAGCTGCTCTCGAAAGCTGTGCAGGTAGTAGTGGCAGAATGGGCTAAGGAATCAGAGCATCTTGTAGCAGCTGTAAATGGGGTCTCCACAAGTTCTGCAAAGACACTTCCCAGTCGTGAGCTCTACGACGCGCAGCGTACGATCCTCGCTGCTACTGGCATGCTCACGGAACTCGTGCAGGAGCCTAGTGTCAGGATTCTGGAAGTCGCAACTCAGTTTCAAGAATCTCGCGCTCTATACATTGCAGCTGAACGGCGAGTAGCAGATCTTTTGGCAGTGAAAGACAAAACCGGAGGAACTCCGCTTTCTGAAATTAGCGATCACACCAGAATTGAAAGCCGCAAGCTGTGTAAGCACCCTTAACAAATTTGAATGCGTGTCGCAGAATTGACGTTGGGTGGCACAGCACGCATTCTCAGGTACCTCACCTCAATTGGCATTTTCAAACAAACTGGGCCCGAGACCTTTGCAAACAATTCCGTTTCGGCAGCGCTGGTCTCGAATGGGCCTTTGAGAGCATACGTGCAGCTTGTGAATAGCGAAGCATTCAGCGCTTCTGATCGTCTGCCCAGAAATTTGTTGCATCCCGTGACAGGTCCTTCCTACGATGTGACGAAAACGGCGTGGCAAGACGCGATCCAGACAACAAAGTCACGATGGGATTGGATCGAAGAACGAGTGGAGCAAGAAAAACTTCTGGACTCTGGGGGGCATTATCCAGGTATTCCCAGCGTTGTCATCGAGCCGCCGCCAAAGGGAGAGGATGGGTTGGTTGCTAGACCAGAGCTTGCCATTATGGGTCTAGCTATGATTGGCGGCGGTCGCGTATTTGGCTCTGCTCATGTCCACGGCAAGTTATTATCTTCACCGAAAAGCAAGTGGGTAGCAGACTGATGTTGTATCGCAGACTTCCCATGGGCATCTCTGGGTAACAGCTTGATTGTAGACGTTGGCGGAGGTGTTGGGGGTTTCCCACTTCAGTTAAGTATGGTGTATCCTGACCTACGTTTCGAGGTACAAGATCGTGGTCCTGTGATCAAACAAGGCCTTGAACACGTCTGGCCGAAGGAGAATCCACAAGCACTCAAAGATGGTCGCGTAAAGTTTACAGAGCACAGCTTCTTTGAGAAGAATCCCACAACGGGTGCGGATATATACATTTTACGACTCGTCCTGTAAGAACATGACGCATTCTTCTATGTAGAGACTAATACTTATACACAGCCACGACTGGTCCGATGAATACTGCATCAAAATCTTGAAAGGCATTAAGGATAGCATGGCGACTAAATCTCGCCTTCTGATTATCGAACAAGTGATGAATACCACTTTAGGAAGTCCTGATTTACAATCTGCACCAGCGCCCCTGCCTGCCAACTACGGTTGTTATACACGCTTCAGTCACAGTCGTGACATTACCATGATGGCTTCCATTAATGGTATCGAGCGCACCCCAGACGAGTTTAGAAAGCTTCTAGATGCAGCAGGTCTAAACTTCAAGAAAATTTGGAACGTGAGGAGTCAAATGTCGCTTATCGAGGCGATTCTGCAATAGAAATTGGGCGGTACATGTTCGATTGAGTAAAACAAAATTCAGAGATTGAGAAATTCCGGATGTGTCGCTAGGTAGAAGATCAATGATGAACTCAACTACGAGTGTACTTACATTGACTTGCCCACGGTATTAGCAACTATAAAGGGTGGATGAGCCTTAAACTGTAACTGCATTGTCTGCTAGGGTCTTCTAGCGACATAAGAGTAGCCATTCATGCATGAAGGTCCCGACGAAGAGCGTCGTGGAAACCAGGGAACTGTCAAAGAGATTCATTCTGCCGCGGTGTGAGTCTTTAACTACTCAAATAATGGTCAGAACCAACCCAGGATTGGAATTCCGGGAACTCTGGACTAAGGAACTCTTCTAATGACCAAGGTGATGCATTTTGAGTCAAGTACTGCGGCGCTTGTTGTCCGAGCACAGCTTCTGAAGCAACGCTCTGCTCGGTGGTAAGACCGGCCTTTGATAACACTACTTCGATTGCTGTTGCTGCCTTTCGCGCATTCGCAGAGATGTTCCACGACTGCAGGAGGATGCGTTGTGCGGCGCGGAGAGCTTCGGCTATGATGCTTCGGTCGCCTTGTGCCCAGTACCCGTCGCTGATAAGTCCGTCGTCAACGTCTGTATTCAAATCGATACAAAGCACTGTCACAGCAAGAAGCATTCCCTCGTTCCAGAAAGAAGACACTTTCCATCGGAACAACTCGTAGTGTCCTCCAGGCATCGTCTCCATCATCACCGTCTCTTGATAGCTTAACAGTGCCAGCGCCGCTTCTATGCATGCTTTTCTTGAGGGGATGCATCGGGCGTTTGTCCGTGCTCGGATCAGGTAAGGGCGATGCAAGGTGCAGCGAGCATGCTGGTACACGGCATCAATAGATAGGCGGTAATACCAAACCTCATGGCCCTCGGGCGGATAGACGGACGGCGATCGAAATTTCAAAGACGCCGGCAGATTCGAGCGAGCATGACACAGTTCATTGTCAAGCTCCCAAACTTCGGCGTACGAGATAGGCCTGACACAAGTCATCATGTCAGAAATTTTAGCAAAGACGGACAGCAGCTTCCCTCTGTTTGTGACGTAGAAGACTGGCGTGATCACGGAATCGGGCCTTGAGGCTGGCAGCTCAGCCATTTCGTCCACTAGATCAGAATCAAGCAGATTCAGTGGCTCGTGCGTGTCGTAGGAGCGCTCACGGAGCATCCGAGGGAGACCCATCTGAATAGAAGTCGTCAAGTCGCACTGGACAATTGCTAGCCAGAGTCTGCGCCTCATCTCGCCATTGAAAGGAGATATCTTCGCGGTGTGTGATGGATCTCTGTGGAGTCCAAGTCGCATCGCTATCCGTGTGATTTCCCCCATGAGGATCCAATTACCAAATTGCGAATCTGTGTGATGGTGATGCTCCGTCATGAAGTACATTAACAGAGTCTCGACCGTGTACTGTCCGGGGACAATGTAGCTTCCGGCATAAAGGCATTGTACCACCTTCTCTCGATACTCCTGGATCTGCCATACGGATTGGGTCATCAGAAGCTCGCCGGCCGATCCAAATCCTCGAGACTCGAACGAGCTCTGATATCTTGCAGCGAAGAACATGATGCAGTACAAAAGACCCACCCATGTTATTGGCATTGAGTTGACATCATGCCAAAACTTTTGATACTGAGGATGTCAGCCCCCAAAGCCATAGGCGCCCAGACAATACTCACCTCTTTGAGGAACGTGGCTTGATGCAAGAAGACTGAGGAGACATGAGCATGAGCATTGCAAAATGCATATCACATCCGCTTACTTGGAACGTTCTCGCGATGCGAGAAGTAGGTGGAGACGAGGACGTCGACAACGTCCTTGCTCGGCAATGAGGCTATAATCTCCTCCCTTGAGACGCCTCGGACGTGACCGTGAAAGATCTCTGGGCCGTCTTCGCTACATATGTTTGGAGTCCGATCCGTAATCAAGTGAGGTTGCTGTGTATCTTGGAATTGTGTTTTCAACTCCGTGATCTGCCAGCATACATGCATACATTAGCACAGCTCGTAGAAGGGTTGGAGCCTCCGAGGACCGGCACGTACGCCCTCAATTATTGCAGCCCAGTGATCGCTTCCTACATAGCTTGGTCGCTTATAGTCAAATGAAAGTCGGCCGAACGTCGAGGAAAGTCCATCTACCTCCGTGCTCACGGACTCGCGTGTCGACTTAGCACTCGAGGAGTCCTTTGGTGATTGGCTTCCCGAAACCGTCGATTCGCTCTTTAAAGAATGAATGAGGTTCTCCAGGTGGTGTAGTTTAGACAGGACGTCGATCTGCTTGGCCGAAGACTTCATCGCAACATTCCCTTTCGGATATTCGCACAAGTTCGGATGTCCGTGATTGGTACAAGTGTCGCACGGATTCTGTCTGTTGCATTTGACTCTGCTCTGGGGTCAGCGCACGTCCTGGCGTGAAACAATGAATTTCGTTACTTTCGCAACTTGCATATGTTGCATGAGAGCTGAGGCTTCGGTCTTTGTCTGCCTAGAGACGAAGGCGGATCTCTCAGCGTCGAGTTCAACATTCTTTCTGCAGTATAGCGAATTTCTGTTCCGGCTCCAGAGAGAAAAGCATCGGTTTCGCAGCTTTCGTTTCCAAATGTCTAAAGGCACCCTTGAGGCAGCTTCCTGGCGATGAGCAGATCCGCCCATGCCTCGCTGCATGCTCGATGCGTACTAGCGGGTGTTGTGATTTGCTGCACGAATGGCGTGGGGGTATATATTTACACGTGATGGCATATTGGTATGTGTTGGACGTATGTTTTGAACGTAGTGGTCTTTTGCTATTGCATATACAATCGTCTGAATGCATTGACTTCATCTGAAAATTTATTTTCAAAGTAGCATGCCTTATATGTATATCACGCGATGATACATCCAAGCGAAATCTCTGATCTATCTCGATGCAACTCGCTCAGGAAATCTTGTGAAAAAGCTGCAAGACGGGTGCATGATCTTGAATAGGCTCATATGTGCGTTGTCATCACGCAAATCCTTCACAAAAAAATGACCTATCGAAGCACGAATCTGTTGATTTGCGCGGCTTGAAACAACAGTGTTTTGCTGCTACTATTTGCCGAGCTGAGATATTAGTACATGTGGGCTTGACCAGCGTCACGTCCGCATAAATGACCTTCCGTCTCCAATGATGCAACGCAGCCAGGGGCTGACGGAACCGGAATGGTGGACTTTCAGCGGGTTTACCAAAGCAATTAGAACTACTCAGCAGCAACTCGAGTGCACAAGCCGCAGTGGCACTGCTGATCCTTTTTAGCTGTCGATAGATAGACATGCCATCACTCTAGAGAAACGCAGCTACCGCAGATCAAGTCGCCAACCACCCATCCCGAGTGGTGCGCAGATGCCGCTCGGTCCTGATAGCTGTGGAACTCGCACGCGCAAAGCGTAAATGACCTGCCTGATACGGTGTCCCGCGGGAACAGAATTACGCATTGCAGCGCGACAGGTCGATCCCCCACCGAAGGTTGAGGCTATGTGATAGCCGCTGTCCCAGCCACCTGTACGCGTTCTTTTCGTCGCACATGAGCCAAAAGTTGTGAATATGACGATCAAAAGGATCGAGACTCGAGCGGAAATTCAGATCAAGTTCGAAGTGTCGAGAGTCGACGCGAAGCTGCTGATTCCCGGTCGGGGCGAACCGATTGAGAATGCCTCACTTATCTGGCAGGACGGCAGGATCTTGTATGCGGGAGCGAAGACGAAGATTCCGGACAAGCTTTCGATGATTGATGCCCTTGAGCAGGTTCACGTCTTGATGCCGGGCATGTGGGATTGCCATAGTCAGCCAACCTCGCTTTTGTAAGCAAATCCTGTGCTAATATAATGTTCAAGCACACCTGCTCGGTGCGAATACGCCGAGTCTTGAAGTGCTGGTCACCCTTCCACAAGCCACATCAGGAGCACGTCTGGCGCGCGATGTTGCCGCAACTCTCGATGCAGGCTTCACATCGTTGCGAGAGATGGCTGGATATGGCATTGAAGTGTCGGCCGCGATCGAAGAAGGCTACATCCCGGGCCCAAACATCTACAGCTGCCATTCTATCCTCTCGATGACGGCTGGCCACGGTGACCTACACTCTCAGCCTCTGTCATTGATTCAAGACGCCATGCACCATGGCCTGCCGATGTACCTTTGTGATGGCGTTTCCGAATGCATAAAAGCGGTGCGAGAGCAGATTCGACGCGGCGCCAAAGTTATCAAAATCTGCGCCACAGGCGGCGTGCTCAGTCTCATCGACGATCCGCATCACCCCGAGTTCTCACCGGAGGAGATTAAGGCCATTGTAGATGAAGCGGCGCGCGCAGATCGCATCGTAGCCGCCCATTGCCACGGCAAGCGAGGTATCATCAACGCCCTGAACGCAGGCGTCAGGACGATTGAGCACGGCAGTTTTCTGGACGATGAGTGCATCCAGCTCATGCTGGAGAAGGATGCCATCCTCGTCGCCACGCGCACGATCGTCGAATGGGGAATGGCGAACAGATCTCAGCTCGGCCCCGAACAGCAGGCCAAGATGATGGAAGTAGCAGACAGCCACAAAGCATCATATGCCCGAGCCGTGAAGGCGGGCGTCAGGATCGCGCTGGGCACAGACATCGGTTTCAGCGACGTAAAAATTGATCATCGGTTTGGGCAGAACGGCCGGGAGTTTCACTGGGCTGTGGAAGCGGGCATGACGCCATTGCAGGCGATCGAAGCTGGAACCGCTAGCTGTCCTGCGACGTTGGGACCGCAGGCGCCGAAATCAGGTGTTCTGAAAGAGGGTTACGATGCCGATTTCATCGCTCTTTCAAGCAATCCCCTCGAAGACATTGACATCCTGGCTGAACCGAAGCAAGTCACGCACGTCTGGAAAGGTGGAAAACTTTACAAAAGCCCTGGAAACCCGGTAGGACTTGTGAGCTGCGGTTGAGAATCGCCCCGAGATAAATAGGTCTCTATGCGGAAATTCCTGGACGATAGGCTATTGTGACCATACTCTCAACTTGCAAATTTGTAAATTAATCCCAAAAAGCATGCATGTGAATAAAAGAAGCTCTCTTGGCGTACTTAGGTTGCAGCGTGAACAAGGGGCTGAGCGTCCGGAAGCCATACTTGGAGTACTTGTCCAGCTGGCGCTGGTTTGGAGGCGCGAAGGCGCCATTTTTTGTATGGTGAGGCGGGGATCGAAGTCCAGGATTTAGGGCCCATGACCCGTTGGCGTGGATGCGTATTCGTTGGCAGCAGCTTTTAAGGAGTGCTCGGCCTGCTACCCGAAGATCATGACGATTCCGGTGGCGGAAACTAGGAAGGAGGTTGCTGGGGGCGAACCAGGTAAGGTGTGATCGCTTACTGAAAACCGAGGGCGTTATTGAGCTTGCCCATGTATTAAGAAGGGATTGGATGTTTGGTCCATGGCTTAGCATGACTTGAAAAATTGTCTTCCAGTGTGCCTGACGTTAAGCCAGCTCTGACCAGACGTGTTGCATTTGAGTGAATGAGGTTGCGAAAGCACCGCCTTATGCAAATTCTTGTCGTATGAACTGTGCGTCCCGATGCTTCTGCTCCGTAATAGTCTCACCTGTGAAGCGGATACCGTTCGAAGTGGCTATGAAGACGAGGTACATTGGTAATCTAGCGCAAATTTATGAGTCGTAGCCAGGCTGCTGTTACCACTACATAACTTCGTGTTTCTAAATATTAATCAGCGAGCGTGGCACATGGTTTTTCGCTATTAATTTTAATCTGGCGCAGGCAAGACCTAAACGCTGGATGGTGGTAGTATGGTTTTACTCAGGTATTTCGTATACAGATATTGGACTTAAGATGTGCTGGTGTGGGTGGGCTAAAGTCTGCACATGGATAGAGCATGCCCATTCCAGTATTACACGCTACATGCCGGAGGCAGGATTTAAGCGGAGCGCTTGTTTCTTCCCAGCATCTTTTTTCATTTGGTAGCATCCGTGATGATGGCCGGTACAGTCTGCATCCACTCATTTATCCAGGTCAATAAACATGCTGACGTTACCGTGCTGTCCTTTTGCGTGGATTGACCAATCTGTCGGGCTCTATGAAGCCAATTTATGCAATGATATGATTAATGCTTAGCAGTACGGAGTTAGTATTTCCTACATGACCCATCAACGCCATTGTCGAACTGCCTTGCTCAAAGGTAGTGACCCTAGCAGTCACTCGTGTCGGTTTTAGGTGCTTTGCACGAAGATCCGGAAAAGACGACGCGTTTGAAGAAGGTAACGTGGTGGCTCTGGTCACATGTTTCCATAGGTTGAACCGTTCATTCTCAGCAGATACCAGTTTAATTAGCTGAGGATTTTTTCCATGTCGTCGACACGTCGTCTACTTCATTGTCGTACTTAGGCCTCAAGACAAGTTAGTCCGGTCCTAATTTGCCACTGCACCTAAGGGCAACTTCCAGCAGGCCGTGCGCTGTTCTAGTGAATTACGAAAGAGATTGTATGGATACCTTATCCGGGTGCATTGGCACGTTGCCTGCATCCTGATTTCGCTGTGCGATTCCGGCGTGCAAGCCCTTTTTGGATCCGGACGCCAACCGAGAGCAGAAGGCTTCTAGAATGCGGTCGAAGCAAATTAGAACTAGGCCATGCGAAGAAGGATCGAAGAAGCGGCGATCCCGCCCCTCTTCCGAGGGCACGTGGCACGTGCGCCACCGTCCGACGCTGGCGGCTTGCCCGCCCGCCTTCTTTTCCTCTTTATCCTCTAGACGTAGTGCTACTGTACTTGTGCGCGTGCATGCGTAAGTGCGGCGCGAGCGGTAGAAAGACGAGTTCCTCTCATCGGTATGAGCTCCACCGATGTGTCACATCTACGACGTTTTGTTCCGCGACGCATCTTCCAAGGGAATTGTGGGACTTTGCGGCGGCCTGTCGGATCGAATGCCTACTGCACATTCTTTCACAGTCGATCTTGGTTGTGCCGGGGATGTTTGCCTTCTGGTAAGCAGGCTGTAGGGGGCAAGCAAAGCTTCTTGAGCGATGAATCAGCGCTTCGTCAGAGCTGCAGAAAGCCTAGAACAAGAGTCACCGAGAGCGCAGCGGAAGAGCATGTGCTTTTGGGAAAGAAAGCGTGTGAAATGTCAAACAATAATGCCGATCCGAAATTTGCCATCTGCCCTACGGACGGATGTGCGATTTTCGGTCCCTACCAGAAAGTGTTACAGTAACGTCTGCTCGACAGGCATCGTCGCCACTAGGCAATGGTTGGCTGGGTTCCGCGGGCATCCTGTTGCTCTTTGCCTCGTCTGACCTGGTGAGATCTAGCAAGGTAAGCCTCGGTGTCTGAGCGCGGAAGATGACAAGGGAAGGTGGAAACGTTCTCGACATTAGCGCGTGCCATCCTAGCGTTTTCTTTACGAGAGCTCAGAGCACAGGTCGACGTTTCCTCCACGCAATTGGGTTTCAGTGAAGGGCTCCGTGCTCGTAGACATGAGGATGGGGAACAAGAAAAGGAAAAAAATCCAACTTGGGTGATCATGAGCCGACGGAAAGCGAGCGCAGATGGAGGCGAGAAGAAAGGGGGAAAAATGAAGACAGCAGACTAGGTTTCGATGCGAAAGGCATGGCTGGCAGGCAAGTGGCTTGGAATCTTCACGGTGCAGACGTGGAGTGGTTCCAAGCGCGGGCGAGGAGGATGAGAGAATGAATGAAAGGGAGACAGACTTCGGTCGCGTACGAGCATCAGGCACCTGCTTGTACTGGAGGTTGGACCGCGCATCGCGGCCGCAGAGCCTGGAGGATGGCGTGTGTCTGGTACGAGGCGGAGATAAGTGGTGGTGAAGCAGAGGGGGTTCTGTTGATCAGTAATAGGTGGGCAGTCAGCGTCATGAGCCCAAGCGGCCGATGATCCTCGTAGCAGCGGACGGCGCTAAACAAGCTCAGCCAGAGCGTGACGCCAATCACAGCCATGCGTGTCTTGGGCGATGCATTTCGAAGCACGCTAGAACGAACAGAAGCTCCCTCAATCGCTGCTCCGCCTTGCCCTTGCACCGTCGCCGCGCCGTGACTGGTCCTTGCTCGTTGCCTTCCCCATCCCCCTTCCTCGCAGAGCCAAAGCCCAAGCCCAGCCCGAGCCCACGCCCGGTGTCTCTCCATTGTCCGTTCGAAGTTATCTCGTTTACGCTCACTCTCTCGCTCACTCGCACTTGCTCTCGCACCGCACATACTCGCACGCACGCACGCACACACCCTCGCCCTCGCATTCTCACGTACTCTCTCTCACTCTCTTTCTGTCCCTCTTATTCCCTCCCTCTCCCCATCTCCACCTTCGCATCCGCTCCTCTCCTCCTCCACACCTCTGCCGCGTAGCATTACGGCCTCCACATCAATCCCTCCGTTTCCCGGTCTGCAGTCGTCTCTCCGCTGTCACTCTGCTCCAAATCACACCTGCAACTCCCGAGCACTTCGCCCTGGCCCATCTCAAACGCCTCACTTGCCATTCCTACCGGCGTCCAACTCTTCGTTTTTTGACGGCAGAGTCGCTTGGCCGTACTTGCACGCACACAGACGCACACACACACTCTCTCTCGCTCGCTCCTAGGGACGTAATTTGGCTTCGCTCAGCTGCCCCGCGGCACGCATCGCTCTCGCCTCCCTGATCCCTTTTGCGACACAAGAAGCGCAATCATTCTTTGGCAAATTGGCTTGTTTTGCTACCTAATCGGATTCCTCTCTGGCATTCCTTCCGTCGCAACGTCCATCTAGGCCTCGGCAGCCTGCAGATCGCACCTTGCTACTGACGGCGGCACCTTCCTGGAGCATCATCTTTCTGGGTCGCAGCTTACCGCTGGCCACAAGTCGGTTCCTTGCTCTTGCTCGTTCTGTCGCGGACTCTTGGCGTTGTCCATCCTACCTTCCGTTCCGCACGCAGACGGCTCCAATGCGTCGATAAGAGTCTCTCTGCATAGACTACAACACTGCGCAACCGTCATCATTCCGTGCAACTCCTGTCTCCCACCGGCCAATCTGGCTTTCCGGATTCGCCGCTCTACCTCGAGCGACGAGCGGCACAAGGATCGCCAGGCCAGGCGCTCGGCGAGCGGCATTTGGAAGAGCATGAGCATCAAGAAGTCATCTAAGCCAGCGCTTCGAATCAAGACTGTCTCAACCTCAATCACGTCATCACCCTCGCTTTCCCAACACTCGTGTGACTCCAACTTGGGGTCCTTGCCTGATCTTCGTGAGAAAAAATCGGACGAAAGAATGACCGACTGGATGAGCTCACGGCCGCTGAGCGTTGCAATTCCCACTCAGAACGGTGGCTTTTCCACCACCGGTCCTTACTGCCCCAGACGGCCAAACCTATCTGACATACTTGCCAACAACTCTCCTCCGCCATGGACGCTTTCGGCATTTATGGCCTACCTCTCGCAGAACCACTGCCTCGAGACTCTTGAGTTCACCATGGATGCATCGCGTTATCGTAAGCATTATAGCAAGATGGCGAGTCGCTCGCCCGATGGACGCCTGGTCCGGGGTTCGAGTGATAGTGCTTATGTCTTGTCCCTGTGGCAAAAGCTACTGGAGGCTTACATCATCCCTAATGGGCCACGTGAGGTGAACATCCCTGCTGATGTTCGTGACTCTCTGATGGAGCTTTCGATGACGGATGAACCTCCCGAGCCATCTGTGCTCGACGTTGCCGTGCAGAAGGTATATGACCTCATGGAAGAGTCGGTTCTGGTTCCATTCCTGAACAGCTTCTACCCCCAGACGGCCCTTCCGGATTCTGCGAACACGTCTCAGGAAGACCTTGCGTATCAAGTCCGCTCGAACGAAGATCGTGCGCTGCATCGTCGTTCGACGCGTAAGGAGCGTCGCTCGTCTCCGACAATGTCGTCGACAATTCCATCTTCGGCCCCACCGATGCCTAATCGAGCATCTGCGCCCTCGACTCTGTCTCAGTTCGCTCGAACGCTCTCGCACTCTACAAGACATGCGTCCAGTTCGTCCAAGACGTCATCCGCGCCATCAGCCCGTAGCTCGACCATCGCCATGATCTCGCCGTGGTCCTCAAACCAGTCCGAGTCGATGGTGCTCTCGCCTATCGACATAGGTCTCACCGATGATGCATCTGCCTCATCACCGAGTGCTGCTGGCGAGCCCATGACCCCACCGACAACGCCTCCTCAGTGCGATTTTGGCAGCCCAACCAGCTCAGGTGGATTTGGAGGCTCTAAGGGAGGAGGGACGTGGAAGAAAATGCGCAGCAGTTTCACATTCAAAAAGAGGAGTGGAAATTTACGCGAAGAAGAACCCGAGCATCCTCAGAACGGCAGCTACCTATGATACCCTTTTTCTACGCTATGCTACAATGTCTCGCATGTCTAATGAGCACGCATGATTTGAACCTCCAAACTCCTGCAACGGCCGAAAAATTTCTGCTTCGATTCTTTCCAGCATTCAGCATATACGGTTCCCTCAGGGGCTTGGCTGGCGTTTTATCTGTGGCCTCTGTCATTGACACGGATCACATAATAAACGGGCACCACATGTTCTTTGGCCACGAGACGACAAAGAACATTTGACCGATTTCCCTCGCTTCATTCGTGAGGCTGGGCATTTCCTACCTTTACATGACGTAAAAGCAACAGTATGGAACTTGCTCCATGAACGATCATACGACGATCTTTGTTCTGCTTCTTAGTGTTTTTTCCCCGCAAACGGCGCATTGCATGGGCGTTTTGTCGTGGCAATCTCTTCACTTCATTGCAAACTCTGGACAGAGTTATTTCTAGATTGTACTTTTTTCCTTGGACCAAGATATACTGTCACGGAGCAGGATTTTGACGTTTTGACATTTTGTGCATGCGCCGTTTTGTACATACCTTCTACTCGGTAAGCACGGAGAAGCTTTCGGCTCTTTGGCCATGAGCTTTAGGCTCTGAAAAGCTACGATTAAAGTAGTGGGTGCGGAATGCAATCTGATACATTGGAGCTGGCTGAGTTGCAAAACTCGTCAAGTCCATCTTATTCAACGAAGACGTGCGTGACCAAGAATCAGAATGATTTCCCATTGTCGCCAAAGTATTCATGTTTCGTTTCGCGTATGTGTCGTAGTCAGAAGAACAACCTTGGCCATGTCACTCCTACAAGCCACGAGAACATGGAGCACCGTAGGCTGCTTAAAGTGTGACTCCACTCCTGTGTTCTCGTGTCCATCTCAGGAAGACAAATCGCGCATACTCTTGGTGAGCCACATCGGCCACGGTCGCTATCAGCCCTGAACGACGTTGGAACCGGAACATTCGGCAAGAGTTTGTTATAAAGACAGGTGCTTGCGCGATGAGAATCAACCCTTCTTTATGCAATCAAAGCGATATCGCTAACCTTTACCCCGTATAGTTGTACTGTCTACACATTTTGTGGATTCGCTAGAGCTCTTTTAGCTTTTTTCTTCCTTCCCTTTTTGACGGGAATCTGTCGAGGTATCTCATCGTACATGTGGTAGGGCGCGTGCCTGCACCGTGCCCCGCATTCCTCGTCTTCCTCCTGCGAGACTAAAGCTGCAACCAAAAGAGATTTTGCTTGCTGACACTGCGATAGGTCATTATTACTGGACCTTTCTGATAACAGTTATTCGCTGCCTTCCTTTATCCGGCGGGGTCTGCGTCCAACGGGGATTCTCTGAACCAAGCCTTCGTGCGCCCTGCTTCACCCGCTTGCTCTTTTCTGGAAACACATGTTGTCCTCTTCTCTCGCTCGGAGCTCTGCAGGCCGCATATTCCGAGCCCCACCCGCGCTTTCGCCGAGTCGATCTTCCGGGGTGAACGTCGTGAGACCTCGATCACAAGTCCGCAGTGTAACTGCTGCAACACGAACGATGGCAACGTCTACGGGGAAGAAATTGGAGTGGCTGGCGGTGATTCCCGACCACGAGGGCGCCATTCAGAAGCGGCTCGAGGTCAGATCGTACGTCTTTTCCAAACCCGCGGGACCCGCGGACCGCAAACCAGCGTTTTCAAGCTAATCTCTGTTGCCCACCCCCCCAGCAAACATCTCGAGGGCGTCATGCCGTTGCACGCGGAGAACAAGATCGTGATGGGCGGTGCCTTCTTCAGTCACCCTCCCGCGGAGGGCGAGACTCCTCCGCCCATGATCGGCAGCGCGCTCGTCGTGTACGCGGAGACCAAGGAGGAGGTCATGCAGATCCTAGAGAAGGACATCTACAACACGAGCGGAGTCTGGGACCTGAGCAAGATACAGATTTGGCCTTTCAAGAGCGCCGTCAGGAGCGACATCAGCGCTACGGCTTAAGTCTACCACCATGGTGTGGCGGCGGCCGCTGCGGTGGCGGCGTGATGTGGGCTTCGTGAACCGCGCGTTTACATCCCTTCGGACTTGCATGTTTTTTGTTAAAACATGTTTCGTGGGCTGTATATATGAAACGAGGCTCATCATGGGGGAAATTTGAGCGAATACGAGGTCATCGTTGTTGAAACAAAACCAGAAATTGAGCCGATCAGTGCGGGGAAAAAAGAAAAACATTTTTGCACAAAACATCTGAATGGGCTTCCTAAGCCTCTTTCCTTGGATTTTGTATTGTGTCTTCGTCTGCAAGAATTGAAAGTGCTAAAATGTACAGTGAAGAAATTTTGTCAAAAGATCAGAATAAAAGAGGGTGGAAGGGATCTCAAATGCGAAAGTGGAAACCATGCAAGCGTCCCGCCCAGTTTCGCGGGGTGCAAAGCACGCAGTCATGCATAAAACGTCGTCACGAAGTCATCGAGAATTGAACATTTGGTGCCAGCAATGACGTTGACTCTCGCCGCTCCGCTCCTCCACTCTGATCGAAAGAAGAAGGGGGTGTTTTTTTGAAAAGAAAAGAAAGTGAGACGCGTGATAACCTGTCCTCCTGTTTGTTCTTGGTTCCCTGCCAAGAGGGAAGGGGAGGGGAGGAACGTGCTCACTTGGCAGGCCCTGCCTACGGAACAACGCGCTCGCAGACCGATCCTCTAGAGGTTGCGTCGTGCGGCGTGAGAGCGTCTGTAGCCACCATACGTGGCGGCGCTCGAGCTGGATGCCGGGACGGCGTCGGCCGTTGCGGACGGCCAGCTGGAGCTAGCCGACGGGGTCATGGACGGGCGGACCGGCGCAGAGGATGGGGGCATCAGAGGGTCCTCGGTGCACTCCGAGTCCTCGGCGTCGGCGGTGGCAGTCGCGCTGGTGGCGTGCCTGGTACGGGTCTTGGACGGCTTTGGCCAGTAGCCGGACTTGGAGGCAGAGGAGCTCGCTGCTGCGGCGGCGACGGCGGTGCTGTTGCTGGACGGAACTGGCCAGGCGATGGACGATGCGCTGGGCACGGCTTCTGCGGCATTGACTGGCGAGCTGCTCGCTGGGGCTGGCCAGGCGGTGACGGTGACGTACGCTGTCGAGACGGAGGTCGAGACCACGGTGACGGTTACAGGTGAGCAGCCCGCGCCAGTGCCGGCGGCGGCTTGGGCTTCGACGTTCGTGGAGGCGGCGGCTTGGGCATCAACGTTTGTGGAAGCGGCTGGCCAGCTGCCGGTGCCTGTCGCGCCTGTTGGGGCGCTCTCGCCGGTAGGAGAGCCATGCATGGTGACGGTGAGCGTCCGGGTGGAGGTGACGGTGGTTGTGGATTCGGGAGAAGTGCTCGCGGCAGCGGTCTCAGCGGCCGCAGCAGTCACAGGCCTGGTCATGGTCACCGTGATGGTGTCTGTAACCTTGATGGTCTGGGTCTTGGTGACCTGGCTGGACCATGGGCCTTCAGTGTAGACGAGCGTGGTAGTTCCCACGGACTCAGTGGTCGAGGTGACTACTTCCCAAGCACCGGATGACGCACCCTGAGCGCCAGCAGTTACTGATGCAGTAGCGCTCTCGCTGCATGGTGTCGTAGCGTTCCCTGCCGCAGAGCTGCTCGCGCCTGCGACAGCGCCGGCGGTAGCGCTCGCCTTGCTAGATGGCCAGACCCAGCTTGCGAAGCTAGATGGCAGGACTGGGGCAGCAACGGAGCTGCTAGAGGCACTGACGCCGCTGCCAGAACCATACGCTGGAGCAGAAGAGCTTGCAGCAATGGCGGCTGCTGGGCTGCTGGAAGACAGTGCTTGGCTTCCACTACCATAAGAGCCAGATCCTGCCCAAGGGTTTGCTGCAGCACTTGGAGAAACAGCAGCACTTGAAGAAGCATCAGAGACGGCGTCGGCTGTAGCGCTTGTCGATGGCTTTGGCTCGCTGCCGTAGCCTTGGCTAGCGGAAACGGAGTCAGCAGTAGAGCCAGCGGAAGCAGAGGCCGGTCCGTAGTTCCGTGGGATGGCGGACGCCGATGCCAAGCTGGCAAGAAGAACGATTGGGAGAGCTTTGAACTGCATCTTGTCTGTTGAACGTGTTGGTTTCCTGAACTGGTGTCACGGCCGAGGGATCGAACAGCACAGCTGAAGAAGAGAATGAGCGGTACGGAAGTCAATTCCTTAACGAGAGTGAGCCAAAAGGCCAAAGAAAAAGGAGTGAACGGAGTTGGTTTGAAGAACAGCAAGCAGTTGTTCGTCGAACAAAGCAAGACAACAGTGGTGGAGGCAAGAAAAGCGAAGGAGAGACTGGCAAGCGCTGCTTGTTAAGAACGAGCGACGACGGTAGAGACGGAAATGAGCAACAATGTCTCGCCCCAGAAAATACGCTCTGACGAAAACACCTTCATTTTGTGAGCTCCAGAGGACGCTCAGGATCCTGGCGGACATTGGTGGGATGCCGCTCTGTGTTCTGATAGAGGCGGGTGAGGAAATTAGAAAGGACCCCTGACGTGGTCCAGCGTTGGAGGGCGGGCCTATCAGGCGGCGTTGTGCGACCGTCTTAGGGGTGCACCAAGAAGTCGTCGCGGCTACTCCACGGCCAGTGGGATGAAGAAGAAAGAGACGACGACGGACGTTAGACGCTCAGCAAGCAGATTCCGACAGATCGACGCTGACGTACGACCCGGAGAGCTGCACTCCTGACGAACGCGAGCATGCGTCGATGAGCTGTCGAGCAAAAAAGGCCTGAGTCTGCCGTGACGTATTTCTGAGCACGCCTTGCGCTCACGGCCTGCCATGGCCGTTATGATTGTTGTACCCTTTTTTTTCCCCTTGGGCCGTCACAGACAATTTTCTCTGCCACAATCCCCCTTCCCCCTTCCCTGCCGTCCCACTTCATGTCCTGCTTATATGCCCTGCGACATCCTATCAGGTGGCCCGCGGACACAAGAGCGCTGCGTGCGGAGAGACGCAACCAAAGACCGTGCTGTTGCCAGCGACAATCACGCCGTGAAAGACATCTTGTCGTCCGCACGCAAGAACATTGTTCCAAAACATGGCGTTTGTTCATCAAGATCGTGGCAGAGATTCCCAAACATCTGCTGTTCCTTTCGTTTGCTCTGCTCGGCCACGCTCGAGCCACCAGGTATCACAGATGGGATGCCTGGCCCGCCGTGAGTCGCTTGTTTCATATGTCCTTGCACTGTCAAACCAGTGGCGGGGCCTTTCATACAACAATCCGCCTTATTCTTATTAGCCTTTTTATGAGCGGTGAGGTTGTTGTGGCATCATCTGCAGCAGTCAAGACCACAACAACAAAGTGGCGGAGCAGTAGCTATGCCGTGTGCCACACCGTTCCGCCTCTCAGTCGACCTTGGTCCTTCTGGAAGGCTGGCGACGTACCGTCTGGCCATCCGCTCTACTGCTATGCACCAGGCAACCCACACGGTTCGCCTGACAGTACTGGGCGGATGTTCCCTTCTCTTCGAAAAACTTCAGAATGTGAGCCTTGATCACGCACGGCAGGATCCTATTGTCCTTGCCAAGCTGTTGTAGCCAGTTGCACTTGATTATCCTTGGCGAGGAAATTGGCGGCTCCATTTTTCCTTGCTGACATAGACAAATATCCTCCAACTTCCCTCTTCGATATCCTGTCTTGAGTAAAGCTGATTGAGGCTAGATACGTCAAACACTCGGCGATTCGTAATAATGATGTCCACTTTATCTTATTCATGAGTTGTTACAGCATCACATTCATTCACTGCGACAACTCTTTGCATGCCTAGACAGCAAAAGTCTTACGTTGCATAGGAACAGGCGCCAAATGACTCCCCACTTGGTATCTATTCCACTGCGATCAGTAATTTCCGGTTCTTCAGCTTAGCCTCGACTACGATGTACACGTCCAGACAAGGCAAAGCCAAAAAATCGACGTTCTGCTTTGGCTTCTTTATCAAATAAATTGCTTCTTCCTCATCTCATCGATTCTCTTTCCCTCTGCTCATAAATTTTAAAGTTCGACATGTTCCTTTTCTTCTCAGCGGAGCTCCTGCTTCCACATCCTACATGTTGCCATCTGGATTCGTCCAAAGCAGAGCTTGTCTCATTACAGCTGGAAGCAGAACATGTGTTCCTATGGTTGGAAGCATCGTTAGCCACTTTACGTCTCTCGTTGACGGATTTCGGGTGGTGTAAGTCCGTCCTACATGAGCTAAGCGTTCATTGTGCTCAGAGAAACAACAACGCTGCTCTTTCATCCGGAGACATCCGTTACGTTACCCTGATCCGACTGCGGACCGCTGAGTGGAGCAGACGAACACGGACAGTAGACTCCCACCCCGGGCCACCTGGTTGGAGAGATGCTACGTCCTTGGTCACCTCCAGGTTCCACTGACCCGTCTCGAAGCCCCTGCGCTTCGATGCGGCTGTTGAGAAGCCACCAGTACGCAGAAGCACCTCGACGGGCCGAGAGGCGGCGAGGCGTACGAAGAGGCTCTGATACGCGAGCCCGAATAAGTTCACCACGGCGTAGCGGTAGAAGACATCATGTCCTCGGGCAATCTGGCTCCAGTCCACCCAATCAGGGACACCATTGACATGGGTCCCTAATGCCTTCAGCGTGGGATCTGTGTCAGCGTGCTTCTGCAAGACCGCGAAGGCATCTAGCTTGGTTGGCGAAGGCTGGGGTGTGCTAGAATCCCCCCTTGAGACTGTCGTCTCATTGGCAGGGCCATTTTCTTCGTTGTAGATCTCGAGTAACGGTCGTAGGCGTTCGCGCCTAACAAGTCGTAGCTGAAGAGCAGCGGCCTCAAGTCTTCTTTGTTTCTGTGCTCTGCGGTCCAGGTGAAGGATTCACTCCATACTCTGGGGCTTCGTCATCAGGAGAAGAGTCATTAGGAGAAGGGTGGAGATACGTTACTTTTTCTCCGAGATTGGGAGTTTTGTTGACCATGATGAATGGGCTGTTTTGGTCCTTACTCGCTTCAGTACGCAACAGCTGTCTGGATAATGAATCGGAATTCCTGATGGCTTCTCCTTACGTTGTTTTATATTTCAATGCTGGTACATGGCACTTCCTCCTAATATACCTACATAGCCTTAATCTCAACCAACAACACGACGACTCACGGTCCTATACTCAAAGTTAGAAAGAGTCCGAGATCCGAGGCGTGATTAAGCCCTCTCCATGTATCTCCTATACGCAAGGTACTGCAACAAGTTCACCATCAAGATCCCAAGTGAGTGAGGTACATTGGGCCAAATTCCCAATGAAGATACGAGTAGTCACTGGAGCATCCAAGTCGAGTCAGTGCCTCGGCATGTAAGATAATTCCTTGCTCAACGTGCGTAAATACCTTAAGGTAATATAAAATGCACCTATTGCGCATTAGGCTTTGTACATACCATACGCATGCTTCGGACGCCGAATATCGCATCGTTATGAAGCTAAACCGCAGTTCTACAGCTTGCGGGGTGAAGATTAATCGAGAGCACATATTGGAGGTAGCAAGGGCATTTCACTGTCAAAGCCAATTGTAGACATGGTAGTTCGATCCGCAGACCCGCAGATAAAATCTGTGAGGTACATGGAGACGTCTGTCCCGATTTTCGTATTCGTATTCGGTATCCGCCGAGTCGTATCTCAACGTTCCCAATGTTGATTCATGAAAGTGTTTCGCAGGTCGTAAACCATGTCTTACATCATTCACCATCTGTGATATCCTAGAACTAGCTAGTGCGATAATCTCCCCCACCCGAGAATTTAACAAGGGAATTATTGTACAAGAAAAAGCACTAATCAAATATCTCCTTGAGATAATATTTAGCTTTTAGAATACATCTAGGGACAACGACACATGTACCGGGGTCAGTAGGTATGCGACTCACGCTCGCCCAGCCTTCCTAGAATAGTTGTATTTTATACACTTTCCTTACGAAGTAGCTTAGCCTGATTCAACGGCCATCAGCATTTCCCTTTAAGTATATACCGTCCACCGTGACATAGCACGCTTACTTCCTCCGTACCTGACAAGTATGCAACTATATTGTAAGATAGCTTACATAGAGATGCCGACTGTGCTGCTACGATGTAAGGCACCTTGCACAGGTTACTGGCTGTGCTGCTATGCAAGCACAGCACTAGCACCGGGCACCATCCCAGTATACCAGACAAGTATACTGATATAATCGCTCAGAAAGGGGAGACTCTTTTCTCCAGTGCTCCATCTACAATTTCATCCTTTTGTCGTCTTGTGTGCAACCTGGGCCTCGTTATCTAGCCTACTCTCCTTTAACAGCAACACAAAAAATACATTTATGTTACGGTGATAGGAAGAGCATTAAGGCCTTAGAAGTAGCCAGTGTTTATCATCTATATTTTTAGAAATAAGAAGAGATATTTTCGCGATTTTCAAGTAAAATCATATGCGCTCTGTCACGAGATGCGTTCGGCGATGCGGGGGAAAAATATTACCCAAAATCATCCAGAAACAGGAGTACTGTATTTTGCTCCTCACGCTAGTGATGAGTCTAGGCTGAAATGCCTGTACTCCGCAGATTCGATCGATCTGAGTCAGAAAAGGAGACACGGCCTTGCTCGAGCTACTTCTTCTATCCACAGGTCCCTTTCTCGCTCGGCGCAAGACCCTGCATCACACTATACCACTTCGTATTTTTCCATCTCCTGGGACTGTGATGAAGGTGTGACTATGCCAACGGAAATTTGTGTCAGTGCCACCGGTGCGGTGTCCATTATGATTAAGCACATTTGTCTCAAAGTTTTCTGCTCGTTTGATCTTTTCTGAACCTCTTTTTGTCAAGCGAGAAGATGGCCAAAACATTGTGGATCTGAATGGTCTCTTCTATCCTCTGATATGATCGCTTCCAAACGTGAATCAAGTGCTTAAATGTTGATCAGGCACAGTTGTACTAGCTGAGGGCGATCATTCTGCCCAGGGAAGCAAGCCATGGTGGCTAAGGCATCAACCACCCAAGTTAAGATGCAAGAAATAGCGGGGACTTAAGCGCGGCTCCCCGGCAGTTGAACCGTTGACGGCGCAATTGAACTGTTGTAGGAGCCCAAAGCTAGTTTTGAATGCCTGAAGGTTCAAGGGAGACGCGTTTTTAGTGCGCTTTCGCAAGGCTGTCCGTGATTTCATGATGAAGTACCAACGGCACTGGCAAGGAGTCCTCTGGGCTTACACGCGAAAGATGTGAAGCAGGCTTTAATCAGAACTCAAGCCATGCGCGAACTATCAATCGAGGCAGAAACTTGGAAAGCGAAACTGAGGAAACAACATGCAATGCACTGGTAGCTTGTGATACCCCCGCAGATTTTCAAACGGCTTGTGCTGTAAACGCTCCGTCCAGCTTCTGCAGGTCATTACACTAGCCGCTCTCCAGGTTCTCCCCCACGATCGGATAGCACGACCGAGGAACCGACGCGGCTGTGTGATAATGCAAAGTGATTGGTGATTGGTGTGCGGCTCGGCAGTCCAGCCTCACTTCCCTCAGGGGGGCGCTGGAAGATCTGCTTTCAGGCATTGTTAAGATACATCTGTCGACACTATACTTCCTCAATATTGCTCGTTGTGACGTTGAAAACTTGGGAAGTTCGCAAGAAAGACTCGTTTGGTTCATTCGAGGCAATCATTCCCCTGAAGATTTTATCCCGCAACCTGTTGTTTTGCGCATTTCCGTCTATTGGTCGAGTCAGTCGAGGATGTGCCGTCACGTTCAGAAAGTCTAAAGCACGCCTCTTCCGCTAGTTCGCCAACCAAAACCTCAAAACCAAGGACGCGTACATTTCAGGATATGCGTCCTATACCAAGATTAGATCGCACACAGGGTTAAAACAATGCCTGCCTATATTTCCGTCAACTACAGGCTTTCATCGTCATCCGACTGGTCTTGCGATTGATAGCACCTGCTGACGACAACCAACGATGAGTTCTAGGCCATATTCCATTTCTACGGCACGCAATCCTAGTGAGAATTTGGAGAGACGAAAGTTTCCCCGGACTCTGACTCGCGCTCATGCAAGCTAAGGAGAATTCCGAACGCCATTTGTGGCCTGATCGACCAAATCTACGCCCAATGCTAGATCGCTGTTTGGAGCATCACTGCTTTGTCGCTCATCCTGATGCAGAAGATAATGCGGGCCCCGACATCCGTGGATAAGGGCGCTGCCGCAGCAGGGAAGTCAAGACATGGCTTGGTGGACGTTGGCCGTTGACCAATTCTCCATTTTGAGCCGTCTGCAGATTAATAAATGTTCTCATTCCAGCTCCCTTGCTTCGATTATCGGACAGTTTTTACCATTCCTCTGGGTCACCAAGACGCCTGTATAAGCTCGTCCCTTTCAGCGAATGCGGGCTTTTTTATTGGGAACACACTGCCATGCAACTACCTTCCGCTGAGCAGTTGGCACAATGGCCCACCCCAAACTACGAAAATCCGGTAAGACGGGGAGACGCACTCGTGATCGTCGACTCTGTCTTTCTGGGCTTCGCTACTTTGTTAGTTGCTTTGAGACTGTACACCCGTTTGGCCGTACGGAAATGGTTCGGTCTCGATGATATCTTTATTGTTCTCGCCTATGTGCGTCACTTCCATGTCTCCTCAGGGGTATTTTCGCTGATCGGAGACTTTTATTTTTGAACACAGGTCTCCAGATCATGGACTAACTTTAGCAGGCTTCGACCGTTGCTCTCAACGCTGTGATGTTCGAAGGACTACGGCACTATGGTTGGGACAGACATACTTGGGATGTGCCTTTGACCTGGATTCAAAGTATTCAGGCCTCATGCCGAGCGTCTAACGTGCAGTTAACATTTGAGATAGGGTCTGCGCACTTGGCATACGTTGGAAAATTACTTTACATTATGGCAGTATCGTTCACTGCGTTCGCACTTATTGCTTTCTACTATCGACTCATCGCCGAGAGTGGCTCGAGCTGGTTCAGAATAGCACTCCATTTGACGCTAGCATACAATATCGCTGTCTCTATCGGATGTGGTCAGTCATTATGCCATATGGACTTTGCTGGATCAAGCTGACTTTTCAATTAGAGTCATTACAAACTCCTCGTTGCATTTGGGCCTAATGCTGACCCCCAACCCAGACTTCTTCGCTGAAATGTTCATGTGCACGTACGTTTCCGGTTCAGTACCTCACATCACTCTGATTATTGTTCTAATACATATACAGACCAATCAGTTTCTACTGGACAATTGATGGACCACCTGGCGCGCATTGCATACCCGAACCACCTGTCACGTTCTCTTCGGGATGTTTAAAACTCTTTTCGGATGTCCTACTCACAACTCTGCCCCTGCCTCTGGTATTCAGATTAGAGTTACGTCGGCGGCAGCGCTACATGGTTGCGATTCTTTTTGCCTTGGGCTACGTTGTCACTGGAGCGGGGGCGGCTCGCGTCTATTTTACTTACAAATCATTCTTCACAGACGGCGACAGTATTTGGTGGCAGTATCCCACGTTCATATGTGCCACAATCGAGAACGATCTTGGTATAGTGCGTATAGGGACACTGCGTGTCGAAGAAAAAAAATGAAACTGACAACAACCAGATCTGTGCTTGTGCTCCAACAATCCGACCTCTCTTTCCAAAGTTCTTCGGCGGGCCGCTGTCACGTGTGAAGGGCTGGATATCTACCCACAATCCTTCCTCGAAGTCGTCTAGAGACGTGTCAGAGGCGAAGAGGACGTCGAACCTGTCTCAGCTCGGCTCGCACATTCGTTCTTTTGGTCTATCTAGATCAACAGAGACCAATCACGACACTGACGACGACATAGAACTTGTCATTCAGAAAAATTACGATCTTGGTAAAGATGGCAACCATAGTCATCGAGATGTGGGGTTTGATTTCGATCTGCCAGAAAAAGAGAGCTCCAAGCTCGGAGTACAAGTCAACTCGACTGCTGCCAAGCCAATGAGCATGGTCAGTATCAGTTCGGGTAATGAGAGTATTCATCCTTTCGACCCTCGTCTAGACGTGGAGAATCAAGCCCTCCGATTTGCACCGTAGAAAATCTCCTAGAGGACGCTACGAATAGTCTAAAAGACAAGGCACAATAAAAGAGAGAATCGTCGCTAAGGCTAAGGGCTAGATTTTCACGACAAGTGTGTCCATAGAAACTGGATACTGACTTAGCCATCGGGAGACAACAATTTTGATTGTCTTGGACACTGCCTCTTGCTGTTGATGTTATGGGCAACGAATACACCGCGATGAGTTTTATATTCTGATTTCTCGAAAAAGATATGGGTAGAGAAGGGCTATTAATGTGGTCATCAAAAGAGGCTGTCAGGCTTCATACTATGCATGGTGAGGGGCGTCTGGTTGAGATTCTGTGATTCTAACGGATCGTGAATGAGAGCGCGTGCATTCGAAGTGATCTGTGCATACTGATACCCCTTTTATGAGAGAACTTTGTGACGATTGTTAGCGGAGAGTAACTCCACCCTGGACTTGAAGTAGATCATACAATGTCGAACAAGTCGAGTTTTGATTCCACACAAGCCCATTCCTTAAACATATGAAACGTACTTGTCGATATCTCGCTCCTGCAAATACTATCCTGCACTCTGCGCTTTGCCTTTAACGGTTCACTTTACGAGCAGGGAAGGGCTTGCCGGAGGCCATTCGCGATCATGACTCGGCAGAGTCAGCATTGACCAGCAGTTCTTCTCCGCAGTATCATAGGGAATTTCCTGCAGCGAGCGCTAGCTCAGTTTAGGTCTGACACAAAAGCGCTGTCACTTCCTCTTAGCCACGTGGTGGACATAGTGTCCGTGAAGCATGGGACCCGCAAGTTCTGAGTACGGACATCAGACTCTTCCGGCGCATATGAGAATATGCTCTTAATTTCAGAGGTGCGATAGGCAAACTACGCGAGCCGCTCGCCACGTCGTCCGTTGCTTCAGATTGCTAGATCCTCGTACCATGTCTTAAGTCGTCGCGCTACGGGGAATCGCCAGACGCTCCGACCATAGAACTATGGCGCAATACCGCACGCTTTGATCCTTGTTTTATGAAGATAGGGTGACTTATGCTTGTATGCGCATTCGATTGGTAGAGAATAATCGCACATGACGGTTTTTCCGTGTCTGAAGCCCATGTTTGAAATGAAGTGATGCGTTATAGTTTCTCAATATCAGTGTTTCGAGACTCGCTAGACTTCCAGGACAAGGCGACTTCGCAGGAAACTTCCTCTCTCCTACCTTCACATCTCGACACGTTCTTGCCCTCAGGACCTTGATAAGCCATCACTGTACTCAGTATGGTGGTCTTGGAAAGACATGTTGACTTTTGCTAAGCCCTACCGTCCGCAATAGCTACCTGCAAAAAGAGGGACAATAAAGTGCGCGGGCCGGATTAAAACTGCATCGATCGTAATTCCCTCGTGCGTAGAATAGAAATGCATCTAAACTAGCATGTAGAAACCTCATTAGCGACGGGAGCTACCCAATTAATTGTGAAGACTACGACACGGCTTCGTGAAAGGACATGCTACCAGAGTTTGCTCAGCTTCTCCATCTGAGGGCTGATAAAATCCACGGTTTTGACTCTCATAGAAGACCTGGCACGTCTACTCTGTCATGCTATTGATCTGACATCCTAACAACAAGCTAGCCTTGGTATGGCGATATCCTGCGAAATTGACGCTTCGTTCTTATGTTGACCCGATATCAGCCGTTCTGAAAAAGAGCGATACCCACCAAGGATTAAGTCAAACTCCGCGTCGACGACTAATCCAAACATTTCAACCGAACAGGCAAGCTCCTTTCTTTCCTCAGTTTTCTTTTTTCTCTCTGCCTAGAACTTTATTGTTCATATATTCGCACCAGTCCAGTTCTGGTCCCTAGCTCAATTTCGTATTCAGCCTTGGCCGTGGTCCAGCTCGTTGCTATGACCAATCAATGGCAAGCTTCGCAACGAGAACCAATCGTTGTGCACTATGTGCCAACATTTGCGACTCTATTGCATTTAAATACGAATCTATGATAGCTTCTTGGAAAAGGGCCCGAGAAATGTAGGAAAAAGATGTATATAAGTATAGGTGATGCATCAGTTTCTCAAAAAGATTTTAGATATCAAAATAGCTGAATCTAAAGCAAATCAATTCGCTCCTCGTGGAACAAAGAATTGCACATTTCGAATTTCTCAAGATGTCACTTCCTTTGATTGCTATTGCTGGAGGGTCTTCGCAACTTGGAGCAGCCATTCTTACAGCTCTGCTTGAGACTGGTACATTTAGACCTGTTGTTCTCTCTCGTGAATCATCTAAAACACCGGCTTGGCTTGAAGCACTTCCAGTGGAAGTCAGACGCGTTAACTACCTTTCTTACGAATCCTGCACTACGGCGTTGGCAGGTGTTCATACAGTACGGATGAATCAAAGAATCAACAAAGTTGGTTGTAACTGATATATCCAGGTGATTTCCACCCTTCTCTGTAAAGACGGTACCTGGTTTGTAAGCCAGAAAAATTTGCTAGATGCTGGGCTCAAAGTTGGCATCAAGAGGTAACTATCGCACAGCACCTCATTTCATGTTCCCATCTTTGACCAAAACAGATTTGTCGCTTCAGAATTTGGCCTTGGGCCTCTGGGTACTGCCGAAGTAGATCTTTTTGCACTCGAACAGTTGCCAATCCGGTTGGCTTTGAAGGCTGCTGCGAGGGAGCATCCGGATTTTGAATGGACCGCCTTTTATAATGGCGCATTCATGAACTATTTGGGATACGGATGTGAGAATGCAGAAGCAGTCGGGATGGATCACAGCTTCTTGTTTAATGGTGAGAGAATTTGCAGCTCTAAGATAATCACATCGGAGCTGACTAATGAGCACTGATAGTGAAAGCCATGACAGCTGATATTCCTGTTAAGGAAGACGGCTCTTTTCCTGACCTCACCATGACGACTATAGCGGACGTCGGCCACTTCGTTGCGGCAGCGTGTGCGCTTCCGCAAGGAACATGGCCAGAGGATAGTTATCTTGCTGGTGAGACTCTTAGTATTGGCAAAGTTATTGATATTATTGAGAGTGTTTGCGGTCGCAAAGTTATTGTGAGAAAATACACCAAGAAAGCTCTTTTGGAAGAGATTGCACAGATCCCGGCGGACAGCGTTCGTGAAGAGGACATCATGGGTCGATTCTTCTTGCAGCTTACCCTAGCGTTTGCAGAAGGAGAGCAAGGCAAGAGCGTAATGGCTCCAGATTTGAATCATCGCTTTCCCGAAATCAAGACAACTAGTGTCGAAGAGTACGTGAGGAAGTACTGGGGTGTGTAATCGGGTGTTCTAGCACAGTTCCTAACTCAGTTCTTTTGGAACCAGTTGTGAATGTGTGGAAGGTTTTCCGTACTAGTATATCTCGACTCTTCAATCGAATCTCTTTTGATCCCGCCTTCGTAGCGTTGACCGAGACACATCATGATGTCTATGATGGGTAGATCCAGGTGGTTTATGTTAATCGCTTTGGTTCCCTTGCGGATATTCAACCTCGAGCTTGTGCGCTATTTCCTTGAGCTGCCGTACCCAGCCGAGGCCGCACGTGCAGCGCACGTGTATCAAGTGCTAACCGCTCTGGAACAACCAAGTCGATCACCCCTCGCATTCGTGTCTGAAAAGCAGCCAGCTCCTGTTCTGCTCTAGAGATCAGACTTGGGTTACTCTCTGCAATGCGTACCTTGGCCTCCAGAACATAGCTTCCGCTCTTATCAAGCGGTACCAAGCTGGAAACTGCCGGCAGCGGATCGTTGATGGACTGGATCGGTGTTGGTAAGGTCATAATACGGTGCAAACAGAGAATGATGTTGTCTAATATAAACCGGTGGCCTTCTACGACCGTTTGATTAAGCACCCTGCACTTAGTTAAAGGTCCGTACATTTGAAAAGGGACAGCAACTCCCACTTACGTGTAGCCCAAAGCCTCAACATACGCCTGCGGATCTCCAGACTTGATTTCAATTGTTTCTGCAGATCTCAGGATTGTTGGCCGTTTGCCTGGCTGTGGTGTGTCTTTGAACCTTAGCTCCCAATGACCCTCCTGCTCAGTGACCGTAGCATCCACCTCCATGCTTTCTGAACCTTTACCGAATTCAAGTTCAGACAAGGCCTTCACTAACTCGAGGTGAAACACATCAGTATTCGCGTTCCTAACCGCTTGCTGATTCTGTTTCTGGGACACTACGCCTTGACTGCCACCTCGCGCCGGACCAGCGGCCTGAGGGATACGCGTAGGTTTGAATAGCACGTGCCTCTCCAGAACGCGCTGCGGCTGCATGGCGGCAAGACCCGCGAGGATATTGAGCAATTGTTCATGTCGTGCTGCGGGAATCTGCCCGAACAGCAGGAGCTCGTGCATCACGACTCAATTCTGGCGTCAGGATTCTATAGGGTGTCGTCCGACACGCGCCTGAATCTGAGCGATAAAAGGGCGACCTGTCTCGAAACAAGCCAAAGACGAAAAGGAAAAAAAAAGTTTCGTTAGCGTCTCTCACGTTGGCTGGCACCACAATTGCGCAAATAGCATGCGCCAGGGCGAATTGTACGACAGAATTGGATCGGCGTGGAGTGAGTGTGGAGGGCACCTGGGCGAAAATCGCGGGCGATGTCGGAAATAGGCTAAGGCCGCCAATCACACCGCGTCTTCCTTATCGCTTTGTTCAATCGTGCCTTGTCGAGACACTTTCAATGCGCATGTGTGTTTTTGCTGCTGCGCGTGACGGGCTTCTATAGCAGGCTAGAATTCGCTTTCACCTGCACTTCCCACGTTTCGGCCTTCGGTTGTTGCAGCACTGGGTGAGCTGGCCACGCTTCGCCAGCTTCTTGAAGAAGGCGGATCTCCCCACGGCATCTCCAACCACCTCCGCCCTTTGTCTTTCCTCTCTCTCTCAAGTCACTCCATCTTCAATCACCGCTGCCAAACGTCCGGACATCATTCTTCAGCATCGTTCATTATTATCCACAGCGTGTAGTCATCAAAAATCGCCCTCACAGCTGCATCCGCAACATCTCTGCACCGACGACGCTCGGCTCCGCACAGTCCGCTCGCTTCGCCCTTCAAGCCGTAACACAACCGCAATGCAAGCTACGCGGCGGCTGCTCTCGCAGCGCCAACCGATGATTAAGTTCCTCGGCAAGCGAAGTGTTCCTGCCAGTATGTTGGATGATTGATCCGCTTCTGATCTCGCGGTGTCTCACCAATCCTTCTAGCAATCGATCACACTCCAAAGCAACATCCCGCATCGGCAACCGCCCTACCGCCGTCCTTCACCAAAAAGAACTCATTTGCTGCATACAGGCAAACCGCACAGCAACATGGACCTCTGAACACAAGCTCCATCGGTTCCAGACCTGGCCATTCGCTAGGCCCCATCGAGCCAGAACCAGGCGTGTTTTTCGACCGAAATCAACTAGGCGCGAAGTATCAGAAGCTGCCATGGTCAGCCGCTGAGATGGAAGCCATCGAGTCGGGAGGGGCGAGCATGTGGGCATAAGCTTCTTTGTGGATGGAATGTGGTACCACCGGGTAATGCTGGTGCTGTTCGAAAAGTGTGATGAAGAGCCAGGACCGTCATGTACATAGGCACAGGAAATCATCTCTCACAGGCATATTGGAGCGCTGGGTTTCACGTCAGCAAATCGCGCGGGAAACAAAATAAAAAGCAATTTTCACAAGGGTATCCTTCAAAATGTACGATGCTCATAGCCGACTGTATGTACACTGAAATGAAATAGCCCCTTCCCGATACTCAATTCTGGACCATCATAGTCATTTTTGAGTCTAGTAGATCGTGTCGTGTCTATTCTGTGATTGCGCTTCTAATCAGTCTAGCTACTGTCCATCAACAGTGCCACTTTCGATGCCCGGAGCAGTAGCACATGCCTCGCTCAGGCTAGATGGGGAGCATTGCTCCTGGCACGGATTACCCACAGCGCCTGAGCCCCCTGCACACCTCGTGTAATCACCAACACGTCGACTCAAGATCAACAGTGCCGCCATTCGGACGCACTGGCATCTGCTGACCATGTCTTGAACTATTCGCGAGGCTGTGACTCTCACCTTCACAAGGCTGCAACTCGGCGTCGGGTGAATTACAAACGCCAGGCTTACTCATGACACAGCCCTCTCGGTGGAAGCTGGCGGAATGAACTGACGATTAAAAAAAAAAAAACCCCCCATCGTCATGCACGCGTATATACTTTCCAATCACAATTGCGGTTGCGAAGCGAGTGTCCGGAGTCTCGGCCTCCGAGCACTCCGGGTGCGCCATATGGTAATGCTTTCGTCGACGTTACCATCGTCGCCCCGCGGTAGGCCGTCCTCGCAGGGCGGAGCGGAACCGGCGGAACTCCCGGCACGGTCGTCGAGCGGGATGGCGAAAAACGGTTGTCTTTCCCCCTTCCTGCCTCGTCCCGAAGCAGAATTTGTGCTTAGAAATCGCCCTTGTCGCATCCCACCACTCTTACAAAAAAAGGGAGAGAGCGAGGGAGAGATAGAGAGAAAGAGAAAGCCGTCGATTCCCGCAGCCAAAAGGGAGCCCTCGAAACCGAGGATGGGCAGGAGGAAGAGTAATCCAAAAAGTGTTTCTTACAAAGTAGCTGTTGCACCGTTTCGCCAAGCGCGAGAGCTGATTCCGCCAGAGCCCCCCCCGTTTCCGCCCTCCGATGCACTCACTCCTTTTCCCGACTGTCTCTCTTTAATAAACACACCTTTGAACTCTTCGCCACCGGCGAGTGTCACGTGTGCAGCAGCCCATCCTTTACCTTACTGATAATATGGGGGGTTTGGGGGACGGTGAATGACGGGCGCAAAAACTTCTGCATCCCTCCCCACCGCATACAACCTTCTTTAGACGGAAGCAGACAAAAAAAAAAGGGGGGGGGGAGGATAAGACTCGAAGTAAGGAAGGAGGAAGGTGGAGGAGAGAAGGTGGGCGCATTTCGAAGAGTCTAGAACTTCTCCAAGTCGGACCGAGAGCGCTGCCCTCGATTCCAGTCGACACGTCGTAAAGAGAAACTCCGGTCGTCCTTTTTGTGCGAATCGGCGTGCACGGCGTCGTTCAGCTTGCCTGGGGGGGAACGGGGGAGGAGAGTTGGACGTTGACCAACTGTGCATCTTTTGACACGACGACGCGATGCGCTCAGCCTCGCGAACGACGCAAGCTTGCTACGGTGAGGAAGGAAGGATGTTTTGAGGCGAGCGAATGTCAGCCGGCGTGGTGCGTGGACGAGCACGATTTGCGGAGCGATGGTGGCGCAAAAGGTGCTTGCTTACGCTTTATGAGAAATTCCTTACGTTGTTTGAATTATTAGCTGAGAAAGGATGGGGCGCGGCGCGGCTTCAATAATACAAGTGTGTATATTCGAGACTTCTATATACCCAAAAGGGGGGAGAGAGAGAAAGAGAGAGAGAGAACAGAAAAAAATACAAGGGAGCAAGCTGAGTATGTGGGCTTGATCCTTTGCGCATTCTCTTCTGGAAGAACACTATAGTCAATTATACAGAGAAGATTGACCTTTTTGATGGAATATCCGCAAAAAAATTGTACATTAAAAGCCCACGTCTTTTTCAGCCCGTGTGCCTTCGCAATCATATACACAACACGCACCAATACGGAACATAGAACCGATGGAGACGAGTCGATGATAATAATAATACAGGGTGACATCCGACCCCCCAAAAAATATATCACACCCTGGTTGTGCCGTCTATACCAATTTCAGCCCACGTCATGAAACCGTGTTTTGTAACCTCTGCGTACAATAAAGACAAAGAAGAAAAAGAAAAAGGGAAACGTTTTCTGGACAATTCGAAGTGAAATAGGGGGGGGGGGTATACACATAAAGGTAAGGACCGTCAAGACTCGTGATCCAAAATTCGTAAATGCTCGTAACATGTCCGTCCAACCCAAACAAAATCAAGAGGTCGCACAAGCAGAGAGAATGGCCATCAAGAGTACAAGCTGAGAAAGTAACAGGCCAAGTCGTTGCCGGAATGGGCTTGAAAGATGCCAAAGGGATCTAGAACGCTCAAGATGCAGGGAACACGTCCGGCGGTCCAAATCGGATCATCGTGACGACAAAGAGTACTAATCACGACCAAAGTCGAAAGAGAACGCCGCTGCCATGGATGTCGTGGCCATTCTGGCCGGTCGAAGAGAGGGCTTTGATGTGGTCCAAAAGGCCAATCAATTCGTTTCAATCGTGAGCGCCTCGTCTGCGATGCTTGCCTGGAAAGTCCACCTCTGGATGTACCACGCGCATGTGTCTCGTCAGCGCATCGTTGCGTGAGAATGTCTTGTCCTCTACGCAGAGCGCGCAGCGAACTTTTTGCTTGCGCGCATTATGAATTGTGTCTTCGTGCCGTGTCAAATCGTACGGCCGAGAGAAGATGGTATTACATGGCTTGCCAGTCGTTGGATTGATGCGCTCGCACTTGTGTGGACCCGACTGCGAGTTGCGCGCGGCCAGTTGCGCTGACGTCATCCCGCTTCCGATTCCCGGAGTTACGTTAGAGGCAGATGCCGTGTTCCGATGACCCTCGCGCTTGTGCTTCTGCAACTTCTGGGGCGTCTCGAAGCGGAGGTTGCAGCCGTGGAATGTGCAGGTGTACGTGCCGCTATCCGCCGTGGAGGGAACAGGTTTCGTGGTTTCAGTGTAGTTGCTGTTGGTACTCGAGGCGGGGGCCTCGCTTGCGCTTGAGTCCATCGATGTGAGGTGAGCGGGGAACTCCGGCGTCTCTTCCTGCTTTGTCGAAGTCTCTGCGCGGTAAGCCTGCGAAGAGAACGGAAGTGACTGGGCGTATCCAGTCATCGTTGGAACCGTGAAGTTGAACGATGCGGAGTCGGTGCTCGAAACTTCGTCTGGTCTCTGCCGCACATCATTGGTCCAGGCGCTCGTCGAACTGGGGTTGAGTCGAGAGATGTTCTGGATCTGCGCCGAGAAATTTTGTTGACCACCCCCAAACTGCTGATCGAACTGTGACGCCTCGCTCTCGGAAAACGGTGGCATTTTCGAGTCTGCCTCCGTTTCGCTGTAATCCAAAACTGCATCCTTAGGCGAGATGGTCTTGGGTGTGTCGTTGCTTCGCTGCGACATGTGCTGCGACATCTCCATTTGCGACGCGCGTGCTTGCTGAGCCTGCCGTACTGACGCAGCGGTATATGGTCTTTGCATCTGGCTGTAAACACCTTGAACGAAAGGCGAGCCTGCCCTGAACGGCGAAACACCTCTTGATGCCGTGCTGGCCGGCGACTGCGACCGTGCTATCTGGGCCGCCTGCAGGTATTCGTTGATGATGTTGCGGTGAGGTGATAGGAGCTGGGTAGATTTGGGTGCAGAGGTGGCGGAGGATGGGGCGATGTTGGCACCGCTGAACAGCGCATCGCTGTAGGCATCAGAGACAGTCCTGTCAAGCTTTGGAAATCTCATCTGCTGGTCTGCCGCGTCGTCAAATTGTAAGTTTTCATCCAGCCATGCGTCGATGCCGATCGAGGACAATGTAGGAGAGTTCTCACCATGGGAAGGAATTTTGAATCCATCATCATAGTTCTCTGGAATGGTGCGAGGAGTCGACGGGTCTTGGCCCAGACTAGACACCGACTGCCTGCCGGAATGGGACATGCCCGGAATGTCTTCGTCGGCGTTGGAGTGATGGTCGATGTTGTTGTTTACTGTTAGATGAGCAGACATGGCACCGTTCATGTCTCCACCATGAGGATAAGAGGAGGTGGGATAACTCGTACTCAAGAAAGATTCTTGCGTAGGTGTCTGCGAAGGTGTCGGTAGATGGTTCGAGAACGGGCTGGCGCACGACTGGTCCGGGGCACTGCTGAACGTGTGATCATTTTTGCATGCCGCTGCGGTGTCGTTGAGGCTATAACCATACGACGGATGACCTTGCGAGTACGGCGACCCCGTCGCATTTGAGCCCATGGACGACGATGACTGCGCGCGTTGATGCGCCGACCTGTTTCGCTGAAAGGCGGCTGCCTGAAGAGAGCGGTTCGCCATCATGGGGGTATTGCTCCAATTATCGTACGGAGAAGGATTGCTAAGGGACTGTGGCAACTGTGGGCCTGGAGCAGGCGACGACTGCTGTACCCTTATGGCAGGGTTTTGATAGAAGTGACCCGTCATGTGCGGACTAGGATTCGCGGCTTGACTTTGCGACGATGAGTCAATCAATGATTGCGCGTCGAGGTAGCCTGGCTTGTTTGTTTCGCCGCTGGCGGTACCGTTGTTGTCGCTGTTGATGATCGAGGGCGACGGCGAGCTCTGCGAATAGAGCAGAGCGTCAAGAGTGGAGAAGATGTGTGGTTGTAGTAGTGCTGGAGACGGGTGATGATCGAAGGCACGAGTGTGGTGATGTTGACGTCTCAGATCTAATGCCAGCATAGTGCAATAGAGTGTCAGGGACGGGTGGCGAGATCTTAATATATGGGATCGGATCAAGTAGCGTTCGGGCTAGCCGGAGGAAACCACGAGTACATTATACAAGAGTATGGAACAAGATGGACAGCCACAGACACTAATAGGGCCGTTATGTCCGATGCTTGCGTGATGAAATGATATGAATAATTAAGCCGGATTTTGTTCGCATGGGAGACCAATGCATCATCGCTCTATGGTTGACTGAACGTAATGCTAAGAGGGTGTTCGCTAGTATATGAGTGTTCTTCGCCGATGACATCACATTTTGGGTAGGGGTGGGGAGGGGAGGGGAGGGCATTCCTTAATCCCTGTTGCGTGGCTTTTTGCAGCAAGTCTGGATCTACTGTGTATGCGCTGTAAAAAAAATTAGCACGCTTCTCCATTGCGCACAGCGACGGCCTTGAACCACTCTGCTCTGGCCTTCTTGCTGCAAATTAGGGAGACTGGCTGCACATCGCACCGTGCAACACACCGCGCTGAACAGTGTGTGCACCCTCCGCGCATGCACCGTCATACAAGCACACTCGCATACTTGCGCTTCCGACTATACCCTCTTCCCATGTCGCCCAACGCATCGCAAGGACTTTTTCTTTTCCTATACGAATTTTTTTTTTCGGCAAGTCCCTGAAAAAAAAAAATCTCATGCTGGCTGCCACGGGCTCCGCGTCGAGCCGACTCTGTCCATAGTTCGTGCGAGGCCCTGGCGGCTCTTCGGCCTGCGACAAGGCGCAGTATTTCTTGGGCCGAGAGTTTACCCGGCCACTACTAAGCCCTACCCTGCATCCTTCGTTGCAATTTTTCCGCTCTGCGTCGAATCTGGTGTCCTCCCTTTAACCCTGGGAACAAAATATTTCCATTGTCCTCGGAAATATGGATCCAAATTTTTTTTTCCTTTCGGTCTCAAAACTGCGGTTCGAAACGCATACCGGCGACCCCAATTGCACCGCTTCGTACAGGTCGCAAATCTTAGTGCGCACGGTTAGCTACAGCTCACCTGAGGTCTCGCGTAGTGGCCCTTATACGGCGTGTCATAATCCACCAACACCTGTCACTCTCCTTATGCTTGTCTCCACTCGTAAGCAGTTTTTACGCCCGGAGTAGTCATGTTGTCTGGACGTTGCATTCTCGCGTGGGCGCGGGTCTTGCCCAACGTATGTGCATGATTCAGTTACTGCAAGAGGCAGCTGAATCGAAAATCGCAAATCATTGGCCCAATCTTTCTTTAAACCGCTCAACAGAAGGATTTTTCTCACCGTCGCATAAAATGAATGATAGTGTAGTCCCGCGTGGGCGCGCATACTCTGCGCCATAAAGCGTGTGCGTATTCTTCTGCGCTTCTCACGACCCCTTCCCTCGCTACACCAAGAGAAAGACTGCCGCCGCGAGCGCTGTGTAAAAGAATGCGGAGTGTCCGAAAAAACAAGGAACCTATCAGTAGATCTGGTGCGAGTCATGCGTTGCACAAAATCACACATGTCCGACCATCTATCGTCGCTCAGCATGCTGCAACTCGAGATCTGGACCAACGGTTTCTCCAAAGGCGGCCCGAAAAAAGTGTGGATCCGAACTTTCTCCCGTGCTTCCATGCATGCGCCATGCAGAGACTTGTTCAGACATGCAAGCCTTATGCATAAGTTGCATGGACTTGCCTAGACAGGCCAGATCCATGGGTTAATGGACTAGACCCGTCTAGAGCCTCCTCTGTCGCACTCTACCATAGACTACATAAGAGCTGGGCAATGAACTCGCCCTCTCCATTGGTTTTATCGACAAGGAACGCGAAAGTACTGCGCATACATGTATTGAATGGATACGCCGAAAAGCTGGAGTCGTCGCAAGCACAGCTGAGCCACACGTCGATTTCAATCACGCGCCAAACATCCCAAGCTGAAAGAAGCCGAAGCGCGCTCGGCTTTACGGTTTAGAATGTGTTCTGGCCAGGTGTCATCGGAGGTATCTCCTCCACTGGCGGAAAGCGTAAGTAGACATGGAATCGATACGGTACCGCCTGACAACGAAATGCCCTTAGCAAGTGCTGAGCCATACAAACGGTCGGCGATCATCTTGGTCGACTACCTTGCTTCGGTGACGAGCATTCTCTTTGACTCACACGTAGGCACTTTTATTGCCTGATAGTTCGTGCAGGCGTCGACTTTCCATGTGAAATCCCAAAAATAACACGTAGACACAGTTTCTCAGTGAAGCGAGTTGGTGTGGCGCAGGCGGCAGATCATCAACCGAGGCAGGCTCCGCTCTCCGCTGATGACGAACAACGCACAAAAGATCCAATATATTGTGAGTCGCCGTCACTATTTCCATTCGGGCGTCTCTCGAGCGGAGTGTCGGAATCTGCCACCTTTCCACCCTCCAAAGGCAGCGATCGGCGCGAGCACAGCCACATCGATAAGATCCTGCATTTGCCAAACAAGGATTTTTCAGCGAACGACGTCTCAAGAATCGTTGCCGATCGGCAGGAAATTCCTGCTTTGGCGCTCGGCTCATCTTCCTCGGGAACCTCCGCCCTCTGCCCTACAAGTAGGTCTTGCATGCCGTTCACGTCGCCGAAGATCTCTGCTGCCGTCTTTTGCATGGGTGCCGCGGAGCGTATGGTCCACCGAAAGTCTCGCAGTGATCATCTACCTGTCCTTAATGGATCGGTTCTTACCACCAAGAAATCAAGAAACTTCCCTGACGTCGTAGGCGATCGGCATCGTGAAGATGCGCGCTTGTCGATCACTGACGTTGATATGAATCTTCAGGGTCCAAGACCGGAACAGGGGTTGGAACATTTATGTCCAAGCGAGCCAATGACGATGTGAGCCAGTCTCGAAACCCTTTCCTCCACCTGGTGCATGACCCTCACATCCACTTCCGGTGCTCACTTCGGTATCGAGTTAGGCGCTCTTGTTTAATTCTTAAGATAGAGTTTAGAGTTCTTTGCTGTTCCGCTTTTCCGATTGGCAACATGTTTTCCTTGCCTTCCTTGCAACCAAACTTCGCTACGGTGAGGAACGAGGCAAGCCCATTGCGTCACATTGAATCACGTGACCAGTCATGTCTTTCAAAATGACTTAACTTTTTACATCATTTCCAGTCACCCACTCGTGGTTCCTTAAGAGATACGCCAAATCGGTCTATTCACTACTGGTCGAATTTATCGCAATTCCTTGCAGAACAAAGTCTTGGACCCATTTTTAGCCTTCGATGCCCAACTCCGAGCTGGGAACGATCGGTATAGTCGTGCTTAAACGACATCACCCCACAACCGCTCACTTCCTAGACAATGCTATCTAAGCCTCTTGCATGCTGCAATAGACTGGTTCGTATGTTGACCATCCCAGCCGGGTTTCTTCTACGATGAACCAAATTCCCCTCAAGGACAGAATTTGAACAATGTCGGAATCTTCATCGGAGCCGAGTTTCCTCCAGTTTCGGCGCAATCCGTTCATTTGTCATCTCGGAGCCGCTGCTGCAAACCTGCTTGCCTCCGCCAACACAGGAGCAACTAGCTATGTCTTGATATCCTGACCACCTCAGATGCTTTTCTAGCCTCTTGAGCACAAATCTTCGGTATGATCTTCCGAAATAAACTCCCGTCTCTCTCGGGGCCGGAACCTCCAAGCCAGGTGACGTCTGGTGTGATCAAATGTGCCCGCCAGTGGCATTCTGGACCAGACCACCAATTTCGCTATCTCCGAGTTACGCGAGCGGAGTTGAAGGAGTGTTTCGAAAAAGTGCAGTGCCGACTTCAGCTCGGCCGCGCCTGCAGTTATTCTTGGAGTAGGGGCTAAGAGCCCAGTCTCGTAGGATAACAATGCAGTACGCATGCTACGGCAGTTAATGCGAAGCAGCGGACGGCGCAATAGCTGCTCCGTAGTTTGGGATCTGGAACAGCGCCGTATGTCCCAGAGCTCATTGAGATAGAGAGCTTTAGCGGCTCGGGTGTTCGTTCAACCAAATACTCCAAAGGCATAGATGTTACTAGCAAGCGAGGGTAAAATTTGGTATTGCATCCGTCTGGCACTAACTGGACTGTCTTCTAATGCATGCCTGTGGCTGCTGTGCCGGCACAGTAAAGAGCTTTTAGGAAGACTTTTTTCATGGCTAAAGGCCATCATGGGACGGTTTCAAAAGCTCATGTACAATCCGTTACGCCAAGGAGGACCTTCTTGAGCAGAAAAAAAGGCTGAGTTAGACCACTTCTGGGGCAGGTGTGCTTGTTGCACTGGACCTCGAGCTAGCTGGGCACATTCTTTGATCAAGAATTGAAGGGTCGAGTATAGAAAAGGCAGATTCTGGTATGTAGGATAAAGGTGTGCAAGGTGACGGTGCGTTAAAAAGCAGCCATATGCGTTTGGAACTAAGCGTATCACTCTCCAACAGGACTGCTATTAAACAACTTTTTCCCATTTTCCATATATCCCTACTCGGTATAAATAATAGAAACATACAGAAAGCCAAAACCAGCTCCAGGATGACTGCATCAGGGAGAGAAATCGCACTTAATATTTTCACTCAAGTTACATGCTTCAGCATCCTAGCGGTTTTCTTGCACAAATCGATTTTTGAGTTCGGATTGAACATTCGTCCGCGAAGAAATGGCGACAGCGACCACGAACGTACCTAGGGCTTTTTCTACCTTTGTTTCCTTCAACATCCTCGTTTCGTGTGACTCTCAATCTAAATGTCTGCGTCGACCCCATGCAACGGGATGGTTTATCCACAGGCACGGGGCGAGTGGAAACCGCGGAGCAGCGTCATCATGCTTACCCTCCCGAGCACGAACAGAAGTCGGAGGCGACTTTGGCCGCTGAGACGGGTTTACTTTGGCTTCGTTGCCAATTTGCTAAAGTGTACTCTGAAGCGATGGAAAAACCGCTGTCACACGCACGGGGGATGGAAAGCGCTATTCTTTTGTCTTTTCGAATGGATGGACCGCAGTCGCATACTCCAAATTTAAACGCAAATACGGATGTTATGAATTTATATAAGATAGTTGAAGCGACGCTGCTAAGACGCCATTCGAGCTTCATGTTCGCCTTAACGGCAACGGTAGTCGAGACGTTGGCGCAAGGACGTTCACATTGTCCGACCGAAGTGTTTTCGTGGACGTCTCGAAAAAGCAGTCTTCCTGGGTCTTTTCTGTATTTTAACATGCTCATGCCATTAGTACGAGAGCTACATGACAAATCTTATTGTACATCGGCCTTATGATGAAGATGTGAAATTTCGTATGCGTAGATACTTAAAAGGCGGTCTGTTTATTAGTTGTTTTTTTCTTTCAAAGACCGCCTTGGCCGGCAAATGCATATGTCCTGAGGTATGGATTCCGCTCGATCGACGGGGAGCAAATGAAGCGTGCGGAGATGCACGTCATATGTACGAGCAAGAGTTTCAACGAAGATGGAATGAGGGGGGGAGGGGGGGGGGGGTTGGGGGAATTGTTGATATTAGCTCCGTCATCGAGTCGTCGAGAGAGATGAGGCCAAATGGACTTCGATCAGCCTATGGCGACGAGTTCTCACTCATAAATCCCTTTTTCGAACTTGTCCTCGTCCCAAAATTCGGCTTTTACGGTGTTACCACCAAATTCGCCTCCGTCCAACGCTGCCACAGCCCTCAAAGCGCTGATCTGGGCCGTGAACTTGAGGAAGACAGGCACTGTCTGACCTTCCTCCACGTTGCGATGCACAAGAACTCTTTCGATATTACCATACCTCTCCGCACATCCCTGTCCGATCTCCTCGACCAGATTGCCTTCGGGTCCCATTTCATAATCAAGGTCTCGTCCATCCACCATGTGCAAGCACCGCACCACGCTTGACATCTTCGTGTCCTCTGTTCCCTTTCTTTTCTTACCTCCTACGATCTTTCCCATGCTTGGAGGTGCACTGGTGAGATTTCCCTCTGCGTCGTATGTCTTTTTGGCCTTTTCGACTTTGACGGCCAAAGCATTGAGGATACCGGTGCCGCTTGCACCAAGACCCTGTCCTTTCTTGTAACCGTGTTTGGCCATGTATCGTTCCGCAAAGCCTTTCTGTCCGGGACGATTTGAACGTTGTTGCGGTTCCTCGGGTTCATCCGCAGCGGGTGTTGCATTTTCCAATGCAGTATGTAACTCGGAATCATTAGAGGGAAGGTCCGGTGGTGGCGGAGGAAGTGTATAGCGCACTGGCTCGGCAGAAATGACAACCCCTGGGGCAAATTGAGGTGGAGGTGGAGGTGGGGGTGGATGCGGCTGAGGAAGCTCTGATGAGGATGTCCATGAAGGTGGTGGCGACGACTGCTTGAGTGCTGATGCAGAAGGCGGAGAGAGAGACCGAGGTGGACCTGAAATGCCTGACATACGCATCCTCCTAGCGTACGCATCGTCTCCCGTATCAGCTTCGGCTCCTGGGGTCTCTCCCCGACCAAGAGAGTCGGTCGGTGTGTCATCGTCGTAACTGGTAGGTGGCGCGAAGTTCATGCCTGGCGGAGCAAACATTCCTTCACTTATTTTAGTAGTCTGAACATAGGACGTTCTTTCCAAGACTTACGGTTCATCGGCCGACGGGCATATTCTTCGCTTCCAGATCGGCTGGACTGGAAACTACTGTCTCTTCTCCTACGTCTTCCTCGCAATACAGCCATCCAATCCTCAAGTTCCCTAATTCGCTCGTCGCTATCCTTGTATGCTTCGTAGCTAGTAGGTCTCGTCGGATCATAAATTGCATCCCAATTCTGCTCCTCCCTTTCTCGCATCTCTTTCTCCTTTTCTTTCTCCTTCTTCCTCTTTTTACGACCGCCACGCTCTCTCTTAGGTCCCTCATACCACTCGTCCCCGCCCACCCAGTCCTCTATTCCGCTCTTTACTTGAGTCGCACCGCTAGAGCCTAGTCCATGTGCCAACGCCGGACCATCACTCGCGGCAGTAGCATCTTCTCTCTTCACAGGGGAGCTCGACCTTGCAGCAGTGCTTGAAGTGCTTGTCGACTTGGCGGTTGAAGTCGGTATCTTCGGCCTGAAGCCCGGTCTGATGGCATTCTGAGGCGGCCGTTTAGGCTGCGGACGCGCTTCAGCAAAGTTTAGCAGGCGTGTCCTTCAGATCATGGATCCTTACGGGGTTTCAAGTGGTCTAACCGGCATTGAGACTTTGTTGAATTTTGGCGAGCCTTGTCTTCACATCATCGTCTTCCTTTTTGCCGTACAGTACAGGAGCTGCCGATATGGTCGCATTGGGATTTGCGTTGTTGAGGAGGTCATCATATAGGGATAAAGTTGGAGGAGCGGCGGTGGACTGCTTATCCTTTTCCGCCATCTCTTGAGGCAACCGTTCTAAGAAGAATGAGCCAGTAATGCAATATGTGCAGCAGCAGAATACAAGGCTTGAGGTGCAAAGAGCACTAGCGCACTGTGCAGGGCACCGAGTCGTGGATCATGTTCACGTGATAATCCAGGTTCAGGTATCAAGGCCGCAATTTACCCACACACTGAATTTCCAATCCAGACTTCAACGAAAAACGGAAATTTTGTCGCTTCGATCGTCTCTTTAACAACATCCAAACAGGTAATTACTGCCCACAGAACTTACCTCATATGGCGATACTGATTGAACTGAACAGTCGTCATGGCCAAAGACAAGAAGCCCGCGCCTACCAAGCGTAGCGCCGTTCATGATGTCGTCGCACGCGAATACACGATCCACCTGCACAAGCGAGTACGTTGAAACAATCAGTTTTGTGAAGTCCATTCTATGGCCGAAATGGCATTGGGCGGAAGACTGATTAGCATTATTCAATTATAGGTTCACGGTGTGAGCTTCAAGAAGCGAGCTCCTCGCGCCATCAAGGAGATCAAAGAATTTGCCTACAAGCAGATGGTATGAATAGCTAATCCCCATCCTCACTTCTGAACGAGAGAGGCTAATGATGTCTTCCCTAGGGCACCAAGGATGTCCGCCTAGATCCCCAGCTTAACAAGAAGGTGTGGGAGCAGGGCATTAAGGGCGTTCCTTTCAGAATCCGAGTTCGCATCTCGAGAAAGCGTAACGACGAGGAGGGTGCTAAGGAAAAGCTGTTCAGTTTCGTCCAGGCTGTCAATGTCAAGAATCCCAAGGGACTGCAAACTGTGCTTGTTGAGGAGGAAGAGTCGTGAACTTCATCAAATGTTGCGCATGAAGAACCCGAAGGAACTGCAAACTATGCTAGCTGAGGGGTCATGAACCTCATCAACCAAGCTGAGCATGATGACAGATGGAGAACTATACCTTTGCATCAACGGCGTCGGAGTCTTAATCAAATGGTCAGCTATTATCTAGCATTGAGAGCAGGACAGTCACGCAATTGTTGGAACACGAAGCAAAATTCGAAGACGACATGAACGTGTTTCACTATTCATGCCTAATTTCTGTCGCCACTACTATTTTCGTCTTTTCTCTTCCTATCCTTCAATCCGTCTACACCTTGTCCCCAAGGCCCGGCTCTCTTGCCCCACCGTATCGTGCCCCAAAAATGTGTCCATGCAATTTTTCGAGGCGGCTCATCCAAAATCCTTCGGAACGGACTTCCACCGTACCTGAACATGACTTCATCCTCATTCTCGTTAACTTGTCTCAGCTCCCCCATTCCTTCATATTCTTTGTCACTATTAGCAGCTCTTTTATCCCCCCTTTCAGTGACTGAGTCGGCGACAATTGGAGACTCCTTCAAACTAAGCTTACTTTCCCAACCACGGTTCTCTAGGGGAAGTGGTCGCCACCATCCCTCTTCAGCCCGTGCCCACCACTTGTGTCCACACATCTCCCAAAGTCGACTCGTCGCCCGCTTATACGCGAATTTTTCATCCTCGCCCGTGAAGATACTTGTATTTGCGAAGTTGGGCGTTCGCTGAACTTGGAATTGTTCGTCGAGCAAGAAGTCTGAGTCGGTGCGACCGATCATACGTTTCACTTTATTGGGAGGATCATCTTCGAGTGCATCTTCAGCTAGCAGGCCTTGAAGGTGCGAACGCGTGGAGTCACCGACCGACCCGTCATACATAGAGACATTGGGACGGAAGGGGGCAGTGAGATCTTGGTGCATCTCTGAAAAAGTTTCCGCGTACGTGGCATCGTCATCTTCTTTTCCTCTCCACTCTGTCTCCAAACTTCCTCCATTTCCAGATCGTAGCTCCGGAAAAAATAGGTTATCTGGATCTGCCTGGGCAGCGATCAAGAGTTTGCACTTGGCTTCGTAGAGGGCATCGAGCAGTGTGATGAAACGACGTGCCTCATTTTTGAGCGAAGAGGTTAGGATGGGAACATGAGTTATGATAACTGTATGGAAGTTCGAAGCTAGGGTTGTGTAGTCCGCAGGCCCGAGGGTCGCGCCACAGAGCTCATCAAAAGTAAGATAAGCAATTTGGTTCAGGCTTCTAGGGATGAGAACGCTGCGCCCATAGACCTTGAGGGTAAATGGTTGCCAAGGGATCCTGGAGAATGAATTTGTTCCGGCGCTTCTTGATACGACGCTTAGGATCTCAGCCTCGAGTTCTGGAGAAAGTCTTGAGTGCTCGGTGCGGGGTTGCAAGAAATACTTCGTTGGCAGAGTGATTCCTTCCTTTTCTTCCTCGTAGTTGGTTGGTATAATGACCTCACCTCCCACAGCTCTCGAAGATGATATATCCGCATCTACGCATGGAAACTTCTCGCGCTGACTCGCTCTGCGGTAATCGCTCTTGCCCTCCATCTCCCAAATATCGCACCTTGCCTTAAGCAAATCCAGAAAATCTGCAAATTCGCTTTGCCCCCCACCGAACATCTTATTCTCTCTTTCTGACGTATTGTTCCGAAAGTTCCATGTCGAAGTCCCTCGTCTAGCGGACGGTTGCACGAACTGAATCCCAGCTGCTTTGGCAAGCTCATCTGGCATACGGTTGCTTGTCGCTATGAGTACTCCTCCCATTCCAAAGAATCTTGTCATCAGATTGGTCATTATCTTGGCAGAGGCTCGGTCTGGAAGTTGAAATTCATCCAAGAAGAGTATGGGGCTCTTTTCCACGAGATCACGGGCAAGCCAAAGCATAGAGTGATCATCCTGGCTCATACCAAAAGCTATATGCCTGGACTGAGACAGACGGCGTATTCGCAGCTGCTCCAGTTTGGAGAATATTTCCAGCATAAAGGTATTATAATGCCATCTTCGCTTCTTTCTCGTAGGTAGACAGTCCGCGAAAAGATCGATGAGCATGCTCTTTCCTGTGCCTACTTCACCATGGACCATAAGCCCCTTAGGACTGTCTAATTTGATTGCTTCTTCATAGTCGCTGAGAACCCGCGTTAAAGCAAGAGAATCACGCTTTTCCTTTTCTTCGAGCAGAGATTGCAGAATTCCACGTGCTGCACTTTGGAATGGCGTTACACTCTCATGATTCTGGCTGGAATGACCAATAGCTCGTCCTAGCTGCTGCAGTCTATGACTATATACCATAGTAGGCTCATAATCTTTCAGTCGATCGTATAATTTCTGCAGGTGCAACGCTAACCGTAGCTGTGCCGGATCGGGGCGAATGCGATTCGTCGAGACAAGCGCTCGATACAAGACGAGCGGGTTAGTAATAGCGACGGCATTTTGCATGAGTGGATTTTCTCTTCGGACACAATCGTGAAGCAAGGAATACGAAGCGCAGCATCAAAAAGTGGAATGTCTTACATCACGAGAGGACCTTTGAAGAATCAAGTTGATCCTCGGCTAAAGACCCACTTACCAGGTAGGGAATCGGGCAGATTCAATCCTTTGGACAACGCAGTATTCTCCATCGTTTTGGACTATGCCATCATCTAGATATGAGAATTTTTGGGTTAACCATCTCATCTCAATCAATTTAAAGGTAGAACATAATTTAATTAATCCGAAACTTCTCTGCTAGGATTGTAGATTTGATCTCTAACTTTCCATCTCTTGGAAAGGTAAGGCGCTTGCACTTCTATTATCTATGTTCCGGTTGCGTAATATCCTTAGTACAACCAGCGGCAGAATTGACCGCTGATGTATAGATGTCTTAATTTTTCGATTTTGAGGAAATTTCAGAATCGAAAAGTTAACTAATCTGGGTTGTTAGCATTGATAGATATGATCTTGTTAGTCTGAGTTACAAAGAATGGAGCCACAAGAGTTTGCCCTTCTATAACACAGGGAACTCTTTTGAGCCAAAATCCATTTCTTAGCAAGATCACGATAAAGTATTCTTTGTATGTATACCTCAGCACATTTGTCACAAAAAAATTGTTTTTGATCCTCTCTCTCTCAGTTTGTAGTTGGTAAGACAAAGTACTTTTTAATAGCTGACAATGATTTCACAGTAAAAAGGCGTTTTATCTGTCTTTCTAATGCATCCTTCTAAAGCTGCACATGGGATTTGATCGCTCAAATTCTATTTGCTATGTATTGGCCATCACTTCAAATACTAGAAGCGGGTGTCGCTCCTTTTTCTTCGCACACCATAATTCACCTCGACCATTACAGGAGGCTGTTCATCGCCATGATAGGCTTCCGCCTTGCTCTAGCAGCTTAATTTTTAATCTTCGGATAATTCGGATCCCATGCAATCTTAGGCTATTGGTTGTGATATTCACTGAACAAAACCGTAGACAAATGTCTGTATAGTAGAGCGAGCAGATTCGTTGTGTATGTGATATTACGCTCAACCTTCGAATCTTGCATTGGAAATCTACAACTAGTACTACATTGCAACACGAATCGACGATGAATAAATGTTACACTCTAGCCTCTGTACCTGTCACTTGCGTAGTGGCCACCTCCTGCTCAAGGACCTCATCCAAAAGTCTTCTCCTATTGCCAGTAACGACATTAGGATTCTTAGCCCAATTGATCGCCATTGCCCGTCCAATTTGAATCATGACGTCCGAAACGGGTTGCGGTTTCGTGACGTGTTGTTGTGAGTTCTCGCTTTCAACTTCTCCTTTCTCATACGAGTTTACTGGAGACTGCGCTTGATTCTGTCCACGTAACTCTACAGCGTCACTGGGACCTATAAATTCCGCCCTCCTGGCCCTGAGAGCCTCTCGTTGAACTTTTCTGATCTCCTGCTTGAGTTCCTGGAGAGGAGTTCGGATCTTGTCCTGAAGCTCGAACTGTTTACGTGCCTTGGCCTCAGCCTTTTCGCGGATAGAATCCTCAATTTTCTCGCTGAATTTAGTGACCTCCTTCCTGCCCTTCAAGCTAATTTCCTTAAGGACGCTAGGCGGCATTGGATGTTCAATGATCTCGGGCCAGTAGGTTTGCGCGTGCACAGAAACTAGTAGCGTATCATCAGGACCATATTCGGCGTCGTAGTTGTGTTCATCATAGATTTCGGAGTGATCTACGATCTCGGTGGTTGTGCCTGGGATATACCTAATGGTCTTCCATTTGTAGTCCTCCAACTCATACGCTTCTTTACTTTCACGTTGTATTGTTTCGCCCTGGTCAGTCGGCAGGGGGGTTGAGCCCGCTTCGATGTCGGCCGTCTTGCCAGGGGCGTAAACGAGTACCTTCTTGAGATCCATACGATCAAGAATGACTTCGCGAACCTTTTGTGTGTCGGGGTCACGAATGGGGCAGACAAGTCTGATCTCGTGGAGACGAACATTTCTGCGAAGGACACGGAAGTCGCGGTCGTCGGAGTCATATTGAGCCATGTATTTTGGCACATGGATCGGAATCTATGCGGCAGTCAGTCAATGACAACATGGCACCGTACGTCATTATTGCTCACCTTGTTTATGCCATCAATAGTAGCACTCAAGTTCTCTTCATCAATTTCGAGAATTTGCCCGATCTTGCCTCTATCCCTTCCCGTCAGAACAACAACGCGATCATGCACTCGGAACTCATTGTCCCCCATTGCCTTTTTCACCTCCTCCTTCTGCCTTTTGCTAAGGGGATGTAGGTGATGCAATCCCATATCGACAGTACCCAATCTGCCCGCCATTTCACCGACATCTCTTCTAGGTGCTAACGGACCCAGTTCCCAATCCTCCTTCATTGCTTTCATCGCGTCTTTTGCTGGCTGTTTAATTGCAGCCATGTATATTCCTGCAGCTGAAATTTTCTTTTTGTCGTCATCTTTCTCCTTCTTCTTGTCCGCGAGTTCCTGTCGTCGCTCACGGTAGCGCTTGTTGTATGCATTACGCTCATATTTTGCTTGCAATGCTTGTTCTCCGGCGGCCTTTAAGCGATCGGCACGCAATTGGGGATCGAGAAGAAATGTGGTGCCCTTTTTGGTTTTATGCTTGCCGAAGGACCTCGTGAACGTCTTGGACGTCAAGTCTGATGTGCTCTTCGATGATAGATAGCCATTGGCGCTGAGGCACTTCAAGGAGCCTCCCGAAATGAATGTTCGATGCATCATCAGATGGCCATCAAGACACTGGGGCAAACAACAAAAATATTTTTATCACCGCATCGGTTGATCCGAAACAAGACAAGAAGACGACCTTGATTCCCAAGCAGAACAATTGTTCGATGCTTCGTGAAATGAGTCTTATTGAAAGCGATGCGATTCGCGCTCAAAAGCTTGACACGGAACTTTTTTTGGACACTCATTGTTTCCTGCCTGACAAATGTGTTTTATTTATCCATATTCGGTAGATTACGGGACCTTGCTTCGTAAAGCGGTAAGTTACGACTAACTTAACGCAGCTCTAAAACTTCAACATTTAAAACCGCAACGTCTTGGTAATCACCATGTCCGCAATAGCAGAGTTGGTCAATGAAATCTTAAGGTCTAGTTTTTGGTCAAAAACATGTCTTCTTTCACGTGAGACGAATTTGAGATCATGCAGCAGCAATGCTTTGTATTGCGTTTTATTAATCGTGATGGGCCAATATCGTCGGGATTTCTATGGTTATCGACCTTTGAACTTCCTCCTTCCTATAAAAATAAGTCTAAAGACTTTGCATCAAGACTCAAACAAGGAATTGATCACCAGACCAAGGTCGTGTGCTCTCAAGTCTTTGATTTAGCTGTATAACCATGAAACGAGTAGGATATAAAGCTCGTGCTCAACAACAGAAGGCAGACGGCTGACAGGAACCGTTGACTTGGACTCTCACTACATCTCTCTGATGATCATGACTACAATTTACTCGGTCTCCATTTTGGCGCTCGTTTCTCTTGGAAAGCTTTCACACCCTCCGCCAAATTCTCACTTGATTGCAATTTCTCCCATGGCCCGTCAATTGTCGCCTGCACCGCGTCTTCGACGTTTGCTTGCATCCAGCTTTCCCGAACACCGAGATACGCAGCAATGATGGCATCAGGGCTATTCGCAGCAATATCAGAGGCATAATTCAAAGCTTCTTTGATCACGTCCGCCCGTTTTACCACTTTGTTCACCAGGCCCCATTCATAAGCCTTGTGTGCGTTGATCTTCTTCCCTGTCAGCGCTAATTCCATTGCTCTTTGCAATCCAACTGTTCGTATCAGTCGAGGCAATGCGCCTGCAAAGGGAATCAATCCTCGCTTCACCTCGGGCAAACATAACTCCGCATCATCAGCCATAACAACCAGGTCGCAATTCACTACCATCTCTGTTCCTCCTCCATGCGCAAGCCCATTTACAGCCGCTATAACGGGCTTTTTGCCCATCCGTCTTGTTAGCATGAGTTTTTGCGCTTCTTCTTTCGTCACCCCCTTGCTGGAAGGAGCACCCTCCTTGAGATCAGCGCCAGCACAGAATGCACGTCCTGCACCTGTGACTATAGCCACTGATAAATTAGGTTCAGCATCGAACCACGGCCAGATTAAGCCGAATTCGCGACGGGCGTCGCTATTCATAGCATTCAACTGATTTGGTCGATTCATCGTTATGAGAACTACTCGCGGTGCTGGGAACGTGATGTTAAGGTACTTTCCGTTGACTATAGGAGGCGGGATTTGGAGCCTCTCTGCCATGATTGTGGCCAACCCTGCTTTGACGGATTCTCAGTGCGTCGTTATGTGATGTCGTGATCTACTGCGGTAGAACTATTCTCAACAGAAAAGTCTCTGCTGTATTGAGATAGTAGCTACAAGTAAATTCGAGGCGTTAATTTCAGGATGTTACAATGAACATAATGAGAATGTCCCCTCTTCATCGCCGCGTTGGAAAGTCTTTTGGAGAATTGCCGATAGCCGGGATGTTCCAACCGCATTAGAGTGGTGGTGTGCCGTGCGGGGAAGCTTTCAAAACGTGTCAGGCTGAGCAAGGCTGGACGAGTCAGCTTCAAAATAATTAACGTTTGCTTCTTAAAGTGGCGAAGCGAGACATGATTCTGGCGAATTTGCTTGAAATTTAAGACAGAGGATTAGCCAGGACTATATTGCTGATGCGATTGAAACCGTGTGACCTTTAAAACTAGCTATTGATCAGCTCCCTCTGTTCAAATACAGTGCACATTCTTGGAGCACCTTGTCAACCACACGGGGTTTGTCCTCAAACAAGAGAAAAATATATTCAATCACGACCAGGATCTAGAAAGTTTTCAGCATGCATATCTATCGAGCTAAAAAGCAAATCTCCATTCCCTCGGATATCAATCTGACGGAATTGCTTCACACAAATGCCGAAGGCCCTTTGCCGGACGACCAGGTGATAGCTTCAGACAATCTAGAAGACCGCTCTATTACACTAAGAGAGCTTCGGGATACTGCCGGCCGTTTGGCTCACGGCCTGAAATCTACGTTTCAGCCACGAGACCAAAGTCGGTGGGCAATCCTCTTGCCAAATGGAATAGTATTCATTGAATCTGCGCACGCGGTGTTATGGCTTGATGGCGTCTTCTGCCCGATCAACCATGACTTGCAAGCTCCTGAGATTGGGTATGCTTTCACCGTCACGAAAGTCGAATTTGCTATTGTATGGCACCAAAGCCTGCCGAAGATTCTTAAGTCTTTCGAATTCGCTAAAGAGATTGACGATACTTTCAAACCCCCTAAAATCATTATCGCTGGTGGCATTGTATCTGGCTACCCATTGCTATGTAAAGATTTTCTGTCATCAAAGCGACTACATGTGCCGCATCACGCAGATACACGACAACGTTTGGCGAGCATACATCTCTCCTCTGGTACGACCGGAAAACAGAAGGGAGTAGCTCTTTCACATTACAATTATGTTGCCAATGTACGTTCGAAATATTGAAATGCTGACTAGGGGCTAATGATGTTTAAGGTCCACCAATGTCAGGCTCATGATCCGATTCATTGGACTTCGACACACAGCAGTCTGGTCTTCTCACCTATGGTTCATATTGCAAACACCACTTTGCCTCTGTTTCTTGGACCCTGGGTTGGGATGAAGCATATCATTCTCTCGAAATTTGACCTCGATTCCTACTGCAAGATGGTTGAGAAGCATAGACCGATCGACATTATGCTTGCACGTCCAGCGTTGTCAGGTATACTAAGCGGAGAATTACAAAAGAAGTATGATTTCTCTTCCGTCAAATATCTGGTTAGTACTGGCGGCCGGCGGCAAGAGGTAACGGATCGACTTTTGGCAGCGGGCAATTGGACTTTCATTGATCTTTACGGGATGACCGAAGCTGCGCCATACATTGCTTGGTCAAAAATAGGCGACAACGTACGTTTCAATGTCTATTTGGATTACGAATCAGCTAATTTGTGGGCAAGGTTCCAGCTGGTGAGATTGGAAGCTTTGTACCCAACGTCGAGGCTCGCTTATGCGATAGTGATGGAAAAGATGTTCCGATAGGGGGGAGTGGTGAATTGTGGCTGCGGGGACCAAATATGACAGCCGGTTATGTTGAGAATCCAGCTGCTAATGCTGCAGCATTCAAGGACGACGGAACATGGTATTTTTTGACTTGGTTCGCATCAAATCTATACTCAGCTTACTAATTAAGCTTAAAGGTACAACACCGGTGACGTCTGCACAATATCTCCAGAAGGCAATCTTGCTGTGGTAGGGAGGACAAAGGAGCTCTTTAAGTCGAGCGGGTTTCAGGTAAGCCCACAGGAACTAGAAGCATATCTTATGTCGCACCCAGATATATCCGAGGTGTCGGTGGGACCGACCTACGACAAGGCAAAGAAGACGGACGTCGCGACCGCGTACGTGGTCTTGCGACCGGATCTTAAGAGCGATCAGGAAAAACTAGAGGCTCTTAAGAGTATAGTCCATTCGCTAGATGGAAAAGTCAGCGGTTACAAGAAACTAAAAGGCGGCGCGCACGAAGTTACATCCCTGCCCAAAAATGGCACCGGCAAAATACTAAGAAACTTGGTCAACAAATACCCAACGGGTCTTGCATATATACCAGGCATTGAGCGTGGATCCAGGCTGTGATCAATGATCCTGGAGTCAGGGGCACTTCGGTGTATAATTCCAACAATGCGTCTTGATTTTACCGGATGAGTTCATTGGGAAGAGGTTGACTTCGCATTTTTCAGCTGTTGCTAATCAGTTTAAGTTTTCTCTGATAGCAGCAAAACCTTCAGTGTGGAAATGAACTCCAGAGAAAAATCACTGTCGAATTGACCTAACTACATGTCCTTAAAAATGAAAGCCCAGGAAATCCACTAGTTCTTTAATCTTCTTCCTTGATGCAAAGTCGACTTGAAGCAAGTTGTCCACATGCGATCTCCCAAGCCAAACCTTGCCCTTGGCGTAATATGACGTCTATCAAAACAAAACCACTCTTTCCATTCATAGCCTTCCAGTCTGTAATGATCTGTTGATGAACTTGCCAACGTCAGAAAAAGTGGCAACTGAAGGTGCATGACATCTCTCCTAGCTGTCAAACCACGAATTATCCAAACAGTCCCACGCAATTCCTTCAAAGACAGAACTGAATCCATCAAATTCGCCATTTGAGAACATCACTGAACTGGGAATCTCATTCCAATTGATCGGAGAACAATCTACCAACTCGCCGTCCGAAAACAGCGGAGGTGTTGGGGGCACGTTCGAAACGATCGGAAACCAATCATCAAACTCGCTACTTGAAGACAGTGTCACACTGGGGAGTTCGCTAGTGATAGCCGGATTGTTATCAGTATCCGACACCTTCGGTTTGTCGGCCGAGGGGAAGGGAGTTGTGGACATTGTATCCTGAAGCTCCAAGCTAGGCGAGGTCTGCACGCTTTCAAGCTGAGCAGGAGGCGCTGTTGTAGGGGGGGATGCTGATGAAGACGCAGGTTCGCTCGGGCTCTGGAGTGCATCTTGAGCGGCGACTTTGGCTTGAGCAGCTTGTTTGCGTGTCTTCTTGAGAGCTTGTGCTTCAGGGGATGCTTTTTTAACCTTTCCACTGAGGACTAACATGACGTCTTTTGGCCTAGGATCGTTGGCCGGTCTTTTGCCTGGGCGGTAGTTGAACTTGCCTCGAATTAACTTCCACTCCCGATTTGAGAATCGATCGTCGTCGTAAACGTTGAACAGCCCGTTAGGCTTTTTGGGCTTTGGAATTTCTACCTTGGGCCCAAAAATATTGATCATCTGAAGTGGTGAGTTCGTAGTAGTGTTTGACGAGATTACATGCATTTGGGCTGGCTGAGTCGTGTGAGGCGGCCATGGGTACGGTACCGCCGCATTTTTTATGCTCGATTCTTGCCGTGGAGCTTGCTGGGCTGCTTGCTGTAGTGATCCTGTAATTGATGAAAACGGCAATGTGTTTAGCTGATTCATTTGAGATGGCCATGAGTACGGCGCTGCCGTCTTTGGTATGCTCGGTCCTTGCCATGGAGCTTGCTGGGCTGCTTGCTGTGGTGATACTATGATGGACGGAAATGTCGGTATGTTCGGTTGAGTCGTTTGAGGTGGCCATGAGTAGGGTGCCGCCGCATTCGGTGTGCTCGGTTCTTGCCATGGAGCTTTCTGGGCTGCTTGCTGTGGTGATGATGTAATTGATGAAAACGGCAATGTGTTTAGCTGATTCATTTGAGATGGCCATGAGTACGGCGCTGCCGCCTTTGGTATGCTCGGTTCTTGCCATGGAGCTTGCTGGGCTGCTTGCTGTGGCGATATTGTGAAGGACGGAAACGGCTGTGTGTTTGGCTGAGTCATTTGAGGTTGCAATGAGTACGGAACTGCCGTATTCGCTATGCTCAATTCTTGCCATGGAGATTTCTGGGCTGCTTGTTGCGATGATGCCATAGTGAACGGAAGCGGCAGTGTCTCCGAAGCTTTGTTGTGTGATGCGTGAAGTTTGCAGAAAGTGTTGTGAATGCAGAAGATAGCAAGAATCAAGTTGATTAGTACATCGTACACAACCTTGACAGAGCAGAGTCATATATGGGGGGCTGGTAAACAGAGGGTGGATTAAGCCAACACAAACGATGCCCACTCAGAAGAGCGTCAGAGGCAGTGTTGGAGAACATTGGAGCCACTTTGTCCAGTATCCGCCCCATAGTTACTGTTTACAGAGATTCGCTCACATTTTAATTGGTCGTATCACAGTAAACACAAGATCGAAAGACCCTCATTGTCGACCCATATTTTCAAGATGGATACTCAAGGTGACTTTATAGCCCTAAGGAACATCAGGACATGTGAAGCAGTGATATATCGTCGCTCTTCTAAATCCAATACACACCAAAAAATGATTCATCTTGGCTCAGCCTGTTTGGAAGGAATCGATGGTTCTCGAGGCTGCGAAATTTGTGTTCGACGTGGTGGAGACAACATGCCTGCCGATCTCCGCGAAGTGTTTGTACAAGTGCTGTGTCATTGTAGAGCATTCTACGAAGGGCCTGAGTACTTTGTGGTTTATAATGGAATACTTGGTAATATTTGTAAGCAATCCATGTCCCAGACGCGTCGAGCTGGATGGGCGAGTCGAGGCTGTGGAAGAGTGGATTGGTGGTGGGGCTTATTGCATTGCTTGAACTATAGATGACGAGGTAGAAGATAGTTCAGATGTCAGAAGCTGATACTGCCATAGGATAGCTTTCAACAATTTCAGGAAACTGCGGCTCAAAAGTGCGTCGCTGTTGCTTGCATCTAGACTGCTGTCACGTGCCTGATAGTGTAGTTAGTTCGGGTAACGGGTGATGCCGCGAGGGTTTGAGTTCCAGGGACATTAATCCAATAAGTGAGAGGCTGTAACAACATGGCTCATTTTGCCATTTTCATCAGACCTCGCGATGGTGGTGGCTACATCTCCCGTTGTCTTAGATTTGCCTGTAAACATAGCCATGACGATGGTAATGATGATGCCATTGTTGCTTTAATTAGCAGTAAGAGTGCATTCCTCTCTCTGCCTCTTCTACTGTTTCTTTAGCATAGGTTGAAATAATTGTTTATCAAAACCAAGCATAGAAGATCACTCTGACAGACTTGTCCAAAAAAAAAAGATCATGTTAGCTACACATTGAGGTTGGAGCGGATGCGGAGGGAATGCCATGCAGATCGTCTACCCTTTGATCCATAATCGTCAGGCAAAGAATGTTGCCCTTTGTCCTCTGTGTGCACTGATTCCATGAATGTGTCTTCTTTCATTGGCTATTTGGGATTCGATAGACGGATAGACGGCGGAAAGCTCAACTGGTCCTTTAGCGGAATACGAGTTTTGCGCACAGAAGTCCGGCTCCCACACCACGTGCACTTACTCAAGCAAAGAGATGCAAAAAGGGAAGCGCCGTACAGGGTCTGGCCATCCACGAATCCATTCGATGACCAACACAAAACTTGCAGTGGCAGGCCTTCAGCAGAAAATTACCGCGATCAGGGGGAGGGAAAAAAACCCTCGCGCCGTGAAGTCCGCGACGGCAGCTGCTCCACCGAAGTCAATGTGGCACGCCATTCCAAAAACAGCGCAATCGCTTGGCTTTGGATCCAGCCAACACGCCAACAGGCCCTGCAAACTAGGTACGTCATGCATCTCCGAGAGCAAAAACCATAGGGATAGTATCTTGTCTTTGAGCTTGAGACGCGATTGCTCGCGTCTTGCTTTCGATATCCAGCCGGAAAAATTGTTTCCAGGTCCTCCTACATCGAAACCATCATGATTGTTTCTTTTTGAGCGCTCAGCATACGTCTTGCGTGGCACGGGAAGAAAGCCGAACGCTGGGAGGCGCACGTGAAGCGAACCTGGTAATCCAGAGAGGTCGAGAGCGTGTCGTACGGTTCGCTCGGCCATACTACTTATACTTTTGTCTCTCGTTTCCAGTACTACCTTGTAATCCATTTTCTCAACCTTTCTTATCCCTCCTTTTCACCCATTGCATTCGAAGGTAGCAATGGCGAGTCGGCGGACTGCACGCATCATCAGGCCACTGCTGTACACAGCAGGAGCAGGCGCTGTTGGTGGTGGTATATTATATACATCTTACAGGCCGCGAGACATACCCGGATCTGAAGCAGCGACTGTTCCTCCACCCACATATGGCGAGGGTGGAGTCTTTAGACCGCCCAGCTTTCCTCACGTAAAGACAAGAGATGAGCAGATAGCGGACCTCAAGCGAAGCAGTGGCATAGTCACATCTAGCATCGAGAAGGTAAAGAGCGGCGTTGCAGGCTTGATAACTTCCGGCAAAAGTACAGAACCAGGCAGTGGGACCGTGGACGAAGATCCGTATGACTTGCTCGTTATTGGCGGCGGCGCTACAGGTACTGGCATTGCACTCGACGCAGCCACAAGAGGCTTGAGAGTTGCCCTTGTTGAGCGCGATGACTTCAGCTCTGGAACTAGCAGCAAGAGTACAAAACTAGTACATGGTGGTGTTCGTTACCTGGAAAAGGCGGTTTGGGAGCTTGATTACAACCAATACAAGCTCGTCAGAGAGGCGTTGCGAGAACGACGGTATTTCTTGGACACGGCACCGCATCTCTCATCCTGGCTGCCAATTATGATCCCATTAGATAGTTGGTGGAAAGCTCCATATTTTTGGGCGGGCACCAAGTTCTATGACTTCCTTGCTGGAGCTGAAAACATCGAGAGCTCATACTTCCTGACAAGAAGCAAAGCGCTCGAGGCATTCCCTATGCTGAAGAAGGAGGGTCTAAAGGGTGCCTTAGTCTATTACGGTATGATTCTCTTTGCATAGAATTCTGTTCTACGGCTGATTGGTTGCAGATGGAGCTCACAACGATGCTCGCATGAATGTTTCTCTGGCTATGACTGCTGCCTTGTACGGTGCCACCGTCGTGAACCATATTGAGGTTACAAGTCTTACAAAGGATGCAAACGGCCGGCTCAACGGTGCTATCGTCAAGGACAGGATCCAGGAAGCTAACGGACAAAAAGCTGAAGAATTCAAGATCCGAGCCAAGGGTGTCATCAACGCCACTGGACCTTTCACTGACTCTATTCGCAAAATGGACGATCCGACTGTGCAGGAGATTGTGGCACCAAGTTCAGGCGTGCACGTCGTTCTCCCAGGGTACTTTTCGCCTGCTGACATGGGCCTAATTGATCCGAAGACATCTGATGGTAGAGTTATCTTCTTCCTGCCATGGCAAGGGAACACAATCGCTGGCACCACGGATGCGCCCACAGAAATCACCCAGAATCCAATTGCAGGCGAGGAGGAGATTGAGTGGATATTGAATGAGATTCGCGGATATTTGCAGCCCGAAATTAATGTCCGACGAGGCGACGTTCTTGCCGCATGGTCAGGTATCCGTCCACTTGTTCGCGATCCCAAGGCAAAGAAGACTGAAGGCCTGGTTCGAAATCACCTCATTACCACCTCCGATTCTGGTCTTATAACATGTGCCGGTGGAAAGTGGACTACGTATCGCGAAATGGCCGAACAAACAGTAGATGAAGCCATCAAAGAGTTCAAGCTTCAGACAAAACCATTGCTAAACCCACCTCGAGTTAGTGGCACCGAGATTGCCGATGAAAAAGCTCTTTATGATGGGACTTGCCAGACACATCAAGTCAAGCTTGTTGGTGCCCACGGCTTCTCAAAAACTCTCTTCATTAACCTCATTCAGCACTTTGGTGTTGAAACTGATGTTGCCAAATATCTTACCACTGCGTATGGAGACCGTGCATGGACTGTAGCTGCACTCTGTGCACCTACGAATAAGCGCTTCCCAGTTCGAGGTACCAGGATCTCAGAGCTTTATCCTTTTGTGGATGGTGAAGTTCGCTATGCGGTTCGTCACGAGTATGCTCAGACGGCTGTCGATGTGCTTGCGCGGAGAACTCGGCTCGCGTTCTTGAATGCTCAAGCGGCCCTTGAAGCGCTACCAAAAGTCATTGATCTTATGGCTGAAGAGTTGAAGTGGGATAAGAAGAGGCAAGACAAGGAATTCAAGGACGGCGTTGCTTTCTTGGCCAGTATGGGCCTGCCAAAGGCCAAATTGGGCCTGACACGAAAGGAAGTCGAGAGCGGGAAGGTGGGCAAATACCCCGACGAAGAATACGGGCTTTATGCACGACATGACAAGCCTGCAGAGACTCTGGAAAGTGACTCGAAGATTCCCAGTGGACGAAATCCAACTCTGGCCTCAGATTCCCCTGCGAATAAGTAAGCTGGCTGATCCATTCTTTCTATTATTACCCTTGTACATAAAAGCTTTTCTGCAATATTCGGCGTTCTGAGTAGTGATCGCCATCGTAGATGGGACTTCAAAGGTATAGGCGAATACATACCTCCTTGACACAAAGCCAAGAATTACCCTCGAGACACAATGAATCAAGTGGTGGAACTGGTACCATTTCGAGAAAGTCCGTTGGCTCGTCATGATTGCTGCTTAGATTAATGAATCACCCAGATTTTCTCGAACAACGTAACCGCCGCTGAGATTGCCCCTGGATGGTGTTCAAACACCGTTGCTTGATATGAGCTTGGAGTATGGACGATCCCATTCGTCGAAAGGGAAGGGTTCTGTCAATGAATTTCGTGGGGCTGTAATCCTCCGGGTTGCTAAGTGCGCTGCCCCAACAGCCGTTGGTCAGAAACATACCCAGCAACAGGAAAAGGCGGGATTTACAGCTCAACCGGTCAACTATCATAATTTTCCTTGTCATTCAACTCTCAATAGCTATTCCCGAGATGGATAGACAATGATTTGAAGATTGTCACATCCAGGAAACAAGACTTGCGGTATTTTCCTTACTACGTAAAGTCGATATCACTTCAATGGGATACGTCTTTTGTCCGGCCTCATTCTTTGCATTCAACCTAAGACATGCAATCACAAGGAATGCGTTCCTTGCTAAGTCTCTGGTTGCCATGTACTACACATCTCGGGCTCGCAGTAGGCATGCACATGACCACTGTGTACAAACAGCTCAGTCATGTCCATGAGCTTCTCTTCGGCAAGCGTCGGTCATGTTTATTTAGTCATTCGGCATATGACATGAATGGAGACGCTAGCTTTGGAGAGTTTTCTTGCCCTGATTGTAATACAATTCACTTTCTGACGCAGTGGGTCCAGGAGAGGTAATCTACACTTGTAGTCCTCACTCTGTCTATCACTCCTTCTCTCCATCACCATATTTATTTCCTACAAAGTACCCTCTGTGACTTTCAGTACCTTCACAAGACGCAGAAGCCAACGTAGATTCTTAAGTTACCTTGTTCCGTATTCGAAAGAAGAGTAACTTCGTCTTCTCCATACTGAGGCCATGGACAACGAAAGCCTAAACCTCATCAGTTCAGACTACGACGAGTACAACGACTACAACGACTACAACGAAGAGGTCTCTTACATTCAGCCAAGTCTCATTTATAATCCAGGAGGGCCTCCAGGGGCATCGCCATACGCTCACAGTGCACTGCTTTACCCGATTAATCAATACCCAAATCACTTCATCCATTCTGTCAGAGCGACACCAATTGGTCCACAATTGTCTGGCACAGATCTTCATCAGACTAACATGCAAGACTCTGTCACATCAAACACCCCTGCAACTCCCATTCAGAACAGATATACTTCATGGCGCCCTAATGGGCTTCATTCCTCTCCGCTTGTTGCAACAAGCAGTCTTCACGCACAGGCATCCACCAAGAGACACTTTATGACCCCAGATGGTGGATCGAAATCTAAGAAACGCAAGTATAGTTTCGACGGAGTCTTCTTACCTTCAATGAATGAGAACACGGAGACAACTGGTCTACACACACAGTTCTCTGAACCCAGCGCTTTCGGTTATTCTGCTAGCAAGAAAACCATTTCGGCTGAAGGAAGCACAACTATTCTCGAAGGAAGCACATCCAATCATGAAGGAAAAGCAATTGATGACGAAGGAAAGTCAGCTGATGGCAAAGTGTATGGTGCTATTAAAAATGAATATGCAGGTTCCTCTAAGGCAAGCGGAGCCACAAATGATCTCTCGACTACGTTTGAAGGCCCCGATCAAGATTCAAATATGAATTTGATTATCCTTGAAACTAGAGATCCCAGCCTCAGAGCAACCCCAGTCGACTACACCATAACTATCCCAAGTTATATTAAGAGCAAAGCTGGCAAGTACACAGCCGTGGCATTTAAGAAGGCTTATCCAACTTCGAGTGAGAAATGGGCAAATGACGAGCTTCTTGCGAAGTACGCTGATTCTCTCCGAGTCAAGCCACTCTTGAGGAACGACAAGGGCATTCCGGGGACGGACGAAGAGAAGCAGGCTCTGGCTAAAAAGATTTACGATGCAATCGTTGACTTCAGGCATTTCTACGGAGCTACATCTGGCGCTGTAGAGCGACTCATTATGGGGGGGTTTCCTGCGTCGTATATCCAGAAGCGATCCATAGATGTCGTGGACGAACTCGTGAAGTATCACAACGAAGGCCTTATAGTCCTTGATTACGTGGATCCAAACATTAGCAACCACACCGGCAAACCTCTGAGGACAAATGAGCGAAACGACACCTGTGAAGAACGAATCAAGAACATGCTCGAATCGCTGCGCTTTTGCAAGTCGATCGCTATCGACGTGCTGCTCGGCCGAGAGTCTCTCGCGACCGCCTTGATACTGGCCCCGAAGGGTCGGCTGGTTGCCAAGCTTACTTACAAAGAGAGCAATGATGGACGCAAGTATCACAAGAAAGAGCTGGAGAGAGTTGCCAAGGAGGTAGGTGAGCAATGGAAAGAAAACACAAGGGCAGAGGCAGAAGAGAAAGAAGACATCCAAGAAGAAGATTCAGAAGGTTAATCGAGAGCGATCACTTCTCGCCGAACAACTGGGTTAGTCTCGAAGACTGGTTTCGTCAGTCAGCTCTTACCAGTCATCAGCGGAAACACGATCAGCTCAGTAGAGGATTTCTGGAATTGATGCTATTTCTACTGCAAAATATTCTTGCGGGAATATTATAGCCAGCACAATGATTGAAGAAGATGATGAAGGGGCAATTTGTCAGCGCTTTTTGCCCGGAGCCTACTCTGCTCAAGGTGAAGGCAATGGCCACATGGAAATCATGGGAATTCGAACAAGCATTTTAAAGCAGCAGAATTTAACGAGATAGTTATAAATCAGGACCCTCTATTTCTTGACTTTTGCTGTTCTCTCCATTGGAAAAATCTGACTGCAATAGTCACGTCCGTCTCATGTTGCTCGGCTGGCACATACATCCATCGGCGCTGGTCGCTGTTCCAACCTCTGTTTGGCATGTATGTCTCAAGTAGGTAATACTGGTCTCGGTGGAATGGCAGCTCCAACGTCGGCGGCCCTTCTCGCTCAAGAAATACGTCTGTTCCTGAAGCCTCGTCCTCTGCCGTCATCTCAAATCTTTTTCGTTTGTTTCCCCTATTTGCTTTCTGTCGCGATATGCTTCTCACCATGGAATCAAGGTGTCTTTCGAAAAGTAGAGCATGCCAAAGAGGCCTTTCTAATGCTTTCAAAACGTAGCTCGCATTGTCTTCGATTAATAACGCGTTCCATTCCGGGCATTTCCCTCGTGCAATCATAGGAATTGGCTCGCCCTTGTCAAGGTTATCCTGCCAATAGTTCCAATCGACAATTAAATTCAGGCTGTTCCACCTCAACAAGCACGTCATGCACGTGCAAAGGAAGCTGGGATCCGGAGACTTAATATGTTGGAATGGCCTCTTCTTCAAATTCACAATTTCTTGCCTTTCTTCATCTCGAAGTATGTTTTGCGTCCTTGCGTCAAGTTCACGCAAAAGTACAGGTAATAGAAAGCATTTCGAGATTGCAACGTATCGGTGGTTAATGATCTTTCTCGCGATCGTTTCCTCCTCGCAGCGAAGGAAGTCGTGAAATGCTTTGCACGTCCTTGAGAGTCGCAGAACGTCGCTTGGCCGCAAAAGTTCCAGGACTTTCAAGAGAAGCTCATAGGGAAGGTCAAGTATACTATGACTTGCGTAGCGGCAACCTCTTTCCGCTCTTTTCTGTTGCCTCTTTCGCAGACGCTCGAGCTTCTTGGAATTCAGCTGCAAGTCCTGCGTAAGATCAACCAGAGGCTCGATTTCATCTGCTCCCTTTCTGCCGTTCTTTGGCATTTTCAGGTACGTCTTCCAGCTTTTCGGATTCCCTCATAAAAGAGACACATTAATGTTAACCAGCGGACGTAAATCACACACTAGCTGCGTCTATGAATGCTAAATGCCGATGCACCTAATCTATAAGATCTACCTTTGGTTTGGTAGAGTAGAATAGAGGTCCAAGACGTGACGCGCCCGCGACGAGCCTCAGGATATATTTTGTGCACATTAATGTAGTTAAAGCTAAGTTAGTCGAGATGGCTCGCCACTCGCTGACTAAGCCTAATTGTCTCTCATTCGCGACTTCGCGACTTAGCAACTTCTGTGACAAATCGACACTTAAGCTTGGAAACGCAGGTAAAAGATACTCTTTACTAACACATATTCGAAGCACTCGAAATTCAAGGAACATATAATCCAGCATGTCTAACCAGCAATACTATGGCGCCGGAGGGCCGACTCAGCAGTACGGGCAGAATGCCAACCTGCAACATTCAGGCCCAAATCAGCACTACGATGCAAGCTCGAATGCAGCGTACACGAGCCAGCAGACTTCAACTACTGCAGGACATCAGTACAGCACCCCTGGTGGGCCACCTGGGCAAAGACCTTTGCAGCGAACAGATACGGATGCAGCGTTGCCACAGGGTCGGGAGCGATCTGAGCAGTTGGAATATATGCAAAGCTATGAGGCACGCGCACAGCAAACAGACGCGGATAAAGACCAAGAGATATTGAGGAAAGAGTTTCCAAATGTGGATTCGAGCTTGATTGCAGCTCTATACGCCGACTCAGAGAGTCTTAGTGCTACAAGGGAAATGTTGCATGAGTTAAGCTCAAACTAGTCGACGTGGCTAAAGATACGTAGACACACTGGCAGCTTATATCCATCACAGGCTTTGACATGGTGCGTAAATAATTATTGAAGCGAAAAGTATATGGCAGACGCTTTAAGCGAAACAAGTAGAAACATTTTTTCAAAGTTGAAATGCATATCAAGAATCAACAGGAAATGCTACTTTAAACAGCGACTGTGCTGGTATCCCACCTCGTTTCTTCGGATTTCTTAGTTTTCTGCAGCGCTACGGCGCGTTATCTAGGTAGAGGAAGCGGACCGTTTTCTGGATCCTTCCCTTTAGAAATGTTCACTGTAGATATTGAACTGGCTTGTATAAACCGTTTCGACTTGGATCGAGTTTTCGTCCTTGAACTTCCTTTTCTTTGTCTCCTTATAATTAGAACTCCAAGAACCCCAGCAATGATTGCAAGCAATGGAATCGATAAGCTTAGACCTATCGCTAATCTTATTCCGGTACTCATGTTAGAGGAACCCGAGCCAATGAATGAAGCACCAGAATTTGGTGATTTTGTAGGAGATAGTGTATATCAAGGATAGAAAAATTACTGTTGCGATAGTAGGTGACAATCTCATCAGCTGAATTAGTCGCCGAACCCACGTATGTTGACATTGTTCCAGGCAGCGGAGCGACGGCGAATACAAAAGCAGCTGGTTGTTGAACTATCACAGTCGCCGTGGTCTTGCTCATAACTTAATAGCAGTATCCGCCAGCTGCATATGTATACGTGAAAGAGCTTGAATGACAAATCGATGCAGATTCGCCAGGGACAAGAGAGATTTAATATGCCAGTGCATCATTAGCACGAGCTCTCGTTACAGTCGCGTAGCCGCTTGGACATCGTTCCGGGGAGTATACAGCTTTTTAACGTGCAGGCTATCATTTGAGAGCTTTGTCAACAATGGAAAAAGGTAGTGATGAGGATGCCGTGGAAGGAGCAAGCTGTAGGTTCTGGAAGCATACAGCATTCGGTGTAAATATAGTCATCACCGGACCGATCTTTGGATCAATGGTCCTGCTCATGCTTGAAACTGGCAGTATAGTATCACGAAATCTAAAGCAATTTTGATCAGATATTAGACTCCGGCATATCTGTAATATTCAAGGTCGCTTAAACAATTTTTAAGTTTTTTGTCGGCGGAAAGCTGTCCGACTAAAGAAAAATACACTGTGGAACATGTAAAATAACTCGGTGAATGATATCTCAAGAAGACCGCAAATTTCTAAATTATCTCATTTGATAAGCCGTAAACATTAAAATTTTACAGTAGATGTATCAATCACGGCATGCATAAGGTATTGTATTATGTGCAAGAGCATTTTGCAGCAGCAAATCTTCAATGGAGATTGGTGAAACGTCCATCAGCGTATAACCTCGAGGAGTATCTCGAACAACGCTTTTGGTACATCAAAAAAAAAAATCCATGAATTGAAGCAAAAATATGGGACTTCCAGTAATATTTTGCGACGTCTTATTTGTGTACCATTGGTGTCTGTGTTCCCAGATTCTCCGAGCGAGTTAAATCCTTTTTTCAACCATGCCAGTGCTGAAACTTTACTCAACGTCTGCAGGCAAAAACATATTCGTACATTCCAAAGAAATTCGTACCCTCAATCCCCCCTAGATGGAGAGTAGTGATTGGATTGTGATGAGCTTATTTTCACCCGCCATAACATGAAACCATGGCCTGGTGGTTCGAGATCTGCGTGTGCAGAGCTAGAATCTGAATCCATTTCGCCGACTCGTTGTAGCTCGCTTGCGTTCCATTTTCTCGAATCATTCACAACTGCCTATCATTCACTTATCAATAAGACCCTCTCTATGCTGAGCTAAGGATAACCGGACATTTAGATCGAATGAGAAAGAAGGGCACACACGGTGTAGAGATGATTTGGTTAAGGGTTTGATATCTTGAACCCGAGTTCTACAACCAACTGGTCTAAAGCTTTCCCTAACATATAAATTAAGAAAGTTTCATCGTCCAGTATATGTCTGCCACAGAATTGAAATAGGCTTGACATAGAGAGGATTGTTGATCATTTAATCTTGACGCTTTCACGATTCTTCCATGATTCAAGTAAATAGCTCGGAGTGAATTGCTCGTTGACAGCATGGTAGCCAAAAACCGAAGCGAAGAGCGCGACAAACGATAGAACGCAGTGCGTGACGAATGACTCTATAGTGAATGCCATTGTCTCATTAAGATATGGTCGGCACGATGATAGATCCAATAGGATGGGCCAATTGTCAAGATGCTGGAAGATCACAAATAGTCTCACAGTCAAAAACAAATCTGCTATGATGCCTCGCCCCGCTGCGGTCAAGATAATTCCATTCAAATTCCAAAAGAAAAGTTGTTTCTCCTCGTCCCTAGGTTCTGTTGTCTCGATGACAATAACGTCTTCGCCTTCAGACATTTGGGCACGAGACCATTCATGACGGACAAACTTGTGGACCCTTGCTTCTTGTCCAGCGTCGAGTATGAAGACTTCCTCACCAAGCCTAACACGTATAGATCCCCGGATAACTCGTAGAGTCTCGTCATGCGTCTCATGCCAATGGAGTCCACTGGACCACGTTGTACCCACAGGAAGTGTAATTGTCGTCTCATGTAGTCGCGAAAGGTCGTATGTGACAGCAGCAGCGCCTAGGCGTTTGATGATGGGATCTGATGTTTTAAAGACCATCTTAAATTGACAAAAATTGTTCACGTATTCCGTATGGAGGTGATCTATTGTATATGGGTCTGAAAGCAGGGCATTGGAACCAATTAGGCTGACAAACAATCTGCGGAAAGTGCCCGCATTACTGAGTAAGCTTCCCACAAAATGGATTTTAACATGTTTGGCGTTATTGTACTCCTGCCACAAGCGCGGCTATGGCTTAGATTGTCGAAGTCCCTAGTACAAGGCCTGAGTGTGAGATCAAGGTAGTGTTAATTGCAATCCGAGCAAGTCCCTTCACGATGCATGAAGACATGCGGAGTTTGTCAAAAGAGGCTAGCGTGAGTTACAATCAAGGGTCCAATGAAAGCCCCGCGGGTCCTGAATTCAGTCATATCCAATTTCTTCGCAACACACGACAGTTTATTGAGCTCAGCCTCGAGCGCCCTCTTCTCCTCCGGACCAAACTTAGCGACAAGAAAGGCTGTTATTTACTGTTTTTTTTTTCGTTCTCTAGTCTCATAACAGTTGAGCTCCGTCCTCTTTGGCCGCCCGCACAACCGTAAACATGGTTGAAGAATCAACTCTACCCATTCGTGAGAAACCTGCGGAAGAGGGTGCCTCGAAGCCGGTAGCTACAGAGCAGCACATAGACCCATGGGATGTGCAGGCAGCCACGGACGAGGCAGGAAACGTGCTTGCATTCGACTACCCGGCAATATCGAGGTATACTTGAAGCGCGGTTGTGCAACAACGCATAGACTAATATGCAAAAATAGGAAATGGGCGACAAAATTAATTGAGTATGTTCTTTGGGGCATAAGCAAAGGCCGGTTTGCTCACGTTTGTCTAGCCAACCACTCCTGGAACGATTCGAGCGACTCACAGGTCATAAACCACATCGCTGGTTGCGAAGAGGACTCTTCTTTTCACATCGCGATTTCGATCTCATCCTTAACAAGTACGAATATGGCGAGCCTTTTTTCTTGTATACAGGCAGAGGCCCAAGCAGCGGCTCCCTGCACTTGGGACGTATGTTCAGATTCGCCAAGTTTGCGCTATTTAGGTAGCTGAACTAATGTCACCACAGACACGATACCATTCCAGTTCACAAAATGGCTCCAGGACGTCTTTGATGTTCCCCTAGTTATTATGTTAACGGATGACGAAAAGGCGCTTTTCAAGGACAAGCTTACTTTTGAAGAGACTCATAAGTACGCTCTTGAGAATGCCAAGGATATCATAGCTTGCGGTTTCGACCAGAAGAAGACATTCATTTACAGCGATCTCGAATACAACAGCGGACATATGCTGATGAATATGTGGGAATTCGCGAAGCTTGTCACGTTCAACCAAGTTAGGGGTGCGTTCGGCTTCAACGAGTCAACAAACATTGGCAGGATCGTATTCCCGGCTCTACAGTGCGTTGCGGCTTTCGCGACGAGTTATCCAGAGATCTGGGGCCATGACAAGACCAAAGATCGGACAAAGGCTATGGGCAAGATTCCTTGCTTGATTCCTTGTACGTCTCGGCCACAGGATAGGTCGCTGTAAATTGCTAAAAGTTGCTAGGTGCTATTGATCAAGATCCTTACTTCCGTCTAGTCAGAGACAACTGCCATAGGATGAAGAATCCGTCACCCAAGCCAGCACTTGTAAGTACAGCCTACTTATGTTGTCAACCCTAGTCTACGTGTGTCCTGACAGGCTTCAGATTCATTCAAAATTCCTTACGGCTCTTCAGGGTGCTGGCGGCAAGATGTCTGCAAGCGACCCTAATAGTGCAATCTTCATGACCGACACGCCTAAGCAGATACAGAAAAAGATGGGAGGTGCATTTTCGGGCGGTCGAGAAACCGTGGAAGAGCATAGAAAATACGGTGGAAACCCGGATGTGGACGTGGCGTTCCAGTATTTGACCTACTTTGAGGAATCGGACGAGAAGATTGCCGAGGTGGAGGCTGCATATCGCAAGGGTGACTTGTTGACCGGGGAGCTGAAGAAGATGGCGATTGAGCTTTTACAGTAAGTTCATCCGCTCAAGGAACGACGACTTGGTAGGGCTTTTGTGTGTACTGACAGAGGATAGGAAATATGTGAAAGAATTCCAGGAGAACCGCAAAGCCGTCACGGACGAGGTGCTGAAGAGCTACATGACGCCACGAAAACTGGAGTGGAAGGGCAATCCAAACCCAGCGGCGAAACCAGAAAAACCAAAAGGAGGAGCGGAAAAGAAGAAAGCAGACGCTAACGGTGCAGCCTGATAGGCGCTTTACGTTTGATTCATGAGATCGACTGCAGTCTACTAGTCCTATCGCAAGCATATGAGAAGAGATTTGTCATGTTTGATAGAGGGCTCGTATTGCGTGCAATTGCAAGCTGCCATCCGATGGCCTTTGATAGCGCCATGCATGTGATGTGAGGCTTTGCACGCGCTAGACATAAGATGAATGTAGACGACAAAAGTCAATAGCAACAAAGCTTTAGTACATGACAAGTAGACTGTTGCAAACAGGGACTGTCTGTGTTGACACCCGATGCGCTGTCAATCAAGTATCGTCTTGAATCGTGGTGAATGCTCACTGGCAGAACGGCACAGCACGAAGCACCATCCAGGCTCCTTGAAGGGCACTCTGTCGTCAAGAATGCCAATCCTTGACATCTCATTCGTGAGTGGTGGTCTGTTTCCCGCCCCTTTTCCCATCGACATGTAACCCGCCGACACGTTGGACGACTTCGCCGTAAGTGCGCGAGAGCCCTGGGCTCTGCTCGGACAGCCGGCTTCTTCGTCGCGCCGTCCACCTTGTCACCGACGCGGCACCCGTCGAGACTTCCGAAGCCGTTCCGAACGCACGTAACGGGAAGGCCGTGCATCAAGCTCCAGGTGTGCGTGCAGACAAGGCCGAAGCCCAATAAAAAGGTCGTCGCCTGCGTCCTGTCGCTGGTCTGCACGCGGTCGAGCGCGAATCTTAAACACACGAGATGCAGCATTCCGGTCCAGCATCCTCGGCGCGGCAGGCGGGACTGACAGATAGTTCAACGCCGACCACGTAAGACAAACTTCGGGGCCGTCTGTCAGCCTGTATGTGGAGCTGAGAAAGTTTCCCTGGCGAGGAACACTTGCGTGACAATTTTTGCAATGCTTGGGTCTTACGTACAAATTCTTGAAGCTCGTCCCTAGATGTCACCTGAGGTGTGGGAACGGACAGGCGGAACGGCAGTTGATGTCCCAAACGTCAGTGCTTCTAGCTGCTCATTGGGATCACACATGATTCATGATCGACTGTTGAGAGGCTGATCCAAGGTAAACCATGAATTTTCTTTGTCCCCAGTCTTTCGGGGATCGTGGAAAACGAGCCAGGTACAGGAGACCAAAGTTAAGACCTTCAAACCCTGGGATACGAGAAGGGGGCTCAGAGGTCAGCAAGAGGAGAATATGACTACACAGTGGTCTTTAGAAGTACGCGAATCATCACCAGACTAATCTTCGCAAGAGTGGCGCATGTGTTGGTGATTGTACAGGGAACCACATTCTTTTGCTCAGATAGGAGAGAGAGTACTCCGAATTAGGAAGCAGAAGACTGATAATCAAGGACCGTGGACTGTAGAAACTTTAAGCGAAACACACGGTCAGGATGAGAGCGAGGAGATTTTTGATCTATTTCTTGCATTCGTCCTGCAGCGATTCGCTTTTCGATAACGAGAAGAATTTTCATGACTCGAGCTGTTAGATATCTGCAAGCCGTGTGAAAAAGTCAGCGAAGAGTGAGAGAAGAATAAAAGTGAGGAGAAAAAAAAACCGCACTGAGGACAATCAAATCTCTCTCTCTCTCTGCAAACTTCATTCCCTGACATAGACCCGTTATTGCGCAAAAAGCGCAAAAATTTTGCTTCTCGTGTCACCACTCAATGTCACACAACATACAGGAGTCAAGTAAGCTTACGCTCCCGGTTACCTTGTCGCGCTCATTCAGCGCCATGGGCTGCATTGAAAATCACGAAAACGTTCCTGTAGCCTAGCAGAAGGCCATCAAGGCATATTCTCATCATCCCTTGCACTCACGTCACCTCGTTTCATGATTGCGCGCATGCCAGCCTGCCCTCGCACCAGGCTGAGGTCGCTAGATGGGACATTCTTTGCATGGCCAGGGAATGTGATGCCGGTAATAACCGTAATAATCCGGGGTAGGTGGTGACGTGAAACGCGAAGCGCTTGCGGGAGATCAGCTTGATACGATCAAACTCCCGCACCTCGTAGATTTTCTGCTCGTGGGGGCACAACGCTCAACATCTGTGGCATGCCGTGATGGACTGTCTGGTATGGTTCGTTTCTAGCTCCTGCTATCCCCCATCGACCCTTTGCGGATGATTTTCCGCAATGGCCACCTGTGGTGTTATACAAAGAAAACTGGACCTGGTGGTGCCACCTCTTCGTGATAAGTTCGGAGAAAGCGAAGATCCATGCCGTGCAACTGGAAGAATTGTCTAATCTTGTGGGATATTGCAAACAAGATCTAGCTCAGTTCAGCGGCCACAGCAGGAGTTTTAGCCATGTATCCAAAGAAAACTGGAGTGACTGCGCAAATTCGGAACGCGAAAAGAGCTGAAGACGCAGAAAACACTCACGTGGCTTTAGTTTGATAACGCGGGAAAAAACTACGGGTTGGCTTTCTCGTCATTCGGTCAACACTGCGAGACTATAGAGTTGGTGCCGGATTTGCAGGCCGAAGCCGATTCCTTTGTTCTAAGCCACGATGAAAGTATTTGCAAGATGTCATTGCAGCGCTTTGCGCGGATTGTGGCCGGCCTAAATCGCCCGTGTGATCATTATCTTTGTTTGTGCTTCACGAGGTCGCGATAAGAGCTCAACTAGGTTTGGGACTGCGGCAAATGATGCTCCTGATAATATCCCCTAGCCAGTGTTGTGGAAGCAATCCTACAACTGGACAAGTTAGGGACAATAGTCATGCAGGGCTATAGCCAAGTCGTCTCTGGTGGACCAAGAGCGGGCCGAACAATGGTGTTCGCGCGTTCAACCTTATCTCTGCTCTCAGCGTGGGTGCTGTCGGAAACGAGATTTCATTTGCTGCATCGCCGTGCTGGGGACGGTCCGTTTGAAGATCTGATGCAACACTGCCAGAACCCAGATAAAGCAGAAAAATATTGGAGGGTGAACGACGTCTAGCCGCATCCAGCGATGACCATCAAGGCATCTCATGCCGACAAGCTCAGCAATGATGGTGAAAGGGTCGCTTCTGCTTTTGCTGAATGTACACCCCACACGCGTCGCCCAGGCGCTCGATGACGAAAACGCTAGGGTGTCACTCTGGGATTCTCGATGCGAGGTTCAACGTGTGCAGAAGCTCGCTGGCGCCAACCTCACAGGTGAGCAGTCGCCGTCAGGTTGACCGAGATCACGTCTCAGCACCTCCAACCATACGTTCCCGTGCTCAAGTCTGCGTATGTCAAGCAACGTAGGACAGTGGAGAAAACCTCCGTCGCGGCAAAACTTCCCTCGCCCATCCGTCCTAGCCGAAGCGCGTATAGCTTCGGACGGCCTCGACCTTCCTGGAGGTAAAGGTCAAGCCAGATCGACTACTGGACGAGATTCCTGCCGCCATCGACACATGGCGATACGGTTCTGGAGAACGCCTAGCTGAGCAGTAGTTGCCAGAAATGGTCTGCTGCAGGAAGGGTAATTTGGACAGTGGCTGTCTACAGCAAGGTCCACGCGAACGCAGACCTTTTGGCCATTCCTGTGGGGGTTGCTTTTTCCTTGGTTGACCGCGGCGCTCTGACCCTTGGACAACCATGAGTCGTGCCAAAGACCGTTGGCTGTTGACTTGCATGTCTCCACTTTTCGCAGCAGCAAAAAATGCGGAGATCGTGGGCTTGGCGAGGTGGGCATTTTTCAACCTGGGACTCGTGCAGCGTTCTAACGTGTTCATCGTCGTCCGGCTTTCCGTAGGCGGCGCTCTCAGCAGCAGCCTGACGCACGGTACATGCGCTGGTTACACAAAAGTCAAGCATGCTCCAGGACGCGAGCCCTCGGATGTTTTTTTAATTTTTTGATCAGCCCTTGGGCAAGGCGAATGTGAGGCTGGCTCTTTGTTACAGGGCCGGTACACATCTCAACCACCGACCAGCAAAGGCGGCCTGGTAGAGAGGGGGGAGGGGTGGTTCTTTGGACAAGGGGATGATTGCGAATATGCTCAGGCGGCTGTGCCGGCCTTCCTGAGCAGCACGGCGCTGCTACAAGCAGGCAAGCTGTGTCCTTCATTCTATAGGGCACGGCCGATGTGTAACAGCAAAAGCTTTGACACCTGAGCGGCACGTACGCTTGTGCGAGCAAGCTTCTCCTCATTCACAGGCATGCAATGCACTTCGGCTCCTGTTCGACGACAGAACCATCTCTGCACATATCGAAGATGTTTTCGGATATAGGACCTTTAATGCTCCTATTCGTGAGCAGATAGCGAAAAGGATCTTCGTCCCAATATGTGTTCTACTCCAGATTCTATGTGACCACCGTATCTCAACAAGTAACTGTTGGCAGTGACCAGCATGCCTGGCCGCAGTCTGGGATCCGATGATAGAGTCTGTCGATCATGCAAATGTGGCTCAATTCATATGATCGGTACCTGAGATTGATGGTCACGTCAAATTGTGTTTTTTTTTGGGCGAGCTAAACAAAAAAAAATAGTATCAACACGCTCTCACACTTTCCAACGTCAACTTCAAGGCACCTACCTGCTCGTGGGCGCCGTCAAGGAGGACTGCGGTAGTACAAAGGCCGTGCGTGTAGTGATGGAAAAGAGGATACTTTCCCTGCCTTCGGCAGTTGCCTCTATGGCAAAGCAAATTGTTCCCTTTTGTTGATGCACAGCCTGGTACCATCGGCAATGTCGACGAACCTGATCTCCACAAATTTTGTGCAGCTTGGAATCGCACCTTCGACCCAGGGTATGCACAGTGCGCGCTCATTCGGCGTAGCCCATAGACAAGACATGCAGGTAAACCAGAAACGCGCTGCGTCCGCGGTCGTCCACCAAGGTGCGTGGAGCGCAGCGCAGCAAGGCATCAACGGTCACGACTTATTGAAACAGAATGGAACAATGTGGAGAGACGGGCTGTCAGGCGAACGCCCATCCGCCATGTACAAGCGATTTATGCGTTCGGCGAATCAGGTTGCCGAGTGTGTCACGATAGGCGTGGTGACCATTAGCTGCAGGTGTCACAGGAACAGGTTCGGATGGCATTAGCTGTGCGTAATTGATCTGCCACCATGAGACCTCCACCTGCTGCAGTCTCGCAACGCGCTGAGGTCATGAGCTGTTCCCACCAGAGAGGAACGCTTGCACGATACGCTTGTGGGTACCTCACAGGCGGCCAGCTACCTCACCAGGGAGGGGGGTGGGAAGGGCGAGAGGGGTTTGGGTGGTTCTGCGAACGGATGGAGTATATTTGATTCACATTATGAGACGGTCTCGGCTAGCCATTCGTCCGCATTCGCCCAGCGCGAAGGCCAGGATGGTGGGCTGCAAAATTTTGGGCGCGAGGAGGGAGGGGTGGGCAAGCAGCGACGCACGCACGCACGCCCTCACTCCCACACAGACGCACAGAGAGAGAACGAGAGCGAGAGACGGAGACACACGCGGCACAAGATTTGTCGCCACGGGCGGCTGTCCAGGCGGGGCCGTGCACGCTCAGGCCCGGCGCTGCTCAGCCAAGCGTTCCCCCACGCCTGCCGCCGAAACGAGCTTAGCGCACATCTGGACCCCCCAGCTTCGCGCTAGCGGGAAAGCGCCACCCTCAGACCATGCTCGTCCACGCAGGGATGGGAAGGTGCCTTGATGGGCGCTCGTCGTGGTTGCGGCTTCTTACAAAAGCGGGCAGCGACTGCCCTCGAGGCTAAGGCTCTTGCACCGCATCCACATATACCCAACAGTCTCTGGACGCAAGCAGCAAATAGACTCTCTACAGCAGTCATCTCCATTTCGACTCCACTCTCTTCTCCCATTTCCGTGCTCAGCACACCATATCTCGCCATCCGTTGACTCACAAGCCTCGCCCGGCGTCACTGTTCCACACATACTCTCTTTAAAAAGCCAGCCGTCACCCCACTGGCAGCATCGTCCACACTCTCAGGAAACACTCCTTTCAGCACAGCCAGCAACCAAGAGCGCTATGGATTGGACACACGACGTCTGCCTGTCCTGTGACAAACAGACACAGGAAGGCCAGAAGTTCTGCTCGCAAGCCTGCCGTCTTGCAGACCTGGAGCGAGCAGGCCACTACGAGCCGCTCACTCCTGCGAGCCTCCCGAGCAACACTCCTTGGGAATCCTATCAAATGTCCGCGGCTGGTACGTCGACTTCCCGCCAGTATCACTTCCAGCTGGCGCCTCCTGTCAATTTCTCAGCGTGTCGTCAGGCGGCATCGGCGGAGTCACCACCGTCCAGTCCCAAAAGCCGTGCGACGCACACGTCGTCATCTTACTTCTCGCACAACTCATCATCTTCGACAAGCTCCTCGCATCCCACCGGCAGAGGCTTGACGCTGTCTCCCTCACGCAGCTCGCTCTCTTCCGTCTCCAGCAGCGGGTCCGCTCTGGCTTCCCCGAGCCTCTCGGAAGAGACTATGAACCAGCTCCGATCCTACTACGGTGCTTTCGATCAGACGCGTGATTGGAAGCGAAGGGTCACCTACGGCTGAGCCTTTCGTTTCGAGACAGCACGCATTGTCCTCAATCACCTTTACCTATGCCATTTTGCCTAGCGTTGGAGTTTTTTTTTTTCATGGAGAGATACCCTGTCAGCCCTGTGTACTGCCAGCATCAGCATCCTTCTCACTCGGCCCCTTGAGAAGGCCCTCTTATTATGGCGTTATCGATTCGGATCTTTCAGTGTGTCTTCGGGCTACATAAGCTCCCCTTTCATGACCACCGACTTTGCGTCAGCACTGGAAGTCATTCACCACGGCATCAGGATCACAGCATTACGGGATGGGATATGTAATAAAAGTTGTACTTGTTTGAATCATGCACACTCTCTGGTTTTCTCTTTCCATTGTCGCCACGACATGATTGTATGAGGAGGCCCCATGTTTTTTACGCTTCATGCACTGTTCCGAGAACTCCGCTTGTACATAGGCTACACAATAAATTTACACCAGGGCGATGGAAGCCTCATGAGTCTGCAGGTGACTGCAGGTCGGAGGGTCCACGCGCGAATCATCATTCAAAGCATCATTTGACCACTGTTTTAAGACAAATTATCCCATAGCACCAATCAGCCAACATGTATGCTGAACAGAAAACCAACGCAATCTTGCGGGGCATACTCCGTATCTCCCTCGCTTTGCTCGGGAGAGAATCTGACCATGTATGCTTGCGCGTCGTGCCTGAGGGGTTCCAGCTGTTCCTGAGCTGAGGAAGTAGGGCAGAACCCATGGCCTCGCTCAGAGCTCTCAGAAGAATTACGTGAAGTCATCTAGCATGTCTAATGTATCGCTGGCAGGAGCAAATCCTGCGATATCTGGGTTCTACATCAAACAATATCTTGATCCTTCGAGGCATGACACAAGTGGACCTGGTAATTCCCAAAACAGACGGCTCTGTCAACGTAGTGCACGATCCTTTGAGGTAAAAATGATCCAGTGCGATAGGCCGCCATGACAGATTATGCAGTACACGGCTCAGTTGGCTGCTGATGCAAGATCTGCCGAGGGCGACAGCAAATGAGAATGGTTCTCCTCGCTTCATTGGAGCCGAATCCAGACGTTCTCAGTTCGCTTCAGGAAGTCAGCAGGATCGCAGACGAACAGACATGATCTAGAACGCTGGGTCGTATCCGGAGCACGCGAAAAGCGCAAGAGGGCGCACACGCCTTCTGCACAGGTTACGCAAGCCATCGCCCTTCGTTTGCTCCTGCATATCACGATGAGCAAGCAACTCTTATGCGGTCATGCGCCGAAAACAGCCAGCCTCACACCAGAATGTAGGAAAATATGGATAACCGATGGCTTGTTCTCCGCGATCCACAGTTCAAGCGTGACCCACCATTTCCGTTCCGAGAAGACGTCGTTATTTGGAAAAGGTCACGGCGGCGACATCCGAACGGCCTCGCCTGATGTCCAGCTTCCGAGAGAAAGAAATGGCTTGTCTTGCCCACTTTCGCACTTCTTTGCAATGCTCCTAGATCGTCAGATGCACTCTGCTTGCGCAGAGTGGACCCCCCAGATGGCGCAAAAGATGGTGTGAACGAAAAATGCTCGTGTCGTCAGTCATGCCACCCGTCGCTAATGCGCTTTGCTCGTTCAGGTTTGCTCCACCGGCCTCCAGAACGGAGAGACGCCGACCTCCGGGAGTTTTCAGCCTAGACTGCTTTCGTTCCTTATCTTGTACGCAAACTTTTTTTTTTTTTTCCAGCGCTGAATCATCTCTACCTTTGCCCCCTCTTCATTCCATCGGCGGAGTACGCACGACAAATGGGTCTCCTCTCAGCTCGACGCCAATGACCGGGTTTCACGTATGCTGAGCGGAGCCAGCGCATAGTCTCCGCTCAAATCTGAGCAGAAATTTTTCAGCCAGTCGCCTTTGAGCCCCCAAGGATCCGAAGGAGAATGACAGATTCGCAGTGCGCACAGAACTGCGCAAGGGCCATTCTGCGCGGGCCGAGGCGCGAGTGGTTCATTTTCTCAGGCCGCGAATAGAAACGGGCGATTCGCGATGGCACCTTGATCTGAGCGCGGAGCGCCTCAGCGCATTCCTTTGCCGCTCTTCGAGGCGATGGCCGATCCAGCGGTCCCCTACCGACTGTTACGGCCCCTAAGCATCGGAGCCTGTGGAATAGACGCCAGGAGCGAATTTTGTTTCTGCACAGTTTGCTATTTTGTCGCTGCTACGTGGGGTTCGTATGCTTTCCAAGTCCGATGCCTGACTCAAAGGCGGGCTGGCCCGTCTAGCTCTTGCGGCTCGGAAGGACGGTCCATGTCTCTTCTCCACCGGTTTCACTAAAATGAATCTCTCTAGGACGCCAGCAAAGTAAAATTAATTGTTAACTGACGTGCAGCTACCGAGCGCTTCCTGTCTCCATGAACCCTTCCTTGAATCAAAAATAAATGTGTTTCTCGATATGCGCTTTAGGGTCCGATCGACATCAGGTAATGGCTTAGCGAACTCTGATATCGATCATCCCGCTTGAACTGCTTTCGGAGGATTTGATCCTCCTCGCTTCAAGGACGTCCCTTGTTCATTGCTGCCGTTCTCTCCTTGACGCTAAGGCAAGAAACTTTGCTTCTGCACCTGGAATTTCACGACATGGTGTTTGCAGCTCTACGGTTGCCACGGGCTCACCCGTCATAGTAGATCTATGGTTGTTCAGAGGTTACCATGGGCGAGAACATGCCTGCGTGTCGGACCTAGTGTCTTGCCGCGTCGATCGAATCCACCTCAAGAGTGTAAGGGTTGGTGAAGGCGACGGTGGACCCTTTCACGCCTAGTGTCCCGTCCTTTCCATTGTGCCACCGTCCGCAGCAAGCCGTTCACGCAACACCTCCTTCCCACACCTGAAGCATCTTTTTTTCTTAAGGCTCAGTACGCCTCCACGTCAGCTTTTGACCTCATTTCAGCCATCCCTTGCGCAGATGGCTGTAAAGACATCACACGCACATCAGATATTAGGATATGCGCGGCTTGCAGGTTCGTCACATCTGGGGAAGTGCAAGCCATGGGGATCATTTGGCACATTAGTTGTCCCGCATAGGCCCCCCTCGTATCTACCCCAGGTTTTCTTGGCCACATTTTGAAGAACGCCACCGCAAAGGAATATTTTTTTTTTTTTTTGCCCTGCCCGCCTCCCATTTCCCCACAGTGGAGTGCGAAGCCATCATTAGTGGCTGCGAGTCAAAGCTGCTAGTGGGTGCGTAATGGGGAAACGTAACTCAGCTATTGTCAGGGGAAAACCGAATTTTTGTTTTGTGTGTGGCAAAAGCAAGTACCGCCGTGATGACAAGGGCGTGTCGTTGTCTCTACGGACTGCTCGCGGAACAATGCTATTCTTTGCTCAGTTCGCTTTATTCCGAGACAGTCAGTACATTGCGGGAACGATTCCTCATCTCATGATGAACCGTCCAAAGCTTTGACTCATGACTGCATTAACAGGGCATTCTGGCAGCGGGCTATTCGTCAATAAAGCAGTTCAACGGGCTTTTGAGAATCGAGGGATTTTCTTAAATCTGCAGCGGACGTGCATTCTGCCTCGGATTTTTCCATCTTGACGGCATCGGTCGAGAACAATCAATTCATGTTAAAGACTACCAAAAGCGCCCCGCTATCACGCATCATCCTGGTATATCGCGATCAAAAGTCAAGAATAACGAATCAAAGGCACAAGTCCTGCTCGAGAGAATCTATGCCCACGCACAAACACAAACATGCCACCGCCTTTTGCTCGCCATAAAAAGAACACCTGCCAGTCCAATAGCGAGAGCCTAAGCAGCAGCAGTTGGATTGCTGGCCTGGATAGGTGAGACACCACCGCTTGCGGCCTGCTCCTTCATCTTCTTCTCCAAAGCAATCCTCTTCTGCTTTTCAGCCCACTCGCGGCTTGCCTGTCGACCTCGCTCCGCCGCCTCGGCTCTCGCTCTCTTGATCGCCTCGTCCTTTTCCCTCTGCGCCCTCTCCCGCGCCTCCTTTTCGACTTTGTCCCGGTTGTAGACCTCTTTCCCCTTCAGACGCTGGGCTGCAGCTTCAGATGCCGAGACACTCCTAGGGGCGGGATGAGACGCGGGGGCAACGGGTGTTGGACGTGGCTTTGTTCCGATGACAGGCTTTGAGGCGACCAAGCTTGATCGTTTCTGGGCTGTGCTGGTCGACGTTGTCGCTGTTGCCGCCGTGGATGGTTTCGGTGCCCCGATGACGCTGGATCGCTTTGATGCCACTGAACTATTACGCTTGCTTGTTGAAGATGTCGCGCCGGTCACAGTTGCGCTTCGCTTAAGTCCACTTGCGTTATCCTTCTCAGGCTCCAGCCCCAGTCGAGCTCGACTCGCTGCAGTTTGCTTTACCTCCACAGGCTTCGGCTTGATCTGGTGTGACCGTTAGCTACACGCAATAAGAACGTACTTGGTAGATCGTCTGCTCAAACCACCTACCGTCGGCACAGGGCGAGCCTTGAACTCGCGTCTCTTGGCAGCCTCCTCTTCCCCCCGCTTTTGACGCTCCGCACGCTGAGCCTTCAGTTTCGCGGCAATTGCTTCGCCTGGCAGAACAAAGTTCGACGTTGTCGGCGCCTTCTTAGATTTTGGCGGAGGTGGAGGAGTAGGGAAGTGAATTGAAATGGGGCGACGCTTTGCGGCGAGATAGTCAGGCGCATCGCCCTCCTTGGCATCATCTTTTGTTGTATCCTTGTTCTTCGAGTCCATGATGACGGACGTGGGGCGCCCTTTCGTGCTCGACGACCTCGAAAGCGTGGTGGTGGATCTCTTGGGTTCCGCTAGAGACCGATTGCGAGCCACAGCTGCAGACTGACTCGTCGCACCAGGTTTAGCAGTACGAGCAACGGCAGACTTTGCTGTTGCGACACAACTTGGCTTAACGGACTTTGGCTGCTCTGCCTTGGCCGTCGCCTTAACCTTAACGGGTGAGGTAGGTGAGTCTAGTGCTGGTATGATCTTCGTGACCTCATCTATTTCGTCCTCGAGTGCGTCAATTGCCTCAATAGGGTCCTGCACTTGCGACGATCTTCTTGAGGTTGCATTCGATGCGACTAAGCTCAATGGCTCCGGGCGGGTGCGATCAGGCAGCTCTTGCAAGAGAGGAGAGAGCGACCCATTTGGTTGCGGTTCATCAGCAACGGTCGGGACTGGTGACAGCATAGCCTCGTCGACTCTTTCGGGCTCTGGCGGACTCAAGACAAGCTCGCCAGCAATCGCCTTTGGCTCAGCAACCTCCTTTTCTGCCTCAGCCAATGCTTGCTGTCGTCGCGTCATCCGGGTTGATCGTCCCAGGCTGGACGCTGGACGCTCGTCAAGTACCGGCTTCGCAACAGGCTCCTCCACTTGTAATTCGACAGGAGCAGGTGTTTCCTCTGCAACTTCGACAGCACTGTCGGGCGGCTGTTCGGTATCTTCATTCGAATCCTGGGTCGACTCCTCGACTACCTTAGGCTCCTCTTCCAATGCTTCATTTTTCGCCTTCCTCCCCTTCTTTTTCACGCCGGCCTTCTTCCCCTTCTTCGGCTTCCCCTTTGTAGGCTCTTCAGCTCCGGCTCTGTCATTATCAATACTATCGACGCTATTTGGCGTAATGCTGCGAAGTGGCTCGCGCTCTCGCTCATGCTTTGGAGTCGGTGGCAGGGGCACCTCCTGGGGCGCGTCCGTGTCAACCAAAACGGCCTCCTCCGCCTTGGCCGCTGCTCTTGTTTTGCGTGGCATCCCGCTTTCGCTGCTGTAGTGTATCTCGCAGTAGTTGTATGTACGAGGGAGATCGCCGTCGTCAAATATGGACAGGGATGGTCTTTGTTGTGGTAGAAGCACGGGGATCACGAAAGGCGTACTGAGTCTTGTTTACCAGATTTGAGCGCTGTCCAATCAGAGGCTAGCATTGCTGATTGACCCAGCAACGGAAATCGATCATCACGCCGCCTGCACATCCACATTGTCGACTTTCTTCATGCGACCGCGAATTCTTTGAACTTCTCCACTTGAAGCCGCAATATTTGTCAAGCTACAATAAGCTGCTCCGTCCTTTCCAATAATGGTGCTTCCGCTGTAAAGTTCGCTCCTAACTCTTTCAACGGGTCATTCCCACGAAGCGAAAAAAAAAAAAAATCACACGATCGCCAGTGACCGTCGCAGACCGTGCCAACGTGTAATCTCTTTAATGGAAGATGTCAAGTTCGTTACTTGGATCACCTTGTCATATGTGGTACAATTTGATGGACTACTTATACGTTTTTGTCATGCCTTTTACTGCGGAATTCCTTTCCACTCATCTTTTCTTTTCGCTCGTTTTCGTAAGTCTAGTTGACGCTTACGTTGCTCTTGCTGTCTGTGTGATGATATAAATGAATCAGACCATCAATCCGAACATGGAGTTTTCGGTTGTGTTGACCCTTGGAAAATGTGGACGAGAAGATGCAGCCAGGCGTTTGATCCATTCTTTTGGCTTTGGGCGCTCCACTGCGGACCGCACAGCGTCAAGTATGCTGCCGCTCTACTTTTGCATTGTATATTTCATTATGCTGACCGTTGCTAGCAATCTGCAAGTGACTATGGCTGAATCAAGCGTGAGGTTGGCCCGCAACATCGTGTGTTTTTTGGGGGGCTCACATTAGAACATTGCGCAAGCATCCTACGAGCTTGAAAACTTCGAGAGTATCTTACGAAACTCTGTGGGAAACCTGTGGGGATGATTGTCAGATTTGGTCCTCGACTCCACAATGTGCCAGTTGTGGTGTCGATAAAAGCGTTCTTGATCCCAGAGCATCGTATCACCGAAAAGCCTCTTACTGCAATCCAGCAAAAATGGCAAAGACGCAAGGCGCAAACCAAATATGGCCCTTCCGATTGATTGCAATGACAATACTTGTCAGCCTTGGTGGGATTATATTCGGCTATGGTGGCATCGGTCAGATCGGCGGTTTCCTTCCCATGCCGGACTACGTTCAACGATTTGGAATGACGAAGGTATGCTAACGGTCACTATATTATCTGAAAAGAGTCGATCATATCAGACTTGCATTTCTGGCTCAAAATTGGTATTCCAAAGTCCCGGAAAGTTTCACATAGTACCAAGAAGCCGCAGAAGAAAATTTGGTCCTGCGTCCTGGCGTCCGGGATTATGTTATGCCATACGAACACAGCAAGACTGACTATCGTCTAGGATGAACTCGGTGACACTAGACAAGGAACTATAGTCGGCCTACTTATGATAGGAGCGCTTGTCGGCTCCTTGATCGCCGGTCCTTTGGCAGACATAATCGGCAGAAAACATAGCATCTCTATCTGGGCACTTGTGTACATGACAGGATCGTTAGTCGAGCTAACTTCTACGAGAGAATGGGCCCAAATTGCTGTGGGCCGCACAGTTGAAGGTTTTGGTATAGGCGGCCTATCTATACTCGTACCGGTACGTACTGTATTCTGATTTCAACAACCTGTTTCCAATAAGAATAGATGTACCAGGGCGAGTGCTCGCCAAAAGACGCCCGTGGGGTCATCATAAGCATGTATCAGCTCTTCATCACGCTCGGTATTCTGCTGGCCTCGCTAGTGAACCTTGGGACCAAGCACATTGGAGGTTCAGCTTCGTGGCGTATCACCATTGCCGTTGGCACAATATGGCCGCTCATCCTGGCCATCGGCGTTCAATTTCTCGGCGAGTCGCCGCGTTGGGACATTCGCCGGAATAGAGTAGATCGAGCCGAGCGCATGGTTGCGAAATTGTAGGCACTATTTCATATCTCATCCTAGTTTGATAAACATCTAGACATGCACAAGCTTATCCTACGGCCTTTGAACAAACTTCCAGACACAACAGAATTTTTTAAGAGGGTAGCCAGAGGTAGGATAATGCTAATTTAGTGATATAGGTACCAAACAAACGAGGATATTAGGCGGGAACTAGATGAGATATACGCAAGCGTACAACAAGAGAGATCTCAGCCCAAAGTTTCCGTGTCGGGTATTTGGCGCGAGCGCACGATTCTTCGCCGCATCTTTGTCGGAGTAGTTCTGCAAATGATGCAGCAGCTGACCGGAATAAATTACCTCTTTTACTTCGGAACAAAGCTGTTCTCCAATATGCACGTTGGAGACAGCTATCTAACAGCCGTGATTCTGGGAGGCGCCAACTTCTTTGCAACTTTGGCCGGACTGTGGGTGACTAAACGGTTCGGACATCGAGCTTCACTCATCCTGGGCGGGGTTTGGATTGGTGTATGGCTAATGGTACGCGATTGTTATTTCACCGTATTTCTCTGGCCCAAATGGCGTCCTTCCCCTCTCTTTGGTTGTGTGGTTAGACTTGAAATGTTCATCTGTGCACTTTGTGATATACTGACTCTACAGATGTACGCGTTCTTCGGCCAATACTGCATTCAACAGCTCTGCCCGCTTTCCCCCAGCGCAACGGGCACAGCTATGGTTGCCTTCTCCTGTCTCGCCATATTCGGCTTTGCTACAACCTGGGGCCCATTGACCTGGGTTGTGTGCTCTGAGATCTTCCCAACGAGGTGGAAAGCTATTGGCATGGGCGTGGCTACCGCAACTAACTGGGCCTTCAACTTTTTGATTGGATTCTTCACTACAGAAATTACAGATAGAATTCACTATGGCCTTGGATGGGTGTTCGCCGGAGCGATTATTTGTGGAAGCTGCTTTGTGTGGTTTTGCGTGCATGAAACCGCGGGCAAGTCGCTCGAAGCGATTGACAAGGAGATTCTAGATGGAACCAGGCCTTGGAACAGCCGCAAAGGTCAATAATCCGAAATACACACATCGACTAACTTCTGCTTCCAGTGAGGCAATGGTGTTGATTGATTCCATACGGTAAACGCAGCAATATTTTTTTTGTGGATCTCATGGTGCATTTATCCATCTCCGAGGGACACTTGTGGAATTCATCGCGAGTGACATAAGTAGACCTGTAGAACTTAGTTTCCCGACAGGCTCTTGGCCCTATATCGCCAGGTTTAATTAGTTTGTTTTCGCCTGAAGAATACCAGACAAACCATAAATAGAAGAAAACAACATCGGCTACGTCGGACCCCGTGCCAACTGCAAGTCTATTGGGTTGTCGCACATTGAGTGCGATCAACGTAGAGGTTCTCCCCGACATTTTCTTCCAGTCAAAGCCTTCTAGAGGAGGCTCATGTTCGCACACTTGCAGACCGGATGTTCATCCTTGTCTCTGCTCCTCAATGACTTGAGCTGACTGCGTGCAGTTTGGCAAGACAACTCAGGGCCTAGATCGGAGTTGCGTTGCGATCAGACATGACCGCCTAAATGAACGTCTGACTGTGTCTACTTGCACACCCACCTTCCAGCGGCTCAACTCGGTAACGACCATGACATCTACTCATGGCGTGCATGAAGCATCAGGCTGAGTTGAATAGATGCGCGCCTCAGATTAGTAGTTAAGCATCGCAAGTCTGGAATGGTTCAAATCACCTCTCTTTCATTTCCTCTGCTATTGTTTCGAGTTCCTAACCTTTCACTGGACCTATCTCCTTTGCCCAGAAACGAACATTTCAATCCGATTCGTAATGGCAGATGGCACCCAGGCCAGAACACCGGCTGGAGAAGCGGCCGGACTCCGTCCAGTAGCGTATGCAAGCCCTAGCTCTGTCGTCAATGCGCTGACGTGTACGGTTTAGTTGCTGGAAATGTCGGAGGCGGCGATCGTATTGCTCAAAAGACTATCCTAAATGCTCCCGCTGCAAAGAGAACAACTTAGAGTGTGTGTATCCAGATGGAAGAAAGATCACAGTGTCAGAGAGGTTTGTCGGTCTCGAAAAGGATCGAAATTCTATTACTTATTCACATATAGCTATTTACGAAGTTTAGAGGCTAGAGTTAAAGCGTTTGAAGGTTGATAAACCGTGAAGCCGCGCATTTTCATGTGCTAACAAGTATCAGATGCTGCCGCCTTATCGGCGTCACCATTGGCGCCAGACTGGTCGTCGGTCGGGATACCGGACGAGGAGGGAAACGAGGAAGGTCCTCAACAGCCTGAGGATGGAGTCAGAGAAGTGCTCCAAGGAGTCTCAGTGCTTTCATTCGATTCGACGGGTAGATCAAGGGCTCGTACGTCAATCGCTCTGCTTTCGCCACCTCTTCTTTTCTGACACGAAAGCAGAATACTTTGAAGGCTTCGCATCTACCGCGCTTGGTCGAAGATTGAGTAACATAGCGGGAATGCCTAGCGTCGGCACCCTCGATATCGGCTGCGAGCCATTCTCGTACAATCGTGCTGCTCTTCGTGTCAGAAAGCAGCCAGCGAGCAAAGTCTTCCGATTTCCCCCTCTGCAGGTTGCAAACGGCTGGTACTCTGCCCATTACTCATATATCGGCACCATTTTCTCGTTTTCCACGCGGGAATGGTTTGATCAGCACCTAGCCAAAGCATACTCAGGCCCGCCTAATACAGCGGACCCGGAGGCGTGCCTAGCGTATGCCAAAGTACTCACGATTCTAGCATTCGGACAGCTCTATTCTGTAAACCAATGGGACTCCTTTGACGGGCCTCCTGGGTTCGAACTCTTCTGTCACGCTGTGCAATATTTGCCTAGCATCCACGAAGAAAGCTCTCTGCTCTTTGTAGAAACGCTTGCATTGGTTGGTTATTACATGCAAAATCTCGGCGAAAGAGACGCTGCATTCCTGTACGTTGGTACCGCTTTACGAATGGCGATATCGCTTGCTCTGCATCAAGAAGTGAAAAGTACACAATTAGATGAAGCACAAAAGGAGCGGAGACGACGGGTGTGGTGGAGCGTCTACTCCATGGATCGCATCTTGACGATCAAGAGTGGAAATCCAATCATGGTCCAGGATGAAGACATTGGTGTCAATCCTCCTTCTCGCCTTCCCGACGAGCCTCAATATGGCCCGTGGATTGTTTTAAGGTGTTACACCGAGCTGTCTAAAATTCTGACGCGTATCATGAACGAGGTGTACCGTGCTCCCTACCGAACCGGCTCTAACCTCATGGCTTCTGTTCAAGGTATTCTCGCTGCTCTTTCAGCGTGGAATCGAGATCTACCACCCGAGCTCAGATTCAATATCGACAAGCTTGATTTCACCCGGGAGTCCGTCAGTTCCTTTTTACACTACTACCAATGTATCAATATGACCGTCAGGCCACTCTTGTTCTTGGTGGTCGAGAGGAGAATGAAATGGAGCCCGGAAGAAAGAGCGAAAGACTGGAGGTATGATTTGTCCACACCGACGATCAGCGCTATCGAGACGTGCATTTCAGCCGCCCAGGACACGATTGCGATGATCACAATTGCGGCGCAAAAGAATTTGTTCGCTACATACGGTTACATGGATGGCGAGCATTGCTTTTCCGCTGCACTCGTTCTCGTCCTCGTTTGTCTCGCCTTCCCATGTGGCGAATCGGAGTTTAAAGCAATGGACTCAGCTTTGCGTATGCTTCAACTTATCGTCGACCGCGGTAACAACAACATGGCCCCGCGACTACAGCTCCTACAACAAGTGCGGTCTAGTATCACTACGCCCGCTGGCGTGACAATCCCTGCTCAATTTACACCGAGCGCGGGCGACGCTCTCCACAACGCGCACTTAGATCCAATGATGATAAGCTTTCCGCATGTTGACAGCGCTGCACTTGGGGAGCCTTGGCTAGACTCGAACTCAGGTGACTTGAGCTTGTGGGAAGAGGGTTATATGTCAAACGATCCCCATATTGAGTACGACTTGCTTCAATGGACGCAGCCATTAGATCACACCTGGACGTCCGGAAGCATCTAGACCAATCAAATCTTGGTCTGGAATTTGCGATCCATTCGGAACCTAAGCGTGCCAACAAGTATGGCTGCGGCTAGGGACATTGAACCGGAGTAATACATAGCTGGACGGTAAGCTTGGAAACCAGCCTGCTCGCCTCCAAAAGCTGCTAGTAGATATCCTGCTATAGGACCGCCCAAAAGATACCCTCCAGCCCAACCCGTCACAATCATGCCCATGGCCGTCGCAACTTGAGCTGTGCCGAAGACACTGCCAACTGCCGTCGGTATCGTAGAAAAGAAACCGCCATTTGCAGCACCACCAATGATAACGAATAGGGTCAGTGGGACCAAGTTTTGTGATACTGGCCATATGGTCAACATGCCAATAGCGCTCATGAATAAGCTGAGAAATAGCGCATGGATTGGCCCGATCCAGTCACAAAGGAATCCAAATCCAACACGACCAAATGCAGATGAAAGATTGAAACCTGCAACAAGTGCTGCGCCGGTCGAGGCAGAGAGACCAATAGAGTTCGAGTAAAGTGGAATGAAGAATGGAGGAACGAAAAGAGGGAACGTAGCTATGGCTCCAATCAAGAAAAGCAGTAGGAATTTGAAGTCTCGGAACAAACTCCATTCGACGAACGTTCGACGCTTGATTGTCGCACGGTCTCTGAGAAACCACGCAGCTGGTATTCCCGTTGCTATGGTGATCAGCCCAAGGATTCGAAAAGTCCACGCGACATCGGTATCCTTTATCAGTTTTTCCATGGCCAAGGCTATTACAGTTCCTCCAAGCCCACCGCCGGCATAGACAATACCGTTGGCTAGGCCGCGTTTACGCAGGAAGTATTGCGATGGTGTGACCGAAGCAGCCATGAAGGATAGGCTATATGGGGTCAGCATGGACCAGAAAAGTGGTGATGTGAAAGATTCTACCTTGTTCCAATACCTTGCACAAGTCCGACGCAAACAAACAGACACGCTACATTGTTAGGTGCGAAGCTAACGAGCAGGCCGCCGAGTCCAACAAAAAAGACACCAAGGATACCTGTCCAACGGGATCCAATTGACATGAGTAGTCGGGCATTTGTAATAGCAAATATTGAGATGCAAGCTGGTGTCAGACCACCAACAAAGCTTAGAGTCGATGCCGATGCAACATTTTGCTCTACAAGCTCTTTCTGAACAACACCCCAACTGTAAGACATGCCTGTGAACCAGAAAGCTACAATGGCGCAGGAGAACACTATTACCCAACCGTAGCCGCCATCGGGGATGGTTGCATCGGTCGTTTGGGCAGTAACTATTCTTCTGTTTAAATTCTCTTCCGAGCCATGTCTGTCTGGTGGAGTCGTCGATCCTAAGTCTTGCAATTCTACGTTACTCGCATTCGTTTCCGACATCGCCATTGTTAAGATCCCGCAGAGACGGATAGATTTGTTGCACTCTTCGAAGCAAAGCTGTTGTATGGTCACAACATCAGGAGAAGTCGCCGAAGAAGGAAAAAAAATTTTTGTACGTCCCAAGCTAGCATAACTAGTTCACCAAAGCAACTTTGACAGGCCCTACGACGGCCCCACTCTGGGTCTTGGACCGGACGACATGATCAAGTCAACATTTTCAATACGAAACGATCATTTGCCTTCAACGCACTGCTGGTACGTGATAGTTTTACGTTTGGTATATACAAAAGCTATCTTCGTCTCTGACACCATCGGAGCCATCTGAGTTGTTACCAAATAGAAAATCTAGTTATGTACTTGGAAGACTAAGTAATGTTGCAGCAGTTCTCCAAAGTAATGAGCATATATATGCATTGTATTTCAATACGTCGAATGTTATGAGTGTCAATGAACCAATGGAGTTTCAAGGTTAAGATGAGCTCTTTGCGATTTGGTTCCGTGTCTAGAATTATCGGGGACATTATTGGTTTCTTCTAAGGAAGAAGATTCTCTGCTGTAAATTAAACATGGCAAACAATGTTGCAGGACTATTTAATCTCTTTCCTGTTGTCAAGTGGTGCCAAGGGAAGTCGGCTACCTGCCATGCTGTCTGCGTCTGCCCACGACTGACTGTTCCCAAACTATCCTTCAGAAGTGATCCTCGACTCGTTCAACCAAAGTTCAAATCTCTGCAGAAGCTCACGCGTAATTAATTCAGAACGTTCAGCCGAGCTTCTGCTCGTGCAATGGTCAATTGCGAAAGTACTTTTGCAAGAAACAATACGTCATTGTGAAAGAAGTCTTGGCCCCCGTCGTAGGGAAGCACGACTAGTGTTATTTATAGCAATCATCCAGACATAGCGAATATACCAATTTCCTGCTACGCCTTTGTTTAGTTGACAGCGGATAATGAATTGGTCGAAGCAAACGACCTTTGAAATACTGCCGAGAGTCCACACAGTGTGCTTGATTTCTCCAATCCGGTGAATTATGAGGACTCTGCAGAAAGCACCAATTTTTAAAAAGCCAGTAGGATAAGAAACAACAACATCGTCATTCTCGTGAACAATCAGCCGTTCCCACAGCACCTAACTGTCTCATCACTAGACGATTGTTCCATCGGCCCTGTTCCGGTTCGCTTTTCTTCAATCGTCCGTCTCTGGATCAGACAGGCCCTCCTCGCCAGGGCCCAGCTTGAAGATTTTCACGCCCGGATGCTTGCCTTGCCACTCGTGCCTGGGCAACCCGAATGTCTCCCACTCCGGATCTGGGATTCTCGGAAACAGTCCCATCTTGACGACGACGCGGCCGGGCCTGATCGAGCTGAAGGGCAATGTGTAGGATGATATCTCCCAGTCTCACCAGGCTGGTCGCTTATTTCGTTCCTGATGCATACATCGCTTGACGTTGCGAATCAGATTGTGAAGGTCGGAAAGAAGACGGCGCGGTGCTGATACAAACCGGCCTCAGAAACGATAGCAAGCTCAATGATTCGTGCAAGGGCAACAGGCAAGAAATGCAGATGTGCAAGTTGGGACAGATTTATCATTCTCGTAGATTGGGTATTTGTGAATGGTAAACTTCTATCGCCGATACTTTCTGATTGACGTCAGCTGAACTACAAAACAATGTGTGTATGTGTGTGTACCAAAAAAAAGTCAACGATGAATCAAGTTAGGGGGGGGGGGACGGGGGGATATCACGACTGTTGACCTTTCAGAAAACCCTATCGGCCCAAAAATAACGCCCACTGGAGGCCCACCTCGTCAAATCCCAAAGGAGGACCTCAGCATCTGTCCAGACAGGACGTGCCAATACGCGCTCTAGCCATCACACGAGGACGGAGTAGAATTTCATCCGGTCGTTTCGCCAGGACGCAAGCGCAGACTGCACACATCCTTCTTCACGACCTCCTTCTCCTTGCCCTTTCCTTTCCCGCTATCCACTTTGACAAGGTCTTCGTCGTCCTCGCCTTTGCGCGTGCTCTCCTCGTCTTCTTCCTCGACGTCTGCGTCCGCACCCTCCCTGTCCCGCCGACCACTCATTCTCCGACTGGCCCGAACCTCTCTCTCGCCTTCCCTTGGTCCTTCCCTCGGGCTGGCAAGAGGACTCGCAGTCACCGTCGCAGCACGATCCACTGTCCTGTCTAGGCCCGTAATACTCCCGTTGATGCTTTCCGCGCGCCCATGGCCCAGGCCTAGGTGCCCGCTGCGCACGCTCGCACCGTCATTGCCCAGCTTGGTGCTGTAGTAGCTGTTGCGCTCCGAGACAAGCGCGGGTGCACCGACGCCGCCCGGATTGCTGTACACCGAGGCACGCTCCGCAGAGGCAAGCCCTGAGAGAGATGGCCGCGGCGGTGCGGCGACGCTCGATGACCCGTATCCCCCAGTGGACGAGCCCGCGGCTGCGGACTCGCGGTCTATGTTAGCTGAGAGCACAGACAGGGGAAGTGACTCGCGGGAGTTGCCCCAGACAGAGGATGGAGCAATGGCTCGGATCGAGGCCTGTGTATCGAGAGAATTGCGACGCCGACGCTTCGAGGATGAGGCGAGCGTTAGAATGGAGGCGTTGTCGCTGAGCAGGCCGTTTGCCGTCGCGGCTGTGTACGTGTGCGGATGCGAGATCGACTGCTGCATGTGCGCTGGGACGGCGGAGGCGGGAGGACTGACGGGGTACTGGTGCGAAAAGGTGACGGGTGACTGAGCGGCCGCGGCCTGGTTCGTGGCGGGCAGCATGGCCGAGGGCGCAGTGGACTGGATGGTCGTGAGGGTTGTGGTGAGCGATTCCTGGGAAGCCCGCGCGGAGCTGAAGGTGCTATTCGCGCGGCCGCTGTACAGACCGTCGGTCGTGTAGGCGGTGCCGGTGCGCGAAAAGCCTGTGTCCGACTGGATTGTCTCTGGGTTGGTGGCCAGAGTCGGGGCAGTAGACTTGTTGCTTCTTATGACGATGTTGGGCCCGCCTGTGGTCGAGTCGGCGTAGCTAGCAAAACTGCCTACCCTGCCTGAGTTTACTGACGCGGGCGTAAAGGAGGAGGCTCGTCCACTAATGGTGCTGGGCGCCTTGGGTCGCGCGACGCCATTGCCGACGTAGCCAGACTCGGGGTAGGGATTGTTGTTCTTTCGCTTGTTGCGGGAGAGGCTCTTCTTTTCGTTGTGAAGCGCAGAGCCAGAGCTTTTGAGGTTCGCGAGACGCTTCATCCATGTCGCGAAGGGACGGCGAGCCTTCTGGCGATCTAAGCAGCACGTATTAGAAGGCCACTCCATACAGGCAAGGCCGCGCTTCCTACTGTACATACCATGAGGGCGAATGGCCGCTTCCGCTGCCGCCATTTTCGTCCTGCGGCGCGGGACAGTCTTTGAATTTGAGTTACTTCGGGGCTGGCAATGTTGTTCCACAGCAAACAAAGCTCAGACAGCTGTCGGTGCGGGTAGGCGCATGTAGCGAACTGCGGCGCTTTCAAGGTGATAGATGGGAGTACTATCCAAGGCAGGATTCGACCAGGAGGTGGGCGGGGGCCAAGCGCAGTTCTATGTTCTAGAGGTGAGAGTGAAAGTGATTCTAGACGCGGGCGGCCAGAAATGAGTCAGGCGGCGAAGAGGCAGAATGGTCTGGCGAGTTGGTAGGGGAGCAGCACCGGTAGTGTCTGGGAAGGCCAAAGTACGGGCTCCTAGGGGGATCGCAAGCATGGGACTGGTCAGGTTCGAGCAGCACGACAGTGACAGTTCGTGGTGTTGCGGCGGCTCGACCCTTGTGATTGGCTGCGGCGCTTGCTGCTGCCGCAAAGGGCGAGGAGTCCTCAGCCGCGCCACGTTGACCTCGTGCACTCGGGCGGCTTCTGGCGCGTTCTGGGCGGGCGCTGGGCGGGCGCAGGCCGGGGGAATCACGCAGGCGCCGAGCGGGCGGCAGCACGGGCGACGCCCAGGCCGCGAGCGGGCTTCGACGCCCTAACTGGAGCTGCAGAGCCCCCGAGACGACAAAGACAGCGCCAAGATCCGCTGTCGGCGTTCTCTGCTCTGCTCGAAACTCATACTTGCGCCCCTTGTAGAGGTCCCTTAAGTCCCGCCACGCCGCGTCGTCTTGTACGTGATTGCATCCGACGTGTGGCTTGCGGCCGGTCTTATATCGGGAACACACACATTGCTTTGATACCTGCATATATGATGCTTGCGAGCTCAGCTGCGTTGTGCCCTCTTCCACAGAGAATCCTCGACGTTAGCTAAGGCACGGGTGCAGTCACTTGCCGCCACGCAAAACGGACTCCAATGTGCCGCCACGATATAGCACTTGTCGTTCGAAGATGGAGGAGCGAGCATGGGGGAAGCTGAGCAAGAACGCACCACCTCCGGCACCGGGTAGCGAGCCGTCTCTTCGCCCTCTTCCGGCCACGGTCGTTGCCCGGATCAAGTCGTCCGCCACCATCTCTAGTCTGGCTGGTGTCGTGCTGGGCCTGCTGCAAAACTCCCTGGATGCGGGTAGCACCAAGATCAGCGTGGACGTCGATTTCACTCGGGGAAACTGCACTGTGGAGGACAACGGGTACGGCATCGCGCCTTCAGAGTTTGCCGAGAATGGCGGGCTCTGTAAGCTATACTGCACGTCCAAGTACGGCGACTCGAGGCCGAGTGCATCTACGACATACGGCGCTTACGGAACGTTCCTTGCTTCTTTGGGAGCCCTGTGCCTTCTTACAGTGACGGCAAGGCACTGTAAGTACTACTCCACCAATTCGCTCATCATACACCAGTCCAAAGTGATATCCAGACTGATGCCTGCCCCGGCCTCGCACCAGCTGGATAGTCGCGACCATGGCGCCCGAGTGACGGTTCGAGATCTCTTTGGAAACATGCCTGTCCGCGTGAAGCAAAGGGCCTTGCTCGCACAGCAGCAGGGCGAAATGGACAAGCTGTGGGACGAGCTGAAGAGTGGCATTACCGCTCTTCTCGTCGCCTTCGCTGCACCAATCTCCTTGCATATGCGAGACACCACGTCAGGCAAACAATTTGCTATCAAGAACGCCGAATCAAATGGAGGCTCTGGCAAGATGGCGAGCACAATAACTCCTCTCCTGCCTCCTAAACACAAGCACATCGTATTCCTTCTTCGCCAAACGTGCAGACTGCCCTCCAACACTGCCGGTGCCTGGGTCCCTGTTTCTGCATCGTCTAGATCCGTCACTATAAAAGGCATGATCAACCTCTGTCCCTGCCCATCTAAAGCCAACCAGTATCTCTCCCTGGGCATACACCCTCTTCTAAAATCGCAGCACAACATATTATACGAGCATATCAACCGTCTTTTTACACGCTCTCGCTTCGGCGCCATCGAAGCTGAGCAACCCTCTGATACTGAGAGGGAACGACGAAAAAGCGGTGCGCGATTCAACGATGAAGGAGTGAGTAGAAGGGTTGTGTCATGTGAGAAAGGGGTGGAGAGGTGGCCGATGTTTGTTCTGACGATCGAGGAAAAGAATGGAAGGGCTGGCAGGAGTGAAGACGAAGTTCTGGGGAGCGGGGCGGGTCTGGAGCGAGTACTCAAGGTTTTGGATGCGCTTGTTGGAAGATGGTTAGAAGCACATCATTTCAAGCCGAGCGGACAAGAGAAAAAAGCACGGGGCGGGACCGATGCCATGAACGAGGTCAGCGTAACTGACGATGAAAATGTGCGTTCAGTGTCCGGACTATATAATCGGGCGATTCAAGATGCTCGAGCAACCCAGCATACAACACCGTATACTGGGGTGTCTACTGTGAACGCACTAAGCAGAATCAAAAGCTCGAAGGGAGAGTCGCTTGGAAAACGACCTGCAAGTACGTCAAGTACTGAGGCTTCTGCAAACAGAAAGAAGCCGTTGATCAGTGTCGAGGCCATACCTAGCGATTGGTCCCGACGTCCTTGTCCAAGCAGAAGCACACAAGCGCGCACCGAGCATGGCGAGAGCAGGAGTTTTGCGGATGACGATACTCAATTGACGATGCTAGCTTCTAAAGTCGCTGACGAGCACCAAGACGGAGCCGTTGAATGGGTCGACCCATTTACGAGAGAAAGGCACATGTTGAATGCTCAAACGGGCATGCCAATGCCAACTCACCAAAACGTCGACTCGACCCGCCGGGGCAGACGTATCTCTCTGCCATCTAGAGAATGTCGCCCACCGGCTGGGAGCGAAACAACGCCGCTACCGTTCATAGATTCTCTTTTGGAGCGCTGGCAGAATCCCGTCTTCCGCCCGCGAGAACAGCCAATCGTACGTGCCTCGTTCGATGCAACTCACAGTCACGGTGCGATTGAGATCGACAGCGCGTTCGAGGAGGTCTCACGCTTGAATGGTCACAAGATTTCCAGGGCCGCGCTGAAGGATGCGGAAATTTTGGCGCAAGTGGATGAGAAGTTCATCCTTGTAAAACTGAACGAGCTTGACGAGGAACGGTCGCTCCTCGTGGCAATCGACCAACACGCCGCAGACGAGCGCGTCAAGATCGAGCAGCTGCTCCAGGACTTGTGCAGCCCGCCGGACGGATTGGATCGGCATTTCTCTTCTCAGCAGGGCCTCCGTTCCGCGGTCAAGACAAGCATGCTTGGTAAACCGCTCAAGTTCTACGTTCCCGCGCGGGAAGGCGAGTTGTTTCGGCGCTACATGAGGCACTTCGCTGACTGGGGCATCCTTTTCGATGTGGAATCTTTAGGCACTGACAACGACAACGGTGACGACGACGACGACAACAACAACAACGATGACGATGACGATGATGGAGGCAGCCAGGAGTGTGTGATTGTGCACAGCTTGCCGCCCGTAATTGCCGAGCGGTGCAGAATAGATCCTAGGCTGCTCATCTCACTTCTTCGGTCTGAGTCCTGGAGACTTGCTGAAGATGGGACAACATACAACGGCACGTCGCTTGAGAGTGGGCAGGCCTGGTTCAAGCGCCTCGCGCAGTGTCCGCGGGAGCTGCTCGACCTCGCCAATTCCCGTGCGTGCAGAAGCGCCATAATGTTCAACGACGGGCTTTCGAGGGAGCGCTGCGCGGCGCTTGTCGCCGATCTGGCGGAATGTGCGTTCCCCTTCATGTGTGCGCATGGAAGGCCAAGCATGGTGCCTTTGATTGAGATAGGGACGGCACGGGCGGGCGACGCTGGTGCGATGGGCGGTGAGAATGAAGAAGAGGACTACGCGGCTGCATTTGGACGGTGGCGACGCCAAGAACATCAGTGACGCGCAAAAGAAACTCAAGGCCATCTTTGAAGCCATCCTTTCTCACATTTTCGATACACAACAACCCTAATATTATATAGAACTTTTGTGAAGTTTCTAGTCAACATCCTTCCCGCGTCGCATGGCGCAGTCATATCTGCGTCTCTCTCGGCGCGTTCACCCGTCCACATCAGAGCCCACGCTACGTGACTAATCCCTTCAGTTGCCGTCGACGTCACCGTCAGATACAAAGCGTCCCACTTCGACGGGGGATTTGGCCCCGCGTTTGGAATGCCAGCAACCCTTGGTGTAGATATGGCTCTGGTCCACCAAGACAGCCTATTTGAAGTGAGAAAGATCAAAGAATACGCCGGACGAAGCCGCGTTTCACGCCTTCAGCTGGCGGATCTCGGCCCTCAGCGCCTCGACCTGCGCAAGATGGTCATTGTGGAAGCGGATCGAGGACTGCACATGATCCATCTTGAGGGCGTCCATGGCCTCCTTGTGCTTCTTCTTTAGCCCCTCCAGCTCGGCCTCGTACTTCTCCCTCGCCCGCGCCAGCTGCGCGTCGAACTTGCCGTTGAGGGCGTCCATGCGCATCTGCCACACCTTCTCCTCCTCGGCAAACTTCGCCTCGTGCTCACGCACCAGCGCTTGCCGCTCCTGCGCAAACTCCTTCAGCATTTCATTCCGTAGTGCGGCTTCCTGGACGAAAAGCAGCCTCGTGGTCTGCTCGTCGAGCGGCGGCTCGAATCTCTTATTCAGCACGCGCTCCAGATACGTGCTGGCCGAAGTGCTGGAAGCAGCCTCTGAAGGGCCGCTGTTCATCTCGGCGCCCAGTGACTGCGTGCTGGGCTGCTCTGGCTCTGGCTCCTGCTCTTCTTCCGGCCACGAGGACGACGGTGCATGCTCGATTTCTTGCTGGGCGACCTGCGGGGCACGTGGTGCAATAGGAGCGTTACGTACCGGTTGTTCAGGCGGCTTTCTGCCCTTGCTCCCCTCGCAATCAGACATGTGCCCGTAGTACTTGTTCTTGTACAAGAACTTCCTGTCGCAAAACCTGCATATGATGTGCACGCGATGGGGATCTGGCTTGCCACCGGTCTTGGACCTCTCTGGCGTCGGATGGCCGGCATCGAGGTTCAAGTCTGTGCAGTAGTGCCGGTAAAGTTGCTTCTTGGATTCGAAAACCTCGCTGCAGTCGAAGCAGCGAACGGGGATTGGGCTAGTGGCCATTATGTTGTTCGTGTCGGGCACATGTATTTATAGTTTGTTGTGTAGGAATGGAGCGGAAGAAGGCGAAGAGTCAGCGATTTGAGCTCGACGATTGTAGCAGAACACGGTTATCAGCGGATTTGCTCAGCTGCACGGTAACCTTTAGTAGACAGACTGTCACGACAAAGTTCTGACATTCACTAGAAACGTAGGGAAGAGCCCAATAATAGAACATTTCATAAAGCGTTAATTCACGGCTTGAGCCGAACTATCCAAATCTAATGCCAGATTTGGGGTCCCAACGCCCGTCGGCCTTCGGCTTCTGCGACGATTGCGCAGGTGATCCGCCAGCTCCAGAAGGAGGTGCAAATGTGATGGGTATGTCAGGAGTCCATACACCAGCTGCCGGGGCCCTTTGAGGCTGCGGTGCCACTAGCGGTTCTTGAGCATGTGTGGGCCCAACGTTGTACATTGGTCGTTGGGCTTGCGCCGCCTTTTCCTGCTGCAGAGACGCTGCTTTTCCTAGGGACATGGACGCCATTTCCGTCGAAAGGTCGCTACCAAATCAAGTCAGCTATTATGAGGTGATTCCAACGACATTAAACTGCCGAAGAGCTACTCACGCCTCGAACTGTGCCGCTTCGCTCCGACGCTGGTACGCAAATGTCTTGCAATCATCCCGAAATCTCGTTACCATCTTCGCAAGGTCATTATAAAACTTCCTACCAGCCTCCAAGTTGCTTATAATCTCTTTGTACTTAAAGTACGCATTCTCCAGCCGCTGCAACGCTTGTTCTCTCTCCCGCGTTGTCGTGTCTCCTTTCCGCGCTGCAACAAATACCGAATTGGCATCTTGCAGCTTCTTCAGCAGCTGATCCTGCTCCTTTGCCTCGATTGCGACAGCTTCCTTGTCGCCATCATACCTCTCCTCAAGACGACGCTCAAAGAACGGCTCGAATTGTGCTGCCTCAATTTTCTGCATTGGGAATTCGCGCTCTAGGCGACTTGCTTCGCGAATGAGGTCTGCGTTGATGTCGTCCTGTCTGCATTTGTTCTTCAAGGCCTCAACTTTCTTGCGTCTCCTGCTCTCAAGTCGGCTGATGTCATTAAGACAGGCTCGAAGTTTGCTAGCCGCTTGTTCGACGGCGGGTGTGAGATTAGCGCGTCTGCTCGAAGGAACGTAGTTCTCCAGGTCACGGTCCGAGCCAGCAAGAAGCCGAATGAGCAGGTCATTGTCCCGAAGCTTTTTGGAGACTTGTTCATCACTGTTTGCAGCTTGCTTCAGATAATCGTCAATGCTCTTGATCTGAGCATACAGCTTAGGTGCCGCCTCCGGTGCGGGAGGTCGAGGCCAGCGGTCTGTGCCGTACTTTTTGCGTGCCCTATCATCGTCTGCCTCTTCGGCGCGGAGGAGCTCAACGCCTTCCTCGTAGATCGTCCGGTCATTTTGTTTGATCTTCTCGGTGTCGTAAACAGTCTTGGTCAATCTATTAGGGCCATCCTGCTGTCGAATCTCCTCGGCGTGTGAAACTAACCCAGGTGGAAGTCCGAGTGGTTTCTCTAAAGCTTGTAGCGAGCCTGGTAGTTTCAGAGATCTCAGCACGTCGTGCATCTTTGTGTTTAGTGCTTCTAGCTCGTCGATGATGCTCACATTCACGAGTCGATCGCGTCGATCTTCGTAAATACTTGCAGCGACGTGTACAGCGTACGGTACGAGCTTGGTGAACAACGGCTTTCCTAGCTCCGCGTTGTCCCCGAGATGTGCCATTGGATCCTTGATCTGGGGCGGAACCTTGGACGTGACCATGTTGGCCCTATCCAGCGTTTTCAGCTCCGACTTTGGCGGCTCTGGGATCAAATAAATCATGTCATTGTCTTTTTCAGCACGTTTAAAGTCTTCCTGCACTCTGTTTTTCAACCCTTGAAGATCACTAAGCACAGTCTTGTTGATGTACCTCGCTTCTTTGAGTGCTTCAGTCGCACAAGTTAGACTGTCCCGCAGCCTGGCCACCTCTTCGCCATATTTTCTTTTTTCCAAACAGTCGAGTGCGGCTCTGTACTGCGCAGCCGCAGCAAAATGATGGTGTTTCGCTGTCATGTGGTGTATCCATTCGGTCTGGACCGCATTTGTCTGCACGCCGTAGTCTCCCGCCTCGGCGTACAGATCTGACACTCGGGCAGCCAGCTTTGCAATGATTGCATCCTTCATTCCGTCCTTGACTGCCTTTTGCCAAAAGCATTCCTGCGCCTGCGCCAGCATGAGCTGCTCCATCGACTCCAGCGTCATAATGTCCATGTCATCCGGAGGAGTAGATCGCATGTCCGGAATTATCTCTGTCCGCAGAAAATTCAACGTCCCTGCAGCAAGGCAAAAATAGTTTGCTGCCGTCTTCAGTCCATCCTGAGTGCTACGGTTCGCGGAGACTGCCAGCTGGGAGTACATGGCTGCCAGGTTCCACACAACGTTGGCCAGCTCATACCGCAGATTGTCTTGTGACAGAGGCCTCGAAGTATCGTAGGAAAGCGCGGGATACCATGGGAATTCTACACCAATATCTATGGGGAACTTCGCCCCCAGCCAGATAAGCTGCGCAGCATAGGCCTGTAGCTTCTTGATGCCCGAACTGTGTGGTTCAACGGCATGGATAGCATCAGAGCGTAACTGGTCTATGGCTTCGAGGTCCGCGGCAAAGACATCTGGGTGCTGATCGTACTTCGTCGAGATGTACTGCTTGATGGCGCTGGAAAGAGAGACATTTTGCGATCGCCTAAAGGGAAGCGACAAGATGTTCGTTCTGTCGTTGTCCGCTCTATTAGCAAGTCCCCACAGGCACACAGCGAGAAAACTCACGAGACCGCCATCTTGCTCAGCGTCAAAGGCATGGAGAAACAACGTCAACGCCTTGGGCCGAACGGATGATTCTGTGTTTACGCCTTGGTCAAGCAGGGCCCCCACCACTGTGCGAAGGCGGGTCGTGTTCAGCAGCACGTCCAGGATCCGCCCGCCACTTACTCGGAAGACTTCGCGTGAGACTGAGGCACAAGCACCGGCTTTTCCTTGTGCACGTAGCAAGTTGGTATGACGCAGTCGTGAAGCTGATTCACTGCGCACTTTACCGTATGCGTTTTGGCGTTTCGATCTGTCTGTCTTCCACGCGCGCTAGAACCTTTCAGACGCGATTCAGCCAGATGCGGGATCCGGGCGCAACTAAGTTAAACTGATGTCTTCCAGCCCATCAACCCCCATCACGTCTCCAGCACTCTGCGCTCGCAAAGAAGTCCGATCGCCATCCAACTCTCGAGGGTCGGCAATGGTTTGGCAGCACGCCCACTAATGTGCAGCCCCCCAAGCGATTAACTCGTGTTTGACGAGCCTCCCGCGGCCCAGGGGTGATGAGCTCCGCGGAGCCTTCCCCACTGAAGCCTATCGCAAGCAAGATCCAAAGTAGCCTCGCGGCTTGGGTGACCTAGCACGGTTACGATGGCCTCCAGGTTGACGTCCAGCAGGCGGCCATTGCAACCAAAGGATCCCTCTGTAAGGCCGTCGTCTGCGCCTATGCCCGCTGCCGAGCCAAAGGGCAAGCGGAGATGTGTGACGGCGGCCTGCATACCATGTGTGTAGCTTCGCTAGCATGTGCAAACTTGGCAACTAATCTCACCACAGGTCGGAAGCGAAAGTCGAAATGCGATGCTGGCCTTCCCAATTGTTCGACATGCATCGCTGTCTACAAGACAGAGTGCTCCTACGACCCGGGCGTCGCAGAGATTGCTCGACAAAATGACTCTTCTACCGGCGTGAAGCGCGACAGCGCCGCTGTCCAGGAGCCCAATTTTGCGGAGCAGTTCGTGCAGTTGCTCATATCCCTACCCGAGAGCGAGGCTTTTGATGCTCTATACCAGCTCAGGGCCAGTGGAGACGTCGTTGCGACTACCGAGCTGCTCCGCAAGAAAAGAATCATGTCCGAAGGGAACGAGCCACAAACTATTGAGAGCGAGCACATGCACGTACAAGGAAACGCGACACTGGAGCAGAAATGCCGCTACGGATTCACGAGCGGACTAGGTCTTGTGCCGGGCGACGACGACTACATCCTTACGCGAACTCAGGAGCCGCCTACATCAAGACTGTGGACAGACGTCACAACGGACGGGGACCTGGTGTATCATTTGATTAAATTGTACTTCACGTGGAGCAATCACTTTTACCCTATCGTTAGTGAAGAGGAATTTTATACCGACTTCAGAACCGGGCGGACAAAGGCGTGTAGTGCCATACTGGTCAACGCAATGTGTTCGTATGGCTCTGTGTTTACGTCAAATCCCAGTGTGAGGGATGAGTCGAACCACAAGTGGACAGCTGGTAATCGATTCTTTGAGAGAGCGAGGCACCTGCTATTCGAGGATGAAACCACTCCACAGCTTCCAACAGTCCAAGCGTTGCAGATCATGAGCATGCGCGAGGCCTGCAATGGCCGTGTGAGCTCTGGATTTCGCTATGCTGGTTGGGCGCTGAATATGGCTATTGAATTAGGCATGCATCTGGAAGGTTGGAAGTCAGGTGCACAGGAGGATGGCATGCGGAGGCGATCGTTTTGGGCCATGTTCAACTGCGACACGTAAGTCTCAGCTCCATTCTCTGCACTTGATTTTCTTTACCTGACGTTGCGGAGTGCCTGGTCGATATGCTCTGGGAGGGTTGCGATGCTCCCTCGCGCTGCTATTGAGATTGAAAAACCAAAAAGAACTGCACACGTGACCGAGTGGCAGCTTTACGACGACGAGCATCGAAATGCAGAAAGTAAGGTTCTTTATTCTTGTTGCGAGGACGAGATGCTGTATCAGCAAAGCAGCCTGACGGAAATTCTGAGCGAGCTTCTCGTGATCTACTACGCGCCTCGTGAGCGACTAAGCTCGCGCAAGATTCTTGATATGTACTCTCGTTTTCAGACGTGGCACAAACGACTACCGAGCTCGATGCGTCTATCGGAAAAATCGCCACCCAATGTGTTTATGCTCCAGTAAGTGCAGCTTTGCTATCGAAATCGTTGGCTACTGCTTACAATCGGCAAGCATGTGGTATTGGTCTTGTGTCAACCATCTTTTCCGCCCAATTGTCCGCATGAAACTAGTGGGTTCATCGATACAACCACGCCAGGTTTGCATTGACATGGCAATCGAGATATCTAAAGCCATGGATCTATATCGACAACATTACCCAATGGACACCGTCAATCTACTGTGGTGCCACGTACTCCTCACAGCCGGTTTGACGCATGTCTTCGACCTTCCGTCACGTGGTCAATCAAAGTCAACTTTCACAGCAGCCAACAGCCGGGCCATTAAGGATACTGCGCAGTGTTTGCGTGACTTTCACACCATCTCATCTGTACACAGATTCGGGGTGCGTGGGATCCAAATCATATGTTCACTTGTGGAAAAGTATGGGTTATACCTACCGGAAGAAGTCTTGAAGGAAATGTCTCCGATTCTATGCATGAGAAAGGACGCTCAATCCACTGCCACACCAGTTATTAGCGAGCCCAATCAAGGGCAGGGCGCGCCTAAGTCAGCTGCTGCTGACCTTGTAACGGCGCCTACTGTGGCTTTAGATCCGGCTTCTAACGCGACTCCTCCAACGACCCAAACAATTACAACCAACATACCATCACCTAATTTAAGACAAGAGGGATCATCTGCGGTGATTCCGCCTTCACTGCATAACGACCCTCAGCCGAGATACAAACCTAGCTACCAAGTCCAAGCAATGACTTCTTGGCCCGAACCTCCTTTCGACCAAGCACCCCAGTTCCCGACATCCCTGTTCTTCACACCTGTAGATGGCACGATAGGATTACCACTCTACCACAACAACCCGAGCCAATCGCACATGGATCTCCATGTTATGCTTGGCGCGGTGGACTGGGGAGAGCAGCTGAGGCAGGACGGATTTGAGCTTAGCGATGTCTGGGGAAACGATCCTATGGCAGGTGCAAACCTGAATATCATAGGTCGGTCGCATCACATGGGGGATCAACTATCGGCTCAGGCCTATCGGGGACCACCTCAGCAAGGTTATGCTGTGGGAGAAGTCACGTTTGTGAACGGTGCATGGCCTTGAGAGTTTGATCTTTGTGGATCAAGCCAGCTCTACGTCTCCACCAGGAGGCCTGCATACATGATTTGTGTTTATATCATGGAAAGAGCCCATGAGTCAATCGATCAGAGCTATGGGAAGTTCGCACAAGAAGATTTGCTATTTAGCTGAGAGAGGATGAGCCAAGTGCCAGAAACGGTCTGGCTTACATGCAACGCAGTCACTGCAAACAGCACCGTCTTTGCAAATGTGGGCAGCAATACGAACTAACGAGGGTTTTCAAAGGCGCATGCGCGTCTTTAGAGAAAGAACTACCCGCCGCGATCATCAAGCACACGTGGAGCCATCGAGAGCTTTACGCTGCGGTACCAGAAGCTCCAAACTAAGAACAGACGAGGACGTACTCGTCGACAAGGTTCTCATCGAGGTCACTGGCGCGAAGTCAGCCGACAATCTCAACGACCAGTGCCTGGAACTTGGCGCTTCGTTTCATGATCCCGGATCAAAGTTTGGATTGCTTGCCGATTTGCAGACGTGTATTGCTGCAAGGAAAGCCATGGTTCTGTCATGTAGTTTCCTGGCCATCAAGGAGGCCTGGTGAGAGACAAGCCAGTTGCTGCTATTAGCGGAAATATTGGTTAGCTTTGAAGCTTGGGTTCCATGGTTCCCGCAGTCGTCTTCATCGATATTATAGATCTCGTTTGACGTGTTAGTGTACATATATGTAATCATGATAATAGTAATGAATCTGATTCGAGGGCTCATCAAAAAGATGAAACCAGCGAGTATCATTGCTGGTCAGATGTTTCTAGCATAGCCAAGTAGGTTTGAGGAAAGCATCAGCGACGTGGTATACTTTGCGTGAATTTGTTTTCCCATTTTTATTCTTAGCGAGCATCAGTGTCGGCTTCGCTCACACAAGGCGCAGATTCGAGCCTGTAGCTAAGCTACCCAATCAAGCTACACCGACACCGGACCCAATCGACGCGCTGTGACGACACTGCGATTCTCCCAAGCCCGATTCCCCCCAGCATCATCGCCGCCGCACAACACGCAATACATCATTCAAAGCCACACCCGTGCACATCTATCGCTGGCGGAGCCTTTCTTATCCCCCTCTCGAACATCCAGCCGGAAACACGCACCTTTTGCCCATTACGCGTCAAACGAGGCTAGGCTGCGCTCTCCCCCTCGTTCTCTATTCTCTCTCTCTCTCTCTCTTTCGTGTTCAAAGCCGGCCCATTTTGCGGCTTTGTCTCAGCTGCAGCCTCGCACGGTTCTATCACAATGCGCGAGAGCTAAGCACAGCCACGATTCTTATTGTCTTCCGGCGACGTGTTTGTTCGCGTGCGGACCTGGGCATCACGCATTGGGACACGCTGCTGAGTGATTTGCTGCTGATCCAGGCTTTCATTTTTCTTGGTTTGGACGGTGCGTCGGCCCTTTGCTATCTCAACACCAGCTCATCACGAGCTGCTCCTTGCAAGCCAAATTTTCCTTCCTCTTGTTCTTCTTCCTTCTTCAACCCTTCCCCCACCTTGCTCTCCGTCCTTCTCCCATCTCTGACCCCCTCGGACCCAGACTCAGCGCCCACTGCCAGAAACTGTGCCGCTGGAACATCCGGCCTGAGATCGATCCGCACGGCAACAGTGCCCACCCACGCCACCGCCAGGGATGCGCCAGGCTTTTAAGCAGCGGGTGCGCTCCTCATCTCTCAGCGCCGTAGCGCCTTCCCCAGCATCACCCGATTATTCACCCGCAATGGCAGCTTCCGCGGCTTCGATTCTCTACCAGTCGCCCCTGCCTTCCCCGTCGGGACACCCTGTGTATGTGCTGAACGCAGCTGCCCTACCAGACACCCATGACGTCGACTACGACACTCTCCTACCTTACGTGCTAGCTCGGCTGCCCGGCGAGGAGGATCTCATACACGGCACCGAATACGAAGTTGTTTTCTTCGCCGGTGGGAGTGCGGATTCAGCGACCAGCGGCAAGAAGGGGTATCCGGGTGTGGGATGGGTCATACAGGCCTATCACGTGCTCAGCCGAGCCATGCGGAAGAGGATCCAGCGCCTGTATATCGTGCACGAGCGCAAATGGGTCCGGATGCTAGTCGAGGTTTTCAGCACGATTGCCAGCCCGAAATTCAGGAAAAAGATCGTCCATGCGGCTACCTTGACGCAACTGGCCCAGCATATCGACATCACTGGCCTGCTCATCCCGCCCTCCGCATACTTGAGAGACAGGGAACTAAGTCCCAGCATACACGTTGCGAATGCGAGCGGGCGACGGGCATTCTCTGCGAGACCGCCGCTTCCCATGGGCGTGGATGGAAAGTCTAGGCTCCCAAGGGTGCTGAGGGAGACGTCGAGTTTTCTCCTCATGAATCTCCACATGGAGGGCCTATTCAGGGTTCCGGCCCACGTGAAACAAAAAGATATCTTAAGGGAGGCGTACGATCGAGGCCAGAAGTTCATCGTCTGGAAGGAGCGAGACGTGTATCTGCCGTTGAGGCGAGAGGCAAATACTTTGCCACGCGTAAATATGGACACTCTTGTGAAGGAAATTGATCAGACTGAGGCGTATGGAGTGCATCTTGCAGCGGGGCTCTGCAAGTTTTGGTACTCGGAACTGAGGGACCCTTTGTTTCCGCGTACCAGCTATAAGGATCTAATGCGGCTGTACGGCGACTCATTGGAGCCCATCACCTTGGAAAAGTTGACAGAGCTTCTCAGTCCAAAGTCAGAATGGTCGATTTTATCGGCTACATCGCGAGAGATACTGACGCGTCATTTGTTGCCATTGTTGGCAGCAGTTGCGGCTCGTTCGGAGGAAAACAAGATGACGCCAGATAACCTCGCCGTGTGCTTCGCACCTACACTGTGCTGCGGCACGGACCCCATCGAGGACGCAAAGGCGTCGTCCATAATTCGACGAGTGCTGACCGAAGCGATTGAGCAATGGTTGCGGGGTCTACGGGAAGCGTGCGGCATGGATGCCAATACATTCATCGCTGATCTTCAACCGCCAGCTCGAGAAGATGACTATGAAGATCCGCTGCCTGTGGGTTCCGGCTCAAGTGACCACGAGGAGGACGAAAAACCAACCAGTTCGCACGGCTTCACAGATGAGCAAGAGACGGGCATCCTTCTCAGAGATAACGACATTCAAGATGCAAAGTTTGCAACAGAAGACGCACCTCCACCTCTGCCGCCTAGACAGCAGCTGGCTAGGCTAAACATCTCGCCTCCCACAGGTACAGAGGATTCAGCAAGCTCATCGGCTGTATCATCTTTGCAGTCACCGCGCGTTCCCTCCCATCCCTCCGCAGGCTCAGACACGAGCTTGCGACGCAAAGAAGTACCCAGGCAATCAATCAACACACAATTGCCACCCAGATACTCCCAAGCCATTGCTCAAGATGAGGTCACCGAAAGCCCGAGCTCGTACATCACGCCTGCAAATGGGTTTGCACCGCGGCGGCCAGGAGATTGGAGCTTTGATACTAATGAACCCGATAGAGCGACCGAGATCGGCAGAAAGGACAGCCAAATCAGGCGGAAGCCGGTGGGGAGTGGGAGCGAAGGATTTACACCGATCAGCGGTAGTAGCATGGACGAAAGGTCATGATGTGCATCCTAGCCGGAGTTTGAAACTTGCAAATTAGTAACAATATTCTCAGGGGTTTGGGAGTCTGATAGATTCGGTGGTGATTTGAAGGGATTCAGGTCTTGGGCGCATACAGACGATACCCAGTAAAACATTTGACGAGAACTCGTTCGGTCCGCCGCATGAATGAATTGATGATTGAATGAATTGTAATAAGGGCACAATATCCAAGTGTTGTGATTTCCCATGAACAGACTCGCCTCTTTGCTGACTTCTCTCGAATCAGCCACAAACTTTCTGATATGAGATCAAATTAAGGGAGAGAAAGAAATATTATTCAACTCTAGCTGAACAAATCCTAGCCGCCAAATTTGATGAAGGAATGATCTCAATTCTTGCTGCGGTCCCACAAAGCCCGTTAGCATGGAGATGTACGTGAACCATGAACTTTTGAATTTTAGTTCAATCACTCAAAGCAGTCCCTCATCACTCTCAGCGCATCGCCGAGCAGCCCCGAAAAGGCTTTTACCCTGCTTTTCTCCTCCTCAGACGCCGGACGCGGGCTCCATCCGGGGCATCCCTCGTCCAAGAACCCGACCGTGGTGTGCATCGGCGACCCGCTCGGCAGCGACGGTGACAGCAGCACCCTGCTTGCGCTGCTCCGCGTGGATGTCCAACATGCCTTCCCACGACGGCCCGAACAGCAGAGCAAAGTTGCTCGCGTCGTCCTCGCTTGCGACATCACCCGCGCGTTTCTTTTCTTTTCCCTTCCTTTCTCTTCCGTTTTCTTTTTATTTTTCTTTGGTTGTCGTGGTCTCGAACGGCTTCGCTTCCCAGCTCAAAGTTAAGTCTGATAGGAAGTCGAACATCATCGTTTCAAATAGGGTCCCAATCCAAATATTTCAAAGTGAATAGCTTCGGAAAAAAAAAAAAAAAAGAATAGATCAAACAGCCCAGCCGATCCCCTGGTGACAGCTCTGCACGAGTCTGATCGATTCTATGCACCTTAATCTTTCGTCGAAGGCATACTTGCTTGAGCTGTCACTCTTTGAAATCCAACGGATCTAGAACGATGGTATAGCATATCTTAAGCGACGCATACGGACTTGGCCAACCAGTCATCGGAACTAGAGAACTGGCGTAAATGTGTCGGCAAAAGGAGATGCGTAACCCGGCCTTACGCAGGTAGAAAAAAAGTCTTCTTAACTACCATGGATCTTTCAACCTAGGAGCGTCAGCTACCGTAGAATTCCATTCGAGACGTTCGGATCCAGTAATTCAGATCAGTCCAAATCTTAGGTAGTAATTCTACAACTGAATCCGACCGTGTAAAGGGAACTGGCAAGCGGCGTCACGACGTGCTGCTCAAGTCGAAAGCACATTGGTCGGTACCTCGATGCGTGAGGGTAGTCAATAATACTGGGATAGGGTGCATTGTGGCCATGGCAAACACGATCCTAGATTCTACACGGTTCCGTTGAAATCGTAGAATTCTCTATCTTGATAAGCAATGGTTCAGACAGGCGACAAAACCCGAGAAAAGTTGAACTCATAAGGTTTTTAGTGTATTATCTCAGAAAATGCTGCATGGAAGGGGGAAAGAGCATCTTTAGGTGACGAAGCCATCCAGATGCTGAAAAGAGACCGTGTAAGGATACAGAGAGCGAGCTTGTTGACAAAAATGGGTCCATTCCAGCGATCTGATTGGGTTTACGTTGAAAGATGGGCGCAAAAGTCCTCCTTCTCCCACGACATCCCATTAGGGGGTAACCTTCAGCACGGCTTTTCCGCTACACAATGAATCAGCAAGTTGCATAGCTGAGCTATCAAAGAATCATTATACTCACAAATTCTCACCCTTCCACATTCCGATGAGCGACTCAGGAGCCTTTTCAATTCCCACGAACTCATGTGTCTTGGCCTTGAACGTTCCGTCTTTCAACCACTTGGAGACGTTTTCAATATGTGGTTGTCTCCATGGACCTCCGAACTCCGGATCGCTCACTATGAAGCCTTGATAGGTGAGTCGCTTCACGATGACATTCATCAGATTGCGGATGGGGTACTTTTCCTCGCGATTATAGTCTGCAATCATGCCGCACGCGACGATGCGGCCGAAGTTGTTGAGGTGATTGAGTGCCGCCTCCAACTGTTCAGCTCCGACATCTGCAAATCCTCGTCAGCTGACATCAAGGCCATGAGGAGCAGTGTAATTTACTGTCATAGTAAATGTCTATCTTTCCATCTGGCGCAAGCCGGTTTAACGCATTCTCAGCGCTTTCTCTCTTGTAATTGAAACCACCATGAAAACCTAGCTCTTTTGTGATGTATTCCACCTTTTCATCACTACCAGCACTGCCAATTACCGTCAAGCCCTCGCGCCTTGCGAGTTCGCCAACTACCTGTCCCACGGCGCCAGCAGCACTCGAGATGAAGATGGTTTCTCCTTTCTTTGGTTTCCCAATCGCGTACAACGAAGAATACGCCGTCCAGCCTGGGCCGCCCAGTGCACCAAGCCAGTCTCTAATGTCCGGTACAGAAGTATCAATCTTATTGAATTTACCGTCTTGTGACACCAAAACGGCGTACCTTTGGAAAGGCAGAAAATGCGAGATAATGTCGCCTTCGGCAATACCCGGCGCATTAGACTTAAGAACTTTAGCCAGACCTCCTCCCTCGAGGGGCTTGCCCAAAGTGAAAGGAGGCGAGTACGATCTGACATCTGGGGCGCGGAGACGACCACGCATATAGGGGTCTAGGGAGAGATAAAGAATCTCTACGATAAGACCATTTGGAGGCGCTGGCTGTTCTAATTCGAAACCGATATCTTCCACAGTTAAATGCTCACCAGGAACAGGCCAGCCAGACGGAACCTTTTTGAAGATGCATGCGAGGTTTTTCGTCGACATGATGCTCGATTAGTTGATGTCTCCCAGTTGACCAAGTGCGTTGGCCAGGTTTTTGACTCTTGACTCAAGTCGTTCGCAAAGTGGCATTCGTGATCCCCGGCCCAAATGAATGGATTTGTAATATCGGCTGCATTTTTTGAATTGCGTCATTATAGCCTGCAGATTGTCTTCTTGTCTTGAGGAATTCCCTGCGAGTTGGCCGAGGATAGTAAATGCAATGAGGGGCTGATCACGTGAATATCGAGTATTTCCTCGTTTCGTCCGGCGACAATACCTGCGCAATATGCAATGGTCAAGTTTGTCTGGAGTATCTGGACCTCTAACAGGCGTTGGAAGTCCGTTTGGAGATCGGGAAAATTTTAGCTCATGCTCAGTCAATTATTTTGCGGGCATATGCATGTAGAGAAACCAATCGTTTCAAGTTCGATTGCAACACAATAAGACTTACACCACATCCAGTCTCAACAGTATGGATATGCATCGAGCATCATGGTTTATTAAAGTTCGCTGGATTGTGCCGTGTCCCCGTTGACAGGTGTTAGAAAACGGATGAGATGCACAGGAGATGTCTCATCAGGATGGTATCAGCGGAGACTAATCTTCGTACACTGTGCGTCTTCCCAGCTCTCACCGAGCATTATGCCATGAACATAAGCATCTCCAACCAGTACTCTGTCTGAAGAATTGAGAATCTGTCTGGTAACCAACGGAACATTGCTGCCCCTGCATAGCAAAATGTCATCGCCAACCTTGGTCTGCGGGTCTACAAGAGCCAGATAACCCTTTTTTGACTTTGCGAGGCGCCTAAATAATGTGTAGTGACCTTGGATCTGGAAGTTTAAAACCGGACCCTGGGCTAGAAGCAGCCAGGCGCTCAGCAGAACGGAGTACGGAAGGATGACCAGCCGTTCCGCCTTGTGCTTTCTCAACTTCCAAGCCAGTCTGTTGATACGATTCCAGGATTTGGCCTCGAAGCGAACGGCCTCGATGTGAGGGTAGTCGCCGGCAGTGATTGTTTTCCAGTAGCTCTCCAGAATTTTTTCTCCCGTTGGTGCGTATGTCTTGCCTGGTTCGCGCACTTCCGCTATTGCTTCCCATCCCATCAAAACACACTGAGCCTTGACGTATGTCTTCCACGTGTAGATCCATCCTCTTATGATTCCACGAATACTGGCCGCTGGAGGCGGCATTTCGACGCCTTCGAAGATGTCTCCCACTTTTTCGATTGTGTCGAATACATAGCCCTGCACATGTAGGACATGTTTCTCGTCCGCAAATCCAGGAAGATCAATCATTTCCGGAGCTGCAAACTTCACACGCGACTTTTCGCCAGACAACGGGGTCTTCTTCGCCAGAGCAAGGGCCTCTAGACCCCACGAGTGCGACATTTTGACTGCTCGCACAACACTCCAGTCCGGTACCCATGATGGCAAGGCTAAGTTTCGAGGTTGCATAGTCGCGGGCTGACTCAAAAGACTCAGAGTCTTGTCGCTAAGTAGGACATTTCTAGCAACATCTTCGTAAATGGTTTCCACGGGCTTATCATAATCAATGGTGAAGCCGTGCGGCAACGATGCCGTCAAGCCCGCAAATGCAAAGACTTTGTCGTGCACATCTGTGGCCTCACATCGCTGGTGTCGCTGCAAGATGCCGAGCAGATCGCCTTTATTTCCTCGGTAGCGTTGTCTCTCACTCTCAATGGAAGCAACGTGCTGCAGCGTAGGGATGAATGCAAGTCCGAAATCCATACCCGATAGAAATTCAAGACAGCAAACGATGTCTGCCCAGGGAATCTCGTAACCATGCCAGATCACCGTGGGACATCTTGAGACTGCGACCTCCTGCACAACCCACGCTCGCCTGAACCAGGAATTACGTAGCATATCTGCAAAGGCCATGTAGCCACGGACAGACATTGGAGAGACCTGCTCGATTCTTCCGCCGCGATAGTCATAGAAAGTCATCTCGGGAATATCGACATCCCTAACACGTCGCTTGAAGAAGCTAAGAGCACTGAAAATCGCCACGCGCGCAAACCATGAGATGTTGAGTTGTCGCTGGTCGCTGAGCCATATGAGGGTCCGGTGCGACCGCGAATAGATGTCTCGCATAAGTTGGACATGCTGCTTCTTTTCTCGCAAGTCCGCCTGGTTGATGCATGCGGCGTCTGCCCAAAGCAATCGCGACCGGTCAGCGTGACGTACTTGACGCAGGGCCATGCATAGATTAGCAGGTATCTTCAACGCAGTTGCATTGCATTCGATCGATTCTGTTTCTGTCCGATCTCCCCACCGGTAGGATATGGTCTCGTATGCTGGCGCTTGGGCGAGGCTCACATGTCGCATATGGCACCGCAAGGGCTCATTTTCTCTCCCTGGAAGTACTTCCAGTAGCCTGATTGCATCTCTGCGTTTCGATCCCACCTCTATGAGGTCGCTATATGAAAAAGGGGCCAAGCGTTCAACACTTTTGGCTGGCCGTAGCGTTGCAGAAAACTGCCGCATGGGAAAATGCAACGTCCCAGGGCATGTGTTGCGGATGGAAGATAGCACATCTCGACGGTATTCAAATGACGAATTCGCGAGTGCGCGGCGTTGTCTTCGTTGCGCCCACCACAGCCCTTGCGCACCGACTGGTAGTTCAACATGAGACACGAAGCGGCATCTCCGAACCGTCTGAATTCTGAACATGCAGAGCTGGTACACATGCCCGAAGGTAGCCACGAAAGAACTGTCTGCGCTTTGTGCTGAAATCAAGTTGCAGTGGACATCTGAAACTGAAGTCGTCAGTCGAAGAAGGTTGGCAGCGAAATACGAGAGGAACATGCCGTTCACGTGATCGGTAATGTAACATCTCTGTTACCCGGGTAGGCCGTTACTGTACTACACTTTAAACACGCGAAGTGGTCAATAAGAGTATGAGATGAAGAGAAATGAGAACAAACAAAAACAGGAGAAACACGATTTCTATGCTTCGCAAAAATGCTAGTCCTGTTGACATCGACAACTGGTGTTGTTCGTCTTACAACAGGCGCTCCTCGGCGCCGCCTTTTCTTGCAGCTCTCAGTACGCGCGCGCGTACTTCGACATGCCAGACGCCCACCTCAAGAATATGAGGACCAATTACTGTGACGCAATGCACAAATGGAACGACGAAAAAGAAAATCTGATAGTCCTCTTGAGTCGGCTTCCTACCAGGAACCTTTTCGGCCCTTGGTCCAAAGCGCCCGTAGCTGGTAGGGGGGGACGTAAGGAGGCTGCCGACCTCTTCTTTCCAATCTGGCCTCAAGAAGCTGGGGCAAGCAGAGGCTCATATATCTTCGGCATCTCTCTGCGTTCGATCCACGCTCTGATGCCTGCGGCGAACTCCTCGGGAAACTGCAGCGACCACCAGTGAATTGCCTGCCGCACCACGAACGCGGCGCACTCCGGGTTTCCACTCTGGAGCACCCGCCCCGCCTTGATCGTGTCCTCGACGCTGTCGTGCCTCCCGCCCGCGACGATGGCGACGCGCACGCCGCGTATCCGGGCTAGATCGTCGAGCGTGATGGAGACGAGCTCGTCGAACATGGGCCTCAGCATGTCCATCGTCTGGTTGCTTCTGACCTCCGCCCTGAAGCCCGGGATGGGGTCCAGCCTGGCGCCGAGCGAGGCCCAGAAGACGCTTTCGGGCACCAGCCTACCCGCCGTGCAGATGAGCGCGCTGAGCAGGCGTGACTGCGACCGCAGCCAGAGCCCGAAGCCGCTGAACGGCGCACAGCCGGTGCACCACACGCTGAGCACGTTCTCGGGATGCCTGCGGGCAAACTCGAGCGAGATGAAGCCGCCGAGCGACAGGCCGACGAGATGCACCTTGCTGCCACTGACCTGCGTCCTGACGAGGTTCAGGATCCCGCCGATGGCATTATCGAAGCTGAACGGTATCGCCTTGGATCGCGAGTGCCCCGGCAGATCGACGAGCAGGATCTCGTAGTCGTCTTTCAGGAACTGCGCGACGCGGGAAAACTCCAGATGGCAGGATTCCGAGCCGTGAAGGAAGATGATTGTCGGAGGTGACGATTCCACGTCCCCCGCGCGCGGCGATGGCGACAGACGTGCGTAAGCGATCTCCAACCCCCCCGTCCGTGAAGCCACAAGGCTAGAGGACATGCCAAGCTCCGCAAAGAGTGCGAAAGTCAAAGTAAGAACAAAAAAAGTTCAAAAGACTATTCTGACCCGTTCGGCATGAATCGCGACGAGATCGTTGGATATCTGCGGCGCAGAAACGACGGCGAGTGCGCCTTTCGAGAAGCCGTGGCGATCAAACCGGACGTCTGAATTCTGGTTGTCGTAGCACGGTGCGATACGCATTTCAGATCCCAAATGTTGTCGTGGAAAAGCGGCTCATGATTTGCGTAGACCTTAAAGCTGAAGAGTAGAGCAAACACGGGCTTGTTTTGCACGCGCCGTCCTTCTCGACTTTTTGATGTGCCAACGGCACCCTCGAACGATCCGAGCACGGAAGCGGGTAACACGTAATTGAGCCGCGATGCCGAACCTTTTCCTAATACCGTTAGAACCAAGGCTGAGATCGCAGTCCCATGTCTTTATCTGCACAGCTACATGCGCACATTGAACGGACTATACGCGTGACCTTTGGCGTTCTTCATGTTCGACGAAAAGATCTACTGTATAGCTTACTTCTAGCTATCGTCAAAACTACATACACGTGAAGAACTGGCCACATGATCGAAGCGACGTGCAACTCTGCCTCTGTGCAGCCAGGGGGACTTTGGAACATGACCGTTTTGAAAACTCCTCCTCTGGTACGAGATATATTAGTTCTAAAAAGAGACACGTCCGTCCGTTATTGCTCTCTCAATCGCAAATCTGATTTTACTACTCAACTATGCGCTGATCGCACGGCGAGAAAAAAAAAACGGAGGCGCTGCACCACAAAAGTCGCGACACATGTCGGGTCCGAATCTCCAAATCGCCCGTGTTTCCTCGCTCACTCTTCCCAATCTCTTGGCTCGTCTTTCTTAACAAGACTAATTTCGACCAAACTCCAACAACAATAGCGGGTGTTGCTGTACTATAACCTGCTTCATACCCTTCGCCAGGCGCCTGGGAGGAGAAAAAACCCCATCGATAAACGCCGGAGCGCACGTTAAGAACCAAGGGAATGGGTTGTGCCGAGCCTTCTTGGTGTGAAAAAGAAGGCCTTTTATACATACACAGTATGATTCCACGACCAACAATGAAGATTAGGGATGTCTTGCAGCCCTTCGTAGATGTCTCTCTCCGATGAATATATACACCATTCCACAGGTAGCCGTATCGATCTTGCGCATTGATGCGAAGTGCTTTCCAAAGGGCGGACAATCATTCTTGACCGAAACCGACAGTTTCCTCGACGGCTATGGTGAGTTTCTGCACAAGCTGCTCGTAGGACTTATACGGAGGCAGATCGATACGATTGAAGCTGTAAGACCACAACGGTTAGCGATGAACATTTATAATCAGAATGCCTCCACAACCCCGGGTGGAAGAAACTCGAGAATTTGGATAAGATGAAAACATACCAAGTATGACTCTTAGGCAGCTGCCCAGGCTCTCCAGCCTTTTCGATCGTAAACCTCCTTGGTCCATCACTGCCTTGCAGATCTTTAAACCCGTTGACCGGAATTCTAGACGTGCCCGTGGCAAACTGCAGCAGGCGCGACTTCTGTTCCGCGTCCCAGGAGCGAATACACTTCCAGAAGTCCTGCACGACTTGGTCCGACTCGGTGTAACCACGGTAGTCAGTGTGCTTCTTCCAGTCATCGACATCGATGTCGGCAATACCACCGATGAGGAGTTCAAGCTCACGCTCGTCGAATACGTTAACCAAGTCCGGCGGAATGAGCTCGTTAAAACCCGTAATGAAGGCATTGAACTGCTCCGAGACGCGCTTTTGGATGCGCCATTCGGTGATGAGGCTGCGGGTACGGTTAGCATCGACAGACAAGTTTTGCTTTTCTTTTTTGGCTCGATTGAAGAAGATATATACGTACTCAATATACTCCTTCTTGTTCTCGTTCGTAACTTCGATGTTGCGTCCGTTTTCCTTCAGATCAATCGTCACCGTCTCCCCGAACCGTTCATCGTCTGTCGAGAACGTCAAATCTAAAACGCCGTCGATATCGTTGTCCAGCGTCCACGTCAGATTTCGATGGAAGTCCGCATCGACACCTTCCATGTCCTGGAGCGTGACCTTCTTACGAAGGATCATCTTGTAGAAGGCACCGATGAAGAAAGCGTCCAGGAAGCGACGGTGGAAGATGGCCAAACCGACGACGCGCCCAATAAACTTGAAGTAGTTCAGGTGTTCAGGGTTGATGCCAGAGTGCGGGTTGATCTGTAGGGTGTAGTTGTCGTGGGCGGAGTACTCAAAAAGACAGTAGAAAGGATTGAACATCTCGTGAGAGAGAAGGAAGAAGAATTCACTATTCGTGTGTTAGCCGATCTCAGAACGCAGAAAGAATGTACTTTGGAAAGAAACCATACCGAGACAAACCACCATAGTCGAGACCGTCTTCACCATCAAATTTGATCATCAGTCTTTTCTTAAGATCGGTAGCGCTCTGTCTCATGATCTCATGGTATGAGTCCTCGAAGATGTGAGTCCGCCTGACCTTGATGTGGCACTGGCCTGACAGTATCCTCATGGCGGGTTGCGATCGGAAGTAGATCAATTTCCTTCTAAAGTCACGTTTATACTGCGGTACATTCTGATCCAAAGAGGACGGCAGTCTCGGATCGTCCCACGTAGTGGTCTTGGTGTTGTGATCCACAAAGTAGACACGCGCCGTGTTCGTAAGGCGCATTTCCCAGCCGCTGGGCAGAGGTCCGAGCTGCGATACAGGCTGCTGCTGAATTGTCGTGCCCGTAGCGTTGTTACCGTACATGCGAATATACTGTTGCCTACGTGGATCAACCCAGGTGGTTGTCCTAGTGTTATGGTCCACAAAGTAGGCTCGACCTTCAGGCGTATGCCGCTGCTCCCAGCCAGATGGCAGTTCTCCAGTGCCGGCCGTTGTTGCACCAGTGGCCATCATCGACACCGCATTTGCGTTTGTCGACGACGATGGGGTGGCAGCCGCCTGTTGGGGTGAATGCCGTTCCGACAGCGTGGGTGAGTTAGCACCGGTGCGATCCTCTGGAAGCATGCGATTCTGGTGCCTGGTTCGCTCCATGTTGGTTTGTGCTTCCATCTGTGCACGCTGCGTACTCTCGTTGAACGACGTTGCACTGGGTCGAATCCACGTTGTCTGTCTGGTGTTGTGGTCGACGTAGTACGTGCGCCCCAAATGGTCCTCTCGTCTCTCCCAGCCGCCAGGCAGACGTCCATGCTGATCTTCAAACTGATTGAAGGTCCTGCCGGATGCCCCATTTTGCGTTGGAACGGAGGGACCTGCGCTCGGCGACGCCGTCGAACTAAGCACGCTTGATCGCTGCGAGGCCGACGGTCTGTTCACGTTGCCAGGGTACTGCGTCTCAGGATGCAAGCTCGACGTGGAGGCCGTCGGGGTATTTGAGTGTTGCGAAATGCCGTTGGTCGAGGGAGGGGCGATGGGAGCAGGGAGTCTAGGTTGCGAAGACCCAGCCTGGTTCAGTGGCGTGGACAGGTTCGTAGATAGATTGAGGATGAGCTTTCCATGTACGACCATGTTGTCATTTGATTTCTTGAGGTCGCGTGTGAGCATCTCTGTATGCACGGGGTTTGTGATTAGCACGTCTGAGTAGACTGGGAAAAGGTGTTCGTGAAATCTCTTACCGTCGCCACCGGCGTCCAGGTCGATGACATTGCCTATCCTGACGTTTACGACGCCGAGGAAGCCTTGGTCCTTCTTCTTGAACTTCTTCTGGTCGAAGATCTGCACTGCCAACACGCTGTCCTCCGTTACTTTGCTATAGTACAGGTCAGCGACGGTGCACGGCAAGGTGGAAGTGAGGTGGCAACGGCGGGGAGGGAACGCACAGGTCGAAACTCTCGTTCCAATACGGATTCAGCGTCTTCTTGATCACGTTCGTGGTGCGAGTCTGCTCGCCGTTGACCGTCGCGACTGCGAACGGGTCGGGAAAACCTTGGTGCGATGTTAGGTCGGACGTCCAACTGCGGGGACAAAGGTGGTGTGGAAGAACGTACGGAAGACATCTCGCTTGTACAGGCCATCGGCGGCGATTACTGCGGCAGAAGATGAGGGTCAGTACAGGCGCTTTTTTCCCAAGAGCATCCTAAAGCCGTACGGCATGGAAACACATACTGGTCAGGCGCAGATTGTTCTGCTGTGAAGACGAGCTCATGGCTGCCTTCCCGCTCTTTCGAGGGCCCCACGACGCAAAGCAAAAGAGGAGCTGTGGGCCTTGGAAGCTGAGAGGTGTGAAGCGAGGGCGTGAGAACGGGTGAGGGCACAAAAAGGCCAACTAGGAGGGAATCGACGGGCCTGGTCAAGTGTCCGCAGCCTGCCAGAGGCACGTAGTCGAGTAGCAGTGCTGTGGAGGGTTTACGATTGAGGCTGTGCTAGGGACGTCGCCTGCATCGGGGGGGAGTGTGTGGTTCAAAGCACTGATGTTTGGCAGCCAACAAGAAACGACGACGGCCACTGGCACCGTTCTTCTGCTTCCCGGCCTGGTTTTACCTGTCTTTGCTGCTTTACTTGCCGCCTGGGACCGCGTGTGGACTGATAGCAGACCGAGTGCGAGCTGCTCCTCGATGCTGCCGCTGCTCACACGACGAGCAGCCCCGCTGGAAACGTTTTTTCCCTTCTTTTTTCGTCTCCTCGCCTGCGCTTCTGGGCCTTGCGAAGCAGGGAGGCGGGGAGAGTAGAGAGGGGGGGGGGGAAACGCGTGTTAATCTGTGTCGAGCTCGGGAGTCAGCAACTGTGGCCACGCTCGATGACGCCAGTCTGAGACGTGCGGTTTGCGGTTGCAGGCGCAGAGTGAGAAAAGACGATGGGTGCAGAGGCAGAGTGATGGAGCGAGACGAAGAAAGGGCGGAGAGCCACAAGCTTTTGGCGGGGCGGGATGATAATGATGACGATGGCGACGATGACGACGACGATGACCCTGCGGTCGATGCAGAACGGCGAAGACTTGATGAAAGGGCGGCAGAGGAGAGCGAAGCACGAAGAGGCGATGGCGCGCAGTCTGCTTTGTCTATCTGCACCTCTGTCTGATCTGTCTCTCCACCGGTTTTGTCTCTCCCATCTCCCTCTTCTCTGGTTTGCCTTTGGCGTTGTTGGCTGCAGGAAGCATGCAAGCACTGCGTCCCGAAACCTGACTCTGATGCCCCCCATTGGCGCCGCAGGAAGCAAATTCCGCCATCTGCGCTACCGATCCCATCGTTTCCTGCCCGACGCTTGACTACGCTGTCGATGCCGAAGTTCAGCCCCCGGTCTCCGACCCCGTTCCCTCGCGCCCTCGTGCCGTTTCCGCTTCGTGAAGCCCCGCGAGACCGCAGCCAGACCGTACCTCGCTCTCCCAGACAGTACCCGTACGACCTTCGCGAAGGTCTACACTCGTAAAGAGGGGGTCTTTGAACTGCCTGATGCTGTGAGGTCGTGCTGACGTTGGTCTCGACGGCGCACTTCTGCTCGCCGTCGCCATCTTTCGTTCCTGTCGTCTGGACATGCTATTCTTGGAAGTCTCACATGCGTCATGCTCCGCCGCTTGCTGCACTGTCAATCGCTTTCGCGCTCAATCGCCCTAGAAGTTCTTGGGGGCGCCACCTCGCTTGGGTGCTATCCATGGAGCAGATCCAGACAGTCCGCCAGAGCACGTGAGACCAAGTGTAGAAAAGTCACGAGCGAAGAGCCAAAGCTGCTCAAAGCTGTCTTCTTGTCCAATCTTGCTGATCCCTCTTGGGAACCTGAACCTCGATGCTGCTGGAGCGCTACGGATGGACTGACAATCACGACGAAGAAAGCATCACGCATCGCCTTTTTTTTCATACATGCATATGTATATATATAAAACTTGCATTGGTACTATTACAGTGACTTCAATTTCGTAACGCCCACGCCCTTTTTGAAGCTGAAGAAGACGCCATGCACATGTGAAGCAGCACCACTCTGCCCTCTAGGCTGGCGTACCAACCTGAGGCGTCTCGTCCAGATGAGCAGCTCTCGCTGCATCCGCCACTTCGCCCGCGGTCTCAGCCGCTTGCACCGCACCCGGCGTCTCTGCACCATCCTCTGGTGCCTTGTTGCTGTCTCCCTTGACGGCAGAGTCGACCATTTCCTTGACAGCGTCAACCGTAGCTTGCGGACCACCGCGCTGCGCGATAACAACCTTCCCGCTCTTGTCCAAGGCGAAGACACCACGTTTGGTCTTCTTGGCGGGTTTGTCCTGCATGCCGATCGCACCAATGAGGCTGTACGACGGGTTGCAGAGAAGTGTATACGGCAGCTTCTGCTTCGTTTTGAAGGTGGTATTTGCCTTGGGCGAGTCTCCGCTGAGGCCGTAGATTGTGTAGCCCGTCGAGGTGAGAGTCTCGTGGCCGTCGCGGAAGAGACAGGCTTGTGTGGTGCTGGCCCTTTGTTAGTTGTCGCTTCGCATGTAGCACACACGTGTAGGACGTGTGCAGCTCGTGGGGGTGGGGGAGTGTTGCGGTGTTTGTACATACCATCCTGGCGTGCTGGCCTTGGGATACGTGAACAAAACAATACCGCTCTTGCTCTCATCTAGCAGCTCCTTCAAGGTTACCTTCTTGCCATCGTTCGTCTCGAACTCGCCACCAAACGAAGCGACGTCAATGACGTCTCCAACTTGGGGCGCACCACCTGAGCCGTGGAATCAGCACTTGGAATGACCGTAAGAGGCGGCGTCCAGTGTTCGCGCCAACGGCAAGGCTGCAGCGAACAGACCCGTGATACTCACCTGCAGAACTAGTCTTTTCGCCGGTCGCCTTCGCCTCGACGTTCGCGCTGGCCTTGGCGACTCCGGATTTCACAGAGTCGACGACCTTGGCGGCCACATTCTTCGGCTTGGGCGCGGCCTTCTTTGCCGGAGGCTCTGCGGGCGTTGGTGCAGCAGGGCGCTTGCGCAGAACGCGGTCGCTCATCTTTGCAGTGATTCCGCGAAGTAAAAAGTTGGCTCGCGCGCGCGAGATGCAAGCGCAAACTCCGTGGGAAGAAAAACAGTTGCTACAAGAGGTGGGAATGAGAGGTTCGACGATGCTTCAATTGGCCCAAGGGGTAAAGGGCTGGTCGTGAAACTTTGAGGGAAGACGCTACAGACGAGGAGAGGTCGCAAAGCTTCCCAGCCTTCACACCGAGAATTATAATTGGTTGCACGAAAAAGTCGACGATGCAGCTGAATGTGAAGAAGAGCTAGCCCTGATCCTCCTCTCCTCATGCGTGCCGCCTCTACAATTGTATCGCACCGGGCCTGGGTTAACTCGCAAGGACGATTCAGGCTACCTACCTTGCCCGGTCTCCAAAGTTAATAAGCAGGAGCCAGCCATTCGACTGGACCGAGACGAGGAGCCTGGCCACTCAGTACGACGCCCTCCTGCTGTTGGGCCAGAAAAATATCGCGGTGGCAGGTAGGGAGCTAAGGTGACGTCCAGAGCAGCCGTCCGAATCCGGGAACGCGACTCCTCACTTTTCCTTTTCGCCAGAGCGGCCGGGGATCGAGGTTCGAGGCCCGTTGTGCTGGTGCTAACAAATGACCACGGACTGGACTGCTCATCTGTCGCCAGAGACCACTTGGCGGCACCCGTTATCGCGCCCCAATTGCGCCTGGACTCTGACCGTGGTTGGTAGAAAGAGACATTGAACGTGAAGCAGTAAGTTAAAAAGAGCTTGGAAGGCGAACGGCAAAAACGTACGGAGCAGCAGCAGGGCATGTTCCGAACTTCGCCGCTTGGCGTCCACGTGACTTCCGCATGGCCCGGAACGACAATGCTAAGTAAACTTAACATCGATCCCGCGCAGGTCCCGTCGCAGGATGCTCGTGCTGTCACAACGACACGCCGTCACATCATTTCAGACTGGCTCTGAAATCATAAGAGCCAGATGCCGTTCTGAAACAATGTGGCCTCAAGCTCAGGCAGGGACGTGAACCTTGATCGTTCCCAATTTGTCCCAGCCTAGGCGTACGTTGTGCATTCTCCACAAGAGAACGCAAACAACTGCAGACAACCGACGACACGTGAGATCAGCGTTGATTCTGTACAGTGATGAGGCGCGAGGCCGAAAGCGGGGACATGTTCTCCATTTCGCGGGTTGGACGACCCGTTTCGCGCACTTGCGAGCCAAAGTATGCATCTTTCAGCCCAGCATACACGCTGGCGTTTACACCCTTCGCTCCTTACTTGAGCTTCATGGTCCTCCCGATTCCATTGCTGTCCAGCTTACCCCCCGCAGGAGAGATCATGACAATTCGGAGCAGGTCATTCCATCTCGCTATGGGATTTTTGTCTGCCCTTTCTTTTGTTTCGCTCATGGAACCTGTTATCAAATATGGGGCCTCAAACGGCTATTTAGCACGAATTCTGTACATGCCAGCATGCAAATTAGCTTTTGCGGTCCACTGCTCCATACTCAGGAATCGAAAACCCAGCTCGGGGAGAGAGTACCAAGCCTTCATGTCTTTCTGTGCAATATCAAGGCCTCCTTTCCCTATGGGAGCTACGATAAGCCCCATCTCTTTTTGCATTCGTTTTCGTCTCCAACACTCATGCTAACGTCCTACCTCGTCTTCCTTCTTCGACCCGAATTCAGGACTCATCCAAGCTCAACGCGCTCCTTGACAGGTTAACGAATATCTTTTGTATATCGCTTCCAAGAAGACCCAGTTCCGATCCAGAGACAAGAATTTCTGAACATACAATTTCGATAATTTGCCATGAGTGCAGCTCTCAGTGTTGAGAAGGCCAGAACAAAGAGCTTTCCAAACTCATTGGAAACAGCTGAAAGTACCGGGACCGGCGCAGTTCTGGTTAACACTCACGAGGATCCAAAGCTTGAAGTAGACCCGCTTAGTGAGCTCACAGTATCTAGCGAAGACCATGTGCACTATCAGACCTTAAACTGGTGGCAATGTGGCGTCCTTATGATAGCAGAATGCATATCTCTAGGTATACTGTCGCTACCTCGCGCGCTCGCCGTCCTTGGCTTGATCCCGTACGTGTTCGGTGTGTGATTAGTGATGACAGACCTAACAAAGAACAAGGGGGCTTATCCTTATTGTTGTCCTTGGGATTATTGCAGGCTACACCGGTTACATCATAGGCCAGTTTAAGTTGAAGCACCCGTCATGTACGAGCATGGCTGAGGCCGGCGTGATATCCAGCGGACGCGTCTTGGGAGAGCTAATTGGTCTTGGCCAACTGTTTGTCTTGATCTTCATCATGGCGGCGCATATCACATCCTTCGCCGTCATGATGAATGTTCTGACGAAACATGCGACCTGCACTCTGGTGTTCTCCCTCACCGGTCTGGCCGTCTCTGTTTTGCTAACCCTTCCACGGACTTTGAGAAACATCTCATACTTCTCAATCGCATGTCAGTATGAAGTGTTGACGAGTGCTTCGGAGATGTACTGACGGTAGACAGCGTGCGTGTCAATATTTGCCGCCGTGTTCATTGTCATCGTAGGCGTCGGGGTCACAAAACCCGACCCGAATCGAATGCAGCTAGTCGGAAAAACAAACTTTGTCCACGGTATGTGCGCGACTCTGAATATCATCCTCGCATACGCCGGCCATGTGACCTACTTCGGATTCGCGAGCGAGCTTAAGAATCCAAAAGACTACAACAAGTCTCTCGTCATGCTACAGAGTACAGCAGTGATAGTCTACACCGTCTGCGCTGTTATCATATATTACTTCTGCGGGCCTTATGTGCCGGCCCCGGCATTGAGTGCTGCAAGTCCAGAGGTGAGGATAGCGGCCTATGCGGTAGCTTGCCCAACGATTGTGATCGCCGGAGTTGTCAATGGATCAGTTGGCGCGAAACAGATCTATCTGCGCTTCTGGCAGCTTAGGAAGCAACCCCAAGTTATACAAGAAAAGAGCAAGCGAGCTTACTTTTCATGGTTCGTCACTGTGATAAGCATCTGGGTGGTCGCATGGCTTATCGCGTCATCCATACCCAAATTCGAGTACGTGTTAGCTCTTGTGGCTGCACTTTTCAGCGGCTGGTACAGCTGTAAGCGGTCGCCCTGCCTTTCATTCTGCGGAGCATGCTAATCACTGCTGGCGACAGTCGGCCTTACAAGCTGGTTCTGGCGGTCACTTAACAAGGGAAAACTGCTCGCTAGTGGTCGGAATATCTTGCTTTCCGTCCTGAATACGATCATTTTCATCATGGGTACTCTTATCGTAAGTAGAACTAAGTTCCCTTGTGCACAGCCGAGCGTCGTAGCCGACGGAAGAGACGTAACCGGGGGAATTCGACCTCCTCCGCCTTTGCGTAGTTAACGAAGCGTGTTTCGTGGCCCTGGGGCTGCCACGATGCGTATTTTTATGCTTCAGCCCATCCAGTCTGCATGGTGCTCAGCGTCTTCTCAAGCTGACGCTCGTTGCAGTGCGTTCTTGGCATATATGCGTGCTCGGTCGCGATGCGCAATGGCGACACTGGAAGGCCGTTCAGCTGCGCAAATAACGATCCCTTGGCCGGCAAATGAGCACGGCGAGCGGACGAGCAGTGCGTTCATATAGGCGAGACGAGACGTGCGGGCATCTAAGGTAAAATGCCGAGACCAGCAGCTTTCATGGACGGACCTGACTGAAGCCGCTTCCGCTGAAGAGATTGAAAGAACGAGAGCTGCAGACCCTTGGCATCACGAGGTCAGGGCAAAGCGTCACAAAGAGCGCCTGGAAGTTTATTGATTCATCTTGCTTTCGATAATGTAGCTTAATCTTCCTTCGGTTCTTCGTCTTGGGCGCTCCTCTCGATAACGTAACTTCTTCGCTTCCGCCTGATGGCTGCGCGATGGGAACCACGAGAGTTGCTCCAGTCTAGACGATGGTCTTTGGACAGTGCTCCCAAGGATGTAACGGTTTACCAAATTGTATGCTCTGTACACAGCAACATCCGTCGAGCGTACGACGACAAGCTCCAGACCGGCGAGGAAAAAGTAACCGACTGCGCGAGGGCCCGGCGCGCTGATTGGTGGCTAAATATCTCTCCTTGCGCGCAGCTTAATTCTTCCGTCAGACTGTGGGGCTTGTGGGGACACACGGCCAGACCCATGTCCGGAAGGCGGCCATGCACTCCTGCTCGACCCCCTACAACCGTGCTCATGCGCCAGTTTCCTAGAGGTTCACCTCGCCCACCGCGCCAGACTCGTGTACAAAAGTTCCTATCCAAAAGCTTGGTACGCTTCTCCTTAACAGAACGTCGGGACTTTCTCCCCCAATGGAAGGGAGAGACGGATCTCACTCCTTGCGGTGGTGGCGCGTTACCCTCCGTTGATCTATGTGATCCTTGCCATCATTTCACGACATTCTGAACACTCTTATTAGCTCTCGGCACGCCCAACCAGCTTTTTTGGGCGGAAACACATCTGTCACGAGTATATTCGGTGGAAGCAGTCGCTGTGCCTACGGGAGGCGTTTTGCGCGCTCCAAGGAATGCCACGAGCTCGCTAAGAAGCCTACGCCTCGCAAACCGTAGAACTTAAGCGTTCGCTTGTCGCCGACTTGGCTGCTGCCTCAGTATTTGAGGTGGATGTACGTTGCGAATGTCCTCGGCTCGCGTTGACACTGCCTTTTCCTTCACACCCTCATGGCGGCCGTGTTGCAGGTTGAGACACCGCGGACGCCTGCGCTAGCGCCGGCGCCGCACGCGCTGACGAAGAAGAGAAGTGCCTTGGAGATCAAAGAGATGCTCAATGGCGAGAAGCCGTCGCTGCTCGTCATATTCGAGGATGGCCAAGAGAACATTCTGAGAGAAGTGGCGGACTGTCTTGGGCAAGACTGGATGGTTGCCAAGTCGAAGGTAGAGGCCGAGAAGGAGGATGCCCAGATGGTGGTTGGGGTGTGCTCGAATGGAGCCGCAAAAGAATGGCAGACCAAGGACAAGTCCAGGATTCTGATTTACTTTCACTGCGTGGACTCGGGCACGCCCATCGACGAGCATCTCAGCGAACTGTGTGACTACGAATACCTGTATACGCAATCACCATTTCAAAGGAGAGATCTCGCACGGTACCTGTCATTTATTCTCGGACAAAACGACATCCATTCCAGCTTGTCGAAGAAGGCGAGAACTTTTATGATCTCGACTACCTTCCCTGATGTCCACCAAGGCCTGCCGAACTTGGACATCATCTCTGTCGGTGCAGACGCTATCGAGTTGCGTGTGGATCTCCTCAAAGAACCCTTACCCGATGGCTCATTCGCTGCCGTCCCTAGCGTCAAATATGTGGGCGAGCAGGTGATGATTTTGCGACAGCGAACGGAGTTGCCCATCATCTACACGACGCGATGTACGAAAGAGAACGGCCGCTTCCCGATGGAGGATCCCGAGCTGTTCTACAAATATCTCTTGAAGGCAATTAAATGGGGCTGCGAATACATCGACGTCGAAGTCTGGCTGCCAGAAGAGATTCGATTGCGGCTGTCCGCTCAGAAGGGCAGCAGCAGGATCATCTCCGCCTTCCATGACTTCACGCGAACGATCAAGTGGAGCTCACCGGAAGTGTATGAGCTGTTCAAGAAGGGGGCCAGCTTTGGAGACATCGTCAAAATGATCATATTGGTTGACAGCGTCGAGGAGAATTACCAGCTCGAATATTTCAGATCACGTATCATGGCGCAACCCTCGCAGCCACCGTTCTCTGGTCTCAACATGGGACCGGTGGGTCAGCTGTCGAGAACGCTCAACAAAGTCTTCACACCCATCACTCACCCTCTACTCCCCATGATCGCGGCCCCAGGCCAGCTAAGTGCAGCCGAGATCAACACGGCACTCCACAGCATGGGCCAAATGCCGAAAAAAGACTTTTATGGCATCGGCAGTTTGAGGTCAACCGGGCAGGCCATGTTCATTGAAAAGTGCTTTAACGAGCTGAGCCTGCCTCATTCGTTCGTATTTGTTGAGAGGGGCAATCGGGCGTCGCTCGAGATGATATTGAAGCGACCTAATTTTGGAGGCGTATACCTCAACCCACCCATCGCAACGACCGAGCCATGCTTATCTGTCCTCTCCGAGCCCGCTCGACACATTGGGCAGGTCGACACCATCCTAGTCCGCGAAGATGGTACTTACGTCGGCGATAATGCAGCGTGGAAGGGCATACGTGCTACTCTGAGCCGTGATTTCGTGCCTTCGGCGTACAGCAGACGGGCTGCGCTAATTCTCGCGAATGCTGAGTCAGACGCATCTGCAGCCATCTTCGCGTTGAAGAGTCTTGGGATTGGCCCGATATACACGATCGGTTTCACATCCGTTGGCCCAATGGCATCCTCTCTTTCACCGGTTCGCAGCATTGAGGATCTGAAGCAGCTCGAGGTCCCGTTCGCCATCCTCTCCGCCCTGCCGGCCGAAAAATCGTTTCTTGTCGGGCCCTTGCTCAAGCACTACAGCAGCAGCGGCCGGCAGCCGGGCTACACGGCGGGCAAGGTGTTCGTGGATCTGGCCAATGGACCGAAAAGGGGTGATCCTTTAGCTGTGGCGGCATCGTTGGGTTGGACTGCATATGGCATCGCCGACGTCAGCGCTTGGACAACCGTGGAGACGTTGAGGCTGCTGGTTGGACAAAATGTCCCTTACGATTTTGTTCGGCTAGCGTCAGGGCGAGTTCTTTACTGAACATTCGAGAAGGATGGATGAGCGATTTTAAGGTCACGTTGTGGTGATGGCTTAGGCACAATAATTCTGCAGCCGCCATGCAGGCGGGATGTGAACTCGGCAGAGGCAGGCTACAGGCTCCCGCCCGCAGCTGGCCGGGCGCTATCTAGACCGTAAAGCACAAGGAAACTGATGCCAGTTCACAGGTCAACACCTAGGGAGGACCCAGCCGCCACGTTGGAATGGAGACAAGGCAAGATTTGAGGGAGCGGCGGCGGGCCATTGAATGAATTATACCAGTGTTTCTATTGCATATGGAGATAGGAATATTGCATCTTATAGTTGGATGGGGTGAGAAACGGGGGCAGATAGTTGAACGACAGACCGAAATGAGTGAAACAGTAGCATGCTTAGGCGTCGTGATCCGGAGATGACGGAGGAGGGCCAGGGGAGGGGCACGCGGGGGCGGGATCCAGAGCGACGGAATGGACGAGTGTTCAGAGCGAGCAAGTAGCACAGAAACAAGGTCTTCAGTTTTAGGAATGTACAGACGCACGCGATAGATTCGACAAGTTGTAGTGTGCACATGGAGGTGGTGTGAAGGCGCCGCGGGAGGTGAGCGAGCTTGCTCACTGACTCGCTGCCCGGCGCCGCCCACCCCGGAGGTGCGGGAGCCACTGGGCGCTCAGTCCCCGCCTTTCATCCGGGGCCGTTCAAGCCCAACGAGCCCTGTCAGATTACTCCTCACCCGCTCGAACCAGGTTTTGCGGTGGCGCCAGAGCGAGCTGCAGCATGCATATAATCGTCCACGCGCGGAGCTGAAGAGGAGAACGGTTCGAACGACGCACCGAAGCCTTGGCGGTGTTCTACGCGCCCCGTTCTTCTAGGTGGCCGGCCCGACCTCTTCTCTCCTTCAACAGCTTCTGCGAGGAGTTGTTCCTGGAGCTGGTCTCTGCCCTTCGACTCGATGTGACGCCCGTTTTCTGCCAGCAGGTGCCTGCGGAAACTCACGTCCTGGAACCATGTCGAGACCGCAGATTGGTATCGACCGTCTGCCCACGCAACGCGTGAGCGAGAAGCCAAAAGAGGCAATGAACTGTAAGAGCTGTCGGAAGAGGAAGGTTTGCAACACTCCCGCTCCGCCCACGTCTGTCGTCTTCCCGCTGACGGGTGGCCTCCAAAGATCAAGTGCAACAGACTGAAGCCTTCGTGCGAGGCCTGCCAGATCTTCGCCTGTCCGTGCATCTACGGTCAGCATCCCCGCCCGTCGAGATTGTCCGTTCAAAAGTTGACCCGACAGCAGATGCCGTGCCAAAGAAGCGTGGGCCCAAGACCGACGTGCTCGAGGCGCTTCTCAAGCGCGTCGACGGACTGGAAAAGCGTCTGCGCACCGACAGCGACACCACGCCGGTCACAGAGGTCAAGGAAGCCATCCTCGACGCCGTCCGAGGCTCAAACAGTCCGGAGGAGAAGCCTCCCGTCGATGCTCAGGCAGGAGACACTCTCGGCTCCACCCCGTCCGATGCCGCCGATAGCCGGGCTCCGCCTCGTCCTGCAGACAGCTCGTCCCCGACGAGAGCAGGCGCTTTTCCTAGCCCCGAGTATGCGCAGGTGTTGCTGGACACGTACTTTCGCCGCATCCATGGCAAGCCGTACTACATCCTGGACGAAGCTTCCACCCGTCAGCGGCTGGTCAACAACCAGCTACCCGAGCATCTGTGCCTTGCAATCTTTGCTGCCACGGCGCGATACGCTGCAAACTACGCCGCCTACGACCAGACCGAACAAAATGCCAAAGACTACGCCAGACTTGCCCGATCGAAGCTCGACATTGACGAACCCTCGATAGAAGGGTTGCAGACGCTAATGCTGCTGTCGCTGGCCATGTTCCAAGAAGGACAAGGAAAGAAAACGTACATGTATCTATGTAAGCCGTCCTGCGATTGGTAACATCTTCCCAGAATTAACGCCGAATCAGCCTCCGCGGTCGCGATGGCTCTCGCGCTGAATCTCCACCGTGAACTTCCCCCCAATGTTCGCGTATCTGCCTCTGAGCGTGAAGGTCGCCGACGCCTATTCTGGTCATGCTACTTTTTAGATCGCTTCGGGGCATGTGGCTCGCAGCGGCCTTCTCTCATCTCCGACGAGTGCATCATGCTCAGGCTGCCGACCGGCTCGATGTCTGACGACGTCATGGAACTGGAGGGCGACTTCTTTCCGAACAACTCGAACTTACAGTTCATGGGTGGTGCAGGCAACGCGGGGCCTTGCGGTAGCAGCATGCTCATCAGCATTACCAGGATCCTCGGCAACACAAATCGATACCTAGCGGCTGGCGGTGTCAAGGGAGACACGCACTTTCCTTGGCATTCGATGTCGACGTTATCAAAAATTCGGCAAGATCTCGACCTTTGGACTGCCGACACGCAGGACACCTTCTCTTCGCTCGAAACGCTTTTTGGGCAGCCAGACAGTGTCGTCCTCGTCGTGTGTAAACTCATCTACCACCTCATCCACTGCTTGATATATCGACCGTTTCTACCAGTAGACCTGGCTGAGCTCTCGAGGTCGTCGCAACACCAGTCTTGGCAGATCGAAGCCACCAATCTGTGCTTCTTGCACGCAAACGCAATTACAGAACTCGTCGAGATTGGAAAGGCATCTGGAATCACAGACTGGCCTGCCTTTGTCAGCTACTGCGTCTGCACCGCTGGAACAATCCATGTCCACGGTGCTCATTACCAAGGGCAAGCTGGCGAGGTTTTTTCGATGAGTGCCGAATTTCTTTCGCGTGAATTGCAGCAACTGTCCGAGCTTGGATACATCTGGGGTGGAATACAGCACCAAAGAGATACATTGCAAACTCTGTACGGTGCGCACTCTGAACTCGTCAAGTCTTTGGCCACCAATCCTATGCGTTTCTCACCAGTCTTCCAGATGGAGGGCTTTTTCGAGCGCTATCCGGGTTACTATTTTGACGGTTCGCACATCACGCTCAACGATCTGATGAGCGACAGCGGATCCGTGATCCAGCAGCAACCTCAGAAATTCAACACGCACTCGCCGACAAGAGCTTTTCAACCACCACTCAATAGATCGTATTCCGAACACGCTGTTTCTTATCAGTTGCCAGCCCCGGCTTCCACATTGGGTTCAACACCAAATCGACAGCCGCGTAAGCGACGGGCCACGGTCGATCCGAACGGGTCCACCTCTGCGACCGATGGCATGATGGGCGACGCACAACAGAATCAGCAAAACCATCAAATGATGGCGTACCAACCACCGTACATTTCCACTGCAACACCGCAACAGGATTTCTCCGACACGCATTTCAGCTCCTCACTTCCGACGCCCGCGACGCCCAACTTTTCGTACTCGACAAACGAGACATTTATGCAAGTTGACTACTCATCCACGTCAAGCAACATGTCGCAGCACACCCCTAGCATACCTCCTGACGTCAACAGATACGACCCTATGCTGTCCGCACCTGCACAATACGACCAGGCTGGCAACAGTGCCGCCGCAACGCCTCGAGCCATACTCCATCAGATGGCACCAAACCATGATCACGACTCTGTAGGTTTAGGCATAAGCACCGGGACAAACAGTCAAAACGACGTCGATCCTTTTCTCGCACTGCTCGAGCAGCTGGCAGAGAACGAACAAAGTAGAGGAGGGCCGAGCGAGCTCGACTTTTTCCTAAGTGGGACGTCATGACCTCAAGTCGCGAGTCCAGCGATTGGGCAGTCTGAACTTTTTTTTTTTCGAAACCAAAAAAAGGCGTGGCGTTCTACAAGGATTGGGGGATCATACACAAGGGGAAAACAAAGATTCTCTCTTCTGCTACTTTATGATACCAATTCGCGAGGGAATGGGCATGCGGTTCTGAATGGGGTGTTGCTTCCTTTAGAGTGATTGAAACAGTTGAGACTCTCGACATCTCTTCAGCACTCTGTATGATAAAAAAGATCATCACAATCGATACATTTATAATATTAAAGCTCACTCATCGTCCTCAACCTCCGGCATTGAGAAAGCGTCAAACACAGCGACTTGCCGTAATTTACTGACACAAAACATGTCTTTGGTTATTATTATTATTTTTTTTTTAAAAAAAAATGTTTTGGCAGGTAACTTCAGTGTAGGGAGTGCAGACCGCGACAGATAGGGACAGAAACAGGACCAAAGCAACAATCATTCATAAACTCACATGAAACTCGTTCAAGACACACACAATCCGCCACCTGAAATAGCACTCCCGAATCACAGGATGGAAAACTTGCTCATCGGCCCCACGCCTGGTTGTTTCTCAGCCTCCTCAGCCTTACCGGCTTTAGCCAGTCTGACACCATCGCCTCTGGCGACGGGGGCGGGAATGTGCTGATTACTCGTCGCTCCGGGGGGGGGGGAGCCCGAAGCGATAAAATTGATTTGTAAAGGCGTTCGCCTGAAAATGCCCAAAAAAAAATACGGGTGAGAGGTATGGTTTTGGGATGGATTAACTGCTTTGGCCGTTCGAGGCTGCGGCAATATCGCGGCCGCTCCCCGTCCTTGCGAGACTCCGCGCGTCGGATGGGGGGACTTCGCGAGCGTCACTCGAAGCGTCTGGCTTTGGGGACTTTGACTTGTGCCGTTTCAAAGCTGCACCGCGACCCGCCCGTAAACCGGAACCTCCAGTCCGAGAAAGAAAAAACCGCGAAAAGAAAGAGTGAAGAATCCAGACCCTGCAGGTCCCGAGTCGATGTGGAACTAGGAAGGGGGGGAAGGGGGACAGCTCTTGCGCGATCGCCTCCGCGCCCGCGTGCTCGTGTTAGCTCTGCGGACATAAAAAGAACGCGACCCCTCCGTCGATCTTGGTTTGTTGCAGCACAAACACGCACGCACGCATTCACACACACACACACGTACACTCACACTCACACGCATACTCACACTTACGTATTTCGCTCAGTTACACACGGCCGCTGTCCCGGTCCCACACGAGGCTCTCACCGTCTGTGGTGTCTACTGCGTTGACCACATCCTGAGCAAACATGTCGCACACGTACAAGTTCAACGTGGCCATGAGCTGCGGCGGCTGCTCCGGCGCGATCGACCGCGTCCTCAAGAAGCTCGAAGGTACGGAGAAAGAAAAGAAGGGTGCCCGCATGGGCTTTCCCCCCTTCGTCCGCAACTTACGCCTTTTGACTTTTCTTTGCAAAAACTCGTGCTGACGGCTGGACAGGCGTCGACAAGTACGAGGTCTCGCTCGAGAAGCAAACCGCGGAGGTCCACACCGACCTTGACTACGAGACTGTGCTCAACACAATCAAGAAGACGGGCAAGACCGTCAAGTCTGCGGAGGCAGACGGAGTGGAGCAGCCCGTGTAGAGAATCGTGCTCATCGGTCGCGGGGGGAGGAGGGGCTCGTGGTGGTGTGTTCTTGCAATAAAGCGGGGGAACACAGCCGATACGACAGAGATACATATGCGTCGACAGGTTCTTAGCGTGCTCTCTGCGCGAGACGAATTACGAAGCGTTGACATGAAAATATCATACACTGTTCTCTTTTTCTCTCACGTCCACAAAGCCGCCTGAGTTCTCGTGGGAAGAAGCGCTTATCCACCGTGGAGGGAAACACGAGCTCGCGCTTTTCCTGGTGCCCAAGCCCACGTACAAGTTGAGCCAAGAGATGATGGCGTCAACGTCACCAGGACAAGCGCGAAACGAGCTTGAATCGTCCCGGTTGCTTTCCTACACGCTATATGTGCACACTTCCAGCATGTGCCTGATCGGTTGTCTCTTCGGAGCGAACAATCTGAGTCTCGCCCTTCTTGTTGATCCCACCGTACACCTAGCCTGGGGGTCGAAATTCGTTCAACCAGCGCGGCGACGTGATCAAGCCCTGCAGCTCCTTCGCAGATAGCAGGATCTGGCCGACCTTGGCCTCTCGATCCCAGATCGACATGCGCATGTTGCTGGGCAGCGTGGCCTGCTCGCGCAGATCGAGGCACGAGAAGTCGAACTCGTACGGCTGCGCCGTTGGGCTGCCGATCACGTCTCGAAACGGTCTGTTGCGCTCGAGGGCGGACGCGAGCTCCGAGTAGGACGCGAACCTGTCGACGCCATCCAGGTCGCGCACGAGGAAGACGTCGGCGAACTTGCTTGACGCCTCGTGGTTTCTCCCCAGCGGGAGCTTGCAGTCGATCTCGACGGCCAGCACGGGGATCAGCGTCGTGCTGTTCTTGACGACGTTGTGGATCGCGAATCCCGAATGTCTCGTCCCCTTTGCTGTGCGGAGGTTTTCTATGTCGCCGAACCTGGAGATAATCACGGCGTGCTCGAGAGCGGGGAATAAGCCGGCCTCGATCCCCTCACGTACAGGGTTGGCAAGGCTGGAGGCCTCAATAGAGACGGCCCTGCGCTGGCATGACGCCGAGTGCGCTGGTGCCTCCATCCATTCGCGCTCCAAGTCAAGACGGATGGTAAGCGAGCGCAGTGGCCAGGCTTGTTGACCTTTTGATTCCGTTGTACTGGCAATGGCATCTTTGATGCCTTTGAAGATGTTTGAACAGAGATAGCCCTTGCGAAGACGAATGTGATGCAGTTGGGGCAGAACCCCCGCGAGAGCGTCACAGAAGCACTCTTCTGGGGCCCATCTTTGCTCCTGCCAGGTCAACTGGTCGGAGCCCTCGGTGTCTAATTCAAGATTTCGTACGCTCTCTGGAAGGCTTTTCAAGAGAAGTGAAGTCGCCTTATCCGGCAGCCTCGCGTTCCGCTTGTCGTGGTGTTCAAGCCTCAGAATGAACGTCCGCAACTGCGTCAGCTTGGGTAGTAAAGCGGCCGTAGGCTGTAGGTTGGTGAAAGCAGACGGAATTCCGGTCAGGAAGGCGGACATGTGACCTCTGGTAAACCGGATGTCGATGCTTTGCAAATCATTTTCGTGAGACGAGGCATGCCTCGAGAAGCGCAGCAAGGAGGAGTGAGGGCCATAATGAGACTTCAATCGCACGTCTTGATAGAGAATGGGATATGTAAGTTCGTAGAGTGCCTTCGATGTCAAGCATAACTGCAATAAACTGTGGGTCGAATCTGCTGCGAGGTGCTCACAGATAAGGAGAACAATCTCAGCGGGCAGTCTCTCCGTGAGCCCTGGCATGTCAGGAAAATCTTGAAGAGCAACTTTCGAGCTCGAACGATGATTCTGGAATATATGTTGGACACGAACAAGGTTGTGTTTTCGGACATCTTGGACATGCTAAGCTTCAGACTGGACAAATGACAATGGCTGCCTGATGAGGCTGCGTCAGCACGTGCGAGCTTAAACACGCATGCAGCTGTACAGTTATAATCTGGGTCAGACGTCTCTCGCTGCAACGTTAGGCTTCCACGATCTGCACCCTAACTAATGCCACTGCTCAGGCAGAGCTAGAGTAGAGCTACACATGAATCTTGCGGATGTTTTCCTTCGAGCCGACCTGCTGGGTCTCCAAGACGCTAGACATTTGGAAAAGTATGGGTGGCTTGGGAAGGTTTTTCCTCAACTTGCTCCTTGTCTCGCGTGATTATATCCCCATAAAACGCAGACATCCCGCTTACAGATTGCCCTCTTCCTTTGTACTGATCCACAGACTCTCCGTCTCGAGCAAAACTTGGCCTTGGCAGTCGTCCATTTGCGCCCTCAATTTCCATTTCCTTCCCTCGCGCCCAAGCATCCATGCTTTGACCCTCACGACGCCGGGCGTCTTTATAGGCGCAAGGAAGCTCGTGTTGAGCTGCGCGGTGTACAGCATCGTCTTCTGGTCCTTGAACTGCGTCTGTCGGTGCACCTCGGCGCACATGCCCAAGGTCTCGTCAAGCAAAGCACACATGGCCCCCCCGTGTGCAGTGTTGGCAAAGCCGTTCATGCCCGCTTTGAGGTCGTACAAGATGATGATTTCGGGCGTTTCAGGAGCTGCGAAAGGCCTTTGCTTCGCGTTGCTTGCGCCCACCGCCGGGTTCGTCAACGGCCACACCCCCTTCCTCATCAGCAGGAGACGGTGTGGTATCGTGTCCTCCGTGGCAATCGTACGTGCAAAGAAAAGGTCTGCCGTGGGATCATTCGGCTTTGTGTATACAGAGTAGAACGCCGCAGGCTTGTACGGCGAGTCCCGATCCTGCAGATAATGTTTCACGTACGGGATGGACGAAAAGAATTCGAGATCGGACTGCGGCACTGGCATTTTGTCCATGAATTCGACTATATTGTGTATGCTCCCCAACTCGGGGGGAGATTCGAGAACCATGATCGGTGGATGTTTGGTCGCGAGTCCTGCGGTATATTCGATGGCAGAAGAAATGTCATTTATGACGCCAAGCGAGCGACGTGATATCACTCTCACCACGTATGGGTGATTTTTTGTAATCCTGTGTCTTACTTCGGCGGCATCGCTCCAGCCTATCTACAAGTCTCGGTAAATTTGCCTGCGGATAATAGTCCCGGTTATGGGAGTTGTTAGCTTGATGCGGGGCAGACAGAAAGGGAATCTTTTCGCTCGCCAGCCTTAAATCAAGCAAATCACTTGAACATAGGCCAGCAGAAGTCAAACACGGATTCTGAGCACAAGGTCTGAACCTCGTGAGATCTTGCGAAAGAAATCAAGCTCGTTTTTGGACGTTGTCAGACGCCGACAAAAGAGCGGTCGTAACAACAAACCCTTCAACCAGCACGTTTGATCACGCAGAGCACACATCTTTTTTGAGAGGTATCTTAGATTCCTAAAAGTGTCGAGAGCATGAAGCTCTGTATCGATATACTAGCGTTGAACTATACGTGCAAGCGCAGCGCAGCTTCCCATAGAACACATTGCATGACATGTTTGGACCCCTGCATCTGTTCAATCCAACGATATCAGCGACACTGTCCGAGGCTTTGAAGTGAGCTCCGCTTGCAAGCAGCCCCAACGCCCGTAAGTCAAGGAACGAACTGTCAAAGCGTTTGTACTTATATCACGATATGCGTGGCATATGGCGGAAATGACACGCTAAGCCAAAATAGGGTATCCTCGGCAACTCCTTTTTGGGCCGCGCACGACCCCTCCGTCATTTCAATGCTGCTTCGCTCAATGCAGCGAGATGGAGGACATGCTTTGGGAGGGAGAGCAGGCCAATACTGCTGTCAGAGTCATGCAGATGACGACACGGCCAGTGACTCTGTGAGACATGAGCGATCTGATCGCGGATGCAGAGCAGTCAACCTCTCCTGACGTGCGCAAGAGAGGAGAATCCAGAAAGGATCATGCATAATTTAGCAAACTACGGACCGCAACTTTGCATTTGGACGAGTTGTTAGTCGATTGCCGAAGATCACAAATCAAAGACTCGTCACGGCGTGCGTGATGAGACCGGGTTCAACAGAGCCGCCGGAGGGATTTCCAAGATCAAACTTATCAATCTTATCTCTCAGGCACTTTGGCGCGAACGATTCCTATTCAGGCAAACGCCCTCGACGTCCGTTGGCCAGGCGGTACCTACAAGTATTCATCATTCGGCCCCATCCGGACATCCGTTCATCAATTTCCAGGAGCATGTGCAAGATTTCGCTTCGTTCCGAAAGGGCACTCATCTAGGCTCAGGAGCATCGGCCCGTCGACACATCGTGCGGCCACGTTCGCGACGTTGGTTGCCAGAATTTGCATGTGCCGCGGCTGTTCACGATCACGTTCTCGCAGCAGGGCCATCGACAGGGATCTTGGCTAAAGTCGACGTCAGTATAACTATTTATGGATGGCCGTCTCTGAACATTAGCGTTTGCGCCAGCTCTTCTCTCTCTACCGACATTTTCTTGCACGTTCATTTCAGACTATTCTCGAAATCCTTCACGTCATGCCGACCAACCCGGACTGGGTTAAGGCCCTGAAGCCGGCGACAGATGGCGCGGCGTTGCTCAAGAAAGAGCGAGCAAAGTCGGATTTGCCCGTCGAAAAACTAACCGTATTCCTGTTTGGTGAGGAGTTCCTGGAGACGAGGCGTAACATATTGAAAGTGCTGCAATCAGAGAAAATCTTTGACAAGTCAGCGAATTACTACTCCGGTCGGATACAACGGTTTGAAGCCGCACTGGCTCGAGCGAAGAGACTGCGAATGCTGGCTGTTGAGCATGATTGGTCCCTAGAAGATCACAATGTCGCAGTTGATCTGTTGGCGGAGCCCATTCCATACATGCTTCATGGCACAATGTTCTTGGTAGGCGACTAGCCATCCAAGTCGGAGTTCTAAGAAACTGACCGCAAACTAGCTCACTCTCTTCAATCAAGCCTCGGAAAAGCAGGCGGCAAAGTACTTCATGAAAGCCATGAATTATGAGATCATTGGATGCTATGCGCAGACCGAGCTTGGACACGGCAGCAACGTAAAGGGTCTAGAAACAACAGCGACGTGGAACCCCGACGACAAAACATTCACCATTCACTCTCCCACACTTACAGCCTCGAAATGGTGGATTGGCACTCTTGGTCGTACTGCAAACTATGCAGTGGTCATGGCTCAGCTCATCGTGAACGGTGAAAACCACGGCCCACATCCTTTCGTGGTACAAATCCGCGATATGAAGACGCACCAACCTCTTGAGGGAGTTCATATCGGCGATGTGGGTCCTAAAGTTGGGTACAACACCATGGACAACGGCTTCATGTTGTTCAACAACTATAAAGTACCACATGAAGCCATGCTCGCAAGATATTCAAGGGTAGATCCGGAGACAAACACGTATATCAAGCCTCCGTCCGCGGCCCTGGTCTATGGTACAATGACATGGGTGCGCTCTACAATCGTCTGGCAGGCTGGAGGAGTGCTTGCACGCGGTGTAACGATTGCCATTAGGTACTGTGCTGTTCGACAGCAGTTCCAAGACAAGGACTCAGAAAGCCCAGACGGCAGCGAAACACAAGTTCTCGACTACACAATGGTATCGTACCGGTTGTTGACATTGTTGGCAGCAACGTTTGCTTTGCATTTCTCCGGAAAGCTCATGATGGAAATGTACCAGAAAGGACAGAGAAATCTGAGCGATAAAATCAGCGAGAAAGAGAAAGAGGAGATCCTGTCCATGATGGCGGACCTCCACGCCACCTCCTGTGGACTCAAGTCCCTGGCCAGCACAACAGCTGCAGATGGACTTGAGCAGGCGAGACGAGCGTGTGGCGGGCATGGCTACTCGAGTTTTAGCGGCATTGGCCCGCTCTTTGCTGACTACCTCCCCAATGTCACCTGGGAAGGCGATAATTACATGCTGACGCAACAAGTCGCCAATTACGTAAGTTTCGCTCTTGTCTAGATTGCGCTTTTTCCTGGTAATTAACTTGATTATAGCTTCTCAAAACAGCACGATCGGTCAGAATGGGTTTCCCTCCCGTGAATGACACAGCTACAATCTTCCGCTATTTCTATGACCGTGCTGAAATGGGCTGCGCCTTCGACATTCTCGGCTCCGATGCTGATATCGTCGCCGCGTTTGCATGGCGGAGCTCGTTCCTGGCGTTCAATCTGCTCGACAAGCGCGACTCCGAGAAGATGGCTTGGAACGATCTACTGGTCGACATGTACCGTCTCTCAAAGGCGCACTCGCAATACATGATAGTCAAGAACTTCTACGACACCCTAAACTCGGAGGAGACGAAGAAATCCCTGGACGAGAAGACGTTGGAAATCATGTGGAAACTCTTCCGTCTGTATTCGCTTAACACCTTGGAGTCCGAGGCCAGCGAGTTTTACGCGTCCGGCGCGGTCACGGTCAAGCAGGCCATGTTGACTCGGCAGTCAGCCGTGATGAAGCTTCTCAAAGAAATCAGGCCACATGCCGTGCGCTTGGTAGACGCATGGGATTTCCCTGATTGGCAACTGGACAGTGCCCTCGGCCGATACGACGGTAAGGTGTACGAGGACATGTTCCGGCGTGCAAGTGAGCTCAACCCACTCAACGAGATCACCGTTGATCCGTATCCGAGCTCGACTACCATTTTCAAGAGCACCGGGAACTTGAAGAGCAAGCTATAGAACAAGTACGTTTATTCGTTTCACAAGTTGGCAGTGGCGACGTGGTGGATCTAGCATAAAGCGATCACATAGATACCATTTTATCATAGACTTGTAGCATGTTAAAAAAAGAGCATAGAATAGTGCGGCCATCAAACCATCTTCTAATGTAAATTGAAAAAAAAAAGTTTTAAAAATCGCCTTACGTCTCGAACATCTCTTGCAGAGCTACGCCAGGAGTAGTGTACGCATTGAATGAAATCCAGCCGTGATAAAACATACTGGCCTTTCCAGGTCCTTTCTACGGGTTCAGGAACGTTTTTCTATCTTTCTTCTCCCTCCTACAGGCTGGACGTGCTGAAACGATCGCGGCGTACTCCAAAACGTTGGCTGTTGTTGTCGGGCACTACTGTAAGCGCGCGCGTCAAGCTCTCTCGGGGTTGGAAAAAAAAAAAACAAAAAAAACTACAACCAACCAAAGTGCGTCGGCCTCAACAAGACTTTGGACCGTGCAAGTTTGGCCCCTTCGAGACGTGTTATGCCAATTGGGAGGATTGGAGGCAAAAAGAAGAAAGAAAACAAAAACGGGGTAGACGTAATCTGAAGCTGCTTGCAACAACGGCGGTTCTGCTCACATGTATAGACGTCGCCGGGTGCGCTGGCTTTGCTTGGGGATGACAAGCCCTGCAGAAACCGAGTTGGCGAAGTCAGAAGGGAAATCTACGAGTTTTCAAAATCATGCAGGGGATCTTTTTTTTTTTTTTTTTTTTCTATCTTGTTGTTGAATCATCATCCACTTGCGCTGATGCGACGACCAGGAAATCCGGCCTCCAGAATTGGCGCCGGTTTCAGCCCTTGCTTCCGGACACGACGAGCTGCGTGAAGAAAGGTGGTGGCCTTGAGGATGGACTGTAAAAGGGGGGAAGTGCCAGTCCGTTCAGTCTGTCTTTGCGGTTCTTAAAATCAGCGACGACGCCTTCCCCCTCCTCAAGGTGTGCGAATCCCCACACCGTTCGGGGCAAGAAGATAGGACCTCGTCGCTGCCCCTTCCCCTTGAGAGTCTCTCGAAGATGGCCGACGCCTTCAGCGTGGACGACATCATTCGGTTCCGCCACATGCGGCAGATCGTGTCCGTCTACGAGGAAGACCCGGACCACGTCCTGCGCCGCCGATTCAAGAAGCTGCATTTCTACAACCTGTGCCATAAGCACAACGTCCTCGTCGAACTTGACCACAGGGTCAGGGACCTGGAGCGCACGCTGACGCAGCCGAAGGGCGGCGACGCGTTGTCCGTGTCCGTTGCGACGCGCGACCTCGGCGGTCTCGACGGTCTGCTCAAGGACATCGACCGGGCACTCAAAGATTTCGGTAAGGAGCATTTTTTCCACAACCAGGTGCGAAACGGTGGAACGTTTGGTTAAACCCTTCTTCTCTTTCGAGAACCGTAGACGAAGCGTCGTTGCTGTATCAGCGAAGCTCTGAAGCGCCTCGGGCGCCTCGAAGTTTCCTCAACCAGATTCGGCTGGCGGCGTGGGAGCAGAGGCAGCTCTATCATCGCCAATACAACATCGAAGAAGGCTGGTCGGAATGCACTCTCCACGCCGCGTCGAGTAAAGGAGCGGTACAGAGGAGCATCGCCTGGTGTATCCGATTTTGCATGAAGATTGGCTCGTTTTTCGTCAAGGTATGTATCTTGGCAATTCCAGACGCTGTTGATATTTTGGCCACTTACAATCTGCTACAGAATTCGAAAGGCCATGTTTCGAATTCGAAGGATCCCATCAAGGACGATCCTCTGATGAAACATTATTCGAACAAAAAAATCAAAATTGTGGAAGATATTTTCGTAAATGTTGGATTTTGCTCGCTTTTGCTGGTGCCGACGTTTCTTCTTACGTATTTGCGGAGCCAGAATGCAAAGCTCATCGTCATAGCTGTGTTCGTGTGCCTCTCTACGTTGCTGTCTTCGTTCCTTGCGACCGCGGCGCACAAACCTGGACTCGCAATCGTAGCTGGGTAAGTACCAGCGTCACCGTATGTATCATGTGCTGACATGCTCTAGGTACGCAGCAATCTTGGTTGTATTTCTTAACAACGGTTCATGTACATAGTCTTGGCTGAATAAAAACCAACTTGAAAAACGCGCACCAGTGTTACCCATCAACGTGCTTGAAACTCTCGTTAAAATCATTGTACCAAGTGGACCGTAGTTTCGGAGAGCTAGTTATATCAGCCCTGTCGAGCGCATATATTTTGCCCTCACGGCTTCGTTTAACCTGAAATTCGACAAGTTTCCAAGAATGATAGGTATCGATGGCCACGTTAGAAAGCTCTGGCAGAAACGTCACAACATTCTCAGCAATTTTGATCAATTTCATCTTTGTAGTTTGAATCGAAGTGGACCTGCTACTTTCCTTCATGTATGCACGCAACGTATTTTGTCCTGCTTGTTCAATAATAAGGTGTCTTCTTGTCAAAGTCTCAACGTACTCTCCCTGGAGCTCCTTACATTCTTGAGAGCTGAATCCCTTGTCAGCTTGATGGCATCTAGTATCGGATTTTAAAATACTTTGCTTTTCTTTAAAGATCTCCGCCATCATTTGGCGAGAAAAGCGTATGGCAGGTTTTAATCCCAGAACTGACTGGATGATGAACTGGCTCACTACTAGAGATGGATCTGCTACCCCAGATGTGTTAGTCATCACAGACATGATCATTCCCATTTTCGGGATGATAAAGAAGTGGCTTGCGTATCCTCTCACGGCGCCAGCCTTCGAGATTGCCGCAATAGATTGTCCATCATAGCGGCCAAGTGTGTACACTTTTGATCCTGGAATGCGCTCAAACGATTCGGACCCTGTTGCTTCCGAGTCCAGGTCCGAGAAGATACCACCTAAGAAGCTACGTTTTATGCATTCTCCATCCGTAATCTCATCTTCGCTTCTGAAGAATATGTCGCGAAATCTTTCATCGCCGTTGAGCACCCGTCCGTGCAGGACCTGGAGGAATCTCGTCATGTCTTCCACGCAGCTGAATCCGCCACCGATGGCTAGTGCGGCGCCGCTGTCAAGAAACGACGGAATGTCGGTTTGGAGCAGCCCTGATTCTGCCGTGGTAACATGAGGAGATACAATCATGTGCTCCTTCTTCCTGAGTGTTTCCAAATCGAAGCAGGTATTGTTCATTCCGCAATAATTGAGTACAATCCTCTTTAGGGCCTGTGAAAGGGGCTCGCCAGTGGCATGCTCGATTATAAAAGCAAGAAACAGCGTATTCCAGTTGCTGTAACAGAACTTTCCTTTCGAGGGCTTGGGTATGCTATCCATGATATTTGCCACAGTCTCGCAGAAGGTGTCCTCAGACATGATGAATGTGCCGTCAAGCGCGATCAACCCTCTTTGAAACGCTGGGAACGCGTTTGTATGTGTCATTAGCTGACACAAATATGGCGTGTATTTTGCGGGCACCATAGCCGCTGGAAGCTTTCGAAGCTTTCGGAGAGCGTTGTACAGCCCAAAAGCGTCCGCTTCCCACGCGTTTGCCATGAGTCTGCGGACTTCGTGATCGTTCCCGAACACATCTCCTCCTTCTTCAATCATACGATAGAGCGCAAAGTTGATCAACGACTTCATGCCTGAGCCAAGTATGAACAGTCGCTGTGCCCCATTTGTGACACACCTGTCGTCTATGCCGTCTGCGGTCACAAAATCTTGAAGGAAACACTTGAACTCAGATTTCGAAGAAACAAACTCTGCTCGAATCGCGCAGGAATGGGCTTGGTATGCAGTGAGGATTTCTCTAATGAGACCTCTATCGATCGGCGGATCGGCTGGAGGCATGTTTCGCTCCTGGCGTCAAAGTAAAGGAGATGTTTTAGTCCTTCCGGCGGAGAAAAGAAGAGCTGGCGTGATTGAAGCCTATAACAATCCAACAAAAAACAGAACGTTGTAAAGATGGGAGTCGAGAAGCATATCAGAAGTCATCACAAGGAGGACTGGAGGTCTGTGAGTCCTTCAATGTTGCAGTTCTTCGCCAGGGAAGCCGCGGGAACTAGGAGTTCTCCTAGCCGGTACAATAGACTTTCGACTGGTGTACCAAACAATGAGTGCGGAGGCCGCTTGGCGACCGCAACCGCGCCTACTCACCATCAAGACGCCTACGAGACTGCGATCTATAATTTTTTGGAAGCATCTTGCAAAGCCCTCGATCTAGAAAGTTCCAATTTCAGGAATGCCTCGTCAGATTTCCGACCATGCGTTGATACCGAATGCGTTTACCCTGACCATCCTCGAGACCAGCATCAAGAGCCTCAGAAACGGACCGCGAAGCCAGCGTCGCGATCGTTCCATCTGCCTTGAAGAAGAGTGCAGATAAGGTAGATGATATGGATGCGTCAGTCGCGACCTGCAAGAGCTATGGAAATACGAGATGGGGATGCGTGAGGAAAGTAGGGGCTGGAGAGCAGAGAGCATGGTGATGATGGCCTGGGGACTGATGAAAGCAGCATGAAAAGACTAAGCTGGTCTGGAACGAGTAAGATAACGGTCAAAAGATTTGGATGGGACCACAAATTATCCTGATGATTGAAAAGGAAACTGTCACCGCTGTCCATCGTCCTCCATTCGAACTCTTCGCACACGACCATGTCAGCCAACAAGTCAACGCTTAGAAGAGACGCACGTCAAATTAAAAAATTCAACTTATTGACATGCATTTGGGTTGGGATTTGTGTTTCCAGCGCAGGGAATCTGGAGGGCATTCTGGGTTCCGTTGAAGGGACAAAATGGCCTTTATGCGTGGAAACCGCAGGACTGAAGTCATTGCAATTTCCTGTCAATCGCACCGGACATGTTCGCGCAGACACAAAACTGTAGTCGGTGGCGTGGGATAACCATTCATCATGGCTTGAGTCGTCCTCAGTTGTGAGATAGGATCTCGACATCCCCGTGACATGCAGGTTCACGTTTTCGTGTGAGGGCGGCTGCGTCTCCAGTCAATCAGACGCAACCACGAATGGCCCGGGCGCTCAAACTCTTCCGGCATATCTGGGGATCCTCAAAAGGTCAATCTGATGAGGGGGAGGGGGACATTTGAAGCTGACCCAAAACCACTTCTGCCCATCTCTGCGTTGCCGCATCCCAAAAAGCAACAGGCGTCATGTCAGGGGCATCCGCAGCTAGACCCGGAGATTTGGTCCGCAGCCCGTACACGGCGGACTTCACGTTAGCTAAAAATCGGCCGTCGTTCGCAACAGCTGGGTCGGACTCGAGGAACGATCGAGGGACAGACACGGACGCTCGGGCGGGTAGTGGCGGCCAGACAACCAAGAAGTCGAAAAAAGAAGACAAGGCAAAAGGTTCCGACAAGCCCAAGAAATCGGTAAGCAGAATTTGAAGGCAACAGCGTTCGAATCGACGGCTCCTGATCGGTTGAAAAGTCAGGCTGTGTGGTCACCTAAACTAGCACGTCGCACAAAGTCTTTCGTCCCCCGCCACTCGTGTTGCTTTCGGATTTCCAGGGCGCAAACCCATCAGATCGCTACTCGAGATGATGGTCTGCGTATGCTTTTACGGAACGAATGTCTCTCGCTTTGCTTGACTTGGGATCATCGTGCGATCTTTGGACTTGGTTCTTTTCTTAAGCTAACGGCAATCGGGTGTGGACCGGCCCGCCTCCTTCACCCGCACTAAAGTTCTTAGTGGAGGAGAACGAGCATGGCCTGACTTATCTAGGAAATTTAATTAATCAATTTCTCTACAATTTCGAAGTCGTTGGCGTTGCTTGCTTGTTGCTTGCTCAGGCCAGACGCATTTCCGTCTCGCGCTTTTTTTGTTCTCTTCTTCATTCTTTTCTCTCTTTTTTTTGCGGCTATTCTCGCTGAAGTTGGTCCAGTTGGCTGACACGTTCGACAAGGGCAAAATCACGTGTACGGACGAGGATTACACGATGTTGCGTCCGGCACGTATTTATTCTACCCGACTACATAAACTCAGAGTGAATGACAAGGCGACGATTTTTGCTGATTATGAGCTCTACTGGAAACGCCTGCTGCGAGACGCCCAAGGTCCTCCGGAATGTCATCTGCCAGAACAGGTTCTCTTCGCAAAGATGAACAGATTAGACTCTGGCTACTCTGTAGTGTCGACCAATATATTTTCCCTTTGCGTGGGTAGCAGGATGTACCAGGCTATAAATCATTCGTCTGGACCAAGTGAGGCGAGCGACGCACGTACAAAGTTGATGCAGTATTGTACGGTCGTCACAGAGACGACAGTCTGCTCTTAGAAGCTTTGCGCTTATGCAGTTGTAAGCGCACGGAGAAGAATTGTGGTTTTTAAGCCAAAAGCCTGTTCGATCCGTAGCAAGCATGTTTCGTACGCGGCTGCGTCATTTTTCGTCACGTCTACTGTGAGCCCCCACAGGATCGACGCGGGATGACCAGCCAGAGAAAAAAGATGGATGATCATAACAGGAGTGACGATGGTCAAAAAAAAGGAAAAAAAAAAAAAAAATGAACAGCTTAGAGCGCATTGGAGACAAGGAACACAACGTCTGCTCGTCCAGGTCTTTGTGCAGTTGTTCGAAACGCCGCCTTGCTGCGGCGAACATTGGTCTTGGCGGACGCAACACTCTGCGAGCAGCCTTTGTCCAGGACTCGCAGAGACGGAGCGCGCCTGGACGCTTGGTCTCGTCTGGCAAGACAAAGATTTCCTTTGGGCGGGCATTCGTGTAGCTCCCACGGGGTCGTGAACCGATCCACGCAGCCACGCTCGAAAGAAAAGAAAACCCAGCGGCGGACGGGCAGGTTCTCCACGGGGAAAACGGAGAAGGTTCGCGGCCGGTTCTGGAGCAGAGCGCAGACGAAAAGCGACCGGGTCGAGGGCGATGGTCCAGCGGACGAGACTGTCGAGTTATTGGATCGCGGGCTGGCCGTCGGGTGGATGAGCCGTGGGCAGCGTCGTGGACGGTCAGGATTTTCGCCGTTGGCCTGGCGGGACTTCCCTGGCCAAGACGTCCGACGCAATGCCGAGTGGCCGCGCTTTTTTGCCTTCCATGTCCCGTCGACACCTTTGAGCCTTCACATATACCAACCTAATTTCACGCCTGTGTCCCGTCCTGCTTTTGAGTCATCTCCACGGCTCGTTCGGACCGCGCTTCTTCGCATTGTCTGCTTTGTTCTCCTCCTTCCATTAGACTAGACGGGTCCATTCCCACGACGCGGATTCGCGCCCTTTTCCCCAGCCCTGCGATACAGAAAAATCTCGAAGCGGCTTCCTCCGCCATCCCCCCTTGGAACGAATCTGAAGAGCGACGAACAGCAACAGTCACATCACAAATGAAGGTCTTCTCATCGACGTCGACGTTTGACTACGACTGGGACCATGTGTCGACGAACCACTGGCAGAAATACTCGCCGTGGAACGAGCGGTGCGCGCATGTGATCGCCGTCGACACCCTCTCGCGGAGCGTCGACGAGAAAACAGGAATCGTACGTATCTCGTCATCCCCGTTGACTGCCGCAGGGGAATCAGGCTGCTGACAGCCGAGAACAAAACAGCTTCGGACCGAACGCCTCATAACGTGCCAGCAGAACGCTCCTGCCTGGCTCTCCCCTTTCCTGGGCAACACCAACACGTCCCTCGTGTACGAGGTGTCGTACATCGACCCGACGGCGAAGAAGCTGACGCTGTGCTCCCAAAACATGACCTGGTCCGACCTTCTGTCCGTGCGGGAGACGGTGTCGTACGCGCCCATCGAGGGCGACGCCTCCAAGACCAAGTTCTCCCAGCAGGCGCAGATAACGGCCATGTGCGGCGGCTGGCAGAAGATCAAGAACAAGATCGAGACCTTCACCGTCGAACGGTTCGGCGAGAACGCCGCCAAGGGCCGCGAAGGATTCGAGATGGTTTTGAGGAGGGCGAAAGAGGTCTTCCAAGAGGAGAGGGCCAAGCAGAAGCTGTAGCGATCCGCTCGCGGTCGGACAATTGGGCGGCGATGTTTTTTTCTTCTCTGAATGCTTAAAAAGTGTGCTGCGTTCTTAGCGAGTGCTTATTTTTAGACTCCACTCTCCTCAAAGACGGGACTGATGGATCGCGAGGCGTTTTTTACACGGCGGATAGGTCGGTCGGATCGGCAAAAGAAAAAGAGCATAGCAACCCCGGGCGTTTTTGCTTTCGCGGAGAGAAGAATCATTCAACACATTTTTTACACTGTTAGGACATGCGGAGACAGAGTAAAACCCGAGGCGCGTGTAAAACGTTGTAGCGGATATCATAGACGCTGATGTACGGAGCTAGATCGGGCTGGGTATTTTGTACTATCAATCTATCTATGGACAGACAAAAAGGTCACGAAGCTCACGTCCAATATTTTTTTCAAGCTTTATCTTACTATTGCGTTTCCGGAGGCGTCAATGAGGTGATCGTCGATCTTGACAGGATCTCCTCCTACGCCCGTTAAGATGACTCGGCTTACGCCGTCCTTGAGCGTCTGCACGGCAACTGGAGGCAGCAGCCCAGCATCCTGAGCTTGAATCTCTGACCCCCTCGCGCCTTGCCACCCTTCCTTGTCACCAATGACCGACTTGAGGACACCTGTCACCTTTGGTGCATCCTCCTCGAGGTGGTATATTACCGCATTGGGCCCTGCGTCAAAGGTGTAAGCAGCGACCAACTTGCCTGCTGCGGCGTTGATGGCTTCCACTATGCGAATCGCTGCCCAGGAGGTCTCATTCATGTACTTGATTGGCGGCTCGGTGTCCAGACAGGTAGCGTGGAAGCTGTTTGAATCTTTCATGGTCAGCCTTGCAAAAGCCTGAAAGTCCTTCTCCTGGATCGCCTTGTTCATCTCCTCCATCCTGGTCGGCACGTCGAGGACCCGCTGCTTCATGAACGTCGACGTGGCGACCGTCTGCTGCATCCCAGCCGTGCTGCCCACGTCCTTCTGCTTGTCGCTTGCCACCAGGATGATGGCGCGCATCTCGGGCCAGTGCGACACCGGTGCCACCTGGACTGCGAGCGAATCGCTTCCGTCGGCTTGCGATCCCATCTCCCACGCTACGTAGCCGCCAAACAGGGACCGACACGCCGAACCGGAGCCTTGCCTTGCGATTCTGCTGAGCTCCGTCGGCGAGCTATCCAGCTCATATAGGTTTGCGATGGCCCTCACCAAAGCCGCAAAGCCTGCTGCACTGCTCGCCAGTCCTGCTGCGGTGGGGAAATTATTCTCAGACACTATCTTCAGCTTCAGGTCCGCGAGCTTTGGCAGGCCCGGATTGGCGTTCTCAAGACGGGTGCGGAGGGAGCGCAGCTCACGGAGGCAAGCCTGTGTCCGAGCGCCAGAGATGTCTTGATCTTTGCCATTGAGAAGGAGGCTGTCCGTAGTGTAGATGGCTGAGCAGGACGCCGTTGTATGTGTACGAAGATCGTCTTGGGAGAGCGTAACGCTGAGGGAAGAGTTTGTTGGCAAGTTGAGTTTAGCATCGCGTTTGCCCCAGTATCTTGCAAAATGTCAGCGAGATTGGCTATCCAAAATCTGGAGCAAGGGGAGAGCAATCATTGCCTTGGTATTTAGCTGGGGGAGGGGTAACACACTTGATCACCGCAATGTTTACTGGAGCCGTCGTGCTCGCACGATAAATTTCTGCCATTGTGCTTGCTTCGTGGCCTGCAGAACGTCGAAAGCGCAGACCCAAAATCCTCGTTCTCGAGTGCCGAGCTAGATTTGGTCGGGTATCATGAAGATGGTTCAATCTTCACGGACACCGGGCACTCAAGAAATGAATTGGCGGTGCGCGAAGTCAACACATACGCAGGGTCCTGACAAGGGTTCGACCATGCCCTCGCATCACGTGGAGACGAACTCCCCTCGAGTCAAGGACGGACGATCTTATGAAAGACTATCTACGCACACAATTGCGGCTTCGAAAGAGACAATTGCAAAGGAGAGTGCTGAATTCAACATTACGTGCTAGCAAAAAACCCAACAATGGTTTCCCCTCATGGGAACCTGGCGTTGATAAAGAGACTCTCAATCAGCACCTTCGAGCTACCTGCCCCGAATACTTTGATCACGGTATTTCTGTAGCCATTCCTGCTGATCCCAATATCTCGGACAGATTTTATTTGTCCCTTTCTTAACTCATACCTCATACCTGTAGAATCAATAAACTGATCCAGAAGATCGTAAAGTTGTCTAGTCCCTTTCCACAACGATAGCGCACGAGATGCTAGCTCAACAAATAGTCATAAAGTACAAGGCGATCTCGACATGCCTCATGAATCAACTAGACCTATATTATGTGACTTTGATGTACTGACGAAGAGCAATTCCACGTAACTCGGAAGTTGACTGCCGGTATTTGGCGCTTAGCCATGTCCATCAGCAGATGTGATCCCATGTTGTCTGCTGCCACTTCGGCATCAATAAAAATGCGGACAAGGCAAAATCAATATTGACACGGGATAAGATTTCACATTGGAAGTAATTGTGTGGAAGCGCTCCCAAATGCTTTGAATTTGCATTTCCCGGCAGGTCTTGCGACTGCTGGCAACGGATGTCTGTAGCTGCACATTGAATAAACGAGAAGCAAAGATAGAGCAATTTCGGCGAGTCTACGATATCGGCAACCAGTTTCCTGATTGAGAAGTTTAGTCTCAAATCCAAACACATGAGGTAGAAACATTGTGGAAGACTAGGCATCTCATCCTAAATCATTGCGGGCCAAATTAGATGCGATTGTTCCGCAGGGACCACCAATGCGGAACATTCCGTCGCTCGACATCAGGAATCTTTTTTCAGAATACTTCCTGTGAGGCAACACAACATACAAGACATGACTTCACGATAACATCAATTGGATCTGCATTTCATTCCACTCATCGAAATGGGCGCCAATGTCAGTGCTGACCGTGAAGGCGTGCGTACACGGCCGCCCGCAAACCATCCTGGCGCGGATTCAGCGGCAGCGACTTGTCCCATCGACCACAAGTCGCGAGAAGCGTGGCTACAGCAGGCTCGCGCATCTGGACAGTCGGCGCCGCATCCTCTTCCTACATCACCATCACCAATACCCGCTGGCGAAAGCTGCGACTCTTCAAAGATCGATCAAACCCTTCAGTCACCCGGCCCTGTACGGTCACGACTTGGTCTCGGCACGCACAGAGAGGTCTCAAGTATACCACGAGCTTTCCCATCCGAGGCCGGCTCCCATCCGGCAAACAGCGAGGTCGAAAGCGGTAAAGACGCAAAGAGCGGGAACTGGATCTACCCGTCCGAACAGATGTTCTTCGAGGCCATGAAGCGCAAGAACTATTCCCCCGATGCGGCAGACATGCACGCCATCGTGCCGATACACAACGCTGTGAACGAGCGCGCATGGCATGAGATTCTAGCATGGGAGAGAGGATGGGGCGGCGAGAAATGCGGTGGTCCGAAGCTTGTGTCGTTCAGCGGCCAAGCCACGGCTTTGACGCCAAAGGCGAGGATCAACAGCCTGTTGGGCTACACGGCGCCGTTCGACAGGCACGACTGGGTTGTCGATCGATGCGGGACAAGGATCGAGTACGTGATAGATTTTTACGCTGGAAAGGACGAGGGAAAGCCTGGCAAGAGCCTGAATTTTTACCTGGATGTTCGACCAAAGTTGAACACTTGGGAAGGTATCAAGATGAGAGCGGCCAGTGTCTTTGGATTATAGTATGGTTGCATGTTCTGCATCGTGATCAATCGGTGGCACGAATGCAGGCATCTCCATCTTGTATTTGTATACATGTAAGAATACTTTGGATCTCTCCACCATAGCTACCGCAAAAGGACAGCTAAATTCATTCGTAACAGCGAGCGCATTTCTCGACGAACGTTCTGATTGAGCAAACATCCAAGTCTCGGCTAACACACATTTTTGCTGTCATCTCCACTCGCAAAAGAGCCGGCTGGGTTAGATTGAACTGCCCGAGTTTCTGGATAAAAAGAACCGTCTTAAAAACGAAGGTGAACAAGCTGGCTCGTTTGTTGGTGGGTGCAGCCAACGTAGACGTGGAAATGGGGAAACAGATCCGCCTGCAATCTTACAAAAACGGGGGCTGATTAGGAAAAGAGTCTGTTCTGCTCCTGGTTTGTTTGCCGGTCCACATCATTCCCTTTATCACGCTTGCGAAGAGTTCTTTCAAAACGCAAGCTAAATTTCTTGGACGCAGTACATCATTGGCCTTCATGAGCTCATGGAGCACATTACTCAACGTACGAATGATAAGGGCGTGATACAGCGCTCGGGTCAAGCTCTTGATGATTCCTACGACAGCGAACGAAGGTGCGAATCATAATAGGATACTTGTATGTGCGGCGGATGGAATACTCCGTGGAATTTAATAAAACGCTGCCCAAAGTGGTCAGCCTCAGGACGCTAGATGTTAGCTCCATCTCGCATCGTCAAGTCGAAGCAAGAGATTTCCAGTCCATCCTTCGACCCACGGAGCTGAGATCTTCGGCCAAGAGGCCGAATTGAGCTTCGCCCCAACCTTTTGCAATGCTTATATTTCCTACCGTCGTACCAGCAGAACGGTAAGGACGTACAGAAGTGAAGATCTGGTCTAGACCAGACCTACCCCTCGCTTCACAAGAACGCCAGTAACGTCTTCGACGTTCTTGAGCCGAAGACGAAGTTGATAACGAGCCAATGGAACAGGCTGAAAACTCCTTCACGTGATTTCTGGAAATGTTTTGCCGTCGGAGCACGTCCGTGACTCCGCGAACTGCAAATCACAAGCTCAACCTGAGCGTGGGCTTATGCACGTTTACCCCAGATCCACCTCCACTTCCTTGGTACTGGGGTAATCATCCATGTGTCACGCCTCGAAAATCAGCGCAGGTGGTAACTTTCCACGCTAAGAAACTCCACCGTGTTCTGCCCCGTGGGTAAAATGGCGGGTTTCCGGTATATCTTTGGAGGCCAGGACAAGGATATGCTGGACCGAAGCTCGCATGAACCGTCGAGTCGGTCGAGGAAAATGAGAGGCGGAGTCAATGTGTATATCTTCCTGGACAAAGTATCCTGGACCTCCTGACCAAGGTCCACTCTGGGTTCCCTCAACTTTTTTTTTCTTCGCCGTTTCCTGCGTCTCAGGTAGCATCACTTCTCTGTTCAATGACAAACATGGAAGAAAAAGACAACGCCGTTCGACAGATTGAACGCGACAACTCCAGCCATGTCAGCTCCAATGAGGAGAAGGGCGTGGCTCCCGCAAACGCGTATCCTATGAGAGACGAAGACTACGTGGTAACGTTCAAGACATGGATCGTAGTCACCATACTTGCCTCCGCGTACGGAGTTTCGTTCTGGATCGTCCCAGCTATCGCCCCTATCGCCACAGAGGTGGCCACCAAGCTTGGTAACCCTGCGGCCGCGGGCTGGTTTACCAGTCTCTACACCATCTGCAATGCCATCGCCTTCATGATCTGCGGCGCCAACAGCGACTTGTTCGGACGAAGATGGTTTCTTATCGGTGGCAATGTCCTCCTGTTACTTGGACACCTATTGTGTGGCCTCGCGAAGAACTGTAAGCAAAGTTGTAGCAATCGTCAGGCTCACCGATGTTGACTTTTTTTTGTTTCAGCAACCATGATGATTGCCGGCTTTGCAATCATTGGCTTTGGTGCTGGAAATGCCCAGCTCGCTGCATTCGCGTTGCCCGAGCTGCTTCCTAACAAGTGGAGGCATATAAGCGTCACGATTGCAGACCTTGGCACGTGGATTGACGTCGTCGTTGGCTCGATCGCTGGACGCTACGCCATTGTACATGGTGACGCATGGCGCTGGCTATTTCATGCCCCGTCGATCGGTGCTGGAATCTCAGTCGTCTGCCTTTACGCGCTTTATTATCCCCCGCAACATCCCCGTGGTCTTGGTTTCAAGCGTGCGTTGAAAGAGCTTGATTATATTGGGGGTATCTTGTTCATCCTCAGCGCTACGTTGATCCTTGTCGGCATTGTCTACACCGAGTTGATATCCTCCAGCTCACCCAGGGTTATTGGTCTGCTGTCTGCAGGGTTTGGAACGCTCGTCGTCTTCATCCTGTTTGAGAACATTGGACAAAAGAAGGGATGGATTAAGCAACCACTAACACCAACACACATCTTCACGGCGGACAAGGGTCGGGAGTTTACTTTCCCGTTCATTGTCGGATTTGTGGTCACCATGTATGTTTCACGACTTTTTCGAGCCAGACGATCTGAAGCTGACCCATTGTGTGACAGGTTCTATTATATGACCAACATCGTTTATCCGACACAATGTGCTGTCTTCTTTACGACTCCAACAACGACGCTTCGAGAGACGGCACTCATGACTCTCCCTTCCAACTTTGGTCTTGTGTTTGGTGAAATCCTGCTCATCACCTTCGGGACCAGCCTCGGACATTGGAAGTGGACGCTCACCGGCTCTGTCACCATCATGGTCCTGTTCGGTGCTCTTCTCGGACTGGGCACTCCAGACAGGAAGGGAATGCTCATGGCGTTCGTGTTCATCTCACAGATGGGATTCGGTTGGGCTCAGATGCTCTCTATCACATTCATTCAGTTCGGTGTCCCACAAGTTGAGCTGGGCATCAGCGGCGGTCTCGCAGGCGTCACACGCTTCGCTGGCGGAGCTATCGCCATTTCTGTGTACACGACGATCAACAGCAATGTCCTCAAGACGTGGTCCAAGCGACTGATCCCACCCGCAGCGCTGGGCGCTGGGCTCCCGGAATCTAGTCTGACTGCATTCATGGAGGCATTGCCCTTGGGTTCTGCTGCACTTGCAAAAGTTCCGGGAATCACGACCGAGGCGATCGTGGCTGGTGGTGCTGCACTACAGCAGGCGTACGTCCATGCTCTGAAGGTCACTGCGCTTTCCAGCTTGAGTTTTGGCATCCTTGCCATCATTGCCTGTGTGTGCTGCAACGACATAGGCCACAAGATGAACTCTAAGATCGAAGTGTTCCTTGAGAACGACGAGTTTGCGGACAAGAACGTGTATCATTAGGTTTAGACACTTGGCAACCGTGGCGAAGGTCGGCATCGTCTGACGAAATTTAAGACGGCTGTGTCCATAGCTTTGCTGCATCGCTTTATTGTAATTGGATGCATCTAATATTAAAAGGAAGAGTGTAATGAAAGTGCTTCTCACATCATGAGTCCGCAGTCAACTCCGCCCAAATACTATCCGCTTCTGCTAGCAATTTTCACTCATCTCTATGCCTATTCTGACCGACCATTTGGACTGCATACTCTGGTTCCGGTTGCGTGCTAGATACCCATTTTCTGAAAGCCATACTTTACTTCATTACTTCATCCCAGTGGCAACCGCCATTTTGCAGCTGGTGTTCTCGACGACCAAAGCCCCGTATATTCTTATCTTTGCGAAAGACTATGAAATGCCTCGTGCGCCTGCCGATACTAGGCAATATGGCTGTCGTTCAACAGTAGAAAGTGCGATTGCAATCACGCGTGGATAGTCGTGCAGTATGGCACACGCAAATGTGGTTTGCTCCCAGTGCATTGGCAAGCATGGGATCAAATTTCCTTGTCATCTCGATTACAGAGGCGGCGCTCAAGTAAAAGACTTGTCGACCATCAGTGTAATTAATCGATCGTGGCACAGGACTAGCAATGGAGATCTGACGGAGCCGGTGGCGAGAAGAGTTGCGGGATTTCTGCGTCATGAAATGGCATCCAAAGAGGCCTCGACATGTACAAGTAAAATGAAACGCGCATTTCCTGGTTAAAAGAGATCAAGTAGTCTTCTGACTCCTCAATTTCTACATCATACTTTTCCCCGCCAGATTGGGCCTATCCCTCGTAGCTGTCATTCAGAAGTTTACACGACCTCTTCTACCTATCATCGCTAGAATACAGCTTCTGGTCCTTGATCCATTCCACAACCCCAGGAGTGCACATTCTTTCGACTGATGTCCAATCATGCTCTCTTACTGCCTTTCGTATGGCAGAAGAGCTAATACCAACAGCCTCATTGACTGCAGGTCCCTCCAAGAGACCAATCTGGTGAGCCCATGCAGGTTGCATACCTTCTCCAGCTAGGCTGCCCTCCGCCAATTTCTCGATGAAAGCGCGCTGTGCCTCGATTGGTTCACTAGTGACGGCATTGTCGGAAGAGCTATCTGGTCGCAGAAGCACAAGCAACTTGTGTCCTACGTCAAAGAAGGGAGCCAAGGCACTCAAAGGCGGATCATACCCCTTGTAGTACTTCGGGGCGAGAAATCTTATCAGCGTGTCGTAGCCGAGGAGATGCACATGCGTGGGCTGCGATGGATATGCAACGGGCTCTTGGGTCATGATAGCCCGTGACTTATCCGTATAGTACGGAGCTGTTGTTAGGCCGATGTCAATTGGCACTCGCATATCAGTCGGTGAGGCCATTTGTAGGTCTTCCGCCGAAAGGATCATCATCGCAAGTCTTTGAGTAAAGCTAGCTGGCGACGGCGCTTTGTCCGCATTGTGGGTGCTAAAGAGAAGTAGGAGACGGTATGGCCGTGCTTCACTGCTCGTAGAAATAGTGGCTGATGCGAGAGCGACGTGAGCCCGGGAAGGTGGATTGTAAGAAGAGTCAAGAATGAACAAAGTACGCGGATCTGCCGCGATTCGAGACCCAGCATGATCGATATCTACCGCGCTTGAAGACGCCGCGGGTATCGTCTTGATTACTCGAAATGATATCGATGATGAAGTAAAGGCTTGTAGGGCAGATTCAAGGCTCGGAAGCATGGCCTTGACCCGTGCGATTCGTGCCGCCATTACCTTCTTTTTGAGCTGGCAACCGCTTATTAGCTGATTCCGTTGCAGCAAGATAATCTTCCGCGTCTTTGTGATTCTGATTTGGGTGGCGATGGAGTCGCAACGGAACCAGGCTTTTGCTTTCAACTTGCCAGGAGATTTGCACTTGTGAGATGAGTCGAAAATACGGAGTCGACCCAAACTGGACTCCTTCCTAAAGTCTTTCCTAATTATTCAATTCGGGACACGAGTATAACTTAGTCCAATTTATGCTTCATTTGATAATGAATTCATGATGCTCGTCTGCCTTTCCCGTATATTGTACCTAAGTGGAATATAGTGCCGATTCTAGTCCCCAACTCTCTTGTAGTTACCACGATCAATTGCAGCCCCTCACAAGGCAAAGTTCACAATTGATTTACTTCGTTGCAAAGAATATTACCGCTTCTTTTGGTGTATATTTTGTTCTTACGTTCTTTAACCTCAATCCACGACTTTTAACTGCAAATAAGCAGTCAGTCGCACATGCACCATAATGACATGTCGATGCTGAGAAGCAGCGGAATTTTAAGGCACGTTTTCCATAGCAGTGTTCAGTGGTGGAACCAACAAGATGTTTGGTCTTTTGGTCTCGGTTCTGCTCCACTCCTTTCTTTAGTATGCCGAGGAAAAGGGTTATCCTGCATCTGCTTGCTTATCGATATATCACATTCGGTTACACGTTGCTCGCGTCCACAGCACAACAGGAGGTACAGAGATGAAAACTCAATCATGTCAATCGGGAACAACCAAGATCAATCAAAGAGAGGAGCTTTTTCACATCATGAGTTAGCATCAGCAAAAAATCGTTGTTTGGTCTATGTCGGAAGGACAAAAGGGCCTTTCGTGGCAACAGACGTCATGACCGTTCGCATCAGAGACAAATTCGATTAAAAATACGTCAAAAGTCTTGGCGATAGAACTAATCGAAAGCCGCAGACCAAGCGGACGCCAATGCTGAACGCAGGAAATGCGGAATTCGATGACGACGGGAATCTTGAGAATCCCATCCTGCAGCACTGACGATCTGCTACTGTTGAATTTCAGTTGAATTGTAGTGCGTCTTGCTACGCTAACCTGTCTTCGGTTCCATCTCTTCAAACTCTAGGATTTCATTTTGCCCATCTCAACGTTTTCTCCTTGTGATTGCCAAGGCCGAGTTTCTCTCGTGTGAAGTCAGAAAGACGTGCGCCGCTGCGTCGTCGCCATATCCAAACACGTCATTCAGCGTGGCCAGTTCGAAAGTTTCTGAGATCGCACATGCTTTCGATAAGTAGTATGGGCAGTATTGGCTGGAATGATGCGACATTTCGAACAGAACCACATATACGTCACGGTGATGTTCTCTCGACACCTCCCAGCAAGATGCCTTCTGAGTTTATAGCATTCAGAAATACCAAATAGTTCGCAAGGATATTTACCTGTGCGAGTACTTGTCCAACCGTCCAGCACTATCCTCTTTTACGCGCAAGCAAAGATGTCTTCAGAAAAGCCGCATTTTAAGTCCGGTACAAGAGCAGTGCCCATAAGACCGAACACTTTTTACGTTGGGTGATTGACATTGCTTCAGGCCATCAGCCACCCGTTCAGAGCCAAGAACCACCGGGTTTGCAATCTGACTTAAAGGGTGCGGATCCGCAGTCTCAACATGTACCTACAGAAGACGGTGGCTACGCGCTGTACAAAGCCGCGGGAAAGCTCCAGGACAAAAGCTGTATAATCACGGGAGGCGACTCTGGCATTGGAAGGGCGACGGCTATCTTGTTTGCAATGGAAGGCGCGGATAGTTTGATTGCATATCTTCCCGAGGAGGAACAAGATGCGCAGGAGACGAAGAAACAAGTTGAGAAGCACGGCAGAAACTGTTACCTGTTGTCCACTGATATCACCGACAAAGCCAACTGTAAAAAGGTCGTGGAAACGGCACTGAAAGAAATGGGAAAGATTGATATCTTGTTCAACAATGCAGCCTACCAAATGATGGTCGAGGACATTCAGGATCTGTCAGAGTACGTCTTCTCTCCAGTTATGCGTTTCATCGTGCTGACATATCTTCGACAGGGAGCAGTGGGAGAGAACCTTCAACGTAAACATTCATCCTTACTTTTACCTCTGCAAATATGCGCTGCCGCACATGAAGAAGGGCTCCTCAATAATCAACAATGCGTCAATAAATGCGTACATCGGTCGACCAGACCTTCTCGACTACACCTCCACAAAGGGCGCCGTCGTGTCTTTCACACGGGGATTGAGCAATCAATACGTTGCGAAGGGTATACGAGTCAATGCTGTTGCACCGGGACCAGTATGGACACCTTTGATACCAGCGACGATGAACCACGAAGCTCAAAAGCAGTTCACGTCACCGATGGGAAGACCAAGCCAGCCGAGCGAAATAGCTACCTGTGTAGTATTCCTGGCCAGTACAGATTCCTCCAGTATTAGCGGACAAACGATTCATTGTAACGGTGGTAGCATTGTCAACGGCTAGAGCAAGAAGAGACTAGACGACGTATACTCAATTTTTAATTAGAGCTCAACTACGAGTAGTCAAAGCTGCTTTTCTCTCAGATCTTGTTCAGTGATTGCAACCGCGCCTCAGCGTCTACATTCCCAATCGAAGCAAGCTATAATTTGAACCAGCCCTAAAGAAACGACTACGTGATAGTTAATCTCCCTCTTGAAGCAGTACAAACTTAGCGATTCCTGTTACAAATCAACATCAGCGGTGGATGCACTTGTGAGCGGCCTATAGTAACTGGATTCCAGCTATCTAGTCCAGGTGCTATCTACAACCAAGATGAGGAGAGAGAAGGAAGGAAAAAGACTCAATCCTATGAGTCTTGAGGTTCTTTAAGCACTAGCCTGCATTAGAGCTAACCCCCCTTTGAAGTGCATAGTGGCGCAGCCCTAGTGTAGGCATAGCCTGTTACAGCACTAATGCCTGGCCTCTTAGGTAGAACTACCTGCGTAGCACTGTAGAGAACTCTGACAATGATTCAAAAAGCAAGGGCACATGGGCTCTCAACTCTGGGTCGGAAATTTTGAATGTTGAGTTAGCCTGAAAGTATCATGGTGACGATATGCAACATTTGTATACTCAGATGGAAAGAGTCCACATGTCCAACTTTCACAGGGCGAATTTCTCGAAAGTAGCAGAATTAACCTTGAGATACACGTAGCGAACTCAACGTCGAAAACGACAAAAAAAAAAAAAAAAAAAAAAAAAAAAAAGGCGCGTAACGTAGCACCTAGCTGTATATTGATCGCTAATGAATTGATTCCCGAGATGTGTCATGGTATCGAATCAACGAACAAAAGACCAGTATTAATGAGTGCTAGTACAGGCATCGCGGAGCAAAAGTGACCTTGACGACTTCCCCTTGAGTTATCGTCTGCCGCAAATGTTTCCTTCCTAACACGGCTTTGTGCGGATTCATGACATGTTTATGAGCGTGCCCGTTCCATCATCACGAATATCTTCTTATTCATCGATTGTATTCGCTGACCTCTTGCTCTTGCTTACAATCCTCATCGTATTGCCACAAGAGCCAATGATCTTGTTGAGGATGCTTCGCTTTGAGCGTAGTCTCAAATAGTGCAGGAGCATCACCGTTTACTACCGCAAAGCCGTGAGTGTTTCGAATCAAAGACGCGGCCGTTGCTCTTACATCCGCGCTCTTGTCCCCGCTCCCGTCTTCACTATGGCCATGTACCTCAGCAATCTCTTAGCTTCTCATAAAGATTTTCATGCATCTTCATGGCTGCTCTTGCGAGCTCAATATTACTTGCTTCTGCCTCAGCTTTTGAAGGGTTTTTGTGTCTCCTGCCAATCTCTAACGTCGAAATGCCACCAGGGCTTGCACGAATTGGTGATCTGATCTTCAGTGACTCCGTTACAAACGGCATTTTTTTGCGTCTTACTGACTGTTTCTTGCCACATTTCCTCTTCTGTCGTTTTGAACTACTGTTTTTGGTAGTGCTGAGTAACTCGTTTGAAAGTTCTTCATCGCCGGCATTTCGATGTTTGCGTGTCCAATGTTTCGAGCGCGACTCAACAGATAGATGGTATTGGCTTTCGTTGTCTTTGTCTTCGTCCTCAGAATCAATATCTATTTCTTCATATCTTTGGTTCTTCTTTGCTCTTCTCCGACAAGCACCATCGAAGGCATCATCATGATCATCATCATCATCATCATCGCGTATTTTGAACTTTTTAGTAGAATTGGGCTCGTCATTCCTAGCATATGTGCTCGGCGCCGCCACATTTAGTGAAATATTAGACTGTAGCACCATACTTGTCGCAGATTCTTTGTGAGAACTTCTGACCCTATTGGTTGTCGATGGTCGCTCGACAATCTCTCGTAATTTCTCGCCATTGACAGTTAACTTGACAACGCACTCGAGTCCCTTGAGCGATGCTAGGACTTGAATATACCGTCCCTCTCTCCGGGCTTGCTCAAGTCGACTGTTCTCGTGTGGAAGCAAATACTGCCAGTTTGCCTTATTTTTGGCCAAAGATCGTTCCTTATCCGCGACCTCGAGTTTCTTTGATGTAACAAGTTTGATCTGTTCCACGAAATCTCCATCGCCGTTATTATGTCGCTTTGTTTTAGAGAAGTTGGAGACAGGCGAGATAGCTGAAGTGGCTACCTTCACAGTTCGAAGCATAGCAGCAGCAGGATTCCGGTAGCCGTTGCTATTATCGTTACCTCCGCCATAATGGAGAGACTCTTCATGTCCAATCGCCATAAATGTATCGCTGGATCGCGTGGTGCTCACCTTCCGATCTGGTACGGAGACTTCCCCTATAGTCGAATCAAAATCGTCGTCTCCGTATGGTAAATGATCGTTATATTCATCCCAACAACTTTTTTCCATCCCTTTGTGCCTCGCCAACTCCGTCTCCCACTGGGGTCTCAGCAATCTCATCTCAGTATTGCTTAAATGCCTGTCAACGCCCACTCCCAGATGATTCAGATTTGCTTTCTCGAAGTCAACCAAGCATTCAATACTCCTCACATCTGCCACTTTGCGCGTATCGTGTCCCAATAGAGTACCTTTCAGCTCATACGGGGATTGCCGTGGACTTTTGCGACACGCTCCTGCTGAGCATATACGTTGGCAATGTGGACACTCCCATCGTAGATCCTCCATCACGGATAAAGGGTGCATGTCGTACGCGCGCCAGAGAACGCCATAGCACCAACCACGCTCGCACATGGTACACTCAGTCATCATCCACTTCGGATGGTGATGGCGGCATGAGTGACAGTTCTTTGTGTTGTTCGATGTCTTCTTCCTTGTTTTCTGCATGGTGCCGTTTTTATTCAGCTCGAGTTCATCGTCGAGTTGTTCCCCACTGCCCTTTCTTCTCTTCTTCTTCTTGATGTCGACCCAAGGGCGAATTTCAAGTTGCTCGTTGCAGACTTGCGCAAGGGTCTTCTTTTGCAATAGTTTCCTTTCCTCTTCTAGTGGCAATGGAATCTTGTCAGTCGGTAAGCAATCCATTTCCAAGATCTGATGCCTCCACTCTTCATACTCCGCAAGCAGATTTTTCCAGTGCCACTGCTCTACCCACTTGTATTTGCTCTGGCACCTACAGCAACGTCCCATGACAAAACAATCCATGCAAAGATCGTATGGCTCGTCTATCCCGGTATTGAAAAAATCCACGCACGTCTTACAAGTGAGGAAGCGGTTGAATATATTTCCCCTGCAATAAGAGCATGCCACATTTGAATCGTATTCCAAGAATTCAGGCTGGCTGTCGTTAGAGAGCGTACTTGGACCGAACGATTCAGAAAGCATTATTTTTTTGAATAACTCGAAAAGCCGTCGAAAATCCTTTTGGACCTGGCGCACCTTGCAGGAAGCACCAATGGCTTTGCTTTCGTGTGCGGAGCGCATAGAGAGAAGGCGGGCCTGAGAAAGAAGTCGTGAGTATTTTTGGAGGGTGTAGTAAACTATTGCTTTGTTTTTGTACTGCTCGTCTCGGCATACCATTCGTGCGTTCGGAAGTGCCTCGTTTAGGGCCATTTCAAGTGTCTCCACAGTCGTGCGATTCCATGCAACTTTCATGGTGCGGGTTCCACGGTTCCATACTTGATGCGCTGCTAGAGGAGGGATAAGAATGAAGTCACCGACACGCTGCTCGACAACATACACCTTAAATGGTGCATTCCGCCAGGCAGCCACCTGGGCAAAGTGCTTTTCAATCTCTATATCATGGCCAAGCACGGTCAGCCAATACTCAGACACAATGTGCCGGTCTTTGGTCTCTGTCATGAACCAAATGGACGAGCCCGGTTTTTCAGGCTGGCCATCCTCATCAAAAGTCGAGGAAGTGTTGACCATAATGTTGTGGCCAAGCGATGCGCACATCTCCTTGTGGGCGGGTGTATATGTACCCTCATGACCAATATAGCACATGAGGTTTTCTGCGCGCATGGCTTGCGGCAAAGAGGACATCAAATCGCCTGATGGCGCAATTCCTCTGCCTTTCCTGCGCCCGACGCCTGGTATGTCTTCATCTAGGGCCCCGGCACCGCCCAATTCCCCCGTACCATCATTCCAATAAAACAGAATCTGAGGTATGTGTTCACGTAACTGCTCCTGCCATACAGGGGGACAATCGATATCTTTTAAGTAAACACGTTGGGACTTCTTGTCTTTGTAACTATCTGGCCGCTCGAAAAATTGATTCGCGAGCTTCGCCATATTCTTCAGATAATGTCCGATCGTGACGGGGATGTTCTCCTGAGTTGTGAGATTCCATGCATTCTCCTCTAGGGGTATATTTCTCAGCAGAAGTTCATCAACAGCTTACAGAGGGCTGCTCTTACGCTTTGAACCATGGTTCGCAATTAGCCATTTTGTCGTAAAGAGCCATGGGTCAAATCGATTCTGTAACCCGTCAATTACAAGCGGTTTGCCTCCCTGGATGACATGTAACGACACAAGCCTCTCGAACATTGCTAAACCTCCCTCTTCAATCTTGTCCATAGAGATTCGAGCTGCATATTCAAAGTTCTTATTGTTTTCGACGAGCGAGTGAAGATCATAGTGAGGCGATATGGGCTCAAATGAAGCTTGCGGTCGTGATGCAGGCATTTTGGGAGTCGATCTACTGCTGCATCTGGCTCCTGGACTAGACTGTCACGTTGTGCTCATCTTGCTACGGTTGAATTTCAGCATGGAGGGCACGGAGAATGCGTAGTCGACTATATGTGGACTGAAGGAGAGGGACGCTCAAGTAGCCAGCATGAGTGACTAACTCTCTCTGTGTGGGAAGTTTTATGCGCGTCACTAAGCGCATTCTACTCTTACAATAAATTCAAAGACGTGAATGTAGGCCACCAAGTGACCGAGAGTCGCGAGGGTCGAGACTATCCCAAATCAGGGAGGAACCAGATGCGGAAAGCACGTGATCCCGCGTCAACCCTTTCGACTCCTCTGAGGGAGAGAGTTCAACGTGAAATGCAAACAATGAGCTCTTAGCGCACCCCATCATTTGCAGGTACATTGAATTCCATTGAGTTACGTTTTAGGGTTTTCTAACGCACAATAGCAGACTTCTCATTCATTCACTCATTCATTCAGATGTGGGGTCACAATGCATTTGGGAGCAGGTAGCAGGAGAGCGTGTGGCACTCTTCCATTCCGATTCATCGGCAGGAGGCATGTCGAGACGCTTGGGTTGAAATTTTCGAGCTCTGGAGGGAGAATTCATGCTACATGGCCATCCAGAGCATCGATTTCACGAAGTAGATCACCCCGGAGCTTATATCTTTGTGGTCCATTTGAGTCTTGCCGAACTCTTGCTACAATCCAAGGTGATTCGAAGACTCTGTCTTCGCTCAACTCGGAGCAGCTTGAGCCGTACAGACCGCCAACCACTGGCCTATTGTCGTATCTTCCTCGTGCAGCCGTGCCATATGCTGAGCTAATTCGTCTGGATAAACCCACTGGAACGTACTACCTCTTCTTTCCCTGCCTCTTTAGCACGCTTCTTGCTGCACCACTCGTTACGCCCATTGCTCCTCTCTCAGTGGTTCTTGGAAAGATTGCTATCTTCGCAACAGGCGCTCTTGTCATGCGTGGGGCAGGTTGCACAATTAACGACCTCTGGGACCGAAACTTGGATCCTCATGTTGCGCGCACACGTCTTCGACCCATCGCACGCGGCGCTGTCTCTCCTCGAAACGCCCTTTTTTTTACGGCAGGGCAGTTGATGGTTGGTCTGGCCGTTTTACTGCAGCTACCACAACCAGAATCCTTCTTTTATGGCGCCGCCTCTCTCCCGCTTGTGGCACTTTACCCGCTTGCAAAACGCGTGACGTACTATCCACAAGCTGTTTTGGGCCTCACGTTCTCCTGGGGCGCCTGGATGGGATTTCCTGCTTTGGGAATCGATCTGCTTTCAGACACTACGGCTCTGACTGCTGCCGCGCTACTTTACACGAGCAACGTGTGTTGGACTATTCTATATGACATGATCTACGCGCATATGGACATCAAAGATGATGTAAAAGCAGGCATTAAATCTATCGCTCTGGCACATGAAGCAAACACGAAAACCGTCCTGACCGGTCTAGCTACAGCGCAGGTTGGGCTTCTGGCTGCAGCAGGAACTGTCGTCGGTGCAGGACCAATATTCTTTGCTGGAAGTTGTGGATCCGCGATTGCGACACTAGCTGTTATGATATGGAGAGTCAACTTGAAGAACGTGAAGAGCTGTTGGTGGTGGTTCAGAAATGGCTGTTGGCTTACTGGTGGAGGTATTGGGCTTGGGTTGTTTGGAGAATACCTCGCTAAGTATTTGGAATGGTATGAAACTGGACCGGATAGAAGTCAGGGGCTGCATACTCCCACTTAGGTGCGCATTCACTTGTGAGTTGTGCACTGCGAAAGCTGGGAATCACTTAGTGAATCGACGATCGGGCACACAATACCAAGCCTTTGATTCTACCTGGCATAAGATCAGAAGACGAAGTGGCAAAAATTGAGAACACACTGTTATCTCATCCAAATTTTTTTGGTATTCGGAGCTATTGTCGTTTCAAACTCTTGATTCCCAATCATGAACGCTCGAGATTTATCAATGCCAGATCTCATTGTACTGTAGTGCCATCCTGTTTGCAAGGAACAAAAGGAAAGAAAGGTCGTACTTCATTGTTTCAAAGAAAAACTTCTATCAAATACCATTGTTAAACTAACAAACTGCACAGAGGGAAAGGCGAGATTTGCGATACCCATACAAGCAGTCCGCAGGCGGCACTGTTTGAACAAGTCCTGCTACATCGAATAAAACTATCTGAACAAGTTGTTAGTCAAAATGGCGCAAGAGTCGCAACACCTCATCTTCTCGGTCAGCACAAAAAATCATGAGTCTGGAATTGTTCGCGGAACACTGTCACGCCATCCAGACACTCCAAAGTATCCCATCACACGAGTCAAACCTGTGCATACTACTGCCTCATCTCTGATCGGAAGGCCTGTTCTTAACGCTGTAATTAAGGTATTCGCTCAGATCTCAGCTTCAAATTTGTGAATATCACGTCTCACAATGACAGCCACAGCGTAAGCGCCCACGTCACGAGCAAGATCTAGGAAGTGACGACATTGAAAGCGATGAAGAGTTTGTGCACATACCTCCAACATCGTCCAAGCGCCAGCGCAAGGTCGACTCTTCTTTGACCAGCAATGATGCCGAAGTCGATTTTGGTCACTCGAGCGGTGAGGCCATCCGCGCTCAGGGGCGCTCAACGCCACGTCTTTCCTGGCAAAAGGACAGTTCAGATGTAGTGGCCGTAGAGAATGATGTCCCAAATCTCGAAAAGCGGAAGCTGAACATGAATCGCGCAGCCGGGGATCTGCTTATGACACCTAAAGCCGCTCATCAAGGCGGGTTCACGGAAGTGATGGTCGAATGGGCGACATGTATGGCCGAAGCTTTGCTTTTGGGTGCGAAGCACCGATTTTTTGATCTTGCGCAGCAGTACGAGTTCTCGGCAAAACGGAGCGCTAATTACCAGCGTGTGAAGGGCGTGGAGGGATTTGAGTTGGGGGACGATCCAGTTCTAAGGCGAGTTGCATCAGCAGGATGCTGGTTGTTTAGGGATGATACGTCTGAAGAAGCGGAAATGGGGGCCATCGAAGATCTGCTTCAAGTAACACAAGAGCTAAAGGAGTGCATTGCGAAAGCGAGGACACTGGAGATGATGTTCCAGGCACGGTATAGAGGCTGACGAGGCCTGTCCAGTTCTCAACAGTTTTGCATGACTACGGTGTGATGATTCATTATATGTATTACAAGTGGGAAGAGATAATTATCCCGCGAAAGGAAAGGACAATCGGTTATCGACATCTGGTTGCATGACCCCAATCCGGAGGTTTGATGTCATAAATGTACTTCAACTACACAGTGAATGCCATGCCACCATTCGCACAAACTACGCTGCCAGTACACCAAGCCGCTTCTGGTAAACACAACATTCCAATTACCCCCGCAATCTCATAATCCTTTCCATTTCTACCACCTGTCTTTTTGGCTTCTTCGACTTCCTTTTCGCTGTCAATACCCTCTCTAGCTCGCATAAGCGGCGCATGCTGAATGAACGGTTTCATATTCGCAGCAAATTCTTCCGTGGTGCCCATGTACATGTCCGTTGCTACGGGTCCAGGATTCACCGCATTGACAGTGGCTCGCTCAGACAGCTCCCGGGACCAGGTTCGCGTCATGGCTTCTAAAGCTGCTTTTGTACCTCCGTATACGGATTGAGCGATGAAGCCCAGGGACGAGGACACAGAGGACACGTTCACAATTCTTCCACTACGATCGTGAGGTAAATATGGTAGCGCTGCCTTCATGAGCAAAAGTGGTCCCCGAACGTTGATATTGTACTGAAACGCAAAGTCTTCAGCATCGCAGTCCTGGATCTTACGGTTCACGGATACACCTGCATTGTTGATGATGATGTCAATTTGGAACTTTCCGCTTTGCGAGGAGGCCATATGGTTCTTCGCCTCGTTGATAATATGGGCTGGTCCATCCTCAGAGCCCATGTCTGCGGGTACGACCAAAGTTTTCACGCGGTACTTGGATTCCAGTTGGTCGGCGAGCTTATTTGTGCGTTCTGCAGACGATTGGCTGGTGTAATTCATCACCAGATTTGCACCTCGGCTTGCGAAATATTCGCATGTTGCGGCACCGATTCCTGTAGACTTCAGCTCTTGCTCTCATTAGACACAATGAGTGGTTTAGGTAGCTGTACCTCGCGAAGCTCCTGTGATAATCGCAAGCTTCCCGTCGAACGGTTTATGGCTGGGGACCATGAGGCCAACTGCTGCCTGAGAGGCTGCCATTCTATAATAATTTATTCTTGTTTACTCTGAGCAAGAATAAGTAAGGGTATTTAGCCCCACCTGTTTTTGCTTCACACCTTAGATTCCTTGTCAAGAGAAGAGTTTGATGCCGCGTACTCTAGCGAAGAAGTCACAGATGTGGAAGTATGTGGAAGAGATAAGTGACAAAAGACCGAAGAGGAGAGGAACAGTTCTGCGACCGTTTAATGAATGTTCCGGGACAGCTTTGGTAGGGCACTACTCTCATGCTGCCCGTGTCGGGGTTTCTATCGCCGAATAAGTGGCGGTGCCGATCTCGGTACTTGCGTTTGTACTTCAATCTACTATTTCTCCACAAATGGGGGAATATCATGGTTGATCTTCGTTTTGAGATGGATTCTAGATACGAACATGGCATCTTCTACATCGTAGACGGAGGAAGGCTCTCCAAGAATGCAAACTGATAACCTATAGCTAGTACAACACTGAGTGAAAGGGTACCTTAGGCGCTAAAGCCGCCAAGCGATCCTCGCTTGCGTTGTGGTCGCGGAGCCGCACCAACGACATCACATCCATTACCACACCCCAATCTCAGCAGCTTCAAACAGCAAACCACACAACATGTCGTGGGCGGCAAAGAAGGCCAAGTCCGCCGCCTTGTCGGCTCAGCGATTTGAAGTAAGTAACATTACCATTGAGATCTTTCCTTGCTCATTGCTAATGCATCCAACCTTCAGAAGTACACTGTTCAACCTACGGGTATCTGGGGTCGCATCAACAAGCTTCTCGCTGTAGATCCGAAGCGTTCTACAGGTGTTCCTCTCAATCCACAGTTCCGAAACCCGCCACCAGGCTCCAACGACCCGCTTGCATACGATGATCCAGTTACCGTACCCGCAGCAGATATCGCAGATAACCCTTACTGGAAACGTGACACCCGCCGCTCATACCCGCGACTGAGCAGTGTGTCTCAGGCAGATGTTGTTGCCTTGTTGACTGTGGGTAGCAAGGCCGCTCCTAGAGATGACGTTCTACAATTGGGCGACTCTGGGAAGAAGCAATTAGTTGAGGTGAAGGAGAAGGGTAAAGACGGTGGAATTGCAGTGTTATTGGCAAAGGAGACGGCATTGGGCAAGGGTGTATTGGGAGAGGGCGGACTGCCACCTCGGCCGCCAACTACGCTTGGAGCGAAGCCATATAAGCTTACCCAGGAGCAGAGCTATGACGGAGAGTAAGTCAACGCATATCAAGAAGCCGATCTGGCAATACCCTTTTCCTCTCGATAACGCAGCTGCTAAATTGTTCCAGATACCCATGCAGAACATGGAGCTAATGTCGCAGCCAAATTTGAGGTGATATTTCGCTCCCTCCAGATCTTGGGGCATGTATATATCTGAGATATTTGTTATGTCTAGAAGTGTTGTGCTACAAATTTTTTTGACATTTTCCATCCCTATCACCCAGTATCAACGTATGACCAAAGGATGCCGCGGAATAACACCACGTTGGTCGAACAGGGAAGGAGCTCTCTGCTAGACCGCGACGCCCGGAAGGAAGTTGCCAGGAATTATACCTGCCATTTCAGTTCTCAAAGGACACGAGCAATTTCATCCTACTCAAGACCACTGTTAACTGCCTCCAGAACAACGCGATATGAGTTCGAATATATCCTTACCGGATCTTCCATCTCCATTTGATATCATCTTCAGCTGTGCGGTTTGCCAGAAGACGATCAGCGAGCTCTATGAGCATCCACGTACAGACCATTGCTTTAATTCAGACCATGGAGACAGGGAGCGTGTTGTGACGCGCCTTTGGCTCGCCAGCTGTGGACATCTGACGTGTAACGACCACTTGGAAGGTGGCGGTATGATTTCTTCGCACCACACTGCTTCATAACACGCTGATTTCGCTGTCAAGGTGTGCCCTTCCATTCGCAGAGCGAAAAGCCTAGCGCGCCTTGTCCCGTCTGTGTCCGTGACAAATGCGACAAGACGTCCCGACTTCTCTTCGGGATCGTCGGCGATCAAGAAGATAAGCATGACAAAGATATCCCACAAGAATACTTTCGCATACCGCCTTTCGATCTCTCAGGAGATGGAAACTCTGCCAGTGCTATACGTGTGCGTAACGACAAGTTTATGAAGGAGAATTACCTAATGTCCAAAATAGTTCCAGTATCTTTCGCTCATTCGTTTTGGTGGTTCAATGGCAAAGCGATATAATCAAGCTAAACGAGCCGCGAGCGCGGCAGAAAGTCATGCAAGTAATTTGGCAAAAGCATTGGAGCAAACGAGAATGGAGGCTGTCCAGCTCAAGGCACAAGTTGATCACTTGAAGATCACCGAGAAGAAGTATGCCAAATATAAGGAACGTGAGCCTGAGATCAGGCATTATCTCGGAAATTGGGCGGCGCTAGCAAGGTAGGCTCATGTGTGTTTACGTCAATGAGGATGCTAATATTAACAGAGAAAACAATGTGTTAAAAACCCAGCTAAGACGTTTAGGTTTTCATACTCCGCGCACAACCTGGGCATTTCGTGAGAAGAAGCCAAGTTTTGAAAATTCAATGCATCAAACTAGTGGTAAATAACTATTATTTCCTACCATGTGTTGAAGTTAACGTTTTAGATCCGTACAAGACATCGTGTTCGGGCAAAAAGCGAAATTACGATGAATATCTGGCAGATCATCTCTACGATCATGATAAAGCAGCAAAAAAGCCGTTAACACCAAGTCTAGCTCCAGCATTACCTCTAAATCTTGAATCGTTTTGCTCAACAAGCCAGGTAAACTCTAAAGGTGAGGCACGGCAGACTTACGCCGTTAATGAACATACCCACTCACATTCGTTACACCAACGAGATTTTTCCCCAATGGATGGAAAACTGCACTCGCGCCTACATTCCTACGCATTTGACGAAGGATGTCTCAACCCTTACAATCAAAGCGCAAAATACGTTGAAAGCCACACTTCAAACCCACTGGATCATACCATTCACCAGGGCAAGGACACTCTGACGAGGAACCAGTTCGTTGGTTCTGATAGACCAAGGAATTCAGCATCTCAGAGCTCTTTAATTCGAAAGAATCTTTCGTACATCCCTTGCTCTGAAGGCTTAACAGGAAGATGCTCACCTTACCAGTTTGATGAAGGAATATATTCAAATTCCTTCTGTGCACCTCTAAGGACGGTGAAGAGAACGGACTTTTCAAGAGCAGAGGGAGGAAATGTTCTAGAAACAAAAAGAGACTCGTCAGACTTGTCAAATGCTCTACCTCGGCACCAGAGTTTTCCAATATCAAGTTCACAGTGCTGTGTTCCACGGTATGAGCCGGAGTATCCAGCATCATACCGTCGCTGCTCGCGCTTTAGCCAGAACACTCTCACGCCTCAAATGTCTCAATCGCTTAATGCACTATCCTTCATCCAAGAACCATATACAACCGCAAATAGACCAGTCTATACACGCCCGAGTTCTCAGTCAGTGTTCCTAGACTCGAGATCCGTACACCACCACCGTGCTGCGCGTCGCGTATTTGACACGCGAATTAAAGCCAGTCGAAGGTCGATGGCTTCCACGCTTGAGCAACCAATCAAGCGAATAGCTGAGACGAGTTCGGGAAACTGTCATGACGCTCTCAAAGGCTTGAAGGGTAGTACGTTGCAAGAATCTCGGCCTCCATTTCAACTTGATAGAGACAGAAGCTTTCAGAACTTGCCTCGACAACAAATAAGTCTGCATACAGCGGATGGTCGCCGAAGCGTGCTCAGATGAAAATTCGACGTTCACAACGTTTTCAGTTCTGCTGGTAAGTTTTGATTTTGTGCCAAAGGGTTGTTTCAACTGTTTGACGGAGCTAAAAGAAATACAAAAAATAAATAACTCGCCGTATTCAAGTCACAGAGCATAAAGCTTCAACAAAAATGATATAGGCACCGAAGGTTAACTTATGATGCTAAGCCCTCAATGCCAATTAAGAATGATTATCTGCACGTTTGACCCTAAACTTTGGTCGATGTTATGGCATCTGATTGTAATGTACTGGACGACATGGAGCTTTACAGCAGACGTTTGTATTTTCTATATTCTAGAGGGTTGCTCATCGTCATGCGCAAAGTAAGGTCGTAAACCCCTGTATATACGAGAATTTCTGCTCACGCTCGGGCTAAGAAGTATGGAATAACAAGAATTGACAATCAAGGTAAACCCCAAGAGCAAGCCTGCTTGAGGGTGATGTTTACTGCTTCATGTTCATTGCATTCTGGAATCTGGTAGCATGATTATAGTCCGCCTTTGACAAGGTTGTCCTAATTTGAAAAGAATTGAAAAAAAAAGAAAGCAAAGAAACAGGTCTGACGCTGCAAAGTTGAAAACTTGAAATTACGGTGGTGAAACACTCGGTCCATAACAAGTGGTGAGCTCTGGAGCCTCGCTTGATTCCAACCACATCGCTGAGCTCGTAGATCCGGGAATAACATTCAAAACCAGCGTCGTGTACCAGTTGCATGTGTAGGATCCAGGATCCCACCAAGCGACTTTGCACGGGGAAAACAAAGTACAATCCTGGAAGCAATCATATATGGTCCCGCCCCATAGCATGAAAGACTGCAAGGCGAATTCATCCGGTTCGCCGCCGCAGGCAAGGACAGTGCCCGGGACTCCCATCAAGGTTAGAGGTATCGAAGCCACGTCGCCTGATTCGGGGAATATACCTGAGCCGCCAGGGTGACATGTGAAATCAGTGAGTGAGGGACAGGGAACTGGCACAGCACTGCTGGGTGATGGTACTGGGGAGGAAATCGAGGATGAGGACGAAGACGACCGTGTGGATGCAGCAGATGTTACAGACGATACAGAGATTGAAGAGGTAGAAAGGAGCGATGAGATGGAGCTGAACGACGATGAAGAACTGGCCGAAGAGGTAAAGCTAGACGATGAAGTGAGAACAATCGAGGACGTAGAAACCACTGAAGATGTCGAGCAAGCGGATGACGAAGAGCGGGATGAGTCGGTCGAAGATACGGTGCTAGTTAGTTCAAGACACTAAGCTAGAGGAAAACGTCGATTGGCCAGACGAAATCAAACTTGTAGAGGAAGCTGAGCTGTTTGAGAACACCGAACTTGTCGAGACTGAATTTGTCGAAGACGCCGGACTTGTTGAGGACACTGAACTTGTAGAGGTCACTGAATTTGTAGAGATTATTGAATTTGTGGAGGACATTGAACTGTTCAACGACACTGAGCTCGCTGAAGAGGCCGAATTTGGCGACAGAGCGGAGCTTAGCGAAGATGACGAGCTGAAGGAGCCAGACAATGAGGTGAACACGCCTGTCGAGGACGAGATTGAGGACAAGGACGAAGACAATATTGACGAAGGGGACAGGGAAGATCCACTGGAAACCGAGGACGAGGAGCCGTAGATCGAAGGTGTTGAAGAGAGGGTCGACGCGGAAGACGGGGACGGAGTCAGTGTCGACACCGTCGACTGCGATGGAGCGGACAAGCTTGTAGCCGAGCTTGGGAACTGTGAGCTACGCGAGCTCGAGGGGGCTCGACGGAGAGGAGCCCGTTGGTGACATAGACGGCGCGGATTGTGAAGGCGACGAAAGAGACACCATTGAAGCTGATGAGACTGAAGAGAGCGGGCCCAGTTGAGATGACCCTGAAAGTGGCTGCGACGTAGTTGTCGTAAGGGGACGGCTTGGCGAAGGAGAGCCAGACGAGGTTGGACTGATCACCACGGAGTTAGGAATGCTGCTCCTTTGGGTGGCTGGGGTAGATGTCGACCTCCAGGATGACAACGACGCTTGTATAGTGCCGCTCGAGCTAGCAAGTGCTGATGTGCTGCGGCGAGATGTCAAAGCAGGACTGGCGTTATTGGACCGAGTGTTGGCGCTCCTCGCACTCGACGAATTTGCATATCCTCCCGAGGGAAAGAAATGACTGATAGTGGGAGCAGAAGCATGACTTGACGTCAAGAGAGTTGGTTGGGTTTCAGAATGGGTTGCCCTGTTTGACTCTGCGGCTGTCGAAGAGGCCTCGTGGTCGCCATGATCGCTGTAGCCTGAAGAGCTCCAGGTATTTTCCCCGTACCCGCCGCTGTCCCCGTAGAGGCTGGCGGACATCTGATTTCCATCCCAGGGTTCCGCGCTTGCAGGCGGCCCTCCGCTGCCGCCGCGACCGGTCTCTTAGGGAGTAGACGACCATAATCTCGACCACCACTGCAAAGCTTACCCGCCGTACCAATTCTTTCTCTGCTCCGTGGAATACGCGCCAATGCCGCCATTGCCAACCCAGCCTATCTCCTTTGGCGATTGACCACCGGATATCTCTGCTTCCCAGATGCTCACGGGAGGGACAGTGACTGTGGTCGTAACAGTGCGGACGAGACACATAGAGGGGCCAGCTTGCGCGGCGACGGGTGTGAAGGTAACACGATCCGCCTAAACTGCGGCCGAGGCACCCCAAACCACGAGTGCGATTCTCATTGTCGCGTGTTTCCCTTTGAGCAGGCGGATGGTACGAAACAAAGGAGTGAAATCCGCGCCGATGTCACGGCATCCGGGTGGGAGAGAGCGCGGTTGCTTTGAAGAAAGGAAGGGACACACCTACGGCGCGAGAACAACAAGAGACTGAGAGTACGAAAAAAACGATGAGCGAAGGCGACCAGAGGCGAGCCGATACTATTAAGAAGCAAAAAAAAAAAGAGAGTCAAAGTCTACCACTACTCCACCCACTATTACGCGCGAGAGAAGTAGGAATAGAAACCATGTCTCCACCGCAACAGATGATTCTAGGAATCTTTACCGACCAGCGTGATAGGGAAAGTCGCTTGAGCCGGATTCAGTCGAGGTGGTATTCGTTAGGTTAGATCCAATATTACTGTCAGACTTAAGATTGCCACTATTCTTTTCACCTGTAACTGAGACACGGACAACAGCGGCAGGCTTGCGGAAAGGCACGACAGAACCCATTCTGGTGTAGCCGCGAAAGAGAGCCGCACAGAGGATGCGCATGGGGAAAGGTGCCTTTGTTGGCAATTGTCGCAGGCGTCAAGCAAAGGTGGATTTTATCCATGCTAATACATGAAGCTTGAGCTCTTGCAGGCAAAAAGAAGCGACAGGAGTCGAAGAATCGAGGTCTCAGTGGCACCGCACTACTCCTTAGCTTTGTCAAGTTGACATTAGTTATGCGGCTGAGAGGCGATTGTCAGGGGAAGTCGACCAAAATCATGTGACCGACAAGTAGGCAAATGTCGATTTCACGGCATCGCGAAGGACTTGACGCGCCAACGAGGCGCAAATGTTCACACAATGTCATGCTAGATATTTCCACCGAGCCCCCGATGCAGAGACTGACATTGATCACCTGGAGACAAGCTCGAAAAGCCTTCAGCGCTGAAGCTGCATTACGAAAAGAACTTACTCGTCTCTTCCCAGTCGGCATAACGTGCAGAGCGACTTGTCAAACATAGCGTCGACATTCAACGAGCCGAGCATGTTCTTCTTTTGCTCACTTCTGTCATTACCTGATCATTGCCTGCAGGACGTATCAGATGCTTGTCACCTTTGTCGGCTCGCGTGGCGAAGATTAAGGAGTACTAAAAACGCAGTTCGTCGCACGTATCATTGCATCCTGTCAGTGAAAGCATCACGGACACGCTCTAGGCACGGCAATCATGCCGAAAAGTACAGGACGCATGAAAGGGGGAGGGCCGCGCGTTTGGAGCATTCTAAACATAGCCCACACAAAAGATGAGATACATCACCTCAGACTTGCGAAAGAGGTAACTCGTCATTGACAAACAAACGCGTTCTTTTTGACGGAAGTAGAGCGCCGAGAGGAATGCACGAGAACTAGGATGGTTTTTCTTGATTCTATTTTTTCGATCCCTCAACATGGCTTCGAGTGCGCGCCGACCTCAAATCGCCAAGTCTGCCAAGATCGGCTAGCTCGAATGCAGCCTGAGGCCGCAGCGCTGTCGTGAGGATCGGATGCAATGTGCACGAAAAAAGATTTTAAAAAAAAAAAAAAAGAATCTGGCATCAAGAAGTGGTGCCTTAGGCCGCATCTAAGATGAGCCATCCTGCACTCCCGTTCGTCCATGGGGCTCGATGCCGCGGGCCGTCACGGCTTTTGGGTGCCGATAAGTTTACTTACGTGGGAAAACTTTTTTATCACGCGGATGCGCAGGATTTTTTCTTTTTCTGCTTCTTCAGCAAAGCAGCTACGGAACCGAACAGCGGACGAACTCGTCGCAGGTCAGCAGTTCCGTAGATTGTCTGAACAGGACTGTTGTCAGGCATAAAGCGCGCGTGGAAATGCACCGCGCTCCGGCTCTGCTTCCGACGCTCGGCTAAAACGCGCGTCGCTCGAAAACACAGAGTGTTTCTCTCACTTCCTTCTTGTACCCGCGCACGTGTTTTGCGTGCGGTAGCGGGGGATGACGACGCGAAGGCATCCTTCGTGATGACGGCATCGTTTTGCTGCGTGACAAAAGCCGGGAGCTCCGAGGCTGGAACTGAAGCCGAAGCGGGCAACCCACCTGAAGCTAAGCTGGGAGCTGCTGTGTGTTGTCATTCTTGCTTACGGGCAAAATGCGTAAAACAGCGGGGCTCTAACAAAATGCAAGGACAAAGGAAACACAAAACAGAAGCCGTGTGCCTGAATCATAACCGACATCATATGAATGCGGATCTCCTTTTCCACAGCGTACGAGACGTAGCACCGCGCTCTGGTGCACAGGCGCGCGTGTAATTAAAGAGACAGGTCCGGTTTTTTCCATTCTCCCCCTTTCTTCTTCTCCTTTGGCGGCCGTCCGTGTAAGGTACACCGTGCACTCGCGGCCTGTCCGGCAGAAGGTTGTGTTCCCTCTTATCTTGAGCAAGATGAGTGATCGCAAGAAATCGAAGGCTTGACGCAGGGGATCTCCCGCTGCTGCGTTTTTGAAAGGCAAGCCTGCAGACAGGCTACCGGACTCGCGTGGACGGAAAGCTGGGAGACGTCGCGACGGAACTAGACGGGGAAAGGTACATGGAGACAGACTTGCGCGTGGCGAATGAAATGTTCAGGAGGGCATCCGGCGAGGAACCATGTGGGTGGGGAGCAAACGGGAAGAAGAATGGGGGGCAAGAGATGGAAGGAGGAGGGGAGGGGGGCGAGAGGTGGAAGGGAATCTGCATCTTCATCTTTCCTTTTTCACGGCCATCTCTGCCCTTTTAGCTTTCTTTGCTTTTGCTCGCACCGCAGGCACAGAGCAAGTTCGCTGTGCTGCGCATCAACGGGAGCGTCGCCTTTTGTGAATCCGGCAGCAGCGCAGGCAAGCTTTCTTGTGGCAGCTGCGAGAGCTGGGAGCTCAGCCGTTTTGACTTTGGGCCGTCTGTCCGCCCGACATTAGTGGGTTCGTTAGGCCCAGTGGCCAGTAGACCGGCAGGCGCCCTCCCCTAGCCAACACAGTGACGTGCCAATGGACCAGGGGGAGGTTCGACGCAATGAGGTCAGCGTGTGCGTAAGTACACCACGCACCCTCTTTTTTTGTTATATGACGTGATCCAATTTTGGGGTGGGCACGGGTTGTGAATCATGCAGCGCATGCTACGATCTTCCTTGGTTTGGAGGTTGCTCTGGCGCAGCGTGGTTGGTGTGGCCGAGGGGGGGTGTGCTGCTGAGACACGACGGAGATCCAGCGAGCGCTGGCGACTGCGCGCGGTCTCGTCGCTGGTGTCGCTGGGCTCGACTTGCACACGACGCAAAGCTGGATCCACCAAGTCGCGCAGCGCAGCAGGATGGAACGATGTGCGGCGTTTCGAGAAGGGCAGAGCAGCGACGACGGCCGAGGCCTGCGCATCCAACGGCCGGCCAGCGAATGAGCTTGCGCGCAAGGCCCCTGAGGGCCGGAAGCTGACAGGGAGTGCCGGCCGACGCATCCCTACTAGCGAGTGCATTAGCTCCTCTTCCGGCGCAGCCCTTGCCAAGGCTCCCAGCACGGCGACGACTCGCTGCGACGGCCGGGAAGGCAGCAGACAAATAACTGGCCGGAAGCGAGTGTGGGTGGGTGTTTTGTATGCGCGCATGCGTGTGTGGATGTGGGAGGCGGCCGCGGTGGTGGGTTTGCGAGCAGCAGCTGGAGCAAGTGATGCGCGCACCATCGCCGTGCAAGCGTGGAGCGGTGCCAGAGCCCAGTGCCAGTGCCAATGCCCGCGCCGGTCCTGGCCTCTGTCCTTCTCTGAACCTTTTTTGCCTCGCTGTACTTCCCGGGAAAAAGTGGCGCCTGGCCGCCCTTCCCTCGCCCCGTTTGGTCTCTAGCTCGCCTCTCTGCCTCTCTCTCTCTCTCTGGCTCTGTCTCGTCGCTCTTTTCTCTTCCTTCACCACCCGCATCTTCCACTTTCTTTTCTCTTCCCACACTCTTACTCCAAAAGTCACTCCCACACTTCCCTCTCTACCACACCTGGCCCCCTTCTTCCTCTTCCTTTTCTTTTCCCCCCCCCAACACCACCACCTTTCGCCCCCCGGCATCCGCAGTTTTATACGACCAACAGCTGGAATACGCTTGCTTGGTTCGTCTTCGCGTCTTTTTAATTAGATAGTTGCTCTGCGCTCGCCGCTGCAGCCCTATCTGCTCACTTCAAACCCTCCGTGGACCGATCTGCTGCTCCTACGCTTCACTCCCCTCCAACATTCACCACTGTTTGCCTGCCTCGCTTAATACCTTCTCTTCACTTCGCTCTTTAGCCTGCTCCTTCTGCCTATTTCTCTATTAATACTCTCTCCTTTCTTCTCCCGGCACACCCTCTTTTTTTGGTTCTCTTCTTGGCCTTGCCCTTCGGTCGGAATCTTTTGCGCGCGCGCGCACGACTGCTCACTGCCAACTCTCTGGTACCCGATTCCGAAAGGTACCGAGCTGCCACCTGGAACAAAAAAAAAAACGCTGCGACACGTCTTTTCGTGTCGTCACCGGAACCCACAACTGCTTTTCGCACAGCGCATCGTCGCACACCACGCATGTTGTCGAGACCACAGCGCTCCTGCTTGTGCCATGCAGACCATATTTCGCTTGCCTTGGAGCACCGAGCCAAGCAGCGATGAGGCACTCGCAGACAAGATGTACCTGCACAAGCCGCGCCCAAAGCAGCCGAGGGTTGACATCAGCATGCTGAACACCAACGCCTCCGGCACCGGTGCCACCGGCTCTGTCAAGCGCAAGCGAGTCGACGGTGGAGACGCGCATCACCCGACTACGCCTAAGCACCAGCATGCTCCGCCGCAAGTCAAGAAGCTGAAAAGCGAACGAGGCGACGGCGCTGTGCAGGCTCCTTCGGTCCTGCCAAAGGGTGTAGACGCGGTCGTGTCGTCGCACCCACCGACGCCTACGATCTCCATGGCTGACATCAGGCCGTACTCGCCCAGCCCTGCTCCCGCTGCTGCCGCCGGTTTTGCGAAAGAGAAGGAGCTACCGGCCGGTGTAACTCCCGTGTCGTCAGTTGCGCCTTCCCTCGCACCCTCTGCCGCACCTTCCCCCGTCTCCTCCGCCCCTGCCGTCAACGATGATGTCAAGACTGAGCCCGCCGCAACTTCCGCCACGGACCCTTTCGCTGTCACGCAGATGAAGGTAGACTTGGACTCCAACTTGGACAAGCTGCGCGCCATTATCGAGGCCCACATCAACCTGGAGATCCTCCACAAGCACAACGAGCTGCGCCTGATAGAGCAGGAACTCGCAAAATGTCAGATCAGTCTCGAGCAGCTCCGCCGCTGCGAGCTTATGCCCTATCCGGGATTCTCTGGTCCTTCGCAGACCGTCACTCAGGGCACTGGCAAGTCGCTCAAGGCTCCAGCCGGCTACACCGAACCGCAATACCCAGCGCCTTGGGGCGTTACGGACGGACCGTATGCGCGCCACTACGCGACATGGCTGCTGCCTGACCCTGCCTTTGACCCGTGGCGCGTCCATGGCGGCTCGCACGTTGGGACGCCAATGACAACGCGCGGCAACCGCGCGATGCATCGTGGCAATGCATTTGATTTCCACCTTCCCGTGCAGGCTGCGCGGACGTCACGCACCTCGACCGGCAATCGACAAGAACACGGAAACTCGTCTGGCCGAGATCCAATGATCATGAAGCGTCAGGCCGACAACGAGTGGGTCCGTTTGCGCTGCAGCGTGTGTCATCGCTCCAACTTCAACAACATCCAAGGCTTCCTCAATCACTGCCGTATCGCTCATCATCAGGATTACAAGAGCCATGAAGCTGCGGCTATCGCCTGTGGAGAGATTGTGCAGGTCGATGAGGCTACCATGACTGCCACTGAGCCTGCGTCAAAGGACCAGCATCCCCCTGCCCCATCAAGAGTTAACTCGATGCCCCTTCCCACCCCCGCGTCACGCGCAGAGCGCGTCGACTCGTTCCCCCTGAGCACGCCCGTCGATCAGCCACACGTCAACCCGCTCGTCCTTCAGCAACCCTCAACCAAGAATCCGATCGAGCGCATCATCGACTTGTCTAGCACAGGCTCCCCCAAGCCCTCTGCGACACCCCGCCCTGCAAAGAACAGCCGCAAGGGCACGCTGGCTCCACACTTGAGCTCTCTCATGCAACGCCGTGGCATGTCTACCTCAGATCTGCCGGCGTTCATTGTTGATGCCAAGAAGAAGGTCGACCTTTCCGTCTACGATGTCTCGGATTCTGATCATGACGTCGAAGTCAAAGCGCGCAAGCACAAGCAAAAGAAGCCTCCCAAATCAACTTCGACAAGTCATCAAAACCTACAGCGTTCGCAATCCACACCGAACGTTTCATCGTCTCGTCAACCAAGTGCGAAGAAAGCGGCTGGTCGTCAAATGCCCACGTTCTCAGTTAACCCAACCCCGTCGCCGCAGCCACATCCCATCGTGCATTCGCACCCGCCACCCATTACGGGCGTAGGCTTTCACCCATCTGTCTTCCAACATGTCCCCGAGACGCCATCAGATGGCGATGTCGAGATGGAGCTCAGCCCTGGCACGGCACCTGGCTTGGTTAGCGATCACGAAGAAGACGAGTTCGACGAGGATGAAGCTGGTAGCGCGAACGGCAGCCACACTTCCGGATTTATGGGGCTGAACCTGGGGTTGGAGGACGTAGAAATACGTGACGGGAGCGACGTGGAGCGCGATGAGAGGAAGTCCAGGGAAACCTGTGGAGGTAATGCCGCGTTGTTGGACTTCGTGGAGCGGTGATTGTGCTGTTCCGACTTGGTACCCGGCCCGCGTTTCTCCCAAGTTTGTCCGGGGCGATTACCGTTTGGATTCTATTCTTTTCTTTTTTTTCTCCTACTACCTGTGCTACTAATCACCGCTTCTTTCTTACTTTGCTTGCCTTTACTTTCAAAGGAGCGTCGGAGAGGGTGGAGAGTGGACCGAAGGCAACATGAAAAGTCTCCTGTATCATTCTTTATTTTTGTTGTGCTTTCTGGGTTGGATCTCTCGTGCTGGTGGATGTGAGATCCGGTGTATACTCATCATCACTGTCTGATTTTTAGCTCGGCGTTTGGGTGACAAAAGAAAAAGACGGGCCGGTTGGGTTGGGTTGGTGGCCTCCCCGGGTCCTATGGGGTTGGTCGGTGGTCGGTTGGTGGTTTACTTTACCTGTGTTCGATTACGGCCGTGTTTTTCTAATTCCTTTTTCATATGCTGGCGGGCCAACCCGGACATCTTCTAAGAGAAAGGGAGCCTCGTCTTCTGTTTTGTGTTTTTGAAAACTCCTCTCTCAAAATTGATCTCTTAACGAGGTCAAACAATCACGGTGTCTCTCGAGTGACACACTCTGCAACGTGTGCGGCTTAGACTGGTCCATGGTTGGGTGGAAATTACTTTTACTACTCTACTAGTGCAATACTTATGCTGACCACACTTCTTCGATTCTCAGAAGGCCTCTCTGATTTTTTGCATATTCGACGGCGTTCGATGTGCGAAGGGTGGTCTGTTGTATATTTAGATGAATCAAGACTTTTCGAAAAGACACTTGATCTGCTCTACGCGTTGCTTTGGTGTCGTACAAGTACACATCTTGCATCCAAATAGGAGGTAAGCCTGGAAAGTGGGACTGACCAACGTCTTCTCTTGAAGGCCATCCTCGACGCTCCTCCATTCCTGTAGGAGCATCGCGCATCCTGGGTGGCAAGCCGAAGTGTCTGCCTTGCATAGCTCGCGACGGCTTGTATCAAATGCTGCCTGACCAGCCAGACAAATACCTTGGATGGGTGGATGGGGCAGACGTCGCGTGCGCCATTTCGGAAGCCCCAACTTTACTCCTCCTTGCCCTTCTTTCTTCCTTCTCCACCTTCTCAGCCTCAAATTAGTGCACCACGCTTTTCGACGAGCGCGTCGTCGTCGTCGAAAGCGAAGCTCGAATTCTCTAACGCATGGTTCCCGGTGAATGAGGTTTGCGGGTTTAAGGTTGCGGATGGAACTAGGCCCCCCGGTTTTATTTTTTTTTATTTTTTTTTTTGAATATTCATTCCCCCTTCTTCTTGTTCTTCTCCTATTGCTGCAGCGGCCACTGCCACTACTACTACCATTTCATTCAGAGCTGCGGAGTTCTTAAGGTACCGAATTTGGAGTATGGAAGTGAGTCTTGGCCTCAGCGTCTACTCGGCCAGTCATTGGACCGGCAGTTTCCGAACACGAATTCCTCGACTTCAGCCGTACTGTAGAGCTAGCTGAACGTACCGGAAAGCTAGCATTCCGTGATGAATGTATCCAGAGTTAGCAACATGCACACATCTCGAATGCTGTGGCGTGGACGAAGAGGCTGCACAGATTGGAGCCATGCTGTCGAGGACGTGAGCACGTCGGCGTCCGCGACGTCTTACATGTCGGAAGTGGAATTCCCGTATGAAGGCCAAGACCACGATGCACACGAAGGCGAGCGACTGAGTTGAGACTCACAATTGCAAGCTCGATGGCACTGGTATCGTACGGCATCCTCCACGGTATAATCCGCGATGGAAGTTGGGAGCTCGAGTATTTAAGCAGCAAAGGAGACGACGCGACGTTCGTTCAGATGCGATCAACAGGCTAACCGAACGACAACGAATCAACCAACTCGAACTCTTCGTCTTTCAGCAGCGCGGACGCTATTTCTTCTTCGCGGCTCTACGGCTAACTCATCACAAGATGTCCTATTCTACTAAGCCCGTTCATATCGTCCAGAACGCCGGCGGCTGGACAGAAGAGAACAAGAAGCACCCCGTCGTGGAGTGGCTGCACGACTTTGAACGCGAGTTCGACTTTGGAAACATGAAGACAACCGGCCACGCCCCCTGGGCCACGGACGACTTCACCTTCTCCCAGTGCGGCGCCCCAAGTGCCACGCCGGGCGCAGCGGCGTTCGCCGCCCTCGTGGCCGTCTACGCGCCTTTCAGCGCTCACTACCACGAGCCGCATTGCTACCTCATCTGGGAGAACGAAAAGGGCTACGAGTTGACGGGCGTGGCCAACATGTACGGCACCTTCCACGTGCCCAGCGCTGGCGGCGAGAAGGTGAAGGACCTGGAGGGCCGCGAGTGGGACTTCAAGGGCCTCGGCAGCTTCTACTTTGTCTTCGAGAAGGACCCGAGCGGCCCCAAGGGCCTGAAGCTCAAATCGGAGGCTCTCGTCGCCGACGGGCTTCCGGTCGCCAAGGAACTGGTCAAGCGCGGCATGGCCACGCCCGACCAGGTCCTTGCCTGAACGGCCACGCCGCGGGCGGTACTCTCGACACGCCTTTTCGCCGAAAGAGGGCTTTTTTTGGGGAGAGGGCTGAAAGAGCTTGGGTGTGCGGAGTGCGGCGCTGTTCGCTTGGGGGTTGTGAGGAAGTGAGGGCTGTACCTTTCTTTGAATTCTTATTTGCTTTCACCGACACTCGCTATCATCATGGTCTCCGCGGATCGTGGTGAGAGTGGCCGGTGCTAGCCGGTCGATTCGAGGAGCCATGTTACTGAGACAAAAATTGGACTTTGGATTGCTTGGAAAGTCTGGTATCTCTTCTCTCTCTATTTTTTTCCCCCTTCAATTTTGTTTCTTCTCCTCTTTTCTTAATGATCAATCATCCATGTCCTTCTCTTAACTATCTCATGCGCTCGCCTTTACGACGTGGAACCCGTCAAACGCAGGCAAGACTCGTCTGATCTCCTCGGCGTAATTGTGCAAGCCTCCTGCATAGTTCGTCTGCTCGAACGCCTTGTCCGGCTTGCTTCCTCCCATGTACCTTTACGCGGCGTTAGCTGGGAGAGGGGATAACGAGGTTCCTTTGGCAGGGCTTGACGTTATACTTACGTGCTCTTGGTGGTTGGGAACAAAGATATGTCGCTGAGGTGGTTGATCTTCTTCTTCCACTCTCTGCTCGCCTCGTCCGTCGGGTTGATGTACTTGATCCCCTTGCGCTCGCATGCCTTGATCACGTCCGTAATCCATCTCCCTTGCACCTCTATGGTGGTGGGCCCATTGGATAGCAAAGTCGGGCCGTGAGGCCCGTACAGATGAAACATGTTCGGGTATCCAGCCACGGTCGTGCCAAGGTACGTGTACGCTGCTTTCTTCCACTGCTCCTCGAGACTGACGCCGTCTATGTTACGGAGGCCCATGGCCGTCATGCCGCCTGTTACGACGTCGAAGCCGCTGGCTATGCAGATCACGTCAAAGTCGTGGTGCGTTCCGTCCGCCAGGTTGATGCCGTCCTCGTCGAAGCTGACAATGGGGTTGTCCTTGATGTCGACGACGTCGACATTGGGCCGGTTGAACTGCTCCAGGTACGCGTACTCAAGACAAGGCCGCTTGACGCCCCAGTAGTGCGGCATCTTCAGCGGCGCCAGGATGTCTCGTTTTCTTGGATCCTCGATCCGGGCGCGCTGCTTCTTGGCCCAGAAGTTGTACACCTCCTGGTTTGCCTCCTTGTCGTACAGGTAGTCCTTGTAGTTGCCCAGCCAGTAGCGGAAGCCGCCGTCCTGCCACAGCTTCTCGAAGAAGGCCTCCCGTTCCTCCGGCGTGTCGTCGAACGTGTTTCGCTCGGAGAACGTGTACAGGAAGCCGCCGAAGCAGTGTTCGCGCAGGTGGAGGAGCTCCGGGTACCACTTCTTGGCCGACTCCTGTTCTTCGACGGTGAGGTCGCGCTGGCGCATCGGCACGCACAGGTTGGGCGTCCGCTGGAAGACCTTGAGGTGGCCGGCTTTGGGGCCCCACGCTTGGGTCAACTGAACGCCCGTCGCTCCGGTTCCGATAATGGCGCATTTCTTGCCCTCGACAGAGACCTCCTCGTCCGGCCAGAACGATGAGTGGTGGACGATGCCTTTGAACTTGTCGATTCCAGGCCAGTCGGGGACGTACCGCTTGGCGGCAAAACCGGCACAGATCACAAGGTACTTGCATTTGGCGGTCCTTCCGTCCGCCGTCTCGACGCGCCAGCGTCCTTCTTCAGGGTCGAACTGGGCACCCGTGACGACGCTCTCGAACGCGGTTTGACTCTTTATGTCGAGGACCCTGTCGCAGGTATCAAAGTAATCTCGCAAGTCGTGATAGTTTGGATAGTTGTTTGGCCAATTGTGGCTGTCATCGCGTCAGCTTGACGTACGGCTCACGGATCAATACAACTAGAACACGGACGCCTTGATTACTTCCGGGATGTTAAGCTGGTACTCGGGTACTTCCGAGTCGACCATAGCCCCGGCTGTTCACCATGTTAAAACAGATTCGCTGTGGGTTCAATGACCACTGACGATAGCAGTTCCAACGCCAAGTTCCGCCCAGGTCCGTGCCGGCTTCGTAGATTACAGTTTTGAGCCCAGCCTTCCGGAGAGACCAGAACATGAACACGCCAGCGAACCCTCCCCCGACTATGAGGGCGTCGACTTCGAGATTGTCCACGTAAGGACCGTCCGTACGTCGACGACGCCCTTATTCGCGCAGCTGCGTCCGGAGTTTCGGGTTTGATAGCTCAGGCCGAGTCATTTTGGCTGTCAATGCTGCTCCTTCCAGGATGTTATCACAAAAGTTCGGGACTCAGAGATGGTGTCATTCTTTGATCCACAGTCTTTCCGGCCCTTTATATGCCATTCGATTTCCTCGTTCTTCGACAACGCACTTCGGAGGAACGGAAGCTTGGTAATTGTTGGGATGATGCCCGCTATGGATTATGCTCACAAGACACACTGTACGTAGTTTCGAGCAGCATATCATGTCGACGACGAGCATTTCTCCTCATGCCTTGAGACACAAAATCGTACGACTCAAGGCGCAGTCAGGGATCCGCATAATCCAAGACCCTTGCTTGTCAGCCTAACCAAAGCGACAAGGTACATGTTCGTCACGTTGGTCGGCTATATGATCAAGCGTTAGAGGTCATGGTTGTTAGCCCGTCTCGCGAGCGAACCAAACGAACGCGGACTATTCTATGTGCACCACCCGCATCATCGACATGGCGCTTCCACAACGGCCGAATTTTTTATATGTTAAACAGCCAAAATCTAGAGGAAATGACCATAAAATCAAATCAGGGCCTTAGCAACAAATACCCCACGTTGCTTCTACGAAAGTGGGGCTACCCCAGAAATTGCCCCTGTTGTCCCCCTCTTATATCCTTTGATCCTCTGACGTCCCCCCGCTCTGCAAGAAAACCCTCTTCTCGAACGTACATGCTGTGTCAGTGCCGCGGACACGACGTGTTGGCATCAGAGAAGCAGTGATTTGCAGTCTCGACGTACGCCTTATCCGAACTATCCGTTCCATTCCTCCGTGGAGAGAACATAGACAGGCAACGAGGGTCAAAAAGTTGCAGAGCCCCAACCAGACTAGAAACAAAAGCCTTCACTTTTCGTACTTTCTCAAAAAAAAAAAATGGGTCTTTCAGTCGAGGCTGTCAGCAAACTGAAGAGCGCCTTTGACGGCGCGTGTGCCGACAAAGACAAAGGCATCCCTGGCGTGGTCGGCGTCGCCGTCGGACGTGACGGCAAGGAGCTGTTTGCCCACGCCTCGGGCAAGCGAGGATTCGGATCCGACGAGCCTATGTCGTTGGATACCATCTTCTGGATTGCATCGTGTACCAAGCTTATCACCGGCATCGCCTGCATGCAGCTTGTCGAGCAAGGAAAGCTCTCTCTTGACGACGCGGACCAGACTGAAGGTTTGTGCCCAGAACTAAAGGACCTGAAAGTCCTACAGCCTGACGGGAAGCTTGTCGAGAAGAAACGAGGGATCACGCTTCGGATGTTGCTTTCGCACACGGGTGAGTTCGCTGCCACTCTCTTCGTTTGCTTGCTTAACTTATTGACTGGTCATCAGCTGGATTTGGCTACACTTTCTTTCACACTGGGCTTCGTGATTACAGCAAGCCGATCGGCTACGATGAATTCTCTGGGCATATGAAGGATATGATCCAGCCCTTGGTGCACCAGCCCGGTGAGGCTTGGCAATACGGAGTAGGTGATCTCATGCTTCAACGTTTCGCCGTGTCGAATCGAGAATTTTTGACAAGAGTCTCTAGCTGGGCATCGATTTCGCTGGCTTCTGCGTGGAACGAGCGACGGGCTTGTCTCTCAACGAGTACTTTCAGAAGTACATCTTCCAGCCGTTGGGCCTTGGCAACATATCGATGTTCCCCAGCAAGTCCATGAAGGAACGGCTTGCCTATATGAACACACGTGCACCCGATGGCCAACTTGGTCCACGGGATCACTTGCTGCATCGTCCGCTGGTGGTGGAGAGCAAGGAGATCAGCTCGTGTGTGAACAGCGGAGGGGCGGGATGCTTCGCAAGTCCTCGTGAATACTGCCAGATCCTGGCCACGCTGCTCAACGACGGCACGTCGCCGCTGACGGGAGCTCAGATACTGAAGAAGGCCACCGTTGACGCCATGACCCAGAACCAGATCACCGAGTTCCCAAATTTCGGCAGGCAGGGGATTCCCGCCTCCAAGCCGGATCTCACAAACGAGATACCAGATCTGTACCCGGGCAAAAAGCAGGGCTGGGGCTTGACCTTCATGATCACGGATGGTCCAACCGGGCGATCGGAGAATGCGATAAATTGGGCCGGTTTGCCGAATTTGTACTGGTGGTGCGACCGCGAGAAAGGAGTCGCTGGAATGATTGCTTCTCAAATACTTCCCTTCGCTGATCCCCAAGTTCTCGGACTGTGGGTAAATTTCGAGTCCGGAATCTACAGCGGCCTCGTCTAGAAAGTAAACGTTGAGCGATAGAAAAAGAACTGTTGAAAAAAATTTTTTTTCTCTGTCTTTTCAAATTGTGTCCCTTTTCGTGATTGACGCTATGTAATCAGACCGAATGATGCTACAACTCAATGCCAGTATTTTGGCGCAACCGGTTTTGCCATCAACCACGCTTCGTCTAGAGCGTCGACCACAGCCTTTGGCAATGGACCCTTTTCGAGGTCGGCTAGATTTTCATCCAAATGCTTGACGCTGCTTGCTCCGACGATGATCGCATCTCCCTTCTCCCTTGACAGTGAGGAGTGATGTTCTAGCCAACGCAAAGCGACCTCAGCGACCGTCAACCCTTCCTTGTCTGCAGCCTTCTTAATGACTTCCAGAGCGTCGAAGTATCTGTCATTCCAATACCTTCCCCTGTGGAGGTTTCCCTGCATGATTTTCGGATCGAAGCGAGAGCCAGCCTCGAAAGTCTGCTGATCTCGAGTGTACCGACCCGTGAGAAACCCACCCGCCAGAGGCTGGAACGCGTACAGCGCAATGCCGTAGTGGCGCAAGCAAGGTATGAGCTCGTCGTCTACGCGGCGCTGCAGAGCGTGGTAGATGCCTTGATACACCACAGGCTTGATCCAACCGTTGCGCTCACAGATCTCACAGATCTGCGCGACTTCCCACGACATGTAGTTGCTGATTCCGAACCGGTTGAAGTACCCCTCTTTGTAAAGCGCGTTCACTTCGCGTAGGGTGTCCTCGAATGGGTGTCGTCTGTCCGGGCCGTGGAGATAAAACATGTCTATCTTGTTCGTGTTCAGCGCCTTCAGACTGTTCAGTAGACCGCGTCGCACGTCTTCGGGTGTATGTGTGTACGCATCATCCGTGGGCAAGGGAGTTCCCTTGGTAGGGTAGAGTTTTGTGTCCATGACGATGCCTCTTTTTTGCCATCCAAGTTCGGCAAGTATTTCTTCTGTGGAACCATTCCCGTACACGCGCGCTGTGTCGATCTCCACGTGGCCGTGTCGAGTAAAGCTGTCCACGATTTTGCCAGCCTCCTCGGCGGTGTGTACTCTTGCACCCAAAGTGTCTGCATGCCGATAATTAGCGACGAAAATATGCCCGGCTTAGATTTAAAACCCACTTGGCCTGCCAAAGGTCATGGCTCCAAGTACAACCTTGAGTGATGTCTTTGGAGTTGCCATCTTGACCGAAGCTATTCCAGTACTCGGGAGAGTTCACTTGATCAAGTTCTTATGGACGTTTGGATCGAATGTAATGGTGCTTTTCATCAATCCTCTGAAGTTCTACGGCGATGGCGCCGATTTATTCGCAAACGGCTACCCATAAAACACCGCGGGTCACCGCAAACCATTTCTTCAGCAGCGGAATTAGGAATTAACATGGCGTTGTCGCCGATGGCCACTGGACACAACCGTAAATCAGTTTTGACCCAATACAGAGCATAGCATGCCACACTCCTCACCTACATACCACGCGCTGAGTTGACAGGGGCATGTTGTTAGCGCGTAATCCAATTGCATTAGTGTGTTGCCACGCCAACTTTCCGTCATTGAACAATGTTCTTAAAATCGTTACTAGCGCAAAGTCTAACATACGTCCGATAGAACGTGCCCGATCGAGCTGCACTTAAGCCAGGAATATAATCCAAGTGCATGAATTTGAACAACGACGCAGCGCCTCTTGATTAGAGCAACACCTTAATGTCATGGAGAGCAGTGAGGAGCTTCCAAAGAAATTTAGTACAATACAAGCCCCGTGTTGGAAACCCATCTGCAGGACGGAGGACGACTGGAGAGGCGTGACAAATCCTGTGGAAAGGAAGAAGAGGCAGAATAGAATCAACCAGAGAACCTTCCGTATGTTTTCTTGCAAGGAATTCTGTATGCGAGCATTCCATTAGCTTACACCGTCTCGGCCTCAGGTAGGAAAAAAAGTGCGCAGAAGAAAGAACAGCGAAACAAGCAAGCGACCCGTCCCGAAGAGATAGATAATCCAGACGGCGCTTCACTTCTGACTTGCCCACAACGCATTGCTCGAGTTCGCGAAGCAATTAAAGCGGCGTATCAGGCTTATATGCTCAATGTTCCTGGCCCAACAAACCTCCACATGCTAATCCGTCTCAACGTGCTGCAGGCAATTGCGCGTAACGCTGTTCTCATGGGTTTTTGGACGGAAGGCCTTTGCAAGGACGATTACGTATCGCCATACAACGACCACGGACCACGACTACCACATGAGACACTACCTCTAGCGAACTGCCCAGCAGCGCTCGCACCAACCCGTTTGCAGCGAACGATGATCCATCATCCTTGGATAGATCTGTTTCCGTTTCCAGACTTCCGGGAACGCGTGCTGCGAGCACTGGATGCAGGTATCCTAGATGAAGACGAACTCTGCTTAGACATACTGGAAGTGGATGGACGCGATCTGGAAGAAAGACCTGCGCTCATAGTTTGGGGTGAGTCCAGCAACCCTATGGCATGGGAGGCTAGCGTACAGTTCTTAAGAAGGTGGGGCTGGCTTGTCCAGGGGTGTCCGGAGTTACTGGAGAGCACAAATTACTGGCGGGAAAGACGTAACGAGCGTAGATTGCCCCAACCTCTGATGATGATGCTCGCTCCCTCTGCCACCAATGTCGTAATTCGACCGTCTCCTGGGACAAGGTAAAGCATCATTCTAACCAGGCTTTAACGTGTACAAAGTCCATTTCGAAAATATATTCGCCTATTCTTAGACTGCGCCCTGAGGCGGACTGAGGAAGCATATTCTGAGCTTGCACATAAAATCAATGCGAGAAACCCTGGAGAAATTTCTGTTAACAAGCAAAAATGACTTGCCTCCATCACTGTCAAGCACTGTTTGACGATGAATGCTTTGATGGTGCACTAATACCGTTAAGTCGCTGCAGTAAGGCTTGGCCAATGTTGCCAGATGATAGACGTCGAACATGGCAGTATACAAAATGATCAAAATAAGAGATGATACCAAAGGGCGAAGAATGGCCTAGCGCGGGAAGTGGATCATGAATTCAGGTGCATGCGTTAACGGCTGTAGTGACTTAGAATGAGCCTATTCTTAGAACATTGCTGGAATATTACTCATGTCAAATTTCCTTTGTGTTCTTTTTGTCTGAAGGTCTGTCAGTAGAAATCTGATAAGGAAAGCCTTGGTTTAGAGCCGCAAGAGCTCCGTAGGCTCGAATCCGTCAATCAGAATGCGATTCGGGAGAAATTGCGCGTGTCCACTGTTCATACGTGAAACTCCCTTGGGCATCTGCAATGCGCGAGTTGAAAATTTTCTCTAAATAACACGTAACATGTCTTGATCCACCCAGAGAAACACCACGCTATGCAATTAAACATCACGTCTGATAGAGTACTCCGATCAGGCCCCAGAGAAAATGCTCACCTGTTCCCCAACAAGTCAGATCCGTAGCTCTAGTGTCACCAAAGGGACAGCACTCACCGCCATCAACAAGCAGCATATACTAACGTATGGACTTAGACGTTCGCCAACTCTCGCCAGTTTCCAGAAAACGCCAAATGCTCCATTCTTATTGCGGTCCATGATTCCAGGCATCAGGGCGTGAAGATATGTCGAGGTGCATATTGTGAGGAGGACAACCATGAGAAGCGACTGGAAGTTGAATATCGCCGTCTACTGCAGTTAGCCGTGTTACGTGTGATTATAGAACGTGTACATGGGAATTCACCATTTCGGAGATGTGTTAAGCACCAGAGCTCTAGTTTCTCGTTGGTTTTGTGGTCAAGATTATATGCGATCAGGTTTAGATTGTTTTTGGATCGAGAGGAGCGCGACGTGATTAGGTAGTATTGATGTTGTGGAAGTGCAGTAAAGGACAGCTTTGACGAAGCGTTGCCCTTGCTGAGGCCGCATTTTCGCGGAGGAAACTTGGGAGAGCCGATGTTTACCCCACAACAAGGAACCCTCTGCATCAGCTTCAACAACTTTTTTTAAGTTCCCGCACTCGCTACTTCTACCTTAGCATTTTCAGGCTCACGTCCACTAGAACAAGTTGGCGTTGTTTCTTACTCAAGTGCTCGGCAAGAACCTCTTTGGGCCGTCTGCATCCATCAAGCCCTTTCCCAAGATGCGACTGCCTTAATAGACGATATCGTCTCATTTGATTTTCAATCTCAATATATTTCCATCACCGTACTCTAATAGAACACCATGGAGGTACGACAACGACCCAGACCGACTGGACAGCAATGGTTCGAGACCAACGACCTCGCACGTTACCTAGAGGCCTTTGGCGACGATCCGCCTCCGTTGCCAGAGACAATGCGAGTCTTGGACGTCATAGCAGTTGAGTACGTGTTCGAAGTCACCTTGTATGCGTACTCGTGCTGATGTGGGATCTATAAAGCTACATAATAGAAACGTGCTACGAAGCAGAAGCGCATGCGCGCTACGCTGGTCGCCAGAAAGTCAAGGTGGATGACTTTCAGTTCGCGCTTCGCAATGATACAAAAAAACTGGGTCGTGTACAGGAGATGCTGGAGAAGGAGAAAGGGCTAAAACTCGCTCGTAAAGCATTCGATTTGCCTGAAGGTGCTGTGCAAAAAAATATAGGAGAGGACGGCGAGGTCAAAACGAAGGGGAAAAGAGGGCGCAAGAAAAGAGTAAGCGGAGAAGATGCTGACGCTTTGGAAGACAGCCCTCAAAAGGGTAAAAAGAGGAGGAAAAGTGGTGCTGAAAATGCATTTGCCACGGAAGGCATTGGAGAGGATGATGTGGATCTTGAGGATGAAAATGACGAATGATACCTGTCAAGGTGTGTGATGGTACTCTTCGTTCAATCTCTTCATGAGGAGTGCTTGATACAGAATCGGCATTCTTCTGAACGACTTGAGCACGTCTAGAACGACTCAATAGATTGCTGCAAATGCACCTGCTTCGCATGATGGAAACAGATCAATAAGTCTGTTTTGACTCTCGTGCGATCTCAGACTAGCTTCTGTACTCGTAGTTCTACTTCGCAGCACGTATCGAGACAATAGCCAAGATACAGAAACATGAAATAGTGCACCAAGGTCAGAATAATGGCAAGCCAATCAGGCCTAATGTTAAGCCCGGTGATTCTAAGCAAAGAACGCGTGCATCTAATTGTCCTGGCCAAATGGATCGAACATGAGCTTGGAACGTTGATGGTTTTACAGGCATGTTGGAAAGTGCACCTCAACGAAGACTTGCTTTTCCCGACACGTGGACCCTCTAGACCTCATTACTACTCACACTATAGCCGCCATTCATTTTGCGGCCAGCACCTTCGACTCGTTGTTTTTCCCTCTCGATCCTCAGATTCAGTACAATGCTTACAGAGTCCTATTACTTCGTAGATTGGGTTTTAGCCCTCAATGCGAACGTACATGTGGCTAATCACCGCGATTGGTTCACCGAGTACACCCCTTTCGAGTATGGTTTTGCATTTTGTGTCTTTCGCGAACGGAACACCTTCAGCATATGCTTCCATTCGATGACTTATATTCGCTACCTGCCTGCCACTTGACCGGACTAATTTCATCCTTAGGTCCGAAGTCTGTGCCCATTATGCTTTCCCCGAATCCAACAAGCTCAAGGTGAAAGGCATCGGCAAAGTCGAGCTAGATGTACGCTCGCACGACACAAATACGCAAGAGCAAGGACCCACTCACCACCGCTTGATACTACATGATGTGCTTCATGTGCCAAGTTCTGTATGCAATGTTATCGGCAGGCCTTTGTCTCAGTCAGGAACATGCTACAATCTTCTCATCCGGCCGCAAGGTTCTTGTCTGACAGACAAAAAGTCAGGCAAACAGCTAGGCATGCTTAACGATACTCCGCTTTTGCATCTGAGGTTGCGTGGACACGCTGAGGGTCACAGCAGCATGAACGATAACGTGCACCACATGATTGGCCCTCTTTGGCCTGAAGAGGAACGGATACGCTGGGAAGAATATCGGACGAAGCTGGCGGTGGCTCGTGACGGCCATTCTGGAATCCTAGAACAAGGCTCAACCAGCGAGACTACTATGTCGTCCCTCCGGTACAAAGAATTTGTGGACATTCAGGGCAAGGTGCCTGGAGACGACTCCATCAAGGACAAGGGCGAGGAGAAGATCAAGAAGAAGAAAAAAAAAAGGAAGCGAGGTGGCGCAAAGGCGAAGAATAAGGCGCGAGTAATATCAGACGATACCATGTCTAGCACCACAGCGGGGCAAAAAGACCGGGGCGAGGATGAAGATGATACGAGCAGCATCGACCCAGAACAGTTTTTGGCCGATCTCGAAGAAAATCCTATGAGCCATTTGGCAGACTACCACTTCACGTCCGCGGAACTCAAATGGATTGCAAAGCACTATGGATACTCTTCCAACTTTATGCTTTGCTTTGGTCTAAAACCGTTCGACGACGAAGACTGCGCTGAGGCGAAGACGATCATTAGAGCATTGATGAGCGCTAACGACTGAGTCCCGATAATGTACTTCCTATTAAGACGTACAGATGGAGTCCTAGCGCTCGATTCAATGCGTCTGCTCACTATCTTACCGAATTGCAAAATCCTTGAGACGAATATCCCCGCGTTATTAACACAGTATCTCTGGCGCCAATTTGAGTTTCGAACAAACTGCATCAGTAGTATCTATAACTAAAATCAATACAAATTCAGCTCGACGCTCTCCGCTTTGCTTGAGCTTTTTTCCTGTTTCAACATAAGTTTCCGAAAGCGCTGCCAGCCATCCATGTGTTTTTCCAATCAAGCTGTCCTGTATATTAGTCAGAACGGGACGGAGAGTAAGCTTGGCTCTGCTCGATGTGGCCCCGTCCGCTTGTAACTTTGCCGTTTCTTTGACTTCCGGGACTTCTACGTGAGGATGCAGAGTTACGTCGAGACTGAGATTTTGACAGCAGTCACGAAACATGTAAAGAATGTTTGGAAGCGAAGAGTCAAAAGCAAACTGTTGTTATCCTTACATGGAACTATTGTCCATTACCGCCTTTGCGGAATGAAACCTTTTCGACACTGACATTTTCCACGCCATTGTCATCCTTCTTCAGCTGATATACGTAAAAGACCACGACGTCACCTTGGAACTATGACCGTACATTAGCACAACCCAAGAATAAGCGGTCCAGAGATGCCTTCGGAACCGGGCCCTACTTACGTCCATAAGCACAAAACTCGGTATCGGCTCTTCCCCTTCGGCCCACCATCCCGTCCCCATAGCGCCTGTCGCACTTCCTGGGCTCACAAAAAACTTGCCCTCCATCTCGTACGCCTCGAATCTATGGCTACCGCCCCACAGCAAGATATCGACATCCATCTGCCTGGCGGCTATCAACAAAGCATCGCCATCTCCGGGAGGTATTATTGTATGGCCATGCGTGAAGCCTACGCGCAAAGGGCCATGAGTGACAACCTTGGAAAGAGCAAGAGAGGCAGACTGCGGATCACAGTCAAAGTCGCCCTTGACGAGGTGTAGCTCTGGAGCGAGATTGCGGAGGAATTCGTGCGTCTTGCGGTCGGTGAGATTGCCTAGGCAGAGTATCTGGCCGATCTTGCCTGGGGTGAGAAGTTTCTTAAACTGCAGATGAGAAGGTTAAGCTGTGTTGTCCGCAAAGGCATGGAAGATCGGATGCGTGGTGTACCTTGGCGGGAATATCCTACTGAACGCATTAGCCGTCTATAGGGAGCAAAGGTCAGCGGCAGAAACGTACAGGAGCTCTGTCTGGTATGAAGAGATCTCCAAGACAGAGCACTAACCGCGAACTCATCGCGGCGGCATTTGCATTGGACAGTCTGCTCACAACCGACAGGCAACGCTAGATGCATGACATCGTCAAAGCTCCGAGCCCACAATGCCGGAAATTCCTGCCTCAGGCCACAACGCCCCTTGGCTGGCTGGTCCGCAAAAGCGCTCCACTCCGATGCTTAATAACAAGAAAATTGTCCCGACACTTGGGGTTCTTCAACTGCCGTGTAAGCAGATCGAGTCATAGAGAGCTGCAATTCATTACTCCGAAATCGTTCCCACGCTCTCCGCGAAAGCGTGTATTAGAACGCCTGCCCACGGGCGAGGGTCCTCATCCGAACATTCTCCTCAGCTTTCATTCTCCAACTGCTTGCGTATTTTCTCCTTTCGTGTAATTGCGGGCCACAATTCCTCTTCCGCACGTTCTGTTCTCGAATTATCCTCTATTCATTTCGTGCACGTTGCTCCTAAACCGCCGCGTTTTTCCATTGCGTGGAGACAGCCTGCGCAGAGGAAACTGCTCAGGGTTACCCGTAAAATTCCCTCCGCTAACCAACCGATCAACCCGATCTCGGAAACGTCATCCTGGCGGGGTCATTCAGAACAGCGATATTGCGAAGTGGTGCTAGTGGCTGGACGAGGGGTGCCATGTCGGGCAGAGCCGTTCCACGCTTGAAGCTTCTCTCACAGCATCTTGAACCGCTCTCAGACCTGAACACTCCTTTCGCCACCGAGAGAGCGTCACTGATCTCGACTGATATACACCCACTCCCGCCGAGCACTAGATACTTTGCAAGCACTAGACACCTCAAGCAGGAGAAAGAAGTTCCAGCGAAGATGTCGACTCAAGAGCCGCATCCTACGCTGCTCATCCCGGGGCCGATTGAGTTTGAAGATGAGGTTCTCAAGTCCATGTCGCATTTCAGGTATTACATGCATCCAGTCCTGTGCTGTGGCAGGTTACTAACACGGCAACCGCAGCGAATCCCACGTTGGCCAACCTTTCGTGAACTGCTTTGGAGAAACTCTGACCCAACTACGGACTCTCTTCCAGACGACCAATCCGGCCTCGCAACCGTTCATCATCTCTGGTTCCGGAACCCTGGGTTGGGATCAAGTCGCTGCGAATCTTATTGAAGCCGGTGAGGATGCATTGGTCCTGCACACGGGCTACTTTGCCGACTCGTTCGCGGACTGCCTCGAGACGTACGGGGCAAAGGCTACACAGCTCAAAGCCCCCATCGGTGAGCGTCCCAGCCTCGAAGAAGTGGAGAAAGCGCTGGGAGAGAAGAAGTACAAGCTCCTTACTGTGACGCATGTGGATACTTCGACAGGAGTACTGAGTGACATCAAGGGAATAAGTGAGGTGGTGCACAGAGTCAGCCCGGACACTCTTGTCATTGTTGATGGCGTGTGCAGCGTGGGCTCGGAGGAGATTCGCTTTGACGACTGGAAGCTGGATGTGGTGCTCACAGCCAGCCAGAAAGGCATTGGCTGCCCTGCCGGTTTGAGCATCTTGATGGCTTCCGGACGCGCGATCGAGACGTTCAAGGCAAGAAAGTCGCGGCCGGCTTCGTACTTTGCAAGCTGGAAGAATTGGCTCCCAAGTATGGACTCTCTCGTTGCGGAAGTACGGTAGCACATACTGACACGAAATCCAGTCATGCAGAACTACGAAGCGAAGAAGCCGTCGTACTTTGCGACGCCGTCTCCGCAGCTCGTCCGCGCTCTCAACACCTCGCTCTCGCAAATACTCTCAAAGCCAATCGAAGATTACTACGCCGCGCACAAGGCCGCTTCTCAAAAAGTCAAGGCAGCCGTGACTGCTCTTGGCTTAAAGCAGCTCGCCTCAAAACCTGAGAATCAAGCTAACGGCATGACTGCCATTTACCTGCCAGAAGGCATGACCCCGCCGACGATTCTGCCCACCCTTATGAAGAGAGGCGTCATTTTCGCCGGTGGCCTGCACAAGGAGATCGCGACAAAATACATCCGGTTCGGTCACATGGGTGTGAGTGTGACTAATGGTAGTCGGGGCGACATCGAAAAGGCAATCGAGGCCTTGAAAGATGGATTGGTGGAGGTTGGGTACAAAGTCCCTGCATAGGAAAGGTGTATCGAATCTCTTGTTGCATGTGAGGAACCAAAAACAAGAAAATATCCCAGTGGAATACAGAGTAGATGACTAGACGCATCAAAAATGGTACAAATGAAGCAACTGTCAGAGAATAAACAACTTCAACACTCACGTCGCGTTCTAGGACTATTTATTGCCATCACATTGTACAGCATGTTCTGTTCCCATCCGCATAAATCCTGACAATCTTTGATATCATTGCGTTCTTGCTTAGTCTAAGTATAGAGCAACCAAAATCCAATTCTTATCCGATACAACATGAGCGTCTCATGGACACTTATCTAGCCGCCATCAATGTGCATGACTGATCTATAGCATTTTCTTACTATGTCAATCGTATCTTTGACCGTGTCCACGTTTCTCTAGCCATGTTGCTTGACTCCTTTGTAGGTTCTCTTCATCCTAGATTTAGAGCCTCGGAGCAAACTCTCTGAATTAGCTTCGACCTTGGTTCGAGCCTTGCTCATGATCTCAGCTGCTGGTTTAATATCAGTTCCGAGCCCAGATTCAGCTCTAGGCTCGGATTGCAGCTCATTCCCCGGGTTAGTCCTGAGCAGCAGCTCACTAATGTACAGCTCGCGAGAATGGTGTTAAAACCGCTCGAGCAGCTTCTCTAAGTCGGACATATCACACGTTGCTCAGGTGAAGTCCGTCGACCTCGCATCTTCGGAGTTGTGGCGACGCGTAAGGCACTCGTCGGTTACTTCACATTGCGGATCAAGCTCTTTCTATGTTAACTTTTGCACGTCCAAAAGCTTCTCGCATTCGACAGCCTTTTTCTGGTCTAGCTCACATAGGCTAGATATGGACTGGGAAGTTGAACCCAAAATGCACCGTCTTTTTGCCAGCAACTTATGAAGCTTTTCCCAAGACTCTGGTCAGAGGAGCTATTAATTGTCTTAGAATTGTAGAGCTTGGCGAGTATGCGAGGCAACAATTTTCTCAATTGTGGAAAGGGTCCCGTTCAGTGCAATGTACGAGATCGTCCTATGTCTTACATTTCGTCCTCGCTTTCGCAGTTTTTGCGTTGGACAGAGACTGGTCAACACCAAGTAAACTGACACAACTGGTACTGTCCATTGACATGAAGCTGGGTGTCGAACGGGAGGACAACACCATTTTTTGTTCCAGCACGCTAAATCCTTGAATTTCGAACTTACAAACTAATTTTAGCAAATGAATTGATGATAGGATTACTGGAGACCTTTTTAAGACAAAGAGATGTGCTCAATTTCGCTGCCGATGCCAAGCTATGAGTCCAAGCTTAGAATAAAAAGCCAGAAAAACCAAGGAATGCTGATGTAGCATTTGAATACCAATCAAGTGCATTCCCTCGAAAATGGTATGCTTTCCTTGTGCTCAGACTTTTCCCGAACAGACAACAGTGACCCACATGTCTTTGTTCTTTCATGGTGCTTCGTCGCTCAAAGGGAAGACGTGGATCAATAGCAGAAAGTTCGTAGAAGAAAAAAATTGGAGCACGTTATGACTCTATTCGATCTTCTGTTCTCGGCCCTGTTCCATAATCCAATACCTCAGCTCCCGCACAACACCTTGTTCAGGAGTTGGAGCTGTTGACCAATTTGTGTATTGCCTTCGCGTATTGAACCATCAATGGAACAACATAGCCCAGGACCACACTCAACACAATGATTAGGGTAGTGGCGGCGATTATGATGAATGCAAGTCGCCATTTATGTCTCTTTTGGTCATCGGTCATGGTCCACGCCGAAGATGTTGTAGAGAGCGAATCAGAGTTCGATGTTAACAAGTTGCATCCGCCTCCTATCAAGCAGACGCTGACTTTACTGCCAGGATTCTCGATTTGTCCAATAACTGACACTTCGCGGTCAACAGGGATGAACACATCGCCAGTACTTGATGGCAGAGCTGACTTCTGGCCATCTCCGGTAGGCTGAGAAGACAACATGCAGTGCTTCAAGCACGATATATGTCTAGCTCTGCGGTAGGGGTGAATCGTCAGTATCTCAGCCACAAAAGTATGGAAGAAAACTTACTGTTGAATCGTCGAAGCCAAACAGTAACAAAACGAGTGCTGGAATGAAAAAAGACAGATGATGAGAGAATTCAGATTTTCCAGGCTCAAAAACATATGAAATGATGCTCTCGATGAGATTAAACTGAAGCAGGTGCACCCCAACAATCACAGCGTAGATATTACCACGGAAGGTGGAACTCAAAATGCAAGAATGTCAGAAGATTTCTCAGCCTCACGCAGAGATCGGATCACGAAGCACTGTTTGTGCCCAAGACAGCAAATTCTCCAACACGGTGGGGATTATACCTTTCACATCCAGTCTACTCCACCTGCATTGATTTTTGCGAACGGTGCCCATGTGTTTGTTCCTATCCCAGAAACTCTACAGTGCCTGGAGCGCTATTGGCCCTTAAGCTTAGTGAAATCATACTCAAACAATCAAAGGAGACTTCAAGAGTCCGATGGGTAATCCTGATAATCATATATTTCAGAAGAAGCCCTAGCTCATATCAAAGAAAGTACGGACCGTGTTCGGTTGCACATTCAAATCTGGCTGCCAGTGGAGTTCAAGACCTCATCACTGACTACAGTATCGACGACTGTCGAGCACGCAGAGATCTCTAAGAGGGGCATTGTACGAAGGAGCCTAAAAATCTACTCACCACTAATGAATAATGCTAAGATCCTAGGCCAGTGTACTCCAGGTTCACTAGACGAAATCAAATCGGCCGTGATTGAACAGTCGGGTCACCAATGATGGCATACTTGCGGGGTTTCCGCTGTGAAGGCTCCTCACATTTCGCTAAATCATATTATCAGCTGCCCCAAATAAAGACGCAAACAATGCCGAGAAATAAATGGAATAGCGGAGGCACTGTGCCCGCTATTCGTCATGCCTTGAGACTCAAACAGGAAAAGAAAACGTTTGTTTCTAGAGCGACGTCGAACCGGTGGCACAAGAGTTGATAATTAGAACAATGGATTGGCTGCATCAGGTCTGCAAAATGACAAAACCGCTTGAACTCATCCATGGGAAGTAGTAAAAAAGAGAAACCTCTCCCAAACAAACGACGTTGAGAGGTTCAGGAGGCATTCACAACGCAAAAACACACAACGTGATTACCAGCTAAAGCCGCTCTGTTGCTGCGTCTTTCTCGTTAACTTGTTCAGCTCTGCACATCGTGTCATCGGCATCTTGTTTGCCCGTTCCATCTTCTCTGTGTCCTGGAAAAACCATCCCTGAGCTTCTTGCATCAACTGGCCACGCTGCTGCTGTTCATAATCGCACAGATTGCCCAAATGATGCATGTAGCGCTTCTCTGCCACACTGTCTAATTGCGACCATTGTCTTGACGAGTAGTCTGCCACGTCGGATGGGTTTACGTAATACTTGATCCCGAGCGTCTTAGAGGTATGTGCTTTGGTGTAAGGTGAGACAGGCGAGTCAAATGCCATACGGGGTCCAGCTGCGGTGCCTGAAGACGAGAAGAGACCGTTTAGTATGGGAAAGACGAAGAGTAGGATGAGAGGGAGGAGAGAGGTGAGTATGGAAGTTAGAGACTGCGGCTGTTCGCGAGCATTCGCACCACCGGGTCGGGCGCGCGGTCTAGCACCGCCGAATTGATGAACACGAATCCCCGGGCCGCCGCCGAGATTGAAAACAAAACCTGGACCTTTTGGAACGGGTTAGCATCTCTGCGCAACCGTATACTAATTCAAGACAAGGCAAAGTACCTCCGCCAAAACCGGCCATAGGACCACCAAAGCCTCCGGCAAAGAATTGTCTGAATAGCTCTTCGGGTGAAAGTTCAGCCTCAAACATTGGACCTCTTGGGCCGGCTGCTGAACTGGCGAAACCATTGGCGAACGGTGACGCACTGGCAGCGGCCGAAGCGCTCGCAAACCTGTTATCCGGATCGTGACCGAACTTGTCGTACTGCGATCTCTTGTCCGGGTCTGATAATATCTGGAACGCTCTCGATACCACTGTTCGCAGTCGCATGTTAGCCTCACGTTCTGAGCACTTTTTGTAACCCGCGTCGGAGCAAAATCTGTGCATAATTGCCACAAAGTCTACCCAGAAAAGAACATACTCTTGAAAGCTTCATCCGCGCCCTCGTACCCGTTTTTATCCGGATGCGTCAGCAAACTCAACTTCCTGTACGCTTTCTTGATTTCCGCATCCGTACACGTGGCACGCACTTCTTCTAGACCGAGTATATCGTAGAAAGCAGTCGGTTTGCAGCGCCGCACCCGTATCACCGCAGCCTTCTGCTCGACGGTAAACGCGCGGCCTGAGCTGCCGTCATGGTGGTCATGTGTGCGGCTTGAAGCACTACCATTTGCTGCATTTGCGTCGCTGCCGCTTGCTCTAGCAGACATGGCGGAGACCGCCCTAGAGATGGAAGACAAAAGCAAAGGAGGGGGCCGCGTGGAACCGATTGCTAGCGACAGCCGTACTTTGAATGGATTTCGGAGGTGCAGAGGTGGGTGACTGGAGGGGTCACGGCTTTTGAGATTGTGTGCTTTCTCTTTGAGTGTTGTTGGATCGGTTATCAGGGTTGCGCGAGGGAACTTGTGGCTGCGGACGCTTGGAGTGGTGGTCTGGCCTCTTTTCCGCGATGCTTGGCGCGGCATGCGAGTCTTGAGGTGCTGTGACCTCATCAGTTCCTCCCGCTCAAGCTCGCAACAAAAACTACATCAACTCATCCCACAATGGCCGACCAACAGTCACAGGAAGAAGCTCTTAAGGGCAACGTGATCTACTCGCTACGAAAATGGGGCGGTGCGCAACTCGTCCCAAGCCTACGCATGCGAATGCATTTGCTAACAAGCCTTGCTGCGCAGAAAGTTCTGTCCCTCCAACACTGCTCGCCACGCTCACCGCGGCCCAGCATTTACGTCCATTCCAACCTCTCCCAATGCTGTTTCCTCCTGTGTTCCTATTCTCATCTTGGATGAACATCAATGGCTTCAAAATTGATGCCGCGGGCGTAAGTGCGGCATGGAGCGGCTTGTATATGCTGATGGCCATGCGGAGGAAGCAGTCTTTCAAGTCGAAATTTGGGGTCAGAGGTTTGGTTCGAGGAGCAACCCTTGGGTTGTGTGCGGTACAAGTCGTTGGTGGAGGCCTCGCTTATACCTTTGGCCGAAGGAAAGAGGAGGACGCGACCAGGGCGACCAAGTAATGACGTATTTCACTCATTGGGACGGGGAAATTCTTTACATAAAGGCAGCATATCGTGTTGGTGTCTGAGGGTCTCGTATCAAGCATAAAACTTCGCTGAGGCGGTACGACGGAGGCATAGTAAAAACAAGGGAAACGGGCAATATGCTGTACACAATAATATCATCAAGACAGAGAGTTTTAATACGTACGGAACGTAACCTTGTAGAATATGTCTTGCATACATGCAGCAACAAGCAATAGGAACATAAACAAACCTGATAATGAGATCTGTAATAAGAAAGGCAGTGATGTCTCTCAGCATTTAGACGCAAGATCCTCAGCACACTCAACCTCGCTTCAGAAGGAGCGTTCCGATCCTGCAACACGAGTGAGAAAATGCCGGTCCTTAAAGGATCCAACAATGACTTTCGTCTTGGCGAATCTTTTTGAACTCGTGACCGTGGAGGAGTTGTGAGATCTCCGAGTCTTCGAAAGCGCCGTCTCGTTTTGAACACGTGTGCGTCCAGCGTTGGGAGAATTGCCTCAAAGCAAGCAGTAAAGAAAGTTCGACTCAGTCATGTAATAAGGCGGCAGCAGAGACGACAGCCGGGACTGAGTGATGACGAACGCAAATGAAGACGCTCGGCGGCGTGAGCTTCAACCGTCATCTGGCGTGAAGCCACCACATTCAGGAACTCAAAACTACGTCGATTCAATAGAGTCAGACGCAGGTATTGACGGTTTGCATGCTCAAGAAGTCGAGCAGTGTGTGGAAGAATAATTGATGAAGACAAAACGCGCTTGAGCGTCGGGGTTGAGAAGAAAAATTTAAGCCAGGATCAGCTTCCACGCGCAGAACGGAAAGAGCAGGGGCGTCCCATCCCTTGCTCTTGCCTGACAGGCCCCAGCCTTACGCCGACCACCAGCACATCCCTGCCCAAGCATCGTGGCTTCCTTCCTTCCACGCATATACCACAGTACTTGCAGTACAAGATGGTACGCAGGCCTTGACTGGCGTTCTTTTGATGTTCTTCAGTATCCGTCCAACAGAACCCCTTCCTACTTTTATGATACTCGCTCGTTCGAAGCCACTATGGTCACCTTCGGGAACATCGTGCAGGCCACAATCTTTATAGGGCCGTGGATTCTGCCTCGCGCACTCGCTTTTTACCGCTCCATTCGAGCTTCGAGCCATACCCCTAATGCCGCCGTCCGAGAACCGCCCTCCAAGGTGCAGCGCTGTCTCAACGTACTTTTTGCCGCCGTCGTCGTCTCCGTAATCCTCAGCTTCCCCTACTTCGCGCCGGAGAACATATTCAAAGCCACCAATGCACGGTTGGGCCTTGACAGCAACCTGCTGGTCTCGCGACTGAATGCCCTTCGTCAAGGCGCTCTTACGGATACGGACAAGTTATTTCTGGAGAAGCTGGAGAATGAGCCAAAGATGTGGCGGTATATATACGCTGCCTACGGCCCTGAGGTTGCTCTTACATGCCCCTTCTGCCAGGCGAATGAACCTCAGAGCTACCTGTACTACGCCTTGCCCGGCATTGCTGTTCCGCATCTGATACACATCTTCCTCCTTGGTCTGATAACCTCGTCTTTCTTTTCGGGTGCCGAGGGTTCTCGCTGGCGCACGCATGCTACCATCGCAGGCGTCGCCCTTGCATTGATCGAATTATATACAACGTGGAATTATAAATGGGAAGCCAACGTAACAAAGCGTATGCTGGGCGAAGTAGATTTCTTCTATGCCCGGATGCGCGTATACAGACATCTTGCGTTTGCAGCCACGGATGCTATCTTTGGCTGGGTGCTGTACTTGACATCCACAAATCGGTGGCTCGTCAAGCCTCCTTCTACGACTCAGCAGCTGAGTGAGGTTGCACAGCAATTGGCTGGAATGCACGCACAGGTCAATCTGCTGGCGAACTTACGAAATGCGACAGTGCGGGACGCTGAATTGAGGCAGGGGCAAGAGATGTACTGGCGACGAGAGCAGGAAGAGATGGCAGGGATAATGCAGGACGATAATGTGAGAAGCGCTGTTACAAGTGTCCTGGCCAAAGATGAATATGACAAAACGAGACAAAGAGCGCGCGCATACGTGGATCAGGTGCTTAGTACAACTCTGAAGGCTCCGACGCCCACATCTTCGACGACATAATACACAGATTATGAAATTTACTTTCGCCGCAAACGAAATTGCTCTTTGACGGGAATTGTCTTCTTTCCTTCTTGACGATAGAAGCTGAGAAATCTTTTGAACCTGACAAGTTCTTGAACGAACTTTACACTCGTCCCTAGCTGGGCCATGTGCTCAGAATCGTATCAGAATGCTCTAGAATCCAGTGAACGGCGTGAAATGGCTAGGCTTTCCAGATTCTAGGGAGCCTTGCTGTATGTTCATGCTAGCATGTCTATTCAAATTACAAAAAAAAATTGAATAAGAAAATGTGTGAAATACTGAAATCAAAGCCCAAAGGATGATATTTGCTTTAGCTGTGCCATTCCTTCTATGTTGTGGAGTCAGAGCCCCGAGGTATCAATACTGATTGCTGAGTTTGAGCAATGACCGAAAACAGAACGCCTCCTTGAGAGTTCACATAATACAAAGACCAGAACGAGGGCCTGGGGACGTCAAGCTGGAGATTCGGGTTTCATGCCGAACACGACGTAACTAAACATGGCACTGGTTAGCAGCGGCGAATTTACCAAAAAAAAAGGAGCATCTATGCCGTCGTGACTCACAAGTGATAGTAGCTGTGGACCTTGCGGTCCTTCACCTGGTTTCTCACCTCCATCAAAAACAACTGCACTCTTTCCGGCGACCAGCCCAAGCCTTTGGTGAACGTGCGGAGGCTCAAAGCCTCGACGCCCTCCGTCATGTTGAAGTACTCGAACTTGCCCACCGTCTTCAGATTCTTGTCCTTGGGCCACGGGCCGACCGGAATCTTGAGGATGTACTCCTCGACGTTGACGAAGCCGGCGTCTTCCATCCGCTGCTTCAAGAGCTTGCATGAACTGGCAGGCGTCCCGAGATTCTCGGCGGCTTCGAAGAAGTACTTGCCCCACATGTCGATGGGACTGCCTTCCGCCAGGCTTCCATCGTCTGAGGTGAACAAGGGGTGCTTTTGATGCCATTCAACCCAGCCGCCGGGTTTAAGATGTCTACACCGTCAGTTCCGACAAATGAGAGAAAAAAAAAAAAAGAAAAAGAAAATGGGAAGGGAAAGGGGGCTTATCGCAGCGAGGACTCACTTGTACGTCTGCGCGATCAGCGTCGGCCAGTCCCGAATGCAGCAGATGAAGTTGCGATTGTGGATGAAGTCGAAATAGTTTTCTTGAAAAGTCCATTCGTCCGTCGCGTCGTCGATTTCGAACCGACAGTTCGGAGGCACCCAGCTAGGCTGGATGGGACTCAGATCGGTGCCGATCACCTTGGAGACCATCAGCTGCTTTGAACCACAAAGCGTACGTGGACTTTTACCTCTGCCGACGGGTACAGGTCGGCGAAGTCAATGGCCCATATGCCTATATATATGTGTTAACGATCATGTCTCACGCCAAAGCTTGGCTCGTACTAACCAGTCCCCGTACCCAAATCGAGCACTCTGTGTGCGCCCTCCTTTAGTGGGCACCAGAAAAGTCGATTGTGGAGTAGAGCCGTCATCATAGCATGCTGCATATCAAGCCTATCCTTCTCCGGTTCATCATTGGGAAAGCCGTACTCTGCATGATATATTTAGCATGCCAACCATGCACGGGGATGCACCGTGGGTGTGGGCAACAAACCCGTCTTCCCGAATGAATGATATCTGGTTCAGATTCAGCTTCACCCTTTCAGGTAGTTTTGCTGCAGGCAATACCTTCGACCATTTTCGTACATGCCCCGGGCGACATCTGATGCGATCGAAAGCAGCGAGCTAGTCTCACTTGCGCAAGCACATCAGCACTTTACATCCATCACTACACGACTCTGTGCCCTTACGATGCCAGATCTCCAAGGGCGGAGTCTCTATCGGTGCTCTTCAAGTTGCCTCATTAGCGAAAAGGCGCCATATTCCGCGTCAAGGCAACTCACATCGACCTCTAGGTCGCCTCCACCAACCACGGCAGACTGCAGGTCGGGGACGGAATTAGCTTCAGACATGGGATCGCTACGAGGACAGATGAGACTGGCGTTGACATCTAGACAAACGATTTGCTCATATATGGCTGTCGATGGGCTCTGGTGTTGTCCGGTGCTAAGCTTCGAATTTTAGCATTAGGTCGAAGTCGGGCCGGGCCACGCGGAAGCTTTCTGGCGGGGAAGTCCAACCATATCTTCGACGAGGATGGTCGGAGCCATGAGAATGATCATGATTTGGTTTTTTTTTTTTTTTTTGCCTTTCTCTTCTAAGCCGGGGATCTTCGCTGTCACAGGCGCTAGGTTGTCTGGTCCTAGTTACAAGCCATTAGCTGCGTACGGTATCCCGCTGATGCTTTCCGTCTATATGCAACCAAGCGTTGGTCTGCCGGTTGCCATGCGAGTCTCCAGTAGCTCGCTTAAGGCTTCGTTCGACTCTCGCTGCTATCATGGACTCTGCCACGCTCCCTGAATGGGTAGACGACATTTCTAGATTGTAGGCAAATGATGCCCACTCATCGTCGTCTGCTTAAGCGCTTCATGCCGCCCAACTTTTCCATTTCTTTTTCGTAATCGTCCGGACCCCCGTTCTCGGTCGGATCCCTACCAAGATGCGCTATTCAAAGAGGCATAAACTAGAACAGGTTTCGAGAACGTCGAGAAGAAGAGTTAGGAAGCACTAATTATTATCTACTTGAAGCTTTCTCGTTGCAATTGCGTCGCACTGGCGTTTGCTCAGTCTGTGTTTTTTTTCGCGGCCACACTTTGTCCAGCAGTGCAGGGGCAAAACGAACTTCCCACCTTCGTGCATTAGAGCTACTCAGTTGCGTGATGCCTAGAAGATCTTACTTCAAGCAGGTTTTCCTCCGGACTATTTCGATTTTCCCAGCCAGCTGGTCGTTAAAAGACCGAAACCGGCCTCACGGGTTCCCATCAGGCCTCTTGTCACTCCGAGACTGTTCCTCTAAGCGATTCCCTTTTGCGTCTTCTGCAAGCAAAGCTTTGCAAACCGCTCCGCCGCGTTGATCCTAGTCACCCGCAAAGGAGGTAGATATGTCTGAGGGGAATTTCCACGTTATTATTATTGGCGCTGGTACGTCAAATTTGATGCGTGTTCGACAGCTCACAAACTTGATAACCAACCACTCATCCCATGCAGGCATCAGTGGGCTGTTAGCAGCGCAGGGTTTGAAGAAGGCACGTCCATTCCATCCATGCCCTTGCTTCTAGATTGGTAATCCCTTGTTCAGAAAGGCATCTCGTTCGCCGTGTATGAATCTGAGCCCTCTGCCGACCACTACCGACCGAGAGAATGGGGCATGTTCGTAGTACCAAACGCTCGGAATTCCTTCCTATAATTGACACTGTGCAGGTCGGTCCAATGGGGCCTGTACGTTTGAGACTAGTCAGCTACGCCCAGTCCGTTGACTTTATTCAGACCTATGTTAGAAGATGTCCTGCCAAAGGAGCTTTTTGATACCGTCAGCAAAGCTGCCAATGACCCGTATTTCACGCCTCCTGACCCAGGAGTTTTGCCAACTTGGAATGGGGCCACAGGTGAGCATATCAAGGATGTTCCGCTTCTTCGGATGTATCGTGTCTCGAGACGCAGGTTCCGTGCGCATTGTGCGCAGGGAATAAATATTTCGGTCAGCATGCTCAGATCTTCCGCACAGTACAACGACAGTCCTAATGTGCCGTTAGTATGGAAAAGTGTTTGATCATTACTCCTTTGATGATGCAGCTGGTACTGTAACCGCGCATTTCAAAGATGGCACTACGGCAACGGGCACTACCTTGATAGGCACGGACGGAGCTCAGTCACCGGTTCGTATGAGTATTTTTGGGCCGGAAAAAGGAAAAGTCACTCCTGTTCCGTATTGTGGGGTAAATCTTCATGTCAAGTATGGAGACAAGGAGAAGGCGTTGTTCGTTCGGCAAAAGCATCCCATTATGACGCATGCCATACATCCGGACGGTTACTGGCTCTGGATTTCTAGTAGGTCGACTTAGAGACACCGCAATGCTGTTGACTGATATCTGGCAGTCCAAGATGTACCAGATCCGAACGATCCGGCGACCTGGACTTTTCAATTGCAGTGCACCTGGAAAAACAAGGGCAACGATGATCCAACCGACTACAAAGCGTTGATGGAGAAGGCAAAGACTTTTGGCGAGCCGTTCAAGTCTGCTTTCCTATGGGTCCCAGAGGGTACACCGTTGTATGCCAACTTCCTGAGCTACTGGAGGCCTCAGCCGTTTGATACCAAGAATGGAAGAATCACATTGCTGGGTGACGCTGCCCATCCAATGACATTCCGTAAGTCAAATGGCCATTGTCCTAAAAGCGATCTCATGTTTACTTCTGTCCTAGAGCGCGGCCAGGGTTTGAATCACTGTATAGCAGATGCTAGGACTTTGTCGAAAGAGTTTGAAGCGGCGAACAAGGGCGAGAAGACGCTGGCTGAAGCGATTGAAGCGTATCAAGAGGAGATGATTCGCCGTGCGGGCGAAGAGGTCGAGATTGGAATTGGCAACACAGAAATGCTTCACGATTGGAGCAGGTTCCTCTTATCTCCACTCATCGTGAGAGGCGGTGACCCAAACAAGCCAAAGAGTTGAGCTTGCACGCCTGTCTGCGAAGAGATAACCTAGCCACTGAACTCATTTCAGTCGTTCGTTCAAAGCAATGCGCAGCGGCTTTACACACACTTGGTGCACCGAATACCCTTTTCACTAAGCGAATGTAATCTACTGGATTCAACAAAAAGAACGTCGTCATCATAAAGCTTTTGACTTACATTCGTTAGCACACTTAATGCAAGTTCACGAGCAAAACTCAACTTTGCCCCTATTCCACCAAACCCGGACTTACTTGACAAAGCGAGTTGCTTTCTTATGATCATTCTAGCCTTATTCGCACAGCCCACAAATGAGTCTACCGTTGACACTTCGTCTTGTTTGCTGCTTAACTGGCCGTGCATTTGCGATGCGGATAAGTTTCCATCCTTCCCGCTTCTTTTCAAGGTCCGAGTACTAAATTACGAGGCAGAAGCGCACAGTCACTTCCTGTAAGAATCGGAACAAAATGAAAATCTGTGGCGAAGTTTGACGTTTTATCCCTGGATCATCCACGAATATAGTACCTAAATTGGAGAATACACTGTAAACGCTGATTTTGGTCAGGTGAATCAGATTTCTGAGTTTTCTGGATCAATCTGTTCAATGTACATGTCAACCAAGCTAGTGAGAGCTTTGCCGTTTCAAGTTAAGCTTTCGAAGACGAGCCCGGCAGTAGGGAAGATAATTGTTAAAAGGCTGTAATTGTTTGTATTACCAACTTCAGTTTCCTTGACTGTTGATCAGTCCTAACCATTTTCAACAGTTTTATACATACGACGTAGTCCACAATGGATCTTCCCCTAGTAACTCGCCTGTCGCACAAGCTGCAAAGATAATGGTGGAATATTGCAAGATAAATACAAAGTTTGAAAATAGAGATTGCTTGCGTCCTGGATGGGATAGGTGATGGGAAGATCACCTAGAGGATGTCTCCCATTAATTTAATCGGACGGAGGAGTTTGAACAGCGGGGATCGAATCTATTTGCTATTTACTCAGTTTCTTCCTAAGATCTTCTCTTGCAGTTCATTCGTGGCCATTTTTCTCAGGATTCAGACAACTCACCACCCCCCCACGACTGCCTTGACTCTTTCACAGCATGCATCAAAGACTTAATGACAAAAGCTTGTGATAATCATATCAGCGCATCTTACCCTTTACAATAATGTACCAACAGGGAGTCTAATGGGATCTTCAAGGAGGAGAAAGACTTTCCTGCGCCATGAAAAACACAGTAAAGCCTACGTCTAAGCCCATAGACAAGGACTTTAAGGAAGGTAGTTTGATACCCAAAAAGACATATTCTATCCATTTCACAATATTTTAGGTAATATATACTCAACTAAGGTTAATCCATATACTAATGTCTCAGTTTGGAATATGTGGATCAGGCTGCGTTGTGACTGGATTGACCACTGCGATATTCACGTCCATGGGAGCATTTTGCCAATTATTGTACTGCTTTTGGCTTTCCCAGACTGTGCCCTAGTCGATTGTTCTCTTGCATAACGGCGTGCATATATGGAAGATGACTTGCAGTTGACGGGCAAGATTTAATTTCACCCAATGTAGCAACAAACTGATTCGGGGCTTACTCCTTCAGCTCAAAAGTTTGTCAGGACAACGGACGAGATACGATATCGTCGCATGAAGAGAATGCGAAGTAGTTTCCGCGTCAGTAAAATATGAATGTACCCCGTCACCTCTAAGTTGGGATTGCTGAAGAAAGTATCACACTCATCGCCCCCTTTTGGGAGAATACATGATACTTGTGCCGTATTTTTGCGTTGAAGTCAATGATGAATCCCAAAGTTCCCAGTGATCTTTAACTTCTGATATGAATATCAAAAAGGAATGAGGAAGAGCGCAAGTATTGATGTCAGAGGACCATAGTGCTCGAGAATTTTTGTCATACATGCAGCTCTTAGAAGGGGGGAAAATGGAGGTAGATTACTCCATGTGTGATGCCGCTCATTCACTAAACAATCGAAGGACTCGCAAAGGCCGAGATCACCAAATATGTCAAAAATGGTCCTGTTAAATACCTTCACGCCTTCCCGCCGCGTATTGAAACGGGTGAATAGCATCCCTCACAAACCAGTCCGGCGTTCAGATGAGCTTCTGCAACAATATGTTTTGGGGAAGCATTGAAGCACCCTTCCATACCAAGTTCGGTACATCCTGGCACTAAAGAAACCACACGGTCGTATGTGTTGGCCATAAATCAGCATGCGTAAACGCAAGGATTGACTACTGGGGTTCTTTAAAAAGGTGTCGCCATGATCCGCTATTTTCAGCCAATTCTGCTCTTTTCAACTCAGACAGCTGAATCGTGAGCGACCATCTAAAGACTCGGCTGGATTTTTACGTGAATTATATGGTCGGCTATAATCGAGTTTTCCCGATACGTTCGCGACACAAGTGGCGCATTTCAAAAACAAGGGCAAAATGACCCTTCAACGCAACAGAAGATGGTCCATTCAATGGTGGTGTATCCGGCCGGAAATTTGGCGTGGTTTGATTACTTTGCAGACATGTTCGTCGATAAAGATTGAAAGGGTTTGAATTAACGGCGCTCAACGAAATGGCTCGAATCCACCCTTTAGTGCACTTCGTGGGGGTCTTTTGATCCCGAGGTCTAGGTTTCATGTCATTTAGTATTTATCTGACAAGATCAACTTTTTCTGATCATGCTACGGATAAGATAGTCAGAAAACGGAGGGCCATCGCAGCAGTGTTGAAGTCCCGTACAAGTATGCGACAGACGTTGGCTGGCAAGAACCCGACCGGCGAGCAAGTCATTTTGAGCACAAAGAGGTGAATTGGTTGGTGTTAGTGCTTGAAGTTCTACACGGCGGCTGAGACTGTTAAAGATGAGGTCGGGGGAGTACTGATGTACCTGAACGCAACGCTCGGGACGGCTACCGCCGGCTCACCACGGCTCAACGTAAAAACTGGGTTGCAAACCGCTGAGAAAGTACTACATCGCGCCCTACATGCACCTGACACGAAACGTCAACCATCTCCACTGCCGATGTCGCGCTGCCCGAGATCCCCAAGGATCCGAGCGGAACCAGTCCGGCCTAGAAGATTTCGTAAAGATTTTGCTAGTCGGTGACATTGGCAGCTCGAACCAGCCGCGTGATAAGAGTGATTGCACCAATCATGGAAAGCCGTCGTCTGCGGGTCGGTCCTGAATCTCGGAGTATATAGATGGCAATTGAACTTTTTTCCTTTTCTTAACAATTGAGTCAGATCCAATATCTCTTCACCCCTTTACTCCTCATTCGATACCCATCGTCGCATTGCTTTGCTCTATAGTCCCTACTTTGCATTCTTAAAAGAGCTTGGAGAGGGCCATTTGCTGTTCTGTTGAATCACTGACAACCAAAAGAAAAAACTCATCCCAGGCTTTTTGCTTCTTCAAATCGTCATCGACAATAATGGCTCCAACTCTTGAAGCCACGCCTCCTCGCACGCCACTTGAAACTACCACTTCGCAGCTCAGTAACAATGGCGTCGCGCATACTCTAGAACAAACGACACAATCATTAAATGCACACGCGAAGGGCTTGCCGCGCCTCGCACCGCTAGATGCCTCGAAATTGCAGCTAACGTACACCACATCGCCACGCACTCCTCCCGTGCCTGGCTCCGCTGAAGAGGCGGCGCAAAAAACATGCACCGACCACATGATAACATGTAAATGGACACACACTGAGGGGTGGCATGCACCCGAACTTAAGCCGTACGGCCCACTGAGTTTGATGCCCACTGCCTCATGCTTGCACTACGCCACGGAATGCTTCGAAGGTATGAAACTGTACCGCGGCATGGACGGCAAGCTGCGGCTCTTCAGACCCGATCTCAACGTGAAGCGCATGAACATGAGCGCAACCCGCATCGCCCTGCCCGGCTTTGACCCGGACGAACTGTTGAAGCTCGTCGCAAAGCTCTGCGCCGTCGACGGCGCAAAGTGGCTTCCGAAGGAAACGCGCAAGGGAGGATTTCTCTACATCCGACCGACGATGATCGCTTCGGATCCCGCGTTGGGCGTGCAAAAACCCAAGGAGGCGTTGCTGTACATCATCTTGTGCTGCTTCCCGGCCATGGACACGAACACGGCCGGCATGAGGCTGCTGGCGAGCAGGGACGACATGGTACGGGCCTGGCCCGGCGGTTTTGGGTTCGCAAAGGTCGGCGCCAACTACGGGCCAACGTTGCTGTGCCAGGGTGAAGCCCGGAGCAGGGGCTACGATCAGATCCTGTGGCTCTTCGGCGAGAAGCACAACCCGCTCATCACCGAGGCTGGGGCCTCGAACTTCTTCGTCATCTGGCGCAACAAGGAGACGGGCAAGAGGGAGATGGTCACCGCGCCGCTGGACGACAAGATCATCCTAGATGGCGTCACTCGCAGATCTGTCCTCGAACTTGCGAGGACGCGGTTGCATGATATGGACGTCGTCGAGCGTAAAATCGGGATCAAGGAGGTTTGGGCGGCCCACGAGGATGGCAGGCTTGAGGAGGCCTTCGTCTGTGGAACGGCGTTCTTTGTGAGCAGCGTCAGCTGCATCAACTGGCGAGAGCAGGAGATGAATATCAAGGTCGACGAAAAGGGCATGGGCCACTACGCGGGTCAAATCAAGGACTGGCTGAAAGGCATAATGTACGGTCTTGAGAGCAATTCTTGGGGCTACATAGTGGAAGAGCAAGCATAGAGAAGGTGTTGAAAAGCGCGGACAAGCTTTATTCGTGGCACGGCGTTTGCGGAACATTCGGGTTGGCATGAGATTTTATGAAGAAAAATATATCCTTGAGCGGGGGAAGGGGTGGAAAAAACAAGGGCCAGCAGATACTGAGATTTTCCATGCGCCGATTGGCGTTTTTGGTAATGCGAGTCCAGAGTTTCGTTACGGCATCGTCCTCCCTGACTTGAAAGCGCAAATTCCATTGAACCGCCCGGAAACTTCCACGTATCGTCGATGTATTCGCTGTATAGTCCGTTATCCAATGGCGTGCCACTGAGCTCGTCACTTGTTCAATTGCTAAAAGCAACCTCCGAGCCTCAACATCAGCCTGGGGACAACATCCTGGAATAGAAAGCAGTGACGAAACCACTGTGACACCGGTTGAGACAAAGATTTTCGACTCTCTTTTCGATGTCAGGCCGTCGAGAAGGGAGAGAAGAAGAAGAAGAAGAAGAAAATCTTGCCTCTCGCCATTGACATCTTTCCCTTTAAGTCACCCCCCTGTGATTTTTTTTCTAAAAAAAAAAAAAAAAAAAAAGACAGGACAATGACCTTCCCCGGAAGAAGGCAAAAAAGTTGGTCCCCCCCCAACCGTTGATACGGGCGGTCTCTGTACTCGGTTCGGTTCGAACATGCGTTTTGTAGCCTTGCGCGAGAGGCGGCCCGTTATCTCGTATCGACATGGCGACGGCTCAGAGTCTGGACGCTTATGCTTAGCAGTCGGCTAGCGTTGTCGAGTTGCCAGCTGAGGTGTACACCATCCGGTCCGCACGTGGGAAACACTTGCGCCGATTGTTCAATATATAGGCTACGTAGCACGTTCGAACCGGAACGCGTCTCTTCCCGTAAACCCCCATTTTTTCTTTCATTTCAATTCACTTCACGCGGGGGAGAATGGGAGAGAAGTCCAAGCTTCCGGCCGCGAATACCGGAACTCATGAGACGAGCACGTCAGCCGGAGAAAGTCTGTAGGAATGGAAGATAAAAGAAGCGATCGCGACTTGGGTCGTGTGGTGAGCTTGAATTCTAAGATCATATACTTGTAGCCAAGTAAAAGTCCATACATACACCGTGCCCGCATCGTCTCATGTGGTCTTCTTCTCCGCAGCAACCTTCGCCTTTGCCCTCTGCAGCCTGTTCTTCTGCAAAGCCTCCATCAACAGTGCGAAAGCGGCGCCGACGGCTTCTCCCACGATCGAGATGACGCTTCCGCAAGCGATGAACCACATCTGTATGCTCACCGAACCGATCGGCGCTCGCGGCCAGCTCAATATCCATTCGGCATAGTACGGCACCCATCCCTTGGGTATCCAGAACATGGCCGTGCGCGCATACCAGTACTGTAGGAACAGACGGAGCACGCTCGTGAGCAGCCAGCGTGCGGTGCCCACCCGCGAATCGAAGGCCGATCTGGTCGATTGAAGGGATTGAGCTGTGCACCCTCGTCAGATCTTCTCACCTCTGGTTCAGGAAGAACGTGCGGGTCATACCGAGTTTGTCATGGTCGGCCGTGGCCTTGTCAAACTGCCTTCTCAGCTTCGCCCACTTCGCAAAGTCGTCTTGTGCAGATGTGGCGTTGAGCTCCCGCTTTAGGCGTATCACCTCGCGGCGAAGGGCTGTTGCTTTTGCAACGGTCGAGGACGTCGACGATATGGGCAGCTTGTTATACAGAGTCCATAACTAGCGGATCTCGTTAGTCTTGCTCTCGTGGAGGAAGCATGTTCGGGAACAACGAGGGCTCACCAGCTCGTTGACGGCTGCAGCACCAACGGAGTTGACAATGTGGACGATGAGTTGCAGCACAAAGACGACGAGAAGCAGGGAAGGCATCTTGACTGGTGTCAAGCTCGGAAATTAATTAAGCTTAAATGATATGTTGTTATCTAGCTACCATCGTGTTTAGGAGCATGTGGTGTGAGCGCATGTACGTTGGGCACAATCGAAAGTTGGCAGGTTTGACGTCGACACTTTTTCCGCGCTGCGATTCCGCTCGTGCTTTTTTTTCGACCAGGCCCACAAACATCAGTGTGGAGGATCCCCGCTCGCAGACACAGCGGACGATGATGACGCCGGATTTGGGAGATCCTGAGCTGGACGACGATATTTTCTGGCAGTCTCCGACAAAATGACGTTGAAAAATACGCCGCCAAGTGAGGAAGCTCAAAGGCAAGCGTACGTGGCGCTTTCACAGGTGTTCGTCAAATACCAACCTCCAGAGCGAGGGCAGGGAGAACCTCATCCGCCATTGACAATAGAGATCCTGCCCAAAGGTATCGATCCGCCGCAGGGACTGTTCATTCTCGAAGACGAGGAAGAGCGGTCGGTAGGCATACCAAAGAAAGTGCTTGTCGCTGCCTTCTTGCATGCGCGACGCAAGTTCATGGCAACAACTGGATCTGAGCGCGAAAGCGAGGTGTGAATTCATGTCTTGCTACTTTCGTCACAATGCACGTGAGATTGATACGTCTAAAGGAAATGCGCATCAGCACGATGGTCATTCTTCTGTTTGATCCCGAGTTCCTCACGGCGGCGAACGCTCGGAAGCAGTACCTGCTCAACATGCTGTCCATGAAAGAAGCGTACGGGCTAATGCACAAGACGATGCTCAAATTCGCAGTCAGGTCCGAATTATGGTTTCTAGACAGCATTCTAACATCGCCATTGCACCGGCAGAGCAAGTCTCCCACGCTTTGGTATCAGAGGGCGTGGGTGTACCACACGTTCGCCGAGCACTGCGATTTCATGCTATCGACCAGAGAGAGCATTCTGGTGGAGCTAGGTATCGTGCTGAAAGCGGGCGAGCAGCACCGCCATAACTACTATGCATTCCAATACGCACGACGCGTCCTACGGCCAGCGCTTGATCGCGTACCTGAGGATGTTCGAACGCCTATTGGATCTTCCGATGCGATCAGCTTGCACCGCGACGTCTTTGATGGCCTGCTCGCATGGTGCAAATCTCACCCTTCTGATACGTCTGGGTGGTCCTTCTTGTTGTACTGGCTATCACTGCGTTCGGCCGAACAGGAAGAACTATGTCGATGCGCCGTCCGAGCCGTGCTCCAATTTGCGGTGGCGGTTCGGTGGAAGGGCGAGGCGCTGTGGTCGTTCTTACGAACGATGTCCAACGTGGACCAGGCTAGCAACGACGCGGGTGACCGGGATGGAATGTGGGTTGAGATTCATGGTGCGATGGCTGACTTGTGCCCGACTCTCATCCGACCGTCCGCGCAAAGTCCAAAGGCACCCGGTGGCTGAATAGAGCTCGAGTAAAAAAGGTAGGCGAAAGGCGCATTCATTGCCCGGACAGGATGCTCATTAAAAAAAATGATGGACTCAAAGAAATTGTCATGTGCATATCAGCAAGGTGTTGTCCAAAAACGGTCAGTAGTTCGGCCGAAATTTGGGGTCTGAAAGGGAAGTTGGCAACTGACGCGTTAGTCAGATCAAGGACTTTGAACAATTTGCCTTTAAGCCGTCAATTCTCTTAAAGGGGGTGAATGCTACAAGAATGAATTGTGTCTTGCAGGCCGATGGAACTATTTTTTTGATTCACGAGTTTTTCTGGGGCCGTGGCGTGCTATTGCTTCTCTCTTTCACAGGCCTGAGGATACACTGTCGAAGTCATGGCAGCTTCGAAACATATCCTCGTGTTGGGGGCTACAGGTAGGCAGTCTGAACATGATCCCTTTCCAGGCCTGGACAGTACGCAGCTTGCGATGGCTAACTTGCCACGATTAGGCGCCAGCGGTCTCGAATTCATCAAGGCTGTGCTAGGAGATCCGTCCAAGCACGTCACACTCCTGACACGAAGCGTTTCTAAACTACCACAAGAATATCTATCACACGGCCAGATTAGCGTAGTACAGGGCCAGCTGAACGATCCTGTAGCGGTGGGCAAGGCCATGGAGGGCGTCACGTCCGTCGTCTCGTTTCTAGGCGCTTACATCACGCTGGCCAACTTCCTCACGCGCAGCACCGACACACCCATCGCAGATTCGCTTCAGACTGTATTCGCCGCCATGCGTGCTGCAGGCGTAAAGCGTCTCATGGCGCTTTCAACGCCTGGCGGATTTCAACAACCCGGAGAGCGGCCGAGCTGGCTATGGTGGCTCCTTGTGCACGTCATCCCTAAGCTTGTCACCCCCGGTGGAGTTGCCGAGATGCGCAGAATTGGAGAGGTGGTGTCTGCGCAGAAGGACCTAGACTGGACAGTGTTCCGGATCCCTCACCTGAACGAGGGCAGCAAAGATCTCGAGGTGAGGACGGGGTTCATAGGGGCTGGATACGACGGATCATGGGAGCTAAGCAGGGCCAGCCTGGTAAGATGGGTGTTGAGGGAGTTGGACGAGGGCAAATGGACTGGACGGGCGCCTGCTGTAGGAAATGCCTGAGAGACGACGAGTGGGCGGGTGAGTGGGGGGCTCAGGTCGGACGCGTTGGGGCTCCAACGTCAACGTTGTCTTGGATCATTGGACGATAGTGCGAACAGGTGGCCGTGCTCTTACGGCAGCTTCGTGTGGAATCTTCGAGATAGAGATATCGCACTGATCTACAGCCTTGCGGTGGCCAGTGCTGTGTTCAGAGGTTGTGCAGATGACGCAATAGGCCGTACGTGAGATCGCCGCAAGCTCCGTGGCACAAGTCGCCGCACCCATCTTGTCGTGATCGTGCCGCCTGCGAGTCCGCGCGCGTATCTTGCGGCGATGACGGGCAATTCTGTTTACGTCACGTTACCCGACAGAAACAGCGTCGAGGCACACGACGGCTGTGTCGCTTGCGCGATTCCGTGGCCCAAGCACGGCGTTCAGCACGTCTAGAGCGGGGCGCGATTTGGTACTGGACTCCACCGTCGACGTCAGACCCTGCATTAGCGTGGCGTCGGAACCTGGGGGTGGCCATCCCCCAACGAGAGGACGGGCTGGACCTGGGTCTGCGAGATGCGTCGGCCATTGCGAGCGCGGGGCCGAGAACGCGCGAGAGCGAGGCAGAGAGAGAGAGAGGAGGAAGGAGAGCGTGCGGGCGCGGGCGTGGTAGTGGGTGTGGCACAGGCACAAGCTGGCGGGCACTGCAAACGTGGCCTCATCGCGTCGCCCGCCGCGGCCGGGCGCTGGGCTTGCGTCGAGGGCGCGGTCGTGTGATGGCGCGCCTGGCTCAGCCTGCCCTCCGGTCCGGGACCGCAAAAGCGAGGACGGCAGCGGAACACGGGGCGACGGCGACGCTCAGCGTGTAGGAAGTCTGGCCGGCGCTGCACACGTCCGACGGCGCGCGTTAGACTGCCCGGCGACACTGAGCAAGCAGCGGCCGGGTCTGCCACAGAACGCATCATCCTGGCCCAGCTGCGGTGGATAAGCTTCCCGTACGCTCGCCCTCCAGCTCGCTCATACTTTTACCCCGCAAATGCCTCGTCCTCTGCTTGTGCCTCCCCTTTCCTCGCCCATCGCCTTCCACCGCCCGGCACTGTCATCACCGCCAGCTTCGAAAGCACTCTCCAGCCCCCTCTCCCGCTCTCCCCTTCCCAACAGACCGTCGCGTCGTGGTCCTTTCTGCAAGGGACCAGCCTCTGCCCCTATCGCATCACCCAATCGTCGCCTGTCGAGTGGCGCTGCCAATAGGCGGACGGGAACGTCACGCAGCTGCATATCACGCGACTCCCTTTCGTGCTCGGATCACGTTCGCAGAACCTTCTACAGATCACCTCCCGTCGACTCATCATCTTGCATCCAAGCTTCTCATCGTCACAGCTCTATAAAAGCCTCCAGCCATCCCCTACCGCACCCGTCTTCCATCGGAACCCATCATCGTCCATCAAACTTGCTTTCTCAATCAGTAAGTCGCCTTCCCCCCCTCGTGCAGCCTCAATGCCTCGTCGATCGAATGTCGTCAGGCGTGGCCATTGAGACTGACAAGCAATCCGCGTCGTCTCGAGTCCAATTCCCATCCATCGCCTCTATGCCTCGATCCATCAAGGCCGGTGCAGATGCTGATCGTCGCCAGTGACTCGCTCTCACAAGTACAACGACCGCTACTCTGGCGATGCTACGTCACCCGACGCAGAGTACTTCCTTCCTCGCTACTTCGCAAAGCACGGTTTCGCCGATGCCGACCCCAAGAAGACGAAGAAGGACGGCGGTGGAAAGGGCAACTGGTAAGTTTCTCGTCGACTCATCGACCCCGTCATCGCCGCCGCTCATACCCCCCCCCCCCCCCCCCCCCCCCCCCAAAGCGGTCCAATGGCGCTTGGGTCTCCACTTCTCATGCATGGCGTCCCCACATTTCAGCCTTGCTGACTCACGTGTGTTACCTGGTAGGGGTCATGCCGGCGATGAGCTCGAAGACGTCAAGGGCGTCAACATGGCCAACGCCCGCCGCCGCTCCAACTCATCCACGCACTCCAAGACGTTGAAAGACTTCAAGACCAAGTTCGAGACCATCGAGCCGGAGCCTGTGTTCGAAGAGAGCATGGCCGAACCGGACGAAGAGGGCATGCGTCTTGACCACCAGAGTACCACGTCCTCCGACGACAAGAGCGTCGAGGAGGACAAGGCTTAGGTTGGCTCTCATCCGCTCTCCCTTTGCTCTCTCTCAAGCCAATCCAGTCCTGAAATGGTTGGACGAGAGGCAGCTCCATGTGACTGTATGGATTATACTTTCTGAGTGTGTGTTTTACGAAACACGGCGTCTTGCTGAAGCTTATCCATATTGACGAATTGGCGTGTGGGAGATATTCGGTATGAAAAAAAAAGCCACTTGAGGCAGGACTACGGCATTTTTATTGTGCCTGGCCTTTTGCCTACTTTTGCGACGGAAATTCGCTGACTTCGTTACGGATAACGCGACATACGATCATTTCTTTGGCGTCAACCTCACGGCTTTGAGTGCGTGGATTGGTGCTCTTAACCCAGAACTTTGTAAAATAGTCTTGCCAAGAGGCAAGTTGAATGAGCTGAACAGTAATGAAGGCTTGTTCTTTGTATTGACAGACGTGAACCGTGCTTGATTGTACGACTGCTTTTCATTTTTCCTTTTGAGTATTTGCCAAGTTGTTGCCTCCACGTTGAATATCACAACCTAGTTTGTCCAGAGAACACGTTGCATCCAACAACGCAAGCCGCGCAACCAGTGCTCGAACACCGATCTCTTCGCCTTCGCGTCTTACAGAGAAACACCGACGAGAGTATAAGCAGAAGGCCTTGAGTTGTACTGTCGACGGCTACACAACACAGCAGGACGAAGGAAGCGAAGAGCTGGCGGCCGTTAGCGAAATCCGACAAAACCCCTCCCTTTCCGCCCCTCCCCACGATAACTCCGTCGGATCCGTAGCGCATCAGAACTCCTACAGCCTCGTTTGAAAAGTCAAAAAAAAAAAAAAAATAGTAGGCCTGTGCGTGGATAGGTTTACGGAGCGCGAATTCCTCGTCGCTTGCTCAGGGCTTGAGCGCGCTGACCCTGCTGGCCACGGCTACTCACGATCGGGTCAGCTTCGTTCACGGAGTTGGCGGATGCCTTCGTACTCAGCGGCCACGATGTGCGACGGCAGGCGCGGCATTTGTCACGGGCTGGATCACGACGCCGCTTGTGACGGCTCGTGAGCGGCAGGTATATCAATCGAACGAGCCCCTCCGTCTTCCAGAACGCAACGTCGTTTGGAAGCTCCCAGGACGCCTTCCAAGTCCCGCCTTGTTCTTAGGTTGCTTGCCGCCTTAAGGACATTGCGAACGCCGACAGCGTCGAGATCGGGAAACGCAGGGCACCAGGACGGAACGCTCGCGAGGTTTGGTGCTCGTCAATCTGCGACTGTGTGGTCGGGACAACCCAACCGGACGGCCGCTGAAGGAAAAAGCATATGGCCCCGAGCCTGGACTCGTCCGTGAAGTCTGCCACGCTGGAGAGGACGAGGGGACCGAATGGAACGGCTTGGACGGACTTGACTTGCGCCAGTGAGACGTGGACGCCGGAGCATGAAGGATACCCCGCAAGCGTCGTGAATGAGACACAGCCGGCGCAAGCTGCGAACGGATCTGCAACGTTCGATATTCGGGGCACAAGAGGGCAGCATTGGCAACATTGGGCCGGTTGAGAACGATCAGAGGCGTCCCTGTTCATATGTACAATGATTGTGCTATGCGTAGAACGAAACATTTTCTAGACGTACGCCACAGATGAGACTCAACACTTTCGTACGCATTGCGCGTGTCTTTTTTTTTTTTTTCTTGATCTCATCGCACCCCAGCACCCGCGTTTAACATAGCAACTGGAGACAGCAGAGCGCCCAACGGGGTTTTTGGGTTCAAATAAGAGTCTATTTGAAGCGGCGGCGGTGGTGGTCGTGGTCGTATGTTGTACTGGGCATCTTCAGCGAAACGCGGTCACCGTCGGAAAGAGGAGAGACGTCCGATGGCCCGTGCCGTAGCACCAACCTCTTTCTCTCTCTCTCTGCCCGTCGCCTCACACGAGACAAGCACGTTTGGAGTCCTGCCAACCGCATGGTCCAAAACACCCGTCGAGTGCGAGGATCCAAGTCGCGTAGTGAGGGGGACCCGTCCAGCCTTTCCAGCACGACGCATGAGCCGCGGCCTTGGAGCGCTGTCTTCGAGCGAGCGTGCGAGCGCTCGACCGTGCAGCTCTTGGCTCCCTTTCGTCACCGGCTCCGTTCTTTGACTTCGCCCTCTCTTGACGTACAGGCAGCCACCGCGATCAGGACGTGCAAGCATCCGAAGCTTGTCCCTCACAAGCCTCGTACCGTAGCTGCAGGCTGCGAGCAAATCGCCCGTTGATTTTCCACCCTCTCCTGCCGGAGCGGCAGCCGCTTCGTCTCTCCGTAGACGGGCCCCAGGTCCGCGAGGTTTCACGTTCACCTGTCGGTCGATGTGAAACACCACGACCCGCAACCCAGCGTCGGCTCTGTTTGAGGTTGCAAAACACCCAGCCTGCGAAAGCAGCATATGGCCCGGACCCGTTCTTCGCGCGCTCTTAACTATCCGTGTGCTATTATCTGATCTTCTTGCATCTGCCCCAGAGTTTTTCTTTCTCTTACCCCCTTCCCCCTCCCTCCTCCACCCCATTGCACAATGTCAGATTCCCGGTAGCTGTTTTCTCCCTTTAATCTCTTGTCCTTATCTGTGGTAGACACACGCTCTCCTCGCCCAAACGGCCCATTAATCTGCTCACACTTTGCTCGTGCCAATCCTATCTCGTTTCTGCGAAACCGAGATGCGTGGCAATCTTGAGCTGCTGCTCATTTCGTCCTCAGTCTTGTCGGCTTCCATCGCGAGCGCTGCAGAGCAAGAGGGAAGCTTAGGCTTCACGCCTTATCTCAAGGGAAGATATTTCGACACGCAAAGAGATGACGGGGGACTCATTGCGGGGCTCGCAAATGGTATTGCGGATGGGGAGCCCGGCGCAATTCCAATGCACGAACTGTTCGGGAGACAGGTGCAGAACGGAGCGTTGACGAATCTTCAATTCTTCACAGGATCACTGGGTGGAATCAAAGCTCCTGCAATTGTGCAAAGCAACGACTCGCAACGACCGTATTCTGTCATGGGGGACACGTTTCCAGACTACGCCACGGCAGCTTCGAGGTCCTGCAGCGTGCAGAACAACAACTGCTGCAACGTAAGCATTGTAGTTCCAAGCAAGTCATGGTGGCTGATCGCTGACGGATCATAAAGCAAGCTAATGCCGCTGGCAACGCGCAGTCGGCAAACACGAACTCTCAGCAGGGCCAGTCGGGCCACCAGGATGGCCAGCAGTCGACATCGACTTCGTTGCAGCTACCTTCGAAATCCTCAACGAGCTCAGCATCCGCTTCCAGTTCGCAGGCAGGCCAGAGCCAGAACGGCGCGCAGGACCCAAATGGGGCGAATAGCCAAAGCGGATCCCAGTCCCCAGATGCAGCAAAAAGTTCAACGAGCTCCGCAGCACACAGCTCGAGTGGGGCGGCGCAGCAAAGTGCAAATCAACATGCGAACACCAAGACAAGCAGCACGAGAAGCTCGAGCACGACTGGATCAAGTTCGACGGGATCAAGCTCGAGAGGCTCAAGTACAAGCAGCTCCGTAAAGGCGGGAAGCACGTCAGATGGCGGCCAGCAAAGCCAGAATCAACAGCAGGGGAGCCAGATGAACGGCAGCGCCAATTCCAACGCGAATGAGAATCAGCGGAGACAGAGCAACGAGGAGCTCAGCGTGGAGAACTGCAACGCCCAGATGACGCAGTGCAATGCCGTCATCAAGTCTGCGCCCTTTCAAACGTTCAACCTCGTCAATGTTGGGCCCGATCCCAACGATCCGTCATTCGACTTGTTGTGCTCACCGTGAAACGAATAGCAGTCGCTCTCCAGACAAGGAGGAGCATCCACGGAAGAACCCACCCCACCCCTCTGATTTCTTTTCCCTTTTTATTTCCCTGAAAATTTGGCATATTCAGCGTTGGAGTTGGGGTTTCAACGGTACCACTCGCATTTACCCTCGCTTGGGCTCATTGCATTGGGAGGCACAACGCGCCACAGCCGCGTTATATAAAACTTCGATCATTTTGATCCGCGTGGCTGGTCAGGAAAGGAAGCCAACCTGGACACGCGCATCATACCCTTGTAACATTTATATGACTGAAATCAGAGTTCTGAACATGATCACTCTTCTTCGTCCCGCTTTGCAATTGTCTGCCTGTTCCAACAGCTTGCACCCGAGAGCCCGTGATCTCATTGTCTCGCCTAAAGATTTAAGACGGCGGCTGACACTTGCGGCCAACCTGAGCCGCTCTCCCCTTAATTCTCCAGGGCCTCCAAGAAGGCCGGGCTCTCGTTCCCTTCGGTGACCTTCGCGACCGGAACGAGGTGCGAAGCCCCCGTCTCCTGCTGAAGCCGCCGGATGTACGCCTGGGCGACCTCGATCCACATGGCCTTCTCCTGCCGGCTTGCGCCGCTGCCCTCCCACACCCAGACGACCTTTCCGGTGTCGAACAAGAAGACGTCGTCGCTGCGGAGGTCGCGCAGGGTCGCGGCCCCGCTCTTCACCACGTCGAGAGCGAGTCGGCCGCCGGCGTCGCTGATGCGCAAAAGCCGCGGCTGGCGAGCGGCCTCCTCTGCGCTCACCGGCCTCGCGGACCTGCGCGGGGCGTCGCCTTCGCCTTCGCCGTCGCCGTCGCCGTCGTCGTCGTTGTTCTCCCCACTTCGCAGCTGATCGAGCACAATCTTCGAACGTGGCTCGGCCTGCGAGACGACTTCGACGTCGACGTGCTTGGCTAGGGTGAGATCGCTGACGACCTGCGCCGCCTTGGCCTTCTCCATCGGGCTGGCATGGCGGCCCTGCCAGACCCAGATCTTGTCGCCTTTGTCGAGAACCTGCGCGTCCGCGTCAGTCACGGCTTCGTGAGAAGAGGGGAGATCTTTCCGCATCAATCCCCTCCCCCCCTTCCCGCGCCCACTGCGCGGATGTACTTACGAAGACGTCGTGTTCGTCGAGGCTGCTCGCTCTGGGTTCGACTTCGACGACCATGAGCGAGTCCGACGGCTTTGCTGACGGGTGTCTAGCGCATGCGTTGTCAGCGACGTCTTTTTTTTTTCCTTTTTTTTTTAGGAAAATATATGTATATGTATATGTACAGCAACAAAAAGAAAAAGAAAAAAGAAAAAAAAAACACTCTACGCTGCGCACGAACCAAAGTGAGATAGACGTACTTGAAGATCCTCAGCAACGTCGTCACCCGCTTCGGCTCCTTCTCCTGCTCGACGTGCCGGAAGCCGCTTCGCACGCCGCCCCTGCGGACGACGATGCGCGGGAACAGGGCCACGAAGTCGTCCGACATGTGCGCCTGCAGCTCCCTGTGTTGGACGGCCGCGCCGCCGAGGAACTCGTCGAGCTCGACGGCCTTGTACGCGGCCGTGCCGGCCTCGTCCTGCGACGTCTTGGAGCCGAGCCAGAAGAAGATCTCGTGCACGAGGCGCGCGTGGCCAGCCTTCCTGACCTGGGCGGAGCGGAGCACGACGTAGCTGTCGCCGTCGTAGAACTGGCCGTGCTGATCCCCCGGCAGGGGGATCACCTGAAAGTCTTCCACGCGCCAGACGAAGAGGCCTGGCTCCCGACCGACGACGCCGTTGTTCCATGCTGGTTCCGAGGCGGCGGAGTTGTACCTGAAAGCAAGGTCAGCATGGTCATCTTTCTGAGGCCTTGGCTGCACCCTTCTGAAAGCCCGAGCGAAGTACGTGTCGTTTGACGGACGCGGACAAAGACGTACTTAACTTTGTGATCAAGATCCGACCCAATAAGCTCCACGTTGGAATCCTTGAGGTCATACTCTTCGAGGTGGACAAGTCCTTCGTGAGGCGGCATGTTTGCGGATCTCCTACGCAATTAAAACCAGCTAGACTGAAGCAGTTCTGGAAAAAAAAAAAAAAAAAAAAAAAAAAGAATGTCACGTCGAAGAGAGCGCAAGTGTTCTAGACGTTCAAGAGGCTCTGTCTCGTCATTCCCGTCTCGAGCCTGTCGAGCAAAATCAGGGCTTGCCATTGGTCGATCGTTTCTACTTCTGATGCTCGCCAATAATACTAGAGAAGTCGACGATAATTGCAACAATATTACCAATTTTTGGAGATAGGATGACGCTATTGCGCTTTGGTAATTCCAAATCAACGGCCGCTTGACACGATTTGATTGCAGTTCAGGCCTAGCAGAGTGCAGCACCCCAGCAGGATCCAAGGTCATATATGCCCGTAACATCGTCATTCTCATCCAATACATAAGCTAGTGTCATGTGGTCTACTCGATTACAGTAGAACGGATAAAGCCGCCATGTCGGTTTGTTATATGCATATTACCCCGTCCGGACGCCTTGCAAAATGTTATGCATGTTCCATTCGACAGTACTTGTGATTCAAAAAGCCCAATTCCAGAGATACGCCCATCGATAATTCTTTTGTCCATGCTGTGCCCGTTCCTGTAACTGAAGTTGCAGCGATATGAAAGAGAGGGGGGGACTGCCTCGTCCTTTTCTACTCATCGATGTCCGATTAGTTCGATAGTCATGCGGTCACTTCCTTCGTCATCATCCTCGTCATCCTGTTCCCCAAGATTCAAGGTATCTTCATCGCTTTCTTCGTCGTCGTACTCACCCTCGCTGTCGTCGTCGTCTTCTTCTTCTTCTTCTTCTTCTTCTTCTTCTTCTTCCTCCTCATCGCTGCTCTCGCCATCAACAACCCAGCTCTCATCCTCTCGCCAGTCACGTTCCTCCTCTCCCTCTGCACTTCCTCTGATATCGCAACGACCCTCCCTAAGAAACTGTCGCGGTACTCCGTCGGCAATCTGGTCGTCGAAGTAATGGCGAATGGGGCTCAGACCACGCCCGACGCGGTCGAGCACGCCAAGATCAAAGGGAAAATTGAACCCAGGCATGGACGGCATGTTCGGCATGTTCGGCAGCCCCGAGGGCAGTCGCGCGCGATACTCGGCGAGACTGGGCAGGCGATTCGAAAGCTCCGGAAGCCGTGGTAACTCGGGGAACGTGATGTTGAAAGTGTCGCCTCCCGGTCGCACGCTGCGGGGACGGCTGTTCGCGCCGTCCTCGTCGTCGAGGAAGTACGGTCTGACAGTCACGGGGGCGGTGACCGTCCGCCGGAAGTTCGTTCTCCCGCTCTCGGCTCTTCGTTCGCGTCTCCGCTCAGCAAAATCCTCAAGGTCCCGTCGGACGTCTTCACTCTCGGCCATCATGCGGACGGTCTGGGTGTTGAAGCCGTCGCACCTTCCGCACTTGACTCCCAACCAGTGGAAGCAGCCCACGGTCAGACTGCCGCAATCATTGCACTTGACCTCGACCTTGACGTCGCTCCACTCACGAGGCATCGGTTGGTGGCGAATCTCTTCCTCGAGCTTTCGCCATTGCGTCTCCATGTTCACGGCAGAGCGCTTGCAGATAGGACATTGGTAGGTGGACATCATGAGAGAGTTGTAGCAGTGGTGGTGTAGGTAATGACCGCAGGGCATGGCGACAATCTCGAGAGGAGAGGTGAACATGTAGTCTAGACAAAGGGGGCAGTTTGAATCGGTGGCGTTTTCAATGCACGTGTGCGTGGCGTAGTGGGCAATGGAGATACAGACGTTGCATTTCTGGCCATCGAATGTTAGCTTCAATCTCACGATCCAGTGCCTTGAAGAGCGCATCATGGGCACCAACCTTGCAGTGCACGAAATCCTTGCCCAGCCCTTCGCCCCGTCTGCATATCCCGCAATCCGCGCAGTGGTAGATCCTCTTGCTCGCATCGTCATCCCAAAGCTTGCATATGTCACAGTAATACCACGCTGCCATCTCTCCACACTCCTTGCAGTATTGCGCAGCTGCCTGCGGCGTCCAACACAGCATGCAAAGCATATTCTCGGTGGCCTTGCGGTTAAGATGGTGCGTCGTCGTTGCGGCATCGTGGCAGTGCCGGCATGAGAACCATTCCTTGCAGTCGTAGCATTGTACCTTGACGTTGCGCTTGTAATGCTTGCAGCCCAGCACGGGCTCCGAGTTCTCTGTGATAGCCGTGTTAGCGGCGGCGGCGCCAACATCATCATGGCTTTCGTCGGCAGCGGTTCGGTCGGGGTCGACAAGAGGGCGATATGAGGGTTGGAGGTCTTCCGGATGAATGTTGAAAGGGTTGCTAGGATCGATTGGAGGGACGTGTACGCTGACGATGCTCTCCGGGCTCGCCGGCGTCGTGATGCAGCTCAATGGACTTGAGGGCATGAATGCACGCTCCTGCGACGTCATTGATGCTGGCGATTGCGGCCGCAAAGACATCTGCGCAGCTTGCCATTCCTCCGTCATGAGATCGTGCATGCGCCGCGCCTTCTCGGCTTGTGACGCGTTCGATTCGCGAATCTGATGGATCTTCTGGCGAAGGAGACGCATGCCATCGTCAGCAGGTAGTGACTGGGCGGCCATCGAGGGGGAGTCCTGCGGCAGCGACATCTGCGCTCTCGGAATATCCCGTGCAGCGCTTGTCGGTTGCTCGTGCACTTGCGACGACGGCGTTGATGACGGCATGTCTGCGGTGTCTACCACTGCGTTTGGATCACCTGTGCTGATGTCGTTCTCAGGGCCGGGAGCGAGCAGTCCGATGTCTAGTCCGGCGTCGACTCGACCGTTTCCTACAGGCGTATTCCGGCCTTCATGGCACTCGTAAGGATCACGCGGCGATTCGAGTGTGTCTCCCGCAACGGCGCTGGCAAGTGCAATGTGCTCGGATTCTGGACTGTGGGGCTGCGGTTGAGTACGACGTCGAGGTCGCGAGCGTTGTGCGTGGTTCCCCTCCGGGGTGAGAGCACCAGGACGAACGGCAGGACTGGGGCTTTCGTCGGCTATAGCACTGTCGTCACCGTCGTGCCCGCCGCAGAGCTCGCTGCTTGCGCGAGAGCATGTGCGGTGCGGAGTCGAGGGATCGGCTTCATTTTCTTGCGGCGTTGCTGCTGCTGCTGCGTCTGCTGCAGCACTTGCATGTGACGGAGCAGCAGCTGCACGGGCTGTGGTTGGCAGAGGCGGTGGTGGTGGTGGTGGTGGCGGTCTGGCCTGCGACCCCTGCGAGGAGAAGCGACGGGCTTGACGTACGACAGGCTCGACGATGAAGGACGAGAACAGGCTGCTCATGAGTGCCGTAGGAGCAAGGTCAGGAAGCGGACTGCCAATGTGCCTCGCGAGGTTGTGGGAGGTTGGTCGGGTCCTGGCGGGAGCAGACGCTGCCACTGCCAGTGCTACTGCTGCTAGCGGCGCGAACTGCAGAGGAGAGCCAGCGTCTGCCAGTGACGACGCCGGGCGTCCACCAAGCGCAGTCGCGTCCGACGACGGCGGCGAGGGAGACACGGCCCGTCGTGCTCCTGCAAACTACAGTCACTGCTGGCCATGCTCCGTCCGCACCGCCAACACCGCCGCCAATGCCAACGCCGGCATCCCTCAGCTTCTTGCGCTGCTGTCGCCTCTCCTCTTGCTCCGTCTCTGCCTGGGGTCACGCCACGCGCCTGCGATGCGCGCCATCTCTTTGCGCAGGCCGAGACGATTCCGCCGCCAACTCGCCGATGCTGGATCTCCCTCAACTGATACAAGTATCTTCGTCATCCTCCTCGCAGCCGTCGGCCCACCGCGAGCCGTGGGCCGCGCACGCTCTCGCCATCCCTCCCTCGCATCTCCTTCCGTCCCCACCGCGACGCGGAGATTTCGCGCTGGTCTTACTGCCGTCGCTTGCGCTCTTCGATTCTCCTTCCCCATGTGTACGCGCTTCGACGCCAGGGGCTGCCGGTCTTTGTCCAATTTAAAGAAGATTCCCTGATCCCTACGCTCGAATGCGCCCCTCCCCCCCCCTCCCAGGTACCCGTCCGTTCTGCCTCTCGCTTAGGTCCGTCAAATCCTCCAAAGATCGATCCGTCCACTGATCAGCATATAACCGTCAGCCATGACGTTCGCTCCGCCCGCGTTGTACAAGTACGCGCCAACACATGCATGTCATCGACCCTGTAGCCAAGGTGATCCTGTCAGGCTGTCAACTCCACTTTGCCGCACGGTTCGTCAACGACTGGACTGGTGTGTGGAATGAAATTAAACAACGTCACCCCTCCTGGTCTCCTCCTCAATCACCCTGGTATATCAAGGGGATTTCTTTTTCTCTAAATTCTATTCGCCCAGGAAAAGGGACCAGGGGTGTAAACGATCTGCAGAGGCGCAATCGATAATACTCGCATGGTAGCACGAGTACAACGTGCTCAATCCTGTAAGCGATGGAACATTGCGATGGTCACCATTGGCTCGTGGTGTCTTAATCGGTCATGGTCAAAGAGCAGCACGTCAAGTGAGCCCGACTTGACATTTGTAATTGATATCCTAAGCTCTAGAGTCTCTTTGATTCTCTCCCGTCCCGACTCTTTCGCCAAGTTTGCACATAGAAACGGCGGTTTTCAACCCGTTCTTCCGCCGCATCGATCCGAGAGGAAAGGAATGCACACAATATAAGTTGTAGAGACAAGCCTTCTCAAATTTTTAGGTCGTACGCCCTTCCTTGGTGTTCCCCTTCTTATCAGGTTCTACAGACTGAAGGCAAAAGTGCAACCCCAAAAAGCGAGTGACAACGCCGAGAACCTTTTTTTGATCCTCACAGCCAGGTGTATCCATGTGTTATCCAAAACAAGAAAATCCCATATGATGCCCACAAGACGTACAGAGAAAAGAAAGATTACTGCAGGAGGTATCTTTTCAGCAGAAACACATGTGAGGAAAAAGGGAAATACATCAAAAAATGTTGTGAGGAGAGAGAACAAACCCCGAGGTCCATCCAGAAAGCTCCCTCCGATGAGAAAATATATAAAAAAAAATTCATGCCGCCCAAAACAACATTTCCCCGTATGTCGTAAATAAAGTGTATCCCCACAAAGAAAACTTGGTCCGATACTCCTGTATCCCATAATATGTGAATAAAAAACGCCACATCGTCGAGTCCGTGAAAAGAGGCCGTAACAGTTGAAACATCGAAAAAAAAAACCAGAGGGTGAAAAGAGAATTGCGCTCGCTGATAGTCTAGCGTAGCGGGCTGGTTCCAGAACGGTCAAATGAGCTGCGCGTCACTTGTCCGTGTAAGCAGGCGAGGGATAGTGCTCAGGTGGAGGACTTGGAGCTACCCAAGTGCAACGATCCCCATAGGTCAAACTTGCCTTGTGGTGCAAGTGTGCTCACGCTCTCTTTGCTAGCATGACTGCTGCCCTCAACGGGGCTATTGCGTGCCGTGTTGATCGCTGATGCAGGGGCAGAAGGGATTGCAGGCACTGTAATCGACTGCTGGTTCGTCTCCCTCGGCTCTAGCAACAGCGAGCGTCGGTAGAACGTCTGCACGTTCGCCTGCTCAGAGTTTCGCACTCTCTGAATTTGCGATTCCATCCACTCTTGCATTTCGGGTACAGGTTGAAGCTTATACGGCACTTGGAAGCCTTGGAGCTGTCCGATAATTTTGGCCGTCTTGGTATGCTTGTCGAAGTTAATCACAGACTTGCCCTGCCCGTCGGGACCGTCGGCACCAGGTAGCTGGCGGGTGGTCTGGTTGCCTACGTCGACGAACGTTAGGTCCGTCAGGTAGATGCCCACGAAAGGGATGCAAGGAGCCACGTGGTTTTGCAGACGCTGACGAAGCACTGCATAGTTCTTGCTGACGTCGACAATGGTCTTTAGCTCGTCAAGGCGCGCCTTGGTTTTCGCGCTGACGAGGTCCCAAGTCTTCTTTAGGCGAAGGACCATGGAGCTGTTGAGTGAGCAGACAATTGCCATCAAAGTGTCGTAGTTTGCAAGCTCGAGACACTTGACGCAGATCTTGACCCACTGCTTGATTATGAGGGCACGCTTTTTAGGCTCCTCATGCTGAAGAATGGTATCTGCGACAAGATTCGTGAGATCGGTGGAGAGAGTGCTCATCGCGCGAACGTTGACCGCGCGAGAGTCGTGCTTCTTCGTCCACTCGAGACCGAGAAGTTCCTCTGGGCGGATGGAGCAAAACAGCTTCGACTCAATCAGTGTCATTTGGCGTGCTATCTCCAACGGGTCGAAGTCGGTGATGCTGCATTGCGATTTTGGATTTCGTAACAAAGCCAGCTGACTCTTGGTGATCAATGGCGCAGGAGCTACTTCGTTGGAGTGAACTGTCACAGACGTGCTCGTCTTGCCCAATGAGGAGACCATGCGTGGCACAAGAGTACCATCGCGCATGTCTGCAACACGTGCTGCCAATTCAGCTAATCGCTTGCCAGCAGCCGGCAGAGCTGCAACCAAAGGGCCACGTGCAAAGTCATTGATGAGGCCGAGTGCCTCTGCATCGGTGTCGCATTGCCAGTGGCTTTCGAGCCATCCTTTGAAGACGTTGTACACTCGCAGTCTGACTGGAACACCGGCGACAGGGCTTGAGCCAATATACTCGAAGCGGTCGATAAGACACCGCGCAAATTCGTATGGGGTGGTGAAGAGGCGAAAGGTCAGGTAAAATGTCGTGGTGAACACTGCATCTGGTGTTGTGTCATGTGTCGTGAGCTTTTCAACCAACGCCGGAAGTGAACCGCCAGTGATCTGGCCCTCCTTGTTGTAAACCAGTTCATGCGCATATGTTTTTTCGAGAACGGCTTCTTCGAGAGCGGCCTCGTCGTTCACCGTGGTCTGGAGCTCAGACATGCTGCCAAAACTACCCGTCATTTGAGGGTACTCGCCCGCAGGCTGGACGGGAGACCCATCTGGAGTGGTTGCTCGCGTAGAGGCAAGCGATACCTCACTCCCATTGCCGATGTGACTGCTGTTTCGCCATGAGCTACTGGTATCCGCTGCGGAAGTATTCACACTATCTGCCCGTGTTGCACGACCGTAAAATCTGGACGCTGGTGCTTCTTGGCTGTTGAACGATGATGTTGCACTGTTGGGGCTGATGTCGACGTGAACCTGGGACGATGGGACCTGCAGCTGTGAAAGTCGAGGTGACGAAGCACGTAATGAGCGTATCGATGGCGGAGGCGGGCTGTCCGCGAGAACAGGCTCATTCTGCTGACAAACAGGTGATTGTGGTTCTGGTGGTAGAGGTGCTTCTCGCGTAGGAGATTGCGGGGGTTCCGGAAGAGGTTTCGACTCGGAGTCCACTCCTGGCGCGGACGGCGTTGGCTGTGGTGGCTCTGGAAGTGGCTTCTGCGCGTACATCGCAATAACGTCCATCTCCGCTCCTTGCGAGGCATCTTGACTTGGCACATGGACATGTCTGACCTCAGTGGTCTCGACGTGGTGAACTTGAAATTGCTCGAGAGTCTGGAAGACATCATCCATCAATCCAAGACCGACAGATTCAAATTCAAAGTCACCAATCCGTTCGATGCAATTTCGAGCCTTAGTGACACACTCTCCAGCGGCGCGAATACAGTTTGTTGATGTCGATACCAGTTGGGCATTGCGGTCCGTGTCGAGGACATGTGGTTCATCTCCGTTGATCTGACTGAACATGTCTCTGGTCGCCTGGACGAGCTCCGCAAGTCGAGTATACATGATGTCTCGTGCATCGGCTAGTTGTGCTGATCGCTGACCGTCGCGCGCCCATACTTCTTCTACGATCGCAAGAAGCTGCCTGCAAGCTGCAACAGCTTGCTGAGTTGTCGAAGTTAATTCTTGCGACGAACGTGACTGCAGATGCGACCCGATAAAAGTAGCTAATAGTCCAAGGAATGAGTCGTGTGCCTCGTTGAGTCGGACGGAAGCAAGGTTGTGCCTTGTAGACGCTCCGCTGCCCCCGTAGGACATTCGATGTGACACGGAGAGTCTTTTTGAATGAAGCGACAGTGGTCGCGGGACAAGATTGGTGGTGGATGATGTCGGGGAGGATGCTGAAATTTGTGCCTGCAGCGGGTATGCACGACTACGTGGTGATGTATCCGTTGTCCCAATCAGCTCTTCTTTGGGTGTCTGATCCACTGGTGACACCGCATCTTGGACCGAAGCCCCTGTGACCTCTTCGTGGGACAAGGCATGCTCTCGTGGCTGTACATTGTCGCTTCGCTCACCCTGTTCTGATGTATCGACTGGTGGCGTCGGCAATCTATTATTAGGGTCCGCGAAGTCGATCGTGTCCGAAGCCTGCTCTGGTGCGACATCCTGACTCCAAACGTCCAGAAATCTGACTGCTCGGATAACGACCTTGAACGCTTTTAACACAAGTTCGTCAAGAAGCTCGTATACTGATGTGGTCAGCCCATCTGGTTGTAGGTTTGCTTGCAGCTCCTTGGCGATCTTGACAAGTGATGACAAGTCCCCTAAAAGTCCCTTGCGCAAACGGCGCAGCCCGACGTGATTCAAAATCAACGGAGAGTCTCTCGAAAGACAGTCCGTTTGCTCCTATGAGAGAACAGGTCAGCCAGCTGTCATATTTCCGGTGTAATAGAGCACGAGTTGCGAACAGCCCATACTTACCAAGAAATACCGCACGCCTGCGATCATCCCTCGCACGTAGTCCTGACGTGTAAACGCCTCCAGGTTATCATTCTCTCCGTTTCGTACCAAGTTCCACAGGTGCGTCAATGCATTAAGCAGGTTACGAAGGAATTGTGGATCGTAGGCCTCACAGTAATTTGTTGGTAGCCATCCTCTGGCCCCCGACACCAGTAGCGTACCGTCCGCCCAACCGTTCGGGTGAATTGAATGCACTAAAATCACGTCCCCCTGATTGATGGGCACTGTTATCGAAGATTCGTCTGTCGAGGATGACACTGTGGATGAAGGATGGAAATGGTAGAAGGCACGCAGATAGTTGTGGAACGTCGTTGCGGATTCCATCTCTCGCTTCGGCGTCAAAGGTGGCGATATCTGCAGATTGGACCGGTTTGTCTCAACACTACGCTGAGTTTTTGACGATGACTGTCTAACGTGGCCGGTTCTTCGGGGGCGCCCTCGTGATGTTGTCCTTCCGAGCGTCGCGCTTGAGACAGATTCGCCCCAGCTGATGTTTGTCGTCTCCGAATACGCGCTCATCGGCTCTGGCTCTTCCTCTTCTACGCGCCCCAAGGCGTCCCTCCGCAAGTCTAGTGGCGCTGCAAAGCCGCGCATGCTGAAAGCTATACCAACAATGGCGCGGGTGTCAATTGCAGGCTCTACCGTGCGACTGGAATCATTGGATCTGTCCTTGGGTGAATCGCAAAAGCCAGACAATGGAAATGGTGGCCTAATTCCAAAAAGCGAGAATTGTAGCCTAGATACTAAGTCTCAAAATAAGACTGTGTTTTCGTGTGGGTAAAGAGGTTCAAGAAGCCTCCTGTTACGAGTTGGCACCACGTACAGATGGCTCGAGGCACTCCTTCCTGTACGTACGTATTTGTGTTTCTGAAAAGGTGTCAGTCCAGTCACGCCTACTTGCCAATTGTTGCATGTTGAGACAAGAACGACGGCTGCACATACCCAACCAAGTGGTCTGGAGCAGAGTGGAATCTGCGGTCTCGATCTGGAAATCAGATCTTCCAAAGAGGTCCACCTGTGATCAACTTGTGGGCACCAGGCGCATTAAAAGGTTCCAGGACCCTCTTTGGTTGCGGGCAGCAAAAAGCAAGACACCTACAATGCAAGCAATGTTGGGATAAGTGCCTGCGCAGATGAGAATGCAGGTGCAGCTGAGCAAGTGTTCCGGTTGGTTCGAAGGTGGAAACGGTCGTCGGAGTGAGAGACTGCGACTCAGATGTGAAACGGGATGTATCGGTTCGAGGTTACTCGCTCTCTCACTCTTTTTTCCCTCTACTTCTTCGTCCCAAATCAAAACACAGGTCTGCGATCGACTGTGCTCTGTCCAAAATCAACGGTAATGATCAAATGACCAAAAAGTCTATTCACGCGCCCCGTGGTAACGTGAAAGTCTGCTGAGATGTCCTGGTAAGGGAAGATCAGCGAATGGATAGATATTGAGCGAGCGCGGCACAGGCAAGGGTTTGCCTGTCTGGGGAAAAAAAGAACGGTGTCAATTGTGCATCCGTGGGTATCCTTGGAATAAGTTTGTAAAGGGTGAAGAACAGAGACACAGGTTCCAGAGGAGACAGGCAAGGGCAATGCTGAACGACCTTGGAAAAGGATATGAAAGCACAGGAGGCGCTGTATAGGAGAATAATAGAGGGATAACTAGGTGCACAGGGTGCCAGGCCGAAGAGCGTCTCCATGGGAATGGAACAGTCGAAGATCGGCCCTGCACATGCACGGGCAAAAGTCACTAGCTCTTCTTCATGATAGCGTTGCCGGGATTTCGGTAGTGGTCGAAGACAGGCCATGGCTAGGAACGCCACGCGCAGACACCAATTTCACGCCCACCAGGAGAGTTCCAGGGTAGGGGCAGGAAGGCCCGCAAGCGATCGGGACATTCCCACATCTGGAGTGCGAGGACGAACTACTATTACTCAGGTTCATCATCAGGGATTCTGCCCCGGCATTACCAAGCCGTCGAATGACGGAGAGAGGCTCAGCATCAACAGTCGCAAGCTCCAGTTCAGACACTCTCACTCGATCACTTTTGCCGTCGTCTGTCGATTGAGCGCCATTGTCGCTGATCCAGCACCATTCTCCTCTCGCGTGCTCCTGCGCAAGACTGATGCATCCACGGCGAATTTACGGCGAGACTTGTGCTCCACTCGAGGCTCAGGCTTTTTTTTTTCTCTCTTGTCTACACAGTATATTCAAGGCTTGTATGTCTGCGCCGTCCTGGTGGAACGCCCTGGCTTAGCTCAACAGTCCGGATAGGGTCAACCTGTAGGAACACCAGTCGGCCCCCGGATAGGCACTCGAAACTGCAGCCCACTCTAGCTCGGCCCCAGCGGAAGGCAAAGACTAAGCGACAGCGCGGTATACTGTACTCTCTTTGGTTGGGCTCCCATAATTGGTGCACCAAGGGAATGAATTACAATCCTACACGCACGCGAGCAAGTGCCGTGCTTCATCATCCTTTCCCTATCGCACCTATTGTCGTCTTTCCTTGATCACGCCGTTCATCTCCATCTCGTCTTCTCGGTCGACACAGCATCGTCGAATGAGCCTGAGAGGAGTGGGCAAGCGCTGAAAAGAAATTACTAAGGCCGTCCGAAATTCGGATTGGTCGTTTCCCATGGCGTGAAGACTCCCAACTGGCGACTCAGCTTGCGTGCCACTTCCCGACAGTCCGGAAGCACCGTGCAGCTTGCCCCTGCTCTTAAGTCTTCACCCGCCCGCCCGCTTTTAACTTGGTCTAGCCTCGTGCTCACCTCTCGAGGGCACTGTGCGAACCCCCACCGGCTCTGGTGTATAGCGTAGCTGGAGAAGGCAAAGATGGTCAGAAGAGCTTCGCAGATCTTGGTAAACCATCTGTCATAAGAACTGGCTAACATCTCCACTGCATTCAGCGCTTCGGCGAATTTTTCCTTCTGAGACAAACGTTGGTGAGGTCATACACGGAGCTGGGACGTCAACCGTTTTTCCAGCCCCATTGTGATCCTTTCTCCTCGTGCTGCTCTTGTCCCTATCCGTGCTGGAAATGTTTTTTTGTCATGCTGATATTAAAAGAGACGAGGACATTGTAGCTCCGAGGAGACCAGTACTTGGCCATAGATACGACGTGCTGACACGTGAACTTCGTAAGTTAAACACCAATCGTGCCGTCCTCTTCACACACACAGCACATGCGCGCCCTCAAGGTGGTTGACGACATCCCGTAACTGCTCGGTATGGCCCGCTGGTGTTTCTCACGCTTGCGCGGCTTTCAGGTGCAATCACACCGAGTTCACCAATCGTAGAATAGGATCTCCTACCAAACGGGAAAGATGGCTTGATATCAGATGTGATCTGAGCAGATTCAGGATTCAGAATTTCACCCCCGTGGTGTGGGGGCCCAGCAGGCTGTCAGCACAATCGTCTTCTTCAGTAGTAGTGTCACCGCCATGAGATCGCCTTCTTGACATTGCACGGACATGTTTTATGCAGGGAGCATCAAATGTGGCACGACGGCAGGTGCCTTCGGACGTCGGACTGTGAATCCATAATTAATGGAGCACCATGAAAAAGAAAAATTTTCCGCAGACGTGTCTTTAGCGTGGCAGACAAAATGTGGACGTGTGAAGACCGCTGTCCGCAGCCGTGAGTACATTGACGTTGAATCCTTCCCGATCCCTCGGACGTGTGACAGAGGATGAAAGGGATAGAACAAAAGTCTATTCCTCCAGTGCACTCAGCTCAAGCCCGTCCTAGAACTTGGAAGCCGGAGGGCCCGTCCAAAAGTCACGCTCAATTCCCTAGAAATCCCGACAAGACGTTTCCGTCACGTATCTCAGAAGATGATGGCGCAACTCTCGGCTGCCCAGTGGTGCACAAACATCGTCCCGCAGCACAGAGGAAGTCCTCACAGCGCTGCAGAACCCGGGCGGTGGGTGAGAGGCGCTGCGAGCTGTCTGGTGGTGAGACTACACGTCTGTTGCACCAATCCTCTGAGTCACCACCCGCGTCGCGTTGTGTTCGTCGCCGAACCTTGCTGGTGCGGGCCTTCCATACTAAACTTTCGCGTTTCCATCGCGGGCCGATGTTGCTGTTGTTGTTGTTGTTTGTTGATGATCATGTCATGCGCGGCACGCTGCGTCCTCCATAACCCGCTACTGAACGACCAAATGATCGGACCCGAGCTCTCGTGCCTCAAGATTCACCCTAAGGCAAGCCTCAAGTGGACCGAGGATCGAACGGGCGTCGGGGAAGCTGAGGGGGTTTGTGGCAGGATGGAAAAAAAGAATTAACTGTTCGGGTCAAAAAGGCCGGCGTCCATTCGAGCGCCAAGGTCTAGCTAGATTCAAACCGCAACGACTCCTGCGGATCGCTGGGCCTTGATGCTTTTTCCTTCGCGGACCAGCAGCCCATGCTCCAACGCGCGACCAAAGAGTAGCACCGAAGCTATCGAAAACACCAGACAGCAGTGGCTCGAAGCAGACTCCCAACGCTTTCGAGCATAGCCCCTCTGTACTAGAGACAGACGGTCGTGTCCCTGCCGGTCACGGAGCCCCTCTCACAGAGAAACCTTACTGTCGATCTGCCAGTCGAGGTCCGTCCCTGACTCCTGCAGCCAACGTGGACATCTGGCCTACCGCGATGATGCCATGCGGAACAGTCACAGATCGGCATGCGCAGCGACCTGTAATGGTGATAAGGAATCTGTCGATGAAGATGGTGTCATAGAATCACAACTATCGATACGAGATTGATGGTGATGAGCAGGTGACTTGCCGTTATTCGACTGCGGCCCTGCGCGGTAGCCGATCGAAAAGCAAAGGCCAGCCGTTCCTTGACTGCCGTGGTGAATTGTCTGCGCTCCTTTGCAAGGACCATCTGCACCCCAGAGCCGTTTGCTTGCTGTCGCTGAAGCTTGGAGCGGCTGCTCTGTTGTTCTTGTGTGCCGTGCCCTTCCTCGCTTCTGCTGGTTCAACAAGCATGTTGGGATCCTTATTCTACAGCATTTCGTTTCGACACCAGGACCGTGGCATCAGCATGGCACTTGATTATGCAGCGTGAGCAAACGTTTGACAAGTCAAAAATAGCCGTCGCCATGTCTGCTGTGCGCCATGCGAAGCAGCGTAATAATTCCGCCACTCTTTTCATCCTTTCGCATGTATCGAACCTGCTCAAGCGAATTCACACGCCACGTAAAGACGTAAGCTACTCTACGCTGTCGACTTCGACCCGCTTGCGTGTTTTCTCAGAGCCACTCCAACAGTGGAGGCTTTTCGTCCATAGCATCTCGTATTCGATCAGTCTGTTTCAATTGTTCCAGGGGTTTCTGCAGGCCGAACAGTGCAAAGCCCAGGGGTGACCTCTGCCGTGCCGTTCCAACGGGCACCTAAATTTTCCTTCCTATCGCCTACAAATCCAAACTTCCGGGGCGGCGGGACGAGCAACGGGATAGCAATAATGACCTGGCGAAGCACTGATCGCCGCAACGGTCCGGTCTAGCCTTCTCAGCATTCAGGTGGTGCTACCGTGATGTCTCTAATGCACCTTCCAGCAGATTTATCAGATGGCAGCTCTTGGCCTCTGGACTGTTCCTCTTCGGCTAAAGCGATGCCACGGTGCGGAACAAGGGGGAGATGTGACGACGTGGTCCAGGATGTGCTGCACGAACTGATCTCTGGAGGAACAGCCTCGAGAAAATCCATTTATTGTACGCTCTGAAAGACGAATTGACGTATCCGAAAGCAAGAGTCGGAGTTGTCGATCACGTCCGGCCTCGAAATTTGGTCAAATGATATGTTCATTGGCTCTGGATACGGACTGAAAGCCGTGGAACCAGACTTGTTTTCTGCACATTCAAAGGTTCAGAGTCATCGTTTTCTCCTCTCCTGAACATTGCGAGGTTTGGTTTCGGACATCAAAGGTCGCAAAACGGTACCCGTCAACGGCCAAAAGGTCAGAGCAGTCCTTAACGCCTATGCTCAAATGCGCCTAACCCGTGCTTGAGGCGAACGGAACGGACACAACGTGCTCGAATTAGGCCATCTTTATGTCGTCTCAACACTGGAGAGGTCAGCATTTTCGTAAAAGAATTGTTCTTTTCGTCCCCCAGCAAGCGCCGTTCTGACCACAGTTTACGCTGCACCCGTCATTCGCTGGCTACATAATCTAGAACATATTGTAGCCCTTGAGCGCACAATCGCAATGGTTCAAGCACAAAGTGAAACCACACTCTCGCCAATCCAGGGACATCTTGATGCAAAACCATTGAGCTCTACGCCTCTGTAGTCAAGATAGGATGACTGGTCCGAACATGCTGCACCGTTGCTGAACCCAAGATCGCTGGATCATGCAAGTTTATCCTGGACCTGTTCATGCCAGTCGAACACAATGACTACCTGAAAAATCCTGGCTTGCGGCATCGGGCCAGCTGCACAACTAAAGTACCTTGCTAAGCAGCACTTTGCGGTTACTTTTTTCTGTTTGCGACTAATGCCCTCCGACGGCATGTTATAAACAGGAAAATGGAATTGACGCGATCATCTAACCACTTTCCGTGGCTTGACCCGGTTGCGACGCTGGCTCAGTGATTCTTTGTCGGCATTTCCGAAGCAACCACGACGTCACCTAGAGCAAGTTCAAGGTCTTTCTCTGAACATGACGGTCTCAAAAGAGACGAGGCCAGTACTGATTAGGCCGTTACGCAACGCTACGTTTTCTGATGTTGCCGAGAGGTATTCTAGCCATGCATAGCCAGGTGAACGTACCGAATAAACAGGTGATGAATTTATTCCCGCCTTCTGGTTGTGCACTTACGTTTTGAACCTCTTGAGGCGAGAAACGAGAGCGATGTTCTCAAGACATCCTAGCTAGCTGTTGCTTCCGTGACTACATCGGTCTGCAGAACATTGTTCGTTCCAAGCCTTCAATGCCCCGGGTTGTGACTGACGTGCTACCGGGATCATTAATCGTATGAAACAGATCGAGTTATGGCTATAGCACCTCCCGCGGCGAGGATCATACAAAAGTCCTCGCATTCGCCCACACACGGACTTCGAACTCCTCTGCCGCCAGCTTTCACAGCATCGTGGAAGAAAATCCCCGCTTTTAGCATGGTCCTTCTTTCATCCTTGCCTTCTCATGTCACCACTTCCACCACAAGAGCCGGACGACGGGCAGGGCCTCCGTGACGGATCGTGACTACCGCAGTCAACGACATTTTTCGGCCGTAGGCATTGCAATGAGCCACACATGTTCCGACAGTCTGTGACAGGCCTTCATAATGAGGTACTGAAGTTCGCCCGCATCTAGCAAGCGGCGCGGTTATACGAGGAACAGTTTGAAGCGTCTCGTCTTCGTGTCTCGGTAAACCGAAGTGTAAACCAAAAAGTTTTAGCGACGATCTCGACATGCTCGGCGTACGCTCAGAACCACGCGACCAGCCTCTGGGCAGGGAAATACCTTCCTCAATGCCTCGTGCAATCAGGCTGTACTTGTAGGATCGTCCATCTGTGCTAGGATCATGGGAGGTTTTTTTTTTCTTCCTGTCCGGCGCAGGTTTCCCTTTCCGGTCCAACACAGGAATCCAGACTCTACGTGACGAACGAGCGGAGCGGTGCTTCAAGACAAGTCAACAAGAATGGTTTCTGCGTTCGCTTAGAATGTTTCGTCCATGTGCGCGGGCTGGGCTCGAAATCCGTGCTGAGGTTTGGAAGGACCTCTTAAAGCGCGATGTCTAACCCCCCTCATCAACATGCATGCTCATGTCTAATCGCTTTGTATGGGACCTTGCACGACGTCTCCGTTCATCCTCAGGACAGAAGGACAACATCCAGCCCCGTGAGTTCCGTGTACGCTGCTCACTTCGGGTCTGAGCATCGTACGTGTGATGCTGTGGTTCTTTTCACCCTGTGATATTCTTTTTTTTTTCTCTCGGCTTACGATACGACCTGTTCTTGTTTATTCATCACGGTCAAGCTCCCGTGGTTCACTTGGAGACTTGGTGCCAGCACGCTCACGAAAAGACGAGGCCCCCTACAACGCGGAAGAAACCGTGCATCATTCGCACTGACTCCAAGTCCATGCAAAGCTTTCCAACTCTAGAATGCATGTGCTGGAAGTAAAAAAGGCTCACGCTTTCAACTGCGAGGTGTGTTCGCGTAGTCGAGAACAAATGAAGATTGTAAGATGTCATGGAGAACCCCATTCTTCTAGTTAAAGTCTAGCGCCTTTTCTCGCGCAATAGAACTAGCCTTCTGCTCAGCCTTGACTGGAACAATGTCAGTACGCAAACGACGGGAATCAGGCGGATGGCCGTGAATCTTATGCTTATTTTTTTTCCCCTTCTTTCGTAGCCTGTGTTTGCGACGTGAAATTCGCTCGCTAGATGGTCGGCTGGCCAAAATCTGTTGCAAATGATGTAACCCCCAAAAGACGTTTCAGAGATATTGTCATACTCCATAAAGCACGGATATCCTCCAAACCACGTGCTTTTGTTGCCTCCTTTAAACCCAAGAGAACTACGCTGATGGCGCCTTGAAAGCTAATTCGATATATGATATTGCAAGCGCAGCCTAGCGCGCACGGGTTGATTTTGCGCTGTGAGACATAACACATTTATTTAATAGTACTTCTTCCTACATCAGACATCATTATGCTTGTGATCCACGATGCTTCCAAGCATAATCCATATCTGAGAATCATCTCAATATATCTGCGAAGAGATAGTTGTGGATGAGAAATAGCATTTGCTCTGTATTGGACATCAATGGGTTCTCTCAAAAGAACCAGCTGCAAAGTGTCTGCCCCGCGCCGTTTACTTCCGTGTGAATCTCTTTCGACAATAAAAAAAAATAAAGACAGAATGAATATCATGACCATGTCTCCGCTTGTTCCACAAAAGATAGAAGAAAGCAAACCATTTACTCCATCCCACATGAATATGTCTTCCGTTGATATCGGGCTTATCTGTCTCAAGAGCCTACAGTCCTAATTGATCCGATCAAGGCTGGGGGTTCTCCCGAACGACCTGCTTGATTTTGCGCTCGTATGCCACTTTGTCCTTCTTAAACAGGTTATATGCGTCGGCCTGGGCTGGTGACTCCGGGTTGGGTTCATTCAGAAGACTTTGAATGCCCAGAAGAATCTCCTTGATTGTGATTGCAGGCCTCCAGCCCTCGTCCTCATTTAGAATGCTCAAGCACACGGTGCCGGATGGATATACGTTCGGATGGAAGAGAGGCGGCACGAACTTGCACTTGGGCGGCTTGGTGGGGTACTCTTCAGCTCAGGCATCTCGTCAGCAGCCGTTGATTCCTTCTTGGTGTCTCGGCAGGAGGGGTTGGAACTGACCGTCAGGAAATGTTATCTGCAGCTTGAATTGGCCGCCCTCCCATATCGTCTTCTCCTTGCCTGGAATGGCGCATTCCCACGTCCGTAGGTCGAGTGTGCCTTTCTCTGGGTTTCGCACGGGTTTTGCGACAAAGCCGAAAGGGTGATCGCGACGCCAGTTCTTGCTGCGATGCTTTTGAGTTAGCCCACGCATTTTGACGACGGGTTGCGCTTTGGACTACGTACCGCTCTTCCTGTAACCGATTCGTGGCTAACGACATGTCTGCAACAGCAGTTGGAGTGGTGAGCCGGGCGACAGGACGAAAGAAGAGCTTGTCGGGCGAGGGGACACAAAACACGCCTGTCTATGCGACTGGATGCTCGGAGCAGGAGGTGTTGGATCTGAAGGACAAGTGACGGAAAGGCGAGACCGGCGACGAGTAACGTGAGCGACACGGGCGCAAAAGGCGGAATCTCCAAAGGTGCGTTTGTTTCCAAAAGCGAAGCACGCCTGCAAGTGTCCGATCCTCCGGCTAAACTGCTTCTGCACGTTGTGAGCAGGTCCAAAAGGTCAGGTGAACAAAGCCACGGCGCTTGAATGTGCAGTTTGCAGGGTTTGCGATAGTTGAAGATGGTCTGCTCACCTTTGGCCTCACGATTCCGGCTGGGCAAAGGAAAGATCTGTGCATCTGCGGGCTGCTGCCCACTGGGAGGCCTCCGACTCCCCAGGCCACAAGGCCGTCAGAGCCCTTTGGGCGCACCTGCCCGCCCACGCTCGCGCGCCCACACGCACAAGCGCACCCAGGGCCCTGTGTTTTGGCAGCCGCGCCCGTGGTGAGGTTAACTTAGCGGCTGCCGCCCCTGCTCGCATGTGCGCTTGACCCTCGGCACTGCGGTAACGATCTCAGTGTGCGCCTCTCTGCTGGATCTTCATGCACAATTCTTGCCCGTCTCAACCCTGAATTGTGCTTTTGTTCGACGTGCGGGCTCGAAAGGATTGCATTTGATCACAACACGCCCTTTCTCGCTCCGCACACGATGGCCACCGAGCAGCCCAAAGAGGCGGGTCCACCTCAGGAATCCCCGCCTTCTGCGGAAGCCAAAGCAGCCGAGCCAGAGCCAGCGGCGGCCATGACGCCTTCAGCAGCAGCGGCCGCACCGCCGAAGCCTGCAGTTCCAGACACGTCTCCTGCACCTGCGAGCGCGGTGGAGGACGCTCCGGACCCGGACGAAGATGATCTCGACGACCTCGATGACGTGTTGGACGAGTTTGCCGCTACGAACCTGAACAAGGCCAACGCTCCCACATCTTCAGGTCCGGGCCGGCCAGCGCCTGCGTCCGCGTCTTCTGCATCTGCGCCCATGGCTGGTCCGTTCCCGGGTGTGGGAGGAGCGGGACCCGGGGGTCTGTTCGCCGACGACGAGGAGTTCGCCAAGTCGCTGCAGGCGGGCATGGCAGAGCTTCTGGGGGAGTTTGGCAGCAACCCGGAGATGGCGAAGCAGTTCGAAGACCTGGTCAAGGAGCTGGGCGAGGGCATGGGCGCTGCCGCTGGCGAGATGGGCGTGCCACCGGAGGTTGCGAAGAACGCTGGTGCGACCTCCGCATCGGCTACGAGTGCGCCGGAGACTGCGTCGAGAGACGCCGGAGCTTCCTCTGCGTCGGCGTCCAAGGGCACGGCACATTCGCAGCCTTCGTTCGAGGACATGATCCGCGCAACCATGGAGCGCATGTCCGCCTCCTCGGCCGCGGCTGCAGATGCAGCGTCCCGATCGGCGGCAAACCCGGAGGAAGACTTCCTAGCCGCCATGTTGAGAGAACTCGAACGTGAGGGCGGGGCAGGCATGGGCTCCGACGAGGACTTCAGTCAGATGCTGATGGGCATGATGGAGCAGTTGACCAACAAGGAAATCCTGTACGAGCCGATGAAGGAATTGCACGACAAATTCCCCGGATGGATGAAGGAGAACAAGGACAAGACCAAAAAGGAGGATTGGGACCGCTACGTCGAACAGCAGAGGCTCGTCGGCGAGATTGTGGCCAAGTTCGAGGAGAGCGGGTACAGCGATGGAAATGCACAGTACAGAGAGTACATTGTGGAGAGGATGCAGCAGGTAGGTTTACTTCGCCTCCTTTGCTCAATTTGTTCCAAGCCTGGGCACGAGGATGCTGCGGAAAGAGGACGAGACTAATTGTGCTATGTACAGATGCAAGCTGCTGGTTCCCCTCCGCCCGATCTGGTAGGCGACATGAATTCGGCGCAGGAGGCACTTGGTGATCTTGAATCCGGCTGCCCCCAGCAATAGACTCAAGGAAGGAAAAAGAAAGTTATGGTAGACTGCTATTTAATCCGCGATAGCAACGCATCCAATGATGATGTGTATCCTGAAGATGCTGAGCAAAGCCAGGACATGTGGATGATTATACCCCCATCTCTGCCCGTCTACATCTGCGTTGCATAAAAAGAGGGGAGTTTCGGAAACCCCGCCAGGGCAAGAAAGGCCCTGTCTAAGAGTAGGAATTTTGAACAGCAATCCCATTCAGTTCCATCCATGTCATAGCATGTCCATCATTTCCGCGTCTTCGTGCTGTCTTTGAGCCTGTGCAGATACCCGAGCCTCGTTGTCGTGCTGGGAGCTCACCAGCTCCATGAAGATCTCGTCATAGTCCTCCTCGTCACTTCCGTACCGCGTTGGCGAGCTCGGGATGTCGTATTCATGGACTTGAGCGTCGGCGTCGTGTTGCTCTTGCATCTCAAGAAGTGCTCGCAGCTCCTCTTCTTCCATTTGCGCAATCGCATCGACCTGCTGCTCGTCGTCGGGCTGGGCTACGAGGCGAGGCGTTCCAGGCCACGGCACAGCGTCAGCCTGCTGCACGCTGCTTGCTGATGGCAGTTCCTCGTCCTCGTAGTCGGGGAAGAAACGAAGAGCCTCGCGATTGCGCTCTTCTTCCCAGCGTCGACGACGTGCTATGTAATCGGATCTCAGAATCTGCGAACACGTTAGCTCCGTGAGATCGCAGGGACAAGACGCTGGTGAGGACAAAAAAACAAGCGACACGCACCTGGTCGCTCCGTCCCTTCCATTGCTTCTCCTCCCGGCCCCGCTCGACCTTCTTCATGAACATGTCGCGCCGCCTTTCCCGTGCTTCGTCGGGGGTCTGCCTTGCCTTTTTGAGCAGCGGGTTGGGCTTGACGTCTCGCTTCGAGAAGGGCGTCTCGTTCTCCGACGACGATGCCGACGTGTTTGACCGCGTGTCCGAGCTCATGGCAGTCATGCGTACACCCCAGAATTGAGGCCGAGGACACGCATTCGCGTTCCGTGGAGACAGCGGCGACGGACGGGAGGGAAGGTACTGGTGCGCAGACGGCGACGTTCTCGCGGTGGTGTTGCCGAACGAAGGCCACGCAGTTGCTAGCATGGTTGGTCTCGGAATGCGGGAAAACTGGTTCAAGACGATTCAGAACGACGGGGCGGCTGCGGACAATGTGCAAAAGGCTTGTGTTGAGAGTCTTTCAAGAGTTCGCGACGACACGATGCGTTCGAAGGAGAGACGCGCTTGGGGCGCGAAGGGTGGGGGCGCGCATGCTGATTGGTTCCGTCATCGTCATCGTTTTTGGGGCTCTCAACACTGAGGGGCCACGTGACCAGGCTGAGACAATTTGGTTTGGCCTGGCTGTGGAATGCTTGATGAGAACTCTGGCCCGAAAAGAAAAAAGACCGAAAAGAAAAGACTTTGAGCACGTCCGAGTAATTCTTCTTCTATGCAGAGCTCCAAGCGATGTGCGTGATGAGAATTTCGATTGGTGACAAGAGAAGGCTTGTACACAACAAAGGGTGAGGAGCACTACTTCTAGCATCGCATCGACGATGACTAGGAGGAACATCAGAAAGATCTAGGCAACTGTGGACGTGCACCATTGGAGGCAGACGCTTCATATTTATCTGACCGGAAGCACGATTTTGAAGCCTGGGAAGGATATGGTGTTTGGTCTGCACCGTTGAATGCCAACGGCTTATGCACACACGACAAGCAGAGTTTTTGCAATTGGCCTTGGCTCTGACAGCTCAAGGTGTGTCTGTAGCAATGTGGATATGTCATGGCCGAAGACGTAGCTCAAAGTGTAAGCCCGCCCCTCCCCTTGATCTCACCGCTACGTGTGAAAGGCTCGGAAATATCGTAAATGCAAGCACCTGGTCGCAAGGCTGGTTTTAGATCATATCTTAGACTTGAATGCCAGCCTGTTGACGTCTGCCTCGAGACTGTCTAGACAGCTTCGCCAGCTCGATTTTTTTTCCCTCGTGATGATGTGTACCTACGTGCGAACCGAGGCGTTAGCCTTTCGTGGGACGCTCCTTAACTTGCATGCTTTGTCGCGTGATTTCTTTGAGCAAAGATGGACTCCCCATTTGGGCGAGGTGCGCTAGTATGCAGACGGCCACTAGGCAAACTGGTGCCCACTTACGAGCTAACAGAGGACAGCTTGGCAGGAGAAGAAGTGGCGAAGGAACTCAAAACGTAGCTGCGAAGAAATACGGAGCACATGGCAGAGGAGTGAATGCCATAGTTCTGGGGGTGTATGCAGCACGGTGTTGGATTTCGGTGTGTCCGAACCCGCACAGGTGAAAGATGTCCGATCCTGGGCTTGAGCGTCTCCGATGTCATACACGGAAACCGGACGTAGACACCCATGGATTTCGTCCATGGCAATAGCCAGAGGCAGAAAAATGACCGTGGGCAGTACCGTAGCCAACAGGCGCAGATGGAAACCAAAGCAGCGCAAGCCAGTGGAGAGGGAGTGAGACGACACATGCGGCAGGGCTTATTTCGGTCCTGTGCCTTTGTTTACGTGGGCGGAGCCGGAGACAGAAGTAAACAAGTTTACTGTCAGAGGGTCGCTCGCCTCGGGACGAGCGACGTACAAGTGGGCGGTTTCACGGTCTGATTAGCATCGATGTCGAAGGGGGGGGGCCGGACTGAAGGCAGGAGATGTGCATGAAGAAGACAGCCGAAGGGAGCAGGGCATGCAGACAAGCTTGTCTTCGGACTTGCTCCAGATGTTTTGTGGTGGCTCTCGCCTGACGCCGGGTTGATTGCAAAGGACAGCGAGCGAGACAACGGGGACAGATGCATACGCAGGAGTTGGCGGCTAGAGTGCGCTCGTCCCGAAGACGTCTTCCTTTTCTCCTGACCGTCTGCCGTCGTACTTGCTTCCGACGACTCTTTTGTCATCCAGCTGCAACGCCACAGCAAGCGTTAGAGGCTCTGATCGCAGGGCCGGCAAGCAGTTGACGCGTTTCACTGCCTGAGCAGAACACAGGCCGGCGGCTCAGCCACGACGGACTGCGTTGCGACCAAGTCAACGGGAATCGCACCGCTCGACTGCTGTCCAGTGCGCCGGGCAAGCCTCAGCAAGCAGCAGTAAGATCCCGCCGGAACAAGCGTTGTGGCCGCCTGCGCCTCGCTGGAGCCAGCTGAAGGCGCGGAGATCGAAAGCGCGAGGTACAAAACGGTCGACCGCTCGGCGGGCGCTGGCGGACGGACCGAGAAGCAGAGTCATCGAAGCAAAGGAGACGACGACGAAGACGAAGAACCACAACAACAGCAAAAACAACAACAAGAAGAAGACAGCACGTCAGGTTCGTCCTTGTCCCACCCAGCATCCTCCATCCTCTCCATCCGTGAACTGTCCAGCCTGTTCCCGTCTCGAATCCACCCTTCCACAGCCTTATCTTGGTCCATTTGCACGCAGCACAGCGCAGCGCAGCGCAGCCCTGCCACAGCGCCGACGTGGTGGACCGCCTACAGGACCGGTCGACTGCCGCTGTGCGCTCGCCTGTCAACCCCCAAATTCGTGGCCCGGCTTGCTGCGTGCTTGCGTGCTTGCGGGCCTGTCTGGTGGCCGGCTTGAATCATTAGACTGTGTTGTTCCTCTCCCCACTCGTTTCGATCGGTTGCAAGAGCCTGCAGCCGCCAGCGGACTCCCGCGCTCGTTGCCTTCGTTCACTCGCTCGATCGCTCACCTGCTCACTGACTCACTTCCGGGCTCACTGACGCTCCCTTTGCTTGCAGCGTGACCCAGCCTTCCAGCCTGCTGCACGCTGCCTAAATAGCTTTTCGCCCAGTCACGTACTGAAAGGGTCATTTGCTGGTAGGTAGCGAGCGAAGTGCTCAGAACAGCACCCGGCAAGGCAAAGCACAGCAGGAAAAACGTGCCTCGAAACCCCCAGAGCCAAAGCCAAACATCTTTGAAAAAAAAAAAACATAGGAAAATGCAACAAAAATAAGAAAAAAAAGCAGACACAAGAAATAAAGAGCCACAGGCCAGAGCCGAAGCCCAAGCCCAAGCCCAGGCGCCAGCACAGGCACAAGCACAAGCAAAAGAAGCTCGAACCCTCCGCAATCCGTCATCCACATCCACATCTGCACCTGCAACCTGCACCCTGTCCCAACACAACTACCACACACCTCGCCCGCTCTCCTGAAAGCGTCCTCACCACTCCCCATCCATACCTCCATCCACACGCTCATCGGCCATCTACGTTGCCGCTATCCGCTGACCTTTTCCCTTCAGTCGCTTTGCTCTGCACACCAGCTCACAACGACCGAGGATGGCCGAACTGCGACGCAAACTCGTCATCGTCGGTGACGGTGCCTGTGGAAAGACCTGCTTGCTTATGTACGTCCCTGCACCACGTCCCGCTTCCTTTATCGTCGTTTGCATGTGCAAAGCCATCTGCTGACCTTGCTCTTCCTGCAGTGTTTTCTCGAAAGGCACATTTCCTGAGGTCAGTCTCGTCGTCCCGACGCAACGCCAACTCGCCCTCTCTCCCGATCCGGGCCCTGGCCACGCCTCCCTGACGTCTCTTCTTCCTCTTCCCACGACGCATGTCTTCGATCAATGGCCTCTGTCGTGCTGAAATTTACTTCGCATATAGGTCTACGTTCCAACTGTCTTTGAGAATTATGTCGCCGACGTCGAGGTGGACGGCAAGCACGTCGAACTAGCCCTGTGGGATACAGCTGGTCAAGAAGATTACGATAGGCTGCGACCCCTCTCCTATCCGGACTCGCACGTCATCCTCATCTGCTTTGCCATCGACTCGCCAGATTCGCTCGACAACGTCCAGGAGAAGGTACGAGAACGGACCCAAGCCGGCTTCAGCGGCCCTTTCCCTTTGCTGACGACCTCCGACCGATGGGTCTTGCTAACGGATTCGTGTCATATAGTGGATCTCCGAGGTCTTGCACTTCTGCTCGGGCCTGCCCATCATCCTCGTCGGCTGCAAGAAGGATCTGAGGTTCGATCCTAAGACGATCGAGGAGCTGCACAAGACGTCGCAAAAGCCCGTCACTACAGAACAGGTATGTTTGCCAGCCTTTGGTACAAGTATCCATCGCCTGACCTCCGGCTACCTCGTGTGGGTAACGCCATGGCTGACAACACATCATCCAGGGTGAGGAAGTCAAGAAGCGAATTGGCGCCGTCAAGTACATCGAGTGCTCCGCGAAGACGGGCGAGGGCGTCCGAGAGGTGTTTGAGCACGCGACACGTGCAGCCTTGACGAACACCAAGGGTCGGAAGAAGGGTGGCAAGAAGAAGGGCTGCGTGGTCCTATAAGCGTTCGACATGTCCCATTCGTCCTCAGTGTAACACATATGCTCGCGCCACCGTAAGCAACAACGGCCAAGTGCGCATCAGACCGGAGCGGACGAGCATGATGAGAAAAAAGGCCCTCACGACCTTTTTTGCTTCTTCCTGACGAACGACGACCGCAAAGATCGGACGCCCTCTTGCTTCTTTCCACATCTTTATTTTCCTCGTCCTTGGTTCTTTTCTTGCTCTCTAACTGCTACTCCTACTACTACTGTATGTGCGCGCACAAATCACAAAGCTTTTTTTTTTCTGGGATTGCATAGAAACGTTGCTCTCTGCATGTGGAACCAAGACGTCGTGCTCTGTGCGGCTCTGTCGGCTGGCTCTTTTCCTGCGAACATCCGTCTCGGCTAACGACAACGGCAAGATCAAACAACGGTAGATGTAGTCTCCTCCTATTTCTTTGTCATTTGGGGGACAGCAGGCGGGGATCTAGGGTTTGGTGGGTGGTGCTTCGGATGGTTGGAAGGTCTGAGGCAAAACACTCTACACACATATATGAGAAGAGAGAGGCGTGGATAATGATAGGGCATGGCATGCACAAACCATACCGCGAGTGCCCTCGTCTTTGTTTGCGGCCTTTCTTATCCCGTCCTCCTGTCCTGCCTCCCTGGCCTTGTTTCATCTTTCTTCTCGTCACCGCGCGTAACCTCATGTATACACCACACATCTCAATCTCACCGGGAAAGATTCGTTTCTGTCGCGATCTGGTTGAAATATGGCTTGGCCCTTCCCATCTCCCCAATCCACATAGTACATGGAGGATAGCGGAAATGTGATTTGCCTGCTTGCCCCTCTCCCCGTCCCCTCCCTCTGACCCCACAAAGCATTGAAATGTAATATCGGACAAATTCTATTCTGGAGTTACATACAAGGTTATCAGTAGGAAAACCCAGGAATCCGCCTTCACTTTTTTGTGTAAGATTTTCACTGCCGTTCACCTTCTTTTACAGAGACACGAGCTCCTTTCGCCTTGTATGCTCTCTTGGAGAGCTCGCCGCAGTCTATATGGTCGTTGGACACTTGTCAGACTGCGGCCAGCATGTCCTTTTGTTGGGGGCGATAGACGACGTTGTGCTCGTGGCGATGCTTCCCGATGGGACCAGGACGCCTGGCCTGGGCTGTACGTCACGGAGCGAATGTTTTGTGAGCGTCTCCCATAGCATCCGGATGGGAAGATCTCTTGCACAAGTGCACACCCATATCACCGAGTCGAGGTCCAGCGAATCCCATAGCAGCCCTTCAGTCTGCTCGTCCGCTTCAACGCCATCGATGCCAAAGCTTATCCAAGGCCAAGTACTGGGAAGAGATGATTTAGCTGGCTTTCTTAGACAGACTGCGGGGAATATGTCGACGTCCACGAATACACGCGCTCACAATACACAACGAATGCACGTCAACCCTTCTGCGTGGAACGTTCTATGTCATCTTCACAGTAATTGACGTGACCTCAACCGAGTCACGGCAATAGCCATTTTCCAACATACCCAGAGTACGGTCGTTTCATATCTTGCTGCCAGTCTCGTCTGCATAGGCAGAGTAATGAGAGAGACGCCAATGGATGGTTAGGGACAGCGTTAGAAAGCTCCGTCAAAACTCGAGCAGCCTAGGCCGCCATGCGCTGTGCTTCCACACTGTTGGTAGGCGGAATGGGATCAACCTATGAACGGTAGTCGCACGCTCAGACGGAATGATGAAAAGGCCTTGTAAGCTGGAGCGCAGATCTCGAATGCTACTGAACAAGTTTTTTTTTAAAAAAAAAAAAAAAAAAAAAAAAAAAAAAAAAAAAAAAAAAAAAAAAAAAAAAAAAAAAAAACAAAGGTTTGCTCGATCCGCCCCCAGACGAGACGACCTTAACACGACACGGCCGAACCTGAAACGACGGGAGGTTGTTCGGTCAGAAAAGATCATGCATTGCCCTCCGGGCCGTTGTGTTCACTTGCGCTCGAGGATTCAGTCGTTCGCATCGAGGAGGTCATGCACCGTAAGGAACCGGCACGGCAAGACAAGGCACGACCTTGTATCACCAGATGAGGAAATTGTGTCCTTTTTTATGCCACCAAACGCCCTGATGTTGACTTGTCGTGCTGTTCTCGCCACAAACGTCGACTGATGTAGGATACACATCGTGCCCTTCATTTCACTTTCAGTGCCACGCTATTTGACACTGCGGCTATGCGCTTTTCAAGCTTAAAGTGCCAACTTGGGCACCTTGCCTTTGCTCAGCTGTCCTCGCCCGCCGGGGTTGTCTCTACCCGCCCCGAAAGGATTTTTTATTGTACGTAATCCGGGTCGTGCGGCCGGGCCAGACAGAAGACGAGCGGTCCAACTTGCAAGTTTCAGACTTTTTGCCTCAGCCAGATTGCTAGACGGGAGCGACGTCCCTCCAAGTTAGAAGACGCTGCCGGTCTCGGATAGACGTGGTGCACCACGCTTCACCTACGAGTTACTCCATATATGTGAAGCCAAGCCAAGGTCCGGCGTGATCCTTTTGCATGCCAGCAACACTTTCGGACAAAGGCCGAAGCAAGCAGGTGACTGTACAAAGTCGAGATTCAAAGATAAGCTGCGTTGTACATCACGTATGCCATGTATGATCTTCTCTCGGCATTCAGATTTACTTGGAGATGCAAGGCGAAGATATTGCATCTACTAAGGATCTATCAAGCTCTTAGCGCAACTGTGCAAAGTCTGGTGTGAGAATCTGCTCATAACGGGATCAAAGCCCGAGTGAATGGCTGCGATTCGAAGCGATGCTCAATAGTCATCTGCGATTGTAATCTCAATTTGAATCCGATACCCGACGTGACATATCTTCAGGACACCAGCCAGCAAACCACGTTCAAGACAGATGAGATGCAGACGGGTTTGCCAAAACGCAAAATGTCTCGACTGTTTCTGGATCATTTAACCGTCTACACAGTTGTGAGGGGCCGTGTAGAGGTCTAGCGACAAGTGTGCCGTAGGTGAAAATACAGAACACTGGGGCAAGAAAAAGAATCTACTGTACTGAAACTGAAGATTTCCGCGAATCTCGACGCAAAAAGATGATGTCCAGATCGTCCTGCCAGACGATAAATTTGGGCAGGCTCTCTTGGCTACCTGTCTTTCGTCATGATTAAAACCTCCGCAATCGCTTTATCTCTATCCTTCAGGCCATAAACCACATAAAGACCAAATAATCTGTATTTGTATGCGCCGTACCTAGTTGTGCTCAAATCGTGTATGTGCCAAAACAATTTCGGCTTTCCTATTCGAAGTCATTTACTTAGAATTCGAACGCTCCATCGTGGATGTCCTGTGAATTCTCTGCTTCACCTACTGCTTCACGATCACGAAAACTTGGTTCACTATAGTCAGATCGTTCGGATATAACGGCTGTTTGGATAAATGCTAGCTATGTGCTGGCAGCTGTAACCTTTGTATCAGCTCTCCGCACTTTGACGTCGACCTCGGCCTTTTTGTACAACATAAGCGAAGATCGATCGTCGTGTTATTCGCGCCAGCGAAGGCAGCCGGCAATTCCCATGGGATTCTTCCTCGCTGAATTTTCAAAAAATGAGTAGTTGATCGATGAGCAAAACTTGACTTATCCACACACACACACACACACACACACACACACACACTCTCTCTCTCTCTCTCTCTCTCTCTCTCTCTCTCTCTCTCTCTCTCTCTGTTTGTGGACGGACGCAAAGCTGCCGGGCATGCAGCGTGATATGGGCGAACGCAGATCCGCCGTGAAGACGCGAGCGGACTCACTCAACGGAATCTGCCCGAGTAATGAGCCGATTGACGCCATAATCGTCGGCGCTGGCTTTGCGGGCTGTTACATTTTGTACAGACTTCGACAGCGAGGCTTCAAAGCCAAGATCATCGAGGCCGCATCAGGACTCGGTGGCATCTGGTGGTGGAACACGTATCCAGGAGCTCGGGTAGATAGCCAGTACCCCATATATGCGCTGTCGTTACCCGAAGTCTACGAAGATTGGAACTGGACGTCTCATTATCCCGGAGGCACAGAGTTGAGGGCGTATTTCGAGCACGTTGACAAGAAGCTGCACATAAAAAAGGATACCATCTTTGATACGAAAGTCACACGAGCCACATATCTTGAAGATGATGACCTATGGCTCTTGGAATGTGACACTGGAGTAAGCTATACGGCACGTCATTTTATTGCATCCTTGGGCTTTGCTGCAAAGAGGCACTTCCCCGATTGGCCCGGTCTAGATGATTTCGAGGGCATCATGCACCACAGCTCTTTCTGGCCACATGAGGGTGTAGACGTAAAGGGGAAAAAGTGTGGGGTTGTAGGAACCGGAGCTACAGGTATCGTTCTGCCTGTTACCCGACATTTAGCAATAGCCTGCTTATCTTTGAGAAGGCGTGCAGATCACCCAGGAATGGGCAAGAGAAATTGGCGAAGAAGGAGAGCTTAAGATGTTCCAGAGAACGCCAAACTTGGCGTGTCCAATGAATCAAGTATATTTGACGCCCGAAGAACAGGCAAAGGACAAGCTGAATTACCCTGCCCTGTTCGATCAACGTTTCGAGAACTACAATGGCTTCTTGTACCAGGTTAGACCGGAAATCATGATGGAGCAGTCTGAAGAGGACCGGCAGAAAATGTTTGACATGCTTTGGAAGATGGTAAGTATTCCTTTGTTCGACCAGTGGTGGCGCTGACGGCTGTTTCGAAGGGTGGGTTCCGTTTCTTGATGAACAACTACTACGACATGAACAGAGACATCAACGCGAACATGTTGGCTTACGAATATTGGCGCGATCGTGTCCGTGAACGCATCAAGGATCCTCGCAAAGCGGAGCTCCTTGCTCCAATGGAACCTCCGCACCCATTCGGCGCCAAACGTCTTTCTCTCGAGCAGGACTTCTACGACCATTTCAACAAGCCCAACGTGGACGTTATTGACATCAAAAACAATCCGATCGAGCGATTCGAGGCCAAAGGTATCAGACAGAAGGATGGAACCTTCCACGAGCTCGACGTAATCGCCTTGGCCACGGGCTTCGATGCTATCACCGGGGGTATTAAGGACATTGAGATAAAAGGACTCGGAGGAGAGCTGCTCAATGACAAGTGGAAGAACGCTACATGGACGTACTTGGGAATGATGAGCTCCAGGTTCCCGAACTTGTATTTCACATACGGGCCGCAGGGTCCGACCGCGTTTGCGAACGGGCCAACGTGCAACGAAGTGCAAGGCGACTGGATCGTGAACTTGATGGACGACATGCGTGCAAACGGGCACAAGAGAGTGCACCCGAGGGAGCAGCAAGAGCGGGAATGGAGGGAGACGGTGCAGGAACTGAGTTCCAAGGTCGTGAGGGGCAAAACGGATTCGTGGTACAACGGGGGGAACATACCGGGAAAGCCACGGGAGCACCTCGTGTACGCAGGTGGGATTCCTCTTTACATAAAGATCATCGGGGAAGAGAGGAGAAGCGGGTACCCCGGCTTTCATCTGAGTTAAACTCAGCGGGAGTGAGTGACAGTGGGTTCAAGTACAGATCGATATTTACTTTGATATTTACTATGTAATACATGCTACCGTCAGGTTTATGTGGCATGTTCCTTCCCCCAAACTTTACTCGCAAGATGAGGAATCAAGATGAGTGCCCGGATTAATACACAGAGGAATTGTGCCGCAGTTGCTTTCACTTCCAACGCCGTACATATGCCTTTTCATAAATTGAATGCCATGACAAAACCCTGAAAATGCTATCATATCCCTGTCATAACAATGTATTGCTAAAGTGATGTCAAGAACAGAAACCCAACAAATGCGAAGATGGCCCAATTGCCTACGGAAGTGTAAAATCTCAATGTACTACCCGGAGCTGCCGACGAACTTGCAGCAGGTGAATTCGTACTTCGGCTGCTCGCCGCTCCCGAGCTAGACGCAGTTTCGTGAAGAGTTGAGACTTCGTGGGATGAAGTTGCTGTTGCTGAAATAGTTCCTGAGCCTGTCGAAGAAAACGTTAGAACGGGATTTGTGGATGGCGCAGTAGATTGCGACTGTGTGTCCGATATATGCTGATCCGATTGTGCAGCAGACACGATTACTATGGTCGACTTGTAAGGCAATGTCGGAGAAATAATCGAATATGTAGAATAACAATCTGGGGAGTTTTGGGCTCAAAACTGTGGGGATGTTCGAAAAACAAGAAGAGTCTTACCTGAAGCTGTTGCAGCGGCATCTGAACTGGAGCTCTTTTTGATACCGAATCCAACGCGCTGCCCGTCGTAATCAAACAACGTATACACATTCTTTAAGAACACATCACCGACAAGCCACTGCTTTGGCCCGAAGGTTTGACGCCCGACAATGTTGCTGGAGCATCCACCTGTGGTTTGGCGTCCGACGTAGTCTTTGGGGCTAATACCGTATGTGACACCCCCAAAGGTGAGTTGTACGCTTGCAGTGGAGTCACAGGGAACAATGAAGGTCTCGGTACCAGCTGTCTTGTAGTTGGGAATAAGCTCGTGCAATTGCACGGCATCATCATATGGCACCAATATGTACGAAGTTCCAGAATCAATGATGGCCGTTCGCCCAGACAGTCCAGCGTTGTCTCCATTTACGCTGGCACCATCGACAGGAATCTCCCAGAACCCGTCTGTGTTGTTCATGGCGGCAATGTAGTTGAGTTCGCCGCTATAACGGCTGCTGTCGGGCATGCCGAAGTTGAGCTCTCCCGAGTTAGTTCCACCATCGGACGCACGCCAAAGGTCGAGCCCGAACATCTTGGCGGTGATGATCTTCGCGGTTATGAGAACATCCATGAGAGACGGGGCTCCAACGTCTCCGCTCTTGTCGACTAGATTTTCGGGTCTCCCTAACCCAAGAATCCCGTCCATCGGGAAGGTGGTGAACTCGTTCGACACGTTTGTCGCTAGCCCAAAGGTCAATGGCACCGATATGCTGCCCAAGTGTGCCGTGTCTGAACCTCGTATACCCTGCACGCTTCCGGTGCCATACGTAACGGAGAAGGACTCTTGTACCACTTTCAACGAGCTCGAGTCACCCGTGCCCAGCAAGTTATGTACCCCACAGGCGCTGGATTTGCAGTCCGAGCTCATAACCCATGTATTCGAGGCTGCAGAATCCAATAGCATGTAAAAGACTTTGTCACTAGTACCAAACTTGAATGCAGAAAAGTAAGAGTAGTCTGAACCGTCTTGATCGACCCCTAGGCTGTTCTCTTGTGTCGGCGACGATGCTGGGATGATATTGAAGTTGTTCGTTCGTTTGGCAGGTAGCTTGCGTATGGTAGCTCGTAGGCCGTTATCTGCAAGATCTTGCGGCGGCAAGATGGCTCGAGGTGACTGGTGCGACGTCTGCTGTTCATCCTTAAAGTACGGATAAAAGGCCGAGGTTGCTTGAAGAAAGACCAGCAGGGCTGGTATGGTAAATCGCATTATGAATTACGCATTACTTTGAGTGTAGTCTCGTAAAATTGGCCAACAACTCTTTCAACGTTTGTTCTCTGTGGTGACGGGTCGTAGTAGGGCTCGCTTGGTTGTGGTAGTGCAGCTCGGTTACTGGAGACGATGTGGATAACAAGAAGGAACCGAGTGCACGTCAATGAAGCGGACTCGACCCAATTGCTCGCAAACCAAAACCAAGGAGTTGGAACGGGAGGGCAAAGTGAATGTAACGACAGGAAACACAGCCAAGACGTCCTTCTTAACGATGTTCCTGTTACGAGAGCGGGCTAGCACGTACAGTACTACCACAAGGGGGGCGTGCGGCGGGATGCTTTACGAAGTTAAAGCAAACGGCATGGCCATGATGAATAGAAAGTGCAACACTCTGGTCTCGGAGGCAACTGTGGGGACAGATGGCACATCTCCTGAGGAGACTCAGACCTGACCAAAGCGAAAGCTTTGCGCCTTCAACAGCCGGCCAAGAAAGCTCCTGATAGCTGCTGATGGCCCGATGGCGGTTTGAGATCACAACCGAAACGGATTGGCGTCTTGGAACTGCGGGAATGAGATCTGCACACCTGCCAGCCAATGAACGTACGCAGAATTCAACCTTGGGCTCCCACAGACTTTGATCGCCCCGTCCCCTTCTTGCTCGCCTTCCCCTCTTTTCCGCCGTCTTCGTCTGGTTCTGGTCCTATCAAGTGGGACAATCGTGCGGCCCAGACAAGGCCTAAAGCTGGTTTTTGCCCGATGATTACGTGCCTTTGGAACACGACCGAGGGCCTGAACTGTCTAGAACACGCCAAGCAACGGTGCCATTAGAATTCATCTGAAGTTCTGGACGTTCACGCACGTTAAATGTACAGCTTGGCTGCACGTCCGCAATGATACTTGGACGGACGGATTTTGAACGAGCCGAGTCCTCAGCCTTGTAGGTTATTGGTCTTGGTGGTGGTCATTTCCTTTTTCAGTTTAGCGGCAGAAAAGTTGAGGGTCGCAATGGCGACGCGACGGCGAAAATAATTGTTCGAGTTCATGCAAAGCATGAGAGTATATTTTGAACCATGAGGAACCTTCGAAACATAGCTAGGACTGCAGTCCGCTTTGCGAATGAGACGCCTTTGCCCCTGACGGCCGCGACTTGGGACACCTCTAGCGAGTCTCTCGTGTGCGCATTCGGACCGAGCGAATCTCAGCATTCAATTGAGCTCAGACGGACGGCAAGTTTTGACTCGGAAAATGGGAACAAGTCTACATCGATAGCGGAATGGGACGCGCAATGTCCGAATCCAGAACTTCCCTGTGATAAGATTCTGGACATCCACTACTTTGCCGACACAGCCGTCATATGTTTGGTCCTGCTGGGCGGCGATATCGTAATCGTGCGTGAATCACCTCTGCCAGGCGAAGAGCTCCTCGAGATCGTAGGCAGCGTTGACGCCGGCCTCGCTGCGGCAGCCTGGTCACCTGATGAAGAACTGCTTGTGCTCGTCACCAACGACGAGAATGTGCTCTGCATGTCCCGGGATTTCGAGACGGTCTCAGAAACGAGATTTGATCGGGCCGACGTCAGCCTCAGCAAACACGTAAATGTGGGCTGGGGAAAGAAAGAAACCCAATTCTTGGGAAAGAGAGCAAGGGCGCTGAAGGATCCCACGATGCCTGAGAAAGTGGATGAAGGACGGCTAAGCGAATACGACGACAAGGCTACGAGGATAACTTGGAGAGGTGATGGCCAATACTTCGCAATCAACGCTGTGGAATCGGGAGTAAGACGTCTGATGAGAGTCTATTCACGCGAGGGTGTGCTGGACAGCGTGAGCGAGCCTGTGGATTTTTTTGAGGGACCACTGAGCTGGAGACCAGCAGGAAATATCATTGCTGGCGTCAAGCGATTGGAAGACGGCGCAGAGATTATCTTCTTCGAGAGAAACGGTCTGAGGCACGGCGAGTTCAGACTACGCATGACAAAGGACGAGTTGATCGAATCCGGGGGCGTGAGGGCCCTGCATTGGAATGTGGATTCAACCGTATTGGCCGTCTGTTTCGCAGACCGCGTGCAGCTTTGGACGATGGGTAACTATCACTACTATTTGAAGCAGGAGATCCGGCTTCCAGAGACTCACGCGAAGGTTGAAGGACTAAGCTGGCATCCCGAGAAGCCGTTGAGGCTTGCGATATTCGGCTCGGACCAGTCGTACCTCGTAGACTTTGCCTTCGCTGTAGCGAAAGGTTCTACATGTGCACCGCATGACTATGGCACAGTTGCCGTGATCGACGGGAAATTCGTCAAGATAACGCCGTTGAGAATGGCAAATGTGCCACCTCCGATGGCCTTGCATGAACTGAAGCTCGAAGACAACGTCATTGACGTAGCCATTAACTCACAGGAGTCAAAAATCCACGTATTGACAGCGAGGGGAATGTCAACCTGGAACTATGTCATCACAGCTAAAGGGTTCAACGAACCCGAACTGCAGTGTTCCTCCGACTGGGAAACAGACAATGGCGTGGCCATTCAAGTAGCAGTCTTGAATGGAAGGCCAGTAATTCTGGCATATGGCGCTATGCACGACCATACCACATTATGGAAATTACCACAAAATAATGGTGCTTGGGAACTCCTCGACGTGGGATCACGAAACATCAGCTTGGTAGGAAATAGCATTGATTATCAGGTCCTCTTTGCAGCGACGACGAATGGAGTGGTACTAGGCATGGATTCAGATATGCCAAATCCTACTCCGCGGACAATCACCGCACTACCCAAACCATGCCCGTGGATAGAAGTTGTAATGGTTGGCGACGAAGAAATTGTCTTCGGCCTGACGTATTCAGGGAATCTGTACGCAAAACACCAACTGCTGGCCTCAAACTGCACCTCGTACTTGGTTACGCCAGCGCATCTCATCTTCACCACCACCCATCATCTACTCCAGTTTGTCCACCTCGACTCTGTTGAGAATCTGGAGCTGCCTCCCAACGAGCCGGAAACCGACGAGCGCTGCCGCGCGGTAGAGAGGGGCGCTCGCATCGTCACTGCAATGCCCACGGGATATTCCGTGGTGCTGCAGATGCCACGAGGGAATCTGGAAACGATATATCCGCGAGCAATGGTTCTTGCAGGAATCAGGAAGAGCATCGAGGAGAAGAAGTATAAGAAAGCCTTCTTGGCCTGCAGGAACCAGAGGGTCGATATGAACATTCTGCATGACCACGCGCCGGAGCAGTTCATGTCGAGCGTTGGCCTCTTTTTGGACCAGCTTAAGAAGGTGGAATACATTGATCTGTTTCTATCGCAGCTGCGGGATGAAGACGTAACGAAGACGATGTACAGAGAGACTATTCAAAGGAAGCATGTGGTCAAAAGTAATCACTCCGCTGCTGAGACCAAGCCAGAGGGAGAGCTTACGCCGAAGTCGAAGACGAATCGCATATGCGACGCGCTGCTGGAACAACTGCAATCGCGGAAGGCTACGAATCTGCAGAACATAATCACGGCGAATGTCTGCAAGTCACCGCCCGATCTTGAAGGAGGCCTAAAGGTTGTGTCGAAGCTGAAACAAGAAGATGAGGAAATAGCAGAAAAAGCGGCAGAGCATATTTGCTTCCTTGCCGATGTAAATCAACTCTACGACACTGCATTAGGGATGTACGACCTCGAACTTGCACTCCTGATCGCGCAGCAGTCACAAAAGGATCCAAAGGAGTACATACCGTACTTGCAGGGATTGCAAAACATGGGGCCGTTGAGAAGGAGGTTTACCATTGACGATGATCTTGGGCGACGAAGACGAGCGATTGAGTCTCTGCACGCGATGGACGACTTTGACGAAGTGCAGAAGTACGCTGAGAAGCACGAGTTATACAGCACTGCTATCGAACTGTACAAATACAAGCCGGAGAGGCTGAAGGCGCTCATGAAGCTGTATGCCGATTTCCTCTCAAGCAGAAATAGGTTCGTGGAAGCCGGCGTAGCGTACGAGTTCTTGCAAGACTACGCGTCGGCGATACCTGCTTACAAACAAGCGCAACGCTGGAGGGAGGCCCTCTCGTGCGCGTCGTTGTTACCCTTGCCCGACTCGGAGCTGAAGGATCTGGCCGAGAGCCTGGCGGAAGGGCTGATTGAGTCGAAGGAATATCAGAACGCGGCGACTATCTACCTGGACTATCTATCTAACGTTGGCGAGGCGGCAAGGCAGCTGTGCAAGGCATACCTTTTCGCCGACGCTCAACGCCTTGTTGGCCTACACCGGCAACAAGAGCTATTGGAGAGCGTCATCGACCCCGGCCTAATCGACGGCTTCACATCGACGACGGAACTGCTGGCAGACTGCAAGTCGCAACTTCAGGCGCAGGTCCCCCGTCTGCGAGAGCTGCGCCAGAAGAAGGAGCAGGACCCGCTCGCATTCTACGCGGGCGACGCAGCGGTCGGGGACGGGCCGGACGTCCTCGACAACGTGTCCATCGCGCCCACGGACGCAACTACGTCGGGAGGCACGTTCATGACTAGATATACGGGCCTGACGAACGGCACGCTCAACACGCAGACAACGCGCAAGACGAGCAAGAACCGGCGGCGTGAGGAGCGCAAGCGCGCCCGTGGCAAAAAGGGCAGCGTCTACGAAGCCGAGTACTTGGTGAACTCTATCGGTAGGCTGATCGAGCGCGTCAACGGCACGGGGGAAGAAGTGGCAAGGCTTGTGGAGGGCTTGGTCAGACGGGGCATGCGAGAGCAGGCGGTCGCTGTGGAGAAGGCCATGGTGGACGTCGTCGCCATGTGCGAGGCAGTCGTGCCGGAAGTGTGGGAGATCAAGCAGAAGACGGCCGAGGAAGAGGACCGGGAGCCCAAGGGTGCGGACGCCGTGTTCCTGGACATGATTGAGGGGGGCGGGAAAAGGGAGCCCCCGATGGTCAAGAGCTTTGCACGGCTATCGCTGATCGGGCTGTGACGAGGCGTAGCACTGACGAAAGAAGAGGAAAAAAAAACCCCCCGGAAAGAAAAATGAGTCGCACACTGGACAAATAAGCCTTTTCCTCGATTTAAAGATCAGGGCAACGCACAGCACAAGGCTTGCAAAAGCTTAAGAATTTTCATTTATTCTTTAATCTTTGGCTGATCGCAAAGAACCTGCAAGAGCAGCTTTTCCGATGTACGAGGCGTCCTGTCACCGCCATTTGCTTAGAATGCTGGGATCAAGGGGGCAATCGCAGATGTCGTTGCAGGTCTATCCTGTTCAAAATTCAACTGATCATCCCGATTCAATCATGCGATCCTTCATTTCGGCGATGAGCTGCTCTCCTTGTATTGCTCGCCTCATTTTGCGTACCCGATTATGGATCCTCACTATTGGCTTTGAAAAAGATAATGATCATCTAAATGTGGTCCTCTTTGGCATCATGAAAAATGGCGGTGCCGGTGTCAAAGATCCACCACGCGACAGAATGATGTATTTTCTCTGACAGCCTCGGCGGGGCGAAACAGGCTCGGTCAGATAGATAGTGCTCGTTTTTTAGGCCGATGCTGCAGCATTGAGTGTGGCATTTCGATCGTTCGAGGAACCGCAAACGGTTAGGTGATGTCATCTGACCTACACACCAATTCGAACATCCCACCAAAAAAAAAAAAAAAAAAAAAAATTAAACCGCAGATGACCAACCTTGTGGGATGATTCCGTGGAGAAAATGCAAAAAGAACACGAAATTTTGAATTCGCAAAACACCAAGAGTGATTCCACCTTCCCCTGTCAGCCATGCGCGGTAATCCCATAAAAACAAGTTGCAGGCGCAAAAATGCTTTTGGGTATATTGACGCTTTGAATTTGAAGAAACTAACGAAGAAACCCGGTTGAGCGAGGGGTGGAAAAACCAGTAGTACAAGACTTCCGAGATGTGGGACGGATCTAATCTAAGTCGAAGCCAGAGTCTTTTACGCCCTAAGAAATATAGTTCCACGTCCGATGATGCTTCCGACAGAATCAAGCGCCTTTTTTTTTGTTCTCAAGCCGGTCGTCTTCCCGTCCTCAATTGGTCCGCGTCGCCAGTGTCCCGTCAGTTTAATGTCGCAAAGACGCCTTGATCCAGCGGTAGAACAGCGGCAGAACGCGATGCCAGGAATGATTCTCGACCGGTCGATCAACATCTGCCCTTTTAGGAAAGAGGCCACTCTTTGATCATCACGAAGGCCACCTGGATTAGAACCTGCGGGAACGTGGAATGGGGTTGGCCATTTCTGAACAATAACAGAAAAAAAAATCACGCTCTTCTCCAAATGCACGCGCCTTTCTCTCCTCTCCACTCGCCCTGCTCAGCTCCTGCTTCTCCCGCTTCTTCTTCAGCAGCTCTGTCAACATCCTCCTTCGAACTCCTCTACCCGTGCTTCAGCCTCTTTACCCTTTTAGTGTGTGTTCCCCCACAGCTTCTCCGTGCGCACCATCATGCTCTCAAGCTTCTTCTACACCACGCGCTCCTGGATCTCGACATCGGCCCCCACGCTGTTGGCGCGCTCCGTGAGGGTGCCTCTGCCGAGCCACCTTGGGGTTGGGGGGAGGGGGGTGGGGTATGGAAGACTCACTCGTCTGGAGAAGCAGATGGAGAAGTTGACCGGCCAGATGCTGAGGCAGAATTGTCGCTCGCCACCTCAGAGCGAGTGTCCTCGACGTCCCGGTCAAGATCTTCGTTACAATAAACAAGATGCTCCCATGTTCTCCAGTGCAAGATCGCGATATGCGCTATTCGTCGTTCCAGGTCCTCCTGTCTGTCACTCTGGTGCAGCTTCAACGGGGTGGAGACAAGAGGCGAAGGCTGAGATGGTGGTACCAATTCGAGGAAGACGTCGTAGGGAGAGCTGGTGATGAGCTCTTCCACCTTGCGGCAGACATTTGGATAGAGCTTCTCGAATATCTGACTCCCGTACTGCGGGACCTTGCCACGTTCCTCTTCTAGATCCAGTAGCGTAGTCGAAGTAGATCTTGCGTTGGCGAGGGCTGACAAGCAGAGATGCAACTTGTCCGAGATAGCGTCACCAAGCTCTGCTTCAAACATTTCAGCGCTTTTGGTCACTTGTAGGGCAAATCGGACGATCTCGCAAGCGATGTTGTCCACGTCGCGAACGTGCCACGCAGGTGCATCTCCGGCGATGATCCGAAGCTGAGATAGGAAGGCATCCTCGTCTTGCTGTGATAATGTCGAGCCTCGTTCGTTGACAAGGTCCCTGAGCACGTCGCAGCACATCCATTCCCGTATCCACTCGTCAATGTCCGCCTGCAAAGCCCTTATTCTGTCAGCGTCGAGAGAGAACGTGTCTGGCAAGGGTGTTGCGCTGGGTAGCAACAGGTCTAACAGTCCCTTGACAAAGGCTCTCACATCTCGGGTTGGCAAAACTTCGTCCCCGTACGTCTGCATGAAGGCGGCACTGTCTCGCACACTGACGAACCACCTTCGGGCCGTCTTGCAGTCGCACTTGGACTTTCGGATGCGGCTGCAGTGATACTTTTTCTCAAAGTTGATCGTGTCTTCGATCAGCAGCGGTCTGAGGTGACGGATTTGATGGTTGGCGACGTCCTAATGCACATTAGCAGAGAGTCGTGACATGTTCGTGTTGCTGCTTTTTCTCACCAGCTTCATGGCCTCCAAAACGTTGAACAAATCGACGAGACCTGCCGTGATCGAGTCTGGAGTTTGCCTCCTGATTTTATCCACCACCCTGTCCACCATTTCGTCCCGCATAGGTGCGCAGTGTCGTTTGAGCAGTTGAGCCGTCCATTCAGCGATGGAGACAAAGTTGAGCGTGCCTCGCGAGACCTGCTGGATGAGCATTCTTACGTCCAGGTGCTCGTCGACGTCGGATTGGTCTCGACTCGGCACCAGATTCTTGATGATGTCTCTCATCGTCTGGAACATGCCTTTTAGACGATGGGTGCATTCAGGGATGAGCTGTGCTTTGGACTTCGGATCCATCGCGGACTTGAGAATGTGGAAGACGAGATGCAGTTCGGCTGAGACGGCCAGCCAGTACCGATACTGGGCTCGTTGCTTCTCTCGCCCCCGCTCGCCGTCCAAGTTAGGTCGAAAGTGAAGTTCCCGATCAAAGTTCACATCGTGCCTCAGCTTGCTGTTGTTGATGATGTTTGCTATGTCGAGCTCGGCGAGGGACTGCCTTGTGATGTGCGGTACCGTAGGTGCCGTACGGAATTCACGTTGCTCTCTCGAGTTCTCCCCAAAGAGTTCCTCAAGGAAACGATTGACCATGTGGTTGCCATCGTGGCTCGGGGCACTGCCCTCAGAGCGTCTCGGTGAAGAGTTTCGGCTTGATGCTGAAGACGCGGTGAGTAGCGCGTCAGACGGCAGGGGCTGCGAGTTCAATTTGTCGGGCGTATGGTCATGCAATGAGCGGCGACTCTGCCAGGAGATTTTGTTGCGTGAACTTCTTCTTGCCGGACCGGTCGACTGCGTGTTCATCTTTGTGTTGACGTCCTTGTTCTCAAGAACGTCTCTTGCTCAACGTGACCCAGACTACGCTTTTCGAACGGATCGTGATGCCGAATATCTGTTCTGAACACGCGAGGGGGATGTTTGCAGAAAAGGCCCGAGCGAGGGTCAATCGCAAACGGACAGCGCGTAGATTATACTAGGAACGGGAATTGGTCAGCATCGCTTGTGTCGTACATATGCAACGTCCTCGAAAGCACAAGGCATGCTTGGGGTCCTTTTCTGTTGAGGGCGGTGTCGGCAAGCTGCAGATAGAACACAGCGAACACGAACCTTGAAGCAAGTTCCGTTGCGCTGAGTCAGGCGACATGCACTACGCTATTCTGAAGCGGGGGTTGGGTTCTCCCAAGATGATTGTTATCTTAGATGCTGTCGGGTGGTGATGGTCGCGTTCAGTTCGTGATTGATGCTTGTGCACGTGCTGTTCGTAGCACGGGGTGGCCGTTTCGAGGTATGACTGACAAGTGTTGTCGAGGAGAGGATTTCGGCACGTACGATGCGTTGATTGTGGACGAGGTAGTCACAGTTCCTCTTGGTGGCCTGCACTTCCGTTGAAGTCCAGATCTTTGAAAGCGTTGTGTTTTTAAAAAATTCTCATGAATACGGAGGCGTCCAGTCAAGTTCTACATCCGGTCTTTCGCCTCACTTTTTGAACAGCAGGGTGGAAAGGGGTCTTAGCGTTGGCAAAAGGCTGGTAGCAGGTTTTTGACTTTTGATTCATCGCAAGCACACACTGCACTCAAGCGACGGAGTTCTTTTCCAGACAATCCAGAGCTGCTGTGCCTGTTTGTTCGCAATCTACAGACTTCATTCGTGCCATGGCCCAAGTCGGCGTGTCATGAGCGAGATATGTTGCATTCGTCCTCAGGCAATGAGAAGAGGCCACGCAAAGCTCAACGTCTGGACACCAGGTCCGCCAATTGCGAAGGGCATCAATATTTCTGCAAAGTGATGCAAGGAAAAACGTCTTTTCAAAGCGCCTTGCGAGAAAAAGGAAAAAAAAGGAGCAATCTTCCCACCGTGTTGCACAGGCAGCGCCCAGTCAGCCGTGTGCTGATTTTGAACGCCTTCGATCGCAGGCCGATATTAGCATGGCTAAGTCACGGCTGTTCCGGCTCCCCAAGGAAATTGGCTCCTCATGATCCAGTAGCTTACTGTGTACTGGCACTCTTCGCAGCCCCGCTGCCATTTTCGGCCACCGGCAAACCTGAAATGTACTGCAGTACGGTGCACACGGATGGCGATGCCAACTGTTCCTTTTCCTGATGGTATGTTCCTGGCGCCAGTGACCTTCCTGGGTCTGGGGCCTACAGCAAGGATCGCTTGTCGTTGTCGTTGTCCTCTTTATCGTCATCGTCATGATCCTTGGCATCTTCGTGGGCTCCCGGAGATGTCGAGCCCCGTCTTTAAGGCTTCATTTCAGGGCTGGCGCGTTGAATGGACAGGAAAACGATGTCCCTTTATATAAACTGTACGTAGACTGCTCAACGAGGCGCAGGGGATCAGAACAGGCAGGCAAACACGCGAGCCGGTCGCGATCATTCGTCCGGCTGAGGACCTTGCCTCTTTTGCCAAAGACAAAAACAAAGGGAAACCAAGGTCGTGAGTGGTCGCCTTGTATCTCTGTCTTTAAGTACTGCTTGCCATCGAGGCGTGGCCCATCTGCGAGGGCCTATGATTCGTCGACACCGACGCTGGTTGATGCCCAACTCCACGTAGAGCCCAAACCTCCCAGCGCCACGCATCGAAAACGTGTGCGTACGTTGCTGCTCGCCCGGAGCCTATTCCCAACCTTAACTGGACGTCATCTCTTCGCGTCGCCACGAACCATTGGCCTCCCGACCCTGTTCTCAGAATGGTCTTGTTCGGCCTCGCCGGTCTTTTGGAAAAGGCTGCTCGTCAGGCCGAGGCTGAGGCGCGGAATGTTACCTGCCGCCATTACGCTCGTGGACATCACCGGCTCTCTTCGATGACCCAACTTGAACGCAGCGCGGGCCCATAGTAACTTGCACATGGGGCGCTCTTCTTATTGTTGTACACGCCAAGGAAGAGTAGGGCTGTGATGACACCTCTCGGTGAGAGCCCGATCAGAACCGCTGCCCACGTTACGGTGTGAATGACAGCCAGCACTGGCTCATCGGGAGGCCTCAGCGCGTCCACCAGCTGACTTGGGCAGCGCCTGCGTCGTCAAATGGTTCTGTTTCTGGCCAGTTGCGAATTTGTTCTGTACACGCTGACTCAAATGGTCTTCGTGGGCGCGGGTTGACTGTTGACAAAAGGAGAATGAAAGAGGGAGACCATGTGTTCCGGTCTCGAGATCAGAAAGCACAATGAACATGGATCGAAACCGAGCTAAACGTACAACCGCGGACCTCCCACCTCAAGTCTACGTCTATGTGCAGTCGTGCAGCGCTTGCCATAAGGGAAATGTCAAAACTTTTTTGTATTACAAGAATGTGTACCAAATACGCTCATTTTTTTTTCAACCGCTCTCCAAAACCTCACAGTTGAACACGGCCGAACAAGTATTAGAGCGGAGTCTGGGGCAGGAGGGAGGGGGTCGCTGTCCTCGGTCCCTCACGTGAGCATGCGCCTAAAGTTGACCTTGACCCGTCGACCAGGACGCCGATTTCTCCAAAGAGTCGAACGACCCTCCTCCCCCCACAACCACCTCTCTCTCACCTATTGCCGGAGCGAGTTTCCTTACTTCATCTCACTCGCAACCTGTGCGTTGACCTCGTCCTGCACGTTCCTTCCTGTCCTCCCACGCTCAAACGTCGGTTCGTCGTGCGAGCCGAGCTGAGGACTCCTGGTGGGTGACACGACGCTGGCGTCATCGCTGTCTGGGGAGTCTTCCCTTTCCGCTGTAAGGGTCCTTCTGGATCTCCTCATCCAGTTCCTCACGCCGCCCACCAGACCCAACGCGTAGCCGGTGGCGAAATCCCTCTGCTGCTGCGGCGAACCGCTGTTTGAGCCGCCGTTTGGCACGTCCAGGTGGGACAAGTGCGACAGTGCGGTGGGAGAGCGAAGGGACGTTGTCGCGTCTTCGCTTGCGCGCCTGTCTTGCGATCGGGCAGGAGCGGGGCTGGCGGGGCGACTGGACTGCAGGAGCTGGCGGATGTCCTTGCCGAGCTCTTGGCCAGTCGTGAGCCAGTTGCTCCGGATGTTGTCGCGTAGATTGGTGAATGTGTTCTTGAAGTCGAGCTCGTTCTTCTTGAGCCAAGACACGTTGAGATCTTGACGGGAGGTACCACGTTTTAGCTGTCGTGCAACGTATTTGTCGTAGTCGCGCACGATCCTGTTTCTGTCGTCAGCTTGCTCCATGCATTAAAGAAAGCCCAAGGGCATCGTGGTATACTTGGTGATGATGTCCGTCGTGCTCACTCCTTCCGTTCGTTGGGTGACCAGGAACTTGCCAGCCGCCTTGATGGGCGCGTAGATGTCGTCGCCCTCGTCAGCACCGTACGGGATGTCGTCATGCGCGACGTAGTCGATTTTGTACTTCTCCATGAACTCAGGTGCGTCAGATATGATCCACGGGCAGTCCTCGACGACTTCGTCCACCCATTTGCAATGCCTAACACTCTCTGCGCGTTCCTTGGCGGAAAGAACGGTCAGGCCTTTTCTTCTGTGCGTCTCCTTGTCACCGGTGACACCGACGATGAGATATGTGTTGGGGAAAGCCGTCTTTGCTTGCTGCAGCTGCCGCATGTGTCTGTGTTCTCCATCAGCACAGAATTGACGCTTCGCACTGCTTTGACCACGACGTACCCTAGATGGAAGAGGTCGAACACTCCGTCAGCGTACACCCTGACCGGCCGTCCAACCGGTGGAGGGTTAGTATGATATCCTTTGGGATCGACCAGACCGGCACGAGGAGGATCCGGCATCCTCATCGTACCGGCCTCCCCACCTTCACCATGCTCCAATCGATCCTCTATCTCGGCGCTTCGATCCAGGTCTTCGGAGGGGCCATTGTGCGTGCGGCTACGCTTCGAGGAGGGCGCTTGCTCCTCCTTCGCGTCCTTGACCTCCTGCAGAATGGGATCTGCCACGTCCTCCTCTGATGCGTCTCGTGACGAGGGCTGGGCGGCGTCAAGTGCTGGGTTCACCTTCTCTGCGTCCTGCTTCTTGGTCGCCGTGTTGGATCTCTTGCGTTTTGGAGCCATTGCGGTCGTTCCTTTACAGTTCCTTTGTCAGTGTCGGGCGGTAAGGCTTCATATAGGGAATGCGACCATGGGAAAACCGTCGGAAAGGGGGGACAATGATGGAACAACAGGAAAGCACGATGTCTGGTATGGGATCTTGAATGGGCCGAAACTTGTTGATGACGTCCGTGCGAAATGACATCGATCGGCGACCCATGCGCGACCTTTTCTTGGCGCTCTGCTTAAAAAAAAAAGCTCGTCCAGCCTCGAACCCTCCGATTATGGACTTTCGTCTTTGTTTCACGACTTTTGAGACGTCGTTGAAGTCGACATGGTGAATGCTGATGTAAAACAGCTCGAACCACGCTGCTGACTAGATATCTCTCTATATCGACGCTTCTCGAGGGGCGCTAGGATGAAATTTCAGGGGACTTATGCCTACAAGCATGCTTCTTGGAATTGCGACTGTTCCGCAGCGGTTGAGTCTTGCAAGAACAAAAGGGCCTTATTTTTTTTTTTCCTTCTCATCGTGCTTGCGACGTAAAGCTGTCACGGTTGTGGTTTGAGCTTCGCTTGGAACTTATCCTCAGCCATGGAATTCATATTCATCGCGGCTCACGTTCGGAGTCTAGTGGTTCTCAAATCTACAGGACAGAGGCTTGTTTGATCGACAGTTCGAGTAGCTGCTAAATGATTTGGGGTCTGCTGAGGAGACTTCGAAAGGCTTTTAAAGATAGCATTGTCTACTTGGCGACATGCATCATGGCCTGGTAATCATGTAAGGCTACGTTGTGTCTAGCGTGAATGCGTACTCGTATCGTGACCGTGGGTGCGACTGTCAATACAGCCCTTGGAAACCGAAGACGCAACGAGTGTCTAGTTAGGACTGGGTAGCAAGTGAACACGCATTTTCAGAAACACCAAATTCCATGACGAGCAATCCCCCAGCCTTCTAAGGGGTGATGCTGCAACCATAATGTAACGTATCGAACGAGAAAAAAATCGACAGTGAGAAGGAAAAAAACCCGTAAGGAGGTATCAAAAGGGGGGTTTCCAGTTGCCGTCATCGTCGTCGCCGCCCTCGCGCCCTCTATCGCTGCTCCTCCCCACTCTCCAAGACATCTGCTTGTGTGCATGCATGTCCCTCGTGTTTACTGAGGAAAAAAGCTCGCGATCGACCGCACTGCCCTACCCTATCCATGATCACGTCGTCATGCCTGAGCCCTTCATGAACACGCATTTCCCATATGTAAGCTCCGTATGCATAATGAAAAAAAATGCTCCGTGCAAACTACACCTTCGTTTCGGCCTTCTCTACGGCGTCTGTCTGCTTTGACGTTTCGACGGTTTCTGATGCAGCCGGAGCAGGTGCAGCTTCACTTTTCTCTGTCGCCACACTGCTAGGACTCTCTATCTTGGTCTCCGCCACGGCCTTAGAATCCGGTCCGGGCGTTCCTTCTCTTTGCTTCCTCACCGCCTCCTCGTCAGCCTCGTCGTCCTCATCGCTCGAAATGCCCTTGTGCACTTGATGCTCCAGATCGTGATCCTCATCATCGTCGGCGTGATCAAACATGTCGGCATCTGGATCATTTGTGTTGATTTCCGTGCCGTCACCGAGGAGGATGATGCGATTCCCGAGGCTAGCAGCGAAAGCGCGTACGCCTGCCCGCCCATGGTGATCGTGCATCATGTCCATGTCGAAATCCTCTGGACTGTCGTCATAGCGATGGCGGATGCCAGGGCCACGGAATTCAGCTGTAGACAGAATGAAATGTTAGAAACCAACATTCACTGCAAACACTGTCCTGGGTAAGATTGAGATCATTTTCGCGGAGTATTGCAACCAGGAGGAATGAGATAGAAAAAAAAGACCCACTAAGAACGCAACACCATTCGTTATCGGTTGTCGCTCTACGGGTATACACTTCTTTGTAAAGGACGAGCCAAAAACAGAGTGCAACAAGGAATAGTGGATGGGTAAGGGAGGAGGAGGAGGAGGAGAAGAAGAAGAAAAAGAAGAAGCAGAAGCAGAAGCAGAAGAAGAAGAAGACGATGATGATGGTGATGATGAAGAAAAAGGACGGGAGAGAAATGGGAGGATGTTTTCAATCAAGACTTGCCGTACTCTGGCGGAGCGCAAGGGCCGTCGCCGTTTGCCACCCGATCGGCGACCATCTTGTACCACTCATCCTTTGTCTTGCCGTTCAGAAGTGCGACGATGACGACGGTCATGTTGTCGCATCCGACGCCTCCCGTGTCACTGTTTGATGCCAGACAGTTGTCCATCAGATTTTCGCAAATGGCGTGAAGCTCTTGTCCCGCAGCAATGCCTCGCCTCACAAATTCCACGACAGCTTGTGAGGATTGGCAATCCCAAATGCCTGTTGTTCATCGTCCCAAACGAGGGATCTAGTCAGCGCGTCTTGTACGGTGCATGGGTAGGGTGGGATTTGTAACGAGGGGAAAGACGAAGAAGGTTGGAGCGGGAGGCGAAACGTACCGTCGCAAGCAACGACGAGAAACTCGTCGTCCTCGTGCAGATCATGCTGAGTAACATCGGGGTACGCAGTCACGATCTGTTGCTCCGGGGGAAGCTCTGCGCTCTTTTTGAATTCGAAGTCGCCGATGGCGCGTGACAGAGCTAGATTGCCATTGACGCGACCGAAATCGACAAAGCCACCGGCGGCGGTGATACGAGCTTTCTCGGCTACGCAGACTCAGCATCCCAAGACACTAAAGTGGTAACGGTAGTAGAGTCAGCGAAATTGGGTCATACCCTCGTTTTGCGGCTTGTGGTCGAAGGACATCGGTTTTGCTCGGCCTTTGATGCCGAGCACAGCTCTCGAGTCGCCTGCATTGCCCTGTAGGTAGCCTGGTCAATACAGTCATCTTATCCGGGCCTGTGCATGCCTAGCACATATGTCATGGTGATTTCCGTCTCTGCGTGTAAGAGGGGGGGGGGGGGGGGCGCGAGTGTCGACGCACCACGTAGATCTTGTCGTGCGTTATGAGACTGACGCAGGCGGTGCAGCCCGAGACTTCTTCCTCGTACTTTGGATCTGCACAGCGAGGTTAGCCAGCCCGACCGTGGGACAGGATCAGACGATTCGGTCAAAAAAGAAAAGTTTTTTTCGTCAACGTGCCGTTCAGGATCGCTCTATCGGTAGCAAGGAACCCGTCTTTTATCGCCTGCTCAATATTGCCCGCCTTGAGAGCCTCTTGTTTCGCGATGATCTTGTGCAGGTTTTCGCCCGCGTATATGGCTACCTTGTCGCCACCGTGACCGTCATACACGCCGAAGAAGCTAAGCCGTTTTGTGGGCGCCGTCTCTGTCGACGAGTCATCGTCGCCGGGCTTGAGATCAAGGACTGCAGCGTGAGCGTCCTCCATGCTGATCCGCCAGCCCTGCATCGAGGACACGCCGTACAGGACACGATCATCTTGGCCTTCGTCCGAGTGCTGCCCGTGCTTATGTTAGCGGCCTCGCCAGGATTTTCTCTCGTGCGTCCACAGCGTGAGCGTGGTGAGCGGGAGGAGACACGTCGCGTGAGCACCGAGGCGGCTTTGCTGTTCAACGACAAGGTGCCGAAGACGGGTGGAAGATGGAAGTTGGAGGGATTGCATGTGCGAGAGTGTGGGTGTGGGCACGAGTGTGGGTGTGTGTATGTGCGGTGCGCAAGTGTGGGATTGGAATGACTAGCAAAAGTGCGTGGAGGTGCGGGCATACCTTCTCGACGACGGGTTCGGAGAGCGTCTGCCCCATGTTGTCTGCGTCCCTTCTTTTTTGGAAGAAGACGAACGCGCAAGGGAGAGAGGGAGAGGAGGTGGGCGGGTGGAGGCCGACGGCGGTGGTGGTGGTAGTGGTGGTTGTGGTGGAGTGTGTGGTGGAGGTGAGCAGGAGAGTGTAGAGAAAAGTCAACACCGCAAGTAGCTCGCGATCATATAAATGTGGGGAAGGAGTATTCGGTGTCGGCGGGTCTTGAGGCGGACGCGGATCTTTGTTCCCTCTGGACTAGGGCGAGAGGATTCACGGCGCGAGGAAGAGGGGATGAACAACGCAGGGGAAAAATTTGAACGGGTATCTTCGAAGCGTGTGTACGCCAGTATGGAGATTGTTCGGAGGTGAAGTGGAAGGGGGAGGGGGTTGCGGCGGCGGAGGTGAGAGGAAGTGATGGCGGCGGCTGCAGTTGTGATGTAGGTAGCAGCAGCAGTGGGGGGGGTTGGAAGCAGTAGGCGTAACAATAGCAGTAGCAGCGACAGCGACAGCGACAGCGACAACGACAACAGGAGGCGGTTCGTGATCGAGTACGCGGACGATGAGGACAGGGAGTTGGCGGTGGTGGTGATTGGCAGCGGGCGTCACTTGGGCGGGTTGGTGGGTTTTGCGTCGCCGGCCTTGGGGCGGGGTGGTGAGCGTGCAGGCGGCGCGCAGGCAGCGCCGCCAGCAGCAGCGCCAGTGCCAGCGACCGAGCCAGGGACGGGGCCAGCATCAGCGCCGGCGTCAGCGCCAGCATCGCCGGCTCAGGCTCATCGGTCGACGAACCCACTGTTCCTTCCTCCGCCTCGCTCAAGCGAGTCCCAGTTGCACTGCGCCCACTCCAGTTCATCGCTGGTGTTGCCCGTCTGCTGGACTGAATGAGCAAATGATGGTCCTGATTCTCACGGTGGACGCTGCTGGCGCCGGCATCCCCGTATCTCTACACGCTCTGCTCTCTCTCTGCGCCCTCTCCCGCTCCTGCTCTTCTCTCTCTCTCTCTCTCCTCTCTCCTCGGTTCCCTCTTCGTCTCTTCCGCGCCTTGTTCCCTGCTCCCGCCTTCCGGCCCGCTGCTTTTTCGCAGTGTACGCAGACGCCAGCGACCGGATGCTTGCTAGTCGCTCATGGGTCTTGTTCTTTTTTCTTTCTCCCCCCTCCGTTCGTCAAGAGGACGGCAGTCCAAGACAACGTTGTCCGCGATGTTTCCCTGTGCGCCAGTTCGGAGACGCGTCGTAGGCTCCAAGCTATGTTACGGCAGCGCAAAACGCACGCGACGCACCAGCCTGCAGAGCACGGAAGCATCCTTTCGCTAAAGTTCACTGAACGGTTTCCGCCCCTGCATGGAGCCGCTTCGTGCCCACAGCCAGCCAGTCCGCTCAACGGCCTGTCCAGCCCCCGGCTCAGTGCTGCCTTCGGAGAGTTCGACTGTCGGAGCGCGAAGATGAGCCCCCATCTGACATCCCCGGCCTTCTCCTTTGCACTACTGCACTGTCCTTCACTGCAGACGTGCGAGCCGAAGAGTACCTAGTTGTTGCCACCACCGCCCAACCTGGCCCTCACCTCCACCCTAGCGTTGACAAGAACAAGATACATATCGCTCAACGTGTATTTTCAATCTGCTCGTCGTCATATCCTCCGCCTACTCACGGTGCAGCTCTATATACAGCCTTGTTTGCCTTGTGCCCTCGTGTCTTCCTCCAAGTCCTGTTTCGCTACTTGCCTTTGGCCATCTAAATGAGCCCGAACCCCCCAGGTCCACCTGGACACAGCAAACATCCTCATTAGATTGAAACCCATTTACAAAAGAGCACTTGACAATCAGGTCCATGTTCGGCGCCCTTTAAATTTGCCACAATGCCCATCTGTGCCGCTGTGCATCGCCAGCGAAACCCCGCTGGCCGACCTACACATGACAGAGCACTTCTTTCCTTGCCTGTGCCGAAAGACGGAAGTGGTTGGACATTGGATGTGATCTGAACTTCTCCCACCACAATCCTCTTTCGTCCGCCATCCGAGCTTTAGCCCTGAGCCTCTACCCTTGTCTTGATGCTCAGTCCAATTCCTCGCTCGCGTGAGCAAACCAGGGGTCCTTTTTTTGGGATTAATTGATTGCTTGCTCTGCGGACAGTCCAGTGCATTAACCCCTCCAAGCCATAAATATACGTATATCCTCCAGCCGTTCGGTCCGTCTGTCTCACGACTACCCGTTGGAAGTTCCAAAAAGTTTCTATCCACATCCCTCATGCCGAAAATCACAAAAAAGATTGCTATTGGCCTCTCATCATCCATCATCGGTAGGCTGAGTGTCAGGCGACGCACGCTTCATACCAGAGTCGTGTTGGGCAAGTCGGCGTTTCAGCTGATGAAGGGCGGCGTTTCGGCGAGTGCAGCTATGAAATGGCTTGGCCCAATTAATCATAACCTGATCATGTCCCGAATCGCTCCTCGGATCCTCGAAAAGAATGCGCCATTAGACGCAGGCTAGTTTGCTGATGCCGAACTTTTCTCGAGCGTTGCGGAGCGCTTGGAGTTGACTCAATAAGCCCGCAGGTGCCTGACACATTGCCCGCACAAGGTCGTCATCGTTTCATCCGACGCCTGCGCACCCATATCGCGAAGTGATCAAGTTTGTACTCCCAAAAGTCGATCACAGAGTCAAGCAGCGCTAGGTAATTAGCAGGCAATGTAAGCAAGAAACGGATCATCGCTGTGACAGAGAAAGCCGAAAACAAACAAATTCCATTCAAACTTGAATACACATCGTCCAAAGAGCTGAGAAGCAGGATGTTGTGGAGTTGACGTGAAATTGTACGAATGTGGGGTGTCTGACGTTACCATGACAAGCTAGTTCTCAGTTTAGCTACAAACTCAGTTATGCATGGTGGGGAGCGGTCTAGAAGTGCTTTGTTCGCGGTACGGACGAGCCAAGTGATGCTTGATACGATTCCGTATGTCCCGAGAAATACAGAACGAGAGATGACGCGTCCGTCTGTCTGAATCTTTTTTTTTTCTCGTCAGAGCTCGAACAACAACACAAGCGCAGTCTTGCCAGTGGGGAGTCGCAGCCGACGTCATGGGACAAACCAGCGCGAACATTCCGTCACGCTCACCGGAAATGAGAGCACGCCCCGTACGAAAAGCTCGTCCAAAGTTTGGAATTGGTCATTCGCGAAGCGATTGCGTGCGACCCAACGTTTTGCTTGGACGCTTGGGAACGGGTCGAGCGAGAATGGTGAAATGCCAAAGCGTGATATCGATCAGGTTGTCGATGCAGACCCAGTCAAGTCTCGGGTCAGGGAATCCATTGCCGTCCAAGTGAGAAAGCGACGCACTGTTCGAATAGAAAACCTTGTGTGCAGCTGACGGGAACGCGTAGGCTTGCGAATCGTGCCGGCAGAAGAAGGCTCGATGCGATGAGGGCTTGCCAAAATGCGGCGCCTGCAGCCGCGCAGGGATCGATTGCATTTACGCGGAGCGCCGCTTGACCAAGAAGGATCAGTCCTTGCAGATAGCAATCAACTCCATACGCCGGCTGGAATCGAAGATCGAGCATCTGACGCGCGCTGTGACCGACCTGGCGGCCAAGGCGCCTCAGCCGTCGTCTGCAAATGCATCCGACGTCCCAGATCTCGCCGTCGCCACGGCCCCAACGACGGCAACCGGCGAGCCTGATCCCGAGTCCAATGCGCTGTCTCTTCCCTTGCACGCTTCGTATCACAAGATATCGTTCAGTCAACATGGAGTCATTCACTGGCCCGCCGTTCTCAAGGCCCTTCCCGCCGACTTCGTGAACAGGATCCGCGAGTTGCCCAAGAACTATGCTGTCGAGCTTGAGCGCTGCCGCAGTCCCTTGCCCAGCGAGACCGCCCTGTTCACCGACATCTCTGCCCAGGACTGGCTCAACAACCTGCCGTTCCGGATCGTGCGAAGCTTGACGGACGCATTCTTCTCGACCTTCAATGGGCTCTATCCTGTTCTCGACAGACGTCATTTCTTCTCCTCTACACTAGGTGCTGCATTGGACGCCAACTTTGACTATTCCATTGAGTCTACTATCGTGCTTCTGGTTCTTGCTCTGGGCTGTCTGGCCGTCGAAGGGCACCGCGAAGGCAACTACCCTCTTGGAAAGGCCTCGCGGGGCGACGAATGCTTCTGTGCTCCAGATTGGTACCCTGCGATCTTGGGTGAAATGTATCCGGGACTGAGCTTCTTCAATGAAGCGCGGAAACGGATGGGATTCCGTACCGGATCCAACAATCTCGACAATTGCCAGGTGTACTTGCTTTGCGCCTTCTACTATACCCAGATCCTCCGTCCCATTGATTCATATCTCATGCTGGTACGTGCTGCGTCATGCTCTCTGATGACGTTGACTTGTTCGGATCCCATCGACTTTGACACTTGGAAAGGCGACATGGAATCTCGCGTTTTCTGGTGTTGTCTGATGTACGAGACAATCTTGGTTCAAGAACTTGGAGTTCCCAAAAGTGGTCTTGCTGATTTTGAGGCGTCGGTGCCCCTGCCAAAGTTCAAGCCTTTCAAGAGTCCTGATTCCGAAGACAACGATGATGCATTTTTCCACTATCATTTTCTGGCACAAGCGGCAAATCGCATCATGTTAACGCGCATTGCCAACTCCCACTATTTTTACGATGACCGCGGCGACCTGCCCTCTCCGCGAATACAGTCGGAGCTTCTTCATCAGATCGCGCAGTGGAAGGCTAGCCTGCCTGCAGCTCTGCAGTTTGGCGACGAGCCGATGCCAGAAAGGTCTTTGGACCCTGGGCATGCTCTTGCCGAGGCCCTCCTCCGCAGTCGACACAAGGTCATCCACTTTCACCTGGGGCGACCGTATCTGTACAAAGCCTTGCACAACCCCAGTAAGCTTACAACTCACGATCTAGAAGCTTGCCATGCCACATGGGTCGCGGCTATGCATTGGCCCATGGTTTCCGGCGCATGCAAGATGATGAAAAGCTGCATGTTGATCAAATTTGGATGGGTAAGCCAATTGTTTGGCCAGCTTGTCACAATGTACTGTTTCGCAACTTCGTCAGATCATCGCCTCCGGGACACGTTGCCACCTGGTTGGATGCAATGGTGGGAAGAAATAATCGAATTGCTTGAGTACGCAGCTATACACAGCCCTACCGCAGCGGTGGATTTAGAGCTAGCTCGTTCATTACAAAGCGCTCTCGTTGGATACCAGGTTAGGGGCTAGATCACGTTGTAGCGATGATTGTGCTGCCGCTCTAACACGTGTGTTGAAGCTCTTGGCACGAGAATTTGTCCTTCGCGCATAGCCACGCTCGATGCTATGACCTTGAGGGCGGAAGCGGGTAGCCGCCCAGTTCATCAAAGAACTTACCACCTTCTACTAACACGGACAACATCTCCTCACCAATCCATTGAGACGTAAGCGTATCGAGAGCCTTCTCAATCTCGACCCTGAACTTATATTAGCGAGAGATTGCTCGGCTTGAAGCGCCCTTTTCTTACATCTTTTGTCCTGCAACGAGATAGCAGCATCCTCTTAAGGTCTCGTCGCCGGCAGTTTTTACAATCGCCTTTGCTACGTCACTGGTGGTATTCGCTGGAAGGCCCATCGCCTTCCACTTCTCTGAATAACCACTGGTTATGAATGTCGGTGTGACAAACGGGGCGACGGCATTCACTCGTATATTATGCTCGCTCGCAAATTTTTGTGAGGATCTCAGCAAGCCGATTACACCATGTTTTGATGAGATATATGAAACAACTGCGGTGCCACCAAAGTAGCCGCTTGTCGAAGCGACCAGAAGAATCGATCCTCTTGATTTTGTGACTGGATCTATCGAGTTCTTACTCATATGGAAGATGGCCAATCTCAACGCTAACATTCATTTGTGAGTATCTTTAGTGGAGGTGAAATGGATTTTCTCTTACTTACTATTCATAGTGCCTTTGAGATTGGTGTCAATTACGCTGTACGATTCGATTGGCTCCTTCAAGTCTCCAGCCTCGTCCACTTCAAACTGGTAAAACGGCGTGCTCTCCATGACGCCAGCGTTGGCAATAACGACATCCAGCCTTCCGAAACGCTCGATGGCGGCCTTGAAACCTGATTTCATCTCATTCCAATTGGCGATGTTTCCTGGAATGAAGTGGGCACGTCTTGGATCCGAGAGCTCGGAAATGATATTTTGAGCAGCACTTCTAGAGACGGGAAGATCGACCAGAACCACCTTTGCACCATTCGCATGTAGCAAGCGTACTGTCTCCGCCCCTATACCACCAGCTGCCCCAGTCACAATTGCAACTCTGTCTTGGATGTTTGCGAAAAGCTGAATATCAAGAAGTGTCGAAGGCATTTTTTTCGTGTACTTGTGAAGGCTTCGCGCAAAACAGGTCCGTCCGTGAAACAGCTAGCCGATCAGAAATCGACCACTTGAAACCTTCAGCTTCACGGCCTCATGTAATCGCTTTTTGCAAGTCATTCAGTTATTTTGAAGACATCTCGAAGGAGCTCACCAGGAATGGAATCTACGGACTTTTTTGGAGACATGCACGCGCCCGACTACGGAGCTCAAGCTTTGTTGCGGGGCATGAAACGATTTTGTGGCTAGATCTAGCATTTGTAGCAAGCCTACCACTTACTTTAATGGCAGAAGAACGAGAACAAGATGATAAGCTGATGTCAACAATTGCTTAAAGGGCACAGAAGTTAGCCTGGCCATCGGTCTCCTAGCCGCCTAGGCTCTCATTGCGCTCCCAAATGTTGCTCCACTTCATGACACGAGCGGACAGCTCGTGTTCCGACGCCGTGGAGATCGCTGACCAGTACTGGAAACTGACCGCTCAAGATGTGGCTGTCAGCGGAGAGGATTTCGAGCCATTCATCTGCATCTCTTATTCTTGGGGTTCGGCGAAAGAAGCAAGCCCTTTCCGAAACAAGCTGAAAATCTCGACGCGCACGATACCCGCATTAACGGTGGTCTCGAAGCTGCGCCCGTCGTGCAAGAACTTCTGGATCGATGCATTCTGCGTGCCTCAAGAATCTCCTCAGCGGCAGTACGTCCTCGAGAGCATGGGATTGATCTATGCCACTGCTGCAGAAGTGATCACCGTTCTTTCAACACAGACGAAACCAGCCTTGGAATGCACTGCTACGCAAGATCATATCTGCTTTCAGTACTTGGACGCTTTGGAGGAGGATGCTTGGGTTTCAAGGGCATGGACCTATCAAGAAGCAGCGAATGCAAAGCTCCTGTCATTCACCTATGAAGGCGCTACAGATCTGGTGATTGGTGCGATGGACTTTCTAAACGCCATAGGATACACCAAGACGCTGCTTGCGGACAGCGAGGCGTACATTGACTTAGTACGGCCCTATCCGCGACTGTCCTTGCTGGAGGATTTGTTGGCCGAATACTGCATGGGCGGGCACCAAAATCATTCGGCACTGGCGATCATGTCGAACATGGAGCAGCGGACCCAAGAGAGACCAGAGGACCACTTCTACGCCATGATCGGAGTCATCAGCGATTCCCAGGCGAGCTCTTACGGGATCGAAAATCCGTGCGAACTTTTCATGACGCTGTGTGAACGCAAAGGGGACTATTCGTTCATATATAGCGTATCTAAACGCGAGAGCGTGCCTTCGAAGCGATGGCGACCTGTTCCCGACAACCTGCGAGCCATCATGACCAATCACTCCTGGGGGAAACAACAGTCCGCACACAAGGAAGGCGAAGAATTGTATCTTGATCACATGATGGTGCCAAGATTAACGTCTTCTCCAAGTGAAGATGTAGAGTTTATCAAGTGCGCTCGGAGCATTATGCACAGAAGCGACGCCATGGAGCCGTTGACTCCCCTGCACCAAAAAGTTTTTCGAGGTCTCGAGACGATGGGCTTCAGCGGGAGTTCGGATCCTATCCACGCGGAAAAAGGGGTCTTCTTTCCAGCTCAAGATGTTTCCTACGCCACCATTATCACCTTGATGGTCTCGACAGAGGTTCTCTGGTCCTTCGGTGCTCCGGGTCTCGTGCATCACAAAGTCGACGACACTGATGCATACACCGCCGGAGTATACGTTGGTGTCGTTGACAAAGAGAGTACATCTTCAATCAAGATGAATTGAAATGATTGCAGAGAAACTCAGTTGGCTTCAATAGCTAGTGCGAAAGCAATGCCAGACTAAATGTAAATTACTCTTTTTTTTTTTAATTTAATTCGAAGAACTTTACGAATTATTTACATTAACCAAACTATGTGCCGTACATGCCTGTCATCGACGATGAGAAATCGTTTTCCTCCACTGTTAGGTCATTAGCGTACAAAACTTCTATAAATGTATAATCACTGCATCGTACCTTGTGATTCAGGAAGAAGACTGGCACGCCAAGGGCGAAAATGGCGATGAAGATTCCCATTAAAATCATGAAAGCTTTCATGTAGGAGTACTTCGAGACCATAGGGACGATGCCGTAGCTAGCGCTGAAAGAAACAATGTTTTTCCCTCCAATCACAGCGACGATCGCCGCACCTGGATTCTTTAATGCATTGTCAGCATTCTCCGTACTCAATTTACATTGTTCGTGTGGTTTTACCTGTGGAATCACCTCAGCCGCAAATGTAGTACTCGTGATCAGAATGCACGTGAAGCTGAATTGATAAATCGCCCAGCCAAAGACCAGGCCCCATGCACTGTACTTCTCCGGGTGAGATGCACAAACGGCAATGACGACAATACCGCAGACTCCTGTCAGGCAAGGCACAATCAAGTGCACCAAGTGATGCTCGGGCCTATGGATGCCGTTGTTGCGGCGAGCCAGCCACAAGTTGATTTTATCTGCGCAAAACCCGGCGTAAAACATTGCAAGGAGACTGGCAGGGATCACACCGGCGTTGAAAAGACCCACAGAAGAGGCAGACCAGTGATATGCCTCGACGAGAATGGTGCTGTAGACCAGGGTGATTCCTATTCCGATACCGAGGGAGATGGACGCGCACATTAGAGCGAAGATCACGCCGGGGGAGGTTAAAGCCTGGAGAATCTTCATGTATGCGGAAGCCAAGATTTGAATTCCATTCGGGGTGACGTCGCTCCAGGGCTTCAGCTCCTGGATAAAAGTACGCTTCTCAGTGGTGACGGTAACGTGCTCCTGAACATTGCCCCATCGTTCTCTAGCCTCTTCGTCCGAAACGATGTGCGTAGTGCCAAATTCGTCCGTGTACACGACCTGGCCGTCGAGAGATGTAGGAGACCTGAAAAATTTGGTCTCCGGCAGGAGAAAGACGACCATGAGTGCCGACACGCCGAGGGTGATGCCAAAGAGCCAGTAGTACCACCTCCATGACGTTGCGGCGACCAGATAAGAAAGACCGATCAAGATTCCGGAGCTGACACCGTTTTGAACGGACCAGTACAGTCCGAAGAAGAAACTGCGCTCGTTCAAGAAGGTGATGTCGGACAGGATCAGCGGCAAGATCGACTCTGTGGCGCCTGTTGCAAGCCCAACGAAAATGCGGCTTATGAAATGTCCTCTGAAGTCTTTGCTTCCACCAGCCGTGAGATTGCAGATAAAGGCTATCGAAACAGCCAGAAGGAACACTGGACGACGGCCAAGTACAAATGACAACGGGAGCAAACCTAGGCAGCCTGATCATCACATAAGTAACGAGTCATGATGACTGCAGCGCAGGTATCAGTGAGAAACGACATACCAAATGCCATGACCATGGTAGGATAGGTGCTCAGCCCAGTGATCTGCTCCGCTGAATGATGTGCGCCGTACATTTCGTACAGAGTGTTCATGAATGTACCTGTGCCAGAAAGAGAAAGGATGGAGAAGATGGCTGCATTGCTTATGTTAGTATCTAAGGCCTGCTACGTGGCTCTATCCGACATACAGAACCAGCAACATGTCACCACAATCCCCAATTTGCGCCACTTGTTGAAATTCAGAGGATCATTTGGGTCGTTGGTAGGCACTGGAATTCTTCGAACATGATTTGTTTTCGTCACCAGTAGAACGTCGCCGGTGGTGCGCTCATTGAGATTTTGATCCTCGTGTTTGGTAACGCTGTTGCAATCCTCGAGCTTATCGATGGTCGGCGACGGAACTTTGGCCTCCATTGTATATACTCCGGCGTCTCTGCAAGGCAATCTGGGATGTGATGGCCGTACCACCTAGAAGATGCATGGTCCTATATGTAGGATGTTAGCCCGCGCTTTACATCTGAGCCCTTAATCAGTAGGCATTCGGTTCGGCATGTGGGCATAGGAAACTTTTCGTGGAGAAAGAATCTGGGGCAGATGTAGAAGAGTATGCGGAGATGTTTACTTTGGCATCGACCAATGATGATTGCTCGGATTATATCCGAGACCGAATCATGCATCCGAAAATCTTCTCGTGATGCGTATTTCGGATCTCTGTGGAGATGCGAAGTTCGCGCAAATCCACCAATTCTCATGAAATTACAATCACTGTCAAAATTCCGTATTGATTTTTTTTCTGTATTTCATGACAGAACTTGCCTGAATCGCTGCTCCTCAACATGTTGTGAATTTTCCAACCGTGCAAAAATTCCCTTTTTGACCAAAGAAAGGGCGGCGTGATTTTCATGGGTTACAGCATTGCTTTCGGAAGTCTTGAATTGGAGTAACTAGTTCTAGTTGCTATTGATAATAATTATGAAAATGATGATGATAAACAAAGACAGACGGGCTAAGTGAATGTACATTGTTTTATATAACCGATAATCCGAAGTCCTCACTAGGTCTTAATATATGGAATCCCTGTTAATTTGAAAGCTCTCTCGCTCAGCACAGGTTCATTCAGTGGCCTGCTTCGTTGAATTTTATCTGGCACTCCGTTCCGCTTGGCAATATTCCATCCGACATTCATGGCATTTGGCCAGTGCGTTGTGCCCACCCTCTCTTCAAACGCCTTCTTTTTCCGAATCAAGTCCTCCTGAGTGGCATCCGCGACAGGCATGTAGCAAGTATAAATGGCAAGCCGATCGACATTAGTCTTTGTCGGGACATTGTAATGTGGCGTTCTTGAATCCCACACGATGAGATCTCCAGCCTCGCCACAGACCTTGTGCCAGTCGCAACCATGATCTTTCAGCCATTTTAGACCAGCTTCGGTGTAGCCGTACCACTCAGGAGTCCATTGTGGGATTCTCTTTTCATGCTTCATTTCTTCATGAAACTGCTCGCTCAGGAGGTGAGCGTTCTTGCAAACAATAAGACCTCCATCATCAGGTCCATTATCGTGCAAATTCACAAGACCCTGTAGACATCTAAACCCTGGCTTATCGGGATCTTGATCTTGGTGTGGCCATGGTTTGTTCTCCGGCAGATGAGTTCGATTTGCGAAACCGTAGTTTATGGCATCAAAGGAAACAATCAAATCCTCGGTTCCATAAGCCTTTTCAAAGGCGCTGATGATGCCTGGCTCACTTCGAACAGCCCAAACAAAGTCTTCGTGGCATGCTGCATAGTTAAAAAGCATGCCTTTTTCGGTGATGACTGGGAGTTTGTCGGGATGGACCGTGGAAGGATCGTTTCGATCATAGCCAAGGTTGCTATATCGTTATTAGTCAGTAATTATGTTTGTATATAAACATGAAATTATGTTCGCTTTCGAACAAATGAGCTTCCACTAATTGTGAAGAGGCCAAATGACTATACGAGTGTTACGTACAAGGACTCGAGAAGAGAATACATCTTGTCTGCGTATTTCTCGGCACGATCTTTTGGGATTGCTCCTTTGATAACCGCATATCCATCGCGAATCAAATCATCGCGCCAGTCTCCGTAAACTGGATCAGTTCCATCAATTTTGATTCTCTGTTGTCCAGGGACAACGGGAATGATCGGGGATGGAGTCACGGCAGTTTCAGTGATGGTGGCCATGGTTTTGCAGCGTTAAGACGTCTTGAATTTGTGGAAGTTGAATAGGAGTTAGAACCAAGTGAGTTCACTTAAGCAGGGCCATTCTCATCAGAATTAAGTAGTAACAAAGAATACCTAGAATAAACATGGATCCTAGAGTAAGCACGGCATCATCCGAGTCATGCTCGTTGTGCCTTCGGAAAGACCACAGACGAGATCGGATTGAACCGAACCCCATCTTTGATCTTCCCCGACCCGAGTGTGGCTCAAAGCACTTACTAGGTACCGAATGAATCCATCTCGGAACAAACGGCTCCATACGTATGATGTTTCGCTACAATTAAATCATAGTTTTGCATATTATTACTGTCGCATGTCTCTATCTATTGCTATGCTTTCGTGATACAGCACGACCAATTTTCGCCCAGATTTGATACGCTCAGCAATGATTGACGAGTCATCCGTTTTCAAAATTGTGATAGTCGGAGGGGGAATAGCTGGCCTGGCATCAGCTATAGCCCTTCGCGGACGGAATCGACAAATCCTTGTGTTAGAGCAATCGCGCCTGAACAAAGAGATCGGCGCTACACTCTCGCTTCAACCGAATGCTTCAAAAATAGTTGAACAAACATGGGCGTTGAGAAACGTTGTGGCCAAAATTGGGATGCGCGACGAAGGTTTCCAGATATTTGGAACAGATGGAAAACTTCAACGATCAATTCCATTGCACACGTCAAGCTACGGAGCTGATCGAATGGTTTATCATCGCCAGGATTTGCATGAGGCATTGAAAGTTGCTGCAACAACCATGAGCAATGACAGCCCTGGAGCAGAAATTAGAGTCGCTTCACGTGTAGTAAGGTGTGATTCAGAAAGTGGAACAGTTTATCTAGAAGATGGATCCTCTATAATGGCAGATCTTGTTGTTGGTGCAGATGGAATGTAAGTCGTTTGGTCCTTGACAAGGCTGTCAATTGATTTACATTCACAGAAAGAGCGTCTTGCGGGAGCATGTCGTCGGACGCGTTGTGCCTGCTAAGCCAACTGGGCTGTGTGGTATGTGACAGAATTAGAAGTGAACGGAGCTCGTGGCCATTAGCTAATTAGTGAAGCATATCGAGTCATGGTTCAAACTTCGGATCTTGAGGACTGCGAAAAAGAGTTTTGCGATATAGTTAACCCCAGGTCATCAGTTACAACTATGATTATGGCTTACGATCGCCGCCTGATAATGGGGCCCGCACGAAACGGTGCTGTATACAGCGTTGTAGCTCTTGTCCCTGACGGTGAGCATCATAACACAATCTTTTAAACATTCATACTTATTTGAGACAGAAAGAACAAGCGAAGATACCAACAACTCGTGGACCTCCCGTGCTGACTTGGATGCCGTTCTAAGAGATTTTGAAAAGTTCCCTTCTTGGGCAAAAGCGCCATTTCGCCATTGCAGCGACATTGGACTTTGGCAACTTCGAGATATTGAGCCGCTTGAGACGTGGTTTCGGGGTCGTGTCATACTGATAGGAGATGCTGCACATGCAATGCTACCAACCCAAGGTCAAGGAGCAAGCCAAGCCATCGAGGACGCGGAAGCACTGGGAGCGTTTTTTAGCGATATTTCAGAGAAACCCTCATATGAGCAAGTAACGGAAAGGATTAAGACAATCTGGACTGCTCGCCATGCTCGTGCAGAAACGATTCAGAGCTACAGTCGGCAGTCAGCACAGCCTGCTACTGCGAAGGACGATGTTAAAATTAAAATGTAAGTTCATGATTAAAATGAACCGCTCTCCTTTCTCATGCATTTTAGGAATCCAGCAGAATTCATGGACTATAATTGCAAATACACTGGAGCAAAACATTGGCTTAGGCAAAACAAACTTCTTAACGAAGGACTTGGCTTGCGAAGCCTCTCAATCAGCTCAAGAGAGGTTGACGTAAATTGAGAACTGCAGTTGGCCTAATTTGAGCGCCAAAATATTTAATCCTTATTGGTTCCATAAATGACTTTGGCTACAACCGTAAAACGAAGGCATTTACTCTGCTAACTACAGCATGTTGAACATACGTGTTACCATATTACATTAAATTTGCAAGACATGATTCTAAGACATTCCAGTTTCAACAGGCTTCTAGCCAATAGTCAAAATTCAAGATCAAGGCATCTCCCCTTCTGGATGTTCCCCCCGTTCGGCCGCATGTCATTTTGTCACGCCCAAATTGAAGGGACAAAATATTTCCAACAATACTAGTGCAAAGGAATCAAAGGAATGCTCCCTCATTATTAGATACCAATATCCTGACCAAAATAATCGTCGATCGTCAAATCCGGGTCCATGGTTGACCAAAAATCTTCTAAAGCGACATCTTGCAAAGGATCCCCCGTCCGAAAACCAGCGTGAACACCGGAATGAAGACTCCAAGATGTTTCTGATGGATTTGTAGATGGGAAGGTCGAACTGCTTGGCGTTGGCGGTTGCCGTTCCGTGCTAGTTCTTGGTAACGGGGCGTCCTGAATGCTTTTGTGAAGCTGCACGAATTCCAGCATGGATTTTCTCAACGTGGAACAAACTTTGATAAAATTTTCATCTTGTCCACAAGAGCGGTATTGCTCTTCTGCGTAGAGGGTCTCGTTTGACAGTAACTCAAGATCACTATTCACCATTCGAGATGTAGGCTGGCGGACAATGTGAAGGGCAAGCACAACACTAGCAAGTAAGGACTGTGTAACTGTAAATAACCTTGACGTGATCTGCGCGTCGGCCAATTCTGCATCAAGCTTGATAATTGCTCGAGCGGATTGAACGCATAAAGAAGCCCCTCTTTTGACGCGCTGCCATGAAGCAGCATTTGTGCTAGCTTTTATCTTGTCAAGTTCTGTGTCATATTGAAGTTGTTGGACGGCTAAAGCTGTTCGGTGCAACGTGATGACGGCTTGATTGTATTGCAAAGATAAAAATGTCGCTAGCGGGAGTTCTGCTTCATCGCCAAAGAAATGTCCGAGCGGACGCATGTGCTCTGGCACGGACGAACACCAATTAGAAAGTGATGCATCTAGCCTGGCAATGCTTTGAAGTAGTTGAACAGCACCTGTACCCCGCATAAGTATTGATTAAGTGAGGCTACGCATAAGTCCGACATTAGACGTACTTTCTTGACTGCGCTTGGCTCGATAAAGAGCGTCTGAAATTTGCCCCAGAACCATTGCAAGAGAAACAAAATGTGCGAAATAGGGAAATTCAGCACAATTTGAAGTAGATGGGATGATTTGGTCAGAGTCACTTCTCCGAATTGCTGTTGGACGAGCAGTCTCAAGCTCGAAGATCTTCTCAAGAGCGAAACATGTCCACCACACCCTTGCGTGCAATTGATCTCGAAGGCTGGGTTGATTGTGCGGGCGTGGATCTAATTTGGCAATGTTGCGATGTATTCCAATGCTATGAGCTATGCGAATAGCTTGACCCAATGTCTGGAACCCTTGTCCTTCCTTGTTGCGGCCACGCAATGCAATTGTGAGTAGCAATAAGGCCTGAACTGAGGTAAGATAGGGGGTTCCTACCAAATGTGCATAAAAGCTGAAGGCCGCATTGAGAAACACTGTGCCAGTTTCGGTAATCTGCCCAGCAGCTTCATCGGCACCAATGCTAATAATTCCGTAGATACATGCAAGGATTGGGATTTCAGATGTCCTAAGACTATCTTGAATTCTTGTCGGTCCACTTGCTGGTGTCCAGCATTCCTCGCTCTCTGATCTTAGGCGTTTTGATTCGTCTTCGATATGTGCGATGTCTACCAAGGGGAATAAAGGATGTATTCGCTCTTTATAGGCTCTTAAGAACGTCTCAAACAATGATGGAGGAGGAAGGTCTGGCAAGTGGCAACTCAGAGGTAAATGAAGCTCCTCAACATAATACATACCATGCCCAAAGGCTGGTTCAACAGAAGGTAGACCTAAACGATTGAGACAAAGATCTAATACCATAACGAGGCTCCGCAAACTGCTACGGCCCATGAGCTTCTGTCGATGTCTCGATGCGTCACCGTATAATGCCAATGGGCTATGGTGGTCATCATGAAAGACGGTGGGAATCAATTCCTGGTCTCGGGATCTCGAAAGCTCGTGATGAGTAGACACATGTGCAGATTCGCTGTGTGCCAAACCTGTGGACGAAGATCTTACTCGACTTGGGATTTGATCCTGGGAACGAAGAGAATTTTCAACAGTAGGAAACGAAGATGGCTCTGGGCTCGATTGCTCAGGCGTATCCTCCATCGGAGCTACCTCGCTCATCTGAGTCTTTTCGCTACTCTTGGGAGCCTTGCGATAGACGACCAAATCTGGATTCCGCGGATCGGTAGTAATGCACTCATGTCCTCGAATTTTGCAGTTCCTACACTGCGGCATCTCCGCATCGCATCTAACTTTTCGTTTCCTACAACACTCCGATTAGCTGAAGTATCTCAAAAATATAGAAGCTCGATACACACCGGCATTGATTACACGCTAATGAGAGTCGAGCTCGTTTTGCTCTTTTTGGCTGCAGCTCCGAAGGCGTCTGAACCAGATTGCTCACAAGATTAGATGAACTCTGTCGCATGCTGACAACAGGATAGCACACTCGTGTTTCTTATGCTGCGGATTGATGCGAATTTCATGATCGCTTCACTAAGTGTCGTGCACTTCGTGTGTAAGTTACCATGGCAAAAGTCACGATGTGGGGCAACTGCGGAGAACTAAAACGATCTAAGTTCTCTAGATTGGGAGTTCGGAATGTGGAGGTTGTGCTTGGACACACCAATGTGAGCGTTCTGCTGTGAACACAGAGAGTTCAAGGTTGACATTTTGTCGCGTTCTTGCCACTAAGAGCTTAGCAAAGCTATTCTCAATGCTCAGTAGAATGGCCACATTGCCACAATTTATTGCCTTTATGGACATGATCCAGCAACGGGTGCTGGTTACAGATCTGCCTTGTGCTCATTGAGGGCAAAAATTGGATGTGTATAAATAGTCTGGAGATGCCAAAAGCTTTTCGCGGTGTGAGATCTACCATGGCTATTGATACAGACACAATTCCGTAGCAATGCGGCCATCACTGGAATTGCCGTGGAACCCGAGTCATCTGTTCATACCGAGCCATGAGCTCGATGGTGGAAACTAGTTCTTTCCGAGTGCCAAGAATCCTTTCCGAGATTTGTAACTCGCTACATTCCGAACATTCGATCCGATATTCGCGGATGACAAAATCAATTTGCCGGCTTCTCTACCTTGACGGATGCTTTGCAAAGCACATAGAAATTCGGGTTGCAAGCCTTACTCGCTACACAATAACCTTAAAATAAGTCGACTCAAACGTTCATTTAATGAATCTGTTACTCTCGGGACCATGGCAGAAACAACGCTGCTATTCAATAAATGATCAGAACCAGTCGTCGCAGGATGTTGACATACGAACAAGTACCACCATCTACTCTGCTGCTTCCAGAAACCGCTGCTCGAGACAAAGCTAAGAACATTTTCGTCATATGCGGACCAGCTGGATGCGGCAAGACTACTATAGCCAAAGCACTGTTCCAAGAATATGGATTCCCTTTCGTGGAAAGTGATGACGTGCGCGAGAGTTTTAGCTACCGTACATTGTATCAATGCTAATTTGATAGCAGTACCATTCAAAAGCCAACAATGAAAAATTGATCCTTGGCCTTCCGTTATGTGACACAGACAAGTGGGATTGGCTCATTGCTGTTCGCGAGGCGGCACTTGAGAAGCTGGCGATCGAGTGCTCGACTGTCATTGTCGACTGCAGTACACTGAAGCGTAAATACCGGGATGTTCTCCGCGTAGCTGGAGTTGATAACAAACACGTCCAGGTACACTTCGTGCTACTTAATGCAGCTGAACAGATTTTGAGGGACCGTATTGCGACAAGGAAAGGACATTATATCACAGCGGGTGTGGTAAGAAGACAAGTCGATGAGTTAGAAATGCCATCCCCTAATGAGCATGATGTCTACATACTGGATGGCAACGGAACTATCGAGCAAGTTAAATCAAGAGCAATTCTTCTAGTAAGACAATTGATGAAAGATGAGAAATAACTACGGGACAAAAGACACCCTCGTAGAGCCCGGCGAGGAGGGACACAAGGTTTGAATTTGGCTTGATGACAAATGGAAACGGTCTGTCTCTTATCTCGGTTCTTGGTGCTAGATTCTTGGCAAACAAAGCCCTATTCTGATTGAAGTACATGATACAGTGCCAAAAAGACTTGACAAATGTGCCATTAGCTATCTACACATTAGGCTCATGACTGACACACGTAAGACAATATATTCTTGGTCATTTTCTCGTATAAGAAGCTTTCCTTTACGAGGTGAACTCTCTTGGGAGAAGCCAGAATGCGTACGTTGTTCACGAGCAGTGGTCATACGATTAGATCAAGGCTGTGTCACCAAAGAGGGCTGGGAAAGGTATGGTCTCAATGCGAATTCCTTGACGTACCGTAAGTGGATCTGTCCATATCGTGATGCAAAGTACACGAGACATGTCATATTCTGTTAGCCAACCCAAGCGTGTAGAAGCAAGAAACAAGCTTTCAGATAACGTGCGGAGTGGAACTTGTCCAGTCTTCATCGGGATAGTCGCGAAGTCGAGAAATGCGGGGGAGGAGCACATCAGTTGGAATGTTTCGCTGCATCAGGCAATTTCTCGCCTAAGTATAGCGCGAAGCACCCTGCTGCCGCGGCTGGAATCGTTCATGATAATGATCGACCCCAAGACTATGATGTTGTTGACGGCATTGCTATCATGATATCTAGCGCTGACGACGAAAACAACGCGCGAGGGCCTAAGCTAGAGGCAAGCTCGGCTGGGTGAACTCGACCACGCGCGGCGTCTGCATCTACACGCTCGTAATCACGATGTTCGCGGAAGACAACCTCGACTGTATCGTCCAACGCTGTACAACCCGGCGACGAGAGGCAATGGTTTTCAAACGTACCTGCAGCTCTTTTCTTTCGACGAACGTGTGGCTTTCGAGGTCCGGTTGACGCCTCAGGCGACATTGAGTCGTAGCAGGACCGCAGAAAGGGTCCGGCCAATCAGAGACGCAGCTCTGGAATTCGCTATCTTTGCCGCTAGCCACATCGAGCAATCAAGTCCTGCTATCCGCGTTGACGGATCATTCTGCCTGCTCTCTGCGTATCGCCATTGCTATCCCCAGCCGTTTGAATGCACGTTCCCCCCGAAATTGATAGGCAAAAGGAATTATGCCCATGCGCTCCAATGATAAGCTTTGGCCTTGACTAAGGCTCAGTCGTCTTAAGAACTCGATAACAGCATGGCCGAGGCTTTTCAGCCCGGATAAGACCCATATCAAAACTGAGACAGCGTCCCTGGGGGCTCTTCTTCTTCAGCGGCGGCGTGCTCTAATATAAGCTTTCATACTGCTAGTATCTTCTTCCAGTTGCTTGCATAACCTTCTGGCCCTCGTCGTTCTCCCTGTATCGATCCATGGCTGCAGTATCGACGGAGAAAGATGCTGGCAGGGAGCAGCCATCATCCATCATGTCAGCGGAAAAAGGTCAAGTCCTGCCGGTTGGCTTAGAGGAGGACGCACACACCATTGAGATCTTGGGCTACAAGCAGGAGCTCCATCGCAACCGCTCTATGCTGACCTTGCTCTTTCAATCTCTAGCCATTGCTGCTATTCCTTATGGTGAGGGTGGGCCTCTGATCAGCGCGATATATGGTGGAGGACCCTTGTCCATCTTTGTGGGCTGGCTTGGTGAGTTGCACAACTTACATGCTTGCGGAGGAAACACGGGCTAACCGCACCAACCGTAGTGGTCTTGGTTTTGAATGAATGCATTGCCTTATCTTTGGGAGAACTTGCCAGCAAATACCCAACCAGTGCTGGACCATATTACTGGTCCTTTCAAATCGCAAAGACGTCCAAAGTTGTTATGTCTTTCATAACCGGTTGGGTCTGGCTCGTTGGAAACTGGACTATAACGCTTTCCGTCAATTTCGGTTTCGCCTCGCTCATCTCCGCGACCATTTCGATGTACCATGAGGATTACGTTGCTAAGGCATGGCATCTTCTGCTCATGTTCTATGCAGTGACGCTTCTCACCATGATCATTTGCATGTTCGGTAACAAATTTTTGCCGCAAGTGGACACGATTTGTGCTGGCTTCACGGCCCTTTCCATCTTCGTCATTCTTATTGCTCTGTCGGTCAAAGCCGAGGCAGGTCGACATAGTGCGGGATATGCACTAGGGCATTATGACCAGTCATTTTCAGGATGGGGTGGTTTCACTTTCTTCATTGGTCTACTTCCTGCAGCCTACACCTTTTCGGCCATAGGCATGATATCTTCTATGGCCGAGGAGTGCGATCATCCTGCTACGAAGGTTCCGACAGCCATAAGTCTTTGCGTCCCAGTTGGTGGCTTTTTTGGAATCTTTTTTATCCTCCCAATTTGCTTTACTCTACCACCTCTAGAGGATATTATCGCGGCACCAGCAGGTCAGGCACTCCCGTACATATTCCACGTTGTAATGGGATCGCCGGGCGGTGGCTTAGGCCTCACGTTTCTTGTCCTGGTCATTACTCTATTTTGCTCCATAAGCATTACAACGGCGGCTTCTCGTTGCACCTGGGCCTTCGCTCGTGACGATGCGATCCCAGGCGCGAAGATATTTTCTCAGGTTAACACCACCCTCGGAGTACCTGTCAATGCGATCATTCTCACTACTATCGTTCAAATGCTCCTCGGCCTTATTAACCTTGGCAGCACTTCGGCCTTCACAGCATTTGTTTCTGTGGGTGTACAGGCATTAGCTGTGTCTTATGCGATTCCCATTGGCATTTCACTGTTCACTGGTCGCAAGGACGTTTCGACAGCAAAGTGGAGGATGCCCAAAATCGTAGGGCCTATTGTCAACGTCGTTGCTCTTCTTTGGATTGCCTTTGAGGTTGTTCTGTTCAGCATGCCAACTGCTTTACCTGTGACTGAAGTAACAATGAACTATGCTTCAGTCGTGCTTGTCGGTTTTATGGCTATCGCTGGTGTTTGGTATTTCGCATATGCACGAAAAGGTTTGGCATCCCGCAAAAAGAAATTACACTGAAACTAACGACTTATAGTCTACGACGGACCACCTGAGTCCGACGGCCTTGCAGCGTGACCAAGGCGATTCTGTATCATCAATTTAATTTTGTCTATTTTTTGTTTTTTGGAGAAGATTGATCTGATACATGCTATGATCTATTCTGAATTGTGTCAAGGCAAACGGCCCGTCGCAAAGCAAAACGCAATTTCTAAATAGGAGATTCAAGGTCGTAGTGAATCAATATTTTCCGGATCTTTCTTCAGCCTTTAGTCGCAAATACGCAGGGCTAGCTATCTTATCAAAGTTTCGAAGCCCTATTTCTTGCCAAGTAAGGATTTTTTTGCCAGCTCTCTGGCCTTAAAACATGCTTTTCGTCACCGTCAAGTTGCGTCTCTCGAAGCGAGTGCTTTTATGATCAGAAACTTCGTAAACCATGTACATGACCCAGAGAATGCAGATCCTTCAGGACGTTGCTTGTATTTCGCAATTTTTTGTCAAAAGCTCATGAACATTTGAACAAGTTCGGGTGGACTTACGCTTTTCATGGATGAAATAGCTGAAAAGAAGAGGAGTTGGACTTGCCTTTAAGGCTTTAGCGTGGCTAAATCCGGTGCTGACATTGCCTAGTTAGGCATGGGCCACAATCGCGGATACTGTATTTGGGAGCCAAGTTATGTAGCATTTTCAAGAAGCATTTAATTTGTTCTTGTTTTGCACCGCGTGAATTCTTTGATGACAAAGTCTGCAGGAAAACAGATGGCTTGCTGTTTATCCAGAAGGAATCTCGAACTATTTACATGTTGCACGGTCGTCTTCGTCGGTTGGCCTCGTATTCCTCGTTCCATGGACCAACCATCTTTGATAGCCAAGACTTGAACGTATAAATATTTTTCGTTTCGAGATCCTTGGCTTCCAGACTTCGGCTAGAATATCTTATAACATGAGTGCGGCAGCGTATAACTGCCTAGCCTGGATGTAATTCATCTCGAATTAGACAGCCAAGGTGTTCATTGCATATGCGACTCAAGCCTTGAGAATGCGTCATGAATATGCGACTTTAACGTATAAGAACGGCCTGATTTCGAGCCTACAATTTTCAGATCACAATATAACTGCATTCCTTCATTCATAGTCTTCTGCTCTTAAGGTTCTCTGATTTAGAAAACGGTATTTTGAACATGCCTCTTCCCGCGCAAGAACCTTGGGCCGACGCTCCTTATGCTCTTATACCCACTCCATTTGGTGACAAAGACTTATCTCCAGGAAAAGCACATGGTGCACATTTTATAGCGCAACAGATGACCCACCTACACAATTGCATCTTGAGGCTTCTAAACTCAATTTATAACCAAGCACCATATGTCAGCACATCAGATGATATCCAAGACTTTCTTGCTTACGTGAAACATTGGCACGACGAACTTGAACACCATCACGTAACCGAAGAGGAGTGCTTCTTTCCAAAGATTGAAGATGCGATTGGTGTAAAAGGCCTTATGGAAGGTAATATTGAGCAACATCATCTTTTCGAGCCCGGGCTCGAAGCACTTGGAAAGTATGCGTCTACAACAGGCGTCGAGGAGTACAATGGACAAAGGCTGCAAGAGATCATCGACAGCTTCGGCACATTATTGAAAACTCATCTTGCTGATGAGATTCACACATTGATTGGTCTCGAAAAGTATGACGACAAGACACTGAGACAAATCTGGGATGACACCCACGGCTATGTGCTAAAGACTTGTGATTCGGTAATCTGAGCGAGATAGGCTCCTTCAACGTGATCAATGCTAACGCTAGCTAGTATGTGCAATTGCCTATGCTCTTTCGCTCATTTGACTCGACATACGAAAACGGTAGATCCGGCGGGATAGGGTTTCCCTGGGTTCTTTACTACTTGGTCGACTTCTGGTTCGCACGCAAGCATAATCGCGCCTGGAAATTCTTACCATGCACTACATGGGGCAAGCCGAAGCCATTATTTGCATTGCAACAGCCTATGAAGCTTGATTAGTGCGAAATCAAGGTATGGGCTAGGTATATTCAACACCATATCCCTAATTTCTTTTACTTTAGGTTGTTTCGGGTTGAAAGTCATGGAAAGTTTGTACAGCACAATATTTTGAGTTGATTTCAAATAGACATAGACGAGTTAAAATTAGGTTGTCCTTAGCACTGCACGGTATTGTATTCACACTACCTGGCTATACGAACCATGACAATCATCGATCATTCACCTTTAATGTATTGCTAATGAAAATGGGTTCGTAAACCTGAACTTAGCCGTACGTTGACGGCACATCAGGACATGTGCCGGTCCATAAAACTTCAACGCCACATACTTATGCAACAATACTATCTAAGAACCGTGCAAGAAGCTTCTACATCTCATTTAATTCCATCTGAATCATCTAATAAGCAAATGCCACACCAAATTTTACTCTGTCGTATCCATTCGATCAATTGAGAGATCCTCCACCTGACGTTCCCCTTCATCATCAGCTTTTCTCTTGCTATTACCTGCACCATGAGCAACAGAAGCCACGTTCGACTCGACAAGACTACCCTGACTTTGTTCAGAGACTTTCCTGTCTGATTCAGCATCCACTCTCTCTTCTGCTTTCTTCTCTTCAATGGCTTTTTTGGCCTTCTCTCTGGCCTCTGCTCTGAATGCAGCGATTCGCTCCTTTACCTCTGTTGCCTCAATCACATCCTCGATTCGAAGCGGCGTCCGGTTAAAAGGATCATGTGGATCGGACAGCAAATGCTGACGTATCGTGCTCCGGTCTATGACGGCTTTTGAAACAGGTAATATGACGGGATCTTCCATTAGCGTGAACATGAGGGGATCCAAGAATTCGTCTGGAATTTCGCCTAGCCACTCATCTTCCTGCTCCATTGCTTCCTTGGTGGACTCGATATCGTTGAGGAGTTTCATGTACGATGCTAATTCAGCGGGAGACTTAAGAGAGCTCCGGCTGAGAATGTCCGCGGCGTGCTTGAAGACGGAGTAGTTGTATGAGCGTTCGTCACGCGCAACAGCTAGTAGAAAATTAGGCTTGTCTTTCAAGTTCAGGTACACAGAAACCAGGTCATTGAGGAGTTCCAAAGGCTTAAATCCATACTGTGCAGGATTGTCAACCTTCAGGTCCTTCTGTTTTTCACCTGCCATACTGTTCAAATTATAGTCCAGCATATCCGCTAAGCGCTGGACAATTTCCTGGGTCGTAAATGCATCAGCCAAAGCCTCTGTAAACAAACGTAGCATCGAGATAGTTTCATTGGTGAGCTGCATCCAGGACTTGGCTTTGCGTTGATTTTCGTCCAAGAGCTCTTCTTTTTTCTTCTTTTCCTCTGCATCGAGAAACGCTGCGTTCGGCTCTTTGAGTTCCTCTTGCAAGGTGTGAATCTGCCTAAACGCACCAAAACTCTCGTCCAGTAGGAAAGTCACATCATTTAAGGTGAGATTAACGAAGCGAACGAAAAACTCAGGATTTACCTTGGATTCTTGATCCAAGTTGTTGCGGTAAACCGGATTCGTCCATATGCAACGGATTACCTGAAATATCTCGTAGCGAATGTTGAATTTGTCGTAGAACTGAGTATGTGTGCCCGTGCTCTCGGCTTCGATGTAAAATTTCATAAGCGCGTGCAGTAAATGTTTGAGTGCAAACTTTGATTCATTCAAGAGATCACCCAACAGACCCGTCTTCTTGCGACCCAAAGGCAGAACGCCAAAGTACAGGATCTGGACGAGCCCAGACTTGAGACCTGGATTTTTGATGTATTCGGATGAGCGTAGGAACGTAATGCACATTGTGAGCAGCTCATCGAGTTGTGTTGACATGATAATCCAAGGTATGTTCATGGTAACAAATTTGAAGTTATCAACGATATCTTCGACAAAATACTCCGGTAGACAGCGAAACACGTCCGGTTGTGCCTCTGGCAACGGCAGTGTAATCTCTTCCTTTGGATACGTGGTATTAGGAGAGACGATACGCATAATCCACACAATCACATAGCGCATGAGTTGCATGCTTCGCTGCTGAGCTATCTCATCTAGTAGCACACCCTGCACGGCGTGGATGATACTTTTCCCTTTCTCAAGCTGGTCCTTGTACTTCTTTAGGGCAGTTTCGAAGATCCGCTGCTGATGAGGGTTTTGGCTAAATTTCGAGCGTTCAGCTTCGAAGCGAGCGATTTGGCCCTCGAGATGCTTGATCTCGCGCTTGAGCTGGCTAAGCTTTGTGTTAGCCGCCTCGGTTCCATAATGATGGGCTGCAACGGTTAGGAAGAAGATCTCCGAGATAAAATTATTCTCGCCAACGGCAGGGTCTGCCCAGAATGCGCTTGAAGTTTTTTGGTCTGCGTTAATTTTCGTCTCATCGTCAATGGCGACCCGTGGCGAGCGCCGAAAGTAGTTGGCATCTATCCTATCAACCTTAGCGTACGTAGTGTCCATAAATGGCTCGCACAACCGATCCAGGATTGCGGTAACATTGATCATAAAGCCATCGCTAGAAACCGTATTTTCGTCAACATGAATAGCTCGACGCTTGTGATTCTTGTTTACGATCATCGCAAACCAGTCAAGCAGCCTCTCACGTGGTGCTTTTGATGACTTGATGATACAGTTGGTGATATCAAACAGCTCTTCTTGATGAGCGCGTAACGTCAATTGGAGAGCATTCTGGGATGTGCGAATATACGACTCATTACCCGCTTGCGCGCCCATGAAATAGTTGACAGCCACCTCTCCCTGTAGCGGAGACAAGCCAAAATACGGGCCAAGTAACGTGTCAGTCTCAATCTTTTCAGGTGGCAAATCTCTCGGAAGGAATGATGGCGACTGTGTGAGTAAGTCGACAAGTTTTGGATAGCGAGAAAATACTCTAAGGGCAGAGACATGAGGCTTGAAGTGATCGTTCATGGACATTGTGGCGAGGTCTTTGCTAAGCTGTTCAATTGCGCTGATGAGTGCTTGAGCTGCTGAGTCATCGTCGTCATCCAATCTAGAAATGGTCTCATGATAGAAATCGTGATCGATACCAGCGTCACAATCCGGGTCTGCAAGCATGGCATCCGCCAGGGGGCTTCGCTCGTGATCCGGTTTTTCATACATAGCGGGATCTGTTGCTGCCCATATGCAGTTGCTAAAGCATGTGAACTTCGCCGTTTGAAGAATTTGCTGTCGCGTCGCATCTGCAGTCCTTGATTGCCTAATCACTTTTTGGAGGCGCTTCCAACAAGCGAGAAAATAGCATGACGGCGACTTTCCTTCCGGTGGAGACCTACCAGCCTCCAAAAGCGCCGAGTCAAGCTGATCGATGCCCAACAGAAGCGGCTTGCCTTCCTCTTCAAGATCCCGTTTCGTCTCTTCAAGGAATTTGAGCGTATGTCCTTCGCGGTCCTTCGTCTGCTCGGCATTCAAAGTGACACGAAAGACGCTGCTCAGGATTCGATCAGTCCATTGTTCAATGGTAATTTGGCCTGTCTGTCTTGTTCGTGTGCCCACATCCGGTGTCGACGGGCGAGCCGCTGATGTGTGTATCCGTATACCCGAGCCACTACCCTGTGTCTCTGGCTTAAGACCTAGTTGTGTGAAGGGATTCTGCGTTGCTTCCTGTGATACCGTAGGTTTGGGTATCTCAGCTTCATCCATCTTAGAAGGCTGAGCTTGGGAATCGGTGGGCGAAAGTGCCGACGATGTACTGGTTGAGGGTTCAGGTATTGGAGATGCCGCAGCCGATGCCTGAGCATTTGAAGTTGATGTCCCGCCTCCTAGTTTTGCAAGTCGTCGCATGCGGATCTGATACAGTAAGCAAGACTTTGCCAGAGTCATCAGGCTGTAGCTCTTTGGATTTACCTTATCCGCGTCGCTCTGCGCATCAGACATGGCGGCAAATGATGGTCCAAAGGGTTGAACAGCCACGAAGTGGAAATGATATTGAGGTGGAAGACGGGAGAAGGTGGCGTTTGCGTTGTCTATTATTAAGCTGGCTCGTTTGCCATGGATCGTGTTGTTTCGCCTGTGAGTGAGCCTTTGTCAGTTCGGAGGCTGCGAAGTCGCAATCACGTACCAGGTTCAGATCCAGCCAATGACGACACGCGATGATGCTCTTCCCTAAGGCAGCGACAAGACCAGTCACTTTGTCTTCCCGAGATAATGTTTAGGGTTTGGTTTTATCTTCTTTGAAAAGAGAAATTAAAAGTCAATATGACTAGCATGTGAAGTCATGCTCATTAGTAGTGTGCCCTCCACGTGCACTTCTCGTGGGATGAATGATGCGAATCGTGGACCAGTTTGTTCTGTGCTAGCAGAGGAATCTCGATAATTGATACCGGATATATGCTCAAATCAGATTTCTAAAGGAGTCACCGACAAATTGTCAGTTGATGCTCCACAGGGCAGTTTCCCATGCCGTGCAAACGTGCACTTCAATGCAAGTGAAATCCCGGCTCAATCATTCTACAATTTTGCCTCTATTCACTACGAAGCCCTCCAACGCACTAACCATGGCCCACAGTCTGTTCTCCCCTTCCTGGAACACCAGGCTCCGATCACCATAGAACACTTCATCACTAACTTCCTCGGGGTGGCGTGGCAGACAATGCATAAACCGCCACCCAGGCTTCGCTCCCCCTCTCTTTGCTAGCTCATTGGTGATCTGATATCCTTCAAAGGCTTTGAGCCGCGTCTTGGCCTCTTCTTCCTGACCCATGGATACCCATGTGTCGGTCACGAGAATGTCGGCGTCTTTAACGGCTTCCTCCGGTATGGTAGTTTCAATAAGCTTTGAGGATTTGTGTGGAGATGCAACACGAGCAGATTCAATTACCTGGCGCACCGAGCCAGGGATCCCGTATTCCTCGGGTGAAGCAACGGCCAGATCAACGCCCAACTTTGCAGCTCCGATGGCGAGATCAAAGAGCACATTATTTGAGTCTCCAACCCAGGCTATCTTCAGACCCTGGAGGCCCAATGAATCCAAGCTGGCTGAGGAATTAGAAGGGAAAACTTCGTGAATAGTGAGATAGTCTGCAATTGTTTGCAGTGGGTGGTAGAGATCGCTTAAGGCGTTTATCACGGGCACGCTGCTCCATTTCGCAAGGCCTTCAACGTCGCTATGTGGCCCGACTCGGGCGACGAGGCAGCTCGTCATGGAAGATATGATGACTGAAGTGTCCCGCAGAGATTCATTCACGCCAAGTTGAATATCTTGACTTCCCAAAAACATTGGGTGACCTTGCAACAGCGCTACAGCAGCCTCGGTAGAAACTCGCGTTCGGGTTGAGCGTTTCGAGAAGGTCATGGCGACTGTTTTGCCAGCCAAAGAGCCAAGAAGGGATTTGGGGATCTGCCCTGATTTGATGGAGTTTTTGTGGGAGGCTGCATTGCGAACAAGAGTACTGAGTTCACCTGGTGTCAAGTCTGCGATGGAAAGCAAATGCCGTGGAGCAAAAGGCGAAGTGTGTAGATTAGCTGCTGATGAAGAGTACGTCCGTGTCCACGAGTGGGAGAGGCGGCTTTGGAGAGCAGCTCGCAAAGTTGCCATTCGCAATGATGAGGCCATAGTCAACAATGAATAACCAGACAACCGCAGCTGGGACGGAGAGTCTTGACTGTTCTAGTCACTCACGACTAGCAGGGTGCGAGTCATCTGCAGGCTCAAAACTTTTGTTCCGTCGACGATTGATTGCCTGGCGGACGCGGAGTTTCTGCGTGGTCTCCAGATAAAGCTAGATTCCGCAAGAGGATAAGCTCCCGCTCCGCGCCTTCTTGTTTCTCCTGCGGCTTAGCTCGTGACTTCCTGATTGAGTGACTCTCGCCGACTCCGGCGTGGCGGAATCAGCTGACTTCCTGCGGTTGAGAGCCCCAGCGTCATCATCGTCCTCACGGCTCAAACCGCCCTACTTCAAAATACCTTACCATCGAATCCCACGATCAAAGTGCATGAGCTTGTTCAATGCTCTCGTAAAACCCGTTAGATCATACCACATAGATATGCATTTTCTGAGCCCTTGATCTTCCTCTCCGTCGTTCTACCGTCTTCGTTCCGGACACTCTGCCTACTACGCTCGAACGCTATGGCGGATTACAGCACTCTCTCTCAGTCGCCGTCAAGGCCTAGGTCAACTGCCTCTGCGCGATCGAGTAGATCGAGGGACGTTGTGTCGACGGAATCAGAGCGGACGCCACTCCTCCCTAGGAGCGACCTAAATGATGACATTGGAGACGAGTGGGAGGGGGGTGCGCAGGCGCGTCCCCGAAGCCGAGCTTCAAGCCTATACCAAGCCATACAGCCCAAAGTCGGCATACTTGTAAAAAGATGGCCAAGTTTTATGGCCCTATTATGTCTTGTCGCCTTCACAGTGGGCATCATGATTCTGGGCTTCTTCGTTCCGGAGATCATGCAGGAGTACGCGGTTCAGGCCAAAAAGTTTGAGCTCAGCAGCATTTCGCTACATGAGTTCACGGCAAACGGTGCGAAAGTCAGAGTACAAGGGGAGTTTTGGATGGATCCTAGCGAGGTGAAACGAAAGAGTGTGAGAGATTTGGGCGTCTTTGGGACATGGATTGCTGGATCAGTGAAGAGCAGCGGGAGTATCGTAAAAGTAATGCTTCCCGACTATGGAGACATTATCTTAGGTACAGCGGCTATTCCTGATGTCAAAATTGACATTCGAGCCAACAAGAAGACGGAGATTGACATCGTCGCGGACCTCAAGGCTGGTGATATCTCTGGCATACGGAAGATTGCTGATGATTATCTCAGTGGAAGGGCAGGTGTCTTGAAGGTTCATGGAGAAGCAAGCGTCACGCTTAGGTCTGGTATTCTCAGCCTTGGGACGCAAACATTGTCACAAAATCTGGTTTTTCCGAGCAACAATATGCCGAAAATACCTGGATTCAACATTACGAAGCTTATGTTTCACGAAATGCAATTACCTAACGGTAAAAGAGCCATGGAAGCAGATGTCAACGTTTGGGTCCAAAATGAGTACCCGATAGATCTTTCAATCCCCCCGCTAGGCTTCGGCATATTGGTTGACAACTGCTTTCTAGACCAGCCTAGGATTTTGGTTGCAGAGGCGGAAACACCTTACATCACCATTAATCCACATGTCGACTTGAATGTCAACATCTCCGGTACAATCCGCCATCTCCCTGCCGAGCTTACTGACGCTTGTCCTGGCAGCAGTAAAAGTCCTCTAGATGCATTTCTTGGTGACTATATCAAGGGCCGGGATACCACAATCTATGTCCGAGGCTCCAAGTCTTCATCTCCCAGCATTCCCAGATGGGTTGAAGATCTCATCTCGAGCATTACCTTCCCCATACCTTTCAAAGGCCATACATTTGATAAGCTCATCCGAAATTTCTCTTTGACGAATGTTCATTTTACTTTACCTGATCCATTTGCCGAACCAGATTCGCCAGAGTCAAACCCACAGATCTCAGCCTTGATCAAGGCGTACATCAATTTACCGGGAGAAATGAACTTTCCGATCGGCGTTAATCGTATTAAAGCGAATGCGCAAGTTTATTACAAACGCCGAAAGCTTGGACATCTGAGTTTGGAAAAATGGCAGGCAGCTAATTCAACGAGGATTCCACCAGCAAGAGAGGAGGGACCGGCTTTGCTAGTCGAGTCTGCAATCAAGAATGCCCCTCTGTGGATTGAGGACCGAGAGGTTTTTGCTGACGTAGTATGTGGTCTATTCGAGGCTTTCTCTTGTTATTGATTCATGCTTGTTGCTAACTCTCTGAGTTCAGGTGCAAGAAATGATTTTTGGCGACAAAGGCGTCAAGCTTGGAATTCAGGCAGCCGTTGACGTCGAGATGGACACGGCTCTGGGAGCCATGATCATAAGAGAGATTCCGGCTGAAGGCGACGTGCCTATTCAACGTGGGTTTGAACTACTTTCATGAAAAGCAACATTGGAATTTGGATCACTCTTCGTTGTTATTCACTATATTCTTGATACGTTTCCACAGTGACACTTTCAATGATTCACCGTCCTACTATCTTGATAAGGTGCGTATGCTAAGGCCCAACTTACAGCAATCTCCGAGCATAATGGTGGGCTGACTTCCGGCCTCAGCCCCGACGTTGGAAATCTTGAGATTGTTGAGACCAATGAGAACGGTCTAGTCCTCAAGGCTGAAGTCAATTTCACGAACCCCACCAATTATTCAGCGTCAATTCCTTTTGCGCGCATTTCTATTGAGAAAAATGGGACAACAATCGGTAACGCAAAAGTGGAAAATGCCACCATAGTACCGGGGCAGAACGAACGGCAGGTTGTGACTGCTTCCTGGCAACCCAATTTGAGCGGAAATAAAGGAATAACAGTTGGAAGAGATTTGATATCCCAGTACATCTCTGGATACAATACGACACTTACGTTTCGCACCACTAGAGATTCTATACCTCATCAGCCACTGCTTGGTCAAGCACTTAGCAAGCTGTCTATTACGATCCAAGCTCCCCCTTTAACGATATCTAATCCGAATATTCCGGACGATGATGATCCTCAGAATCCTGACAATCCTCACAGTCCGGAGAATGACGGTCCACATTTCATCAAATCGGCAACTATGCATTTACTCTCCTCAACAGCGGTTTTCGTCTTGTTATCGCCTATTAAAACAACCACGCTGTAAGTCGTCGTTCTACGAGTTTTCCAAGTCCACATTCTCCCCACATACAACACTACGAACTGTCGTTATCACTTGCTTTTCTTGATGTATCTAACAGTCGTTCAGATACATAACATCAATTAATGCGACCGCTTTTTATCAACCAGATGACCCAGAACTAAAGGAGAGCAAGGTTGGCGAAATATTATATCGCGGTTCTTTTGCCGTTAGTCCAGGAGAATCTGAAAGCCCGCGACTTCCTGTCAACTGGGATCTAGGTAGTGTAGGGTATGAAGCTGTTCGCAAAGCTCTCGGTGGCTCTCTGAAGCTACGTGCAGAAGCTGATGTAGGAATACGAATTGAACATTACGAACTCGATGTCTGGTTCAAAGGAAAAGGCATTGGCGCTCATGTTAGATTATGATGTAATATATCATTAGTGCAAGTTGATTAAAAGGCACCAACACATAAGCCAAAGCAATACACCGACATTGATTCACTTTCCGTCTCGCTCTGTGCACCGAACTTCCAACGTATACCGACTTTTAGGCTGTCGATGTGAGCAAATGTAATTGGAAAATGTACAGATGAAAATTTCACGTTGCTACCGCAATCCTAATCACAGAATCGAGATCTTCCTCCTCCAAACCGAGTAGATCCATCGCAAAGCCATTCCTGTTCTCCCAGTTCGCTTCGATCACGCCAAGCCACCACACCACATCTTCAATCGCGTTTTCACCACTCTTCATCGCCGACATCTTGTCTTTAAGGAACTCGTCGCGATTGAAACTGCGCACGCTCCAGGATTCTCCAGTAACCCTCTCTAGTGCCTCTTTGACTTCGATCTGAGTCTTGCAAAAACTCTGAACGTAAAGGATCCTGTTTGCCGTATCATTCAGGTCGATATTTTGGAGGATTCGAGCTGTAGCTCGGGCAACTTGAGCAAGGCTTGAAGCTGAAGCTTTAACGTTTCCATCATCTAGGATATCTATCACACGTTCTTTTTTCCAAATATGCATGAATTCAAGACTCCAGTCAAAAAAGTGCCCACATACCAAAGCTGTCCATGAAAATTTGGGGTAAAGCTTGGTGAGTTCGTCCAAGTACAAGCGTAGATTACGCTTGTGAACATACAGTGGAACAAGCTCCCTGGCAAGCAAACTTTCGCTGTCCACAGAGCCAAAGTCGGCTGGAATCAACCGCTGGACTCCCGCTTTCGCGGATGCAAGTGCCACTCGCTTTTGCAGATCGACGAGGGAACCAGACGTAGTAATGACTACAGCATCTTGACCCTCCAGAATTGGTACAAGACTGTCAACGGTAAATTCGTCGGGAACTTTCACTTCTTTGACAGATGAAGGATAATTTGACGGGGACTTAGAGGATTGACGCTTGAGAATGGTGACTGAAAAGCCGTTGGAGAAGAGTTCCTGCATACTTTATCAGCTCATAGCGCGGATTAATGGTATGAATATGGTGTTGGATAATAAACAAAACGATTTCATGGAACGCCTCGTTACCAAATTTTAATAGCTCGCTGGCTCGTGACAAACCAAGATTTTCGCAAATGGATTTCATACCTTGAGGACTGAAGGTCCCAGCTTGCCGTCAGCACCCAGAAGGGCAACATTTTTGATTGCCATCTTGTCGTTACACAATTTTGGAAATCATAATTTAACGTGAAATCGAGTATACCTACTAGTATCCGGTATCGGAAAGTGTCCGTGGAGAGCGGCGTTCACAACATACCCAACACACTTCAAGACACCGTCAGTGATCTATGGGATATCTCCAACTTTGCCGAAACATTAAACAGGGAGTTGGAGTTAAACTCGACAATATTATTTAGCCTCTAGGCCTACGCTGCCAGCTAGATTCATATCACATAATGAGGATATCATCGTCAGGACGGCACGAAGTGCGGACGGAGCCTTGTCGCTTCACTTCTCGGTTAGGATTTAAGCGTTGGTCCGAGAAGGCGGCAGCCAAGCGAAGACTGTACTTTGTAAGAAGGTACTTGAGTTATTGTACAGGGTTCTTTGTTATTGATGAAAGGGAGCGATAAAAGCTCTGGCTTTGTAGCTCCTGCACACTTCAGCTGGAGCCCAGCCGATGTGGCTGACATCTCGGAGACCAATTGGCTGCGAAACGGACGAGGACAAGCTACGAGTAGTAGCCAGAACATAGCGAAGTCGAGGTGCTCTTGGCGCGCCATCGGTCCTTTCGAACTCAAGGACAAGCTTCTGAAGACGATCAAGAGTTCATAAACAGATGCATTTGAGTGAACGAACAATAATTCTCTTCTAATCCGCTTCAAATTCGTTTCATCCAATTCCCCTTTGGGCAGGAGTGACCATGTCTGTTGCTATGCAAGACGGCCAGACCGGCTCGCAACCACGGCCCAGGGCACTCTTTCTCCAGCCGCGAGCTTTGCAATGGTTCGAGGATGGAAAGCAAGGCGTACAAACACGAAGCAGCCAGGAAAGGCAAGCAGGTTGGTCGATTGGAGAATTAGGATGGCGCAAACTTGACGGCAACTCATCACATTTCAGGTCGGTTCGAACTCTTCCTTGACTTGCTTTATGTTGCCATATTAGCAAACTTCGCCGAAGGTCTCGCAGATCATACGAATGGAGATCAGCTCGTTAAATACATCGTGGGTGTCTCGCGACCAGCGCGCTGGCATGGGTAAAATGCTGATCTCTTCCTTAGCTCATATTTGTCCCAGCATGGCACGTCTGGAGCGATCTTCGTGAGATCATGAATTCTTTTTACAACGATGATCTGGCCCAGCGACTACTAATTCTCTGGATTATGGCTCTCCTCGTCATGTATGGGAACAATGCAAGGATCGTGGACGAAGATATCGGTGCCATGCGTTCAACGGTTGCATCTTACCTCGCCGCTCGCGTGTCGGGCATGATCGCACACCTAGTTTACTCCTTCTCGAGCTATCATCACCGTAGGCAACAAAGACTCTGGGTGCTGTTGAGTCTTTTCACTCTGTGCTTATTCATTCCCCTTTTTGTGGAGGATTTGAACTTGAGAAGCAAAGCTGCAGTAGCCTGGGTAGCGATCATTGCTGAGGAATGCGCCTGGTTTTTCTCCTACAGCCCCGTTGCAAAGCGCCTTCTGAAGGCAAAATATACCACGGCAGTTGATGTGCCACACGAAGTAGACCGATTCGCGGCATTCTTCATTATAGTTCTTGGTGAATTCTTGTATCGTATTATTGTCGGATCGCCCGCAGTAATTGGTTTCAATTTGGGACTTCTGAGAGCCATCTGGACTCTTGTTATCGCCTTTTCGCTTAACTGGATGTATGTTCACGGTTCAGGATCGCTCGTGCAGATCCACCCCCTCAAGCACAGCGTCACGCATGCCTATGCTTGGGTTTTCCTACATTTACCTCTTGTTGCTAGTCTACTCGCTGGGGGACACGCAGCTGCCAACACTGCTGTCTATTCTGAAGAGTATCCACGAGAGGAAATATGGCTTTTATGTGGTGGTCTTGGCTGTGGTGTCATCATGCTATGGCTAATTGCGAGCTTGGGTGAATGTGGCGATGCTCCCGGTGTATTAATCTTGCCAAAGGTGTGTACCTAAGTCCTCAGTTTGAGATGACCTCGCTGAATTTGCCCACAGCATTCGCGTCTCGCCTTGCGCCCCATCATCGGAATCATAATCTGTTGTCTCCCACTCGCGGATGATCATTTAGGCATTACGTCTATCACCTCCATAATCATGGCTCTCTTTGCGCTGACGGTCTTGTATGAAAATATCACATCTTTGCAGCGAGGTGCTAAGTTCTGGGAGAAATGGGAGGGAACAGACTATCCCAAGCCCTCTGATACCATTGATCAGAGCATCGAGGCTACGAAGTCTGGGCGTCGAGATAATGACGAGAATGCTTGAATATTATCACATATTCCATGCGATTGCTTGAATTATATTTGACGAGAGTATTGTCCATGAGGATGAGACTGAACAACTTCCTTTCGATTTAAAAACCTAATTACTCCACTTGTCACGGAACTACTTGGATACGTGCAGCCGATATCCCTTCTATGACGTAGCGAGTTGGGAGAAGATATCTAATTCAGAAATGAGTACTCAGCTATAAATGCCATTGACGTAATAAGACATTAATTATAAAATGTAAGAAATGTGGAACGCAGCTTTCCTCAAAATAAAGCATCAAGTATTCCTGCTACGTCTTTCCTGATCTGTTCAGGGTTTTGGTAAGCCAACCTTAATAATTTTAACTTAGCTAACTTTGAAAATATTGGGCAATATAAACTGGAAATAGCCAATTAGGTCTATCAGGACATCAGAATGGTACCCATTATGTGTTTGTTGTAGGGGATACCCGTGACAGTATCCTCATTCTACAACGAGAGGCAGATGTTCGACTCGTGTCAAATCCACGAATCTGGGAGAAGTAAAACGCGGCTGAAAAGGACATGACCCATTCCAAGTCCCTGAAACATTCACAGACAGAATTTGTCGCTACCTCTTTAATTTTGCCCTTAATTACTATTTTTAAGTAGATAAGCATGTTGTGAAGCAAGAGCTGGGAAACCCTCCACTCCCAACACCATGAGCAGTGAGAACAAATTTACATGGCTGTGTTTGCCTTGTCGTGCACTATTCCTTTAATATGTAACCTCAGAAAAACGAAGCTGGATGTGGTATCTCATTGCGTAGCAACTATCCACTAACACCCGCAATCTGAGAAGTTCTTACATGTCGACGGAATCAGCGCCAAACAGGTGTCCATGAGTCTGTCACCAGCAAATTGACAACGCGACCGTGCTCATCCAAGAGGCACTTGCTGTGTACACGCCGCTAGCTACTTGTTGGACCCATGAGCATGCGAAAAGTACCCTTACAACCGATGCAATCTGCTGCCATCAAATTTTACTACATACCAGGAGGCGGAGGTACCTATAGGCCATGTTAGTGTGGTTTTCGATATCTTAAAAAGAATTTCACAAACAGCATTGTATCCGCCCGCATCTGAAGGTGGAGGAGGAGGTGGTGGCGGAGGTGCACTGCCAGAGCCAGGTGGGGCACCATATCCGTATCCTCCTGGAGGCGTTCCGGCATTCTCTGTGACTGGAGCCGGTGATTGAACTTGGGCCTGACTTTGCATTTGAGCATAGTATGCGGCATAATACTGCATATATGCTTCCTGCCCACCCCATGCAGCGTATGGATCCGAGTTGGGATCCTGCTGACCTTGCTGTGCGTAGTACTGCTGCCACTGCTGGGAGTAGTCAGGTTGTGCCGATGGCTGTGGAGACATCGCATTGCCCGGTGGCGGTGGTGGAGGTGGTGGAGAGGCGGAATTGCCATATCCTCCCTGGGGATAACCAGCGTAACCACCACTTGGGGTACCAGGAATGGAGCCGGAAGGTGAGGCATGGCCAGGCGCTCCAACAGAATTCTGACGTGGGCCTCCGCGACCACCGAAGTTGGGTCCATTGGCCTTAAACAGGTCGTACTGCTTCTTGACATTTTGGAGAAGTTCAAGAGCAAGTTCCTTGGCGCGTTCCACATTTTCCTTTTGTCGACCAGATACATGCAAGTACATTTGCTCGTCACTCTCGCGACCGGTATCATGTTCAATGAAGCCAGAGCCGCGGCCTTTAATCTGTACACGGCAGCCTGTCTCGTGCTGGATGTATTTAACATACGAGCCCTGCGAGCCTACGACCTGTGCACGGAGATTGAAGCCAGGGATTGGTTCGAGTGGAATAGGGATGCGTTCCTCGGGCCATTTGCGCTGCCAAATGTTAGCAAGATAAGAACAACGGGCAGGGCTAACGGACGCGTCCAAATTCGTCACGTTCAACATCTTCTTGTTCGCGTCTGCCACGGAAACGACGCTCGTCAATTAAGTTGGGCAGGTCCTTTTCCATTTCCTCTTCAATGAGTTTGACGGCTTTCTCAAGCGCATCTTTTGACTGCGCAGTGATTTGCAGATATAAGGGCGGAGCCTGTAGATACAACAAGCTTAGTAACTTCAATAGAAGCGGAGATACACGACGATGAACGTACGGTTATCGTGGCGGTATTTGAATCGGGGACGTAGACACCTTTGGTCGTGACATCTTGAGCAGAAAAAACATAAGCAGTCGTCCTATAAATCAAGTTATGATGGCAAATGAGGTTTGCGTACCGGCGCCAGTTTGTTCTTTGATCTAAAAGCAGCCGATGTCAGTACACGTCAATGGAGCGGTCGAAAACTTGAAGTTTAATAGTAAGCTTCTGCCATCTCAACACTATCTTCATGGTGACAAGGCGACACTAAGAAAATACGTCACAGGATGCGCGCAAATCGCTGGCATGAGAAGCCGCTGTTGCTGATGGTGGTATCAGTGGGATATGCATGACAAAGTGTTCATCCTACCATCTTTTGAAATGCTCCCTTCGTGAGCGTATATCGGTTTCGCAGGTGGTTGATTTCAATGTCTTTCTGGTAGTCACCGTTTTCCTGGTAAATGCCGCTCGAGTCCTTCTTAGGAAGAGGCTTTGCAACGACGGCCTGTCGATGCTGTCAGCAAGAACGCCGGCGTGGAAGAAGACGTGGAGCGAAGGGGCACTGACCGATGGCCTACCGGCCGGGGCATTCTTGGTCTTCTCCTGTTGGCTCGTTGATCAGCCTGCTGTACGGCATGCAAGCTCGCTGTAGTCGCAGAGGCTGGAGCAGGGAACTTACGGCGAGCTGGGCATTTATGCGAGCTGCGGCCGCCGCGGCGGCCAGCGCTGCAGCCTTGGGATCGGTCACAGGAGCGGGACTTTTGGAGGAGCTCTCGACGTCTTTGGCATCGCTCTTGCCGCCCACAGTGGAGGGGCTCGACACTGCACCAGGACTTCGGCTTCTGCGCGGAGGCGAGCGCGACCGGCGATCGAAGCGGGACTTCAAGTTACGCGGAGGATCGGGCTCGGTTTGGTCGAAGCGCGACCGCTTGCGGGAGTCGTCGGACATTGCTGTCTGTTGTGTTTGCACCTGGACACCAGAACACCGACGCGGATGTCTCTGCGTCCTCCCGACGAGCTGTGTGTAGGAACGGAGCCAAGGGGCAAGCAGGACGTAGCAGTCGGGTGGTGCTTGAGGGTGAAGGACGGCGTTTGATGCAGACGTTTGCGACGAGCAAGGAAATCCATTGGCTGGTCTGGCGGTGCGAGTCACGAATCTTTTTTCGGCGTGCAGGGTCTGCTGGGGAGGCGTTTACCGGCATGCTCACCGCCTTAGCCGGTGGCAGAAATCTGCCCAAGCTCCACAACAATCGTGCGCTGAGCGTCGTCGTCGGAGTCACACTGCGTCTACGTCGACCTTCCGCCCATCTCCAGTCATCCCGATCCCTTCGCCACGTCTTGTCTTGCCCCGTGGACGTGTGCTCGCATCAGCCGCGCGCAATTGAGTCCAGGCCTCACAATGGCTGCCCGGCGAGCTCTCTTCGCTCTGCCATCCCGCTCGTCTGCCTCTCTTGGCCCTCGGGTCGCACGCCGTTGCCCGAGCCGGTCTTCATCCTCCTCCTCGTCGTCGTCATCGTCCTCATCGTCCACCAGCGCTCTTGCCTACAAGGCCCTGCATCGCCGCATTTCGCCCTTGCCTGTCTCTGACAGCCCGCCCTCATGGTCTGCTCCTGCCGCCGTCTCTTCCATCCTGTACGAGACGCCGCTGCCCTCTTCGGCACCACCGAAGAAACACATCCTCAACTGTCTGGTCCAGAATGAGCCCGGAGTCCTGTCACGTGTTTCGGGAATTCTGGCTGCCAGGGGCTTCAACATTGACTCCCTCGTCGTGTGTAACACTGAGGTCGAAGATCTCAGTCGGATGACCATTGTGCTGCAAGGTCAGGACGGTGTTGTTGAGCAGGCAAGGAGACAGCTAGAGGACCTGGTTCCCGTCTGGGCTGTTTTGGACTATACCCAAGCACCTCTTGTCCAGCGCGAGCTTCTACTGGCCAAAATCTCCATTTTAGGTCCGGAATACTTTGAGGAGCTGCTTGCCCATCACCAGGAAATGAGTGAGGCACATGAGGCCATGACGCCGGAGGAACGAGAGGCTCAACTGAACCAAAGACGAGGCGAATATCACCCCAGCAGACTTGAAAAGAGTCAGGCGCTTCGACATAAACACGAGCATCTTGAGGCAATAACCCATCTGACCCATCAGTTTGGTGGCAAGGTTCTAGACATTTCGAACAACAATTGCATCGTCGAGATCAGCGCGAAACCCAGCAGGATCGACAGCTTCATGAAGCTGATTCAACCTTTCGGTATCTTGGAGAGTGCGCGAACTGGTACGTTTCGGAGTGGCCCGATATCTGACTATGACAGCTCTAACTCCGTGTAGGTCTCATGGCACTGCCGAGAAGCCCTCTAACAAGCCCGGACGATCTTGAAGAGAAGGAAGCCGAGGATATTGTCGACTCTAGCATCCTGCCTCCTGGTTAAACAATTTTGTCTGGAGACGGCAGGCCATTGCCACAAGCTGATATCTGTATTCACGCACTGAGGTTCTTTCGGTTGGTGCTGTACATATTTAGCACTCGGCAGCAATGTTCGTCTCAGACTTAATATGCTCTTTTCTTTCAACGCCATAGTCTACGTCCTTTCATTCTTTTCCCTCTTTCCTTTACTGACAAAACTACTCTATACGCTATGTGAGCAAATGATCAAGTCCGTATACCACGTCGTGTTTCTCCACAGGTATTTTGCACGCACGGACTCTAAGTAGAGCCTGAGAACTTGAACATTCATCTTAACCACTCGTTCATCTGATCAGCGATGGTGAGTGAAATCACCCTGCTGCTAAGTTAGAATTGCTTTGAAACTAGGCCAGCTTGGGTCTCAAGCGACGTTGAGAAGTTGACGTACGTAAATGGTGCTATTCTCAGAAAATACGCCCAAAATCCTCTGTAAAACCTCAATGGCCCTTCTTGATTAAGCACTTTAACAAAGCAATCTATAACACCCTTATAATGCTCGGCTTTGCCGTATATGGTATCCTTGCTCTGCCTCTGTAATCTGGTTTTCACAAAGTCGAAAGGAAGACTGAAGAACGCCGCAAAGAATCCACCAATCGAACTGGCAATGACACTCTGGGCCTTTTCCGGAAGCTTGGTGTGCTTTTGAATCCGTGCCTTCGACTCCGAGAAAAATGTCAGCTGTCCAAAGTTTGTCGCCAGAGCCCGAACCATTGTTGGAGCTGCGCCACTCCACAGAGTTGGAACGCCCTCTGTTCTGACAATTCGAGTCAGGGCATCAAAGACTGACCGGTACCGCGCTTGTTCCGCCGCAGGCTTCAGGCCATCAGATTGCATTCTAACAAGAGCAACTTCGACTGGGTTACCGATCATCGCGCCTATGCCACCTGCAGCGAGACTAGCTAGAGTGCGTTGGAAGAATCCGTACGAGTCGCCTTTCTCGGTAGCTCGTACCTTCAGAAGGTCTTCGAAAGTGAAGAAGAGACCTAACCGTGAGGTGCCGTAGACAACTTGACGCAGGAGGCCTGCCGAAAGGCCATTGTACAAATCAAAAAATCGTCCATTAGAAACAATTTCCCTGGCAATTGAGAACGCAGTGTGTCGATTGCCAGCTTTTGTACCCTCAACGGATAACTGCAGTCGGACCTTGATCATATCCACAGGCTGAACGCATGCAATGGCAATGCATCCCGAGCTGCCACCGACAAGAAACGGTTGGCACCGTTTAAAGAACGAACTGCTCGTCAATCCGCGAGCAGAACATCCAGATACAGCGGACGACCCAGCACCATCCATGTTTGATGTTGCATTTTCGAATCACGCAAGCTTGTACTTTATGGCTTTTTGGATTCGAACGGCTACAACGGCATGTGGAATCCAACAGCCGGTTATATGATCACGTGAGAAGCACAAATCCTTACTTAGCCAGGGAGGTTCTAAGGGTGGGGTCAAACGTCTGTTATCTAGGTTTTTCTTTCTTTGAGCTGAAATTGACACGGCTTGTGCTTCGTATAGTTTGTTCAAATGAGAATAGCATGAAAGCCCTGATAGTTCCAAGTATGGATTAGGTAGAGCAATCTGTTTCAAGATCCAAGATCAAAAAGTTGAACATACTCTTGATGTTCACAAATTTCTTTGCTAGGTCAACTTTAATTTATTACCAGACTGAACCGCATCATATGTTTTGCATGAAATCATGATGGGACAAGAATCCCTAAGTGAAATCAGACTAAAGCACACCTGATGGCGAACCGTTTGCGTAATTTGTAAAAGCAAGTCATACTCATTATAATGAGTATCATCCAAAATGACTAAAATGATACATTATAGCGAAAGAAATAACTGACGTGGAAAGATCCAACTGCACTAAACGACATGAGGATTGTGTCTACGCTTCATTTGAACAATTATAGTCAAATACCTGGCGTCCACACCCCGCGGCAAATAGTAACACAAACACTGGGAACTAGAGCCGACCCGTCTGATAGCTTGCCTATCATACTTGTCTCAGCTGCTTTGATCAAGATTTGTGAGACATTGCTTTTCCAATTATTTATCCATGACTGGTTAAAGTAAGACGACTTAGTCCCCAAAATTGACGTACCTGCGAGAGGTTTTATTGCTCCTGCTAGATCGAAAATCGGGGAAATAGAAATTTCTAAGTATCTGTCGACAAGTAGTTCTGAATGGGACTAAAAACTCGATCAGCATATCTGCCATGAATGCTGATTCAACTATTTGCTGAGACCATGCACTTGTAGCCTGCGCACATTTTGCAAGGAGAATCGGTGACCTTCACGCCTTTGAAACTGCCTATCTCCATCACTGCAGGCATCTTATACAAGATATAAACCTATGGCTAGCGTCCTAAAAGCAAGGTGCGAATTTGGTTACTTGAATTCAATTGGCTCACTATTATTGACTGACATATAGTCTTAATTAACAGCAATTTGGATAACGCTGAATAACTCCCATAGTCAAATTTAGGTCAGCCAGCTTCCGCTGAGTGGAATCTTCAAGCACTATTGGTCTGATTGAGGAGAGAAGTACATGCTTCGAAATAGAAGAGAGGATGGTTTAGATGAAGCAGTCTGCTCTAGTTGAGAGATACTATTTATTGCATATTAAAATTGCTCACTCCTTTAACTTACAATAACAGCCCTTGGAGATAGCAGTACACATACCGACTAAACAGACGCATAATGAAACGCTGCGACAGGGTAGACGGAATCCATTTGCACCACAACGAGCGAACGCTCTTCATCTCCAACCGAAATAAGTCGTGTCGAGCTATCAAGACTTTCACCGTCTTTTTCTTAGACAATAATTTAGTTAGGTACAAGCGTGGTCAACGTATTGCCCATAATTGGTGAGTTAAAGGTTTTTAATATTTTGTTTTACATCAAATTGTTATCAAGGACATGCCTCCTTACGCCTCGAGGTCCTGTCACACATAGTGCTTGATTGTAATGCTATATATTTGGTTTCATTATTTGATGCCTTCAAATAGGGTCCAGCTCCAGGCGCTATACTGGTATATACAAGGGAGAGGCTTCAAGTTGGGCGATTCCGCTTGATATGAATTCTCGGCTTTTCCAAGGCTGTGGCTAAGGCTGGAGCCACAATAATGCCCATGCTATGTTGCATTCTTGGTAATAGAGCCTTTGGTGGAGTTGCTATGCTCTTGAGTAAAACATGTGATGCTGGCCTTTGGTTCTGGAGAGTATACTCTGCCGCTTTCGCTTTGAACGTTTTCCGCAGCGTCTTTGTTGAGCTTCAAGGGGATTAGTAGCGTCAAACTTTGAGGATATGGCATATATCTCATCAAATTATGGACACAAAAAAATACCTCCCACTGGAAGCGTTTCAAAGAAACTTCAAATATATTGTCTGGCTAGACGACGAACTAGAAGCAACTCGGCCGATGTGGGATCGGGGTTATTACTGGTGTAAACTGAGCTTGAAAAGCAAGATAGAGCCACAAAAAATGACATGCTAGTGAAGTGATTACTAGCCACTGAGTAATATGGTGTAACTTTCCTATTAAGATAATAATATTTTTTGCCTCATGATATAAGCCATTAAAATTTTTTCTTGAAATAGTTAATATCCATCACATCCTACAATATTCTGGCACATAGACTAAGACCTAAGCTAAGTGCTAGAAAGGTTGTCCATAATATACTTAGGACAGAAACATTATTGCAGACTATGACGTGCTGTCCAAGCTGTCTTATTCAACTCACAGGTTTTAGAACATTATTACAGGCAAATGATCATAAGAGAGAATGCTATAATCAGGATCTGAGCCCCTTAAGTTTCCACCGCGAATTTAAAAAGATGCTATAGCTAACAATATTTCGAGCTTCAAGTATGATGTTGTATATTATCCTGAGGCATGAGCCTTGACGTTAAACTCCATCTGTGGCCAGAATCTTGATTCCATGAATTTGCTGTTGTGATTAAGCTTTCATAATTGAAACTAGGTTATTGGAAAAGCAGAGTATCATTATTATTCTCTTTTATCATCTCCTTCTCCGTTTTCGTTTTCATAATCATCACCATGATGAAATCCACCCTCGAGCCCGCCATCATGCAGATTCTCCATTTTTGACTTTAGTGCGTCTGGGTTGATTGATTTCATCGCAATCTCTCCAAACGGCTCATCGAACGAAAAGAAACCTGGTGTTGTTGTTCCAGGTGTTGTTGCACTCGGCGTTAACGCTTCAGAGAACAATGGTCCCGGCAGTGTGCTGATTGGATGGATCGGATCAGCGATCCGACTCCCAAGTGGGTCTCTTGGCGGATCTGGATAATCCACTAGGATTATCCGGATTGATCCACCTGAGGCCCTTTATGGCGTTACTGAGGCTGTTGATTATGCCACATATGACTTAAAATAGAAAATATTTATGATGGTGAAGTGCTTGGATTGCTATTACTTTAAATCTATAATCTTAGCCTTAGCCCATGATTGCAAGCATTGAGTCGCTTAGATCGTTTGAGGCTTCAGGTGGTTGCGGTGCTTGGTCACCATATGACCTAATCGGCTGAATAAGCGTTCAGGCTCATCGCTTATCGCAGGTATTGACAGCATATCCAATGCTATTTTGGTTAGATATGGATATTCGATGCATCCAGTGGTGGACCACCACTTAATCGGCTTATCAGTGTGTTAGGAATACTTTCCCAATACCGGCTGGCTTCACCAATGTAAGCCACTTCGGAAGGGATGTTAGGAATACTTTCCCAATACCGGCTGGCTTCACCAATGTAAGCCACTTCGGAAGGGATTAGCTTCCTAGAGCAAGGGAACAATGTATAACCAGAGCTTATTAAGGAAGGAATATAATAAGATAGTTACGTTTATGACTTAGAATGGTATAAGCTTCAGAAGTATGAGAATGTATTCAAACTAACTACTAGCTACGCTAGACAGTTGAATTACAGAGACTGAAATATCTGTAGAGACAGGACGTTTATATAGACCGTTTTCCTGATATCCTTATTGCCTTGCTCATTCTGATCATTCTTAGCAAAATGATCAGAATGATCACTCTGACCAATCAACAGTATCCTAACCCTCAACCATTGGCTAATGCGCTCATTTTGATCATTTTCCCAAAAATAATCAAAATGATCACTCATGTAACTAATCACGTGTTACTTCGTAACACCATTCCCCTCCTTAGTAAGCTTGTCCCAAGCTTCTAATACTTAAGGAGTTTAGTGGCCGCTGATTGAGAGACAAAAATGTCTTCGGTCTCTTCCCTTCGCCGCAAACGTCTTGCTTCCGAAATTGAAGAGTCGGGAAGCATCGTAATTCTCAGTTGTGAACATTGCTTAATCCGTGGACTGACCTATGTCGCCATGTCCTCTTCAAAAAGTGTCAAATGCGCAAACTGTGCTCGCAAGGGAATAAAATGCGTCGACGTGTCCTGGGAAATTCTGGATAAGACCAGGGAAGAAGCCAAATCAGCCATAGAAGAGAGTCTTGAGGAATTATCGGAAGTTTATGCAAAGCAACAACAACTAAACACCAAACAACAAAAACTTCTTGCTCAACTTTCTTGAAGTCGGAAAATTCTGAAGATAGCCAAAAGTCGTGCAAAAGCGAAGGCTATTTGTTTGATAGATGAATTAGAAGAGGAAGAAGAGGCTGAACGAATAAGAAATGGTGGTCACTCTGATGGTGAGCTTCGCGAGCTTACAGATAATCTCACCATCTTTAACCAGATCATTGAAACCCGAGAGGTTTCGAATACATCGGATTCTCATGATGGAATCGCGATAATTCAAGCGGACAGTTGAGGTTCTTGTACGGTTCCCAAGTGTTTTCTTCCAGTGGGTATCCTTTCCATTTTATGAGATAAAAGTGTTGTCGTCTTCTGACCTGGTGGTCTAGGATCTTCTCAACCTCGTATTCCTGCT